CACGATAGCTTATAACTACCTAATAGGGAGCTTATATAAAAATTATAGTTAATATTATATATAAAGATATACAAGCAATAATCGATTTAGGGGCCTTAGGAAACTTTATAAGCCTATAATATTACTAACAGAAGAACGTTTAAAGGAACGAGAAGAAAAATATCTTATCTATTATTAGCCTTAACAGAGAAAGGCTAGGGCCAGGAATCACGCACAAGATAGGTCGACTTCCTATAGTTTTAGGAAACTACTTCAAAACTATTAACTTCGATATTACTAACCTTAGAGAATACAACGTTATATTAGGAATTCCGTGGCTACGACGACACAACCTAACGATTAACTAGATAAAAGGAATAGTTATCTTCGATAGATACAAGTGTCGGTAGATAAATAAGATATAGACTAGACTTACACGATAGCAACGAAAGGAACCTAGCCTTAGGGAGGTAGATAGTTCTCGAGACTCTTATAAAATAGGACTTACGAGAAGTACTCGGCCTAGAGATAGGGTACAATATAAGATAATAGATATTAGTATTATCGCAATAATCGAATAATAACTAGATATAACCAACGACAAATTAGAAGAGTATATTATAGTCGAACACGAATTAAGATCCCTCTACGCTATCGCGGTAAAAGAAAAAGTACTAGTACCCGATAAGTATTAGAAGTACTAGAATATATTTATACTACTAATAGAAGGAATATTACCCGTATATAACTTATTTAATTATAAAATTAATGTTTAAGAAAGAAAAAAACCTAGATTTATACTAATCTACTAACTCTTGTAGAAAGAATCCGAGACGCTAAAGGAATATATCGATAAGAACCTACGTAAAGATTATATTAAAAAATCGATATTACTAATAGGATATCCTATCCTTTTTATACTAAAGAAGGACGGATTACTTCGACTTTATATAGACTACTAATAACTAAATTCGATAACTATCAAAGATCGACACTTATTATCTTTAATTAGTAAAATCTAAGACCGGATCTAAGGCGCTAATTACTTTACGAAGTACGATATTATAAATACCTACAATCGCCTACGAATTAAAGGAGGTTATAAATAGAAAATAGTATTTTAAACTAAGTTTGGTTATTTCGAATATACTATTATATCTTTTAGACTCACTAACGTACCGGCGTTATTCTAGCGCTTTATTTTTAATATACTAGAAGAGTACCTTAATACTTTCGTGATAGCCTATTTAGACGATATCTTAGTATTCTCTAAAATAGAGGCTAAATATATAGAGTATAATAAAAAGGTACTACAAAAGCTTAGAGAAACTAAAATCACACTAAAACCTAAGAAGTATGAATTCCATATCTAGGAAACGACGTTCCTAGAATACACTATCAGCCTATAAAGATTAGGGATAGAGGAAGAAAAAATTAAGGCTATTATCGATTAGCCTATACCACAAAGCACTAGAGACGTCTAAAGCTTCCTCGGATTATATAATTACTACCGAAAGCTTGTACCGCAATACTCGAAGTATACGGCCGGACTCTACCGATTTACTAAAAAAGGAGAAACCTTTAAATAGGATAATATAGTAAAAGAAATATTCTAGAAACTTAAGAACCTATACACTAAAGATAGGATTATAAAAGTTTTTAACTATAAATAACTATATATTTTAGAAACTAATATATTAGACTACGTACTAGGAGTATAGCTACTCTAACCTAACGAAGAAAATATACTATAACTAGTTACGTTCTAGTCCAGAAAAATGATTCCAGCAGAACTTAATTACAATATTCACGATAAAGAATTACTAGCTATTATATTAGTATTCTAAGTCTAAAGAGCGTATCTAGAAGGAGCAAAGTATATCGTAACGGTTAGAACGGACTATTATAACCTAATATTCTTTACGACGACAAAGAAACTCACTCGATAATAAGCTAAATAGACTAAAACTCTCTTATAATATGATTTTAGAATCGTATACTATAAAGGAACTAAAAACGTAGTCACCGACGCGTTTAGCCGACGACCAGATTACGAGTTAGGAACTAAAGAGATAGAACCTACTATTCTAATAACTAATAGATAAAAAGAAATCGTATACAACTAATAAATACTCTCCGCAATAAACGAACCCGAAGACGACGATTAGCTTAAATAGATTCGTAGAGCTACTGTCGAAGACGAATCTATATAGAAAATCTTAGCAATAGACTAGTATAATACTATAAGTAACAAAGGACTCGTCCTTATTTATAGATTAATCTATATTCCACGACTATTATAGAATAAGACTATCCTAAAATATCATAATATACCTATATATAGATATCCAAGAATCGAAAAAACTATAGAACAGATCTCTCGCAATTACTACTTCCCGAATATATACCAAAAAATAAGAAACTACATCAGAAACTACGATATATACCAACGAGACAAGATACTAAGATAACTATCTCAAGGAGAAATACAAATCCCGGATATACTAACGCGACTATAGGAATAGGTAATCATAGACTTTATCACAAAACTACCTAAATCAGAAGGATACGATATAATTATAGTTATAGTCGATCGACTCACGAAATATATATATATAATTATAATAATAAAGAATATCGACGCGAATCATATAACGAATATATTACTTCGTTACGTTTTCACAAACCACAGAATACCGGACAAAATCACATCGGACCGAGACAAGTTATTTACATCTAATATATAGCAATCATTTACGGACTAAATAGGTATTAAGCATAGACTCTCTACCTTATATCATCTATAAATAAATAGATAGACTAAATAAATCAACCAGACACTAGAACAATACCTAAGATACCATATAAACTACTAGCAAAACAACTAGGTAGGATTATTACCAATCGCATAGTTCGTGTATAATAACACAATATATATAACCACGAAAGAAACACTATTCTTCGTAAACTATAGGTATAATCCTAAGTTAATCGGGGAACCACAGAATAAACATAATATAGCAGAATCAGCACGATTACTAGCTACCGGAGTTAAATAGCTTTATATATAAATAGCTCGGGATATCGAATTTCTGAATCTACGTATAAAGATATACTACGACTAACGCTATCGGGATAGCCCTAACTTAAAAAAGGGAGAGAAGATCTACTTCTTACGACGAAATATTAAAACTAAATAACCAAGCGACAAGCTCGACCACAAGAAACTAGGACTATTCACAATCGAAGAAAAGATAGGACTAGTTAACTACCGTCTAAAACTACCAGAAAGTATAAAAAGGATTTATTTAGTATTTTATATCTTATTACTCGAACCTATACCAAAGAACGCCGAACTCGCTATAAATATAGAAATCGAAGAAAAAACTAAAGATAAATACGAGGTCGAAGTAATCACGGATAACCGCTAATATAATAGTTAACAATAACTTCTTATAAAATAAAAAAGGTATCTTACCTTAAAAAATATATAAGAACCTATCGCGTACTTAAAAGGCTACTACCGGATAATTAAGTAGTACTACCTTACGGTAAAGAAGACGCTTTAGTAACGATAGCAGAGGAAGCGCCGGAACTAACACTATCCCAAAAAACTAAAGGGATCCGGACAATTTTATCCTATATTTAATCGAAATTCGGATTCTTAACAGTAGCCGCTAACTACTAGAGATTAAAAGCAGAAGGAGTAGCCTACTCTAAGAATATTTATTTTTTATCTAGAATCGCTAATAATTCTATATTATATTCAAATATCTTAAAACCCTTTTACTTTAAAAACGCTATCTACTTACGTAAGCGACGCTAACGACTTATCACCGCTTAATACCGCTTTTATTTATCTAATACCTATTAATATAGCACTACTAAGCGATCTTATAATTCGCTTAGCTCTAGCTCTAATAGATTTAGCTCCGACTTATTCTTCGCAATATCCGTAGAAACCTTAGACTCGACGCGAGAAAAAAGATCCTATTCCCAATCAGTGTAAAATTCCTACTTACACATACGACCCGCGCGGGTATATAATATATACTTAGAATAACGTCAGGAACGATCTATTATATAATCCTTACCTAGCTCAGCACAATAATCGTAAGGGACTAAGGACACGAAACCGTTTAAAACAATATATTCAGATTAACGAACACGACCGGCGATCTAGTCACGAAAGATAGGAAGCTTCGGAATACCTTCAAGAAAAGAGTCAGCCTTACATTTAGGTATAACGCAGAAAAATCAGAAAACAAAAAGAAAAAGCCATACCAACCTAAAGGGACTAACGCTTATAAAGGGCTTTAAGGACAAAAAGCCTAGGGGAGGGGGAGATAATATTACGATCCCTACAGTTACTAACTAATTAAGGGGACTCGACTTATAGATAGGCCACTAAGGGCCAACCAGCAGACAATCACGTGAGGTAAGACGCAGGAAACGACCGCCAATTAACTATTATAACGGCAACTACTCTTCGAGGCCTAGTAATTAAGGTATACACGTGACTTACCCTAGTAGAAGGGTAGGACGATCAACTAGTAGAACGCGCTAAGACGCATCTACTACTATACTATCTACTATTAATATCCATATAGAGGGCTAGGTATATAAGGAAGCTTGCTATATATATATCTAGTTCTTCGTGATCAATTGCACTATTGTTACTTGAGTACTAGTTCATAGTTCGACTATAAAGCTAAAAACCCTCAACGATCTTAGGAGCTTACTTAGTGATCCTTGATCCCTAAGTAACTGACTTGATCGGCGCCCTAACTGTTACACCTTGCAAGTACCCTAGAGACCCGAGTCTATCTAAGGCCCTACGCGGCATTGGTACGGTTGCGGATCATACTTGAGGCTCGCAGTATTCCAAGAGAAGTATCACCCTTTGAGGACCCTACTCACCGTAACCAGTTAGCGGTTCGTAACAACAGTCCCATTCGACCGAAGATTGAGATTGAGCATAGCGCCGAGATCTATCGGCTCGTTGTCCGCGTCTGTCGACGTCACCAGCGGCGCATCGAAACTCGGAAGTTTGAGATCAAAAGATGCCGACTGATCGTGGGATCTGGTGGTAGAGCTATAAAAGGGGTTCACGAGAAGCACAGTCTGGTGATCGAGAAACAACTTAATGCTGGTGACCTGGACCATCTGAACGGCACCTACGACCGGGAGATGGGAGTCTCGCGGTAAAGGGATAATCCTCAGTTCAATCGGGATCGGCTCTTTGGAATCCAGCTGGATGGCGCCGGGTAATGACAGCGCAAGGTCGAGTGCCAGTACGGGCACTCGCATAGAGCTGAAGACCCTCCGTGTCTGTTTTAGCAGCGAGGGCTTGACTTCAGACTGTCCCGGGAGGAGTCGGTAGCTCTGGATATACACGGGACGTGAGTGTCGCAGGAGCTCGGACGATAGAGCGAAAGCATTCGGCACCTGTCGAATCCGAATCGGGAAACTGGCTCTGTGATCCTTGTGGCACGAGCCCACGGTATATTGAAGCCGAGCTTGGAGAGCATATTCGATGACGGCTTGAGAGGCCGGAATACCCGGTATATTAGAATACATGACTCTGGGCGGAGGAGCCCCCCGATCATAAGAATAGAAAGATGGCGGTAGATCATGATCGCGGTAGGATTCCTGCGGAAGGAAAACTCCCTCCAGCCTCTTCCATGGCCGTGCAGGAGGGCTGAAGGGGATGGGAATGGAAAAGGGGTAGCTGAATGATTCGTTCTTTTCGCTGATGTCCAGCGGCCCCATGAAAATGATATCTTCGGCGCGCTCCACGAGATTCCATTTGCCAGTTTGGCTGAACTTGTTATTGGAGTATTCTTCGATTCCGGTGGACATTTCCCCTTCCAGCCACACTGTCAACGTCGCTTCTGGTGTGACCGTCGGCACATGGCGAATGAGGTGGCCAATGATGGTGTCGCCCGGGGCATATTCCCAGTCTGGGGGTGCAGCGACGTCGAATTTCAAATTTGATGAATCGTCCTCCAGATCCAGCATGGTGGTGGATTGTGAGACGCGGATTCGGATATTCAACCGTGGGGGGTTGCGGTCAGTTTATATGAGCCGCATGACGCAAACCTGCAGGGATGAACAAGCATCTTGAAACGGCCCCCACTCAGCCCCAGCCCTCATTGCCACCTTCGACCGCATCAGTCAAGTACGCCGTGTACTGCGTCTAATCGCGGACATGGAAAAAGCGAAGAGTATATTCCATCGAACGATCTGTCGCATCGATAAACAGCTCGCCATCTCTGATTTGAACTTCCACCCCACGATATCCCGAATTTCAGTATTTGCCAGAGTAGTGCTCGAGAGGTTTCTCCTGTGGCTGCGACGCAGAGTGTCTCTTTTGTCTGTCTGCCTTTCGACTCGGGTGCATTAGCGTTTGGCTTTTCCATCTCGCCTTGTCGCTGTTGCTTTTTTTATTCTTTTCCTTCTTCCCCATATCCTCTCCCCCTTGTTGAGCTGTTTGCACGGAATCCTTGTAAGGATTCATACTTGCTCCCTGTTCAGGCAGTGCGACTCCTAGAACCGAATCGATGAGCTTCCGGACCAAGACAGCCGAAACAGACCCTACTCCACCTGCGTTAACAAAAAAAAAAAAAAAAAACAGCACCGAGCTTGAGATCAGGGTTAAAGATGAAACGGCTCGCAAACCCAAGAATCACACCACTATGTTTGATAACCATATACCATCGATAGTAGTATACATGAGACCAGCGGCATATATGACTGGTGACATATACGGCTTTATTCTCGCAGGGTGTCGATAAGAAAAACTTCGCAGTCTAATGAGGCCTTGGTAGATTTTTTGGGTAATAGGTTCCTCTTGACGAATCAATGCTTCCGTTGAGTGGCCACTCGCTTACCGATTACGTTAATTAAGAAGCTCGTGAGCTAATATCGATAGTGAACTAAGCCTCTAAAGCTCAATTAGCTACTTCGGGAGTGGCTATTTAGCATACTTCGCAGGCCTCTCAACGAGCACTACCTAGTCTACTTAGTTTTAGGGGTCTACTACTTTAGGGTTTAGATTTAAAAGTGTAGTATTACTAAAAATAATCGCGAGTTATGTAAATTATACTACGATTAATATGTAAATTGTAAGCGATTTTGGTAGGACTTATATTATTTTCGAGAGTAAAAATAATAGCAACGCGAGTAGATTCTAATAATTTAGTATTTAGCCTACGATTTCCACTAATTTATATACCAAAATATCCTATATTCGTTATAGTAGACGGAAAAGAAAAAGGGGTTAGAATGTGGAATTCAACTAAATTAGGGTGATATCGGCAGACTTTTGGCACCCGTTATAACTAGATCATTAAGGGGTATATACGCGATATATGTCTTTATAGGGGGTTAATAGCTTCTAGCTTTGATTATTCGCCCTTGGTACTTCCGTTTATAAATTTCTTTTAAGGGTTAGGGCAACTATATTTGGCTGTAAATGTAAAATATTTATTGAGACTCCAGCGTGAATGCATCAATCGATTAGTTCCAGTTTTGCGTAAAAAGGTGTCGCATATTTGGTACCACTTTATTTACGACGCGTAAAACGGATTGTCGACCACAGTCATGTCGGCTGGACCTTTCACTATGATGCCATCTATCGTAAAAGGAAATCAAGGACTGATTGGAAAAGGAAGATCACCGGATTCACGATTTATTCTATTATTTGTAGGTTGGTATTTTACTTATATCACTGGATTGTGTAGGATAAACTACTTAAAGATTGGGGCAGGTTTAGACAGCAGGACTGAGAGGAGAACTTAATTGAATTGTTTTAGTTTGGTCCAGTGGTACTGAGACGGCCATACTGAGCCCAAGAACAGTATGGGCTGTCAGCCCTAATTAGCCTCCACTTCGAAGGAATGGTATTTGATGAACCAGAAGGAATATTAAAATAGCTGAGCGTAACTGAGGGTTTTTTTTTCTTTTTCTTTTTTATCAATGATAACACCGGAGGTTTAAAATCGTGTACGAGGCCCCTGTGTCTACCCTTCTCTTTTCTTTTGTATCTGCTTCCGGATTCGAGGTGAATTGTTATCGACTTTTCTCATTTGGTTCTCAGAATGAAATCTCTCCCCTACTTATTAGCACTTTTCGGGTGCATTCTTTTGGGTGTCATCGGGTCCCCAATATCAACGGATGCCAACATTCTCACGAAAAGAGGGCTCGAGGTGACCGATGGAAAAAAGATTGTGTTAGTCACAAAGACTGGCTCAAAGAAAGATATAGAAGCAGTCAGCGATCATGACAAGGAATGGATCGACAAGTATAAAGAGAAAATCAAAGGCAGAAACCTTCCGTACACCCCCGAGTGAGTTTGTTTATTATTCCGCAGGAGCCTTTGGTTATCTTAGATACTAATATCGTTTATGCCTATAGATACCAAGCATACTACGACTACTACCCGTTAGGTCAAGGAAAGGAGCCCACAACTGCAGCACAGGTTCGATTCTATCCGCCAAAGAACCAGGATAAACAACAGCAAGCAGTCATGAAAACAAAGCTTGATGCTGCAAAGACCGAATGGAAGAAGACGGACACATATAGGAAATTCAAGGAAGCACTGGATGAGCTCAGTACGGAGGTTGCCGTTTCAAAGATTCTCGGTCTAGGCTGTGGATCGTTAAACGCTATAAATCCTTTCTCTGAAGCAGCCGAAACAAGAAACCGGGAGCGATCCTATATTCAAACGGCTATTATGCTTACTATACAGGAGGATCTGAAGAGCGGTAAGCGAGTTCTTATTATTTAAAGGATGATAATTCAAAACAAAAGAAATACAAGACAGACCACTAACACCTAGTAGGCCCAACGCTAATTTTACAAGATCCGACCTACGGAGAGGCAGAGAGCGGTTTCTTGGCAAATTCCGCGTCGAAGGGCAATGTTCAAGTTATGAATGACCCTGATGGATTCGACGCGATTGATGACAAGACCATCGTATTCAATATTGGAGGTTACGAAGCTTTCTGGTACCGCATCGACAAGGGCCCAACGCCAGTCGCGATCATCACCGAAACTCTTGATACAACCATCGGAGACAAGGCTATGCTGAAACCGCAGTCGGACCTACTCAATAAATACGATAGCGACCCTAAGGAAGTGGCAGAGAAAGACGTTGTTGGCCTAGGTAGAAAACCAACAAAATTCTGGACGAGAGCGTGTAATTAGACATACTGATGGTGGTTATCTACACTAGAAGCTTGCTCGATAGATCTGCCTTATTTATTTGTCTCAGGGAGCACTAGGGGAAGCTGGGGAGAGCAGAACTCTGAGGAAGGGAGCAGCAGAGAGAGAGAATCAAATTATCTATCTGTAGCACCTGTCGGAAGGGAAGAAGAAGAGAAGCTATCTACTGCCACCGACAGGTGCGCTGCGGGCGGTCAGGTAGGCGGTGGAGAACTGCTGGCAGAACCCCAGTCCCAACCTTCGTATAAAGGTCCCGTAATAATAGCCCCCCCACTTTTTCCCCCACTTTTTTTTTCTATTTTTGTTTGTCATTTATTATCCTTATTTATTATTTGCTATTTATCCCTTTTATATTTAAATACGTGAACCATGCTTGGTTCAAACAAGTCGCCATCGACGTGCTCTTGCTGTCGCTAGCAGATAATGTATTAGTTACGTGTGGAAAGCAGCCTGTTGATTTCCCTGGTAAAGGGGGTGGGATGCCTGGCAGAACACAAAACAAGCCTAGAATGACGAAAGTGGATCACGGAGTGAAAGAGATTTGGTAGATGAAAGTCCACGGGTTTGGGTCCAAGTCTCTGACTGGGATGGTCTGGACACTGGCTATCTGGATCATGAGGGAGACACATTTAACCTGAAAAAAGTCATGGGTCGATAGATTGAACACTGTCGCATGTCTTATTGATTGTATGCATGATGTTCTGACCAAAACCACTCCAGTTTCGGGAAACTTGGCTGAAGCAGTTAACGTAAAATCATGCAATACCTAATTACAGCATATAGGCATACTTAAGAGAAGTAGCTGAGCCTAGGAAAATGGATTTATAAAAGTTGAAGAAAATTCTCTAGGCTTCTGTATAGTAGAAACTTGGACAAAAAGGAAGGAGTAGTGGCGAAGGCTCATAGGGTTTTAGTACGGAGACTTAGAGACATTCTGTTGGGAGCATACTTGGAGTTCAGGGAGAAACTTGGGAAGGGACACTAGAACAAATCCCTGAATCGCAAGGCTACTTCATATATACTTCCGAGATTCAAAACTGATAGATGATCCATGCACTCTCTTTGCACCGTCAACCCAGCCATCCAAAAAGAAGAAATTATATCAACCCTTCTATAACAAACTCCAATCTTCATTTGGCGAGCAGGTATCACGCCCTAGAATCACTGTAGCGGTGAGGAAGCCCCACACCGAACATGGCGTCATACCCCTGGAGGCTGAAGCATCATTCTCGACATCCGCTGAGAGTGACCTTGATATCGTCCACCATTATCACCAAGTCTATATCTTTCGCATTCTTTCCTCATACCATGAGTCCGCCGCGTGACCTGACTCAGCTTCATACGCATCTCTTCGAAGAGGGGCTCCAAGTTCGTCGTGAAGTGGTGGGAGACGCCTACGTGGACAGAGCTTTGGCGAACGGGTCGAGTGAATTTGCTCGCCCCGGTCAAGAGTTGATCACCGAATGGGCCTGGGGCAGTGTTTGGACTCGACCGGGTCTCGACAGAAAACAGCGAAGTCTTTTGAGTAGGGAATCTTGCAACTCCTAAATAGAGGTTTTACTGACCAGTCATCCTATCCTGTTAAGACTTGGGGATGTTGATTGCTCTTAAGGCATGGCCTGAATTAGCCATTCACACGCGAGGTGCTATCAATAATGGCTTGACCGAAAAGGAGATCAGTGAAGCGGTGCTTCAGGCAACTGTTTACTGTGGTGCTCCAGCTGGTGTGCAAGCCACGAAAATCACAGAGAGGGCAATCCAAGAGATGATCGAAGATGGAGAGTATAAAACAACCTCTAAATAGATGGTATACGTCATTGAGCAGGGATTTTATCTTGTTGGACATTTCACTCAGCTCCTCACCTTGAGCGAGCAGATCCGAAAAACAGATAGCTGCATGCGGGTACATCCAGCCGTTATTTCTAAGGGCCCATGCTTTTTCCTCCTAAAAAGTGAACCCGCTTAAATTCCCCTCTATGATAGTTTTCTCGGGAAGCGAACAACCCGTCAAAAATCGCATTATATACAGTATTTCTAGTCCAGTTTAATACACTATGCTCTTTTGGCGTTGATCAGCATAGTCGCAAGGTCGCTACCACGTCTTTGATGACGGCCACAGAGCAGGAGTCCTTTATCTATGTTCATCTGGTCACGAGATTTGAGCAATAACCATCTGGTATGCGGAATCAAATCATCTGATTATTTTGTACAACTAAGCTATACTGGTCAAAGGAAAGGAAGACTAAGCTGAGCCCTTCCAAATGACACCCAAGTATTGATATTTCATGACACAGTTTTCCACTTGGTATCCAGCAGTGAGAAGACAGATAGAATTGACGTAAGGACCTAGGTCATGCGTGAAGTCAACGCCAGAAACACTCTAGCCTTGAGAAGGTTGCAGATATAGGTAAATGGGCCCCTCTATCTTTCTTTTCCTTGATTTCATTCTTGCTTTGTTTTTAATCTAAATTACTTTATCGACAGCTTTTCTACGTACAATGCAAAGATATTTCAATTGGGTATCATTGCGGGCAGCCTAATAGGATAAATCATGAATCCCTCCCAAAAGGTCAATTTAGTGTAGATCTAAAAACGTGTTCACTGAGAATGAGAACCGGAGCTGCGGAGAGTCTGCTACAATATTGATCATGCTGGGAGTTTACACTATGCATTCGGCATATATTTTCACCCGAGACTCTCTTGATCCAGATAGAGGTTACATTCGGAAGGTTACTCCATCGCCTGCTGACTAGGCAAATTATGAGGGCTTCCGTGTGCTTTCCAAATCGGGGTGATACAGTGTAATAAATGACGATAACTTAGAAATGGTCACAGTCTGGTGTGGGAGGGAAATGGTACTGCAGCTTCGTGGCTGCATTAGTGTTAATACAAAATGAATTAAATGCGCTAACAGTCTCCCTGACGAACTTAGGATTATCTCCATGACCGAGCTTGCGAATTATCTAGGAATCAGATATCCTTAGCTAGTATTGCGCTATCTTTAAGCGGTCTTTCCTAATTCAAATATTTCGTCAAGTTTTATTCCTTTGAATTGTAGGGCTTGGATTGGAACTAGATGTCCCATCAATGCTGGACACCGAGGTCTTCTTCTTTCATGGCATTTAAACTGGGTCCTCCTGTCCCACACACATGATGGATCGTACCCCAAGAGGTAAAGACCCTGAATTGAATATGCCCACTTAAACTGGCATATCAGGCCACAGCAACGGCGGCAGCCCTGGCGAAGGACATGTTATAGTGACTGGCAATAGTTACACCTTGGTGGTCAGCTGCTCCATAGTGCAGTCATCATTAAGTGCAAATTAAAGCATATAAAAAATGCCATTGCCGCCTTTGGTATCTAGTCCTTCTTGAATCCAACCTCGTTCAATCGACAGAAGCCCACGCGCGAAACTCCAAGCGCAATGAAGGAACGCGCCATTCTGATAGTAATTCTATCTGCGCTTGGCATGATTGCTAATGCGCTCTCTGATCCAGAGGGTATGATCTCTCATACCAAAAGACAGGCGCCCAACAGACTAGTTTTTGCGCATTTCATGGTAAGCTCACTGCATTGTCATTCCCATCCAGGACAATAGTTAAAAGGTCTAGATTGGCATTGTCAGTAACAGAATTCGTGCTGCTGACTATGACGACGATATGAGACGTGCTAAGTCGCTTGGGATCGACGCCTTTGCATTGAATATCGGCGTGGACTCGTACACCGACCAACAATTGCAGTTGGCGTACGACTCTGCCGCAAACAACGGAATGAAAGTGTTCATTTCATTCGACTTTAACTGGTGGAACACTGGTCAAGCCAGTGCAATTGGCCAGAAAATTGCACAATATGCCAGCAAGCCTGCCCAACTCCTCGTCGACAACAAAATTTTTGTCTCGTCTTTCGCGGGAGACGGTCTTAATGTCGCCGCCATGCGGGCCGCGGTAGGAAGGCCAATTTTCTTTGCGCCCAACTTCCACCCGTCTTATAGCACGGATCTTTCCCCAGTCGATGGGCTCCTGAACTGGATGGCCTGGCCCAACAATGCCAATAACAAAGCTCCTACCCCGGGCCACAATGTTTCCGTAGTAGAGGGAGACCAGGAGTATGTCCGCGCTCTTGGAGGAAAGGCCTATATTGCGCGTGAGTATTCTCCTGCCGGCCCAATATGGCCGGCCCAATATGATTTCAATTTTTTTTTTTACGCTCACACTGTGATAGCCGTCTCTCCTTGGTTCTTTACCCACTTTGGATCAGAAGTGTCGTACAGCAAGAATTGGGTATTCCCATCGGATCTCTTATGGTACGACCGCTGGAAAGAGGTTCTTGGGCTGAAGCCTCGCTTCATTGAAATCGTCACATGGAACGACTACGGCGAGTCTCACTATATTGGCCCACTGAATTCTCCTCACACTGACGATGGCGCCTCGAAATGGGTGAATGATATGTGAGTCCTAGTGGCAATCACCGTCCCTAGGAATGCAAAGACTGAAATTGCTAGGCCTCACAATGGCTGGCTGGACATCTCCAAACCGTTCATATCTGCATTCAAAGCCGGGGCCACGTCGCCGAATGATTATATCACCTCGGATCAATTGATCTACTGGTATCGCCCTGCGCCTCGGAACACCAACTGTGACGCCACGGACACCTGCATGGTCCAAGCGAACAACGGCAGTGGAAACTACTTCATTGGTCGCCCCGATGGCTGGCAGTCAATGAAAGACTCTATTTTTTTGGTCTCATTGCTGACCTCCCCAGCAACAGTCCAAGTGAACACAGGAGGTAGTGCCTACGCCTATGAAGCGCCGGTGGGGGCGAGCTCTCGCGAAGTACCAATGAAGGTTGGAACACAGAGCTTTTCCGTCGTAAGAAATAACCGGACTGTTCTCTCTGGGACAAGTCTCAAACGAATTGTTGATGGGTGTGTCTGTGGTTTGTATAATTTCAACGCCTACGGTGGGCAGCTCCCTTGGCAATCTTTGCCATAATCTCGTTCTGATCATCGATAAATAGTTGGAAGTCTTCCCCCTGGGTTTAGCGACTCTCTTCTACCAGATGGGCTGTCTGCGTTCATGCAGGGCCTACGTGTTCAGACCTGTCAGCCTACTCCCTCACTTGGTACTGTGCCGCCATCAACTAGTACCACTTCGACGAGCACCACAACCCTTACACCCCCGACCAGCCCACCTACTACCACCCAATGTACGACGTCGGTGTCAACTACCACTTTTACATTGACATCCACAGTGACAGAGACATCTTCTTCCACCACCTGTACACCTAGCAACGGGGGCGGCGGCGCAGGCAATGTCTGCGTGGGTGGAAGAGGCTTCGAGAACCATATTGGTCTTTGTGATTTCTGCTGTCGTTATGGCTACTGTCCGTCTGGGCCTTGCACCTGTACTCAGTTGGGTGCCCCTGTTTCAACGCCCCCGGCCACGGGGGTGATTGGAAAGCCCCTCCCGGGTGAGGATGATTCCTATCTTGGATTGTGCAGCTTTGCCTGCAGTCATGGATACTGTCCACCGACGGCTTGTATGGTTGCTTGAACCATTTTTGTCGGAGTGGTGGGAAGCCTCTACACACACAATCGCAGTAGCTGCGCCTTCAACCAGTGGCACTGACCGTGAGTGTGAATGTACATCAATTGACCTTGGCAATGTTGCAATGCGCGGGCTCATTCCTCAGATTGGATATAACTCTTTGACTCACATATGGAACATCGATATTGGCTGTCCTCTCTCTTAGCCACCCACTACCTAAGTATGTTGATTTATGGCCTTGTTATTCTGAATAGCAAAGATATCTTCTCTATACATTTAGTAGCCATAGGTTCCAAACGCTCTAGCAGGCCTCTCCTAATGCGATACATTTTCATCTCTCGCAATCCTCTTGAGGCTTGTCTGATCCCTCCATCTCTAGAGACAGAAGACCCGCAATCGGTGATAGGCTAATAGAGGCAGGAATTAAAATGAAGAAGATTCTTACATTCTTACATTCTTGCTAGTCTGATGAAAGTCTTTTCCGGAACCGGGTTCCTGAAATCACCGCGCAAAGCGTGGCAATGATGTAGCCACCATGTCATGGCACGGCCCTTTTTACTCTGCACAGCGTCATTGTCTGTCCTCTGTGATTTTAAAAATGACTCGATACCACACATCTCGATCCCATTCCTTATTATTTGAAATGTTTCTCTCTATGGATTCTTTGCAATTCCGGCATCGCATGCACCAACGGGCGCGCAAGGGACAGCGACTCACGGACGAGGAGATTGGATTTATTACCAATAAGACTGCAGAGCTTGCCGGAGCCTCATCGGGTGAGTCTATTTCCCACACCTAGAGAGTTGATCAAGATATCTAAAGGCCGATAGACCAGAAGGACACACTCAATCCCAGCCAAGCGCGGTGGGCCGTAAAGGCTGAGCAGGTTCTCAGCAAACCCGCGGATGGAATTACCCAAAAAGACGCCCGGGAAATGGCATCGAAAGAGGTATGCTCGTCTGATCGGATGAACAGGAAATCATTCTGACCAGATCAGAGCCAAGCCTTCGAGATGCTGCCAGCCACCGGCTCTGTGGCGTCGCATGTACAGTCAGTGGCCGAAAGAAACCAGGGAAACACCTAAGGGAAATATCTCAGGCAAGTGCCTGCTTTCTTAACCAACCCTCGTTGGCGTTCATCCTTAGCACCGGTTAGGCGAATTTTCTGAGTGTCAGCGCGATGACCGAGGATATAACCATCCCTTATGTGTACGAAGGATCGATTGGTCGGATCAGAGAAGAAGAGTCAATAGAACACACGTCAGGTCTCTGCTATAGATAAACGTATCCTTAATAAGTGAAGCAGCGCGTTCGAATATTGTGTGGGGGTGTCCATTATGCTACCAACCAGTCGATCCAGAGCACGCACAATATATCTATAGGTCGACGACTCTTCATCGTAGGATATCGAGCAAGTATTCAACGCGAGGATTTGCAAATCCACATCTCTCTACTGCCCCGTCTGTAACATCCCAGGAGATCCCGGGCTACTTCCACGCGGCTGACTCAATGAAACCTTACCGGCCTCCAGGGCTGCTTGCTGGTGTATCCTCGCCTGGGTTGCAGATGATTTCTGACAGTGTCCATTCTCCAGTTCTTGAAAAAAAAAAAAAAAAAAAAAAAAAAAAGGAAGGATCTGCTTGAGGACTGGAGATGGAACTAGGAAAGGATGAAAAATCTCTGTAGGGCAGTCTTCGTGGTCCATGGATGGCTGGGGATCCAAGATGTCGCTGTACTTGGATCAGGCACCGCAAAGAGCCATGGTCAGGAGGAGACGGGAATAATCACGATAATAAAACTGATGAATTTGTGGCAGTTTTGTAACATGATAGAGGAGAGACAGAGAGAGAGAGAGAGAGAGAGAAAAAGCCAAGACGTGAGACAGCCAAACCAGAAAACTCCGCTCAGGCCCCCACGGCGTTTCTCCCCTTCCCAACTTCTCTTCTCTCTCTCCTTTCCCATACGTCATGTCCCCCCCGGCAACGATTGAGTGAAATTCTTGACTCTCTGCTTTCTCTTCTTCTGCTCTTTTTTCTTTTCTCTCCTCTCTCTTCTTTTTCCGGTCCACCATGGCTGGTGTCTGTGTATTACTGAATGGTTGATTGGCGATGCCCTGCGATTCTTCGCCCGATCTCCGCCTTCGCGGCTTCATCCAGCATGTCCATCGATGACAAGCCACCCCCGGGGTTTTGGGCAAGATGGACCGGTGAGTTCCTCGTTTTCCCCGTCTTCTACCCATAGCCGACCGTGTCACCTTCCGCTAATCGCTGCGACGATGCATCACAGGCTTTCTCGCCCCGTTTCTTGCACCCGTCCCCCATCGTCAATCCCGGGGCTGGCGTCCCGTGGCCCTGCGTCCGCCTTACCTGGTCGCTCTTGTCTGCCTCATGTTGACCATGTTGCTGTCCCTGGAAGGACTTCGACAATACAGCAATCGCAAAGGAGGACTGGTCTTTTTTCTCCGATACCGATGATATCTCCACGGCTCAGTCCTTTGCCTACAACTATGTGCCTATCATCGCTGCTCTCGTGCTTGTTATGATATGGACCGTCACCGATTTCGACGTGCTCCGCTTGGAGCCTTTCTTTCAACTGTCCGAGCCCAACGGTGCCCCAGCGACGGTTCTCTTCATCAACTACAACTTTGGCCAGACTATCCTGACCCCTATCAACGCCGCGCGCCGTCGCCATTGGGTGGTACTGTGGGTTTCCCTGATCACGTTGTCGATTCGCATGATTCTTCCAGCCTTGCAGAGTACAGTATTGGAATTACGCGAGGTAGCCGTCGTCAACCGCGGAACGATGCTCAGTTGGCCCACCTTGGTGAATCTGGATACACAGGCGACATGGATGTCTACTCAGGCTCACAGTACCGCTGACTCGGTGCTCTCGTCGAACCAGCAAGTACGTCGGTCCCGATCGGCTGACTATGCTGTAGCACCTGTGGACATTCCCTCCGATGATCAAGATGAGAGAACGATGTGGACACTCGATCAAACTGTGTACTGGGCAAAGATGTCGTGCAGCGATGTGCCCGTGGAGAACCAGCTCTCCGTCTCCATTGACCGACCGAGCGATGGACTCCCGACCGTTTCGTGGAATGCCAGTGGCATTGACTTGGAAGACGTGTACGGGGGGGCCTCCCAGTGTACCCTGAACTTCCACTATCAGAATGTCTTCTTTCCTTCCACGGACTACCTGCAAGTGCGTTATTGGGAGCCCGCGGTCACAGAGGCTGCCCGGTCCCGCTATCGGAACCAGACGCAGGCCTTTACCGCGACTGGCTGTGACCCGTTCGATGTCTACGGAATGCTTATTGCCGTCAATGCCACCACTCCCAATCCATCCTCTGCTGCCAATTACACGGCCTCGGGGATCGCCTTCGCCTGTGACATTGCCTATCACCAAGCGGATGCCAAGATATCCATGCATTCTAATAGTTCCATTACTTCCATCCACATTGACCGAGCTACCACCCGCACCCTGAGTGCCGCCGAGTTCAATCTCGAGCATTTCCAGGCTCTCCTTTCACAGCGTGCTCCATATACCAGTGACATGCTCTTTATCCGCGAGAACGCCACGACGGGCGGCCGTACAGTGACGGAACTTCCAGTCATCAGCCAGGAATTGGGGGATCTTGAGCCTCTCCTCGTACTGGACACCTCAACGGTTATGACCCAGGCTGAATTCGAGTCGAAAATTGAGCGAGACGTCAAGCAAACTTTCGTGCTCACGCTGGGTCGCCTCTTTGACCCCGACCGCGCGCCCACCATTGTCCCTGCGTCTCGTGTATCGAACCAAGTGGCCATTGCTGTCGTGCATTTTGCCTCACTCTGGTCCGAGTTGATTCTGATTTTGGCCACGCTGACCGCACTGTATCTGCTTTTCCTGTACCGGTCCCGCAAGACGTTTTTACAGAGCGACCCTGGCTCAATTGGTGCCATGTGCAGCATTGCTGCCGATGTCTTTCATCCGTCGAATATTCTGGCCGAGCCCCGTGTTGACTTCCATCAATTCTCTACGCGCCAACTCCGACGGGTTTTCCGAACTGCCCGGTGTTACTGGCGATCCGGCCCTTCGGGGAACCAACTAGAAATCCTGTCCGAGGATGGCTCCCCAGTCCAGCTAGACGAAGATCTACAAACTCGGGTGGACCCTATGCCGCATTTTCTCGTGATTCCGTTCTTTATCATTGAATTCCTCGCTCTCGCAGCTGTGATAATCCTCATGGGCTTGGTGATTTCTTCTCTCCTGCGAGATGGTCGATTCCGCCATCTCACCCAATCCGACTCGAGCGCATTCCAGGTTATCTTGTCTTTCTTGCCCTCCCTCGTGGCATCGTCTGTCAGCTCGTTGTGCACCTCCATCCATCGCAATCTCAGTGTCCTCGAACCTTGGGTTCACCTCCAGCGCGGAATGGCTTCGCCGCGTTCCTCGTTGTCCTTGAATTATTCCTCCCAGAGCCCATTGGCCATATTTTTCAAAGCGGCACGCGACCGGCACGTCCTGCTCGGCCTAGTGTCCCTGGCATGCGTCGTCAATATGATTTTGACTGTGGTAGCAGGTGGATTGTTCACACAGAAACTGACCACTTCGACTTTGCCGACGGAACGTTTGTCCATGAACTATAGTCAGTCAACATTCTGGCAGACTGACTTTGCAGCCGAGTTCACCGAATATGATCTGATCCAGACCAGCATCATGAGTGGAGTCCCCATGCTGTCTTGGACAAGTCCCGATCAATCCTTTGTTCCCGTCCATGTGGACGGTCACAGCCCCGACACCATGTATGGGGCATGGACTCTTGGCATTGGAGCATCTCTCAAGTGTAAGCCGCTATCGCCGGCTGGTGGCCTTGTTCGCAACAAGACCAGCGGGCAGGAGTATTGGAAGTATGGACTATTTAGCAACTCCTCTGTTCAGTGTACGGCTGGAATGCCAAATCTGCAGAACAAGGAAGGCATTGCACTTTCCATCCACTTCTTGTCGCCGACGAGTGTGCATCACTCGGACGTCTGTCAGACATCCACGGTTTTGGTGGTTGGCCGCTGGGACTACATGGCCGGTACCCCGGTCTCTAATGATAATACCATCGCTCTACACTGCGAGCCGCAAATTCGCATGCAGAATTACTCCGTCACCTTCGACCAAAAGGGTCAGATTGAAGAGCACCGTCCAGTTCCTCATACCTCAATCACCGAGGGAACTATGTACAAAAACGCCACCGTCAGCTTAGGGCAATTCAACAAAGTCTTTGCCGCCATTCCTCAGAGTTATGTTGGCAATACCACAACCCAGAATGGAACTTATAATATCTCGTCTTACGATTGGGCGGGGTTCCTTGTCGCCCGCCTCTATCAACGCGACGACCCTGATTTCGATTCACTCGACCCCCGCCGAATGACTGATCTCACACAGACGGTCTACCAATGGGTTTACAGCACCTATTTTTCTATTTGGCGTGATATCTATCTCAACCCTCTCACCCATCCGCTTCCCGCAGGCAACGCCACGGAGACTCGCAGCACCTGGTGCATGATCCCGTCTATCCCATCGCTTGCAATTGCCTTGATGATCATTGCATTTGATACCCTGGTGGTACTCGTTGTGTTTGGTACCCGGCGTGGCCGGTTTCGGGGTCCCAGAATGCCACGCTCTCTTGGAGCTATCGTTCCATGGGTGGCCCATAGTCGCATGCTTCGGGACTTTCATGGCACCCATACCTGGGATAGCACCAAGCGGCGCGCTCATCTTTTCTCCCTGGACAAACGATACGCTTTCCGTGAGTTTGTGAGTGCTGATGGCCGGTTACGCTTCGCGGTGGACGAAGAACCCTCTCCTACCTCGCAGCCTCCTCACCCCGAAGCTGGTAAGACCACGTCCATTCAGTTGCGGGAACTCCCGGGCCCGCGGCCTCCCTCTCAGGAGTAAGCATCTTGTGACACATGTGCTCTAGTGCCTGCTTCACGCAGCTGTATCGGGGGTTTTTTTTTTTTTTTACTTATATGTCTGTGCGCGATACCCTTCTCTTTTTGAATTTTAGTACGATCTTATCTGTATATATTTTGGTTATAGGTGTCATGGTGAGGCGCTATTGCATATAGAGTGATGCACCGGTGAGCTGGCCCTTTACCTCGTCCACTTGCATACGATCACCCTCGGGTGTACAACATGGGCGCTTCCTGGTTGTGTTAGGCACCATTCAGAGTGCTCTCCGGCGTTTTTTTGTTGTTGGTATGGGCGACGCCATCGGTTTTTTTTTTTTTTTTTTTTCTTTTTTGTATGTGACGGACCGGCCAAATTTCCAGCGTCTCAGAAAATTTGAAGATATATTGACCCGCAAGGTGTGATCTTTTATCACTGTCCACACCTGTATTGTTCTATCTGGTTATTTCGATATGATCTGTCTGCACATTTTCGTCCTTCGGCTCGATCTCACTCGTCAAAGTCACGTCGTGTCCACCGCGGGTCAACTTCCACAACTCGTCCGCCTTTTTGACGGGCGAGATGGTTTGATCCATGAACGCCAAGTTGACTGCCTCGAGACTAAACCCGGCGGTCTCGGGGTACAGAAAGTAGACCATCGGCACGAAAGCGAGATTGAACGCAGCAAAGATGATGTATGTCCGCCAGCCAATCTCATCGATCGCAATGGGAACAATCTCCATCACCACAAATGTGGAAAGCCACAGAAAGCCAGTTGTGAGACCGATCCCTTTGGAGCGGTGCGCTAGAGGCAAGATCTCAGGCCCATAACACTAGTCACCATCAGCTGGTGGACTTGGAATTCCAGCATAACAAAACACCTACCCAGATTCCATCCATGAAGCCCCAGGTGTAAAAGGCCTGGTAAGCGAATAACATCACCGCGGCCACAATTCCCGAGATATCGCCGCGAAAGCTGGTACACAAGGAGCCGACCAAACAACCGATGACGAAGAGAGCGGTCACCGTGCCCTCTATGGAGGAACTGAGGTGAAATGTATCCCTGAATGCGCTTGCCGTTAGAAGCCCGCCGATCACTTCGTCGTCATAGCCTGGAAGACTGTCAGTCAGCGCATCGGTTTGCATCTGGCAACCTGCTCCCACCGAAGATGACAAATGCCATTCCTGCTGAGCAGGTAATGGCAGCTAGAAGGCCTTTGCCAGGAAGCCTCAAATGCACCATGATGAGATCACCTCTGTCGCGATTCAAAGACTGGACCAAAGGAGAAATGGCCAGATGCCTCGAATCAACAAACAGCAAAGAATCCTCTGAAACGGCAAAGACCCTGGTTTATATACCAATCACTCGTGTTAGGATGTACCGTCTATGATGCCCACTACCTGGCAACAGAACAGAGCCATTGGTCTCCACTATCAAGCTTTCGTGGGGGCGATGGAAATCCTTGGAGTAACCTACGATCCTGCGCGGGGAGGCGTCTCCTGTTCTTCTGGACCCCGGAATGATTCCGGGCTATCCCTGTTGAGAGCCTAAACAAGTCTTTTTAACTCGATGCTCCCTGCGTGGGGTACGTTTACTTTATAGAGGGTGGGCGCGGTCGATCCTCAATCAACTGCTTGTTCGATTGGCCAACATTGCTATATAGATTTCTTCCCCCCATGATTTGTGGGAATTCTTCTGAGGCCAGCTGCAAGAAATCCCTGTTTACAACGCGGCTCGGAGACGGCCATCGACTGCGCGCAGAATAACATACAAGGTCTCCAAGAACGGGGCTGGGATTCCCAGCTCCCTAGATTTGGTTACCGGAAACCCAAGGATGACATCTATCTCCAAGGGCCGCCCGTTCTTACAATCGGTCTGCATACTGCTGCCGATGCCGGGCATTGCATTGATTTTCTCCATGAGCTGATCGATCAAATCGTCCCCCAGCGGAACTCCACATCCACGGGCAATATGAATGACCTCTTGCATGAGCTGACGAGTGAATGGCGTGGCGTCGTCGGAAGAGTGTAGCCAGGTCTGCGTGTCGACCATGGTCAGTGTGGTGAGCGAGTTCCACGCGACATTCCAAACGACTTTCTCCCATCGCTGCTGCTGCATATCATCGAGAATTTGGAACCGGGTCCGGCCGTTGTGGAGTAGGACTGTGAAAGTGTCAAGTCGTTGCTGCTCGACTGCTTTATCCAGAGAAGCGTTGGGAAATAGACCAATCTGCATATCTTCGGATTTGGTATGCTTGACGATACCAGGGCTGGTCTGCGTGGCTCCCACCCAGGTCTATCAGGGTCAGTATACGGCAACGCCGGCGACTTGAGGGTTTCGACTTACCACACAGGTTAAAATCGAACATCGGGGGAACTTGGCCCGGAATGGTTCTTCATTACCCACGCCATTCTGAATGATCACGATGGTGGTCCGACTAGAATCCACGACTGGTGCCAGCTGGGCCACCACTTGATCCTGATCAATGGCCTTGTGGGCGCATACGACATAATCCATGGGCGATGCGTCGGCGGGTGATTTGACCACTGCTCTTTGTCATTAGTGTGAGCTGGGAATCATCGAACGGTTCTACATGCCTCGATGCGGATGAAATGTCTGTTGGCCATGGTTCTCGCTGTTGATCGTAATTCCCTGGAGCCATGCCCATCAATGGGCCATCTCCTGCGATATATGTGAATTCTGGGAGTGCTTACATTGGCCCGTACAGCCTCATAGTTTGACCGTGCCACGACAGTCAACCGCACCCGGTCAGATCGAGTGAGAATAAAAGCATAGAAGGAGCCAATTCTTGGTGCGTAGTTAGCAATAGTAACCTGTATGAAAGGTGCCAGGTGAGGTGGTACTCACGCTCCCAAGCCGTACAAGAGAACATCAATCTGGCCGGACATGGTGTTTGTTGGAACTTGCCAGGTTGATGTATGCGACCGAGTAGTATATGAGCACCATTCCTTCTGGTGACCCCGCGTCGGGGCTTGGTGGGGATCGGCGTGTCGCCGAGTCGGGCGTGGGGGTTGGCCCGTCGCGGTGCAAGTCAGGTACCTATACTTCACTCCATGCGAGGTAGGAGTGCAATGTGCTAGTTCTGTATTCATCGTTAACATTATAGATTATAGGCAAATATCGAGTGGTGATTATATACTAATCGGTTTAATTGGTTTCAAATAGCGTGGGAATCATGTAGATAGAGTGGAGGTATATATATCGTAGGCATGAATGACAGCTATGTGACGGGCGGACGAGTTGCTCCTGCAAGGCCTGAAGGGCATGGAATTCAGAGCTAATGAATACGAAAACATAACTAGATATATATTTATATGTAAGAAAACCAGTAAATAGAAATTCGCTAATACTGTGTGCTGCTCGACATGTCGGCTTCATAACTTCACGCTCCCCACCAACTCCCTCTCCAGCCGACTCGCATTGACCATCTCCGGCTCCAGTTCACGGAGAGTGGTCGCCCCTAGAAAAACCATGTTGGATTCAATCTCCTGTCGCAACATCTGCAACATCCGATGCACGCCATCCTCGCCGTATCCGGCTGCCATGCTAAACAGAAAGGGTCGTCCGAGTCCAACCGCGGTAGCACCCAACGCGATGGCCTTGAGGACATCGGTTCCTCGGCGAATGCCTCCATCGATGAAGATTTGCATTCGACCGTCAATGAGGAAGGGAGCGAATTTGCGGATTTCCAATAAAGCCAGAAGCGGCGATTGGGCACTGGCTGAGTGTGAGCATAACATGGCCTGTGGAGGTCACATTGGTGACATACGTGTCTTGTGAACGGCCTCCGTGGTTGGAGAGTACTATGCCCTGTACGCCATGCTGGTACGCCAGCACCGCGTCCTCGACACACTGAATCCCCTTGATAACGACAGGGAGATCCGTCAGCTGTCGGAGCCATGAAAGGATGTCCCAGTCAATAAAAGGCGAGATGGAGCTGGCCATCGTCTTCGCCACGCCCTGGCCTTGCGAATTACCATCACCAGCCTGGATTTCAGTCAGCACCCGTCACTCGTGATCAAAGGCCTGACTCTTACCATGACGCTGAGATTCAATCGTTCGTCCATCTCTCGTTTCCCAACCACTGGCGAGTCCACGGTGATCCAAATGGCTTGAGCCCCAGCCTTTTGTGCTCGCCGAACCACCTCCACAGACTTGGTGATATTGCGGTTCACATATAGCTGTTGGAAGACAGGCTGGTTTAGTGAGACGCAACTTTGCATTACGCGCTCAATCGGTATGCTCGACCCATTTGCGAGTACTTGGACGAGTCCTTCTTTCCCAGCAGCTGCAGCCAGCGCACACTCGCCATCCGGGTGCGCAAGCTTAGCAATACCCACTGGAGAGATATACACGGGTAAGGTCGTCGAATGGCCGAGGATCGAGGTGCTTGTGTCGACCGGGGGGATCTTTCGCAGAATGCGAGGTCGCAGCGAGATCTTTCGATACGCCCGTGCATTATTTCGCTTACTGATTTCGTCATCGGCACCAGAGGAATAGTATGCCCAGGCATTGATGGGGAGGTATCGTTGGGCGATTTCTTCAAAGTCCTGCAGATTGATGAGGGTGCTCAGCGGTGGAGGACCATCTGGGGTTGGAGCAGGTCGCGCCTCGCTCACAGAGTCCATGCCCTCGGATGGTGCCAGCTCAGCCGCGTTGATAATTCCTCGTAACGCCGTCTCTGGCAGTGCCCCGGTCAGAAGGTCCGGCGAGTGAACTGAGTCAAATTCCTCAGTCGCGTCCTTCCCGGCGCAACGCAATATAACCTGAGCACCACCCGGATGTGAGTCGAGAAAGTCCGAGACTGGAATCAGCGGCCTTGAATCGCACGTCGATGAATGGGCACATACCGGTCACATCGTAGACGGCGCCGTGAATCGCGACCCAGCATGATTGCCGGGTGTTGTGCCGCTCAATCTCACTGCGAGTGACTGTCATTGTTGCGGAGATCTGTCTAACCAGGTCGCCTATGATGCAACTGGCAGAAATACAGTCTTGAAAAAGGCTTCAACGCGCTGGAATCTCCAAGGTGATCAGAATAGACCCCCGCAGGATATCGGAATTCGACCGAAGGGCGTGGGGGTTGCACTGCTCCCCACTGTACTTCCACGCCAAGTACAATTTCTCCATCTCTGAGACCGGCAGCAGATTGCGGGGATTCCGGGGGGAATATGGGGCGTCCAGGACGAGTCTGGGGGAGCTTATGGACGGTATATCTCGAGATATGTGAGTAGTGCATCCCCCCCCCCGGGGCCCATTCCCTCGACTTTGATTTCTTCTTCGATATCCAATTGATTTTCCATATCATGACAGAGACAGACACTCGTGATGGGGCTTCCAAGCCAGCAGCATTGCACTTTGAGGGCTCGGCCATTGCCACGGACACTGGCAAGATTCGCAATGGCGACGCGGCCTTGGCTTTATTCGATAACCTGGAGGAAATTCACGAGACATTTGAGCCCGGGGAAGAGAAGAGATTGGTCCGCAAGATTGACTGGATGATCCTGCCTTTCTTGTCGGTGTGTTATGCGTTCTACTATGTACGTCCTCGGCCAGTCCCTTCGGGAGATCATGGACTCATGGGCAGATCGATAAAACTACTCTTTCCTACGCCGCTATTTTCGGCATTGAGGAAGATTTGAATCTCTCCGGCACGGAATATTCGTGGCTTTCCAGCATCTTCTACTTTGGATTTCTGGTCTGGTCTCTTCCTACGAACCTGTTGATGCAGAGATTCCCCATCGGCAAATATCTTGGAGGGAACATCTTTCTCTGGGGGTTCTTCCTTATGCTGCAAGGTATTTAGACCCTTTCCTATACTTCTGGGCACCTTTTAACATGGGATCAGCGGTTGCGAAAAATTTCACGCATCTTGCCGTGCTTCGAATCATCTCTGGTGCAGCCGAGGCATGCAGGTTTGTACCCTGACAGGTGCTTGATCTCTCTGTAATTTGCTCATGCTTGAATCAGTGACCCTGCCTTTATGCTTGTAACGAGCATGTGGTACACCCGACGACAGCAACCCATTCGCATCGGCCTGTGGTACACTGCCAATGGATTTGGCATCGCAATCGGTGGACTGTTAGGATACGGGATTGGGCAAATCAAGGGGACATTATCCTCGTGGAAGTACGAATTCCTGATCATTGGTGCTCTCTGCGCGGTCTGGGGCATTGTGATCATGATCTTTCTGCCCGACTCCCCTGTCACGGCGTCTCGGTTGTCTTCCCGCGAGAAGCGGTTGGCTGTCGAGCGATTGCGAGACAACCAAACTGGCATTGAAAATAGAACCCTCAAGCCCCGACAGGTCCTCGAAGCCTTCCTAGACTGGAAAGTGTGGACGTTCTTCATGCTGGGTCTTTCAGGAAATATCCCCAACGGAGGCATTTCGAACTTTGGGACGCTCATTATCAAAGGCTTTGGCTTCACCACTCGTGAGTCAGCTCATTTTCCCCCAAGTCATTGTTTCTCTGGACTCACCGGCTGGCAGTGGGCACGACTCTAATGCAAATCCCTTATGGCGCATTGATTGCGGTCATGATTCTACTGAGTGTTTTCATCAATGACCGGCTTCCTCGAAACAACCGATGTGTTGTCGCGGTGGTATTCATCCTGCCAACCTTGGCCGGGTCGTTTGGGCTGCGCTTTGTGCCACAGTCCAACAAGGTCGGCCGGCTCATCTGTTACTATTTGACTGGCTCTTACAATGCCTCCTTTGTGATTATCCTTTCGATTCTCACCGGCAATATTGCGGGTCATACGAAGAAGGTCGTGACCAATGCAATGATCTTCCTCGGGGTTTGCACTGGCAACATTGCCGGGCCATTCTTTTACAAATCTGACCAGGCCCCGGGTTATTCCCTCGGTATCTGGTCGATGGTAGTGGCCAACTTCATCGAGATTGCGCTGATCCTTCTCCTGGGCGTCTGTCTTGCATGGGAAAACCGGCGCCGCGACCGAGCTCAAGACATTATCCCTGACGGAGAGAATGACTACGCGCGACAGATGGAGCTAGACCGTACAGCGTTCAGCGACTTGACCGACAAAGAAAACCTGAACTTCCGGTATCTCTACTGAGAATCGAATGCAGGCTCTGGCAGAACTAAAGTGTATATCTGAAGACCCAAAGTGAAAAGCCTTGAGTTGGTCAAATAGACACAAGATCTCTATCCGAAATCTTCTATCCTCCAGTAGCCCTCTGGCAATGACGATATCTCTCCCGTTGAGTAACCTGAATCCTTCTAGTGCTCCTCCCCGGGTCCCACAGAGTCCACTCGCGCCGATCTGGAGACAAATTCATCCACCAATGACAAAACATCACCCCAGAATCTCTCGAATTCACCTGGCGTGGGGGCAGATTTCTGCGCTCGCCTCGGTTTTCATCCCGGACTCTTGCCGAGTTCCCCGCGTGGGATCTGGCGATGTGGGGGGAGGAGACGTGACAGCAGTGTGAGAAGACACATATATGATGTGAGTGAACCCCATGGACTGGATGCAATTTGGTTTATTCCACGGTTGTGCGCAATTGTGCCAATCCTACCTCGTCATGGCCAAGATCAAGTCGATTGAGTACTTCCGGGTGAAACCCCGATGGCTGTTCGTTAAGGTCACCGATGAGGAGAACCAGATCGGCTGGGGCGAGGGCACACTCGAAGGGCATTCATTAGCCGTCGAAGGAGCATTGGACGAGATCATCGCACGGATTGTGGGCTATGAAGCGGAGTATGTATAATGCTTCTCTACATACGTCCCATTTCATTCACTGACCGCGGCAGTGATATCGAACATATCTGGCAAATGATATGGCGACTAGGGTTCTACCGCGGTGGACCGGTATTTATGTCTGCTCTAGCAGGAATCGATATCGCCTTGTGGGATCTCAAGGGTCGCCGACTAGGAGTCCCGGTGTGGCAGCTGCTGGGAGGCAAGGTGCGCAACAAGGTGCAAGTGTACGCCTGGATTGGGGGGGACCGACCAAGTGATGTGGAGGCAGCAGCGTAAGTCAACTCCCCTCTACGAGAGATTCCACGAGACACCAACAAGGCCTAACCTCCTCGTCACTACTAGCAAAACACGGATTGCCCAGCGTCTCAAGTGTATCAAAATGAATGCGACCGAGGATGTCAACTGGCTCGACTCACCGGCGGTTCTTCAATCCTGTGTTGAGCGGTTGAAGCAGGTCAAGGCTCTGGGGTTAGATGCTGGGTTGGACTTCCATGGCCGTCTACATCGACCCATGGCCAAACAGCTGACCCGGGCGTTGGAGCCATACCAGCCCTTGTTCATCGAAGAGCCATTATTGTGTGAGCATCCCGAGGCTATCAAACAGCTTTCTGAGATGACCAGCATCCCCATTGCGTTTGGCGAGCGTCTATATACTCGGTGGGACGTGAAACGCTTCTTGGAAGACGCATCAGTCGACGTGCTCCAGCCAGATATTGCGCACGCCGGAGGCATCTCGGAAACTAAGCGGATGGCCACTATGGCCGAGACCTACGACGTGGCGATCGCACCGCATTGCCCGCTGGGGCCCATTGCTCTAGCTGCATCACTGCAGGTGGCCGTGTCCACGCCTAACTTTGTGATTCAGGAGATGTCTTTGGGGATGCACTACAATGTGGAGGCTGGAGACATTGATCTCAACAGCTACCTGGTCGACAAGACGGTCTTTGACATCGCCGAGGGCTATGTGGCGGCGCCAACGAAGCCCGGGCTGGGAATCGAGATGGATGAAGAGCTGGTGCGGCGCATCAGTCGAGAGACGGCACCGTGGCCACCCAAGGAATTCTACGGGCCCGATGGATCAATTCGGGAGTGGTGATTGGAGATGGAAGAGATGGGTGCTACTTTGTAGTATGTTCGTCTTGTTCATCTTGTTCTTCTCCGATGTGGCAATCCGTAGCTCAGGGCAAAGATGCCGTGTACAGAAACAAAGCTGAGACACGATCGGTAATCATCAGACGCAAAGGATTCTAGGATAGATCCACTTGATGCGGAGATAGCGTGGGGGTTTAGAGCGACAGAGGAATATAAATGCCATGATGTCCCCATCGGGGGGGCCACATGTACCAGAACTAGCAGATATCGAGTCATGGATCTTTTCTCTCTTGCAGGCAGAACCGCCCTGGTCACAGGCGGCACCCGTGGCATCGGTCAGGCTATGGCCTTTGCACTGGCTGAAGCGGGCGCGGACATCGTCCTCGTCCAGGTACGTTGTCTGTGACCGGACGGGGCAAAAGATATACTGACAAAATGTTCAGCGAGACACGAGCAATCAAAGCACAAAAGAAAAGATTGAGGAACTCGGTCGGAAAGCCACCATCTATACTGCCGACCTTGCTTCGCAAGCCTCGGTTTCCTCGCTTGTCCTAACCGTTATCCATGACGGCCACGATGTTGACATCCTCTTGAATTGTGCAGGGATTCAGCGGCGACACCCAAGCCTCCTTTTTCCACAAGAAGACTGGGATGAGGTAGGTGCTTCTTCGATATTTTCGAGGTTTGATGATTAGGTTCCACGTCAACTCATGGATTGTCGTAGGTTCTACAAGTCAATTTGACCACTGTGTTTACGCTGTGTCGTGATATTGGAGCACACATGCTCACGCGTAGCCCTAACTGGTCGGGCCAGCGCGGCAGCATCATCAACGTTGCCTCGCTCGTCTCGTTCCAGGGTGGACTGACGGTGCCAGCATACGCTGCGGCCAAAGGCGGCGTGGCCCAACTCACCAAGGCCTTATCCAACGAATGGGCCTCCAAAGGAATCAACGTCAATGCCATTGCCCCGGGATACGTGGCGACCGACATGAACACGGCGTTGCTCCAAGACCAAGATCGCGCCGCAAGTATTTTGGCGCGGATTCCTGCAGGGCGATGGGGGAATCCGGACGACTTCAAGGGGTCGGTAGTGTATCTGGCTAGCCGAGCAAGTGCGTATGTGAGCGGCGAAGTGTTGACGGTGGATGGCGGGTGGATGGGGCGATGAGCTGCAATTTTGGACGGTTGGAATAGATTGAATCTCACCGTGTCACTGTTGACTCTCCATTCTTTTCCATCCTTCCGTGAGGTGTTTCTTTCTTTTTTTCTTGCATCTCTCTCCTCAATTGGAGAAGCCCACGAGCGCCCGACCCGCTCGGTCCATAGCGGCTTGCAAGATCCACCGACTAGTGCGATTCGACTGTCGATCGCTGATGGACATATGTTTGGCCGAGTGCCTTGGCTGTTGGCGCCAATGTTGAAAGGACTCGAGGGAACTTGAGATGGGGCCAGAGATCAACACACGCACATCCAGCATCCATCGATGTTTTTCCCAGCAACGGTGTGACACGCAGTTGCTCGGAGGTGGGATCAGGCCATTCCGCAAATGCGAGCCGACACGGCTCGAGATTGACTCGTTGTTCTTCTATCAATATAGCCTTGCAAGCCTGCAAGGGGCGCCGATCTCTTGATGATCTCTTGCGCCCGCTCCGCTCGGCACGCGTGAAGCTCCACATCGGGCAGTTGTGATATATCGCAATTCACCAACCGGGGGTGTTGGTTGCATGCACCAATGCAGACAAGGCAAAGTCGATGGAGCTATAAAAGAGTCCTGTCCCACCGAGGCCTGTCCCGAGGGAGGTCTTTTTTTTCTTTCTTTCCTCATGCGAAGTGGTAATCAATCGCACTTGATTCACCATGGTCTTGAGACTCGCCTTCTTGTCCGCCTTTCTTTCCCTGCTGGCCGTGGCCGTTGCGGCCATCCCTAAGACCGACTACGACGTTATCATCGTCGGCGGTGGCCCGGCCGGCCTCAGTGCCCTGAGTGGTGTCTCTCGTGTCCGCAGAACGGCGCTGCTGTTTGACAGCCGGGAGTACCGCAATGCTCCCACCCGGGAAATGCATGATGTGATCGGCAACGACGGTAAGATCGATCTTGCGGTGCATCAACGCGCCGAACGCAATCCGAACTGATCCTTTGTTTTTATCTTCTTTTCAGGCACTCCACCCGCCGAGTTTCGCGCGCTGGCCCAAAAGCAAATCTCTGAATACCCGACCGCTCACATCAAGAATGGCACCGTCAAGTCGATCACTCCGACCGGCGATGGCAACATCACTACCTTCTCTGTGACCGATAAGGAGGGCAAGAAATACACTGCTCGGAAGATTGTGCTCGGCACGGGCCTCAAGGATGTGCTGCCCGCCACGCCCGGTCTGAAGGAAGCCTGGGGCAAGGGAATCTTCTGGTGCCCATGGTGTGATGGCTATGAGCACCGTGACCAGCCCTTCGGCATTATCGGTGACCTGGCGGATGCGCTCGGCAGTGTCCTGGAGACCAACACACAATTTTCGGACATTATTGCTTTTGTCAACGGCACCCAGACGCCACAGGGCGAGGCCAAGGCAACTTCCCAGCATGAAGGCTGGGAGGAGCAGCTCAAGGCGTGGAACGTCAAGATCGAGAACCGTACCATTTCCTCAATCGAGCGCATCCAGGACGGGAGCACCCACCGCAATGCCTCGGGTCAGTACGATAAGTTCCGCGTGCACTTCACCCACGGCAAGCCAGTCGAGCGCAACGCGTTCATCGTGAACTTCCCATCCGTCCAGCGCTCAGATCTGCCAGAGAAGCTGGGCCTGACCGTCAGCGACGAGAAGGTTAAGGTGACCAGCGACGACCAGCGCACCAACAAGAAGGGTGTCTGGGCCATCGGTGACGCCAACAGTGACGGCAGCACCAACGTGCCGCACGCCATGTTCAGTGGCAAGAAGGCCGCTGTGTATCTTCACGGTAAGAATTGTTCCTGGCTGCGCATCGTCCCTCGTTCTCCCGCATGTCTAATAGAGTAATTACAGTGGAAATTTCTCGCGAGGACTCCCAGTCTAAGATCTCCAAGCGAAGCGGCTCGCTCTCCCGTCGTGAGCTCGAGAGGGAGGCTGTCGATGCCATTGGCGACAACCTGGAGTCGCAGTGGAAGCGCATTCAGCCAAAGAACTAACTGCCTCCAGAAGGGAGGTCACGGGCGATGTTGCCCTAATTTTCAATCTCGGGGTTTTCTAGTGAATGGCATGCGATGTTGCAATGCTCAAAATGATAATAAACACTCATGAACTGTTGACCATTGGACGATCGGGGCGTCCCTGTACCCAGCGTAGATACTGAAGACGGGCCTTTCGAGGTGATTCCTCGGACGTGCTCCATGTACATCGCCATCCACGCCATCCCTTCCGGGTTTTCCGGGCTTTCCCCATTGTTCGGCTTTGATAGACAACACAGCCCGATGATCATCAAGTCATCGGTTTGGATCGGCACATTTGTCCTTTCGCCGATGCCGAGCAACCGAGTGAAACCGCAGGGTCCTCGATGTGTTTGGGGGAGGGGGGGATCATTTTCTCAACCATATGGTTGACCATATGGCATTCAATTCGTGGATTGTCTTTGTACGTGATTCCCACGATTCGGTATCTCTCTTGCGCAATGACGAGGCATTTCTCTAAGTGTGAACGGCAGTGGAAAACAGCCGAGCCTGACCACGGTTCTACCTCGCCGAGAGCAAATGCTCATGGGCTGACCACACTTGCCCTCGGACATGTCGCCTAAAACGGCCATCTAACGGGGATCGGCGTTCGATCGTCGATCGGCACCGTTCTTCACGGCATTCGTGAACCTCTCTCTCTCTCTCTCTCTCTCGAACTACTCCCAGGGTTCATTCAAGGGGTCTTCCCCTCGTGAGCTCATCCCCACTCCACCTCGAGCCTCCACTTGTTCCAGTGCTTGAGGGTCGTTTCATACACCTCATGTGGAAATCATCGACAAAGGGAACTCAAAATGCACGTTGTTCTCCTGTTCCTGGGCCCCGGTCGATGTCCGAACCAACGTGGTCCAGGGCTGACCCTTCCCATCCAGGCATCTGATCCACACATCTTCGATTGGAGTTGACCCTCAGCGGTGGATGATTCCAACTTGCAAGACGTTTCTCCAATGACGAGATCTGATGATCGCACCAACCTCGGCAGAGTCCGGTCAAGGCACGTCGACGAGATGGCCCACCATGCGAAGATAAGGTGCGACGAGGTGGAGATGAAAGTATACCGGGCAAATCTCTTGCAGGCCTGGATTCTCCAAGACTCCCAGATCTGCGCCGACCGTCCTCAGCCGATGAGATATAAAACCCCCCCCTCTGATTCCCATCTGTTCTCTCCATCTCATCAAGGAAACCACAAGGATCCTGTGACCAAGGCACTCTTCTTCCATACTTCTTCCTTCTTCTCTCGTTCCACACACTCTTTCCTTATTCACAATGAAGGCCTCGATTGCTGCCATTGCCCTCACTCTCTCGGGCTCGGTGATGGGTGCTCCCTTCGCGGGCTTCCGCAAGCCCAACGGCACCTATCCTTCCCCCCGTCTGGTTTCTCGATCCCCCCTCGGGTGCCGACGGGAACTCCGGTCTTCAGCTCTGAGCCCGTGTCCCTGACTCCTGGCGCAAGTATCGGTATCACGAAGCGCGGAGAGTCTCTCTCGGTCCCCACGGATCTCCCGTCGCTGGAATCTGATGCTCAGTCGGTGGCAGCAGCTCTGGCTTCTGCCGGCGCCCAGAAGCGCGACGATGGCCTCTCGGTTCCCACCGACCTTCCGTCTTTCGTGTCGGATGCCCAGTCGGTTGCCGCCGCTCTGGCTTCGGCCGGCGCCCAGAAGCGAGCCAAGCCTCCTTCAATCCCTACCAATCTTCCCTCGTTCTTGTCCGATGCCCAGTCCATTGCCGCGGCCTTTACTTCCAGCACCCCTAGTGGTCTTCGCAAGCGTGGCCACTCTCAGCCGGTTGCCACTCATTCAAGCACCCCTACGGGCATTCCCGCGCGGGCTCCCAGCTCTAGCTCGCCCGTACCCTTTGGCACCTCTTCCATCCACCCCAGATCTTCTTCCCGTCTGCCTCTCCCGACTCCCACCGGCCTTCCGTCATTCAGCTTCCCGTTTGCTTAGGCTCAGATTGGCACACCCATCTATGCGACCACCGGAATTCGTGTGTGATAAGCAAGCATAAGACGCTAGTATGAGAGTGATCTCGTCGAGGATCGATTATAGATCAGTTTTTCTCTATTGTTGATGGACAGTTGGGAGATTGTATGATGTATCATAGAATGCGATGTTTTGTTAAATGATCTTGAGGCTGGGACTTGGGTAAGAATACCTTTGATTTTTTCGCTTCGTAGACATAGTCGGTTATCAGTTCATTTTAACCGCTTTTTTGTATCCGCCCGAGTAAGTGACCGTTTCCCTGGGGGTGGTCCTGGGTGAAATGCCTCCAATGAAAAGGTGCAATCTGCATCCACGCTTTGAAAATGAAGACTTGACTGCTAGCAGTCATTCGGCACCTAACATGAGAGGTTGGGTTATTGACAAGCCGAATTTCCAGTGCGCAAAACTACAGTGCACGCGAAGCTGTGGTATATAGAGGGTATGAGGCGAAAAAGCGATTTTCAGGGATGGCGCAGTCTACGTTAAGGTAGAAAAAACTCAGGACAGACCGAAGAATCACAAAGTATGTGACTTGATAATATTCAAATTATACCGATCATACGTCCTGGAAGCGCTTCATTGGCCCATATCGAGACGTGAAGGCGCGTAATGACTTGCCCCAAAAGAACAATGGGATGGCGCATAGAATACTCACCACCTGGATCGCTGTCATCTCGCCAAAGACGGCTGCTGGCCCTTGGCGTGCGATCCAGTCTGCTGCATACAGCGAGAGGAGCATGCCGATTGTGTTGCGGATGACGAAAATAATCACGAGAGCCTCACCCGTCACCTATTTCAAGATCAGTCACCCAGAGATCCAAGAACCTATCTCGCTTCTAATCGACAAGACCTACCGGCTTATATGAGTCCAACGAATATGTCACGGCCACATTAGAAATGGCTGCTACTCCGAATGCCTGCATAGCATACCCAACCGCAGGACCGATCCAGTGCGTCTGATGGGCGACACAGAGTCCGAAAATTAAGATACCCGCCGGGCCGATCGTGCCCGGGATAATAATCGCAGGCAACCGATACTCGGGCATCCGAACACCGCCGTGGCGGATAGTGCTGCGCGTGGAGATGATGTCGATGAGGCGGCCGCCGAGGTAGAATGCAAGGACCGATCCAATGAAGCCAGCTAGCGATAGCAGGCCCAGGCTTCCCAGCTTCCAGTTATAGGGAGGCTTGGTGAAGGTGCGAGAAGAGGTCAATTGGACCACAATGTTCCTGCGTCTGTTAGCGAAGAACCTCGTTCCCAGTAACGACGGACCAACCATCCCACAGAAATCCCAATGGCAAGCGAGCACCAAATCAAGGGTGGATATGAAGCATTGAACAGGATATCCAAAAACGCCTGTACGAACGAGGCATCCTTATTATAACCAGCAGTCAGCGACATCCACTGCCATTGTGATCGTTTCGTCCCTGGTGACGATCGTGCTTGGTGGCGCTGGACGTATGAGGTCTCTCGAATCGTAAAGACCGCAGTCACGCAAACCACCCCAACCGCAATAGCGAGGAAATAGCACATCCAGCGCCAGTTCTGTTCTTGGACCAGGTACGCATTGATCAGCGGGCCCACAAACAAACCCGCGGTCATGGCCAAGTGGAAAAACATCATGTAGTGGCCGCGATCCTGCGGAGCGACCATATCCGCGACTACAGCCGGCACCGTGGCATCGGCGGCAGCGGCGGCAAATCCGGAGAGGATCCGAGATGCAAGTAGCTCCCCATAGCTGGTGGCCTGGCTGGACCACACATTCATCATGCAGAGTGCCAACATGGCCACCAAATAAACTGGGCGCTTGCCAATCACGCGCATCAGAGGGACCCAGAAGATGTTTCCCACGCCAAAGAGGAAAACATTGAAGCAGACGAGTTCGCCTGCTTGGGTCTGGCTGACATGGAATTCGCGGATCATGGCCTGCGTTGCGACCGTGAAGTTGCTCGAATTGACATTGGCCAAGAAGGTGAACGAGCAGATGGTTAGATACGTGAACAGTTTAGCCGTGAGCGACCAATTCTAAGACCTCATGTCAGCAGTGCCAGCATCGAAGAACGGAAAATAGCGTTACCTGAGGGTGGTTGACATCTTGATGTTCGACCACCTTCGAGTCCTGGGGGGCGCATTGTTTATCGGCCCCGGCCATGGTCTCCAGATGACTGGATGTGGTATAGAAATGAGGCTCTGGTTTGGTGTCGGTCATGCTGGGAATGGGCTCGGATCATATAAGGGAAACGAACCAGTTGATCTGGGGGGCAGGGCTGATTCTTCAAATAATCCTCATGGGCTGGCTTCCCCACAATGCTAATATGGGGAAACCATGCACATATCCACTCTGCAAGCAACCAGAGGCATTGCCAGAGATGAAGGGGTGAGTGGTGGACAGGGGGAAACCCCCGATAGTCGGTAATTCAGAGGAGAGTGATTGCTCTGGACATGTTCATAGCGTGTCTTTGCGCAATTAATTCTCTGGCCCACTTGGACTGGGAGCGTCGATCTGCGCTCGGGATTCCCGGTCCTCGGTCGACATGGAGAGATGAGTTGTCTGATGATGTCTGCTGATGATGGCATTGTCCATGCGGGGGATGTCTTTCGTAGAAATATTCTTTTCTCCTTCTCCTGTGTCTTCTTTGTTTTGTGTTGGTCTTGGGAGACGGCTCAGCGTCCGCAAGAGTGCGGGAAACTGGTCGCATGCCCCCTCCACGTACTATTTTTGAGGATGTTGGCTGTGTTGATGAATCTGGAGATAGAAAAAAAAATTATCATATTCTGATTCAAAAGACATGCGAATGGCAGCATTGAAAAACATGGATGGGCGGAAATAACCCACAAGGTGTCCGGGGAAGCGGACAGAACTCCGACTGAAGATACTACTTCTTCCTTCGCTTCAGAGCTCCCTTCTATGCTTCCCACAACCCACCCCTCCACCATTCCAACATCCAAGATGGGTCTCATCAGTCGCCTGTTCAAGGTGACTGCCGCCGGCAGTGTCGCCTCGGTCGGCGTCTTCTTCGGAGCCACGCGCAATGACATCTTCGAGCCTCTGGACACCTCCGATCACATCTTCCACTCCAAGTTCTTCCACAAGTACAACCCAAATCGCAACCCCACAGTCCATGACCTCTGCGTCCGCCGCATTCCTCTGGACAAGATTGACCCTGCGCTCCTCGAGAAGAAGGGCAAGTTGGTCGAGGCATTCTGTGCCGGTGTTTGGGGTGGCATGGGTGAGATTGACGCGCCCCTCTCCGAATCGCCGGTGATTCACTCTCTAACTTTTTTTTTTTTGATGCTGGCAGGCTATATCCCTCAGCGCGCCTTTCTGTCCCGCAAGTACGAGGGGCCGGACACCGCCACTCACCTCTGGAAACGATCGGATCTCCTCTCCAATAACTACGAGGTGGGCACCCTCATCACCGACCACTTTGAGGTCATCGAGAAGACCGAGGACCGTATTACCGTCCGCTGTGGAGATTCCCCCCGTATCCGCGAAGTCCGAGAGTCCGACGGTCTGTTCGAAATGGCGGCGGTCGTCAAGGAGGATGAGGGCATTGCCGAATTTAGCCTCAAGAGCTGCTTCTACCAAGGACTCGGCAAGTCCGAGTCTGAACCCATGCCTCCGACAATTCTCTGGTTGCATCAACAATACACGAAGCTGCTGCTGGAGACTGCGGTGTTGAAGAAATGCATCAAGTGAAATGCCCCGGTGGGGCAGGGTGCCGTTCCGATCAAAGAATTACCATGATGTCTGCAATGGATTGTGTTTGTATGCCGTCCGTTTCGTGGGGAGAGGTCTTGTATCAACAAGTATTTCGCAAGCTCAAGTGTATATATCCCAGGCTTTTGAACCGCCCCATTCAAGCTCTTTGCGTCGATTACCTTTGAACATCACTTTTACCGCTCTTGCATCTGGTGCCATTCTGTTTCATGTCACTTTGTGACCCACGCCAGCCGAGCATGGCGCTATATCCAGCAGCATCCAGAACAATGGCGTCTCGGTCTTACCTTCTTGTCCTCTCCTATTTTACTCCCTTGGCAAATGCTAGTATATAAAGTGATGACTGGTATGCTGTTTTCCGAATTTGATGCATGCGCACCAGAGCAATTCTTGTACATGCTGGGTATATACGTCCAGGTCGCGCTATGTACGCGATCCAATGCAGAATGCCGCGTTTATTGAATCAATGGTTTCCTCCCGACACTCGATCATTATATTATGCCTTGGTCACTTCAGACCGAGGCTTTTCCTCCGAATCCTCCGGATCTTTCCCCTCCGAGGGATCTGGGTCGCTGGTCAGAGTGACTGCCAGGACGGTCGGAATGGCGATGACCAGTGATCCCATGCACAATGCCCAGTCCATGGTGAACTGGGTCATGGCAGGCTTCTCGAGAGCGTTGATCCGCCATGCCATCGCTCCCCCGGCGCTTTGGAAGGTTTTGTATGCGCCCACCAGGATGGCCGTAACGGCCGGGGTGTTGGACCGGGCTCCCACGAGCCAGTAGCAGAAAGACTGCCAGAACGCATCGTAGGCGCCGTAGAAAATGTAGAGGAACATCGGCCCAACCGAGGTATGACCGTCACTGTAATCAACGTTCTGCTTAATGCCCTGCGCGAGGCGATGGCTGGACCATTTCTGAAATGCATAACCACCGCCCCAGATGGCCATGCCCGTCACAAACAGAAAAAGCCATGCAATGCGAGCTCGGATGCGCCGGTCGAGTCCAGGCATATCAAGGATGAGGCCAATGAGGAGGCCGCCGAACATCTGCGCGATCCAATACAGCGCGCCATTGAGCGAGCGCGTGCGGATATCAAAGGTCAGGCCGTTGACCACATTTTGCTGATACGAATAAAAGACATTCGCCGAGAAGAACAATGGCAACAAGCACAGCACACGCCAGTCAGAAATGGTGCGCAGCGAGAGACGCATCGTCTGTCGCCAGTTCTTCTCGCTTTCGGGCGTTGTCAGCAGCTGGGGGGCTCGCACAGCCGATGGAGAGCAGATGAGCAGTCCCAGCAGCCATCCAATTGCCATGAGGATGAGGAGGGCAATGTATGTTCCATTCGACACCGTCCCACTTTTCGAGTGGAAGTTGAAACCAAAGCTAGCCAGAGACCCGACACCACCACCGAGATTGAAGATGATCCAGAAGATTGCGATTGCGCGCCCTTTTTGTGACTCGGAGACGTAGGTGGTCATGATGGCTCCTTGCGCCACCCAGATGAAGGATGTCCCCACACCGAGAATTGCACCCGACACAATTACAAAGGTACCGTTGCTCGTGACTATGGTGATTCAGATATGATCAGTGTCTCCCCATGCTATGCCCCATGCCGGGGTCGTCTGACATACAGTTGAAGCACAGAAGACTACCAGAGTATAAAGGGTATGTCCATCCTCCGAGCAAAAGACACGCCCGTGGACCAACACGGTCGAAAATCGGCCCAACCACAAACAGAGCGGTCGCGGCTGTCGCTGCGAGCATCGCAACTGCCGCATTGGCTGCCACCGTCTGGTCAACCTGCCCAGCACCGCCGAGGCCGGTGAGGGCATTGTACATCTATCAGACCGAGTTAGTTCCCAGCTCCTCCCCAGGACCAAAAAAACAAAACTTACCCCTGGGCAACAGAAACAGATGAAACTGATCAACAGGATTTGTCCCCAGCGGTGCGTATATAGATGGTACATAATAGAACGGTTACCATGCTGGCCACCGTTGGACATGGCATCCACTTCATCCTCGACTCTTGCTTCCTGAGACATTGATGGCTTGACTTCACATCAGAAGTATCGATGAACGATTGTGATGTTCTCTCCTGCCGAGACTTGTGTTTTCCTGGACGATGCTCTCATCCCTCCATTCCAACCAAGCGCCGTGGCATTCATGGCATCCATAGTGGAGCAAAGCCATTCGACTGGTATGTGCTCGATGAACGCTTCAACCACAGGGCTTCCACGAAGCTAATACTTTCCAATGGCGAATCTTGCCAGAGCTCCTTCTTTTGACTCCTTTACTGGGGTAGAGATGCTCCACGGGGGAGCCTCAACCGTGGCTTGAAAGTTACCCACAGGGGGCCAGCACCATAAAACGGAGCACTTGGAACCATTGGTGGATCAACAATACGGGTCAATGAGCTCTGGCTCTCAAGACGTGGCAGCTCACCACCGAGATCTGACGAGTTGGCCCCCGGTCTACTGCCGCAATTTCGAGTATGGAAATCGCTGCAACCGGAGAACTTGAGGTCGTCAACGTCATAATAATGAAAATTGAAATAATTATCATGCATTGATTAAAATGAAGTTAAACAAAAACATAGATATCACAGTCGCTCCGGTATATACACCTTGACACCCCCCGTACGTCAAATCTCATTCACGTTGGCTATGCGGCTTTGGGAACTGCTTCGATGACCGACTCCATGCCTGGACTCGGACTCCAGATGCCAGTGACTTCCAACCCTACGCTATGGAGGAGATCTCTCCACTGGCGCTCGGATCGTTCCACACCCGCCCCAATGCTCATCATTTGGATATCCAAGGACGCCTGCAACAGGGGGTGTTAACATCCGGCAAGACAAAGTCGACAATGAGAATTCGGGAATGGTTTGGGGCCATGGCAGACATCGTGTTGCGCAGGATTTTCTGGCAAATGTGGTCGGGCCAGTCGTGGAAAATAGCCCGGAAGTAGTATGCTCGCGCGCCTTGGACGGGCTGGGGGTCCAGGAAACTATATCCCATGACTTCGATGCCCTCGTGCCCCGAGACTCCTTCCACGACTTTAGGCAGGTCTTGTAAGACGACCTTGCCGGGAAGATGGCTGTATTTCTGTCTGAATCGCTTGAGATCGTGGCCATGGTTGCCCCCGATATCTACCAAGAAGACCGAGTCCGTACACGGGGTACCTTGACCGAGCAGTCTCTCGACGGGATAGAAATCATACCACACGGGCCGGCCCTCACGACGGCTGGCCATGTATGAGTTGAAGAGAGCCTGGTGTTTTTTGTTGCTTGCAAGCCACTCAAACTGGCTCTGCCCAACCGCCCATTGCATAGGGGAACGAGCATATTCCTCTGGGTTGAGGTAGTCATGCGTGCGGAGATACTCTGGCAACTTACTCAAGGTTGGAACCGTGAGATCGTATCTACATGCGGGAGTCAGCATTTCGACCAGAATTAGGTAAAAGGAACGAGGAAAGGGGTGTTGACGTACATGCAAGGAACCCCATCACGACCGATGGGTTGAGTGAGCGCCACGGTCTTGTCATTGGCATGATACATCTCGGGCGCAGGCATCGAGCAGAGCCCGAGAGAAGCCATGACGCGCATCAAACGAACTGAAGCCGTACAAGTGAGCTAAGAACCCTAGAACAATTGATGCATGACCAGAGGGCAAACCCTACCGATCAAATCTTCATCTGCCCCCGTATATGCAGCCAGTTGCGTGGCGGAAACCCCGTCCTTGTGTGGCTTCTCCAGCAACAGCTGAAAGATGCCCAAGTCAATGACAGTACGCAGGGCTGCATTCTGAGGAGGCTGTGATCCAGTCAGCCCAGGTCAGACCAGCAAGCCTCTCATGCACCTCGTGGCACACTGTACCTGGTAGATCAGCCGCAGCACTGTCTCTGTCGGCGTTTCTACGGCCAACTTAAGCTGGTCGATCATCTGCAGCAATTCAAAGTGGGACTGTGGAGAAGGGTCCGAGGCCTCTTGCTGGGCCATTTGGCCCAATCGATGGGTCAAAGCATACAGGGGACTGGTGACGGTCATGATGGGAGAGATGATGGTGTTTGAGTCGTACAGGCAAGGATGACGGAAGTCATTCTGGTTGGACTTTGACCATTTTATAGCAGGTTTCTGGCCCCTCCAGTCTTCTGGCCCCCACGATCATCGGGTTAATGCGAATAGTGTTCTGTGGATGGTGTTTGGACCCGGAGTCGTGGATATATGGTCCCCGAAAGCAGTCCTATAGAAACCTAGCCTGCGAGGATGTGATTCCTTCGACTCCACTTGGACGAGGTGTGAACAACTCAAACATGTCAACGACACCCGCTGACACACAATTGCAATGTGCCAAACGCACCGTAGAAGTTGCTTGCATCGGGTACCACCACCATTGAGGTTCGGCCCACTTTATTGCCTTCAATCCCCCCTGAAGATGATCGGCTACGAAAGCAGTAGGAGGGGGCCAATTCCAGATGTTTGCTTCATTGGCTGATATTGGTCGGAATATTGGGGGATTCGAAGCAGGAGTAAGAAACCTTGAGAAATATCCAAATATTGGAAGATACGCCACGAAGTATATATAAGATGGGCCGAGGGCTTGGAAGTCACCTCGGTTCATCTCACAGCCCCCCCCCCCCCCCCCCCCCTTTTTTTTGTTTCTTGGACAATGCATTCACTTCCCAGTCCACCCACCTCGGTGTCCGACTCGCGCTGGAAACCAGCTATCGCAACCGTCAGCCTGGGTACCGCGTCACTACATCCCATCACGGCCAAAATTGATGCTGCTTCTCGAAACGGTCAACAGGGACTGGAGTTATTCCATGATGATCTCGCAGAGTTGGCCAAAGCCTTGCGTTCCCAGGCTCATCGCTCGACGACTCGCTCCGATCGCGAGTATGAACGAGATGCGGCTCATGTCATTCGGGATCTCTGTGCCGAGAGAGACTTGCGTATCCTTGCGCTCCAACCTTTCCGTCATTACGAAGGCTTGATAGACCCCAATCACCACAAGGAGCGGCTCGATGAACTCCAGCACTGGGTTGAGCTGGCGCAAATCTTGGGCAACTCGCTTTTCATTCTGATTCCGTCCTCTTTTCTGGACCCCTCGGAAATCACAGGCAACCGAGACCGGATTGTGGCGGACTTGGCCCAAGCAGCCGATCTGGCATTCCCCGTGCGTATTGCCTACGAGGCCCTGGCTTGGGGAACATATATCAATACCTGGGAAGATTCTTGGGACATTGTGCGGCGGGCCAACCGGCCGAATCTAGGCATCTGCCTGGATACCTTCAACATTGCGGCCCGGTTGTGGGCCGATCCCATCAGCCCAACCGGGCGTTTGCCAGCCAAAGCCGACCAGGATCTGCAGGCATCGATGGATCGACTCGTCCGGGAAATCGACCCGGACCGAGTGATGATGATCCAGCTGGCCGACGGCGAGCGAGTCGACCCCCGGTCCCCCTTTCTTTACACACCAGGTCTTCCCACGTTGCTGACTTGGTCGAGGAATGCCCGGTTGTTTCCGTGTGAGGAGGAGCGAGGGGGCTACCTTCCAATCCGCGAGGTGGCAGACGCCTGTCTCAATGGTCTTGCCTACACCGGTTGGGTTAGCATGGAAGTGTTCTCGCGAACCACCGGAGAAGATGACCCCCAGGTTCCCAGTGAGCATGCCGCTCGAGCCAATCGATCCTGGCACCGGATCTTGGAATTCTTGGAAGGGAAGCCAGAGGTGAAGCTGATTACTTAGGGCTTTTGCTCGAATGGGGCCTCTCTCTGGATGTCTTTTTTTCTCTTGGTATTTTTCATGATTGATTTCTAGCCAGCATGCTTTGATTGAATATAATGATTTATCTTCCTTTCTTTTTTTTTTTTTACGTCTTTCTTCTGCTCAAAAGAAAAAAAAAAAAAAAAAGGTGTTCGCAGGAAGTTTGAATCTTGCATCCTTCAAACAACCAGCCTGTAGCTGGCCGACCAAAACATTAGTAGGGCCCATGCCGCGTTCCCGATGGCGTGTGGATGCGATCCGTGCCATAGGTCTCCGGTTTAGGGGCTGCCGGAGTAGGGGACATGAGGGTTTCTAGAAAGACGGTGGATCTATCACATATCGATGTCCGGAACTGTCCGACCTTTTGTGTGAGGCACCGGGACGATCCTGTGGCGTTCCGTCTAGAAATACCCAACTTCGTTCGAGCGAATTTCCAAACCAAGAACAAGGCTGCAATGATCGACATGTCGAGCCCCGATCGGACGGTCTAGTACTCTGAATGCGAGAGATCGCCGCAGGGATGCTGCAGGGCCGTTGCCCGGTCCATCTCCGATCTCAATGAGCACTAGAAATAGGACAGAATTCCGATTCTCCCGCGGATCCCCTTGCCCGGGGAATCGGGACGATGCAGACCCACACCCATACGAAGGGTGCGTTGGGATTTCCAAAATGCCGAAACACTTGCATCGCAGCGTTTCCCGGAACTCGGTGTGGTCAGTGTTGCGTTTTCTTTTTTCTACCCACGCTCAATTCTCCTGGTCATTGAGGGTGTGTGCCAGACGATACTTGATTGAAGCAAGACCAAGAGGCTGTCTTTTGCCGTGAGTCTGCAATATGAGCTAAACTATACCGTCCTTCGGCATGTCTCAGAAAACCCTAGTCCCAAGGAATGTCCAACGAACCCTTGGTTTTTGCGAGTGTGTAGTCGTACTTTTCTCCGTTCACAGTCTGATTGATGACTCTATTAGCTCATTACCGGTATGCATCCAACCTAAACCGGAGCGTTATTGTAACGGTTTCGTCGGCAGAGGAGGTAGGCCTATTCTAATCAAACTTACACTCGGCCAGTTGTTTGCTCGAATATGTTCCGGCAAGCTCTGAAAGAGTGGATTCCAGGCTATCCCAACGGGATTCGAATCTCAACGGACGCCGATGTGTCTCGGGGACTTCTGTCGTGTACCCGGTAGCCACCAACGCCAGATGCGATTGAGATTTACCTCTAGAAATCGATTGCATAAAACAAGACTCATCATTTGGATGGCTTCTGGCAAGCATCAATTCCCCAGGGATTTGACCCGTCTGTTTAAGGGCCTTTGTTTGCCCCTGCACTGTGTTTTCATTCAGAATTGACATGTATTTATGCTGGGTGTGTTTGTGTAAGGCTGTTCCCGTGGAGTATATCGCTTCGATCCGAAGCCAAGTTTACAGCACACAGTCCCTTTTCATGGCTCAGAAGAGGCAAAAACGCTTCTCTTAATTGTAGCAGTCGCTCTGTCAATGCGGAAGACCGGTACGCTCCCGGGTCCCCGATTGCAGTGGGCTTGCAAAACACGGTCAAGAGGTCAACTCTGGTCGGATACATGTCAGTTCCTCGAGCTTAAATACTTTGGCTCTGGGTTTTATCTCCACCGAACAGATTTGGAGTTATTTGATCATCTTCCCAACTCCTTGAGAGCCAACATTCACCATGGGTATTCGACAAGGCGACCACACGGCCTCTTCGAGTGCCCCCGACCCATTGATCCGAAAGTTTGGGCGGCTTGATATTCTCGATGATCTCATTCGACTTCGTGCCGCAGATGCCGTTCAACCCCCGATTCTCGCCTATCCCAGTTCAGACCACGATGCTGCGTCCTATGAGTACTATACCGGACAGGATCTGGATGATATGATCGATTCAGTTGTCGCCATGCTCATGGATATTGGGTTCTCTCCAGTGAGTTTCTAAATTGTCTTAGCTCAGGCCATTCTAACCAGGATACAGCCAAAGGCAAACAGCCCCGTTGTGGCGCTCCTTACCCCGTCAGACCTCAGTATGGTCATCACACTCTTTGCTCTCAGTCGATTAGGTTATACGGTCATGATGCTCTCTCCACGGCTCGCGGGAGAAGCATGTGTCTCTCTACTTGAGAAGGTGGGCTGCGATACTATCATTTATGGAAATACCCCGAGCATTCGTTCGATAGTTGGGGATATTATCCAGCGAAAACTAGTCACTTGCCGTCCGACGTTTACCAAAGACTCCCTGCAAAACAAAGATGAAACTCGGGTGATGATTTTGCGTCAGCGTCGCGATTCACAAGCTCGGAACAAGGTCGCTCTCATTCTTCATTCATCGGGGTCTACAGGTACCCCTAAACCGCTCTTCCTCACCCACAAGGCGTTGATGACCCACCCTCTCAGAGGCCCCGGGCTTACTTCTTTCAACCCCCTTCCGTGGTATCATCTTCACGGGCTTTCGACCGCATTGCAGGCGATGTGGATGAGAAAAACTGCTTTTATGTGGAGTGCCGCACTACCATTGACCGCCGAATCTGTGGTCGCCGCTCTTGAAGCGGCGTGCCCCCAATCTGTGGCCGCGGTTCCATATATGTTGCAGCTGCTAGTGGATCAACCACGCGGAATCGCAGCTCTACGACGGTGTCATTTGGTTACTTACGGAGGGGCACCATGCCCAGACGAGCTAGGGGATCGCCTCGTAGTGGAAGGTGTGCATTTTGGCGGCTCCTTTGGCCTGTGAGTCCTTTGACCCTCTTCGTTTTCGGGGGTTTCTTGATTTTAATAGTCGAATACTGATATTCGGTGAAGCACCGAGGCTGGTCTTGTCGCAGAATCTGTTTCTCGGCCCAAGGGTGATCCTTACTGGAATTATCTGCGGTTCTTCGACAACATTCGGCCGTATATCTGGATGAAACCCATCGGCGAGTCACTCTATGAGTGCGTTTACCTAGCAGGGCATCCCGCCTTGACCACGTCCAACTCGAACGAGCCGTTGGGGTCATTCCACTCAAAGGACGTCTTTATGCCACATCCCACTATTCCAGGCCGGTGGAAATATGCGTCTCGGCTCGACGACCGGATCACTCTCGTGAACGGGGAGAAGGTGCTGCCGCTTCCCATTGAAGGCCATATCAAGCAACATCCTCTGATCCATGAAGCGGTGGTCGTGGGGTTGGGGAAGGCTATTCCGGGACTTCTCATCCTTCGAGCGCCCGAAGCTGCACATCTCCCAGACGATGAGTATTTCGCCAGGGTTTGGCCAACAGTCAGTGATGCCAACTCTCGAGCTGAGCAATTCTCCCAGATTGCCCGCGATATGGTGGCCCTGCTACCTCATGACTCCTACTTCCCCCGAACAGATAAAGGGTCGATGATCCGGGCACGGGTGTACCAGCACTATGCAGGACTGATCAACGGCCTCTATCGCAGAGCGGACCGCGGGGGCGAGTTGCAACTAAGTCTCCTGGACACCCGGTTTACCCTTTTACAGCTTTGTCGGGAAGAACTTGGGATCTTTATCTCGGGCGTCGACGCTAGTTTCTTCACCGAGGGTGTCGACAGCCTCAAAGCAATTCATCTTCGACGCCTCATCTTGCGACAATTCAAATTCGATAGTGGCCAATATCTAAGCCAAAACGTAGTTTTTGAAACAGGCAGCATATCCCAGTTGGCAAAGGTTATCTGTGCTGTGCAGCAAGGGGAGAACGTCGTCAAAACAGAGAGTGACTTTTCTGTGATGGTGAGGCTCATCCACAAGTACTCGTTATTCAGGAGGCATATTCCTCGACGAGCAATCGCATCGAATATGAATAGCGTAGTAAGTATACCCTATCGATCACCCACTTGTCACCATTCTCACAAATGAAGATTCTGACAGGAGCTACCGGGTTTATTGGCGCACATACCTTGTTTGAGCTCCTCCACGATCGCTCTATTTCGACTGTCTTTTGCCTCACCCGACGAGAATCACCGTTAGAGGCGGTCATTCATGCTCTAGCGGAAAAAGACCTGCATATTTCTCTCGAGCAGGCTTCCAAGATAACCGCGCTCACGAGTGGTCTTGACCAACCGGAGTTTGGTCTCGAGGACGATATACTCCGGCAAATGCGACATTCAGTGACCAAAATTATCCATATTGCATGGCCTGTTCATTTCAACCTGCCCTTGGGCCAATTTGAATCGCACATCAAGGGACTATACAATCTCATCCAGTTCTCCCTGTCTGTGCAACGACCAGAACCTGCGGTCTTGATGTTTTGTTCTTCTATCTCCACGGTTCTTGCTGCATCATCATCTAAGATTCACGAAACCCCCACACCGGATCTTACAAGCGCTTTGGACATGGGCTATGGGAGATCAAAGCTTGTCGGCGAGCGAATCGTCAGTCTTGCACGCCAGTCAGGAGCGAGGACACACTCACTGCGAATTGGGCAAGTCTCAGGCCACTCCAAGAAAGGCCTCTGGAACGACACCGAGGCTCTACCGCTGATGATCCGATCCGCGCTGATCCTCCGGACACTGCCTGACCTGCCCGAGACATGCTCCTGGCTACCAGTGGACAAACTGGCCGCAACGATCGCAGAACTCGCCACTGTCTGCTCGATGACCTGCCGAGAATACGGCAAGATGGAGGCATCGAGCTCGGCAGCAGTGGCGTACGAGGATGACTCTATCTATAATGTCTGCAATTCGCGCAAGTTTGCATGGTCGTCTTTGCTTGCGTCGCTTAAGCGCAGTGGATTTCAGTTTGACGCCGTTCCATTTGAGAAGTGGCTTCAGATGCTGCGAGAGAGCGAGGCTCGAGGCGAGGAACACGTTAACCCAGCTGTCAAACTGATTGATCATTACGATGCCATGTACAGCAGCAAATCATCGCTGGCCAGGGGTGCTCCAAAGACATTTGTCACAGAGAAAGCGGAGAGAGACAGCGTGACGTTGCGAAATGACCACTCGAGGATTATTGAGGACGGAATCTTAAGTTGCTACGTTCGTGCCTGGCTGACTCGATGGACAAGGGTGTAAGATGGGGTTATAGACATGGAAAACTGATGATCTCGGGAGTACAATGGTTTCTCGGTATAAGCAACGGAGTATAGGGATAGACGGTGACTCAAAGATAATAAACTAACTGATACTTTCCAATCCAACCTTGTATTAATCTCTAACATGAGCATGCGTGGATTGATCGTGGTCATAAAGTACCTAAGCTACCTATTCATTCAACACTTGGGCAAGTGGGATCACTTAAGAATAAGAAACTTCCCATCTCGACTCGTACACCTCCACTGGCACTCTATCAACGCCTACTGTACACGCGAAACCAAGACAAATAAGAGAAAACAAACGAAACCACCAAGCCACACGTATTGAGTCATTTTGATGATGAAATCAACGTCTATGCCATTAGTTCAGCACAGATGGCAGCGAGAATAGCCAAGAAAGACCCCGAGAGCTTGCTGGCACCGCCCGTGAAAACTGAGCTAGTGCCAGACGGCGAGGTACTTGGGGTGTGGCTGCGAGAGGGCGTAGCCGAACCGGTGGGAGGGTGGATAAGAGGCTTCGAGGCCTGCGAGGCCATCAAAGATGGCAGTCTGGGGGAGTCAGGGGCAACAGTGCCGGGAACAGAGCTCGACGCACCAGCGGCAGCGCTCGACAAAACTTGGTTGACAGCTGGGGTGTCTGCGACAGATTCCGCGTCATTCCCTTTTGGTGGGCCTTGTGAAACTGCATCGGCAGAAGCGTCCATCTCAGTAGGGTCGCCGTTTGTCTTGTGGGCATTAGGAGTGACAGCCGGAGCAGCCACGGTTTGATCGACATGTGTTGCTGGCTTCGGCTGCTCAACGGACACTGCAGAACCTTGGCTTGAGGAAGGGTCTGTTGGGACATCAGGTGCGGCCGATGGCGCCATCTTGTCACTTGCGGGTTGCTCAGTCACGCGGGGAGGTGGATCAGAAGTCGAGATAGTCGGAGCATCAACGGCGTAGGCGAGACTTTGAGACACGGAGCACATGGTCTTGGTCGAAGTGACATAGTTGGTAACATAGCGAGTTTTAGTGCTCTTCACGGGCAGACTTTCAGCCGAAATTGGATGGGAGTGCTCAGTGGTTGTGTCCTGGACAGGTGCTTCAGATGTCGAGATCACAGGGTTTGGAGCGGGACTTGAGTGAGAGCTGACGGGCAAATCTGTCAATGTGGCAGATGGGGTTTCCTGGCTGGAGATACTGGCCACGGAGTGTACAGACGAGGGAGCTTCGCTAGCATGTGTCTCCACTGCGGTCTCGGTCGCCTCGTGGGTTGCAGAACGGTGAGGACCAGGTGTGCCAGATCCATTGTCTTTCACGCCAGTCTGGTAGATCTTGACTGAGTTGATCTCCCAGTATGACTGCTCGAAATCGCCCGGATTTTTGGCGACATGATTGATACAGCTCTGGAATGAATCTGAGCCGGACATAGGGCAGCCCGATTCATGGAACACGCCACCGGCCCAGTCACCGCAGAAAGTCACATCGAAAGTGAAAGACTGAGGCTTGAAGCTGTTGGCGACATCACACGAGTCCTGCACGAGTGCCATGGGAGTACCGAACTCGGTAACGTCGGGTTTACCCGTGGAAAGCGACTTAGGAATGGAGCGGCGGGGGAAGAACCAGATCTTCAGAAATTCATCGGTCCATTGCATGGCATACACTCCACCTCCCTGACGGTTGAAGGAGTTGCCATAGCTGCCCTTGTCACCCTTGATCACACAGCCAACCGGCCCCAGGTCCTCGCCGCAGCCGGTGGCATTGACAGTACCACTCATGCCCTTATCCTCGATCTTGCATGTCCCAGAGGTGTGCATAACAATCTCGTTGTGGTCGTGCAAGTTGACACCCTCGATGATATCAATCTCGCCATCGCCGGGCCATTCCTTGCCGACAGACCAGAAGGCGGGCCAGCTACCGCAGGCAGCACCGGGCATGTGGGCAATGTCAGCCACCACCAGCGACTTGTCGTAGTACTTCTTGCTGCCGATGCGCACCGAGTCACGTCCCTTCCCACTGGGTGTGAGGGTGGTGTTGTGGTCAACGCCCAAATAAACACTGCCACTTTCCTTCACCTTGAAAAGACCAGCACTTTCCGCGCTATGGCGGTCAAGGTAGTTGACATAGCCATTGGTGGGATCTGACCCCGTATGGAAGTTGAAGTAGTCGAGAAAATGGTCCCCTTGCCACGTCTCCACCAGCTCATAGTCCGCCTTGCTTGTTGAACGAGCTAGTGACGGATGGGCAGCTGCAGAAGACGCCAGCAGGGAGAGGGCCAGCGATCCAGCGCTCAGCGAAAGGGGAGAAGACATCTTGAGAAATGGATCAAAAGCAAGACCTGTTGCCTGTCCAGAGAGAAAGAGTGGGATTGAAGCAGATATGAGGGAAAGGAGTCAATGAGAGACAAGCAATGCCGGATTGCTAGCAAGGAGAAAGGAATGTGCGGATGGCCGAGAAAGAGCGAAGCACTGCGACGCCACGGTAAATGGTATTTAGTCTCGAGCCCAGCCGCGTGTCTCTTGTTGTTCTCCGGTCGAGGCCTTGAGGCAAATGAAGGAGCTTTTAGGCTCCATTGATGCCTCCACCAGTGAGAACGCTCGTCTCTGTTGCCCCTAGGCTTTTCGCATTGGATACAATAGAGCATCCCGTGGCTGGAATTGGCTGTGTCGCATAGCAGAGGCTCAGTGGCGTTCTAGCCCAGGGCAGGAATCCACCGAAGCGAGTGATCGTCCATTCTTCAGCATTGTGAGACCGGACAAAGGATCCACTGGTCGCTTGCACGGCGGCTACATGGCGCTGGTGGTCAACCTGAAACAGGGTCATAGTACACGGGAGAAGCCCACATCATAGTGAAACAGAGTAATCCTGGCCCTGAACGAGGATGATACGGGAGAGAGGAAGATGAAAGAACAAAGGATGCATCACATCGTTTCTTCATGATATTTGGCTCTGACATTTGTCTCACATTCCTTGTGTATGGGGAATGAGCGATCGGCATAAAAATTGTCGCGCTTCATTAATCCCCTATCATGTTTCTCCAGTTTTGTACTCTCAGGATCAGGGGAAACCTTACTCCTAGCATCTCTCCTGGCTCAGGATATGGGATTTCGAAATAAGGGCCCTCCAGGCAACTGCGATAAAATTAGACATGTCTAAGAAGTGAAAGAATGCTATGAATTGCTATGATGTCATAGCTATCTAGTCGATTCATAATGAAAGATGTCTCTGGTGAAATTAATTATGGACATGTCGATATAACTCAAAAAATAGGATTCCGATATTTTATTCCATAATAGATGGAAGGGAATAGATCGGTGGTTTGAAGAACAAGCTATCGAAGCAGCCATCTATATATCCTGGGGCTGTGATAAGGTAAGTAGTAGAACCCTCTTCTATACGCTCCCTCACACTTTTGGGTCTAGTAACCATTAATGCTTTGTATTACAATATAAGAACATGTAGTCACCTAATAGCTCGAGGTAAAGAAGCAAATATTATGGAGAAAATGGAGAAGAGACTCTCGATAAAAGGATTATTAAAGAGAGTAGTTAAGAATTCTTATAAAGAACCATCCTGATCCCCAAGCCCGAAGGTGCGTAGAGCAACAGCTACACCAAGTAATGCAAAATCACCCTTACTGTCAGCTCCCGTCTTCAGGCCCCCATTCCTTCTTCAGCTTTGATGTGTCTATGCACCGAGGCTCCATGCTAGGCGGACTCTGATCAATGTTGGATATGGCAATCTATCAGGACCGGAGGCAACGCACCTCCTAAAATACCTTGAAAGAGTTGAATCCGAAGGAAGTCTTGTAAGCATTTAGTACATATTTAAGGTGGGGATTGGGGCGGAGGATTGGGATCTAGTTTATGCATTGCAATGACTTTGCAGCCCCTAAAATGGGCCAATTTCTATTATAACCACTACCTTGGGCTCGGTTAAACTAGCTTTTATCAATTTACTTGCAATAGTGTTCCATATCTATCTATCTCCCTCACACTTGACCCCTATTTTCCTCTCTCCCTCGCCAAACACGCTCGCATATATTAGGATCATGTTTATATTAACAGTGTCATAAATACTCGTATCTATCCAAGCCTTTTATTTGACACAGATACGAAGGAATTGATCATGTGTTAGCGTATATACAAACTAAATACAATGTGCCCATGATACCGGGCACATTGTATTTAGTTTAACGTGAAGCCAAGGGACTGCAAAACGGTCGCAATGCAATTATCTGTATATAAACTTCGAACAGCGAAATGCCGAAAAGAAAATGTTGTTTGGGGGACACAGATGCACCGACACACTGAAATGTGTATGATATTCCTTGAATGAGTCGCCACAGTGGTCGACCGTTTATCGGTCCAAAAAGCCACCAGAATGAGCCAATCAAGCCGGTCTATCCCGGCCCCAATGGTCTATCGTTACCCTACACGAGACGTGACATTGGGGTCTAAGTGCCCTCTACAAATGCGGGGGGAGTTGCGCATGAACACCGTTGGGACGGGGCATGGCTTACAGGGGGGTTATGGATGGGCCAATGTCAAAGTCAACCCTAAGGATTTCCATGGAACTGGCACCCTCCTGACAGGATAAGTGGTTCCGTTGATCCTGTTGACGGCTGATCGATATTTACATCCGACTGATTGGTTGTTCATGTTGGAGGATCCCAAGCCAAGAATACAAGCCCTGAAATTAACGAGATATTCACGAGATAGTCGGGGATTATTTATAGGGGAGATCACTCCGGCTAAGGGTTTAGTTTCATTTATGCTTGCAGACACCGTTGCGTAGTTTCATGCATGCTGCACGTTTAACCCTAAGTTACCCTAAGTTACCCTTCCTATAACCCACTCCTGCTGCATCAATGGCTGTTTATCGAGATTGGTCTTCCCAAGACTCGGGCATCTGTCCCTCTGACAGTGTGATTGCCCCACCGCCGCGAGAGCCCTTGGCCGTAATTGGACTGGCCAGTCGGTTTTCTGGCGATGCTTCCAATAGCACGAAACTATGGCAGATGTTGCTAGAACAACGATCTGCTGCTGGTCCAGTCCCAATGTCAAGATTCGATGCCGATAGTTACTATCACCCAGACCCGGATCACGGTGGAACTTCAGCGACGAAAGACGGTTACTTTCTTGATGGGGATATTCATGCGTTCGATACGTCTCTCTTTAACCTCACTGCCAATGAAGTGGCTTCGATGGACGCCCAGCAAAAGTTGCTCTTGGAGAATGTTTTTCACGCCCTGGAGAATGGTATGGAGAAAAAGAAGATACAAATGGTTTACTCTCTCAACACCGGCTGACCGCGCATTGGATATTCTAAGCTGGATTGCCGTTGGATCAGATCGCTGGCTCGCACACTTCGGTGTTTATTGGAGCATCCAATAATGACCATCTCGCATTAGCCAATGCTGATCTCGAAATGCTCCAGAAACACAGAGCAACGGGAACAAGTCCGTCTATCTTGGCTAATCGCGTGAGCTGGTTTTACGATCTGCGAGGAACCAGCCAAACTCTTGACACTGCCTGTTCAAGTAGCTTAGTGGCGTTTCATCAAGCCTGTACCGATGTACAGTCGGGGCAATCCAGCATGGTCAGTTGTACTCACCGAGACTGATGGTGACCGTTTCTAACATTCTCATCAGGCGATCGTAAGCGGTGTCAACCTCATTGAGCATCCTGCTTCATTCATGCAGCTGAGTACCCTCGGGGTACTGTCCCCAGATGGCAAGTGCTTCAGTTTTGATAATCGGGCCAATGGCTATGGCCGAGGAGAAGGTGTTGGCACCATCATTGTGAAGCCGCTAAGTGCAGCAATTCGAGATGGAAACACAATCCGCGCTATCGTTCGAGGCACTGGCTCCAACCAGGACGGCAAAACCCCTGGGATGAGTCTGCCCAGCCCTCAAGCACAGGAAGCGCTCATCAAGCAGGTGTACGCCACTGCAGATCTTGATTTGATGGACACCAGCTATGTCGAGGCTCATGGAACGGGCACGCCGGTCGGGGATCCATTGGAGGTACGAGCCATTGCAAACGCCTTCCGAATTGCCGACAGAGCTTCACCACTTTATATTGGCAGCGTCAAAGCCAACTTAGGTCACCTGGAAGGAGGTGCCGGGATAGCAGGTTTAATCAAGGTGATTCTGATGCTTGAAGCCAAAACAATTCCCGGTCTCGCCAATTTCGAACGGCTTAATCCCAAGCTTGAGGGCCATTCGAATCTCGTGTTTCCCCAGGGCCCAACGTTTTGGTCGGAATGCAATCATGTCCGTCGTGCTTCGATCAATTCCTTTGGATTCGGTGGGACAAATTCCCATGTTGTGCTCGAGGGGCAGACAGGTAAGCTGGCACAAATCTCGCAGCAATTAACGCGCTGGGCTGTGACTGAAACAAATGCAGGAGCTATGCAATGGCATAGAACTGAGATGAGCTTGTCACCCACTCCACCTCCCTACAAAAAGGCAAACGGTAAGAGACACGACCATGAGCGTGGAATAGTGCAAAAAGCTCATGAGGAATCCAGGAACCGTCCATCACACCAATTCTCTCGCTCTCACCCTCAACCAGAAATTCGAGAGCAATATAGCCGCCTCGCTTGTGTTTGCTCTTTCAGCATCAGACCAGCTTGGCCTAGTTCGAAACAGCAAAGCCCTCAAGGATCACCTTGAGCCACTGCTCCATGCTCAAGACGAAAATGAGCTATCTCGCTATCTCGCTGATCTTGCCTACACGCTGAACGAGAAGCGCAGTAGTCTCCGGTGGAAGACATTCCACATTGCGAGTTCAGCTGAAGAGTTACTGAGGGAGCTCGACACTGGCTCTCCCCCGGCATTCCGCACAAAATCTACGGCATCCAAAATCGGATTTGTCTTCACGGGGCAAGGAGCACAATGGTCGAAAATGGGATCAACTCTTCTTGCATATCCCGTGTTCCGCAAAAGTATCGAGGACGCATCATCGTTTCTGGGTGGACTTGGCTGTCCTTACAGTGTTCGAGGTTCGTGAGATTGCAATTCAAATTGCAGATGTCTTGTGAGACTAACAGCGACAGATTTGTTTGAACATGGGTCCCTCGAGATCAATCACCCTCTTCTCTCGCAGACGATTTGCACTGTGCTACAGGTGGCTCTGGTTGACTTGCTGGCGAGCTGGAAAGTTTTGCCCTGCGTGACAGTTGGACACTCATCCGGGGAGATTGCCGCGGCTTACTGCTCCAGAAAACTGACTCGACAGGCCGCATGGAAGATTGCCTACTACCGGGGTCTGGTTTCTGTGCAGCTTCACAACCAAAACTCTGGTGGCATGATGGCAGTTGGGGCTTCCGTCGATAGTGTGCTTGAGCAAATGAAACTTCTGGAACATGAATTCCAGAACCTGCCAGAGATCGGATGCTTCAACAGTCCCAAAAACGTGACTGTCACTGGCGAACGTGCTGAGCTTCTTAAGCTTCAATCTGCACTGGATCAAGCCCATATATTTACCCGGAATTTGGCAGTTCAGGTTCCCTATCACTCGCAACAGATGCGGTCGGTCGCCAATGAATATGAATCGCTTCTCCGTGACCTCTCCCATGGCGAGAAACTAGCCTCGTGCCAGGAGGTGACCATGGTATCTTCTCTGTCTGGCTCCATGGTGGAAGAAAACGACTTGGACAGTGCCCGTTACTGGGTCGAGAATCTTACATCCCCGGTTCGATTCTCGGATGCTCTATTGAGATTTTGCTCAAAAGGTCAAATGGCTGGAGGAGTCCAGACAGCACATATCGATGAGCTGGTTGAGATTGGGCCTCATTCCACCTTGTGCAGTGCCATCAGAGAAGGACTGGGGTCTTTGTCGGGCCTCAAGTCAATCGAATACACTCACGCCATAACCAAGAAAGAGTCATCCAACAGAACATTATTGGCAACGCTTGCTACAATCCACAGTCGAGGATACCATGTGGACCTCGATGCAGTGAACCAGTCCCCGAAGCCATCCCTGCTCAACAGAAGAACATTGACGGATCTCCCTCCGTATAGTTTCAATCATGAAAAGTCAAGCAGAACCCAGACACGATTGATGAAAAATGTCCGGTTCCCTCGCCATGCAAGAAACGAACTCCTCGGCTCGCCTGTATGGGACTGGAATGATTACGAGCCAAAATGGCGGAATTTCCTGCGTACTTCAGAAATGCCATGGATCAGGGACAATCAGGTTTGTTTCTATGAAAGCAATGGCAGGCTTTATACAGGTGCTAATACGGAGAACAAGTTAAACGGAACAATCATCTATCCCGGTGTGTCTTCTTTAATTATGGCCATGGAAGCGGCAAGACAATTGAAAGATGCGCCTCTCCATCCTCGCGGATATCGAGTGCGCAACGTGGCATATAAAGCGGCCTTGCTAATCCCCGAAACCAAGGAAGGCATTGAAGTTTCCTTCAGCATGCGAAGAACGGAAAATCTTACAGAGGGCCACCAGCCTTGGTATGAATTCCACTTGATGTCGTTTGATGCGGAGAAAGACTTCTGGGTGGAACATACCTCTGGGCTTGTGCGAGTGGAGGGTGAAGTTCAACAGAATGACCCTGACGGCACTACTGGGCACCTGTGGAACGATCTATCTCTAAAATCATTGACGGCTGCACATCAGAATTGCACTGAGGTCTTGGATGTTCAGGATTATTATCGCAAGCTGGACTCTTCTGGCGTGTGTTTCGGGCCAACGATGCAGAATCTGACGGAGCTGGTTATTTCACAGTCAGAAAAAGACATTTTTGGCAAGGTTGGGGTCCCTGTGTTGCCACAGGATATGGAAGCAGGCCATGGAAAGCCGCTTATCATGCATCCCACGGTGATGGAAAGCATGGCCCAAATTCTGCTGCCCATTTGTACCTCGCAAGAGTCACCACTCGGATCGGAGCTTCTCACCACTTTCACGGAAGAAATCTGGGTCTCAGCTTCAATCTCCAGTCACCATGAAGACGCATTCCAAGCCCGCGCTTGGAGTGTGCCGAAAAGCTCGTCACGATGGCTCGCCAACATGGATGTGTGGAATGCCACACAGGAACGGCAAATCATGACTCGGGGGATGGTGCTGGTGGCACTCTCCCAGAACAAGGAGTTTTCGGCTGACGTTTCTCCCTGTTACCGAGTCAGCGCAAATCTCAGCACTGATCTTCTTGCATCTGCCGCTGACTTCCAGTCCTTGCATCAAGATCTCTTGGAGCGCAAGGACACTACTCATCTACGGCAGATGGAGTTGATGAGCGCCAGTTTCATTTCAGAAGCACTAACCAAGGTGAAATCTCTCTCCAAGGCCGTTCTACCCGAGTATCAACGATTTTATACTTGGATGCAAGATACGGCCTCTGAGACTGAAGCGGGTTCATCACCATTTGTCCAACCGGCTACTCTTTCCAATCTCAATCAGGACCTAGAAGCCAGAGATCGGTTGCAACATGTCCTCTCTGCTTCTAGTAACCGGGGAAACTTTTGGTTGAGGTTGGCGAAATCCTTGCCTCAATGCTTACTGGAGAACAGAATCTATCGTCGCTCAGTCATCTGCAGGAAACAGCCCGCAAGGAAGCCCCTTGGGGTAACATTAAGCCACTATTCTCGCAGTACCTCGCTGCTCTGGGAGAGAATCACACCAATATCAAGGTCTTGGAGGTGGGTGCAGGAACTGGCAATGTAACCGATCAGGTTTTGGAGGCTATTGGATCCAGCGTCACTCGATATCATTTCACCGATGTGACCGATGCCTCATTTGAAAACTCTCAACTCAGATTGAGCGATTGGTCCCGAAAGATGCACTACAGCACGCTTCAATTAGGATTGGACGTTCCTAGCGAGAATTTTCAAGCTGGATCCTACGATTTAGTCGTGGCAGCTCATGTCAGTTGAATCAAGTACACTGCGGGCTTTAGCTGACTTGCTACAACAGGGACTCGCAATTTCCGATGCACACAAGACGTTGAATCAGTTGCGAAATCTTTTAACACCGTGCGTTCCACATCTTATATGTTCCCAGTTGTTCCAGAAACCAAGCTGATCAATTCTGTTAGTGGTGGGAAATTGATCTTGATTGAGAGTAATAACCCCAATCTCATGTCTTTGCCGATATTATTTGGAATGCCCACGGAGTATTTAGACAAGACTCGCCTTCAAGAGCAGGAATTAAAGACATTGCTGTCTCAATCCGGCTTCTGCCAGAATCCCCTGGTGTTCTATGACACCGATGAGGAGCATGCCCGAGAGATGGCACTTTTCGTTTCAACGGCAGTGGAAAATGAGGCGACACCCAAGATTCAGAGCAGTGGAAAAAGCCAGAAATGCTTTATTGTCTATGCGGGCACTGACAGCACTGCTTTCGAGATTTGCTCTTTACTGAAGTCTGAGCTCGCAAATATCTCCGACTTGGAAGTTACCGCAGTGGAGGCTCAGTATCTTAGAGCACACGATCTTCGAGGCTCGATCTGTCTCAGTTTGCTGGGCCTAGGTGCATTTGATTTTTCAGTCATCAGCCCCGATGGCTACGAAGACATCAAACAGATGCTGCTGACGTGCCGTGGCCTGATTTGGGTCACCATCGACACACTCTCCAACCCCCTAGCATCTATGGCAACGGGAATACTCCGCACCACTCGCTCCGAGCGCCATTTTGAAGATGTGAATCTTATCACGTTGAGTTTTAGTGATCCCCAGCCAGCTCCCAGACGTATGTCGGAAAGTATCCTGCAGCTCTACCACGCGAGCTTTGAGGGTCTGCAAACTCTCAAAGGTAATGGTGAATACATATTCCAAGATGGCCTATTCTGGATCAACAGGCTGCACGCTGCCCCTGATGTGAATCCTTTCTTGGAGTCAGGAGTCGCGTCTCAGCCGACCACAGAGCCACTGGGACTGAATTTAGACACGCCACTGAAGCTGGAGATGAAGCAGCCAGGGGACCCCAATTTGTTTGAATTTACTTTTGATCCCTCGCAGGAGTCATTGCCTCTTGACGACCAAGTCAAAATCCATGTCGAGTTTTGCGGCCTTGGCTCCATTGGCGCGACATCTACGGTGGAAGAAGGCATCGAGAACAGTCTGGGACGCGAGGCAACAGGCCGAGTTGTTTGCGTTGGCGACGGAGTCAAGCATCTGCGAGTTGGAGATCGAGTCATGACCTTCAACCCCTCGGGAGCTCTAGGGACATATCTGATTGTCCCCTCCCAGTCAGCCCAGGTGATTCCACCAACGACGGATTTCAGACAGGCATCCGGGATTCCTTTCTATTTCTGCACCGCCATTTACGCTCTCTATGAAATTGCCAGGCTGCACAAAGGCGAGACGGTGCTTATTTACTCGGCCGCAAGTGGTGTCGGCCAGGCCGCGATTCAGCTCGCATCTCTGGCCAAAGCTCAAGTCCTGGCGGTGGTCAGGACTGCCGAGGAGAAGGATATTCTCACCAAATTCTACGACTTAGAAGAAAAACAAATCTTCTGCGGTGAGGACGACTCTTTACAGGCCGGCATTGCTATTGCCACCCAGGGACGTGGCATAGACGTGGTGCTGCGGACCAGGGGTAGCTCGGTCTCTGACACGGCCTGGAGATCCATGGCTCCGTTTGGCAGGTTCCTGGATCTCATGCAAAATGAAGACTCTTTTCGCACCACACTGGACATGCTGCCATTTTCCCGCGGTGCCGTTTACGCCACAATCGACATGGTCAAGATGGCTCAGGACAAGCCCGACCGTGTTTGGGGCGCTTTGAAAGATATCGCCCTCCTATATCAAGAGAACAAGATCAAGGGGCCCCAGCCTTTGGTTCAGTTCAATTTCTCAGAGATCGAACGGGCAGTGTCGTATGCTCGAGATGGAAAGACCCCTGGGGCAGCAATCCTAGTGCCACACCAGGAGGACATGGTTCCGGTAAAATGACCAATCCTGAATCAAGTCGAATGTTTGCTAATGCATGTTCAGAAACGGCCTGCTCCAGTACCTGCATATCACTTTCCGGAAACCACCTCCTACGTTCTGGCTGGAGGGCTTGGGGGACTGGGAAGAAGTATCGCACGGTGGATGGCCTCTCGCGGAGCAAGAAACTTCATTTTTCTTTCCCGGTCCGGTGTACAAGGAGAGAGCACAGCGAGCTTCGTGCAAGAGCTGCGTGACCGGGGCTGCCGTGTTGAAGTTGGGAGGTGCGATATCAGCAATGTCGATGTGTTGGCGGAGACTCTCGACTCATACCGATCGAGCATGCCCCCGATCAGAGGGTGTTTCCAATGCTCGATGGTTCTGAGGGTAAGCGGATCAGACCAGTTCTTGAATTTTCAACTAATGATTATTTCTTTTGTGTTTAGGACTCCATGCTTTCCAACATGTCCCATGCGCAGTTCATCGACTGCATGACACCCAAGGTTCAAGGTTCTGCGAATCTGGCCAGAGTGCTTCCGCGGGATCTTGATTTCTTGCTCTTCCTCTCTTCATCGTCTGCTATTATCGGGAACCGTGGCCAGGCCAACTACAGCGCCGCGAACATGTATATGGACACCTTGGCAGAGCATCTTGTCCGGGACGGGTTGCGAGCCATGTCGATCAATCTCGGCAGTGTCCTGTCGGCCGGCTGGCTTGCTGATAACAAAGACAGCAAGTTGACGGGAGCACTGTCCCATTTGACCACCAGTGAAGAAGAGCTTCTTTCGCTGATCGAGTACCACGTGGACCCGCGCTGGAATGTTGCAGGCTCCATCGAGACCTGCCACACCGTAGCTGGGCTACGGACCGCATCGTATTTCTCGCGTCGCGGTGTCACACAGCCCGAGTTCTTTGAGGTCCCGCTTTTTCAGCATCTCCACACGTTATCATCGAAGGCCGAGGAAGACTCGGCGAGCAAGCAAGATTCGGATAGCACTCTCAAAGAACAACTCCAGGCGGAAGCTGATCCCGCCACGGTTGTGGAACGTATTTCGGGCGCCGTCGCAAGAAAGCTTTCAGCGATGATGTCCATTCCGGAAGAAGACTTCGAATACAATCGGGCTATCACTTCGTACGGGGTGGATTCGCTGGTGACGATGGATTTCCGCGGCTGGGTTGCTAACGTTTTCGCTGCTAAGGTATCCACATTGGATGTGGTGAGTGGTAACAGCATTGGGGATTTGAGCCGGAAGATTGCTGTGAGCATGGCGTTGATAGCGGAGTGACGGGGTTGGGCCAAGATTCACTGTATAGTCGAGAGCAAACACAGTAGACTAGGTTAATTGAGAGAAAAGTCTGAGAGCATTGTAGATAATCGATTGACGCTGAAACTTGAGAATGCCATTGCGAAGGAAGTGTAAAAGTAGATGTGTCCATCAATGTATCCATCCAAAGCTCGGTCACTTTGTTGTCTCCTGGATATTAGCCAGTCGATAGGGTAAACCAGGTAGCCACGCTGGAAAGACCAGGCTTCTGTTGTTGACAGTCTAATGACCCCCTTCCACTTTCTGCCTTTGTATTCCGTGACTTCGGAGAATAGTGCCATCCTCAGCGAACGACAGCATATGGACATCGTCCAGGGGCCCCTCGTTCAGTCTTCCCGTGACGCAGGAAAATACCCAGACTCGATTCCCTTGACAAATGACATCTTTGATGGCAACATGCACGTTGGGACTCTTGTCTAACACGCTGGGCCAAAACTCCACAAACTCGGCCTTGGTCATGGACGGAAGGTCGTTATGTTGCAGGGTCAGCGCATCATGCATTAACCTGGCTGCTCCCGGGAGGTCGCGTTTTGTTGTCAAGTTTTCCAGAAACGCGATTGCACGTTCTCGGAGATCGATTGGCATGGAAGAATCTTGTGTCATCGTGGCAGTGGGAGAGAGGACAGGAGGTGACACGAGCACAGCAGAACCAAGTGCCTGCTCTGGCAGTGTACTCGGCACGTGATGCCAACAGTCCCGAAAGCCGGTCTGCAATTTACGCAGGACGTTGGGGGCCTCATCAAGATGGCAGCGATATGGAGATATAGATGTATGGCCGCACCTCGTTAGCGCCTTACCGCTGACCATGTTCTTTATCGATTATATGTTGAAAGTCTGAAAGCCACTGACTGTCACTTCGATCGGGGCGGCTTTAGAAGGCTTAGGAGAGAGTAAACTCATCTTTCCATAGCCTTACAGTCAAACTTTGACGCGAGTTAAAAGCTTTATTATCCCTGGAATTAATCCATGAATAGATCACTCTGGTATGTAATGCTGACAGGCCTCCATAGTGTGACGAGCACCGCCCCGTGTGTACCAACTGTAGTCAGAGGCAAGAAGAATGTATGTACATTGCTCAAGGTCCGTATATCTTTGCGGAGACGCAGCCGCGACGAGCCCCTCGCTCGGCCCCGTCAACAGAAGACTCTCCTCCAGATGCTGACCGGGATGCCTCGGGTATATTGGACCATCTGCATGGCTTGCAGACCGCCAATCCAGCCGAATTGAATATGGAACACTTGCAACTTGTTCTCCAGTGGATCCTCCATACACACAAAATTCTCGCACGGAACGAAGATACGCGGAAGGTATGGGGGATGACCGTGCTACAAGAGGGTCTACAGGCACCATTTCTCGTGCACGGGATTATGGCCCTGTCCGCCCTGCATCTGTCGCTACGTGGCGACGAGAAGGCATCGTGGCTCAGCATGGCCATCGCCCACGAGAACCGCGCCCTGTCTATGTTCTCCAATCAGCTGGTGGATATCAACCCGTCCAACGCAAAAGCATTGATGAGTCTGGCGAGCCTAGTCGTGGCATTTAGCTTTGGCAGTGCACTCACGCGGGACACTGACGATGGCCCGAGTGTGGGGGCCTTGATCGAGGTGTTTACCTTGTCGCGCGGAGTGCAGACAGAGGTCAACGGTGTATTCGAATTTCTGCGACAGAGTGATTTTGCGCCGCTCTTTGATATTTCGCCGCCTGCTGTGATAATTCCTGACCAGGTTGCCAAGGCATTCGACCATCTCGAAGCCCTGAACGACCAGCACAGTCGATGCTCACCACGCCACAATCACGCCTCCTATGCGCGGATGATCACACATTTGCGAAATCTCTCTGCCTACTCGTATGCACTGCCGACCTCGATGACCCTGGCTGCCGGCTTGGCCATCAGAGCCCCAGCGGACTTTCTGGATGAATTGAAAAACCATGAACCTTTGGCACTCGTGGTGCTGGCCCACTATTGCTTATTCTTGCATCTGGCTCGCGAGAACTGGTGCATTGGGCCCTGGGGAAAGATGGTTCTGCAAGAAATTCGGAGGCGATTGAGCTCGGGGTGGCAACATCATATAGAATGGGCGGTTAGCGAAGTCTTGGACACGACGGAATCATGAAATTTCATACAAACGAGGTATTTGCATTCATTCTACTATTCCATCTTTATGCATGTCTTTCTTGTCTCCTTCCAAATAAGAATTGACTGGATGTCTAGTTGGATCACCGATTGAAAACAGCATGCAAGTATAGGAAGTAAGCTTATGCCCCTGCCGTCTGTCCCATCTCCAAAGCTGACTGGGGAACGAATATGCGCATTATGAACACTTTCTCTGCGTATTTCTCGCCTCGGCCCAGAAGGCAATTTATCTCACTCGGGTGGATATACTGGAGGACCAGCATTGCGGCGAACATCAACAGAGCATCGAAAACATAGATGAACACCTCTTGTTTCATCAAATACCCATCATATCCCTGCAGGTACTCAACCACGCGAACCACTGAGCGCACCAGGATCAGAACACTTGTGATGTAAAGGGCAGCCAGATGCCGACGCCAGATTGCCGATAGCTCTATCGATCGGGTGGTGGGACTTTTGACAAGGCGAGCCTGGAATACCACTGCGCTGACCATGAAAAAGCCGAAGATGATGATCTGCACAAAGAGGCCCCCTATAATGATGCGTTCGCCCCTCGAGGGATTCGTCGAATCTTGAACCATGATACCAGCGCCTATGAATTGTTCAGTACCGCGAGGCAATCGAATACATTCATTGAATCCACAATAACACTCACCAGAGGCCTGCATCAAAAAAGAGAGCACGTCACCAGACACAAAGATCTTGGTCAACCATCTCAGCTTGATCAGCGAGCATCGCTCTGCGTTGAGCATGAGGATGATCCGCCCCAGTGTCATGTATATACTCGCAGCCAAGAACGCCGGTGCAATTAGGATCAGGGCACTTTGCATGACATAGGGGCCCTTTGTCCAGTCGGGTGTCTCAATCGAGGAGAGTAGACGACCGACATAACCGACAGTTTCAACTAGAACAAGGGGTCAATGGAAGATTTCAACGGGCTCTGGTAGTGATGATTACTCACGAACTCCCCCGATCAAAAATGGAATCATAAACCATGTCCGCATTCGAATGAGCTGGTAGAAATGGAGGAGAGTGCTCACGCCGAAGAGCCCGACGAAAATACCTGCCGCTGGGCTAGAAGGGTCATAGTAGTAGAATGTCCAGGCCATTTTGGGTAGGTTCTGGGATTTTAAACACAGAGTTTTAATAGAAAATGAGACAATTTAATCCATGCGTCTCGCATGTAGAAAGATGGCACACTTAAGTATTCAATTGTTGCGAGTTCGGAAAGGAGACTGGATATAAAGAATTTTCTTAAAACAACACATTACTTTTCCAGGCATATTTCGAGCTAATCGTATCTCGTTTTCTGCCCTTTTTCTGGAAAGGCGCAACAATTGCTGGTTGATGCCTGGTGCTTCGTACCCGTGTTGTTCGCCGCATCGGGACATCCACTCACTAACGCTAAGATCCGCGCTAAAATTCGTATCATTTACTAAAAGGAGGTCAACTACGATTGGTTCCAGTTGGTTTCAATATTCTCCAAGACTTGGGGCTTGGAAAGAGGTCCAGGTTGCCTGGAAAATTCCCGATAGTAGTGGAATAACAATTTGATAGGAGAAAAATAGACCGAAGTCGGCTTCTTTAAAAGAATGAAAAATCTGCTTTTGGGTTCCCTTTCTATCAGCGGCTTGATCATAATCCGATCTATTTACGGCGTGGCGGAGTATGTGCAAGGGAGCAATGGGTTTCTTCAGAGCAAGGAGGCGTTAATCTATGTATTTGATGCTACCTTGATGTTTACTTGCTGTTTGATCTTCAACTTGTTTCACCCAAGCCGAATTCCTTGCCTTTCCCACGATGCTGACGAGTCTGGGGACTTGGAGATGCTGAACAGCAACGGGTACAAGAACCTTCCATAAACATGTGTCGATAGTGAGATGATGTTAGGGACAATTCCTATTCCACATCCCGGATGCAGGGCCACGAATCCAGGCTTGCAGACAAATAATCAAATTTATATTCACCGCATCTATAGATACTTGAAATGGATTCTCATCTAATCAGATGCTCACATGCAGTTTACGACAGCCGCTTTGTCCCTGACACACCCGACAGGCCATCACGAATGTCAGTCGGCAGGTCACCTTCGTCGGGGCCTTCGCTATACTTGTTGGCAGAGCGAGGCTTCGCATGGCGCAGACGATCACCGCCCAGAATATTGGACTCATCCATCGCCTCATTTTCATCATCCGCTGTTCGGGATATTAGCTCATGACCTGACATATACTTTAATCTTAACTTACCCAACTGCTGATCAGTGTTGGCGTATGGCGGCTGCATTGGGTTGTCAAAATCGGCCTCGTCGGGCTGGACAGGAACTCGAGTCTTCAAGTTGGGGTTGGTCTCAGTTGCGTACGAGTTGTCGACGAAATCACCAGTTACGGGCGATGCATCATTCTCGCGCTCGTAGTTATCTTCGCCTTCTCTTTCCGCGGGGTTCGACATGATGTTGCGGTGTTTGATAAATGAGGTTAGGGCTCAATTTTATGGCGTTGAACGAGAAGATGGATTTCACCAAAAACAGTTGTTCTGGCTTGAAATGAGAAGTTTAGCAAGCCAGGAAAAGAGACGGGGTCCGCAGTAGTGATGTGATGATGACTTGATGGCCTACTCCGGGACCTTGGTCCGATATTTATGCCGTTGTCATTTGTCTGCCCGCCATCGCAGCCACTCGATGCAAGCCTGACATCAACCGGCGGTGATATCCGACGTGACGCCTCCAAAATGTTTGATTGCCCTTCCAATGATCGTTGTGGCATTTACTGTGTATCAAGCAACTAGAGATTTCATATATTATATTTTCTGATGACTCTAGGAATCATTGAATTATTTCTGGCTATTTCAAGGGTAGAACAAGAGTTACGACAAGCTAGGTATATTGATAGAATATGGCTAGCATTCCACAGGATTAATGATCAGTTCCAAATCCTTCAGTGACGGTGGCATGACGCATGGTGCGAATCAACACTCGGGTTGCCACGCCGACGTCAAAGCCCTAACCAGATGAAGATTTGCTGCCCTCGGGGTCTTCATCGAAACCTCATCAGTTCATACAACGTGCAAAACCTTGACTTTCAGACTATTCACATACGGTTATCTATCTGGACTAGTGGAATATTTCTTTGCTCAACGCCGAATTCGTCATGTCCAACACGCGCGAAAATGCCGAAGTGTCCGCCTCGGGCGAAGACAGGGTGAATGCCATGCGTGGCTACAAGGCGTGGGTGCCATACTGCGTTTTCTTATGTTATCTGATTGCTGATTGATCTTCTAGGACGCTCAAGAATCCTCGTACCTCCAACGAGGCTAAGGAGCACGCCTCGGAGGTACTCAACAACGAGCTTGGCTGGGACAAACCTCGCCAGGACCTATATGAGGTCCGTGATCGAAACAAGGGCCCCACCCACGTAGCTGGTGGATTGAAAGCGTGAGTATATGTTGCCCTCGCAGGGATAATTGACAGCGATGCTCACAAGGGACAACGTAGTGCTCAGAAGAACCCTCGAGTCACCGATCGCGGCAAGCAAAGCTCTTCAGAGAAGCTTGACACACTCGCCCAACAGGCTCCGGAGGAGTAGTCTGGTCCAAGTATCTCTGTAGATTCTTTTTTTGTTATATATGGCTAGTTTGGAGATTAGTTTCTCAAATAGATTGTAACAATTGATGAGTTAACCTGGATCATGATGGATTGGAATTTTCTATGTATGTCTATTCCATCGACGGAGTAAGGTTGACTCCATCGTCTGGCCATCTGCGAAAGATATCCTGTAAATGATCCAGTGGAGCCGCCATCAGTCCAGTCGCTGTCTCATATGGCGGCCGATCAGGCAGACTGGGATGCGAACGGGTGGGCATGAAAATCTTGGTGCGGTCAAAAGACTTGCCCAGTCGCTCACTCTCTTTTGGGGTGATGGCACTCTCCAGCTTAACAAGGTCGATGGTCTCAACGTCATGCATGTGCTGGGCGAAATCATCCATGAGAATTGTGATGGTGGGGATAAACCGAGGATCGGAGCATGGGAGGTCCTGAAAGACCTTGAGCTTTTCTTTTTATCTGCCAATGTGTTATTTATACATTCTTTCAAAAAGGATAGCTTTCTCCTCACCGTGCGATGTTGCTCGCGGTCCTTTTCCCCATCGCGTAAGTACTTCTTCATCGCCGGGTAGACCACTAGCTCTTCGCCGACGGAGTGTCGGGCAAGTTCCCAGGTAAACTGGTTCTGAAACCGAGTCTGCTCATCTGCATCCTCTGAGGTGACAATTTTGTTATAGTATGACTCCAGCTCCTTATGATCCTTGCGAACAGCGTCGATAATACGAACCATGTTTGTATAGATCTAGCCAAGAGTAGAGTATTGACGGCCAAGTGAATATCTCTGAGTTCACACTGGATTTTATTGAAGCCATCATGACTACCCGTAATGAATCCCTTCTCCCCAAGGCATGGGATCGAATCCCGGCCCACTGACGTCGAGCTGACTGGATGTTGTCAGCCCTACAGCCCTGGGCGTGTAGACGATCGCACGTATGCCCAACGTGATCTACGCGCGTGCTTCCTCTTCTTTCTCTCTCTTCTCTGTTTCTTTTCTCTTCCTCTTCCTCTTCCTCCTCCGCTTCCTCTTTTTCTTTCCATTCCTCACATCCAGTTGAATCTTACAACCAAATCAAAAAGAAGAGCAATCCCCAAATGACTAGTGATCCATGGTTTGTTTTCTCCCAATGTTAAGGGTCTTAGTGGCTCGGGGTACTGACAGGATCCACTGTTTAGTGGGGAACAGATCGATCGCCCCGAGGACGCCGTTCTAAGACCGGCCAGCAAGAACAATGATACTTCTGCTTGTATCTCCCAGCACGCCATCCCTCGAGGAATCTGCGGTCATATTTGCGCCTGGCTATGGTCAGGATGGCGGGGCACTGCCTTCCACCCTCCAGCCAAGGCTCCTATACAGCCCTCTCGCAATGACCCCTCTGACTGCAAAGCCTGTCGCGAACGACACGTCGCTTGTGACCGTGTCAAGCCCCAGTGCTCTCACTGTTGGCAGCAGCAGCTCTTATGCTTCTACGTCACACCCAGCCGGAATATCACGCGCAGGGAGCATAGGATCAAATTTGCATCGCTAGGTCCCAAAACTGTCCCAGTGGCGCATGAGACACAGGCATAGCATGTGACCGGGTCATGCAAAAGTGCCTTTCTGATACTATCGGTTTTAATGACAGGATGGATTTACTTGGAATTAAAGGTGGTGTTCTTGGGGTTTTCCTGGCGGTTGTTGGCCCTCGGGTTTCTCAGGGTAGAAGCAGGGGCTGCAACAAAACGCCGTTGCCACACAAAAGATGATAATTTCCTTTAAGCTATGCAGTGGACTGGGATACCTGGTCAGATAATCATGTGGCTCACAAGATGTAACATAGGAGACATGTCTTGTCTACCTTGTATAGGCATCTACCAGCAAACTTGTTAGGACGATCACATTCCCCTATTTTCAACTTACTTCCTATTAATTTGGAGAAATCAAGAAAAGTTCTGTTATTTTTCCCTTTCGTGCGATATGCACCAACGTCGGATTAAGGCCGAGAACTCCTGCGTGGACCAAGTCGCTAGGCGGAGCACTGTCACCCGATGATTGCTCCACCAGACTATACAGAGCGATGTCGATACGTGGCAGGGATCTTTCTCAGATCTCTTCAACTAGTGCTCACAGTCTATTTGGGGTTGAATTCATACAGCGGATTGTTGTATTGTGGCCTGTTAAAGTCGAAGTACCTCTCGTGGCCACCCAGGATATCTACTTTGATATACGTTCAATGAAAAGTATGCCGGTATGTCAGACCTTGAGCTACAGCTAGACTGACACCCGATAGATGGATTCTGAGTACCGCCGATTGACCGACACGATCCGACTGCAAGCCAATGCCCATACAAAACCGCGCTATATCGTGGCCATCGCAGGAATACCTGGGTCTGGCAAGACCACTATAGCAGAGGCCGTAGTACATCAACTCAATGAGGACACCGCTAATCATGCGACACTTCTCTCCATGGATGGGTTTCATCTGTCGCGGGTGGCGTTGGACCAACTGCCCGACCCAAAGGAAGCCCATGTGCGTCGCGGTGCACCCTGGACTTTCGATGTCGCGAGATTTGTAGCTTTCATTCATGAGCTACGCAGCTGGGCAGACAAGATACCCTTAGCCTCTTCAAAGGCCTGGTCAGATGCAGATATCCTGCTAGCCCCGGCCTTCGACCACAAGACCAAAGACCCCGTTGAGGATAGCGTTGCTATCACACCTGATGCCTCGATCATTGTCGTTGAGGGCAACTATTTGCTATTGAATGAGCCTGGGTGGCGCGATTTGGCAAATTTAGTCGACTATCGTGTCTTTGTCGACACCGATCCGCTAGAAGCCCGAGACCGAGTGGCTAAGCGCCATGTGCAGGCAGGCATCGAGAAAACTCTAGAGGATGGATACCGGCGGGTGGATAGCAACGATTATTTGAACGCACTTTCAATCCGCGAGAAGCTCCTCGTCCCAGACATGGTGGTGAAGAGCATGAGTATACCAGGGGTGAGTTAGATGGTTGGCGAAGATAGAAAAGCCTTTTGAAACACACTATAGCGAGATAGTCGATGCGTGTCAGTCGCAGAATCAATATCTAAAGTCACTCGACATTTCCCTGCTTGTGAAATACCCCTGGGGTTTGCGAGATAGTGGCATAGACTGCAGATCACGAAAACTGCTGGAAAAATGCTGAACATACGAGGAATCTCTGGCATCCACCTTGCTCGCTCCTTGCAGAAGAATTCGCCCTGGGGAGGCAATGCCTCGGGATCATCCAGCGCGAGCCCACGCAGATGTAACGAAAGTGGTCGTTGGCGGCATCCTATCCACCCCCGTCAGCTACTATCCATGAAGTGGTTAGGCTGACAAACCCCATATTCGAGAATCAAACTGCCGCAATTGTCACAAAATTCGCGGTGTATCATCATCCCTGACCCGTTATCGGCGGCAGGCTCCGTAGGTGTCCCCATCGTGAGCTGGAAACTGTCTTTGGCCACCTTGGTCGTTAGACCATAGTTGGTTCCAAAGGCCTGCTTGGTTTGGATCAGGATTGACCAGGGTGCAAATTTTCGGCTGTCTAGCTTGCAATTCCGGCAGTGGCAAAGGGATGTCCACGCGTCATCTGGGGATGCCAGCCTCAGCTCGTATTGGATATGACGACAAGAGTAAGACCCTATGTAGATTGGTATGGTGAGTATTGCGGATTTTCTCCGATTTTCTCCGGATCAATTTCTTCGCAAGCCATCCTCGCCATCAGTTTATTTCCAAATGCCCACTTGGTATGATGACGTCACCGGTTATACAAGTGTATCAACCCTGGAGAAGAAGCGAAAGGCAAAAAAAAATCCCAAATGGAGCCGGCGAAATGCGAGAGAAATAGACATGACTGAAAGGTGTGGTTGGTTGCTTGGTGGTTGTCATCAGAGTTGGGTACATCTGGGCTAGCAATCTATATATTCTTGTTTGATCGCGACTACGGACACAACGCCCTATTCCCTACCATGCCTCTTCTGACTTGACAAGATTATTGCAGTTGACTCTACTCAGTATGGTTTTGACTGTGTCAATGCAGGTCTTCGCTTACCTCCTGATGTGATAATGACCACATCCAACCAACCAACCTTCTGATCTAAGTCTTATCAAAATTTCCCTTTCGGTTTCCGGTGACTGTTGGGTGTTTTTAATGGCCGACTTAACCGGACTTCAGCAGAGATCGGTGATCTCTGCTTTTATTTTCTCCCAAGCCGAGGTCAGCCCAAGAGTCGCGCTATTCAGACGCAGCGACCAAGTGACAACATATCAGTGAGCTTCTCGGCTTGACATCATGATAGTTCACTTTTCGACTGCTCTCTTTGCTAATCTTCAATAGTCACCATCTAGCCCCTATTTCCGGCCACATCGAGGTCCATGAAACACCCGTGACAGCAGCATGGCGTGAACTCAGAGAAGAGACGACCCTGACACCAGATAAACTATTTCTGTGGCGACAAGGAAAGCCGTTTACCTTTAGCGATGTATCCGTTGGTCGCCAATGGACAGTCCATCCATTTGCATTCCGTTTGAAAGGCCCCGACGAAGGATGTCGAGGCGATGAAGCCATTCAAACGAACTGGGAGCACGAGGAATGGGAATGGCATGACCCAAGAACTGTGGTGGATAGCAAGCTCTCTGGTGGAGTGCCACGACTGGAGGAGAGCTTGCGACGAGTTTGGTTTGAAGGCGTTCTGAACGATAGGGCCAGCAAGGCTTTGAACACAGGCATAGCACAACTCGTGGAAGACCACCAAAGTGGATCGCACGAATTGACTTCAATCGCTCTGAAGGCCTTTCAGCAAGTTCTGGTGCAAATTCCAGGGGTCGATACGAAGTGGTGGGAGACTGCTCGCATGGTCGCCTGGCATCTGTGGAAGAATGGACGCGAAAGCATGGGAGCAGCCACATTGAATGCGCTATTGGGGGTTTTATCCGACATGGAGGACATTGTGGGCCGAAATGTTGACCACGAGGCGAAATGGGATCTGTTATTGACAACCGTTGACAGCCATCTCATGGACCGCAAGGCAATGCCCGCGCGAATCAAAGACTCGGTGGCCGCGTACCTCTATACAAACTTCCTCCCCACCGCACAATCACGACCCAATTCATCTTTGACCCTGCTCACGCTGTCTGCCAGCTCTACCATCCGGGATAGTATCCTCGATGCTTATGCATCCCTCCCATTTTCCAACTTGGATCTCCGGGTTCTGGAGTCGAGGCCGCTCTATGAGGGTGTCAGCATGGCGTCGTCCATTTTGTCCGAGTTTCAGTCCAAGTTCGCGTCATCGAATCAGCGTTTAACCCTGACAGTGTACACGGATGCTTCAGCCGCGCTGGCATCCCATGACGTGGATTTTGTGCTGCTCGGGGCGGACCGCATCTCCGGGTCTGGATGGGTCAGCAATAAGACTGGATCGCTACCAGCTGTGCTCAGTGCGAAACATGCTGCTCCGAACGTGAAGGTCTTGATCCTCAGCGAGCTGGAAAAAGTGGCAGAGCCGGGTGCGGAAAATGAACACGTCCCGGAAGAAAACGACCCGAATGAGGTGGTGAGCCGCTGGTTGGATGCTGGTGTCAAGGGCGTGGGGATACTCGCGGAAGGACTTCAAGGGGTGCATCCACCGCGCAGCAATACCTCGGTGGAAGTAAAGAATGTCTACTTCGAGTGGGTCCCGGCGGACATGATCGACGCGTATATCTGCGAGGCGGGGACACTGGATGCAGCAGCGATCCAGGAGAAGGCGCGACAGGTGAAGGAGAAGGCCGAGAGATACTTTGGGGAGTTGTGAATACAGTCTACGGGTCATCGAGTTCAAGAATACGAGGATTGATACTCCATCACTCGCATATACGGGTTCGCAAGCAAAGCAGAGCACCATAAAATATCATAGAATGGTAAAAAGCCGGTTACTGTGCATTGATTAAACCAGATGGCATCAGGTCCGTACAATAAATCATACGCTAAAACAGGACCAAGTATCTCCAAGAGCCCTGGAACAACAAACAGTAACGAGTAACCCGAAACACCAGGGCAGAGGACAGGATCGTTAAAAGACCTCTGCCCACCAGCAAAAGAGAAAGAAGAGAACAGACTATATGCAAAACGAGAAAGATATTATCATGTTCAACCGTCACGGACACGGGCCTGACGCTTAGCCGTGCCAATGTGGGTGTTGTGCACCTTCGTCGCAAACTTCAAGCTGGTCAAGGACTCGGACAGGTGCACCTGCAGAGGGCTGACCATCACAAACATGAGGGTCTTCGAGTTTCCGCCCAGCGAGAATTGAAGAAGATATGTGAGCTGGAGAGATATGTAAGTAACCGAGACTGAACTAAGAATCTAAAGAGAGCATACCTTGCTGTTTCGGTACGGGATGTGACCACCCTCTTTACCCTGGCCGAGAGCAGCAATCACATCGCCAAGAGAACTGAGACTGCGGTTGATGTTCTGCGTCTCCTTGAGACGCTCGCCAGTCGCCCCGCTGTGGCTCAATCGCTCACTTCCGGCTAAATCGACTAGGTTGAGTGTGCCCTCGCTGCGCTCGCCGGTAATATGGTTTTCTCCGAGGAGCTTGAGAATGAAGACAGAGTGAGAGCGCGACGAACGCTCGTTGGCTTTGGTGGCTGCGACGGAGCGATTGGCCGCAGCGTGTTTGAGAATGGATTCGACCATCTCCGGCGAGTCCAACTGGACGGTGGTGATGTCGGTAATGACAGTCTTGCCGCGCTGCATGTCGTGACGAATATCATGTTTCTTCTTGTCTAACTCATCCGGATTGCCAAGCAGATCGTTGAGGTTTTCATTGTAGACCTCGACAAAGTTACCCGCCATCGTGTATCGCCAACCCTTCTCTTCCAGACTCTGGGCGGTTTCCCAAATCTGATGAACCGCGCGAGGGATCATACCATCCAGAGAGGACATAGTGTAGGTCTTTCCGCTACCAGTTTGGCCATAGCAAAAGATGCAGACATTATAGCCGTCCAAGGCACTCTGAACCAATTGGCTGATCTCATCGAAGACTTCAGCGTTCTGCGTGGAGGGGCCAAACACGCGATCGAAAGTGAAAGTATTGTTTTTGCGGGAAACAGTTCCAAGGCTGCTTTTTTCCTCGGGACCCATCACATTGATCTCTTTGGCATCTTCAGAGTGGTCCGGGTACTGCATTGGAGTAAGATCCGAGGCGGGCTCGCTGTTGAGTGAAGGGCGTACTCGGCAAAAGACGCGGATATTACCTTTAAGCTCCTGCACCTGGTTGTGAAGCTTGCGACGTAGGGTCTCTTCCCGCCGCAACTTTTCCTTGGTGGCCTCCGTTTCAGCCAGCGCATCCATCATCTGTTGATTGCATCGCTCAAACGCTTCAGATTGTTCCTCTCGTCCACCCTCGAGGAACTCAATGCGAGCTTTCAGTGCTCGTATTGATGATTCTAATGTCACACTGTTGCTACTGGCCGTGTCCAAGTTGTGTCGAAGATCCTGGACGGTCTTGCATTCGCGGTCAAGGTCGACTCTCGCGGCTTGCAGGTCATTCTGCAGAGACGAAATCTCACGGTTCTTCCTTTCTAGTTCAATCTCTGACTTTTGGGTATCCATGGCAGACTGGGAAGTGAGCTGGCCTAACTCACGGACCCGTGCGGCCTTTTCGTCGCTTATCTCGCGCTCAAACTGTCGCTTCAATTCCCGAATCTGTTCCTGGTGTTGAGCATTGAGGGCCTCCGAGTCTTTTGTACTGTCCTGACGAATTGACTCCATTTCAACACGCTGTCGTCGGTCGAGATCGTCCAGGGCGATTTCTTGGTCTCTCTTGGCGTCCTTCAGGGCATTTTCTGCGGTATTGAGTTGGCTTTTCAATGATTCCAGCTCCACGCGCAGTGTCAAGTTAGTTTCGGTCAAGCCGTCACGCGAGCTTTCCAGTTCATTGACTGAGTCTAATGTCAATGATGAATCTCTCTCGGGGGTTGTTCAGTGCAACTTACTCCTAGTTTTGTAAAGCTCAACGGTTTCTTTCAGCCCAAAGCTTTCCTGTCCCGTCTGGTTCATTCGGGACATCATTCTAGTAAAGAACTCTTCCATGGTTCTTTCTTTGGAATCCTGGTCCCATTCGGAGCCTGTAGTATGGTCAATATCCCTGATCGAAGAATCCTTCCTGAGAAACAATGGTGCCCGTGCTTTTCGCGGGCTACGCTTGAGAGAGACAGAAGGATGTTTGCAAGAAGGCCTAGCAGGGGTGACCACGGGAACCTTGTGAGGTGATCCGGGCTTCGCGGGCACAAGGGGTGTGGGATTGGGTCCCTTGAGAACGCACGATGGGCTCACTGTTGTTTCAGTGACAGATGTCTGGAGATCCATGTTGAATAGCTCTGCGCACAAGGCAGTCTCATCCAAGTCGGAGATATTTGCAGGCGGCACGACTGCCTTCCGTGGGCCATCTTGATGCGGTTCCGAGGGCCCATATGGAATGGGACATGAGGGAATGCGACTGGAAGACAAAGAAAAGATATGCGTACCTTTACGTTTTCCAAGAACACTGCCCGCAGCATCTTCGGGGTGGGTATCAAGTGAGGTGGCCGGTCGTGGGATCGAGGGACCCGTGTGCTTGCGGGCACTGAGGGACGAATGTGGCCGAGACATGGCGGGGGGAGGACGTGCGCCATATCCAACCGTCGCGGAAAATGCCCCGTTAGTCGTCCGAGAGGCAGTTGAGGCGGATCGACTCATGGTGGAGGAGGCGAATGAGTTACCCTTGTTGTGCGTCTTGGTAGTACCGGCGGCCGGTCGTGCAGATCCAGACCTCGCTTCAGGGGCATTGGTGGCAGTCTTTGGGCGGGTTGCTGGTGGTACTGTCAGCTTCTGTTGTACAGCATGCTCCCAAGTCCTGCCTACGCGACACGCTCGCTGCCTTGTTGGCGATTGTGCCAGGCGGCAGAATGCCCGAGCGGGAATTGGTTGTGGCTGAAGTCATTTCTCGAAGACCCGCCTGCGGGATGCGCGTTCGAGTCGACACTCTGGTTTGGGTCTGTCACCAGTCAGTCATGCACAGTCCCATCGTAGACATCAGAGCGGGGGAGGTGGTCACCAAGTTCTCGTCCTCCATTGTGGGATTGGTAGTCCGCCAGGTCACCGGCGAGTATAAAATCCGGGCGAGGAGGAGGAGCTCACGTCCAGCCACGGTCTTGGGAGCGACAAAGAAAGCGCAGCACAAGTCTGGGGGGAATGGATTCAGGTGGGAATGTCAATGGATGAATATCTCGGATCGGCAGCTTTGGTTTCTGGAGAGACGGCGGCGGAGGTAAACAAACGATGATGACTCAGCCAGGGCCGGTCCGGCGCTAAGCCCAGATGGGGCTAGTGTGTGTATGTGTATTACCACCGTGAACAGTCCACGTGATCTGCTTCAACTCTTGTTGGCGCCTGGAAGAAAGGCACTTGACGGCCGCCAGCGGCGAGTGGTGGTGATTTCCTGGTTGCTGCTTTGCTCTTTGTTGACGCACCTTGCATTGGCCACCATTGACGTTGTATGGATGGCTCGAGACTCGGGCTCCACTTGAATGCCACTCGAAACACGGACCCAACGCCCCAGTTTCATTATTTCCCGGACTGCGGGAGCTTGGCTCGGTGTCAAAGACCTCTTCACCTTCCCTCGCTTTTCTATATCCTCCTCCTCTCTTGGTTATCCCCTCGCAATCCTTGGTGCTCAGCATGTCCGGGCGTTTTGTGCGTAATTCCAAATATCGTGAGTCTTCCTACTTTTCCTGTCTCAGGTGTCTGCCCGCTGACCGTTACAATCGCAAGGCCACGTCTTCGGGCGTCCGACGAAAAAGGTACCCCTCGGACAACATCCTGCTCACCGGAGCGCATCCATTCTAATGTCGACTGCAGGAACAATGCTATGATAACCTCCGAGTGTCGAGAAATGCCTGGGATACCAACCTGGTCAAGGTTCGTGCTCTCCGTGCCCCCTGGTCATCCACCAGCGATCCTCGTCTCATAAAGTTATGGCTAGGTCAACCCGAAACATCTGGCCGTCAATTGGGAATCCGGTGGTGGTGGAGCATTCGCTGTGATCCCTCTCGAGGAACGAGGCAAATTGCCCGAACGAATCCCTTTGTTCCGTGGTCACACTGCGGTCGTCCTGGACACGGACTGGTATGAAGTGCCGTGAACAACAATCGAGACCGAGGCTTACCCACGCCCTGCAGGAACCCTTTCAACGATGATTTGATTGCGTCGGGGTCTGATGACGGCAAGGTATGGCGGAGACCCTTTTTTCCCACCTCATTGCGCCGCTGACAGGTCCCAGGTTTTTCTCTGGCGGGTTCCAGAAGACTTTACGGTCCGCCCAGATGTAGCCGCAGATGATGTTCAAGACATCGCACCTGTCGGGAAGCTGAGCGGCCACCCTAAGTAAGATCCATCTCCCTATCCCTGCACAATGCGCGCGAGGGCTTGCTGCTGATCCCCTCATGCAGGAAGATCGGCCACGTGCTTTTCAACCCCGCGGCAGAAAACATACTGGCAACGGCCTCGGGCGACTATACCGTGAAGATTTGGGACATTGAGGCGGGCGCACCCAAGCTGACCCTAAACATCGGCGACATCGTTCAATCGCAGTCGTGGAGTGCCAACGGGTCGCTGATGGTTACCACCTCACGCGACAAGAAGCTGCGGATATGGGATGTGCGCCAGGAACGTCCAGCGCATGAGACTGCGGGCCATTCGGGTGCCAAAAACAGCCGTGCCGTCTGGCTTGGGGAACGCGACCGGATCGCGACCACCGGTTTCTCCAAAATGAGTGACCGCCAGCTTGCCCTGTGGGATATCCGCGCCGCGCGTGAGCCCATCAGTGGTTTCAAGACACTCGACTCTATCTCCGGCGTGTGCATGCCCTTCTGGGACGAAGGCACCAGTTGCTTGTACCTGGCTGGACGAGGGTGAGTGTTCACGGCTTTGCTATTGATGTCTACTACTAAACAACCCTTTGCAGTGACGGCAACATTCGGTACTTCGAAATCGAGAACGACAAGTTTGAATTCCTCTCCGAATACAAATCCGGAGACCCGCAGCGCGGCATTGCGTTTATGCCCAAGCGTGGCGTCAACATGCACGAGAACGAAGTGGCCCGCGCCTTCAAGACGGTCAATGACAGCTACATTGAACCAATCTCGTTCATTGTCCCTCGCCGATCGGAAAATTTCCAGGACGACATCTATCCGCCGACGATTGGAGTTACCCCTGCCATGGGTCCTTCTGAATGGCTGTCCGGTAAGGAGGCGATCCCGCCCAAGATCTCTATGGCCAGTCTGTACGACGGCCAAGGACTCAAGGAGGTGTCGGGAGTCCAGGACAAGCCAACTGGTGCCATGGATGCCCCCACTCCTAAGCAGGCCGAGCCTATGAAGACGACTGAACCGGCCCCGAAGAAGGCTCCTGAGCCTGAGCCTACACCTACCCCCGTGGCCCGCCCCGCTCCATCCATGAAGGATCAGGGGGCATCCATGGCCGCCATGGTATCCAAGTTTGCCGACGATGAGGAGGAGGCTGCTGCAGCAGAGGACGACTCGAGCTTTGAGGAAGTTCCTCAACCGACGGAACGTGCCGCTCGCTCTGCGGCTGCCGAAACCTCCTCGCCTCGCGTCAGTAGCCCACTGAGGCCCAAGGAGCCGGAACCTAAACCGGAGCCTCGTGTTGTGGTATGCGAACACTCTCATGTCTACCCCATCAATTGTCGTGATCCATGCTCACAAGCCCAGACCCCCACTATCCCATCTCCTGCAAGCGAGGCGAGTCTTCCCGCGGTCACCGTTCACCGCGAGATCGAAGAGATCAAGAATTTGATCGCAGAGCAGACCAAGACGATTGCCTCGCAGGCACAGCAGATGCAAAAACTGGCATCTGAAGTTGAATCGTTGAAGAGCAAGCTGGATTAAATGACTGTGATCCCCCTCCCATGTCAGTCAATGATGAAGCGTAGATCTTTCGAAGCACATTCCAAGTGTCTGGGCGTATATGAGGGTGCGGTGCGTGTGGATACGCTGTCTTTTTTTTTTTTCTTGAGCGGATTGTCAATACATTGGCTCGATGCGGGTCAGGTAGAGCTGTAAGAATTCCAATGCAATGTTTGAAAGAATAAAAAGGAATGTGAAAGTATGAAAGTTCACTTGAAGCACCTCCGGGGGCTCCGAACCTTGCATGGTACTTTTATATATTTCCAAACGAGAGCGCCTGGCACTTTACACTTTGTTTCTTCGGATAATGGGTTTTATAATGCAAGAACAAATCAAAAGCAAAAAGGTTCATGCAATTGTGCTTATAGAACTACAGAGGGGAGGGGAGGAAAAAGACAGAGCGTAGTTGGCTTCATATTGGTTGCAAAGGGACAAATCCACGAGTATGCTCGTTTGGGTCTGAACTAATGAGCCAAGTTTTTGTTGCAGCTAGAGCTATCGCCGGCCCATTCTACTGTTCAAAAAGAAAAACCCAGAAGCTACGCCAAAGAATGGTACCCAGGCGTCTGTGTCATTTCATGGCTCTCATCTATCAAAAGCACAGCTGCGTCAACCCTATATCTACCAGACGGGTTCATGGCCTCCGGAAGGGAAATATCATGCAAGGAGGTGAAAACGGTATGAGGAGCCGGGCAATTGGCAACAAATGATGCCGGATGACATTGTCGTGCCGTGAAGCTAGAGCTCATCTTCGTACTTATAATTGATGCGACGGCCGCCCACCAGGCGCTCCTGCCGGCTGTCTCGATGGCGACTGGAATGGGCCAGTTCCCGACGTTGTTGCTCTCGCTCAAGGCGTTCCCGGTTGCGCGCCTCACGTTCCAGGGTGTGCGGGTCTTTCTCGGGCGCGCCATTCGTTGACTTTTGATCACGGCGCTCATCGGTACGTTTGACCCTCCGGGCCTGCGGGCGGGAGTGCTTGCTGACTACCGACTCGGACCGATCGCGTCGGGAGCGTTTTCGGTCTCGGTCTCTTTCACGTGGCCAAGGCCGGTCCAAAGAACGTTCTCTGTCACGCTCACGCTCTCGATCTCTCTCACGGCCTCGATCCCGGCGACGCTCGCGGTCGTTGTCATGGTCTCGGTCCCGACGATCACGATCTCGATCCCGATCTTTCTCGCGACGACGGCTCTCTCGGGCCCGATCTCTCTCCCGATCCTCACCACGACGACTGAATCGGTCTTTGCGAGACCGATGGCTATTACTAATTCGACTGGCAAGGTCTCGCGACTCGCCTGCCTCGGAGGATGGTTTGCTGTGGCCATTAGCGTCACTTTCTTCGTTCCGAGCTGGGCTGCGGCTACGGCTGCGATGACGGCGCGACCGATATGACCGACGACTATTTCTCCGCTCTCGATCAGTGTCGTCGTAACGGCGGCGTGAAGATAGGCGCGGGGACAATGGGGATGGGGAGCGGGAGTTTCGGTAATCGAGCTGGGTGTCGTCAGGGCGCTCGGTCTGCCGGACCTCTCGGTCACGGCGATTCTCTCGGCTATCATCTGCGTCCAGAGTAGTTGGCGAGCGAGCGCGAGAGGCTCGCCTATGTGAAGGGGATCGGGAAGCTTCCCGGGAGTGGGACGGTGCCTTGGAGGTGGCTTGGGCTGGGATGTCACTTTGAGGGTCCGGATGTCCCCTGTACAGGTCAGCACAACGTACACACCATCGCGGAGATGGGAAAATACATACCCAGACAGATTCAGGGCATTGTTCCCCGAGATACGGCTTTGGTTCTGAAGGGCACGTTGGCGCAGCATACTGGTATTAGGCAGACCCTGTCGCATGGCGCGGGGAGCCACCGGAGCGCCTTCCACGCCTGGTCCACGCGGAGCGACGGGCATTTGCTGGAGTCCAGACATGCTATCGGCAAATCCATCGCGATGCATGTATCCACGTCCAGGCCCGGTTGGTGACTGGTTCAGACTGTCAATAGTAGGAATACCTTGGAGCTGTTGGCTTGGCTCTGCAGTAGAAGTGTTCTCTCCAGCGGGCTCAACCTCGGCATTGCTCTGGGCCTGGGGGTTTTGGGCTTTTGACGCATCAACAGCAGAAACAGCAGGAGAGAACCCTCCCGCCGGACCCCCAGATCCTCCTCGACCAGGGCCCTGAAAGTGCCCGCGGCCACGACCCCGGAACCCACCTCGACCATATCCCGGCCCGTAGTAACCAGATTGGGGACCTGGGTGAGAAGGGTAAGGAGAGACATTGGACCCGCCAAATGCTCCGTATGGAGAACCGGTACCATTTGCGAAAGCATTTGGATTGAGATTATCTTGGCCACGCCACATGTTCTGGGAGCCGCCCCATCCTAAGGATCCATACATGCCCTGCCCGTTGTAGTTCATCCCCATGTTCATGCCCATGCCAGTCATGTTCATTCCGTAGTCCCCGTACATCCCCTGATTAGCGGCCATCGGGTCCATCGTCATGGGCATGCCTGGGAAATATCATTAGTGAGTTATGACCAAGAGCCTGGAGACGCACAGGGGAGAGGACGTACCCATAGCATTCGGGAGATTAAACATGCTGGCCATGTATGGATTCATCGCATTGAAATTCCCGCCACCATTCCAACCCATACCTGCTCCTGGAAAGCCTCCCGAGCCTGCGTTTGGTGGCATCCCGGTGGAGTTGGACTGCGGGGGGTGATTCTGCGGGGTTTCTTCACCCGGGGTATCACTTGTGGGAGCGTTGGATTCCATGGCATCGGAGGTGTTGGTGGATTGATCCCCAGGTGCCTCAAGCTGGTGCATGGGGTTATAGAGAGTAATTTGCAGGGCAGGCGGTTGATCGGGTTGTGTTCCCTGAACTGGGGATTCTGTGGGCTGGATCGCTTCAGTTGTCGAAACACTCTTCTCAGCCATGTTGGTAGGGGGGACGTCTGCCGCAGGGTTTTCAGAATTGGGCTCTGCCAGCAGAGGTGTTTCGGTGGTCTCTATCACTGGTGTTTCTCCTATGGGGTGGGGTTGAGGTGCTTCTGGTGGTGCAGTTGCATCATCCGCAGGTGTCGCAATAGACGGGGCTGGGGGAGCTGCAGCCTGGCGGTCTTTTTCTCGCTTCTTTTCCTCGGTGCGGAGAAAGGCCTTGAGGGTGGTTCGGAGGGCCTTGTTGGGTTTGCAGAGATCCGGAGAGACTGGATGATGGGCACAGACTGGACAGGTGTCGGGGAGCGAGCTTTGGCCTAGAGCAGGAATTGATCAGCCATAGCAAAGAGATTGGGACCCGGCACAACTTACAAGGCTCACATATTGATTGGTCACAGCAAGGTAACCGGAAGGCATTCACTGCCAACTTGCTGCAGATAGCACATCGCAGCTTAAAAGGGATCTCTTCCTGGGAGAGCAAGCTAGAGAATGTCAGCCCTAAGGATGATTCCTGTATTTGCACAGTCACCTACCTGACGATATTCATGACGCCAGCCAGATCCCCCGCAGGCATGGCGAGATGGGGGAGCAGAGGACATGAACAAGCAAGACCAGACATCACTTAAAAAAAGATAACGGGGACTCGGATTCTAGTTATTCCGAGACCGGGGTGTTTACAGTCATCCACGGAGAATTACTAGCCGTGGAGGTAGAGTAGAAAGACCAGAGTTCATCAATAGAATTAAATCATGCAAAAGAAAATCGAAGTATAATAGAAAATCAGAGCACGAGTCAGCAAATACTCCAAGCATGCCGTCAGATTAGATCAAGTTTTATGAGTCCATCACTGCGGCGATACCATCGCGTGGTGTCATCCGCTCTGGACGGGTTCTGTCATCATCGGCCGAGCAAGAAGCCTGGAGATAGCATATAGCAATCGATCTATAGGTTTATATGAATCTCATGTATTCATATAAACCTATAGATAGAGATAGAGATAACTATCACTATCACTATCAATATCAATATCAATCCCACTATATATGGTATCCCCTGTGCAGAGAGAAAAAAAAGAACAAAAAAACTGAATTTTTCGGGGCGATCCACAGCGCCTTTTAAAAAGGGCGGTCGTGCCCGAGTCGCGCGTCTTTCGTCTTCTCCTCCAGGAGCTTGGGCCACCTGTTTTTTTCTGGATGCCTTGATTTTCGTACGCTTTTCTTTTCTTTTCTTTTCTTTCCTTTGCTTTTTTTCTTTTCTCCTAAATCATGACTGAGGATAACTATCGCCCTCAATCTCCTGACTTTTCCTCTCTCCCACTCCCTCCCTCCGACACCCAGCCGTACGCGCTCGCCAGTCCCGTGGCCCACCGCGCATCCTACGACGCCTCGCCCTTCTTCACCCCGTACCAACGCCCAAATTCTAGTCGCGTACCCCAGCAGTACGTTCCACCCTACCAAGCGGACTACGATCCTGATATGGCGCGTCGCTCATCTCGTCTGGCACATCCCGATGACGCTGCTGTCTCCGAGCCCGTCGCGCCCATGTTCCCCGTCGCTCCCCCCATAGCCGACGAATCGTCCCCGGCGCGCCCGGGCGCGGGCATCGAGGTCAAGACCAAGTTCCCCGTGGCGCGCATCAAGCGCATCATGCAAGCCGATGAGGATGTCGGCAAAGTTGCCCAGGTGACCCCGATCGCAGTCTGTATGTATACCATCTCGTCTGAGTCTTCGAGGATCGCCCTAGACATTGCTGACTTGACGCTCTCTGTCCCTGATAGCGAAAGCCCTAGAACTCTTCATGATCTCTCTCGTTACCAAGGCCGCCCAAGAAGCCAAAGACCGCAACTCAAAACGCGTCACTGCATCCCACTTGAAACACGCGGTCGCCAACGACGAAGTGCTTGACTTCCTGGCCGATATCATTTCCAAAGTTCCCGATCAACCCGCGGGCCGAAAACACGAGGACGACGGCAGCGATCCAAACGAGGGGCGCCGGAAGCGCGGCGGCCGACGACCCAAGGATGAGAGTGATTAACAGAGTGATCTCAAGCTCGGCGTGGGTCTGCAAATGATTGACGTGCTAGATGATGGACAACCGGCGCATGGATGACATCCTTTGGATATTGCTTTGTGATTTTCGTTGCGGCGTTGGGTGGCCTGAATTGGTTTGGGAGAGCATTTTCCTGTTGATATTATCTCTTCTTTTCTTTTCTCATATTTTTCTTTTGAACCTGGCATAGGCCGAGAGTTCCTGTTGTCCACTTCAATCCAGCTGGCGCATCGAAGGTGTGCCCTCGAACTACTCACTGGGTTGATTCACTGTAGCCCACGATCTAAATTCGGTAGACAACTTGGCGATTCTGTAATCAAAGTGTTCACTGATGTAAAAACTCAAGATCTTTCATTACTGAAGGAGATATCGGTGGGTGTATACTGCGAATCCTCCCGAGTCTCCGGACCGAATCAACGCCATAAACATGCGGTCCACCGGGCTCCACCACCCTCGACCCCAACACCTTTCCACTTCCCCTTCCGGATCGTGAAGATCATGCTGTCCTTACAGAATGGACTTTGTAGGTGCCTTTCCTTGCACCTCTGCGACGGATCATCCTCGCTAATTGACCCAGTGGTCTCGTCTTATCGGCGGCTCGCGCGCTCTGTCCAAGACCTCCCGGTCCAGCTCACCCACGGAACGACTGACAGCCTTCAAGCGCGCCGTTAATTCTCTCCAGGTACCATTCCCTCGATCTCCTTGATTTTGATCGCGAGTCAGGCTAATGGTGGTCGGCAGCAAATCTGGCGCTCGACCAATACCCCGTCGGGCGAACAGTCGGCCTCGCACGCCCGCACTTATATCGAGCGGCTGAACTCGATCCTCAGCGACGAATCCCGCGGACCAGCGCCACATCCCTGTGTGGTCTACGCAGCATCTTCGCAAGTTTTTGTAACCGTGACCAAGCTCGCTTTGTCCTACTATGACGATGGGGTCCTGCGATCCGCGACCCTTTTCTTCAACACGTTGATCGATTCCGAGGTCGATGGCGTAGTGGACAACCGGCTGTTTGCCCGCGCTTTGGTGGACCTGGTCCGCCGTGCCGATAAATCATCGGAAGAAACGGAAGGAAGACTAGTGGAGCTGCTCTTCGGGATTTCCAACAACATTCGTCTGCAACCCGGCATTCTGCCGGCGTGGTTCGTACCCCGGGCGACGCCCAATGGTCAAGAGGGCGAGTCTGCAGCTTCGAGTGGGGCGGAATTCGCAGGGGCAACTAGGAAAGATGAGTTTCCCCTGTTCTATCTGCTCGTCGACTATGTCCACCATGACGGCCGCGCAGGCGATTTTGCGCGTACGGGGCTACTCTATCTCATTGAAACCGCTTCCCGGTCCAAGAATTTGGAAAAGTGGCTGATCGAAAGTGATTTGGCAACACTCATGGCTACTGGACTGGGTGCACTGTATAGCCAGCTAGGCGGGTAAGTGATCCAGGGCCCCTGGCACGGTACATTGGCGTGATAGACTAATCCAACGAAGCTTGTCCTTCACGCCGACTGACGAAAACGTCCCTCACATTGTCGCACTATCCGATCACGCAAAACAGGAGACAGCTCTCCCGCCGGCCCTCGGCCAAGCGATGGATGCCTTTATGTCGTACCTTTTATTCTGGCAAGACACCATTGATCATTGTAAATCAGCCGAGGTGAACGACACACTCTTGGATCACTTTCAAGTGCTATTTTTGGAGCAACTTTTATACCCATCATTGCTGGAATCGTCTGATGTGGCCGGCGGGTCGACCGCGGCAGTGTTGACTTACCTATGTCGCATTTTGGATTCAATTGAGCAAGGCGAGTTGGTCCATCGCATTTTGCATTTCTTGCTGGCCTCATCCCCTCGCACACCGGAGCAAATGGATATGTCTGTCAGTCGGCGCAAATCACTGAATGTGCTGGCCGCATTGGCCTCCGAAGCTGCACAGCCATCGCCGTCGCTCTTCACTCTACGCGACCTCGCCCTTCTTGGGCTGCAATCCTCGAATCGCCAGACCGTGCTGGCCACATTGCGCCTACTCAATGTCATTCTTCAACGGCATCACCCATTTGCACGGGCATTGATCCATACTGTTCCCACGCGGCCCGGCCAGCAACGATCGGTTGGGGCACTGAATGCTGAGCTCGAACAGCTTCTCGGCCTGTCGACGTTACTTGTCCAGAACCCCACTTTCGATGAGTCTTACGAGAACTACGTTGCGGACGCGACCTGGGCCCTCGAATCTCGCTTGTGTCTGCCCGTCACTGCGGTAGACGAGGCGGCGGAAGCCACACCCCTGCCACTGCAGCTCCAGCAAGATGACCCGATTCTGCAAGCACTGTTGGCATGCCTCGATGGCTTCTTCACCAATAGCGTGATTGTCAACCTGGCTCTTACCGGAGTATTCATGAGTCTGGCCTCGTCGCACCTTTTCTCCCTTGATGGTTGGGTCTTGGTCGACCCGTCTCAGTATGACACTACAGCTGCAGAAGAAACCCAGGACCCGCTCGATCGGATCCGTCGTGCATACCAGGCACCTACTTGGCCAGAGAGCGCAGCCCCGACTCTCGCCACGGCACTGGAAAGATTAGTTACTCAAGTCCATCGGTGGCAGCAGGACCTGCCAGACTTTGAGCTGTTAGTGGCGGCTCGGCGAGAGATCCTGCACCAAGAGGATCGCCCGCGCACGCCTGACCGCACGCCGGAGTCAGCGGAGACCCCTGTGCGTTCGGGATCTCCGGACGCTATCAGTTCAGGATCCCGGGGTCGCTCTTCACACCTGGGGAATTCGCCGCCGCGCGGCGAGTCATCCGGGCCACCGTCTGATTTTCGGCGCTCATCTGGCCCCCCGACTGCCACCGCAGATGGCTTGCGACAGCGTTTAGCCACGCCATTTCCACCGGTGGAGAGTACCGATACGGATGGCGCCACTGAAAACCGTCCGGTCGCGACGCTTGGCCATGTGCTGACAAATGTAGTCATTCTGCATGAATTCTTGCTGGAATTATCGGCGGTTGTACAAGTCCGGGGCAGTCTGTTTGAGGAGGCAGGATATCTGTAATTTACAAGCACGTATATCCCGGGACATATTCCAGGACACTCAACTATGCCAGTGTAGACAATCTACCTTGTACACGCGGTCTCATCCCTTAGTGGGTCCCGGGGACACCGGCGCCAAGTCGCAGGCGCAACTTGGCCACTTTCAGCTCTCAACCCTCACTTCTCCTGTCTCGAAATGCGATAATCCCTTGTCTATATATATTCTCCGACTGTTCTACTCTCGCTATTCCCCGCTACGGCATGCCCGGCCGTCATGACCTCGGAACCGCACGAGCCTCTTGATCGCGAGGACCGCGAGGATGCCCCGTTCCTGGACTCCCCCGATTCAGGCCGGCCCAGCGATGCGAAACCCGAAATTCCCGCCCAGGCGAGCCGGCCTAATGTCTCTTCGATCGCATTTCGTCTCCGGGTGATTTTGTGTCTGATGGTCCTCGCGGTGGAAGTTGGGTTTGCCTTCTTGGAAGGTCCCATGGTTCGCATTTTGGAAGCCATTGCTTGTCGTCAGCACTACTTGCAAGCCGATCCATCCAAAATCGCAGGCGATGGACAGGTGCCGGAGAAGCTGTGCAAGCTTGGGGAGATACAAGCCGAGTTGGCCGCGGTCAAGGGATACCATATGTTTTTCGATGGATTGTTGAGTATGGGTTGAAACTGGAATCGTGTCGCGACTCACGTTATGATCTAACGGCTTTCTGCAGGTGCACTTTTGGCAATTCCATACGGTTTGCTGGCAGACCGTCGTGGCCGCAAACCGACCCTCGTCTTGTCTCTCCCTGGATTCGCCCTGAACACGATCATCACCGTCACCGTCATGTGGTTCTCGGATATCTTCCCGCTGCGAGCGGTTTGGCTGTCTTCGCTGTCGTGGTTGCTCGGCGGTGGCCCTGTCGTGGCCGCTGCGATTATTTGGACCATGATGGCGGATGTGACTACCGAGCCGGAAAGGTATTAATGTCATTATCGTGCCGTTTTTATCTAGATACTAATGTCTTGGTGCAGGGCTACCATCTTTTTCCAATTCGGTATTGCGTTCATGGGCGCTGATTTTGCCTCGAGCGCAGTCAGCTCATGGCTAATGACGATGAATCCCTGGGTGCCGTTAACGATCGGATATGGGATCATTTTAGGTGGCCTGCTGTTCACTATCATGCTACCGGAGACGAAACATGCCATGCCCTCTCAACCCCCAGAGTCATCCCATGTCGAACTCTCAGACCTGTCCGCGGGCCTGGGCCCCAAACATCATTCCGATGAACTGGGATCATACCATGAAGAGAGCGATTTCCATGCGAACCATGATCACAGCACGACCGTGGCATGGAGCCTTTCAGCTGGATCTTCTCGACCCATGAGCACCAAATGGCGTGCCAACTACCGATTCTACATCAAGCCGTATCTGTTCATTCTGAATCGCAAACCGGTGCTGCTGCTTCTGAGCGCATTCTTGGTCTACCGTCTGAGCCGAGGCTCCTCCTGGTTCCTGACCCAATATATCTCCACGCGATACAACTGGACCTTGGCCGCGGCCAACCTCCTTCATTCCTGCCGACCTGCGGTCTCGATCCCGCTGTTCCTGTTCGGTCTTCCTTGGATTAAGGAGCGAGTCTTGCACCCTCGGCGCACGCCCACCGAAAAAGACCTGTGGCTGGCACGCGGCAGTATTTTCTGCCTTACTTTGGGAACCCTAGGGATTGGGTTGTCTCCCAGCATCGCCGCGTTGATTCCCAGCATGGTCCTCCAGACCCTGGGCTCGGGGTTTGTCTTCCTCACGCGCTCGATCATCACCACGCTCGTGGAACGGGATCAAACGGCGCGTCTATTTACCGTCATTGAAATTCTGCAGGCAGTTGGTAATGTCATCGCCAGCCTTTCCATCACGACCGTCTTCCAATATGGGCTGCGCCTGGGGGGCGCGTGGATTGGACTAGCGTGGATGATGACCAGCTCATTGTTTTGCTTAGTCGGTTTAGCGATTTGGCGTTTCCGTCTCCCTCCCGCATCTGCTGAACCCGATTTTGTGGTAGGAGAGTTTGACGAGGACGCATAGACCGGCATTTCATGGACTATATAGATTTTGTATATTATGATTCCCTGCTATATTGCATGCACACTTTCTCGGGCGTTGTCAACTTGAATACAGTCAACTTTATCTTAATAAATATAGCTTAGATCTAGATATCTCTTGATCTCTCGATCAAATCCATCGATGTTTATACAAATCGCAGAAAATAGCCCGTCAAAAAAAAAAAGTCACGTGTCGTTCACATGTGTCGACATCCACGTTGAGCTTCCTGAAGGGCCATCGATGAGGTCAACTCGCGTCTCCAGCCATCCTTGACGCCTCGGAGGAAATGGAAAAGTTCTCTCAATTTCGAGACCGGGGTAGGTGTGCCCCTGGCCAGTATCAGTGTTGCCGAGGTGATCTCTAACAAACCCCAGGCTCGGGTATTGCGCCTTTCCTGCCCATCCCCTCCGAGCCCCTCGGCCTGCAGGCCCCTCTGCGCATCTTCTTGTTCTTTTTCCGCCTTCCGCTTTTCATTTTCGTGACACTCGGCTACTTTATCGTCCTCCAATGGCTTCCGATCGGCTCGCTGGGCAAGAAGGCCGCGCTGTGGTGTATTCTTGGGGTTCCCAGCATCTGGTGGATTGACCTCCAAGTGGATGGAGTGCGAAAAGGGTTCGTGCTGCCTTGCTCCCATAACAGAGAAACTATATATATATATATATGGGTTGCATTCCATGCTAACACCCTGGGTGTAGATCGCTGTCTAAGCAGCAACAAGCTCGTCTGCCACAGCCCGGGTCTGTCATCGCGTCCTCGCTCACCTCACCGATCGACGCGGTGTACCTCGCAGCTATCTTCGACCCAATCTTCACAGCATCATACCCCAACACGCGGCAGGTAGAACGCATCTCGTTGCTCCAAGCTATTTTGCGCGCATTTGCCTCGCCCGCGACCCGGCCTGCCCCCGGTGCGCGAATGGTGGATGTGGGGACGCTGGTGGAAAAATATCCGAATCGCGCGCTTGTCCTGTTCCCGGAGTGCACCACCACGAATAGCCGGGCCATATTGCCCCTGAGCCATTCGCTGTTGGCCGTGCCTCCCAAGACCAAGATCTTCCCGGTCAGCTTGCGGTATACCCCGGTGGATGTGGTGACTCCGCTCCCGGGGAGTTACATCAGTTTTCTATGGATGCTGCTCAGCAGGCCGACCCATTGTATTCGGGTGCGCATTGCCGAGTGCGTGGTGCAAGGCCGGGCTGCCAGTGAGGCTCCTCCGGCGCGGTCCACCCGGAAGTCGACATACCACACCAATTACCTCGACACGCTGGATCAGGAGTCGGGAGACGGCGAGGTCACCGTGGGAGAGAAGGCGCTGCTTGATCAGGTGGGAGAGTCGCTGGCTCGTTTGGGACGAGTGAAGCGCGTGGGTCTCGGAGTCAAGGAAAAGCAGGACTTTATTCGGATGTGGAGCAGAACCCGGCGAACGTGGTGAGGTTGCCAATGCAGTATATCCCGATCAATGGAAGTATTCTATGCATTTTCAGTATCTCTAGTGATTTTGGTCTTCCGCGCATGTCTTATGGATACATCTTTCCGGACACAGACGATCTCTTGAACAAGTGTATATAAGCCGATATGATCATCCTTGTTTGGGATGCCTCAATTACAGGAATATAAAAGTTTAGAAGTAGAGTGGGTCTGTGTGTATGTTGCAGATGCAAAGGATTTCAAGTCTTACGTACAGAGGGTTGTCTCTCCATGGCCTCTACAACAATGGCTGTCCACATGCACCCGAGCATTGTCTCTGCTGTGAAACTCGGCTGCACATCTCGAGCATCACTTCATTTTTGTTTGATCGCGTCTTCGCTTCCAGCACTCCCGTTGTGGACTCGGGCCTAAATAATGGCCTATCCAATCACCGCCGGACGAACTATACGCCAGCAGTTATGAATGGAATCGATCGACATCCCCTGATCTAACAAGCCCCTCGGGTCGCAACATGGACTGTGACTATATGATTCCCCCTCCGTGGCTGGGGATTTGGTCCTCGAGACTACGGCATTGCCGCTTGCCCTGACTCAGTTTGTCTAACATGTCGGTGCTGCGAGCTCTCGTGTCCGTGCTAGGAATCTCGGCGGCCGTCGCAGACTCGGACACTCTGAAGACCTGTCTGAAGGATACGCTGACTGACAGCGGCCGCGTCGCGTTCAAGGGGGATGTGTTCGACCACGCCACGGCTGTCAACCCCTACAACCTCAACCTCCCAGTGACCCCGGCTGTCGTGACCTTCCCGGCCTCAACAGGTCGCCGTGATTGTCAAGTGCGCCGCCGACAATGACCACCATGTCCAGGCGAAGAGTGGCGGTTACAGCTACGGCAACTATGGTCAGGTCCCATCACTTATGGTCTGAAGAGCGACATTGGAAGCTGACATCGCATTGTGCACAGGCTACGGCGGAACCGATGGCGCCGTTGTTGTCGACCTCAAGTATCTGCAGCAGTTTTCCATGGACCGAAAAACCTAGGAGGCCACAATCGGAGGCGGGACTTTACTGGGGGATGTGATGAATCGGCTGCACGACGCCGGTGGGCGGGCCATGTCCCATGGGACCTGCCCGCAAGTCGGATCCGGTGGGCATTTCATCATCGGCGGCCTGGGCCCGACGTCGCGTCAGTTTGGAGCCGCGCTGGACCACATCGTGGGGGCCGAGGTGGTGTTGGCAAACTCGAGTACTGTGTGAGCCTCGGCCAAGAAGCACCCGGACGTGTTTTGGGCCATCAAGGGTGCGGCGTCGGGCTTTGGTATCGTGACCGAATTCAAGGTCCGCACGGAGCCAGAGCCCGGTACCGCAGTGCAGTATGCCTATACCCTGAAGGTTGGCAGCACGAAGGCGCGGGCTCAGCTGTTTAAACAATGGCAGGACTACGTCTCTAACCCGAAGCTGACTCGGAAGTTGGCTTCGACGCTCACCCTGCTCGAGGGTAGCATGGCCATCACGGGCACCTTTTACGGGGCCAAGAAGGAGTATGACGCGCTGAAGATTGACCAGCAATTTCTGGGAGCCAACGGCAGTGCAGTGGTATCCCGGGACTGGCTGGGGTTGGTCGGCCACTGGGCCGAGGAGGTAGTGCTGGAGCGGGGCGGAGGCGTGCCAGCCAACTTATACTCCAAATCGACTGCGTGGACGCCCAAGAACCTGATGTCATCGGAGACGATCGGCAAGCTCTTCAGGCACGCTGGCATGGTTCCTGTTGTTTGACTTCCAGGGCTATACCAACGACATTGCGACTGATGCGACCTCCTACGCTTACCGCGACGTATCGATCTGGCTGCAGCCATACTCTATCAACCTGCTTGGCCCTGTCACTAAAACCCAAACCAAATTCCTCGATCAGGTCAACAAACTCGTCACCAACGACAAGGCGCCGTATGCCGCCTACCCGGAATATGTAGATCCCCGCATGTCCCATGGCCAACAGGCTTATTGGGGGTCCAACCTGCGCCGGCTGGAGCAGATCAAGGCGGAAATTGATCCCAAGAACGTGTTCCGCAACCCGTAAAGCCCGTCACCGGCCAAATAATCGGGTGTGTTTCTGAATGTTGAGGGGGTTGGTTTCAGTACAGATTTCTCCCGTATATAGTGTCAGGCCTATGCTCCTGGCTTGATGGGACATTGTACATGATGCAAGATCTTATCTAAAATCGACTTTATTTATTCTTGACTCAAGGTGAAGGTGATCCGTGGATGTCTTGTCCTAATTGTGGCAATGACTGTTGGATCAACAACAAAAGTGACAGACATGAAGTTTATCAAGAACTTGCCTAAGACCAGCCTTTCATAGAAATACCGAGGATAGCTTTAGTGGTTTGCCATTATTCAGGTGAACTTCAATCCATGAATAGATAGAAACAGGCTGAGTTTTGGCTTGCAACCACTCTTTCATTGAGAATAAAGAGGCATGTTGAAAACAATGACATTGAATGCCACACAAGAAAGAGAAAATTGCACACATAATAGATGTTTCATTTAGCTTTTATTTAGCAGTTTCTTTGTCTTTGTTCTTTAGTTCTATAAATCAGAGAAATATCCTGATTTTCTGTCACCAGTATCAATGCAAACACAGAATCCCCCATCCAAGCTATATATCCCACAACCTATCCCCGACAATGTGCAAACAACACTACCTCAAGTTCACAGAATGCAAACACATACACAGTGCATACCGTGAGCGCTGCCCAGAAGCTGGGCTTCCTCGAAGCCAGCGGATATCCTGTCAAGAGTACAGAAACAAGACGTTGATGCTGACGAGGCCTGATAACCGATGTGAAATCAAGCCTGGGATATGTGGATCTTGCTCGAAGTCGCTGTATATGGAAATGCAGACGCTACTGGCCAGTTGGATAATGAGAGCCGAGCTGGAGGAGATGGAAAAATCGTACAATGACGGCGGCAGCGACAACAAAGAGAACGAATGGCAATCCGTCCGGGCCGGGATGGGTGGACACTGCGCTAAATCGTCTGACTGCGAATTGCAGACGAGGTTGGATAGGTCGGAGATCGAAGCTGACCTGGAAGAAGAGGTGCCAGAAGCACCCAATGACAGGGACAGTCAACCGAAGGGATGGCTCTCCCTTGGAAAATATGTGTTTTGGTAACGCGACGGAGCAAAGGGCGAGAAGTTTAGGGGTATAAAAAGAGAATTCGATTTGAATAAAAGCCAAGTGATCAATAGCCCTTGATGAAACAGCCAAGCCATCCAATGCTCCATTGTAACTTCGCACGTAGGGTATTATCAAAAAGATATAAGCAAGTCACCGACTCTCCAAGGCGTTTTGTGCGAGTGTGTCAATGCGACGAGCATATAAGTCCATTAGGTGCATCACCGGGTCTCCAAAAACCACCCCACGTAGCTCCCCATCAGTGGTCCCATATGCCTCAACCTCTTCGCGAAGTGGGACACTAGATCCGTCCAGGTTCGCAGCCGGCGCGATCACAGGACGCCCATTTAAACTGCCGCGACCACGCAGAAGAACAAGTCGCCCCGCTGCAGCCAAGGCAGAATTAGGAACTCGCCAATGAGCAGGATTCGGAATGCCCTTGCGATCACGGAATGCGAGTAATGAGCCAGGTGCAGGGGAGGCATACAGGTCAAGTAGAGACAAAAGGTAACCCTTGTCAGCGCGAGCAACCGGGTCACCTTCGTTGATGAACGCAAAGAACATGGATTTAGATTGCCGCGAAGCAGAGGAGTGTTGAAGTGGACGGAATGAAATCGGCGGCGCCCCAAAGGTGACGCAGTGGACGTGCTTGAAGATGCCGCGCAGGTGGGTGAGTTCAGATTGAACAGCCGGCGACTCCGAGAGGAGATGAAGATATATCAGGGTGGCTACAGCCCCGCCTGCGGAGTGGCCAGTGATCATCAACGAATATGAAGTGCGAGAGGAGTCTTCTTCGAGAAGAGTGCGTAGACGGGCGGCGACGGGGGCGACCATCTTCCGCGCAACAGATAAAAAGCCTGCATGACAGCAATTCGAGGCATCGTCCAAGAAGCCTATGGGAGAAGTGGGAGCCGTGTGAACGTTGACAGCCCAGTCGAGAAAGCTCTGCGTGCCACGGATGGCGAAAACGATCGTGTCTAGATCGTCAACGGGCAACGACTTGATCACCATGGCCTTGGTACCCTGGCGCCAATCGGAATCCACATACGAATGCTGTTCGTGTCCTGATGGCTTGTCATATACTCGACGTGAGTATTGAGCAGCAAGCCGGAGGAGAGGATAGGTCGGACGATAGCTTGAACCAATATCAGCCAATCATTCTCCCAGTACACGAGATCCTCTTACAAATTCAGGAGCGGCAGATGCGACGGCAGCCGCGAGTTAGAATACAGATATACCTTTGAAAAATAGTCGGCAGGCTCAGAGCGTTTTTTCTTCCCAGTCCGACGTGACCGACGGTTTTTCTGAGTCTCGTCCGAGCGGAATGGCAAGGCGCACGCAGCGACTACCAGTATGCAGTCAGCAGAAGTTCAGTAAACATCATAAGGTAAGTGGACATCACTCACGAAGCTCCTTCTCTTTGCCACAGAAAGACCCCAAATCAATCGAGGTAATGATCTGGTCCAGGAGCCGGGACGTGGAATCGCGAACATTCGCACCTCCACTCACACTCTGGCGAACCAGCTGCTCGAGATCAGCCATTGTGGCATTTGCCTTCTCAGAGGTCTGAACCATGAGATTGGAGACCGATTGATTGAGATTCGAACAGGATTTCCATTTCGCGAGTTCCGACCGCGGCTTTACTTGCGAGTCCCATGCTGGAGGACTTCCCGGCGCAGGGCCAGAGAGCAATCGATGTTCCATCGGCCGTGGCCGAGGAGGAAGCACCGGGGCCATCGATACCGTCACATTGGAGCGATGATACGCTACTGGCCGCGGGTGTGCAGACACATTCACAGTATTCGTGCTGCCATAGTATGTCCTCGCTTGGCCCGCGTCCGGTGGCCGAGGATACAAGTGGGCATTTGCCGCAGTGGGGACGCTTTCAGTGCGGTGATGTTGGTAAGCTGAGTGCTCAGGTCTCGGACATGAGGGTTTGGGACGATGCGAATACTGCCAGGCCATATTGAGGTCCGGTCAACTCGGCTTGGCCATGCCCAAGAAGAATGAAAAGAGATGGCATCGAGCCAGCCCATCCAAGAACTCATTGAGACGCAGGGCCCTGCAGGTCCCTTCGATCTGCGCCACATGTTTAGCGTCCACTGACCTTCAGCCAAGACCGAAGTGCGCACAGCCTCAACAGGGGAATCTCACGAATGACATCAGAGAGAAAAGAGAGGATTAAGAGGATTATAAAAATAGATTAAACAGAAGATTAGAAAAAGGATTGGAAAATAATACTAGTAGTAGGAACATAGCTATCTATACATATCATAAAGAATAAATCCTCTTGAACTAAATAGGATACCATGTAGTTAGTAAGCCATTTCAATCTAATTCTTATTCTCTACTTTCTCTTTCCAAGTTCCCTGAGCGAAGCGAAGGTTAGCGGCTTGTGAAGGAGGAAGGAAAATTGCATTGACAATGATATCATATAGCACAGGCCCCAGAAATACATCGCTTTTGTTTTATGACCGAGACCGAAGTCATCCTCCCAAAACACCTGATTGTTTACTCTACAGCATCAGTGATACAGCCCTCACTGGCATCCTTGACGTTTCTGTGGCGAGCAGATTAGCAGGGAAATGGCAATTGAATTAAACGAATACTCGGGTCAAACTCACCTGGCGTATTTGCCCAGAGTGCCTCTCATGGTCAGACCGGTCGGAGGCAGCTTGCCAGCCGCCTTGCGGGCCTCCCAGTCCTTTCTTCGCACCGCCAGTTCAGCATCAGCAACCTCAAGGTCGAGCACACGTCGCTCGGCATCAATGGTGATGACATCGCCGTCCTGAACCAGACCAATGGGGCCACCGACAGCGGCCTCAGGAACAATGTGACCGATCAAGAAGCCGTGAGAGCCACCAGAGAAACGGCCGTCAGTGATCAGCGCACATGAGGAGCCAAGGCCAGCGCCCATGAGGGCGGAAGAAGGCTTGAGCATTTCTAAGGGAGAAGGGTTAGCACGACATCAACAGCCAGCTTCTGGACTAGAATGAACCCTACCAGGCATGCCAGGTCCACCCTTGGGACCGGTGTAGCGGATCACTACCACGGTCTTCTCATCCTTCTTAATCTCGTTGCGCTCCAGCGCGGCGACAAAGTCGTCCTCATCATCAAACACGCGAGCCTTGCCCGTGAAGGCGGTGCCCTCCTTACCGGTGATCTTGCCAACACTGCCGCCCGGGGCCAGGGAGCCACGCAGGATCTGAATGTGACCGGTCTTCTTGATGGGGTCGGAGAATGGGCGGATGATCTTCTGGTCGGCGTCAAAGTCGGGCAGCTTCTCCAGGTTCTTGGCCAGGGTTTCACCGGTGACGGTCATACCCGAGCCATCAATCAACCCCTCGCGAAGCAGAAGCTTCAGCAGAGCCGGGGTACCACCAATTTCGTGCAGGTCGGCCATGACATACTTGCCCGAGGGCTTCAGGTCAGCCAGGAAGGGGATGCGGTCCGAGACGGATTGGAAGTCCTCGATGTCAAGCTTGATACCAACGGAGTCGGCGATGGCGATCAAATGTAGCACTGCGTTAGTCGAGCCACCAGTAATGTTCACCACTACCATGGCGTTCTCAAACGCCTGGCGAGTCAGGATGTCGCTCGGGCGAATGTCCTCGGCAAGCAGCTTCTTGATCGCGCCACCAGCCGCCAGGCACTCCAGGTACTTGGCCTGCGAGTTGGCCGGGTTAGACGAGGATCCAGGCAGGGTCATACCCATGGTCTCAATAGCCGAGGCCATGGTGTTGGCAGTGTACATGCCACCGCAGGCACCCTCGCCGGGACAGGCATGACGGATGACATCGAAGCGCTGGGGCTCGGTGATCTCCTTGGTAATGAACTGGCCGTAGGCCTGGAAAGCGGAAATGATATCGATATCGGCATTGTTCTGCGTCGCGGCACAGCCAGGCTTGATGCTGCCACCATAGACCATCAGACTCGGGCGGTTGACCCGGCCCATCGCCATGAGCACACCGGGCATGTTCTTGTCACAGCCAGGAATGCTGATGTTGGCATCGTACCACTGCCCACCCATGACAGTCTCGACGGAGTCGGCGATGAGATCTCGACTCTGCAGAGAGTAGCGCATGCCCTTGGTTCCCATACTGATGGCGTCACTGACACCGACGGTGTTGAACTGGAAGCCCACCATGCCGGAGTCCTGCACACCCTCGCGAACCTTGTTGTTCAAGTCCAGCAGGTGCATGTTGCAGGGGTTGCCATTGAACCACACCGACGAGATGCCCACCTGCGCCTTGTTCATGTCCTCCTCCTGGAGGCCGACTGCGTACAGCATCGCCTGCGAGGCACCCTGGGAGATGGGCTGTGTGATGTTGCGCGAGACCTTATTAAGGACGACATCGTCTTTTTGGCGGAGGGGAAGGGTGGTTGTGAGAGTCCGGCTGGCGAGGAGAGAGGATCAGTTAGCGAGACCAAAAGAAATGAAAAAAAAAATCTCTTGGCGAGGGACTCACACTGGCAATTTGGCCAGACCCCGGAGAGCCGGCATTCGGACCCGAGTAGGAGGAAGCATTGCGCAAGGTGGTGAGAGATGATCACCCAAGAAGCAGAGGGATCTTTAAGAAATGGCGATGGCAGCGCAGAAAAGGCGGAAGAAGCTCACCTCGGAGTTGGCGAGTTGCTCCCCGGCTCCACATCCCCCGTGGGCCGCCAATGCGCGGTGATCAATTGTCAGCATAAAATCACCGGCTGGGGATAATTCTCACAATATTAATGCAAGCGAAGTCATATTAATGGGGCAAATGTGCTTAAAAAATACATCAAGGGATCTACTGGGGTATTGAACTATATAGGGCTGATGTAGGAACATAGATGGCCCTTACATGTGGTGGTCGCATGGAGTATGGGAATATATCTATGGTTGATATACTTATGTTTTCCTATGTCGTAAACTCCAACAAGTTCCCTGCATAGTCTCGCACGAAGAATCGCTCTGGATATTCTTTCCCTTGCGTGCCTGTATGAATCAACGAGTTAGGGCATGGTCTCGCCGAGTGTGACGACGTGGCTCACCAGAGTTGATTTCTCCCGGCTTATCGGCTGTCATGGGTGCGGCACCTCCTCCACGAACATAATGCTCATAGACACGTCCCTTTAGTTGCTCCAGCTCCTGGCGAGAAGCGAGCTTGAAGCATGGGTGTCGGGACGAGGAGGGGTCAGTAGGACCAAAGGTAATATGGACTTGCTGGGCGCTTGATCCAATGTTGAACCTGTAGTAGATGAGAATAATCCTCATATGGGTTCTTTGCAAAGACTCCCAGAGGGCACTTCGCTTACCATGCAATGGTGCCCTTCTGCAACACGGGCACCGGCGTGGACGTCAACCCCAGAGTGGTGCCATAGAATTCCTCTGCCTGGTCCAGCGTGTCCTGTGGGACAGTCAAGTTGATGTGAGCGATGCCGGTGATCATTGTGGTAGAATTGAATAGCGCAGTTGTTGTGTTGAAGGGAAGATTTTTGGAGTTGAGGGGCATCTCATCCAACCTTAAAGCCCGGAAATCGGATCCCGCGTCGGTGTATACTTCGGTGACTTCGGTGATCAATAAAAAGGAAAGTCACGTCTTGCTTTCCCCGATCGAAGTATGTTCCGGTGGATTTCTGACAGGCAAGACAATGTATATTCTCCAATATATCGAATTTATTCAGCCAGTGAGCTTCAGCTTCGAAGGAATCCAGATTTATATATAAAGGTTCGTGCTACACTACAAATCGAACAGAAACAAAAAGGTCAATATTCGTTTATTGTAGTTTTTGAGTTTTCTCGATTTCTGCCTCTCGTAAGATATAACATTCAAGTCAGAAAGGGAATAGAAAATAAAGGGTATAACAGCGGGTCTAGTCACAGGAAAGAGAAAAACAACCAAAAAAAAAAAGGAATTCAGATCCGATCAACTCGGAACCCAACGTGTCTCGTGAAAAGAAAATTATATATGTAGTGGTAAGGGGGAATCACAAGCACAGAAAAGAAAGAAGAAAGAGGGGGGAAAGAAAAGTGAAAAAGAAAGAACAAAAACAAGACAGCGGCGTGCATGGGAGACCCGCTCTATGGCACTTCTTTGTCGCCTCGTTTCAACCCCTCGGGCACATTGATAGCATCGCGCACCCACTCTATGGCGGCAATCTCATCGAGCGACTTGCGCTTGGTGTTGCGCTTGAGGAGACCCTCCACACAATGCTGGGCACCATCTAGCCCCTGGCCCTTCTCGGGATCCCATTCTTCGTCATCGTTGGCATAGCGGTACCAGCTCCACTCGCACCGAGCGATACGGTGCGGCGTACGGGCTCGAAGCTTGGCCGGGTCCCCACGAGTACCGGGCAGAACATCAAAAGGCAGACGGCTCTCCATGATGGCATAAAGCAAAACACCAAGCGCCCACGCATCGGTCGAACGACCGTCATACGCCTGGCCCATCAGAATTTCGGGAGCGGCGTAGTCCTCACTACCACACCGCGTTTTCAAGAGTGGGCTCTCGGGAGGTTCAGGGATGCGTCGTGAGAGTCCGAGGTCACTGAGGGTGACCACGGCTCGATCATGAGTACGCCAGTTTTGCACATCTTCCATGGCATGGGCAGGCATGGTGAGCAGAACATCTGGAAAGACCATTAGCATCATTTTCATAAAGTTATGAAGAGTGACCGAGACTTACTTTCCAATTTGATATCCCGGTGCACAATGTAGTGAGAATGTAAGTATCGCACAGCATCCACCAGCTCGGCGAAGATGCGTCGAATGAGACCGGGCGACATGGGTCGGGGGCCGGATGTAGCGAATTCAAACAGATCTCCGCCGGGACAGTAATCCAAAACCAGCAATGCGCGCTTCTCGTCACTGCCAAATGCCTTCAGCTGGACCAAAGATGGGTGGTTGACAGCCTTCAAGATTTCGACTTCACGCTTGAGAGACACTTCCAGCCGCCCCTCGTCCGCACCACCCGCAGGACCATGCTCGATGATCTTGACCGCGACCAATTTCTGAGTCGTAGGCGCCACATCACTGGGTCCATCGGTGACGGGTGATAAGGGGGTCTCGGGAATCTGCTCCACACGAGCGGCGAGACTGACTTGACTGAACGTGCCCTGGCCAAGAACTCGCAATTTCCGGTACATTCGGGCTTGTTGGGTGCGGATCGATCGAACAGAGTAAATTTCCTCAGGGGCCGAGAGAGGTGCTGGGTGATGGATGACCGCTTCGTTGTCACTGTCCCCATATCCACTGCCACTACTGCGAGGCGGGCTTGGAGGGCGGACAGTTGGCAACGCAATCCCACGTTGAACCGCCAAGTATTGTTCACGATGAAGGCCTGCGGCCTTTGAGTCGACGCTGGACGATGGCGCGATGCTTGGACCCGTGCCGGAAACAGCAATTGGACGGGGTGGAACGGAGGTACGGCCGGCGGGAGCGTAGTCACTCAGACTGCGGTTGCGAGCGTGTTTTGATGGTGAGTTGCGACGGATTCGAGTCGACACTGGAGATTCTTGTCCCAGCTCATCAAACCCCGCATATGACTTGCCACGGGAGCGAAAAGCCGGCGGACCGAGCATCTGTGATGAGTCACTTAGCCGCAGACTCGAGCCACTCCGTGAGGCCATGGACGAGGTGCGCGACAGCGATGGCAAGTCGCCTCTCCGCCATGGCGATGCGCCACCAATCGGGGATGGCAACGGGGTGATGTCACCCATCGCATTCAACTGCGGCGACGACATGAGAGAGGCAGGGGACAGTGATCCCGCGCTCGAGATAGGCGGGGCAACGAGGGCGCGCAGGCTTGGGGTACGCTGTGGGAGACTGCCAGACGACACACTGAGCGAGGCCAAAGGATCAGATTCTCTGCTGGAGGCTGGGCGAGTGTTGGGCAAGTCGGTGCGGATCTGGAGAGCGGGCAGCATAGGCGATATCTCGGGGTTGAATACGGAAGGCACCAGGTCGTCTACTGAAAGAAGGGTAGGGTCGACCTTGGGGCTCTTTGTGGTGCCATGGTCGCTGGATGCATCGTGAAACTCGCGTGGACTCCAGCCAAAGCGGTCGGTCGGGATACCGGACTCGGAGGCCATTCGAACAAAAGAGTTCTCGAGGCCTCGACCGCAAACGGAAATGGCGCCACACAAGGCGGTTCTACAACCCCAGTCGATGAGTGTGTGGGGATAGGAGATGAGAGAGGCGGACAAGATAAAGATGCCCCCGGTCTCAGCCTCCGAGCCAAAACGGCCTTAGCGTGACGACCCGTTGAGGGCCAACGGTCTATATATAGTGGAATGAAAGAACCGGCATGCAGCAGGGAGATGGGCGGATGCAAAGAGATTGGGTCAAAGGAGTGTCGAAGAGGATCGGGGAAAGAGTCAAGGACAAAAAATCCGGAGTGAACAGCGCAACATCCTCGCAAAACACTGAAAAGAAGCGAAAAAAGGACGACGCGGACAGGGTCAGCTGATGCGGCCCGATGCAGATTAGCGCCTATGCGCGCCCCCCGCATGGCTTATGTCAGGGATGAGTCATCGGGCTCCTCGGCCATGTAGATACAACTATGCACAAAAAGAAATAATAAAATAATAAAATAATAAAATCGATTATTAGGAGATCTTCAACGAATTAAGGCATATCTGCAAATTTCGCAGAGGCCTTTGGGAAAAGCGCCTTCTCTAGTCACCCGTGTAGACGCCGGAATCCAAAATAGAACAGTCGAAGTATATCACCTGCAATGATACGACGCTCGTCCATGACCTTACTGTTCACAGACTTTAGCGTTTCCGGATGGAAGCTCAGTTTGCAACTTGGCATATTTCTCGTGCTGATTGTTTTACTCATGGCATTGTTGTGGCTGTTAAAGCACTGGCAAGTTTTGAAATGTCTATGTCAATCCTGCGTCAATTCACCAAATTACGAGACCTCCCAGACTGATGAGTACACGGTTAATATGACTCATTCTTAGCGGACGAACACCTTAGTGTTGCCCTCTTTTTCTGATTGGTCTAGCCCCCCTATTTCTATCTGATGTCTGCGTAGATTGCCTTTTTAGGAGACAAGTAGGCTAAATTCGGGTATTTAGCCATAGGCTAACCCGTGGATTGACCTATATAGGTTGTCTGCGGGTCTATCCAGGTCTAGTGCACAAGGGCAAGTTGAATTTAGCTATTCTCGCAATCTTTAATAGAATGCCAACAAAGAAGTTTGAAAGCGCTAGTACTGAAACAGCGTTGATCTATATAGTTTCCATGGCCTAAAATCGATTCTCCGGCACAATCAGTCGGCCTGCCACTTCACCATATGCCCCTTCCACTTCACTGATAGCTTTCCCTTGCACCCAATATCCTTTCCCATTTGAATTCTTGGCCAAAGTAGCGGCAACAATCGCCCAGGCCACATCATCCGCCGTGCTCTTCAAGGTGTGCGGCTGTGTGGTGGCTTGGAGACCTTCCACCATCGACGTCAGCGTCAACCAAGGAGCGACCCAAGAGATAGAGATCCCTGACTGAATAACCTCTGGAACCTGGGATGTGCTCCGGACCAGACCCAGCACAGCGTGTTTACTTGCGGTGTAGAGCGGTTGCGAAGAAACTGGTAGGTAGGATGCGGCCGATCCCACAACAACGATTCGTCCTCCACCCTGCTGCTTCATGTGGTGGACCCCAAGCTTCAGCCCAAATAAAACAGAGTTGACATTGATGTCGAATACGTTCGTGGAGGGTCGCCGGAGTTGGCTTCCCGGATCACCAGTTTCGGGTTCATCCGCCAGGTAATTGTAGAGAACCTGGGAATCCATCTGCATCCGTTGAGCCGGATCGGCTCTCTGCAGTAGGGAAATCTCGGGATTCACGGCTGCATTGCACACGAGAAGATGAATGGGGCCGATCGCGTTCGACACACGATGAAACAGCTTTTCTTGTTGGCCCCAGTCACTCACATCGCACACCTCATACGTGGCTTGCCGACCAATCTTGGTGCATGCACTTTTCAGGTCCTCTTCATGCAAGTCGACCAGAACCACACGAGCCCCATGTTGGGCGAATAGGGACGCCGTCGCAAAGCCAATGCCTCTGGCAGCACCGGTGATAAGAGCGACGTGGTTGTTGACAGAATGGTGGACAGTATCTGGGGTTGGTCTTGAAATGGATGCCATGGTGAATAGTAAAGAAATGGGAGAGTTCAAATTTGGGGAAACCCATGGATGGATTGAGTCTGAAGAAACGGGGGAAGGGCCCATGTTTATATCGGAATCAGATGCCCCGAGTCCCACACGGCCCGGCATTTCTGCTTTCCGATCTAATGAACTATGGAGCAGATTAAACCTGAGTGTAGTTCGAAGGGTCTACGGTGTAAAATCCCCTCTCCTTCCAACAATTTTCCCAAGTATCAATTGATGCTAATCAAAAGGTAAGCATTGCCTTATAGCGATTTTCTATTGCTCTTTGCGTCACACTCGCCCTTGGTGCCAGGGCCTCGAATCCATGTGGCATGCCCGGATAGAGATGGCACTCCGTGGGAATATTTGCCTCCACAAATCGTTGCGCATACTCTAGCCCCTCATGAACAAAGATGTCAAGTTGTGGGCAATCTATATACAATGGCGGAAGACCAGCCACGCTTTCCACTCGGGCTGGTGCGGCGTAGGGCACGATATGATCGCTGGCGTTGGATCCAAGATATGCTGTCCACCCGGTGATGTTGTCCTGCTCGGTCCAGAAGGCCAACGCACCCGCATGATTGGTGACTGTCCGGTCATCCAGCATGGGGTAAATCAAGATTTGTTTCGCTAGCCGTGGCGACAACGCTCGATCTCGAGCCAGCAGTGTCAGTGCGGCGGCCAAGCCACCACCTGCACTTTCCCCCATGACTGCGATACGAGTGGGATCAATTGACAGCAGCTGTGCATTTTCATACACCCATTGAAGTGCTGCCCAACAATCCTCAAGTGGAACGGGGTAAGGATGCTCGGGTGCCAACCGGTAGTCGATGGTGAGGACCTGAACCCCGGTCCGCGACACTGATGCGACATGCGATGTTGCACACTGCTCTGCACTTAGCGAGATGAAACCTCCACCATGAATGTGCACAATTGCTGGTTCTCTATGTTCACACGGCTCCCGCCGGGCGCGAAAGTGATAGACCGTCACCAGGTGGCCGTCCGGCGCAGGGACTCGATGAATGAGTTGCTCGAGATTGTCCGGTAGTGGAGGCAATTTGCTGGTCATAGCAGTCATCATAGCTCGCCTTGTCGTTATATCATGCAGATCCGGTTTGTCAGAGATGGCCAACCGCTGCAGAATCGGGGCTGCCTCTTTGGCGAACTCGGGGTCATATTGAAGGGACATAGCTCACAGCACAGAAAAAAAAAATTGTTCACCTCTCTGAAGCGAGAGGACTCCAAGCAAAATATGGCACGCATTGGGATAGCACTTTGTGCCGAGGCTTGAACCTAGGGCTTCGGCGCCGTGTCGTTCCGTATGGCCTGGACTGAAAGCCTCGAAGGCTTCGAAATCATCTACCGGATTTTCCGCGCGATTTCCTTGTGCCTTTTCTCTCATAGTATCCGGAAAGACAGTCTTCCGTCTCCCTGGTTGAAACAAAGATGGGCACATCCCCGGATCCACAGCGATTGAAGTGGGGACACAATCGTTGAGGTAGGTGACAGCGAGGCGATCCACTTCCCGCACTAACACCCGTGAACTTCGGAAGCTGCTCAAACGAGCCTCTCGCGCTGCATTGCCACTTGTCAGATTCAAGTGCTGCCGAGAGCCTGCAGCTTTCCGCATCTGTTCTCAACAATTAAAAAGAAGTTCCAAGTTGCCACTTCAACCCCCAACCTCACATGATGGCGCCCCAAATCCCGAGCTTCGACGACCTGCCACCTGTGGAGGGTATGCCCCAGGGTTGTGCCTGGGGTGTCTTTGACAAAGACGGCCAGAAAGATATCTATGGAACTCTCAATCTGCTCACACCCGACGTGGTCAAGGCTGCGGCTGCGGAGGTGCAGGAAGGCATCTCAATCTCTCTGAAGTGAGTTGACCATTACTGCATCTTTTCAATTCAATGAATAACAGCCGTCAGTTGGCCAATTGGGAGTATCAAAATGCCCAACTTCTTTCGGAAGAGTCTCTCGCATAAGGTCCTCAAACTTGAGGATCACCAGGCTGGTTTACATTATGGGTTTGATGATGAGGTGTGTCTTTTCTTTCTATTCTAACGTGATGGATAGGCTCATGGATATCAGGTCGAATTCAATACCCAAGCTAGCAGCCAGTGGGATAGCCTCTGTATATTTTGCAATTATCCGAGAACTCTGAGTGTCACTCTAACATACCATAGGCCATTTTATGCACGTTCCCACAGGCCTAGCATACAATGGAATTCAGCCGACAGTAGAAGAGCTTCAGGACCCTACCACTCGACAGAAGCTTCCTACACTCGATCGTATGGCTTTCCCTGGTGATATGTGATGATCTCGGAGGTGCTCACACAGAATCCAGATTGGCATGCCCGTGGTGGTGTCACCGGTCGAGGAGTCCTAATTGATTTCAAAAGCTATGCCGAGGCCAAAGGTATCTCATACTCCCCATTCTCGAGATTCCGAATTGGTATCTCCGATATCGAAGCAGTGGCTGCGTATCAAGGCATCACTTTTCGCCAGGGGGATATTCTCATAGTCCGCTTTGGGGTTACGGAGGAACTGGGCCGCATGAATGGCGACGAACAAGCTGCGGCGATGTCTAGTCATCATGTCTGTGGATTGGAAGGCACCCCCGAAATGGCTCGCTGGTTATGGAACCAGCATTTTGCCGCCGTCGCGAGTGATAATATCGCCGTGGAAGCCATGCCGCCTATAGTCGATGGACAGGAACAACCGCTAATTCACCTGGTCCTCCATCAATGGTGTCTCAGTTTATTTGGCTTGCCACTTGGCGAGTTATGGGATCTTCAGGCGCTGGCAGACCAATGTGAGGCCAGCCAGCGTTACAGTTTCTTTCTCACTTCGTCGCCATTGAATGTACCAGGAGGAGTTGGAAGTCCGCCAAATGCGTTAGCCATTCTATAGTATGGATATTGATGATTTGCCCTCAGAAATTACTCTTGTAAGAAGAATACAATAACAATTCTTTCTATAAAAACAACAAAGCGACAGGAAGGAAATAAGATGGACTGTCTGAAATTAATCTTCAGGTAATATGAATTTGATTATATTCTAGCAAAGCTTCACTGTACAGATACGAGAAAGTAAATACATCACAATGTGTGAAAGCCGTCCCAATTTTCTAAGGAATCCATGCAGTTCTTCCACCAGCGCTGCATTCCACCAAGGTAGATGAGCGGCTCCCGACGCTTACCAGGGATGTTGGTACCCATGTACCAAGAATCCGCCTTGGGGTACAGGGTATGCTCGCTCACAGCAGCAACATGATCCTGCCATTCTTCGGCGGCTTTTTGGCTAGGCTCAATGGAGCCAAGTCCTTCCTTCTGCATCTTCTCAATGGCTTTGCAAATCCAGTCCACCTCCATTTCAATAAAAGGAGGCCCATTAGCCAAGGAAGTTGGAGCTTGGGGTCCGTAGACCATGAACAGGTTCGGAGCGTCGGGGACCATGATGCCCAGATGGGTTAGGATACCATCCTTCCACTTGTCAGCCAGAGGGACCTGGTTGCAGTCTGAGATGTTGAGGTCCAAAAGACTGCCGGTGACGGCATCATAGCCCGTGGCAAAAATCACAATGTCCAGATCGTGATGCTCCATTGTGTCTCCGTCGCAGGTCGACAGCCCGGTGGTATCGAATGCCGTGATAGGGGAGTGTTTCAGGCTGTGCAGTGTCACATTGAGACGATCAATCATCTCGTAGTAGTCTTGTTCTAGACTGGGTCTTTTCGTACCGACGAGCATCTGCTGCTTGAGCGGAGCCACCAGATCCATTTTCTTGCGGTCCGTCATGCGAGCCCGCACTTGTTGGACCCAATAATCGTAGAAGATCGAGTTAGCTTGTTCATTCAACAGGAAATCGTAGTAGTTCGAGATCAGCCAGCTGTAGCCGCCTCGCGCCCAGAGCTCATCGAACAGCTCCTTTCTCTCCTCAGGAGTGGCGTGGAGCGCGGATTGAAATCGGGTGTTATGAGGAAACCCCGTGGCGGACGTATAGCACCGGTCAAAGATGCCATCATAGTACCCCTTGAGCATCTCCGATTCCGGGAGTGAGACTGCTCTCTGCTTCATTGGGATTGCAAAGCAAGGCGTGCGGATAAAGACTGTCAACCGACAGTCTTCCTTGGCCAAACTTTGCACAAGTTGCAGACCCGAAGCTCCGTTCCCGACAACCCCAACACGCTTGCCTGTAACGTCAAGGGAGTCGGGGTAATCAGCCGAGTGGACAAGCTGTCCTGTAAACTGCTCCAGCCCCGCAAATTGCGGATAATGCTTTTTGTAAGACGAGCCCGTAGCAGTGATCAGGTACTTGCAGGACGCCCGAAGCCCGATATTGGTGTGGACTATCCAGCGGCGGGAGGCAGTATCGTAGTGGACACGAGTGACGATGGTGTGGAAGAGAGTATCTTTGCTCAGACCCAGTACTGAATCCACATGCTGGAAATACCGGCGCAGTTCCTCATCGCCAGGGAATCTTTCTGACCAATTCCAGCCCTTCCACACGGCAGGGATGTTAAACTGATACGAGGGCATTTCGGTATCGACGCGAGCACCAGGATATCGGTTCCAGTACCACACGCCACCAAATGCACCACCAGCCTCGATCAACTTGACGGATAGGCCCATCTGACGAAGCCTATACAGAGAATTGCATCCGCCAAAGCCGCCGCCTATGACAATGGCATCTGTCTCGATTCGCGTGCCCAAATGTGTCATTCTGACTTCGGATATTCCAATTGCGAGAAGAGTTGATGGAAGAGTTCGTAAAAGAGACAATAGAAGCTGCTCAGTTGCAACCATGTAGATTGGACATGTTCTCTCTTTTACATGTCGACCTGCCCTCTGGATCATAGAGGGCCAGTTTGCCGTGTGGATGCCCCATTGTGACTCCTGGTGGACACCGGCCACACTATTTTGACTGCTGATAGCGACACATGGTAACCCCGATTCCGAATTGATCTGAACTCTGTAGACCGCAGGATCAGGAAGTCGACGGCGAGAAGTCTTGCTCGAACCCACTTCCGCCCCACCCTGGCCCGCGATTCTGCACGAGCCCTAACACGCCAAAGAGAGTAATTCGACGCATTTTTGGGTTAAGAGGGTCCAGCTCGGAACTTGACATCTCCGTGCTATGGAAATAGACACGAAACAATATCCACCGGGGACTTGGATATCCGGACGAGATTGGAAATAAAAACAACGCTCGCCCTAAATGGACTCGTTGGATGAGCAACTCAGCAGAGCATTCAAAACAAAATGGCGTGTTACGTCTCAGGAATTGCTTTCATCACCGGGGGCGGCTCTGGTAGGTATCATCACTACCGAGTGGAAGTAAGTCCCTGCTAAAGTTCAATCGCGCAGGGATTGGTAGGAGTACCGCTCTTGCTTTCGCGAAAGGCGGCATCCAGGGGCTGGCTCTAGTGGATGTCAATCTCCAATTGCTCGAACATACTCGAGATGAGATCCGCAGTCAATACCCCCTGATTGATGTGGAGATCCTGGACGCAAACGTTGCCGATGAAGCATCCGTCGACGCAGCAGTGCGAAAGACGGTAGAACGCTTTGGTCATATTGAAATTGGTGTCAACTGCGCCGGTATCAGTGGGACGCCAACACCTACACATGAGATGCCCCTGCAAGAGTGGCAGAAGGTCATCGGCATCAACCAGACGGGCGTGTGGTTGTGTCAAAGGGCTCTGGTTCGGCAGATGTTGACTCAAGAGTGGGCTGCATTTATTTCCGTGGTCGCCGAGGGAAAACAAATAACCTCTGACAATTTGAAGATCGCAGGGTCTTCGTGCTGGTCGTGGGGTGATTGTGAATGTCTCATCCATGTTCGGTATCGGTGGACCTCCCGGGCCCTTCAGTATTCCGCATTATACAGCAGCGAAGCATGGTAAGTCTTCCGAGTTGTTGTTTTCAAGCAATTCTAATCGCTTCAGCGGTGATTGGCGTGACCAAAATGGTAGATAATTTCCTTTCTGGCCAAAGAAGACCATTGCTAAACAATCATCTAGGACGCCAAAGCATACGCGCGCGAAGGGATCCGAGTCAACGCAATCTGTCCTGGGTATCGTACAAGCTTGAAAAATAATCAATCCACAATGCTGATTCCAAAATGCCAGGTTCGTCGACACCCCAATTCTCAGCGCTCAGATTCAGTCAGGGTCGATGGATTCCCAATTTCAGATGACGCCAGTCGGTCGCCCTGCCCAGGTCGAAGAAATTTCGGATGCGGTGCTTTTCCTTGCCTCTCCCATGAGTAGCTACATGTGCGGAGCCACGTTGGTGGTGGACGGAGGGTATACTGTATAGGTTGTTTTGCGTGGTAGTATAGATGGACGAAGCCAGAGGACTCTCCATGTATATTGATCCCGGAGTAAGGAAGATAATTGCTGTACATTCCTATAATACAGTTATTGTATCAGTATCTACACAAGCATAATATCAAAGTCAGCCTTCATCGCAATTTCCTGCCACTGAACATCAGCATGTGGCCCAGCCACTGCCCGCCGATGCCACAGCGTCTGGACAATCTCACAAAGGACATTGATGTTCTGGATGCCATGGCGGCTCTTCCGATCAAACAAGGCACGCATGCGCGCTTGGAGGTCCTGCCGCTCGCACTCGGCGGCAACCACAAAAATCGCCCAGTTGTAGGCACAACCACCTTTCTCGTGCGTCAGGGCATCCGCTGCTTCCAGCTCGGCAACGGCTTTGTCAACCAGGTCTTGCACATCGGATAGTGGCACCCGACGTAGTGTTCGGCGGAAATAGATTATGGTGGCGTAGTAAAAGGAGTTCAGAGCATGCTGGATAATGACCGACCCCGGTGCGTCGGGATTGGATAGGCTTGGGAAACTGAGATACAGTTGTAATTCGAGCTTGTCCAAGTCCCCAGCAGGGACCTCGGGCCGAGAATCACTGAGGGTGGTGATATGAGCCAGAAACTGAACTAAAGGTGTTGTGATGCCATGCGACCGCTCTAGATAGTGGCGGAGATCTGAAGGACCATTCAATAGTGACATCAGCTGTGTCGACACGGGCAGACTGCAGAGTGATGAAAGGGACAGGTAGCTTTGAAGCAGGCGAGAGGCGATTGGGCTTCGGATCCAGCCGTCATGGATCTCATTCTCGAGAAGACCGAGTCCACCCGCTACATGGGTTCGCCACCGGCTTCGTCGTCCAGACATAGCTTCGACCGTGATGCAGGTGAGCACGGCAGCCAAAGTGCATTCATTCATTCGCTGTGCTCGCTGTAAATTCTGACGCAGGTGACGCAGAGCGAGATGATCATGGTGCACCGCGAGAGATTGATAGCGGGGGTCATGGCCGAGGTGAAAGAGGCTGAAAGCGGAGGAAGCACAGATAGCGTGGAAAATCGAGAGATGGATGTTGGGTTCAGTTGGAGAGGCTTCCAACCCTTTTAGGGCCATTGGCATAAACACAGTGCGGCATGGGTTGTCGGGGGTGTCGATGAGTAGCATATTTCCGCTCAGGAAGATGACCCAGTGGTGGACTAATTCTGTCTCTTGCCTCGGTAGGTGCAGGGGATCCATAGGTTTGGGGATAAAACCATCATTGTTCCTCCGCTGTTCTCGCGAAAGCCGACGGCCTGGTTCGCCTCTACCCGCGACGACACTATCGCCAGCGCTGGGACTTGAGTAGTCGGCCACGGAGTGTATCACGACAAGATGATCATCAGGCTGGTTGACGGGATCGGAACATTCAAGTGTGCGCCCCTGGTCTTGATCTAAGACCGATGCCAAGGGGATATCGCAAGGCAAAGGCGCCGAGTCGGGTCTGTCAAAACGCTCATTCACATGTTGGAGGTTACCGATTGACAACTCGGCCAGGTGTGAAATACTGTTGCCCTGTGTCTGTTCCCCATCGTGCGACTCAGACGTGTTATCAAGTATGGGACTGAGAGAAGATGGGCCTCGAGGCGAAGAGTGTGGCAATGCGGAAAACACCGAAAAAGGCCCTCGTTGCTGGGGGTTACCATCTCCTGAGCAGCCGTCTAACTCGGCCAAGAGCGCTGTCACGGCAGCCGAAGATAGGCCATGCCTTGATTGTGGAGTCAAAGACCATAACTGGCGGCGATTAGAGCGTATCCCTGGGGTCTGGGACCATCCCAGCCGCAGTCCATAGCCCTGGCATTGCCAGCCGCTCCGGCGACAGCGACGACAGTGTGGGTGTTCATCATCGCACTTGACTCGGCGAGCACGGCACGTCCAACAACCAGTGAAGGTCTTTGTACGTGCTTTAGGGCCATTCACACTCCCCGATAGACTGGGCATGACCACGGACAGTTGCCATGAAATGAGTGTCGGGGGGTTGAAGAGCAAAAAATCTTCTCCAATTCCCCGCACGTCGGCACTCGCGGGGCTCTCTGATCTACACGCAGTTTCACGGCCCCGGGACCCATAAAAAGTTCTAGCGAAAAGACATGCTGCTTCAGATCCACATGCGAAGGATGGCGAAGTTGTCACTATCTACAGCCTTGTTACCTCTCTATCCCAAGTCTGGCCTGAATTACCCCCGGGGGCCATCATCTAACTGGGGGTACAATTCGGAGCGAGATGTTCATATTTCTACCAAGTGGACCCTTTCAAAATAATTGTACCGCATGAAAACCAGAACTGCTAAGCTGGAGGTTTCCAAATCCAGACAATTCAAGGTCTCCCGGCTAGGCGAAGTAGTTCAATGCCATACTGACGGGGCCTCTGAAAGACGGAGGCTTCGCCGCTAGTAAAAACAAGCTTGAATGTGCCAATATTCCAGCGGGCAGCAGGATATTATATATGGAAGATCTGCCAAGTGAATGGCATTTATACCTGCCGAGATGCATATGAAGTACTCTATTGGGAGCCCCTAGCAACATTAAGGATACGTCACTGACAGACACCGATGAAAGTGCCCAAGTCAATAAACCCAGAAAGGCAGGTGACTTTTCTATGTACATGGATCGAAGAAATAAAAAGTACAAACCCAGTTACACACCCCGTTCCCAACCCACGTAGAAATGCGAAACATGGATGCTGTGAGCGCCGGAGTGAAGAGAGCTGCAGAGATAATAAAAAGCCGTTGTAATACATTGCAGGTGGAAGTCAGAGCGTGGCGAAGACGGTCGGCCGCCTGCGTCGTGGAAGGAAAGCGTAGAGTGTATGGAACGTTCGGATAACTGGAGAGGAGGAAGGAGGACTGCTAGCCAACGCCAGCTATTTAAAGGAAGGCCTTTCTCACGACCTATATATGCCATTAGTAAGAGGCAACACTGCCCATAGCCATCCATGGATGTATATATATATGAATAGCATTGCGGTGAAAATACATACCGCCCAGGAGCCAGCAATCGTGGCCACAATACCTCCCGAAATCATCATGGGCTTAACACCACGCGTGCTCTTGAAGAGCATTCCGCTCAAGCCACCCGCCAGAATACTGTTCGTAGCATCGTGTTTACCGCGCGCGTATCCCAGTGACGAGTTGAAGCAGTTGTAGACCATCGCCACAACACCAGCCGAGTTCCCCAGAAACGGACCGCGCCGGGTAACCGAGTTCAACACACCGTTCAGACGAATCTTAGGCGGTGCCGTGACTGGTGTTTTGTTCAATCCTTCCGCAAGTCCCCATGCGCCTCCAATTGTGAGCGCGGCGAGGTACGTCGTGCCAGCGCCATAGCACAGGTCGTCGGACCAGCCGCGAGATGGCAAAACCGAGCGGGAGCCGGGGAGTTCATCAAGAGCGGAGTCTTCGAGGGTGAGGTAGTCGAGGGTATCCTGGTTTAGACCGGCCAGGGGATGGAGTTTGTTCGGGTCCGGAATGGCGACTTCGGACAGAAACGAAGTGGCATCTTCCGCGGTCGAAGGGTCGAAAGCCTCGGACCCTTGAGGTTGTTTGCGACCACTGAGCGAGTCCCAGATGGGCATGGTGAACAGAAAGGAATAAGAAAGATAAGAAGATTAAAGTACGCCAGCAAAGGAGAAAGGAAGGGAAGATCAAGGAAGAAAGTGATGGCCCTTGATCAGCTCCACTGCGCGCCAGCAAAAACTTCGGTCACGTGGTATGGATCGATCTCTCGGAGAATCGTTTCACCGACACCATCCTTATTGGGCCACTTTCTGCCTGAGGCATCGCGGGGAGCATCAAAGTTGGCACAGAAAATTGGGCAGTTCAGTGTGCGATCATCTCGGTCATTCCCCGGCAATTAAAGCAGCAAAGCATGTGGACTTGTCTTGGAAATGGCTGTTGACATACCCGACAGCGTACAGCGCGCTGATCCTATCGAGATGGAGGAAATCGCGCAAAATATACAATTTTTGCCTGACACCACCCTCCGCGAGATCGCCAAAGGCCCATTGGTGAAATTCGCATTGTCATGCCCCGATAATAAGTAGGTCCCATGCATGGCTGAGTGAAGATAATTTCAATAGATCTGACAGCTTCTTTCGTAAAGGAAAGTGAGCCGAGTATGGCAGTCGTTGATCCAGACACTGTCGACGCCATCGCTCTCCCACTCTCATACCTCAGCGGCATGCAATGCCACTTCGGCATTCCTTGATGCTGCAGCTTCAGCTGAAAATGAAGAGACTAGAGAGCTTGCTCTGTCCTCGGAGACATGGCTGGCAGTGTTTGACGTCTTCTTGAATCGATACGAAGATGCCAAGCCGAAGCCTTTGAAGCAGCTGTTAGGCTCACTCACGCCCATTTTGGCTAAGCATTATCAAGGATCAAAAAAAACAGAAATCCAGACCGCAGTTGTGGATGCAATAATCCCCAGTATTATACTGGGCGAGCCTCGGTCGCGTCTCAAAGCCTGCCTTGTGTGTCTCGAGGTTTTCATCCGAAAGAGCGCCATTTCACCGTCAGAAATGATCCCACTTGTTCGCCAATGGCTTTCCGAGAACTATGACCGATGGACGCCTGTTTTTGAGAAAGATCGCGTGGCACTGTCGTTGGATAGCTGCGAGGCCACTTCTGTTGCATCTGTCCTTTCTGATGAATTGGCTGCAAGAATTTTCATTCTGGGGCTCTTAACCCAAACCAACAACAAGGAGATGGCCACGTCCTCCGGAGTTATGCTGTCATCGTTTTTGCAACAAATGAAATCAGAACGCCCGGAACAGCAACTATCGCCAATGTGGGTGGCTCCAGTGAGACATATGGTCCTGCAAAATGTGGATACCTTGGAGGCACAGTCAAATCGTCTCTTCCAGCCCATATTCACCTTGGATCCGACTGGGTTTCGCTCTTTTGTCAACACTCTTCCTCTCCAGAGCCTTCTGGCTGGTGATATGACCGATGCTCCACAACAAGAGTACATGCTACTTTTTGCAGCTCTCCGGGTTGGCAAGAAAGTTAATCTTGTCCATGACGACTGTAAGCAGTGATTGATGGGTTTCGGTGAAAAGAAATCTCATTACTGACTCGCGCAGACGATCTCACGAATCTAAACAGTACCGAAGATGGCACCACGAACTCCCTGGTTTTGAAAAGTGAAGTTCTTGGACACTTCCTTCTTCACAATGAATCCAATATCCGAATAGCCGCGTTATCTTTGTTGATTACGGCGTTCTCGACCATCAAGCCATTGACGACTGCTGCAACAAACGCGATTCTCAGAGGCCTGCCATCAATGCACGCCGATTCTGACTCTTATACCCGCGGCGAGATCATGAGTTTGACCCGCAAGTTCATTGTCCGTCTTAAGGGAGGTATTCTTGATGAGTCCTTTGGCCTCAACACACTCGCACCGAGCACCGGAAAACAGCCCCTGAACTTTCCCAGGAGCGACGTGGAGACGAGACACTTTTTAAGGGAATACCTTCATTTCCTGGAGAAAGATCTTCGTGTTACAGCGTCTTACCAACGACATATTAGCTCTCTGAAGGCATTGAAACTGCTTATTGAATCCGGCCTTGATCCCCGAACGGAGATAAAACCCGCGAAGTCAGAGGTTGACAATCACTGGAAGTTCAAAATGGATGTCTTTGGACCACGTCTCCTTCGACTACTAGTGGATCTTCTGATGGACCCATTTGACGAAGTCCGACACACATCGCTCTCCATTCTTAACTTGTTTCCTCGAGACATTTTACTACACAGTCTGCTCAACACTCCCGATGAACAACCAAGCATCGGCATGCGATTGACGGATGCTGTGGCTCGAGCCGAGAATATTGCAAGTAAAACCAGTAGGGCCGATCATGCGGATACTGTTGCTCGTCTTTACCATGTCTTGTTCTGTGCGGCTCTGCCTCACCAGCTGGACAGCCCAAGCCAGCCTTGGTGGGCAACGAAGACTTCGGTCGTTGATACAATTGTCCAAAAGCTGGAGCAACGTCTTTCCAGTCCGCAGGGCCTTTTCCATTCTGCTATGCGGGAGGCTCCGCTCCACGGCTATATGTCAGGACTCAGGTGAGCAAGTCTAGTTAAACAATAGGAGTTTCTGACTAACCGAGTATGATAGATACATCCTTTTGATGCCCAACTTCCATTCGCTTATATCCGATGAGTCTGGATCCGGAAGCTGGCGCTCGGTTCACGACCGGGTCGTTGCAATTTGTGACAAAGTTTGGTTGGAAGTGAAGCCTGTGCTGTGTGTTGATTCCCCGGAGGGTCACACGGACGAGCCGATTGAAGACTTGTCTGTTGGCCCCAAGGATATTCTTTCCTACTCCTGGAGAGCTTTACGCGAATCCAGGTACGTTACGCTTTCGATATCGTTATGCCTATACTTGAAACTGACGTAACTAGCCTGCTGCTCTATGCTACTGTGCATAATGTCACATATGGTCCTAACGGGGGCAAAGGTCTTCAACGTGCCGACTTTGCACACATAGGGCGAGCTAGCTTTACACAGCTTGCTGAACTCCGCCATAGGGGTGCATTTTCAACTGTTTCACAGACCTTTACTACATGCTGCCAACGGTGCAGTGAATCTAATGACCCTTCAATTCGTGAGCTTCTTCCGAGCTGGTATCAGGTAAGAAATCTAGAGAGTAAAAAAGACACGACCAAGGGCATTGCGGGCTAACCAAATGCAGGAGGCTAAAACAATCATTTTTGAGACGGCGTCCAAACTCACTCGCCGCTCCGCTGGTTTGCCGGCGTTGGTAACCGGGATTCTTTGCGCTGATCCAGGAACACCTTTCTTCAAGCATGCTCTAAACGAACTCCATGAAATTTCTCGCTTACCTGTGGAGTACGATAAGAAGAGACAGTACTTGGAGTTGCCTCAGGTTCATGCGATGAACTGCCTGAAGGATATTTTTACCAACACCAAGCTTGGCCCCTTCACAGAGGCATTCATCATGCCAGCTCTGACACTATCGGCTGAGCGCCTGGGATCACCCATGTATGTTCTGTTCCAAACCCTGTTTCGTGAAGCTTCTAGGATCCACGTCTGACCATCATTTAGATGGGCACTCCGCAACTCGGGATTGATGCTCTTTCGTGCCCTCTTAACGAAAATGTGCCGCCTTGTCCCTGGGTCCGGGCCAGGATTTGGTGGGAGGTCTGGGTCAGAGCCCGGTGCCCGAATCTCTTTCCCTAAATACCCTGGCCTGTTGGAGTTATTATCCCGTCTTCTCACGCCGACGACCGGACCGACAACAGAAGGAAGCACTGATATCATAACTGAGCGAGTGTTTCCCGCGCTGGAGTTGGTCGGCGAGAAAGTTCCGACTATTGCTGATAACGGCGACACCATGATACGGGGTCTAGTGCTTGAGCACCTCAAGAGCCCTGTTTGGGGCATCAGAGAGCATGCGGCCCGCGTATATGCATCTTTGCTAACTCGTGAACATATTCTGGAAGGTGTTCGCGGCCTTGTCGAATTTCCCCGAGCTGCCGTGACTGAGAATCACCTTCATGGAACCGTTCTCTGTGTCCGGTATGCTTTGCGTCGGTTCTCGTCCAACACGAATGTCTTGTGGAAAGGTGGGTTTTACGAAGTCCAGTTACATAGGCCATTGAACTAATGAATTAATAGTAAACACGGATGAGCTTCTTACCACTGTTCGCTGTGTTCTCGCGACCGTGTTCCCATTGGCTAAATCTCCCATTGTGGCAACTGATCTCATTGAGATTCTGAACGACACTTTGGAGCGAAGCATTGAAGCTCAGGTTGAGAGTATGTGGCAGTCCATTCTGGATATACCAAAGCTTACACCCCTACAGCAAGCATTGCCCACTTTGTCGATGAACTATTCCAAACACATGATCTTCATGGTATCAAGGGTCATGTTTTTAACGCCTCCTGGCCAGGCTGGAACCTGTCCAGCAGCACTCGCTCGTCCTCCCTGTTGAGGAGAGCACTAGCCTGGTGCACGATATTGAAAATGCTTTCGTTAGGCCAATGGCACGATATCACGACGTTCTATCATGGTGTGTCGCTCTTTGATGCCAATGCTGCTCGGTGGGTCTCCGAGCGACTTCATGAAAAGCTTGGCGCACTTCAGAGGTACAGGAAGCCGCTGGCTGAACTGTACTCGTCTGTAATTATGGGAAGCTTTTCGACCGAAGTCAAGATCATTGCGGTTTCCAACCTTGCTTGCATCCTTGAAGACCTGCTGGTATTACAACTTGATGCCGCCCAAAGCCTCGTGCTGCCATGGGAAAATATCGGGAAGAGCTTCCAACCGGAGATGGACATCCAGGCCTGGAACAGAGAAGCGACGGATGCAGAACTTCGTCTTCGAGGATGCTTGCTCAACGTTCGGATTTCTTTGGAAGGGAAAGAGTCTCTTTCGGCATTTGAAAGCGACCTTGAAAGCTGGAGCATCAAGCTACGCTCCGCGTTGAGTGAGGAAACGGTGGGTTTTTGTTTGAACATACTTTGGATTCAGTCACTAAATAGGCATTCGCAGGAGTTTACAACCCGCCACGCCGCTGTTGCATCACTTTGGAGCTTCGCACGGGCCCTTCGGCCATCCGCAAGTGCCCCGAGAACCTCCTCCGGGTTTTTGAGGATCTACTTGGTTTTGTACGACATGTTAAATGATGACGCCGAAGAGCTGCGAGATATGGCCGCTGCAACAGCATCGTGGGTGCTGTCGTATTCGTCCGTCTCGCCAGGGACAGCCGTTGCTCTGGCCCCGTTGAACGCAAGCAGCCTTCTCGTCGAGTTCATCGTCCACCACTACTCTGACTCGAATCTCCTTGCGGAGAGAGCGATTCGCTACATGCTTGGGCAAGAGCCCCGAGTCAGTGGCTTTGGAGAGCCAAAGCCGCTGATTGCTGTCTCCGATCTCGTCGCCGAGTATGGCCAAGAGAGCACCGTGTTGTTTGTGGAGGAAAAGCAGAATCTTTTCATTGATGAGGTTCGCGAAGTGGACGTCTGGTCTCAGGCCTTGCTGCGCTTCAAGAAAGACGCCTACCCCGAATCACTTGTTCGTGAACTGTCGCACTGGGTTTCTGGGGGTCTGGCATATCTTTCTGCGCATGCTGCTGGCGCCACCGGTCAAGATGGACTGTTAGGCTGGGTCTCAAAGTCAGAGACATTTACCTTGGGGGCTCGCATCATTGGCCTCGCATCTGTTCTGGCATCAGAGGGGTTTGTAGCTGCCCAATATCTCAGTGACAACCGGCAAGAGCTTCGAGATAAGCTGCAGTTGCTTCTTGATGCAGGACAAACGGCCTCGATTCATGAGGAATGGCTGTGGAGAATTAAGGCAAGCTTGGAGGGTGAGAGAAGCTAGAGGTGATAAAAGAAGCTTGTAAATCAAAAGTGATAGACATTTTTTATAGACAAAAGGCAGCTGGATGTTGAAAGTGAGATTTTACCCAGACAACATTCCTTCTCTCATCTGCTCACCACGGCTTCCCCCGTGGGGTCACCTTCGCTCTGCTGTTTACTTCCTCCATCCAACACAATCACACATATTCCTGCTGCGAGCCATTCCCAAGTTTCATAGAGACAAAAGGCCCTGGTGTGCCTATTGGACTTGCCCATCTCGATTCCAACCCAGCTTCACCAGTCCCGCCACTCAACCGACCCAGTCATCACACTGAGTGACGCGAAAGCTATCCACGGGATCAACGACAAAATCTTTTCCATCCCTTCCCTGGCTAAGCTTCTTGATGGAATCACAACTTGGGAATGACTCACAATGGATGGAAATACGCTCATCGCACTCCTCATCGGCCTGACACTGGCTGTAGCTGCGATTGGATGGCTATTCTACTGCTGGTACCGACGACGGGTGCGAGTTGGTGTTTTGGTCAGTGAGGCTCATGCTCGAATGAATCAAGATCGTGATCAGGCAGACTGGGACCCCGAGAGAGGTGACTACTCCCCACGCAGACATATCCCTCGATTTTCGAACGCAGCTTGGATACGCCCCAAGCGAGTTCAGCCGCGAAGACGGCAACACTCCGAATACATTGTTCTCCGTCGCCTCAGCCCCAGTCCAGATCGTCACCAGCACGGGGATGCAAGAGGCAAGCAATGGGATGGAGAACACTCAAATGTGAAAACCACGCCGAAGAGACGCAGGCAAAACCAGAATCAACAGCAGAATCAACAGTCACAGGGGCAGAGCAAGAGAAATAAGAAGAAGCAGCGACATCAGCAACGACAACAGCAGCAGCAACCACGGACAAAGAAGAAGAAACAACAGCAAAGGCAGAATAGCCCGCAGGCGTCCCCCGCCCCCGTACAGCAAGGCGAGGCAACGTGGGAAGACACAAGCTGGCAGGCAGAGCAAAAAAACACCACAGACGCGAAAGGAAACAAGCCCGACGGTCAGCAAGCATATCAGAATGGTGGCTGGAGCAGTGCAGATACACACTGGAATACAAATAAGAACAACCAGAGTGGTCAGCAGCAAGATCAACCGGTGGATCAGGGTCAAGAATCGAAAGGATGGTAAGATGGAGCACGGAGCACCAAGAGGTGGCCAGGTCTGAGTGCGCTACGAGCTCTGTGGCAGCTCACGAATTGGGGGCATCTTGCAGTGCCAATATATCTCAAAGTGCTGATCATTTCAAGAGTTATGCGTTATCATCATCAGGTGTATAATTGAATACCTAAGTATCTCGCAACCATACGGCCAGCATCATTCAACCTGACCCCAAGGAATGTAGATGCAGAAGCCAGCTATCATTTTCTCACCACCAACGCTGTCATGTAGACGCCTACTATGGTGGCTGTCCCTGCAGTTCTTGGAATAGGATCTCCGAACATGGGCTTTTCACAACCTTGGAAGACTGAGCGCGAATTGGACAAGGTAAAGTAATCTTCCAAATCCAGCTCACCCGCGCAATCCTAAATGGCAGCCCGAAGAAGTACCTGCCAAGTAGGAAGTGGCTAATGAACTAGGAGACCCTGATATTCATCCACCGCTTGCCACGGTAAGAGTTTCCCAGAGCTTCATTTTTCATGAATCTGTTGATAACACAGAAAAACGAATATAAAGAACAGTTCAATTACCAGGCCCACTAGCGAAACAGCTGGGGTCACTTCATTCTTGCAAAATTCATCCACTGCTTCCACCCTTGGAGGCCGAAGTTCAATCGCAGTCTCCTCGTGTCTCAAGGAGCAGAGTGCGAACTCCCGTTTCTCAGCGGCTTTGTGGCCTCTTTTAACGCTCAAAAAAACTAGAACTTCTCATTCGAGTCATTACTATCCCGATTTTTTCAAATCATGAGTCGGCACGACAGTAGATATAACGCGAATCCTTTAAGTCTCAAAGAATGTAGGTGCCTGTCGTGACACAATATATCTCGAAGTATAGGCGGTAAATTGCAGCCTTACAAAGCCAGCAATTTGAGTGGGAAACAGACAGTTAAAACAACAGTTAGAATATTGACATAAATAATAAATGGAGAAAATTATAAATAAGTAGTGCAAAGAAAAAAGAAAAAAGATATATAAATAAAAACAGGTGAAAGAAGAAAAGATGCAGCGCAGCAGCCAAACAGAGAAGCTATCCTGCCAGGACTGACCGCCTTCCTATCGGCACCTTGTCACCTCCACGCCCGTAACGTCATATTCTCTCTTCGTCTTGAACTTATCTTTGCTTTGCTCAAAAGACTCGAGTCGCCATGTGGAACGACGAGGATAACAACCCCTTATGGTGCCTTTGACCACCATGAGTCTCGACTGTCGGACTCACTGCACTCAGCCCTCTCCCCTCGTAAGCCCACTCTGGCGTCTCCCCGCGGCAATGCCCACTGACTCCCTAGCTAGCTCTCTATGAGCATGATTCCACCCCTCCCTCCAGTCGAGACTCCAATATCGACCCTCCCGACTACATCTCTCACCCCGAAGACCTCAGCGATCCCGAGGAGGACTATGGTGCGGTCAGCCAGTCATATCCCCGCAAGAGCGTCTACGATAGTCGCATTGAGCAGATCCTCTATGAGAACCCAGAAATGCCGATCATGATCACCGATGCCGGAAAGAATCACGAAGGTGGAGGGGGTTTCATTGTGTATACTATTCGGACAGCGGTATGGACTCCGGTGACAACAAAGATGAACTCCGACGTGGGACTCACACGCCTCATAGGACCTAGAAGTTCGCCGACGATACTCGGAGTTTGCTTCGCTTCGACAAACTCTCGTCAACCTTCACCCTACACTAATTGTTCCCCCGATTCCTGAGAAGCATAGTATGGCAGACTACGCGGCCAAGCCGACCAAGGCCAAGGAAGATACGGCAATCATTGAACTTCGAAAACGTATGCTGGGGGTGTTTTTAAATCGGTGTCGCCGGATGAAGGAGATCCGCGAGGATGGGGTGTGGTGGAGGTTTCTTGACCCAAATGTCAGCTGGGTGAGTAGCAACACTGCCGAAATGACGGCGGGGCTCGACTAACCCATCTATCTGCAGAGCGAGGTGCTACTCTCGCATCCTGCTTCGTCGGTCCCAAAAAACAACCTTAAAGCTCCCCCTCTCGACCCCGCTAACCCGACGGCGGCTCATGCATGGCTACCCGTCCCAGCTACATCCGCCAAGCTTAAGCCTACCGGCGGCATAACCTTCCATCCCGGTACGGCCGCCTCACCAACCTCATTCGTAGACTCCACGGATGGGCCGCCGCCGCCTACGCCTGGCCCCGAGATTTTGGGCCGTTTCCCACCGGAGTCACGCAAGCTCAGCGAGCAAGAATTGGATCCATACTTTGTGAACTTTGAATCGTCAACACGGGAATTGGAGCTTCTCCTACAGGGGAACATTGAGAAAGTCAACCGGCGAACGCTGGCGCATCTGTCTTCTTTATCTGCTGATCTTATGGAGCTGGGTGCACGTTACAACGGTTTCTCGCTCTCCGAACAATCTCCCACGGTCGCCGCGGCAATTGAGCGCGCGGGACAAGCTGCCGATACCTCTTACATCGAGACAGAAGAGCTGTCCACGGCCTTGAGCGCCCACTTTGCGGAACCCATGCGGGAAAGCGCTCAGTTTGCCAGTGTGGTGCGCGGGGTTCTGCGGTACCGGGTTCTTAAACGGGTGCAAGAGGAAATGACTCGAGACGAGCTAGCTAAGAAGAAGACCCTTCTGGATTCGCTCGAGCGGAGTGAGCTGGAAGCGAAACGTATTGAACAATATCTCAACCGCACAAATCCTCAGTCGCCTGGCACCAAGCCACGGTCCTTGTCAGCTTCATCGGCCGTCAGCAGCGAAGGCGGGAGTGCTCCCAATCTCTCTGCTGACTCGGAATTTCCACCAACGCATGGTGAGTCGATCAGTTCTCCACCTGGGTCGCAGGTCACCGGACACAAGAGGTCCGATCCGTCACCATCCTCCTCGCCAGCGCACCGGAAGTCGTCCAGCGGGACGTTCGTGGCAAACAAGATCTTCGGTCGCATCAGTCATGCAGTGCACGGGTTTGTCGACGTGGATCCTGAACGGACGCGTCGGGACCAGATTGGGAAAACGAAGGAGAGTCTCATCCAGGTATGTGGGGTTCACTGGAGAAGACTCCATTATTTTACACGAGACTGACTGTGTCTATAGTTGGAACAAGCATTAGAAGTATCCGAGAAAGATGTCAAGGATGCCAGTGCCGGCGTGCTGCAGGATCTCAAACGTTTCCAGAAGGACAAAGAAGCCGATCTGCGGCGCTACATGGTATGCGCAGACCCGCTCCCCACTCTCTACTCCCCACTCACTGTCATTAGGTCGCATATGCGCGGTGTCACTTGGACTGGGCGCGAAAGAACCTGGAAACGTGGACCGAGGCCAAAGACGAGGTGGACAAGATCGTGGCTCGGTAGAAGCGCGGGTTCGCTTGGGCTGTTTTCTTTTCCCCCTCTGCGCGCTCCAGCAGAGCGTTCGGCGCTGTGGTGTTCTTGGCGACTGGTCCTATTTCTTGTTCCTACAGATGTAGCTGAACCTCCGATCTGGTATTCCCTGGGTTGCTTGTCTACGTAGATCGATTGAGGCTGGAAGGTTTCGTCGACTCCGCCATTCTTCATTCACTGTCACTCCGCCGTTTTCTCTCAGATACTACACTGCCCTCGCGCTGGCTGTTAACAAGGGGCCATATGTATGTCTGTGAGATCTTACAGCATTCAGCCTACCCAAGAAACCGGGAACTGATGCACCCGTGCCCGAGGCACACGAGGTCACGAAGCACTGGACACTGCCAATGGTCTGGTCAGTTAACGGTTCAATCGGACTTCATCCACATCGACCAGGCACAATAACCCCAGGCTCAGCAACCGAAGACAATCAAATTGTCTGAGCCGAGAGTGCAACCTACAACCCTACCTGTGCCTCCGAATGGACAGTACGACGCTGTCTCAAAGACAAAGAATTTTCTGACCCTAATATACCAGATCCGTTCCCGTCGAGGGGGCATGAAACTGGAATGTGTCCTTTCCCATTCCAGGGGAGGTGGGTCGATTATCGTGAGCCAACTGGCCAAGCAAGCCCTAAGGAGACGGATGATCGACAGGCACCACAGGGCCATGATCCCCCTTGCGTGGTGTCAAACGTTGATGTGGGCCATTGGAGCTTTGCATGGCAGGGTGTCCATTTTGACCCATTCAAGTGGATACTGGAGACGGTGCCAGAAGTTCTGGAGACAATGATCCAGCGAGTTGAACCACAGCGCCCAATCCTTCCGCATCCGTCGGGCCAAGAGTATTTGTGATTGATAGACCATCGGCTGATTTTCTTTTGCCTTCTGTGCCTTGCAGACGCTCCCCACTAGTGAGCCTACTACAGACAATGGCAAGTGGCCTGCGTTGCATCCCTGACGGCGACCCCTCGGTCAGAGTCCCGCACCGTGAACCCACCCTGCCGAGACAGTGCCCATTGCCAGGAATTATGGCTGAAAACGACAGGTGCCTGAATCCATCGCGATGGGGGGATCATCCAAAGGGGTCACTTATCATGGCCGAGGATGCCCTCCTGGGAGAGGTAGACAGTATCCGACAAGTGCAGTGTTTTTGCGGACTCTCTAGCACCACTCGATTCCTCGACACTGCGCCAAAATGCGTTCCATGCTGGGCTTGATGTGCCTCTTCTCTGTCGGGCTCGGTGCAAGCATTGACCGGAGACACGAGGAGACGAGCCAATTCCCCCCGCCACGCCAGACACATCATAACACCCATGATCCAACCATTCTTCGCGTGGGCGACGAGTACTACCTGTACCAAGTTGGCGAGCACATCTTGATCTTCACGGCGCCCGATATGGCGGGACCTTGGCAGCAGGTTGGCACCGTGTTGGATGCCGACAGTGTAATTCCTAAGGGTGACCGGAAGGCGCCGTGGGCGCCCACCGTGATTGAGGTGGACGGCAAGTTCTATTGCTACTACAGCGTCAGCGAGGCCGGCTGCCGCGATAGCGCCGTGGGCGTGGCGACATCCAACTCTCCTGGACCCGGCGACTGGTACGACCACGGAGTAGTCGTGCAGACTGGTACAGGCAAGGGCTCCGATGTGCCGCCCTACACGCAATCCAATGCCATCGACCCGAGCACGCTGGTCACGCCCGACGGACAGGGCTACCTCACCTTTGGCAGCTACTGGAATGGCATCTACCAGGTGCCGCTGAGCGAGGACCTGCTGTCCCCGGTCAGCAGCACCGAGCCCGACGCGCGCCATCTGGCATTCGAGCCCCAGTCCATCAGCATCCCGAACCGCAATGCCAACTCGCTGTGTGGCGATCCGTCGGGTCCGCATGCCCTCGAGGGTGCCTACATCTCTTACAACGATGGGTTTTATTATCTGTGGGTCAGCCGTGGCCTGTGCTGCGGCCTGGACCCGAACAACCTGCCTCCAGCAGGACAGGAGTATGGTTTCCCTTCTTCCCATTGATGGTCGTTGCAAAGCAATGATTCTGACAACCAGCCATAGATACAGCATTCGCGTCGGACGATCCCAAGGACCCCGTGGCCCGTTCGTGGACAAGAACGGCAAGGACCTCGTCGACGGCGGTGGGACTTTGGTCTACGGCTCCAATGGCGAGACCTACGCCCCAGGAGGCCAGGGAGTGCTCCGCGACGGCGACACCGAGGTGCTGTATTATCACTACTGTAAGTGACGCATTATGCCTATGCTAAAAGGCTTATGTATTCTGACTCTGACACAGTGAACCACACCGTTGGCCTTGGATTTTCGGTAAGTTCGAATCCCAGATGCGGACAGATCGCCCTATCGAGTCTCCTTCCATTCTCTAGATCCAATGGCAACACCGTGATTTCATCCTAGCTAACAATCTCTGTTTCCACAGGACGCACTTCTGGGCTTCAACCCACTCACCTATGTCGATGGTTGGCCTGTTGCCCAGCCCTAATAACATCCGCCACTCCTTCATCTTATACATCTCCCTCGACCAACTTGCCATATTGGCAGCTTTCCTTGGGTCCCTGAGTCTTTCTGACTCCCCCGATCCCTTATTTCACTTTCACCATGACTATAGACTTTTCGTTTTCGTCCGTTGCTTCGCCGTGGCCGAGTCACATGACTTCTATCTCTTGCTGGAATGCTGCGGTTTCCTACATATTTCTTTCTCTTTAGATCTCGTTTCCTTTTCGTGACTGTGAATTGTCTTGTTTCAGGGGTTGTACATACTATACTGGCATGTATAGAAAAAAAAAAAAAAAAAAAGAGAGCAAACCATAGAAAAAAAATATTAATCGTCCGTATCAATTCGTTCATCATATTCTTTTCTCATTCGACTGAGTGAGTGGAGTTGTATCTGCAGACATAAGAGGTACTCATCTCCGTGCTAAGCCTTTTTTTTTGTCACAATGCCAGGTCCCATGGTTCCTCAACAGCACACAATATCAAATCCCACCATTTCCATCTTCAGGAGGGACATCCACGGCGATGCCAGGGAAAAGTTCCTGAGACTGCTCCATACGCGCCATCTCAGCATTGCGCAGCGCCACAAATTCCAGGTCCATGCCCCCGAACGAGGTCTTGGAGCGTTGGACCACAGGTCTGGCAGGGTGTGGCGATTTAGGGGAATGAGGCACAGACAGAGAGCGGATTTCACAGTCAGGCTCGTCGGCAATGTAGAAGTGGCCGCGGGCAAAGCCGGCATGGCCGTATCCATACCCGAGGTTGTGGAGGTCGCCGTAGGCGAAGAAGCGGTTTGCCGGTGGAATGGTGACGAGGACGTCATTGCGTCGGCGGTGACGCAGCCAAAGTGGGTTCTCGTTACTGAAGGACATGGTCTCGGACGTGACTGCGACAGACTCGAGATCCTCGCTATGGAGTTGTGGATCGACGAATGTCTCGCAGTGGTCTGAGTCCGAGCCCGTGGGGAGGAGCACAGTGCCCGCACCCAGCAGTGGCATGTCAATGTGAGGGTCTGATGTCGACGAGGGAGTCAGACGAGCTGCTGTGTTGGCGGATGCCGTGTTGGAATGTTGCGGCCATGGCGAGGTAAGACTGGGCCCAAGATCCAGGACACTGATCTCACTCTCGCTGAGGACACAGCCACGGTTGCGAAGGGAGGTGGGAATAGTGGAGGTCTCGCGGTTGTTATGGCTGGAGGGCCATCGGTCAACAGAGATGGGTTGGGTAGGAGATTGGTCTTGGGTGACAGTGACTTCTTCTGGTTGGACTTTAGGAGGACGGAGTTTGAGCGTAATGCGCAGCGACTTTGTCTCTTGAGCGTCATCAGAGCCAGATAGTTCAGGACAAGGGCGACCAGGTTCCATGGCGATGGTGGGCGAGAGATGAGAGAAAACCAAGGAGCAAAGGAAGGCACATCTGAGAGGGAAATCAAAGAGCCAGCAAACACAAACGACAGAAATAGCTACGCCTAAGGAAGTGAAAAGCTCCCATGCAAATCCTGGTTTCTCAGTTGCAAATAAGAAAGAAAAAAAAAAAAAACAAAACATATCATGACCTTTACCCCCGGGCCACACACCGGTGACCACAGGGTCAAGATTAACCATCATGTCCATAAAAACAGAAACATCACAAGCCGTTCTCTTTTATGTGCCCAGACACAACGCCATATGCTCCGGTTGTGCTATGTTTTGATACCTTTTTTTTTCTCCTTTTTCGTGGGGGTTTTTCAGACCGAAACAACCTCTTCGTCCTCACCCAGGTTTTCCCGACTGGTCTCCTCCATTTCCTCCATGTCACTGACAGCCAAGGTGCTGTCAGTCTCGCCAAAAAGGTCGTCGAAGCCTCCATTAGAGGAGGACACCGGAGAGCGGTTGATCATCTGTTCGAGGTCGTGAGCTTCGGGTACGGGATCGAAAGACCACGAAGGATCCTGGAAAAGGTGGAACGGGTCGTCGGATTCGAGCCAAAGATCCTCCCCCTCGGCGTTGTGCATACCTTCCTCTTGTTCAGAGCCGGGCCCGCTGTCCGTGTTCTCATCCTCGCTGGGCTTCACTTCCCCCGACGGGGACTGGCCACGCGATTCATTCATCGAATCGTCGTTGGCCGCGGGATCCTTGAACGAAGCCGCAATTTTTTCAAGTTTCGGTCCACCCAGAGGACGGCTGGACCGACGGCGGTAGAACAGCAAGTAAGCCGTGGGGCTTACAACTACGGCGGGGTTGTTCAGCTCTGCAGCACGAGAGTCTGGACGAGAGTTAGTGATATTTAATTCGATTTCACTAGAGCAGCGCAGATACATACCGTTGTAGGAGCACCATTTGCCCGTCCTGAAGTTCTTGGCATAGGCAGTGTAGTGGCCGCCGGACATGCTGCCAACATGACAGTCGACTCCGATCAAATCATACACAAACCCCTTGTCGTCATGCGGCCCCTGCACACGACCAGACAGGTCCAAGCCCTCAATAGGGAAGTTTACCTTAGTATCAAGCTTCAGCCGCGAGAAGCGGGTCTGGGCGCCAAAGCGCTTGAGATGAACGACCAGAATGTCGGGGGTCTTCCAGAGGTCAAACTTCTTGCGGGCCTGACGATGTTCCTTGCAGCGAGGGCAGTACCAAGCATCAGTTTCAGAGAGAATTTCCTCCTTGCTGAACTCGGTCAGACAGTTGTCCAGGGGAACTCCGCGGGCCTGGTTCTGTTCTCGGATTCGACGCTGCCGGATCAATTCAGGGTCCACAATGCCATTGGCCTTGGAGAAAGTGAACTCTCCACGAGGGTCATTGGTGTTATTTCCACGTCGACCAAACAGAGCATCGCGAGCTTCGTCGTTCCAGTCGAGCAAGATTGCTTCCCCAAAAGAAATGAGCGACCACACATCGGAGTTGGAACCACTGGTGTTGGGTTCATTGTCAGAACCGTCGGTGTCGCTGTATTCATCACTGATGTCATTCGTGGAGCTTTGCGACGTAGTGTCCGATTCCTAGTACAAGAGTTAGCATATACCCATGCAGGTTCAAACAGAATGCAGACAGTGCTTACCTTAGGCGAGGCGGGTGCAGGCGTGATGCGAGAGGACATGAGTGGGTATTTTTGGAGGGATTGAGCTGGCGGCCAAGAGGCACGGGTTCCGAACTTTGGGCAACCTTGACGTCGAAGAGACGCTGCAATCCATGCGCGATGCCGGGCAGGTGCCCAGTAGATTCTGCGAGCTTGCTGGTCGCTTCGGTGGCCGGGCTGGAGGCCTCGCCGAGTTGAGAAGTATCATGCATGGAAATATCGACAAGGCTGTCTTCGCCTTCAACAGAGGAGGTTTTGATCCGCGAGTCGGCAGATTTCGCATCATCCTCATTCATCACCACGGTATCGGAGTCCTCCAATCCTCCCTCAGCCACGTCATCTGAGATGAGTTTATCGTTGAAAATGTCGCGGGTCGTCATGGTAGCAACATGGCGCAGGAGCTTGCGGTAGATGGTCTCGTAGTCTTGGGCCTCGTCGCGGGTGAGGACAATCAACGACGGAACAAGGAAGTTCTCACGGCGAGAAAAGCCAGTGTTCCTGTTCTGGTCAATCTTTCGGTGGAAAATAGGAACAATGATGCGATCAGTCTCAGGCGACTTGAGGGTCGGGGTATCGTGGCGTTCGGGCGAAGGTGGAACAACGTCCACTTCGATGAAGACGACGAGGTCGTGGGAGGCGACGTGCAATTTGTTGACTGATCGTTTCTCCTCGTCGGAATCGAAAACCCTCCAGAAGCTGTGTTTGTGAACCTCGGCCGCGATCACTCGATCCGCATCAGTGTTCACCTTCTTGGCAACGGCGAGTTTCCAGCCCTCGAGGGTGGGCATGTGGTCCAGCTCCACCCCTACCTTCACGGGTTCACCATTCAACGGCATGTAGACGACCTCCCGGGAAAAGTATTGGGGCACCGGGATTTGCAAGGTCAGGGTGCTGAAAGGATCAAAGATGATGCTGACCTTGTCACACTTGGGGCAAACCAGCGTCGACTTGTACATGCCAGCGAAAAGATCCGTGATCACCGAGTCATTGCGAGCCTTGTACATATCCCATGACTTGACACCAAATTCTTCCAGTGCGGCGCGGTTGTGGACCATCTCATCTGTGGAATCGGGCTTCTCGATGTACGGCTTGTCCCGAATCCGGTTCAGATCTTCAGACAGCCCGTCAAGGAGGAACATCAAGAATTCTTGGCTGTCATGTTGTTCAAATCCGGACATGGCGGAATTGTACTTGCCGATCGTGCGGCGGAAGTTCGCAGGAGAGATAGACGACGGTGTCGGATCACGGAAGATGGCGCGGAGGAGACCGGCATACGCTTTGGCGATTTGGCCATGGTACGCAAGCAGGTTTTCGGGGTTCAACTCCGCCACGTAGGAATTGCCTGTACATCTAGATTAGCATCAACGGAGGTAGTGCACACAGTGTGGATGCGCACTCAAGAAGTAGTATGACAATTCTTCCACTGATCGCAGACACTGCGTTGCCGCATTCTGGTAGCAAGTATTGCCCATGTTTTCCATTCCAGTGATAGCCAGGCCCAAGGTTTGACGCTTTTTCTCTTGCGGAAGCTCCTTGACCGGTGTGGACCGACCACTGGCCATGGGGCTTTTGGCGACGGTGGGAGCAGTGACCTCCTTTGATTGCTGCTCAGCGATACCAAGGCGCTTGAGCGTCTGTGCTGAAGCTTCGGAAATCCAATTCCCACCCTTGGATCCACCCGCCTGTTCCTCTAGGATGACAACATCGGTTCCTGCGAGACCTGCCATGTCCAGTGTCATGCGGCCGTTGTAGTTCTCATTGGCGGTCTGATCCTTGACACCATCAACCAACACTCGTTGACTGCCCTCGGACAGGGAAGTGAAGGTGTTGAGGTCCACAAGCAGCTTGTCGTTGGCACTGGGAATCAGGGCCGCTGCCGGGGCCGGGGACGTACTGCGTGAGACAGCCGGGGTCGCTGTCGCAGATGCATTGGCGCTTCGTAGACCGCCCAGGACTTTCCATACCCGGACTTTAGTAGACATGTCGATTCCGCCCAGCTGCTTGGCGTTCTTGAGCCACTTCTGGAAGTTCATCTGACGACTGGCCAGGGCTTTCGCGGCCGGCATGTTCTTCTCCTTCAGGACCTTTGGCGTGGTTCCCTTCGCGGGGTTGATCAATTTGAAGATAGTGAAAATTGGAGGGTTGAGCTCGTAGATAACATTCGGAATGTCACCAGATGGGTTCGTGTTGCGTGCGTAGCGAAGGATGATGGGTGACGGGTCGGCAAGACCATACCACTTCATGATCAAGTCCCAACCTTGCTGAGGCACAATGTCGTAGTCTTCGCCGAGTTGCAGGCCAGGTCGCATCGGGACGAACGGCTCGCCAGCCTCGTCTTTGAAGCCACTGGTCGTGGGGTCCGTGTCCAGGACGATGTCGGTGTTGTCCATAGGACCAAGGTCACTCTCCAGAAATTCCTTTTCCACTTGATCGGCATGAGAGGAGCTCCGCACGAGCACCTTCTTGAGCCAAGCCATGGAAATCACATATCCCTTGTCACCATCCTGGAGGGGCTGGTTCATCGCCGCGGTCACTTGAGCCACTTGTTCGTCGATCGAAGGGATGTCATCGGACTCGGCAGATTCAGCTTTCGAATGTTCGCGGGTCGCAGTCGATGCAGTGTAGGTATCCATGCTAGACGGGGTGGGATAGACACCATTGTCCTGCGCACCACCGTTGTTCTCCGACAGGTGGGTATCATTGTTGACAGCCGTGCTCACACCTCCCTCGGGGTCAGAATCCGCGATCTCGGAGGCCGGGCGCTTGACACCCGGGGAAGGCGACCGCCCCTCGCTGGTGGCCGGCGGGGTGCCGTCGCGGTGGTCAGAGGGCATGTCAGAATGCTCGCTCGACAAGGTGAGTCCAGAGTATGCGGTCGCGGGGGTCGGCGAGCGCACACCGGACTTGGATCTGGTTCCGGAGCGCGGAAACTGCAGATGAGCGGGCACGTAGTGGGGAGGCGACGACGAGGCGCTTTTGCTCCTGCGGTTCGAGGTTGAGTGCCGACGGGGTGGCAAGGGAACCGGGGGAGGTTCAGAGCGGCCGTGACGTCGGGCCTCTCCTGGGCTGCTTCGAGGCTCGGGGGAGACTTTGCGGCGCTTTGGAGAAGACGTCGTGACGAGGAGCTGCGCACGTCGCGTGGCAGCTCGGGGCAACCAGTTAGAAAAGAAAGGAGAAGGGATCCGAATAATCCCCACTGGACCTTCTTATGAAGGAGAGAAAAGAAGAGAAAACGATAAAAAAAAAAGGAAAGACGAGAGATCAAATTCGACTGGCAGAAAATCGGAGATCGTTTAGTCAGTGGTTTTTCGGTCCGCAAAACCCTACAACTTCCCACAATGTGTGCACTTACTTCACGAATGCGACCAGCGCAACAGTGTGAGATGGAATGGTTGAGATTGATCAGAGAAAGCAGTCGGAGCAGAAACAACAAAAATAAGAAGAGAAGAAAAGAGCAAAAGGGGTGGAAGGAGAAAGTTGAAAGAGCGAGAGAACCCCAAATATATGCTCCAGCCCAGTGGTTCAATCAATAGGACTGTTGATATCGGTGTATTGAGCCGAATTATTTGATTCATCCCGAATAGTCACAATTGACGCTATTCGCAAAGTAAGTCACCATATTGAGGCTACAACTATAGGGCTGCCAGCCCCCTCATTAAAAATAAACAATACCCTCAATAGCCTGCCTCACAATAGGATTCAAGGTCGGTATTTCCTATTTTGCAATTATGTAGTTTTATTTGTTTATAATTCTATAAATTAGTGGACTTACACCTTGGGCATCGCTATTGTTCTGATGAAGTATGGTAAAGAGGCACACAATGGGTTGATTGTCTGGAGTTGGGTAAACAGCACTTCCCAACAACCCTCTGGCCTCAGAATGGAAGAAAACTGTAATAACAAAAGACAGAGAAAGGAAATCATTGTAGGAACCCCTATTCACATCTCTGTCTGAACCCCAATGCCGAGTCTCAGTGACTTAACCCCAATCCTTGGTCTCGATGGTGTCATCTCTCCATGTGTCTCCCCTTGAATGTTTCCACCAAGACCGGGACTAAGTCGGCAATAGGAGCAGTCACAGTTCACAGTTCACAGTTCACAGTCAATCAGGTCAGCCTTGCAATTAGTGCAGGCATGGTCGAAGGGAGAAGTTTCGAGGGAGCAATCGAGTTGAAGCTCCTGGCATCCACGGCAAGCCTTCGCCTCAGGTTGTTCACCCTCCGAATCAGGAATTTCCAGAAAATCTTGTGCCGGCTTGATGGTGCATTTGTCGGCTTCGGTGCCGGATCTCTTGCGAGTACGGAGGTGGTAACGGGAGTCGTGGTCCCCAATGCTGAGCGTGGTCTCAAAGGAGTCGGGAAGCGATGAGAGCAGCATTTGCCCTTCGTCGGTGGTAGTGTCTGAAGATGCCTTGGACTTCGGAGAAAGAGACTTCGTGCGTTTAGGGCTTGGAACTCCAGGGCTAGATGCAGGTGACTTGCGCTTGGGCTTCAATGGAGTCTCGGGAGGCTCATAGTCCTCATCCTTATCATCATCAACCCAAGAAGATGCCAGGCTGTTGGGGCTGTTTTGCTCCCGGTTTCGCAGCTCGTAGAAAGAGTCTGTCAGGTCGTCGACGGCCTTGAGGGTAGTTCCATTGTTTGAGAAGAGTTGGCGGGCTAGCTCAAGTCTTTCGGAAGTATATGGCATGGTGGAATCGCAGGGCGTCACAAACAGCTTGTATGATGCCATTGTTGTAGACGGATTTTGATCAGGGAGACAGAAGGAACGTCAGATCCGAGCTCATAGCAAAAAAGCTCACAAGAAGGAGGTTTTGTCGGAGTCTTGACAGATTCTCTCGGTCAGAAAGGAAAGGTTCAAACAAGAATCCACATATTTGGAAGTGACGGGACGGGAAGTTAGATTACTGACAGGAGAAATGGGGAAGAGGCGACGAGGGTGAGAGGTCGAGTCGCGTCGTAAATATTTTGCTGCAGCTGCCGTTCGACGCAGTCAAAGAAATGACCCTGGCTCTCTTAGACCGTGATGACCGAATACGCGGGGATTTGGTGAGGCTTTGACGGGAACTTGACGCGTTCAACTACTGTATCTAACGTGGACTGCTCTCACCTCTCTCGGAAATTCACATTTCTTTGCATCTAACGAGATCCATGAAACGAGAATACATCACGTTAAGCGAACATTCTGACAGTCACACACTCTGACACAGGAAGACAGATCCAGATACCATTAGCAGCGAGCATCCACTCCCATTTCGATCCAACATCAAGCATAAAACATCCTGCAACATATAAAAGCAAGCCAAAGTCACCGTTACGCCCAAACTTCTTCTCCTCGCCAGTGACATATTCCCCTGATCCCCGTTACCTGGTCCCGCTAGCAATGCGTGGAACTAGATGCGGCATCCGTGAGCGTGATCGGAACACTGAACACAGAGCTTCCCGGCGGCGGACGAGTCCAACTATAGGAGATCCGAGGATTTGACGATACCGAGGGACACGACTTCACAGGGCGGGAAGAAGACGTCATGCTACATCCAGCCGCCGTCGCCGCAGACATGCCCGAGCAGCGTCCACTCGAGGGAGTGACGGTTGCGTTGCGGGCCTTCGAAGAGGAAGGCAGACGCTGAAACGTGGTCGTATTGGCGAAAGAGGGGTGAGCAATCCCAAGCTTGAGAGAGGGCACAGCGGTCTCCGTCGCCGCTATAGAAAGAGGCGACGAAACTAGCGCGGAAGACATCATGATGGGAACACCCCGAGCCACGATCTCCTTCGGCTGGACTTTTTTCATCATCTTGTCTTCCTTCAGTTTATGTGCCCCCCAAGGTGCAATGAAAATAACAAGAATAACGATCACAGCGGTCAAGGCCGAGCCGAAGATGCACCATTTGAGTCCCCGTGGCATGAGACAGACAATCGCCCAGCAACCCAACTTAGGTTCCTCCTGTTCCTGAGCTGGAGGTGGCGTGGGCTTGGAAGGTGACGCTGCGACTTTCACTAGCTGTTTTACCATGGCCTTCTGGGACATTGGGTCTGCAGACAATCAGTTCTGGCTCGGGCATATAGATCGAAAGAGAGGCTCTTACGTGTATCCACTGGCTCTGTTTCAATGAACAGTGCTGGGGGAGGTCGGAGGGACTCATGCACTTGCTCCATGGCTATAGATTTCGAGTACAGATTTGTTGCTTGGTAAAAGAAACCGGTGTGGTATATCAAACAGAACGAGGGTGTTGAGGGTAGGAGAGGAAGAGAGAGGGAAAAAGAGGGCGAGATGAATGGATAGGAATTTCCAGTCCATGACGATATACATACATCTGATTCGACCTGATGGGTCCTCCTTCCGATTTTGTTTAAAATGGGCATTGGAGAGGTCGTGTTAGGTTTAGTTGTTCACGGCCGCCGCCACTTGGGGCTAAGTTGGATAGTTCCGATTCCACATTGGGACGCGGAGGTGCACTGTAAGAGAATGCATGATGGGGATCGAGGTCGTTTCAAATTCTGCTATGATCGAAGAAAAAAAAATGATAAACCAGACTGACATGAGCGGTAGAGGTATTTCTTACGACTGATGCACTCTACAGAAAAGGTCTATCGACTATGGGGAGTCCCCAAGGCAAGTAAAATTGGAATGGTAGGATTCAGAGAAACTAATATTATAAACACGGTGTCCATAATGAAAATCAACAATAGAAAAGAAAAGAAAAGAAAAAAAAAGTCCCATCAGGCGCCATGATGATTCGGAGACAAGAAAAGAGATCCGGAAACTATGGCAGTGAACCACAATCCCCGGTCTCTTTGCTTCCAACTAATATTTGAGAATGCGCCGGGGTATCCATTGGCCGAGAATGCAAAAATGAAGAAGAGAAAATCAACGCCCCGGCCCACGCAAAGAGGTATTCGCACAGCGCAGTATCCTTTGAAGAAAAGGACATGGGACAAAACAGAAGAAAACAAATATACAATCAAGCGCGGAAATCATACATACGGACTTGGTAGTCGTCACCTCCGGTGATAAACCGACTGTCACTGAGCCCGATGCAGTTCACAGCGGCCGAGTGACCTTCGTAGGTGTCCTGGCAGGTGGGAATGCGCGGGTCCCAGATTTTGACCATGCGGTCCAGTCCACCCGAAGCAATTCGCAGGGTGTCAGCCGAAAGGGCCCAAATCCCTTCCAAATGTCCGAAGAAGGTCCGGAGACATCTTCCCGTGCTCGTCTCCCACAAGCGAATTGTGGCATCCACGCCACTGGTAATGATGTACCGTGGAGGGTCCTGGCGATCCTGATCCTGATCAAAGGATGACCCAAAGGAAGAAGGCTGCACCGAGAGGGTTTTCGACTCCAGCAGAGGCGACAGAATGTTCGCAGCTGTATCACCATTCTGGGAGGAAGTACTGATGTGATCGTTCTCACAGTCGGCCAGGTGGTTCTCGAGCTCGATCTCTCGCGGCAAGGCAACAACTTGCTGGACGGCTCCGATATGGTTGTGGAAAACACGAAGGCACGTCTTGGTGTCGAGATCCCACAGGCGGGCAGCACCATCATCACAAGCCGACAGGACTGTGCGCGATGGGGTGTCGATTTTGACGGCATTGACCCCCTCTGGATGCGGGAGAATGAAGGTCGACTTATCCTTGAAATTCCAAATCTTCACAGTCCGATCCACCGATGCAGACGCAAGAAGAGTGGAATCAAAGTGGAGAGCTATGACCGCTTCGGAGTGGCCATTGTACTTGGAAATACATTCGCCCGTGCGCCAGTTCCACACTCTCACGCTGCGATCTAAGCTGCCAGTGATCAGTTTTGTGTCATCAAATTGAAGACAGCGCACACCAGCATTGTGGCCTCGGAGCGTGCGCAGCTCTTCGCCCGTCTCCATGTCCCAGATCTTGATTGTGGCATCATAAGACCCGGTCATTAAAATGTTGTCCTCGAACTGCAGACACATGACGCTATCGGTGTGGCCTCTGAATACTTTGACCGAGCAACGCCGGTGTTTCCAGTTCATACCAACCACGAAGCGATCGCGATACACATCTTTCCAGGGACGGTATCGAGTCTTGAAATACTCATCATCATCTTCTTCAGCATGGGCCGGCGACACACAATGGCGCTTGGCGATCGCGGTATCGTGGTCATCTGACTCAACCTTTCGCTTGCCACCGGTGAGAATCTCAGCGCCCGCGCAGGTGCCATTCATGACTCCTTCGGTGGGACCTGCCGAAGGTTGATTGTTACCCCATGTTGTGGCGCGCAGCTCGATTTCGCGTTTCGCTTCACGTAGACGTTTGCGATCCAAAAGTGGTAGACCCCATCCGCATTTGTTGCACTTTCGACGAATGTGCTGCTCGCACATCCGATGCCACACCACGTCATCATCCGCAAGGGCTCTCCAGCGAGGAGACACCTGCGCTGCTCGGCACAGCGAAGCTGTGTCCAGATAGCGCAAAATTTTAAAGGAAAGCTCTGGGGGGAGGGCGGCGAGGAAGTCGATTCGGATCAGTTCACGGACGCTGGCAGAGATGAAGGACAGTTGAGGGAAACAGCACTGAGCTAGAATCCCTTGGAGCATCAACGTTCGCTGTTTGGCTGGAGCAGCCGAGAACAAAGACCAGACATGCGCGATGCCCTGCTGGTCACTCTGGGGTAGTGTTTCCAATTCCTAACTTCTGTTAGTCCACGAAATGCTTGTATAGCGGTCCTCAAAGGGAGAAGAACGTACCCGTTGCAACTGGCGCTTCGACTGCTCATCCGCTTGTCGTCTGCATTTCGAGTCTGGTTGGTGGCGATAGCAGTAGCTGGCGTTGACCGGCCGGTGCTCGGAGGGTGCTCCAACCTGCGAACGCAAAGGCGCATACTGTCGGGGTTGGTGCTTGGCAAGAAACGGGGCCATATTCTGCTTTGCAAGTTCTGCGAGTGTGTCTCTGGTATTGGTGGGATTGTGGGGCGCAGAGCGGTTGGGATCGGTAGTTGCTGCGTCCTCCGCCCGCATCGTAGAGACCGGGTGACTGGGGATGGCAGCTTTCGACTGATGATCCATGATGGGCTGTCGAACCTTGGGAAGGTCAAATGGAGAGCCGAGGCGACTATCGCCAGGTAGCAGTTGCGCAGCGATAAACGATAAGGCTCAGGTGGGCTTGTTCATTCCAATATGTTGATTCGGGTTCGATGGGAGAGAAAGAAGTAGAAAAGAAGTGGTACTTCTTCAATCAACCCCTTGGTCAAGCCAGTGCTTGAAATCAGAATCCAAGAAACAGTGAAGGAATTGGAATCCAAGGGAGGGAGTGAAGAGATAGGGTGAGTGACCGAGTACCCTGAGAGACCGATCCGGATAACGGTGGGCGATGGGTGGAGACTGGTGTGATGGGGTGATCGCCACAACGTGCAGATTGATAGATAGGACAATTTTGAGGGAATCAAAGACCTAGATGGGGACAGCAGTTGTTCAAATAGCTCCCACGCGATTGCACAATCTCCGCCTGATAAGCCGATGGGCCAAGCGGGAGAATTGTCGAAGATCACGCAACTCAGGCGGTGGAGCAAGATCCACGTGACATGGCGCCATCTCCACTCGGCGTCACATCACCACTGCTTTCTTCCCTTCGCAACGTTGCTTCACCTTGCAAGCACGACAGACCGCTCCTCTGTCAGCACAAGGACCCCCGGGGCTGCCCCACTATTTCCCCCGTTATCAGTGCTAAGTCACTGGTTTTTTTGAAGGATGATGCCGTGATCGATCACTAGGTAAGAGAGCTTTTGTTTCTACTGGATTCCTTCCAGCTTCCTTCTTGGGGGCCTTCCTTCTATACCAAAGCTGGATTCCAATGTTTCACATCAGATTTTCCCGGCCATACTCATCCATCTCCTTGTCCTGCATTTGACACCCTAAGCTGTGGCGGACAAAGGCAAATACTAAACTCGCCCAGAATGTTACTATGAAAGCCACTTTCTCTGCCTACATTCTAGTATCTCACGATCCATACCCACTAGTGATTTCACCCTTCATTTGAATCTATTTTTGGACGTACTTGATACCTTTTGTTTTGACTAGACGATCTGTTCCGATGGCCTCTTCTCAATCCTCATCGGGATCCCTGTCTAGCCGCGCTCGGCATGGGTACCCCGAACAGAGGCCTGTGCCTCAACTGGAGACTTTGATTTCCCACCTCCTGGCCGCAAAGAGATCTCTCTCCTCAATCAACCATGTATGGCGTGCCAACGAAATTGTCACAGCTTCACGTTCCACTCTTGAGGAAGGTGTGGTCGTGTCTGCCAGGACCGGTTTCTTGCGCCGAGGCCTCAACAGTCAACTGCGACTTCTTTACAATGTCCGCTCCGGGGTGGAGGAAATCTCGTATCGTGGGCGAGACGAGTTTTCTGAGGCACTGAAGAGCCTGGACGCAGCTGACGCACAGCTCAGGAAGACTTTGGACCTTCTACGTGAGACTATTGTCCATGCCTCGTTTCGGCCGAAAGACGAGGACCCCCGAACCTTGCATGACTTTGTGGATGAAAGGGGTGTGGAAGAGTTACATTTAGCCATGAAGAGCTCTATCGACCGCACGAATACGGCACGCGCCGAACTGGATACGTCCAATAGCGAATTCGACGCTGAGCTCCGCTCCATAAAGCAGGCCTTACGCCACTATCGCACGGCCACCAAACTGGCATCCTCGCGAGTCTCGACATCGTCATCGTCATCCTCGTCCGCATCTGATTCCGGCCTTCTTACTCTATCATCAATGCCGGGAATGCTGCAGTCCTTGGAGACACACGCTCAGGAGATGGCTAACCTTCTTGAATCTCTCGTGCGTCATTTCGATCTCTGTGTGACTGCCGTTAAGCACACCGAGGGTGGTGGTGCTGCGGCGCGGTCAATCACTGGCGACATGCCCGCCGGTGTGCATACCAGCGGTGATGGGATGCCGAATATCGGAGAAGAGATAAATGCCAACCTAAACGCGCCTCTGGATCCTTTGACAGACTCAGAGTATCAGGAAATGGTAAATGTCCTGATGACAGATGCCAACGAGGCGGAAGATGTGGTCATGGAAATTCAAGACCGCATTGGCGAAATGGAATCAGTCTTTGAGCAAGTCCTTGCACAGCGCGATGCGCTCATGTCTGTTTCAAAGGCTACCATCGAGGTCCACCGCCATCTTTCCACTCTTGCCTCCTCGCAATTACCTCGATATATCGCCCAAGCGCACAATTTCACTCGTGTATGGCACGAAGAAAATGATCGCATTAGCTCTGGCCTTACGGAACTTTCCGATCTCCACTCCTTGTATGATGGATTTTTGAACGCTTACGACAGCCTGATTCTTGAGGTCACTCGTCGCAAGCATGTTCGTCACCGAGTGGAAAAGGTCCTTCGGGACACTCAGCACAAACTCAGCCAGCTCTATGAGGAGGATATGGCTGCTCGCGAGGCATTCCGCGTTGACCAAGGCGACTTTCTTCCCTCTGATATTTGGCCAGGTGTAGGTCGAGCCCCGATGCAGGTGAAATTTCTCCGTCGCTCAGGGGGCCACCTGGAAGGTGCTCTTACGGGAGAATCTGAGCCAGATCATCCTGTCAGCAGTGATCTTGCAGAAGACACCAAAACCAAAGAGCTCGACGACAGTGCAGAGGGCGAACACATCCCTGAATTGCCTAAAGATGTGGTCGAGCAGGCGTATGCGCGCCTCAAAGCGCGGACCCAAGGCGTTGCTTAATGATAGGAACAAAATGGTCATTTTCAGAATGATCTGGTTTTCCACATACTCAACTGATCTCAAACCTATTTGGGATATATGTAGCCTATTTACCAGCCATCTTGGTGGTGCAAAGCCTGCAGTTGCACACCTTTCGGATGTTCTCGTGATATCTTCATGATGTCCATTGAAGTGCACACCTTGCTGGGAGCCATTTTGGCTACACTCGCCACTCATCGATCGCTTCTTTGGCGACCACAATGCGATGCGTACTAAATGATGAAGACCCAATTGGCCTGACCTTCGTCTCAGCCGTCCAACCAACATAACCCTGCGCGAGAAACAGCTTCTGCCAGATGCATACTCCTCGGCAGTTACAGAGGATGTACGCACTGTTCAAGGTTGCTCTCCCAGATGGTTCTCATCGGTGATGACGGATTGGAATGACGTCCAAAGAGAGCTCTGATAGCAACATCGCATCCCGATAGTGATTGGCGAGAAATAAATATATCACACCGTGGAAGCCAAAACTAAGTGAAGGCGGCTTTTTATTGTATTCCGAACCCTATCCAATGTATCCACAGGTAACCATGTGCCCAAATGCTCCATCCATATATGCATTTCGTCAGTTCATGCAAAAAGGTCAATCGGGGAGTAAAGATATCCACAGCACCCATGACCGAGCAAAATGAAAAGAAGACATCATAAAGCCATGCGATGTCTATTTCTTCTTTCTTGAAGATGAAGCCACAAGACGCTTCTTTTGGTGTTTGGGCATCTTCTTCGAGCGCTGCTCACGTTTCTCCTCCTTGACCTTGAGCTTGTGCTCACGCTTGGCATCTTTGTCCTCGAAACGCTTGCCTCGCGGAGGGCCCTTCTCGAAGGGATCTCGAGGGGTTTCATCTGCTTCACTGCCATCGGACTCGGATCCTGACACAGACACTCCCCCACTCTCGTCGGATGCAAGATCATCGTCATCCCCGGTGGACTTGACAGGGGTGACCTTGTCTTTGTTGGCAGCCAACAGGTCTCCGTACACCAGGTCTGCACCGCTGCCGTCACGAATCTTCTCGGCGTCACGTTCAACATCGTACACCTGTTCCAGGGTCTGCGGAATATACTGTTGCCGGAACACGGCTGTATCGACGTCCGCTGACTCCTGTTCGTCGTCATCGGCATTTGCATGTGCCGTCATGAGTTTTTCAATGGCATCGGTCATTTCCGTGGCCCCAGAGTTGATGCTCATCGGTCCATCGACGGATATAATAAACTGGAACACAGTCCGCTCCGGAAGAGTGAGGACACCCTTGCGACGGAAGAAATCGCTGACGTTCTTGATATCCATGCGTAGGAACTCCAAGCTGCGCGGGTGATCGTGCTCCACACTCTGACTGACGTCGATCATGTAGAGACGTTCCTTGTGGTAAAGAATGTTGTACTCGCTCAAATCGGCGTGCACCAGCCGGCAGGTCTGGTACATCACACGCATGTAACCCAGCAGGTCAATATACAACGCACGCCAACGGGCCTCGGGATCAGGAACGTCGAATTCGACATCCTTAAGTCGTGGCGCGGGCAGGCCCTTCGAGCTACCCAGAAAGCCCATGACAAGTACGTGGAGGCGAAGGTGGATGGGCTCAGGGCATGGGATCCCGGCAGCGTAGATCCGTCGCAAGTTCCGCATCTCTTTCTCGGCCCAGAGCTTCACCATCGCCCGGTTGTTGCTCTTGTTGTACCCTTGACGGAAGCGGAACTCGCCTGTGACGTACTTGTCGCGATCCTTGAACACCAGAATGCTCGTTTTGTAGACCTTGATTGCTCGGTGCTGCTGGACAGCGTCCTCGTCGTCTGGGATCAAAATGGCATGGTAGACGTTGGCCTCCTTACCAGTCGACAGACACCCATGGATTTCCGACACAATTCCCCGATTGATCATCTGCAATAGAATCATGCGTGTTCGCGGATCCAGCACCTGCTCCGAGGTTGCTCGGTCCGCCCTGTCGCCTCCGCGTTCACCCCGAACCGACAAGCCGGCCTGTTGATCATCGAGCTTGATCTTGGCCGCATGTCGGGTCAGTGACTTAACCTCGTCGTCGACCGATGCGTATGTGTTCACTGTCGGCTTCTGGGTGTTGGTCTTGGGATATGTCCATTTCGGCGCATTGGGGTCGGCAGTGACGTCGTTCAATTTGCGTTGGCGATTGTAAGCCTTCGTGAGATCAGAGGGATTCGATGATTGGAAGTCCTCCTCGTCCAAGTCCTCTTCGAAAATATCGTCGTAATACTCGTCTTCGTCTTCTTGCTGGCTGGGCAGTTCGTGCCCCGCCGCAGCGGAGTCGGCGTTGTCAGGGTTCACATATCCCTGGTTTGGCACGTAGGTGTGAGACGGGGCCAGGCCATCGGCAAGGCCTGATTCCTGTGTAGGATTCTCAGGCGAAGCCATCTTGAATCGTCAATTTCCAACGGAACAAGAAAACTCGCGGGGACCTCGATAACTTTTTTTTCTGTGGATGGGATCAGACTCACCGCCCGGCAGAACCCCGCGGCCAACAGGACGCGCGATTTCGCTCTTCGCGTAGTCTCCCTGTCCACCGCGCCTTACGGACTGGTCCCCGATCGCCGATTTTTTGCGACAACCTTGTGATTTCGACGAGGAGCGGACTCCTCCCACTTACACCATTTTTACTGGTCACGTAATGCCGCGGTTGTTTTATTGATCGTCACGTCGCGCGTGTCTCGCCGGGATGTATGTCAAGCAGATTATCATCCAGGGCTTCAAAAGGTATGTGGACCTCCGGGCAATAGTTGACGATAACCCAGGTCGCGCCACTGACCAGAATCACATTAGCTACAAGGACCAAACGGTCATCGAGCCATTCTCTCCCAAGCACAATGTCATCGTCGGTCGCAATGGGTCCGGGAAGAGTAACTTCTTCGCGGCCATTCGTTTCGTTCTCAGCGATGCGTACACCCACCTCGGTAGAGAGGAGCGACAGGCCCTCCTGCACGTATGCGACACTCACATTTCAATGCATATTCCGTGACTGACCTCGCGCAGGAAGGATCGGGTTCGGCTGTGATGTCGGCTTATGTCGAGATTATCTTCGACAACTCGGACGACCGATTTCCAACAGGCAAACCGGAACTTGTACTTCGACGTACCATCGGCATTAAGAAAGACGAATATACCTTGGACCGCAAAAATGCCACCAAAAACGACGTGATGAACCTCCTCGAGTCCGCCGGTTTCTCCCGCTCAAACCCTTACTACATTGTCCCTCAGGGTCGTGTTACCGCCCTGACTAACATGAAAGACTCCGAGCGTCTGGTGCTTCTCAAAGAGGTCGCGGGTACACAGGTGTATGAGGCCCGCCGTGCCGAGTCTCTCAAGATCATGCACGAGACCAACAACAAGCGCACCAAGATCGACGAGCTCTTGGACTATATCAACGAGCGTCTGGCCGAACTCGAAGAGGAAAAGGATGAGCTCCGAAACTACCAAGAAAAAGACAAGGAACGTCGTTGCTTAGAATATACCATCTATTCAAGCGAACAGCGGGAGATTGCACGTGTCCTCGATAATCTCGAAGAACAACGACAGAATGGCGTTGAGGATGCCGATAATAATCGCGACCAGTTCATCGAAGGCGAGAAAGCGATGGCTCAAATCGATGCCGAGATTGCAGAGTGCCGGCAACAGATTGAGTTCCTTAAGGTGGACAAGTCTCAACTGGAGGATGAGCGTCGTGAGGCCTCTAAGGCCCTTGCGCAAATTGAATTGCAGGCCAAGTCCCTCGTTGACAACCAATCTGCCGCGCAGGCACTAAAGTCGCGCCATGATGCAGATTTGACATCGGTGCAAAATGCCATTGGAGAACGTGAAGCTGAACTCAAGGAGCTTTTACCCGGTTTCAATGCCTCCAAGGATCAAGAAGATACGGTCAAAGCGCAATTGACCGAGGCGGAGACGTCTCGCCAGCGTCTGTATGCAAAGCAGGGCCGGAATTCGCGATTCAAGAACAAGTCGGAGCGTGACAAGTGGCTTCAAATGGAGGTTCGAGAGAGCCACACGTCTATCTCCACTGTCCAAGGAGTCGTGGCGCAGACGCACGAAGACATCAAAGAGCTGGAAAGCGAGATTGCTTCCCTGGAGCCGGAAACCGAGCGCCTTCGGAAGCAGATCGACGGACAAGGCGACAACGTGCATTCTGTGGATCAGCAAATCCAGAATGCCAAGGACGAAAGAGACCGGTTAATGGACCAGAGAAAGTGAGTTTCACTCAAACAACCTTAGTATTTGGTCATGCTAACCCTGCGGTAGAGAACTGTGGAGAGAGGAGGCAAAGCTTGACTCTGTTCTCTCTAATGCATCTCAGGAAGTGGACCGCTCAGAACGCAACCTCTCTCAGATGATGGACAACAATACAAGCCGCGGAATTGCAGCGGTCCGGAGAATCAAGCGCCAGCACAATCTCGAGGGCGTTTATGGCACCCTGGCCGAACTTTTCGAGGTCAATGACCGTTATCGGACCGCTGTTGAGGTCACGGCTGGACAAAGCTTGTTCCACTACGTTGTCGACACTGATGAAACGGCGACAACAGTCCTGGAGCTTCTGCAGAAAGAAAAGGCCGGGCGTGTGACGTTCATGCCTTTGAATCGACTTCGTTCCAAACCAGCCAACCTCCCGCGAGCCAGCGATACCATCCCCATGATCGATAAAATGCAGTTTGACCCTGCGTACGAGAGGGCATTCCAGCACGTTTTCGGCAAGACCATCATCTGCCCCAATTTGCAGGTTGCCTCTCAGTACGCTCGCAGCCACGGCGTCAACGCGATCACTCCCGAGGGTGACCGATCAGACAGGCGCGGTGCCCTGACTGGCGGATTCCACGACTCCCGCCAATCTCGACTGGACGCTGTCAAGCAACTGGGCAAATGGAGGGACGAGTACGAAACGAAAAGGAATCGTGGTGTGGAGATTCGGAAGGAGCTGGAGAAGCTGGACCAAGTGGTTACGAAGGCTGTCGGCGAACTTCAGAAGCTGGATCAGCAGAGGCACCAAGTGCAAAACAGCAGTGGACCTTTGCGGCACGAGTACAAAAGCAAGCGGGATCTCTTTCAGAAAAAGAACGACACCCTCGACGCCAAACGCCGTGCTCTTCGCAACATCGAATCAAACCTTGCTTCCTTGAACGATCAGGTTAACGCTTTCCAGGCTGAGCTGTCTTCGCCATTCCAGAAGGCTCTGACTAGTGAGGAAGAGGCCCACTTGGAAAATCTCAGCGGGACCGTCCAAGATCTTCGACGGCAGTACCAAGAGCTGTCCGCTCAGCGCAGTGAGCTAGAGGCTCGGAAGTCGGTTCTGGAAGTTGAGCTGCGAGAGAACCTCAATCCTCGCCTTGATCAGCTGCTGAACCGGGATATTGACCTGGCCGATGACGAGGTACAGGGCAACTTGAAAGAAACCCAACGCGAACAGAAGCGACTGAGTCAGTCGCTAGAGAAGCTGACTGAACGGTTGAACCAAGTAGACTCATCGATTGAGGAAGGCAATGCTCGTGTTGCTGATCTCCAGCAGCGCAATGGAGAGACTCGACGGGGCTTGGAAGATCTGGCTCGATCAATTGAGAAACATCAACGTCGCATGGAGAAGAGCATGCAAAAGAAAGCCGCGCTTACGAAGCAGGCAGCAGAATGCGCTGCCAATATTCGTGACCTCGGTGTACTGCCGGACGAGGCTTTCACCAAGTATAAGAACGCGGAATCCAACACTGTCGTGAAGAAGCTGCACAAGATTAACGAGGCGCTGAAGAAGTACTCTCATGTCAACAAAAAGGCGTTTGAGCAGTACAACAGTTTCACCAAGCAGCGAGAGACTCTGACCACTCGCCGTGAAGAACTGGATGCTTCTCAGAATTCCATCGACGACCTCATCTCGGTGCTGGACCAACGAAAGGATGAGGCCATTGAACGGACGTTCAAGCAGGTTTCCCGCGAATTTGCCAACGTGTTTGAAAGGCTTGTTCCCGCCGGCCGTGGCCGCCTGATCATCCAGCGCAAGACGGATCGCACCCTGCGACCTGAGGACGAGGTCGACTCCGACGACGAAGAAGCGCGGCAGAGCGTTGAGAACTACGTTGGTGTGGGTATCAGTGTGAGCTTCAATAGCAAGCATGATGAGCAACAGCGCATTCAACAACTCAGTGGTGGACAAAAGAGTAAGGAGGATGGTTCTCAATTCAGATTCTTTAGATTGATTCACTAACAATCTTGTCTCCAGGTCTCTGCGCTCTTGCGCTCGTCTTCGCCATCCAAGCCTGCGACCCAGCGCCTTTCTATCTGTTCGATGAGATTGATGCCAACCTGGATGCGCAATACCGAACGGCAGTGGCGCAGATGCTCCAGTCCATCTCCGACTCCACCAACGGCCAGTTCATCTGCACCACGTTCCGACCGGAGATGCTGCATGTGGCAGAGAAGTGCTACGGCGTTAGCTTCCGACAGAAGGCCAGTACTATCGACGTGGTGTCGCGCGAGGAGGCGCTCAAGTTTGTGGAGGAGCAGAAGACGTGATCGGGCGTTCCATGTACATTGTCAACTCGTGGCTTTGATTTCTTTACTGGGCGGGCGCATTCAATACCGGATTGTTTTTTTCTCATATTCCCATGGCTTATCTGCTGCTTTCCTCGTAATCTTTTGGTTCGAAATATATTTTATCCGCTGTCTATGGGCTAGGGGGGTTGTATATTTATTCTAAATGCAATTCGCTCATCACTTCTCGCCCGACCACTCCAACAGGATGTCTTCCGGCACATCGCGCACCAGCACATGGACATGTTCCAAGGCTCGCACACTTTGCAGGCCGACCCAGTTCTTAAACCACAGTACATGGGACTTGGCGTCTGGGAATCGGCCTTGGACATCGCGAGCCAAGCGAGCCACGAAAGTCTGTTGCACAAAGTTCTCGACCAGCGCACGCGACTCATCGGTTAAATGACCCTCGCCGGACTGGACGGGGATCGGAGTGCGTAGCCAAACGACCAGATGTGAAATGCCGGGACTGAGACCGTAGGGCCAGTCATTGCGGAGGATGCGGTAGTCCTCGGGATCGGCAAATGGACACGGGTTTTTGAAGGGTGCGAGTGGGCCCACGGTGTCGGGCATCTGCCATTGCAGACGCCGCTGGCAGATGTAGTTCATGATGGACCCATACTTGGCCTTGGTGTCACTGGACCAGGCCAGGTATCGGCGCAGATCGGAGGGTTTCCGCTTGAGCGCGCCGAGATCGTTGCGTGCTGAGAGAGAAGACGTGAGGGGAAAGTCTTCGATTGAGGTGGAGAGCCCACAGTCACAGAATTGGAGATGTGGTGACTTGGAGAGGGGTGAGGGGGTCTCTCTCACCGATGATGTCCCGCAGTTCTTCCCAGTCGTGTGCAACGTATTCCTCGTCGGTCATGACCAGCAACTGCTGGTCCAGCGCGGTGAGGTTGAAGGCGGGCGCCGTAGAGACATTTACCTCGGTACAGTCGCCCATATTCTACGCGCAACAATAACCAGACCCAATGATCGGGCAATCAGAAGGAAACTGGGAGGAAATCAGAAAATCAGGAAATCGAATGTGCCAGTAAATCGAATGTGCCAGTAAATAATCAGCGGGGAGCTCCCCTGGGTGGACCTGCAGAATGCCGGGCGGAGTCCCTTAATTGTCGTTCGCCCCCGATTTCGCTCTTTTCTTCTCCCACTCCCCTCTGTCTGCCCGGGTTCCTTCTCATCATGAGGTGAGTTTGTGGAGCATTCTGTGTTGCTTTTCCATGACTGATTTGGTAGTTCTCTCTCCAACCTCGGCGCAGCCCTCCTGCCCTCGGCCCTGCTGGTCGCCGGTGTCTACGTCGTCAAACCCGAGTTTGTCGCCTATGCGGTTGCTCTGGCGGGCGTGTTCTCCGGATGGAAACTCTTCAGCAACAGTACGTGATTCCTGATCATGGATGGATGTCTCCCATACTGACCCTGGATCACAGAACCTCGGAAGGTCTTGAACCCCACGGAGTTCCAGGACTTTGTGCTCAAGGAGAAGAATGAGATCTCCCACAATGTCGCCGTCTACCGATTCGCGCTGCCCCGCCCCACCGATATCCTGGGTCTACCGATCGGCCAGCACATCTCGCTCGCTGCCACCATTGCCGGCCAGCCCAAGGAGGTCGTGCGCTCCTACACCCCCATTTCCTCGGACAATGAGGCGGGCTACTTTGACCTGCTGGTCAAGGCCTACCCGCAGGGCAACATCTCCAAGTACCTGACCGAGCTGAAGATTGGCGATGTCATGAAGGTGCGCGGCCCCAAGGGTGCCATGGTCTACACCCCGAACATGTGCCGACACATTGGAATGATCGCCGGCGGCACGGGCATTACTCCCATGCTCCAGATCATCAAGGCCATCATCCGCAACCGGCCCCGCAACGGCGGCAACGACACCACCAAGGTGGACCTAATCTTCGCCAACGTCAACCCGGATGACGTTTTGCTCCAGGAGGAACTGGCGCAGCTGGAGAAGGAGGACGATGGGTTCCGTGTCTACTACGTGCTCAACAACCCGCCTGAGGGATGGGCTGGTGGTGTGGGCTTCGTGACTCCGGACATGATCAAGGTATGCTCCGTTGGGAAAGGGATTCCAGCGTGTCTTGTGCTAATAGTATTGCCTATAGGACCGTCTGCCGGCCCCGGCCACCGATGTCAAGGTTCTCCTGTGCGGTCCCCCGCCCATGGTCAGTGCCATGAAGAAGGCCACCGAGTCTCTCGGATACACCAAGGCGCGCCCCGTCAGCAAGCTCGAGGACCAGGTCTTCTGCTTCTAAGCATGGCATGCTCGTCGTGGATGCAATAGATGTTCCACTGCGAGTATGTTGTGGTTAAGTGGTTCCTCGCCAAGAATCAAAATAGGGAGAAGGCTGTGTGGTGTATATGGGGGGATTTGAGGGCTCTCTGAGATTAGAGTTGTTTATAAAATCCCAGAAAGCCTGTGATTAGACATTGAGTGGTTTGTGAGATCTGAATGTGTGAACGATAAGCGGTGATCATCCCCTTCCTGCTCTATATATTTCTAAATAGATTCTTCTGTTCCCGATCTCCCAACTTACACACCCGCCTCATCCCTCACGCGGCGGCTATTGATGAACTCGCAGCGTGTCAGGACTTTCTCCCAGTAGACAGCCTTTTCGGCAGTAGTGGCAGCATCTGGATCAGAGCCATCGCTGACAGTTACCGGGCGCGTGCCATAGGGACCACCAAAAAGCTGCAGCGTCAGCCTGCTCGGGGCATCCTCAGCCCACTCTTTCGCCGTCGCACCATCGAAAGCACCCGGCCAAACCCGCACGCGGCCCTCGCCTGTACTTTCAGGAGTGCCGCCAGCCACAAAACTAGCAATGGCTCGACTGACAGCCCTCCCCAGGGCCTTCTGAGCAGCAGAATTATCCGAGCCACCTTCCAGATGGGCCGAGTTCATGACATACGGGATATCACTAAGATGTGCCACTCGCTACATGGGTACGCCCATCATTTCATAAACCGGCGCGAACCTAGTGGCATTGTGCTCGTAGACGCGGACCTGGTCCGAGGCCACGCCGCCGTGTTTACTGTACTGCCAGGCAAAGTCCAACACGGGACAAGTGAACCAGATATCACGGTTCATCTGCGCGGCGCGGTAATACTGTGCCGAGATCGGGCCATCATACTGAGGCCGCACCATATGCTCGAAATCCGGGAGCGGGTACAGCGCCAACAGTCTCTGCTTGGTCTCCTCGCTGAGCCCGAAGAGCCACAGCCCGAAACTTGCCAGAACTTCTTCGTCCGTCGAGGTCGGCGGCGACGCATACCAGGCCCCGTCGTTGCTGACCCACGAGGCGATCACCGGCACGCCTTTGACGAACTTGCCGGCTCGCATCAGCTCCGATGGCCGGCCCCGGATGAAGTCGCCATCATAGGTCGGGTAGAAGAAGCCCTCGCCGAATGGTGGGCGAGAGCTGCGAGCTGCCGTCACCGAGAGGTTAGTCAATGCCTCCACTGGGGCTTCTCGGAGACACTGCAGAGTCTTTTCGGACTGGCTGTTGTCGTCTACGGTACAGCCGACTTGCTTGGCGATGGCGGCGGTGTTTTGGGCTACAAAGTCGGATTTGGTGTTTAAGTTGAGTCCCGGACCACCGGAAATCATTCTATCCATGTCAATGTCTGGACCTTATGGTTGATCATGGGAGGGCTATACTTACATTGCTTGCTGGAAGGGTGCCCCGCGCTCTCCGGCAAAGGCCGTCAGGTGTAGACCAATATCACTCGCGCCTACGCTCTGACCCATGGCGGTCACTGAGAGGAATAGAATTATCAGGAGTTGTTTTCTCGCTGTTGATTAGCCGACATACCTCTGTTAGGATCACCCCCAAACGCTTCGATATTGTCCCGAACCCCTACAATACGCGATGAGCAAGATTTCAACCAGCTTGGACCAAGGAAAAGAAAGCATACAGTCAAGGGCAGCGCGTTGATCCCGCAGTCCCGCATTAGTATGTTTGGCCTTGACCAATGCCTCACTACTCGCGAACCCGAAAAGGCCCAGGCGATAGTTGATAGCCACGTAAATCAGAGGCTGGTCATCCGCGCGGGCCTGGGTGATCAAGCCATCGGGATGGTAGAGGATCTCAGAAGCCGAGCCCAAGGCATGGCCACCTATTCATACAATTCAGCAGACATCCATAGAAGCCAATGGCTGGATAATATGTGATATGGTGAAAAGCAACAGACATACCGCCATGAATCCACACTACGGCCGGCAGCTTCGCGCCCGCCTTCACACCACGCGACCGCGCAACGCGCAGACTAAGACAATTCTCACTGATATTGGCGACAACACTCGTGAACGGGAGCACATCCCCGGTACCCTGCGGACACCACGCGCCCGGAGCCGTAGCGTCGATCACGGCGCCGGGAGACGGCCGAGTGGGGACCGGGGGCGCAAAGCGGCGGGGGCCCGATGGGTCCTCGGCGTAGAAGATATTCTGGAAATGCTCGACGCCGGTTGCGGAGTAGCTGCCTCTGTATGTGATATTGCGGGCTGTGTCCACGACAATGGGCTGGGATATGGGGAGTCCATATTGGATCACTCTTTGGAGGAGGAAGTCGGTGACGGGTTGGAAGTAGATGGCCAGCAATCCCGCCAGCAACGCAAGGGATCCTGCCAGGAATGGAACGCCGGGTGAAGGCATGGCGTGTTGTGGACAGTCTACTTGTCGGAAGAGGGCGGAGAGATTGTTGCGCTTCTTTTTTTCCTTTTTCCTTTGCTTCTCACCGTCACTTGGGGGCCAAACCTGGGGTTGTCAATCCTATACCAGCTCCAGGGTGGATTCTGTAGTCCGTGAAAGGAACAAGAACTAAGAAATAATAATAATAACAAAAAGGTAGAGCAACGGCCAACGCATTGAAATATATCGCCGTGTTTGCCTGGTGATTGGCAAGGGGAACGTCGGGGAAGGTCCAGACAGGGCTGACTCGTGATTTAATACTTTGGAAGACATCATAGCGGATGAGGTATTCCTGGACACTCACAACTTCATCCGTAGAAGTGGCCATAACAAAGAAGCATACGGCACAAAGAATTTTGAACAGAGTTGAATTATGTACAAGAATTTCTAATAAGATATAGAGATGGACGCATTATTGTGGGTACGGATTCTTCTCCAAGTCCGAGAGCTGCACCCAAGCAGCCTCCATATTTTTGTCGCTGAGGACATTATACGGAACCTCTTGATGGTCATCGCTATATTTCGAGACGGAGTCCGACGATGCCCCGACCGGCACGCTGGTCGGGGTGGGTTCTTTGGACGAGGAAATAGAAATGGTGGTGGTAACGAGAGGCGGCGGAGCCAGGGATGCCCGGTCTCCGGGGGCAGATGTGCCGTAGGGCTGTTGGTAGTTTCGGGGTTGGCTGCGAGAGCTGGTTGATTTGATGAATTTGTGCGTGAAGGGCCGGAAGAGCGGCCACACCGGGGGGATGGACATGGTGATGAGGACGACCCATTCTTCGATTTCGCCCCAGCGGAAGAGGACACCGACACCGTCTGTATTTGGGTCAGTGGGATGGCTTGATATGAAGAGGCTGAACACTAGAGCGACTTACAGGATGAGTCGTCACTCAAAATGAACTTGGCGGCCCAGGTCCGGACAATGGCTGCTACTCCGGCGAATATACCGCAGCCCATCAGGAAGCTCAGACCCCATTTCAGTTTGCGGTCGATGCGGAGAGGCATCAGCATGTTGATGGGGATGATGGCCAGATAAAAGTCCGAGAAGGCCGCCACGGCCCCGACAAAGTACGTGTAGTAGACACTTTTCCGGTGGTCGCAGTGGCTCTGACGAAGAGGATCCCAGAGGGCATCCACTGGCGTGCATTGGAACCACACCATCAGGACCTGGGGGATGTTGAGGATGATGTTGGCCACGGCGAGGATGATCAGACTGCGACGGATCTTAGGATCTGGTGAAGGTGGTCAGGTTGTGCCAATATTTATTTCATTTCCTCCGGATTGGGAGGCCATACTGCTTTGACCGTTCATCTCAATCAGGAACGCAGCCACAGCAACCTTTCCCGTGGGAATAGCGAGGTTGAAAAAGAACACAGTGATCCAGGTGAAAAGAAGGAAATTGTGTAGTTCGCCGGTTTTTGTGACGATGGTGATGTGGTTCCCTAGGCCATGGAGGACGGAGATGATGCCGAGGATTTGGGTGATGGCTGTGAACATCTATGGCAAAATCAGTACAAGCCAGTGTCTAAGTGTCTTGGAATCTCGAATGAAAACACATACCCAGGCCATCAGAGACCAAATTAAGGCAGTCGTGCCAAACTTGTTTACCCGCAACCTCACATACACACGCATGGCCATGACGACAGTAGCAAGAGAACCCAGGGCGAGACCAAGGCGCAGGTCGCCAGGGCCACGCCCACCATACGCTGGGAATTGTTCATGAAGACCCATGATGAAACGAATGACAGGACACACCCAAATCCGAATGTCTCATGACTTAGGGCTCGGGGGGACAAAGAAAGGGAGAAAACAAAAAAGTCCGCACGCGCACACTTTATACATCCCATTGAAATGGAGGCTGAAGAGCGGAGAATTCCCGATGTCGACTCCATTCAACATTGGGGTAGGTTTTCAGTGGATTTTCAGTGGAGCCAGGAACAAAAAGGCTTGTTTGGCAGTCTAGTTCAGACTCGGGGACGATCGAGTGGAGCGAACTATTGATGTGCGGGCAATGTCAGGGCTCGAGACCCCAACACCATTGGCGGTCCACACGCGCGAATTTCGGTTCACAGGAACAGTTTTTTTGTCGTCTGTCACGGGCCTATCCGAGCCTGTGTCATAGTTGTTCTCTGTGCGCAATCCACCCATAACTGACACGGCAGAGACCCAGAGAGGTTCCTATAGTCGTCCAGTAGTCAATAGATCGTGTCCACCTTCGTCCACGGTTTTGTGGGGGTCCCTGCTGCGAGGTATTCGTGTTCCCCCCTGAATCATGCAGCCACGGCATCATCGTGGATATGTGAGTCGGACTGGATACATCGACTCCACATTCACATCTGTCGCGTGTTCTCCGTTCAGCGTCTTCTCCGAGTGCTTCTCCGAGTAATAGCCCCGTGGTGGCACTCCCTACTACGGGCTTCGAGAAGGACGATTGGAGGAAAGGGGGAATTGGCTGAGAAGAACAAAACATGATCGTCATAGTCTCTCACCCAATCAATCCCTCATCGATCCTTGAAAAACTCTAATTCCATAGGTGACTCGATAATCTCGCCCGTCGTGGGGCTTGTCTCTCCACCAGAATTGCAGTGGAGACTATTTCAGAACAATAGCCTGGATGGGTCTCCATCTTGCTATCAATCTTTCTCGGGGGAGAGCAATCCGTTCATGGAGTGGACCGGGTATGCGCTCCATATATTTGGCACATCGCACGATGTGACCAACTGTTGGGAGTAGTCCAATGGCGATCTTTGTGTGTGTGTGTGTGTTTTTCGTTCCTTTTGTGTACTTCGGTATCCACATGCAGAAGCGAGGCCATCGTCGAGGCCAGGTTCAATTCCAATCTTCCAGGCCAAATGACAAGAATGGCGAGTCAATTCAGACCCCTTGAAATTCGGCAGTTGACTGAAAAAAAAAAGCAGATCCTTCTCACGCCATCGCCTCATTGTGGGCGCGTTGCAATCGGTGTAGAGAGGGCCCGCGACCTTGGTATCGATCTGCCGATTGGCGCGTTCCCGACGGTGTGGACCTGAGCCTTTGGATCTATTGTTTATTGTTCAGTAGATGCGATGATGACCCAGCCAAGGATATAGAGTCTGTTCGTTATCCATCTTGGCGTGCTCTCTGCTCTAAACACCATGGGGTTGTGTCGATCACAGGTCGGATCTCAGAAAGGAGAGTCCCCAACGTGTGGGAATGTGACTTGGGAGATTGTGAGACCGAGGCTCTTATTGTCCATGAAAAAAGCTTTGTAGCACTTAATGATCGGACAGGGCCGGAATGGAGTCTCTAGTCATTGTCATGGCTCTTGGTTGTAGCGAGACATTTGGAATGGGGAGGTGAAGGATCAAGCCAAACGGTGGGTTCCCTTGAGATAAGACATGCTCGATTTTGAGGCATTCAATATCCCATTTTCTTTCTTTTTCTATTGTCTCGATTTGCAAATTAAGAATCGATCTGGATACAGGAACTACCGACAATGATTTTACCAACTAACTTGTCTCATGGGTATTGTTATGAGGTTTGGTCTAACACCAACAACTCACTCTAGAGTCCAGCCAATATACATTTGGTTTATGTGCTTGTAACTCAAAATGTTGGAATAGAAAATAGACACCCAGGCATTTACCTTCACTTCATGTCCTTCGTGTTGCTGGGAGAAGAGTACTCAATTTGGCATACTTGCACATCTAGCCTTGGAGCCTGAATACCTCAAGACCAGGCAATTCTCTTTGGGAGAGAAATCAAGCTCATCCTCGTTGCCTGGACACGAATAAAAAAAATTTCCCTCCAACTCTTCCTTCTTCCACCTCACCACCTCTTCCCATTTCTCTTCTTCGTCACCCCACATCCCCATCATGGCGGAAGACTTCACTCTCTTCCCTTCCCTTCCACCAGAAGTCCGACGGCTCATCTGGAAGCAATGCCTGCCAAAGAGGGTTGTGGAGCTCGACTCACTGCCAAGCCACTATCCTCATATCCAGTGCCAGGTTTACTGGACGACCTCCGCTAATGCAAAGCCACCAGTCATTACGCAAGTCTGCCATGAATCACGCGCAGTGGCCATGGAAACAGGAAGAGTACTGAAGGAAGACCCCAGCACCCCTGACCCGAGATTCTTTGGCCCTCCTCTTCGACCCTGGTTCAACCCGCAAACCGATGTCATCTGCCAATACCCCGGGGACAAGTGGGGAGACTATGGCCCATTCGTGGACATTAAAAAGCGAAGAGCCTATTTCTTGCAGCTGGCAACTGAGGCCCAGGGCGTGGCGGTTCTAGCGGATCGAATCGACCCCTGCGATGATGGATCATTTTTCGAGAAGTCGGGTTGGGGTCATCCTGTGGGTTTGTCTCGGAACTTTGTTAAGTCTGACTGCAAAGAATACCTGGTCTGCCTAGAGGCGGTGGCGATTCATATCGACAAAGAGAAGGCCCTTGACTCGCAAGTCTTTGGTCGTTTAGCTGAGGAGCCCATCCAGCTTGTGCATGCATCAGACATCACTCGAATTCGACAGTTCCATAAACTCTCAAGCCCAAAAGATTCCGAAGCGAAGAAATTTTTCAAGATTGCATTTGTGGAAAGAGACTATCTCAAGCAACTCGCGAAGTGGCGAAGACGAACCGAGGTTTGGTTCGTATTCCACAAGTGGCTCATAACCTATCAGGAGAATCCATCGGCGGCCCCTCCTCTGCTCGACATCTGGTTGCAAGTTCAGACAATTTCCAAGAAGGAGTTTCAGGATGAGATTTCTCCAACAGATCTTCTCTTGTGCATTGATGAAGGGGGGCTGTACAACTACGCCCCGAATGATGAGAACCAGTGGGTAAAAAGTGTCTTGGATGCCATGCCAAACTTCCATCCAGTGATCATGTTCCGGCATTGCGAGTTGGACTGTTGCTAGTTCCTTCTCTCGCAATGAATTGCCTATTCCAGTGGCACAGAGAGGTAAATTATGCTGGAGCAATGCAGATGAAGAAAAGAGGGATTGAAAATATGGCGATTGCAGTTTTCTGTGGACAGACATCTCACGATATGACGTTTTATCTCACAAGGGACCGAGAGGCTCTTCCGGTTATTTGATGCACATTGTGAAGCTTGAAGCTTCATGAATAGAAAAGTCAGAGTCAATCTAAGTACGTCAACTATAGCCCTGGGTTTCCGGTGAGCCTCAGGGGTAGTTGTGAACCTTCCAACTAACAATGATAGGAGCAAGCATTGAGCAATAGATAGTACAAGTATGAGTGGACATGAGCGGCGAGTGTAAATGTCAAGAGATACGACTCAATGGGGCAGAATGTAGCGAGTTCTCCATGGAGATCTATACGGTGACATCATATCTGCATATACACGATCTTTGCGCTGTGGTTGGCTCATTGCCTACTATACGCAGTCAACATCACGTTGCCTACGTACTCTGTTCTTTGGGTCCAAAAAAACGAGGAGAGTAATGTAGTTTCGAAAAGAACACAATCAAATATTGAGCCCCTTCGAAAAATCTGACTATAGAATCCATTTCCTACAATTCACAACGTATGTACAAAGGTCGGAAACCTTAGAAAGCAGACATTGAGACTCACGTGATCCACCGCCTCCTGAATAAGTCACAGCACTGGGCAGAAAAAAAAGCGACAGAGAAATTCCCCCTCTTTATGGGTCACAGTCTAAGCGGGGCCCGGCGATTCTCAAGCGCCTTTTTTCCATTGATCCCTCGTTTTTGTGTTGCCCCATTTCGATCACTGATCCCCCCTCTAAATCTCGCCCTCCACCCCTCCTCTCGGGCAGCTTTTGGCACCTCAGCGCGACACTCACATTCCGCCATGGCGTCCGCAGCCAACCTCCCCGCCTCCGTGGAGGCCCTGTCCCTCCAGTCGACGACCCGGACCTCCAAATTTGCCGGCTGCTTTCCGTCGCTGAACCCTATGGACATCTACCGAGAGCACATCGCCGAGGAACTGGGCAAGGCGACGGGCATTGACTCTGAGAAGATCTACGCTCGTCTCGCGTGGACGAACACCCTGGACAAGGGCGACTTGTCGCTGGCGGTATGTGACTTAAAACTGAAACACCTCCACGAACTGCACTGGGGTGGCGCACTCAGGCTGTGGTAAGAATCAAGCTAATGTCGCGTCGTTCCCATCAGGCCCCCGCTCTCCAGATCAAGAAAAACCCGCAAGAGCTGGCTAAGGAACTCGCCGAGAAGTTCCCCCAGTCAGACCTGATCCAACCCCCCACCTACTTCGGCACCCACATGCAGTTTTTCTGCAAGCCTCGGCCTCTGGCCAACACGGTCCTTCGTCGCATCTTGACGGAGAAGTCGGCATATGGCACAAACGGCAACCAGGGTCTGAAGGACCCGTCGGACCCTTCCAAGGGCCAGAAGAAGATCATCATCGAGTTCTCCTCGCCGAACATTGCCAAGCCCTTCCACGCTGGTCACTTGCGCAGCACCATTATCGGTGGTTTCTTGGCCAATGTGCACACGGTCATGGGATGGGACGTCGTGAAAATGAACTATCTCGGTGACTGGGGCAAGCAATACGGTCTGCTGGCGAATGGATACAAGTACTTTGGTAACGAGGAGGCTCTTACCAAGGACCCTATCAACCACTTGTTCGATGTCTATGTCAAGGTCAACCGCATTGTCGGCGACCAGGAGAAGCCCATCGAGGATTTCAAGAATCAGATCAAGAGCAAGAAAGAGAAGTCTGAGGACGTGTCGGAGCTGGAGGCGGAGTTGGCCAAGCTGGTGGATGTCAGCGAGGACGAGAAGGCCCGTCGTTACTTCAAGAGCATGGAGGATGGCGACCAGGATGCGCTCGCGCTCTGGCGCCGGTTCCGTGACCTCAGTATTGAGAAGTACAAGCAAACATATGCCCGTCTCAACATCGACTTCGATGCCTACTCGGGTGAGTCGCAGGTCAAGGGCGAGAGCATGACTGCGGCATATGAGGCCATGGAAAAGGCCGGAGTGTCTGAGAAGTCCGAAGGTGCGGTGATTGTCGACTTTACCAAGCACGGTGCCAAGAAGCTGGGCAAGGCCATCATTGTTCGCAAGGATGGCACGCCGCTTTACCTGACTCGTGACATCGGCGCGATCACCGAGCGTGAAGAGGAATACCACTTTGACAAGATGATATACGTGGTTGCCATGCAGCAAGACCTTCACCTGGCCCAGCTCTTCAAGATTACTGAGTTGATGGGCCACAAGGATCTGGCCAGCCGCTGCCAGCACATCAACTTTGGTATGGTCCGTGGTATGAGCACCCGCAAGGGTACTGTCAAGTTCCTGGATGATATTCTGCGGGATGTCGGCGAGAAGATGCACGAGGTGATGAAGAAGAACGAAGTGAAGTACCAGCAGGTTGAAGATCCGGTCCAGACGGCCGACACCCTGGGTATCACGGCCGTTATGGTGCAAGACATGACTGGCAAGCGGTACGTTTAACCTTCTTGACCTTTTCACCTTGGGTGTTTTGGGGACTCATTTCTTTTAGGATTAACGGTTACGACTTTAACCTGGATGCCATGACCTCATTCGAGGGTGACACCGGCCCGTACCTGCAGTACGCGCACGCCCGTCTCTGCTCGATGACCCGCAAGTCGGGATTGAATGTAGACGAGCTGAGCACCGCCAACTTCGATCTCCTGACCGAGCAGCACGCCGTCGACCTGATCCGCCTGCTGGCACAGTGGCCGGATGTGCTGCTGCAGACCGCCAAGACCCTCGAGCCCATCACGGTTCTGAGTTACCTCTTCCGCATGACACATATGCTGAGCTCGAGCTACGAGGTGCTCAACGTGATCAACAGCGAACCCGAGCTGAAGAAGGCGCGCATGGCTCTATATGCCTCGGCGCGCCAGGTTCTGAACAACGGCATGCGGGTTCTCGGTCTGAACCCCGTCGAGCGGTATGTGTCCCCTTTCTTTCTTTGTCTAAGGTATTGGTTACTAACTGTCTTTTCTTCGCTAGTATGTAAACTCAGGTCGCTTGTTTCATGGACTATGGGGCTTTTCGTTTGTTTACTTTCAAACTTCGAGGATGCAACAATATCAATATACCTTTTTTAGATGCATTCGGGCTAGGAGTGGGGCAATCAAAAAAGAAAATTACATTACTACTTGAATATTTGGATCGTACAATACTTCTCGGAAGCCCTTCAGAATTAAGTCGGCGATGTATCCCCGGTCAAGTCGGCCGCGTGCGGCAGTCGGGCTCCAAGTACAAGGCCGAAGAGGCCGGGAAATGAGCCGGTGAATCATGGCCGCATCAATAATCCATTTCTCTCGTGCGAAACTATCAAATTCTGGCATCTGGGCTCTGGTCCAATAGCAAAAATTGAATAAGCCACTGTCCGTCACATTCCATCGAGGGACGCCGTCCACCGGTGCCACTCGGGGACCAGCTTAGCTAAGCCCCCGCGCCAGCCCTAACATCGGGCAGTCTACCTGCGCATCGGGGACCTTGGACTCTCAGCAATGAGGCTCCCTGGCTATGGAACCCTTGTCATAGGCAGTGATTGCCGCAGGGTCCATCTGTACGGTGACTCGTCGTGATTGAAATCTATATATATCCAGGTTCGTCCCGGCCGCCTGGAATAGACCAGGAACCAGGACCTACTTCGCCATCCCAGTTTGCGGTCTGACAAGCATACTAAGTACTCAGTATGGGCGACCAAGCTTGCTTGGATACAGCCCCCCGTACCCCGGACCTGGAGCGAAATGACAGCGGTGACTTCTTGAAAAACCACACCGTTCGGGATTTCTCGTGGACCGGGCTGACCGTCACGGTCAAGGACCGCGAGACAAAGAAGGCGCGAGATTTGATCTGTGATATTAGCGGGGATGTGCAGCAAGGTGTGTATCCCCGTTCTTAGTTGATGGCTGCTATATCATGGATTTCATTATATTCATGACCAGCAATGTACTCGTGTATACTCTTCGACGATTAACAACTCACAGGAGAGCTGGTGGCCTTGATGGGCCCTTCGGGCTGCGGCAAGACCACTCTACTCAATGTACTAGCACGACGTGCGGCGGCATCCGGGGCCAAAGTACTGGGAGAGAGCTATGTGAACGGCGCTAAGATCGACTCGGGTGCCTTCGAGCGGATGACCTCATACGTCGAGCAAGAAGACGCCCTAATCGGGTCGTTGACAGTGGAAGAGACGTTGAATTTTGCAGCGGATATGTCGCTGCCTAGGTATGGTTGATATTCTATTCCCGCTTGCCGGGCGTGCATTGACATACTGCGGCCTGCACAGTTCCGTGTCGAAGCACCAACGCCTGGACCGCGTCCGAGCCCTTCTTGAAGCCTTCGGGATCCACAAACAGGCAAACACGCTGGTTGGGACTCCAATTCGCAAGGGAATCAGTGGTGGCCAGAAGAGGCGTGTTAGTGTGGCCAGCCAGCTTATTACGTGTCCGCGGATTTTGTTCCTCGATGAACCAACCAGCGGACTGGACTCGACCGCCAGTTTTGAGGTGATGTCGTATGCAAAGAAATTGGCGCGGTCCAACAACGTGAGTGACGAGACGATATCATGTGGAACAGCCACTGAAAATAAGGATGCAGCTCATCATCATCGCGAGCATCCATCAACCCTCCACCACCACGTTTCAACTGTTCGACCAGATTCTTCTGCTCTCTGCGGGACGAACCTGTTTTTTCGGGCCTGTTACCGAGATCGAGGCTTACTTTCGCCGCATCGGCCATCCCATTCCGTCGCAAACCAACCCAGCAGAGTATCTTCTTGATATTGTCAGCTCGGATTTTACCAACTCCAAAGAGGAGGCTCAAACGCGGGTTGAAGGAATTCAGCTCGCCTGGGCAAAGGCCGCTGAGGCCAATGCAGTAACGAGGAAGGGGGCGGGGCGAGCTCGGATGGTGGAAAGCGAAAGTGAGAAAACATTGATGCAGGACTTGGCTGGGCCAGGAGCCATTCGAATCACCGCGGCACTGCTTCATCGCTCATTTATCAAGAGTTATCGTGATGTAGTCGCCTATGGGATTCGTATCGTGATGTATATGGGTGTGTACTACTGAAGTCTGTTTAAGAACCCAAAACACTGACTTCGAGCAGGACTGGCCATCCTGATGGGCACCGTGTGGCTACGCTTATATCCATCCCAGGAGTACATCCAGCCACTTATCAATGCAATTGTGAGTACCATTCATAATCCGAGGACATTCAGTCTACTAACTAGTATATCTACAGTTCTTCGGCTCTGCATTTATGTCCTTCATGGCCGTAGCTTACGTGCCAGCTTTCCTCGAAGACCGTGCCACTTTCGCCAAAGAACGAGCCAACGGACTGTACGGTGCGACGCCGTTCATGGTGTCGAACTTGCTCATCGGGCTTCCCTTTCTGTGTATGTGACTGCCAATATGGCTTTGAATTGTACTAACCTTGCTCACTCCCGACCCTGCCAGTTTTGATCTCGATGTTATTTTCCATCGTCTCGTACTGGCTCTCCAACTTTCGTCCCAGCGGTGAAGCGTTCTTCACGTGGGTGATGTGGATCTTTTTGGATCTGGTCGCAGCCGAGTCGCTCGTGGTATTCGTGACAGCCATATTTCCGAACTTCGTGATCGCCCTCGCCCTGGTGGCATTCGCCAATGGATTGTGGATGAGTGTGGGCGGGTTTCTTGTGACGCCGACGATTCTGAATCCGTTCTGGAAATTACGTGTTCCACTACATCGATTATCAGGTACGTGGGACTAGAATCATACACCCTACAGGGCACAGCTCCGACTAATTTGCTACCACTGTAGGCATATGTATTCCAGGGCATGATGGTCAACGAGTTCTCCGAGCGTATCTACTCGTGTGGCTCGCAGTGCCAGTGCATGTACATCACAGATCTGGCGCCCCAGTGCCAGATCCGGGGGACGGGCGTGTTACAGACATATGGGTATGCGACAGGGAGGACGGGCAAATGGGCTGGGATTCTTGTTGGGATTATTGCAGTTTACCGGCTCTTTGGATGGATTGCGCTCTACTTGCGCCGAACATGACCGACAGGAAGGGGCGCTTGCCAAGTGGATGTTGACGGGTAGAGGTGATGCTGTGTTCTCCATTGTCAGAGCCTATCTAATTTCTGCGAAGATCCGCGAACAGCGCACGTGTAGGCTTTTTAGCTCTATTGGCTCCGACCAATTTAACATAGAAGAAACGTCTCTCGATATGGTAAAGACAATTGAAAGCCATTAAAGCAAGTGCCATACTTGAAGCTATTCCCAACTGACCTATAAATAGAACACTCGGGCAATTTGTTCTTCTTCTGGAATCTTTTTTTTGGCCCCACTGCAAATAAGATAATAAGATCTACAGCCCCTGGAAACGGAGCAACAAACCCTCTTGGTGTTGGTTCATTAGTGAACCGAATACAGAGAGGGAGTGCATAGTATGAGACTTCTGTCAACTTCATCCCATAAGATTCAAGGCACGACACTTTCTTTCCCCGTCATCCTACACTCTGAAATCGAAATATGCAGTGCATACTAGTAAAGTTCATGCCCCATAGCCAGGAGGAACTTCACATGGTAATAGTTAGCCGGCCTTTCTAAGAATCTCGATGAGGTGAGAGAGAAACGAAATGCTGATTAGGGTTAGCACATTGGCAGTAATCAACGTCCTGCAAATCGGCTTAGGAATGTGGAATGCCGATGAGAGTCTCGGGCTCTTTTTATTGGGCAACTCGTTGTAGCCAAGAACGGGGCACAGGGTTCCCGAATCCTTCGATAATCCTTCGCATCCCACGGCCTCAAAAGTAATACAATGTGATAGAAGTTTTTTTTTTCCTCCCTTCATTTCTCTAGATAAGCACGCTGAAGATAAAAATCAGAATATTAAAAAAATCTTCTACCCGTTTCCTCTCATGGCCTCTAAGTGATCATTGTTGTTGTTGTACCGTTTCTTTCTCACAGCGGATAAAAGCGATGATCTTCCCGCCATGGGTCTTGCTTGCCCCCCTGATGGCTGTATTACTCCCGGAGAAGAGCTTCGCAACACCTATCTTGGCTTCGAATAATGACCTCCACAACACGACCGCCCGCTCTGTGATCCAACCCCGCGAGGACTGGAACAAGGTCGCTGCGGAAATCCGGGGCGACAACGCACTCATCCAGAAGCTCAACACGATTGGGGCTGATTGTGACGATAATCTCTCAATACTGGGTGTTGAAAAAGCCAAGCAACAGCTGGTTGCAAAAAAAATACCCTGAAAAACTCCCATACCTCTTCTATACATCCGGTATGGGAATGGCAACGATGGACTGGGCCCCGACATACTTCGGAGAGGACCCCGAGTACTGGGAAGAGGCGCCACGAAAGGAATGGAAATTCGTTATATGGACGGGCCGAGGAGGAAGACTCCTCCGGGGGTTTGGAAAGGGGACTAAGCTGCCCCAAGCTGTGGAGGAGCAGCTACAAGGGTATAAATATCAACCAGTGATCCGCGAATGGACCAAAGACCTTGCTCAGAAAAATGAAGTCCAAGCGATCGCCGAAGTGCTGGAGGGGGATGCTTATATTGCGATTCCTAGTACTCAGAATCCGAACAACGATGTGAATGGATGGGACACAACCTCGGCATGGGGAGGTATGTTGATCACTTTTTACTTCCGTTTACTCTTTTGAAAGCTACCACACAACCACGTTCTTTCTCAAGGCTAACTGTTGTCAACCTCCAGGATGGGAGTTTCCCGCTCTTGCACTAAATGATAATTTTGGAACTCTCTACCGGTTGGATCCAACCAAAAAAGAAAAGCCAGTCAAGATCTGGCAAAAGGGGGATCCCAAGCCAGATCAGCGGCCAAAAGGCAACAGGCAGGACATCACATTTAGTGGAGACTACGGAGACTTCTTCAAAGGGAAATCCAAGACTTTTCTCCCTCTTCAACAGAAGCTAAAATCACTGATGGGTAGATAAGTCATCATTTACACAGGGTGTGTTTTGCTGTCTCATGGGGATTTTGCTGTACGACGATGGACGAAGTGAAGGTCTAGTCAGTTTCCTGCTAGAAACAAACCATGAAATTCCTATCACTGTGTTACGGGGCACATCCATATAGAAAGAAACTATAGCCTCGAATTCCTTGTACTACAACCACACCCCGGATATCCGGCATAACCCTAGGAACAGACCATGCATACTCTAGTCTGTGCAACATCCAGGTGATTATAATCGACGATGAGCGAGTCCCTATGATACAAAAGTCTATCCACAGCAAATTACTCGTTGCACCTCGTCTATGGTTCTATATAGCTAGTGACGGAGTTCTCCACCTGCAAGTCATGAGCCGCCGATCACTTTGGAATTTCCCGCTCCAGCGACCCTTCTAGATAACATCCGACGTGAACAGATCGAAACCGGACCTCATTTCTCCTAGGGACATGCTCTGAGAATTTAGTAAAAAGAGCGGTGTGAGTGTTGACTTGGGGAAGCTGATGCCATCTTGCGTCAGGACGCAAGGGGGTGTGGTTGACATCTACCTAGATATGCTAGTGGTATACACCTAGTACGGATATTGTTTTGAGAACCGGGTTAATGTGCACTCTAATACTCTAATAGAAGTGCTGGATACCATGAATAAAGCCATGTAACTATCAGGATTGCAATATGTCCCGCACAGCCCTGGTCCGATCCCCAGATTGCGATCGCGTCAGACAGCATGAGGAACATGGGTGGCCTGGAAATCCAAGGCTAAGGTGTCTCAGGAAGCTGTGGCTTTTTTTTTCTTACTTCTTTCGCTTGTGTTTCCCTCGAGCATGGACCTCCCCCCGTCTCTCTCTCTCTCTCTCTCTCTCTCTCGGCTTCCGTTTCTTGAGATGAACTGAGAATCCCCTGAAATGGTGTTATTCCACACGTGCGGGGTCTTTTCCCTCAATCTGATTCCATCTGGACGCAAGGGATAAGAATATAACACCACCTGGGAAATGATAGACCCGCACTGCATGTCATGGCGATCTAGGAGGATCGCGGATCCAGGACACGGACACCTCGGGTAGAGTTGAGATGACTCAAGGGGGAGGAAAAAAGCAGCCAAAGAGCCCAGAGAAAGGAAAACAATAGAAACCCTAGCACATGGGGCCTCGGGCGACAGATTCCTCCACTGAAGGAAGTGGCGAGTGCAGGGACATGAAAAAGAAAGAAAGATGTAAGTTACTTCATAGATGGCGATGTCACCCCCCACCGACTTTTCCCGTGTCCTGTGTACATAGCCATTGTCCCCCTCTTCTTATCGTCAAATTACCCGTGTCCGAGAAGTAGATGAGATTGTACTTGTTCTTTTTCTTTCTCCCAGCAGTGTGTTCTTTTTTTAAAATATTTGCCTGTTGGAGATCATTGGGCCGCAAACACATTGGGCGTTGGGCGGGAATCCTGATATTCCAAAATGAATGCCTGCCTAAATTTAACCTAGTAAGGATAAATTTAAAAACACCCCTAATAATACAATAGTAATGGATGTATAGATCCCCAGGTAAACACCCGTTCCATGGATCCCCTCCGAGCTTATCCTATAGTTTTGCCTGGATTACCAGGTTACCCGTCCGAGGCATCGATAGATCAGTAGTGCCATATTGCCAGGTAATTCTCTTTCTACCTATTTGACATTGTCATTTTGTAAGATCTCGCTGTCTTCTCCTTAGGTACTGGTACTTCAGGATTAACCGGACCCCCCCACTTGCTGTTGGGTACCGATGGACCCGAGAGCCTCTTCGTGAAACAATTGTCTTTTTTTTTTTTTTTCCCTTTACTTCTCTTCTCTTTTTCTAAGTGTTGGCGTTTTGCTTTTTTCTTTCCTTCGCTCTCTTCGCTCTTTTCTTCTCTTCCCTTCTCTCTGTCCCCCTCCCCTTTTTCTTGCTGCTTTCAAATATCTGATTGTGGCATCTCCTTATCATCTCCTATCCTCGCTGCCCATTCGACTCCACCCAACCCCACTGCCTGTTCAAACCGTCAGGCAGAACACATTCATCCAAAAAAAAAAAATTCTCAACCCAACCCTCCAGTGACACTCTGGTCTGTCTGCAGCTGCAGAAGATCCACCACTCATCGTCTGCCAGAGAGGTGTCTTCTCTTCACTCGACCCACGCTACGCTCTCTGCGCCGCCCGACCGTCCTCAGCCCTTCCCGCCCAAATTCCCATTTTCGATGGAGACATTGCGACCTGGAAAATCTCACTTCGCTCATTCCGCCCGCTGACAGATCCCGCCTTGCGCCTTCGCCTGCCATCGCCGCCTGCGATCGGCAGGTCCATATACTTGTTTGAGTCGCCCGCAGTTGTGGGTTGGGCGAGGACAGGGGACGTCCCAAGTGAGACGGGGGTCCAGGGAAGCAAGGAAACTGGGTCGAGGGCGCACCACTTCTGAGTCATCTATAGGTGACAACCGTTTCGTCGAGACCAGACGTACGTCGGCCAAGCATATCCGCCGGTGCCAGCAAACCCACGTCGACTTTTTCCCCCAACGGAACCACCCTCTCCTCTTCCCCCCCCCTCCCTGAGAGGGACGCCAATCCAACGTCCGGCCGTGCAGTAGTCATGGCCAGCAAGGCCCCGCAGGCTGCCTTTGTCGAAGATTTCGACGAAGACGCGCATGCCAGCCTACCCGAAACCCGGCAGGTGGCCAATGCCAATACCGCTGCCAAACTATCCAGGTTGGATCTGAGATTCCCGGAGCCGCTGATTGACGGCGCCAGTGACTCAGGCTATTCTAGTCGCACCGCTGCCACGGTCAACAGCACCCAATCTGGGCCGTCAGGCGGAAAAAGTCCTCCCGTCCCTCTTAAGCTGGACACCACGCTCAAACGTTCCGACCTGCCTAGGAAAAGTTCCACCCGCAAAGATCGCAAAGAGAAGGACCGAGCCCCCCGGTCTGCACAAGAAGAAAAGATGGTCGGTGCCTATCCGGGCTCCGCCCACTATCCTCACGTGCCCCGGTCGCCGTCCAAGTCTCGTCGACGAGATTCGTCCCATGCCCGCCACTATCACGACTCCGGTTACGAGTATGCCAGTGGCCTCTACTACCCTTCCACCGCCGTCGAGCCCCGTGTCATGGAGTATTCGCGATACATCCCCCAGCGGCCTCCCGTGCCGGACTATCTGCCGTCCTCTCCACGCACCCCACGCTACTCGCCAGCCGTGGTCCAGGATATCAACGTCAGTCGTTCGTCGGATCGACCCGGCCGCTCGAACTCGTACCATACCTATCATTCGAACGCTCGTCCCATGAGCTTCCATGGAATGTTACCAGGGATGGGGCCGGCTATGTACAGCCAGCCCTCCATGCACCCCTATGAGCAACACGGCCCTCCACCCGCTTCATCTGCCTATGCCAACCCTCCGTCTTATTCGTCGTCCCCGTACGGAGCATCCTCGTACTACGCTGGATCCGAGTTTGCCCCTCCTTTGGAGTATCCACGGGAGCGGTCTCCATCTCGTACCCGAGAGCCCTCACGGCCGCGACGGTCGTCGATGTATGGACCACCGGCAGTTGACTCAGGAGTCCTGTCACCTTGGTTCGATGATGACGAGCCCTTGGAACGCTGGTCCTCTCGTGAGGCCCGGGGCCGGGGCTCTGTCAAACCCAGCCAGGAACGTGACGAGGACTTCTATCTCATGCCGCCTCCACCACCGCCACCGCCGAAGCGTAGGGCCCCCCCGCAGATCATCCAGCAGAAGCGGCCGGACCCACCCCGGAAGTCTCAGACAAGCAGCGCCGTGCCCTCTCAGCGCCGCCCATCCCGGACCCTGGAGATGCCCGAACTGGCAGCTGTACTGCCAGACTACGGAAATCGTCGGATGTCTCGGGAGACGGCGCCGGAGCGCAGCCACAGCCTTCGAGAGAGCCCACGGTCGACTTCCTATCACGATAGCCGGCGGGCTGCCCGCGTGGCGGTCGAGAGCTCTGGGCGGCGGCGAGCCCCCAGTACTATTACGAAGAACCCGAGAGCAATGTCGGATTGGCAGACCGCGAGCGCGAGGTCGAGAAATACCAGGCCGCCCGCTCCGGGCGAGGGTCTGCCGCAACACCCCTGACGGCGGAAGCGCTACTCCCTACCAAAGCAGCCAACCGTACCGGCAGCGAGAGCGGCAGCCAAAAGAGCCGGTCGAACAGCAGCCGTGGTAGCGGAACAGGCTCCAAGGCGGAGGAAGACAAGAACATGACGCTGATGATGAATGGGATGACTATTGGCTTTACGCAGGAGTCAGTCGCAGGAAAGTCCATCAACATCCGAACCGGGGATACCGGCGCCGTTCGATTTTCCATCGAGGGCAGCCGGCAACCCAAGAATTACTTGACCGGCCCAAACTACTCCGAGTATACGGGTAGCAGTGGCCGCCGGGAACTGGAGGATGGCCGAGGCTCGCGGGATGACCGGAAATCAGACCGTGCTAGCCGCCGATCCAGCCGGTCGACCTACAGCTCTGGCCGCTATCGAGATTGATTTGGCGGCCGGGCTGTGTTGCCTCCCTCCTCTGGGTCCACTGTTTTTCTGCTGGTTGGATGTTTGTGTTTTTTTCTCCATTGCGTCTGATTCCCGAGCTATCGGGTCTCATTGATCAAAAAAAAAAAAAGTTGGATTGTTTTTGTCTGCGTTGCATTTTTCGGAGGCGGGTTTTGTGTTGGGACCAATAAAAATACTGGGATATCTTTGAGCAAAGTGTTCGGGTCGTTCGGCTTCTATCCAGAAGCTTGACCTTTTTGTCATGGGAGGAATTTTCTACTTGTTTTTTGTTTGCAATTTCTATCTCTTGCGTGTGGGGACGAGTCGAGGAGAGACCCCATCCGGATGCCCTGGATGATTCGACTCCTTCGATGGGCTCTCCCGTTACGGTGATATGATTGTACGATTCTGATGACCTGCGATGACAAGATCCTTGTTCTTTTTTTGCGTTGTGCACCAGCGTTTTCGTGTATAGGCCCCTTTTGCTGTTTCAATTCTCTGGTCCTGTCGGGTCTGTGTCTTTCTCCTGGTTGCTTGTGTGTTTGCGACTCCCGAGGGAAGGAGAGAGATTATACCCATTTCTGTCTACATACTTGTCATGTTCTAAACCCCAGGTCATCTTTTCTCTTCTTTCTTTGACCATATTCATTTGCGTCTTGTTCGTCCTTGGGTTTGGTGCGGATGGGAGATGTGTAGTCAACTAGGATTGTGCAGTATGTTCCGGTGTGGATATTTGGGTCTTGTGGTTATTCATCGACTTACCTTGATTCAGTAATTATTTGATTTCTTATTGAACATCCTCAAGTAATCCTGTGTTTCCTGGCTGTCATGGTATGTTGTATAGTCCATTGGATAGACACCCAAACTAAGCATGCGGGGCGGGCCCACTTTGATGTCAACACGCCCAATCCCTGAGGCACCCAACGTACGAACGAACTGGCGAATGTATATATTCTTACATCCTCTCAGCGCGGCCTTGCGGTGACTGGCGGCCGAGAAAGAGCCCTAGAGAAGGCTTCATTTATACTGCACCTGCTATCAACCGTCTAAACGTCGCATTTTATTTAGCTAAAACTCCCGCATGGGTTACCTGGTACCTACGGTAGGTAGCGTTCCACCTTAGTTAGGTGGGGATGTACACTAAACGCGTTGCCCCCGACAACCGCGTAAACACCACCCCCAGCCTCCTCCAACCTCCTCCATTCTGCAGGCCGCGACTTGGATCTTTTCCAGCGTAACATTCCTTCTTTGCGTCTTCACAAATCCGCTGACTACCTTCCAGGCTGTCTGGGCGTTGTACATTCCACATTCCACGCCCACATTCCGTTCGATCGTGAACCCGAGTGATCTAGATCTGGCGCTGACCATTTAACCCAAGGTGAGTACCTGTTCTCTCGATCGCAAGAATGTGTCCCATTCCTGACTGTCAGTAGAGTCTCGTCTCGAGCCACGTGCTCTTGACTGCTCTCTTCCTCCGCCATGCCTCCCGTACTGCCGACCGGGGATTTCCCCGACATTCCCATGGCGTCCGTCTCGGGTCTCGAGACTCGAGACACTGACGGCCAAGGTGTCGACGGAACCCCGTCCCTCAACATCAATACCCTTGTTGCTCGCTCCGATTCAACCTCCACCTCCACCCACACCGATAAGCCCGCCCCGGGGCAGGGTACAGTCGACCCGAAGAGCATCAAGATGCAGGGCCTAATGGCTCTATTTGCAATTATCGGAGCAGCCTTTGTACTTGCGTCGATCTGGTTCTTTTTCTGGGCCAAAGAAGGCGGGTTTGTTTGGCGCAAAGGCGACTGGGACGAATACAAATCGACGGTTCTGCGACGCAAAGGACCGGACGGACGAACACTCAGTAATGCAACCAAAAGTACCAAGCTGGGTGGTGGTAGCATTGTCGGCAAGGGCTACAGCGACACCGGGTACACATACACCGACGGCAGCGCATACGACGAGACAGCGACGACAATCACCGAAGAGAAGCCGAGGCGCAAGCGATTCCGGGATACGGCCAAGCAGAAGCTGATGCGAGGTCGCAAGAACGAGCGCTGGGAGGGTGAGGCTGACGACGATGTGAGAGCGTATCGCGAAGAGAAGCCGGCCCGCGTCGGTGGCATGAACCGCGAGGCCGAGGGCACGTACCACGGCAGCGACTACGACAGCTCGGCCCCGCCGACGCACTACAACGAAAGTGACATTACCGAAGTGCGTGACTATGCCTACGAGCGGCCACGACAGCAGCGGCCCCGCAACCCTTCGGGCTTCTCTTTCACTGCCGGCAGTGAAGAGGTTCTGAGTCAGGCCACCGAGGAACACAGTCTGCGGGATCCGTCCGCACGCCGCCACAACCGCCGTCGTGATCGTCGCAGCCGTGCTCCTCCTCCGTCCGCACCCTCCTCACGGACCAGTAGCCCCCGCAAGCGCGAGCGTCGCTCCGTGCCGGGCCATTACACTGAGCCGCTGGATATGTCGGCCGCAGGTTCCTACCAGTACTCCAACGTTGACACCGAGGACTCTGGTACCAGGAGCTACCACCACCCAATCCCCGGCTTGAGCAAGGGCTACCGCCGAGACGGGCGCAGCCGCCGCCGCGATAGTCTGAGTGACAGCGAGGGCGAGACGCAGTACTCATGAGTGAACGTTTCAGCGGCTGCTCCTTACTGTTTTCTATTGCTTGCACAGAATGGATATTTCATGTGATCTCGTGTGACTTGTTTTGAATATGTCAGAATTTGAGAGTTTTTATGGGAAACGAGCGGTCGAATTTGCTATGCGACAGGAATATGGATGCACCTGGGATGGGAATGGCAATGTACATAACGATCTACCAAGTATGATGGAATCCAGCGATATATCTGGCTCTTGGCTTGTGAAAATGCGTTTAATTTGTTCACCAATGTCATGTTGGTAGTATTCGTGAAATGGGTAGCCCTACTGCGTCACTACTAAGTATGTCGTCTACCTACGAGGTAGGCAATACCCATCTAATTTTACTAGGGGTTCAATGTGGCTGCGGCAGAGGCTGAAGTTTAGTTGATTTTAGGGGAGCTCTAACTATAATCCCAAACTAACATATGCTCTACACTATCCATGGATTGTTCCGAGCTTGTAACCCAATAATTTCGTCTGTCACAGTCACTGAGACCCGCCGAGCAGCGTAGTTGACGCGGTTGACCAACTTAATCTGAGTATATAACTGGCCTCAATGGTCTTCTCATGCGTGATTTGTGTACGCCTAATCTCGGCTCACAGTCTCGTTCTCCCATCAATCGTATAAGGATGCCAATCTTTTGCGGGGGCGGCAGGACGCCTTACCTGGGAGAGCCCTACACACTATAAAGAAGGTGAGAACCCAATGGATATTCATAGGCAGCAGGACAATTTCTTCATTCCTTTTTTTTTTTTTTTTTTCGCTAAGTCGATTCTGCCAAAATGCGTTTTTCTTCAGCGGTGGCCTTGCTGCCCGCTGCCAGTGCGATATCCATCTCGCCGTCAGCGACGCCGACTAATGCGACGGGCCCGATTGCACTCACCTTCCCTGGTCTTGCCTTTGAGCAGGCTTCGTTCTATTACTATTTTGGTAAATCACCAATGGTCCCTGGAAAGTGAGTAGCTGCTGATTCTAATGCTCTATAGGCAACAAGAGCCATCCCAACACGTTCTCACAGAACCTGGTGAAGGCCATTGTCGACAAGACAAAAACAGCCCCGGTCGTTCGTGTCGGCGGTACTTCTCTGTATGGCGCCCAGAAAAAAAAAGAAAAGAAAAAAAAGAAACCTATATAAATAGTATAAATAGCCAGCTAATACTTAGCAGAGACCAATCAACATACGACCCCAACCTCAAAGAACCCGTCTACCTCCCTAACCCGAACCAGGGCATCCCCAGGAACATGAAGATAGGACCCTCCTTCTTCGAAAGCTTCCGCAACATCCCCGACGCAAAATACGTCGTGGATATCCCCTGGGCGAAAGAGAATCTCAGCAATTCGTTGTCCTTTGCCCAAACCGCCTGGAAATCTGTCGGGTCCTCCAATATCTATGCTCTGGAAATTGGCAATGAGCCAGACAACTACCCTGGCCCGGACAGACCGAAGGGCTGGACGCAAAAACAGTTTGGCGAGCAGTGGGGGAAGTGGTCGCGGGCTATTGCGGATAAGTTGAAGATCCCCGTGGATGGTGGCATGTTTCAGGCTGTGGCTTTGGCGTCACAGACGGGGAAGACGAATTTCCCTGGGGGGACGCCGGAATCATGGAAGATGTGAGCATTTCATTTACTTTCTTTCTCTTTTTCTTTCTTTTCACATCTGACTATTGAGACATACTGATGAGAGCTTGGATTAGTGGGGATATCTTCAAGGCCAAGTTGAGTGACTTCACGGACCGAATGAAGACTGTGTCGATGCACTAGTAAGTATGCACATTCAACCTCACGAGTCCATCGCTTACGTTCTCCACAATAGCTACCAAACAAAAGCCAATGAGCATACCAACGTGCAAGGTATATATTCCACCTCCCAGGCTCAATGACACAATACTAACCCTAATAGCCGATGTGATGAACCATACCGCCGTGGTCCGAGGCACCGGCTTCATCAAAGACGCCCTCAAAAGCCTCAAGCCCTACAAGGTCCCACTATTCCTCGGTGAAGTGGGCAGCTCAATGGGCAATAAAACATCAGGCCCCATGCTCGGAGGCGTACTGGGTTCCGCTCTGTGGCAGGTGGACTTTTCACTGTACAGCATGTTCCTAGTACGTATACCCTTCATTGCCAACTTCATATACCCCCCCTATGACAACAACAACAACAACTAACAACATATTACTTATACAGGGAGTCGCTGGAATCAGCATGCAATCGGGGGCGCTATTCGAGTTCTCTCTCTGGCGCCCCGACTACAACAAAAAGCCCGGCGCCGTGCTGCCCGCCTTCTATGGGCAGGTATTCACGGCCGAGTTCCTGGGTACACACAAGGATGTCAGCGTAGCCAATCTGGACCTGAACAAATCGTATCTGTCGGCATATGCAGCCTACGAGGGAAAGACACTGGCGCGTGTGGCGATTGTGAATCTGGAGTTGTGGGATGGCCATGCAGACAACAAGCCGAAACGCCCCTCTCAGGAGATTGAGCTTGGTGTACCTGTGGGCACCGAGAAGGTCACTGTTAAGAGATTGGCCAGTCCCATGGGTGGGACGGCTTTGCCGTCGGATCAGATTACTTGGGGTGGTGTGGAGTGGACGCGCAAAAGTAATGGGAAGGAGCACAAGGTGGATGACAAGGGAACGGAGGAGCTGACTGTCAAAAATAAGAAGGTACAGGTCAAGGTGGACGCGAGTGAGGCGGTGATGGTTTTCTTGTGAGGTGGTGAAGTATGGTTACGGTTACGATGGTAAAATGATCTATATAGCTCGCTGTGGAAGGATTGCATTATTTTCAAGAAAGTTCCATCAATATATCCCGCTTTAGCTTGTCAAATTATTCCTTACGAATTTCAACCATGTATCATCCTCTTCATTCTGGAACCACAGCGCCATAGCCATCTGACTGATGCTATCACCATCCCATCCTTGGTTCACCAGGTCACGAAGCCCAGGGTGCGACTTGAAACGCAATATCTCACATCGAGAATGACGCAGTCGGTGAAGCAACCACTGATTGATGAAAGTGACTTTATTTACAGGGACTAGTTCCCCCGATCCAAAAAAGGGAGACCGATCGATCCTCAAATTCCCACGCATGGAGTGGGTCGTGATGCGATTGGTCTCCACGCTCGATGGGGAAGAACCTCTGTTCTTCATTCGCGATGTCATCGGGACGGTTTGTGCTAGCAGTGTGGCTTTGATGCTCGGGGTGTGATTCGAGACGATGGTGGGCAAACTCAAGTTCTGCCTCTAGCTTTATCTTCTCGTCTTGGTATCGAGCGAGAAATGCAAGTGCTTCGCTATCGAGTGAGATTCCAATGCGCTCCCGGAGAGCCTTCTGGTCGATAAGAATTCTATATTCAGTTTCCAGTTCAAAGAGCCGCTCCTGAAGCAGACGAGTCTCACCCACCTGAGTGAGGTACTCGGCGAATGGAGGAGAAATCGGGGTTGTATCAGAGGCATAATCGGTCGAGGAGCTAGAGTCGGACTCGATATCGATGACAGAAGGTGGGTGCGCAGAGGGCACGAGATGCTTTTGCAAATAACTATGCAGTTTTGTCATGCGCTTGTGAAGAATGCATTCCTGGTGCTCGAGTCTATCTTCTGCCTGGTAATACTCGCTCTCGAGAACTGTATATAACGTTGTCACATCCTGGATATTTCCATGGCGTGAGAAATGTTTGAAAAGTCTTCGTGCCCAAACTCCGGTGACTTGAGATTCAGTCTGTTCCGAAGTGCAACCCGCAGGTCCCCCACACGAAACCGGCTGGTTGAAACCTCTTCATGCATATGGATGGTCTCAGCCAGGAGCTTTGCCAGTTTAACGCCACGCTCTGGCGCAGGGACAGCCACATGGCTGGAACTGGAGTGTTGGTTTGGTGGACGGGAATCGCAACGTTGCTCGTCCTGAAAGGCTTCATAATCGTTGTTCTTGATCCCACCGCTCTGATCCATAAGCCCTGACCCATTAAGCCATAGGGATAAAGTAGATGGGGCTCTGGGTATAGAGGGATTGGAGAGGCGTAAGGAATGCGGTTGCAATGCGCACGAGGCTGTGGAGTTTCGCAATGGACTCTCCAACGCGAGCCACCCATCCCGAGAAGTTGCACGAGAGAGAGATCTGATACTTCGGCTATCGATCCAGAGATCCCCCAAGGACGGCGCCTAAACATCGAAATCGCCGTGATGAGCGAAGTCGATCTTGCATGCCGTCAGGGTGCTTACCTGTGCGCAGGTCCGCAAGACCCCTGGCCAAGATGTCATGGTAAGAAATCCAACAGACGTCAATCGCATTTCGATAGGATGAGCAGTCCATAATACCCTAACCATCCGACTGTTGGTCAGCGCGGTCTGAGCTCCGGAAGAACAAGAAGGAAAAGCGGCAGAGACCGGCTGTTAGCCCATGAAGACACGTAGATCAGACAAGGAATGCAGACTCTCCGACGTGGCGTTGTTGGCAACCCAATGGCCGCTGTTCCGTTGTCTCCCTGGTGTACCTTAGCGCCCGCGCTTGGATCCATGACGAGGAACCCCAATAGATCGGATCAGCCACAAAACTCTTCTCCTCTAAATCCCCTGGAATGGTCGATCATGTGCGGCCACATCCGCGAGTAAGGCTGTGCCAACGATACCATCGACTGGCTGCATACGCGCCTTGTATCCTCGGTCTATCGGAAGCCATGAGACAAAGGAGAAAGAGTGAGCCGCACAGGCCGGCGGAGGGGAATGAAGCACAGCCCAATTCCGATATGATACATTGTGAACCCCCAATCTAAATGCCGTCCGGTCTGCCCAATGTCTCCTCAAGTCTCTTGGTGCCAGAAGGCATGTAAAGCATGGCCTCAGATTCGGCAGTACATCCAGAATCCAGACGGCTGTTTCGTCCCGTCTACAACCTCGCGGGTGAGCTGGTCGTGGCACCATTGCGTTTTAATTTTGTTGACCAAGTATAGGCGAGCCATGCTACAAATGGGACAAACCCCGGGGTCCGTTAAGCCCAGTGCCTCGAATAGCCGATCGATCATCAATGTGAGTGCAGATTTTGGTCGTTGTATTGGTCGTGATATGCGATGGTGCAAGAAAATAACGTTGTGAAGTACCCCGCCGCGCCAAAGAAGCACTTCAGACTCGGAAAGTCTGCAACCCTCCGGATATGCTATTCAATTTGCCCACGGACAGGGCAATACAGGTCGCCATGACCATGCAACACAGCAACAGCAAGGCCTTTCTGGTTTTGGGTTGCGCTCTCCTTCCCAGCATCAACTGTCGGGACCAAGACAGAAAGATGTCCCGAGTCATTCCCGGGCAACCAATAATCTTCGGCAGAGCAGAGTTAATGCATACAGTACTCAGCGGGGTGATCCTCCTGAATGGAATTCGTCCAAGTTTCTGGAAAGTATGAGCCGAGAGCCAACAGCGGCCTGTAGGACGGGTCAAACCAGTGTTTCCGATAACAGTGAAGCCACTGCCTCATCCTGGAGTGGCACATCAAGCCCAAGATCCATCGCAGTAGACCTGCAGGGATTCGGCCTCGGAGACCACGCATCATCTCGATTGATACTTCCTCACGGCATCAGCTGTCGGAGCCACCGCCACGACCCAATCCTGGGCGATGTCCAACGGAACCATGACACGTCGGTCGTGAGTCGTACAGTCTTGGTCTGCCTTGGCTATTGGCTAATTAGCGTTTTAGCGGTTGTCTGTTGAGCCCTCATATGTCATTCCCGCGAGCACAGGCGAGGATGAGACATTGGATCCCCGTAGGTGCCCAGGGCCTGGATTGGAAATGTGCTCGGCTAAGCAATTTTGCCAATCGTTCAGGTTACAAGAGACAGAGTGATCCGAAGCGGTTTTTCCGAGTTGGCAGGGTATGCTCTCCTGTCTCCATTTTGAACAACGTTGTTCTCACCAAAAGCAGGTCTTCGCAATGCTTTGGCACGAAAACGCTGGTTTACATGGCACAATTCTCAGCCAGCGAGGCCCACCACTGGGGCCGCATTTTACCAGGGGTAAATACCAAGAACCGATCTATAGCAGCATCCGGCGCATGGTAGTGGTCAAGGAACAGAAGGGATGTTCCTGGTGCGTGTAAGTGGAGACATGCCAGTCTTCGATTCCAACGGACAGCAGTACTAACCTCGAGTACAGGCCCGTCACCACGTACAGTGGACAGGGTGTGGCGAAGGCCGGCGTGGATCGCGGCAAACATGCCGTTATTTACATGCAAGGTAACCGGCCTGCGGTCAATCCAGGCGAGCCGCGGATGATCAAGGAGCCTCTCGAAGTGGAACCCGCACGGCCGGACCAGAGGCTGGATCCGATGTCCCGGTTGAACTTCGGTAAGGTCTATACGGTCGAGCACAACGTGAAAGTTCTTCCAGTAGGGAAGATCGCAGAGGAGTCTATGGCGAGGTTCATCGCGTATGCGCGGGCCGAATTTACGCGATGAGTGCCGTGGGAATGCTCTGTGTCGAGTATTCTTCATATTCTGATTGTATATTTTGTTCATCTACTCGAGGATCAATGTATTTTGTTCATGTTGTTGTTGTACAGTTGAAAGTAGGTAAGTTTCCAACGGGAAAAAGACACCTTCCCGATTAGGTTGGCTGATATCAGCAAGAGCAGAAACCCTCACCGCCTTGGTGTCACCGCCCGCCAAAATTTCCCAAAAGTTTTATCGCTTTGACCGAAATTTAATAAACCACACCAAAGATGAAGCGCAAGCTGGATGCAAATGATGTTCCGTCCCCTGAGGCGGCTGGGGGTGATGAACAGGATCCTGATTTCGAGTCCCTCGGCCTCGATCCGCGGCTGCGCCAGGCCCTGATTCAAGAAAAGTTCACCAAGCCCACCCTCGTGCAGGCCAAGGCAATTCCACTGGCTCTCGAAGGGAAAGATATTTTGGGTAAGTTGGGAGGAGATACCCCTTGGAGACGAATATAGTTTACTGACAATCGGCAGCTCGTGCAAAGACTGGCTCCGGCAAGACAGCCGCCTATGTCCTTCCGATTCTGCAAGCCATCCTCCAGCACAAATCTGTTTGTCATCTCTCCGTGATCTTTACTCTAGCCAAGGCGATAAATTGCTAACAACTTGGGTGACCAGGTTGATCCGTATCTCAAAGCAACTACCGGGTTGATTCTCGTTCCTACTCGCGAACTTGCGGAGCAGGTCCAAAAAGTGGTCACCTCGTTTTCCAGCTTTTGCGGAAAGGATATTCGGTCGGTCAACCTGACTCAAAAGGTCTCAGATGCGGTGCAGCGCTCAATGCTCGCTGATTTCCCGGATCTGATCGTGTCCACGCCCACACGAGTCCTGGCCAACGTCAACAACTCGGCTCTTTCGCTTGAGAAACTGACCCATCTTGTGATCGACGAGGCAGACTTGGTGCTTTCATATGGGTATGATGAGGATATCAATGCACTCTCCAAGGCCATCCCGCGCGGGGTGCAGACATTCCTGATGAGTGCTACCTTGACTTCCGAAGTGGATACACTGAAGAGCCTGTTCTGTCGGAGCCCGGTGGTCCTCAAGCTGGAGGACAAGGAAGAAAAAGGAGCAGGCGTTAGCCAGTTCGTCGTCAGGTTAGTTATTACAGCTATGCTAGCAGCAACGCTGCACTTGGATGCTAACATTCGTTTACAACAGATGTGCGGAAGACGAGAAGTTCCTCCTGACATATGTCATCTTCAAGCTCCAATTGATCAAGGGCAAGGTCATCATCTTCGTCGGCGATGTGGATCGATGCTACCGTGTCAAGCTTTTCCTCGAACAATTCGGCCTCAAGAGCTGTGTGCTCAACTCGGAATTACCCATCAATTCGCGGCTGCACGTGGTCCAGGAATTCAACAAAGGCGTCTACGATATTATCATCGCGGCGGATGACCAAGAAGTGATGGGCGCACCGAAATCGTCGAAGAAGGCTCATGAGGACGAGGAGGCGGAAAAAAAGGAAGAGATGGGTAGCAGCGAGGATGAGGATGCGGACGACCAAATCGGGAAACAAAAGGCATTACAATCAAAAAGGCGACGCAAGATGACCAGCAAGGAAAAAGACTACGGGATATCACGCGGCATCGACTTCCAAAACGTCGCATGCGTCGTCAACTTTGACCTCCCCACCACGTCCAAATCATACACCCACCGTATCGGCCGGACGGGGCGCGCCGGCAGAGCCGGTATGGCGCTTTCGTTCGTGGTGCCAGCCGACCAGTACGGCAAGCACAAGCCGACTTCAGTGCCCAGCGCCAAGCACGACGAGGCCGTGCTGGCGAAGATCGTGAAGCGGCAAGCCAAGCTCGGACACGAAGTCAAGCCATACCATTTCGAGATGCAGCAAGTCGACGCCTTCCGGTACCGAATGACAGACGCCCTGCGCTCGGTGACCCGACTCGCCGTGCAGGAAGCGCGTGCGCGCGAGATCCGACAGGAGCTGATCAAGAGCGAAAAGCTCAAGCGCCATTTCGAAGACAACCCAGACGAGCTGCGTCAGCTGCGGCACGATGGAGAACTGCGCGCCGCGCGTGTGCAGCCGCATCTCAAGCACGTGCCCGACTATCTGATGCCCGCCAAGGGCCGGAAGGGCATCTCCAAGGAAGATGTCGGGTACGTGGGTTTCTCGAAAACGCACGAGAACCGCATCCGCAAGGCCAGAGATCGCAATCGCGGTCGTGGCAAGCCCAGAAAACCCACCGCTGGTAAGGTCGATCCGTTGAAGACGTTCAACCGCAGTCGGAAATAGTTTCGAGAGTTCTATTGTGATACCATTGTACAGACATAACCACATCAAAATAGTAGTAACAATTCATCTTTGTGTCTAACTTAGCCTCCTAGTAGAGCGTGTGTGTTTGTTGAATCAAAAGTACGCATAGCCGACTAGCCATCCATAAATGACTTGATGTATGTCTACACCGTGATGCGCGAATACTCCGGTCCAAGCATTCGCTTGACCAGCTCCGTGTCTAGATCCTCGATCCCAAGCGAGAAATGCACCCATTTCCCCCGGTCCTCCCTGCGGATTCCCAGAATTTGCCTATGCACGTCCACCGCAGTATGGACCGAGACTCGGTAGGCCTCCAGCTCCTTCGCCCGCCGGTACTTAATACGCTCCTTTTCGACATCCCAAGACAGATCGGAATCCGGGTTCTGGAAAGGGGAATGAACGGAAGAAGCCAGTGACCGCGATGGAGAAACAGCAGCATCCTGCCACGAAGTACCCTGGTCTGCGTGGGACTCAGATTCGTCCTCGAGGTCTGGAACCCAGCCGGGCCCCAAGCCAACCCATTCGACATCTCGCCAAGATCCATTCCATTCAGGTCCTGAGGTACCGGGACGATATGGCTGACCGTCCGGGTCAGTGCCTGTCCAGGACAGGGCGGGAAGCCAGTCTGCACAACCTTCGAGATCAAGCCATTTCAGGCAATAGGTCGAACGAGAAAGTTGGCGAAGAAGGCCAGCCGCTTCGGCCCAGTTATTGTCCAGCGCGGCGTAATTGTCGGTGCCGCTGTAGGAGAAGGTGAGGGAGCGGTGGACTGGATGGCGGATTCGAGCGTTGGCTGCATTTGGGGTGCGCGTGGGAGTGGGCCAGTGCGCGAGAGACAGATGGGTAATGGTTGACAAGCGCGAAATCAGTTGAAGAAGAGAATTCCAGCTGGCAGCCGCTGGGTGGGGGTGCGCGAAAGACAGGAAGCGGAGGTTGTTGAACCGCAAGCCCTGACTGATGGCTTTGGGTATGGCCGGCGAGGGAACATGATGCTGTGTAGAAGCATCTCCCCTTTCGTCTGACTCAACCTCTTCATCCCAAGAGGCGGGGATGGATTTCTCCGGCGCGCGATGTGATGTGACAGGTGCCGCCTTGGACGATACTACAAGCTCGCTCGTAAGCTGCTTGAAAGTCATCCAATATCCCAAAGCACCGCTCAAATCCAACCGCGAGATTGTGGTGTCCGCATCAGCGCCGCCATCTTCCTGTGGAGCCAATTCAGGCTCCGCAATCTGGATATAATCTGACTCGGTCAAGTAGAGCGGCTTCAGTCCTCTTGTGCGACCTTTCAACGGCTGGCCACGCGCATAAACAGCCACATAGCTGAGCATGAGCACCTTCAAGTGACTCGGCAACTGGGACAGAAACGGTCCATCGTATTCCAAATGCCAGGTCCAGTTCAATGCCATAGACTTCAGTACCGTGTGTACCAAACCCCGCTTGCCCGGGAACATTGCACCGGGCAGCCTCTCCAAGCGATAGATGACCCTGTCAAAGTCTCCATCGTCTGCAGCAAGCTGATCCTCATCTCTTGGCTCCGATCCATCAACATTACCCGAGAGCCAGCTTTCCGGTGGTGGGGGGCCGGGGGCACGTCGCAGCGGACGCCTGCCCACTACACCGCGGCGCGCATCGGGGCGAGGCCTCGGAGACGGGGTCTCAGGAAGCTCGAGGAGGTTCCGCAGCGATGGGTGTACCGATCGAGGCGATACAAACGGCCTCGAAGCGCTCGAGGGACCATCTTCGGAGGAAAAGCTTGCTACTTGGGTACGGCGAAGGTGGCTGATCAAGTCGTTGACGGACAAGTCTGCCGCAGTCGCCGCCGATCCCCGGGAGCGGTCATTTTGGTGGGGGCCGTTCGAAGCGAGAGTATGATGGGCTGGAATGACTGGCTTGGTGAAATAAGGCTTGTGGTGTTTTTTGGGCATGAGAGGTGTGATTGTCTGTAGAGTTGACAGGAAAGATGCGGGCTGTGTGGGGAAATATCGCTTACATGGGGCTGTCGCCCCCCGATATATATAGCACACACTTGCAAAACACCATCGCCAAGTGGGCTCTATTGGAGTCATGGTCTATCTACACTATTTACACACTATGGATACAGGAAGAATCAGATATCCCGGACCCAGGAATCGTCCTTCATATGGCCCTCGCGCTTGGGACCCTCCTCGAGCCACGTCTCAACCAGACCCTCCTTGGGGTCTTCATCCGGGTGACCACGCGACCGTCGGACGTCGAGGACAAGGTTTCGTACTTTCATCGTGACTTCCTTGCGTAGCTCCACAGCTTCTTTGTTGTTCAGCAACTCCTCACTCAAGACACCCACGGGGAGGTCTCGAGATTGGGGGTCGGCCTTTTCGGCCTTGGCTTTCAGCTTCTGCCAGCGCGTCCTCATATCGCCGAAGACTGCGTCCGAGTCCACCTTGGAGCCGAATGTAACGCAGATCTTTTTTCCGGGCCGAGGGAGAAAACGGGGAAACTCGCGGCTTTCGTGCATGATGTTGTCGAAGCCCTCGATCCACATGGGCACGACGTCAGGGCATTCACTAGCCTCGAGAATCAGCCGTGCGACCCCCCACTTGAAATAGCGCATGGTCTTCCGCGGTGCCTGGTGAATCTTGCCCTCGGGGAAGATGTGCACCCATGAGTAGGAGTTGCATGCATATGCGGCGGGCGCCAGGTGTGCATCTTGACCGTTGGTTGTATAGGCGACGGGAAGATCGGAGAAGGGATCAACGCAGACGTTTTGAAGGCTCCAGTGCTGGTATTCGGAAATCGCGCGATGGTGGTCAACGGGGAAGGGGCCCTTGGACAATAGCCGAACGGCCTCAGTCATAGCGGGTTGTCCCAGGCCACCAAAAGACGAATGGGCAAGGCGATGCGTCGGCAGAACCTGGCCCATAGTAAAGAACAGCGCTAGGGGCCTGCGGGGGTCATATTCGATCAACAAAACGCAATTGGAGACGCACAACCATCAAGCCTGGCCGTACCTGTTTTGATAGCATATGTCATGACTCCCAAAAGACCACCGTCGGTTCCAGAATCGCGTGGGAAGTAGTCCCCAAACTAATGGGTCGTCCATGCTGATGTCCCGCATTGTCAGCCAACTATGAATTCCGCGCATAGACTGCCTCGCTGTTCGAAATCTTTGGCGCAAACATACACACTGACATGGTTCGATACTAATAAGACGCGACCCAGTTAGCAGGCTGTCCAGGGCTGGCCTTGCATGAAGAATCAAGATCTGAGATACCTGTAATCAAGCCCTTTGAACGTTGCGAAGGATCCTGCCGTGAATCCAGCAGCTCCGTAAAGGCCTCCTGGCCATGCACCTCCGTATGGCACAGCCCCGAAAGAAATGCGCGACACAACCCAGCGACTCCCCACATCGTCATGGAGGAGAAGGTTCTCCAGGGGAGAGATGGGCAGTCTGCCGTTGCGCCGGAATCCATGGTGCGGGAAGGAGACGCCATACTATAGAAAATCCATAGATGGCCCGAGGCTGCAGGCTGCTTGCAGCTTGAAAGTGAAGGGTGCGCGAAGAACCTCGAGAGAAGCGGACGTAAGGAAAATTGTCCTTGCCCTGCGGAATCACATGACTTTGGAGGTCAACATGGAAGCATACACCCGTGGGCTTAGTAGAATCAGAGGAATACCGGTAATTTTGATCATCAAATTGAATTCATTCAGATGCAATGAATGCCCTGGGAAAGTTCGAGGCACCGTCCTCATAGCTGGTGCACAGCCGGTGTTGCGTATAGATCGATTGTCTCTGTGCACGGACCAACAACCGAAACGATTTTCTCCCGAGTCGCCGCGGTTTTCCTTCGCAATCAGCCGCCATTCAGCATGTTCAAGCCTACGTCTGCCCTATTTGGGGGTCTTCTCTGGTACGTTGGACCATTGATGGAATGCCATCGCGGAAGAAGGAATTTCTCGAGCTAACAGTGTTTTCCCCAACCCAACAGGAAGACCCCATGGCGTCTTTCCTCGATGCAGAAAGCCCGCCAGCGCAAGCGTCTGCGCGCAGTGGACCGAGTTGTCGACACTGTCAGTGCAGCACTGCAGCGCAACGGACAAACCTCCAAGGCAGTGCAGCGGTGGTATGCGGAGATGCCGCGCGAGGAGGAGATGCTGCCCAAGGACAAGTACACGATCTTCGATAAGAAGGAGAAGACCTACCGCAAGGGCATTCACAGTACGTCTCTCAGCAAGATAATGATCCCGGGAGCTTTCTCGCATCCTCCGCTAGTGCTAGCTTGTGCTAATCGATGTTTTTCTTTCTTCAGAGTTGCCCAAGTGGACTCGGCTCAGCCAGCGCGTCAACCCCCCGGGTTTTTAAGCATTTTGCCTTGGTTTTAAGCGGAGATAATGATGGATTCAATGGCGCCTGCGACTCGACACATACCCCGTGTGCGCTTAAATCGATATATGTATTATACATCTGAAGCTTGGCTTTGTTGCATCGCCCAAGTGGCATATCTGAGCCAAACTAGCTTCTCGGAGTTTTCGGCAATTGGGGAAATTCCATCAAGCCACTTTGAGAGAAATGGCAAGGATTTCGATTTTCACATTTACTACCCAGCGCTTGGATGCTGCTTACAATTCAATCTCATTCCGAAACTAATCCTTGTTCGTGACTTGGATGTGCTAGAAGGTTAGAGGTAGCTAAAGATAACATGACAATGACTGCAGGGCCTGTGTCGACAGGCATTGTGGTAAGTAAGGATATCACAGCGAATGTGACGGAGATGTGCTTCATATCAAAGCCCAAACGGCTCGCTGGACATCGCACGAGAATCCAAGAATCCACCCAGCACACAAAACACTCAAAGGAAAGATTCAGGATTGTTCAAGGCACGGGGTATATCGGACTCGGGACCTGTTCTATCGCCATGTCGGGAATTACTTTAAGCCATGCCGTTCGACAGTAATTGCCAGCTTGTGTGGCAAGCTCCTTCACTCGGGTGCGATTCACTCGGCCTTCGTGAATGGCTTTGCGAACACGGTATCCCCGACAGACGTGCTGCCAATCCTCAAGCTTCTCTTGCCACCCGCAACCTCCTTCATACCAGGCATTTTTCTGCTTGGTGGACATTTCGAACCCCTGGGGTGGCTTTGGCAGAATCCAGCAGCTGGGATCGATTTTCCCATCAGGCGGCTCCTCAACCGAGTTCTCATAGAGTTCTACGGTGCGTATCATCTCACGGACCCCGGACACCTTTCTCTGCTGGTTGACCGCGGCTCGCCAGGAATCGATGCGCGGCGTGTGTGCTCGTTTCCGTAGGTGATTGGGATACTTCGGCTTTGGGCCAAATTCCGGCTTTCGATACGGGACATTAAATCGAGAATCTCCCCACTCCCGTCGGGCGTCTGTTGAGACTCGTGAGACTGGGTCGATCACAATCCAGGTCTTCCTATTCAGCCAGTGGTTGGCGAGCATTGCAAAATGGTATGGCTTTTGTCCAGGGGTAAATTCATTGAAGAGCCATACCAGTTTCCGATCCAGCCTGTCTATCAGTCTCACCTCCCAGTCGCTGAGTTCTTCGAACGGGTTCGTGTGCAGCGGAGGTCTTTCGGCCGTGCATGATAAGGCGTTCGACTGTGTGTTGGGAGCACCTAAACTCACAAAATCGTCATGATCCATACTTGTCGGGAAAATGTTTCTCAAATTCCGTTGAGCCTTCACTCCCGTCACCCTTGAAGCTGTGTTTACTTCCGATAGGCGCCACCGTACCGGTGCCGAATACCAAGCGGTTCTTGCAAAGTCAGTCCGATCCTTGCTCGGGAGTCGGGATGGTCGCTCAATGGCAAGTATGAATGGAAAGGATCCTCTATGAGCCAAATTCCGCATTGGATCGCTGTTGTTGTCTCTCCGACGTTGCGGAACAAGCCCAAAGGCAACACTCTGCCCTGATGCGCAACTGGACAACAGTTCCGCGATGGGCGTTCCAAGAGGACCAGAGGAATCCACCAAACCACGACGCATTCGTCTGTTTGCCTCAATCTGCATCCGTGCCGACCACGCTCGATATCTGTCCGTGTGAGGTTGATGAGGTCTTACTTCGACCACTTGCTCTTGTGCAACTCTCCATTCAGGTTGCGGATTGGCATACTGCCCCAATGAGCATTTTGGATGCGCCATGACTTGAAGCTTTCCAGGCTGTTGCCATGAGCTGTGGAGCCTTGATCGACGAGGAAGATGTAAACAGGGCAGTGATTGAGTTTTGGTTGACAATTTCGGTGGAAATCTGCTGAGAACTCTTGTGCCATGCTGCAGACCTTCCTTTACAGGGTCATCGGAAAGACAGCCCCTTGTACCCCGAGGTCTTTTCCATGTCTCCTGGCCAATTTCATCAGTCTCATCAGTCTCCATGGTCGATGCAATCTGCCTTTGGGGCACGGAATCGATATCAGTCGGAGGTAATGACTGTGAACACCCATTGACTTGAACTGGGTGGTAGACACGGCTGTGTTCCACCAGTCCTCCGTGACATTCAGGGACTGCAGTGGGATTCCAGATCTCATCCGCGGTTAGAAATTCATAACTCTGAAGTAATTCGGGTAACCATCTCAAAGGTCGTTGCTGTCGGCGGCGCTTCTCCATTTCCTTCTGACCAGGGTCCCACCAGACCCAACGATAGTCTGTTCTGGTCGACTTCCACGCAGTCCATCGCCGAACCCAAGCAAAGAGGTCACCAAACACCCTCTTGTTTCTTTGGTGCGTCTCCAGCGACACCCAGCCATACCAGGTCCGCGCATACCGTGCCGTCGGGGCTTTTCCTTCGCGCAGCACCTTATTCTTGTTGAAGGATCGTATGAATTTGCCGGTCTTCCAAAACAGCACCGCCAGCACAAAGATTCCCAGAGTTCCCGCAAAGAGCTCGGTAAACACCTTGGAGGAAATGGACTTTGTCACGGGTACCGGGGTGGCAGGGGGCCCTTTTGGGGGGTGAGGAATGGAAGGGCCAAGTGAGTGGTACTGTCGAGTGTTTATCGGCGCCATTTACGGCATGCCGACTTGGACTCTCCAGCAATGAGTAATAATATCGAAAATCAACTGGCCTTGGACTGGGCAAAAGAGCGAGGGACATTTGGGAGATGGGAGATGGGAGAGCATGACGAGGAAGTAGCTAGTCGCGAGATTACCTTATTCCTTTCCTCTGTCAAGTCTCTTATCTATGAACACAATACCGGTTAGGGTTGTTAGCTACGAGCAGAAACGCAGAGATTGATCGAATCCCTCAACTAATACAATTGTGGTACTTTCCTGGACCTGTTCTCAAAGACGTTGGTTTTGGGATTCCACGAGCAAATATTAGATTATTTTTGAAATTATTGTGCTTCTTTATTTCTCATGGATGTTGTACAGCATTTTCTAGATTTCTCCAGCGGCTTTTTGTCAAGTTCCAAAGATCAAAATATATCTACGGAACGGGGCATCTTATTAGCCCTAACCGGCCGATCGCGGAGAAACGAATTGACTGTTTCTTTTTCATTTTTGTAAATGGCTCTGGGATTTACTTGTTTAAGCATGTTAAATACCCGTTCTATATCATATCCTTCGGTTCGATCTTCCAGTCTTTCATTCAACTGGGAGAATTGGTCGGAATCGGGGTACAGGGATTAAATCACCTAGCGTCGGCGGGTCGGTGGGTTATTGGCTTGTAGATCGGGACCCGAAACTATTCTTAGCTGACGGTATCACTCGAATCGCGGGACCCGGGGCAATATCCCCCTGACATTTAGGGACAAGTGCCGTGTCTCAGCATCGCCATGCGTGACCCGCGAAGCCCTGAGTCAACACCATCCACTAGAGAAGCGCGTTGACCCATAAGTCTTAATGTGGTTACCGATGTGAGTTATGGCGCAGACTAATTGTAGGTTACTAGAAAAACTAGGTGCTTAGGTTAATGTAAGCTCATAAGGTTGCCCTGATCCCATACTAATAATAGTTTTTGTGGCCAGAGGGGCGGCCCCGACTCAGCACTGAGCTTTCACTACACCACACTTGTCATCAATCCGAAATGCTTCACCCCATAAGCACAGCCGACCGAGTTATGATTATTCATGGTATCTCCGAGTCGGTGGGCGGCCTGACCCCGGATCAAGTAATTCTCATCACTTGGTCAACTCGTGTGCACCATTAATCAAATTATAAGAAGACCCCGGAGACTTCGAAAACGTGGCCACAGCATCTTCTTCTCTTCAAAAACTTTCTCTTGAAACATGTCTCCAACTCGCATCGCTATTGTCGGCGCTGGTCCTGTCGGACTCACTCTCGCCCGGCTTATTCACAACAAACCCAACATCGAAGTGGTAATTTTCGAGTCCGATAAATCCGAGGATGCTCGCAAACAAGGCGGTACGTTAGACCTGCATCCCGGCAGCGGTCTCTCAGCTCTGGAGGAGGCCGGCTTGTATGACGAGTTTTTGAAACGAGCCCGCTTCGACGGCGAAGCGGTGATTTTTACCGACAAGAACTTGGTCAAGTACATTGAACAGCCCCGCTTGGACGAAGAATCCTCGAACGGACGGCCTGAGATTGACCGGTATTTGCTGCGTGAGATGCTCCTCAATTCGGTGCCGTCGGAGGTGATTCGATGGGGCTGCCACCTACGCGCCATCGACGAAAATCATAACCTGATTTTTGATCATGGGATCGAAAGTGGCTTCGATCTTGTCGTGGGCGCTGACGGCGCATGGAGCAAGATCCGCAAGTTGGTGTCGGATGAAAAGCCCCATTACTCGGGGACTGGAGGATTCAACTTCACTATCCCCAACGCAGAAGAAACGGCACCAGATTGCTACCAGTTAACGAACCGCGGGTCCCTCTATGCTTACTGGGACGGCAAAGCGATTGTTAGCCAGCAGCAAGGTGACGGTAGTCTCAACGTCTATGCCTTCGCCGTGCGGCCAGAAGATTGGTACAACCAAGCCACCTTTGATAAAAACGACATTCAAGCCATCCGGCAGGCAACCCTCGAAGAGTTCTCAGGTTGGGATTCCCGACTGCTCGACTTTGTCCGTCATGCCCAGGATGCAGTGTACCGGTCACTCTACATGCTCCCTGTCGGGTGGTCATGGAAGCACCGTGCCGGTATGACCTTGATTGGGGATGCAGCCCATGCAATGACGCCCTTTGCTGGTCAGGGAGTGAACCTGGGCATGGAAGATGCTCTGAAGCTGTCGCAGGCGATCATCAAGGCAACCAACTCGCCAGAGTCCGATCTCACCGCGGCAATCAAAACATTTGAGGAGGATCTGTTTGTGCGTGCAAAGAGCACCGCAGAGTTGACACACGATATGATGACATGGTTTTTGTTTACGGAGGGTGCGCTGCGGACGACCATCGAGAAAGTCGTGATTCGCATGGTTTCTTCAGACATGCGACCTCCGGTGTCCTGGGTGACATACCCGCTCTTGGTGGCCGGGACATACGCCTATTACTTTTTTTTTTCGACTGTTTCATTGAGCGTCATTGTCAAGTGGTGTTTTCACGTGTTGTATACCTCAGTACCATACAGGATCCTTTTTCATAGATAGCGTGAATCAACATACCTTAGTTTGGGGTTCATGATATTCCAGTACCGGCAAAAAGGGGCCATTTTGGCCCCTTCCCAGTGGCAAAGATGGATATCGTCTTGTAAAACGACAGATCCAATTTCCCGGACTTGAGTTTCCGCGAGTCTGCTCTAGCTCAGGCAACAGAAATTCCCTGTCTTTCAGGGCACGACATTCACATGAACGGCCCCCAAACAAAGGAGGATCAATTGATGTGGAAGGGATGATCCTTGAGAGAGAGAGAGAGAGAGAACGGGAGGTGATCGACACGGGGACTCGGGCTTTGGTTGGGCCTCATTCTTTCCTGTTTGGGTAACCAGGTCCACCGCCACACCGCTCCAGCCACTCCTTGCAGCCACCACCCACTAGCCACTGGGGCTGGGGATGTGGCTGAGTTACTATTGGCTGATCGACGCCTTATTTTTGTTGGGGACACCTCGGTATCTGCCATTGGCACGTCAAATGCCTACCTGACACAACGCTCTCTCCGGTTGCATTGGCGATTACGAAGAGATCGTCCTGTCTTTCCCGTTCTTTCGAGATTTGTATTTACTCCTTGAAGCGGTTCAACCGCACAGAGGCTTGTCTCACTGGATGCAGCACCCGGTTCTCCTTGGGCATTGCTCCATTGCGGGATAAGTGAACCCCGAAAGCGGTTTGTTGTTTGGAGCACTTCCTGCCGTGGGCGCCAGGCCCATTCTGATGGGGAACACTATCGACTGAGATCGGCGGGGCGATCGTCCACCCTAGCAGCCCTAGAGCGGGACCTGCTTAGGGTCCACGGGTAATGCAGACCAAGCCTGATGGAAGCTTCTTACTCATGGAACGTCACAGACCAAGCCGTATCCATTGCTTGGACACATGGGACCGAGGAGATGTCTATCATGAGCGCTCTGTGCGAGCAAATAGTCTTGACTCGGAAACTACGGTGAGGCTGAAGATGCACTTGCACTCCCATCTGTGGCTGGTGATCGCTCGAGCTGTCACTTGTCACCACAAAAAAAAAAAAAAAAAAAAAAAAAAAAAAAAAAAACCCTTCTACTTTGCCTTCGGTAGGCAGCACTTTTCCAGGGAGAAAGGAATCATCAATGCAACTCAAAGAAAAAGAAAATTCCAATGATCACAAATTCTGGATTGCAGTGGGTTTCTCCGTCGGCGTGCCCGATGGATGGGCATGACCTCACGGGCGCCACAGTTCACCGTTGGATTGTGGCTTGCAGCTGCTTTGATTCATGCAATGACCAACGTTGCGGTCTGCTCTCCCCTCTCCTGACCCCCCTTGATATGGCTCAAATATGCCTTGACAGGGCTTAGCATGAACACCGGCTGTCTCCCCGAGAACTCAAAAAAAAAGCTTTCTTTTTTGTGTGTGTCTCTATGCGAGTCTCGTCCCCTGTTGTGCGATGAGCAGGGGCCATGGTGTGACACCTGCGACTGCCCGAGCGAAAAATATCGAATGATAACGGGCTAGCGGGGTCGATAGCTCGAATGTCGAGCAGAACCCCGCCGCTTGAACCGTGCACAGAACTATTGAAAGCCTGAGCCACTCCACATCTCTCTGCTTGGTGTCTGGCCCTGCACCCTGAACGTCGATCGTGCATGGATGCAACTGTCTGTCAAGCCTGCAAAGGATATTCCCAGCAGCAACCGGGGAAGCAGGGATTCAGAGCGCCAAGAGGTCGAATCAGATACCACTGATCGCCCGGTGGAACCCGGTTTTAGTTCACCAGAGTCGATCCTAGCGCTCCTCCCAGATCTGACCCTGCACCTTCCATCAAGATCTAGCCTCTCGCCCCTTCCCCTACTCCACAGTGGTGCTAGGATGCGCCAGTCGTCGATCATGCCAAAACAAAGGTAGGTCTCCACCGTTCGATTCCATTTTGCCGGAACGTGCTGCTGCAAGGATCCTGCAGGCGCCAAGAACCCACCTAATCGGGATTTCACTAATGCCCACTCGAACAGCATCAATCGCGCTGCCTTGCCCGCTTCCCAGGAACCTGGTCGCCCACCCTGGAGGGGCTGACCGCGTGGTACTTTTGCCGGTGGCAACATCCCTTTAGCCCCATCTTGATTCCACGCCTAATTTTCGATATGGATCTCTCAAATCTGACATCAACCGGCCCACTGCGCCAGCTGCGAGGTATATGAAGCCCGGGCACGGCACCTGGTCGACCATGGTTATTCCTTCCATTCTCCTATTTATTATCCTAATCATAATCTTGTCTTTTCTCTTCTTGACTCTGGCCTTTGCTCTTGTTGTCTCGTTGTTGCTGGCTTCTCCCCGGACTTCCATTTCACATCATTTGAACTCTATCAAGAGGGTCCTTCACTATTACACTTTGCCTGCTTCCTTCCTCCCGTTGCTCCCCGATTGGCCGATCTCTCAGCCCTTACACTTCCAAAGTGTATAACTGAGCATCCAAATCCCCTCTAACCACCCAAACAACAGGACAGAAACAAAAATGGCCGCAAGCCGGGAATTCTCGCTCACTTTCGAGACCTCACCGCCAACAGCAGTGCGCCCAGGCGTCCCATTCACGATCCCGGTTATTGTGGCCGTCAGCCCCGTGGGCACGCCCGCGCGCAATGTGCAGCACCTAGTGGTCAACGCCTCGCTGCGCGACGAGGCCGGCACAGCAGCGGCTACCGGGCTCGGCGGGAACCTGACCGCCAGCGTGCGCAGCCGGACCGACAGCGCCATGAGCGGCTACGCCAAGTTCAGCCCGCTCACCATCTCGCGGCCCGGCAAATATCGTCTGCGTGTGATGCTCAGCGCCGCCTCGTACAACGGCGTCGTGACCAAGGAATATGCTGATTCGACGATCATTCATGTGCACGCTGGCGCAGCTGCTGCGCAACGGCCGAGTAAGTCTTCTTCGCTCTCTTTTCTCTTTGTTCTTTTTACCTGTGATCGCACCCCGGTGGGACTATTTGTAATTTATAATTCTTTTCTTTTTTTTTCTCATCGCCTTTTCTGAACCCCTTCCTCTTTGAATGCTCTTGCTGATTCTCTTGCCCTTAGCTCCCACCCAGGTGGCCAAGCTGCAGCGACTGACGACTGAAAATTTGGATATCTCTGCGGCGGATATTGCGGCGTGGCAGCGTGCATGATGAGGACAGGGTACGTGTTGGTGCTGTTCGGCGCAGCTGTGGAGTTTGGCTGTCTCTTTTGAACCCTGTTGGTTTCTTTTTCGAAGGCTCTGGTTTACGGTTTCTCCTTGGATATGGCATAGAATACGAATACAATTACTGTCTTTTCTCTTGGATTTACCAGGCAATTATTGAATTATCGCGGGAGTTTTAGTTGCGACTCCTTCGGGATGCTTATTATCACAAATGTTCTGGTCTTCAACGACTATATATGCAACGCTATTTCTATTGACTGTACAAAGTCCTTTACGTTCATGACTCGGCAAGCAATGGACACGAATAATTTCGCAGCTGGCGCAGCTCCCGCGCCGACCCCAGCACCGTCCGCAAGAACATCGCATAATCCCAGCCCACAGCCTCAGCAGCAAGACCCATCAAACTAGCCTGGTCCTCGCGACCAGGGCGACCGGGCCCAGTGATATTCTATAAGGACCCAATCATCAGTATCTACCGAGCACACACAAAGGCTTGGAACAAAACATACCGGCTTCATATTCACATCAAACAAGGCAAACCCCGACTCGGCCCCAAACCGGCGGATATCAATGCGAAGCGGCGCAGTCGTCTGCAGCAGATCCCCGACAACCTCGCACTCCCTCATAATCGCTGCGTACGCAGGGTCCGACTCGCGTTCTGCGCGCGACACAGCCTGCGAATTCGAGGTCACTGCGACCTTCCCACTGTACGGAGCGATTCCATTGACGTGATTGAATCTCCGCACAGGGGGCAGAGCCCAGTGGTGGGAATGCGTGGCATGGGGCAGATTCGAGGGCGGCATCACGGTGATAGTACCCTCCTCGCCGCTGAGATACTCCTCCAGCAGCACGCGCGGCGACTCATCCAGGAGCTCCGTGACATGGGCGGTGACTTCAGCTGCGCTCTGACAAATCTTTACGCCGTGGCTGCCACGACCGCGAACGGGTTTCGCCACGATCGGGTAGCTAGTCTGCGGGATAGAAGCGACGACAGCGTCTAGGCCCTGTGAAGAGGGACTTGAATGACTTGCATTGTCATCTGAGCGCAACTGGGGATGGTCGATCACCCATGAGCGCGGCAGGGTTAAACCGCCATGTCGACGCAGGGCGTCGTTCAAAACCGACTTGTCGTCCCAGCGATCGACACAGGCCGGCGGCTGAGCAATGACACGGACACGCGATTCAAAGGGTGTGAACTGCGCCGAGGTCTGGAGCGGATGCCCCGAGAAGAGCACTGTGTTTGCCCATAGATGTGTGGCGCCTCGCTGTACGGCTGATAAGATCCCGTCCTCGGTGTCGGGGAAGCACCAGTGGTTTTGGTCTGCGGAGTCTGGAGAGTCTACGGGGGTGAGGACTGTGGTTCCTGTGCGGGATAGTGTATATGCAATGTCTGCGCCGGAGTCGCGGTAGCCTATATATTACATTGTTAGTCAGTAGTCACAAGGTTTCGGTGAATATCAAAAGAATATAAATGGGGTGGCATACCTCCTGGTTTTTGGGGCTTGCTTACGCCGCCGTAGACTGGCGGTGCGAGAGCCTGGTACAGGACTGCGACGATGGGCTTGGAGGCCATGCGGGAGTTTGGGCGGGTTTGGTGGGTGCGACTCCGCAGGGTGATGCTATAGTTGGCGTGGATTGCAGGCCGACGCAGTTGGGGGTGGGGGTTGCTTGGGGGTGGGGGTCGGATGAAACGAGTTGCTTTTGATAATGGTCGACAGAGACTCATAGTATTGCAACTTGAGTTTGGTATGAAAATGAGAGAAAGTCCATTGGATTAGAGAGTCGGTCAAAATATTCGTTGACAGACAGTTATATACTGGGGGAGCGCGCGGAGGCAATTGGAGAACCGCCGATGATCGGAGGTTCGACCGGCACGGCTACACCGGTGTCAAGGAGTATATTAGTTGATATACACATTTGCGATATTTGTAATTTGTATTATGATGGCAATGGATATTTTTTGGTTACTGGTAGTCCAGAATATACATTGATGTAAATGCAATTTAATATCACTCGGTCTTCATTCTGATCCTATGAAACCATTCGGCACCACAGCTCAACCCACATACAACATCACATACTCGACAATAGCCATAAGAGGCTGACATTCAGAAGACAGGATCCACGTCCAGTTTCAAAGAAATATCTGGGACAGTGGGGGTCCCATATATGCTCAAATGCATGCCACGCGATCGCGATGACAGAGGTAATTCCCTCCTGGGCGGGGAGCACCTGGTGGTAGGTTCGCGGCTTCAGACCCTCAACGGAGCAGTTGCTTCCAGGTAGACCAAAACTGATTTTAGCCAGGTCTCATAGCCAATTTGTGGTCACTTCTGACAGGACAGAGGACATGAGGAATTTCATCTGGGCTGCGAATGCGCCAGACTGCGACCGAGGGGGGATAAAGGTATAGATATTTGCAAAACACCAAAACAATCATTCAGCCCTCCTTGTCATGGTTGCGCAGCTTCTCAATCCCATCGCGGACTGTCTCACGAACACTGAACCCCCCAAACAGCCAGTCATTCGCGTGCCGGCCGCAATGGTTGATCGTCCCGTTCAAGCGACGGTAATCATCGCTGTTCTTGCGGGTCAGAGAGCTGCCCTTCGAGCCAAAGTCCGGCTTGGGCGACCGCGGCGAGGCGTTGTCGGGGGACATCTGCACCGGGCTAGTGGAGCGCAGGTGCTGGTCCAAGAATGAAGTCTCGGGGGCACTCCGAGGGACGTCGTGGGGTTGCGAGGCGCCCGAGGATTGGCGCGAGTGGCTGCTCATTGGGATGTCAATAGGCATGGGGGATTTGGAGCGGCCCCGGAAGAGCTTGGAGGAGATGGGGTTGGAGGATTTGCGGGTGTGCATCTTGACTTGAGTGCGCTGGCTGCCACGAGATGAGGTGGAGGAGGCCGATGTTTGGGAGAGAGAGCGCTGGGGGAAGTAGCCGGTTTGATGGGTATGCATCACTTGCAGATTCAGATAGATAGAGAGACGAGGAAGACAAGAGAGTAAATTGTCAAGGACACCTGCATCACGAGAGGGGGTTTGGGGTTATTTATGATTTCTCCAGCTACCAACTTCCCCCGAGAGATCCTCCCCCCCGTTGCTGTAGGGCAACCAACCACAGCGTCATCTCGAGGAAAAAGGCCCCAGGACACCCGGGCTGGCCAATGGATAACGCATTCACCGAATGAATTCACCAACCAGCACACAAAGAAGGAGAATGCGGTCCACCGCGAGGGTTTCGCGGGTGTCGGTGAGATGCGAGGAAGATGACCCTCTCGACGATGGCCTCAACCAATCAAGGATTGTTTCTGCCTCGGAGCCTCCTGCGACCGCTCGCAAACCCCCGCGGATTCACCGCTGGTTGCTTCATGGGCTGCTGCAAGTATCCAGAGACACACAGAAAACACCAGCCAGACTCTCCTTTGTCCACACTCCACTATCCAACTGCCCTCTTCGAACTGCTTCGATGACTCGATGGGTAGGGCTGACCCCGCGGAGGGCAGCCAAGGCACCGAGATAATCACCTCTGATCGTGACTCTTTTGAGGAACCAAGTGGATCCCTCGAGACCGAGGCACTGGCCAATACACTCCCTATATCCTCGCCCAACACACTCACCATGCCAGCCCTACCCCCGGCCATGCACCGATAACACCTGGTCCCCGTGGGTCGCCTGAAACATTTGTTCTAGCGGCCTTCGAGAAACAAAGACGGCCCGTGACTCACTTGGCCCCCACCAGACCGTCAGCCAAGAGACGGGAGAGAATGATACCATCGGCACGGCTGTTCCGGGTCTGACGTGGACTGGTGCGATGTGCCGAGGACATTACTATGTGCAACAAAAGATGCCCACGGGTAAATACAGTGCTGACCACGCACGCTCTGGAGAGTCCATGGGCCCGCGGAACTGAGCACTTGGCTTTTTGCAGAGCGCAATGCTTAACTCGAGACGGAGTTGACTTGCTACTAGTCCTTGCGAATATCTCTTATTCCCCGGTCGGAAGGGTACAGGACTGCTGTGACATCAACATCAGTGCCCAGCCGATGAACGGACCAGTTTCCGACAAACAGGGAATGATATGGTTAGTATTTGTTCTCAGCTGTGGTATTATTAGAAATCTGCAGGCCTTGAGCTTGTTCCTAATTATAGACCATGCCGAGAGTCTTGGTAGGGAGAATGTGTACTGGAATTCTGGTGGCCCAACAATCTCAAAATGCCCTCCCAATAGATTGATATGTTCTCAGAATCCTGTATTGTTTTTTTATTCTTGCCATAGCCGAGGGGACCAATTCTCCCAAAGGAACTGCCCCAATCCATAATTCATTAGACCGTAGATACCTGATGCCAAAACGTGGCGGTTTCAGTTTAGTCATAGCTATGCTACATTAAGGAGCTAAATAATCTTGCGCCATCTGCTGTTTTAAATTCAGATGGGCCGAGACGTTCCCAATGTTTGAAGGGATGAGGTGCTATGGTGGTGAGTGCATTTTGATAAAAAGAAGTGCCTTAAATAAACCAAAATGAATCATCAAGACAAGAAAACATCACGACAGAGGAAATTGAACAGGAAACAGAAGGCATAAACCAAGCAACGAAACAAGAACAAAAAAGTCTTGACGGATGGCCTCAAACACAAGTTTCCAGATCAAGCCTTAGAAACTCCCATTGTTCAGTTTAATCTAATATAAACCCACGAGGTGGAGGCCGAGAACGAGACTGGGGGTAGGCAATTGGCGTCCGACGGGTGTAACGGGCGAGAAAGGTTGAGACAGTTCCTCGTAGGCGAACTTGTTGGATAGCAGCGGCAGTCACAGTTGAAGGGTAAAGATGATTCAACCGTATTAAAACATCCATAGCGAAGTTCTGACAGTTTGCCGTGGCAATGTTGTAGGTGTACCCGTCAGATACAAATCTTGCTGCTTCTTCCACCTGCGCCAAAGTGGCTCGAGCATCGGGAATATCAAAGCAGCGACTGGCAGCACTGCCAGTGACACGGAATCCATGACGTTGGTACTCGGGAACCGTGGTGCTTGCGAAGCCTGATGAATTGGCATTGACGCCAATGTGGATAATCCTCCCGATAGGAGATCCTGGTCTGTTTGGTACAAAGAGAGCCCAGTGGGCTAAACTGCCCTTTCCCCAAGCAAGCATGTGGATGGTTGGAAGCTCAGCATAATTGGACACAATTGAGCTCGCCGTAGAAGATCTGGATATCACAGGCTCCATTGCTTTGCGCAGCCGTAGATTCAGAATCAGCACCATTGTAACTTTGACCCGGGAAAAGAACAAACATGCTGCTCTTCCTGTACGACCGTGTCCCTCTGCCTAAGACTGATAAACGCAGTGTCAGGCTCTGGCGTTTTCGATGACGACTCAATGCCTTGCTTTTTTCAATTAGCCTGGCGTACTCACGTTGAGGTCAGCAGATCCCTTTATCCCTCGGCGGGAATCAATGGACTCTTTATAATGTTGCATTGTCATGAGATACGTGAGAGCCGACCGTTAGCGCGTAGTCCTTCGGGCCTTCTCAGAGGATATTTTGGGAATTTCAGTCAATCGTGAAACAAGTGGTGATCTTCAGGGCGAGTCGCCGTAAGTAGCTTCGCATGTCACCATCATGCAGGTGCATCTCCTGCTATTATTAACCGTCTGGTTAGCCTACCGTTTTTGCTGAACAAGAATATCTGCTGCAGCTCTCGGACGCAGTAAAAGCTGATTCAGATATCATGACATTGAAAACGCAGGCCACGCACTCAAAGGTAGCATCGCAACAGGGAGATCCGTTATGAAAATAGGAGCCAGTACTGCCACTGGCCAGCGGTCATATCTAGGCGCAAATATAGCCGCTGAAAAGGATGCAGCTAAGGATTCACCCAAACCCCCTGATCGGTGGTCAGTAAGAACCTTTGAGGGGAGCGCGCGCTTACGAAGAGTTGCTGCTGCTGCCCAGCTCGGTCTGAGCAAATCGAGCTTCATAGTCAGGGGCAAGAAGTAACTATAGCATATATATAGCATTGTAACTTGCATTAGACCAACTATTTTTGGGCTTAATGCTGGTTGTTTTTCCGGTCCGACCCCCCACAGTGCATCGGAAAGGGGTCGCGTCGCGACCTTGGATCCTCACATATTAGTGGAACATGTAAAGTCGGCTATCCATTTCTTCCCTGTGCTTCGAACCGTGTCGGATCTATCTCTCACGCGATACTCATTTGCATTCATTCCCCTAGAAAGTTTCAAGATGCCGACCGAATATGAAAATGCAGTCCAAGGTCGGGAACTGTTCAACTACTTTGGCAATCGAGTCGTCGAGTCTCGGACTACCGGCGGTCAGTTGGTGGCTGTTAAGGTGAAGCCGCAGGGAGGCTTTGTCCGTTCGGAAGCAGATATGATGAACTTCGCGTCACAGCAGTCGGGGATTCTCGCGCCCCACGTCCTTGGATGCTACGATGTCGAGCCCGAGATCATCGCGACAGTCACCGATGTTGTCCCAGGCCAATCCCTCGACAAAATCTGGCATACTCTCAACAAACGCCAACGGAACTCAATCAAAGACCAGCTGAGAGAACAACTACGTTTTTTTCGAACACATACTCGGCCATATATTGGACGAATCAACCGTCAGACCACATTCAACTTTTTGGATCGTCTGGAATTCAACTTTATGGGGCCATTCGAGTCCGAAGAAGAGTTTGACGCATGGTGTCTTGCAAGGGTTAAATCCCCTATCGCTCATGCGCTGTGGAAACGATTGTTACCGCGAATGCGAGCCAAGGGCTCCAGGTTTGTATTAACACACGGAGACCTGGCGGCAAGAAATATCATGGTGCATAACGGGCAAATATCAGGGATTGTCGACTGGGAGTACAGTGGGTTCTTCCCAGAATACATGGAATATGCCTTGGCAACTGTAGTCCATGACTGCATTGAAGACTGGTGGCTGCCCGTCTTGAAAGAGATCCTGGAGTCATGTGGGTTCCAGCGATCCAAATTCATCGCTGCAATTAAAAATCGAGGGTGGTGATTGAATCTCGTGTCTCAGACATGTTATTCCGGGTAGAAAGTGTCTTGATCCAAGCTGAGCATCGGCTAAATATCCAGTCTGTATTACGCGTCTGCGTCATCCCATGGCCAACGATCAGGGGATGGTTATGTATTGAGTGGGTAGTAGACATGGCTGTAGTGGATCTACTATATAAATGATTGCAAGATACTCGCAGCCATTCCACATGCGGACCATATGCCATGTTTATTTCTCGCATATACTTCAACAATTCCAATTCATGTATATATCCTTTGAATTCTGTGGATTTTACATTTCCAACAGTGCCATCCAGCTGCTTCCCTGTTTTCGGTGACTACTGTGAAAATACGTCCACTTCACGGGGACGTTGAGGCGCATACAATATCTCGACAGACTACGCGGTGGTCGTGCCTGATACTGGCATTACTTGGGAGGTATGTTCGACACAACCCGAATTTAGAACCAGCTTTTCTTATCTTCAGTTTCATGAGTACTGGCTTTCCGTGCAGAATCGAACTCTGGCGCCAGATGGCTACGAGCGACAGGTTCTGGTCTTCAATGGCAGCTACCCCGGGCCGGTGATTATATCACCCGAAGATGGGCGCGTATACGGAGCTTTGGGCGGGGCTTTCTGAAGATGTGGGGATTGCGGATGGTGGGAAGTATGTGATTCCTTGGGGGCGGTTGCATCCGAGTCCCAGACAGGATCTGCTGCAGGCGATGAAGACGACGGCGGAGGGGGGACGGGGGATGCGGCGACGTATTTGCAGTATTGCGATGATCAGATCTCGGGGTTTAAGTAACCTCGACTTGATGCTAATGGCTCTTTTCTTTTCTATTCTTTTTTCAATGTCTCGAGTTCACAATGAATGGCTAGGTCTACACGTATCATATAGCGGATATGCGAGACTGAGAGGTTGTCCTATGACAAATGCAATTGGTATCGATCAAAATATTGAAATCTATCTAGATACGCAAAGCTGCCGCTACGTGGCTCGCTAGTAGATCTATGATGCCTTTGCATACATGGGTGTCCTCTGGGCATATCGAAAGAATCATCCCTCAATGCAGATCAGCGACTCTCCCAAAACTGCGCATCAATCGCCACCAACCGATTAAACAATTGGTTCCGAGTGCGCATCCCCGTGAGATGAAAAGACTGGCCAGGCTCCTTGCCCACGACGACCAATCCATCCGCAGCCTCCTTGCTGCCAGCCGTCAACTCAACAATCAACTTGCCCTTCCAGCCAAGGCCCTCGGTTTTCTTCAGCTCCTGAATTTCAGTCACAGGAATCTGGAATAGAACCGAGCCTTTCTTGCGGCTTTCAATCTGCAAATCTTCCAACCCAGACGACTGATGGGTGGTAAAGTACAGCACGGGCGGTTGTTTGGATGAATCGATAACCACGGCTCCACGCTTACGCTCAAACTTAGCATCGAACTTTAAAGGGCCCAAGGTCGCAGACGACCAAGGCCGTTTCTGAAGCATGCTGATCAGGTTTTGTGTATGTGTTGCGCCTGCGATGGCTATGGCTCGATCGAATGCAATGTGGCCTTTGATGGCTGTTGCGATTGTGCGGCGCACAAACTTGAGAACTTTGAAAACCCATCTCTTCTTGGGTTTCTTTGCGGGTAAGGTTTCGTTGGATTGCTGGCGTGAAATGTCGCCTGACGGGTCTTGGTCACTGCTTTGATGGGTTATTGCGGCTTTGGACTTCTTCCGGCGAATGGGCCACGAGGGCTCGTTGTCGTTGGAACTTGGGGGTGGCGGCAATGGGGATGAGTTGATCTCGCCGATTCGGAGCAGAGTCAGGGTAAGCTGGGCGTTTGTAGGAACGCCTTTCAACAATGTTCTGTATTGACAATTAGCACTGGCAAAGAAAATACAATTCTTGAGAATGTCATACTTTGTCAAATCCAGTTGGTCCTTCCAGTTTGGAAACTTGCTGTTCAAGATGTTCATAGTCTTTTTGAACACTGGATCACCAAAAAAGCCAAATCCGATGGCAAAAGCGCCCAATTTGACAATCCAGTAGCTCGAGGTCAAGGGAACAATCAAGGCCAGGGCCACAAATATTCCTGCCAAGCGCAGGCGAGACGTGATGAGGGAGAACGGCGGTGTCGGAGACAGGAGACTATAGTCTGGTTAACACAGCACTCAACGCATGAGAGAAATAACCCACTTGGCAAACTTCTCGTAGATGTCGGTAATATCGCTGAGAACACGCATTGTCTGGTCCGTCTTCCGGGATACCTTCTTCTTCATCGGCTTTTTGGTCTTATCCTCGGCCGGCTCCTCTGTCTGTGCCTCTGCTGCAATCTCCAACACTTCCGTGGTGCCGGGATCCGGGGGTTCATCGGCAGTCGCCTCAGTAACGCCCTGGCCATATTTACCCGCAGCACTCTCCATGGCAACAGTTGCAACGCTATTCACAAGATTTGCGGCCTCCTGCTCGGCTGCCTCGCCTTTGTGTCTCTCTGGAGCACCGGTAATGCTATCGTGGGATTCGGAGGTTCCAGCGGCGGAGCTTTTCGCGTCGCTTGACTCGGAATCAACTGTTTCGGGGGCAGGAGAGAAGAGGACCGATCGAATGGGTGGAAAGAGAATCAATACGACAAGGACGCCCATGATCGAGGGAATGACAATATCCAGGAGACAAGCAACAAAATAAGCCTATCGACTATCAGTGTGGCTGTCGCGAGTACAGATCATGGAACTGAATACATACCGCACAAAAGCACGACGTCCGTATAGGCTCCTTCCATGATCGCAGACGGCCAATATGGCAACAGAATTCGGTCAATCCCACTATCACCGACGTATAAAATCGCTCAATGGTGATACGCAGCTTCTCCGGTGGGAATTGCTCATCACCCGCCCGGTTAAGATCAATGTCCTGCCCAGCGGCGTCCGGCAATGCCTTCACATAGTAGATTTGCTAGCGACCGCGGGTGAGTATTTTCTCTGCAGTGTTGTTGACCCGACATACCTTATTAAATCGCCGAATCAGCAGCCACAGATCTTCATTAGACAGTCCCGCCGCAAGGGTTTCATCCACAGTTCTGGAAGATGGCTTCCATTGCACCGTGGAAGCTCTGCTGTTATTGACAGGCTGAATTGGAAGACTTTCTTCAGGCTCTACCTGGGCGAGGTCGTAGCTGTCGGTGTCTTCCAACTCTCCAGGAATTTCCGGTTCATGGCTCATATTCTCAGACTGTGTGAAAGCACAGTCAGGGAAGATGGGAATAAAAGGAGAAAGTGAAACGGGTGCCTGGTGACGAGGTCGGGGCGGGGATCCGTACGTCATGCGACCGTGGTTGAAGCGATCGGCGGATTGTGGAGAATGTTGGGGAAGTCCACTTGGTACACTCCAGATATTTGAGCGACCTCGAAGGCCTCAATTGTTTCAAAGATGGTCATGATGAAACTCACTGGGGAAATTTTGTTCAGGATTTGCTTGGAGAGGCTCATGGTTGCTTTTCATACTGGAGCCATCCATCGTGATGTGTATAGGAGAAGTCCATCCAAGTCCGATTCTGGCGTAGAAATATCAGGGAAACAAAAGAAACCCAGCAGTATCATAAAGAGACTTGCTGAATTCATCACAAAAAGAAAAGATGCCATGAGCAGGAATCGAACCTTGCTTCATTTCTGGGGCAAAGTGAACAGATGAGGGACAAACGGCGTCACCATCATCAACACCAGGCGAATAGTCTAGCTAGAAGTCAGCCCGGGTCACCTGCCAAAGGTTGTGCCTGGGGTGACCGAAATAGGCTGGCCGTCTGGGTCGAAATTCGTCCTACCCTAATGACGGGTCTACTGGTAAAGGTCTATTTCATAAGCCTCTGGTGAACTTTTTGTCTTCTTGTCTTTTTGATTCTTTTATATCTTATTATCTCTAACATAAGCATATAAAAAAGACTTCCCTTTCAAGATTACACTTGCATAGCTTTATTTTAGTTATCTAGATAAATAAAGAGGAAGAGCGATGAATGGAGATTCAAACTAGGTTTGTAAAAAGGGTTGAAAAGGAATGAAAAAAATAGAGATAAAAAATATTAGTGAAATAATCTACCTTCGTCTCGGTTACAACATCAAACCCAGACATCTTCAGCTGTATGCGACTGAGCTATTTCCTATCTATACATTGCTGATCCTCCTCCAGCGCGAGCCTCTGGTCCCGGAGAGAAAGTCAGATAAGTACAGGCGAGCGAGCCCAAAGTTCAGATTACCACGACTAAAATCGACAGTAGTGACTAGTATGACATTGTCTCAAATATCTTGTCAACACTTGCAAAACACGTTCCCCCGAAACCTCAAAAAGACTTAATTAGGCACTGACGATGGTCTCAAACCCTCCTCCGTGGCTTTGATCTGCAAAGCCACGTACTTCGAATAGATGCGGCAGAGGGCGAGATTGCCGCCCATATACCAGAAGTTGGGATGGCCGCTGGGGCGCCACATCTGCATGATCCAAGATTAGCACTAATTGGCAGAAGCAGAAGGGAAGGGCCAGGCACATACAGCATTCAGCTCTCCTTCTTCGTCCAGATCCCACACATCCTGACACCGGCTCGCCACCTTGTCGCCCATGATCTTCTGCACGCTAGTTTTCATGTTGTCATATCCCGTGGCTAAGACTACCACATCCGCCTCGAGATGGGTTCCGTCCTTCAGCACGACAGCATTGGATGTGAACCCGGAGATGCCGTCAGGGCTCTGGTGGACCTTGATCTTGCCGTCGATGATGAGCTTGCTGCATCCGACATCAACATAGTAGCCACCTCCGCGGGTATAGTACAGACGGGCAATGCCGGACCGGTCGATGCCCCATTCGAGTTTGAAACCGGCTCGCTCGAGTCCTTCCACGTTTTCCTTCTCCTCGGCGGCAATGCGCTTCGTCATATCGATGTTGAGAGCAAATTGAACTGGGAAAGGTAAACTCTCGCCGACGATGTCGCTTTGCTCGGTGGGTGGTCTTGACAGCTAGTCAGTGGACATGATCACCTACTATGTTTGGAGGAAAGACAACTCACCCGTTCTCGCAGTGCATGCCCTCATGTAGAATGAAAACCCCCTTATCCAGCGTCAGGACATAGGTCCCACTGCGCTGTAGCATGGTGACCTCGGCACCATTCTGATAGAAATTCTCCGAGATATCATGCCCACTGTTGCCCGTTCCAACCACAAGCACTTTCTTCCCCTTGACATCGTATTCAGACGCATCATTGTGCTGGCTTCCATGATAAACAACACCTTCAAAGTCTTGCTGGCCTGGGAATGAAGGAATCAGAGGTTCTCCAGCATGGCCAGTACAGAAAACAACATGATGGGGACGAATAGTCCGGGTCTTTCCGTCACGAACAAGATCCACGGTCCACCCGGCGGTCACATCGTCGTATGCTGCACTGGTGACAGTGGTTTTGGTCCACACGTTGAGCTCCATTAGCGATGCGTAGGCCTCGAACCAATCGCCCAGTTTATCTTTGGGGGTGAACTGCGGCCAGTTCTTGGGGAAGGGGAGGTAGGACATGTGGGTGAATTCAGCAGGATCGTGGGTGACGAGGGTCTTGATATACATTAGCATTAATCCTTGTTCAGTTGTTGTGTTTTCATACTCGATAACGATTTCTCCAGTTATCTCCGACTCGGTCATTCTTGTCAATAATCAAGGTTGAAACCCCGAGGGATTGCAGCCGGGCACCAACATTCAGCCCGGACTGGCCTGTGCAAGATATAAGTTTAGATGAACTCATGAACAAAAAAAACTTGACGTACCAGCTCCAATGACTAGAGCCTGCGGCTCCTCATCCACAAAGTTCAGTTTTCGCTCCCGTCGCTCAAACCAAGTCCCTTGCGCTGGCCCTCCAGGCATTGAATCCAGCGTACCGTACGCCCGCGCGGTACCAAGCGGCTCTTCAAAGCCTTTCAGCTCCTGAAGCGTTGTGTACACAGAATAAGCCTTCCAGACGCCCGGAGTCTGTTGTGTAAGTCGCAAGACACCAGATCCCCGTCCAATGCGAGTCTCAAAGTGGAACAAGGAAGAGATCCAGGCCAGAACGGGTTCTTTCTTAGCTATTTCAAGCCTCGGCTGAAAATGGCCTGTCTCCTGCAGACGAAAAGATGATACCGGAGCCAGCTGTTGGTTTTGGCGAAGGAACTCCTTGATTCTTTCCTGACCGCGAATGGTGCGAAAGTCCCATTGCAAAGCAACGATGTCGCGCCACCATGAATCTTCATGGAAGAGCTCCCTCACCCCGGAAAAGTCAGTAGTGCTGAATGCAGCTGCCAATTTGCTCAGCCATTCTTGGGCCACTTTCTGTACCTCCACGGAGGGATCGACCTCAGCAGTCTGAGGGAGCTGGATGATATGGTCATATTTCGTCGGCATGTTTGCGAGAAAAAGGGTGCTTCTTCACGGAAATCGGCTCAGATTACACCGTTGAATGCGTTGAGAAAGATAAAAGTCGCAAAGAGGAACCGCGACTCTCGCCCCGAATAAATACGTGGGAGGGCGACAATTCGACAATTCATCATTCTTCCTCCCCCTCCCATCTTGCATCACCGTGCAAGACGGAATATCAGGTTCCATCGCATCGTCCGTCCCACATCGACCGCGCGACAGCCCATGGATCATCCAGCTGATGCCCTGCGTGGGTCCAGGTAATGTCCCTCCCCTGAGGCCAATCAGTGAGGATACAACGGGCCATGTCTGCGCCGAGTGTGGTGGGGGAAGAACATCGGCTTCGCTCCGAACTATGGGGGTGGGGGCCGGGGTAGCACCGGGCCAAGAATAGTTGCCAGTGCTGGCCCAGGCAAACAAAGTCATCACCCACGGACTGCAATCACCAGAATCAATATTACTTGGCTGACGAAGAAGACGGAGAGACGGACATATTTGGGTGTTGCGGGGTTTATTCAGGATGGATCGAAGTCCCAGTCCTTCCATGTCGACCAGACCCAATGCTGCGTAGGGTCACCTTTCCGCGACCTTCGAGGTGGAGCTAACGAGGCTTCAGCTGCACGACCTGTCGCAGCCGAAAGGTCGCTTGTGACCGTCGGCGCCCCAACTGCGGGTTCTGTGTCAAGAACCACTTTGCGTGCGAGTATGCGGCGACGCGACGGCCCGGCGTCCGGGCGGGCTATATTGCAAAGTTAGACCGTCGGCTAAGTGAGTCATTCGGACGTTGAAAAAAGCTAGATACTGACTCGTGTCTAGTGGAGCTGGAGCAGCGAGTGCGAGATCTAGAGAACGGCCCAAGAGGTACTCGAGCATCAGCAGTGTCGCAGCCGATATTGACCCAAGCTCCAGGATCTGTCTGCCATGATCAAGATATGGCGGCTCCAGTAGTCAGCGACTCCGGCATAGCATTGACAAGTACCGCCTACACGCAAGACGAGCATCTTTCGTCTCCAAATCCAAGTAGGCCTGTTCTTACTACGCCACATGCCAGTCCTGGCGACACTCTATCAACCAACTCGACTCAGTTCGACCCGTTCTCATATCCTGTGCTGTCGAATCTATGCTCGATATGGTTTAAGAAATACCATCCTTGGTTCCCCATCCTACACCAGCCCTCCTTGACGGCGTCGTTGCAGAATTTCGAAAGCGCAGAAGCATTCAGTCAGTACCTGGCTGTCAAAGCAATCTGTGCCGTAACCCTCGTCCACTATGAGTCGCCGTTTGTCAGTCCAGATGAGCGGAAGCAATGGTCAGATAGCTTGCGTGATACTATCTGCTCACAGGCATTGAAATGTGTCTCCCTTCAATCGGTGCAAGCTCTGTTGATTCTCTCCAACCTTGAATATGGCGAAGGGCGGTTCGAGCAGTTTTGTAACCTCATCGCACTTTGCAAGCGGTATGTCCCATCAAAGGTGCCCAAGAAGTCGGATACACAATAACACAGACAAGCATGACCTCTCAGCTGGGCTACGGAACATTGGTCAGGAAGCAGGTAGATCACATCAGCTCGTCAGCTTCAGTGCCACCACGACTTCATCCCCTGTCCACAACTATCATCGACCGCGAAGAGCGCATTCGAGCTTACTGGATGTCCGAGATGCTGGACAGCATGTCCACTGTCGGCGTGGATTGGGACACAGGCGCTGCACCTCCCATGTCGAATGGCATCCTACCCTGCAGCGATTCTCTGTGGGCATTCCCAGAGCACATCATCAATATCTGGTCCTTTGGACAGTTCCGCTACTCTTCGGCTTTTTCGCTGTGTGTTATTTTTGCCACGAACGAGCTATGGTTTGTGCATGGCTTTCTTCAAAAGTCGTGGGACCTCAGTGATCCCCACGATCGCAGCCAGTGGCAGAGCGAGGCTCAGAAGATTGACGAGCGGCTAACTGCCTGGCGCGAAGAGTTTGTGGCTGCCGTGTATCGGTTGATCAACGCAGAATATGCCGAAGAAGAACGCGCCGAGATGGACCCGAATATCGTCTTGACCAACTGCGTGCTTGATATGTAAGTGATAAGTGGCAGTGGGATGAACGGGTGTTAGGGTCTTATCTCATGGCTTAATAGTGCTGTTGTCTTGCTTTTCCAGCGCATGTCCACTATTCCTCGAGAGATTGATCCTTCTGCCGAGCCAGTGAGTTTCCCCTTTTCTCATTCTATATCGGGTAATATCTGGTAAATGACATCTATAGTGGCAATACGCAACCAATCGCTGCATCTATGCTTGCGACAACATGGTATTCAAAGTGCGACAAATGACCGACGACGAGCTCAGCGTGAGCAACCCACATCTCGTGTTCTGTTTATTTACCGTTGCGCGGTTCTATATTGGTGAGTAGGCATGTAGGAACAATTCCCTCGTAGACCTCGGCTAAGCGACTCAGTGTATGCAAAAACCGTCAATGCCGACGTTCCGAGCGGCGTGCGTTCCATGGCGTATGCACTGCTATGCTCGGGGAAACGATGGCCCCTGGCACTGGGCTACGAGAGTGTGATCCGCACCGCCATCTCAGAGCACCGTTCTTTGATCTCGGAGTCCTCGCTTCCAACCCGGTTCTACGACCTACGCTATTCCACGTTGAACCTCAAAGATGATTTGCGAGAATGGTGTGAGGGAGGCCCCCACGTTTCGTCGCAGGTGACTGTCTAAGAAGAGTAAATCAGCCGACGAGTTCTTGCGTGTCGAGTGTGTCTACTTTCCCCGTCTGCCGGGGGCCGCGGGCCATGTCCAGCCCGACGCGGGGGTTGCGCTAGCGCTGAGATGGCCCACCGTGCTGTAACTATATGTGGCTAAACATTATTTTGCGGGGCTTACTGTGGAGAATCCGGGGGATCCATACAGAATCCGGGGTAATGGGGTGTATACCCTCGGCTTGGGCCGGCTTTAAATTGCCTTGTAGAGCCCACTCTTTGGGGGCGACTCTTGACTCTTGACTCTCGTGGTTTCTTTTTCTTTTCAATCTATACACTTTCACCATGCTAGACGGACCGGCTCTGGAAGTCGTGCTAACAGCGGCCAATTCTGCCGCTCAAGCCTGGTATGGGTACGATCAGGTTAGTATAGCCCCATCAGAGTAGAGGCCATAACAAATGTTTTTTTCCAAAGTTCATTCTAACCATTATTGCTAGGGCGTCGTGAGCGGCATCCTCATCAGCCCAGATTTTATCCGCGTCTTCCCCCAGACCAAGGTATCCTCGATCCAAGGTATCACAGCGAGCTGTTTTTCAGTAAGAATTCCCAATTCCATCGCTTACAATAATCCATACCAACGACCCTATTTACATAGCTAGGAAACCTGGCCGGGTGTTTAATAGCCGCCTGCTATGGCAACCGCCTGGGACGCAAAAACACACTGCGAATCGGCGCAGTGATCAGTGCCATCGGCGCCGTACTGCAGTTTCTGTCGTTCGCGTTTCCGCAACTGATCGTGGGGCGGGTGATCAACGGAGTGGGAAATGGTAAGTTGCACCATGCCGAAGGTGTACATACAAGGATTTCAATGCTAACCCCGACATCCTCCATGCAGGGATGACCAGCTCGACCTGTGGAGTCTACCAAGCCGAATCTTGTCGCAGTGACCGCCGCGGCAAATTGTCCGTCATTGTCGTGCTTCACAATGTCGTCTTTTATTGCGCTGCCACCTGGTTGACTTTGGGATGCTCGTTTCTTCCGGGGGGGTACCAGTGGCGGCTGCCGCTGGCTTTGCAGGTAAGGTGGACTCAGCTATAGCCCTGTATCAAGGCTACCCCTACCCAAATGATAAGTGTGGTCTAAGTATTCTATAGCTGGTTCCATGCATGTTCCTGGTTGCACTCCTCCCCCTAGTCCCAGACAGCCCCCGCTGGCTCCTGATGCAGGGCAAGACAGAACAAGGACTCGAAGCCATCCGACGGTATTCCGGGCGAGGGCTGGAAGCAGAAGACCCAGTAGTACAGAGCGAATACCATTCAATCCTGGGCGCAATCCGGATCGAGCGCGAATCCCAGATCTCTTTCACGCATGTGCTCGCGCGCCGAGATCGATCAAGCCACCTGAAACGACTTCTGCTCGGCTGTGGCGGCCAGTTTATGCAGCAGTTTGGGGGAATCAATGCGCTGAACTATTACTTCACGATCATGCTGATTGATAATGTCGGGCTCGACGAGTTCAAGGCGCGGGTTCTGACGGGGTGCAATGCAACTTCGTACATGGTTTCGTCGGCGCTGTGTTTCTGGTTGATTGAGCGATGTGGGCGGCGGGTGTTGATGCTCAGTGGGTTGTCGCTACAGTGTCTGGCGTATGTGATGGTGGCTATTGCCATTGCTCTGCTGCGCCAGGCTCCGTATGAGGTAAGTTTCAAAATGGCTTTTTTTTTTTTTTTTTTGTTTTGCGCAGATATGTTGCTAATAGCACCAGTGGGGCATTGTAGCCGTGGCTTTTCTGTTCTTTTACTACGCCACCTTTGGGTGTACTTGGGGCATGGTGCCGTGGGTGTACCAGGCCGAAATCAACTCGCTCGCAATGCGAACACAGGGGGCTGCAGCTGCTACAGCAACCAACTGGGTGAGTAGCAATGTCAAAAACAAAATTGCAACTACCAAACTCACCCTCTGTGTTACAGCTGGCAGGGTTCATCTGTACTCAATTTACTCCGACGGGCATTGCGAACATTGGATACCGATTTTATATCAGTGTGTCCCACGATCTTTTTAAATCAAACTGGGCAGAGAAGAAGAAATCACTGACCGACCCAATTAGTATTTGCTGTGTTCAACTTGGCCTTCATCGCAGTCGTCTACTTTCTATACCCGGAAACGGCCTACCGCACGTTGGAGGACCTCGATGTGTATTTCGACCGCGACTCGAACCATCGCACCATCATTCCGATTCATGACACTGTTGCGAAGCAGTCGAAGCGGCCGTTTGAGGCGATTGAGGCGGAGGCTCAGCGGGTGGCTGCCACCAAGGCTGATGCGAAGGGGATAGTTGAGCATGTCGAGGATGTGCGAGGAGCTTGAGGTTATTAGAGTATTGAATGAAATAACTATGGTGTTATTTTTAGTCAACACAGGTTTTCGAAAAGGTTAAAATAAAGAAAAATAAACATAACAAAAATCACGAAAAAAAAAACTCTCCCTCGGGGAATCGAACCCCGGTCTCCCGCGCTTATCGAATGACAAGCGGAAATCATCACCACTAGACCAAGGAAGATAAGTTGACCGAGTTACTGCTCGGCCACTTGGCGCTGGCTGGGGGATGTCGGCCTTACTTAGTTTCATAGTAGAAATCTCAACGAGGCATATCTTGATTGACCACAGCATTAGAAAGTGGACGAATTTGACCATTACCGTAGACAGGGTCACCTTTACTATGAGGTCTAAGTGTACACTGATAGGCGAAAATAAATGTATCAGCTCGGGTTGAACCCACTGTCCTGACTTCATGATGTATACAGCCAATCTACTTTCACTACCAGAACCGACAAACTGACTGGCTGGAATTACTGCCATAGTCAGGCCCACGGCAAGCCAGAGCCACATTAGGGCGACCACTGACGTTGATATGTGGATATGTGGAGTACACGGCGGTGTGGAAAAAGGGCAAGCCAATCTTGCTACCCAGCTTCTCTATACGCGGTAGCTAAAAATAAAACTATATGGCCAAAGCACTCCATGCGTATAGCCCAGGTGGCGGAGTGTTTCTGAGAAACTAAGCTTTGCATGGTTATGATCGATCTTTGGGTTTTTTTAAAGATCACTTGCGCACAAGATGACCGGATTTCTCCACCTGTCCAGGGTCTTTCTATGATGCCCTGACTCGATCCTCATCCCTGACTCAACAACTCATCTCTGCCCCCCTCGCACTTCCCCTTCCTCATCCGTAACTTCGCCTTTTCGCTTTTGTTCTCTATCTTCCTTTCTGGTATCTGATTCAATCACGATCAAATGACTGGAGACGCTAGAGCTGGGTGGGCGATTCGCCGCCAGCAACGCTGCCTCAAGGATACGGAAGTCGGTCGTCACACTTGGGGCTCTTGGTACGCCTGCTGCCCGTCCTCAATCGACTATAGCTCGGCCGCGGATGGCAACACCAGATGCGACGAGGGAAATACCAAGGGGGATACCGTGGACCCGCCTCGGTGCGCCAATTCAACAGGGAGTCTTTGGTGGCAGAACGGATATTTCTGCTGCGAGAATGACCTGCTGGGCTACTACTATTCGGATCAATCAACCGGCTGTGGGGATCAACAGATGATTTCTGATGGCCAGGTAAACGGGTCTACCATCTATCCTGCGCAACAGGGACATAACCCTCACAGTATGTATTATGTGTATCATTCCACTCCATCTCTTAAAAGATCCCCCTTCCAGAGGAAGAGCAAAACCCACTAATACATTATGCTGGCAGAATCCTCGAATTCATCGACAAACAAAGGCACGATTGCCGGTGGTGTGGTCGGAGGTGTTTGCGGAACCCTCATCATCGCGGGACTCATATGGTATTTCCTCCGTCGTCGTCGATCAAAGCAATCGGTCGCAGAGCCAGACGAATCCTTTATGCATCCTAAGGAGGATTCCAAGAGCAGTCCAACCGAGTTAGAGGAGACCAGCCAACACGGCGTATCTGAATTGAACGATGGTTCGAGTCGAAAGGAAATGCCGGCTGATACGCAACCGCGCCAGGAGCTTCCGGCAAATCCGCAGCCTTGCGAGCTTCCTTGATATGCATGATGCTTGATACCCCGGGATATATCACTGTCTCCGTTTGTTTTGTCTATGATAATGTACATTGCTTTTTGGAATATACTAAAGTCGCATGAAGTGACCTGAGATCTTGAAACGGCGAGGATTTGAATATTAAGATTTAGATACCTTTCGACAAACCGCTCTCTGCAAGAAAAGTAGAGAATGATTTGAAATATGAAATAGTTCTATGGATGCAAGTTAAATGACCCCGCAAAGATCCTGATCTCGGGTGCAGTTTCCGAGGATCATGGGACTCACAGCATGACGATCATCTTGACCTCTTGACCGCATCAGGGTGCAAGGTCATGCTCCCGCGATGGGGATTCGCCCATCATCAACACTCGAATTGATTTTAGGGACTGGCTCGGGCCTTGACCCTGCACCCCTGAGAATACAATGATGGCATTTGCAGGGGTTACCAACAACCCTCACCCTAAACTGGAATGGGTCACCTTTGTCTCGGGGTGAAGGTTGAGAGACTTGGGGAGACTTGCCGGGGTCATTCCCACTCGCAAATGATATCCAGTCACCCGCAATTCCAACCCATGTACACCCCTGACCCTCTACACGTGCGAGGGGACTACACCCAAGGCTGCTGCTTTATAATGCTGCAACCTGCCAGGCAGATGCGACAAAAGAAAACCTGGAGGTTATCCTTACGATCTTATCTGCAATATCCAACTCGAGCCCAACCTGATCTTCATGATGGAGGAGGGATAAGAGCGAATCTGACCTAACCTACCTGACCTGACCTGACCCTAACCCTAATTCTTTCTTTCAACTACTCCATCTCTACTCAGCGATGCCGCATCTCCGCCACCACCGACGACACCATACCTGGCCCCATTGCGGCTCCGACCTCTGCATGCGCCAGCCACGCAGTCCGGACCCGCGCATCTCCAAACCGTGCATAAGCCCAACCACCCAGCCCGTCTTCTGGACCGTCCCAGCGGCAATGATAGTCCCGCTCGAGGCAGACCAGCCACCGGACAGCGACGCCGAGATGGCGGGTATCATCGGTTTACCAGGAGCACGCGCGCGTCACTTCTGGTCTCGGTCAGCCAGACAAAGACAAGACGATAATCATAACCCGCTGTCGCCTCTGGCCCCGGAACCCCGGAAACAAGCACACCGCAATGTCCTGCGCCGGCTGGTGCGTCGTCCGCTCCTGGGTAAGGCCCAGTCGCTGATCGCGGTGCCAACGACGATGACGGCGCGGGACCATGTCGTGGTCTCGAACAGAGTGCCGCTTCGTGCGTCGGTGGCGCCGGTGGTCGTTGCAGAGAGGACGCGGCCGGCTTGGTCTGCGGCCGAGATGGATCGGTTGGTGAGCGAGCGACGGCATCGGCGGTGTCATTCGGAGCAGCCACGGGCGTGGCGGAGACCGAGTGCTAGTTTGTGGACATTGAGGGAGGAATGATGAAGATTTCTTTTAGGGCTTATCCTCTTTGGTGGTTTGGTTCTGCTGATTCAAATCTGACCATGCATTCCACCTGGAATTTCTAATTACTGGTCAATTTCATTCTATATTTATCTCTTGTTCCCCTGAAAATACTAGCAGCAATGCGATATTTCCAAACCACCATCCAGTCGCCCGTCCAATGTTGGATGTAATCTCCCGATAAGCCACAACGGCGCCAACGGGGCATATGCGAGCCGTCCAATAAGCGCCGTGGATGACGACTCGAGGAGAGCCAGGATTCGCAGTCTAGTAGATTCAGCGGTATAGTCAAAATGAAAGAAACTGTGCTGGTTGGTCCAGAGGCATCCTGTCAGATCAGGATCCGAGCTTGTACCACGGTGAATTCCCGCAATCCAATAAAAGAACTATAAATAAGAAGCCGCAGTCAGATCAAATTGATTACTTTTGTCTTTCATTTTCATTTTCGTTTTCCTCATTACCGAAATATTAGATATAAAAAGAAAGGGAAAAAAAATGACAACCAACAGCTCCGTCCTCATAACCGGCTGCAGCGATGGTGGCATCGGCTCCGGCCTAGCCCTCGCCTTCCAAGAACGCGGATACCAAGTCTTCGCGACAGCCCGGAATATCGACAAAATGGAAGCGTTGACAGGTCTCCCCAATGTGACGCTGCTGACACTGGACGTGGTGGAGCCAAGTCACATCGACGCCGCAGTCAAGGCCGTGTCAGCACAGACGGGAGGGACACTGTCGTACCTGATCAACAATGCCGGACGCAACCACTTCATGCCGATTCTTGATGAGACCATTGAGACGGCGCGCGAGATCTTTGAGATCAATGTGTGGGGGCCGGTGGCGGTGACCAAGGCATTTGCGCCGCTGTTGATCGAGGCGCAGGGGACGCTGGTGAATATCACGTCGATAGCAGGGCATATTCCATTGCCGAATATGGGTGAGAGATGTCGGCTTGGTTTTGCGTATTATTCTTGCGGGTTTCTATATTCCCTGTCTATTTTTATCGTGCTTTTTATTCTATCTATTTCTATTTCTATTTCGATTTCCTTTCATACTAATAAACCACCAGGGTCATACGCCGCATCCAAACGCTCCCTCGAAATCATCTCCGAAAGCCTGCGCCTCGAACTGACCCCCTTCCACGTCAAAGTGCTGTCCGTCGTGACCGGCAGCGTCGCAACCAACGGACAAACCTACTTACAGAACTGGGCGCTCCCACCAGACTCGCGATACAAGCCGATTGAACAGAGCATTGCGCAGATTGTACGAGGACATGACGGCATTCCCCGATCGCCATTAACGCAATACGCGACGGAGGTGGTTGAGCAGATTCTGGCGGGCGCAGCGGGCCGGATTTGGTGTGGGGAACGAGCGGCGACGGCGAAGGAGCCGGTGGAGGGCGCGGCAGCGGACCAGCGGGTACGTGCTGTATTTTTAAGGGATTACCGTGCCCTTACCAATAAATTACGTCTTGGCTGACTCGTTTCAGGATCGGTGGGTGATGCAGCTCTGGGGGCTGGATGATCTTTCAGGGTGAGATTTTTTGTGTCCCAGCCTGATTCTCGAGTGAATGAGTTTTTTTTTGTTTTACTCCGTCTTCTTTTGGGTCTTCTTTGGACAGAGAAATTATAAGTAAGATATAAGCAACAAGAAATCAGATAACGCCAAGTAGATATTTTACATCTCAATATGGCTAAAGGGTCCCTCGGTTAAATCCAGGAATGACTCCAAGACTCTCAACCGATGCATGCAAATCCCCTCGATTTGTATCTTGTGCCATGTTGAGAGAGGTCATTTTGGCACATCGACCCCGTTCCGCTCGGATTCGTTTTGGGCCCAGGCACGAGCAAACACCCTATAAGGCTGAGCAAGGAAGCTTATTGAACGTTCCCCGGATTATAGGTCATCTGCTATTTATAGCAGTAGAAAGAACAGAGTCTATACGGGAGGGTGCAGAACACCACGGATAGATGATGCATACTATGTATACTCTGTATAAACAGACAGCCACACTTCCAATGCTGTACATTGTACATGCCGAATCGGGGCCAAATGCCCAGGCGAAAGGGCCGAGATACCGAGGCCAACACCAATCATTAACGCCACTCCGTGCCAAGCCAGAAAACTTTGGTGCCTGTGGGACGCCTTTCTGATTATATTACATCATTATATCATTTTATTATTATTATATTATACTCTTATTATAATAATCATGTATTATGATTACTATTGTATCTCGAGTCATAATGACTCTCAGGGTCTAATACCGAGCCGACATATCTTCAGTATAAGAGGACACCGAGGTGTATACCGAGTGTTTCGGGTACGCTCATATCATGATTGGGCAATCCATCCGCCCCGATTCTTAGCCCTGGCGACGTGGCCTCCGCTCGCGGCTGAATACGATCAGCCTTAAGCTGTGCCAATGTGACCACCTTCCCAAAACAATCCACAGTGGAGAGAGAGCGAGCGACCCCCTGAACACGGGAAAAAAAAAACAAAATTAAGGTGGATTTCACCAGGGATACCTTGGTATTGGAGCAAGGATGAAGGGTTTTATCTAATGAGAAAGGGGGATCCACATGGGTCTGTGTTGGGCAAGTGATCGTGTGTTGCCAAGAAATGAAAAAAATCCCTGGAGACATGAAACCCTGAAAATGGGGGCGATTCCCGCTCGTCTTTTTCGTATTTTGTTCTCGATTCTCCATTTCTCATTTCCACTTCCGTTTTTTTCAATCGCTCCACGTGTGTCTTACATTTCGTCTCTTTCTTTCGTCTTTCGTCCTTTCATTTTTCCTCTTTCTTGCTCCCTGTCTCTCTCTTAATCTCATCAGACCATGTCCCTATCGGATTGATCGGGATCTCTTTATTTTAATTTTCTTTTTGGTTTGTGTTGGGTCATGTCGCAACACAGCTTTTCGCCAGATACCCGGCTCGAGGCCGCCCTATCCTTCGTCAGTCGAGTCCCTGCCTGGGCGAGTTTCCTGTGCTGTGCACTCCCCGCTCGCGCATTGCAGGCCACTCTGAACTGGAGCCAGGCTCGGAAATACTGGTACTCCCTACTCTTTATCGCCGTCGTCTCCGCAAAACTTCTTCGCATTTGGTCCCACCTTATCTCCATCCCCTTTAGCTCCCTGCTCGGCTGGGGCTCGACATTTTTCTGCCAGGATGTCCTGTTTTTGACTGTGATCTGGGTGCTCTGTCTGGATTTCGACCGGAAATGGCTGCGCGTGCTCTCCGCCTTTGTCGTGGTCCTTCTGGCGTATGTTGCGACCCTGTCCCATCCGAAGCACGCGACCTGGAAGCTAATCTGGATTTTTTTTTCTTGTTTCTGTGTAGGCTCATCCTCAGTTGCATGTCTGCCGCCAACGCCTCCTTCTACATCCTGACCGGCGCCGAAATTCACTGGCGACAAGCGGGGTCATTCAACCGGGACCCGGCTTCGATGAACACCCTGCTCACCGGGTTGACGGGTATGATTATCGTGGAGGGTGTCTACATTGTTGCCTCCTGGATCGCCTCGGCCTTTTTGTTTGATTGGGTGGACTCGGCATTCCGCATTTTGGGCTCGTGCTTCGCCCCGTTGACGCGTTGCTGGCGCTCCAAGTCGCTGCCCTCCCTCGGCTCCTACAACCTGGTCCCCTTCCGTGACGACGATGACGAAGAGGACAAGGCCAACACCGACCCGTCGCTCCTCGTGGATGAGCACCGACTGCCACAGCGACACCCTACCCCCACCCTCCTGAAACGTGTGCTGGTATTGCTGCCGGCCCTGCTGGTGTTGGCTCTGCGTTGCGCCCGCCCCTGGGAACAATCTTACGCCTTTCTGTCTCAGACCCTGATCATCACCCCCTTTGTCGTAGTGAGCTCGGGCGTCGGCGACACCAGTGGGTTGGGCGACCGGACCGCTCTCACTACTCCTCCCCGGTTCGACTGGCTGCCGCCGGGTGAATGGAATGGGTTCCGTGACTGGCAGACCGATTCCAATGGTAACTACACACATCTGCACTACAACCCCGCCGAAGACCCGCTGCACAACTCCAACCTGGAATACGATGTGCTCGAGCCGCTTCGCTCGGCCCTGCACAACGGCGATGTCAAGATCAAACACATCTTCATTTTCAAGCTCGAGAGTACACGCTACGATGTCTTCCCTCTGCGCGGTGACACCAACTCGTCAATGTTGAACTTCATCCGCAACTCGTACAAGAACGGCAAGATTCCGGATGATGTCGAAAAGCGGCTGGCCAACCTGACGCACACCGCTCAGCGCCTCACCGGCATGTCGTCGGGCTTCAAGTCGTCCGAGGATCCGCAGCCCTACGGTGGTGTCCACTTCACCAAGGCCTACACCTCCGGCACCTTCACCCTCAAGAGTCTGACGGGCACTTCGTGCGGCGTGGTCCCGCTGGTGGTCGACTTCAACCAGGAATACCTCCATCACATCTACCAGCCCTGTATGCCGGACATCCTCGGGGTTCTCAGCAATGGAACCGACCGCAGCAAGGCCAAGTCCAGCGACGACTTCACCACGTGGCCGTGGCGCTCGTCGTGGATGCAGTCCATCACGCAGGACTATGATCACCAGGAGAAACTGACCCCGGCCTTGGGCTTCCCCGAATTCGTGTCCCACGAGAGTATTCAGGAGGATCACGCCAACGACACCAAATGGCCTGTGAAGGAGTACAACTTCTGGGGTTACCCCGATGACACTCTCCGACCCTACTTCCGCGACATGATCGGGAACGCCGAGAAGAACCACGAGCGTCTGTTTGTTGGATCGCTCACTGGTCTGACTCACCAGCCCTGGGATTTGCCCAAGGGTGAGAAGTACGACGAGCTTATCGGGGCCTCGTGGTCGGGCCGGACGAAAGACGTGAACCGCTATCTCAACACCATCCGCTACAACGACCGCTGGTTCGGGGAGTTCTTGGACATCCTGAACGAGTTCGGAGTCGCGGATGAGACCCTCATTGTGATGGCTGGCGACCAGTAAGTTGTTTTCGAGTGTTTTCTCCCGGTCGGGGCCGGTTTCTGACATATTTTCAGTGGTGTTTCGCTCCCTGAGGATGGTAGCATCACCCCGTACGACAACCCGCACGTCTACAATTTCCACATTCCACTGGTCCTGGTAAGTCATGAACACCCGTCATATCCGCCAAGTAATAAGCGAGGACAAATGCTCATATGAACTCCTCATTAGTCTCACCCCAAGCTCCCGTCTGTCCAACTCGACACCGCTGTGACCTCGACCCAGATTCTCCCGAGTATCCTCGACCTGCTCCTGGAGTCTGGCTCTGTCGACGAGTACAGCCGAAATGCTCTCCAAGATATGATCAAGATTTACGAGGGTCAGTCCTTAATCCGCCCTCAGATCGAGACCGACGAGCTGCCCTACTGGCAGTTCACCGTGATGAACACGGGTGGTTCCCTGGTCGCCATGCGTTCAGCCACCAAGCCGTACCGCCTAATTATGCCCATGGTTCCCGAAGTCGAGTGGCGATTCACCGACATCGAGAAAGACCCTCTCGAGCGAAACCCCATCCAGTCCTTCGACCTGTACGGGTTGAAGCACCGCGTTGCGCGCGAGCACGGCGACCAAGCCCTCCAGTGGGTGCAAGAAGCCGCTCGCGCCGCCTGGTGGTGGACCCGCGAGAACTGGAAGCGCTACGAGCACGAAGCGTGAACGTTCTGCATTTTTCTTTTTTCTTTCTGCATCATCCATCTTACTTATTATGTGTCTTGTGTATAATCTGCTATGTGTACAGAGGCTCTCATCATTGCCCCCCCCCCCCATCATGCACTACCGTTATTTCCTTCTCCATCTTTTTTTTTCCGGCATCTTCTGAGGAGTTGCGGGTTCATCTCATTCTTGATTTTTGATTTCGTTCTTCTTTCCATTTCTTCATTTCATCTTGTATAAATGAGCGATATCTTACCTTGATGCCATCTACATTGTGCCATGTGTTTTCATTTACAAAAGAATTCATCAGTTGGATTTATATGATTTGAGTGTTCACGATGGAGTAGACTGGATTGTAGAAGCATTGTAGAAACAATAACTATGGCCTTCGATGGATGTGTGTGAAATACTTGCACTTGTCTCTTGTCTGTTGAGGGCTGCTTGATGTCTGATGTTCTATATTAACGTCGGCAACGACTTTCCTTGCAAAACCGCAAGAAACCCTTCTTGATCTAGATGATAGAAGTTAATATGATGCATATACATCTTTCCGAGGATGCTGATGATATCCCAGGGCAAAATAAATAAATGAAATTCAGACAAAACTGACCTTTCGCAGACCCAAACGCAATAGTAATAGCGCCCTCCCGCCTCCCACCACTGGTCGCCTTAGGGCCGCGCGCGATGATATTCACCAGATCGAGCGACATACCCCGGGCATAAGGAAGACGCGGAAGATAGACGTGCGGAGGATTGTCCTTAGCCACAGCATCGGCACAACCAGGTCCCAGAGTAAGAGTAAGCCATTTATCGGGGACGGCATCGGCCCAGCGCGCAGCAAGCTGAAAGGACGAGCCACGGCGCCAGAGCTGGAGGTCCGCGGGGCCCTTGCCGGATTTCTTGGGACCGAAGAGTGCGGTAGTCTTCGTCGAGAGCGAGGGGACGCGGCGGGCGAAGAGCAGGTCGTAGAGCGGGGAGAGAGCGCTGAGGAAGGCGCGAGCGGTGGGGTCGGAGGCGAAGTCGATGACAACAGACTCGAATTTCTTTTCACAGTGCGTGAAGGTGACGGGGCGGTCTGCGGGAAAGAGCTGGTCGACGTGCGACGAGATGTAGTCTGCGTCGGACAGGCGCGGAAAACGCACGGAGCACGCCGAGTCGTGGAATGCGTAGTCGGCGACGCTGTATAGGTAGTACAAGTCGGAGGAGCGCCAGGGGGCGCGGACGCGGAAGAGGACGACGGCCTTGCACTGTTTATGTTCGATGCCTGTGTCGACGACGTCGTAGATGCGGCCGGAGCTGGTGGGCTGCGACCAGGCGAAGGCGGGTTGGAGGCCCGGCTGGTCTAGCACGGCGCGTTCGAAATCGTCTGCGGCCTGCTGAGTACGGAATACCAGACCGGCGCCGAGATTCGGCGCGCTGGCGTCGTACACATACGAGTGCAGCGTGTGGTAGTTGCCGTCCGTCTTGTCGGTGCGCTCCTGGCAGGTATCGGACCATTGCAGGAGCACGTGGCGCGAGACTTCGTCGCGGCTGAGCTGGATCTGGCTGAGCGGCATGAAGAACTCGAGACTTCGTGGGGATTTCTCTGTCGCCGACGGACTGACTACCAGACGGCGGATGGACTGCCACGCCTCGCCAAAGGAGCGCTCTAGGATGCGGATCTCACAGGATTTGACCACAACCGGTGGGTTCATCGGCTTCATTTTGGGAGTTTTCAGCTGCTCGAAAGTATCCACGGAACTCTTGAAGATGACGGTTTCTGTGAACTCGCTCGAGTCCATCGGTTCGCGCTGCCACACGGCCTCGAAATACGTCTTGGGGATGTTGATGAAGTGGCCCAGATCTGCTTCAAACTGGAAGGAAATGGAGACGCTCATGTTGTCGAACTTGAACGGCACAGGCTCTGAGACTCTAGTGCCTGGGAACCCCGTCATTGTCGTATTTGACAGCTGGATCAGTGCTAGCAAGTCATCAAACACAACTGAAGATGCATTAGTGAAATAATTTTGCATAGTTGGGGCGGCACTGGACACATACAGTTTCGCTGTAGGCATAGTGAGCCGCTTTGATTGCAGAGAACAATCTTCGGCTCGCTTTCGCCCTCCCTGGTGGCTAGCAGAAGCATGTAGGGAGCACCCTTGGTGCGCATGCGAAACTTCTTGCTCCCGATCCCAGCATTGACAAACGTGCGGTAAAGAACCTTCTCTTCCTCGTCGCCGGCATCTTCTTGGTCGACGACGATCCACCGGGAATTCTTTGGTCCAAACGAAAGGTCCACGCCGTTTTCCACAGCTTCCTCTGGTTGCAGGGGCTCCCATATATCTAGATTTTGGGTTTGTAGATTTGATGGCTCTGGGATGTCGATGGTGGTATACTGGGACAGCTCTTCGTTGATGCCCTGTGTGCAAAAAGTTTAGTATATGAAAGTAATGAGTATCTCGAGCGACACACCTCGGACAGATCTGCAATGGACTTGCGGTTCTCGCCTGTTAAGAGAACTGGAGAGCTCTTGTCCTTCAAAACAATGTCATACAAAATGAACGAGGCTTTGAGAATGTCGACATAAGCCTGGTGGTTGGTCGATCGGGAATCGGTGGAGGGGCTGAAACTGCACCGAGCACTGACATAGATGTGTCTGTTACAGTTTGCTAAAGTCACCCGCGCCTGAAGGGGCCTGTTAGCATCGCCTTGTGGAATGGACATGGCGAACATGCCTTCAACAGCCACCATGTTGCCACTCGAAGCCAATCACTTGTGATGAGTCTTCTGACCCGGAGCTCATCGTTGGCTGAAGATTCAAAAGCCTTAAGCGTATCGTGATCCGGCCTATGCAGTTGATCCTGGGGCTCAAATCGGATGGGTCGAGACAGCTGCTCTTGCAATAGGACCTGGCGCAACTGTTGCATCGCACTATTTACCGCCTCCATGACATTGCTGTGTCCAAAGTCGGTATTTGACGTTTCACTGGTCTTGCCCGCACTTTGCATTTCCTGGATATCAGAGTTGTTGTCCCAGGCACCCGTGTCCAGAGTGCGACTATCGATGGAGCCATCATGGAGAAGCTGGTCGCTGCGCACGCGGGTGTGCCCTGTTCGTCCAATCATGCTCAGGGCTGGGGAGCGTGTTATATTGATGGATATTGGCGAGCTGGGACTGGTTCCACCATATAAAGATCCGTCGGACCCCGAGACAGCAGACTCAGAAGAGGTCGAGACATGTCTAGCACGGTTGGCTCCATGATGTTGAGCCGCAATTCGGGCGCGAACATGCCGGTATATCTCAGTCTCGCCTGACTCGTCGTAGTCACCAACGAACTCTCCCCTAGAGCTGAGTGGCGAAACGATCGAGTCTGTGTCTCGGCCAGGTAATATTTCGGCATTCAGCAGTGCTTGCTCATCCTCTTCCATGGCCTGCATCATAGTCCGCTCAATGCGAGCAAGAGACGAACTAAATAAATTAGTGGATGTGAACATTTAGGATTAGCTATCTTACATTCCGATGGAGCTCATGCACAAGCTCAGATTGCACGTGTGGATCATGATCTTGGACCGGATATCCTCAATCTGAGTTCGCTGCGTAGCCCATTTGGTTCTCTGCCAGAACAGCTTTCCATCGCCAATACCAAGCTCCCGGTAGCGCACAAGAAGATCCTTGAGCCGCCGCAGTGTTTTGAAGCAGGCATTTAGGCATCGCTCGAGTGTACACTTGCGGTCTTCATTCATCCTCTCGAAAAAGACTGTGTCATAACTGATATCGTCACTGAGCGTACGCAGGGCACCCTGCAGCGAGCCCAGATCGGTCATCAGGCTTCTGAAGCCATCTGGGGCATCCTTCACGACGAAATGGCATTGGTTGTGGAGCTCCCATGTCAGCTTGGCGAGGGCGGGGATATCGATGATTCCGAAGTTTGGGGACATGCTTGGAAGTAACCGCACTGGACAAAGGAACAAGATCCTAATAGAATGTAACTTGAACGGATTGGGGTTGCGCAGCGCAATGTCCAATATTCATCTTCGATACACGCGGCAAGTGGACCAGAGCAATTCGCCCACAGATTGGTGAAATGAAGACTCGGATACAAGCGACTTATGAAACTAGAGTCCAATATCGCAAATCTTCAGCGACGGAGAGCAATAGAGAAGGCGTCCACGATCGAGGCTGAATCGTCACTGCACGCCGGAGGGGCCCAAAGAGGATTAAATCAAAAGCACTCAACCCAAAAGTGGAGAGAAAGAGACTTAGCCCTCATTGACAAGCCAAGTGCCAATGAAAGAAAAATGCCATGCTAGTCTCGAGCAGGGGACTCCGCGCAGCCAATCCGGGGAGTCGGGGGGCTGTTTCGACATCGGCGTTGGGGGTATCCAATCGCCACAAATTAAAAGCAGAGCCGGCGAGTCAGAGAGGCCAAGGTGCTGAGCCCCCAGGAGATTCATAGGCCCTGGCACGTTGCCCATGGGTGCAACTGCAAGAGGCCAACGGGTTCTCTTTGAGGGATGGCGCCACCGGGCTGGGGTCTTGGATGAACAAAGAGAATCAAAGCCAGGAAGCCTCCAAAGAACCGAGGAAAAGAACTGCACTGGGATTCCATGGTGTGCTCGGGGGAATCTCACCCTCGTCGGGCTCTTGGCTGCCACAGTGGGGAAGCGAATGTCATATCGGCTTCTATTCCCCTTACGCCCTCTGCAGACGCCAGGGGGGCGGGGAGAAACTGGGGAAGCGTAGCAAGCTCCATTATAGTTGAAGATGGCTCAGCAAAAGCAATTTGTACTTGAATAATCAACTTCCGAAAGAAATGTTCGATGAAGCATGCAAAGTGAAAAACGCACGTTCAAACAAGGATCCACGATGGAGTAGTGCCTGAGGCCACACTGATCATCGTGAATCCCCTGATCGCTGAAAGCTTCAGTTTCCCTAGTTTTTTTTTTCTTCTCTCTCCCAGTCCCAGACAGCATGCGACACCGCTGACCCAACCATAACATAATAAATCCTACACATCCTCCAAATTACACCTCTCCACGGATCCAGCGCAAACCTCCAACATACCTCTACCCAACAACCCAACCACGATGTCGAGCGCGTCCTTCACCCTCGACGTGCCAACGGTGCTCTGCATCGTCTTCTCGCTCTCGTTCATGCCAATAGCATACCTCCTCAGCAAAACCCTAATCCCAGCAACCCAAACCCGCAACCGCATCCTCTTCTTCTGGCACGCATACGACGCGCTCACCCACCTCTTCGTCGAGGGCTCATTCCTATACGAGTGTTTCACGAGTTACACCACAATTGCAGGCATCCACAGCGTGGGCCCGTTCTTCCTGAACGAGCCGACCCGCATCTACGGCCCGGCCTACGGCACGGGTCCCAGCGCGCGCCTGTGGCAGGAATACGCAAAGGCCGACCACCGCTGGGCCGGCGCCGATCTCACCGTCGTGTCGCTGGAGCTGCTGACGGTTCTTGTGGGCGGACCTGCCGCGGTTTATATTTGCTACCTGCTGTGCCGGTCGTCCAATACCGCGATCAGTGCCGAGACCCGGGGTAAGGCCCGCGCGACGCTGTGGCTTGTTGCGACGGCGCTCGCGACTGCTGAGCTCTATGGCGGGTTCATGACTTTTGCGCCCGAGTGGCTGACTGGTAGCTCCCAGCTTGCTACTCAGGATCCCGTTTACCTCTGGTTGTATCTGTTCTTCTTTAATACCCTCTGGGTGTTTATCCCGCTGTGGGTGCTGTGGGAGGCGGCGAAGGAGCTGCGCGCTGCTTTTGTTGCGGCCGAGGAGGGGCTGAGTGGTCGTAAGGCCCAGTGAGAAGCCTTGTCAGGGGCTTGACTGGTTCTTATGGCGCTGTACAGGTGGGATCATAGGTGATCTCTGTATTTTGGGTCTGTGGTCTTGCATCTAATGATGGCAACATCTAATGAGTTGGACTGGAGGATGGTTACATAGATCCATGATTCCCTTGGAAGGAAACATGGAGATAATTTATTGTGGATACATAAAAACATTGACTTGATTAATTGCAAATCTGGAATATTGATCCTTTCATAGATACAAAACATGCTATCAACTAGAACCACTGATGCGATCGAATATTGTACAAGACTGCCAACGCAAGAGACATGAATACTCTCCAACCATTTGATTTAACTATCACCCCTTCTGCGGCCCTTTCTCCCAGAACCAGTGATACAAACTACGCCACTCAGCCGCCTCATCCTCAACATAATCCCCTACCAACTCAGCAGTCTCATTAACCTCATTGGGAATAGGAGGCACCTTGAGACCAGAGGAAGCATCAACGCCATGCCCAGCACTCTGATTCACAGCATCCGCAGCATCCGCAGCAGCAGAGGCAGCAGGATTAGAAGAAGTCATGTCGACAGCGACCCCACCAGAATGATGACTGAGCGCCTCTTCAGCGCCCTCGCGCGTCTTCTCAGCCAAATCGCGGGCGCCTTCGCGCGCAACCTCGGTATACTCCTCTGCCTGCTCGCGGGCGCGCTCGATCAGCTCTTCAGATGACGGATAGCGGCGCAGTACAATTAGGAGAAGATAGTATGATTTGACGATGGATACGTAGATGGCGTCTTTGGCGAGCATGGTGAAACCATGTGAGAAGAAGCCCTTGAGGACTTCGCCGCCGAGACCGGCGTATAGCGCAGGTATACCCTCAGTGCGGGCGATAGAGAGGACGGTGGAGAGAATCTGAGGGGTGAGAGCTGTGCGGAGAGTGTTTTGTTTGCTGCGCACATCAGAAGAGGACTTGGAGTCTGGAGTAGGTGTCGTCCCCATGGCCTGGGCTCTGGTTTTGGCAAGCGAGAACGGATAGGTAGCCGAGGAGGCGACGGCCTTGCTCAGGGCCGCGAGGAAGAACGTTACTGATGCAGAGGGGCGGTCGCGTTTGGCGCGCGGCAGGAGGGCATATTTCAGGACTTCGTTTAGGAAAAACGTGATCGACGGGTTGAGCGTGAGGATTAGCGAGGCTGAGTACCCGGACCAGAAGCCCTGGAAGCCCTTCTCGGCTCGAATGCGAGCGGCAATACCCCCTGTTGATAAGTCCTTACTACCCGCCGCACCCTTGCGGGTTGCTGCAGTCTGCTTGCGGGTGACGATATTGGCCAGCGGCGTGGTGAACAGCTTGGCGAGGGCGCCGGCCAAAACACCGACGGCAAGCTCGTCGAAGACAGGCAAAACGATGTTCTTGCTTTTCGCAGCGTGCGCAGCCCCGACGCGTGACACTATGCGGCGCTGACGGATCGTGGTATAAGCCAGGAAGAAGAGGAACGAGTCGGCAACGGTTTTGTAGGTATCCTGAGCGAGGCCGGGGTAGAAGCCGGCGATGCCCTGTTGCTGATAGATTTTGCGGGAAGCATCGAGGAGACTCGTATACTTATCTTCGTCTTCGTCTTCGTTATTGTCCTCGTCGGACTTTGTAGATTTCTCGTCCTTCTGTCTCTGGGTCTGTAGACGCGCTACGATAACGCTGAGCGGATAGACGACCACATTGGAGATGGCGGCACCGACGGCCCCAGCTACTGCATTACCCAATACAGGCAGGGCGGGGCCGCGCAGAGCTGCAGTTCGCCAGTTCTCGTGGGGATCGCGGGCATCGTATCGGTAGGAAGGGTGGAAGGCATCCTTGATTGCGGCAAGGAAGACGGGTTAGCAGGGGGACTGTGCTGCAGGCAGGAGGTTTGGTATGTGCTATGAGGAGGGGTTCCACACACCAACTGCGACTCGTACGAGAGCCTGTATTCTGCCATGACTGCCTGGAGATGATGCCCCTCGCTGTCTGGAAGTGCAGGGTGGAGCTTAGGATGGAAGGTGTGTGGGTATCAGATGAAAGATGCTGATGAGGCTATGCAAGGAGTATGCTATTGACCAGGGGGCGAGTTCATCGCATCCAGTGTATTCGAAGATAAAATTCAGGAGAACATGCCTAAGGGGATGAAAAATGGACCAGGGCATTGAGGTGAACGTGAAGGTGGCCGAGGCTTATTATGCGGAGGGAATCGATTACATCATGCCGATCGGCCTATTACCTAGATATGGCTTGACGTTAATCGCCTACTCCACAACTGACTGGAGATAACAACCTACGATTTCTTCTACAATTACAACGAAACACCGAGGCTGATGGAATCGATCTATTCCACTCCGACCGGAGAAACCGACCGGAGCAATAAGAACGAAATCAGAAACTAGCTAAGAAAACCCATAGATTCCCGAACGCAAAGAAGCAACAAGGTCCGAGTCCTCCGAAGAACCCCGAATAAAGAGAGAAAACAACCAGTCAAGCCATAAAACCGGGCTCGACAGAAATCACAAATAAAGATTTACCATCATCCCATATCGCGTTAAGAAAGAAACGAAGGACAAGAGCACGGCTCTCGAGAGAAAACAAGTTCCCCAGGGCGGTGTAATTGTAACAAGAAGTGAAACAATCTAACCACCGAAACCGTAGAGGGTACGGCCCTGGCGCTTGAGAGCGTAGACAACGTCCAGCGAGGTGACGGTCTTGCGCTTGGCGTGCTCAGTGTAGGTGACAGCATCCCGGATGACGGACTCCAGGAAGGTCTTGAGCACACCGCGAGTCTCCTCATAGATCATGGCGGAGATACGCTTGACACCGCCACGACGAGCGAGACGGCGGATGGCGGGCTTGGTGATACCCTGGATGTTGTCGCGCAAGATCTTGCGGTGACGCTTGGCGCCGCCCTTGCCGAGGCCCTTTCCGCCTTTGCCACCTATTTATCAGAATAATGTGTTAGTGGATAGGTCGACATGGTGGTGGTAGCATATCGAAGGAAGAAGACAAGAGGTTTGTGACGTGGAGGTCACGATAAGGTCACGAAGGACCGAATATCTTCCCAATCAGGTAAGGTGGCTTAGTGAGGCGGAACATTGATGCCTGAGGCATAACTTATGTGATAACAGGGGCGTCCCATGATGCATCACCAGCCCCTCAGAATAACAATAGATAGACACCACAATAGGTAAAAAGCGGGGATTCAATGATAGACTTACGTCCAGACATAATGTCAGTGATTAAATTTGAGATGAATGAGCAGGTCCTTGATGAAAAATGGGAGGTGGACGGTCTGTCGTTGATGGAAGACGCGTCGACGGGCGATGAGGGGGATGAAAGAAAATGGAGAGAAAAACGAACAAGGAGCGGGTAGCAGGCAGACGGGCAGGGTACTTAAATAATGCTGACTACGCGTGAATTATGGACTAGGCGGGCAAAAAGAAAAAAAAAAGCGGAGTTAGGTAAGCGGGGAGATGAACCATTCTGCAATGCGGCGGTGATTGGCAGGCCGCGAGGGAGCAAAAAGGGTGTTATGAAGGGCAGGTTTCAGGCGTGTCGGCCTGGCATGGGACAGCCCGCATTTTCGAGTGTGGTGCAATAATGGATGGAGTCACGTGTTGATAAGATAGCCACCCGGCATGTGGTGCCTTGGAGCCTTAAAGCTACCCCATTTGCCCGCTTGATCTACCGCGCTAAATTGCCACTATTGGCGGGCCCACTAAGATGCTGCGGAGGTATAGGCAGCATAGGGGAGTAAATACTTTTAATACTCTATTCTACCAACCTGCCAATCTACCAACTCAACGTCAATTAGTATCCAAGTTTACTTGCAGCACATATCATCATAACCCAGATCGCATTCATTCGTGTGCTCGTGTCAAAGCTAGGTACGTGGCAACGCACAGCTGGCAATCATGTATCCGAATCTCTGTATCGGCTCCAGCCAACATATTCCCTCTGCAACGACAGTTGATCTCGTTAAACAAAAGCAAACCGGATAGGAAAAGAAAATCAAAAACACCTGAACACCATGCAAGAAATTGAGCGCAAAACAAGAGTCGATAAGCACATGGGACGAACAAGAGAAGAGGCGCGAGAGACTAAAAAACTTTTTTTTCGGTAAAGAAAAGTCTGCCGAGGGACAGACAGCAAGAATGGAAAATGCCTCAATGAGAAGTAAACGCGGAGCAAAATATTCGTAGCGTCATCATGCGTAATCAACAGACTAAAAACCGTGATGGTCGCACTCAAGAAAATTCGTAGTTTCGATCATTGCTCCCGATATAAATGGAGTCGACAACACAAGCTCCTGGTCGAACGAAAGCTCCGCGGTTTATTGTGCATCGCAGAAGACAGATCGCTCACAGGTGTTGCCTGTCGGCCATTGGGATATCAAGGGAAGAGATGGGAATTCATCGTGTGCATGGAAATCATAGTGCCCCAACATAAGGTGGGTGAGAAACGAATGGGAGTGCAGCACAATCGCCAGAATCCCCCGTCCCACAAGACACACCCAATCCTCTTCAACAAAACAGTCAACGACGGGGGCGTATGAAAAATGGGACCGATTCAAGAGAACAACAACCGGACACCATGGCGGTCATAGAGCAATCTATGGGACTCACCCTCTAATGACTGTCGACGACTGGGAGTCGTTCATGAAATCATGGAAAGGAAAGCGGAAAGACATTGGTGAAGGGGAGGTGCGAGGAGAAGTCCGCGGGCTGTGAGGAGGCGGCGACATGGGCGAATGACGGGGTTCGCGAGTTGGCTCAGCCGAAGGTGGTTCGAGAGGAGCAGGAGAGCGCGGGGAGAGAGGTGGCGAGGGAGATCCTGAGGCAGACTGCCTCGAAAGGCCTCTGTCACTTGCACCTGTCGTCGCATTCGACTGCTTCAGGTTCGAACCATTGGGGGAGCCATACTGTGAGCATGTTAGTGAAGTGTTCTGACTCGAGGTGGCCAAGGCACCCACAAAGCAGTATTTATCGACCAGCTCTTTGTACACCGAAGACTCGAGACGCGGCTTGCTAGACACGAATGAGGAAGGCTTCAAATCTTCCACACGACTTGCATCGCGGATGTCATCGCTCACTGGAGATGTTGGACGCAGCCCCATAGATGGGCTTGTCTCGGATGCCTGGGTGATATCAGCCTCCGGGGCCCTTCCAGACCTCGCACGGGCAGTCAAGGTAGTCCGATCAACCGGAGGCTTGGTGCGCATGGCCGCAGACAAAGATGCACCAAAGTCATACCGGTTCCCGAATGCCTGAGGACTTGGCTTCTCCCGGGGTTTTGGCGGAGCGATCGTGTCGATATCATCGGACGATGCCCGGGCCAAGGGTGCGCCATTGACAGCGGCGAATGGGTTAGTAAATGCAACCTTGCCACCGGTTTCCGGGAAATCGTCGAAGGGCGGAGGTGGCGTGGAATGTGGGCGCGAGAGGTGAGAGCCCGTGAAACTGCGACTGCGAGGAACAGAGGGCCGCGACCCGCCCGATGGCTTGCTCGGGGCCGTCTTGGGAGATTTGAAGAAATCGACCTGGTAGTTCATCGAGTTGTTGTTGTCCCAAAATTCCTGGCCATTCACACTGTACCGGACACAAACAGACATAGTCTTGCGCTCGAGATAGGCGTGGTCATTCAGTTTGATCTCAAAAGAAAACCGGTCGTATCCATCGTGGACCTGCTTGCGACGAATATCATGACAGAATGACGCGGTCACTTCCGACACCGTTCTCCAATAGTCAAAGGTAAAACGAGCTGCCACATGCTTCTGGAAAGCGAGGTTCGCCACGGCCACATTTCCAATCAAGGTCTTTTTGTCAGGCGACAGGAACAATCGTTCCAGACGAACAGGAAGGGTGGCGCGAGATGGCGTATCCTTGGGGAAATTGGCCAGCCGAACCTCCCACTCCCACTCCGGCGCACGCTGCTCAAAGTTTCGACCGAATGGAAACTCACAATCGGCGTCATGGCTATCAACCGGAGATGTTTCGGCGCTCACTGCCAAAGGCCGATCCAGCTGCAAGAAATGGCGGATATGTTCCAGCTGCGAATCAAAGTGTACCGCCTTTGCATAGACCGGGGTCCCCGGCATACTAGACGGCCGCCGCCGTGCGGAAGCGGGCCGGAGAGCAGGCCGGACAAGCTCGCCGGACTTCTTGCGAACCATCGGTGGCTTGGGAGAATGTTCCACATCGCTATCCTCGGGGGAACTCGTCAATGCCTCTTCGCGCTTCCATGTAATGGCGGTTTCGGTGGCCGACCGCGAGTGGGCCACCTTGCGCGCCCCTTTGGACAGCGGCAAGTGAGTGGGCTTGGGCTCCAATTTTAGTGGCGACCCACTTGATGAGGATGGGGCCTCGGTTCCCAGCTGCTCGACTGGGTCCATTCTTTCCGGGGATCTTTCCTTTTCCTGTTCGATCGACCTTACTGCAGCTTCGAGCTCCTCCGGTGTAATTCCTTCGGTTTGATATGGCGACTCCTCGTCACTCGAGTTCGGTGCAGACTCGGGCGGCGAGATTACCGCCCCGGGAGGAATCGTAGCATTGTTTAGAGGTGGAGGAGATTGACGAAGACTGGCATGAGGATCAATGGAGGGGGACAATCGCGAGACGGGATCCGAAGCGGGATGGTCGGTTGATTTGCAGATGGATGGGCTCCTCCGGTGGCGGCGGACATACGAGGTGGAGGAGTAGGAGCGGGAATTCTGGAGGCGCCCCGACGATGAACGAGCCAAACCAGGTCGCTCGGGACGAGGTTCAGGACAGGGGCCACAATATTCTATGTGCTGCACGGAGAGCAACGGCTTCAACGGCGCAGTGTATGGCATCCGGCCGACTTGTGGGTCTCAACACAAGGGGGGTGGGAAGAGATAAAAGTGGATTCCGTGGCCAGCAGGCTGAAGGAAACGGGCACAATGCAGTTCCTGGGGTAGCTTCCGTCAGTAAACGCTCCTATTAAATTTCGGATATGGTGGTAAGTATGAGCTGGTTTGGGAGGGGGGGCAACCGAAACCGACAAGAAATCAAGCCGACAAGACATAACCATGCATTAGACAAAATCCAGGTGACCAGGGAGAGGGAGAAAGGGATTCGACGACACAGGATGGGTGCAGCTGGTGGTACGTCGATGGCGAGAGGAAAGTGCGGGCCAGTGGGGGCAAAGATGAAGGGTATCACAGCACAGTGACACCAGTGAAGAGACTGGTCAGGAAAGGAATGGGAGGGAAGACGACAGAGTCAATTGACATGAGCAGAGGCGAGGGGTGGGATGGAAGAGAAAGAAAAGAGAGAAAAGAAGGAAGAAAAAGAGAGCTGATCGATCCTACCGTTTAGAGTATGAGTATGGACATCGAGTGGCGATTGGCGATAGTATCAACCGGGGGGATGTTATCGGCGGAATACAAGGGTGGTCGCAAAAATACAAGTAGAAAAAAAAAAGATATGAGAAAAAAAAATTAAAATCAACAAGAATATACAAATCGGAGAAAATCGACTGTGAAGAGAGAAGAGGAAGAAGAAGAGGAGCTCGCAGCGAGGGATCAAGATCACCTCACTGTACCTCAGAAGTCCCCGATAAGTCGTGATGTGGGGGGCGAATTAGACAGCCATTGCGACCGTTGGGATGCAGTGGATAAGCCAGGGATCCCCAAAGGCGAGTGATTGAGTAGAGGGAGAGGAGAAGAGGAAATAGAAAAAACCTTGATGGTGAGAAACCGGAGATAAATCAGGAATTATAGCTTTTTTCCTGGTTCTGCTACTAGCACGATTTCAGCAAGAAAAATGAAAAAAGAAAAAAAAGTGGAACAGGTAAATAAAGACACCGTTCACTAGGTGCGTCTGCTTTGCATCGACTCCGCTCGATACTACGGGCCAGTGCGTGCCCCGTATACTGAGCCCATGGGTGGGTCTGGAGATATGATATCTTCCACTTTTTCTTTTTTTTTTCTTTTTCCTTTTTCCTTCTCTTTTCATTTCTCTGGATTTGTTTGATGGATGCAATGATTCTATCAAGATTTCAAGGTCTGCTGGTTTATCTAACATATCTAGGACCTATATCCATCTCCATCTCTACACCGAAGTATAGATATTGAAATCCTTTCAGGGGCCCGTTCCGATTCCCGGCCCATTCGCATGATTTACTCATGCATTTCGCATTTCTACCTGTAAGACTACGCCCCTCCATGCACTAGCGGACTACAGACTTCCAGGCCACTGGCGCTAAAATTCCATGGCCTTGACTTTCCTCAACCTGTGTTCCCTCTCGAGAGAATTGATGGCCATGGTGCCACCAAATCAAATGAGGGAAAGAAACGACCAAGCTTCCATGGAACATGCGCCCGCAATCAGGAAACCTCTTTTTTTTTTTTTCCAGCGCCGTGGGGAGTCGGGATGCGGTACACAGATTATCCTTATCAACACAGCCCTAGAGGCCCGTGGCCCCCAGATTGCGCGATCCAACCTTGGAAGACTGGGTTACGAATTGCCCAGTCTTTTCTCTATTTCTCTACAATACAATTTCCTTGATTTTTTTTTTGATTAGTTTCTCCAGACTCTCCCGCACAGCAATGCAAGTGCTGGAGCATGATATCCACATTTTTTACCCCCACCCAGACTTGCTGGCCTACACCGTGGGCCGGGATGGGATACGGACTCTGTCAATCCCCCGGGGGTTATACCGGGAACTCCAGAGCGAGCACGAGACGCTTGAACCCGCAGGAAGCGCTCCATGGAACCAGGTAGTCTATGAGATTATTATTTGTTTGAGCTTTCTTCTTTGATGCTTCGGATTGATTTATATTCTATTCGATTTCATTTGATGTTTTTTTTTATTCCGACCGGGGGTGTTCGCTTGCCCGCGTCTGTCGTGGGACATAACAGTATAAAATTCTTTTAACTCTCTGGATACACGATGGGAGATTAAGATATGTGCCTCAGGATGGAGTTTCGTGACATGCATGTAGGAACATGTACCTCCTGGAGGGGTATCGCATTTAACGTATTGAAGTATTCAAGTATCAGACCAAGTGGGTTGTACTCGGATCTACGAGCTGCACTCCAGTCTCCACTGGTGGCGACTGGGGATTCCGAGGTTGTGCCATTGCTTTCTCATAATTCTGGCAATGGTTCCGAACACTTCTCATATTTCTGAGAATAATATTCCTGTCAATCAAGTTGGAAAACCACTATTCAATACTCTTCAAATGAGATAGAAATATCATCCAAATATCCAGGTTTTTTTACTTCCACGCGTTCCGAGTGTATGACGTCAAGATACGTTTTGACAGCCCCAGCATTTCCTTGGTTTTTGTCGCTTTCAGTTCTGGGCCTCAACATCCCGGTCGCTCGTGCAGCAATATCAGACTATGACTATCTTGCAATCATTGCCTGGCACTGCCTACACTAGCTACTAGCACTGTCGCTATATGATTTACCTACAGTAGTTATCCGTGGATTCATCTGGTTCAAGAAAAGATTTCCTGATGATCGGGTCTATTTCCACAATCCTATGGTCACACTAGGCGTCTACCGAGAGACTTTTGACTGTGAAACGCCGGGGCCATGAAGTGTGACTGTACATCCATTCTCTCCCCGTGCCGTGTTTCTACACTCAATAATAATGATCATAATTATCATCATCCGAACCATTGTCTTGTGTTCCACCATCCCGTCAGCCCCCAAATCATCCCCAAGTCATGTCTCAGCGAAAACTCTGCAATTCGACCCATTCGACTAAAGTCCATGAAAGAAAATGTCCAAGCGCGCCCGGACCACGTTGGAAGCAACTGAAAACTTTTTATTTTGCCACTTGACCTGACTGGTGATAATCCTCCGAGGGTCTTTTATCGGGTTTCTTTTTACATAAACCCCTTTGCTTTCCGGTGCATTCTCTCAGCGGCAATGCCGAGTCGACCAGGGTGGATCAGGGTCGGCACGAGTCGAGACTTCCGTGGAGTTGTTCATCTGATCACAAAATGCTCTCGGGCATGCGATCGGCGCCCCTGGGTGCATAACTAGGGCTGGTCGGGATGGTGCTGATCTCTCTCTCTCCGGATTTCTCTTCCTGGATATCTCCGTGCGCAAACTTGATGGTCGGTTTTTGGGAAGATCTCAAGAGATTAACAGGATGAGCATGTACTTTCGAGGTACCAACAGGAAAAAACAGAAAGGAAAAAGAGAGAGAGAGAGATTAAACATGATCAACTCGATCGCAGAGAGTTTACGACCATGCGCTTGCTGCAGGGCGACTACGCCCGTTGGCTGGCCCTCCCACACCCCCTTACAACCTCGCACGCTCCGTGCGCTTTTCGTCTGATGGCGAGAACCTTTGTTTTTCTTCTTTGCATTCTTGTCTCCGACTATCGCAGTGTCAGAGCAATAATACAAGATCCTGACTCGGCACGTCGGGCCATGGCACCATCTCACACTCCCGTTACCGGTCGGAAACAAACGGCCATCGAAGCGCCCTGGACCAGGCGCACCTTCCAAGTATTCTAGATTGAGGGCGTTTTGGCGTCTTGGCTTTCGGTGACCCTGAGCGTCGGCCCTACTGACCTGGTCCTCAGAGCATTGCCAGACACGAAACTCAATATGTGGGCTATGTCCCTCCCATGCGATGAATATCTTCACCCACTCAGAGGATGATCGGCTAGTCCTAGCGGTGAGTTTTACACTGCTTCAAGGGTTTCGCGTACAATAGCCGTGTCTTCAGACTTCAAACTTCTGTGCAAGCCCCGTGGAGAGCGAGGGCGTTACAGTGGCTGAACCTTGAGTGAAGAGCTCTTTCGTTCGCACCATCTCCGAGGACTCTGCGCTCACCCCTCCCCTCACTCCCTCGACAAAGCTGTACTGTGCATGCCTCATCTTGCTAGCTGTGCCTTGGTATGTAGCTAGATGCGATTGGCGCCAATGGCTGTCCAGCCCATCTAGTGGCAGGGCTTGCCCAGAGGGACTCAAAGCGCATCAGCCAGCTAATAAACAAACCCTAACTGAACCAGGGGGGCCGCGCAAGTCCCTCCACAACTCACAGCTTCCCCGCGTGGATCATTCCGGGACGCCAGCTATCTTTTTTTTTTTTTTTTTCTTCTTCTTCTTCTTTTATGAAACGCACGCCATTCGGGCTCGGATGTCCACGGTCGGGAGATCGGGTCTTCGCTCGGTGACTGCGTGTAGCTCCCTGTTCAATATCGCGGGGTTAACTTGCTGTGCTGGCATCTGCGATAAGCTATGAGCGAATGAAAGTGCTTCCTTGAGCACCTAGGCCTTGGGTTGAGGAATATCAGTGGATGTTTGTTTTCACCTGACTAGTTAGCTTTCTACTTCGTGGCTACTCTACTATAGAGTAGACTTGGAATCTCCGTCTTAATGATAAATATGCTTGTTACAAAGGAGAAAGGATCTTATATCAATAGCGATACTTGACAAGCCCTTTTGAGTCAAATTTGCAAATTAGGACCTAGATAGCGATAACCTCGATATAGTTAGAGATAACCACGCCCTGTCGTACAAGTAGTGGACAAGCAGTCACTCCCTCCCCGGACCCCCACACTATCGAGCAACCTGCAAGCCTCTCTCTGCATCACCTAACTGCCTCCACATCGTCCAAAACACATGACCCTCGCCTATGGCGCTAATAGGGCCTGCATACACGTTATCGCAGGGGGGGGGGTTGTAGCAGTTTAAAGAACCTCCGCGCTCGCAGTAGATGAATAATGTTAGTCACTAGGCTTCTTTACTACTAGGAGGTTTCCGTGAATATTGAAGTATGAATATAATATGCTATGTTATGGATGCAACTAATAGTGTATGGCTAATCACAAAGAACTAAATATATATATATATACCAAAAGTGTCCTTATCTACGAATATATCTAATCCTTAGTGAAGCTATCACCAAACGAAAGGTAGCGAGAATGCATTTGGGGGAGAAGCGATATTTATTTAAGACAGGTTATCTTTAGGTATTGAAACCTAGTGGAGCGCTCGTTAAAACGAGGTATTCATAATCACAAGGCTTCTGACAGCGAGGTTCTACTGTAGCACCATTTAGTTATAGTATATAAATTCTATTGGATAGTACGGTGTGCTATAAGCGAGAGTTGACTGTATTCATAGTTTCCAGAGCCGGGTCTTTCCGTAAGTAACGCAAATAGATACATTCATAGCAACCGCAGGTATCTCTGATAACCTCGCATATGCTGACAGCGGAAAAACATGAAACAATCCTAGAGATGCCATACAGAGCGACATGTGGCGCCCGGTGATATTGAGATCTCTAGCGTTCTCCGTGGGATTAGGCATTGAGAACGGACGACCAGTCCTCGCTGCGAATATAGTCTTCCATCGATGTCAACGGAATTTGAAAGTCCAGCTAGTCTCTCTGATTCAGAATGATGCAAAGCGTGAAAGCCTATGGTACGGGGAACTCACCTCTTCTGGGGTCAGCACGGCCGGATCGCCGCCAGTAAATCCGAATTCCTCGATGAAGTCGTATGTGTCCTCAAGATCCTTTCTGAGCGCCTGTGGCACATCTCGAAAGAAATCATCCTTGGACACCTGCTGAAACCCGGCTTGGACCCCCAGAACATCTCCCCAGATCGCCATCCATTCCGGCCAGGTCAGAGTCTGCGATACGCCTAAAAGATCCTTCTTCGGCGGGAGATCGACTAATGCCTTGACAAATGACCCTGTATCGCGATGTGCCACCACAAATGGGAATTTCAATCCCGCACTGACCTGCCTGATCACCAAGAAGCTCCCATCGGGTTGTTTCTGCGGGGCCATCGATGGAAACGCTTTCCACATAGTGGCATAGTGCCCGAGCTGAACGGTGCTCATTCGCGCGGCCAGCTCCGGGAATTGGGCTTCAATAGTCCGGATCGTATCCGTTTTGGAATTATAATGATGGACAGTTGTGTACTTACCCCGGCTCCACTTGCGCACATCACACAGGGACGAGTAGACAAAGCGTTCCAAGGTCCTCAAAACGAGGGGCGAAGCAGCCACCTGCGCAATTTTGATGCCCTGGGTGACCTCGCGATTGTATGCATATTCGCTGATTTCATCCGGAGTGCGCCCTAGATCTGGCGATGCCAACGCGTCTTGCAAATGGGTGAAAAAGTCCGTATTGGAAAAAATCACGGCCGCGCCTTCAAAGGCCGGAACCAGTGATTGCGGATCGTCGATGTCAGCTTTGATCATTTCGACTCCTTTGTCGGCCAGGTTCTGAGCAGCCAAACTATCAGTGTTGCGTGTGATGCCGCGAACTTGCCATTCTGGCAACGGTAGGAAGGTGTTGGCAACCGATGAGCCCTATTATCATTCAGTAACCATCTGTCTAGGTCCTCTACAAGGGATTTGACTTCGGGGGGGGGGGATGCATACTTGAATACCAGTAACGCCAATTATCACAATAGTCTTTGACATCGCGTGGATACTGCTCTTCTGTTCAGAAGGTACGAGCAATGAAAATACCTAGGTAAGATGCTTCTCTTCTTATGACAGTTCTGATCCATCTCTCTCGGTATGCTTTCATATCATCCTCGGGTTTTGTGGGTTTTGACAAGGAATCCTTCCGTAGCTAATTCGGTTGAATTATCGTTCCGCCCTCCTCCCCGCCGGGGGGACAATTAATAAGTGTCAGGATAATTACGGGTATTGACAGAACCCAGATCAGATGAACAATTTGGAATGTGGAGCAAGCTTATGTAAGCGTATTATGATTAGCTAGCTATAATTAATCAAAAATTACTTCTTGGTATTACCATACTAAAACTAAATTACCTTCTCTATCTACCTACCCGACCTACCTATCTATTTTTTATCGATTTTTTATCGAATATTTGGGGTTTAGGATAGGGAGAGAGTATTTATCAGAGTCGTTAATAATCTAGGTGTATGTTTCATAAACTTTTAGGCTATATGAAATCAACTCGTGGGGATTATCAACCTTGCGCTGCAAAGAGATTCGTCAACTCGTCAACTAAGGCAACTACTATTGAGTACACTTTGGTTATATCGAGTATCAAAGTCTTGGCATTTAGCAGATGAGCAAGCCTATTAATATCATCACAGCGCCTTCTAGATTTCAATACCTAAAGATATTCTGTCTTAAATAAATATCGCTTTTTCCCTAATTGCATTCTTGCTGCATGTGTGGTGATAGCTTTACTAAGGGCTAGATATATCCGTAGATAATGACACTTTGAGTATATATATATATATATATATATGGCTCCCAGGCCATTGCTAAGTACTTCGAATGATCACCGACGAATAGCTTTTTTCCAGAGCTTCTATCTATATTGGTGTTTGCGAAAAAGACTTTTCATCTCTAGCTTTGGTCCTTTTAGTTCCTTGCTGTTTTGATCTTTTATATGTTTAACTTCTAATCTATATTTAATCTTTGTATATTTCACTTTTAGGTTAATGTTTCATGAATTCTTCTTCCTTCGTAGTAGTCTTTCGTCTTCACTCCACCTTGACAAGTGCTCTTTAGGCAACCAATGGGGTCGGAGATAGAAGTAATCGCCGCCCAGTTAACCCCGGTTAATGCCACTGAGAAATATAAATAACGCATGCCTAACACATAAAATTCGATGTTTATCCGGATGTATGAACTTTCTTTTTCTATGTCAAGTACTCCCCAAGCTACGCCAGGTATACTCAACCTAAATCCAATTTCATAGAACACAATCATGAAAGAGGCCTTTGTGGACAAGAATATCTCAGTGACTATCCGAGACACCGATATTCCAGTACCTGAAGTTGGACAGGTCCTTATTCGTGTGGTCATCTCTGGCACCAACCCTAAGGACTGGAAGCTTCCTCTCGTGTGGCCAGCAGACAGGACCCCTACCAACCAAGGAGATGATATTGCTGGATACATTGAGGCAGTGGGGGAGGGCGTGGTGGGCTTCCACAAGGGCGACAAGGTCGCTGCATTCCATCAAGTGATGAAGCCCCACGGCAGCTACGCCGAATATGCAATCGCGCCAGAGAACACGACCTTTCATATTCCTGCGAGAACTAGCTTTGAAGGTGAGCCAACTTACGGTTCAAAACAAATGTTTTTCATTAGGGCTAATATAGGCCCGCGGCTAGAGGCGGCCACTATTCCGCTCGCTGCTATGACAGCCGCCCTTGGTCTTTATCAGCGCTTGAAGCTGCCTCTGCCTTGGAATCCAGCTACTGAGCCTCTTCCTTTGATTGTATATGGCGGCGCGACTGCAGTGGGAGCCTTTGCAATTAAATTAGCTCAGCTTTCTAACATCCACCCGCTGATCACGGTAGCCGGCAAAGGCAGCGCCTTCGTCGAAACTCTCATCGATCGCCACAAAGGCGACACGATAATCGACTATCGTGAAGGTGACGAGGTCATTCGGGCAAAGATCAAGGAAGCAGCCGGTGGGCGATCCATCCACTATGCCTATGATGCGGTGGGCGAACATGGAAGTCATCAGAACGTCGACGCGGTCATGACCTCGCCGGGTGAGATAACTACCATGTTTCCTCATAGCGGGGACTACCAGCCCCCCGAGGGAGTCATCATAGGCCAAACCATAGCAGGATCGGTCCACATGCCTCCCACAGCAGGAAAGACCGTTGAGGATAACGAGTTTGGCGCTGCTCTCTTCCAATTTATCGGTCGTGGCTTGGCGCAAGGCTGGTTCTCGGGACACCCGTACGAAGTACGCCCGGGTGGGTTGGCTGGACTTGAAGAGGCGTTGCAGGATCTCAGAGCGGGCAAGGCTTCTGCTGTTAAGTACGTGGTGCGTATCAATGAGACAGAAGGAGTGGTGTAGATTTCAACTTTGACGCGGGTTCTCGCTGTTGTCCGAGTGCGGCGTCGAGAGGAAAGCCAGGATAAGTAGATAGGAGAAGGGTGTCCATAGTATAGGTGTACATCGTGCAGTCGTTCTAGGAATTCATTAAACACGGGAAAATAACTGAGAAGAGACTAGACAAGCCCAATCTATAAATACTGGCTCTATATTACTGAGAACTTCCGGCACAGAACTCAGAGGTTGCTTTAAGAGGTTAAATAGGGTTAAATAGTAGATTTTAGAGACTTATTATCCAGCTTTTTCTTTATTTTAAAGGCTCTATTATCTACTAATATATATATGGCCGTCTGTAATGCTTTAATCTATATCCATAGTGAAAAATGAGTCTGATACTCGGCAGACACTGAGCGTGAATAGTGAGATGGTTGCAAAGAATAAAAACAAAAACAAAAGGGTTTGGCGAAGCAAATCGTTTAAATACTTTGCCTGGGCAGAGTTGACAAGTCGCAGGCCATGACTCAGTACGATTTCAGCAGACATCGATGTCACGGGTGGAATGCAGATTACCTACCTCTCTTGCTCCTTCGAGCGAAACGCCGCGTTTCATCTATTTATTGAGTCCAACAAATCCTACTCAAGGCTAGGAAAGATTCTGTCGATCCACACATTCCAAACGCATCCTGTCGAATATGTGGGTTTATTTTTTGGAGTCTCAAGCGCTGAGAAATTGATTGTCTATGATCACGTGATGTACACACTATGTTATTGTCCTCAGTTGCATCTCTCTTTTTCTGTCTCTTTCTCTTCCTCCCCGTCCAAGAATACCACGATCATCTATAGGTGGTTTCTTTCTCGCATCTACTTGAATCAATATGGAGTTAGAAAATATTCACCCGACAGAGATTGTCTTCAAGGAACGGCTTTTTAAATCCCGGCACTCGAATATCTTCTTGGTTACTGTGCGTGACCTAACATGTGTTATGAAGGTTGTATGTGTGCCATGATGCTCTTCCAAACATGGGCTCACTAATACTCACGGAAATATCTTTAGCATCATGGGCGAGGTTCTCCAAAATATTACGAACCACTTGACCGCGAACTGGATATCCATATTCTCGAATCGACAGCCTACATGCGACTTAAAGAACGAGGCCTATGTGAGAAGGGCATCGTCCCTTACTTCTTGGGGTCTATCAGAAAGTTTGACCCATCTCTCTGCCAGCCACATTTGAAGCCATTTCTCGAAGATGAATATCTGCCTAGTGCCATCTTCCTGAGATATATCCCAAACCTTCAGATGCTCGACCTAAGAAACTATACGCCACAGCGGATGAAGAACCTTGTCTCTTGCATCGCTGAAATTCACAAAGCCCTTGTGTGGCACGGTGATCCGATGCCCAGGAATATGATGATCATCAAGGACGACCCTGACAGAGTCATTTGGATGGATTTCGATCGCGCAGAAACCTATGATGAAGATACAATCACCAAAGAGCAAAGACAGGGATTGCATGATGAGTATGAAGAGGTGGACTCGATTGGACAGCATATCGTAAGTTTCTACATGTGGAGTGCAGTGTTACGAACCATTCTGACTTGCATCGCAGGGGGCCGATTGGGCAAGAGGGGACGGAAGACTCGAAGAAGCAATCGTATTTTATTGTTAAGATGACCCGGCTGTGTTTATCAATTAGAAATTTGTACATAGTCTGGTACTTCACCTCAAAAACAACTGGTTTTGAAGCTATTCTTTAAAACTGCTGCCCCGTTTAGTCCGGAAGGGGTTGTATGAACATTGGACTCGCTCTCTTTGTGCTTATTTAGTGTCTGGGTGATCGCCACTTGTCTGACCGGCAGATCGATAAATCTTCTAACACTAATTATGACATTTCTTCACTGCCCATGGGTACTGGCTCAATATGTGGACTTAAGACAAAATTAGATCTGTTGTGGAGTGAGGCTACCCTTGCCCCACCGATCCACTCGCATGGCTATCACCTTCCACAAAGCAATGATATCTTCCTCACTGCTTGCTTTCACCACCCCATCAAGACTACTCAGTCCGATGAACACCCTCGGCAAACCCTCTTCAGGGAGATGCAGACAGTCGCCCACAACGGCGACCTCCCTCAGCTACACGCCCAGTTAACAAAGTGGGACATTGAAGTGACGGATGGTGTGCCAGCAACCAGCAAGGACTATCTGTGGTTCGAGCCTACAGTTGTCGAATGGCTGGAAGTCTTCGACGAGCTGAACCGGCCCCAAGAGAACCAGAAGAGCATAAGTACCAGCTGGTATATCTTCAACCGGTTATTGATCGCGGCATCACGCGCCAACCAGGTCGACATTGTCACATTTCTTCTTGAGCAGCGGGGCTGTCCCATCACCTCGGTTGCAGTACAGAAGGCCATGGCGACGAACTCGTTTGATGTGCTTCCAGCATATTCAGAATAACATATGCACCATCCTTCGGTTTGTCTAGATTTTTTCAGGGAGCTGATATTTAGTGACTGACCCTGAATAGACAGATTGTCAACAACGAGAATCGGGTGCGCTGGTGTCTCGAGCACGGGGCTGATCCGAATGCACGCAACAAATCCAAGACACTAGACATTCTCAGCCACGCCGCTCGACATTCTACCTTTCCAGTCCTGCAGCTGCTTGTTGATCACGGTGCCAATTTTGCGCATTCGCGCCGCCAAAGGAGGCGAGGCGCGTGTCGAGGTTCTACGATGGCTTCTCGACGAGAAAGATTTCCTACTCAACCAGCGCGAGTTTGAATACAACATTGAGATGTTCAATGACCGCCAGTCCAACGGGTTAGGGACGGCGCTACATGCGGCCGCTGAGACTAACTCTCTTGCGTGTATGCAATTTCTTCTGGAGCGAGGTATCGATGCGAATATCCCAGATACACTCGGTCGCACTGCCACAAACCGGGCGCGCGAATATGGAAGCCAAGAAGCGGTCTCTTTTCTCGAACACTGGGAAGAAAATTGAACGCTGTATATAACAACATAGCATCGTGAACTCTCATTGCATAGACAGGTCATTTTAACAGAGAAACCTCACGATCCCTTCGACGTCAACTGATTACAAACAAGCACTCCGCGCCTAGGAGCGCCCCTCACTAGCCGCTCTCTGCCAATCGAGGTTGACAAAGATGACTCTGGGCGTCTCATTCGGCTGACCTGAATGCTTCACCATCATGGCACCATGGAGCAGCTCCTTCGGCATATCCTCGTCTTTTTTGAACTCTCCTTGCTCATCCGCCATCAAATCCTCGGGCTCAATGTACTTGACCCGGACCGGAGTGATTCCAGTGTTATCCTTGATAACCTTTTCCAACCTTTTATTGTTGTCCTCGGAGATGTACACGTCGGGCTTATACGGCCTGACATGAGCGTAGAGCCACGCCTGGCCCCCCTCCAGGCTCTGCTTGTGTTCGTTGATCAAACTGGCCAGCTTGTCCTCAGCCTGGCTCAATCCTGTATCCGAGTCGGTGTAGTGGGCAACAATGGCTGAATTCCCCTTTGCGATGACAGCCCCGATACATTCCGCGAAGCCTTTACTGGCGAGGATAGCGGGTTTGTCTCCAAACGCCATAAACTTCTCACGATCTTGATCGACGTTGACTGCTTTTTTGACGTCGTCCATGAATTCCTTGTAGTGGGCATCTACACGTTTTGTGACGAGATCTCGGGATGCGTGGCTAGATCGTGGATCACGTTAGTACATTGATTTTTCTTTCTTTTAGGAACCAAAGAGTAAGAGTCAACTCACGCCGATGTTTTGGTTGGTATCGAGGAGCAGATGGTAAGGTAGGAGAGAAAAAAGAAAAGCAAGGCAAGGAGCCTGCTGTTCCCAGTGTTGAGATTCATCACGGAAACGAGTTAAGACGTAGAGGGCAGTCTACTCCATCGAAACTGTAAAATTATAATAAACATATTGTTTGAGCCCACAGTCGGTTTATATAGGGATATGCCAATAACATGCTGGTCGCCGGAACTAGTCGCTAAAATTAGCAGGGTGCTGCGCTTCACCGGGTTTTCCTCCCTCCTCACCATTCACACGCTGGACTGAACGGCCCCATCAAGATAGCAGAGTGACAATCTCACCCGCCAAGCAAAAGGGAATAAATAAGTTTACGAGGAAATATGGAGTCTTGGGGGACTCGACGAAACCACCCCCCGATCAGAAAGTTGGCAAAGTTAGGGCTTCACGGGGCCTGAAATGGGGCCACCCACTTGGGCCTAAAAGACGCCGGCTTACGAGAGTGAAGAGAGGTGTGTCGGTCTTGGCCCAGTCAGCGCATCTTCTATTCAACTAAAATCCGATCCTCCCCTCGGCTTCCGCCGATTTCATCAGCACTACGCGGGCTCGTTCCTGAGGACCACGCTGCTGTTCCTGCAGGGTGCAGCTAAATCCCATGAAGATGTCTCACTTGCACGCTAGTTACTGCGCAAAACCAAGAAACGTGCGTCCAGGCGTCCCATCATCGTCCCCTGTGGGCTTTTGATGGAAACGTCAGTGGCTCCACCGCTAGTGAGGGTTAGGGCTCGCAGATGACGGTGAACTTCCGCTGGATGGTTCCGAGAATCTTGTCCTGGTATAGAATAGAAATTCGTTTCGGTAGCCTAACCTGGCTGTGTCTGCTGGGGACTTGGCGACTATCTTGGCTGGTCTATTTTGGTGTTCATCGATCGAGTGTCACTGATAGCGGGTGGTTATAGATATAGATCGCACCAGACCCGCACCACCTCTACTGCATTCCTTTCCACCAGTATCTCAGTCGCCATGCTTGTGGTTCCTAGTTTCTTGTTGCTGCTACTGGCAGGACAGACCGTGTGTCTGCTCAACTCTGGCTCTGGGTACTCGAGTTCTACTCGTATGGCTTCATTCCCCTTGGTGAAGATATTCTTGGCTAATTCTTTGCAGGATCACCTCGAGCTCGCACTCAAACTGGGGGCCATAATAAGCATACAAATACCCCAAAGCCCATCAATTCTTCTGGCACTCCTACTTTGCCGTATATCCCACCATCATCCAAGCATGGGAATACCCCGGCTCCTTCGAGGCCACCACCTGGCTCATCAAACAGTTCGTCTGGGCCGTCAAGGCCTCCTGGTTCTTCCAACCACTCCAACCCGCCGTCGGGCCCATCAAACGGTCCATCAGGGCCCTCAGGGCCGTCAAACGGGCTGTCTACCACCTCAACCCGCCCGCCTGGCTCACCTCCGTCAGCGTCATCTTCGTCACAAATCAAGCCCAGCGATTCTTCGACGCCTCCTGGCCCTTCAAAAACACCCACAAACCCTCCACCCACAGGAACCCCTGGTCCCACTGCTCCGCCTCCATCGTCGAGTTCATCCTCCTCGCAGATGACCTTTACCACTCCCCCGGCTAGTGTCCACACAAGCAGTCTCTCCCAGAGCCTCTCATCGAGCGACACTCTCCTAACGACAACCGAGGATGGCCACAAGACGGTCATTCCTGTCGTGGGGGGCATTGGACTTTGGGGCATCAGTAGGCCGGGTGTTTACAAGAACCTTCCGGGTTTCTCCAACCCGGTCAAAATTCCATGTCTGGTCGCGTGTGATCCAATCACCGACACGCCCGGCGTCGTCCCACCCGGTGGAGGTGGTGGGGACGGGGAAGGGGACGGGGAAGATGATAACACGAGCCGCGATTCATCGTGCAAGTCGTCCACTTCCAAGTACTCGACCGAGTTTGTCACTTGCACGCCCATCAGCAATTCCCAGACGACGACAACGTCTTGCACCACCTCTACCGAGACTCTCACGACTACCGGGTGTGATCTCACTGTCTCGGACTCTACTACTACGACCACGAAGACGCCTGAGCCTTCCGTGTTGCCATTGACCTTTGTGACATTCACTGTTGAGCCAGCCTCTTCAACACCCTCCTCATCCTCCTTAAGATCTTCTTCAAAATCTTCTTCAAGATCCTCGTCTTCTTCTGCACCGCCTCATATACCTTTGACTATGACAACGTTCACTGTCCACCCGGTTTCTACCCAGAGCTCTTCACGAAGCTCTTCACGAAGCTCTTCCAAATCGTCCAGCTCTTCCAGCTCTTCCAGTCGCGTCAAGACCTGCACTGCCAAACCAAAGCCTTCTAAAACCTCTGGGGCGAGCATGCAAACTTCCGAGCCTACCCCATCATCGAAGACTCAACACAGCTCACCCACGGCCCTTCCCACACCTTCATCTGCCAGCAAGACCACAACTCCCCCGACGACAACCGCTCCTTCTTATCCTATCAGGTGTATTCCCGAGTAAGTTCAAACTCCTAGCCTTGAGCTCCCAAAATAACGCGTACTTACAACCCATAGTGCCAACCCGGATCTGCCAGAACCCGTCTGTGTCTGCACCGAGTCCAAAACAAGCACCTACTCAGCCCCGACCTTGTCTGGAAATGATATGTGTGGTTACACCACTATCCCATCCAGCCAAGTCTCCTCAAATGCAGAGACAACCCCAGTCACGCACACGGACTACACATACACCGATTTCAGTGACAGCGTGGTCAAATCATGCGCAACAGCAACCGAGTCCAAACTCACTATGGTAGCCAGCGCATATATAACCCGCTGCGACGACCCAAAGCCGCTGTCCACGCTGCACCCGGTGCCTGGCACCGCCACGCTGCACGTGTGGGAAGCCCGCGAAACCGCTAACGTGGTGAACAGTCTCTACATTGCAGCGATGATGAGGGATGCATCCGGCGAGGTGGTGGCCAATCAATCGATGTCGGTGAAAACGCACTACGGCCACAATGTCACAATCGACGTCGATGGCAGGGACGACGACCCAATTAACATCCAGCCTGTCGAGTCCGTCGATGCAATGGACGACGGCGAGAAACGGCGCCGCAGCTGGTTCGAGAAGCGCATTGGGAACCCTGTCATTACTAACCCCGGTGCTGGAGACCGCACGGATTTGGTCTTCTATCTGAATGGCCTGGTGTTTAATTCCCAAGATGACACCGATGACAAGACGGACAAGAAACCGCCGTATTGCTCTGTGGGTGGCTGGGATCATGGCGATGCTTGGGATGGTTTCAAGGAGTTCACGAAGGTCATACCTGGTGTGGCATTGGCTGATGAATTGATCAATGGAGACATGTCTGATTCACTTCCGGTATGTTTCTCTGTCCCCTTCTCGCTTTTTCAGGTTGCAGGTTTCCTAACGGCAAACAGAATCGACAGTTAGACTGCTATATAGAGTACCATTGATGTGTCTACGAATAAGGATTGGAATTGGTACTAGCCTTTCTATTGCCTGAAAATAGCTTAATGACATGTCTACATACTTGCAAATATTATAGAGCGTGCGTTGAAATATCATCGAATACTCCTAGTAATTCCTTATGTCTTCCTGTAGCTTCCTCTACATTTAATTGGAGGGGGGGGGTTCAATTGCGTTTTTACTCTCAGATCGCATAGCCTAGTCAACTAAAAAGCCTACGAGATCGTATAGCAGATCGTCTCGGATATTCAACACAGAATTTAGTAGTATACAGCACCAACACACTATATAACAACAATTCATCATTCTATAATTAAATCCCTCACTCCCATATCAAGCATGCAATCACAAATCTCAAGTACGTTAAGCAGAAAAGAAAGGAAAGTATATCGAGATCCCAAATTCATTAGACGTCTTCTCAACCACCACTCATCTTCTGGCACAAAGCCACAAAGTCCGCATCGGCCACGGATGCCTCCCCAGCAACCGCAGCTGCCTCAGGAAAGAAAGTCGTAACAACAATGACGGTGCCCTCGACCGCCTCGGCAAACATCTCGCATTCAAACTCGATCATTCCTGACATTCCTTCCAGTTCGGCAGTCACTTCCACGTCTAGATACTGGGCATATGGATCACCGTTGGCAGCCCTGGCAACATCTAGAGAAATGTCAGTAAAAGAATTCAAGAATCAAGCAAAGAGTGACAAGCATAGAGCCTGCAGGCATAGTAAATACTTACGAAACTGTTTTGGCGCCGAACAGATGGTAGCATGGTAAGTGCATTCCTCCTGCGGAGGATTACACATCTCACAAATGGGCGTTCTCTTCTTGAACCATGGCTGTAAATCCCGCTTAACAGGACTCGAGCCACAGCCCGACTCCGTCTGATCCGGCTCGCTTTTATACTCGACTTCCTCGCACTTCTTTTCGACGCGGCATGCTGCCAGGTCCCAATCCCTGCCACCAGCATCTTATGCAACTCAGACGCATCCACAAAGCTGCTTTCCTGCACATTAAAGGTGAGCTTGAGATACTCCACGCCGCCGCCCCCAACAGCCGGGATATCGTCAAAAACCAGATCCTTGCTACTGTCACAAGATATCGAGCCAGTGCAAGGCCCGTCATCTCCAGTAAACCCATCATAGAGCTTTTTCCGCAGGTCAGCGCCCTGGTTGGCATTGTTCCAATCCCCGATCGGGATCGTATCGTTCGCGAACGTGACCCTCATGGTCGGCTCGGCCGGCTTGGCCGGCTTGGTCGTTGTACACGAAGGCACCTTGGTACAGTGCACAGGATTATTATCATTATACAACCCCCCGACCTCCGTGCACGCCTGGCACTGCGAGGTCCAGGTTCTCGTCAGGAGCTCCGAAGAAGGGTTGGGGTTGGTTATGTGCGCCGGGGTCGTGGAGTACGCGCAGCTATCGGACTGCTCGCCCGTCGAGACGGGGAGAACAGGCCAGGTGCTGCCGTCGCAGAGACACTCGGCGTGGTTTCTGCCCTGGTTTGGGTCGGCGAAGAGCAATTTGCAGTCGATCCGTGGGCCCTTGGTTGGCTCCGGGGGCTTGGTGGTGTGGCCCTTGGGGTTCTTTGGTGTGCAGGCCGTTTTGGTATCTCGCTTATCTAGAGCCTGGCTCTCGCCAGAGCTGACGGGGGTACCCGTAGGTCCTCCAGATAAAGCGAAGACAGTGGGTGTTGGGATATAGTCAGGCTGGGCGTTTCGCTCGACTACCACGTCGGTTGGGTCCTCGGTTTTTTTAGTAGAGATAGGGATCGGGTCTTCGGTTTTTGTGGTGGAAATAGAATCCTGCGGATTTCGCTCCACTATCACATTGGTTGGGCCCTCGGTCTTCACTGTGGAAATGGGATCCTGGGCTGAGCCTTTCTTGTCCAGCGAGACCACTGTCAGGAATCCAGAAGTATCGGCTGCACCGGCGAGGTAGTGGAAGGGGGAAAGGCAAGACAAGCTGCCAAAAGCAATAGAGAAATAGGTCGAGGCATTGTAAGAGCCTGGAAATTCTTTTTTTTCCAAAAAAAAAAAGAAAAGAAAAAAAGAAAAGAAAAGAAAAAAAGAAAAGAAAAGAAAAGAATGGGAAGAATGGGAAGAAAGAGTATGATAAAGAGTATGATCTAGAGAAAAACACAACCTACAAGCTGCTCGTCCGGATACATTCCTACTTATATACCTCTGATTTTAGGTCTACCACCCCCTATAGCCTCCTTTCTAAATGTTACCAAGAAGAGACATGTTTCTCATGTCATATTTACTGCGGTTCATTTCGTTTCCACTCGGGACAGCCAATACCAGAGCCCAGGAGTAACCCTACAGTGAGGCTGGAACTCTAGTCTCCAAACTGACCTGCCAAGAAAGGCAAGATTTTCCAAGAAATAGCTCAAAATGCTTGTCCTGCTCACGCATGTCTATAGGTAGGCCCGAGCTTGTTTATCTCCGATACCTCACTGATGCAACGTAGAGCTAGGTCTATATCGAGTTTCAATGTCTGATATCCACATTCGGTGTATACAATGCAATCATATAAAACAGAAATTCATGTTTCTCCTTTCTTAAGTATCTTGGTTATTTGTTAGAAAGGCCCCCCTGGATGAGTATATTGGTATCCCTGGGTGGCGAGGTCTATTTTCCTCTCGACTAAGACATACAGAAAGTAGATAAACAGCAATAATACTAAACAATAGTATTGTAATGCATCAGCTCAGTGATAGACATATCGAGACAACTTGCAAATCTTCCCTTTTTGGCCCCCGTTCGCTGGACCTTAGCGCGGGAGGCCTTGATTGACTTAGGGTTGACGAGCCCCATTCTCCCGGTTGATTGGTAACCTGCTTCAAGCATCAGGCGGGAATGAGGGTAGACCTGATGAGATTTGAGTCATTTCCAGTTCTGCTGAGCTATCATTGAGCACGCTGCAACTCTACTGTTCCATCTAGCTCGAGGCAAAGCAACCGTCCCCAAAATTTCGTCAGACTGATCGGACTCAATGCGTTTTGTCATCAATATAGGAAGCGCATATAAAGATATATAGTAGCTCTTTGTTTTATCCCGAGTCTGCCTGGAATATTTTATTGTGTTAGGTCATTTAAAGCTGCATGACATGCTTACATAGTGCGGCTCAATTGAATCTGAACATCTCACTAACGGAGTAAAGCATAGCCCCCAATGTTAAATCACGCTCAGCCTGAACCCTTGTTTCCATGTCGCAAACACCTTCCTGGTCAGTTAGATTATCGTAAGATTTGGCTTAGATCCCTGACTGGACGCCGGACTCCACTCACTGTGCAGGGATTCGTTAGTGCTGACCCTTGTTTAGAAACAGCACATGTTACTGGATGATATATAGATCGAACATAGTGATGCCTGAAGAAAATAGACTAAGCGATCTAGAGGAGGCTGTGGGCTAAAATAAGAGCCTCTGATAGTGCAGAATCGCTCTGCTTCGGCCGACTCCCGGTCTCCCTGCAATGGCCAATCGATACTATCTTGACAGTTTTCGTCTGGCTTCTACGGGCGTTCACAGAATCTTGTAAGATCTTGACCATTTTCATGGAATATGAGAATACTGAATCGTATAAAATGGCTAGGTTTGGCCGAGTACCTGGATTTTCTAGAGCCTCTCTTCAATTTCACTCCTTCTTTTGTAGGACTAAAGCTTACGCTATAATACGTAGCTATAGGCGGAGTGTAGAAGTTGTATTTCTACCATAGCTACGTTCTGCATTTTTTGGCGCCTATCGGGCGACATAACTCTCAAATATATATTTTGCGATATTCTAGCTATGGCTTTGCTTGGATGACCAAATGGAATCTTGTCGAACCATAATAGCATCATTCTTGGGCTGTAGGCGAGCTTCAGAGTCCTCAGAACCTTTTCGAACAGCATTATTCGGAGCAACTCCATCATTACCGGAACGGAAGTTTTCCCGATCTTGCAGGCGATAAAAGTCACTTGGCTTCTGGCTGGAGGCAAAGCCGGTCGGGTAAAGATAGCGGAAAAGGGGTCGAAGGGTCGGTAGACAGGCGGATATAATTCCCAGAGAAGGTTCAATCGAGCTCCAGATGAATCCACGGCCAAAGTTCCACGGGATATCCAAGCTCTCTGTCATAATCTCGACGGCATAGCAGCGAAGCGCACCCGCAATGCAAGCACTATGCCCAGGTCAGTATCATCTTCGATATCAACCACTCGAAGCAGGAAAAACATACAAGGCTCCAAGTCCGAAGATGCCTAGCACAGCCAGCTTTTGAGGGGTAGGCATGTTGAGTTTCCAAACTCGATGGAATGGAACAGCGAGGATAATCCAGTCGGTGACAGCCTCCGCAATACCATTGCCCATGAAGTAAGCTTCGACATCAATGCATGTGCCTTTGGCCGTTGGGTCTTCGTATTTCTTCCAGAAGTATGAGATTGGATGGCACTGGACCAGGTTCACAACCATCACACCGAAGAACCAGCCTAGTGCGAGGAAGGAGCAGAAATAGAGGACGTAGGTAAAGCGCTGGATCGGGAAGATGCGATGATAGAACATAATCACCGACATCTTAATGGCGGGAATTGTACAGCTGTAGACAAATTCCATGGCAAAGACAAGCTGGTGGGCAAACAGGTTAATACATTGGGAATTCAGCACTTGGGATCAATGACAAGGTCAACTTACTTGCCATATCACCCCTAGGTCGACAGATGGATTCCAAATATGTTTACCCATTCCGCCGAGTTTAGCCACTTTAAACCCGGGTTAGCTTTTGTGGCTCGAGAAGCTTCGGTAATTGGACCTACTCAAAATGTTGAGAACACAATTGCCGCTCGAGAAGACCTGTTCGAGAACGTTAGCTATCTCGCCAGCATTCGGCTATGAATCAAACTTGGCGTCTTACCAACGCGACTATGATCAGATAGTCATCCCAGTAGAACTTGGCTTTTGACACATAACGCGCCCAGATTCGTAAGCCTACCGCTATAACAGCTATAATAGCCGGCGCAAGCACCGAAGCAATGACACGCGAGGTGTTGTCCTCGTAGATATCAAGGCCGGGAGGCGGGGGTGGAAGCTCCATGGCTCGGACTCGCCAGCGTCGTTCCGAGAGTAGGAAGAAGATGAGGGTTGGATCTGGCAAAGGGGAGGTGGGCGTGGAAAGGGCAGATATAGCAACACACGAGATGCCACCGGCTCACCTCCTGAAAATCCAGCATCGAGGGCCGGCTCTGCAGAGTTCAACGTCCACTTCAGAAGCCAAATAAGGATCTGCGGGCCGGGAACATCCCCGGCCCTATTCACAAAGGCACTAGTCCAACGGTGAGATCCTTCGACGTCGCTTGGGAGGGCTTCGTTACAATGATCGGCATGGATGAGCCCGTGACAGGTCGTTGACCCACACGGAGCGGCCTGGTAGCTCTTCTCCATCACGCCTATTCTTGGGGCCACAGGATCCTGTCGTGTAGAGGAATGGATTAGAAGTGGTCCATGATTGGCGCTATGAAATTTGACAGGTCCTCGACCCACCAGAAACGGCATGCTGGCTTCTCCCCAAACGCCCGTGGAACTCAAACTTGGCAACGAAACGCTCGGGGATTTTCTCTTCACGTCCTCTTGCTCCACACCACACATGAGGATTTGCCCAGCCTGTCGACGGCATCTCGTGAATGCTTCGAGGGGATGATCCTAATTTGAAAGCCGCTTGACAGGTGAGGTTCTCTTCGGTCCAGCCAGTAGCGAAGTGGTGGAGGGCAGAAACCGTATATAAGAGCTGTTTGTATCCCTAATGCCTGTTTTTTGCCCTTCAAGTCACTCATTTTATTGCCCCTGGCTTTGTCGCTCTTTGATTTCTCCCTGCCGGTGTGTCAAATTTGCAGCTGTACATTTTTACATTTTCGTTTCGGCTTCTTTCACTGAGTCATTCTTACCTACCATGATGACTGTCCACAAGCTCCTTTGGCTGATGCCGAGCTTGATCTTTCCTCTTCTCACTCATGCCGCTTCCAAATGCTCTGACATTACCTTGAGCGTGACCGCCTCCTCTCACGCCGACGATATTGTTTTACCCAATCTCAACCCCAAGAACCCAAACTTTGTCGATGACTTGCTCAACGCGGGAGTAGGCGATGTCGGTCGTGTATGGCCCTTAATTCCGGTTGGAGACACATTCAACATCAGTGCAATCTTCTGTGAGCCGAAGGTGTACAACGAAGCCAATGCCGTCCAACTTTTGGCCCATGGAGCAACCTATAACAAGCTCTACTGGACTGGACTGGGACTCCCAGAAGACCAGGCAATGCCGTACGATTGGACTCGGTTTGCCACCGACAAGGGCTATGCAGCCCTTGCAATTGATCGCATAGGATCTGGGAATTCAAGTCACCCTGATCCTCTGTTGGATATTCAGACAAGTCTAGAGGCCGAGGTTCTTCATCAGATTGTGCTTCAACTCCGAAATGGAAAGATTGGTAAGAGGTTTTCCAAGGTTGCTTATGTTGGCCACTCGATGGGCTCCCTCATCGGCATGAGGTCGACGCAGCTGCACCCGCAGGATTATGACGCCGTAATCTTGACGGGTTGGAGCGCCAACTTTGTCGAGAATTTCCCCAAGATTCTGGCAGCTAATCTTCTTCCGGCCGCAATTGCGCTTCCGCACCGGTTCGCGGACTATAACCCTCTCTATCTCGCTCTGACGATCCGAAAGTTTGTGCGAGACGCCTTCTATGGTCCCGATGGGAGTTTCGACCCCAAAATTGAAGAGTACAACTTCAATAACCGAGACGCCGTGGGAACTGGTGAGCTGGTGAGTATTCTCGCGGGAACTACCAAAACAACCTACGCCGGCCCAGTCCATATCATCGATGGGGAATTCGACGCAGCCTTTTGCTCCCCTGGTCCGAAGTGTGTTCGAGGCCCCAATACTGCGCCTGGAAACACTGCTCCTCTCTTCCCCAATGCCCAGAAGTTCTCGTACAGCCTCATCCCTAACACCGGCCACTGTCTGAACCTCCACCACTCCGCCGATAAGACCTTCCAGTCCGCGCACGACTTCCTCCATGAGAATTTGGAGAACGCGTAGGCCTTTGAATCTGCTTCAAGCAGCATGCATGGGTCTCATTGACCCGTCCTATACACAACACACGGGCTTGTGCTGTGTAATATTCTTCTATCTTCAATGTTTGATTTGTCATTTCCTATTCCCAATTGTACTTTACTTCTTGGTCTTTTTTTACCCTGTATTTACCCTGCCTTTCCATATAAATGTCGGGTTGTTGGGCTGTTGCACCAAAGAACGCAACGTGCCATGATGTATACTTCATCTTTTCTTCTCACTTTTGTCACCTCTCGCTTCGCCTTTCTCTGCTCAATTGATCTTTTGAGATCTTTTTGGGAGTAATGAAATCATCCTTTATCAGGTTTCAAGAATGCAAAACATATCCAGAGTAAACACGGATTCTGGGAAGGGGCTAATTCACTAGTCTATGCGTATAGAGGAATATTAGTGCAGGTATGTAGGCGAATCAATCCCCCTCGAAAGGAACTCCTGCCAAAGAGACCAAGGATCGACAGTGGGTATGTAACCCACTTGCCCGGAGCCACTTACAACTGGAAAAATCGGAAATAGGGGCATTGGTGACTGGTGGGCTGCGTGGTTAAATATACGGGCGTCCCCCCGCTCTGCCCTAAGCAAAAGCCCTCTCTTTATTGACACGCACTAGATTGCAGCTCGAGTGGAAGACATTCCACGAATAAATCTGGAAAGGAGAATGAAGTCATTTCACACTTATGTCGGCTTCGAACTTCTCCCACTCTTTGTGAGCCTCAGCATCCCCCTCATTTTTTATCTCTTGTACCATCTCGTCCTCTTTCCGCTATTTCGGTCCGATATCCGCCTCATCCCTGGCCCATTTCTTGCCAAATTCACTGACCTGCACCGGCTCTTGCTGGTTCGTACCGGATCTGCCCACGAGCATCACATCCGCCTTCATCGGCGCTATGGATCGTTGGTTCGTCTCGGGCCGAACACCGTCTCTGTTGGCTCTCCCGCGGCCATTCCAATCCTGTATAATATTCGCACTCGCTACCCCAAATCAGCGTTTTACCCCGTAATGGGAAATGTAGCCCATGGCAAGGTTGTTCCGACCATCTTCTCCACGCGCGACGAATCTGTTCACGAGATCATGAAGCGTCCCATTGCGCAGGTATACGCCATGACCAATCTCAAGAATTACGAGCCACTGGTGGAGAGCACCGAGTCTCTGTTTTTCAGCAAGCTCGAAAAGATGGCGGATGAAGGAAAAGCCTTTGACCTCGGCACGTGGCTACATTGGTTCGCGACGGATGTGATTATGGAGATTACATTTGGAAAACGGTTGGGGTTTTTGCAGAGGGAGGAGGATGTGGATGCGATTCTTGAAACCATAGAGAGGCGGTTTTGGTATGTCGCGGCGGTGAGTGTAGCCCTGCCCCGGATTTAATCCATTTGAAAGAAAATCAATCTGCTGACGAGACCGATTGAACTGATAGACCGGCCAAATGCCCTGGCTGGATAAGCTATTGCATAAGAACCCGCTGGTTGGCGCTGTCTCGGGCCTTCTCTCCAAGCAAAAAGTGTCCCCTGTCCTGGAGTTTGCTCTTGAGCGCATCCAGGAGCGAAGGCAAGCGCGACAGGACTACCCTGAGAAAAGAGGTCAAGAGCGGGACTTTCTATCCCGGTTTCTGGATATTCAGGATAGTCAGTCAAAGATCCCTGATTCGTGAGCTCCCCGCCAATTGTACCCCTTGTGGACCTTTGACCTCTCTACTGACATCAGCTATCATAGTTGGATTATATCTTGGTGCCAGCAAAACGTTCAGGCCGGTTCCGATTCCACCGCAATTACCCTGACCTCGGTGATATATCACCTCTTGAAGAATCCAAGCTCCCTGGAAACCTTGCTCACAGAACTCGAAAATGCCAACCTTCCGTCGCCAATTCCCTGGGATATCGCACACAAGCTCCCCTACCTCGACTGCTGTATTAAGGAAGCCTTGAGAATGACCCCAGCTATAGGAATTCCGTTGGAGCGTGTGGTCCCGGCGGAAGGGATCGAGCTGTGTGGCAGGTATTTTCAAGGTGGAACAGTGCTCGGAATAAACGCTTGGGTGGTACACAGAGATCAGAAAGTGTATGAAACAGACGCTGATCTCTGGAGGCCGGGACGGTGGATTGAAGCCACCGAAGACCAGAGGAAAGAAATGGAACGGGCACTATTTGCGGTCAGTTCTTCGGCAACCCAGCTCTGCCTTACCTGTGGGCTCGTTTATGCCCCTGTAGATACTGATATCTTCTTTCATCAGTTTGGAGCCGGCTCGCGAGTCTGCCTTGGGAAAAACATCTCGTATCTGGAGATGTACAAGGTCATCCCTGAACTACTGACCAGGTTCAAGGTGAGTTTTTATTTTTCTTTGTTTATCATTGATTGAATTGTCTGTTCAGAAGTATACTGATATGTGTAATTCTAGTTTGAGCTCATAAATCCGGAAAAGGAGTGGTCTATAAAAAATGGATTTTTCACGTATACAAAGGGGGTCGAAGTCACAATTGGCAGAAGGGAGAACTTCGGACAGCATTAAACGGGCATCAACTTCTATTTTCAATACTACTTTGGGCTACTAGCAGGAAATTCGTGAAACGGGGACCGGTTCAACAAAAGAAGGATCAAGCTATGAAAACAATAAACCACCAGACGGAGGACTATTCCAATAATCGCCATCGTAGAGAGATTGTTAGACCCGAGGTGATCTACAACTATACTAATCAAAAGACTCCCGCTAGAAAGCATTTGTCAAAAAAAAAGTGCAGTGCAGAAGAGCCCTTTACAAAAAGCTTTCCAAATTTCCAAATACTCTACTTGATGCCATGATAATATCTAGCTTAAAGCCAGGCCAGTCAGGTCTTTGCTTGAACTTCCATCTGAGAAGGATAGTCGCTCTCTTACAACCCAGTTGGCCGGTTAGCTTTAGATCTTTAAATATCTATATACTAGCCATTCGATAAACAAGGACCTAGCCCACATACAACTTTTTTTTATAAGTGATAGATGAACATGCCCAGTAATACAAAAATAAAAAGAAAAGAAAAGAAAAGCAAAGCAAAGCAAAAACCATTCATGTATGTATTTCGTAGACAAGTTTTTTTTTCTTGGGCAGTTGATACAACAGTGGACAAGGCATCGCAGAAAGCAGCAACACAGCCTTGCGTCACCATAGACCTTACCTCAAGTAAACGGAAAACTCCGACGACCTGAATCATATGGCATAATTTGCGGTTAGGTAGAAGCAAGTGTCCCAGAAGTGGTATCAAAGTCGGTATACTCTGACCACGGGTAGGTAGGGCTGCTGAGGTGGTGTGGAGCTGGATCACACGATAAGATCTCTCCCACCACCCGATCCATGGGTGCATCTCTTGACCGGTTCTGTTTACTTTCCACTTCACTCGCTTCCAACCTCATCTGCCCATGTCTCGTCAAGGTCCTGGCCTGGCCGACTTGGAAAAAGAGTTGGTGTGCTCGGTATGTATGAACTCGTTTCCAGAAGCCTTTGACGATTCCATTCCTTCGCCCCTTGCCTAACACCCATCACCCATCGCTTCTCTCTTAGATCTGCACCGAGCTCCTTTATCAACCCTTGACCCTACTCGACTGCTTGCACACCTTCTGTGGTTCTTGTCTCGCAGAATGGTTTAAGGCCCAAGGATCGCGCCGGTCGTCCGGCTCTTCACCTCGCTTCACCTGCCCTTCCTGCCGAGCTGAAGTGCGCGGCACTCGGCCAAATGCGACGGTGACAACCTTGCTGGACATGATCCTGGTGGCGCATCCCGACCGGGTGAAATCGGTGGCTGAGAAGGAAGAGATTGCTCAGCGATACAACCCCGGAGACTCGGTGTTCCCGGCGGCCCCCGCACCGGACGACAACGCAGGAGATGAGGATGACGATGATCGACGGCTGCTGGAGGAAGTTCGGGAGCTGAGTCTTCGAGAGAGTCGGGCACAGGCGAGGCGTGAGAATCGTCGAACAGGACAACAGTCAAGGGCTCGTGAGAGGAACAGCCAGCCCGAGCGACAAACGGACGATGGTCGGTCCCGCCGCCGGCGAGAGGACGACGCAATACGACCGCATGCTGCACGGCCCCACGGTGACGAGCGAACTCGACGTATCGAGCACCAATCCAGTCTCAGGTCATTGCTCAGCCTCTCCGATGCGGAAACGATGGAGGAAGAGATCTTGCGGCAGATCGTGGAGGACGGGCTATTGGATGATATTGACTTGGACAATCTGGGCACCGCACAAGAGGAAGAGCTTACTGAACGGATCGCCGATGCCTATCGCCGGAGACACTTGCAACGATCACACTCTCGCCAAGGGCAAGAGAGGAGACAATCGCCTGAGCGACAACAGGCAAGGTCGCAGTCGGCCCGAAGATCTACGGAGGTAACCCCGAGCGCTCGAGAGCAAGGAAGTAGACGACCACCTGTCTCCCGTCCACATCTATTCGACACACCTGCACCTCCACAGCGCCCAGGTCATTCGATTCACCAGCGACGTAACTCGGAACAAGCCAGTGGGCGACACCGGACATCGCCAGTGTCAAACCAGGCGTCCGTATCTGAAGACGCGCTGAGGCCCGCCGCTCGGTCCTCCAGTGACATGACCACCGAGCGTTCTCGCAGCTCCCAGACGGGCCGCGTTAGATCAGATTCATCGACTGTTCGGCCAAGGCGAGCAACCGAATCCGAACAGAACATATCTGATGTGTGGATGGGCGGCGGGCGAGAGCAGAGCTCTTCAAGACGGGTCACCAGCCAGTCAGCAAACAACTCTCCGACCTCCGTCGTCTCGCCAATGCTAAATGCATCGCACAATTCCACCCCGACAGATCATCCCGCTTCATCCTTGTCCTCGCCATTGGTTCCAGGAAGAGCCGAAAGGCGGTCCAGGCCATCCTCATCGCGATCCAACGCGCCTCAGTCACCTACTGTGCAATTCACAGAACCATCTCATTCATGTGGTCGATGTGGGAAGATGAACATCCAGTACGAGCTACACAAGAGGTGTCCACAGTGCAAAGAGGGGAATTTCCATCTCTGTCTGCGATGCTACCGGTCAGGACGAGGCTGTTTACAGTGGAATGGCTTTAGTACATCTGCCCGGGCAACCCTTGAATGGATACTCGCGTCGTCAAACCACCGTCCGCCGCAGATTCACGAGTCTGGCCATATCCTTTGGTCAATCAGATATGACCGCCCTCCCGACACAGCCCGGCAGACGAATAGCGGCGAAAGACAAATGACCAGCGACAATCCAGCTCGCCGCTTGCAAGCCGGGCTATTTTGCGACATCTGTCTGTCCTCAGCGAACGAATGCTATTGGAAATGCGGTCAATGCAACGAGGGCGACTGGGGATTTTGCAACCATTGTGTAAATCAAGGACGTTGCTGTACCCACCCATTGCTGCCAATCCGGCGTATTGCTCAAGTGCCATTCTCATCGGCCACTGTTGCCCCTGCCGACCCGACAAACACTCCGACTATCTTGCCGGATACCGAGAGCTACAAGATTCTCTCCTTTTCCACCAACTGCGACATCTGCACATACCCGATCCCGGCGTCGGTGACCCGATTCCACTGTCTGGAATGCAACAGCGGCGACTACGACGTGTGCACCAACTGCTACCTCAAGCTCGTCGCAACATGCAAGATCAGCAAGGAAAACGGCCACAACGGCTGGCGCCGCTGCCTGGCCGGCCACCGCATGATCATCGTCGGCTTCGAGGACCACCACGACGGCCAGCGCCGCGTCATCGTACGCGACCTGGTCGGCGGCCGCGCCCTCAAGGACGAACACGTCGCGCGCTCCCCCCGTCCTCCTCCCCAGCCAGCGGCGGACCTGTCGCGTCTCCGGAAGTTGGGTCTGGAGACTGGAGCTGGAAGGAGGGGCCCGAGCGTCGCAAGAAGGCCTCCCGTCTCCGCACCGCTGTCCCCCTCTCAAACCACTCCCATCATGCTGTCTCGACCTCGGAGCTCTCCAATACTTCTTCTGGCAGCCCCGTCTCCCAACACGCGTCATCGTTTCGCCGTTTCCCGCCCAACGGTGGCGTCGGTCTCATTGCTCATGCTTTGTGGTCCTGGTACCCCGAGGAAGAGGTCGAGGATGAGCTAGTCTTCCCCCGAGGCGCGGAGATCACTGAGGCGGAAAATATCAACGACGACTGGTTCTGGGGCTGCTATGCCGGTCGCACGGGTCTGTTTCCGGGCGCACATGTTCGGATCGTTGGGGAGGTTGCGCAGACGCCGCACTGATAGGTGAGAGCGAGTGAACGGGTGAAGTTGATCACCCAAGCGCTTTTTGATTTCTTGTTATCTTCCTCCTCTTTTCTTAAATTTTTTTTCCATTGGAGCATGGCATGATATGAATTATGATACTGACGATCAGATACATGGACGTGTATTTCCTACTTCATCTCTTCATAGTTGGCATTATGGTTCTCTTCGTGAATGCATGGCACGATGATTCCTCGACAGATGTGACAAAATATGATATGATTTTATTTCATGCAAGCATTGGGCACGTCATACCCCCTAGTAACAGTGGTATCTTCAAAAGATTAATACAAAAGGTGAAGGAACGAAAGGGGAGTCGAAAGAAGAATATGTACGACGAAGGCAACTGGGAAGAACAACAAAAACAAGAAGGTCTACTCAAGCAGAGCAACCATCAAGCGCTGGTAATCGCCAGACGTCTCACCGCGCACACGCTCAATCAAGTCCTTGCCGAACTTGTGCCGGTAAGCGCGCTTGACCTGGTCCTTGTGGGCGCGGTTCCAGTGGACGCGGACGACGCGGACGACGAGGCGCTCGTCCTTGGTACCCATACCGCGCATGCAGTCCTCAAGCAGGATAGCATCACGCATAGCGGGGTCAGAGGCGGTGCGGAGAATGTGGAGGAGGGCGTCCTCCATGTGGCCAGAGAACTCCTTCTCAACATGCTTCTCGAGCGAGGAGTGGTAGCGAGACTGGAAGGCATGGCTCATAGCGCGGAGCTCGGTATCAGACGAGCGAGCGAATATGCCACAGACCTCGGCGACGTTGTTGACCATGCGGGCGGACGTGGCGTCGTGCAGGGTACGGACCTCGGCGTCGATGGTCTGCGGGTTGACGGGGGCGGACTCCTCGTGGCGGGCGGCACGGATAACAGAGGCGAATAAACCTGCCGTCTTAAAAGACAGGTCGTCTTCGACGTCCTTGCTCAGCGACTTGCGGTACGTGCGCTCATACGCGATGCGAATGGCGTTCAGATCCGCATTGCTGCGGCCCAGCAGCACGTCGTTGAGCAACCACTCCTTGGTGCCGATACCCTCGATGGCCTCGCGCGCACACTGCACATCGTGCATCAGCGGCCCGTCAATCACCGCCAGCAGGCCCTGCCGCAGGTACCCGCCGGTCTCGGACTTGACGTCCTTGTAGAGGTCGCGGCCGAGGTGGCGCGAGTATGTGTCGCGCACCGCGGCCATCTGCAGCGGGTCCAGTCGCGCCAGCACCTGGATCAGTGCCTTCTCGTCAGTGCCGAATCCCTTCATCGCTTTGCGCAGCGCGTCTGCCTCGCCGCGGAAATCTCCCGGTGCCACTTGGCCCGGCGCATACCCAGCCGATGGCAGGGCCGGTGCGCCGTGTGCGCTGTGTCCCGGGAATGCCCCGCCGGGCGGCGGAAGGCCTCCAGGTGGTGGTGCCCCATACCCGCCGGGCGGCGGGTAGCCAGGACCACCGGGAGGCGGCTGGTTCGGGGGAAGACCGTGGCCGTGGGGAGGTTGCCCGTGCGGGGGCGCGCCATGAGGTGGCTGCTGACCAGGCGGTGGCCCATGGCCGTACGGGGGCTGCGGCGACGGCGCGTGGTATCCAACAGGCGGCTGGGGAGAGGGAGCACCGTAATATCCGCCCTGCGGCGGGGGCGGCTGGCCGTAGTGACCGTGCTGCGGGGGAGGATAGTGGCCTGGCGGAGGGGCGCCGTATGGCTGCGGCGGGTAGGGAGGCTGCTGATAGCCGTGGGGAGGAGGAGGCCCAGACGGAGGAGGGCCCTGTGGGTGTCCGTATCCGCCGTACGGAGGCTCTGCAAGATGCATGTCAGTGGATCTGGGGACACATGGATATTTCTAATGTGGGGAGTGGGGGATGAGGGGGGGGGGGTTATATGGTAGTCAGAGTAGGAACTCACGATTAGGTGGAGGATATTGGTATGACATGACTTTGAGTAAAGATGGCAAGACTGAAGAGGTGAGGGACAATGTTGTAGAGCAAGAACTTGCGATTGCGATGGTTTATAAGGTGGGCGCTGATGTGTGGCGCAGTTGAGTGGGGAGGGGTTCACAGCCTTGTTGAAGCCCACAAGGCAGAAGTTCTAATTATATTCGGCTCGAGTGGCGCTTCTCTTGTATTTCATCGATGACAGTTAGGCAAAAGAATTATGACGCAAATCTGAATATTGTCAACAAGTATACCCTCACAATCTCTACTTACATAGTTTACGTCGATTCTAGTCTCTGATTGGTTTTAGCTTGCTGTCAAGAAGTTCTCCTGTTCGCCCTATTCAATCGTCTAGTTCCTTTTATATTTCTAGCTAAAGTACCTATTCTATATTCTTTTTTATATTCTCGTTCATTTTCATTTTCCCTCTCAACGTTACCTTAAGAAAGAGATAGTAACCCTGCACTCGATAACAGTGTAAGCAAAATTGGCATATTTCTATTGTATTCTTTTAATGATAGTTTCTGCCTCCAGACCCCAGGATGGCAAGACAGACGCTACGCTATGCGTGGCCGTGGGACTGTTAAATCTATGAATTCGGCTGCGAAACCAACCCACCAAGGACAGCCTCGAACTCGGCCCCAATTGCCCGCGATTCCTGTAACAGCCCCAGAACAGCATCAACCGTCTCCCGCGCGCCCTTCTCACCAACAAAGAAAAAATGATTGCCCTCAACCGAAGTAGCCAGCCGGTCAGGCAGACTATGGACAAGCGCCTTGAGACGGGACCAGGCGTCGTCTGCAGCACCCAGGTCCTGGACTCCAGGACGGCCCTGGATATGAGTCAGGGCGCGATGGGTCATCAGATATCCCCAGGTAGCTTTGTCGGACAAGGCATGGCGCAGGTCCAGGGTGCCACTTGGCGCAATGGCAGCCATGGGAGGCAGCGAGCCGAAGTGATGGGCGCAGCCATCCTCCAATAACATCCACTTGTTATCCTGGACGAGGGTTTTCTGCTCGGAATTCCAGTGGTATCCGAAGCCGGTCATGGGGGCAGGTATAGCACCCACAAACTCCCGACAGTAGACAGCGGGATCAATAATAGTATGACCGTTCTGGCGGCCCTGGTCCGCCAGCTGAGAAAGAAAGGACTCGTGCATCGCCGAGCCGGAGAGATAGCCCGCATCCGTACAGCGAGGCACACGCTGAAGCGACGGCGGGCCGATACCCAGCAGAGCCGGGGAGCCCGCCAGCGCAACGAAAAGACAAATATCCAGATCGAGGGCCTGCGCCGCGGCCGCAACAGGCTCAACGATTTTGCCGGCCATGCTCCAGGCCAGCACGATCACGGATGGGGCGAGGTTGTGCTCGTCGACGGTGGTCTTGATCACTTCGGCGACCTGCCGGCCCCAGTCCCGTAGCGAGAAGTCGCTGCTGTGTGCCGGCATGATCTCCGGGTGGCTCTCCAGTGGGTACGAGATGCCCAGGAAGGCGTGTCCGCGGCGCGGGAACCAATGGCCCAGGAAGTCCTCGCTGCGGCTGCCGTGGTGCCCGCCGTACGAGATGCGCGCGTTGTGTGCGATGCCCGGCACGAATGCTACAGGTGGTTTTGATCGATCCCCATCTCCGGGAATGTACTTGGTCAGTACTGGGTGGCCGGCGGCGGTGGCTTGAATCTCGCCTTTGTATAATCTGGGTGGATGGTCAGAGGAGGTCATGGTTTGGTTTTCTAGTGCCATGCTAGGAAGACAATTGGGCTGACATTCAATCTTGAGATTGTGCATGATGGCTAAGTCCTACGTGGCAGCGGCTCATGCACCGGGCACGTGCCAAGTGACAGCTGGGATATACACAGGTGGAGATCAACATAATTTATAAATGCAACCACAAAGGAATTAAAAAAAAAAAAAAGAGGTCATCCACTAAGTCCTGCTTGTACGGAGAATCCAGTCATTAAATACATCGACTCTATACGGCCCCAGTCTTCAGATCATGCACGCTAAGAGGCCAAAAGACCAAGTAAATGCAAGATAGAAACCACCATGAGTGCAATATGAGTGCCTCCAGAAAGGAAAAAAAGAAGGAAATAAAGAGAAAGAATAGAAAAAACAAATAACAAAGAGCAAGGGTATATCAAATGCACAGCGCAATTATACACATCACATCAAATCAATCATGATCATAACTTCTTGGAATACCAAAGCTAGACGCTCGCCGTGCGGCGTTTAACTTCGCTAGGCTTCTGCGCATACGCAATCAACATGCGGAACCCCGTCCCGCGCTTCTGGCACTCGCGCAGAAGCTTGCGGTCGTTCCACATACTGGAATCAGCGTCTGCGCTGCGGTGCGGAAGAACAGGGTCCTCGTGGCACTTGGTGTACCACCAGCGGCCGACACGCGCAACAATCTTGGCGATGGATTCGTCGTTGGCTGGTGATGGGGACGGGTCAGAGAGCAGGTCACCGAGAGAGACGTTGGGGTCGTCGGAGGGGGATTTGGAGCTGTGGCTGGCACACGCGGATGTGACAGAGATGGTTGGGAGTGAGAACGCAGTGGACGGCGCGTTGGGGTTGGGAGTAGTGGTGGCGGTGAGAGAGCGGCTGGATGATGAGGTCGTCGAGTCCGAAGAGCGGACGACCATGCCGGCCACGGGGATGCGCACCATGCACCGGCGCAGGTTATCGAAGCCGTGTCCGCCGATCAGGCGCTGGATGCTGTCGCTGGTAGGCTTGAGGCTGATTCTGGAGTCTGCGAGGCAGGTCATCTCCTTGAGGCGTCGGACGGCTTTGCGGCTGCGCGCGCCCATGTTCACCATGTCGCGATCAAGCAGGCTCATCTCTAAGTAGCCACCGGAGCGCAGCACGCGCTTGCATTCCTGGACGATGTTGCTCTGCGCCATCTCCGAGCAAGCAGCCGGGAACCGCAGCACCGCCACAGTGAAGTAGTCCTTGGGGAAGGGAAGTGGCTTCTCAAGCCCCGTGTGGTAAAAGGTGTGGTGGTTGGTAGGAGGCTGCCACGCTGCCGGATGGGGAAGCACGCTTGACGCAGGACGGCCTCCCAGGCTGTACACTTCTGCATCGGGGTAGGTCAAGGAACAGTAAAAGGACCAGTCGTCATTACCAAGCCCGTCGACTACCAGGATGCGTCCCTGCGTCCCGGCTTTAACGTGGTTGTGCGCCGGGCTAAATAAGACCCGACCAAATGACAGCCAGCGACTGGTCATCAGCGAGGCGGAGCGCATGTTCGTTCGGGTCACGGCATCCCAATCACGCTCGGAGGAGCTAGCAAGCGGCTTCTTTCCTCCGGAATTCTCTCGCTTTGGTGGAGGGACAGTAGCAAGTGAGTGAAGAAAGGTGGACTGCTGTTGGTTGAGCTGGTCTGTTGACGGAGGATGCTCGGTATTTGTCGTTGTGGCCAAGCCATCTTCCCTCGAGTCACCGTAACCGGCAATGAGGTCGCTGTAAGAGGGCTGGGGTGACGGGTCAATGGACGAGTGCAGAGCGGAAATAATTCGGGACCGGCGAAGTCGAACGGAGCTGTCACTAGACCGCGCAGATGCCCTAGTAGGTGTGGTAGACATCTTTCGAAGAGGGCCGATGTTGTCCAGCTCATCCTGGAGAGCCCTGCTCGCCATCGTCGCCATTTCAAACCGATCGTCCACTTGTTTACCTGAGTCCTTGGTTTCTGCTTCTGGCTCCTCCGGTGAAAGCACATGATCAAGCAGATCGTTGTACTCATTCCACACCTCGTCCTCCATTGGCGCGGCCCCCGGTTCTGGGATCACGGCGGTCACGGCAGCCAATGCGCCAGAGCTGCTTGACGAAGGCGAGCCCTTGTTCGGCGAGAAGTGAAGGAATTCGTTGTTTGAGTATGGTCCAGCCAAAAAGTCCAAGGCGCTTACTTGCTCGAGGGCACTGAAAGCCTGGTTGATACCGTAACGCCAATCCGTGTGGGTGTTCGAGGAAGTTTTGTTGGGCTGGGAAGATTCATATGAGCCATCCATTACGGCAGCCAGGAGGGAAGGTGATTCGGCAACGCTGAACGGCCTTGAGAAAGAGTGCATCGCGGGTCTATGCTGTCTATCGCGTCTTGAAACCACCTGCGGGATCCGACCTACCGAAGCCAGTCGTCTTGGTCGAGTGTTCTCAGGGCACTTTTCGGGCTCTGCGCCCATTAAGTTGGTGTTGAACAGCGCAGTCTTTGGCGATGGACGCTCATTCGTTTCGAATTCCCCTTGCAGTTTCGGGAGAGATGGGAGCAAAACCGACTCATGTCTCTTCCTGATATTCAAGCCCGCAGGCACCTCCACTGGCGCGGGGGACTCTTCGTCTTCTGTTGGTGGTGACTGCTCAACCTTGTTGATAATGTCGTCAAGCGAGTCTGTGTCTGTATCCACAAGCGCGTAGTGAGCAATAGGCCGGCTGTTGATGACTGGCGAAATCGCGGCGTGCAGTTGCGCAGTCTGGAAAGCAGGCGCAGCTGGAGCGGAGTTCTTCTGCTTCTGCTCGTTTGCAACACGATTTCTTTGGAAGAAATTCCACCTGGACGATTTTCCTTTCTTTTCTTGATGATATTCCTTCTGTTCTGTGGGCTGCTCGAGGCGCTCAAAAGACGGTTTGATGGCGGTCTTCGGCTGGCTTGAAGCCACAGACTTAGAGTCACGCTTGGAAAGAGAGGTGCGGGTGGTAGCGGCCTCGAGATTTGCGAATATGCCATGCTTCTTGCTCTTGGGAACAGGCATACGGGACTTTTGCTGAGAACGAGCTGCAGCTGGTGGCTTTCGCTCGGGGCTCTTGCTTCGAGTCGGTCCGAAACTAGTTCCCGAGTCACTCGGCGTGTCAGTCTCTCCAAGTGTCCCAGTGGAAGTCGCCAAGGAGTCGGTAGATTGGCCGGTGGACGATGCGAAGAGAGGAGGCCGAGGCAGGTTTGTAGTCGATGCAACGCTGATGCTGCTCGCACTCTGTTCGCTTTGCGTCCGCGACAACGTGGTTCCATCCAAGCCCCCGCCGTTGATGATAACCGGTTCCAGCCGGCTCATCAAAAATTCGTCGATATCGAGCTCCGGCCGACTCGACATGCTCCCTTTGCTACTGGACACAGACCGGGCAGTGGTGCTGGTGGATCGGGTTCTGGTCCCGCTGCTGCTGCTCGCGCTTGTCTTCCGGCCGCGCTGGGAGTATTTCCCGTAGCCCTCGTGGCCGGTTCCCGCCGCTGGTCCCTTGCGAGCTGGTCGAGCGTGGTCGGCAGAGCTGTTGTCCATGTCCGGCTTGGATTTCTTGGGAAAGAGACCAAATCGCTTTGGGGTCGTTTGCTTTTTCGGGTCGGGTTTCTCTTTAATAAGTGTTCGTGGCGATTTCCGTGATGCTACGGGAGACCTGGCCTCTCTCGGGGGAATTCGAGACACCTGTTTAGAGCGTAATGAGTCGGTGGATGCAGCGGCAGACTGGTTGGGTGCCGGATGCGAGTGGTCGGTTGTCGAGAGCCTTTCTGCGGACTCGCGTCTGGTGTGGCCTGTGGACTTGAGATATGGCAGATTGCTTTGCACGACCGGGGAGGTCTGCTGCTCCAAACGATGGGTCCCATCTCTGCTCGGGCGTGGCGGGGTGCGAGGACTCGTCGTATCAGGAAGAGCAGTAATTACCCGCTGCGACTCGTAGAAACTCCTCTCAGCCTCCTCCACCTCTTTGCGTGCTTTTTCAACATCAATCTCCAACTTCCTCAACGGACTAAAGTTGATGGATGATTTCCGCGGCGGAGGACTGCAGGGAGGACCGCGAGGAATCGTCGAACTAGTCTTGGGATTCGCTTGTCGCTGCTCGCCCGCACTGGCTACTGTGCTCGACCCCGAGGATTTGCCCGACGTCGCTCTTTGATGCTTCCTCGGCTCTGCTCGATCACTCTGTGGACTTGCATGAAGTGCTGGCGAAAACACCGGCAGCCGTGTTTGGGAGGGGCTGGGTTGTCTGAGACGCCCGACCTTTGCCGAATGCACGATACCCGGAGAATACGAAGAAAGTGATGTCGGTGTTGACCCTCGACTCCAGATCCCCGGCGACTCCGAGTATCGGGTCGAGGGAGTGCTTGCAGACGGAAAGAAGGGAGTAGGCGGGGGAGGCAGGTTCTGGGTGTCGATAGTAGTCCTAAGGCTTGCGAGCTCTGCCGGGCCTTGACTCTTTGCATTTTCCACTGAATTAGGCTCGGCTTTCACGCCTGTTCCATAAGACAAAGTTGAAGAACCGGATTGGGGTGGTTCCGGGAATGTAGGTATTTCAAGATCATTCGTTACATTCGACTGAGGAGCCGGGGGGATGACCAGACTCAGGCTCTGAGACTGAGTTTGTTCCGCATGCCTTCCAATTGTAGGTGCCTTCCTGCGAAGAACATTGCGTGGTCGTTTGGCAGGGGTTTGGGAGGCGGCCACGAATGCAGACGGGTTGTTAACCTCGGGAGTCGAGAAAGACACGGGGTTGCATTGGAGAGGGTGCTGAGGCGGGGTGGATGCCACCGGCGAGGCGGCAGATGTTGAGCCACCGGTGCTCGGACGCGGCAGCATAGATTGACGATTTGTGCGAGCGGTGGTTTGCTTCGCTGTTACCCCCGGCGCATGGCCCGTTCCTTCAGCATCCGAGAGCGATGACGCCCTGCTGCTTCTTGGAGTGTGGTTGAGAGGTCTGGCAATAGGAGACCTTTGGTATCGAGACACATAGGCAATACCCGAATGCGATGCATCTGCGGGTTGAGATAGGGAATCTTTGGACGGCATACGCCGGCCAGGGTTCTGTGGCGGCATAGTGTGATAGAGACTCACGTCCTTGGTTCCAGACCAAAGTTAGAGAATCAAAAAATAATGGGTACAAGTGCTTGAATAGATCAATCATCACGCATCTAAGCGGTCATTAGGTCGAGATCAGCGGTACTGGGATCTATCAGCCTTGTATAGCTCGGGGAGTGAGTTCTCGACTCACCACATCGAATTCATTGCAGCATACTTCGTAGTATCATAGACAGCTGGCGCGTGAAAATGCGAATGAATATCACATAGAACAGTCGAAAATGGAGAATCCAGAATGTAGAAATGTCGCAGTCAAGGGTATATCATCAGACGATTTCCAAAGCAACTATAAAACCAATAGACATTAATCATCAAGACATTAAGAACGTGACTGAAAAAAAAGAAAAGCACACAAAAATCCTCGGCAACGTCAGAATTAAAAGAGAGCAGTCACCGACATTGTTGAGTCGATCGGCACTGTCGCTTCGCCACAGTCCGGAGTGTGGCGCCCGCTTGTCAGGTTTTGGAGCCACGTCAGTGACGGATCCATCGAACGGAGATTGTATTGAAAGAATCGAATAGAAAGAGAAAGAGAACAGAATGAAGAGTTATAATATGAAAATAATAAGAAAAGACTGGAACTCCAGACTTTTTGTACGTTTCCCCTCGATAGGTGGGGAACCCTCGAGGGCCCAAAATGCACAGAGTGGCATCCGAGAGATTTCACAGAATCACGGGACTTGAGGATATCATTGGCGAAGGCATCAGTGACTCTCCCGTGACGAGGCGACAATACAAACGCCCGCGAGCCTGTCAAGAGAGACCAGTGGAAGGATGACGGTGTATACTGTGACAGGATTGTGCGGCTGCAGGGAACCCACTCGGGAGATATCTTTGGCTGGAGAGTAACTGTAATATTAGAATTATAATAATTATCAGTATTATAATACCCATACTAATCATAAAAAGCACGCTCTGACTGTGGAGCGAAACAAGGATATCTGCATGTCCCAGGAATTCAGCTGGCGATGGCCGGAGACGCCGAAACTGTTGGGATTTGTGTGCTGTCAATATAATATTCTTATTGTAATTATCTTTATATTTATATTTATAATAATCTATGGTGTCAACGTGCACGAGACTCGGAGAATTAATAGGACTATACCCATAGATTCCTCAGGAAGTCGAATGTGACGAGTCATCCATGGATGCCTTGACTGGTTCAGGCCCGACCCGAGCCTTGACATCGTCCCATATTCCCCGACCAGAGAAAAACAACGCAGTGGAGATTTCATCTCATCTCATCACGACGTTAGCGTCTGAACACCCTTTCCTTTCTCGACCCATCAGAGATCAAGAAATCCCCCCGGTTGGCACTGGCCTGTGAAGGCTCCACTTTTGGCCGATGAACAGGTTGTGGGCATTCGCTTTGATGGTCTGGGAGCCAAGTGGAGCCGGCGGTAATCCCAGCAATCGTCAGTCATGACCAGAAGCCACCAACTCTGGACTTGTCTGTGGTTTATAAGTGGTGTCTCTGGTCCTGCCGACACTTGTGTTCAATCATCTTGAATGGTCGACAAGTGTTCACTCGAGACATTCATGCGATTCATCGATTCACGTTCATTTCCATGTCGATCGGAGTCGATCGGGTCTCGAGCGACGCAGGAACCAGCGACTAATGCACTTTTCAGCTGCCTCTGCTCGGTGGGATCTCACAGACCCGCCACTGGACAGTCGTACTGTCCATCCATACATCCATGGATATCGACCAAATACCATACTTGGGGTTTTATTTTCAGATAACACCTACTATTCACAAAATGCCTTGAATTGCCTAAAACGTATATTAAAACAGATCGAATGGAAATGGTTGACCCTCAGATGAATTCCCCGTAGCATCTCACACACAAACGCCCGTAAAAGACCTGCATATCAGAAAGAGCCAGTGACACGAAAAATGCCCCCAACCACTCAGGCCGCAGTTGCGAATCGTTTCTTGCGAGCCTCCATGGCCGAAGCATCCTTCTCGCTCCAGTTCTTCTGACCAACGTTTCCACCCTGGGCACCACCACCACCCTGGGCACGGCCCGAGCCGTTGTCGCGCTGCCGGTTGTGGTTCCGGCCGGCATCGCGTCGCTTGCCCCCGCGTCCCCCTTGGTCATTGCGGGATCTCTTGCGGGACCGTTCGTCGGGAAGAGCCTCGTCAAGCCCCTTGACACCCACGTTATCCTTGCTCTCGACTGCCCCACCGGTCCCGAAACGCTTCGCTCGCTCCAGCTGCTTCTCGGCCTGTTTCAATGCAGTCTCCTCATCCTCGACAATGCCAAACTTCTCGGCGCGAGCCTTGCGCTTGCGCAGCTCCTCCTCCAGCTCCGAGGCGGGAAGTCCGCGGGTGAAATCCACGGCAGGCTTCTCCTCGGCCGCAGTTGCAGCTTCAGGCTGGCCGGTTGCGCCAGCCTCGCCCGTCGATTCGACCTTCAGGTCATCGGTGGCGGCCGGGTTGGTATCGAGCTGCTGGTTGGGAACAGCGACGGGGTTGGCCACGGCGCCCGTGCCGCCCGCAGCAGCGGCAGTTGCGTCGGCGGCGGTTGTGGTGGCGGGCTTGGATTCGGCGGTGGGCTCGTCGTCCCAGTCGATGACATCGTCAGCGGTGTCGGTCTTGGGGGGGTTTGCGGGTGCCGCAGCGGTGGTCTTGCTGTCGTTATCCTGGAGACGCGCGACCAGGTCGGCCTTCTTGCCCGTGTGCGGGAGGGAGCGCGCCTTGAGGATCTCCACCAATTCGGCGTTGGTCTTCTTGCTGTAGTCGGACATTTTTGTGTGTTGAGGATTGGTCTGGCTGTCCGGAGGGAGCTCTGCGCGAGGTGATGGTTGAGGCGCGCTCCGTGCCTGGCTTCGGCCCTACACCGCCTTCGCGTCTATTAAAGGGTATTTATTTATCATCGCCTTTCTGCTACTGTCACTACATTTATTTAACTGTCTCGCCAGAAATTATTCAGTTGCTCTTATTGTGCGTGGTTTGCTCTTGCCCATTGTTCCATGGGTCTAGGTACAGTTGACTGCCAATCATCCACTACCTGGTCAAGTGGCAGCTTCACTCAGGTGAATATCGATGTTTACATCTCTACAATTGAAGAAAAGATTTGAAATAAATCCTCTAAATAGCGCCGGGTATAATATTCAACTCATCAACCATAGAACCAGTACTCGGCCGCATAATCAACGTGGATCGTGACATTCTGGCCAGCACATGTGGACGGCGCACTCCCTCCATGAGTCACAACGCGATAAACCTCCTAATATCGTGTGTTAGAGAATGGCACATCCAAGCAGCGGCCCTCAGAAAAGCATATCACTCACCTTAAGACTGTGTCCACTCTTAAACCCGAGCTTCAGCCACGGAACATCACTGCTCGTATCATTGGCCAACGCCTTCGCCGGCCGCTTAGGTGCCACGGCCGATGCATTCTTTTTGGCAACCAGCCAAGCATCAGATCCGCCCAGCCTCAAATCAAAAAATGGGTCTCCAGCAGCATTGAAGTAGTGCTCGCCGATGATCAGATCGGTGGTGTTCGTGGTCTGTCCCAGAGTCGTTGCCAAAAGGGCAAGAGACCCAAGGGGTGCATGGCCCACCACAGGAACAAATTCATGGAGCAGGGTCAACGATGTGGATGCAAGGCACGAGGCATCGAAAAGGGTTGCGGCAGCACCAGTCGCTTCCGGTGTCGTCGATGCTTTGGATGTAGCGCACGAGTAGTTCTGGGTTCCCCGGCCCAGGGCAACGTATTTGAGGCTCAGATGTGTTGCCGGGACAGGGAGTTTGGTCTTAGTGTCGTTTAGTGGGAGGGTGGCGTCGGCAAGAGAGCAGCTCCCCAGACTGATGTGATCGAGTTCGCTGCCGATGCTGGAGAATGAGACAGCTAGGCTCAAGGGGCTGGCGAGAATGCGCCCTTGGGCCACTGCTGCAGCCAGGAAGAGAAGAAGGCTTGAATGGAGATTCATTAGTGAGGATTCTGAGAAGTCGACGAAGTAAAGAGGATCTCTGGGGGTAGGCGGAACAAGTCAGGTATTCTCACGAAGGAGATAAATAAGAAGCAAAAGGTAAAAGGAAAAGAATTAGAATAAAAATGAGGATGAAGAGGAATTGGCTTAGTTTAACAAAGCGAGAGTTCCAGAGATCGTGGGTTTCCGGACATAGAACAAAGAAGCGCAGTCCGGAGATTGAGATATATCACAAAAATAGGTACAGCTCTCATGATTAGGCCTAGTGGGATCTTTCAATGTCTGGTGAGAACTAAAGTGCCACCAACCCGACTCAAAGCAGCATCTAAACTAATCCGGGCTTACTCGGAAAGTTAGGGCTACTAAAAATGGCTTCTTTGTTGGCACCCCCACCACCTCGTGGCTAAATTATAAAGAATGTGGATAAAAGAAGTGTAGTTGGAAGATCTCTGGCCTATGAGAGCCATCTAATGTATAATCCGAGTGGATGTAACCAAAGGGGAGCGCCGTGTATCTGCAACATCCCCATCCTCGCTCCTTGCTAGCCGCCAGTGGAATTGGGCTTCCTCCACACGACATATCAGCTATAGACATTGGCCCTAGAATGTGTGACTATTCTCAGTGTAGCACTACTATTCAATCTACGATTGCAGCTTTAGAAGCGACGTATCTCAAGGTAGTAACCATATTTGCTATGTGCACCCGGTATGGTGGGACAAATTTATTGACTGTACCTTGCACGATTTATTATTATTTACCTTATATGGTTGATACTGGCTTCTTCAAATGAGATACAAATCAAGTGGGCAGGGCAACTCAGCCTCAAGAGAATTCTATCTGTCTGACACTGTTGGTGTGACATAAATAGTCTGTAAGCGCTTTCCTGGCGTCACAGATGCAGTGCGAGATATTCTGATTGCTTCTTTGCCCAACATGGCAAAGTTGTCTATGGGAGTAATCTCACAAGGCTAAAATTCTATTCTTATCCATGTGCCATTTTTAAAGGGAAAGAAAGAAAAGTAAGACTACTGCCTTTCTTGCCAATATCGTTGGATGTAGACTCAAAAACACCTTAGGCATTCAAGCTGACTCATCCACTCGATGTCTTTCCGCTTTAAGAGATCACGTGGACGGGTGTAGCTTGTTAGTCATCGTCTAGCGCGACTTCGCCGACGACTTGCTTTTTGCGCCAACTTCAGTTGCAGGACTTCAGCCACACAGCATCCTCAACCATCCTCGTTGTGGCCGTTTCTGCGGTGCTCAATCCGGATGTAGCTGCTGTCACCCCTACTGCGGTATTATAGGCTCACTTTTATCCTCTTGACTTGCAACTCTTATCACCATGTCTGACGGTATGTTTCCCTTCCCAGCTTGCCCTTCAGACCCGTACTGACTGCTATGGCAGCAGATATTGAGGCTGTTCGCCGGCTCCAGGCTGAGCGCAATGCTGCTGCCGCTGCCCAAAAAGGTTCAAGGACCTTTGACCCATCTGGTCAACGCACTGACAACTCGACCAAGGCCTCCCTCACGGAATCCTTCGATACCACTTTGTACGAGCGGGAAGGTGCGGATCGGTTTGCAGGCTACGATACCTCGATCGCCGTTGATGGCGATGAAGACATGGAAGATGCGAACGGAGGACATAACTTGGTCGGCCAGTACACCGCGACCCGCAGCCAGATCGATGAGATGGCGCACGGGAATGGTGTTGAAGAGGAGGATATTCTGATGGGTCGAGAGAAAGCTGCGCGTATCGCTGACCGCGAGTCGGACTACCAGAAACGCCGATTCAATCGCGGCCCTCTGACCCCGACGCGCGCCGATCCCTTCGCTGCCAATACCCATGCCAACGTGGAGGGAGATGGCCAGTCCTACCGTGAGATTATGGCCCTACGCGAAATCGAAAAGGAAGAAGAGCGTGTCCAGAAGTTGATCGCGGAAAGAAGGGAGCGCGGCGAAGATGGCGTGGTAGAGCACCAGGCCACGTTGAAGGCGGCGGAGAACGACAAAGAAAACGCCGAGGCTGGTTCAACTGTCGCAGTGGTGACTGGCCGGAAGCGAAAGCAGCGATGGGACGTGACTTCGGAGTCTGTTGCAGAGCCTACAGCTGAACAGCCCGCCCAAGCCCCGACTAAACGGTCGCGCTGGGATCAAACGCCCGTTCCCGGTGCTGCCGAGGAGGAACCCAAGCGTCGCTCGAGATGGGACCAAGCACCATCACTTACGGCTGCCACCCCTGTTGGTAACCAAGGCCTCGCCACCCCCATGCATCCGTCCCAAGGGGGTGCAGCTCTGGCTCCGGCAAGTTTTGGGACGGATGTATCCGGTCGCAATGCTGCGTGGTCTGATGAAGAGCTTGACATGATGCTGCCCTCGGAGGGCTACCAGATCCTGGAGCCTCCGCCCGGATATGCCCCTATCCGAACGCCGGCCCGCAAACTCATGGCGACGCCAGCACCTGTGGCCGGCGCTGCTGGGATGGGAGGGTTCATGATGCAAGAACCCGAAAGCATTCGTTCTATGGGCAAGGAGCTTCCGACGGATATCCCCGGCGTTGGTGATCTGCAGTTTTTCAAGCCGGAGGATATGGCCTACTTTGGCAAGTTGATGGAGGGTGGAGACGAAAGCGCCATGACTGTGGAGGAGATGAAAGAGAAAAAGATTATGAGGTTGTTGCTCAAGGTCAAGAACGGTACTCCACCCATGCGAAAGACGGCATTGCGACAACTCACCGACAATGCGCGTAACTTTGGTGCCGGCGCTCTTTTCAATCAGATTCTCCCTTTGCTCATGGAAAAGTCACTTGAGGATCAGGAGCGCCATCTGCTGGTCAAGGTCATTGACCGGGTGCTTTACAAGCTGGATGACTTGGTTCGTCCCTACGTTCATAAGATTCTGGTCGTCATCGAGCCACTGCTCATCGATCAAGACTACTATGCGCGTGTCGAGGGTCGCGAAATTATCTCCAATCTTGCGAAGGCAGCGGGCCTTGCTACAATGATCAGTACTATGCGGCCCGATATCGATCACGTTGACGAATATGTACGGAATACGACTGCACGAGCTTTTGCCGTGGTGGCGTCTGCCCTCGGTATTCCAGCCCTCCTTCCCTTCCTTCGCGCCGTCTGTCGCAGCAAGAAGTCCTGGCAGGCACGGCACACGGGTGTGAAGATCGTCCAGCAAATTCCTATTCTTATGGGTTGCGCTATCTTGCCTCATCTGAAGGGTCTGGTCGACTGCATTTCAGACAACCTCAGTGATGAACAGGCCAAGGTTAGAACTGTTACCGCTCTGGCTGTTGCTGCATTGGCAGAAGCTGCCAACCCATATGGTATTGAAAGCTTTGACGAGATTTTGAACCCTCTTTGGACTGGCGCCCGCAAACAACGTGGCAAGGGTCTTGCTGCCTTCCTCAAGGCTGTTGGCTACATCATCCCCCTTATGGACGAAGAGTATGCCAACTACTACACCAGTCAGATTATGGAGATCCTCCTCCGAGAATTTTCGTCTCCGGACGAGGAAATGAAAAAGGTGGTCCTGAAGGTGGTTTCCCAGTGTGCCAGCACAGACGGTGTGACTGCCAGCTACTTGAAGGAGCATGTTCTGAGTGACTTCTTCAAAAGCTTCTGGGTGCGGCGCATGGCTCTCGATCGCCGGAATTATCGCCAAGTGGTGGACACGACCGTCGACCTGGGCCAGAAAGTCGGCGTTGGCGAGATCATTGAACGCGTCGTCAACAACTTGAAGGATGAGAGCGAACCGTACCGCAAGATGACAGTGGAAACCGTGGAGAAGCTGATTGCGTCGCTTGGCGCTGCAGATATCTCCGAGAGACTGGAGGAAAGGCTCATTGACGGTGTTCTCTATGCTTTCCAGGAACAAAGCATCGAGGATATTGTGATTCTGAACGGATTTGGAACGGCGGTCAACGCGCTGGGCACACGATGCAAGCCATATCTTCCGCAGATCGTCAGTACCATCCTCTGGCGGCTGAACAACAAATCGGCCACGGTCCGACAGCAGGCAGCCGATCTCATCTCGCGCATTGCGATGGTCATGAAGCAGTGTGGTGAAGATGCTCTTATGGGCAAACTTGGCATCGTACTATATGAATACCTGGGTGAAGAATACCCTGAAGTGCTGGGATCGATCCTCGGTGCTCTGCGGTCTATTGTCACTGTGGTCGGTATCAACCAGATGCAGCCGCCCATTCGCGACCTTCTCCCTCGACTCACCCCCATCTTGCGCAACCGTCACGAGAAGGTGCAAGAGAACACCATCGATCTCGTCGGGCGTATCGCCGACCGTGGCCCCGAGTCCGTCAATGCCCGCGAATGGATGCGAATTTGCTTCGAGTTGCTGGACATGCTCAAGGCCCACAAGAAGGGCATTCGTCGTGCGGCCAACAACACGTTTGGTTTCATTGCCAAGGCCATCGGTCCCCAGGATGTCCTGGCTACCCTGCTGAACAACCTGCGTGTGCAGGAACGCCAGTCTCGTGTGTGCACAGCAGTTGCCATTGGTATTGTGGCCGAGACTTGTGCGCCGTTCACGGTACTGCCGGCACTGATGAACGAGTACCGCGTTCCTGAGCTCAACGTGCAGAACGGTGTCCTCAAGGCCATGTCGTTCTTGTTCGAGTACATCGGCGAGATGGCCAAGGACTACGTCTATGCTGTTACGCCGCTGCTCGAAGATGCCCTCATTGACCGAGACCAGGTGCACCGGCAAACGGCGGCCAGCGTGGTCAAGCACATCGCGCTGGGCGTCGTGGGTCTCGGCTGTGAGGATGCCATGCTCCACCTTCTCAACCTCATCTTCCCCAACATCTTCGAGACGAGCCCGCACGTTATCGACCGGATCATCGAGGCCATCGACGCAATCCGCATGGCCGTCGGCACGGGCGTGGTCATGAACTACGTCTGGGCGGGTCTGTTCCACCCCGCGCGAAAGGTGCGCACGCCTTACTGGCGACTGTACAACGACGCCTACGTGCAGGGTGCCGACGCCATGGTCCCTTACTATCCGGAGTTGGAGGGAGATGGAATGGATCGGCCGGAACTGACCATCATCATTTGATGATGCTGTATTTTGATGGAATCTGCTTCTCATGCTGCATAATTATTCCTTTTTTTTTTTATTTCTTTGCTTCATTTCCGTTCCAGGAAGGGTTGAGCAAATGCGAGCTGGTGTCTCTTTGATTTTGTTTAGGGACGTTCGGCGTGTTGACTGTATATCCATTCAAAAGTCGCTAGGGATTTGATTCGAATCTGATGATTTTAAACTGATGTGATTTCTGTAGTATTCGTAGTCGAGACTTGAGTACTTGAGTAGTTAGTATAGTTGAGAGTAGAAACATGAGGTATTGATTAAAATCTATCTCAGAAGACTGTGATCGCCACATCGAAAAGCAGTTTCTTTGTTAAACTCAATTCCTTCATTTTTAATCCAACTGACAACATGTAAAAGGTCGATCTACACAAATAAGAATAAGCTTGATTTTTGTCAAGTCGATCGTTGACTTCTCAGGTTGGGGGTGTTGCCAGAGACCCTGGATCATCGACAGCCAAGCATGTCACGAAACAATGGGGTAGGGATCGCTAACCGGCCGACAATCATGTCAATCACCGGACTATCTTATTCCTGCTTGGGAGCAAGTCTGGGGTATAGTAGATGTGGGATATTGAGATTGATATTGGATCGAGGGACATTTACTTTTGAATAGTTTATTGATTTGCTAGGGTTTCTAGGTTAGTAGAGTAGTAAATTGTTGCCTCAGGGGTTGGGCACTGTTGTTAAGAGTCAACAGTCAAAATAGGGGGAAAGACGAAAAAGAGAGCGAGAGTGAGAGTGAGAGAGGGTGGGGGGAAACCCTCGAGTATTCCCCCCTTTTTCTGGATGTGATTTAATCGCTCACCTCGCCACCAACAAAATAGAAAGAAAATATAAATAAAATAAAATGCGTAAAAAAGCGTAATCAGGGACTCACACACACACCTTCCAAGCAATTCGTATCAATCCTTAGTCCATTTCGTCTAGGTAAAAAACTTGCGTAGGGGAAAGCCCCCAAAGTTCGGAGTGCACGCACGCCAAGAAGCGCCAAATGCCTAAGCTTGCTGTGGGACGGGCTTGGCGCCGCAAGTGGCCGCGTCAGCTCCCCCATCAGCCATGTCAGGCGTGGTTCTTGGCTGTGGGGAATTTTGGGATAAATTACACAGGGTCTTTTTTTTTTCTTAATATTATTTTCTTTACTTATATCATTGTCTTATTCTGTGATTCTCATTCCTAGCTTTTGGGTGGTAGTAAAAACTTAGAATTTAAGAGGGTTATCTTAAATTATGAGTATAACTATTGCTAAATTCGAGAGTATAGAATATGCTGTATATGGATATGGATTTGTAGGGCAACCTACACACAGCCTCCCCCTGAACCTGAACCGGGGAATGGAGAGAGAGCGACCTTGCTTGGGTCTGGATGAAAGGTGCCCCAAGCATCTGGAGACGCGATAAGGCCGTTACACGGGCCATTGCCATGGGCCCACATCTTTTTTTTTTCTTTGTCAGGAAAAGACCTCCGGAATTATAGAGGAATCTTGCTATAATAAATAATAATAAAATGCTCGAATATTATTTCAAGGTTCTATTAAGATATCTAATCTACATTTGGTATCATGCCCGGAGGATCAGGGTTTTAGAGTTTTTGAGTTATTAGGGATTCGAACTATGCGAACTTGCTAACTTGTTAACTTAGCCTTACTCCCTTTTTTTTTTCAACCCTCTTAGTGTCTGTTGGGAATCCATCGAGCTGCAAGGCCCAGAACAGTTAGTTAAGACAATAAGATCCTCTGGATCGTTGGATCGTGGAGGCGCACTTGCAGGATTATGGACTCCACTGAGTGCACAAACACTAGATTAAGAAAGTGAAAAAAAAAAAAAAAAGAAATTTTCTACTGTACGCAAAGGTATAGACATCGCGTGGGATGTACCTGTCGAGCATGCGAGATACCGAGTTGTCCTCGGATTCATGTGAGAGAAGTCCTGTTTTTTTGCTTTTCTTCCTCAGCCAATCAGCCTACCCTGCAGGGAATGGCGCAAGAGAGGGGAAAACACGAGAGTTGATTGGAACCAGGTCAACAGTATGTGAGTATGTGTGTGTGTCAATGCTCTTACTCTCTATTTTCCCCTCAGACTCCGATGTTTCCATGTTTAGGGTAGATTCGGTCGCAAGGGATCATAGTCCCTGCAGCCCCCTCCCCCTCCCCTCTATATTGACTGGGGCAGCGAGGGAGTGTAGTAAATAATTATATTTATAACATTATAATTCTCATACGAATACAATAATTAGGGAGGTTATTTGCAACCAGCCTCGCCTCTAGCAATTTCTTTCTTAGCCGTATGGAAGTATATACAGTAAAAATCGATATCTTACTATAGTAGGTAGTAACACTATCGGCCATAGTTCTGCGCCCGGCTTGCGAGGCCTCTCTACCCAGTGACATACGCCAAGCAGAAATCTCTCTACTATGCCTACTTTCTTTCTTGCTCTTGCCAGTGCTCAGGCCAGGGGAGGAAGCTTGGTTCGGGCGCGGGATTCGATCTCACAATATCACGGAGTACACCGAGTGTGGATTCTCAGGTCAGATTTGTGGCGTTGGGCCGATGGATGAAGCCAGGGAACTGGAACCAGGGACCCCTCTATACTACTGTCCAGTAAATACTGTAGTAGTCAGTGAGTATGTGGTGGGGGTCAAATCAAGAAAATGCATGTATACTACAGAGTGTATGTACATACTCGTGGCCAGATGACATCGCCGTGCCATCTCCGAGTTTCCCCGTTGGTTAGCCAGGAACTCCTTCGTATGTCAGACTCCAGACACGCCAAACGGAAAATGAGTCCGGCTATGGATTTTGTATGTATGTACAGTAGAGAGCAGAAAAAAGCCATGTTTGATTTTATTAGCGTGAGATGTGGCCATGGGAATCTCGAACCATTCAGGAGGGGAGAAAGAAAGAATGAGAGCCAGTCAGAAGGGAAGGAAATCCGAGGACAGAAAATAGAAAAAAAAAAAAAAAAAGTCGTTCAGGGCTCCACCGGACAAGATGCGCCGGGCGTTTCAGGGCAGAAAGTTGGCGTTGACCCTGGTGGCAGTGTTGCCCTGTGTAGCCCCCAGGATCGCACGCAGGGATCATGTTAGGGCATTTGCGGGGATTGAGGTCACGTCATACATTCATTAGTATGGATTGGGTACTTACTTCTCTGTTATGTAGTAGGAAATAATTATCAAGTAGAGTAGAAGTTCTATTTACTGGACTATTGATATCAAGTATATATCCATGGATATACAGAGATAGTTCGAACATCCAAACCCTAAAAGAAGAACAGGTCAGGACCACGGTTCTCCCAGACATGGTTCTCTCAGATTGAATTCTCGGGGAGAAGGGAGTACATACTCGACGCTAGACACTCGAGATTAGAAACTAGAGAGAGCGAGACTGGACACGTTGAACCATCAAAACGCTGCACGGGACATAGCACGCGTCAGCTCCTGGTGGGGTGACGATGGTAATTGGGCGATCCTACAGTGCCAAGCTCGGCTATCGACCATCTGCCGTCTCCAGGTGGAGCCGGTTGGAGGAGGTCTGCACAAACCAAAAGAATGTGGATTTGGAGGAGGGGGGGGGGGGAGGGGGGGGCATCCCGAAAGCCTTAGCTCAAGTTTGTTTCTATAGGCCATACTAGCGACATACCAAGTGGTGAGTGCCCTGAACAAACCCTAGTGGAGTAGCCGGTATCGGGCGTAACACCCTACACTAGTATATACATATTCTTGATTTTATTTTATTTTATTTTATTTTATTTTACTTTACTTCTTGAGGCTGGGTGGAGTCGAACATGGTGATTTAGCTCGTCTTGGACCTCCTGGTTCTTCTAGGGCTCGGGAATGAGGTCAGAGGTCAAAAGGGGGGAAGGACACGACGTAACCCTTGAGAAGACTGGGTCTGATTCTGTTGAACGTTCAAGGTGACTACTATGTATAGCTACATGGTCTCAGACGAGCAAACACAAGTACTTGGCCCTAACACAATTGCTATAGCTTTAGGTAATATGGTAGTGGTAGTATATCTGAAGCTACACTTGGTCCGAGTCTATATCTACTGTAGATACAATCCTCAATGACATGTGCAGACTGTTTTGGACAATCGGTGACGATCTGCCGTGTGGGAACCGCCAAGATCGGAACCCCATGCAGATGACAGACGGCCAGGATGGTTTGGCGAGGGTCGGTACCTGGATGATTGACATTCGGCATTGGGGCGGATCGTCACTCTTGAGATCGGGATAGGAATCCGTTGATATGAACCGTATACTTATCAGTAACTACATACTTCAGTAGGTATACCTGGGTTCTACAGTATGTTGGACGATATATATGAGGGAGTCTGATCAGGAGAATAAATCAATTCAGATGAAATTCTCCGATATTTCTGCGTCCATCTGACCGCTCTTTTTTTTTTTCTAATTATTTTCTTATAATAATTATAGTAATAATCATTTTCAGCGCATTTCTCGGGAATCTCAGGGTCGAGCAGAGTTTCAAGGACGCGTCATTCAACCCCTGTCACGTTGTTCCTGGGCCAAGACAAGCGGTCAGCGTGGGGACTCATGGGTTTTTCTTTTCTTTTCTTTCCCTTTTTTCTTGTTCGCCTCAGTTCAGCTCCACTCTTCCCGTGTGAGGCTTGGGCTTGGGCCTCGATACCCTGATGTTTCTCCTTGCCTATCCGGCTGTCTCCGTATATACTTTTATACTGTGTAGAGTTTGTTATACTTTGATATTGTGAAATGGCACTGCATTTTAGTGAAGTATTTTTACATTGTTTAACAGTGTTAACACTGAACACATATCGAGTATACCCCCAGTCATGCAGTCCCCAAAAATCAGCATGTAGTTCACGTTACGGAGGTCTTCCGGGGTGTCAAGTGGGCCAGACACGGCATGACTTGCAAAGAGGCGCCCAGATGCCCGGTCGCATTGCTTATTTTTCAATTTTCTAATTTTTCATTTTACGCTCTGATCCTTGGGGCGCCATAGCTGAATTTTTTCTTTTTTTTTTTTTTTTTAACTCGACACGAGTCGCGGTCGGGCAACTATAGCGAAGCTGTCCCAACTTGGAGTTTCCGAGCCCTCAGCCTCAAGCATGTCACATTATACTGTAGAATCTACACTGTATGTACTCCGTCCTCTGAATGTATATTCCGATACCATCGGATTGGATTTGGAGTCCATCTCCAACACATCGGTAACACCCACGGTTACTGCGGAGGCACACTTCCTCGATCCATGGCTGGTCCATTTCATGTGCCTTCCCATACTTACTACATCCGGGATATACTTGGAACATACTTGGATGGTTCGGAATGATTTGGTGGTTTCTGGAACGTGTTTCTCTCGCGGGCCTTGGTTCCACGGGAAAATGCGGAGAAGCTCATGGCTTGAGGGGAGTGGTTGGACAAGAGACGGTTTGGGATCGAAAAACCGTGGTTCTGACAGAAGGATGATTTCCGAGTTCTCTCTCTTCCTACAGTGGCGATATCGAATCTCAATCTCGTGAGATTGCCTTTCTGGGGTTTGCCTATCGGCATCTACAGTCTCTATAGTAACCGGGAATGTCTCGCAAACACATAGAAAAAGAAGAAAGAAAGGGAGGGGTTCATCCTCAGTTCGTCTGGTGACGAGCAAAGCTTAACCCTTGCGGTGTCGGATCTGTACCTCTGTAATTCTATAGAGACAATCTTTTTGTGATGTGTCCGATATTCTGCTGTATGCGCTAAGATAACTTTTCCCGGCTGACGTAGTGGAGGGGCAGCCTCTCAAGGCTGTTAGACATGAGCCATGACTCGTATGTAGAGAGGGTGATACAGGCCGCATAGGCTCGGCAAATGGACTTCCTGCAGGAAGGACGGTCTTTTTTTTTCTTTCTTTTTCCCGTTCATTTCTCTCCTCTCCCCGGAGCAAGTCCGGTGTGGAGGTCTACGGAGCGTATATCCTCCACCGTTCTCAAGGGGAATCTGGTTCCTTTGAGGCATTCAACTTTAATATTTATTATATTTAGTATAATAGAATACAATCATAACCCCCGTATAGTATATATGTATAGTATATGCATATACTGAACAATAATATTCAATAATTCATCGAGTGTCAGAAGCAAGGTACACGCTAAACCCTCTCTGTGCCGTGTCAAAAGCCATCTCCTTCATGGCTGAACGCCATTCCTGCGACATCGTCACTTTTTTCTTTTTTCTTTATTGATTGGCCAATCACCGCCCTCCCCAGCCCTCTGCCCGTGGACCCCTCCCACATTTGGGTTTGCCTTGACCCTAAGCCTCAAGGGGGGGGTTCCCGGGGCCCCTGTCTCTGGAAGGAATGTTAGAGAGAATAGAATAGAAAATGTAGACCTGAGCAGCCAGTTGATGAGTGCCTCATTTTAATATCAGATAGTAGCGTATAGTAGAATGTAATGGAACATAATATAATATAATCTAATCTAATAATAACGGGTATACCCTTGACGTATTGGGATCTGCTTCCCCGCTACCTTGAAACAGGCCGGGAGAAGTTGGGACGAGTTTATTTCTTGGCGTCTTTTTACTATTTACTATTTAATATTTAATATTTAATTATAATTACAATTATTTAGCGTGAACAGACACGGCACAGCTGGGCATCCACTGAGGTCACCGTCTGCTTTTTGGGTTTTCCTCTTTCTGGGTCCGATCGCGGAGTCTCCCTCGCTCATTCTTCGAGTACGATGGATGGTCGTTCTTTCGATCTTCCATTCCACAACCTCTTTGGGGTCTATCTCGAAGTGGTGAACGGTCGTGAATTTAGTTTAGGTATTTAATTTAATTTAAATTGAATTTATTGAAATTTTTGGTTTCTATTTCGAATCTTGAACCAGTCAAGTATCAACCAAAAAAAAAAAAAAAGAAAAGAAAAGAAAAAGAAGAAAATCAGGGTCTTGAGGAACTGGTTTCCTATGGAGGGCCACAGTTGGCACTAAGCAATGCCTCCAATCCTGCAAAATAAAATAATTATAATAAAATATAATTAAATGGAATAAATACAAAATATAATTAAATAAAAGAGTAATCTTACCGTAATATTTCACCGATCTGCATCCCCCGACGGCACGTCGTCAGTGGCACTCCCAAGCCCATCGCATCTATTGTTTGTCCCTTCATAAGCTTCGCCGATCCCCTTTCCCCAGACTACTCTTCCTCTCTTTTTTTCCCTGTCGGGTTCAATTAAAACTTCTGATCATCGGCTTATCACTTGCTGTTTTCACTCTCACCCCCCCGGATCATCCCCAGTCGATCAGTCCGAACTCCCCTCCTCTTCCTCACCCCTCCAGATCGCAAACGATCTGGCGGCTTCATATCGATCTTTGTGTGTGTGTGTGTGTAACCGCGCATTTCGCCTCGCGATTCCCGGCGAATCCTCTACCCTCCATGACGATGGTCATTGAAAACCAAAACCGCCAGTATGGCGGCATGAGCTTCGACAATGTCTACCACCACAACCCGCCGCAATTCACAGATCCCTGGGCCGCCGCCCACACCTCGTCGCATTCCACGCCGCCCGTGTATGCGACGTCTATGGGCAACAGCGCCAGCATCCCCATCAACTCCGTCAAGCAGGAGGAAGTCAACCGCTCGACCCCCCTCTCCATGCCCTACCCCAATATCCCGGTGTCTGCACCGTCAATGGTCCCCGGCAGCAACTATGCCACCGCGGGCTATGGCCCTGAGGTGATGGGCATGCAGCACGATGTCCCGCGCACCACCTTTGAACAGGCCCCATCCTACACCACCGCGCCGCCGATGAGCAGCTTCGCGCCGCCCAGCTATGCGCCGGTGAGCTACGCCCCGATCCAACCATCGCAGGCCCAGGATGCGCGTCGCATGTCGCATTCGTGAGTATTCCGACCCTTCTACAACATTTCTGCCTTGGGAGTAATGCAGTTCTGACCGTTGCGATCACAGTGATGCGCGCGTGAACTCATCGCAGGCTTCCGCACCCACCTTTGGCGATGCACTCGATGCCAGCCGTGGTATGGTAGCTCTGAGCCAGGACCTGACGCCGCGCAACATCTACGGACCCCGTGGTGCGCGCGGCTCCGCCGACTCGTACGGATTTCCCTCAACGCACTCCTCCGCCTCGTCCATCTCCTCGGGCGGCAACTACCCCTACTACAGCGCCTCGGTCGGCTCGGTCGACTCCTCGGTTACCGACTACAGCTCGACTACCTCCGAGTCATACGAGTCGCGCACACTGCCGCGACCGGCCAGTCTCCTGGCTGGCAGTGCGCCACCGGGCCCGCAGTCGATGATGACCCAGTTCAGCTCGAAGATGCCCTCCAACACCCAGAAGAAGCACAAGTGCAAGGTTTGCGACAAGCGGTTCACGCGCCCGTCTTCGTTGCAAACGCATATGTACAGCCACACGGGCGAGAAGCGTATGTTCCCAGCACCTCTTCTCTACTTGAGAGTATCCTACTGACATTTCCCAGCCTTCGCATGCGATGTGGAAGGTTGCGGGCGACACTTCTCCGTGGTGTCCAACTTGCGCCGACACAAGAAGGTTCACAAGGGTGAGAAAGAAAGCGGCTCTGGTGACGACGAAGAGTAACGCATTTTCTCTCTGCATGGCTCTTTTCATTTCTTTTATAATTCCATTCTGCTCGGATTGCCGACTATCCTGAGCGCTCTCCCTCTCCCTCCAGCCTTGCGCCCACGCGAGCGCGCCGATATCCCACCCTCCACAGGGCCGTCCCCCCTGCCACCTCTCTTCGCGAAGCAGCATGTCCCAAGAAAACCCAACTGTGTTGGTCTTGGGGATGTGTTGCTCTGGCCGTCTTGTACAACAGCCTGGAAACAAACACCTCTTTGCCCTAATTCTCACTTATCTTCGAACTCCCATCAGCCCCCCCCCCCCCTTGGGAGACATTATCCTCGGCATGACCTGTGGTTTGATTCGGTTACAAGGGCCCTCTTATAAGGAAGGGAGAGCCATTTCATGATGCTTTTCTGATTTCCCCCCTTACGACCATAGAGGTTACCGGTTTTTCTTTTTATATTTCTTATTCTTTCGCTAGACCTGGGAGTCACATTTCTGCGTTTTCGATACCAATGGGCTTTGATGATTCGATCTTTTTTGTGTTTTGTTTGGGATACTTTCACTGTTTTTTGCAGCAGGCCGTTATCTGGGTTGTTTTGTTTTGTTTTCTTTTCTAATCTTCTTTTCTTGTGCCTTGCATGATCAATATTGCATGGTTTCGAGCCTTTTTTTTTTTCTTCCCTTCATTGTTCCGGCTGGATTCATGGTTTCTTTTCTTTTCTCTTTTCCTTTTTCTGCTTGTGCCTGACCATCGGTGTATTGTTCGAGGGCACTATACGTGCAAATATTGGGACGGTGTTGGTGCTGTGATATACCCGTGGCAATCGGTGCGAAAGCATTGTTTTCGGTGAACCTGGCGGGCTGTTGTCGCCCATGTCACTTTACAGTCGCTACTAGTAAAGATATTGTCTAATTATTACTGTCGGCATGTACTAGTATCAAGATGATCCAACCGGTACTTGTCCTTGGAATGGCTCTGATGCCAGCTAGATCCTGTACTATAATTTCGACATATTCTCACTTCCAGCCTGCTGCGTAGCAATCCTCTCCGCCGCAGCCCGTCCAGCCCGCCGCCCAAACACCGTCCCAGACGTCAGTCCACTGCCACCGGGGTAATTGTCGTGGAAGATGCCGCCGAGCATCTCGCCTGCGCAATATAACCCAGGAATGATAGCCTGCGTCGACTGCGAAATCACAGCGGCCGTCTCGGGGTCCACCGCCAGACCCCCGAACGTAAAGGTGATGCCGGCTGTAACGCGCACAGCGAGGAAGGGGGACGGTCGATAGGCAGTGCCCAGTTGGACTTGGGGATATCCAGACCGGTGGTTGCTAGTCCGTCTTTCACTGCAGGGTCCCAGCGGCGCAGACGGTCATCACCATCACCACCATCGTTATGAGCAAGAACAGCCCGGTTATATTCCTCCATGGTCGCCAAAAACCGCTCCTTACCAACCAACCCCACCTCAACACACCGATCCGCTAACTCCGCCAACGTCCCCCCAGTAAGATGACGCACCACCTCAGGCCGATACTCCTCAGCCCGCAACCACGGCGTAACGCGCGCATCCCACACCTGGAACGCCAGCTGCGCCGGCTGCTGCAGGATGCGGCGCCCGATCATCGCGTACGTGTAGTTGCGCAGGTCGGCGCCCTCGTCGACGAACCGCACCCCGTCGCGGTTGACCATCACCCCGAGCGGATACCCGGACTTGGTGAACTCGTTTGAGATCGCGCGGTTGCCGGTGTGTGGCGAGGCGTCGGCGTCCCAGGCTACGCTGTGGCAGCCGGACCAGTTGCCTGCTGCTTTGGCGTTGCAGTCGCGTTGCGCGATTTGGAGCACTTCGCCGGTGTTGTACGGTGTCCCGCGTACCCGGGCTGCGTCCCATCCGGGGCCTAGGTACTGGGCGCGTAGCTGTGGGTTGGCTTCGAAGCCGCCGGCTGCGAGGATGACTGCCTTAGCGAGGATGGTTCTTGTATGCTGCTCTACAGCGATGCTCTGAGTTCCAGTGCTGGTTCCAGCACAAACAACATCCACACCAACCACACTCCCCGAGTGTGGATCAACATGGAACCCAGTAACAGCAGTATCAAAAATAACCCGCACGCCAGATTTCCGCGCCGCACCCATCAAATCCTGGACCAGCCCCTTGCCCCCATCCTCCGTCTTCAGCGCAAGCCCACCCCAAAACTTCACCCGCCCGCCAACCTCATACGCCTGCCGATTAAACGACAGCTGAAAGCGCACGCCGCGGCGTGCAAGCCAGCCCACTGCTCCACGCGAGCCGCGCACCAGTGTATCTGCCAGCTGCGGGTCCGCGCGTCCGCCCGTCATGCGGTGCAGGTCGTGCGCAAAGTCCGCGGCCGAGTACGGTGCAAGATCGATGCGCGCGGCATCTTCGGCGCTGGTGTTGTTCACGAGCGGGAGGAGGTCGGCGAGGCCTGCGTGTGTGGCACGGAAGGCACCTGCTGTGAAGTAGGTGTTGCCGCCGGCCCAGGTTGCGGGGCATTTGTCGATTACGGTTACTTGGGCACTCGGGTTGGTTTCTTTGGCGGTTAGGGCGGCGCTGAGGCCTGCGTTGCCGGTGCCGATTACTAGGATGTGACAGGATGGTGGTGATGACATGGTCAGCTGTCAGAGGTAGAAGTAGAGGTAGAAGTAGAAGTAGTAAGAGCTAACTGGCATATCTATTAGCCGTTTGGATACGGAGGTGCCGATTAGGGCTGGCGGACCCCCGACTCCCCCACACTCCCCGCAGCGGGCGATCCGTACTCAACAGACCCCAGTATACCAGTATACCAGTAGATGATTGTACGCAAGTCAGATAATATTAAGACTGATGCTATGATACTCACTCCTGCCACGGCAGACATGCACAAGAACGCAGAGCCAGAACGCCAGGGGTGGGGGTGATCGCCATAAACAAGTCCACCAAATAATTACCGGGCGCGACAGCTCCAGGCATATCGCTGCTCCATTGACATCAAAATAATGCACCTAATGGATCCGGTCCAGCTTGGCCCGGTTCATGGCAATCTGGTCGTCGACGTAGTCGCTCTGCGAAGGAGTTAGTATATTGTGTATGCATTCCCAACACAAAAGAGAATACTCACCTTGCCAGTAATGCGCTCCAGATGCCTGTTCTGCTCGTCCAGCTCGCGACCCGTCGCCTTGGCGAGCCCGTTCAGCCGACCGGCGGCCCCGCCCAGAAGATCCAGGTTCTGCTCAATCTCGTCCTCCATGGCCTCGTCCTCGCTGTCGGCCTCGAACTGGTACTTGGCGCGCTCAGTCACGTTCGCCTTGCGGCCCTTGCTCTGCTTGGTCGCGTCGCGGTCGATGTCGCGAAACATTCGATCCATGCGCTGGCTGCTCTGGAAGGCCTCCGACCGCGTGCCCTCACGAAGATCACGCTCGGCGCGGTGCGTGTTGAGGATCTTCTCGTCTCTTTCGCGTCGGCGCTGAGCGCTAGTGAACGGGTTGGACACGTGCACCGCGAACATGCTCCCGCTGACGGTCTTGAGCTCCTTCGCCTTCTCTTGAGCCATCCGACCTTCAATACCTGCCATATCCAGACTACGTTCCGTGTCATGGATCCGCTCGCCCTGCGCGCCCAGACGGGCCAACGTGGTGCGACCGGTTTCTTCGGCCTGTGCTGCCGCCCGGAGTGCATTCCGCGTCGACGACACATCGCCCTGCTTCACAAAGCGCATCTCCTGCTTCATTCCCTGGATCTCCTCCTCAGCTTCTTCCTCAGCCGTCAGTTGCCGGTCCTGGAAAGTCGCCATGCTGTACTCGTTGCTGCCTCCACCGTACGTGGGGTTCGGCTGGCCCTCTGAGTAGGGCGGAGGTGCACCGCCTTGGGGCTGCTGCGGTGCCCGGTTTTTGGCACCGCCAAACAACGCATTTCGATCGGCATCCGCTGCCCCAGGGTCATTGGGGTCGGTGCTGCCTAGTCCACCGTAGCCACCAGAACCATACCGCGAGGCCCCGCCGGCGCCGGCGCCCGCACCCGCACTCGCTCCGCCGAACCGGTCACTACCGTAACCACCCTGGTTGCCGTAGCGGTTGGGAGTGTAACCCGAATACTTGTTGTCAGACGGGATGGCGTGGGGTCCTCCGGCGGGGGCGGGGGCACCGTTGGCGGCTGGGTGATCGGATGGCAGAGGGGCAACGCCGGCATTAATCTTGGCCTTGGTGTAAGGGTCCACGGGAATCGGCTGCGCGTAGGGATTCGACGGAGGGGCTGGGCTCTTGTTCTTGGACCGCGAGCCGAAGAGTGCTCGGCGGCCGGATTCTTCGTCGCCATCGGATTTCTTGAACCCGAATTTGCCCATGATGAGGATGAAATGAAACAGTATTAAGTGAGAGTTATAGTGGAATAATATGAATTGAAAGGGTATTGCAGGAATAAGAGAGAAGAGAAGAAGAAAATACAAGAAGAAATCGGTGTATGCAAATGTCAAGTGTTGGCAGGCAGGCCGTTTCAGGAGACTGAGCGATGGGTAATACCAATACCACTATAACACACATGAAATAAGCATCCAGGTCACATATTACCATACCAATACTGGTATGTTTGACTCAGCTGGGCTGTGCTCCTCAATGCAGCGATGACTAAGATCTTCAACTTCGCCCAAGACCGCGCCGCATTTCGTTTATTTTTGGCATTTGCCGTCTGCCTTGTGTCTTTGTGTCTGCCTGCGATGGCCGGGTCTGATGCTGACCACTTCAGGGACCAGGCAAGGAGGGACCTCCTGACTCTGCTCGAAGGCGTAAGCGCTCCTCAGTGTTGCCCTGGCGTCGGACGCTGAATAGTGTGCAGGCTCGGGGCAAAAAGAACCTCGTTATCAGCCAGGAACTGGCCGGTCCAGTTGGCTTGTTCGTCAAGTTCTCTGTCCTTCAGGAATACGGTGTTGACCGCGTTTTTTTGCTGGAAAATGCCAACGTCGACTCATCCCAGCGCAATGTTATCTTCTTAGTCCGTGGCGAGAAGGCCCACCAAGTCCGCACGGTAGCCGGTATGTTACTTGTTTCTATTCTTTCTGTTTGATTTTTTGGTTGATCGGCATGATCCATCTCGCTGTCGACGGCCTCATGTCGGATGGTGGGACAACAGTAGATTACGCAGATGGCCTTTCCTACTCTACGTAATCAGTCGAGATCCCTAGATGGAGATGCGAGAGCATGCGAGAGCAGATCATTTAGGTCGATCTCGAGCTTATTCATTTGGCTTTCTTTCCAGCCTCCTTCGATTGAGTGCCATCAGTATGAGCTGACATTTCTCTTTAGAACAAATCAAGCGCCTGCAGAATAATGGAAACGCGGACCATGAGTTCTCGATTTTCCTGGCTCCCCGGCGGTCCCTTGTAAGCAATGCGGTGCTGGAGCAGGTGGGCATCATCGGCGACGTGAACATCGCCGAGTTGCCTTTGTATTTTATGCCGCTGGAACAGGACATCCTGTCGTTAGAGCTGGATGATGCTTTCAGTGACTTGTATCTGGTAAGTCTGTTGCATCATTTCAGTATTCGCAAGAAGCTAACATTATTCCCATAGCACAAGGACCCAGGCTGCATATTCCTGGCCGCCAAGGCTCTGATGGGCATTCAACAGAGACATGGCTATTTCCCCAGAATCGTCGGCAAAGGAGACAATGCACGACGCCTTGCAGATCTGTTGCTGCGAATGAGGAAAGAGCTTGATGCTGAAGAGAGCTCCGGGCTGGCGGACCTCTCGGCACGCGGACTTCTGCCAAGTGCGAATACGGAGAACTTGATCATCATCGACCGTGACGTGGATTTTGGAACTGCTCTTCTAACACAACTGACCTACGAGGGCCTGATTGATGAATATGTCGGCATTCAAAATAACCAGGCAGATGTTGACACGAGTATCGTCGGGCCAGCCCCCGCGCCTCAATCCCAGGAATCATCCAAGACGCCCCAACAGGCGAAACAGGGACTGAAGAGGAAGATCCAGCTGGATGCATCCGACCAGCTGTTTAGCCAATTGCGAGATGCAAATTTTGCCATCGTGGGCGATATTCTGAATAAAGTGGCCCGCCGCCTGGAAACCGAGTATGAGAGCCGCCACACTGCCAAAACAACCGGCGAGCTTCGCGAGTTTGTCAACCGCCTGCCGACCTACCAACTGGAACACCAGAGCCTCCGGGTTCATACCAACCTTGCCGAGGAAATCATGAGACTCACTCGTTCCGAAACCTTCCGGAAGATCTTGGAAGTCCAGCAGAACAACGCCGCGGGCGCCGATCCCACATACCAACATGAAACGATCGAGGAGCTCATCGCTCGTGACGTCCCATTGAAGACCGTGCTGAGACTTCTGTGTCTGGAGTCTTGCATGTCCGGCGGACTCCGCCCAAGGGACTTGGAGAACTTTAAAAGACAGATCGCGCAAGCATATGGCCACCAGCATCTCCTCACATTCTGGGCACTGGAGAAAATGGAGCTCCTCCAACCCCGATCCTCGGCTACGGCTATGCTCCTCCCGTCTGCGGGCGGACAGGCCGGGACAAAGACCAATTACGGTTTCCTGCGAAAGAATCTGCGTCTGGTCATCGAAGAGGTCAGCGAGAAAGACCCTGACGACATTTCGTATGTCTACAGTGGCTTTGCGCCTCTCAGCGTCCGCTTGGTCCAATGCGTCCTGCAAAAACCCTACATCCTCTCCCTCATCAAAGGCGGCACTCCCGCGAGCTCAGTGAACACCGCTAGCACCGCGTCCCCGGGCTGGCTCGGCTTCGAGGATCTGGTCAAGAGTGCCCGCGGCCCCACGTTCAGTCTTGTGCAGAAGGGCGACGACAAAGCTGTTCGTGCCCGACAGACCCTGAGTGGGAACAATGCTACCAAAACGGTTTATGTGCTCTTCTTGGGCGGTATCACTTTTACCGAGATTGCCGCACTGCGGTTTATCGCTGCCCAGGAGGCTCCGCGCCGAAAGATCGTGATTTGCACCACGGGTATTGTTAGTGGTGATCGGATGATGGACGCGGCTATTGAGCAGGGTAGTTTTGCCAAATCGGAGTAAGGGATGGGTTTGAAATGCCAGCGTACGCTGTCAGTAATAAATAGCATGATGCATGATACCCTTTTCTCAAGGGCGAGTTGCCATGGCCAAAGACATTCTATGTCTAGGGTACGCTCTATTTGGTAGTTCCAATTCGTTTCACTAACCCACACCACGCCGAGGCAACCATATATCTCACTCATAAGCCATAACCCTCAAGTGCCCGGAAACTACAAAACTAGACCTAGTACTGGAATCCAGCATGAACCCCCATCAACCGACCCTGATACCGCTCCATAACCTCCCCAAGCCGAACCATCACCCCAGCAGCCAACGTCCGCACACGCTCCTGTGGATCAGCCGCCGCAGCAGCAGGGTCTGACGCCACGGCCCCAACAGGTGTCCGGTCAAAGACGGCAGACGCCCACTCGCGCAGCTCGATGACCTGCGCCGCGTACTCGGTGACAAGGCGCTCTTCGCCGTTCGAGCCAGATGCGATATTCAAATCGACGATGGACAGGAAAAGAACCAGCAGCGCGGCGCTGACGGTGGGCTCGCTGGATGCGGCGGCTGCGTGTAGAGAGAGGAGGAGTGAGAGCGTTTCGTGGGTGAGGCCTGCGAGGAAGGGGGTGTGTGGGCCCGTTGTGGAGAGTATGAGAGAGAGGGTTTGGAGGAAAAGGGTGAGGAGATGTGGGATGAAGAAGGGGTTGTAGGAGGGTGCAGATGATCTTTTGTGAGGTGGTTAGTGGAGATTGTACTTCGATTTCTTTTTACCCCAGCATGCAGAGGATAAGAGAAGGGACGGAAACTTACGAAGAAAACTGCAGCATCATGATCTCGAATCGGCCTTGCAACGGATAGAAGAATCCCTCGGCCAGCACCTTGTGCAGATCCTTGGCTGTGGACTTCTGTCGCTGTGTATCTCGCTGTTGACGTTTCTTCTCGACTTCCATGCGTGACGAAAACGTGCGCACTTTGAGAGCGTCCGGCCCGGTAAGAGCGTCGGCCGCATTGGCTGCCATTGGTTGCAGCGATGTCCGGGACATCTTGTCAGTGAGCGTCGCGATAGGGGACTCGTTCGCGCCCAGGTACATGGCTTCTAAGGTGGGCGATAGCCGCTTGGATGGGAACGAAGTGTCACCCGTAGATGGAAGGCCCAGTGCACGAGCATCATCCTCTCCATTTCCTGCTATCTCGCGAGCACATAGACCCAAGGCCGTGAGTACGGCAGACCGCTGGACCTGAGAGAGGTCGCCGTCGAAGAAGATGGCCGTGAACCAGCGGCCCATTTTGAGAGGCTGGGATACGATCAATGTAATCATGCTCTGGAGACGAGCTTCGTGGAATTTCGGGTGATTATTGTCGTTTTGCAAACCCACGAGAGTGAGCGCCAGCTCCTCGATTTGCTCGGCGAGTTCAGTGCCAAAGCCTGTCTTGCGTCGGATTAAAGATGGCGCCGTGGTGATGGCCAGATGATGTCTCTCGACGTTTTCAGTGTCTCGGAGAAATGTGATCAAATCGCGAATGTACCTGGATCTATAGTCAGCGGGACTGCATGTAGAGGTTATTTTGAGCACTGACACTGGCGCTGTTGGCTTGTTGCGCTGAACAAGCGTGGGATCCTCGTCGGAATCCGACGCATCATCGTCAGGTTTCTCATATGGAATCAAATCAACATCTTCATCTGATTCGTCGCTATCCGGTATTTCTTCGATGGAGACGATTTTGCTGGTTTGTGGTTGACTAGGGCGGTCTCTGGCCTTTGCTGTGCGCTTGGGCAGCGCATTTCCACTTCGTTGGTGTGTTGTTGGCTTTTGCAGTGTCTCGAGCGATTCCAAGGTCCCAACCGTATCTGTGATTTTGGCCAAACTAAGATACCAGTGCGCTTCATCGCTCTGCATTTCTTCGAGGTCAAATTTCATGGCCTTGCCTGGTTCTTCGATTAGCCCTGACATTCCCGTCCCCACCACCATGCCCAGGAACCGGGATTTGTTCGATGATGCTGCCAGTCGATTAGAGACAGCGTTTAAGAAGACTCCCGAGCGGCCAACTTCTTTCACCTGACTTGGATCTAACCGGTGAAGGTGCCCTGCAGCTAGAAGAATGACTTGTGTGTTTGCTGTATAGTGTCAGTTGCCATGGTTCCAAGGATGTATACGTGTCTCAAACAAACCATTTTGCACCATGCTAGGGACATGCTTGATGTAGAACTTGTCGCCGAACTGTTCCAAGCTGCGTGTGAGCAAGGACCTAAGTGCATCTGATGACGATTGTCAGTTTTATATTCCCAGCAGTAGAATGGCAGTCAGACTTACCAGGGTCATTGTACGTGGCTAGGAGAGCCCGCCGCAACCCCAATGTTTGGATTGAGCCACCTTGACTCTTTGAGAGCCAATCCATAACCTGGATCTTTAAGAATGGCCGATCACCGATTACCCCCGAACACAATGCTGCCACTCCCTTGATGACTTCGCTAGGAGAGGTTCGCTGCCCGACCATACCAGGCAGTTCACCCGAGAAGTGCTTTTTCTGAATATCCCGGAAGACAGCCTCAATGACTGCAAGCTGTTCCGTTTGTCTGAGATGGTTCAAAAGCAAGCTAAACTTTTCCGGGCGAGATTGGTCAAGTAGAAGGCCGGCATATATTTCCCTGACCAATTGATCTGCAATAGAATTAGCATAGGCTATTCACAAAGAAGCTATGGGGACAACATACCGGCATATCCAAGGCTCAGCGCTCGTCCTGTCAGCAAGGCGGCCGAGCCCCAGTCATTCTCATTGTCTGGCTCGAGCTTCACAACCAAATGACAGATGTTGCCACCCAGCCAAGACGCATACTTGGTACCATCGCCGACCCAGGAGATGGAAGATGTAGAGTCAACATCAAAAACAGTCAAAGCTTCGGCTGCGGTCGAGAGAATTCTGCCGGCGGCAATGAGCGACACGAGCTCTCTCCATGCGACTTGCTGGCGGGTTTTATTGTTATAAACAACGCAGATGTCGGAGTATAGACGCAACAAGAAATCTTTAGGCTCCAACAAAGCAGCAAGAAACGCCACAATATCTCGAATGACGACCCGGTTGCTCGAGTCTGTGGTTTGTTGGGCCGAAGCTTTGGCAGCAGGAATGAGAGATCGTAGCTGAGCCACCAAGGAGCCCAAACCGGCAACACTGCTCAGACACCTCAATAAAGCAGCTCGAGTCTTAGAATCCTTTGTCCTTCTCTCCTTTGCATCCAGTAATTCCCAATGATCCGGGATGGTGGTGCTGACTAACAACTGGAGGATCTGAGCGGTGGTGGGACTGGGGACGCGAAGGTCGAAATCTGTTGGCTTTCTGGAAGCATTGAATGGATCCAGTGCGTAAAGTATTGTAGACAGTTGCTCGCGATCAGGGTTGGACCTAAGTCCATCTATAATCTGCGACGATGCTAGATCATGCCGATCCAGATCCAAGCTGGGTTTTGTGGGAGTATCATTGCGGTCCTGGGACTCGGCAGTAGGCTCCAATGAAGACTCAGGGTCTCGCTTGACTGTTTTCACAGCCGTTAGAAGTCCCTCCATTGTTGGCTACCGAAAATTGTTGATGAAGAAAAGTGTCGGCGATTGCAATGTGTATGCGGGCGGCAGCACGTGATCTTTGTCTTATCCACCGCCGTCACGCTGCCTCATCCTCTTCGCCATTCGATAAACCGCGTTGCATCGGTATTTCTGCGAGTTGGTTCATAGAAAAGACACTCCTTGCCACAACTTCAATCAACAGGGGCATTCATCGACCGGAGCGTGGCTAGAACAACTACCGTTGATCTCAGACGCCAAGCGGGACAACATACCCGTCAGTTCGGGGGTGCTTGACTGTCATTTGCTTGTTCACATCTCCTATATCTTAGAATGGACACCTCCACTGTGGTTGTGCCAGACCAGCAGGGTCGATGGTGAGCTTAATCGCTTAATCCTCTTAAAACTTCATTGTTTCTATGCGCTTACACATAACAGGAAGCACCTTTATAAGGCCTTGACCAAGCCTGGGCCTTTCTCTGATGAAGATTGGGTTCCTGGTGCTGAAACAGTCAACGCGCTCGAGTCATCCAAAATCTTGTGAGACCATTTATCCTAAAACTGCATACTGTGTACTGACATTAAGTCCAGGGTGATGTACGTCAATCTAATGCTCTTGCTGTCCTGAATCAGAACCAGACAACTAACAATATTCCAGTGGTGCTGGTGGTCTGGGTTGTGAGATCCTGAAAAACCTCGCACTCTCGGGCTTTAAGGATATTCATGTTATTGACATGGGTACGTTCCCCCTCTATCTTGTATTGCCAAGGACATATTCTCACAATGGTCAAAAGATACGATCGATATCTCAAACCTGAACCGACAATTTCTCTTCCGCCAGACTGACATTGGCAAGCCCAAGGCTGAAGTTGCTGCTGCCTTTGTGCAGAAGCGGGTGAAGGGAGTCAATATCACACCTTACGTGGGCAAGATCCAGGATAAGGATGAAGACTATTACATGCAGTTTAAGATTATCATCTGTGGGCTGGACAGCATCGAGGCCCGACGCTGGATTAATTCCACCCTTATTGGGATGGTCGACCCGGAGGATCCAGAGAGTCTGAAGCCACTGGTTGATGGTGGAACTGAAGGTAAGAGTTGCCCTGACATTCATATATCTTTAGTTGCAAGAATATTTTATTAACACTTCTATAGGATTCAAGGGCCAGGCCCGTGTCATTCTCCCAACACTCTCGTCATGCATTGAGTGCCAGCTTGACATGCATGCCCCACGGCCGGCAGTGCCACTGTGCACTATTGCCACCATCCCGCGCCAGCCTCAGCACTGCATTGAATGGGCCCACCAGATTGCATGGCAAGAAAAGCGTAAAGACGACCCCTTCGACAGCGATGACATGGAACACATCTCTTGGGTGTACAACGCAGCCCTGGAGCGGGCTCAACAGTTCCACATCCACGGCGTCACTTTCCAAATGACCCAAGGTGTGGTCAAGAACATCATTCCGGCCATCGCATCGACGAACGCAGTGATCGCGGCGTCCACTACTTCAGAGGTGCTCAAGATTGCTACCTCCTGCAACCCATACCTGGAAAACTACATGATGTATGCCGGCGAAGAAGGGGTGTACACATACACTTTTGAGGCAGAAAAGAAACCCGACTGCCCTGTGTGCGGCAACCTCGCTCGGAAAATGGACGTGGATCCGAATATGACCCTGGGAGAGTTCATTGAGAGTCTCGGAGAGAGAGCTGAATCGCAATTGAAGAAGCCGAGCATGCGGACCGAGGAGAGGACTCTGTATCAGCGCTTTCCACCCCAACTGGAGGAACATACGCGGCCCAACTTGCAGCTCAAGCTGGGGGAGCTGTTGGAGAACGGTCAAGAAATTGCGGTCAGTGACTCAGCATACACCATTGACTTCCGCTTCAGGCTTATCTTCAAATGAGGCTGGGCTCTCGATGAGCTGTGGGACTTGAAGGAGCGTACGAAAGTGATGAATTGAATGATGTTTAGCCACGCTTCAGAACTAGAACCTGAGGACCTGTGAATACCAGAAACGGTCGCCTTTCCACCCTCCGTTGTGCTAGGCTTTTGGTACCACGAAGTAGAGCAAGACGAAATACTGTCTCCATGATTAGATATTTGACACTCTGTTACATCTTTGCTGATAGTTATACATTGAACTAATAGGATAGGTATCTGTTCCAAATGCCTTGGTAGGTATAAAAATGCCTTGCTCAATATGTACCCACAACCAGATCGGCTATTCGCTCTCTGTCCGACATAGAAGATTATCCAACAGGCCCTGAGCTATGAATTCTTCGATCCATGAACCGTCTACAAGGAAAAGCAGGTTAGCTCTGAATTATCCATCGATATAGATGAACTGGAAAAAGGAAGTATAAGCGCCCACTATATGGCAATTTACATACGGGACAGTGTCACAATAAATTAAAAAGGCAATCCACAGGTCCTCAGTTTACACTTGGAAATTTGTAGAATTCGAAGATAGCTGTCGGCCTTCTCTCTTGCAACACAATGGCCTGATCCAAACTCCAGCCTCGGAAAGCGAAGTTTCGAACTTTTGTAAATGTACACTCAAACGAAGCCAAACAGAAGATTCCAACGCCGGTCAATGCATTATATACGACGCAGCGGTCGATGACATTACGCCATGAGGTCATTCAGTCCGCGCTTCCACCGAGCACATTTCAGCTTCATGACCTTCACAGCTTCCAGGAAGAGAACATCACTGTCGAATTGGCCGGTGCTTTCAACATTGAAGATAAAGTGATCCCGCACCCGCCCCAGCTTGACCTTGCCTTGGAACTCATCATAACGCAAGCATTCGCGACTGACGGTATCCTTGAACGGATCCTGTACGACCGCCTTTTGCTCGCCTGCGTGGCCCTCGTATCCGCTTCCACCGCGACCAGCTTCTTGGGCTGTGACAGGCTCGAGGCCAATCACACCCTTGGGGAAGCATTTGGCAAACTTCTTGGCATCATCTCCAATGATGGGGCGCAGGATCTTGATGTCCGGAAGGAGACGGTATGTGGCGGTTGCCACGGGAGAAAACTTGGCGTGGTCCGCGCCAATGCCCTTGTTACAATGCATTTCGACGTCAATCTTCTGGCCGGGGCGCATTTTGGCGAGCAGGATCTCTGGGTGAACGGGCCTGATCGCACCCTCGTCGACAAAGTAACTCTCTTGGCGACCCACAGCGTGGAAAGTCATATCTTTCGCATAGACATGGGCGTTGTTGTAGAGTTTGCGCGGGTCCTGCTCGTTTTCGTCGGCTTCCGGGTTCTTGGTGCACTCCACGTCGAGTCGCAGAATGACGGTGTTGAAGTCACTCGGCTCGGAAGCGTTTGAACCATCTTCATCCTCACCCGGTTTTCGGAACCAGTGCATCCAGTTCAAACCCTCCACGGAACCCTTGAGCGGGACGAGACCCAGTCGCTGTGCGAGCACTTCGTCTTGGATCACGGAGGTGTTGTTGTGAACGAAAACACTTTCAATGGCCAGCGTCGGAATCTCGGCCATGAGGATTCGGCGGAAGGCGTTGGCGACCGCGGCATCGAGTCCGATCAGCGAGAATGAGGCCTCGAGTGGGTCATTGCGGTGGAAGTCGACTTGGAAAGTCTGCGAGACAAAGATTATGAGAATGCGAGCCTCCAGGGAAGGGTAATGAAATGCACGGCACATACGTTCTTGAATTGGTCAACCGCCCACGCATGCGACTCACCCGGCCAATGGCCTGGGAAGTCGGTGGAGGGGATGTTGGTAACGGTCTCTGCATTGATGTCGATGATCTATCTTTTTGTCAGTGCTTGCTGGGATATGGCTTTGAAGAGAAGCTTCTGAACATACCCGGCGACGCTGCTGCTCATCTTGCGACGGGACCAGAGGCGCCATGGTGGGCGATGTAGTGGATGGTGAAGTGAAATTATGAGATCGGCGATAAGAGGAATTTCTCGATTTTTGCTTTTGCCTGAGGCAGAAGAAGCTAGGCCTTTATTCCGTGCGCGGCACGTGCTATTCAGCGCTGTATTGTAGACACGCTAATCCCTCTTAGGCATAGTGTGGGTATTCTATAGTGATCACTGCGGCCAACCACAACGCGACTGATGACCGACCAGCTCCAGTGCACGTGACTTGGGCCAAAATGCGCGAGTTGCACCTTCTCGTCTTCAGGCTTCATCTCCCGCCGAGTCCAACCCCATTGAATGCGCCTGGACTGAGGATCCGCCATTTCCCACCCTACTCTCCGCTCTCCTTGGACCTCCCTCTCGCCATCCTCAATGGCCGCTTCTTTCGCCCGCCTGGCGGGCAATGCGCCCAAAAGACTCTGCCTCCGCCCCTCCACCATTCTTAACACATCCGTCCCCCGGCCCCGCTCGATAGCTACTACAGTCCCTCGCCGACATGCAGAGGCGACGAGCTACCAGGCCACCCGACTCATTCCGACCGACCCGACCTTCACGCATTTCGCCAACAAGGGGGGCCCTGAGGACCCGGAAGCTGCTGGCCTTGAATCCGAGGCCGAGGAGATCGACCGCAAGATTCGTCACTACACCGTCAACTTTGGACCTCAGCACCCGGCTGCTCACGGTGTGCTTCGGTTGATTCTGGAGCTCAATGGCGAGGAGATTGTCCGCTCCGATCCCCACGTCGGTCTGCTGCACCGTGGCACCGAGAAGTTGATCGAGTACAAGAGCTACATGCAGGCTCTGCCGTACTTTGACCGATTGGACTATGTCTCGATGATGACGAACGAGCAGTGCTTTTCGTTGGCCGTCGAGAAGCTGTTGAACGTGGAGATCCCTGAGCGAGCTAAGTGGATTCGGACACTGTTCGGCGAGATCACTCGTATTCTGAACCACCTCATGTCGGTGCTTTCGCACGCCATGGATGTTGGTGCCTTGACCCCTTTCTTGTGGGGCTTCGAGGAGCGTGAGAAGCTAATGGTGGGTATTTTCTGGATGGTGGTTGAAAACTCACGTAATTGGCTGACCCCTGGTTGTTTCTAGGAATTCTACGAGCGTGTCTCCGGTGCCCGTCTCCACGCCGCCTACGTCCGCCCCGGTGGTGTGTCGCAGGACATGCCCCTTGGTCTTATGGATGACATCTATCAGTGGGCCACCCAATTCGGTGACCGTATTGACGAGACGGAGGAACTGCTCACGGACAACCGTATCTGGAAGGCAAGAACGCAAGGTGTGGGTGTTGTCAATGCCACGGATGCACTGAACATGAGTTTCACTGGTGTCATGCTCCGTGGCTCTGGTGTACCGTGGGATATCCGGAAGTCCCAGCCGTACGACGCCTATGACCAGGTCGAGTTCGACGTGCCTGTTGGTGTGAACGGTGACTGCTACGACCGTTATCTGTGCCGTATGGAAGAATTCCGCCAGTCGCTCCGCATCATCCACCAGTGCTTGAACAAGATGCCCGCTGGTCCCGTGCGCGTCGAGGACTACAAGGTCTCGCCGCCGCCCCGTGCCGCCATGAAGGAGAACATGGAGGCCCTGATCCACCACTTCCTGCTCTTCACCAAGGGATACTCCGTGCCCCCTGGCGAGACCTACTCGGCTATTGAGGCCCCCAAGGGTGAGATGGCTGTGTTCCTGGTCAGTGACGGCAGTGAGCGGCCATACCGCTGCAAGATCCGTGCTCCTGGCTTTGCCCACTTGGGTGGCTTCGACCAGGTGTCGCGTGGTCACCTGTTGGCTGACGCGGTCGCCATTATCGGTAAGTCTTGGATGTTGTTACTGCCTGAGGAGCTTAGCACTGACTGGGATCTCTCTAGGAACCATGGATCTAGTGTTCGGTGAAGTCGACCGGTAAACGCGCCGCAACACAATAATGAAAAAAACCACCAAAAAGAAAAGAAGAATTGAACCGGCCCTCTTCGAAGACTCGAGGCTCTGCAAAAGAGGAATCTTTATTTTTCTTCGCGATAAACCCTTGGATCCCAACTCGCACCCAGGTGTACCAATTTCCCTTCCAGCTTCCTTCTCATGGCGTTGTTCTATTATGCCCTGTCCATTTCCTTTGTGTGTCGATTTCGCTGCTTCTCATAAACCCTCTGTATAGTGAACATCTGATTCTTTCAACACACATGGTTCATAGTGTACTCTTTTGCACGATAAGTGCCTCTGTAATCTGTGTCTGCTACTCAGGGGATCTCTGTCTTGGGATGTTAAGGGCCCAGCGTGGACGAAAGTAGGTGTATGCGATGGGGTCGGGTATGACCCCAAAAGGCGGCACCGATGTGGACCCGCAGCAAGTCCCGAGTTCAACACTGCCATCAATGCAATGGGCTAAACCAACCCCTGATTCGAATAAAGCACCATCGATGCTTTCAACACAGTCCTATATAGCAGGACAAATTCCTGCGCATCGAAGACGACGGGACGGATGTACCGAGTGTCGGCGAAAGAAGATCCGAGTGAGTTTCGCACTCCGTCTTGCCCGTTGACCAGACTAACCCATGACCCTAGTGCGACCTGCAAAAGCCTGTCTGTACTCGGTGCAAGCGGTATCCTCGGGGCTGTATCTATGATCTGAGCATCGTTCCCCACACCTCAAGGGCGCCCCGGCGTCGGCGAGTTGATGGACGCCGCCGCACGTCCACCGGGCCCGAGCATGCATACTCGTCATCCAGAGAGCATGTTGCTGCCGTAATCCACCAGCCCTGCATCAATCCGTCGCCGTTTCTGTTTTCGACAGACTCACGGTTCTACATGCACGTCTTCAGCACGCAGACCGCGCCCATGCTGTTCCCCGCTGCACCGGATTTCTTCTTGCAGCGCATAATCAGCGCCGCGCTGGACACGCCTCATTTGCTGTATGCGCTCTTAGCTGCCGCCTGTAGCCACCACAGCCGGCTTGTCCGAGACAAGAGTCTTGAGTCCCAGACCATGTGCTTAATGTTTACGAATCGCGCTATCTCGAGTCTGCGCGCTGCCTTGTGTGAGGACCAAGAAGCCATTAAACCGGAGACGGTCACTGCGGCTATGGCACTATGCACGAATGATGTTTGTAATGGGAATATGCCGGTCTGGAGGACGCATCTCCGTGGCGTTCTGCGGCTGCTGACGGCCTTGGTGGACCGGCAGAAAGAACCGGGCCTTGGAGATCCCTTCACGCAGGCTCTGCTGAAGTGGTTTACTACATTGGATTTGCTGGCAGGTCTGTCGGGTCTCCGGGCGGAATGTGTCCACGATGCCCGCGATGGGATGCTGGGCCAGTTATGGAAGGGTGCCGAGGGTCGCGTAGATGATATTTGCGGCTACTCGTTGGACCTGGTTCCGATTCTTGGGCGAGCGTCGCAGCTAATCCACCAACAACATCTGAACCCACTGGTCGGATATGAGAGCAATATTCACGACTCAGAAGAGCGACAGCAGGTGACCAGAGAAGCCGAGACGCTTGAGAAACAAATACTGTCTCTTCTTGATAACACTACTCCTGATTCCATCCTCGACCACAGCAACCACCTTCGTACAGAGCTGCAGTATACCAACCGCGCCTTTGCCTACTCCGCTCTTCTACATCTCCACCGTCGAGTCCAACAACTCCAACAAAATCACCCAAAAGTCAGAGCAGAAATTATCGGCATTCTTGATGCCGTGGCAAATATTCGACCCTTCTCCTCTGCCAACATCCTGATCCTCTGGCCCATCTTCAGTGCCGGCTGCGAAACGGAAGCTCAAAGCGAGAGAGAGCTCATCCAGACGCGGATGGGCAACATGCAAAGTCTAGGAATGGGAAACTTTTCTCGAGCACGAAAACTGTTGTATCAATTTTGGCAATCGGGCAGCTCCTTACCCTGGGACATTTATTTTGCACGGCTGGGGCTGGAGCTGGTCTTATTCTAGACTTGCAGATGCTCAAGCCTAACTAGAAGCGAATAGGATCCATATGAAGGTACTAACTATAATTGAATATTTCAAGGCCATGTATGCCTGTTTCGTCTCCGGGCCCAAGAACATCCTGGCAGATAAGAAAATGAAGACCATCTCGAGGCCAGGCTTTCAAAGACATGAGTAAAGCCAAAATCACAATCGAAAGAAAAGAACATAGAATAGAATATCAACCAGGTGTCCCAGTTGAAACGCACAATATACCATGGCTTCAATATTAAAAAGTGTACTAGATAACTGCGAATGGCCAGTCTCTTCGTTAAGGCATAACAGGAACATCGTCATACTCATCGCGTATAAACTGACCGAGAGCGCGCAGGCCATCTACAATGACCTGATGTTCTTGCACAAAGCCGATTCTCACGAACCCTTGAAAGTCGACTCCACCCCCGAAACACTGGCTTCCAGGCACGAGCATTACCCCAGTTTTTGCCTGCAACCGCTGACAAAACAACACATCGTTTTTAGAATTCCCCTGTCTGTCAACGAGCTTGATAAAGGCTGTCGTGCCAGCTTGGGGCCGCACCCACTTCACAGCCCACCCAAACTCGCGCACAAAGGCGTCCAAGGCACCAAGGTTCTTCCGGGCTAGCTCAATGTTTCGCAGCAGCAAATTCTCCACACATGGGCTGCTCAGCGCATGTGTCGCCACGCGGTCGTCGAGCTGGCCTACTGAGATCAGGGTATAGTCTCGGGCGGAGGCACAGGCATCGATGATATGGGGACTTCGCGATGCGATCCAGCCCAGACGGATCCCAGCTAGACTGAAGGCCTTGGACATGGAGCCGGTACTGATGGTTTTCTCGTACGCAAAATCAAGAATAGAAGGTGGTTGCTCTTGGGTCGGGGTTAGAGAATGGAAGAGTGGCCGATAGACCTCGTCGCAGTGGATGGTGATGTCGTGCATTCGGGCGATGTCCACGATTTTCTGGAGGATTTTGCGGTGGAGTATAGCGCCTGTTGGGTTCTGCGGGTTGCTTTTGTTTCGTATTGTTAGTATATACCTTGTGTTATATGTCTATATTTTTGCAGGGATCATACTTGATGATGATCAACTTCGTGTTTGGTTGGATCAACGCTTTCAACTCCTCCACATCCACTTGCCACCCACTCTCTTCGGTCGACTTCCACAAGCTCACATCGGCACCGAGCGACTCCGGTACCGAATAAAGTTGCTGGTACGTCGGGTAGTGGCAGATGACATGGTCGCCGGGGCCAACAGTAGTATAAAGAGCCAAGAAGTTCGCCTGGATTGCGCCATTGGTGACCAATACTCCATCTGCCTGGACGGAGTGCATTTCATCTGTCGAGTAAAGTCTCGCAATATTAGACCGCAGCGGCAAAGAACCACGAATAGCGCCGTAGACCTGCTTCTGGGAAAAGTCCACGAGGTCGATGTGCTGGCCGGCCAATGCCTGCAGATCATGGAGCGAGATGGATGCACAACAGGTCTCTGCGAGGTTGTGCTTGGCCTCGTTTTCGTAGAGATCCATCCACTAAGAAGAAGTGTGAGCCAAGGAGAGGTTTGGTGGGGGTTTCGTGTTAGCTTAATCGAGATATATAGTGACGACTTACCCGCTCGACGGCGAAGTCACGAATTTTGACCATATTATTCCTTGCAACGGGGCCTGGACTGTATGAGGAATTGTAGAATGGAGGAGAGTTAAGTGATCGAAGGGGCACACCGGGTCTATAAGTAATTCAATCCGACGTAGATTCCAGACACCGCTATTGGTCGGATCGCATCGATTACCAAGTCAGGAGTTAGGGAGACCCACCGGTACAAAGGAAATATCTATATATGATTTTACTACTTACTTTTAGGAGAGTAAATATAGAGCAGGCCTTCTTTGCAATCTGTTTTCTTAATCAGTGCCATCAAGAATGAACATTCTAAATAATAATGATACTGGGCAAAAGAGAGGAAACAAAGAAAACAATAAAGATGGATCATCTATATTCTAGTACATAGGTAAATTTTATAGTGGGAGAAGACACCTTTTCTGTATCACACATCAGGTTGAAGCAGAAATATTAGCAGTCTGGCGTCCCTAGCCAATCAAAGAACACATTCTCCCAATTCCCATTGTCATCTAAAGGCCCCCAGCGGACTATAGAGGCAAAGTAATACAGAGATAGCGCCATGGTCGATTCCCTATTTCCTACTATGTAGGTCGAATCCTTCCTGTGTTTCATAAACTCAACTATGGGAATTGCGGATGTAAATGGCACATTAAATGTACAGGATTCAAATGAAGTAGGAATCTCCCGGGGGTCATAGCAATCTCGCCTCACTCTTGTCAGTTGACCCCTGCCTTCCTTCGCTGCTTGCCCCATTGTTGTGTGCCCTGGACCCGGGTGTCGATCCCTCGTGTCAGACAAAAAAGAGTGAGCATATTCTTCTCGAATTTCCAGCTTGGGCTTTGTCTAAACCTGGACTGTATTGTTCTGGAATTGATCGGTGTTTAAGATCTGCATCGCCTGAGCGAAACGTCGTTCCCGATTTCCATTTCGTTTGAGATGGGTCGTTTCCCAGGTGCGTGGAATCTGAATTTTGATAGAGAATTCCGCAACGTCTTGGCGAGGCAGCATCGAGCGACCGGTCTTTTTCGCTAATCGAGATGTTGCACGATCTGAATTCTATGGAATGCAATTGACTTGACTTTCTAGTGTTCCTAGTACCTAACTGGTCGGGACCTAGAGAAGGCTGGAGATAGCACAAATGTAAATTTGGAATTCTTACTTCCATCTTTGGTTCCAGTGTAACCAATAGAGACCGTCAACTTGCAATGATAAATTTAAGCTAGAAGTATGCAATTTACTTTGTTGAGATAGCTATCCTGGGCCTATCTCAGAACTGATGGCCCATGACCATAAGTAAAGCTCGGATTGGGTCAAAATCCACACCCCTTCTTATAGAAAAGTTGTGTATCGCTCCTATACTGGGCCTTGGTGTGACCAACCAGCCTTAGTGAACAAGTACTTTAGGAGCTTCCCTGCTTCTGAATCCGTTTGTGAGTAAATTTATCTGATTACATACTTCTTTTGTGTTTGTTATTTCCTAACTTATTATTTATATATTAGCTTATGCTCCTAGATATCAACATATTTAGTATACGAGGACACAGTGAGCGGTCCCCCGTTTACGTTTAACGCTGTCCCTAGCTGTTTTTACCGCCTTAACTAGCTACTATCTATCTATAAAACACAGCCCTCCCTCCCCTCGATATATCGACGCACTTTCTCTTCTTTTTCCTTCTCTGCTACCTCCATTTTTAGCCCCTATTTACCTCTCTATATAGACTTATACACTGTTACTGCCCCCTCACAATCTACCGTAGATACCGCTCGATCCGTCGTTTAGGCCGTTTTGGCTAGCGTTAGCGGCGACACGATCTAGGCGTCTAGGAGCTAAAACCCTATCAGGGTCTGGTTTATTCAATCAGTTTTGCATTACGCTGGTTTCCGAGGGTCCACTCCATGGACTGGGGGATATCACATGACCGGAAAATCGGCACCCGTGGTCCGAGGTCTCGGAGCTGCGTTCTGAACTTCTGTGACGGATCTTCCTTCACCGCTCATTTTCCTTCCATTCAGGCAATCATCCATATTTCAATATTACCTCCGTCGACTCCTGCTCTGTTCACGATGTGGAAACCAGTAGTTGTCCCCTTTCAGAACTCCCAGCCTCTGCCTACTCTACCTACAACAGATGAAATCCGCGCTTGCACCAATGTTCTGTGGGAGACCATGGCCTCCAAGATTGTGGCGGTGAACGACAATGTTGTTGCAAAATATGGAGGTTGTATCAACGTCTGGGAAGGCCAAGCTTTGGTTTACCTTGAACGACATGTCCCAGAAGTCCCGGCCCCTCGACTGTACGCGATGTACTATGATTCCAAACAACTTTTCTTGATCATGCAACGCGTTCCTGGGGTGCCGCTGAATTCCATTTGGCCATCATTGGCGCACTCTGAGAAGGATGACGTTATTGCAAAACTCCAACTAATATTCGACGCAATGCGAAAGCCCGAGTGTCCATGGCTCGACTTTTTCGGAGGCATGGACGGGGGCGGCGTACATCACTACCTATTCTATAGCCAACATGGCGATGAGGAATTTCTAGGGCCTTTTTCTGGCGAACCTGCCTTCATTGCGGGCCTTGTCGGTAATTATAGAACCTTGGTCGACCGCAACAATCTGCCAGACTACAAGGCTCGCTTTTACGAAAAATACCTCGCTCGCGTCCTTCAAGGTCACCGGCCTACATTGACACATGGGGATGTTCAGCAAAAGAACATTATGGTCGCGGAGGATACAAGTCTCCCAAACGATCAAGGTGGGCGATCATTTGACATCGTACTGGTGGATTGGGAGAATTCCGGTTGGTTTCCTGACTTCTGGGAATTCTTTTGCGCATCTTACCCCCTTAATTTCCAGTGGGAAGAAGACTGGTCCTGGCGAGTCCAGGAGTTTGTTCAAGTATGGCCCGCCGAGATGGCCATAATGCAACTGATTGACAAGGATCTGGGTTGGTGAAGTATACTGGGGTGCTAAGGAGTGACAAGAAATAATAGGTCGGGGGCCATAGCAATCGACATTTATGGAATCTCAGGGGAAAAGGGGTGTTTAGCAGAGGAACCAAGATATGGCTTCCATCCTTTAGGAGGGTGACAAAAATGGGCCTCGCAGCGGCTGCATCACGAGTGGGCAAGAACTATATACGGCCAACAGGAGACGAAGGTGGAAGTAGGTCGCGCTGGTCGTGGACTGAGACACACATGATGCTAAGGCATCGACGGTGAGTGAGACGCTTAAACCAGCCTTAAAAGGCGGCCGTGCTTGGCCTCCCATTCACCGTTTTATTGTTATGTAGTATAAGATATTTCTTTATTTTTTATATATATCTAGGAACTTAGGATCAACCTATAAAGTAAGTAATTCATGATCAGAACCACAAATCTGGGCAATATCCTTTTAAAAATTAGTATCCAACTAGAGGCAAACTAAACCCTCCAGGGCTATGTATAAGGCTAGAACTAGCATGTACTCTAATCAGTAATGATTTTCTTTTCTTCTAGGATAGTTTTTTTTTCTTTGTCTTATATTTAAACTATTTTTCTAGGTTAATTCATTCTCTGCCTAGAAAGGTATATGTATTCCTTGCTATATAACAAAAGAAAAGCCTACTCATTCTATACTTTGGTGACTCTAATAATCCTGGATCCACATAAATAGATATGTCAACGCAGTAGGGCTCAGGCCCCACACGTGATCCACTCAAGAAACAAATTTTTTCCTACGACTCTGGTCAACTTCTGCAATGATTTGATGGTTATTGTATTATTTTCCCTTGAATCAAATCCTCGACTTTTTCAACAAAACCAAATCATGGTTGGACAAGGATGACGAGAGCGTGGGTGATGCTAATACCTAGGGGGGCTTTAGTGCGCTTACCTAGGGACTAGCATGATGGAGTAGGCAACACGTTTGCCGTGTAGCTACTGGATCTAGATATCCTGCTTACATAGCTATGAGTTGCCCCTATGGCGCAATTGGTTAGCGCGCGAAGCTTATGTACGCATCCCCTTCGGGAAAATACATGCATCTCCCTCCTTCGAGGTTCGTGGTTCAAATCCGCGTGGGGGCATATACTTTTTTGTCTCGTCCTGTAATAGGAGAAATAAATTGACCAGAATATGCATGGATTGTATTTCCCCTTTAACCTTTCCATAGCCTAAAGTACATTTTTCCCTTTCAGACGTTCGCAATTAAATTAGGATTATTACAGCTCCTTGAGTAATTCACGCAGCACAATCTCTAGTCGCTCCACGCCTTGCAGCAACTGCCTTTCATTCTCCCACATAAAGCATAACCGCAGTCTTTGATGCAGGTTATTATTGACAGGCCAACTGCCTCCAGGAACAGCAAACAGCTCCCCGTTCCCTAGAACAAGATTCTGTCGTCTAAGGGCCTCCCGACTCACTTGGGAAGCGCCCAGTGATGCAGGAAGTCTCAGCCAGATATAATACCCGCCCGTCCATGCGTGATGCCCATGTCCCGGATCCGGGGTAAATGTTACACCCAGTGGCCCAAGGCGGCTCTGTAATGCACTCGCTATGGCGGTATATCTTCGACGACCCTCTGGAATGAGGGTATCGGTGATATAGCGAGGCAGAAAGTCAGCGTGAAAGAGCTCGTTGACGATGGTGGACATCAACTGTGACGGGGCGCCGCCCGAGCGGGTTGAGCCACTGTGGTAGTTTAGCTGTCGTTCATAACGAGAAAAATGAAACATGGGCTTACGCCTGGGAAAGCCCGTAGACTAGGCCCTCAGTCCCTTCGGCCCACCCGACTCGACACCCCGGTCCGATCAGTTTACTAAACGATCCGTTGCTGACGACGTGCCCGAACCGGTCTTGTGGGTCAGTGTCGAGAACACGATCAATGTCCACGAGACGTGGCAGGCGATTCTCTGGTGGATGATTGGAACTCGAGTTCCAGTGCAGAAAGTCGTACACGTCGTCACTGACAATAAGCGCGTCGTGTTTCCGAGCTAGTCGAACCAGAGCCTCGCGCCGCTCACGAGACATGGTAATGCCCGAGGGGTTCGAAAAGGTCGGAACACAGTAGATGACATGCTTGTATATCTTGCGGTATGGTCTGGGAAGCTTGGTTGGCTTGCGGGGGTATCAGAATAATTCGTCTAAAACAACATTGAACGCATGACAAGACACTTACATGACCGGTTTGACGGTTCCCACCATCGCTTTTATCGACAGCCTCCAACGCCTCTTCTAGGATTCCAACGTCCATACCCGCCTCATCCTCCGGAATACCTCGCAGCCGCCCATGGAACCCGGCATCCTCGAAAACCCGGAAGACAAGATGATACGCAGGTTCGACGAGCCAAACTGCCTGTGTGAAGACAGGATCCGTGAACACCTGCAATATACACGCAAGGTTCTGGCTCGCACCGCCAGTGATGCAGATACGGTCGGCTGGGATCGGCTGCGACGGAGCATAGAAGCCGGACAGCCAGCGCGCAATGTTCTGGCGGAGTGGCATATGGCCTTCGTCAGGCCCATAACCAAGCCCGTCTGCTGAGATGGCCTTGTTAGAGAGCGCGTCCGTTGCGGCCTGCTTCAGGTGGCCGATGGGGAGGGTCTCGGGGGAGGGCCATCCCTGGAAAAGGTCGATTCGATTTGGAGGCATGGTTGGTGCTCTTCAAGGAATCGGGGGTTTCTTGGGTTATATACTGGCCACAACTGGAGATCGCCTTTTTGGAAATATAAGCGTTTTGGCCAATGGTATTGGAATATTTGATTGTGCCGCAAAGGATCCACTTTAAGCGGCCCACTTGGCAGCTCTCGGAGTCTGATCGAATGACGAAGATCGGAGGACGCGGGGCAAATGCAACTCCATTATCGATAGCATCTGAGGCTCATGAAGACACAGTGAAAAGGGAACAAATAGAAAGAAACCAGTGAACGCTGCGGAAAGCCACCCAAGATGAGCGCCAGCACGATGCAAATAACGAGTCAAAACCAGAATTGAATATCATTACACCCGCGGAATCGGTGGACAACAACACAAAGGTAATTCAAATGTAAAGTGCATGTCCCCCGCTGAGCTTTCAATCATATGGACCACCTCTCTTTAGACGTTGTCGTCCTCGTAGACGAACGGGATATCGCGGATGCGGCGGCGGTTATACGAGACAAAGTCGCTGTCCCCCGGCGGTCGCTCGTTGCGCGAGTTCGCCGTCAGCATGCTCTGGATGCTCATGCACACGCTCTCAACAGTCTGGACGGGGGACCAGCCGGCGGAGCTCAAGAGGTCCAGACAGATAATGCCATTGCTGTATATGTGTGGGTGAATTGGGATCGGGCGGGGAGTGTCGGAAGAGGCGGCGCATTCGATGAATTGCACTTCGGGGGGTTCTGCCGGGAACCGAATGAGTATGGGATATAGCAGATCAAACAGCGACAGCGATCTAGGTGACAAGATCACTCGAGCGTGAGCTCTTACCGATGGGGTATTTGCTTCCAAAGGTGAACTTCAGTCGATACGTCTGGTTCTGGTAGAGCGGGTTGTCGTCCAAGACCTTGATGTCCATCTGCCATTCCTCGAGGTTTTCGGATTTGGCGATCGCGATGCCTGGTGGAACATGTTCTTGCATCTGAATAAAACCAAAATCATCAGTAAGAAAGAGGAATGGATTCAGATTTACTCGATGGTGACTCGAGAGAAGTCGGAACTTAAGGTAGCGGGGTTAGGTACCTTCATGAGCTCCTGGTTTGCGAAAAGACTAGTCAGTCACCTCGTATTCTCCTCAAAACAAGCTCCTCGAAATTATGTTACTTACCTTGCTCAGACGCTTTGAAGCGAACATGGTGGGTATGATCTCCGCTTAGATCGAGGTATGTGTTGCTGATCCAAGAGATATGTATGAGCTTCAACGGAGGAGGGGTGTCGCCACGAGGAGTGGCGCAAATGTATAAGGTATTGATAATGTACCAAGCACCGACCTCGGAAGACACCAAAAAAGAGATGAGATGGAGCAGGCCAAGTAGCACAAGAAGACGAAGTGGCCGATCGCAGCGTGGGGCGATAAGATCGCCGATCCACGTGATGACGCCTGACTGTATACTATGACGCTTCAAGTGCATCGATCTGTTTATTTATATGGCATATATTCAAGGCGACCAACTAAGGTATTAGATACTCTGGAGACACGAGTAGTGATTGTGAGTTGACATACTGTGGAATTCATGACCTCATCGATAAACGAGGTCCTTTCGATTTGCATATAAATAGCCTCATGGCCTGTCCAGTCCATTTGACAATAAAGTATTTAAATGAAGCAGAAACATTCATGGATGTGGAGTATTCCACCTAAACTCTAAACACCTTGTTATCTTATTCTTTTCAAGCTTCTTACTGACTCCCTGTTTCGGCAATAGCTGGCGTAGAATGTGCATTGGCCGCCATGGAGCCTTTCAAAGTGGTTAGTGAGTTCCAATCAGGGAATATAGTCACAGGTAATAACAATAAAAAGAAAGAAAGAAAGAAAGCAACAAACCTGCAGCAATTTCCGCCAGCCCAAACCCAGAACAGAGGACCATTGTCAGGATAGTTGCAAAGCTTAGACCAGAGGAAGGGAGAGTCGATGTAGCATGTTAGTGCTAGGACTGCCCTGCCAGGTTGGAATCAAACTTGGGCTGTGGATATTGACAAAAGTTGCAATTCTTGTAAAGTGAAGTGCGAACGGGTAGGAGGAGTATGTTGGATGAAGGGAGAAGATGAAGTATCTAGTTTTCCGCGGGGAGCGTAGGCCTTTTTATAAGGGATCGATACCAAGCCACCATGCAACATCAAACAGCTTTCTAAAGTCGTTTTCCAAATAGCAAATAAAAATGGACAAACAGAACAATACTATCTCGGTATCTGTCGCAATAAGACTATCTGGATGTCCACATATCCCCTAATCATGATGGTCATCAATGGATATGAAATAGACAATGAATCAGATAGGTCCCCTTCAAGGCTATTTTCAACTTTGAGGATCAAAAGGTGGCAAAGAGTAGGAAAGACATAGATCAATTTGTGAAAATCTGCATATGTATAGCGGGGAATCACACAATTATCTCCAAGAAACCACCTCAAAACGAGGAGAAATAAAGAAACGTACAGCATATCGGCATCAAGAAAAAGTTGAAATAATAAGTAAAAAGAAATGGTCCGCAGCAATTTATGCATGCGAAGCCTTTTCACGGGCCTCGCGCTCAACCTTCTCCCGCTCCTCGTTCTCCTTGACCTCACGGACCTTCGCCAGAACCACCTCCCGGAAAATAGCGCCACGGGCAATCTTGCTCAGACTGCGCTTCTTGATGCCAGGGGCATCGGAATCGCAATTCGCACTTGTTGTAGCCGGCGCAGCGGGGTCGGTGGCGCCACCCATTTCCATGGGGCTTGGGATATCCTGCTCGTCATGCTCGTCCTCGTCGTGCACCCTCAGGGCCTCGATGCGGTTGGCAAGCTTCACAATCTCAATGCCACGGCGGAGACGGGCACGTGCAATGTACGCCCGGATCTCGGGCAGCAGATCGCGGTCGCTGGCCGATTCACCGGTCAGCCACTCGTGCTTGAGTGCTTCCTCAGAGGTGACGCGCTGGCTGGGATCGGGTTGGAGGAGGGTCAGGATAAAGTCCTTCGCATCCTGGGAAACATCGCGCCAGTACCGCTCGTGGAAAATGATGCGGCCTGCCCGGCATTCTTCGATCAGGTCCGTTAGATTCTCTGACCGGAAGGGAGAGTAACCACACAGGAGCGTGTAGGTGATCACTCCCAGGGACCACATGTCAACGGCCTTGCCATGGCCCTGCTTCAGCATAACTTCGGGCGCAGCATAGCCGAATGAGCCCGCCATACTCGTGAGCACTTCTGACGGGTTCTCGAGCATCTTTGCGATTCCGAAGTCTGCCAGGACCAACTGCGAATCGCTGGCACGAGTAAGATAAAGAAGGTTTTCGGGTTTGAGGTCTGTTGAGTGGGGAGTTAGTATCATTAGAAGCTTGAATCATATATAAGGGACAGACGGACCTCGGTGAACAATGTTTCGTTTGTGCAGGTAGTTAACTGCGTCAAGCACTTGTCGAATCGTTTGCGAAGCATCCTTCTCGGTGAACTTGCCATAATCGCAAATCCGGTCAAAGAGCTCGCCACCCGTCGCGAGCTGTGTCACGATGTAGAATTTGTCCTATCACTAGGGGTCAGACTCGCAAGAATCTTATCTGGCCACCCCGGGAATACATACCTTGGATTCGAACCAGTCGACAAAGGAGACAATGTGGGGATGTTGCAGTTTCTGGAGCATCTCCAGCTCGTCGTACACCATGCTCTCATTGCCGCGGACACTCTTCTTGAGGATAATCTTGACCGCGACCTTCTTTCCATCAAGAGACTCCGCCTCACGGACAATGCCGTATGTACCGGCGCCCAGTGTTCTTCCGAAGCGATACAAAGCCCTACCGGCAGAGGTTTAGCAAGTGCGGGAACGGGAGGATTATAGGCAGTGGCTGTACTTTCTCTCGTAGCTCTCCGGCTGCCCAGACAGCTTATTGAGCATGTTTGCGACTAGAGAAATCGGCGTTAGTACACTGGACAGTATGACGGTAGGCAACGGATGCAAATCAAGACGAGCATTGAAAATCAGACCATGACACCAGAAAACAGACAAGGTCGCCCAGAGATACCAAGCCCATTCCGCAAAGGAGGTACAGCGTGCGGATACAGCCATGGTATATTGGTGGCCAGGCACCCCACCAGACCGTGCGCAAGGCTGAATCAATCGGCAGCCTCGAACCGAAATGTGTATAGCATCCCCACGCATCAAAAGCACAATGCTCCAACAAAAAGGACCAACTCACAACTCATATTGTGGGGATAGGGCTGAACAAGCCCTAGAGGATCTGACTGTGCGCGATGGGGTTTCGACCAGGCAGGAAAGTCAGGTAGCAACTGTGGGCTGGGGAACCTCGCACGAAGGACGGCGACGCGAAGAAAATACGGGTATATGAGGGTGTCGCGAAGAGGGAGAGGGAGGAATCTGCCTGAATCGCAGTCGTTAAATGTTAGCGACCTCGAGAAAAAGGCCAGATCGGAAGGACTGGACCACAAGGCGGGGAGGGGGGGGGGGGGGGAGAGGGGCTGTTCGCGCAGCTTGTCGATCAGGCGATCAGGGGGCGGAAGGGCCAAGATCTCATAAACCAACATACCTGACTCGAAGAGCTCACCGAAACAAGTAAAATGCAGTGCAGGAGAAGAGGCAAAAGAGGGAGAAGTTCTAGACGCGCGATAACAAGCCGTAAGGTTTAGCGGGGAGCGTGCGTGTGCATCCCCAGCGCCGCGCACCGCCCGAAGGTGGGGGCCACATACGCCATATCCATCTGTTGGTATTCTTGATTATTGTAAAAAGATTTATTTATACTGTATACTTGAAAAAGTTGTAGTTATGTCACAGAATTAGAAATGAGTGGCAATTGAACCACAAAAAATCAAGAAAATAAATATAGATCGCCTACTGCCTGCACGGCCTTCGGTTCAGCCTTAGCGTCAGCCTCATACTTTTATACCGAAAAGGGAAAAAAAAACATAGTCTTAATTTGCAAGACCCAGTGAAATCAGGGCAGAGATCCACATAATTTGGGGCCGATTCTTAGCCTGTTTCTAGCTAGCGAGGAAAAGATCATTAGTTAACCTCGGAGGCCCAATGTTAATCTAATCGATCCTGGCTCATCAGTACTTTAGAGTTTTTTTATGCTTCTAATGCTAAATTCTATTCTGTTTTCAACTCGCTTCACACCTTCAGTCTGATTCTGGCGTGGGATTTAAATGGTCCACACTCATGGATACCCCAAATCCATAGTAGGTAAAGGTGGTGAAGTGTAGAGTGCCATTGTTGGTCGAGGGAATGAGCCGAAGCCATTTTGCAAGTAACCTCGAGGGAAGCTCGGCAGTTAAAATAATATTTGAGCTAGACGTGGATATGCAAGCCACGCGCGATTTCATACGTGGCTTGAAAGAAGCGAGTGTGGGGTAGATGTCAACATTTCACTAATTATCACATCGTGGAAAACGTATGGACTCCTAGAGGCAAGGCCAGAGTAATAGGCGACGGGATACGGAGTGCTCGGTGATTCGAGGGCATTGTTATACAGAGCTTGCAGATCGATTCCTGTCGCATCACCGGTGGCCATGATGGCGTGCAGCTAAAACATAAATATGAGCTATGAGGTGCTTCGACTCTATCTGATGCCCGTAAATGAAAGTTTTAGACACGGAAACACTTGCCAATGATGGACAACATAAATGAAGAACCTCCCGAGCCCTACACTCCTTCGGATTAAACATCAACTTGATCGTAGCTGCGCAAATTTTGGATATTATCCACAGAAAAACACCAATTACCAACAGTGTATATCTATTTCCATATAAAGTGTTCCTTGCATAATCCGGATGAACATGATATGCGGATGGGATCAGTCGCGGGGTGAGTGGTGCAATAGATGGCGCGATGAGCCAGGACAACACATAAAAGACCACAACATACCCCTCAGGATAAGCATTTCAATCATCCTCAAACAGTTCAACCAACCAAAGAATACCCCGAAGAATACTTTAAACCCCCAAATCAACCACCATGCCAACCCTCTACAGCTACAAGGAATCAGGCAACAGCTACAAAGTGCGGCTCCTCGCCGCATTTCTCGAAGTCCCACTGGAAGTAATCGAAGTAGACTTCCTGGGCAATGAGCAACACGGCGACAAGTTCGTGGCAATCAACCCCAAGGGCGAAGTCCCGACCCTCGTCGACGGGAACCTGGTCCTGACAGACTCGGCGGCCATCCTGGTCTACCTCGCCGGAAAACACAGCGGCCCGTACCACGAAACCACTTCTCCTGGTTCTCGAATATCTGGCTGGTGGTCATCGGACGTTGTCGAACAGGCCCAGGTCACGGATTGGCTCGCCTTCGCCGCGAGCTGGGTGCAGTACGGCGTGTTCACTGCTCGGGCGATCCTCTCCTTTGGGGGGCCTTATAATGGTCTTGGTACTGCGAGTATGGAGCAGACATTGCGCGAGTCTCAGACTCGTGGGGAAAAGTCCTTGAAGGTTCTGGATCAGCGCTTGGCTCGGACTGAGTGGTTGGCACTGGGTCGCCCGACTATTGCCGACATCGCGGTGTTTGTCTATGTCGCCTTGGCTCCGATGGGAGATATCTCGCTTGAGCCTTTTGTGCATGTGCGCGCGTGGATCGAGCGCATCAAGAGACTGCCACGGTTTATTCCTATCGATGGCTTGGATGATCCGCTGTATCGGAGGAGGGAGTCTACAGGCAAGGCCTAGGTGGGAAAGGGTTATGGATATCTCCCACGAGGACAAAGATGTGGAACGAGCAACCTGGCTTTGCGGCGCAATTAATATAAATCTGCCGTGTTGATTCGCGGTGTTACCACGTCAACCCCACAGTTCCGTCATCGCTGGACGTCATCGTGCAATCTAAGGAATTAAGAAATATAAATAAACTGGGGATATCATACTGGCACTTGGTCTATGCAGCCATCTGAATCCTCAAGAATATTATCCCAACACCATGCTTCAATTTATCATCTATCTTTTTCTCCAACTTGCCCTTTTCGCCGCCTGGATCTCCGGTGCCCTAGATCCATACCAGAAACAGCTACAGGAAGTCATCCTCGACTATATGGGAGAGACAAAAGTGTCGTATGGATTGAAGAGTAAGCTCCACTTTCAATTGTTTGCTTTTGCCAGCAGAGAATCCAGTGTTGACAGCTTTGATTCAATAGAAAGCCTCACCGGGAAGAGGCTCACTGAGGAAGAAACCCTCCGCAAGATCCAGGATCAGCTGGGAAATCAACTGGGAGGAATCTTCGGGAAGGGAGGACTCGGCGAGGGACTCGGGTCTGTGTTGAGCAAGGGACTCTAGCTACACTAGATGTGATGAAGTGCGATATGAGAAAGGGAGATCAGAGCGGAGATATCGTTTTCTGGTTCGTTTTCTGTTCTTACCCCCTTTTTTGGTAATACTTGGGTGGCCATCCTCTCTTCCATAGATCAATCAAAGTATTTCGCCCAAGCACACAGATTTCGCCTAGTCATCGCACCCTTCAAACACACCTCAAACTCACCGCAGTTCCTGTGCACAAAGACAGTGATACCATACCAGTCATCTCATCCCAATCATCTCACACGCCTAGATAGATTTCATCCAAGACGGCACTGCAGAACGCCTGGTAGTACTCCGCCCCCTTCCACTCACTCCGATGAGACCGCAGCCCAACGGTCATCCACCCCTCAGCCCGAAGCCGCTCAATGCGCTGCTCCTTCGTCTCCTTCCAGAGCAGATTCCCAAACTGATCAATGGTCGGTTCCTCCTCGCGCCACGCATCAGCCTGGTGGTCCCCATTCTTGATGGGACTAAAGCTCCAGAACGAAGCCGAGCGCCGCATGTTGCGAGCACGGCGGGCGCGCTGCATCTCGGAGATCCGGACCACCTGCACCTGCAGCGAGGCAATGCTCGAGATGACCTGCGCGCGTAGGAACTCGATGCTGTTGTTGAACATTGTAATGGCTGCTGCGCGGGCTGGGGTGATGGGCTCGAGCGTCTTCTGCTTCTTCTTGTTCTTCTTCTTGGTGGGATCGTGTGCTGGCTTCTTGGTCATCTTGGTCGGGGTCATTCTGCCAGCGTGGTTCCTCTTCGGGGACGCGGTGCGCGGTGGGGAGGCCGCAATGATGCTTGCCTTGGGTGGACTTGCCTTTGCAGGGGAGATGTTCAGTCGGTTGGATGGGACGACCTTGAGGGGCAGTGGAGCAGGACGAGATCTGCCTCGTGCTTTCTTCGGCGGCGTCGGCGGCGTCTTCTCGTCATTCTCGTCGTTCGCCTTGGTCAATCCACAGACATTGATCTCTCCGGAGATCTTTCGGATGCGCAGAGGAGAGGGAATGAGGCGGTCCTTCTTCACGGGGTCCTTGGTGTTGGTCAGCTGCTTGACTGGAGAGAGCTTGATCGGGGATCGGGAAGAGTCGTTGTCTGAAATGAACGGGTCCTCATCTAGACCGAAGAAAAGAGAGCTGTCAATCATACGTGTGAGACTTTCGACCAGAGACTCAGATTCAAAGAGGAGCTCCTCTGCGCCATCACAGAAAAGCACAGGGTTTGTAGCGGGTGAACGAGGCACACAGGTGTTTGGTGCTGTGAGCGCAATGGGAGAGGGCAGAGCTGCACCGCAAGAAACAAAGTAGTCCAGCGCGGAACGGAGCAGAGAGATCTTGTTTCTGGAGTAGATGTGGGCAGCTCGACCAAGGAATTCGTAGGAGATGGCAGCATAGAAAAACAGATATGTTTTACAAATAGGATGGATCTATTTGTATCATGGTCAGCCAACCCCTCATCAAAGTAATAAAAAGAGACGAATACTCACAGGCTCAATGGCAGTTTCCAGCAGCTCCACAGAGCGATTGGCACATTGTTTGTACTGTCGTTGGAGGTAAAGGACCTTGACGTCTTTCAGCACGGACTTCCACTCCATCGGAGTGCGTGGCAGAACAGTGGACGGGAATTCAAACGAAGCGGTGAACGACATATTCGACATCTTGAGCATCGTGATGAAGCAAAAGGGTGACGTCACGTGTATTAGAGAAAGAGAGAGACGCGACGGTGCAAGGCAGCAAGACGCGTCGTTGGGATAGTAACAAGACACAAGATGACAGACGACCGACGGACTAGGCCGCGGAACTCGACCGTAGCCTGAACTTCATGTCAAAGAGAAAGCGTGGGCGTTTGTTGGTATATGCTTCGCTGCAGGTCAGAAAGAAGGGTATCCATAGATGATAACCCATCAACAAAGACTGCACTTCAAAGACTACACAGAGTTTGGGATGTTATCAAAAGCTTCGCTGCAACGTCTATCTTGCAAGACCCTCAATTTGCCCACATGGGTTATGAGTACAACACGAATTCCATCTAGGATAAAAATACCATGAATTCGAGGTTAAATTAAAGATCCAGTCGCCATCAATTACTCTGTCATCCACACGCAAGGTGTTTTCATGGAACTTTCTCAGCAGTGTGATGGACTCCATTCGTGTCATTCCCGATAGTAGCCCTCGACAAAGCCTCGCCTGTTGCCGAGAGGGATTCAAGAAAGTCACCGAGCAGGCGATCCAGCTCCGCTGTGACCACACTATCATCAGCACCTTCCATCAAGCTCTCAGCACGGGGTGGTAGAAGGTCCGGGAAGGGAATGGCGTCGGGATCTTCATCCGTCGTCGTGGGTTTTTGAGGGTGATCCTCCCGGCGTGCGGTTTGCAGGGGTTCATAAACAGGGGAGCCAGGCTCGGAGACTGGTCCAGAGGTGGTAGTGGTGGGGGTGTCAGGGACCGGCATGTCCGGCGGTAGCGACGGAACATTATCTGGAGAAATCACTTCTGTATGTTCTTTCCACAGCGGATGAGACTCCTCATCAGGTCCCGGTCCGTCGAGAACCCCGGACGCCTCGTAGTCGGGATATCCTACCGACTCCATCATGGCTGGGAATTCAGTATCGAAGAAGTGACCGTGGTGAAGAGAGGAGGCACCCTGGGGGGTTTCAGGGCGGTCAAAACGGAATGGATCATAGTCGGAGTCGGAGGCATTAGAAAGGTTAGATGCTGATGTCGAGGGACGAGAATCGCCTGGCTCATCTGTTTGCTGCTGCTGGAGATTAAGAATCGGCGCTTTGATCGTATCGTATCGCTCAGGTGGGGCTTGTTCTTGGCTTTCTCCAGACGATGCTCCCATGACCGGAAACGTCCACTCCATAGTGGCACGCTTCTCATCGTGAACAGGTTCTTCGTGAGCAGGCTCAGCTTCGGGGGCCTCTGTGGGTGTTTGTTTCTCTTCCTCTTCCTGTTGCATAAAAACGGGAAACTTCCAGTCCATGGTGGGCGGCCGCGGGCCGGACGGCGGTTGGAAGTCCTCATCTGCGGATTCGTTGTTTTCTGCTTCATTGTCTGGCGTATCGGGAATATCTTCATTTGAATTGCGGTGCGGGCGAAGACTCGTTCGGTTGGCACGGATTGTATTAGCGTCCGCTAGCTGGAAGGGCTGTGTGGCCGGGGCCGCAGCTGCGTAGTGAGAAGAATCGAAAGAGCCGATGTCAATGTCGATGAAGGTGGATGTCACAGATGACCGATCCGTTTCTGTGCGAAGGGGAAGGTCGGATGGTGTTGGACTGGGATCGATGGGCACGAAATCATTTTTCGTTTCGTACTTGTAACTCGGCTTCTCTCCATCAAAAAGCCCTTCCATTGCTGCAGCGCCTCGACGCACGCGCTCATCGAAATTCGCCTTTTGTTCGGGGTCCATTTCAACCTCCGAGGCGTCTTCGGTTCCCTCATGTTCGGGTGCCGGCGCCGGCGAATTGATCGCCTCTTCCATTTCAGCTAGAGAAGCTGCAATTTTGTCGAGATCAATAACTGAGAATCGTCGTTCGAAGCCATCTGTGGTACTGAAGTTCCAATCATCCTCGGACTCCTCGGTTCCGGGAAGTTCGGCTGCAGCTGCACCTCCGGGGTGAAACAATGAAATACGCTGGCCGCCTCGCTGTGACCATTGATAGTAGTTCCTGACCAGCTCGCTGACACATGATGTAGGATATTCTTCTTCGGTCTCTGCAATGTATGGGTGATTGAGGATGTCTGCCATCGAGGGACGAGTTGCTGGGTTGGAGTCGAGAGCAAACGCAATCAAATCCTTCAAACCCTGGCTGTATCTGTCGCTATCGAGTTTAGGAACACTGCGGTTGAGCTGTCGCCCGATTTGCATTCGCTCTCGTAGCCCAGAGTTGGGAGGATTCCCGGTGGCAAACTCGAACAGCGTGCACCCATAGGCCCAGACATCAACCTAAAATCATTAGTGAAAGACCTTCAGGATTAACAGGGTTGTGTGTACCTCGCTACTGTAGAGATGAGCTTCACGACGAGCCGCGAACATCTCGGGTGGCATCCAATGAGGCGTCCCGATCCATGTTGATCGTTTGTCTCTCTGGGATTGAAGAATACCAGCAACACCGAAATCACAAATTTCGAGTCGGCCCTCTTCGTGAACCAGGATGTTTGCAGCTGTGGAAGATGGGTTAGCATCAATCCCAGCCTCCAATTGAACAACATTACCTTTCACGTCGCGATGAATAATCCCAGCATCGTGTATGGCGCGCAGGCCAATGGCAAGCTCACGAGCGATTGGAATGATGAATCTCTCCTCCAGTTTGTCGCCCGTCGCACGCATCTGCGACTCGTCAGTAACAATATCAGCAGCCCAGAAAAAGAGACACCTACCAAAGTCCGAACGCTGCCACCGGGGCAATATTCGCAGACAAGCCATAGCTGAGAGTGGATAGAGATGGCTTCGATGAGCTCATTAATGTTCTTCGCCCCGGAATCTTTGACCTGCTTCATGACCTTGGTCTCGTGGATGAAATCCTTGATAGACTCATCTCGGAAATCGCGTAGCGAGTTGTAGTCGAGCAAGTCAATATCCAGCACCTTGATAGCAACCAACCGACCGCTTGGCATCTGTCGTCCCTTGTAGACACGCCCGTAGGCACCTTTCCCAATCAACTCCTCGAACTCGTACGGAGGTACATCGGACTTGGCACGACGACACATCTCCCTCACTGCCGCTCCCTGTTCACGGGCCAGCTTGATCGCTTCCGCTTTGTGCTTTGTAATGGCCGCCATCGCGGACGATGGGTCCAGCAAGCGGGACACGCGGGATTCCATTTTGAGAGGAATTTGGCCCTGTAAAGCATCGACAAATTAGTTCACTGGAGCAAATAGAGACGACAGCCCGATGCTATCTACTAAGACCACAAAAGAGCGGGGCGGCACCTACGCAAACAGCTCTCTATCACACTGGCTAAAGATTAACCTTAGCTCGCCAGCTCTTCAGAGTCTGGAGAGAGGGTAATCTAAACTTGGATGCAAATCCCGGCAGGGACTTGCGGCGGACTTTGGGAGATGGCAGAGGGGGGGGGGACGAAGGTGCAAGCGAGGTTTGAGTGAGGGTGAAGGTGTTGGGCCGTGAGAGAAAGGTGGTTTCGTCGGGGCCACTCTCGGAAAGGCTCTGGTGAACTACCCGGCTGTCGGAGTTCCCACTGGTTTCACGCGGCTCTCCGATATCGACCTTGCCATAAACGGAGAGCTGCAGGTCTTGCACAAGCCGCTCGTACGACTTGGCTTGGGAGCAACCGTGGGTCGACTGCTCCAGAGACAGTCTCAAGCACTCAACGAAAGAGTCTGTCTCACCAGGGCCGCTAGCGTAAATGGAGGGACTCGGCGGGCTGGTGCACCCGGCGTTGGCGGCACCCTCCAAGGGACTCGCAGGGATGAGGTTGCGAGAAAGCGCTGATTCGCCCTCGAGAAGCCCCAGCAGTTCAGAAATGAGCACACTCGAGTCAGTGGTGGGTTCTTCCCAGAGGTCACTGTTTTGCTCGTTGCAAAACTCTTGCTCGCTTTCTACACAATCACCAGCCTGGTAAACAAAAGGCTCAATGATCGGCAGGCGGACTCGACGAGCAGGTTGACTGAGTGAATCTACTTAGTCCAGGCAATACTCGAGAGTGAGATGAGCCACTTACCGGTGGTGACGTGAAATGACCGAGATAGCACCTCGGTTCTCTTTGGGGGGAGAGGGTAAACAAGGCTCACTCTCCGGTCCTTCACTGGACAGCTCAAGCAATAGGCTAGGGTCCGACAAGAGGCGCAGCACCAATTCCAGGTCCGCCGGCGGCAATCCGAGATCCTCGACCGGCTCCTGAACATCGGAAGTTTGATCAGCCATGATTCGGTCCGACAATGATGAAGCAGCGTTTCAGATGGGATGAATGATGATGTTGACAAGATGGTTGAAGAAGAAAGGATGCAAGAAGAGATGGAGTTCCAAATTAACTTACTGTTCGTCAATGTCGCGACGGCCGAGCTCTCAATTACATATGCCCGTCAGAACGTAACGCGCCGGTCACCAGCTAGTAGTTCTCAGCCAGTGGCTTCTGCTAGGGTCGCCTTGCCTCAAAAGCCAGTCACAGCTCCCTCCATAGATAATCAAAACCACTTGAAGCCCCTCTGTCTGCTGGAACTTTTGCAACTTTCAGATATTCGTTAGTTGTGGGGAGTGGACTAAAACGATGGATGTGATGGCGATCCGCGGTTGAGTTACGTCCATAGTCACGTGGTGCATAACAGCTATTCCAAAAAAAGGAAAGATGGGGGATCTAGAACCACGTGACACCGTTACGCCGCGCTACCTGATTTTGGGGATTGTGATTGGCCCATTCTGCAGTATGGCTATAAAAAAAAGATTTAAAGTAGTTGTATCTCATCATATCACTAGTCATGAATATTCATAGTCACAAGAGTACTGCCTTTGCCAGCCTAGGGGCTGATAATGATTCTGAAAGAAACTCAAACGGCATAGGAATTATAATGGGATCGGAAGAGTGCCTTTCGTCCCACACAGGATAAGCGTTGGTCACTGAATAGTAGGGAGGCTTGTCGATCCCCCAATAATTCAATAAAAGAATCAAGATACACCCTCATATGGCAGGAAATAGTTAAAATCATACACACACCAAGTGCTATTTCAAAGAAACATAAACACGCCAACAACAGCCGCTAAAAGGGCTTGCATCACACCGGGGTTTCCGTAATGCAAGGCAGCAGATTTCTCAGTGGTGGTCGCACTGGCACCAGGAACGGCATTTTTCCCAGTTGTGATCTCGACAATATCGTCCGAGAAACCAGTCCAGTTGCGCCTTGCCAGCGAGATCTCACCATTCTCCAGATCATAGACCGAGTAAATCAACCGTAGAAAGTTTGCCCCAAATACTGCACTCCCTTTGTGAAGATAGTCTTTGTTTGTGGCAATCCCCAAGTAGCAAGTTCCGTCCTCATATTCCGATGAACCATAGAGACTATCTTGTGTCATAAACACCCAGACAGGGAAATTGAACGTCGCAGCACCGAACTCGAATGTCAGCGTGGTGTTCAGCTCTGACGCATTGCACGGAATGGAGACCTGTCCCTTATCTGGGATATTGGTCACGCCGAGCCGGGCAAAGATATCGCGAGCAGCAGCTTCGGGCACATAGGACAGGGACATGCCGATGTCGAAGATGGCATCCTTAGGAAAGGTCTTTGGTGAGGCCGATGTGTCGTTGATTGCAAGGCCGGTCATGTTGACTCGGAATCCCTTGCGCGAGCCCGGAGGCCCGTCGACGATGGGAAGCGTGTGGAGTGTGCCCACGTACTTGGCCTTGTTGACGCCGCCGAAGAGAACTCTTCCGGCTCCGCGATGAGCAGTTGCTGGAGTAGGTCGGCCATGCGGATTCTCGATCCAGAGACTGAATGCTGGGGATTTGATGATATCTCCATCGGCCAGCGCTTGGGGCAGGGAGATTGAAGACGAGTTGTGTTCGCCGTAGCCCAGGCCGAGCACGTCTGTTCCAATTTCACGTCAGTATGCAACTTGTCTCTTCTCTTGGTTTAACCCTTTCCAGGCCTTGCTCAATTTACTGACTCGAAGTAACCCCGTCTCTCACAACCCCAAGCTTCATCGCATCCAGCTTGACATTGCCAATCGTCAGGGAATCTGTGACAAAGTCTCCAGTGACTCTGAAGGCTGAATCATTCACAGCAAAGCCAGAGCCAATGAACTTGGCACTGGTCGACTCGCTCCTGTTGTAGGCACCATGGCTGCCACAGGGCTTCTCATGTCGAAGCAAGTCGCAGGCGTGCAAATGGGCTGCCTGTATCCAGCATTCATTGCCGACCGTGTGGAATAAGACATTCAATTCCTGCGGGGGCGTGCCCACGCTGATATTGGTTTGCAAGAAATAGTCCTGTGAACACCGAGTCAGTTGCAGAGTTTTTAAGTATGCAAGGTTTCTGTTTAGGAAATCACATACACCCAAGACGCTCGTGTCGAGATCCAAAATATCCGCACGCGTCGACAGACGAGTGGCCCTCGGTGCGCGAGAACCGTGCTCGAACTGCACTTCGAACACACTGGGTGCATTTGTATTTTCCAGCGACAATGCACTGGCCAAGGGAATGCCCAGCAGGGCCAGCAGCGACCCACAGCGCATGTCGATCGTGTGGAGGTGGATGTATACGGGAGCAAAGAAGAGTAGGGATCAGCCACGCAAATTATTTTGAGCAGAAAGGCCAAGGTATTTATCGAGTCAGATTTGCACCCCTCTCAACGCTACTCTTCTTTTGCTGTACCCAAGACCCTTCATGTCTCACTTTTGCTTGGGTCCATTGGTGGGCGGACCCTGGCGCCGCGCTAAAAGAAGACCGGCACTTCGGCAATTTGGACTCTTTTCTGGTGTGTTCCAGTGAGCCACAGATGCGATGGGACTTACCCGTGGAACTGCCTGACTCGAAAAAAAAATAAATAAATAAGGGATTCCTGTGCCTGAGCCTGGAACGGTTCCATTTATGTACAATCTCTGCTTCGGCGGTGTCCAAATACATTTTATTTTGTGTTGATACCTCATCAGAATTATCAACAAGATATATTCAATGAGTTTCTATCCAAGAAAATCCTTCACATATTTAAAGATGAAACTGGACCCGCAGAGACCCTGCAAAACGCGAGATGGCCTCGGAGATCTTTTCCGAAGACGCAGCCGCAAAGGTGGCACGAAAGAACATCTTGTCCTCCACAACGGAGCTATCGGCCTTAAACCAGCTGCCGCGCGAGAGCAGAACGCCCTGGTCGACGGCAGACAGGAAAATCTCCTCTTCAATCGAGTCGCGGGTCTTGCCGCTAGCCAGGCCTGGGTGCTTGCGCCAATCGATTTCAATCCAATGCTATATCAGTGTCAGTACATGCGAATCTACCAACTACCAAGAGAGAATGGCAGAGAGGTGAATGGAATAGGAGATATAGGGAGCACTCACGAACATGCCGGCGGCGGGCGCCTTCCAGCGAGCGATTTCCCGGGGCATATGCTGCTCACACGCGTGGACCATTGAGTCGCGACGCCCAGTATATTGCATGCGCAGGTTGATCAGCCAATCCAAATACCCGGAGTGACCCCAGTGCTCATCCAAGAGCTTGAAGAGGACGATCTGCGCGATGCCACTAGGGTTCTGCGAGGAGACCTCGAAGTTGCGGACGAAGCGCTCAACCATCTGCTCCGAGGCCACAATCCAGCCAACACGAGAACCCGGCGAGACAACCTTAGAGAACGACTCGAGGCGGCACACACGGCCATCGACATCGAGGCTCAGATACGACGGGGTCAAAGACTTGATGAAGTCCTCGTGGGTTGCAGGCGGAGGCAGAGGTGCCCCACCCTCGCCGGCGTACGGCTGCATCTGCAGGAAGTAGTAGGGCTCATCTTCGACGATGTAGAGATCGTGCCTCTGTGCGACCTTGTATACGGCCCGACGGCGTTCGGCCGACTGCGTCGCTCCCGTCGGGTTCTGGCCGGTTGGGATCGTGTACAGCACGAAGGGCTTGCGCGCGCCTCGCGCTTCAGTGTCCCAGTTGCTCAGGAGGTCATCCATCGCCTCGGGTATCAGACCTTGGTCGTCCATGGGCACGGCCAGCGCTTTGATGCCCAGCGGGAAGGCGGTTTCGGCTGCACTGGCGAACGTATACTCCTCCATGATGATATAGTCTCCTCTCTCGCACAGCACCCGCAGCGCTGTGTCCCATGCGTAGGTGCTGCCGGCGGTCATGGTACAGTGCCAGTCAGCGTAGGGGGGTTGTGAATAATCTGGGGGAATGGTCAGTAACTATGCGACACTGCCAAAGATTGTCTCCCTACCTCAGTGTGTTCAGTAATGAACCGCAGTAGTTGAGCGGAGCCGGTAGCTTGCCCATAGTTCAGCGCAATCTCCAGGTCTACCAATTCAATCAGTCCAATCCAACCTAATCGAGTCGACGCAACACGGCCACATACCGTAGAGGCTGTTCCCTTCCTGAATATCATGCTTTCCAGCCCGCAAAACCGATCCTGACTTTTGCGTTTCTTCTGGCGAGAAGCCCGGGGCGGTGGGAACCTTGATATCGAGATGCTCGAAAGGGAAGTATTCCGGGGAGGGCAGGCCACCACCAAGGGAGATGAGTCCTTTCACGAATGTCAGCCAAGAAAGCTTCCAAATCACAAACCAGGAGGTCGATACCTGGCTTCTTCAAATATTGGGCTGCGCCTTTAAGAGTCGATTGCTACTTTCGCTATTAGTACTGCTCAACTCGCCACGGCAATTTGCGCCTATGCGAACCTTGCGAGACTTGGCTTCGACGGATAGACGATCTAAAGAAAGAAAACAATATTAGCACGAGCTGCACATACTTGTCATACCAAGCACAACATCTCCAGCGAAGGAAACTGTCTCCGCAACAGGATGTGGCGTATACTTACGGTCAAACCGCTTGGCCTTGGGCTTGGTATAGCAATTCTAGAACCCAAGACATGAATCAGCACCGTCTGAGTCTTTTCCACATCTTATCCCAATACATAAACCCCCAGCACTATCTCTCTAGCCATAAACAACCACAAATGTCATACCGGACTCTTGAACATGTCGCTACTGCACGCGGCCGCAACACCGGTGGGAATCTGAGCCATCTTGGCCCTCCACCCCGGAACGCCATTGACAGTTAACGGGTCCGGGACGGGGACAGCCGAGGTGTCAGTATCCCCCCTCATATCAACATCCAAAGCAGGCGGGCTCATGGTTATGGAAGCGGCGTGGTCTGGAGAAACGGGTTTCGGAATCTGTGTGCGTGCGTGGGGCTCGTAGATATGCGTGCTTTACGCTGAGATACAACTGAGTTCTGTTCAAGCAAGATCAAGTCAATGCGACAGCCAGAGGAGAGTATAATCGCAAAGAAAGAAGAAAGATCGGAAGAGGGTTGCGTGGTGGAGGCAAAAGAATTGGAGAGGCGATGGGCGGAATTTACAGCAGCGTTTACCGACGGGAACACATGACTCATCTCCATAGATCGCACCGCATTGAATGGCAACCCCAAACGGGCTATAGTCTTTTGGTTTTTGAGAGAGCGCATTGGGGTCAGTAGCTCTCGGGGGTTTCTGTTATCTAATGCGCCTCGTGCGTCGAATCGCGTTGCTTGTGCGATTGGCACCTTGTCACCTGTAGGGCGCGGGGTGCAATACACGGCGTTACCGCGTTTTATTGCGACTTGCGTTTTATTGACGCAGGCGATCTCCAATTACGGTAATACCGGGACAACAGCCCCGCGCATAGATAAGGCTATCGCCGGCATCGGCGCGATAAGCTTAATTGCCGTGTATACCGCGAGTGTATACTAGGAGTATGAAATGGCATGCATCATAAAATTTACTCTCCACCGTCTATCACTCCTGCTAGTAACCCCTCACGAGTGCTCCACATACTTTCCCATCATCCCGTCCAGCTGTGCTTCGAGAACGGCACCCTTTCCGCTCAAAACACTCTGGATAGCCTCGGGCAGCTTCTCCGCCAGCTCAGCTACAGTCGATGCTCTACCTGCCCACATCTCGCCGCCCGCAGCAGCCTTGGCAATTCCCGCATAGTCTGGCGTTGGAGCAAAAGAGATGTTAAGATCCTCGTTGGTGGCCCGGGAGCCATCGCCGCTCGGATGCACCAGCAGCATACTTCGCCGGGGTGCATTCCAGCCCTTGTTGTTGAGCACGATGGTCAAGACAGGGATCCCGTAACGGCGCGAGATCCAATACACCGAACCCGGGACGGAAAACAGGTACGTTCCATCGCCAACCACCTGGCACACAAACTTGCCTTTTCCAGGTCCCCCGTGGTGGACATCGCTGGCGAGCTTGATGCCTAGTGCTCCACCCCCTGACCAGCCCAGGCCCCCGCCTCCGCAGTTAATCCATGACTGCGGGAGGGTGGCGGCAATTTGATCCGCAACCGCGTGGGTGAGAGTCACCGACTCAATGGCCCAAATTGCGTCGTTGGGACAGCCATTTCGGACCTGTGCCATGAGGTACGAGACATTGAGTGGAGCCCCATCGCCGCCATCAGGGAGTGCTGCCAAGTCCGAGATCTCTTGTCGGCGCTTTAGATATTCTTCATCCCGCCGCTGGCCCATCGTAATGTTGTCCTTGGATCCAATAAACTGCTGTAGCGATCCGTTGGTGGCAACATAATCGTTGATTTGCTTGAGCGCAGTGGCAGAATCAGCCCGGAATGTAGCAATGGAAGGGATGTAAAACACAGGGATCTGCTGCTTCAAGGGATCAACGTCAATGTGAATGACCTTGGCCGATTCAGATGGCTTATACTGTGTTGGGACCCAAGGGACATCGCAGTCAATCACAAGAATGAGATCTGCCGTCTTGGTGAGATCATGACCTGCGTATCTCAACCCCAGCCAGCCAGGGTGGTTGGCAGGAAAACACATATCACTGCCGCCAGTGTCCAGCACGCGAATCCCCTTGAAAGTATTTGCCAGAGTAACCAGCTCCGTCACAGCCTGGGCCTGTCGACCTGTATATCCAACCACGACCATGGGATCTTTGGCAGCCGCCAGCTCAGCTGCAATCAATTCAACACCAGCAGCCGGCAATGCAGCTGGGGCCACAGGGCCCCAAACCTTCTGGTTTAGATGGTAGGGCTCAATATCTTCTTCCATGACCTCGCGGGCCCCGACCAGGTATACCGGGCCCTTGGGGTCACTGGTTGCGAATTGCAGGGCACGGTTAACCATCTGCTTCACGTTCTTCCCAGACTTCAACTCCCCTGAGTACCGACAGTACTGGGAGACGATCTGTTTCTGGTCTGGTACATCTTGAATCCAGTGAATGTATTCCGTACGCGAGCCTCGTGTCTCGCCCTCGATCGTGAACGGCGACAGGCCGGCAAAGATTAGAACCGGGGCGCGCCCGCACGAGGCATTGTGCACGGCAGCACCCAGTCCCTGTGTTCCCACATCGACATGAACGATGACTGCTTGGGGTTTGCCGGTCAAGCGAGCATAGCCGTCGGCCATGGAGAGGGCAACCATCTGCTCGAACGAGTAAGCGGGGCTCATGGACCACCGATGGTGACCGCACCCTCAGCTCGAAGGCAGATTTGGTGGGCCCAGCAATGGTGCCACTGCTGACGTACCTCATTGGGACAGGTGATGATCGTAGGAAATTGGTCCTTCCTCTCTTTCTGGCCTTTGACCATGGCCTCGAGAATTGAGGGGTGGTCGGACCCCAAGTTGACGAACACATGGGAGACGCCTCCCTGTAGGCGCTTTAGTATTGGATCTTTGCAACAAATATTGATTATGTACGCACCTCCCACAGCGCCTCAAAAAAGGCAAAGGATGCGGTATAAATCCTGGTGGTGGGTGAGTAATAGAGCACGGGAACGATGGGAAACATCCATACATATTGAACTAGAGTTTTAGTCCGTCTATCACGTATATCCCACACGAATCTAGGCAATGTGTTTGCGAAAGGAAAGATGAAAAGAACTTCTATGGCGATGAGGGGAAGGTCGGTTGCCGATAAAGCACCGCAATCCGGGGAAGCGCAATGCCCTCGGCGGCAAGTCCGATGAGGAGTGGGGTGATCGGAAAATAGTCTCCATCGAGTGAAAGATTCTTAAAATGTTCTTGTTTTTTTCTGTCTAAATTCCAGCTTATCGATGTGATCATCAGGCCTTTGTTCGTTTAGTAGTACGTGCTATAGAGACTTTCCATTTTCATGTTTGTCATATATATTTTAGGTATAAAATTCTTAGTTTGTCAGTTGCGATGCCTCTGCCTCACCCGATAGAATTCCAAGAAGAACACATCTCAATTATTCAAGCTAATTGTCAAACACAGCATAACATCACTATTGGAACCATTAAGGAGCCTACATTATGACCAATGTTTTGTCATCGGGTCTCCTTTCTGATTAGTTATGGATTATTTACCAGATATGCGGCTATATCACTCCTATAATGTCTGCAGCACATAAGCTTAATTAAAAGAACACCCGTAAATTATGCAATTTATACAGGGAGGAATCTTGCGACACTGTCAATATTAGCAAAATCGATCCCATTAAAGTGCTAGGGGGAAATATAGAGTAAGCATATCATTCCGAGTGGAACAATGTAATCTGTCGTAGTTCAGGAACTGTCAATTGATGATAACCTCTTCTACTATATGATGAAATTGATAGTTTACGAGGTTATCCCTCAGTCCGGCACAAAAACAAGCATTGGGGATCGTAAAGCCCGGGCATCCGATGACGTCGGAACACTCCTGGCTCCACAAGGCTGCCCAGGGCTGAGGTGTAATTTGCGTCTACGCGAATTCAAACCAGAGACTAAATCTTGGGAAATTAGGCATCACAATTCTCCATTCTCCATTTGAAGCTCTCGGCCAAACCTTTATTGGCTGTTCCTTGTTCTTGCAAGTTCTCGGTGCTATCGGCAAACACCCTCTACGTCATCACGGTGCCCAGCATGGTGCCAGAAATATATCACCCATGGAACACAATGGGAGATCATATTGTTAGATTTAATCTGACCAAAGTCCTGGGTGTGATATTAACTGCTTTGTTGGCTGTTTTGATTTCTCTATTTGTTCGTCAGCCCTTGAGCCCCAATCGATTTCGTTGCACTATGGTCCCATGGAAAGTGTACCGGTTCTGCCATGAGCCGCAGACCGTTACCTCGGAATTGGCACAGAACTCTGCTCAATGTCCGATGAAAACCTTTCATACGCTATACTCGGGCCACAATCACATCCCACACTCGCGAGAATATACCCCAGAAGAATCAGAGTCGGCCACAGCATCTGATTTCGAAGAGAAGGATGCCATTGAAAAGGCGCGAGCATGCGGATACTGGGGCTCAGCAGAGCCAAGCCAACTGTTTCTGCAGGTAAGATGTAAACTTTCTTCTGAAGAAGGAGGAGAAAGTCTCACAGGAACATCAATCAGATCTACCACGACGCACTATGCTCCTTGGACAGGAAACCCGAGTCTGCAGTCGTTTCTCCTCCCTTGATGGGAAGCCACGGCGTAGTTCCCCTAACGATCGTCGGCTCATTACCTGATCTCTGTCGCCATTTAGCAAACTGCATTGTCCGCGCCGAGCACGAGGTTTTCCTCGCTACCAACTTCTGGATCCATTCCGATGCATCGACGCTGGTGACGAATGCCATCCGCGAGCTTTCACGGCGCGCAGGCGAACGAGGCAGAAAGGTCATGATGAAAGTTATATATGACCGTGGAGATCCTCGGCAGGTGAGCTGCGCCTGAATACAACTCACCAATAGCAAACAGCAACATGATGAAGGCAAAGCTGATCCCAGCCAGGTTATGGATGACCACCTCAATGTCCACGAGGATCAATATACCAGTGAAAAAGTCAACCTGCCAGCTGCGCATGAAATTCCAAATGTTGATCTGCAAGTCATCAACTACCACCGACCCATTTTTGGGACCTTCCATGCCAAGTTCACTGTTGTTGATCGGCGTATTGCTCTCTTGCAGAGCAGTAATATCCAAGACAATGATAACCTCGAGATGCTGACCCACATTGAGGGCCCGATTGTTGATTCTTTCTACGATGCAGCCCTGCTGTCATGGGGGAAGCCGCTGGATCCTCCTCTCTCGCTGATGAATTCTCCGGCTGCATCCAACCCGATCCCTTGCAAGGAGTATCAGCCCAAGGATACATGCCCAGACAATGTTCCTGAACAACTTGCCGAACATAGTATAGTTTCTCCGCACTATGACACAGATTTTGAACAGGAGGCACGGCGAGTCAATCACAGTATTCAGCCGCGGGGCGAAGAAACACGCACCCAGGCCGTGACTCGGCACCTCAGTATGCCCTCAGTGAATCCACAGTTCTATAATAAGAATTCTAATCAGGGACCAGACACAACCATCCAGACCGAGACAACTGGAGATGCACCAGAGAGTGACCAGGAACCACCAATGACTCCCTATGTCGTCTCACCTGCACATGAACCCTGCGCCATGGCACTGGTGAATCGAGAGCCATATGGAGGTGAATACTTTCTCGTCATTATCCAAATAAATCCAATACTAAGACCTATATGCATCAAGCCCCCAACCACAGCAGCGTCCACACCCCTCAGAACTCAGCATTCCTCTCCGCAATCCAACACGCGCAACACTCCATCCTCATTCAAACCCCAAACATGAACGCCGAGCCCCTCCTAGACCCGCTGCTTGAAACAGTACGTCGCGGCGTGGTCGTCTCCTGCTACCTGTGCCTAGGCTACAACGACGCAGGCGAACTGCTTCCCTTCCAGAACGGGACGAACGAGATGATCGCCAACCGGCTGTATAATTCACTCGCCTCTGAAGAGGAAAAGTCAAGACTGCGCATATACTATTACGTGGGCAAGGACCAGACAGAACCTATCCACAACAAGTTCAAGCGTCGGAGCTGTCATATTAAGTTGATGATTATTGACGCGGCAGTTGCTATTCAGGGTAATTTCAATCCTTCATCCTGCCTTTGTCAGTTGGGATTCTTGTTTACGGTGGTGCTAATATCCATGCTTCGTTTCAGGGAATGGAAACCTCGATACTCAGTCATTCTTCCACAGTCAGGAGATCAACGTCCTTCTTGACTCGCCTCTCATCTGTCGGACGTGGATTGATGTGATCAATCGCAATCAGAATACTGTCAAGTACGGTGGGGCATGCACCAAAGATGGGTGCTGGCATCATCCTGAGACGGACGAGATCCCTCATGGGTCCATTGGAATAGATCCAGGCCGCTTCAGTTGGGCCAAGGGCATTGTAGGCGCCGTACAGCGGGTCAGAGGAGCTGGTGGGTTTTGAGAGCGAGAGAGAGAGAGAGAGGAATGTTGAAAATGCCTGGTATAGATCTGCAGTCTTGTGGTTATATACTGGGTATACCTGACATGGTAAAAGGCATGAGGTAAGAAGATCAAGATACTAAGGAATTTCAAGTAAATTATTCTCATACAATCTACCTCCATTAGGCTCTAGTTAATAGAGAAAATAGTATCCCCAGACTAAGACAAACAAGGATTCGCTCCACGCCACCGAATAGCTTCACCCTGTACTACAGACAACACCGAAAAGACCACCAAACAGAGCAGTAACATATTGCTCGAGAACACCACGCCACACAGCGTACAACCCGGCAGATTCCGGGAAATCATACGACGCCCTGTACCACACCAGGAATCCGCCGACACCCCCCAACCCAACTGATAAAGCCGCAGTAGAGCTTCCCCAAAGAAAGAAAGCAACACCAAAGTTGCCTTGCTAACCGTTCAAGACTTTTTACACTCGCACTCATTCACTACCATGTCGCGTCCATACGACCAACCAATCACCGACATCGCGCACTACATCTTCCACTACGAGGTCGACAAAACCGACGATGAAGTATGGCAGTGTGCGCGGACGGCTCTTCTCGATGCGATGGGCTGTGCCATCGAGACGGCAGCAACCAGCGCCGAATGTCGAAGTCTACTCGGCCCCGTGGTTGCGGGCACAGTCGTCCCCGATGGATTCCGGGTGCCGGGCACAGATCTGCAGGTTGATCCCGTGCAGGGGGCATTTGATCTGGGGGTTTTGATTCGGTACTTGGATCATAATGATGCGCTGGGTGGTGCGGAGTGGGGACATCCTTCAGGTATGATATGCTCGCGCTCTACTGGGAATATATAGGTCTTTGGTGTATTGTGTGAGTGTGGAACTAAGAGGCATTGCAGATAACCTCGGTGCCATTCTGTCTGTTATGGATTGGCTATCTCGGGCATCTGCGTCTGGACAACTCCACCGAGGACCGCCGCTGACGATGCGGACCCTGCTGCTTGCATTGATCAAGGCGTACGAGATCCAGGGGTGCTATCAGATCCGGAACGCTTTCAATGCCTTCGGAATCGACCATGTAGTGCTAGTCAAGCTTGCGGCGGCTGCAACAGTCTCCTGGTTGCTTGGGCTGACTGAGGAGCAAACGAAAGCAACCATTTCCCACGTGTGGATGGATGGCCAGCCCACCCGAGTTTATCGCTCTGGTGCCAATACAATCCCGCGGAAGGGGTGGGCGGCAGGGGATGCGTGCAGACGAGCTGTGCAGCTGGCTCTGCTTGTACAGGCAGGTCAACCGGGGGCACCAGAGGCATTAACTGCGAAACCCTGGGGCTTTTTGGCGCGGACATTTGACGAGGCGGGGTTCGAGCTGCCTCGGTCATTCCAGTCGTGGACAATCCGAAATGTGCTTTTCAAGACCATGCCCGTGGAAGGACACGGGATTGCAGCCGTGGAAGCAGCCCTGCTTCAGCTCCGACGGCTGCAGCAAAGTCGATGGTCGGTGAACCACATTACACGGATCGATCTGCGAACGACTGCTGCGGCTGATCTGATTATCAACAAACAGGGCCCTCTGCACAATGCGGCTGATCGTGACCACTGTATTCAATACGTCGTCGCCTTGGCTTTGCTGAAGGGTCACGCACCCGAAGCCGTCGACTACTTGGATGAAAGCGAATGGGCAACCAGTGAGGAGTTGGCATCTTTGCGCCAGAGGATCACCGTCTGTGCCGATACTGAGCTCACTCGGGGCTATCTCGACCACGACGAAAAGAGCATCGGCACAGGAATGACAATTTACCTCGATGACGGGTCTTTCTTGTCGGAGATTGTGGTCGAGTATCCCGTGGGGCATGTGCGAAATCACCAAACCAGGGGGGTTTTGCAAGCAAAGTTCATGCGGAACATGGAACGCTTGTTCTCGCCGGAAGAGATCTCTCGAATCGTCAAGGCTGTCGAAGATGACGAGATGCCGGTCAAGAAATTTGTGGATCTGTTCGCTCGCCCATCGACCGGGCAAGACTGTGAATCTGGAGCATCCCTCGTGCCCACATGAAGAAAAGGTATGACAACCAACGCAAATCGCACGTTGAAAAGGTCAAGGTATTTTTTTTTTCGCAGTGATATATTCTTCAATCAATTTTTCCAACTCCCTGCAGAGTCAGATAAACGTCTGTGCCCCATCCCCAGAGGCTCTGCATCGCAATGCTGCCACCGAAATACTCTGCGTAAGCTCGACTCAATGGTAGCCCGTAGCCAAGACCTGCAATGGTACTCAAGTGGCCACCGCTGGCAGAGATAGTGTTGAGAGCATCCATATTGCCATTCTCCGAGCCCTGGAAGTCCATATCCGAGAAGGTGGTGAAGCTATAGGACCAAATATGGGGCAAGACCTCGGGTGGAATGCCACCACCTCGATCGCGGATGCGAATTGTGATGCTCTGGGAAGAAGGGGTCGAGTACCCGATCGCTTCATTCGTGTTTGCTGTGTCATCGCCTGAATTCAGCTGAAACCCCACGTCGGCGTCTTCCTGGATCGGGTGCTCGTTCCCAGGCACGTCGGGGGCGGCGGCAATCGTCACCTCAATGGGCTCGCGCTCGTTCCCAGACTCGATGGTCGCCCGAAAGGCGTTTTTCAATAACTCCGTGATGATGTATTCCACATGCACTGGGACATGGGCAAAAGCGGCCTCGGGCTGGCCGCCGATCTCCAGACGCGGTCGCACTCCGTACTTCAACTCACAAATCTCCCCGACAAAGTCTTCACACAACCGGATGATGCGGGCCGGCTGCAGAGCAGTATCAATTACTCCGATGTAGTTGGAAGGGATCGAGTCTCTGGCCGAGGCATGGGTCTGCTCGGTCGGATCCTCGTTGATCGGCTGCGAGGCAAAATGAAGGGCCAGATGTTGCTCTGCAATCAGACGGGTGCCAATACGCGCTCGCAGATGGGTGTCGAGGAAACGCGTTACGTCTATCGGACTCACGTATTTTCGGCACTCGAGAAAGCCACGGGCAAGCGTCGGAATCGTGTTTGCATGAGTGTGGACGAGATCTGCCAGCACATCTCCAAATTGGTGCTCCTCCTCGAGAGTCGTAATCTGGCGCTGTTGGTAGGGGAGAAGGGTCGACAATGAGTGAAGGTAGTTATCATAGATTTTGGATACATGCGGGTTAGAGACAACGATGAATGGGAGGTTTCGTAATGCTTGGATTCGGGACGCCAGTCGAGCCGGAAGCAGAGACAGGGTGAAATTGGCCGAGGCTAACAGCGCATCCTTGGATAGCGGCGGTCGACCATGTCTAATGATCACATTGAATTGATCAGAATCGGGCTCTTCGCAGAATATTTGTGGGGGTAAGTTCACTCACTTTAGCAAATCCGCAAGGGTTAACGGTCGACGAGGACTGGCGGCCAGCCGGGCGACCTCATCGTTGGCTACATCGGTGCCGGAGGGGTGGATGATCCAGTTGCGATTGGATGCTGATGTGGTCGAAGATGCGAAGCGTATACCTGCGATCAGTCGCCTATTTCTACCTCTGAATGGCAGAGTCTGGAGTCTTGAGGCAGCCATGGTGCATGGTTGGGGAGAGTCGAGAAGGAAAGATAAGAAAACATTCGGGCGGTGGGCCGATGATCTGCATTTTGCGGTCAACGCATATCCACGGGCTTTGCACTCTTGTCGTTGCAGATGACCATGAGGTATGCTTGTTCGTCAGCATTTGCCTAAGTGGTCCCCTTGAATATTTCGAGTAAATACCGGGTCTTTCATGACCTTGGAGAGAATAATATCATTGGGCAACGGAAACAATCTCCGATTGATCTACTCATCTACAGTGCAAGGCAGATTCAGTTCATATCGAATTGTGTCGTTAGAAGCCTGTTCTCCCGAAAGGCTGATCATAATCTATACAGAACATGGCGGATGACGGCAGAGTGCCTGCCCAGGTGGTATCAAATCATCGTGCTAAAGCAAACCCCCCGCAATCCCAGTCGAGTTTCCATTCAGGCGATCATCAACGGATGATTGCAGCGAAGACGACCGTGGTCGTTCTGGCTAGGAGCCCCCTACTGGGTCTTAACTTCGCCATCCTGCTCGACGTGGATGTGGTCGGTGGATTCGAGCGATTCGACGTGGCCCTCGGGGTATTCGACGCTGTCCGTAGAGTGGGATTAGTATCTCAGTAACTCACGGTCAACTGGCTCCTGAGTGGAGTACTTACGTGAAGCCCTTGATGAGGCTGTACTCGTGTTTGATGACACCTCCCTTCTCCTGGGCGGTGCTCTTGGCCCTGGATAAGTGAAGGCTGGTCAGTACTGGCAATGGTCCCACAAAGACCACAAGAGACTCACTTCTCAAGCTCCTCGAGGGGAGCGTCCTTCTTCAGAGTCACCTAAGGTGCCAATTCGCAGATTGTCAGACCGAGACTGGCAAGCTATGAAGCTGGAGCTACTCACGTTGTAAAGAGGCATCTTGGCTGGATGAGCAAAGCGTGTGTGGAAGAAACGAAGAATGGTGGGGATGTGGTGAGGGAGGGAGTTGGAAGGTGGAAGTTGGAGATAAGAAGCGGAGTTGGAGGGGGAGGGGCGTTTTATATGATAAGAGAGAGGGGGGCGTTGCCTGACGCCATCCGCTTAGGTACCTGGGGAGCTCTCAGCGCGTCTCCAAGGTGACCCCCGCGTGGAGATTGCCGACTGTCTTCAGCCTGTCTTACTCTTGTTGTGTGTGACTTCTATCAACCCTGTGTCTACCTAGATCGGGTCTTTAGTTCTATGAGTGAAGGTCAATTCTACGAATGCGCCGGTACGCCCCGCGTACTCAATAGGTGGCCTAGCGAGGGGACCTCGAGATAGTCTGACACTGCTGACATAGCGGCATCCCTTGCGTACGCCATTCACCGACTGCGACGTGTCGCTTCATTTCTTTCTCAGCGAGGAGAATAACTTTGCTTGATGTAACGACGCGATGACGAGATCCAATGACCTCGGCGCTGCGAACGCGGGGCAGGTCACGTGCGCTGCGAGTCATCCAGTTCAGTTTGTGGCCTGAGGCACTGAACAAGATGATGTCATTTCCACTTTCCCAAGCAGGAAGGTACGTCTGCACCTACAAGCCAACATACCCAGCCCCGTCCTGCTCACGAGCTGGCATTTGCAGCCCGTGCATGCCCTCATATGGTGGGCTTTGGGGCTCCTTCCACCCTTCAAGAACATTGTCATCCGCCAATTGGTACACCTCCACACCAAGGGGCCGTGTGGTAGCTCCCATGCCACCCTCCTTATCATCCCATCCCCAGTTGGAAAGATCACCTAGAAAAGAAGTTGCAGTGTTAGCGTGAGTATTTAATTTGCGGAAGACACACAACGTACCACCAGGGCATGCAGACAATGCGCACAGAACATCCACCTCGGCGAAGAATTCAAAGTACTCGCCCGCCTTGGCAGGCGAGGTCTCCATGAAATACTTGCCCTCCTCATCCAGCCCGGTCACCTGGAACACGTTCAACACATCGTGCACATCCAGCTCCGTTAGGCCATGGGGGACCACGGCCCGCGTAAGGTTCGAATGGCAGTGGAAGTCGAAGGTCTCGCCGCCCATGAGAAGGTTCACGTAAGGATCGCAACGGGTGCCCATCAAGTCGTGCACCCGGCCCCCGAACTGAGTGGTCCCAAACACAACCTCTGGGTTGCGCTTGCCATCCGGCCCAAGTACTTCATGCAGCTGGCCGCCGCCAAGTGAGTCGCCCGTGATGGTGACGAGAGGCCGCAGATACGGCAGATTGGACCACAGCCGGTCGCCCACGGAGACGTGAGAGGCGTGGATCTGCCGTGTGCGCGCAGCCCACATTCGCTCCCGGGGATTGTTGGCGTTCCAGATGTTCAGGTCCCCGACCTGGGGTCCCTTCGGCGTGGTGAGTCGGCAGATGTGGCCTGCGGGGACAACCCACGCCTGCCCGGAGCATGGTCGAATGGTAAAGGATTCTTTGGGGACACGTGCAGAGGGGCTGGAAGAAGTCGCGGAAATTGATCGGTAAAGCTGCGAAGTGGCATGGATCCCTGAATTGGGGGGTGCCGTGTAGGCGGGGGGAGGGCGACGTGCAGACATAGTCAAATGTAAACACCCGAGTCCAATGCGAGTTCAAAAACGTGGGCAGCAGGATCGACTACCTTGAATTGATGACAGGGCAAGTCCGTTAGATCTGGGGGACAAGAAGCTTATATAGCCTCCACAGGCTCGGGGGCTCCCCGATATCCGGGTTCCATACTTGAGGCTGCCCCGCATGTACCTGCCTGGATGGATCACTACAGCCTTAGGCCTTTAGTATTATCATTACTAATTAGTTACAACGAGGGGCTCATTTTGCCTTCTCTGCAACTGACGCGTGCCTCGGAAAATAGTGACAGTCTGAAAGTGAGGAAGAACAACAACCCCATCCTCTATGCCTGACAGATGCATCGGCCCGACGTCAGGGCAAGCCCTTATCGCCTCTCACCGGCCCGGGCGATAAGGCCCAATCCTGTTTAGGGAATGCTGGTGCCTCAGGCGGTGAAGGCCAAGCTCAAGAGAAACTTTTTCGGGTCCATATTTCTCCGTCCCGACGAAATAATAATTTTGGGCCGAGCAGAGCAGCCGACATTACAGTCGACTTTTGCTCTTGGTGAACGACTCTGATCTAGCGGAAGAGGAGTCTTGAGGTCTGGGACCTCTTTGTTTCCAGGATGGAGCAGCAGTCGAATAGGGCCCATCGGCCCGCCAAGGAGAAGAAGAAGTACGATGGTATGGCTCTGCGATCCAATCCGCCAAAACCATCTTTGGAGCTCGATTGCGATGAACACCACATGCTGACCGATCTTTCTTTGGCGCAGGACCCAACCAGAAGGCCTTTGCCTATGCCAATCCCGGGAAACTCAATAAACAGGCAGCGCGGTCGCACGATGTACGTATATCGAATCTAACGTCGGCCGAATCCGACTGACGCCGGTTGCTGCTCTAGGTCAAGGAAAAAAGGTTGCATGTGCCTCAGGTGGATCGCATGCCCGAGGAGGCCCCTCCAGTAGTGGTTGCGGTCGTTGGTCCTTCGGGGGTAAGTTTGATCTCGAGTTCAAAGCGCTTTCCACTCGGGCAGCGCAATTCTAACGGTCAATCTTTTTGCGACGTCTTTAGGTCGGCAAGACTACTCTCATCAAATCCTTGATCCGCCGCTACACCAAACAGACCCTGAGCTCGCCCCAAGGGCCATTGACGGTTGTAACGTCGAAACGGAAGCGTCTTACCTTTCTCGAATGTCCCTCCGACTCCCTCGCAGCGATGATCGACGTGGCCAAAATCGCAGATATCGTGCTTCTTATGATCGATGGCAACTATGGCTTTGAGATGGAGACCATGGAGTTCTTGAACGCCTTGTCGACTAGCGGTATGCCGGGCAATGTATTCGGCATCCTGACCCATCTGGATCTGTTCAAGAAGCAAAGCACCTTGCGAATGGCCAAGAAGCGCTTGAAGAACCGTTTTTGGAGCGAGCTCTATCAGGGCGCCAAGCTCTTTTATCTTTCTGGTGTCATCAATGGCCGCTACCCTGACCGTGAGGTCCACAATCTTTCTCGATTTCTGTCGATCATGAAGAACCCACGCCCGCTTGTATGGCGCAACTCGCACCCGTACGCTTTGGCTGATCGCTTTCTCGACATCACGCCCCCGACACAGGTTGAGGAGAACCCCAAGTGCGATCGTACCGTGGCGCTCTATGGCTATCTGCGGGGTACGAATTTCCCAGCCCAGGGCGCTCGGGTACATGTCCCGGGTGTGGGCGACCTGACGGTTTCCGGTATCGAGGGTCTTCCCGACCCTTGCCCGACTCCCTACATGGATCAGCAGATCGCGAAGGCCAGCGGGAAAGGCGCAAGGCGAAAACTGGGCGAGAAGCAAAAGCTTCTCTTTGCTCCCATGTCTGATGTTGGCGGTGTGTTGGTAGACAAGGACGCTGTGTATATTGACGTCAAGACCTCTACATTCGACCGAGACGAGGATGATGAGGATGACGAGGATAACCGTGGACTTGGCGAGCAACTCGTGGTTAGCCTTCAGGGCGAACGGCGATTGCTCGGTGAAGCTGACCAGGGCATGCGGCTGTTCAGTGGTGGCGAGGCCATTGCCCAACCCGATGAGAATGAAGAAACTGGCCGAAAGCACAGACGGCACGCGCGAGTAGCCGACACCGAACGCGATGGCCAGGATCTCGACAATGATGACGAAGGCTTTGAAAGTGGCGAAGACGACGAGGAAATCGCCAGCGATGAGGACGAGGAAGATGACGCAAGCGACGGTGAAGAAGCTGATTTGTCGGCTCCGGCGGACTTTGAAACTAGTTTCAAGGAAAGGCAGAACGGCGATTCTCGTCGAGAAGAGGGAGTTGTCGCGTTTGCAGACAGCGACTCTGACCTTGGCTCTATCTCGTCCGCTGAAGGCCAGGAGCTGGACAGAGACGGCGAAGACGACGACGAGGAGGAAGATGCGGAGGGGAATGTTCGATGGAAGGATAACATGCTGGCCAACGCCAAGGCTCTTCATGGAAAGCGCCCACCCTTCCGAGTCAATGATTTGTCGCGTATGATGTACGACGAGTCTATCAGCCCCGTGGACGTCGTACAAACGTGGCGCGGTGCTGATCAGGATGAGGATGAAGAGGACGAAGAAGACGAGGCAGAAGATGAAGGCGACGAGTTTTTCAAAAAGACCAATAACGAGAAAGAAGACGAAGCCGACTTCCGTGCTGTTCCGGACTACGACTACGAAGAGCTCGAGCGCAAATGGCGGGACGAGGAATTGCTTGAGTCTTTGAAGCGCCGCTTCATTACTGGCAAGTTGTCTGGTGATGGCTCGGACGATGATGAAGATGACGATTTGGACGATGCCTTCGACGACGATGACGACGAGGGCGATGGTGAATTCGAGGATCTGGAGACGGGCGAAGTCTTCAACGGCATCGACGACGACGAAAACGAAGACGACGAGGACGAGGAAGACGAAGAGCAGCCCACAGAACCCCTCGATCTGGAAGCCGAGCGTGAGCGAAACGCCAAAAAGAAAGAGGAGCTACGGCTTCGGTTTGAGGAAGAAGACCGCGAGGGTTTCGCCAACGCCAAGGACGGAAAGCGTGACGGAGGAGACGAGCAATTCGGGGAGGACGATTGGTACGATCTGCAAAAGGCCAAGATGCAAAAGCAGCTGGACATCAATCGTGCCGAATTCGACGAGCTCGACTCAGCTTCGCGCGCCCGCGCTGAAGGCTACAAGGCGGGTACATATGCACGAATCGTGCTGGAAAACGTGCCATATGAATTCGCCTCCAAGTTCAACCCTCGCTTCCCCGTCATCGTCGGAGGTCTGGCCCCAACCGAAGATCGGTTTGGTTATGTGCAGATTCGGATCAAGCGACACCGCTGGCACAAGAAGATCCTCAAGAGCAATGATCCATTGATCTTCTCGCTAGGCTGGCGTCGATTCCAGTCTCTGCCCATCTACAGCACGTCGGACAGTCGGACGCGAAACCGCATGCTCAAATACACACCTGAACACATGCACTGCTTCGGCACGTTCTACGGGCCACTGGTGGCTCCCAACACCGGTTTCTGCTGCGTTCAGTCGTTCTCGAACCAGAATCCAGGCTTCCGTATTGCTGCCACCGGTGTAGTTCTGAGCGTGGATGAGCACACGGAAATTGTCAAGAAGCTCAAGCTTACTGGCCACCCCTACAAGATCTTCAAGAACACTGCCTTCATCAAGGACATGTTTAATTCGGCGCTAGAAATCGCCAAGTTCGAAGGCGCGTCGATTCGGACAGTCTCGGGTGTCCGCGGTCAGATCAAGCGAGCTCTGAGCAAGCCGGACGGCTACTTCCGAGCCACATTTGAAGACAAGATCCTGATGAGTGACATTGTCTTCCTGCGTGCATGGTACCCCATCAAGCCCCACCGCTTCTACAACGCCGTGACAAATCTGCTCGACCAAGAGGAAGGGGGCAAGGGAGACAGTGGATGGAAGGGAATGCGGTTGACAGGCGAAGTGCGCCGCGACCAGGGCATCCCGACGCCGCAGAACAAGGACTCGGCCTACCGCAAGATCGAGCGACCCACGCGCAACTTCAACCCCCTACGCGTGCCGCGCCAGCTGGCAGCCGACCTGCCGTTCAAGTCTCAGATCACCAAGATGAAGTCGCGCAAGGATCAGACCTACATGCAGAAGCGGGCTGTTGTCCTGGGCGGCGAGGAGAGGAAGGCTCGCGACCTCATGCAGAAGCTCACTACGATGCGCAACGACAAGCAAGCCAAGCGATCCGCCAAGCAGGAGGAGCGCCGCCAGGTCTACCGCGCCAAGGTGGCCGACAGCCTGGAAAAGAAGGCCGAGCGCGAGAAGAGGGAGCGCAACGACTACTGGCGCCACGAGGGCAAGAAGCGAAAGAATACCGACGGAGAGTCTGGCGGTGGAAAGAAACGCAAGTGATCCTGCCGGGGGTCATTGCATCTTTGTCAGATCTTGTACATGTCATGGGGCTTTTGTGCATCGACGGCGTTGGTTCCCAAAAAGATTTATTCCCTTAGGCAATTGTATATTGGAAATTTCACATGTGAGGCCCTTTTGTGGGGTTTTATCTGCTCTTCAATATCTTTGTCGTAGAATACATGTAGTTTGTTTTAGACCGTGTTTAAATTCGACCATGCTCTCGTCATTATAGGCGTCGTAGGATAGATATACTTCGGGCTTTCTACGCACTATCCCCAGTTCTGTTACACCCAAAGATCTGCACTAAACGCCTGCAACTCACGTTGCCCCTGTGCAGTTTCACTGATTATCAAGTTCTATAAGTTCCCTTACCCATCGATTTCTGATCTTTCAAAAATACCGTATTTTTATAGTCACTGTTCCGCCAGAATGCTCAGGCCTAAGGACACGTGACCGCGCTTCGCACGCGTCGCAAAAAGCGGCCGCAGCGCCGGGTCTCCGCCGTCCTGGGTCTTCAGTGCCAACACACGTTGAACTCTTTTTAGCCTTATTTCACATACCAGCTATTTGCCTCACACCAGATACAAACTCATAAGCCATATTGAGACCCTTCGGGACATTTTATCTCGTGGGATTTGCATCCGGTGGATCCTGCTCGACCGTTTTGCCGCTCGTGCCTCAACCCTTGCGCGTGCTGGCCGATCGCCTCTGAATCGGGCAGATGCTCCTGGTATCCGCTGCGGCGTCATTGCACATCTCTTAGCGGTTGTCGGGGAGGTGTTGAGATCCTGACTGTCCCCTTTAGCGCATCCTGGTTGCTCCGTGTTCATCTCGGCCCCCAGTCCAGTCTCGATGCGGTGACTCGCGCTAGCAGCCAGCTCTTTGTGTTTTTAAGCTCACTCATATGGCTGCGTAATTTCGCAATTGGAGCTAAATCGCGTATTGCTGGCCTCTATTACTATTATTGTCTCCATTTTTTTGCTTTGAATTTGTCGCCGGGGCCGCTCAACTATGACTGACGGTTCTCGATCGAGTCGCGGGGTGACCCATGCGGAGGCCAGTGCGCGTGCTGAGTCCCTCGTGAACACCTCGACGTCACCAGCGTCCAGCAATCCTACCTCCGCCACTGAGGTCCAGGTGATGCGGTCTCCCCAACCACTCTCGCTGCAGGTCGACGGGCTGAATGGTGCAAAGGTTGCGTCGCGCCACGACAGCCCCAACACAGCCTATATCGAATCCTCGGAGCGCGGTAGCGACACGTCCGTCGATGGTCGACCGCCTGAACTGCAATCCGCAAGCACCTTGACAGACTCCCTGTCCAGCCTTCCATTGTCTTCGGCAAATGATGCCAACCGATCCATGGAGTTTGGCGGCTCCCACGCCAACGAGAACCAAGCAATACCTTCGATAGACCAGAAGCCACAACACCCTGACGGGATAGCGCAGAACCGCCCAGTTAATAGAGAAGGGACGATGGATGGGTTGTATACTTCATCGGGCATTGCAAAGTCTAGTAACGGCTCTTTTCCGTCTGTCATGTCGCCAAAGCATTCAGGCACGCGGTCGGGAATGACTTTAGGTCATAAGAGGACGGCGACTGGCGATGTCAAGCCTGTTTCGTTGAACCCAGCGGCTTCATCCAGTTCAGACGCAAATGGAGCTGCGCGTCGTCGCTCGAAGAGCACTGGCTCGCCTGCCCATGGAAGCAGGATTGCACAGGTAACCTTCAACTCGCATGCTTGTTTAGAGTTCCATTACTGAGACTTCTGATTCAGTTGTCGGTACATATTCGGACGCGTCTTTCCTACGCGGCTGCCAAGGTAGAGAAATCCCGGCAGTCTCGCCAAGCTGAATCCCAGCTTCCGTTGCGAACACAGAATAGCGGGTCACCTATGAGCAGCATTATGCCGGCGCCAAATGCAAACCCAACATCTCATCCGCAAGATCATAGCATCACGACCTCTGCCGTCACTACTCATCATTATCCGAAGCATCATCGTTCGCACTCAACATTATCTTCCCCTAACCATCTCTTTCCCATCCCCAAACTTGCACCTCCTGCCGATATCATAGCATCCAACGGAGATAGTCGGCGGCGTCGACCAAATCACAACACGCACTCGAATTCTATTAACCATAGCCCATATTCGCGCCACCGGCGGCATCACTCCCACCAAGAACCCGCCATGAACAGACCGTTGAGTGGCTCACCGACCTTTTCAGGACCAGGCACGCCATTTATTCCACCGCCGGCACATGCTGCGCCTACATCTTCACAAAACGGCTTCTATCGACCACGAACCAATTCCCAGAACACTTTAATGGAGCAGGATGCCATTGAGACGTTACTTTTCATGTCTAGCCCTGAGAATTCGGGCTATCGCCCCAGCCCTCGGCCTATCCAAGGTGCAGCAACACAAGGTAGCTTGAACGCGTCAATCCATGCCAGCCAGAATGGGACTATGTTCGATGGGAGCCAGGGTTCTCAAAGTGATGGAACTCATAATTCGCAGAACTTGGGTTCGACAAACTCTAAGCCCGGGCTGGAGGCTCATGCAGGGGATGACATCGATCGCATCCTCGACCAGATGGAGAGCGATAGCGAGGACGAGGGCCGGTTCTCATCGTATCGTCATGGCACTAATGGAATGCAGTCCTTCTGAGGGCACCGCGGGTAGTTAGTTACAAAGCGAAACGGGTTGCTTTGTGTGTGATTTTCCGGGTTATCGCTTTTGCATTTGCTTGGAACGGACATGCATTTTGAAGCTGTTGCATCTACGACGTCATGCACTTGAAAGGCTTGGAATTGCTCTTTTATTTGACTTCTATTATGGACCGTCATGTATCCGGAGTTTTTGGGACTGGATTCTCTTTTGGCCCTCGGGCTCGACCATGACATGCATGCCATTGGCTCTATATGCACCCGGATGGTGTGTGTGGTATGTACATTAATCTATTTCTATATCATAATCACGGCATGCATGTGCGACTTTTAGTTTTATGTGCTCAACGGGCCAGTTCCTAGAATTCGATTAGTATGGATATCATTCTTTGGCCTAGGAACGGGGATACTCACGCTTGCCAACTTGCTCTTGGCCCGAATCTTCGGCCCGTAAAAGGCCAGCACCCAGGGGACGAGGGTGAGAAGAGCACCCTAATGTCGTTTGTAAGCTTCGTTTTCCAGATGTAAATGAGTTCAAAAGACGAGAAAACTTACAATTCCTCCCAGCAGACTCGATGCGCCTGGGTACGTGAGGTTGGTGAACATGGCGTTGGTGACCAACGGAAAGACACCACCGAGCAGATTCCGACCTGTTAAATGGATAGTCAGCAAACGGATATAAATTTTCAATGAATGGAAATCTGGAATCTGGAAAGATTAATAATAAGAACAAGGAGAACGTACAGCAAGACTGCGCCGCAATAGCCGAACTCGCATAGCGATGATACGTATCAGCAAGGTAATTGAACGTCGCCAAATAAATCGAGAAAATGCCCATAGTCGCACACCCGACCGCCATGGAGGGCACGATCCAGTGAATGGACGGGTAGGAGGTCCAACCGAACCAAAACAGGCCCACGGGCAACAGCACGGACTCGACGCAAACGAAGTACAGCCGGGCCTCGGCGGACGAGGACAGCTTGCCGAGACGCAGGGCGATGCGTTCCTGCCAGATGCTGATCAGAGTAATCAGGATGACGCCGACGCACATGGCGGTGAAGACGGCGCCGGACTGTTCGATGGTGAAGCCATGGTGTGTGCGGAAGACGAGCGGCACGGAGCCGAATTGGAGGTAGAGGACGGCCCAGCTGAAGGAGACCCAGAGGGAGAAGAAGAAGACGACGGGCTCGGTGAGGAGCATGTCTATTTGAGAGTTAGTCGGATTATCTCTTCAACCTCGAGGTATATATTAAATGGAGTCTGTAGGATAGAAACTCACGGAATGGTCGATACAGCGAGATCTGGATCATCTTGATCAGCGAAGCTCGCTGCTCGTCGCTCTTCACCTTCCACCGAATACGTCGCACGGACTTCTCCTCAGTTGCCTCCTCGCCCGCCATTAGAACCCCGCAGTGGCCTGCTGCCTCGAGCTTCTCGTAGTAGACATTCAGTGCCCTGGCCTTGCGGCTGAGGAGGACACTGCCGCGGGTTTCCTTGAAGAAAAGGAAAATAATAATAACAAAGGCAGCGGAGACAATGGCATGCGAATAGTACACCCACCGCCAGGTGGTGTGGGTGACGATCACGCCGGCCAGCATAGGCGCAAGGCCAGTTCCGAAGAGCGCAGATGCGGAAAAGAGTGCCATGGGGGTGTTGCGGTCTTGCGCGTGGTAGATGTCACTGATGACACCGCCGACCATGGTTGAGAAGGTTGCTGTGAATATCTAGATTAGTTGAAGGCTTTACATGAGAATCATGAGACATAAGAGACATACATCCACCGACACCTTGAAAAAGCCGTGCGACAAGCAGACCGGCGAAGGAATGAGTTCCACCGCATGCCACCAGACATGCTGATAAAGGGACTGTTAGTCAAGGACCAACCGAAGAGATATATCAAAAAGACGACCTACCGACAAACAGGACCCCGCTAGCAATGAAAATCGGCCTGCGTCCATTGATCTCCGAGAAAGGCGCCAGCACCATCGGCGCCAAAGCGAATCCCACACAGAACATCGTGATGCTGAGATTGTACACAACAGCACTGATCCCCCACTCATTCGTCAATTCATCTGCCGCCGGGCTCACCTCGCCAGCCGAATACCCAGCCAAGGCAGTGACAGCGCACGAGATCCAAGTCATGAGCGACTTGCGCCATCGCGGCCACAGAAACGGCGAGGTGTATTTCTCAAGGCTAGGCGCCTCAGGCGGCGGTGACTGGCCGGGCCCTGGAGGCAGAGTGATCTGCGGCGTGGGCAGCGGCGTGTCGAGTTCGAGATAGACGAATTCAATCGGCCCGGCCAGCGAGTCGGGGCTGGCCTCGCGTTTGTCCATGGCTATTGCGGATTTGATTGCCATGAAACTTGGAGAGCTTGGCCACTTTGCGCATGTGAGGATGGTTGGTCATCTTATAGGTGCAGACTCGGGCGATAGGGCGTGGACTAACCAGAAAAAAGAAAATTGGAGAAGGGAAGTTCTCGGTAGATCCCCAAATCCCGCATGATTCACCTTCGGCCTTTGGTCCGAGCAGATTGCCGACGTACTGTCCGGCTGTTTGGATTTACAATAAGATTATAATCAGAGAGAAAAAAAATTGTAGATTGCGATTGATCATAACCAAGTTAGCGATATCACTGCATTTACTGCTACTATATTGGTTATGATTGTTGGGAGCTTCCGAATGCGTAGTTCGGATCGAGCAGCTCCACCTACGATCTCCAATTCGGAGAAACCCAGAAAAGTTCTGGGCGCAATCGGGTGAAGAAAATAACGATTAAAATAAAATAAAATTTAATGCAATTACAAGGAAAAGCAAGCCATAGTCAAATCACGTCAAATCTATTCAGTAAAAAGCTGAGCTGTAGACTGAGCATCCTCACTACGTCATGGAGCCATGGCCGAGGTCCCGGAGTTGCGCCTGGTCTCCCCGCTCTCTTTCAACGTCACGCCATGCTGAACACCAGGCCATACCAGTGCCAGCGATGTTCCCGCTCATTCGCTCGTCTGGAGCATCTCCAACGCCATGACAGATCCCGTGAGTAAAGTCGATTCAGGTATTCCCGAGGCGGCCGCGACTAATCCCTATAGACACCAAGGAGAAGCCGTTTTCCTGCGTCCAATGCACCAAGGCCTTCACGCGCAAGTACGTCCCCGATGCGCAAGGGCGATGAAAATCCCACCTGACATGACAAATAATCTAGAGACCTATTGGCACGCCATGAACGTCTCGCCCATAACCCTGCGGCCAGCCCCGCGAGCCATTTGACGCAGTCGCCTTCGCCCGCTCATCCAATCCCTGATGGCTTAGATACCCTAGCAGCTGTGGTGACTAACCACGCCCACTCCAATCATCACACACCCCCGGGGAGTAGGGAGCAGTTTCCGCCGCTGTCGACCGTACATCGAACGCCCATGATCGGCACTCCGCTGCCCAGCGATACTCCATCGGCAGGACCGACCACTCCGGAATTTGGATATTCTCTAGGCGATATCCCGGCACATTCCTACGAGGCAAACGACTTCACCTCGTTTTTGGACAGTGTTCCCTTGCCGAGCCACCCTTTCTCGCCGGCATATCAGCCCCTTCCCTTGTTTCCGCCGCTACCCTTTTCTCCAATTCCCGATTATGAACAATCCTCAGACCGCGGGCCACCGACGGAGACAACCTCGACTCCTTCCAGCTCGGTGCTCCCTCGGCATGGAGCACAGCTCCCTTCCCTTCAACCGGAGGGGTACCAAACCACCCCCAAGGCTCGACAACCAACGGGATTTGTGCCGGTCACTGCCCAATGCCGAGAAAAGATCCTGAACCTCTTATCAGAATATGCCAATGTAGTACCGGATCTGTCTCTCCCTTCTCGACATGCCCTATCCCGATGCCTCACAGGGTATCTCACAGGATACCACGACCACTACCCAGTCGTACACATCCCGACATTGGACGTCGACTCGATGACATTACCCCTATTTCTTTCGATGGCGGCACTTGGTGCACGGTATTGTCGCGAGCCCGACACCAGCATGCGCCTATATCAGATCGCCAAGCCTGTCACATTAGAGCACGTTCGAAGACAGTTTCAGTCGGGAAAGATGCCCTCGGTCAATGCGGCTGATGATATCGATACTTTTGAAACAGTTCTAGCTTTGTTATTTCTCACGTCGGTCTCGTCATGGTTCATCAACAACCCCCGTATCACGAGGCACTGTCAATGCGGAGTTTGATGGAAACGCTTGTGCGAAAAGGAGGGCTGAACCGGCTGCCAGAACGTGATGGTTCATGGACCAGCTGGATCCGGTGGGAGTGCGTAAAACGTACCAAACTAATCGTGTTTTGCTTTTTCAACATCCATACTATCGTTTTCGATCTACCTCCCGTCATTCTCGCTGAAGAACTCTCCCTCGACCTTCCTTGCACCGAGAAAGAGTGGCAGGCACCCGGGGCCGATCTCTGGCAGGCCGAGCGCAACAAGAGTCCTGGCGAGCCTAAAGTTCAGGATGCCCTTGCGGCGTTGTTCGCGCCCAGCAGCGGCATGGAACGCCTCTCCTCGCTCGGCGGCTACGTGCTCATTCACACAATTTTGCAGGACATTTGGCTGATGACCAAGGCAGGCCGGTTGCCTGTCTCCCGACGTAACCGATTTGGTAGTCCGTCAGCTAGCACAAGCACCTCGGAGATTGTGGCGATCGAGCAGGCTCTAGAACGTTGGTGCCAGTGCTGGGAACGCAACCAAGAATCCTCGATCGATCCACTGAGCCCGCATGGCCCACTGTCGTTTACATCAGCCGCTCTTCTCCGTCTCGCATACATCCGACTGAACGCTGACTGCGGGTCTACGCGGCAGCTACAGACCTGGGACCCGGTGCAGATCGCATCGAGTCTAAAGGACAATCTGACCGTGCGCCGCGGGGATAGACTAACACGCGCGGCGCTTCACTGCGCCCACGCACTCAGCACGCCGGTCAAGCTCGGCATCGGCTTTGTGGCCCACTCACAGGTCGCACTGTGGTCCAACCAGCACGCGCTGTGCTCGCTGGAGTGTGCCGTGCTGCTGGCCAAGTGGCTCGAGGCTGTTACTGTGCCCAACCCGGAGCCGGCGCTGTCCGCCCAGGAAACCCGACTGCGGGACTTTGTCTTGGAGATGGTCATGGAAGTGCAGTATGGGGTCTCGCGTGAGTGGCTGCTGGCCAGGAATACACGGCTGAGTGCGGCCGTGACTCGGCTGTGGGCGCGTTTGTTTACCGCAGATTATATTTGGGAGATGGTGAACCTGATCGGGCGGTCGTTGAATAGCTATGCGGATTTATTAGAGCAGACATGACCATAATGTCTAAAATTCAGCAATTAATTCACCCATTTATGAGCGTTTTTCGTTCGAGGAAGATAGGTATCCCCCAGAATAGTTGCATAGACTACTGGCTGTGATGAGCCATCTTCAGCTCCTCGATCCAGAATTAGTTGCGAGGAAAGAAAAAGGCATGTACTATTTTCATTGCAAGCCCCACCTGGCCCTGTCTACCTCGGCCAAGGGCAATACGAGAGATTCCCGTGGACAAGGTGCTGCAGATCGAATGAGTCATTTTCCGTGCGTCGTCTACTTAGGGCTATCCGCCAACCATTCAAGAGAGCTCCAACACTTGTACCAACATCACGATTTTCTTCTATCCCAGAACAATCTTTCCAATATCCCAAATAAACAACAAACCAACTAACAGAACACAAGGGAAGGAACAACTAGCGGGAGAGCATTAGAGAGAAGAAGCAGATCGATAATAATTCTAGGAGAGAAACAGCTAGTTGGTGTTCTTCGTCGGACACAAAACGACCCCTTGTGTAATTAAAGAAGTCATCAATGGAGTTCCAGTCTTCGTGGAATGACCTGCTGACGGTCCTTCTGGGCTGGATCCGGTGACACTGCATTTTCCAGAGTACGATTGACAGGGTCGGACATCGGCGTATCATGGCGGACGAGACTGTTCGTGACGTTCTGGTCCATCTCGTGTCCAGGATGTTAGAGAGGAAACAATACCAAGCACGTGTCCAGGTTACGTGGAATGGAGCTTAGCAGGTAAGACACCGCCAGGTGTGCGACTAACCGGGCACTGGTTACCAGCAAAGTCCGGAAAGTGGGCGCCTTGCACACCTTATACAGGCATCGGATGGGGCCTACTGGGGAACCTTTTGCGGTTCATGCAAAACACGTGTCCCGGCGCTTGGACGTAGTTCTGCATATGGACCAGAGGTTGAGGTGTAAATATCGGCCAGCAGGGTTGGGATATTATCTAGCCACTGATTCAAGTGGCCTATAAACGAGTTCTTCTGTGTTTCCATAGCCTTCATCATATATTCAGCATGATTTTCCACATTTCAACACTCATACCCCCAACTTTTCTGCAGCGCAGGCGACATATCACGTAAAAAGATATCCACCGTCTTCGGTCCAACCCCCTTAAGTTCCCTCAACGACCCAGACAACCTCTTCGTCGACCCCGCCTGACGCAAAAGATCTCCAAAGGAGCCATATTTATCATTAACCCCCTGCGCCACGTCAAGTAGTTTGGACGCAGTCGAGAAATCATAGCGCACGTAATGCGCCCGGTCCAGGATCTCGACCAGGCCCTGCCAGCCGGTGTCTAGCAGTGCAGTTGGAGATGTAATGCCGGAATCGGTCAGCTCGTGGAATGCGCGTCGGGCGATGTCTTGTTGAATGGGCTTGCCGAAGAGGAGGCATGCCAGGAACCATTTGAAGGATTCTTCTTCCCGGCCTGAATCGAGGTTGAGGCCTAGCTCGGCGGAGTAAATTTTCCTGGGGGGCATTTGTCTAGTGATTCCCAACATTCAAGGAAAAGACGCTCTGGATAAGATGTGTATACGTTGGGTTTGGGGGAGATTGTAGATCGGCTATGTCATGATGACCGGGTTCGATAGGTGATCCCTAACCTTAGGATTCGCTCGCAACGGTTTGATATTCTGAAGAGGAATCCTACTCGCACAATGTATAATTCTCATTCCTACACATTGACATTGACAAAAACGAAATTCCACCGTAAAATTGATATTCGCTTCATCCATGTGTACAGTCGTTCAAGCTACCACAGGAATTTGTTCCATTGGTAGGGCCACTTAACCCCGTTCTGATCCTTTTGATCCACGCAGAACTTGATATTCTGTCGAAGCTCAGTCTATAAAAGGAGAAGATTAGCAAATTCCAGTTTCCGCAACAAGAACAAGGAAACGAAAGAAAGACAAGATTAAACCCACGTTTTTATAAGAATATCCCATCCCCTTGTTATTATCCCAATTCTTCACCTTGTCCAGGTCGCAGATTGGCGCATTGAACATCTCAATGGGCATATCAGTCTCAGTGCTGAAGAAATCCAAGGATTCCTCGAGAGTCCACTGCTTAAAGTAGCCGGAACTCGCCTGGGCCACGATAGAAGACCTGATCAAAATATCCGGCGTCATGTCATAGTCACTCAGCGATTTGTACCCGGCGGGAGCATCCATCGTCCGCTTGGACAGATTAGAGGTGTCAAACGGCGTGGTGAAGAAATATGCCGTGCCGCCATCGCAGTAAACCTCGTCGATACCCCAATTCGAGAGATCAAAGTCACAGGGGGGCTTGCCCTCGACCTTACGGGAAATTTTGACAATAAAGGCGTTCTCGCGGCTCCAGATGTATGCCAGCGCCCCGGGCCGGAAGTGCTTGCGCATCGTCTTGGAGACGTCGTCGGAGATGGTGGATCCCGGGGTATCGGCGAAGTCGCCGTCGTTGAGAATGTGTGGTAGACTTTTGTCGCTATTTGAATACCATGTGTTGGTGTACGGGTTGTTTTCTGGGACGGGCGGATTCTCTAGAAGAGTCGTGCTCCATTCGTTTAACGCATCCATGATCCCATCATGAGCTTTAATGACGCGCTCAGTGAGGTTGGCATCTCGATCGAGCTGTTCCTGGACGAGCCTATATTGCTCAGAAAGGGTGCGTAAGTAATGTCACGATCGCAATAGAATAAGAAGAATTAGACCACGAATCTTACATGGCACCTCCGTTCGTCTTAGCAGTGTTGATTATACCAACCCCGAGGCCCCCAAAGCCCCCAGCCAGTGCAATGCTGACAGACCACAGGGGACTCACTGGGCCCAGAACAGCAGAAAAACCCCCCAAAATGGCCGAAGTAATGATCAAGGCTGCCAGCATGGCATTCTGCAGAAATTGATAGGCATAAGTATATGTTTTTTTCTGAAATGTCCCAGTGAATTGTTACTCACTGGTGTATCCTTGGGCTTCGAGCTGAACTTGTTCACCATCACACTGAGCTCATCGCTGGCTGTGGAAGTCCCATCGGTAATGCCAGTCCGTACTCGGTGGATCCAATTGGCGTAATTGGAGATGGCTCTCATAAAGAACAACCACATGCCGTCATCGCCATTTGTGTCGCAAGTATTCAATTGCATGTCACAGTCGTCTCTGCATGGATGAATTAGCCACCAAAATAACATCAGATGAATGTGCCCCAGGAAGAAATAAAATGAAAAACCAGGAGGTAATAAGACATACTCGTGGCAATCATATTTCCCTTTGTAGCCTGGAACTTGCTCTGCCATGGATCGAAAGAAGCTATGGGTTCCGAATGCGCCATATGGACCATCGCCACATGCCGAATCAGCATAAAAGAGGTTGGATCTATTTTCCATAGAAAGTGTGGAACGCGATTAGACAGGGAGACTAGCAAAAGATTGTAAGGGACACTTCTTACTCCAACTTCAGCTGTGCCCCCATGCCCTTCTTCTGCCATTGGAATTTGTTGAGGTTTCGGTCATCACAGAAATCTGAGTATTTCTCCCCAACGTTTTCTCGTCGGATGAGACTGTGATCTCGTCCATTGAGAGCCCGGTGCCGCCGGTGCAGCATCAGACTCCGTTTCGTGAAGGCATTGGAATGGGGGACGGCATCCGTGCGCAGGGCTAATACGTTGATGTTAGCGGGATATATAGTAAACCTCGGAAGATCAGGCATAAAGAAGGGAAGATGATCAACGAACCCAGCAAGGTGGTTAGCACCAGAAGAAGAGGTGCTCGCATGTTGAAAGACGCAGGGAAACACTGATTGCAAACAGAGAACCGAGAGATATGTGTGGGGAACAACAGTCTTTAGAGGAGGGACCAGCAAGACTTATAGTCCCAAAACGCGAGGATGCCCCCATCGACTCGCCCCATGGGGGATGTTCGGTAGGTAAATCCCATCGTGCCTGAGCCTGTTGCTCCATGGCCTCTCACGGGGGCCCCAAGACCACTAGTCCTCTAACCGCAGGCGAAGAGGCGTTGTTTCAATTTGGAAAATGTAACCGAAGATGAAGGACTGCTCCAAGAACGGACTGATTCTCCCAATCACCAGCGTGTTCCTAGACTCATCCATCCCAAACACGATCAGCCACCAAACACTCGGCATGGCCAGGACTTCGCCGCTGCAACGTCCTGACTCGCAATAGCACTATCTGGGCTTAGTGCGCAAGGGTGAGATGACACCAGGATCCTAACTCTCCCTGTGGCGTCGGCACGCTTGTTCCACCGCGATAGCACGTAGCATCTTGTCGCCGGTGGCTTCTGCACTCGGCGTGGGGGCCGTGGAGTCCCCGGATGTGCTCTCTCTCCATTTCCCCATAAAACGATAATTCCCCAGGTTGGAGTCGGTTTACTCCGAAGTTATATACTTTTCAATTGAACTTGTTCGATCTTCAGGCAATCAAAATGCATCTCTTTTTTGTTCTTTCGTTTCTCGTTGCCTCTGTGTTGGCAATCGACTCCACTCAAGCGATGAGCTGCAACGCTGACTCGAGCCTAAGTAAAGGCCTTGTTCCTCTGTCGAAACTGTGTTCAGGAGGAGAGCTCAATAACGATGGCTGGCTCTCGGTGAAGTGTGATGTGGGTGCGGAAGTCATGAAGTTCAGCGTCGGCCTAAACTGGTGTGTTGCCAACTATGATGGCAACCTCGCCTTGGCTAAGAAGTGAGTTCCCTTTTCCAATTCTTCGAGACTTTTTACCTTACCCCACAGAGTAATAGGATGCTGATCGAGGAATAGTGGCAACGCTATGCAATCCTGTGCGAAAAGCGACTGCCAAGTTTTGGTTGAGAAAAAGAAACGAGCCACATTGAAGTGCACAGCGACCCATTGCTCTGGAGAAGTTGACTTAGGTATGATTTTTTAGCTTACCAGTATATTAATTCTGACACCAGATTATAGACAAAGCAATCAACTTTACGGGGACATACCTCACCTGCGGTGGCATGATCGGCTCGGGTGGGCAATTACAAAAACGCCTGTTCCAGGATGAGCTGTGAATGAATAGCAACTGCAAGCTATTGGAATTAGGATTCCAGCCAAGTGAAATGATGGGGAGATCTGACAGTGAGAACTGGACAAGGCTGCGCGCGCCCAGAACTATAGTGCATTTCAGCTGGCGTTATTGTCCTGGGGTCAGTTCCACCAATAACGAAGTGAACATGTTAGACGCTAGTATGACTATTGGAATAATATTTATGAACGTTTAAAGTTATTTATACCTATACAGAGAAGTGAAAGGGCAGCTAGCTGGATAACTGTGGACAGAAACTCGGATTTGGGTATTTGGGCACCAAAGACTAGCCTCGTTGGGCCAAGCATCAGGCATTAGCCCTAGAATTGAAATCCTGACAGAGACGGCCGAGTCAGCTTGAGATATTTCTAGGTAGTATTCAAAAGAATTGAAGGAAACATGTGGCTCCCACTTCCCATGGTCAGCCGGGCATAGCCTTTGCGTTGTCTTCTTACAACGCGTTAGGGCTTGGGGGTCTCCCGCGCCTCGTGGGGAAGCCGGGCTGGGGAACTAACACCCCAGACACGAAGGATTGTGATGCTGTATATTTGGATATTTCTAAGATAGTATGTTGGTAATTCTTTTAGTCCGACTTCCTTTGATGGAATCTATAAGTGCTAATATGCAACACTAGAGGCTGAGTTGGCCACTCTTACTTAGCCCCTTCAATCTTTTCACCCTTCACGTCTTTTAACTGCTTTGATTCTAACCACCCTGGGGTTCTTTTGCGGTGCTCGCTGTGCCCCTGCACTGCAGTGCCTCCACTGTCAAGGGTACCTATTCGACTCCTGCGCCTTCGGCGTGATGAAGGTCCCGCCCGTTATCGAGAAGATGTAGAGATGCTCAGTTGAGTAAAGATCACATGTAGTTTCTTGCTGCGTGGTTCTGCGATTCGAGCTTTCCTTGATCCGATGTGGAACATCGACACAGATATAAGACTTATAAATCAATCCAAGACTTGGTTCAGTACATCACTCATATAAAACATAGATCATCCACAACAGCCATCAGCAGCGCCAGGCCGCTACTCGTGGAGGCCGAGATAAACAAACAAAGACTCAACCCAAAACATCCATCAGTCAAGGTAAATGGCTCCATCTCCGTGAATGAGCAAAGACCATTCATCCATCGACATCCTTAAGAGTCACTCAGCTTAGACAGCAGGAACTTGCTCGCATCGCCCGTGTCAGCAATATACGAGAAATGCGGCGCAGCAACAATCAGCGTGCCATCGCACACCATATCGCCCTGCGTGCAGTAGATCTTGGTCTTGTCCTTGGGGAAGTTGGCGATCTGACCGTGCTCCTGGGCGTTGCGCGTGTAGCCGAACAAGACAACGCCCTTGATCTTGTCCTTGAGATTGTCGTCGAGTTTCGAGATCGAGCCGTCCATGACGGCTGTGCCTTGGCTATTTGGTTGAAATAAATATTAGCATTCCTTTTTCTCTCCAGTTGTTTCTTTGGAGTAGTAACCCTGAACATACCTATATCCACCCGCAACAATCTGCGTCTCCGGACACTTGCTCGCAGCCTGCTTGAACAGATCCTGGGCTTCGCTGATTGCCTCGGGCGAGGTACCCTGGGGCAGTGCGTTCGATTGCAGGTCGGCCGTGTACTTGGGGCCAACGCCCTGGCAGGCGACCTTACCGGACTTGGCCTGTTTCAGGTCATTGCAAACGGCAGGGCCGGTTGAGGCACCCTATTTTCATATTAATGGTTAATATATGCTGACAACATAAGCAGGAATGAAGTGTTGAGAGGTGAGAATATACCATAAGACCCTGCTCGGTGGAGGCACGGGCAAAGATGAAGGTGATGGGCTTGCAGTCGCCATCGCGCAACTCGTTTCCGCCAGATACTATAAGATAGGATTGCGGTGTCAGAAAATGGATTTTTCGAGTGAATGCAAGGACGTTATAGAAGAAATGTTATGAAAGACAAAAGCAGTGCAGACATTGACGGTCCTGGAGGTCGGCAGGGCTGGCAGCCACGGCACCGGCAAGGGCAAGGGTCGAAAGACGGAGATTCATCTTGACAGAAAGAAAAGAGTGGAAAAGACCTGGCTTTTGTTTCGAAGAGAAGCAAAGAGTGATGATGGAAGCTGAAGGATCAATTAGACGGGGTTGTCATGGCCATTTTATACCCCGAGATTCCCACTCCCCAAGATCCTCAGCGTGGGTGACTTTGTGGAAAAGTTGATGTAGTTCGAACGTGAGGGTCCCCCGACACTAACTGCGTAAAGGGCAAGCCACCCGGGACTAATGCAAACGTTGCTGGGATCGGATGCAGGGTGGTGAGGGCTCCTTGAAACAACTGGAGTTCCAAATTCTGTCAAACGGTGGACACACTAAAGGAGTACCTTGTTTGTAGTGTCGGTGGTTTGGGCCGAGGTGTAGGGCAGACCACGTTTCGGCAGTTGATGTCCGTTGAATTCGACAGATAGATTGACAACAGAAATCTATGCAAAACAAGGAGAAATCAAACAATATTTCGGCAATTCAGCCTCTATACCTGGGATTCAACCCATTATACACCGAGGGAGTGCACCGAGTTTCGTAGTGAATAATCGCATCCCCAAGAACCAGTGCATCCCCACACCATCCAAGAAGCCACTCACTACATTCAACCAACCCGCACAAGCCTACTCCCAAGAACGAGACACCCATAATCACAATCATAAAACCCAACCAAACCAAGCAACAACAAAATGCCCCCCGACCCAGGCGTCTTCCAACCAGGCGGCCCAAAAAGCCTCAACGCCCCGCCAACCCCGCCAACAAGCAACTACCGCCTCAACCACCTAGCCCTGCGTATCAAGGACCCGGCACGGTCCCTGCGCTTCTACATAGAGCTGCTGGGCATGCGCATGGTGTTCAGCATGAACGCAGGGCCCTTCACGATCTACTATCTGGGCCACCCGCCGCCTAATACGAGCGATGTCGAAGAGTGGGCGCGGACGACGAGCGAGATCCCTGCTCTGACGCGCACGAGTGGGTTACTGGAGTTGTATCATGTGCATGGTACGGAAAGAGTATATTCACAACAACCAGATAGTAAGAGTCAGGCGCAAGTAGATGCAGAGGCAGGAGACGCAGAAGACGCAGAGAAAGGGGAAGGAGGAGGTGGGGAGAACCAAATCCATATCTCGAATGGTAACCAGCCGCCGCATCTGGGCTTTGCCCATCTAGGGTTCACTGTACCCGATATTCGAGATGCCCTGGAGCGGCTGCGTGCAGCGGGCGTGCCTATACTGAAGGATTTAGGGATGTGCTCGCGCGAGACAGCGGGCCTGTCTCGGTGGGAGGAAGAGAGGGGGGTTGGCCGGGGAGAGATTCATACAAACTATGCGTGGTTCTTTGAGAAATTTGCCATGGTGGCAGATCCGGTGAGTTTGTGCTTTTCTCCTTGGTTTCGTCTCGTTTTATGCGCTTGTTGGGTGTAGAACCAGGGCTGACGGCTCAGGATGGGTACTCGATCGAGTTGATCCCTCAGAACATCTGATGCCGCATACAGTCTCCCAAGTATTAAATATTTAGAGAATACCTACGCCTATCTATAGAATGGGAACGTGGTGTGCGAGAAAACACAGGCCCAGGCATTTATCCCCGGGCCTCGAAATAGAGCGTAAAGATGCAGCCTATGGACACGGCACTAGTAAGACATGGAACAAAGCAAGAAAAGGGAATCACTCCGCGCCCCAGCTATCATCCTCGGCAACGTCGTAGTCCATATCATGCGCCTCTTTACGGGGTGGCGCCTGGGACACCGCTGGTGCCGACTCCATCGCCGTATCCGGCTCATCCTCCACCAGTCCAGTTTTCGAGTCTGTAGATGTAGCGGTTGGGACAGGCAGAGGCGGATTGGCCATCCAGGTGAGTTGCACATCGCCCACGGATGGGATATTCCATGATCCAAACATGAACTTCTCCGCCTGGTAGCGCTCTTTGAAGGCGACCACGACTGAGTCGGGCGCCTCGGGGTTTGGCTCGATGGAGTGGTACTCGCCGATGCCCTAGTTATTCCAGGTTAATATACGCGGGTTACGTTTGTTGAGCGGAGAAAAAGAACTTACAATCAAATGTTGCCGCAGTGCCTCGTCCTTGTCCGAGTGCAAAGTCACACCCGACACCGCCACTCGTCGAGGTCGGTTATCCAGACGAAGCACTCCACCCCGTCCCCGGGGAGCGAACCCGCCCCGGCCACGATAGCCCCCGCGGTACGAGACATCATAGCCACCCCGCCCACGGAACCCGCCTCGGCCGCGGTAACCGCCCCGACCACGGTAGCCACCACGGCCAGTGTCGGCACCGGCGGGATCGAGACCCATACTCTTAGCCTCGGCCTCGAGAGTAGCCAGTTGGACACGGAGCTTCTTCGTCTCGTCGCTAACATTTTCGTTGGCATCGTCACCGGTGACATCCATAGCGCTAGTGTCGTTACTCGGCTCAGTGGTTCCCCCAATTCGCTGTAGTAGACGCGTTTTTTCTTCCTGCTGCTTCTTGAAGAGCTCATCGCGCTGGCGCTCCAGGGCGTGCTTGGCCTCTTCGGTTTCCTGGCGCCTCTTCAGCTTTTCCTCGTGCGCCTTCTGGGCTTCTTCTTGCTGCTTTTCGAATTCTTCCTGGTTGAACGCAGGAGCCTCGGGCTGGGCATCGCCGTTCTTCTCGTCCTTGCGGTTCGGCTTGTACCAGTAGACCTTCACGAAGCGATTATCAAAGATCACCTTGGGGCTGGACCACGCCTGCTTGGCCTCGACATAGCTGTCGTATTTAACCAGAGCCAGTTTCTTGTACGGCTGCAACGATATTTCGGTAATGTTGCCGAACTGCGAAAAGAACTCGCGCACCGCCTCTTCTGAGAATTTGTCATCGGGGATCTGCTCAACCACAATCGTCGTAATCGACCGGTCCTCATTGGGGCCCGCAGATGAGAAATCGGACCGGCCGCGTCCTCGCCCGCTAAACCCGCCGCGACCACGGCCACGACCACGGCCACGATCACTGCCACGCATAGAGACATCACCGTCCCCTCGTTGCGAATCCATCGGGAACACCGCAGTCCTCGGGTCATATTCTGCCGCCAAGATTAACAAACTTCCCTCTCGCCATTCATCAAGTCTCTTACCATCATCTTTTGAGGCCCCGGCCTCGCCATGCTGGTACGGACAAGCATCTCCCAAATAGCAAATCCCTTGAGCATCATAAAACGGACAACGCTGGTTGCTCTTATCGACCCCCGGTTGGCCCGGAGCACCAGGCATTCCAAGCATGGGAGGCATTCCAGGCATCTGCGGGAACCCCATACCCTGCATACCCTGCATAGCCATCATAGCCGCCATGGGATCGTTCTGATCAAACGGCGGGAACCCCGGCATCATGGGGAAGCCGCCAGCCTGTTGCGGAGGAAACTGGTGACCGGGTTGCGCGTGAGGGCCGTCTCGGCCCATCCAGTCACCGCGACCACCTCCACGCCCCCGTCGCGGAGTCTTGAAAGCGCGATTTTGAGGTACACCGTCCCCGCGCTCTTGCTCGCTTTGGAAACCCTCGTTGTACGTGCGCTTTCGGCTGTTGAACCCAGGACCGTCCGGTCCTGCGCCTGGCCCAAACGAGGTCCCGCTAGGAGACGCGCCAAAGGCGCCTCTTGGGCCTGTGGGTGCATTGAATGGGTGCTGTGCCTCAGGGCCGGGCATGGACTGGGGGAAATTATGAGGAGGTTGAGGCTGGGTCTGTGGCAGAGCTGGGGGTGCAGGGGCGGATTTTTTTTGGGCCAAAAGTCGCAAAAAGCTCATCGACGAAGGGGTTTGTGTCTAGAATGCGTCGTCAATAAAATCATAGACTCGGCAGAGGACGGTAGAAGACTCCCACGTACGCTCTCGCAAAAAGTCCAGTAGGTTGTCCACTGAATTTTGCCTGATTTCTTCGTCCGGCGCATCAGATCTGATGAGAGCGAGCACGTAGTCGGCAAGAACATCCGAGTCCGCATCGGAGCTAAAAGCGCAGCGCAGACCCAAGTTAGCACTCTGGGAGAAGTTTTCTCGGCCCCGGCAGATCAAGCTCGTGTTCCTCGTGCACTCACATGTCCTCCAGTTTCTTCACCACCCATTTTTTCACGTCGGAAGCTTCCTCTTCCGTAAACTGCATTGTAAAGTTTTATCGAAAAAACCCGTAGATCACCCAAATTGCACAAGTTAGGAGGGGGTTGATCGTAGGCACAAGTGGCCGCAGGGTTCCGTTGTCGACAGCGAGGCTGCAGGAGCTCGGGAATTCGTTGTCAGCAATGGTTGACAAAGAGACCGGTACGAGCGCAAAGTTCAAAGACTGTCAATCAAAGCAAGTTTACAAGGAAACGCATTGGCCCCTGGCCATGGAGAACGTGGACGTGGGATGTTCCAGAGCTCAGAGGCGATGGAAAACGCGAGGGCGCGCGATGTGGTCACGTGCGCAACGTCTGCCGAGACTGCAGAACGAGCAAAATCAGACTCGATTTGCGTCCAACTACATGTCCTTACGAGGTCTACAATCAGGAACTACATTCAGGCCCCTCTGTAGTCTAGCATACCATGTTTATTTTCATGTCCAAACTGGTATAACTAGACAACAGCAAATAAAGAAAACCAGCAGAAATCCGTCAAAGCAACTATGGAAACAAAGCAAATGGATGGACCGAGGCGAAGGTGCCCTGGATAACCCTCGATGCTCCTCGCCCATTTTCTAAAGACGGCAATGACAGTAGCCATCCCGACATGTCGCGAGAATGGAATTTTGTTTGAACCGGGAAGTTGTATTGCATTCATCAATCTCATAAAAAAAGATTCCACGCATGACTGGCAGAAGCGCAATCTGACCGGCCGTGAAGATTTTTACAGCTTGTCGTAGTACTGCGGAGAATAGGTTAGCAAAGGAAATATAGCTAAAATCCAACAAAGAGACATCACTTACGTTCTCGTAGCCAGGGACCTGCTCCTTGAGACCCTTGCGCTTACGCATCGTGGTAACAACCTGACCAGGCGAGCTGGTGGGGTCAAGAGGCGAGCCACCAGGAAGGATGGCCCAGTGGTCGAAGACCGACTGGGGGAAGGCCTGACCACCGGTGGCGGAACGCAGATCGGCAGGGAAACCGAACGACTCGTTGACGGGCAGGTAAGCCTTGACGTTGAACAGAGGAGTACCGGGACGCTGTTCCTCAGCGTAGACGTGACCACGGCGGCGGGTAAGCACACCGTAGATACCACCCATGGCCTGCTCGGGTACCTGTATCTCGACGTTGAAGATGGGCTCGAGGAGACCGGGCTCAGCCAGCATGGCGGCGGCGTACAGGACACGACGAGCAGTGGGGATGATCTGACCACCACCACGGTGGATAGCATCAGCGTGCAGGGTAACATCCAGGATGTTGAAGCGAACCGAGCGCAGGGGCTCCTCGGCAACGGGACCCTCGCGGGTGGCCCACTGGAAACCGGAGACAACCGAGTCCTTGATTTCGTTCAAGTACTGCACAGCCTTGGTCTGGTCAACCAGCAGGTTGGGGCCGTTGGTGTCGGGACCGAAACACCAGATCTTACGGGCGTCGGTGACATCCCAGCCGTACTCGTCGGCCAGGAGACGGGCACGAGCCTTGAAGTCGTCACGGGGGGTGATCTTGCCGTTCTCGATGGCAAGCGAGACCTCCTCGTCGATGGGCTGGGCGTTGAGGTAGATACGGTTGTGCTTGTTGGGCGACTTGGACAGGGCAGTCATGCTGGACTCGCCGGTAACAGTCTCACGGTAGGGCACGACGGGGTCGGAGATGCGCAGGGGCACACCAGCGTGGTCGTCCTCAAGATCCTTCAGACAGATCTCCAGGTGCAGCTCACCGGCACCGGCGACAACGTGCTCACCGGACTCGGAGATGAAGGTCAGGACACAGGGGTCGGACTTGGACAGACGCTTGAGACCCTCGACCAGCTTGGGCAGGTCCTGGGCGTTCTTGACCTCAACGGAGCGCTGCACGACGGGCGAGACGGAGAACTTCATGACCTTGAGGTTGTGGGCAGTGTCGTCGGTGGTCAGTGTACCCGACTTGAGCAGGAACTGGTCAATACCGACCAGACCGACGATGTTACCGGCGGGGACATCCTCGATGGGCTCGACGAAGCGACCCATCATGAGAATGGTACGCTGGATGGCCTTGATGAACAGGTCCTCCTTCTTGCCAGGGGTGTAGTGGGGGCCCTGGATGCGGACCTTGATGCCGGAGCGGACGGTACCGGAGTAGACACGACCGAAGGCGTAGAAGCGGCCCTTGTCGGAGGTCGGCACCATCTTGGAGACGTACAGCATGAGAGCAGCCTTGGGGTCACAGTCGCGGATACCAACGCAAGCGGCATCGTCGGAGGGACCCTCGTACAGAGTCTCGGCACGGTACTTCTGGGCAGTAACGGGAGAGGGCAGGTGAATACAAATCATCTCCAGCAGAGCGTCGGCAGCGGGCAAGAACTTGCGCATGACGAGCTTGAGGAGGGCCTTGCCCTCGAGGTCCTTCTCGTCGTTGGCCAGGTTGACCTCGAGCTTTTGCAAAAGTGTGGTGATCTCCTCACGCTTGTTGTGGTTGACGGCGGCGAAGATCTTGAAGATGGGGTCCAGGATGAACTGGTTGAAGGCACGCTCCAGGGGCTTGCCATCAGCCTCACCACGGTTGGTCCACTTCTTGGTCTTGGGGTTGAAGTAGTTGTCACCCCACAGACGCTCAAGCATCTTCTTGCGGTCAACACCGAACTTCTTGGCGTACTTGACGGCGAATTGGCGGACAGTGAAAGCCCAGCCGTGGAGACCGGAACCGAACGCAATGGTGCCGCGGTCGGGGTAGACCTGGACATCACCGAGAGCCTTGTCGAAGTAGGTGGCGATGATGACGTTGACGGACTCAATGGTACGCGAGAAGGACTGGTACAGGTCCTCCTTGGAGACCTGGAGCTCGAGCAGAGCACGGTCAACCTTGTTGATACACAGAACCGGCTTGATACGCTCGGTCAGGGCCTGACGCAGGACGGTCTCGGTCTGGACACAGACACCCGACACACAGTCGACGACGACCAGGGCACCGTCGGTGACACGGAGAGCGGCCGTGACCTCAGACGAGAAGTCAACGTGACCGGGCGAATCGATCAGGTTGATCAAGAACTCCCTGGCCATCGACGGCCTGGGGGATCTCCTTCAGGTCCTCGGGGTCGGGGAACTTGGCGTACAAGGAAATGGCCGTGGACTTGATGGTAATGCAGCGGTCCTGCTCGTCGGGACGAGTGTCCATGAACCGGGCCTCACCAGCCTTGGCGGCCGAAATGATACCGGCACGCTGGACCAGGGAGTCGGAGAGGGTCGACTTGCCGTGATCGACTAGAAACAAATCCGATCGTCAGCAAAAATGAACAATAAAAAAATAAGAATAAAAGCAAGAGGTTTTCCAAGTCGCCTTCAGAATCAAGGAATTTGCTTACCGTGAGCAATGACGGACATGTTCCGGATGTTAGCCCGGCGGTCCATCAGAGACCGGATCTAATCGGTGTTAGTGGGCTGCACACAAAAAAAAGCCGTACCGCCCGTGGAGGGGTGGGAGGGGCGGTCAGCCCCTCCACCACGAGCAAACACGATGGAATTCGATGCAAGTACGAACCTCTTCGATGGTGAAGCTGTAGAAAAGATTGTTAGCTGTACTGTTCTTGACTGAAAGGCCCTCGTCTTCGATGATCGGAGATGACTTACTTGACCATTTTGACGGTTTTTTTTTCCTCAATAAGGCCCTAGAGGCGGGGTTGAGAGGGAAACGAAAAAGAAAAAGAAAGAAGCAAGAAAGCACACAGCTGATCAGGATCGAGGACAAGCTCGATCACCAGAGATCAATGAGACCTATGTGCAACTGCTCCTGGAGGAGGTAGGGGGAGGTGGGAGAAGGAGGGAAGAGGGGGAAAAGTGGGAGAAAAAAAAGAAGAGCGAAAGTGGGGACTTTTTTGCTCCCGGTTTTTCTGTGCGCCCGCTTCCCTCAGGCAAACAAGCCCAGTCAGAAAATGTTCTTGCCATGTTTATCTGACTGGTTTTTACTGCTCTTTCTACGGTTGATTCTCATCAGTTCTATGTTTTCTGCTACACTGTTGTTTTTTCCCATATAGGTTATCCATGGATTATATAGCTTTGACTCATTCCGATGACTATTCTCCCCGCCCTCCGTGGTTCTCCGGTTGTCATTACGCGGGTGGCAATGATATACACCTTTACTTCGACTCATCCTAGTTCCAACCGTGTCACTGAGCTGGACTTGACAGCTCATGGGCGAGGCAACTTGTGGGCAGCGACGCCCGAGTCGTTGGATCACCGTACTAAGATCTCGGCCAATCAGATGGACTGCTGACCATGAGGGCTGGGTGGATTAATAATTCATTTCAAGGGCTCCAGGGCTTTCCATCGTGAGGGGTTCGTGGGATTGTATGGGAGAGATCGGGGTGGGAGAGAGTAGAGTAATCATACAGAGAGAAAAGAAGAGCAGGGATGACAACAGTAGTCAAGCCGGACGAGGTATATCCAAACACCCAACTCCCAAAGGAAGCACCAAAATATCTACAAATTCAAGAAAAAAAATCCCTCACCCCAGAATCTTCCCGTATGCATCTTCCACTTCCTTTGCAATCTCCAGCAGGGTGACAATGATAATCTGGTGCGTGACATTGGGCAGCCGGTCGCGTTGAAGCCCAATCCATTCCAACGGCGGCGTAGCCTCGCCCATGTCTCGTAACTGCGGCGTCTCGATGACTGGCGGCTGGAGCGCCGTGTAGGTGTACTTAGACTGCGGGACATTGACGACAGCCGTGATCTTTTCCTGCTGCTCAGCTCCGGGACCACCACCCTCGGTGCTGCTTCCGGGGGCGCCGGTGATGCGGACAGCCGACGGCGGCAAGGGCTTGCCGAGACGCGACGCCAAAGCACGCGAGTGCGTCCCCCACATGTCGCGAATGAAGCTAATGCGCGAATAGTTCCATCCAACATCCACTTTCCCTTCGAATGTGCTGTGGAAGATGTAGTCGATCTGCCGGGTGCCGGGGGCCTGCCATGTCTCCATCCCGGCCACAAGCCGAGGAACCTTGAGGATGGTGCCGCCGCGAGAGGCGGAGGCGCGCTGTGAAATGTCGTCAACGGAGAGTTCCTCGATTTGGGCAGAGCTGGGCCGGCTGATGCCAGACAGTGCAACGCGAAGCTGACCCAAAGTAAGGCCCAAGGCACTGTGGATCTTGTCCGCTTCAAGTGACACGGCGAACCGGGCCTGGGCATCATAGGCTTCCACCTTCAAGATCTGGTTGTCGAAGAAAGAGCTGGGGAACGCCCCGAGGTTGACGTGACGAATGTTCACGACCACCCCTGTGTGTAGAGAAATAGGCGCTCTTTCAGACTGGTCCTCGTCTTGTCGGTCCAAATCCTTGGTAGAGACATCAGTTCGGTCCGGGGGTGCAAAGGATCTGCGCCGGAGGTAACGTTCCACCTCACGGAGCGATGCCTGGTATGCTGCTTGTTTGTCTTGTACCAGTCGCTGCCAAGCTTGGAACAGCGCTAGACCTTGTGACGCGGTCAGTGACGTGCAGAAAACTTGGACTTCATCACCTTCTAGGGTACTGAACAGTCGTTCGCTCTGCTCGCGAGTGGCGCCCCGAACGTTGTACATCAAGAATTCAAACATAGCAATATGAGCGACAAGGAAAGGTTGGTAGTCGAACGACACCTTGGCCTGGAGATGATGGAAAGCGATAGAAGCTTGAATCAAGGGCGTATTCCCATTGTCCCGGCTTTCATCCGGCCATTGAATGGAGGTGCGGACCTTCAGTGTCCGAAGCTCGACCACGCCACTCATACGTCCTTTGCTCTCAATCTCAACATTGCTGAAATTGACACACATGCTCTGTTCGCTGTCAGATGTCTTGTTGGACGACACCCACAGGTCATTGATGGCAAACTGCGCCTTGCCCAGCGTCGAGCCCAGGTCCAGTTGAATCTCCAACTTCTCAATGGCAATCGTAGTGTTCCAGGGGAATGCCGACGCCGAAGCAACCTGCTGGTATCGTTGTACGATGTATGTTTGGGGCTCGGACGGCTCTGGTTCGGATGCTGGACTGGAGGCAGGCTCATCGTCGGAGGGAAGCCAAATTTCTCGGAACAGCAAAGAATCCTGAACCTGCTTGGCGTTGAGCGAGACCTTCATTGGGCTCACCCGCAGGATAGCTGACATGCCGCTGTGGCGGCCAAGGTGTTTGCTATTTATCATCGACAAGATCATGGACTTGACCTCAAAACTAGCTGTGGATTCATTTGAGTAGACATGCTTCACCGAGGCTTGCAGACCGTTGAAGGCCAACGAGAGTGCGAGAAAGCGTCCCGGTTCATTCGACTGAACAGTGTTGACAGTCACGTAGACACTGTCAAATCTGGCTGTGGCTGCTACCCTGGCAATGGGCTGACAGCTTAAACTGAATTCCTGCTGGCAGAAGAGTAGACCAAGATTAACCTTGCATCGCCCGAGGATTGTGTTTGGATCCTGGGTGTCGAAGGGAGTTTCTTGCATCAGTTTCTGGGTCTGCAACATCGGGGTAGCAGACGGTCGTCGCGGCTGGTCTTGCTGGTCTCTCATGATCTCTTTGACCGTGGCAGTCATTTGCTTGACGAGGGGAACCAGAGTTGGATACAAGACATTGGTAGAGGGATCGACCTTCAACTCCCCGTTGAGTGTTGGATCATCGGCCCCGTTGTCCTCAAACTGGAATTTCAGAGCCACACCAGGAGCTCGGACAGTCGCTGTGGTTGCTGCATCACCCTGCACGTATTGACCATACTTTGCTTCGGAGAGCCGGCTGCCCCTGACCGTAGTCGACAAGAAAGTTTGATATTCGTGCTCAAGTCTCCCTTGGAGTGAGACGGTAGCACCGGCAAAGTCAACATCAACAAGGACAGATCGAAGTCGCCTATTCCCAAAAAGATTTCGATCTTTGCTGCTGGAATCGGGTGTTGGTTCTGTTTCCCAAACAGTCTTGCCTTCACGTAGCGCCTCGCTGGCAGACGCAATCGAATCCCGTATCATACTGACAGGGATGATGAATTCCGACGTGGCCCGTATATCCAGAGACTTGCCCGCTGCCTGGAAGGCGAGCCAGACTTCCTTTCCACTGGAGTAGTAGGCCACGTTGAAAACCAATTCGGGCATAAGGGCTGAGTTGAGCGAGCGCTTCCTCCTGTCTGCGCCAAATGGCACCATCTGTAGCTGCATGTTCTCAATCCGGAGTTTAGCAGCGTTCTTCTTCTTGTTAGATAGTTCAACTCGCTGGATGGAGAAAACAAGGTCCTCGGGTCGGCGCGCAGTGGCACTAGATGACGAGGTATTCATGTTCCAGGCAACTTGAATGTCCAAGAACTGCAGCGAGAACAAGGCATTCAGGAAGGTCTCCGGAGCTGAGTCGTCATCGACTCGAATCTGCGGCATCTCCACGGGGTGGTCTTTGGTCTCGTGGTTTCGATGTCGCAGTCTCCTAAGACGCTTCACTTCGTGTGACAAGTCCAATGTCTTGATGCGCTCTTGTGTGTAGACGGCAATGTCGACCACCAATGCAGCAGTTTCGGCATAAAGCTCGACATCAAACCTGTCGCTGCTGAAGTGATAGGCTCGCATTACCTCGCCATTGTCGCGTACAGTGGATGTCCCTAGAAGCTTCACTCCTGCGGAAAACCCCCCGTATGGCTTGCTCCGTAATTTGTCTTGTCTTCGCAGCTCGAAACTGATTTGAGAGGCATCAATATTGAACTCGGGGTAGTCCATGGGATATCCTCGGTCTAATCCATTCTCAAGACGCATCCGCATCATCCCAAGGCTGAAGATCATTTCTGCCGAGTAGTTCTTGCCATTGAAAGCAGGAGCAATTGCATGAATTTCAATTCCCGCCATCGTGAGTCGAGACTTGTAGAGAATACCCGTACCATCGGAAACTGGTTTGGGTTCCGGTGGTGGTTTCTGGAGCGACAGTACATCATCCAGATGTGATTGAAGAACATCCACATTCTGTTTCAAGTCTGATACCAGATGAGACACATCGGGGCCCGTCAAAACAGCCAGAAGGCTTCGAACGGCACTAGCCTCTAGGCGAATCAGCTCAATTGTCATGTCAACCTCTACCTCCTTGTGGCCGGATGAGAGATTCGCAAGGACTCGGCCATTGACGGGAGGTATCTCTAGCAATGACAGAGCATGGGATCGGCCACCTTCGCCGGACATGAAAATGTGGGAATTCTTCTTCACGTCGAAATCAACCTCGATCTTTGATGCCGCTGTAGGCAGGACTGACATACGGGCTACCTCGCCGGACACGAGGTAGGTCAAGGACGGCAAAAGACTGAAGCTCAGTCGGTAACCATCCAAAAACATGGCCACATGGAACGTATCGCGAGTAGGTTTTTTCAAAGGCTGCGCCTGATCGGTTCGTGGCTTTGCGAGCGTGACATTATCCACGAGTTGGCGAATGTATTTGACTTCATCCTCGATCAAACGGTCGGTCGTATGGGCCAAACTGACTGGGTCTTCCTTCATGTCATATCGAAGCTTGTTGCAAGAACCGGCAATCTTCCATTCATTTGTGCATTCAATTTCATCTTCCGCGGAGACAAAAGAAAAGTACATGTATGGATCTGCAATTCTCGAGAGCATCAAAGCCCTCGATTGGCTCAGAAGTTCGGATGAACATGCTTCGGCGGAGAACAACAAAGCCAATTCTTCCTGCTTCATCTTCTCGGCGCTATGCGAACGGTGAACGACGGAGCTCCGGAGCGCTCGAGAGACCAAGGCAAGCTTGACATTAATGCCATCGAGAGTGATTGACCCGAAATCGGTGCCGAAGACAATCTGCACTTCAGTTGGTTGCTCTTCTGGTTTGGTACCAGAGGCTTGAGTATATGTGGATTCAAGCGTCACAGTTGACATGTCTTTCATCACTCCTTCAATAAGATCCAAAATCTCCCAACGAAGCCGTAGAGCAGCAGAGCCACAATAGCACTGCAATGTGAGGAGTTTCTTTCGCAATTCATTGTCACCTTCGCGAACAACCATGTCCGGGACAAGAGACGTAGCAGTCGACAGGTTCTCGATGATAAAATCGCTTTCTCTGGGACCAGGGTCCATGGAGAACCGAAAAAGTTTGATATTCGAGGATAGGAACAGGGACGGCTGCGTAATCCTTTGGCGTGGCTCTGGATTCGGCCAAACTCTGCGCATGACATAGCTCTTCGCGACGTGTGCCAGATCCCATGTCCTCCATTGATCGAAGCCGGTCATTACGGTGGACATGGCATCAGATGGCAAGGGAAGATTTCCGCTGGAGCATTTCCGCTCCAACTCGCGTTTATGGTGCACGGGCAGGCTCTCGTAAATGTTCCGGATACGTGAAAGAATCTTCCACGAGTCATGCTGTCGTAGATGGGTCGAGGCGACTCGGAGCACATAGGAGATGCGCGTTAGGAAGATGGGATCCGGAATATTGGCAGCTGAGTGTGTCGCGAAGTAAATCAGGTATCGTAGACGCATTTTACTTGAAGTCAAAACTTGCTGAAAGGACGAAGCAACGGAGTCGAACATGGTCGTGGCTTGGCGAACCAAGAGGGCTAAACGCTCGACAGACTTGGCGGATGTGATTGCATTGATGGTTCGTATTTGAAGATGAGATCGAATTTTGGGTGCCGTCACTAGCCAAAAGTTCATATCCCCTAAATGGCAGTCGAATCCAGCTTTTTCGTGGAAGGAGTCAGTTCGACCGCCCTCCACTGAAACCGAGACTTGGTCTGCCGCTGCATGAACCGTGACTCCCTGCTTCAGCCCTTCAAGTAGATCGTCCTTTTGACGCTGAACCTTCTTTCGGAACTCCGTGCGAAGATGACGAATCTCGATGCTGTACTCGTCTCGAAGCTCGATCTGGTTGTTGTCGGGAGACTTTGATAAATCAACAAGTCTTAGCTGGATCGAGGGAACGCGAAGCGCAATAGCAGTCGATTTCTTTGGCTGCTGCATCGATTTGTCATGGCCAACGATATCTGATATCACATCTTTTTGAAGGGAATCGATGATCTGCACAGGATGCTTCGGCTCGAGGCCTTCCAGCAAGGCAGCCAAGCTGAAAAGGAATTTGGGTGTACAATACCCCCTGATACCCAGCGGCAACTCGCAGGCGAGGTTTGTATAAGTCGTTTGGTCCTCATCGAAAGTTAAGAACATGGATCTTTGGTCGATCACAGGTTCATCGTCGTTCGACGCATTTCTTCCATTGCTCATTCGAACTGGAAGCTCGACTGTATCCAAGGAAAGCTTGTAGTAGGAAAATTCCGGCATAATCCAGGGATTAGATTCCCTGGTTGCTGCTGAAGGGGATGGGTCTGTTCTAGATCCATTGTATAGAGTACTGTGATAGTTCCTGACTCGATGAGGCTGCAAGGTAGACCAGCTTGCGCCCCGAACAGGAGAGGCAGGTCTTTGAGGTGGCCCTGGGTCAGAAGTTGGCCTGGAATCATCATCATCAAGGGGTTTGACACTATTGAGGCTTGGTGTTTCAGAGTGTAAAAGGAAACTCTTCCTGCTTCCCGTGATCTGGCTTCCTGAAACCCCGCGATATGACGGTGCACTGGCTCGGCCAAATTTTCCATGGATAGGCTCTGGCATAGACGGGATAGCCATTGTTGGCGGTGAAAGACTGTCTCCGTGTGGGATAGAGGAAGTCGGTCCAATTTCATCCCAGTCGAGGAGCAGCCACTGTGCCCTGTGGGTTCGTTGGTCGTGGTCTCTGATATGCTCCTGCTGCAATCGTCGACCCTCGCCGATATCCCACGCACGCAAAGCCATCTTCAGACTGATTGTCAGATGAAAGAGCCCTAAAGGAGCTACTTTTTTCGTGGGAGATCGATGGCTTCGAGCCGCAACCTCGCGATCGACTGCAGCAATCGAGATGTCTGGAACAAGCAAGCTTAGTCGTTTCGAAAATTTGGAATTGGCCCAATCATTGAACTTGGCTGTTAAAGGTCGGCAGCTGAAAAGAACGGCCACTTCGTCCAGGAGCACGGAGATATGAATCGAACTGATCTTGGCTCTGAGGAAAGTCACATCATGGAGAACAGGCGGGAAGAGGAGTGGTAAGGCATTTTCCTCGTTGTCGAATGAGAAATCGAAGCTCTTCAAGGAGGAAGCCAAGCAGGCAATGAATCCTGGGGAGCATTCACCAACAACCCGTCCCACATCGAAATCCCAATTGCATACGTAGGTTGGCTCCGCGGGGGTAATCCAAATAGACGATGCCCATAAATCGAAGTGCCATCAATGAAAAGCTGAGAGCCAGACACAGTCGATGAGCCATCCAACTCGGTGGACTGCAAAGCAATCTTCAGTGGGCTGTGTGAGAACTGAAGATCCATATAGTAGTTGGTGAAACGCAGATCAACTTCCAGAGAAGCAGCGCGGAGTTCCAAGCACTTCAAATGGTCGTATATGTTCTCAGGAAGCAGGACACACGGATTTTCCACTGTGACACGAACAAGCACGTCCATGTCATTTGACTTTCGATTTGGGTTGATGCCCGTGGGATTCGATGGGGCTTCGTCTGCATAAACCAACTCCTGGTATTCTTCAAGGGTCCTGAAGTGCATTTCATCGCCAAAGTAATTCTCTTTGATGGTCATAAAGCTCTTGATCAAGAATCCATAGAGATACAACTGGGGTGAGGATCCATCGATGTTGAGCACCAAAGTGTCAGTCAAATCGGACGAAGTTGAAAGGAAATAGTTGTAGGATCCGTCGATAAAAACGCTGTCGAGTGTGGCCAGGGACTTGTCCGGTAGGAATGCATGCAGTGTGTCCCAAAGGGGTGTTAAATAATCCAATAAGCCATTTTCGAGATTGACTCTGAATTCCACTGCGTTCTGCTCAGGCTGGTATTTGTTCAGTGGTATCATCACGTTCGATGTCAGCCGCTTCCCTTTGACAGCGATGAATCGATTGTCCTCCAAATCAGAAGGATTGCTGATGATGTTCCGGTCGTTCACGTTCACAAACAGCTGGGGGTTCGAAAAACAGAGGTCAATGTTGTAAATAAATGGCACGAACGTATAATAGTCCGATGGTGGGCCAGACGCCCAGTCATTCACGAGATCTGTGAGGAGAAAAATATGATCACGGAGCAGGAACAGCTCTAGATTCTGACTGTCCACGGTGAATTTCCAGGACCGCAGGCTATTCCAGCAGAGAGGGTTGGACAAGTCACAAGTGACCAGCTGCCGTGGGCATTGCCAGAGCAAGCCATGGTTCACACTGGAGGAAAGCTTCGACTCTCGCAGATCAAGAGAGAGTTCATTTTGGAAGCCTTGACTCGATGCCATCATGTCCATTTTATAGTTGATGGTGGAATCCGGATCCACACGCAGAGATAGCCATCCAAAAGGACGAATGTCAGGACCGAGGTGGCCTTTTTCTCCTTCTTTGGGCCGTAACTTTTGCTTTTCGTTTTGCTTTTTGTTTTTTGAGGTTCCTTTGATGGCATCAGCCCGGCCTTTCCATTGCCAATCTTTGGACTGTTCTCGTGTTGGGATACGCAGGGTAAGCTCTTCATTGATTTCCACTCGCAGCTTGAAAACTGTACTCTGTCTCAAAACACCCGGTGACAGCTGTTCTGCCGGCTCGGAGCTGCGGTAGAAATTCGGGAAGAAGACATTCTGCAAGCCGACTCTCTCTCTGTCAGCCCACGGGCCGTAGTTGATGGAGCCTCCGTCGAGCTTGATATCAAGACCCCAATCCGGGGGAAGGGCACCATTAATGTCCTTGTCCACGGGATTCGAACAAGTCGGAGATGGTTCATGGGGACCCACGCATCCAGGAATGTCCCAGAAGTAGGTAACGGTGAGACTAGGGCTGTCAAGCAGGGTTGAGAACCTGGCATACTCGACTGAGCTCCATTTCTCATGGTCATCCTCGCCATCTTCATCCAGATACCGCGAGAGACCGGTCCAACGGACGTCTGGGAAGTCTGCCTGGCTCCTCGGCATACTATCGGTATTTTTCTTTTCGACACGGAACGACTCAACGGAAGTCTGGAAATAAGGGACCAATTCCCGGAGGCTGTGCCAGATCTTGCGTTTCTGAAATTGGTAACTGAAAACGTTTCCTCGCTTCTGTTTCGACTCGGGCTCTTCCTCGCGGACAGTGCCTAACGACTTTGCCGTCGCAAGTTGATTCTGTTTGAAGTCGGGATTCGGTCGCATTTGAAGGATTGGGTGGCTGAAGCGAAAGGAAAACACTTGGCGATACAAGTCCAGAGGGCCCGCATTGCAGGCATCAATCGTCCCGGTGGCATTATCGAAAGTTGATGTCAATACAGACCGGGTGTTCTCGTTGCCAATCACAATAGCTCCTTTGCGACAGTCTAACTTGACTGGCAGGAGCTGAAGTATGCTCGAAACTGAGTCGGACAGTTCGGCCTCGTGTTTTCCATTCTGGGAAGTCGAGATCTCTCTTTCACTCATGCTGCGCCCCGAAAGTTTGGTCCCATGGGAGCACAAGTTACTGCCTGTCCGCTGTTGAGTTGGTTCCCCAGATGCCGTGGGAAGGACGGAAGCCTCTGGACTGTCATCGCCGTCGTCCGCAGCACCACCCTTGGCGGTACACTCAAATCCAGCAAGGATACTGTCGTAGGCCGGGGTCCGATTGTAAATGAACCACTCCAGACCATAGACTTTGATTGAAATCCGGCATGGTAATTCGGTCTTCTTCTTCACGCCTCCTTGCTCCCCTAGATTATCATCCTTGCTGGCGAGACCGGGTCTACCTCTCGCCGGATAGTCACTTCCTTTCTCTGAGGTATCAAAGCTGCCCGCCTTGTGCTTGGTGCTGGAAACATCAGTACGCTCCACAGCGCGCTTCCAATACCGCCATGTTATAAATCCTCCATGGATAAATATCGTCTCGTTCGCGCCGTGGTACCGAATGCCCTTGAAGAAAATCCTCCCGCCAAGTAACGAGATCTGAAGGGCATTGATATCAACATATACGCGATAGTAGTGCCAGGTGTACGCTCGGATGGCATATGACAGAAGCGTCGCGAAGAGACGGTTGAAGTAGAGCAGGAAGAACAAGGCACTATACAACGCGTGAGTGACTCGGCAATGGACGAGGGTGCGTTTGTGACCTACAGGATACAACAGACAATAAGGTACAGGAGGAAAAACCTATTCCCATCAAGGGAAAAGTTAGCACTCCAAAAAGTCATAAGAATAATAACAATAGTGGGTTGTAACACACCAATTGAAGCTTGGGTCCGGCGTCAGGAAGGCCGACGTCAAGCTTGTGCTGGCCATTACTCCTTGAAGTCGTCAGGAGTAAGCATCTTCAGCGCGACAGATGCACTCGCGATTGACGAGCCGGACGTGATCGTGCAGTCGACATCGAAGAATTTGGAGGTGCAAGTCGCGCGATGCGGAGAGCAGGCGGTGGCCCGAACAGATCGTCATCGGCACACGCCTCCTCCATTCCAACCCGCTAGACTTGGACTCTCGCCTGACTCCCGCGACCATGTCTGTTCGTCCTGTCAAAATTGCGGCATGAGCTGGCGCATTTGCACACGAAGAATACGGTCTCCGCACCGTGCTTGTTGATAACCCTCGGCGATCATGAAGGCTGCGGGCGGAGGTACAGGCTCGAGCCTGGCTCGAGCGATAATCATTGTCTCGGGCGTCTCGGCTCTGGTGGCTTCGTTGTTGTCGATTCTGTGAGCTTTCCGTGCTTTCATGTTCCATGACTGGCCTTGCTGTTATCGTTGACCCAAAGCTAACCTGTGCTGTGACTTGCAGGTCCATATGGCTTCAAACGTACGAGCTTCCCTTGCGATGACTATTTCCAGTCCATAGCTCACTTGATTCTCTCAGCAAAAACTATCGAAAACCACTCCTACAGAGATACGTTGTGCGGATATTGTTGATGTTAGTATTACTTCGCAGATCAGGTCAGGGGTCGACATGAGACCAGTACTGATCGAAGGCAGGGTTCCTATCTACGCGGTGTCATCATGGACTAGTATTATTTCGCTAAAGGCTGCCCAATTTCTGGATCCAGTCCGTGACATTTATGAGGTAATTGGCGCGCAGTCTGAATAGCGGTGGTGGGCTCATATTGACAAATGGTTTTTGCAGGCGTTCACTATCTATACATTTTTCCAGCTCCTGATCAACTTTCTCGGAGGAGAACGAGCATTAATTATTATGGCTCACGGTCGCCCGCCAGTTTCGCACGCCTGGCCACTCAATCACTTCCTGCCAAAGGTTGATATCTCAGACCCGCATACTTTCCTCGCTGTGAAGCGCGGCATCCTGCAATACGCCTGGTTAAAGCCGATTCTAGCGTTTATATCTATTGTGATGAAAGCAACCGATACCTATCAGGAAGGCTACCTTGGGCTCTCCTCGGGATACCTCTGGACCGGTATTGTGTACAACGTGAGCGTCACGATCAGTCTCTACTCTCTCGCCCTGTTCTGGGTGTGTCTGCACGATGACCTCATGCCATTCCGGCCCATCCCTAAATTTCTCTGCGTCAAACTCATCATTTTCGCCTCCTACTGGCAAGGATTTTTTCTGTCAATTCTGCAGTGGCTTGGCGCCCTCTCTAATGGCGTTGCCGGATATACGCCGGACAACCTTGCTGCGGCGATTCAAGACAGTCTGATCTGCTTTGAAATGCCTATTTTTGCGATTGCGCACTGGTATGCGTTCTCGTGGCATGACTATGCGGATCCCACCATCTCGGCGGCCCGCTTGCCCGTGAAATATGCGATGCGCGACGCCTTCGGGGCTCGAGATCTGGTAGAAGACACCAGGATCACTCTTCGCGGGGAGAACTATGGATACCGAATCTTCGACTCGGGTGATAACATCATCCCGCACGCCGAATCTCATTCCCGAGTCAAGCGAGTGATGCACGGCATGAGATATGAGAGGGGCGGGAAGGCCAAGTATTGGATTCCTAAACCTGGCGAGGCCAACAGTCGCACCCCACTGCTGGCTGGCGAGGAATCCAGTCACCGCAGCCGGAGTGAACGGGGCAGCCGCAGCTCGGCCGACCGGTTCCGGTCCTATGGGGAGATTGAAATCGCCCTGGATGACGAGGATGAACAGCTCTTTGTAAACGCTCGAGCACTGGAATTTGGTGACTGGAACGTATGTTCACGCCTCGCCCCCTATTGATACTGGTTGATGTATTAACTTCCAATTATAGTACCCGGTGATCACTGCCAATCAAGTACCTCGCGACCAACAATTGCCTAGTTCCAGGGGCTACCAGAGCTCCAGTACTGGGGCCGAAGTGAAAAAAGCCCGTACCCACCGCAAAGGTCGGGCATCGGGCGAGAGCAAGCAGAAGCGTGCTTCTTCTGGTCCAAGCTCAGGCACACCCGGTCCCTTGCAGCGATCCGCCAGCTCCACCAGCTCCCACAACTCGCATCGCAGCCAGTTAGTCGATTTGGTGGTAGAGGATCGAGAGGCTGAAGAGGAAGACCGGGTGCAGACCCAGAAAGAAACTGGCTCCGCATGGGCGGAAACTGAAACCAGACGATTCTCGTAAGTTCCCAGTGTCATTGGACTATCGCGTAGCAGGCTTGATTTTGACCATTTTGACCCTTTCTAGGAGACCATCCACACAACCAATTGACGAAGGATCAGAGTCGGAACCGCCGACCAGGGGCGATGATCGCCCATTGGCCTACAGTGCGTTGGAAGAAGATAATGTCTGGAAATAGTATATTTGTCCGCGTATTTTCTTTTTATGCATATTCTATGTTTTTTTTTTCATGACTTGATGGTGGTTTTGTTTTGGGGTCAACTACTTCAACTGCCCCTAAATATGTGTTGTTCGTGTGTGTACACGTTTGTGCTTCCTACGGATCCACCGGGTTGAAACACGCCGGGGAGAACCATGACATCCTCGAAACACGAGGCTCCGTGCAGGATGATTCGCCTATCTTATACATAGCAGAGCACCAACAGCTCAATGTGACCCCCCGCCGGGGGCCAACAAATGAGATTGCCTTGTCGACTCCACTGGCGACGATCCTCTCTTCTTGTGCGCTCGCCGCAGGATGAATTGCTCTCCCAGGCTTAGCGCTGAGTCCCTGAGCGTCACTCCCTACACCTGGACAAGTCAGAGAAGGCGCACTGTGGGCGGCCCACGCAAGACTGTGAAAGGATTCACATCCTGCCCGAGTGGGGTCGTTCCTCCTTCTGGGCTTTTTCTTCTCGCTTCTCTTCTTCACTCCTCGTCTTCATTTTGATTCTCGCCTTCCGCGAAGGTGATGGATTAAACGTCCCAAGCGCTGGTCGCCATGACGCTGGCTTTCGAGCAGGCAGGATCATTTTTCACCGGTTGGATACGGTCTTGCTTATCGTGCTTGTCCCCCGGCGACGATGGCCAGACGAGTCGTCGCCAGACAGAGGATCGAGGTTGGTAGCCGAGATGCGTATGAATCGTGATCAAGTCGGTTGATAAACTAATGTGGGAGTATGACAGGCGTTGAGAGGGAGATGCAAGTAAACCACACTCAACCGCATCTTGTGCCTCCGATGAAATTGGTGGTATACGATGATCTCCCCAGTCCAAGTGTGCATGAGAACCGGAACTCGCTATCCTCATGGATTGTTGAAAGCCGGAACTTTGCCTCGCGGACATCCTATCGGGCGAGCATGTCCTGGAAGAGGAACTCGATGGCTCCGGCCAGTTCCAGCACCTCGGCGCTGAGGATAAGTGCGCCTTCCGATTTTCGAAGAGTGCAGTCATTTCACCCTCCGCCATCGCCGTGGCTGCCCACGTTCCAGCCCTTGGAGCTCAGCTTCCATCGCTCAGGCAATCGTCTACCCGATCTACCCACCTTCGACTCCTTTCAGCTGGCCGATGAGCGCTACCGCCAGACGCTACCGCCACCGCCCCGCACTCTATCACCCACGGGAATCCGACCTCGACTGTGCCAATCGACATTTGCTGTACCCCGCAAGCCGGTCGGGTCTGGGGACCATCGGTTGAGTGTAGATGTCGAGTCTCTGATTGAGCCACCGGCCCCAGTCCGCATCGCGAGTTCTCTGATCCCGCATTTCTCTGTCGTGAACCCTGTCGAGATCCCTTCCCCCGACGACGTGGAGATGAGACCAGTCCTGGGTCATACGAGATCGGAGTCGGAGCCACCCAGACTTACAGCCGACATGGAATGGATGATCCCAGCAAGAACGGCACCAACTCCCTGGGACATGCCCCCACAGACTCCGCCTGCCAAGCAGGATGACGAGCCAGATTTCGCCGCGATCACACCGTCCCGAGGCTGCCCAGACTCCAGAGAATCCCCGTCGACGGCTAGCTCCCGCACGATGCCCTCTCAAATCTCCTCGCTGCGGCGGCCTTCGCTCCCACTCGCAGAAAACCGCAAAACCATCGCATCATTCCCCTCTCTCTCCAACCGCGTCACGCAGTGGTTTTTCCCCACCGCCACCAAAGACCCTTTCTCCCCGAAGCAAGTGTCTCTGCCTGGTGAACATGGCTTCATGTGGGATCGAACCCGCACACTCAGCGGCACCACCGTCGGCTCGACCGTGACGACCACTATCATCGGCGGCGCCAAAGCCAGAAACCACAACTCATCCATTTCGAGCACCTTCACTGGCGCTACCACCCCGCGCACCTCCTTGCGCGGGCCCTCTCCGACATTGGAAAAGGATTTCGACGCCGGCCTCTGCCACCCGACTATCTACGAGGACCAGCAGCAGCAGTACCGGCATTCTGCCGACTACGCCGGCGCTTATCGCCGCTATCGGGAGTCTACTTTCGGACTAGCTTTCTAGGTTCTTATAATTAAGGGGCATGAGGGATGCTCGTGGTAATATTTCTTGGGCACTTTGATTTTCAGGTTCTTGTTGCCCATGGAGCTGAAGGATGTTTGTGGTTGGATATTATACCCATGTTGCTGCTGTTTACCTATGCTGAATACCCCCCGCGTTGGATTCCGGTTTATGGCTGTTTTTGTTGGTTCGGTCCCTTGGTGGATCGTGGAGGATGACGCTTCTATGCGGACTTAATGACTGTACTGAGATCAAGAGACTATTGTTGAATGACTGACTCGAGAATTTACAATACTTCCGAGTGTAGATATTATCTCCTGTAAGTAGTTCTATGAGGCTATCTCCAACCAAACCCCTTGATTGTTATGTTTGAATACATTCAAGTCTTTCCATCGTGCCCTACGTGTTGGCCAACTGAGAATCACCCATGGGGCGGTCCCTTGAAACAGGGACACGACCCACTCGGGAATGTACATACGTTCTTTTGTGCCGCTTGCTACGCGTGGAACCGACTCAGGGTGTCCATCTATCACTCTCGGTTCAATTAAGGGAGGATACTTGTTCCCGGGGGTTGGGGTTGTTTTGGATGGTCGTCTACAGTCGGACGCTCGAACCACTCCCCATGAGCCCGAGGATTCGGGGCTAACAACCTCTGCCAACACACACACACTATGACTTTCGATTCTGAAGACATTGGTGGCTCTGCCATACAATCTGATACTATTTTTCTGGATATGGCGCACCAATACTCGGGTCTTGAATTGGACGGCCTGGAGCCTACCGCTATTGCTGGTGAGCACCCTCTATCTGTCGATTCTAGAAACCCTATCCGGACTAAAGCGTTTCCGAGCAATGAGGCCATTGATCCGGCTATTCTGAATGACCGTGCGTTTCCAGGTTCTGAGCGAATCCAAATAACGGAAAATATCACCGATTTTACAACATATGCAGAGGACCCATCTTTCCAATGCAGACAAGGTGACGTGAAGGGGACGATGACTCCTGATAGCCAACCCTCTAGAATACAGAAACGCTCCAGTAAGAGGAAAAGACATACAAAAAGTGGTTCTGGTCGGTCCAACAGCAGAAATGGTCTTCATAAAAGCGTTTCTTTTCCCGCAGTGCGTGCCCAGTTTTCGGCCCTTCCTATCGAAGACCGGCTACAGTTCCTGTCCTGGCTGTTTGAGGGTGCTTTGCCCCATTGTGTTTCCATGCCTGCCAACATAGGTGCCACCTCCGCAACAGTATACATTCCAAACCAAAACGTCGACACAGCATACGATTGTGACTACCCGAACGTTACTAGAAGACATTCGGCGCCGGGTCGAGAATGTGATGTCTACCCATCCAGACAAGAGTCAGATAGATCAGCCCCTTTATATTTCTCTAGTTGACGCGGAGCCACTTCATCGCTATCGACAAGCTGGTTACCATCCAGTCACCTTGGGAGAATATCTAAAAGCTGGAAGGTATAAGGTGTTACATAAACTAGGATAGGGAGGTTACTCGACAGTATGGGCGGCGAGAGATCAAAGGTTGCACAAAATCGTGTGACTCGCGGTAGTTCCAGCTAACCGAAAAGTTATCTATTTACAGGGAAGAGGCTTATATTACTGTCAAAGTTTCTGTTGCAGAAAGGGAATATAATAGGGAGACGCGAGAGCTCTAAACTATAAAGTAGTTAGCGTCTTGTCAACCTCGTCTAGAACATACCGTGCACCTACTTGATGACTTTGATCTGAAGGGCCCGAATAGATCTTATAAATATCTAGTTTATAAGCTTCTAAAGCCTAATATCCCGGATACAATTGATATACACTTTCCCGATGGGAGACTCCCTAGAAAGCTCGCCAAAGCTATTATAAGGCAAAGTCTTATCGGGCTTAATAGTCTACACCAACAGAATATTAGATATAGAGGTAGGTCACTCTCTTAGGAATATTTTGAACTATTCTCACCTAATATAGATCTACACACCCGTAATTTAGCGTTCACTTTGCCTTGTATAGACAATATAACCGACGAGAAGTTTATTAAGATATTAGGAAACCTAGAAATTGGCCATGTCCGAAGGCGCGATGGAAAAGACCTAGAGCCTGGTATACCCGAATACATCGTTAAGCCTATCTTATATCGGACGCATTCTTGGGATTCGACCTAAACAATTAAATTAATCGATTTCGGAGAATCGTTTTTTCCGCACCACAGTTCCTCAAACACTACACACACCTTTACCTGTTCGGGCACCTGAAGTACGGGGGCTGCTCGAGATGAGGAATCGGTCACTTGGAACGATTGCAACCTTGGAAGGTCATGTCAATTATGAATCTCATCTAGTCTTTCTTGACTTCGATCCCACATGAAACTGCCAGACATACTGGCACGTCTGGGTAGAAAAAAGGTTTCTAGATGGTAAAAGACGAATATTGTTGCAGGGTATCTTGCAGCAGGCACTTGAGCTTGCCTAATGAGTAGAAGTGAAAAATAAGCGAAAAGGCCAGGGAATTGGAAGTATATGTACAGGAGCACCACATGAGGAGGACATGGTTCCATTCATCAAATTACAAGAATATTAGCCCGTGGACACAATCTCCACGCCGCCTGGAGCGGGTGCGTTCGTGGACGCGTTTTTGCCCTGGTTCTGCATGCCCAGGATCTGCCACGCGCGGCCCATCATGCCATGGCCAAGACCCTGGGGAAATTCAACCGAAGCCTTGTGGGAATGCTTCGGCATGCGGTCGCGCAATGCACGTTCTCGCTTGGCGGCGGCCAGCCGGTCTTGTTCGCGCTCGTGCTCCACAATATCGTTGCGCCACTCAGCCCAGTTCTCAAAGTTCTCGCGCTGCTGGAGCACCTGGTACCGGAGACGGGATTTTGATGGGCGCCAGGTGGTGCGGTTGGTGCTACCCTCATCGCCTCCGGTGGGAGAGGCGAGCGTGGACTTGAGGTCGCAGACCCGGGACTCCTTGGTCAGTTTGAGGAGATGCGTCAACACATCGCGGCTTTCAAGAGCAGTGCGCTGGGTCTTCTCCTGCTCGACGGTGAGTTGCGGCCGGGCAAGTGGTGCGTCGAGCCAGGCGTGCAGGTCCGTGGAGCGCTGCACTGAGTACGGGTCAAGGATGCTCGCCCGGCGGTTCTCCTCACGCAGGAAACGCACAGCCGCTTGGAGGCTTTCGACCTCGGCGCGCAGGGACTCGTTTTCTTGCATGGCGGCCAAAGAGGCCTCGCTGTCGATGACGACACCGTCACCCGTAGTGGCCACGCCTGCAGACCCAGATACTCGCTTCATCCTTTCAAGACGGGACTTGTACTCGTCTCGCTCGGTCACAGCGGCCTGGAGCTCTTTCTTCTGCAGCTCGACAGTGTTCTCGAGTTCTGTCCCTGTGGACTGTATTTCCTCAATCTTCGCTTCCAGATCCTTGACCATGGAAGCCTTCTTGGTTGCCTCGCGCATCCTAGATTCAAGTAGCTCGATCTTAATTGTTTGCTCCTCGAGGGTGTTATCCTTCACGCCCAACGCGGTGGAGAGCTCGTGGATTTCATTTTTCAGGTGGCGGATCTCTTCATCTGCATCCTGGGAAATCGTCTTGTTGGACTTCAACTCTGCCGCTCTGGCGAACCAAGGAAAAGCGCCCCTCTCGAACTCCGTCGTGCGAGACAAATCTGATGAGATCGAATCAAGCTCCTCGAGCTGACCGCCCACGTCACGCAACTTGTTAAGAAGGAAAGATACAGGGTCATTGCTTTCCGCTGGTGTATCGGATGACTGCTCCAAGGATGTAGGGACTTGCGACAAGCTGTCCAGAACCTCGTCCAGGGTAAATGGTTCGGTACGTCCTTCGTCACTGGTGAGCGCAACGACATTCTCGCCTAATTTCCGCGCCAAATCCGAGAGTCCATGTGTGGTGTCCTCGGTCCTCTTGAACGGACCCTCGGCTTCCTCAGAAAGCGCAAGGGACCTTGAACGCAAATCTTCCAGAGACCGGCAGATCTTCCCCATAGCAACTTTGTATCCGCGAGCTTGAGACACGAAAGAGTCGAGTTTGTTCAAAGCAAACGAATGCTCCTCGTTGTCCTCGCCAGAAGCCTCCAATTTGGATTGGACGAGCGATTTAAGCCGTGAGATTCCTGCTGCAGCATGGTCGAGATACGACTGGGTCAACGTCGCCCGCATACAGAGACCATCTGCAAACATATCGGGGGTTGAAGGGAGAAGAGTCTCGGCCAGATGAGCAAGTAGGGCGATAGATCGCTGGAGTTCTACTGCAAACTTCTTCATGTTCACCTCGTTCTTCTTCAGATTCTCAATCCAGAAATTCAAGGTGCGCTCGACCGGCTCCATTTCAAACAGTGCGACTTTGACGGCGCCGAATTCTTCGGGCGAGCAAGTCGTGGCGTGATTCACGAATCGGTCTGAGAGAGTCGAGATCCACAGAAGATGCTCAAGAACTTCGTGGCCTTGAAATATTTCCTCAGGTGTCGTGATAGCCGAGTGCTCAGAGATTCGTTCCCGGATAGTACTGCTCATCATGGCGGCCTTGAAGCTAACCCGTTTGAATCGAAGAAGAGCAAGAACAGAATTTCGCTCTCCGTCAAAGGACTCGGGAAGGTAGAGCTTCAAGATCGAAAGGTGCTGCGCAGCTTCCTCTGCATCCATACGATTGAGTTCCACGTCGATAGTCTTAGTCTGGGACTTGGATACCGAGGCCTGTAGTTTCGTGTTAAGATCCATCATCGCCCGGGAACGGGTCGTTAGATCTGTGGCCTCCGCCTCTGATATTTGCTGAGATGCTCGCATGTCTTCCAGGTCGCTCTGCAGGTTTGTAACCAGCTCCCTGAAGCGGGACAGAGTGTACTCAAGATCTTCAATGACCTCATCCTGCTGGGAAATCTTGCGACATTGTTCACTGAAGACTCCGTCTCGATAGTCGATCTCCTCCTGCAGCTGCTTTTCCGTTTCGATGTGCGTGTACTCGAGCTCATCGCTAATTTCTTTCAGCGATTCCAAGTCCTCGATGGCCGCTTTCAGCTCATTGATCTCCTCTTGATAGCGCATGTTCTTGTCGGCGAGTTCTTCAATCATTTCTTCGGCGCCCAAAGCGGTCTCCAGCTGCTGTTTGAGATCTTCCACATTGGTCTCTGCAACCAACAACTTCTCTTTGGTTGCTTCATAGTCAGACTTGACAGCAGTGTACTCTTCAAGGTCATCTTCCAGTTCTTTGATTTGACTCTTAAGATCGGATTCCTGCTGCTGTGTCATGTCTCGGAGGCGGATGAGGGCCTCGCGGAGACGCTCATTTGTCTTCTCCATTTGAAGCCATCCGTGGCTGGATTTATCCTCGGGACTTGTGCCCTGGCTGAATTCATCATTCTCCTCCCGGAGAACTTCCACCTCCAGCTGCAGCTCTTCCATCTTTGAACGTAGAGCCTCACATTCCTGCTTGAATGCATCCGATGTCTCTTCGGCCATTTCCCTGTCAAGGGTGGCCATTTCCATAAGCGACTCATGTTCTGCCTGCAACCGTTCCACCTTCTCAAGTCGGGTCTCGGACTCCTTGAGCTTTTTGCGCAGTTCTGTGACTTCCATCTGCTGTGGTTGGTATTTCGCCTGCAGCTTTTGGATGATCGACTCGAATTTGTCGCGTTCAGACTGGAGTTGCTCCAGAGTCTTAAGTTTTTCTCGATCATCGGCTCGTTTCTTCTCCATGACTCTAAGCTTGGTATGGAGCTCTTCCAACTCCCGGTTAACGGCAGCACTGGGTACCTGACGTTGTGATGTAGAGCCAACACTGGGGCGAGGAGCCGCAGAGCGGGCAGTCAAAGAAGGCCGAGATGTCTTGGGCGCGACTCCATCTTGCGAGCCCTCTCCTTCGGTATGAGGCGACTCCGCATCGGTCGCATCTTCTGAATGTCCACTTGTCCCGGTTTCTCCTCCATCCGATGCTTTAGCATGTGCAGCCTGTCGCAATGAGGGACGCTTGGATAATCCCTGCGCCGTGGGCGGCGCTGTGCTTTGAGACCCGGGTCTGATCGTCCGTGCAGTTGATCCTGGGATTGAAGGTCGTGGGGCTTTAGAGGCGGCTGTTTGAGAGGCCGAACCCATGGAGGGTCTGGCAGCGGTAGTTGGCCGGGGGCGAGTAGACCCCACGGTAGACGTGCGCGTGCTGCCGATCGATGGGCGAGTAGAGGGAGCAGAGGGATTGGATAACTGCTTTGTTGGCGACTTAGTCGGGGACTAAGGAGCGGTTCGATACTCATCAGCAACACACTAGGAATTATTCACACAACGGTCTTGACATACCCTGAGAGACGATCGGGGTGCCGCGACTCTTGGAGCCGGTGTGGGAGTGGCTGCATTGGAGCTCTGTCGCTTAGTTGTCGTCGGGGGCAATCCGCTTTGTTTCCTCAAACCAGCCCCAATGCCACTTTGAGACTGACCCCGGCTTCTTGCGGCATCGGCGCCAGGCTTCGTGGTTTGTTTACTCTCCCGCGTCGGCTGCTGCAAAACTGCTCCGATGGCCGAGGGGCGGACGAACATGCCAAATCCCGGTTCGCAATCGAAATATCGCTCGCCTTGCACTGCACCATCATTCTTGCCGGTGGGTTCGTTCAATTCGACACCAATCCAATCTCCAACCGCGAAGTGGGTGGTTCCAATAAAGCGAACAGTCCCTTGTCGTCCATCGGTCAAAGTGATCACCGCGTCAGTGGAGATCTCCTGACCAGACATTGCGATGATAATTCAATAGCCACAATGGGCTCTGTCACGATGGCCGATGGAGGTTGTCGGATGTTGAAAGACGGCAGTCGGAGCACTAAGGAGTCACTGGAGACACGCGCCAATCCTTTTTTGCCTGAGGCAGAGACACACCCTATATGTACACCAAAAAAAACCTCCAGGGGTGTATCTTAGCAAGCAGAGAAATAAAGACGATATTAATAAGATTTGGCTGTCATCCTATTGCATTTAGCATTTAGTGTCCTAGGTCTCTTAAATGAGGAAGATAGGACTAGTTGTTTTTGCAAAGGGATTTGCACCCAGAATATAGGGACTTGTGAAAACGACGCCGAAAATGGCTCCCTTCTGCATCCAAACCCGACGCCCCCTCCTTTTCGCCCAGCCTGGCCGGGCGCCTGTAAGATGCAGCGTCCGCCCTCTCTTCCGGAGTCTTTCAACATTCTCCTCTCCTCGTCCCAACCCCGTTACCTGGACCGACCTTCAATCCCAGGCCTCTTGTCACGGTCCCAACCGTGGCCCCTGTACCCGATATCTCCTATGGCTCTTCTACCTTTACCACCTGCTCAAGGCGATAAGCACCAATTTTGGACCGATCCTATCCTTTGCGAGGAAACTCGAGCTAGATTGAAACATTTCCGCAGTCTTGGATGGCTCCCTCCAAATTTCAAGCCAGGAACTCTGATAGGAATTGCCGTCGTCGAACGGTCCTGGCGGAAGTGGGTTAGCCCTTGATAGAATATAAGCCCAGCGGAGAATAATATGGAAATAGGTATTGCATTTAATCGAACCAGGACTACGTGGACTATCTTCTGCTAGAAGATCAAGCGATTTACATGGATTTTTTCGACTGGATGTTCAAGACATCACGAAAGAAAGCACTTCAATCATATGACGAATACTAGCGCCATCTTTGTCAATACTACAGTTGCTCTCTCTATTCTAAAGGGAATTAAGCTAAATAGAATATAGTTTCTCAATAGCGTATTTCCAGCTAAACGCAAAATCCCTAGACGCACGTAAAAGAATGCTCTAGATATAAATATCTTTTATATTATATATCGACATCACTAGGTCTATTCACGCTTCTTTCGCTATAGAAGTATAATTATCTAGTTTGCCACCATCCAGCTCTAATCCGCTATTACTAGAATCCGACCCGGCGTCCTGCTTCTACAGAATACCTCCCTACCCGGCAACTCTTCTACGAGCAGGCGTAAACAAAATCATATTTTTCAGAGTGATCTTCCGAAGCACATTCCCGTGATAGACCTTCCAGACTCGATCTACTATCGCGATATTAAGCTATTCTATCTCCGAGACCCTTAGAGCAAAAGTAACGTTCTCTGCACTATTATAGAGTTTCGCAACTTGAAAGATCGACAGGAAGATGCCGATAGATAAACGTGTTTACGACCTCGTGTACTATACTACTAGATCCGCTACTAACTTTTCCTATCAGAACCAAATTCTTTATATATAGCGACTATCAATTGGTATATTGTCCTATCACTCAGATTGTTTCTTTCGCTTTTCGAGATAGAGCATTTGTCAATATCGATCTTACGCCAGAGCCTATCTAGTGTCTTCGAGTTCCGAAAAGAAGTTCCTCCCTCCCGCTTTGTTAGAAGCCCGAGGTTCTCAATATACCCCTCCGACGTTTTAAGCACACGACGTGTGGCTATAAGCTTTATATATTATTGCCGATGACTTATGAACTAAGCCGACGAGCACTTAAAGAGTTGGGTCGAGATACTCGATTTAAAGATAATATTAGATATTATAACTTTCGCCGTTAGGGCCGTGAATAAAGTCAATCGTGAGTTATACCCGTATATAATCTCTAAATATATTATCACTGTATCTACGGAAGGATTATCTGACTAGGACCGGGTAGGGAACTTTACTAGCCAGGAGCGGCAAAGAGTGCTTAGTCGGGTAACGCTGTATTTAAAAAGTACTATCAGTTATAGTTTATTAGACGCGATCTCTAATATATTGTTCTTCTTTGACCGCCTTAGGATGGTTTATTACGCGTCGCTAGCAGTATACTTAGGAAGAGAGATTTATAAGCCCTATCTAAGCTTACCGATACGCCTAAGTGGGCTATTTATTAATATCCGGGAATATTGGAGCTGAAACGAGAAAAGAGAGCTCTTATAGCGGAGATGCCATCTCTGGCCGGCACGGTAAAGAATGCATAATAGCCCTTCCTACACCTTTATCAAAGGCACAAAGCTATAGACAAGGAATTAACTAAGCTTCGCAAGACTTTATTAATAGATACGCGAGAGACAGCCAGAAAGGATTATTTCCGTATTACACCTATACTCGAAGTTAACCGACAGATCAAACAGCTGCTCGGTGAGTATAAGCCTAATATAGATGCTATCAGCTCTAACGATAAAGACTAAGAGTTGCCTACCCCGAAGTACCTTTTACCCGAACAGGCACGCCTTGCAGAGAACTTCTACGGGCCCGAAACGGAGAATTATAGCGAAGATAAGCTCCTTACACGCCGAATCCAGGGTAAGAAGGATATAGCTATGCTCTTGGGCCTCTACAAGGCGAGTAGGCGAGGCAAACGCGTTGATTAGAAGTTCGACGATAAGACTAATAAACTACCAGACCAGTCAGAGAAGCCCTCGCCTTCTAAAAAGGATAATCTGGACTGTCCAATAGATATATATTATTTGCTATAGTGCATCTCGTCGCTCAGCATCCACCCCTCCTCCGAATAAATTTCCCTCTAAGCGACTAGTCTCTCTTCGTCGTCATCTCATTAAATCCCATCTACTCCATACACACAACGGGATCAGCTGCAACTAGGAAGCCTATCGCAGTCTCCCTAAGTTCGCTAAAATCACCGAATTTCTAGCCCACGCTAAAACGCAACACGGATATAATATCAAGATTAAACTATGTCATTTACCCCAAGCGACATAGCTTAGCCTTAGTGATAGCTCCTCTAGAGAAGTGTTTACAGAATCAGAGACCCGAGAAGGCACCGAAACTCCCGCCTCTGTCAATTTTGACTTGGCAAATATTGACCCTCGGCTGGTCAGTCCCCATCCGATCGCCGGAGTGAGCTCTGTATCATGCCAAGCCAGCGCTGAAATCCCCAGTACCCTTATTGGATGCCCAGTTACCAATCCTGATTCGAATCCTGTGGATCCTATCTCGCGGCGAGTTTCGAGGGGAGCAGCAAAAACGGCAAATATAGAACCAGTTTCAAAACCGAACCCCCCCCCCCCCCCCCAAGGATATACGACACGCTCGTCTCGAAAACGCGAGCGCCCAGAAGAGAAGCCAGATGTGAAGCAGAAGGGGAATGGACAATCAAGACAAATGGAAGCCCAAGCATTCACCCCGTCGGTCAAAGCGATTACGAGCCCAATGATATGGAGGCTTATTTTCATAATTTTTCCTTTTTACATTCCGTTGCAATCTAGATGTCTCGATATGTATTTGATATTGTGTGTAAACCTTCCTGGCGCAGCAATGAATTTTGGATCCAGTGGCGCTCAAGCTCATTTATCAAGACGATGATACAGGGTCACCTTCAACTACTATTCTCTCCAGAGAAACAAAATGCAATCCAATGCTCTAGCATGACACCAGAGCAAGAACAGGAAGCATAGCCCATACCTCGAGATTAAAAACCATGGCGGTCCCGAGAATCGTGGCCTTTGGCTAAAGCAACATTTTAAAGGCGCTTTGTGCCTTTTTGTGATTTTCCCTGGGAAGACACACCTATCGTTCATAATAGAAATACCGTGCCTTGACACCGGCGTATTGTTTGCCTATAATTTTCCATACCACTCGGTCATAATGACCAGAAACTCCAGCGGCCAGTCGAAAGTTTTCAGCGTGACCAAGAAGTCATTGTGACAGAAAGGAGATCAACGCAAAATGTCCCTAGAGAAAAAAGTCGCACGAGTACAGCAATAAATGCGGCGCGGATGGATGCCTAGGCATTCGAATTCGAGAGTCAGGGAAAGTATTCATTTTTTCCGCGGACACCTCACTGGTCCTCATCCACTACCTAAGGGCAACCTTGGAACTATACGACTCCACCGACCCTAGCTGGTTCAACTCTTTGCATGACTGGAGGGGTTGGAGTATGGAATGTGAGAATGCTATGATTCAAATCGCTCAAATAAAATTCAACTCCAGATCCAACTCGCGGATGTTACCAAGACCAATCCAAACGCTGAAATGTCTACTACCCAATCTCTTGAAACCGACCACTCCGAGTCATCAGGGGCTTTGCTATATATTTTTAAGCATTCACCATCTCAGTTTCTGATGAAGCCTGCGACACCTTAGACGAAACGACTCCACGACGCGGCTTCGCCGAGAGTTCCCCCATCGCCGGCCCATGGCAACTGCTGGGTGAGCGGCGGTCATACAAATGCACGCAATGGCAATCATAGTGCTCTCAAGAATCATCAGGGAAATTTCATCATTAGCCAGATCACTGCTAAATCCACCTTTCAGCTCCGCAACACGGAAGATCGAGCGAGTGAAGATCGTTAAAACGGCAATGGCAAGACCTTTGATTGGGTTAGCATAGGCTGATAAATGCGGATTATGTCGTGACACTTGCCCAGAAGGAACATCTTCCATTTCAAACCGCTGCGAACAGATGCTGTAGACGCATTCTTCATGTCTTCTGAGCTGCGGCGCACTCGTAGGGCGAATTCCGAAGCGAGCACGATGAACAGCGTCAACGAGGCGACCTGGAAAGCCAATCCTGCAATCATGATATTGACACCGGTATCGCTGAGGCTTTTTTGGTCTGAGTCGGCGATGGAGGTAATGGCGCCGCCGGCTGCTTGTAGGACGAGAGCGATGATATCGCAAGTGACGAAGAGGATAGTATATGTACGCGGGCGAATCCTGGAGATATCCTCCCCGTAGACGATGACAATTCTTCCCAGGCAGATGTAAATGGCGGCGGTGAAGAAGGCCGGCGCAATCGTGAGACAAATGAGGTATCTAAAAGTCACGTTTCTGATTAGCTGGCTTTATTCAGAGGTATGTCTCAAAGGTCACGTACAGAAGGAATGCATTAAAGTCGAATGGGTTGCTGTGCATCATGACTCGCCCGATGTATCCCGGTATTTCAAGAATGAGCCCCGCGGTCATGGCTCCCATGTATGTCCATATTCGGAACCATGTTCCTAGGGCGATTTGTGCGGCGAGGAGAAGGCTGAAGATGACGAGGAAGAGGACATTTGCCGGGACGTTAGGCTGGTAGTTGATATAGGCCAAGTCAATTGGGCAAGTTGCCAAGGTGCAGTCGTCCATGTTCATTTCCGACATTTTCAGTGTTGAGATTTCTACTCTTTTTCTCTCTTTTTTCTTGTTCTTTTTTGAGATAGTGAGGTGGAGAAGAGGTAGAACGCGAGTCTAGATGGGTTGAGGTTGATATTCCCCTCCTCATAGCATCGAATACACACCCTCTTTATACAATCTGACAAAATAACGAAGCCTGAAAATCAGCCAAGAGGCTATGCTATCTCTGATCCTCCGTAGGACTATCATTGGCGCGGGTATACTTTCTAGGGCTGACAATGGGGCCGTGCCAAGACACGGAGTCCAGGCCAACTCCGAGTCCGCGGACTCGGAGGGGAATTGCCTGGGGGCCGGTCCGCGGACTCTTAAGGCCTCCTGTTCCTGTCCGGCCTCCATCTTAGCTCCAATTCTTTGAATGCTGCCTACTATGTCCGTGCCGACCAGTCTAGGCCGAGTTAGGACCTGCGAGAACTGTGTGCGTGCTAAAATTAGGTGCTCGCGCACCTCTACCCAAAGCTGCGATCGGTATGCAACATCCCGCTTCTACTTCTACTTCTCTTCTCTTCTATTTAGCAACGTAAGCCTAACACGCTTTGAAGGTGTCTCCGTCTGAACAAAGATTGTTATTTCCGCGCAACAAAAGCTCGTACTCCTAAGAAGAGGGAGACGTATATCTGCCCACTCCTCGAAATCCGTGTGATGTGATCGGGAACGGACTGATCACCCACGAAGAGGCAAATCGTTTGATAGAGAGCTTTCGTGATGCCATAACGTATTTCCCATTTGTACAGCTGCCGAGAAACGCCACTGTCGAGGATCTCAGATCGGAGAAGCCCTTCCTCTTACTCTCTATTCTTTTGGTCTCCTCGTTTCGAAATGTCCCGCTGCACCTGGCCCTCGAGGAGGTTTCGACGTCTTACCTTGGGGGACAAGTCTTGCAAGGCAATCGCCAACAACCCTTCGATATACTACAGGGATTGCTGGTTACTATAGCTGGGTATATTCTAGACAATTTCTCTCTTCATTAGATTCACAAAAGCTAACACGGAAGATAGAACGAAGAAAAAACTCCATATAGTGCGGTTTTCTGGGTATCTGCACCTCGCACACAGTATAATCAACGATTGCAGACTGGATTACCCAGCCAAGCTGCGAGTAGTAAGACAAAGAATTGACGTCATGTTGGACTCGGATCCTCCGACAGAATCGATTTCCCTGCGAAACGAGGAAATGCGAGCTTTGGTTGGATATTTTCTCCTTGACGCGTGGTAAGTTCGATTTACCACCTGTACAGCCCGGTCTAGATCTGAAAAGACTATGTCTTGCTTACTTTCTTTTCACATGACTAGTCACTCCATAGTACTACAGCGGACAGGAACAATGCCTTGGTCACCCTTCATAGAATCATGCGCTGCAAAGTTGTCGCAGGAATGCGAATTCTCAACCGATCGATACCTGTTAGGCCAGGTTCAAGTACAACACTTGCTTGTACGAATCGATTCCCTAGTTGCACGGGGATTCGGTGAGAACCAGGCTCCTGCGGATATAGAAGTTATGATTAGTTCTCTTCAAAGCGATTTTGAAGATTGCAAAGCCCGGCTTCCTGTCCCTATTGACCATGATGGTGAGTTGACCAAGCCTTATCTGTACTGCAGATCTAAATTCTAACACTTGATTAGTATTTCAAGGCATTCCGTCCCACGCCTTCGAAATCCATCTCTATCAAACGACCTTTTTCGATGTATACCCATCTTCCGCCGCGTCATTCGACCAATCCATGGCCCTCCTGCGAATCGATGCCCTTTGTCACGGACTAGCGGCTGCAAAACAATTTATGAGCTTTTACTTCAGTCTACCACCTGGTATTGAAAAGAGATTTAGTTACACCCAATGGACAATGACCGGGTTCAGCGTTGCAGCTTCATGCAAACTTGTTCTCGCATCGTTGGAGCCATCCGTTCGAGATCACGATCAAGTCCGAGGGTTGCGAGAGACATTGGATATGCGGCATGAAATCCAGAAATCTGTCAAGCGCATGAATACGCTTGATCAGGAGTGTAAAGGTGGGAAGTGGGATCAGCATGAGATGTTCTTCTACCAAGATTGGCTGCGGTTCCTTTCTGAATGGTTTGAAGAGAAATATCGTCTTGCGCAGTCTGATAGCTCTGGAGAGAATAATGGTGCACTGGGAGTCTTCACCACTGGAATCTCAGAAAATAATATCTATGAAGAGCCTCAGCCTGATCCTGGTTTTCCTTGGGTGGATCTTCAGGACGTTACGATTGAGGAGATGTTGAGTGTGTGGTTAGACCCAATGAATATGCCACACTACTATTAAAATGTACAATTTAGCCTTGATAGTTTCAGTGACGAATACATACCCCTCTCTGCTTTCTTTTATTTGAATTGCCATTTTATACTAGTAGTTCTAACCAAGTACTCAAATTGAACACGGCCTGTTAGGCAGTGGATCACGAGCAAGACACACCGGTAGAGAACACCTAGACAGCTTGTAGTACGACGCACAGTTGATCGCTTGGATTCACGATGATAGGGGCGTTCCCGTCAAAGCACAAGATACGCCCGCAGACAGGGTCACCGCAGTGACTCTGGTCCTAGGCGACGGCTCCATTGCAGGACGAAAACAAGCTAGGCGTCGGACGGAGCGGCATCTTCCGTGAAACGACAGGAGCAATGGGTCGGGCTGAAAGCGAAGGCGCAGCGGTCGGTGGGGCCCGAGAGCAAGAAAGGGGGGCGGCGATGAGTGCACGATAGAGGGGTTGCGGGGAGGGAAAAGAAGGAGAGGAGGGCACGAGAGGGTAGGTCGGGTCTTTTATATCGCGGGGAGCGCAAGGCGATGACAGGACAGCGTACGGGGGCGCTAGGCCGAGAAGGGCAAAACTATCGGAATGTAGTAATTCACAGGTCCCAATATTACGAGCAACATCAGATATATCATCTACTAGATCTGAACCCAGCGTTTGAAAGGACTGGAGGAAAAAAGTCCATGGATAGGAATTATGAATAAAAGGCATAAAACAGAATTGTATCATAACACATGTTCTAAGCAGCACACACTCTCTCTATATCTTGAAGAGGTGTGGGAAATGGACTCGGAGTTCTTCGAGGTTGGAGATCAAGTATCTCGATGCTGGAATACGCGGTAGTTGAAGCCCTGGCTCTACCAGGTGAACTGTTGCCCACCCCCGTGCGTGTGCATGTTTGCAATTCAAGTGCGAGTCATCTGTATAGTTCGAACAATTAGTTCCAATCCCAGTTGTATGATACCCTAGAACAACCGCACGCTGGGAATGATTCGAGGTTGAAAAAACATACCAACAAAGTAGCACTGGTCTGAACTCGAAGCACCGGCCTCCTTCTCAGCTTTTGCGTACATCTCCTGACTCGGTTTGCACACCAAGGGCAGCTGTCCATAGTCACAATATGTCACACCTTCAAAGAGGTCATCGATGCCGAGTAACTTCACCACACGCTTTGCATGGTTGATGTAGGCATTTGTGAGCAGCCAAGGCTTCACCTTGCTGGTATCCAGGCTTTCCAGCAACTTGCGTAGCTTCGGGTCCGGCTTGAGGATGGTATCCAGGGGTAAAGCATCGTCGACTTCATAATTGAACTCGAGCGGATCAATTTTATGGTGGCGTGTGAGGCCCTCAATAGCCAGTCCGTATTCCTTGTAGTACTTCTGGTGAAGCATATGCGCATCTTGCGAGTTGAGGGCGAGATGTTTGACGAAGAACTTATCTAGAGCCAGCATCACCGTGGTTAGCCATGGGGTGACGCGTATTTGAAGGAATCACCACTCACTAATCAACGTCTGCATTTCATCGTGTATGTTGCAGGCTGCTCGCAACTCCCTCATCCGTCAGCATGAGCTCATTCGTCCGAAGCAATTCACAGAGTTCCACCTTTCGAGTAAAGCTGCAAAGAGATACATGAATGTTAGCTACTATGTCTTAAGAAACTGTAGCCAGTATACATACACAATTGTCAATGTCAAAGAAGAACACGGGCCGTGAGTCATTAGTGCCATTAGTTGCCATCGTCCTTGAATCGCGAGGTCTCCGGGGTAGGGAAAAAGGCGCAACCCAGGATACAGTATGAGTAGAGCGAAGAAGGTGGCAGCGAGGAGAAAAGAGAGGTATACGATGCATGGATGTAAGAGAGAAAGTCGTAAGTGACGTGCATTCGAGAAGCAAAGGACGCGGAGGCGTCCCAGGCCCCTTGCCTAGTCGGGACTAGCGTGGGCGGAAGCGAAAGGAGCCATCTTCTGATTTCCCTGTTACTTTCCCGTCACCAACACCGTGGCTCTCGTTGACCCTGCCAGCTCTCTATATTGCTTAGAGGTTGAGATGAAACTTGAAATAAGGCCCTATTCATCACTGCCCAGTTGGACGCGGGGGGTCTCGCCTCGCTGCTTATTCCGATCCCTTTTTTGAGCTCCTTTGAACCATGGCTACAACCCATGGGACCGTCACTCACCTTCCAGCAGGACCGATTGCTGCTTCAGCATCTACAGCAGAGGATGAGATGCATGAATACGAAAGAATCTTGAGGATCAGTGATGAGATCTTTGCGGGGTCACATCCACGCCTCAAGGTCCCCCAGCAGTTTGTCCGCAAATCGGGGGCGCGGAATGGCAAAAATGCCCCCTCGTCCCAGGCCCCGGCCATAGGCAAGTCTGTGGAATTCGTGTCGGAGAAGGCACCCATGCTTGAGACAGCGACCCAGCCTCCCAAAAGCTCACAGGCAGTTCCGTCTGGCTATACCCTCTCAGCTGCCCCGGCGAATGCGACTCCTTCGCCCACTCACACAATGACCAAACCTGCCTCGGAGATCGACCCTATCTTTTTGACCAAATCGGATGATCTAGTCAGGGCGGAACTACAATTGCAGCGACAAAGGATCGAGCGATCACTGCGCGATCAACTGGAGCAAAAGAAGCAAGACTCGAAGCACAAACCTGCGATCCAGGACACAAAACCAGACTTTAATGTCTCGGAAGTGTTGGGTAAAGCGCTCGAAATGGTGAAGCCTGTCTCGCTGAGCGATCCGTCTGAGGGGAATGGGCCGGGTGCTCCCAGTGACTCCTTTGACGACAATTCCTTTTACTCCAGTAGAGCTCCTGACTCCCCTCCACAAATGGGTGACCATCGAAAACCATCTCCGGTGACTACGGCAAAACCGGCGGGTCCCGCTAAGCGTTTCCCGGTAGATCAATTCACAGATGAGTTGCAGCGACTTGAAGCTCTTAATCAGCCTGGATCTGATCAGGAAATGCAAGATGCTTACCCTGTTGACCAGCGTTACCCTTACTCTCAGAAGCCACCCCGCCATGATCAGGTCGAGGTCGCCGACGGTCGATTCCGTGAGTCGCAACAGGTGGATACGCTAGAGGAGCCCGAGTATTCTCCACCCGCCCCGGCGGTGCCGCCCCCGATGGATGAGAGACACTATCACCGCGTGGCAGAGGACGGCAACGGAAGAAGACCTGAACCAGGTGGCGGATATATCGACCAAACTGGCTATATGCGTCGGCCACCGTCCCCTGCTGGCAACGTGAGAGTGGTTCAGAACCACATCACCTCACCAGCCGCACCACAGCCGTCGCGGGTCTCACCGCTGGCTACTGCAAAGGCTCCATCTATGCAACCACTTCGGGATGAGCGGACTGAACATTTGCCATACCAAGTGTACACTGACCCAGAATCTGGTCGTGGTACTCCTGCTGGACCGCCTCCGAATGTCACCTCTCGAAAGCGGAGAAGACTCTATGACAAAGGGGAGGAGGCTCGCCAAGTCTCGTACAGAAGACAGGATGTTGATTTTGCCGACTCCTACATTAAGGAGGAACCTGTCTCGCCGCCACCCTTTTCTGATGATCCTGCCGTAATCCAGAGCCGACACCGTCAGGAACGACCAGTGTATGTGGACATTTCATCTTCACGCTACACGCCAGTGATGGAAAGGCACGAGCTCCCGGCTCGAGAGCCGGTCTACGAAGTTGATCCGTATCACGAAATGCCACTTGACCCAGGACCACCTCGGACGATTTCACGGCTCAGTACGAGACGACCTGCTCGCGACGACGCTGATCTGCGACGGGTGGCCAGTGTGCAGTATGCTCGGCACGCGGAATATCCTCGCGAGTACATCGAAACTGGCCCTCGCGTGGCCCGGGCACCATCATACGCAATTGTCGAGCCACATGAACGATCAAGGTACTACCAAGAAACACCTTTCTCATACACGCATCGCTACGTTGCTGTCGACGATCTGGGACGTCCTATATACCGGGAGCCGTACTATGAGGAAGCACCTCCCCCACGGATCATGGCCCCTCAGCGCCGGGTTGTGGTGGACGAGCATGGAAACCAGTACTACGAGTTGCCCCCGGCACCCAGACTACAGCCCATGGCACCCCCTCCCCGTCCTGTATCTCGATTATCGAAAGCCGAAGCGTACGAAGATCGACCGGCTCTCCGCACTGCCAGTGTACGTGCTCCGTCTGTGGTTCAAGACCCTTACAGTGAGCGACGCTACGTCCAAGACATGCCACCGCCACAACCAGTTTATAGACGAGTTGTCTCGGACTACGCTCGCCCTCCACCTAGCGACCGACGAACCTACGCTGCGCCGCCAGATGGCTCCGAACCCTACTCACGCAGCAGCAGCGTTCAGGTCGCCGACTACCCTCCTCGCCGTGCACCATACGTAGAGGAGCATCCAGTGCCACAGGAGAGAGTCGTCCGCACCGCAAGTATCCGACCACCGACTCGATACAATGAGCCGCATGACTTGGTGCAGCGCGTTGGAAGCGTGAGGCCTGCTGGTCCTAATCGCGAGCTCAGCGTGTTCTTAGAGGACAGGTTGACAGGTGACTATATCGAACGTCCGTACTATGTCCGGGAACGGCATTACTACGACGGCGAAGATGGAGGTCAAATGGGATTGGACGGCGCTGGAGATTCGGTTCAGCGAGTTCCGCACCGCTATTGATAGGGTCTCTCCATTGAGGCTCGTCTCAGCTACACATTTGCATTCTGCTTTGTGCATGGCCATAAATCGAAAGCTTGACCTTTCAGAATCTCAACGCCAGTGGTGTCTGATATGTTGCCCCTTGTATGGGTGGCCAGATGAAAACCTACATTATCGAGTAACATTTGATGAATCCACGGATATTGTAATATCAATGCCAAAGACTCCTTCAATGGATAAATTATAATTCATAGGCGATGCTCAGTAAATAACAGTCTTCCCCTATTCCTCATCTCGCATCAGATAACGGAGCTAATGACATGGTGTATTCCAAATCTTCTTTTCTCATCATTTGCGAGTTCGGATATCACAGCTTCCTTCGCACTCGATCCATCAAGAATAGTGGATTGCTTGTATCTGCAAAGTTGACGAATCAGCCCATCTTCATGATGATTCCCAACTCAGGGCATTTCTTGAGACATGGCCTGTTGACAGAACAGCAACATGCCATCCTATCGCTTCTTGCACCATCTTTATCTTGCATCAGAACCAAAATTTTGTATTATCATCGTGACTTGCACTCAAATACAAGCCTGGTTGCTCATCATTTGCGGGCGATGATAGGAGGGCGGGTGGCCTTGAAGTCTTGGTTGGGGCGCACCAAGTCTTACCGGAGTTTCTGGATGAAAATACAGAGATATATCTCCCGTTCGTTGGACTTGAGTGAGCATTTTCGCCGAAGCAAGCCCTGTTATCGTCATCTGCGGGTATCGTCCAAAATATATACCAGCCGTCAAGTTTGCACCGCAATAGTCCTCTTCGTCCGTCGTTGTCTCGCATTAGATCCCGGAATACTTCAACATGAGGTATTGATTTCAGTATTACACCCCTTCAGTCATCATTTGCGAGACCCTGGAAGAAGAGGAACAGGTATTTGGGTATTTCTTGGGGGTGTGTGTGGAAGCTTGTCATGCTGACCACTTGCGGTAGAAGCGAACTCTTGCACGAAAGAAGACGGGGTGTATGGACGCCACCGCTAGCAAGAAGAGCAGTCTAAGCGCCCTCAAGAGATACCTGCTGGGATAGAAATCAACAGTTGCGGGGGTGCGGTGTTGGATGTTGGGATTTCATCCGAGCAATCCTTTCGCCTGGCAGTTGAGATTTCGCATCAGAGAGATGCAAGCTTATGTCAACACGATGCGTGTTTTATGACTGACGATTTTCTCATCATTTGCAAAACCGAGGTAAAAGAACTGAGAGAGACGGGAAGGATGTCGGATATTCACCACATTCCGCTCAAAGATACCTGCTCAAAACTGATATAGTCAGTACATGATTGCTCCACGAGGGCGTAGTTGGTGATGAATTTCAGAGGATGTCACCAGCTTTCAGTAGTACCGCATCATATTGTTACTGTTTCGACACGGAAATTCAGAGTTAGGACAACTGTCATCATTCCACGGCATTGAAAGAGGTGTTTGAAGATACAAGAAATAACTTGTTCTTGTCTTGGAGGGGGGTTCAAGACGGGTTAAAGACGAGTAAACGCAGGATTCCAATCCACAAAACCGACTTCATATCATGAGTATGCTTCCTTCAAAAAGCAACGCCAAAAATTAAACGTATTTGACCATTCTTGTTTCAAAACAGCGAAATTTGCCGATGTGGTCCATTTCGAATCTCCAAGGGTGGATGTCAATAGCATAGCACTTCGTCAAGATATACCTGCAAAGAAAGAACAGGTCTGTCAGTCCATAGGTCTATTCAGGTTCTGGTGCTGATATCCATGGATGGACATCAGAGAGGTGACTCATTCGCATCAGGACAAGACGTTCATATCAAAATCGTGTGTAGCCCGTGGTCATGCACCCCTGACTCGTATCAGAGTGACAATATTTTTCGACATAATAATTTCTGATGGTTGCGGACGTTCATCATTTGCAAGTTCAGGTTCTTGGGATGTGTTCACTTGGACATGCCAAGTGTGGTGGATATCTGGTGTTTGAGGTAGAGGAGCAGAATGTACGTACTTAGAGAACCAGCTTTCGCCACGGAAACTCGTAGCTTGAGTAGCTCCTTTGTCAAAATACCCAAAGGACCATCAGCTCGTCGAGGTGAAGTTAGGAAGAGATACGGGGTGAAGAAGTTGATGAGGGTTGAGAAAAGCAAAGGATGAAGCATGGGTGGTTGAAATATTGAAGAGCAAGCAGTTTATGTTGTGGAAGAAGGCAAAACAAGAGAAAATAAGGAAGTCGACTAGGCCTCACAAACAAAAATACTGCGCGCACTATTTATCAAGGACCTCGAGGAGTATCCCTCAGTGGGAATTGATGAGATTCAAACCCAGCATACCTAAACAGCCTCATTAACCATGAGCCGCAGAAACTTCTGCTACAAGGATCACCATATATTTGTATATTTTATATGGAAGCTTATTATGAGTACTACTTGAATCTGTAGTCCTCTCCGTTGATCTCAATCCGTCATACTCTGTTACCCTCACAGAGCAATTCTGTGAGTCCCATTAGATCCCTATTGCAATGAGATAGAACTGTATTTTGGGTGTAGGTAAGAATTCGGACACCCAAAAGTCCTAAATTTTTTTTTTTGGCGATTCACTATCTTCTACTTGCTTGGTCCCGGGGACAGCACATCTATATTTCGACCGGCGCGCTGGATGGGTCTCTGACTTCCGGCACAATTTTTACATTTTTTCTGGCGAGGAAAATGGGTGTTACTACAGGCTTGAATATATAAATTGAACCTGAACATGGTAGAATGTGGCTAAAGTAGACCAAGGCATGATTATATTAACAGCTTCCTCTAGGTAGTGATCAACTGCCACAATAATAACCTTTTCTCTCCCCCTCCCTCTCTACCTTGTTTCTTCAAATCTATTTATTTATTTACTTTTCTTTTTTAAATCATAAAGATACATTCATTCATTAAAGCTCTCGCCTGTTATATTCCCAAAATTTATTGCTGTGTTGAATGGATACGGCTGTACATGAAACCGCTTCGAGGTATACCCCCAAGAACCATAAGGTGAAACACATTCCTGTAAGCAGTTTCACCTGTAAGGGACATTAGTAGGGTCCGCTTAAGATGAGAAAAGCCTCCGGGCCACTAATAAAACTTGGGGTAACTATTTCTTTCGGGTCGGCTAGGCTACGCAAGGGAGAAAACTGTCGATGCATCAAGAATACCCAAAAGAGGGCAAAAAAAGACATAGCGCTGCCTAGAATCGAATCGATACCGCCGTGGCCACGTGACGTCAACCGGCAGACCATAGCACCTTGTAGTTGTAAAAAATTGGCTTGATAGGCGCCCTAGAGATGGGTGGCTTGAAGCGAGAAAGCTGGGGAACGCGGGATTGGGCGGCCCCTGCAGTCAGGTTTCAAAGAGCACGCTTCCGCGGTCCATCCAGTCGGAATTGATTTCGGAGGCGTCGAGTCCTGGTGATTGAGTGAGCGACCCACTTGGCGTACACACGAGAGAATGACGTCGACCATTTGGGATGCCTAAAGTATCGTGGATGGGGTGGACGTTGGGCTTTCTGTTCATCAGAGGGTAAAGCTGAGCTGACACCTGAAAAACAATGCATAAGCCCGGGTCGATGGGCACACCCAAGCGTATGGGGATGATGGGGTGAGAATGTCTAGGGGGCAAAACACAGGCCAAGTAATCCCCTAGGCATCAGCGGTATGAGCATGAGCCCACCTCTCCACATGCCGGGAAGATGACCATTGCCTTTCCCCCTCAAGTGTCGGCGGCCGTGTCCGGACCAGCGGTTGGTGTTCTCTCATCCAGGGTGGATCGGGAGATACGGCGTCGTACAGGGGGTCTCCGTCCCGGGACCTATGATAGGATCGACACCGGTACAGATTGTACGGAATGAGTCGGATCCCGAGAGATCGAGAGAGAATCTCGATCAGCCTGACGGTCTCAAAGCCAAGATTCTGCCACTTGGAAGGCTTGCCCTCACGTGACCTCGCTTGGACTCTACAGATGGCAGCAAGGCGTTGGGTCTGTAGCGTCGTGGATATGCAGGAGACTCCATAGTGTCAAAGCAGCGTGTTTTTGAGCCTGATCATTGTCAAGGAACTTCTTTTTTGGTGCCAAGAAGACCCTTGCGAAAGCCCCCCGATGGGGGCATGTTCTTTTCTCGGATCAGCCCTGCATTCCTGTGTTTTGGATAGAGAGAGGCAGTGCAAGAGGATTTGAGATTGGAGGTAGATCTGAGATTTGAGATTTGAGATCCTTGTCAAAAAAAAAAAAAAAAAAAATCCAGGTAACAACTTCGTAGGTTTGGGTTGGGAAACGTAGAGGTGACCCGCACAACTGACGACACTTCTCTCTCCCGTTCTCTTCCCTTCGCACCTCAGGCAGGGACCTTTCTCAACGCTCATCGGGGTTTTCCTCGAATTGTCACCTTTTGTTCTTCGTCTTTCATTTCCCCCTTTTCTCTTTTATTCTTTCCTCTTCTCTTCTCCCGCTTTTTCTTTCTCTGCTTGCGCTTCTCTCCGTTGGGGTCCGCTTCGATCTTCGTTTCCGCCATTCCGGTTCGAAGCGCCCACAACAGGTCATTCCTATCCCTGTCTACTACCACCCACCTTCGGCCATCCCGATCATTCTTTTCGCCCTCTCTTTCCCCTCGATTCGTTCAAGGGGTTAGAGATCTGTTTCGACCTGGCCATGCACAAGATCTCCAACTTTACGGGCCAGGCCCGTCATGGTTGGGAACGAATGACGCCGACTTTTGGGATGTCGAGACCTCACACCGACATGGCCTTTCGACGGCCGCACGGCGCTCCGCCAATGACTCCCCCGACGAGCATCGATCCTACCGTCAACCTATCCTTCAACGTTCCGTTCTCGTCCACGTTGGCCGGTCCCGATGTCGAGGATGTACTCCACGCTAGTCCCAACGCGCTCCATCGCTGGACTTTTCCGGAGGGTACGCCAGAAGGCACGCAGGTGCACCAGCTCCCTGTGCACACCAACAACGTCGAGGGGTTGGGGAGGCTATGTCGGCAGATTACCGAAGGTAGTGGGGGCCGGGTTGAGGCCACACTGACGTCCTCGGAACCCAAGGTTGTCCCGTCGCTCCAACGGCGACCAAACGGCTTGATGACGAACGTTTGTGTCACGGGTGACGGGGAGACAGTGCGCAAGATGCGGGCAAAGATTCTCAACGAAACTCCAATCATGCTGGTATGTCGATGGAAATTTTTTTTCCTGGGCTCATTCTAGCACCGCCAAGGGTGTGCGTTCTATCAGAGCTTTTTTTGCTGACACTTGATGACCATTAGCGATGTGCGACTGTCGACGTGGATATGCACCTGATCATGGACGGATCGCCCAAAGGCATCCGCGCCAGTGTTCTCGAGCACATGGATACCTTGGCTGCTTACACGGGTACCGATATCTTCCTGCTGACGCCCAAACTCCATGACGCGGATAGTGCGGTGGTTTCTTCCTACGGCTACGCATCCGATAACGGCCTTGAACAACGCTTCCGAGTCGCCATTTATGGCGACATGGAGAGTTCGGAGCATGCCAAGACGCGAGTTCTGATCATGATTGATCAAATTGTATGTTTCATTGGGCATGTGCTAATAAGGCTGGTGGGCTGACCGAGGACCAGCTCAAACGTCACGTCGATGCAATGAAGCTGGAGCTGACCATGCACACCTTGGTCTGTGGCCGCACCCGCAAGAACATCAAGCTCATCGAAGCTGCTACCGGCACGGCTATCTACTTCCCGCCGCCATTCCCTCGAATTTTTGGTTATACCCCTCCTGGTGCGAATCGTCGAAGCGAGGACGAGGTCTACATTACGGGCGAGACGCCGGACCAGATTGCACGGGCTAAGCAGAAATTGCGGGAGCTGGTGATGGGTGTCAAAATATATGTCAAGGACGTCGTTGTCAACTCGAGCAAGATTGACAACATCCTGCTCGACCGTCTGGACAAGGTTCGCAAGGTGATGGAGATGAACGGCTCCTACGTCCTATTCCCACAGCTGGGCAGCCAACGCGGCCTTGTTCGCATTCAAGGCACTGAGGTTTTGCATGTGGAGCGAACCGTCAGGGAGATCATGGCTCTGGTACGTCATACCCTGCCTGCTTATTTGAGCGTCCGCTAACTTGGTTCCAGGCTGGTCAATTCTACAGTGCCTCGTGGTGGATCATTATGCCCGACCCGGCTCAAAGCGGCCTTCGCTCTCCGTCGACTTCCGATGTTCGTTCCATGCTCTCCGATATCTGTACCAACTCCGAAGCCGAGGTCAGCTTTGACAACTTGACTTTCACCATCAACGGATCCGACGATGCAGTCAAGGCTGCCATGACTGTCATTCATCAAATCCCATTCGTCACGCGAAGCCAGTACCAAATGCGGGTCAAGATTGAGCTGGCCAACGAACACAAGGAATTCGTCAGCGGCAAGAAGAATGGCAAGATTAACAAGATCATGGGTCAAAGTGAGTTTTGCTGGTAGTTAATGGCTGTTCGGCATACTGATTTGCCAGCAGGCAATGTCCAAATCATTTTTGACGGCTTCAACGAGTACAACTTCTACATTGATGTCTGTGGGAACCAGTACGACTCGACGAAAAACGGCCTGGATCTGGTCGAGCAGGAGATGCCTGCTTCCATCTCTTTCCATGTGCCGGACCAGTACCACAAACGGATTATCGGTATCGGAGGCCAGCACATCCAGCGAATCATGAAAAAGTACTCGGTCTTCGTCAAGTTCTCCAATGCCATGGACCGTGGTGGCATGGGCAAAGAAGATGATGACATCAAAGTTGACAATGTCATCTGTCGGACACCTGCTCGTAACGCGCAGAGCCTGGATCTCGTCAAGCAGGAGATTATGGATATGGTCGAGAAAGTTGTAAGTGTTTTGTGCCACTATCGATTGGGGAAACCAAGCTAACAAGCCGCCCAGGACGCCGAATACGTGTCTGAGAGAGTCGTTATCAACCGGCTGTACCACCGCGAATTGTTAGCTCGCATGACCGAGATCGATGAACTCGAAAAGAAATGGAATTGCAAGATCGAATTTCCTAGCACTGAGCTTGCCAGCGACGTCGTGACCATCTCCGGACCGGAGTATCAGGTCCCTCAAGCCGTTGATGCGTTGCTGGTACGTTAGAGAGCACTGCATCCTCTGTTCTCCCTGCTAACTTTCGCCATAGGGCATGGTGCCGGAGAGCCACGAACTTCATTTCCAAAGCTCCGTGGAGCTTCGGGACCACTTCAAGTCGTCAGACTTCCTTTCCGATGTTCGGACCAAGCTCAAGGAACAGTATGAAGTCGATATCACGGTGGACACGAGCGCCGATATTCCGGCCTCCGAGGAAGGTTCATCACCTACGCCTCCACCTGAGGACCGTGTGGTCCTCGGCTACACCCGGAACAATGCTGGCGGCCTCAAGGATGCCATCGATTTCTTGATCTCTCGTCTGGTCGCGCACGGACTCGACGCGACAACCGTCAAGGGAGCGATCCCGCGGCCCAAGTCGGATTCGTTCGAGGAGTCGCTGCCCTTCTTCGACTCGAAACTGTTGCAGCACGCTCCGGCCCCGCTCTTGACGGACTCGCCTACCCGGCCCAACTTTATCGATGAGACCAGTGAGCGAGGTTCCATCTTCGAGCGTCTCCGAAAGCCTGGAAGCATTTCGTCGTTCTCCTCGTTTATCGGCCGCAAGAATCACTCAGCTTCGCCGGGCTCCTTCTTCAAGCACGCATCGAGCAATGCCTCTAAGGCGTCGCTTGTTTCCATGGAGTCGCGGGACAGTGGCTACCGCAACCCTTGGAATGACTCGGGAGTCAATCTCCCCGAAGACGACGTCCCCGTCCTGGGGAGCTCGCACAGCCACAAGAGCAGCAGCAGCAACGGCTGGCCTACGCGCTTCGACACCAAGTTTCCCTTTGGCACGGCGCCGGGCGACATGACCCCCAAGCATGACCTGCGCACCTCTTTTGACAGTGGTCGCCCTAGCACTTCGAATTCTACTTCTGGATACCCGGCCCCAATTGGGCCACCGCGTTAAACCAAAATATCCATTTGCAGCAGTATACCCTTTGGTTGAATTGTTCCTGAATTTTTTTTTTTTTTATCCCAGCGTGTCTCGGTTGTTTTTGTTGTTGGTCTTTGATTTTATTGATTGATACCATGGAACGCAAGCAATGAAGGGCGTCAGAAAAGAAAAACGAGATATCCAAGATGCGCGGTAGAGCGGGAGTCGCATTTCTTCGGGATACGACTATTATCCCCCGCCTCTTTTGATGTTTTGATTTGTGTTTTATTGCAATTTTATGACTCGAGTATGCACTGAGGACGGGCAGGGCTGTAAGCTATAGATTCCCGCGCCTTGATGGTGTGGGGGATCTTCACGATGCAGACCCAGGGAGTTTCCGATTGTTTTGGATTGAATTTGTGCTTGAATTCTTTGATATCCCCAATCACCAATGAGATTTGATCGATTTTCGCCATTCGCATAGGAGATTGTTACAAGCTGCGGAGGTTGGCCTTGACATGAAGCGGACTCGACGTCCGGGTGGCGTGCATTAGACTATCCCGCGCGCTAGTAGTAGATGCCATGCCACCTCGATACTCTTGATGGGTTATAGAAATCTGCGACTACCACATACTGCGCAAGTGCCAAATTGGCCAGATTCGACCGAACAGACACTCCTAAGGACCCGCCGCGGGGATTGGGATCGTCGCCCCACTGACGTGTGCGGACGTGGGGTCGAGCATCGAGTATGAAGTGTCGAGCGCGATCCCCAATTCCTCTCAGTCCATTCTCTGCTTATATTGAGAGACACACTTAGTGAATTCCACAATGGCCGCATCTTATCCCCGCCCCGACTTCCAACGCAAAGCTCTGAACTGGGCATCTCTAGACGGAGCCTGGGACTTCATCTTCGACGACGCCAACTCGGGACTATCGCAGCAATGGCCGCGAGAGGGGATCCCCGCGCAAGCCGCACAGCAGCCGAAACGGCACATCAAAGTCCCCTACGCATTTCAGACCCCGGAATCCGGCATTGGCCTCTACGAAGCCCACGAGGTGATGTGGTACGAGCGCACGATCAGCGATGTCCGCACTGCCGACGAAAAGGCCCAGGGTAACCGGCTGATCGTGCGGTTCGGGGCTGTCGACTATGAGTGCTCGGTTTGGGTTGATGGACATCTGTATGGTGGGCACCGTGGCGGCCATGTGCCGTTCGACGTCGACGTCTCGGATGCTTTCCACCCGGGCGCGCAGACCGCGCGTCTCACCCTGCGTGTCCGCGACTCGCCGTATGACCTGGCCCAGCCTCGTGGGAAACAGTTTTGGGGCCCTGTGCCGGAGAGTATCTTCTATACCCCCAGCGGTGGCATCTGGCTCTCTGTCTGGATTGAGAGTGTCCCTGTGACGCGACTGTGTTGTGGCAGCGGCGGCACGGTGCTCCGCTCCGATGATATTGAGCGTGGCGAGCTCCATGCCCAGGTTGCTGTCACTGGATGGATGATCAGTGCAGAATGCAAGGTCGAGATCGAGGCGAGTCTCGGCGGCTCCCCGGTAGCCAAGGCTGAGAAGAACCTCCCGAAAGACCGCAACTTTGTGAACCTGGACCTGAGCATGAAGGTGCCGAATTCTGCGGAACTACAGAAGAAAGAGCCATTTAACATCGACGGATCGTGGCACGACGGCGTGGCTCTGTGGGCGCCAGAGCACCCGATTCTGTATGACCTGGCTCTGCGCCTATACAACGGCTCGGGGAAGCTAGTGGACGAGGTGGAAACCACAACAGGAATGCGCAGTCTCTCGTGGCAGACCGGGGACGGCACGTTCCGCATCAACGGCAAACCTGTCTTCCAGATGCTGTTCCTGGACCAGGGCTATTGGCCCAAGACGGGACTGACGCCGCCTTCGTCCGAGGCACTCCGAGACGATATCCAAATGGCCAAAAACGTGGGATTCAACGGGTGCCGTAAGCACCAGAAAGTCGAGGATCCCCGATTCCACTACTGGGCGGATCGGCTGGGGTTTCTGGTCTGGGGCGAGTTCGCCAACGCCTACAAGTTCGGCAGTGACTACATCGATCGGATTAACAGTGAATGGTCTGAGGCTGTCAAGCGAGACATCAACCACCCGTGCGTTGTGACCTGGACGCCAGTGAACGAGAGCTGGGCCTACACGTCGTTGAAAGACAACATCGAGCAGCGCAACCACATCCGCTCGCTGTACTATATAACCAAGTATGTAAATTCTCACACATATTGTATAATATACACACGGAGAACAGCTAAAACTAAACTAACATCCCAAACAGATCCCTCGACCCCAGCCGCCCCATCAACGACAACTGTGGCTGGGAGCACGTCCTAACCGATCTTACCACATACCACGACTACAGCGACTCGCCCGAGCTAGCTGCAACTTGCTCGAAGATGGAAGGTGGGATTCTCGGTCCGAAGGCAGGACACGACATGTTCTCGAAGCCCATCTATTCGGGCTTCGGCGGCACTACGCTCCTGGACCCGGGTGCGCAGCACAAGCCCGGCGCGCCGGTGATCTGCTCCGAGTTTGGAGGCGTCAATATCGCGCCGCCGAGAGATGTTTCGGCGTCGGAGCGGGACTGGGGCTATACCACAGCCAAAGATCCGGAAGACTTTTTGCACCGATTTGAAAAGTTGGTTATGGCTGTGGTTAAGGGGGGTCATTCGTGTGGGTTGGTGTATACGCAGCTGTACGTATTTTCCTCTCTTGTTTCCATTTTTCTTTCTCTTCTTGCTATGTTCCTTTTTTTTTTTTTTTTTTTTTTTTGACTTTCTATACTAACATATTTTAGGTCGGACATTGAACAAGAAGTGAATGGTTTATACTCGTATGACCGCAAGGAGAAGGTCCCCGTGGCCAAGGTGAAGGCCATCATGGATGCCGCTCAGGACTATTACTACCAGCATGTGCTGTCCCATCACTCGAAGGGCTTTAAGAAGCTCTTCAAGCAGTACAAGCACGTTCTGCACAAGGCTTAAGATGTGCCACCAACGAAGCAAGGTAAATGGTGATTGATGATGCTTAATGGACCGGACGGGGACTTTATAGTCAAGAGTTGCTGCAAGAAACAGATAAATTTATTGTTGATCTTTATGACAATTTCATTGATATCGGTTATGAGGGGAAATAAATCTTTACGACCTCGTGGCCACTTTGCCTATCTAATGTGTCCTTGCATCCAGATCCCTTCTGCTTTGTACCTCCTCAACCAGGTCTACAAAGTCACTATCACCCTGCCTAGCCAACTCCTCAAACTTGGGATAATTCAGCTTCAGCCACTCGACATCTTCCCCCACCTGGAATTCAAAACAGGTGTTAGTTGACAACCAGATAAGTCTACTGGATGCCCATAATATAGCGAGCCTCAACTTAGGCAAAAGGAATCCATTCTCCATTCCCGTAGTGATAGACCCCATACTAAACACGCGGTTCAATTCTCGTTCCTTAATGTGAGCTACTTGATCCGGTAGTGGAGATAGACAGATCAGACAAAGGAGGAGAGGGACGAACCTCTCTACCTCCGAGGTAGTTATGTCGCGTGCTAGTATCGGCGAATTGGACCTTCGCGAATAGACTGGGAGTCACGAATTTGCGGGTGTGGAGGAGGGTGATGGACTGTGCTAGTTAGTCTCGTTGGGGCTTATCCAGCGGGATGCAATGCTCGATTTCGTAAAGGGGCATGTTCCACGCTTTTTCTTTGTGTAGCTTACACAGTGGTTAGGGCAAGAGAGTGACTATTTCCAATAGTAAGGTATCTTCGGGGAATTGTACTTGAATCTATGCAGTGTCAACCTAGAGGACGGGATTTATAACCACCATCTAGCCAAGGTAATGGATGGCTTCTTCCCTACCTGAACTACTAATTCCACGTTTGCGAGTTGTGCATTTTCTTATTGGCCGAAAAGAAGATTGAGCAGGTTAATGTGATTTTGGGGTACTACAATGAGGGCAATGTAGTACTTTGAAGCTTCTGTGGCTGACTCAAAAGTACACTACAAACAGCCTATATAAACCCCAAAAGATGACTCTCATGTACGCATCCACACAGAACAGCTAGAAATGGACGAATTTCTCATATTGTCTCCTTAGAGTACTCGGATGAAAATCAGAGCGCTTTATAATGCCCATCCTTTCTCTGATGGATTAGATGATTGGATGGATATCATTATTTCATGAACGATATTTACAGTATTTGAGTGTCTAGCCATCCTCACGAGAATATAGCTGTTTCTTGTGAACTTTCCAAGGAATCCACCATGACTTCCAAGACCCCTTCTGCACAATCACACCTTAACCTTCCCACAAAGAACAACATCTTCCCCAAATGGATACCACTTAACATTCGCCAACCTCGCCGCAGAAACAGGCTGCCCACTCTCATCAAAGCGCCTAGCCGGCGACACAACCACACCCCCTGACCCAACCACGTAGGAGCAATAGTAACAATCACACTATCAATCAGCGGCATAGACGACGGCTCCAGAAGCGTGTTGATCACATGGCCGCCGCCCTCGACCATGACACTGCGAAGACCATTCGACCTAAGCACGACAAGGAGATCATTCCAATTGATCCGGTGATGACCGGCTTCTTTCCCTCCCTCTGAGACCTCTTCAACACTCATGTCCAGCGATATGAACCGCCCACCGTATTTCTGTAACAGCGCCTGCTTCTCCACCGGTAGATCCCGGCGTGCCGTGATAATCCACGGCGCGCGGCCGCGCCCTTGTCGACACAGTTGGAAGAGCTTACTCTCTTCGCTGTAATCCCAGCGCGCAGCTGGGTCGATGACAACAGGTCGAGGCTGGCCCTCTAGATCCCCGCTGCCGCCGTAGCCTCCAACCCCGACGATGCGGCAGTTCAGGCCCGGATTGTCAGCAACGGCTGTACCGACGCCGACGAGGATGCCGTCGTGTCGCGAGCGCAGATAGTGCGTCATTGCTTTGGACTGCGGGCCTGAGAGCACGGTGCGGGCGCCTGGGGACAGGGCGAGAGATGAGTCGAGGGAGGTGGCGAAGGTGAGGGTTGTGAAGGGTTTGTCTGGGGACCGGGTTGAGCCGTCTTTTGGTGGGAGGTGAGGCTCTAGGAAGACCCGGTCTGATATGGGGAATTCGATTGCATCTTGCGGGATTGATGCCATCTTGTAGCCGTGGCGGGCTTCTTTTTTGTTTTCGTCTTACTTTGTTTTGATATGCTCTTTTTATGTGGGGTATGCGGTGGAAACAATGTAGCGGGGTATCTCAGCCAAGATACTGGCTCAATGCCCTTCGGGTGTCGATTCAAGATGGTGGGTTGGAGCTGAAGAGGCCAAGATATGTCGGGCCCACTCAACTTGATCTCTTGGCGAGTGGGCCAGTATCACCAGAGTAAACGAAGCAATTGAGACCTTAAGCATCTTTTGAACTCTACCTACACACTGCCAAAATTGAGACTTCGAACCACTGTTCAATGAAGTAGAAGAATCGTCTGATTAAATTAACCGAGTCGCTGAATGCTTTGCTTCGCTCGCCTTAAATATCTAATCCCACTGTACAGCGCCAGACATGCCGAAAAATCCCTTAAATATCAAGAAAAAGCAGCGCTGAATGGATGCAATATTACACAAGATCAAAAATGATGCACGCAGAAAAGTTTTATCACATGCTGGCCAGTTCCTGGTCGATCTGCCGGTCCAGGAACGAGCGCTTGTCGCCCGTGAGCGTAGTCTGCAGGCGCTGTTCAACGAGGACGCGAACTACATAATCAAAGTTAGTCATATGCAATATTCGTGAAAGAGAGAATATGATTAAGAAGAATGCATACCCTGCTTCTTGGTGACCGTGTCTAAATCAACCTCGGCCAGACATCCCCGAACAGCCTCGGTGATGGCCTGTTCGTCGGGTCCGCCGCCACCGCGGAAATCAAATGCAGTACTGGCAGGCCGCGACGGGTACTGTCCGAGGGGGCTGCGTGACCGCGAGCTTGCGAGCAGGTTCTCGGTGCTCTGCATGAGCCCGGTGCTTTGCCGGCTCAAATGACCGGGGCTCTCCTGGTAGCCGCTAAGATTGCCAATAGACATGTGCCGAGATGCAGCGGCGGGGTGGCCGCCCATCTGCGGGTAGTCGGTGTAGCGTGAGAAGCTGGACATGTGAGAGTTGCGATTGCCCGGGACATTGCCACCGACAAACGGCGCCGGCGACTGGGGCGGCATGTACGGACTCGCGTCGCGGCCCTGACCGGGGAAGCCAGTTAGAATGGTCGACGCGGGTTTCACAGACGAGTATTGCGAATGCATATCGTCCATCTCCATTGCCGTGTCGTCCATGTACCGGCCCGTTGAGAACAGCTTCTCCTGGCTAGGAGCGAGGTCCCCGCGGCGTCCGGGGAGATTGTTGGCCATGGCGTAGTCATCCCAGCGCTGCAGCGGAATGCTGCGCGGGTCGAAGCCCTCATCCTCCACAGCAATAACGCGCTTGTCACCTTTCTCGCCAATGACTACACGGGTGTTACCCCATGTGAAGTCATCCTGCTTCCAAAACGAGTAGAGCGGCAAGACGAAACTGTAGATGGGGAAGGCAATCAAGTAAATGATCATCCATCCGATATGCTGCCACTGCCGCTTGATAATGAAGATGATCGCCTGAAGACCATACACACCCGCAAGCATCACAATGGAAATCAAGGGAAACGGGCCAGTGCCGCTAGCCACACGGTAGATCAGATATCCAAGGTAGACGCAGGTTGCAGGGAGAATAATCGTTCCGAGCAGATCCACGAGCACGACGAAACGCATACTGAAACAACAGAAACCGCAGAGATCCTTCAGTGCTGCCAATTCCACGAGGTTGTGCACGGTCGAGTTGATCCAGCGGCGTCGCTGCGACAAAAGAACGCTCCAGGCTTCAGGGGCAGCCGTGCTTGCGTACGCGTCCGGGATGAATTTGTATCGCATTGTCGGGAAGTGCTTGGTCATAAGAGTGGTCAAATACCGGTCCTCGCCCAGCGACAAAAGGTTCTTCTTGTGGAGAGTGTCGACATCGTTGTCCGCATACTCTTCAATGACTTTGTCGGAAATGATTAGAGGACGACCCTTGTCGGCAGTCCGAAGACGATACATGCAGAAACTAATAACGGTAAGCATGGCAACTTAAAAAGCATCACAGACAAGGAAGATTTACCAGCCGGGAAGACAGGTCACACTGCCGAAAAGTGACTCGAATGCTTTAGCCAGGTGATGCGAGATGTAATATTCGTAAACCTGGATCATTGTCCACCAACTCCGTTCTTCGTTCTGAAGACTGGTCTCGCCGCAAATACCAGCAATCTTGGCATCCGCCGCACAGGCAGCGACCAAGCGATTCAAAGAATCCTCTTTGACACTGGTGTCTGCGTCGACCATGAAACAGTATTCGTAGAGCTCCGGGTCCACACCGATGATATTGTTTATCTGGTGGAACATTTCCAGCTCCAGCGGCGACATCGGGGCACGGTGGTGCACACGGTTCAAGAAATTCATGAGAAGAACTTGCGAGTCTCGTTTGCCTCGGTTGCCGGGCTTCGACTTTCTCTGTTCAGACTCCTTGCCAACTTTCACGATCACGGCATAGGGAACGACATTGCCCTCATACTCATAGAGACCGGAGTATACTTTGCCATAGTTGAGCTGGTCACTTCCCTGGCCAATAGACCTGAAAGGCAATGCGGGCGGGTCCATCTTGGGATCGACACCGAGAATGTCCAAAACAATCTTAGGCGTCGGTCGGTCATTGCCGCCACCAACGATCATACCATCACAGATGACACAGATCAGCTTCCTCTTGTTGTCGTACTGCAGGGCAGTCAGCGAATCGAGACCCTTTCGCAGGGCGTCCTCGCCTTCGGTGTACGCCGGAACCAAGCAAATCACAAATTTGTCCTGAGGTGCTGGACGGCGTTTGGACCCTAGCTGGAGAGCCGCCAAGAACTTGACAAGAATGACGGCGCAAATTAGGACAGTGAACGACAGAAGGATCCAGTTATTTACGGTGCACCTTGGCGTGTCTCGAAAATCAACCTTTCCTTGGTAGAACACATAGTCGAGGCACGTCTTGGCGTTCTTGAATTCCGTAGTGTCCTGCCATTTGTCCGTCACATCCGTTCCCGGGTTGTCCTTGAAGAGCGTGGTGACGGCGTCCGGCAAGAATTTGTAGTTGTCCCGGTTGTTCATCGTCTTCAGGGTGTAGAAATAGTCTGTCAAGTCATAGACCTTTTGGTTGACAATCACCCAATACCGCATGTCGTCATTGGCTTGTTTCTCGATTGTACCCTTGGTCCAGACCAAATCACCCTTGTAGTATGAACCAATTTTGGGCAGGAAGGTGTCCTTGTACCAGTTCTTGTCGTGCAGCTTCGTGTCTGGATTGGATTGCTGTCGGGGACCACTCTTGTGCTCCGCCTGGCCGTTGGTGATGGCGTTGGTATCGTTGTGCATCATCACAATTGAGTCGTCGTCGACGAAGGGGTAGCAGTACTGAGTCAGAGGCGGAGGAAAGTATGCATCCAAGTTCTGGCCCGCGAATTCCTTCATGTTCGACGAGGTGGTCTCATACCCGTTGTCACTGTGTTGCAGACGCCAGAACTTGCTGATATCGTAGACGCGGCCGTGGATGCTGACAAAGAAGTCATCATCCCCTTGATGCCAACTGACCTCTCTCGAATTCCAAACTTTGTCCTTGTTGGGGCAAAGCAGATCACCGAAGGCGATGATGTAAAAGCAGACAAGGCCGTTGAAAAGCAAAATCAAGAGCACCAGGACGACTTTTTCTCGCCAGGCCATCCGCACATCGGGACGTTTCATGCGGCCCACCCACCGGAGTAGGAAAGACGGAATAAAGAATGTCACTGCCCAGACGAGACCCGTCCAGGCCCGACGGCCCAAGGTGATTTCTTTCTTCTCGATGTGCTTCGGGTCACCAAACTCAGGATCGAGTTCGCCAATATATCGGCCGTAGTCGTCGTAGTATGCCACGTCTCCTTTCTTGTCATCGCCTTTATGGCCCAGCCCGTAGTCACCGGGGGAAGCAACATGGGTATAAGGCGCACTGGGAGCGATCGACCTAGCACCTCCCATGACACTCGGGGCCATTGCGTTGGGGTGTTGCAGGAAATCGGTTTGGCCCCCGAGCAGGTTACTACCTTCGCCAATGGGATTGCCGTCGGGGGAGTAGCCAGTGTCGTACATGGCAGGGCCGTATGTGAAAGGGTTCGTTGGATTTTCTTCCGGTTTGAGGTCAAGCATAGACTCAGCTTCCCACCACGCGCCTTCTCGCATCCAGATCCGCTGCTGGCCCACGACGGCATCGCCGTTGCTCCAACCCCTCTCGATGATCCAGTTTTCGACGCCGTCCTGGCCCTCTGTGCAGCCGAGGCGGGCATATCGACCAACAAACTCCTCGATATCGAAGTCGGCGGTGAAATCGAGCTGCTTGAGACGACGGTTTGCCCACTCTGGAAGCCTCCAGTCTCGGAGCTGACGCGACACCGCACCTGCCGACCATCCGGCGGCCGGGTTTGATCCACTCAGTTGGTCCGGTGTTTCATCGGTCGGATGAAGAGAGAGGTGGTACCATACGCGGCTGCTGCCAAGGGTGGTAGAAAGGTCGAACCGTCCTCGCTTGCCGACAGAGATGCCCTCCGTCTCGACCGGGAACAGCAGCTGTCGCAGAAAAGCATCGCTTTCAGCCTCGACTCCGACCTTCTCCAAAACGCCTTGTCGCTTGTCAAGTTCGTGCTCACGCTCTCGTCCAGCGACGCCGTTGGTAATGCCAAGGTCAGGCTCGACCTGTGCGACGGCGGCATTCATTTCATTGGCAACGGAGTTCCCAATGGCAGGGATGAGGACCCCATCTTCTCTCATCTCGGAGTTGATTCCGAGCTCATCATCGAAGACGCCGCGCATGGCAATTGCTTTACCGAGAGCCGGCCGTGGAATATCAATCACGGTAAGGCTGACAGTGTCATCGCTCGAATACTGCGCCGCACCGGTTCCACCACTACTGGAATCATTTTCCAACGTTCCCTGGACATCGGTGGCAATGGCATCGTTGGCTTTGCTGACCACCCAGTCCACCAGCGCTTCATAGATTCCGGCAATCAAGACCTCACGTTCATCGGTGGAGCATTTATGCAAAAGAATTTCCGGATCTACCCCCAAAAGACCGCCGACGTCTTCACATACTTCTTCTAGGTCTTCCTGGTCGACCATCAAACCGGCTGCATTGCCAAGCTTGAGAAGACCCGCAAGCACCGAGAGCAAGCCTCGGAGAGCGGCACCTTTGATTCCGATGACTTTCAAGGCTGCCCGGAAGTCCTCGGCGGAAGCCGTGTCGTCGGCGGTGGGAAGGTAGGATGGTGGACCGTACGTATTAGATCGGTTGAGCAAAGCATAGGCAGTAGGGTCTTTCAGTTCCAAGAATTCACGCTCGGCAGGGGTCGACGCAGAAGTCAAGAGATAATAGAAGACGTCAAATGCACGGTAGCCCGCCTCGTTGGGGACTTCGAGAAGACCCCTGCGGACATTGATGCCCGACGTTGACAAGGACAAGGACATGCCGACCACTGTTCCCTGCAAAGTCAAAGTGTATGTAGCTGCCAAGGCGGAGTGCAGACAGTACGATGGGTTGAACGAGGTCACCGCGGACAGCAACGGCCGCAACACGGCGAGCGCTGTGAAGGCCACATCCGGGGTAGAAAGTGGCAGTGCCATGAGAAACGGCTCGAGCAGTGAGGGTGTGGACTGGTGAAGCGAGCTGGTTGGTGTTAGCCGATACAAGTCCCTTGATCTTGATGTTGGGGTTGAGGACATACCACAAGGCTATGCAGCCATCCTCTGCCCGTCGCCGAGCATGCTCCCAGGCCCTAATGGCCATATCACGATCGACGGTGGCACCATTGCGTCCATCTGGCAAGGTGGTGGCCGCTGTGACCCAGGTATTGACGACTAAGCTTGTGCTCGAGTCCAGCTGATAGGGCTGACCAGCGGAGTAGAATGAATGAAGTGCATTCAGCAATGTTGTAGTCGAGACCTGGGTGGCATGCTGGAGGATCGGCCGTGGACCAGCCAGACCGGCGGACTGGGTAGAAAAGACCGAGTAGCGGTTCGACATGGTGGGCCTTGAAATTGTTGACAGCAGGAGAGTCAACTAGGGCCGACCGGTGCGTCACCACAACCACATGAGGCTTGGGCAATTGGAGCTGTGTGTTGATTTCTGGCTGTCCAATGGTGTGGAGATAAGATCAGAGTTCAGACGATCAACGAGCAAGTGTATAAGAGGGAGGCGAGGACAAGAGAGACTCCGGAGAAATGAGCGAGTGACTGGAGGGAATGACAGAGAGATGAGCAGGGAGAAGAGAAAAGAGCGATGGGCACAAGAAAAAGAAGCACAACAAGCGTGGGGAGACGGCAATCCACTTGAAAATTACCAGCTAGTGGAAATCAACGCCGATCCTCCGTGATCCCGATAAAGGATGCAATGTCACTGTCAGTGAAAGGATATAATTACTGCTAGATAGATCTGGTATATCACTATTCTATTCTATTATCTTTAGTTTTAGTTTTGAAATAATTGATTCCTCGATCTTTATCCAGAGTAGAGTATTTTTCTCTTTGTTACTCTATCCATGGATGGCTTATCGAAGCTGTCAAATACTGGATACATACAAGATACCGTAAATACAGGGGATTCAATACCAGTGCTATATTTGGGGTGTCTCACCAATGCCTTTTTTTTCTTTTTCTTTCTGACAGCGCAGATGATCGACTTCGCCACTGGGATTTCAGGGGACATTCCTACATTCTACCCCTATTTAGTAGCCAGCGAGCACCCTTGATTGTGAAAATGCAGAATATACATAAATAATAACTATTGTATTTGATTTTTTTTGGTGACTTATGAATTATCCATGGATTGTGAACGGCGAACCATCAAGTTGCCTCTCGGGCTAGCCCATTGTATGATCCAGGGAATGGGCTAGTTTCACCCGGAAGGATTTAGTGTTTGAGTGCCATGGAAGTGTCTTGCACCGAGGACCAGTTTAATTTATTTATAGTTAGGTGATAACAATCTATTGATTTATTTTAGCTTACTTAGTTATATATGTTGATGACTTAGATAATTGGTCTGTGATCTACATCTATTGCTGCAATACTTCCACAATCTACAGGATCACCATGTGGATAATGACCTGTCTCAGGGATGGCTAACGGGACTGGGGAACAGGTCAACCTCTGGTGGAGCCGTGTTAACCTGAGACCTCCCGTTAGGCCCATGTCTTTCTTTTGGTTTCCATGTATTTTTAGAGCAGCTGAAGCTATGATTCATTTTATATTTTGTTTTATATTTTGGATTTCATACCTATGTTTATATCTTGTATTTTGTATAATATAATATATTCAAGGCCTGCGATAGTATTATGTTGTCCACCGTACAAGCACGACCCGACGATCCGGTGGGTTTCTACCCGGCCCAATCGGCCCCCTTCTCCTATTGCTAGCGGTATTACCATATTTACAATACTCCAATTCCACCCCAGACCCTCTTATCGCTTTGTTGCTTTTTTTCCCTTCTCTTCTCTCTTCATTGTGTTGTCCCTTGTTCTCCCATGTCATGCTCGATTTGCTAGGGGCTTTCATTCCGAGTCTTGGGCATTCCTGAGCTTTTCCCTCACACGTTCATTCTTCGACAGCATCTAGGCCTGCCCAGCCCGTCGTTGAACCTCGGGCAGAAGTTGTCCATCCCACACTCGTTACCTCCATGAGCTGGTGAGATCTCTGCATCTCACACCCTCTCCAGATGGCTGGCATTTCATCGGCTGGTGCACCTGCACACGCCCAGCCGTCTCTCCCATCTCTGCCCGCCCATTTGCAGTCCGATACACACCTCACAGCCCATCTAGCCAGTCGGTATGGCCATTCCTACCCCTCTGAATCAATATCATACCCAGCATGTCTAATGATGAGGCCCTAGATTTCATGTCGGATTACCAACCGCTCGCCTTTCCTCGCAGGCACTGATTGCCTTGAATACATACACCTCTGCCACCAAGGGACCGGATGGCGGCAAGGAAGGCAGTGCTGCCGGGGATGCTGAAGATTTGGCTCGTCGGGCCTTGACTCGTTTGGGCTCCCGGGGAGAAAACCAGGCGGTTGTGTTTCTGTACGTCGGTCCCTCTGATTGTGCGGCGAATTCTAGCTAACCACACCCGAATTTCAGAGGCGAGAGTGGATCAGGTAAAACAACACTTCGCTCACATTTACTCTCTTCCTTTTTGTCCTTCTCATCGACTCCGTTGTCCTCCAAACTGTCCTACGCCGCTTTTATATTCGATACCTTGACAACCACCAAATCGGTGACCACCCCGACTGCTTCCAAAGCTGGTCTGTTCCTTGAACTGCAATACGATGGCTCGTCCTCTGTCAACCCCACCTTGATTGGTGGCAAGATAATTGATTATCGATTGGAGCGGAGTCGGATCTCATCCGTTCCTACGGGTGAACGCAGCTTCCATGTGCTCTACTACCTGCTTGCTGGTACCAGTGCTGCCGAGAAAACCCACCTGGGCTTCGACAATAGCATTCATATCCAAACTTCCGGGGGAAAGCTCTCCTCGGGCTCGATCAGCCACAAACGGTGGCGATATTTGGGCCATCCCACGCAGTTGAAGGTCGGGGTCAACGATACCGAGGGCTTCCAGCATTTCAAGACCGCCCTGCGGAAGCTCGAGTTTTCTCGCAGCGAGATCGCCGAAATATGTCAGATTCTGGCCAGTATTCTTCACATTGGCCAGCTGGACTTTGTCACTGGGCAGGCCACTACCACGGGCGCCGAGGAGAGTGGTGGCTACTCTCACGAAGGCGGCGAAACGGTGACTGTGGTGAAGAACAAGGATGTCCTCGCCATTGTTGCCGCGTTCTTAGGTCTCAGTGTCGAGGCTCTGGAAAACAGTCTGGGTTACCGAACTAAGACCATCCACCGCGAGCGAGTGACAGTCATGCTGGACCCGAAGGGTGCGCGGCAGAATGCCGATGCCTTTGCCCGCACAATCTACTCACTTTTGGTCACCTATGTGATCGAGACGGTGAACCAAAAGGTTTGTGCGGCCGAGGATAGTGTGTCGAACACAATCTCTATCGTGGACTTCCCGGGCTTTGCCCAAGCCCCGTCCACTGGCTCAACCTTGGACCAACTCCTCAGCAATGCGGCCACCGAGTCTCTTTACAATTACTGCCTCCAGTCTTTCTTTGACCACAAGGCCGACATGTTGGACCGCGAGGAGATCACCGTTGCGGCGACGAGCTACTTCGACAACACAGACACCGTGCGTGGCCTTTTGAAGCACGGCAACGGGCTGTTGAGCATTTTGGATGACCAGATGCGGCGTGGTCGGTCCGACGCTCAATTCTTGGAGAGTGTGCGGAAGCGTTTCGAGAACAAGAACCCATCTATCTCGGTCGGTGATTCCAACTCTGCCACCGCCAGTGGCTATGTGTCCTACGGCGCTCGTTCGGCATTCACTGTCAAGCACTTTGCCGGTGAGATCGACTACTCTGTTACCGGTCTCATCGAGGAAAATGGAGAGGTGATCTCGGGTGATCTCATGAACCTCATGAAATCCACCCGAAGTGATTTTGTTCGCGAGCTGTTTGGCCAAGAGGCTTTGCAGACCATTTCACACCCTCGCGAAAAGACGTCGATTATGCAGGCCCAGGTCAGCTCAAAGCCGCTGCGGATGCCGAGCATGGCCCGACGAAAGGTTGGCGCCCCATCTCGGTTTGCTTCCGATGCATCTCGCGCTTTGAGCGATGAGGCGGAAGAACCCGACAGTCAAGCAGCAATCTCCAAGCCACAGGCAGGAAGCCGAAAGACAGGGCTGATGACTGGCCCTCCCCAAGGGGCTGCCGGTCAATTCCTTTCTGGTCTTGAGATTATCAACAAATGCCTGACCTCGTCGAACTTGAATCCATATTTTGTGATTTGTCTCAAGCCCAATGACCGCCGGATCGCCAACCAATTCGACAGCAAATGTGTTCGGATGCAACTCCAGACTTTTGGAATCGCGGAGATCAGCCAGCGGCTGAGAAATGCTGACTTTAGCGTCTTCCTTCCTTTTGCAGAGTTCCTGGGCTTGGCTGACATCGGTAATGTCGTGGTGGGGAGCGATAAAGAAAAGTCCGAGGTCGTCCTGGATGAGAAAAGGTGGTCGGGCAACGAGGCTCGTGTGGGCAGCACCGGTGTCTTTTTAAGCGAACGATGCTGGGCAGACCTTGCCAAGGTCGGCGAACGTGTAGTCCCATCCTATGGGGTTGCCGGAGCCGACTCAGGCAATGGTGTTTCCCACACCCCCGGTGGGAGTATGGACGCCAAGGTGCGGCTGCTCAATCCTGCAGACCAGTCCCCTGGCGCCTTTATCTACGGGGATGACACCAAGCAAGGGTACTTTGGTAGCCGTGAGTTGGATGGCCGCTCCGATGCCGGGGCTTCGGCCTTTAACTCTGGCGATATGTTCCGGAATCTCGAGACCCGGGAGCAGATGCTAGAGAAAGGCAACGAGAAGAATATGGAAGAGGTGGATGATGCTCCTGTCTCGGGCAGCCGCCGACGCTGGATGGCCTTGGTCTATCTTCTTACATTCTACATCCCCGACTTTTTCATCAAATTCTTCGGTCGGATGAAACGGAAGGACGTGAGAGTCGCCTGGCGCGAGAAATTTGCAATTAACTTGATCATCTGGTTCGCCTGCGCCGTCGCTGTCTTCATGATCGTGGCATTCCCCGGATTGGTTTGCCCAACGCAGCATGTTTACTCGGAGGGAGAGCTTAGCACCAACAACGGAAAAGGTGGACACGACTCCTTCGTCGCTATACGGGGTGTTGTGTTCGATCTTGGTTCATTCATGCCCTCTCACTTTCCCGATATCATCCCGCAGAAGTCATTGAAGAACTACGCCGGTAAAGATGCGACCAACCTCTTCCCTGTTCAGGTTTCAGCTTTGTGCCAGGGAGTGAAGGGCCATGTGGATCCAAGCGTGCCTTTGGATTACCGTTCGAATCAGAATGAGTCGTCCGCCAAGACGTCCAATGATGATTTCGATATCAACGCCAAGTATCATGACTTCCGCTCGTGGACCGACGACCCTCGCGCGGACTGGTTTTACGAGCAGATGGTCATGATGCGAGCAAGCTATAAGAAGGGCTATATCGGCTACACTCCCAAGGGCATGAAGAGCCAGGCAGATGACAACTCCAAGAACATCGTGAGCATCAATGGGAAAGTTTACGATATGACCTACTACATTGCTGGACCCCGAGTGCCTCGTGCCCCCGCTGGAAAGAATGTTTCTCACAACCTCGACACGGACTACATGGATCCTATGCTTGTCGACATCTTCCAACAGAAATCTGGATTCGATGTAACCGAGTTGTGGGATAACCTTCCTTTTGATTCCGGCCTTCGCCAACGGATGCAGCTTTGTCTCGACAACTTGTTCTTTGCTGGCCACGTCGATACCCGAAATTCTGCGAAGTGTCAATTTGCGCGGTATTTCATCCTCGCGATTTCCATTATGTTGTGTGCCATCATCACCTTCAAGTTCCTAGCTGCTCTGCAGTTTGGAAAGAAGAATCTTCCCGAGAATCTGGACAAATTCATTATCTGTCAAGTCCCGGCGTACACCGAAGACGAGGACTCACTTCGTCGTGCTATTGACTCCATGGCTCGCATGCGCTATGACGATAAACGCAAACTTCTTATGGTGATTTGTGACGGTATGATTATTGGTCAAGGCAACGACCGCCCAACTCCACGCATTGTTCTGGATATCCTGGGTGTTCCTGAAACTTTAGACCCCGAGCCACTGAGCTTTGAAAGTCTGGGCGAAGGCATGAAGCAGCACAACATGGCCAAGGTCTACTCGGGTTTGTACGAGGTGCAAGGTCATATTGTTCCTTTCCTGGTCGTTGTCAAGGTCGGTAAGCCTTCTGAGGTCTCGCGGCCCGGCAACCGTGGCAAGCGTGACTCTCAGATGGTTTTGATGCGGTTCCTCAACCGTGTCCATTACAACCTGCCTATGAGTCCCATGGAACTTGAGATGCACCATCAAATCCGGAACATCATTGGTGTCAATCCAACTTTCTACGAGTACATTCTGCAGGTAGACGCCGATACTGTGGTGGCACCCGATGCCGGTACAAGATTTGTGTCATCTTTCCTGTCTGATACACGCCTTATTGGTGTCTGTGGAGAGACCGCGCTATCGAACGCCAAAACCTCGGTCATCACAATGATACAGGTGTATGAGTACTACATCTCCCACAACCTGACCAAGGCATTCGAAAGTCTGTTTGGTTCCGTCACCTGCTTGCCCGGTTGTTTCACTATGTATCGCATCCGCTCGGCAGAATCCGGCAAACCCCTGTTCGTCAGCAAGGAAGTGGTCGATGCCTACTCGGAGATTCGCGTGGACACGCTTCACATGAAGAACCTGCTGCACCTGGGCGAGGATCGTTACTTGACGACGCTACTCCTGAAGCATCACCCGAAGTTCAAGACCAAATACATCTTCCGGTCTCATGCCTGGACAGTGGCACCCGAAAGCTTTGCGGTCTTCCTCTCCCAGCGCCGCCGATGGATCAATTCTACTGTTCACAACCTGATCGAGCTAATCCCGCTGCAACAGCTGTGTGGCTTCTGCTGCTTCAGTATGCGGTTCATCGTGTTTGTTGACCTTCTCAGTACCATCATCCAGCCAGTCACCGTGGCATACATCATTTACTTGATTGTATGGCTGGTGCGAGACACCTCGGTGATCCCATACACGGCGTTCATTCTTCTGGGTGCGATTTATGGTCTGCAGGCGATCATCTTCATTATCCGTCGAAAGTGGGAAATGGTTGGTTGGATGATCATTTACATTCTCGCCATCCCCGTTTTCTCGCTTGCGCTTCCACTCTACTCGTTCTGGAACATGGACGACTTCACCTGGGGCAACACGCGTGTCATCACCGGAGAGAAGGGCCGCAAGGTTGTTATCTCCGACGAAGGCAAATTCGACCCGGCTTCGATCCCCAAGAAGCGCTGGGAAGAATACCAGATGGAGCTCTGGGATGCGCAGACCTCGCGCGACGACCGCTCCGAGCTCTCGGGCTATTCGTACGGAACCAAATCTCATGCCTTCCCGCAGTCCGAGTATGGCTTCCCCGGCTCTCGTCCCGCCTCGCAGCTGGACCTGCCACTGCTCGGTGCTGGCTCTCGTCTTTCCTTGGCTCCGTCAGAGATGATGAGTCGCCACATGGATATGGACATGGGCATGGAGGACTTTTCTCATCTGCCTGCCGACGACGCCATCCTCGCTGAGATCCGTGAGATCCTGCGCACGGCCGACTTGATGAACGTCACGAAGAAGAGCATCAAGCAGGAGCTTGAGCGCCGCTTTGGTGTGAATCTTGATGCCAAGCGGCCATACATCAATTCTGGTATGTTTACTTTCCCGTTTCCGCTTGTGATGTAGAAAAGAATCCCGGCTAACCTTGTTTTCTTTTTATAGCCACTGAGGCTGTCCTCTCGGGCCTGCTCTAGACTGGCTGATGACAGTTTACATTTATTTACATCGTAATAGTTGAAATCTGGAAGGATTGGGGGATTGGGGGATTGGTGTTTATTCCTGCTACTTGTGTTATTATCCCTTTTATTTTTCATTTCTGTCGAGCGACTTTTGCATGGATGGAAGCCTTTTCAGCGTGGTCTTTTTGCCTTGGACTTTTTTTCCGGAATTTGTTGATCCTGTCTCAAAATCTGCTGGTCTTTTCAGTAGCGTTGCATTCAATCGCATAATCCGCAGAGTCTACCTCTCTGGTGTTTCGCCTGAACTATGGATATAATGCGCCAGGCATAGGATAGCTGGTGGTAGGATTCAGGTTTTCACAAGATGTCCATCTCAAGTTATGTACTTGAATGGCTGCATATATAAAACGTGCGAGTATGATCCTAATTGTGGCTGCCACTCATAAATGAGTATTCTGCGGACAGGAAACAATCTATAATCCGAACCGAGACTATCTCGAGAAGCATCAATGTTTAGACACCTACATTCACTGATATAAATCCATCACCCTGACACCCACAGAGACCACTGACAGCCCGCCATGCCGAGTGGGGTATGCAGATCCTATCAAATCGTATCTGCATTCCATTCCATATATACAAGCTGCGATCCCCGCACCGGCACTATCTGTCTCAGTCTATATCTCTCCAAGGACCAAGAACCAAGAACCAAGAACCATCCTTCGAATCAAAGACACCCTCACAATGTCCGACCCGACCACCCAACCCCAACCCCCAGCCCCAAACTCCACTACAACCGACCAACAAACAAAAGAAGCCCACGCCGCCTTCACCGCAACCCTCCACTCCGTCGGCGCCAACCTCGAAGCCCCACTCCGCGACCGCGCAACAACCATCCAGAGCAACGCCGCCGCCCTCGAGCGCCAGGAGACCGAGCTGGCCGAGACCACGCAGCGGCTGGCGCGCCAGAACCAGCAGTGGACGGGGCTGGCGGATGAGACGCGCGATGGGCTCAAGGAGATTGGGGACGTGCAGAATTGGGCGGAGATGATTGAGCGGGATTTGTTGGTTTTGGAGGAGATGATGGGTGATGTGGAGGGTCAGGAGAGTGAGTCTGTGAATGGGGATGTGGGCGTGGATGCAGATGCAGATGGTGAAAGGAGGAGGGTCGAGGAAGAAGTAGAAGGTGATTCTGGGGACGGGAGGATCCCGCAGAATGGGGATTTGGGTTTGGATGGTGGTCATCACGATGCGAAGGATTCTAAGGTCAAGGCGGAGAATGGGACTCGGTCGTGGTTCCGCTGGTGGTGACTGGCATCATATGATCTTAGTATAGTTGTGTGGTTGTGTTTGTGTATATCGAGGTCAATCGTTGCTGGTTTCATCCATCGTCCTCGTCTTCGCCTTCTTCTTCCATGTACTCCTTCCATACCCCCAAGCCCCCTCCCCAGGGGTCTCCCATTCATCCCACTCATCCCACTGCCCAAGACTCATCAGATGCCGCATCGTCGGTCGACCATGCGGACAGTTCCAGGGCTTATCGATAGTCCCCATATTGCGGACCACGCGCTCCATTTGCCGCGCCGTCAGCGTCTTTCCCACCATAATACTCGAGCGACAGGCGCGCATAGCGAACATCTTGCGCACTTTGCTGGGACGCGGCACCGAGGACTCGCTGGTGACAGCAGACTCCGACAGCAACACGATCAGCTCCTCCAGATCCCGCGAACCAAAAACTACTTCCTTGCTGAGCGGCAACGAGACGAGCTGGCAGCGGCGGCCGATGGGTTCGTCGCCGCTTTCGTCGACGGTAACGATAAAACCGTTCTTTTCTAGCGCGGGGCGGTTTTCGAGCACGATCTCCTCTTCCACGGCCGTGAGGTCGAGACGCTGCGGGCGGACCAGTCGCTGGTTCTGGACCACGGTTTCGGCTTGGAGACGCTCAAAGTTAAATTTCTCGTCGGAGGCGTGTTGATCGATGATGAACAGCTCGTCGTGGTCCTCTGCGGGCCGGACAGCCAGGATGAATCCCAGGTTGAATTGCCCGGCGATGCGCATCTGCGCGAAATCGGTCTTGCTAACTGTTAGGGACAGTCGGTCCTCGGGGGTTTTGTCATTGAAATCGGCTTCTTCCGGTCCAGACGATGGCCCATGGGGCTGCAGACAGTCTTGCAACTTTGTCATTTGCGACTGTAGCCGTGAAAGGGATCCATCAATTGTGCTCACAAGTTGCACGGTGGTATCACGGTGGGTGGTACCCTTGTTAATTTTGTTTGCGCGGCTGGTGTTAAGCTCTTGGGGAAGCATGGCTGTTTCTTCGGCGTCGTGGATGAGCTGTTGCACCCTGGCCTCTTCTTGAGCCTTTTTATCGGCTTCATCGACGCCGCTTTCATCTGCGATAAGTACCCTCTCTTCCTCGTTGGCTTCCTGGTCTTTGTCAATTGCCGGTGGGTCAGACGAGCCCTGTTCTTCGGGAACGTAATCCATATCCTCGGATGGAGGAGCGGAACTCGCTTCGCCCTCATCCTCATCCTCGTCTTCTACGTCGTCATTTTGATCAACCTCATCTGCAGAGCCATCGTCTGCTTCTTCATATTCGTCTTCTTCCTCGTGTTCCTCGGGCGGCTGCGACCCGGGAGCCGCAAAAGCCTTCATATGTTTGCCGAATATATTAGGCCGCGATGGTGTATGGATTTTTCGTTTCCGTTGCGGCGGTTCCCTAGTAGACGGCGACGCGTCAAATGCTCGCTTGCGCGGTAGACCGCTGCCGACCATGGAAGTAACCGTGCGATTCCCGATGGTGATAGTCGCCATCTCAGCCGGGACACGTCGTGGGCGCATTCTATCGAACGCGTTCTGGACCACATTTGGAGTTTCATCGAGGTCCTCGTGCTGACGAGTGGGTGGTTGTTCCTCTTCTGAGGACTGTGATGAGGGTTCTTGGGAGATATCAGGCTCCGGATCGTCCTCTTCCAGAGCCTCTGGTGGCTCGTCAAGATCCTCTTGGTGTTCATAATCGGCAGATGGGGCTTCTGGCTCAGGTTCAGCAGGGGCCGTGGCGGGAGATGGCTTCGGTGCTCGACTGGGTGTTTTTGTGACCGTGAGAGGAGAAGATGGAGCATCGGCTTGGTTCGTGTGGTCATCTTGCGAGCTCATAAAACGCTTCATTCTGCCTTGAGCGCTTTGAATGCTGGTTTGCGGCTCATCCTCTACCGACTCATCCTCGTCCTGACCTTGACTTGACTTTGTAGGAGTTTCGGACGCAGGTTGATTGACCTGCCGAGCAGTCGAAACCCCCGGTAATGAACCGAGAGCCTGCTGTTTAACAGCCGACGGCTTGGACCCGAGAACCTGGGACTGCGGGACCGTCTGATCCGCCGCCTCGAAAAGCTGCGCAAGAGACGTCTTGAGCGACTCAATCAACGCGGCGGCATCATGAAGCAGGATCGAGCGCTTATCCGGCGAGACATTAACATCGTAGGCATTTGTGTCCATCTGGAAATCAGCAAAGATAAATGGCGACTGCGACACATTAAACGACTTATAAACTTCGTTAAAGGCCTTGGCAATCTGCGGCAGCCCACAAGGGCGCGAGTTCACAAAGAACATTTGACGATCTGGAGTCTGGCGTCCTTCGCCAAACACCGGCCGCGAGATATGGCCGCGCAGCTGGATATGGTTGAGCTGCTCCCCATTCGTTGCCGCAGCACGCCTCGTCGCTGCCGACGGTTCAAACTCCAGCTCAAGATCGAGCGGAATCAGCGCTGACAGCGTCTTGGCCCCGTAGACGTTCGCAATATTCTCCTTGGTGGTGCGATTGGCGTTGGTTGAGAACACCACCACATTCCGTGTCTTGCCCACCGCGTTGCGCACGCTGAACCGTACCCCACTGCTAATGCACGCGTAGGCATGGAGCAAATTCAACACCTTCCCATATTCCCGCTTGATATTCTTCTCCAGCTCTCGTCGACGCACAGGGAGTCGCTTGAAGATCCCCTCCACCGACGCGGTAGTCCCCTTCTGCCCGGCCACAATCTGCGTCTTGCCGAGTTTCCCGGACTGTTCAAAGTCGAGACGGTTCGCGCGCGGGACCTGCTGAGCTTGGGCTGTGACGATGTGGAAATCGGCGAGGGCGCACAGCGAGGATAGCGCCTCGCCTCGGAAGCCGAAGGTGTTGAGGCGCGAGAGGTCATCGAACGAGGATAATTTGGAGGTATAATGTTTTAATGCTGGACGATGAATCATTCCACTGTCAGCTTATCGCTGTTACAATCCCACAAATATATAAGCGGAGGGTACGGCACCAATGTTCGCATAGTTATCCGGCGCAATCCCGCCGCCATTATCCTGCACCTCGATTAAATCCAGCCCATTGTTCTTGAACCGGACCTCTGCAGGAAAACTCCAGAGTTAGAGAATAACACACCAAACCACTGAAAATGCACCATGTGCACTGGCAGTTGCTCACCAATCGACGTGGCGCCGGCATCGAGACTGTTCTCAACCAGCTCTTTGGCGACGGAGCACAGGTCGACGATGACCTGACCCGACTGGATTTGATGGACCTGAAGAAAGAAAAATCAGAGAGAGCTCAAACACAACACCAGCGCTTTTGAAGCATACCGATCGGGCCTCGATGGCCTGGATGGTCGCCATGGTTTCATGAGAGAGCGCGTTGCACTTTACGCGTGAGTGCCAAGCTCCACGCGCTCCGGAGCTGTGGAGGTGCCGACTCAGCCATGTGCGTCATCTCTAGATTTCTCTTCGCAATAGTTCCAGCATTTCTAATTCCTTTCCATGATCGTATCAGGCTGAATCTTTGATGCGGTATATTATAAAGCTATGACGAATGAATCTTCGGTCCAAAAATAACTGGTCTTCAAGCTAAATTGAACAAATTGAACATTCGAATGCTGGTGCTATCACTACTGCAATATACCCAAAAAGACACAGAAACCACCGTGGAAATACGGATCGCTTGGAACGCCTCAAAGCCCAGTCTCAACATTCTAGTAAACGCCGAAGCGATCTGGCAGAAGAACGGGTGCAACCAGCGTCCACAAATAGATCGCATAGCACACCCACGCGCTGACGATCTTCACCCAGCTGGCCCAGTAAGTGCGGCCTACCGGAGCAAAGTCCATGGTGGACTCGACCTGCAAGCCTTGAGCCAGCAAAGTTGCCACCCAGGTCGTGGCGAGGAAGAAAATAACGTGGAAGAGCGAGTAGTTGTACTGCGTCGAGACGCGTTCGTCGTCCTTGTTGCTGTTCTCAAACTCTTCTTCGTCATCGCTCTCATCCAGGGCACTAGCCGGCAAACTCCCGCTCTCAACCGCGGCCCGGAGAGCCTCGGCGCGCATTTCCCGGCGACTGTTGGGCTGTTGGGTGATGAGGCCGTGCTCGTTGTCCTCCGTGCCCAGCGCAGCGTAGTTGTGACCACCCTTGGATCCCAATGCGATTCCCTGAGTAGCAGCGCGCGTGGTCGTGTACGCGATGGTCGCCATGGTCACAATGGCACCCAGGACGATAGTGACGGTTCGGGTTCCCCGCGAGCGGATCAGCGGGTTGCAGTTGTTGTCATCGGGCTCCATCGAAACGGCGGACAAGGTGAGGTACGTGCAGTAGACGGTGACCATCGCAGCCTGGGCCAGACCCGCCCGAGTATTGGATTCTTGGACCGCCGGCTGAACGGACACGAACGAAATGATGAGGAAGACGATGAGGTTAATCTAGAAGGTGTTAGTTCAGCACACGAGATTTAAACCGCACCAAAACATACCGTGATCGCGGCTTGGTTCATGGAGCACCCGCTCTTCGCGAAGAAAATGTACATCAGGATTGTCATGACGAGCGACGCCAGGTACATGCCGAGGGTGGAGCCAATAAGCAGGCCACGCCACAAACGGGAGTCGCTGTCCTCAATCTTTTGCAGGCACAACTCGGCCCACGAGTGCGCAAGGTCCACCAATAGAATCAGACCCAAAAGCAAAAAGAGCATGGCGCTGAAGAAAGCGATGTAGTTGCCGTAGACGAAGAAGAAAGGCTCGGGGATGAAGAATGACATGACCACAAAGGCCACCCAGAGAACGACCTTGGGGCCCCAGAAACCATTCTGAATCGCCGCGCGGCTATCTTTGGAGGTTTTGACACCGAGAAGGAGGAGCGCAAGGATCAGATGAAAGAGACCGAGGCCAAAGTTGATGCGGTGGACCGCCACCCATCCATGGCATTCTTTCCCATCGCACCGAATCTCCATGTAGTCTAGTGTCAAGTGTTGCAACTTCTTGAGTGCCCATGGGGTGAGCATGATCCAGGATATAATCGAGTTGATCAAGAGAATGAACGCATAAGCGATCCGTGTCGCCATACTGTGGCGAGTGTTAGTTCGGAGTCGGTCGCACTTGAAGATCAGGGGATTTACCTGTTCTGGAATTTCCCACAAGCACTGCAGACAGCAGAGCATGTTGCAGCACCACAGCATGATGTTCCGACGGTTACGAGCTGTTCCGGGAGGCGATCGCATCAGCCGTCTGCTCGATATCGTTCAACTGGGGGAGGGGCAACATACTGTACCAACACTCGGTACCGCCATCAACGGTAGAGATAGGAGGGCACCCATAATTGGGGGTGTTTAAAGGGCAGAGACTCAGTGTTGTTGTGACTCGAATGCGATGAGGAGACGAGTGGAGAAGCCAGCGGAGATGATCGCGGTCGCCTTCGTCATGTCACGTGGGTTGTATTATGTCAGCTGGCATGTGGGCAAAAGCGGCGCTCCCTATTTGCCTAATGCGTCCGAGCACCTCCTTACAATGCGATCATATTCTTCTCTTTCATCCTACATAGCCTCATTATCAGCATAAGAAGTCTAATGGATTTATGCACCCGAGCTTTATGATCGGCTGACGCACATCTACCCATGCCCACGGCACTCACTCCTCCCTAGTGTGGGGTACTTGACACACACTCGGGACAACTAACTCACAGATCACGATCTGTAGCCCATTCAGCTGTACATCACTACTCGATATATTTATTTGACTATATGACCATTGTCATCTCATGTGGCTCAATGGTTTGCTCTCGGTAGGCTCTTAGCCTGTGCGCGAAGTTTAATAAGAGGGGATCCATTGGAGAGTCTTTCAGCCAAATTGCCCTCAGGGTAGATATGAGATCAGGGAACATTGACATTATATGGATTTGAATAGATTGAATAGCAACAGCCAGCACGTACCTCATCATATTAAACCTGACTGGGGCACATAGGCGCGGTCAAGGTATCTATCTACCTGGTTTAAAAAATAGCCCAGAGCATATCTCAACATTATTTTTGAATTTGCCAAGGCATCGAAGTACGAGTATAGAACGGGATAAAACAGGATTTGTGGCGGTAGATGCGGCCACTGCCTTGGTAGATGTGATTAAATTCCTTGATGCGTGGTTTTCGCTATAGCCTATAAGAATGAATCTCTGTTTCTAGGGTTGTGGTACAAAAACATGTCGATATATTTAAACTGGACTGGAAGAACAAGAAACACCAGAGAATAAGCATAACGAGGTAACCAGCACACATGCTGAAGACTAAGATTGTGGCCTGAATTGTGGCCTAGATTGTGCCTGGTTAACTAGTTAGTTAAGCCAGATTATGCCTGATGATCCAGGCCACCATGCAGCCTCGCTTTCTAGGACTCAACTTTGCCGAGCGCCTACATCGGCAATCGGAAAGACGAGAAAAAAAGGGCAGAAAAAAAGTAGAAAAAAGCAGAAGAACAACTGGCATTCTCCAGAAACTGTTGGGGATGCAGACTCCATCACATGTAAATTCCCACCCCCTCCAAGGTGGGGCGAATATCCACAATGGCGACAGTCTTCCTGCTGGACTGCGATGCCTATCGCAGTTATGAAGTCCCTGTATACCAACAGTGTAGTCATGGCCATGACTGATAGAAATCGTCAGCCACCCCTCGCGTGTGCTCAGATCGTCAATATCTGCAGGAACACTTGCATAGTCACGGTCATGGCGAAGGGGGGGAGAGAGAGATCCAAAGAATCAAGTCCCCGGTAAGACGACCTTGGGAGATGAACTCTTACTAGACAGCATGAAGTATAGCTCCAACGTTTAGTCTCCATCCTGTTTTGCCCTTCTTTTTTTTTCCTTTCGAACGTTCGCGAAGCGCGGCTCTTCTATTTTATTTTATTTTATTTTATTTTCTTCTTTCTTCTTTTTTTTACAGCTTCATTCTTTGATCTATTTTCTCTCTGTTAGACTCTTCCACTGGCAAGTCCTGGAAAGTCGCACCACTGACACCGTGGTGAGCTCCAATGACCCAACGATTTCTGTCATTGCATTCTTAAAAGATATACCCTCGTTACCTCGCGCAAAATGGTCATCGATATTAGCAAAGATCTCTCGGCACTCTTCAAGCAACAGGTGCAGGCCACACCGAATGGTGTTGCATTGGAGGACGTCACCACCACCTACACCTATGCCGAGTTAGATAAAGAAGTCGACACTCTTGCGACTCGACTGCGATCATATGGAGTGAGTCGGGATATTCAGGTCGGAGTGCTCCTGCCGCGCAGCGCACATTACGTGATTGCGTGCTTGGCCGCTCTTCGGGCCGGGGGCGCTTTTCTCGTTCTCGAACTGGCATACCCTGCCGATTTATTGGCCGACGTCCTCGAGGATGCCAAACCTGCTGTCGTGATCACCCACCGGGCTGAAGCCGATAAGATCAAGGCCAATCTTCCGTTGATCGCACTGGACGAACCAGCCGCCGATGTGAATGGTCACGCCAAAGAGCCTGCTCCACTGCCAGCCGAGGATGACTTGGACCGGCTGGCTTTTGTGTCTTATTCGTCAGGAACGACAGGCAAACCCAAGGGCATTGCCAACCCACACCGTGCGCCTGTGCTCTCATATAATCTGAGATTTGCGGTGCAAGACCTCCAGCCGGGGGACCGCGTGGCCTGCAATGTGTTCTTTATCTGGGAGATCCTGCGGCCGCTGTTGCGCGGTGCCACCGTTGTCGCTGTGCCCGACGAAGCGAGCTATGATCCGGCTGCATTGGTGGACCTGCTTGCCGCCAAGCGGATCACTGAAACGCTCATGACACCCACCCTCTTGGCTATTGTTCTCGCTCGCTACCCGCAGATTGCGACTCGTCTTCCGGACCTGCGAACGCTTTGGCTCAATGGCGAAGTTGTGACAACGGATCTCGCCCGTCGGGCCATCAAGGCTCTCTCCAATACCCGCCTGCTCAACTGCTACAGTGCCTGCGAGACCCATGAGATTGCGTGCGGAGATATCCGCGCGATGATCGACCCCGAGTCTGTTTACTGTCCAGTAGGTCCGCCACTGGATCCTCGCCACACGTATATTCTGGACGAGGAGGGACAGGAGGTCGAGATTGGGACATCGGGAGAGCTTTTTATCGGAGGTTCTCTGCTGGCTCGAGAATACCTCAATCTCCCCGAGGCTACTGCCAAGGCCTTTACGCCGAACAAGTTCGATTCGACTCCCGGGGCTCTGATGTACCGAACTGGTGATCTGGCACGGAAGCTGCCTTCAGGACTCCTCGAGATCACAGGTCGAGTGGGTGGCATGATCAAACTCCGGGGCTATTCCGTCGTGCCGGCCAAAGTGGAAAGTGCCATTTGCCAGTATCTGGCTGTCAGACACTGCGCAGTGACTGCCCATGGCGAGGGCCTGGAACGACAACTGGTCGCGTACATTGTCGTTGACAAGGAGGCTTCTGGTGATCGCCCGCTGGTTGAAGTCAACGAGTCAGGACATAGCCCGGCCGCGCGCCGTATCATCGAGCCATATCTGGCCCACTACATGATTCCGGCGCTGTGGGTTTCATTGGAGGAATTGCCTACTAACGAGGTATCCGGCAAGGTGGACCTTAAGAGCCTTCCTGTGCCTCGCAGCCCTAGCCCGAGTGACAGCGAGCAGAATGCGAAAAAGGACCCGATTGGCATCTCCGATATTGCAGCGATTTGGGCCACCGTGCTGCGAACGTCTAAGACCCTGCTGAAGCCCGAAGATAACTTTTTTGACTTGGGAGGACACTCATTGTCGCTGGCCGAGTTATCGTCGAAGCTCACAAGACATTTCGGCTTCCGTGTGCCGATTCCTCGCCTAGCAGAAAATACCACACTGACAGGCCATCTGGACACTGTGCGTGCCGTCAGAGATGGACACACTGCAGCTGTGCAAGCTGATCTGCCGGCCGTTTTGCTTGCTGATTCCACCCTGGATGATGATATCAAGCCGTCAAACACCACAATCACCTCCGTCACATCTGCCAATACAGTACTTTTGACCGGTGTGACCGGCTTCCTTGGTGCTTTCCTATTGAGTGATTTATTAGAAAACACATCCGCTCATATTGTTTGTCTTGTGCGTTTCAAGGACCCAGAAGACGATGACCAAGCTGGAGGAGTGGCTCGCATTCGCAGGAACCTCTTGGACCTGGGACTCTGGCGCGACTCGGTCATGGAGCGGGTCGAGGTCGTCCCAGGAAACCTTTCTCGACCTCTATTTGGTCTATCACCTGAAACATTCGATGACCTCGCAGCTCGTGTCGACGTGATCGTGCATGCTGCCGCCACGGTCAACCTTGTTTACCCCTACGCTGCGCTGCGGGGACCCAATGTTGGTGGAACTCGCGAAGTTCTTCGCCTGGCGTCGAAGGGCGGCGCGACAGTACAGTACGTGTCTACCAACGGTGTTTTGCCAGCATCGGATGAGAAAGGCTGGCCCGAGAGTGCCATGCTGGGCATCGAGGACGTTCCTACAAAGTTGCTGGATGGGTATGGCCAAACCAAGTGGGTCGCTGAGCAGCTCGTCCTCAAGGCCGGTCAACGTGGGCTGCCAGTAAAGATCCACCGCTGCGGCACCATCAGCGGCCACAGCACCACGGGCTCAGCCAATGCGTGGGATCTCCTCACTGCATTGCTGGTCGAGTCGATCAAGCTTGGCTACGCCCCAGATGTCGAGGGCTGGCGTGCAGAGATGACCCCGGTGGACTTTGTCAGTAAATCCATCGTCCACCTTGCCACTCAGACTCAGACCGACCAAACGGTGTTCCATCTCGGCGATCCCGACCCGGTCAATACTCGATCTGTCTTTGAGAACCTGAAAGAACTTGGCTATCCCACCCAGCTTCTCCCATGGGATGAGTGGGTGGCTCTTTGGTTTGAAAAGAGAGGTTCGACCAAGGGTGGCGATGGTGCATTCACTGTCGACATTCTTCGCAGTGGCATGCCGACTGTAGAGTTTCTTCGGGGTATCGTGGTCCTCGATAACTCCTTGACCAGGCCTGTCAGGGCGGTCATCGAGCGACCCAAGGTGGATACTATTTTGCTGGAAACCTACACTCGGCATTGGTTTGCTCGAGGATGGCTCTCCCGGCCTCCATCTAGCAAGCATGCTCTCAATCGCTCCTCCAATCCCACTCCAAGACGCCCTCTTAGCGGACAAGTGGCTGTGGTTACGGGTGCTTCATCCGGTATTGGTGCATCGGTAGCAACCGCCCTGGCCAGCAAGGGCTGCGCAGTAGCGCTCGGCGCTCGGCGCCAGGATGCTTTGGAATCCGTCAAGCGCAAGGTTGAAGCTCACGGTGTCAAGTGCATCATCCGATCAACGGACGTCACAAGCAAGTCTCAGGCTGAAGCCCTCGTGAAGGCCGCCAGCGAGGAGCTGGGCCCGGTTGACATTCTGGTTGCATGCGCCGGCGTGATGTATTTCACGCTAATGGCTAACACACAAACCGACGAGTGGGAGCGCACCGTCGACGTCAACTGCAAGGGCCTGTTGAACGCCCTGTCATCCACTGTACCAGGCATGCTCTCCCGCAGCCACGGCCACGTCGTCGCCATTTCCTCCGACGCCGGCCGCAAGGTCTTCCCAGGATTGGGCGTGTACTCGGCCAGCAAATTCTTCGTCGAGGCTACCCTCCAAGCTCTCCGTTTGGAAACCGCCGGAACGGGCTTGCGCGTGACGAGCATCCAGCCCGGTAATACCTCCACTGACCTGCTGGGCATGTCCACAGATACCGAAGCCGTTGAGAAATTCGGGGGTGCATCTGGTGCCAAGATCCTTGATCCGTCAGATGTGGCTAACTCGATTGTCCATGCTCTGTGCCAGCCGGAACATGTTTCTGTCAATGAGATTCTGGTTGAGCCTCGCGATGAGCCGATTTAGGGACCTGTTTGACGTACTGACCTTGATTTGGATGCTGGCTTGCTTTGGTATCATGTTTTTCCAAGCTATCACTGTGATAGGGATTGCAATTGCTTTGGATGGTATGGGATTACATAGACATTTTGATTTTGGGGCCTTCTATGTAGGCGTTTGATACAATGGAATGAATGATATTCCGATAGTTTTTGGTATTATTTACAGAAACTAGTTAAAAGGAGGTCTCAAAAAGCCTTATTCATTAGGCGCTCGCAGAAGTATTCAATTGGGGCCCTATTGCTATGCCCTGCTGCCTTGGTTTCCGAAATAGGAAGTCACCCCCCTCAAGTCAATATTTACTCGCTCGCTTCACCATTTCTCTTTCGTATTTCATCCTCCTGTATCTCTCCCTTCATCTGTTTCTTTCGTGAGACTTTCTTTTTTCTTCTCATCTTCTCTCTTTCTTTTTTTCAAGAAAAATACGTCCTCCCCCCACAGGCCGCCGCCAAGATGCCTGGCCGAAAGGGCAAGAAGGGGAAGAATCCCATAAGTGACACTTTCACTTCGAAACCCAAGCCCAAATCATCCAAAATCGCAATCCCCATCTTCCAATCACACAAAGCGCTGCTGCTGCGTGGTGTCGACATGAATCACACCTCCCTCTCCCTGCACGTTGGCACGATCCCTGGTCCGCTAACCTCTCTAGCTCCTGGAGCTACTTGGCCGTAAATGTCCTCTTGATGTCACCACACGCAGCAGCCTAGATGGTCATGTCAAGCCTTGCTGGTGGTCTAATCACTTGACTCGTCTCAAGTCTCAACACCCATTCATGGACTCTTTACATGCTGTATCAGCACAGATTGATCCTGAGATGGTCGACTCCGATATTCCCATCAAGACAAAGAGACACGAGTCGCGTTTGCCCCGAAGCTGTCTACCTGAGACTGTCGTGGCGAATTATCTGTTTCATTCCATCATGACTTACCCTGGTTACAAACACAAGCACTCTCTGTGTTCATGGTACTTCGGCCATGAATCAAGGAACGCTAACATTATGTAGCCTCCCGCCAGTTTCCTGGAGACGCTGGCGGCTCTGAACTACGAGACCGCGAGGCTCGTCGCCGGTGCCGCCGCCGCTCCCGCTCCCGCCGCCCCATGGGTTGCGCCGTGACGAGTCGCGTAAGTTCTATCGTCAAGTTTTGATGCGAATACCAATCCAAAAATTGTGTCTCTGCAACACCCATGAAGAATTCAATCTGTTCCTGGCTGAATTGCGGGTTGCAACATGTCACTTTCGCTTGGGGACATCGGGAGCTATTCAAAATCTGCTCAGTGATCCAGGTCATCGAGGATGCTAATTTGATCTGCTGGCAGGACCCCTCACTCCGAAGAGTAAGCAGATCCCCAACCTTGGAACCCTTCCAAGGTTGTCCACCACTACGCTTCAAAAGACACGTCCCTCTCGAATGGCTCCGCAACACCCAGCCCAGACCATCTCAGAGACAGCCCCCAAGCCTATCTGCTACATCGATTTGCTACAGGGCGTTTCGTGAAATGAAGTTATAATGCTAACAATAAGCAGAGGTCGCCCCGGGCATTAGTACCCCCGTCAACCCCCCTGCCACCGGCCCTGACGAGGCTAATGCCTCGGAAACGACTGGTAAGCTCTGCTTTGAAGCCTCCCCTAGTGCAAGCCGTGTCTATAGATCATTATAGAATACTAACGATTAGTAGGGGATGGCGCTGCCAGGGACCCCCCTCTCTCCTTCCGGCGAGGCTGATGCCTCAAAGACCTTCGGTAAGTCCTCGCCTGGATTTTTCCTCCAATAAATACCACACGGTGCAAGCCGGTGGAAATTCCAGGGGTGAATCTGGCTGCGGCTCGGGCATCTCACGGACACCCCCCGGCTGTATTCGCTTAGCAGATTAGCAGAGATACTGATGATTCGGAAGCAGATCTCCCGCCCGCCACGGCCTGGACCCCTGAGGACGTCCCCCAGCTGGGAGATAAGCAAAGTGGTTGAAGTTTCTTTATGTTTAAATGTTAAAATTGCCATAGTGTAGATCGGGTTCCGTTCTTACTACTACTATCATCATTTCTCTAATACTTTTAATCTCTGTTTTCCTACCTTATTTTCTAATCCTCTTTTTAATCTCTATTCACGCCCTCTTCTTTTGACTTTTACTGATTAGCTGAAGCAAGGCTACGTCGGCGTTTAGAAGCTCGAATTGGGGAAATGTTTCGCTACTGCGGTCACATATTCTTATGTTATAAAATGCTTACGAAAATAGATACTCTTTACTATTTTTGATATTCTTTTATTCCGTTCTTTTGCTTTTGATATAATTTACATTTTTTAACTACTTTTTTACTTGTTTCCTCCCTCCTCTTTCTCTTTGTTTCTTCTACCTCTCCCTCCCACCAAGAAGACGATCTAATAAACACCCGGGAAGATCCTCCAAGGAACAGCCTTCTTGTACTTCTCCCAATCCTCTCCATATTTCTCCGAACACGCCTCGCAGTCGCGTCTCTCCCGATGAAGAAGCAAAGCAGCAAAATAGACGGCATAGAGATACGTATAGCCAACCCCCCAGCCCCGAGCTGCTCCCTGCACCACCACCCGACCATCACCCATCTGCACGACTGCATCCGAGGCAGCAGCACTATCAGCAGCAAGAATCACATACCCAGCCCAGCCCGTCGGCAAACTAAACGGCACGGCCTGCAACCAATCACCAAAATAGTTGATATGCCGCGCCAGACCCCACCAGCCACCAGTCAGCAATCTGGTTCCTCGTCTAGTCTGCAAGTAGGGCAGGTCAACGACACTGTGGTGCTGGGGCGACGTGCGAAAGGTGTTTCTCTGGGAGTTGGATGCCCGGAAGATATACAGTCCAACAGCGAAAACCACCCCAACCAGTATCGTCCCTGTCCATCCCAAATGCACCGGGTAGACAGCCAGATACCGGCACTGCGTCGAATACAGAAAAGGTACCCAGGCAATATCCCCGAACGTGAGCATGAACCCCAGCCCGTCCGTCGCAATGTCAATCATGCCGACGATGCCGGGCTCGGCGAACTGGCCCTCCAGCACGTAGTAGGCTTGGACCGCGGCGACGAAGACAATGCTGTCGGAGATGTAGCCGTGCAGTCGGTATTGCTTTGCCACGAAGGCGAGGTCGAGGAACAACCAGCCTGTGAGGCCCGGCCGCATCATTAGTGCTGCTTTGATGTCCACTTCGCCGAGTAGTGGAAGCGTAATCCGTGGGTTGAGTTCGCGCCCCATCCACCAGTCGTAGATTAGATTTCCTGTGCAGCCTCCGCGCGCGAGCTCTCGTAACTCGCTGTTTCCTGGCTTGATGCTGAAACTGCGGATGTATAGAGAGATGGAGATTGCGTAGGCGAGTAGGATGTTGGCTGTCAGGATCTGCAGGTAGTTCCTGTCGATGTATGTCCACAGAGGGAAACCTGCGCCGTAGTGATAGGTTCCAATGACGCAGGGGATCAGTTGGGCGAGAGTGGTGGAGAATGCTTCCAAAGATGAGCGGGTTGTAATCAACATAAAGTTAATGGGGCAGATAGTCCTTACCATTAAATCGGTATTTCAGAGGACGGCCGGATTCACGTAACTTGGTCCCCAACACCTCCTGCGCAGGAAGTATTCGGTGAAGGAGCAGGTTGAGGAAATAATAAGCTAGCACCCAGCTGGTGGCTTCCCAGCTAGCCAAGCCCTTCAACCCATTCTCGGGCCATGGGATCTGAGCTTTCAACGTTTCCAGAGAGATAGTCCTTAACTCGAGCAGGGCTGGTGCCGGGCAGCCCGACTTGTCATTGCAGGTGAAGAACAAAAAGTAAAGGAGCAGTGGGAGACAGGTAGCAAGGAGAAAGGTGCCAGGACTGGTAGCAGAGAGAATATTATTAGAACCACCAAGATCAATAGGAAATTTTGAATTTTTGGTATAAACTCACGGCCCCTCGATGTGATATCCGGGTTTGGTTGACATTTTTTTGCCCAAGCAAATAAAATTAAAAAAGCAGAAAACGCAGTCTCGAAATTGAAGATCTTTTCAATATCTGGGAAAAAGAGAGCAAATACATATGCCTATATCCCATCATTATCAAGCTGCCTAGTATCCATGGATGTTGCTTCTACATGGGCCGATTCGGATAGAGAGCTTCCGGCTAATGATATTAATAATAAAGGTCAGACACAAGTTATTAACTTTTGCATTCCATTGGTTCGGTAGTTGGGATTGCCTAAGCTAAGAATGGAATTTGGTCGGTCTTTTTGTATCCTTGCACTGCCTTGCACTATGGCTTTCATACTAAATGGCCTTAAGCACCTGGTATTCCTCACTGGATGAAGGTGGGGCTAGCCATAAATAGACTGGTTTAGGGTCAGAACCCAGCTAACAGGCTACGCAACTCCCAATAATTGCTCAAGCATATATCGTTTGTTGAGTTTTTAACTGCCTACATGACATCCATCTATGTAGTAATTAGCCTAGATTTTTTTAAAGAGGAGTAAATATTCTCTCTATAGATTCCCTTCTAAAAGCAATAGGAAATATATAAATACCTATACTAGAAAAAATAATAAAATATTAAGGTATAAGGAATAGATATTAGAAAAAAGATTAGAAAAAGATGAAAAGATAAATATAAAATTATGTTAACCAAAGAGTTGAGAAGAAAAACACTAGTGAAATAATAACAGTAGTAATAAAATAGCTATCTATATAAATTATCTTCTCATCCCTATAGTCACATATACGTTTTGAGTGAGTTCCCCCCCCCCCCCCCCCCCCCTCAGTCGATATATAAATTGACTCTCAACCATCTCTCTTTTGTATATCTTCCCACATCTTCCTCCTTACCCTCGCAACTCTCGACTACAAAGTGGTCAGGTCTAACAAGCGTAAGTCATGTTTTCCATTCTTCAATCTTGATACGGATACCTATCTAGAATGCTAATACGCTGACAGGACCTCTCGGCTCGAAGAGTAAGCAAACTCCCACCCCAAGAAACACCGCCCCCTGCATTGATACTTACAATGAGCAGAGGGAAATGATGCCCAGGTCAACCCCCGGTCCCCGACCCAGGCCCTGACGAGACTAATGCCTCGGGAACAACAGGTAAGCTCTTTTTTGACGCCTCCCCTAGTGCAACGCGTCTCTTTAGATCGGCATGGGATACTAACGATTAGTAGGGGATAATGCCGCCCGGGAGTCATGCCCCCCCTTTCTCTCTCCGGCGAGGCTCATGCCTCGAAGACTTCTGGTAAGTCTTCTGAATCATTCTTTATAATAACCCTATTCGAGCTAAAAGCAGATAGCACACCCGCCCCATGAGTGGCCAACTGGCCACCCCCCGGCACTTCGGCGAGCGCCAGATCCGGGCCGACGAGGCGGCCTGCCAGCAGGGAGAAAAGAAATGGTTCGGTATTTTTCATGTTCAAATGATACGATATAGATCTTTTTTTTGCTCTCTGGGCAGTTCCTTCTACTACAATGAATGTCGTTCACGATTAACTGTTCTGATTTCGTAACAATATTCTTTTTCTTTGTACTGTTACCTGCATACTTCAAGCATAAATTGTGCACCTCTTCTATCTAACGCCGCTCGTGATGTGTCCACGGGCATAGCCTGTGAACAGTGCTCTCAAATATATGGCAATGCTATCAAGTCAATCCGCAAGCAAGCAAGAAAATAAAAACATATTCTTTCTTATGTAACCCAGAATATAGCAATTATCCCGAATGCACGCCAGCACGCGAGTCTACAGGCAAGTCAGCATGGACGGAACGCCTCTCCCTCCCAACAGGCTGACTGATGATGTAGCGAATGAAGGGTTCCACCGGCGCTGTATCTTCGACCTCGAAGCTCCAGAGTTGGGAGTACTGTAGAGAAATTCGCTTCCCTTCAACAACAACTTCGATAATTCTGCCATGCTGTCTGCCCACGCATTGTAAGAATTGAATTACTTCTCAGCATGAGATCAATGGATATCTTGTACGGGCACTTACTGTGTATATGGGATACTTTCGGCGGCGCGTGCTACAGGCTCGAATAACAATCATTCTCATGATAGCTCTCATCTCATGTAAAGTGAGATGCTGATCTGTGACCGTCGCATCAACGCAGGCAACAATATTACAAATGGCATGTGGCAGAGGTGAAGTTTCATGATGTTCTTCTGTAAACATCCCTTCTTTCCAGTCCAACGGCCATGCTTCGTACGTGGCAGGGCCGTGCTTTCTCTCGGGCCTAACAAGAAGTTAGCGTCACCACTCATCCATATATACATGACCCAGGTAGGGTGTGCTCATAAATTACGTACACAAGCTTCTGCAAGCCCGCGATATCTGAAAGACAGAAGATTGAGGGTCCACCCTCTCGAAGCGAATCAAGCTCGTAGTCGAGATGGCCCCAGCTCCAGCGGAAACGATCTTCATCCCGGTAATGAAATCTTTCAAGTCTCTCCTTGAACAACTTCTGAGCTGCTCCAAGGGGATCTTCTGCGGCAGGAGGGTTCGCTTGTATCGTGTCCATGGCATCTTGAAGTGTGGGAATACAGTGAAGCCGACGAATATCCTAATCATTCTTTGCAGAATCGATCGGATATTTCTCAAGAACTCGCTCCGGGTGGGGCTCAAAGAAACGAGGCTCGAAATGCAGAAGGCCATCATCTGTGAAGTCTACCTGAGATGCTTGTATACCAAAGGTCCGTAAGTCGGGGGGTGAGAGATAGATAGATTTGCATTTTTCAATTTGGAGCCGTTTAGCCCAGAGAGTTCTTCGAATCTTTTGTCTCCTTATAACCATTTCGACAAGAGGGGTAATGCAGGAGAAAGAGATAATATAGCACTGACCGAGTTAACTCTGGTCAGGCGGAGTTGATGGGGAATTGGTAGAGCAAGGCTTATTGTGATCCTGAAATAGATGTACGTGGTTAGTCCAGGGTGAAGTGGGTTATAGGGGGATTATACAAAATACTATGCGCTATTTGAATACTTGGCCGAGCTGGAAATGGAAAGATAGTGGAGCCAGCCGTTTTACTAGATAGGATGTGGAGATATCCATGGATCCACGGATTTAAGGATGACAGAGGTACTTAGAAATTAGTTTATCAAACAGAAGTGAGTGATCATGGCTTTTTTTTTTCAATCTATTTGTTATTTCCTATTTTTGGCTCTCCTACATTTCTAACTGAAAACGTCGTCATACTGACAAATACCAAGTTCTGAACTCGTCCATGAATGTATTTCCCTTCTACACTACGCCTAAACCCCCTTCAATATAGTGTTTAGTACTATATGCATGGATAGCTTTAATTAAGCCTGGCAGGGCTGATAGGACACGTGCCATCTTGGCGCCAAGCTCCGCTATCTCCAGTTACGATTACGACGCTTCTGGGGCTCCTGACACGCGACTCTTCTCCTCTTTTATCTCTTCTCTCCGGGCTCATTTTTCCTTCTGTCTCTCTTCTTTCTATGTTTTTCTAACCAGATTCAATGTCCCTGCGCTGGTCAATCTCGTGTTTGCCGACTGAGGACCTTATCACTCGCTCGTTCCGATAAACCGCCTGGCCGAATTGCGCCGTGTCCACCCGTTGACGGTCGACTTGAGGAGGAATATAAAAAAAGGCACTTCGTAGTGAAAATGATTGGCTCTGATAATAGCACTGCACGGATGATCTCCGTCATCGCAGGGACGCTGGTCGCTCTGTCGTGTGGAACCAATGTGCGCGATGTTCCCCGGGGTTTGGCCCCACGCTCGGATGAAGGTTGACACCTGGCTACAGTATGCCTACTCGGCATGGGCACCCCAATTCGCCCACCGCATGAAGCTCTCGTCGACCGAGAGCAATCTGATCGTGGGTCTCGCATTGCTTGAGTGTGGAATGCCGGTTCTGACCATTTCTAGGGGGCCGCGGGAAACCTCGGGATGTATGCGATGGGCATCCCATTGGGTCTGTTGACTGATTCGAAGGGCCCTCGGTTGATGTCGCTGGTCGGCTCGGCCTGTCTGGTGGTGGGCTACTATCCCATTCATTTATGTATGTCTTTGACTCGGCTATTCTGTTCGACTTTCGTTAACATCCTCTGTTTTCAGCGTATGCGAGTGGTCCGGGATCCGTCCCAGTTGTTTTTTTGTGCTTCTTTACTTTCCTTACGGGTACCGGCGGTTGCGCTGCCTTTACTGGCGCTATCAAGACAGGTATGTTCAGCCAGCTCCGATTATGCGCCAGTCCCTGACTTATCTGTTTTAATCAGCCGCCTCCAATTACCCTAACCACCGCGGCACAGCAACTGCATTTCCTCTGGCTGCTCTTGGGCTCAGCGCCATGTTCTGGTCTACTATCTCCACCCTCATTTTCAAAGAGGACACCGGCAATTTCCTGCTGCTACTCGCCCTTGGCACCTCTATCCTGTGTCTCGTTTCAATGCCCTTCCTCCGGATCTTCGAAGTCGAGTCCTATACGTCGGTATCACACGGAGACTCACGCCGTCCAACCGAATCGAGAAGAATGCGCCGACCGACAGATGCATCTGCATCGGAGAGTTTCCAGGAACCAGACGTGCATAGCTCAAGGGCTTTTCTGAGTGAGCACACAACTCATGCGCGGTCCCACTCGCGGTCCCTCTCTGCTTCGAACACCCGTGCCTCAACCCAACGCGCCCGAGGCTACAGCAATGACTTGAACGAAAGTTCATCGTTAGTCTCCAAAAACTCCAAACACGAGCCGCGATCGTCTATCGATAGCTCGGACGACGATTTCCTCCCCGATGTCACTGTCGAGCAGTCGCAACCCGATATCAGAGGTATGGCCATGCTTCGGACGGTAGAGTTCTGGCAGCTGTTCATGACTATGGTGCTCCTGTCTGGCATTGGATTGATGACTATCAAGTATGTTTTATGCCTTACGCCAGTATGGATCTAGGTGCTAACAATATCTGCAGTAACATTGGCAACAGCGTAAGAAGGTCTCTCGAGTATCCCTGATTTCATGCTAATCCCGACCAGGCCAAGGCACTATGGCAGTTTTACAACGACAGGACCACCCCTAAGTTTATCCAACAGCGACAAGTGATGCACGTCTCGGTACTTTCATTCGGCAATTTCCTCGGGCGTCTCTCAAGTGGTATGCAGACCCTCGATATGTTCCAGTGTATAATACAGTCACTCACTTTAGCCTTGTGTGTCTAGGTATTGGCTCCGACTTTCTTGTCAAGGAGCTTGAGCTGTCCCGATTCTGGTGCCTCTTCACCTCGGCCGTGATTTTTACCCTGACCCAACTTGCCGGAGCTTCCATTTCCGACCCCAACAACCTCGTGGCCGTTTCTTCTTTCACCGGACTGGCCTACGGCTTCCTGTTCGGCGTTTTCCCTTCGCTGACAGCACACACCTTCGGGATCAACGGTCTGTCTCAGAACTGGGGTGTCATGACCCTGGCCCCTGTTCTGAGTTCCAACGTCTTTAATCTCCTGTACGGCGCCATCTACGACCACCATTCCGTTGTTGGAAGAGATGGGGACCGTCAGTGTCGCCAAGGACTGAGCTGCTACCGCTCGGCATACTATTTCACCTTCTTCTCCGGGCTTGCCGGTCTCGGGGTTTGTATGTGGAGTATCATTCGGGAGAGGCGCAATCAGTCTCAGGGGAAGAAGCCAAGCTACCGGGTTGCGTGAAACCCTCGGGAACTTTCTCTAAGATTTTCCTGTCCCTTCTCGAGTGCATTCCATGCTCGATTTTGTTGGTTGCTCGGCTGGTGTCGACGATATACACACGATGCATAGATATAGACTTGGTTTTGCATCTGTCTTTCTTTTGGGTTCTTCTTTCTTGCGGTTTGCTCGTACTAGATTCCATTCTGTTTGGTGGTTTATTTATTGTACATATCCGGTGTTTTTACAACAGTAATCGTCGTGCTTGATCTATATTGAAAGAGCCATATTCTTTTCCACATTAAAAGCATCTCATACAAGCAGCTGACTTGTGTACTTGCTAGCATGGTTACCACGCTATCCCGCTAAGCCTCTTCTACAAGACCCCTTGTCCACGCCGACCGGTCGACAATATTCTTTCGGTGACAAGTTCTGAGTGGGAGAACTCGGGCACGGTAATTGGTTTTTTTTTTTTTTTTCCTCGAGTGGATAAGGTACATAGTACAGGAGAACAGTCATTGATATGAAGGCCCATTTTTTGCCATCTAGCTGGATTCTAAGATATATCGTTGAAAATTACAACTAGATAGCGATAGCTGTGCCCTCGAGTCACCCTATACCTGTCGGTTTAGGTGCTCCGCAGACCAGCAATCATCATTTGCATTCCAACAATAATGTACCTTTGACTGATCAACCATATCAAAGGTACATTGAATGAGTGTCGCCTATCCCCCGCAGATCAAATAAAAGATATTGAAATCATATAAATTCTAAATACATCACCCGTAAAAATGTACAACCAAAATAAAAATAAAGACAAGAAAAGAAACGAAAGAAAAAAGACTATATATAATTCGACGTCCGACTAATTTCCACCCCAACCTTAATCCCCTCAAACCCCGGTGACGGCAACGCCTCATCCTTCGAAGTGAGCTCCACAGTGCCCGGCAGATTCCGGCTACCACCCCACTTGAACGACTTGTAGGAGGTCGTCGAGATGGGATCGGAAGTGTGGCGACCAGAAGAGAACTGCGTGATCTGCGAGCTGAGCACGCGCTTGCAAGCGCGGAAGAAGGGCGGGGAGGCGGGTAGGCAGGCGGCGCTGAGGACGAAGTCGTTTTCGATGCTGCTCCACATGACGAAGCGGATGCAGGCGTCTATTATATATTGGTTAGTATTGTGGTTGATGTAGGAACAAGAGAGAATAAGAGGGAGGTGGGAAAAAAAATAAAACATACATAGAATGTCGAACGTGCTGTTTGCGTCGCTGATTAGGATGTTGCAGTATAGCTTGACTATGGCGAATGCGAAGGATCTATATTATTTGTTAGTTATGTGTCTTGACTGTCTGGAGACAAATAGATCCAGAGAATATAGCTGGCGATACTCACGCAACACCCAGACTCATCAATGCCATGGCACTGATCTTGTTCTCAACGGGCATCTGCAAATTCCAGATCACGATGATGGGGTAGATAGTAAACGCCAGATCCGCGAAGGCAGAGAACCCTAAAATGATCAGCATCAGATATATCCAGAGACACAGAAAGTATCGGGCAAGAAAGACAGTTAAATCCTCCACGAAGAACACATACCCGTGGTAGTAGAAGCAAGCACCAACTGAATCTTTGGATTCCAGCACCGCACATCCGGATGAGCAAAAGGATTCCACTGTCCCGCCACCGGATGACACTGCTTAAAGGAAACAATGATAACACAAATAGCCAGGATACTCAGCACTATGCAGAACGTCAGGATTGCCGCGCGCAGCCAGCGTTGCGGCCGGAACAGGCGGCAGATGAGGATCCCCACGCCCAGCTTGGGCAGGGCAATGGTCAGGTAGGACCAGGCGGAGGTGAAGAGGGCCCAGAAGGCGGCGGAGGCGATGAGGGCGGGCACGTCGGGGGCGGAGATGACTTTGTGGGTTGTGTTGAGGGTGGTTTGGAGGAAGGAGGCGCGGCAGATATTGAGCATCTATACTTGGATGTTAGTGCTGCATATTCCATGGCGATAGTTGAAGATTGTTTCCTACCCATGATATTGTTATCACCAGGTCATCCCAGCCGAGAGCTTCCCTATGTAGACGCAGCCGTGAAAAGGTGCGCATGAAGAATAGGATCGTCGAGATAGCCGTGAAGGTCCATGTTGCGGCGGCGGCATCGTGCGCGAGTTGGCCCAAATCCGAAGAGCTCGTCATTCTGTCGCGAAAGGCAGAAGAACCGCAGAATAAAGAAAAAAAGATTAACGATTAAACGACACTCATCATAGCAAAGACAAGAAGGAAAGGAAAGAACAGAATAAACGAAGCGGAGACACGATCCGAGCAGGTCCGTTCATTATATTAGGGTTGGCATCATGGTCCATCCCCCTCAAAAGATGGGGCACGGTGCTAGTGATCCTTCGACGAACTGTACAAACGGGACAACCCAATCGGGGGTTCAATGGGGGCCAACATCCTGCTGGCCCCGATATACGGGAAACGACCATGACTTTTTGTGGTGGGGGCTGAAAGTCTGACGGAGTCAGAGATTCCTTTAGCACACGAGGCTGGAGGATGACAGAGATATTATTTGGGAAGATCTTCCTGTTACTACGTGGTACAAGATTCACCGTACCAGTGAGTAGTACTCTCTAGTTTCATTCCTTCTAGTTCATCCGTCCTGTTAGTGTGCCCGTAAACAGCCGTAGATCATCAACAACGTGGCCGCGGATCGACATGAAAATTGGGATTACCGGGACTAAACCCACCGTATGAGTGCTACTGTGGAAACCGGGTTATGAAAATCAACGGGCCGAAAATAATCGTTCTATCGTCAAAACGTGGTCCTAAAGTCAATTGAATTCTAGCCCTATACAAAGCATCAAATCTTGGGACCCACCCCCTGTTCCACGCGACAAATCTTGGTTTTTTCTTAACATAAACCCCCGATGCAGTGAGCTGCATGGTAAAGCTTGGCGATGCAATCACTGCTGGTGCATACATCCAAAGACAAGGCTGCATAGTCCCAGCTATATTTCATGGAATCATGGAACAGTGTGTCAAGAAAATAAGGATGTGTACAGTACATAGACTGGGTCGGGAAAAACGGGATTATCTCGGTTGAACTTTTTTTCTTTTCAATTCTTGGATGCGATCCACATCTCACCACAATTGACGGACCACTCGGAGTATGGACATCAAAGGCCGGCTTACCGATATGAGAGATAATCCTTGGATGGATGTTACCTCTGACCTGACTGGACTTTATGCACGCAACATGCACATTTACACAATCAAGTCTAGCTTATAAAGACATCTACCTCATTGGCTGTGTTTCTATCAAGGCAACATTAGATCAACATCCACCTCGGCCATTTCTATATTGCGACAAGCGGACCCTATACGACCAACAGAACAAAGGTCCAGAAATAACTCCATACTGAATCTTTTTAAGGCAATCAGAGCCTCGTGTTCGGCAAAGAAAAGTAGTATTAGAAGCATATTGAAGAGTCCGTACACACCCGTGGACATACACGGCGAGAATCAAATTAGAAAAAAAAAAAAAAAAAAAGACAAAAAGAGTACTCGAACACAGCGTCGGTCAACAAAAACACAGAAAGATATTAGAATCAACCAATTATTGAGCTTTTTTTCTTCTTTCGAGTTCCAGCCACCAATGACGAAAGAATCGTGAAGGGTATCAAAAAGACTGGGAGAGATCCGAAGGCAACCGTCGAACAAACAGAGCGGAGTCGGCAGAACCTAAGCGCTGGGCGATTTGATCTGCGGCTCCTCTTCCGACTGTTCCACCACGTCCGCCAGGCGGATCTTCTTCGCTTGCGGCTCACCCGAGCTCTCGTGATCGCCGGAGCCCAACTGGCGCTCAAGATCGCCCACACGTCGTTTGAGATCCTCTTCGCGACGCTGGGATTCCTCGAGCGACCGGCGCAGACGGACCTCCGAGTCCCGGACGATCATCTCGGATCGACGCGCACTGGCGTCACTCTGTTCGAGTTCTGCGACGCGACCGCGGAACAGCTCATTGACAAACTCCAGTTCACTCACGCGTGTCTTCAGAGAGGAGTTGAGGGCCAGGATGCTTTCGTAGGTCTGGGGGGAGTCGGGTTGGCGGTCGGCTGCGGAGGGAGAGGATTGCCGCAGCTGAAGAGAGGGGAGGCTGCCGGAAGAGTTCAAGGTGTTGTCGCCCAAAGTGACGCTGTCGAACATGTGCTGTGGCGCGATATTCGAGTTATGCGAGTGCATCGCCGCGAGGCCCGGCGTCTCCGTCCGGGACAAGGGGGAGTTGGACCGATCCGAATGGCCCGGGGACATCTTACGCGACGCGCGACGGTATCCTTGTGAGCCAAGGGGAGGAGTCCCTGCCTCTGATCGTGAAGCTGCCAGGCCATTGGTGTCGATAGGTCCTCCGGACTAGCCGAGCGCGACGGGTCAGTACAGGCAAATCTCTTATCGGGCGACGTGGAGGGAAGAGAAAAAATTTTGGTGTCGCGAACTAACCTTCCGTTTGGGGCCCTGGCCGGTCTTGACGCGGTTGCGACTCTTGATCACATCGGTTTTCAGGCTTATCGGACGAGGACGACCGTGGAGCTTGAGGAATAAACCGCAGGCGTTGCAGAGAACAGACCCGAGTTCGTCGCGGCGCCACAGGGGAGTAGTCGAGGTGCCGCAGTTTTGGCAGACAGGCTGTAATTGAGTACGCTTGTCGTCAGCCAGTGTGGTCGCCATGATGATGAAGGGCGAAGGTGATAATGGGATGGGAGGATGATAAGATTGAGATTTGAGTCGATAAGGAATTTGAGAAGTGCACGGATCGGGTGGTGCCAAGACCCCCCAGCCCGCGATAACCTCGCAGATAAGTGATAAGCCAACTCACCGGATTATTGCCTTGCCCTGCTGTCGTCGCCGCCGGTGATGAGGTCGTGTACGTCATATTGGCCATGCTCATGGCATTGCTGGATGCGCTGGGGGGTTATCAGCTCAATCGTCCTTCTTTTTCCCCGTTTCTCTTTCACTTTCCCTTCTCCTATCCCTGGAAGTCGCGTTGCCTGGAACGAGATATCCTCGAGATACCCCAGTGACACGCTCCTCTTCTCCATCTTCATGGTGTAGATTAACATACCGTAGATTAGATGTAGGGGCCGAGGCAACTGACGCGAGTGCCGCTAATCCGGGGAGGGAGCTGGTCACGGTGGTCGAATTAGGGAGGCTATCGCGGTCCAATTCTTTGCGTTTTCCCAAACTACTCAATTCTGGTAACGTAGCGAATCGTGACACACTGGCTTCGGTGGAAGATTGCGGAGGGGATATGTTGGTAGACGAGGCGTCGTAGCGGGAGAGATCGCGGTTCTGGGGCGAGGGAGGTTGGAGAGCCGGGTCGATGGGCGACGCCCGGTAGAGGATGGAAGCCACCGTGGAGGGAGAATGCGAGGAATCAATCGAAATTCGGCCGCAGACCGAATTGAAAGGACCGACGAGTGTCGCAGGGCCAGGTTGGACAAATTGCACAAAAACAGATCAAGCAATGGAACAAGAAGAAGAAAAAAAAAAGACCCGAAGTGTCGCCAGCGAGAAGAGCCTGATGAACAGACTAAAAAAAACTAAATGAGCGACAGGCGCGAGATGAAAATGAACGACTCGAAGTGAACGTGGGTCGCGAGGGATGAAGAGACTTGCAATCTTATCCTGAATATTATCGCGAAATTATCACTTATCGCGCCCCATACACAACTTACCAGGTTGGCATGTTTCTGCTGCCGGAATGTCTCTGGTCCTGCCTCGTCGGTTAATGTTTGTTCGAGGGGCTATTTTGGGGTGTAGAATATTGTTGGATATTATTTGATACTATTCTATACTATTCCACGTCCAACTGAGTAGGTTTCCTTGGTTGAGGGTCAATTGGATTTGATCTAGGAAATCTATATATGTTTAATGGATACCTATGGATCATATATCGTGGCAATTCTTTGACAATTATGATATGATTACAATGACTTCAGTATCATCACTTATATTTATTTAGCACCACATCCTCCATCTCATAGTTGATACGTGACCCCCTTTTATGCGCGTTTAGGGGGTGGAGCCGATGTGTGGCGGTGCGTCTTGGAATTACCAGAGACACGTCGGTCACCATCGATGCCGCCATACAAAGTTGTCACCGCCTCTGTAACTGCCGTGTCACCGTACCAAGTGCCCCCTGCCTAGAATATTAAGGTAGATTTGCCTTCCTTCTCTCTCCATTTGGCCTTCTCTCTGCTCCCGTAATGCATTGAATTTTCGTGTCCTTCGTTTGATCTTATTTATTTTATTCTATTCTCCTTCCTTTGTCTTGGCCTGTTTTGCCTATAGATTTCTCTGTGATCCACCATGCCAAAAAATCGCCCTGCCACCTCGGGCTACGCTCGTCTCGCCCAAGAAGAGGAAGAGCGAGCCTACCTACACGATGATTCCGACGAAGATGACGAACTTGGCGCCGCGTCCTCGACGGTATCTACCTCGGCCCCTCGTTACGCCCCCATTTCCTCCCGAGCCCAGATGCAGGCGTCCGGTCTCGCCACGCCTCCCGGGCATCGGCGCAGACACAGCGGGTTTCATTATCGACGAGGCCGTCAGAACTCGGGGGTCGACATAAAGGCCATCAATGCGCGTCTGGAACGGTGGGCTGAGGAGATTGCCGCCAAGTTCAAGCTCAACCGGGTCAAGGGCAAAACATACGAAGAGGAAAAATTGGAGATCTATCACTCGGTCTTCCAGCCACCCGATGGCGTTCGCCCCGTATCCGCGGAAACTCTCGAGTCTGACGAGTTCGAGGGCGAGCAGCGGAGAGCGCGAGCCGAGTTCGAAGAGATCATCGAGAGTGTTCGCGTGGCAATTGAACTCGACGTGCATCCCCGAATGATCTCGCAGGGCAGTTCAGGTAGCTATTTTGCCCGGAACACCGAAGGAAAGGTCGTGGGTGTGTTCAAACCCAAGGATGAGGAACCCTATGCATCGCGAAACCCTAAATGGACCAAGTGGATTCATCGCAATCTGTTCCCCTGCTTCTTCGGGCGAGCGTGTCTCATTCCCAACCTGTCCTACGTGTCTGAAGCTGCCGCATATGTCCTCGACGCCCGTCTCCACACGAATCTCGTCCCCTATACCGATATCGTGTGGCTGTCATCGAAATCCTTCTTCTATGATTTCTGGGACCGCAGGAAGGCGTGGAAAGGAAAGAAGTCGCTACCCCACAAGGCAGGCAGTTTCCAAGTCTTTCTCAAAGGGTATCGAGATGCCAATATCTTCCTTCGCGAGCATCCGTGGCCCGACCAGGCCAACAATGGCTTTCGCACCGAGGATGCCCCGAAGCGCAAGAAGCGACCTTGGAACGAGGCTTGTCGTCCTTCCGGGGTGCAATCCGACGACGAGGACGACGAGGACAACGTTTATATGCCCTCGCCGAATCCGCGCGACGAAAGCGCCGAGCGACGGTTCCACTGGACAGAGAATCTCAAGCTGTCGTTCCGCGAGGAGTTGGAGAAGCTCGTCATTCTCGACTATATCATGCGCAACACGGATCGCGGTCTGGATAACTGGATGATCAAGATCGACTGGGGCACCGAGCAAGTCTCCATTGTGGCGGACCCTCCCAAGGCCAACGAGACTCAACCGAAGCACGACGAGGACGAACTTATGCCCCCTCCTCGACCGGTGTCGGTGAACTCTAATGGAACAAACAGCTCATCCCTTCCCTACAAGCGACATGAAACTATGATGGCTGTCAGTCGCACCGGCACTCCTTTAGACTCGAATGAACAAAAAGCATCAGTTCAAATCGGTGCCATCGACAATAGTCTTTCATGGCCTTGGAAACACCCGGATGCCGTAAGTTTGATTCGTCCCAAATTTTGATGGCCTCATACTAATACATTGTAGTGGCGCAGCTTTCCCTTCGGCTGGCTTTTCTTGCCAGTGTCTTTGATCGGACAACCTTTCACGCAGAAGACTCGCGATCATTTCCTTCCTCTCTTGACGTCAACTGCTTGGTGGAGCGGCACACAAACATCTTTGCGCCGGGTTTTCTCACAGGATGACGACTTCAAGGAGAGCATGTTCGCACGTCAAATCGCGGTCATGAAGGGCCAGGCGTGGAACGTGGTCGAGACGTTGAAGCACCCAGATCATGGTCCCCTTGAACTGACTCGACGGACTCGAGTTTGCGTGTGGGACGACCTGGTGGACGTTCCGGTTGCCATCCCCATGCGGGCGCCTTCGTCAGACCGGCAACGGCAACAAACAATGAATTACGATCCCGAAAATGAGGAGATGGATATTAGTGCGGCTGTCTCTGCTCAGCGGAATGCAGAGGGCGAGGGCGATCTCTTGGAACCTGACTCTACACCGAGCGAACTTCCCAACCCGAACCGATTCGAACTTTCACGTGGTCACACCACCGGAGAGAACAATCAAACCGAGACCTTGATCGGTACTCCGAAGACTGACGGACGCCCTCGTCGCCCGACTATGCATGGATCGCATGGCAGGTCTCTTGATGGGTGGCCGTCGCTGCCCCCTCGTCCCACCAAACACCGCAAGAATGGCGGCTCCCTGTCGTTCCGCATCCCCCATGTCAACACTTTCGGCAGTGATGATCTTGAAGGCGATCTTGGATATGCGGCTGCCGAGGGCATGGAAGGTAACCAGCGCAAGGTGATCGTCGAACGACTGGAGGCCGTCAAGAGCAAAAACCCCGTTTTCACATGGTGCTGAGGTTCGAATGCCTCGCCCTACCTCGTTTTTCCCTGTTTTTTATTCTCTCATCTCGCCTTTTCGACTGTTCTGTTTCCTCTATTTCAGCCCACAGCTGTTATTTTCCAGCGTTTCTTTGAGGGGCATTTTGCAGGAGTCCTTCGGACACGATAGGAACCCCAGTGTTGTATATAGACCTTTTTTCGGGCTGTTCGGGCGCAATGATTGAGCGGACTGCCTCATGTAGCATATATGACGAGACCTAATTCTATGATACCTGCATCGTCTGCCAGTTGTGCCAAATTGTGTAAATTGGAGAATGCCGCAGCTTTCTACCTTGACTAGATGCACTTACCCTAGGAAGATAAGCGGTCTTATCGGCGGGCGGTTCCGAACAGGCTGCTCCTCGCGTGTGAGGTCATGCTCATCTTCTGTCGCCGACTTTTGTCATCTTCCTTCGTTCAAACCCAAGGACAGCGACGGAGCTGACTGTCCAGCTCTCACTTGAATCTCTTCCATTCCTCAAATGCCACCCGACGCCCTGCGAATCCCGCGCCCGGAACGCGCCCCTCGTTCCTCAGGTCACCTGCCCCATCTCTCATGAACCTCGAAACCTCGGTGTCTCGCTTTGCGCCTCGCTCTTTACTTCTGGATCAACCTGACCCAGCATATATAATCTTCGCTCGACCACCTCTCAGTCATCATGGCGTCCCACGCCGCGATGCTTTTGGACCCGAAGGCCTCCCAGAAACGGGCTCGAAGCAACGGTAATCATATCAACTCGTCCTCCCCCGATCCCAGCGATCTGGATTCCATGGCGACCAGTGCATCCCTCGGTGAGGTGGAAACAGCCTCGAAGCCCTCTTCCCCTCCCACGTCCCCCCCGTCCCCCTATGGATCCCATCCCACTTGACTCGGTCGACTCCCCGGGCTCACTTCTTCCAGGCAGACCGCAGACTCCGAACGGGATCTCTCGCAACCCTGCCCCTCCTATGGCGCCTTCAGGTACAGTCCTTGCTGCGCGCGCTCTCGGCACCGCCACCCGCGACTCTTCCCCGAGACTATCCTCGACGACCTCGAGTCCGGCACCGAACGACCTTACTCCGATCGACTCCGACCTGGCCGTACAATTCACCAGCGTGCATGACGACGGAAATGAGAGTGATGCCAAGCGCAGTTTCTACGATATCAGCGACGGCGAAGACGTCGTACACTCCGGCAGTTTGATCGAAGGTGTCTATGGAGTGGAACAGCGCCGGAATCAGCCTTCCAAGAGGGTCAGGACGGCAGACGAGACCTTGGCGACGACAAATAAACCAGTCACTATCTCTGGCAATACTGGACTGCGGAAGTGGATGAAAGAGGGAGAGACAACCCCCGCCCCAACCCCCGCCGCATCCGACATTGTGGATTTGACAATGGGTATGGCCCTTGTGCAGGATGCCGGACTCCCCCTGCCCCGTTTTGGTATATACTGACTGTCTTGCAGATATCCCGAACACACCCAAGGACGACGATGACTTGCAAGTCACAGGGTCAAATAACCTCAGCACCCAACGAGTCTGCTACGGCAAAATTGAGGGCGCAACGATAAACGCCAGTTTGGTACCCAAGCCACAGGCAAATCCTCTTTTCGGTGACTTCTCGCATGACTGGCCATCAATGAAACTTGAAGTCCAGCGCCAGAGTGGCCAAGAGAATAGTCGCATCGATGTGGCCGATCCTTCTAGCAAAATCTTCGGCGTGGTGGATGGGAAGACAGCGCAGGCGCTGTGTCCTTTGCTGGATTCGCCAGTCCTGCCGCTGGATATCACAGCGCGGTTGGACATGCGAAGGAAGGCCCCAGGGGAAGTTGTCTGGGGTCCTACCTCGGGCGTTTATCGTGTCTCTGTCAATCTTTATGGTCAGCGCCAGCACGCCGGAGTCGTCGGCAGATACTTAGGCCAGCATAATGTCTGGCTGGCGACTCCAAACTCCGTGGAACAAGGCATTCCCGTCTTCAATCCCCACGCTGAGAGGCGACGCGCTTTGGCCGCCGCGGCGGCTGCTAACAATGTCATGCGGGATAAGCAGGGACAGAACATCAGGACTGAAGTCCGGACTGCGGAGGAGGTCAATGATGCGGTCATGAAGATGTTCGATCAGCTCGTCACTGCAGATATCCCAACCATGGATGCGTCGCCGTCTGTGAAAACGCCCCTTCTGCCACACCAGAAACAGGCTCTCTGGTTCATGACAGAGAAGGAAAAGCCTCGCAAATTTGGGCCCAAAGAAGAGGACAACAATTCCCTGTGGCGGATTGACTATCGGGCCAACGGGAGACAACAGTATCGGGAAATCATTACTGGTATTGTGCTTGACGAAGAGCCACCGCAGTCATACGGTGGTCTCCTGGCCGACATGATGGGCCTAGGAAAGACTCTGAGTATATTGTCCTTGGTCACGGCCTCGCTCGATGAATCTGAAGAATGGCAAAATACGATGCCGCATCCAACACTCGTCCGCCAGATCCCCGGAATTCGCAACACCCGAACAACTTTCTTGGTTGTCCCGTTGAGCGCGGTCAACAATTGGATCTCCCAAATCAAGGAGCATCTTGACCCGCAATCTATCACATACTATGTTTTCCATGGGCCCTCGCGCACGACGAATGTCGATGAACTGTCCAACTATGATCTTGTCATCACGACCTACAGCACAGTTCTGAGCGAGATCTCCGGCAGGGGCTCCAAACGTGGGGCCAGCCCATTGGCAAAAATGAACATGTTCCGCATCGTGCTGGATGAAGCTCATACTATCCGGGAACAAAATGCCGCTCAGACTAAGGCTATCCTGGGTCTCCACTCCCAACGACGCTGGTCGGTAACTGGAACCCCCATCCAGAACCGGTTGGAAGATCTTTTGTCTGTGACGAAATTCCTTGGGCTGTTCCCCTACAATGACCGGACCCGGTTCACTCATCACATCCTGAGCCCATTCAAGACCGGGGACCCCAGTGTTCTTGCGAGCCTCCGGGTGCTGGTGGACTCGTTTACACTGCGACGTGTCAAGGACAAGATCGATCTGCCACCACGTGCCGATAAAATCGTCACACTGAGCTTCTCCGAGAAGGAAGAACACCTGCATGAGTTCTTCCGTAGCGAGTCCATGGTCATGATGCGCGTTATTGCAGGCGAGACCAAGACCAAGATGGGCGGCCGCATGTACCACCACGTTTTGAAAGCCATGATGATTCTGCGACAGGTCAGCGCGCACGGCAAAGACCTTCTTGATGTCGAGGACCGGGAGAGGGTCAAGGGATTGAGCGTGCACGATGCTATCGATCTTGAAGAGGGCGCTGCCGAGGACACAGCAGCGGCTACAGACCGAAAGGCATACGGCATGTTCTTGCTGATGCAGGAGTCGTCGGGCGACCAGTGCGCCATGTGCAACAAACGCTTGGAAGAGCCAATCAGCGAGGCCGTGGCCGTGGATCGCAAAGCGCCAATGGCGATCTTTTTGCCTTGCTATGATGTTATGTGCCCTGACTGCTTCTCGGCATTGAAGCCGGTCTTTGACTCGCAGTCTCAAACGGAAGTCAACTGCCAAGTCTGTGACGGATGGATCCCCGCAAAGTATTCGACCATCACCCCGGCCGGCCTTGAAGAGTATATCGCGCAAGAACAACAGTCCCGAAAGCAGGGCAAGCAGTTCGGCGACTACGAGGGCCCGCATACGAAGACTATCACTCTGGTAAATAACCTGAAAGAGATTGCCGCCGAAAGCGAGCAGCTCCACGGCGAGCCCCCGATCAAGAGTGTGGTCTTTTCCGCATGGACCTCACACCTGGACCTGATTGAGCGAGCTCTGCGCGACCAAGGCCTGAACGGATTCACTCGCCTGGACGGGTCCATGTCTCTTGCGGCCCGCGGCAAGGCCCTCGATATCTTCGCCCAAGATCCCTCCATCACCATCCTCCTCGCCACCATCGGCGCCGGCGGTGTCGGTCTCAACCTCACTGCTGCGTCGCGGGTGTTCGTCATGGAGCCGCAATATAACCCGGCCGCTGTCGCCCAGGCTGTTGATCGTGTCCACCGACTCGGTCAGAAACGGCCCGTCGAGACGATCCAGTTTATCATGAAGGGCAGCATCGAGGAGAAGATTCTCGATCTGGCCAAGAAGAAGCAGCAGCTTGCTGATATGAGCATGAACCGCGGCAAACTGGATAAGAGGGATGTTCAAGAGGCGCGCATGCGGGAATACCGCAGCCTTTTTAAATGATCTCCCTTTCCCCCGCTTCTTCTTTCTCGCCCTCCCTCTCTTTCTCTTTCTTATTATGATATCTCGGTTGCTTATAGACAGACGCCTTGCCTTTCTTATGACCTCTTCATTTTCTGTCTCCACTGATATTTATCACCCTGCGAAGTTTGCGAAATTGCTTTTTTCTTCTGCTCTCTTTCGATTTATTTCTTCGTTTTCTATTTCGTTTCTTAGCCCCGAATGATCTCATGCTCGACTTGGATGATACCCGGAAAGAAAGGTGGCTCATTTTATGGCGTTGATATTATTATTTAAGGTTGTTCCTCTGCTATTTTTTTTATACCAAGTTGTCTTCTATCTTTTCTCTCTTTTTTCTCTTTCTTTTTTTTTTCCCTTTGTACTTGACTACTCTGGTTGGAGAGGCTCATATACACGCATGGCTATATCCTTCTAGAATTCTTGGGCGTTGACAAAAAAACTCGTCTTATTTAGTCTTGTGTTTACCACTATATCTGATAGATTGTCCAGTGTTCAGATGTAATGCTTCATGGAATGATTCTAAATGGCGTGCTCTTGTTTTATCGCTAACACCCATTAGTTTCTTCAAGTCTAACTTGGACGGAGTTGAACCTGCCAACTTGATATATATTTGGCGACATCAGCGTTTCAAGGTCGCCACACGCTATTCACAGTGGCTTTTTTGACGAATTAGCTCATCCAGCCTCGTCGACTTCGTAACCATGGCAAGAGTTAAGCTGTATCTCGCCACCTCAAGCGACCACGTGAATCGGAACAGTTGACATGGTGATTGCCAAATCCATACATCTGCAGGCCCAAAGAAACACCCAACTTGTCGATCAAGTCCAAGATGGCGGAGATCTTGGGTCAATAAGCGTGCTTTTCCTTTTGCGTCGAATCCTGTCTGCTGGTGTTCCCTCGTTTTGTTTTTCACATCGTCCCGGTTCAGCCGGTTCATCGTTGCCACTTCTTTTCCAGCATGACGAGGCATTGACCAGGGTTTTTCCACTGGATTCAAGAAGAGCAAGGAAACATGATATTCCATGCTAGCTTCTGCTTCAGCGAGAGTAGGGCTGCACCACCACGGTAGATGGATATGCATGATGGTTGGGCTTGGACCCACAGATTCGCATATGAATGACACATTAGACCAGGTTAGATCGACGAATCTGGGGCCGTGCGAAGCATCTTTCCGCCAATATCTCTGAGATTGGCATCAAGAGATGCGTATCGACCCAGATATCCTTTTCCATACCGGATCGGGTCATTCAGGCACAGAAACCCGAAATCACTTCTGATACTCGCGCTCCCCATAAACCCCCACAGAAACAGCACCCAACACATTCTCCAGCCTGTCCCTCAATTTTCTCAATTCACGCACTTTACCCGCGCGCTCCTTCTCCACATCCCGCAGCTGGACCTCCAACTCCCGAATACGGGCTTCCTGCTCCGCCTCGGAGGCCCCGATCCCAGGAAGCACAGAGATGAGGTACTCAATCTGCTGCTCCTTGATAATAAGATCGCGCGCCAGCTCACGTTGTCGACTAGCAAACGTGCGCGGCGAGTCCGGCGTCGGAGGCTGGTTGATGTCCTCACCTTCGGGAGCTGCTGTCCCGACGGCTGCGTTGGGTTGTTGGGGAGGTGCGAGAGGGGGCGAGGCTTGTTGCTGGGCGGCGCTGCCTGCTGCTCCGCCTGTCGATGCGGCGATCGAGGCTGGCACCGGGGGCGAGGTGGTGTTTTTGGCTATCTTGGCTAGGGCGGGTGCGGCGTCGGGGACATTGGGTGGGGGTGTTGCGGGGGCGTTGTCGTGGTATGTTGTGAGATACCCCAAAGTCGCATAGAATTGCGTTGCCAGCTGTTTTAAAGGAGATTGTCATGTTAGTTGGTGTTGTTGTGAAGTACCAGCATGAGTTGACTGGGGTGGTGGGCACTTGCTTGGTCCAGGCAGGTCTGGAGCTGGGTGAGGATGTCGGCCATGGTTGGCGACTTGGCGATTGGAATGAAAGTATTGGAATCAATATCAGAAGCCTTGTCAGAGAGGAAGGGTAAGAAGGGGAAAGAGAAGTAAAGGGAATGGCAGCTGTTCGAGTGCGTGGAGTGGGTAGGATAAAGTGAGGAAATGGAGAAGAGACAAAGCTCCGGTGCGGTGAGTAGAGCAGCCCTTGTTCCTTTCAACCCACACCTCGATGCGCCTACTGCGACTCAGCCATGGCCTCGCAGCCGGATTCGCGCCCTCACCACCGGGAATAATTGTTCGCCGAGGTTTTTGCAGCTCGCGCGCCCATCATGACCTCGCCTCCTTCACCCGGCGTTTTTTCAAGCTCCCCTCCACTCCGTCTCCGCCATCGCAACACCATCACGATCTAGCCACATTCCTCTCCTATGCCGAGCGCATTTCCCTAGCAAAAGCAAGCACAGTATTTGTGGGCACACACTACGAATACACAGTTCTCCAGAGTCTACGCCGCTACGCGCTCACTCTCCACCGTGTTGGCGGCCGCGATGATGCCGGCATCGACCTCGTCGGCACCTGGCACCTCCCGGGCCGGGAGCGGGAGCAAGCACTCCGAGTGCTGGTGCAGTGCAAGGCACTGAAGACCAAGCTGGGCCCCAATCTGGTGCGCGAGCTGGAAGGTGCGTTCCGACAGGCGCCTGTCGGGTGGCGCACGGGGCAGACAGTCGGGCTGCTGGTGAGCCCGCGCGAGGCGACCAAGGGAGTCCGCGACGCGATGGCACGCAGCACGTACCCGCTGCTTTGGCTGATGGTTGAGCGCGACGGGACGTTGAAGCAGGCGCTTTGGAATGCACAGACTGAGGAGCTTGGTCTGGTGCCGTTGGGGGTGGAGACGCGGTATGGCGCCGCTGGTGATGATGTTGAGTCTGGCTCGGTAAGCAAGGAAATCACTTTGACCTGGGATGGCAGTGATATTCCCGATATGGATCAGGTCGAGCGCGATCTGGTCCAGCTCGAGGACCGGTGGGTTACTTCGTGGGGCGCAGATCTCGCGGCCGCGGACAAAGGAGAATTGTTGAGTATTGTAGAGAGGGTCCTTCCCGAAACCCATTCTGGCTCATGGCTGGATAGTACAATATCTGATACAGATCGAAGGAAGGTCCTTGAGGCTCTACACAAATGACGCCCTCAACAGATTGTCGATTGATTGCCACAATCCTGAAGACTCTGCAGGCGGCCACTGGGAACAACTGAAGGAAATGCATAATTCATGGAATAGAATCTGTAGAACTCTAAGGGTATAAAAAACCGGCAATCAGAAAGCAATGACCCGGCTTCACCAACCTCCGAACAACGCCAACAAAGATAAACGCCTTGAGAACCAGCTCCCATTATGACTACCCTTGCATCGTGGACCAGAAGTAGTTCGAATAGAAAAATCGGGAGAATTTCGGATCGATGTTGACGACATGAACATCGCCCTTGCGGCTGTTGCGAATGACCGCGCGATTGAAGTTGCCAGCCTCGTCGGGTTCGATGTCAATTCCGAGCGAGCGGAAGATTTTGAGCCGCAGACTAAAACCTCGTATTAGCAGCCATCCAGATAAAGTGCTTCGAACTGTGGGAACGCACATGGTCGCATCATCCATCTCACGTTCGCGCCGTGTCGCCTCGTCGCCCTCCAATCCCTGCGCCTCCAGGTCGGCGAGCCTCTCCTTCAGCATTTCCAGCTCACTTTCCAGACGCTCACTTTCAATCTCCAGCTCGGATGCGGCTTTGGCGATGCGGAATTTCTTGGTGTCTAGTTCGACAATCTCGGCTGCATGCTTGCCGGAATCATGCACTGCCTCTGCTTCCTCGTGTTGGGCGCTCAGGGAGTGCAAGTGGCGCGACAACTTGCGCAGCGAGGACTCGGCCTCGCGAATGCGCAGGTCGCGCGATTGCTGCAGCGTGGAGAGCGAGTCATTGATGCGCGTGACGGCTTGTTTATCGGGGTGGATGTTGAAATTGCCGATGGTGTGGTGGATCAGCTGTGGCTGGGGTCAGCGGACAATATTTCTTTGGATGATCACAAGAAAACTCCAACACCTACCGTGCCAGGGTCCTCGTCGAGCAACATGGTGGGTGGTTGGTAGAGGATGGTGGGATGGAAGTGGTTGTTTGGGGTGTTGCGGGAGCAACAGCCACAGCACCGCCACATGTTGCTCTCCGCGGTGACGTTTGCTTTCCTTCGCAAGCGCCGCGGCTGTCCGTTTTCTTTTCGGTCGAATCATTTGATCTCCCAGTTTCCCCCCTAGACTTCTCTCTCGACTCGATACCCAACCGATTCGTTTTCCGCCATGTCTAATCTTCCCTGTATGTGGCTTGTTTTGTCTGTCGCCTGTTAAGAGATAACTAACGTGGTGTCGCTGTGCCAGATGCCGCAGATGCGGAGAGGTCCGTCCACCCGTGGAATGCCCCTGGTGTCAAGTCAGAGCCTCAGCAACGAACTAACTCGCCTCGCGTGGCTCCAGTCCGCTGAAACCCGCCGAGCTGCAGGTCCTACGGTCACAATACGAGAAGGAGGGTGACTATGTCGGCATCCAAACAAAGTTCAACTACGCATGGGTATGAATCGAGTGCACGGTTTTTGGGGGGGTTCGCTGCCTCATCTGAAGCGCTTGTGCTAACCGGTACTCTCCCCGCCGTTGCGGGACACACTGGGAGATTATAGGGCCTGATCAAATCCAACACTCGCTCTGATCAGCAGGAAGGCGTCCGCCTGCTGTCAGAGATCTTCCGGGGAGCGCCGGAGCGACGACGGGAATGCCTATACTATCTGGCTCTCGGCAACTTCAAGCTAGGCAACTACGGCGAGGCGCGCCGGTACAACGATCTACTGCTGGAGAAAGAGCCGGGCAACCTGCAGGCTGCCAGCCTGGGGTCACTGATCGATGACAAGGTGTCCAAGGAAGGCCTAGTGGGCATTGCCATCGTGGGGGGCTTAGCCGTGGCCGCTGGCGTGGTGGGTAGTCTGGTTCTCAAGGGAGCCAGAAGACGGTAAACACGCTGTGGGGATTGGCGCCTGCAAGGGCTGTGGCACAGCCGGGCCAGACAGCCCTTGCGTCCTATAGCCGCGGATGTGTATAATGTTTATGTGGAAACGGTGGGGTCTTTGCGAAATCTTGCCGTTCGGGAAGCATGCGAGGGCGTTTCTTCTTTTCTCCTGTCTCTACTCTACTTGAGCCGAATGGCGCTACATATCGCTTGTCATCGTTCATGGAATCAGCATTGTTGCCTATCGCCAAGATCGAGTATCTACTTAGACGCGTATATAACCCTATATAAACCCCCTGGGTATACTTCCATGGGTATTCTGGTTCTTTGACCTCCTTGCCACCCGCATCGCTTCGAATTCTCCGAAATGAAACTTGCGCCCAAAATAGAACAATAAGGCTGCCTACACTTGTGCTGCATGAAACGGTCCTTGTCTGCATTGCCTGGGCGAGTTCCGTGGTTGTTTCATGGTCTTTATTTAAGGTAGTTGTTGGTCCCGGGCTTAACGTCATCGCCCTCGGCATCTTCTTCCCTTTCGTTTTCTTGCCTCTTCCTCTCTATCTCTTTCAACTCGCTTATTTCGCCCTTCTTTTCCATCGACACCACCCATGTCTGCTCTGTGATGCCCTCCGCCTTGTCCCCGCAGATAAGACAATGACGCGTGACTGTCCAGCGTCCCGACGCTCGAGCAAACTGGTGTTCTGATCCGCTTCGACCTCGATTGTTCCCTTGTACCACAACCCTACGACAACGCGTTCGCATTATTTGACTTATTTGTGTCCTCGATCATAACCCGGTAACCATGGCCGATAACGGTGATCGCATGTTCTGCCATGCCTGTGGTGGGGTTTGGCTGAGAAATGATAGCGGTTTGACGTGCCCGCATTGCGAATCCGATTTCACCGAGATTGTGCGCATCGTCTTGGATCCCGGTATTTTAATCAGGACTTGTTCTAACTATGCGACTTCCCATAGATCGAAATCCCTCCTGAAAACCCCCCTCCCGAGCGCGCGGACGAACCGCGTACGCCACCCAATATGAACCCGTGGGCAGACCACGATCCCTGGGCCCGAGAAGGGACTCCAGACTCACCAGGGTTTGGGTTCATGGGTGGAGGTTCTCCTGGATTCGCTCAACGCACATATAGATCGCCCGATGGGCGCTTCACCTTTAGCAGCACCACTTTCGGCGGGGGATACTCGCCACGCCAGGAAGCCGCGCACGCAGATCCCACGGTTCCGATGATGGTGCAAAGCCTGGATACAATCTTCAATGGGCTCGCAGACACATACCGCCCCCTCCGCCGCCAGGATGGCAAGACCACGATCCTTTTGTCGCAGATGAGCTTCCAGGCCCTGACAGACTACGTCCTCGCAATGCTGGCGGGCCGCAGGCCAGGGGCACCGCCGGTAGAGAACCTGGCCGAGTATGGGCATTCTTATTCCAATCTTATGTTAGGACCACATGGCTAATTTATTCCTTTTTTAGACTCATGGGTGCCTTCCGAGCAGATTATGGGCCGCGTCCAAGAGGCGGAAGACCCGGGGCACGCACCATGATCGGGCCTAATCCTCTCTCGATTCTTTCGGCTCTGCTTAACCTCGACCGAACCGGGGATGCGGTTTATTCGCAGGAAGAGCTTGACCGAGTCATTTCACAGTTGATCGACCAGAATGCGCACGGAGGAGCACCGCCGCCGGCCGCAGGAACGGCCATTCGATCTTTGCCTAAAAAGAAGGTGGACCAAGAGATGCTGGGGACAGATGGGAAGGCAGAATGCTCGATTTGCATGGATGCAGTGGAACTCGGCACCGAAGTCACGGTACTGCCCTGCACACATTGGTTTCATTACAACTGCATCGAAGCGTGGCTGAGCCAGCACAACACCTGTCCGCACTGTCGACGAAGTATCAATTCAACCGGAGGGTAAGTAGCGTGGCTCAACAACTCTCTTCTCTATATGCCGGGGACTGTCCAGCTGACTGTTCTATGTTTCACAGTGCTGGTGAAGGCACCAGGGAGAGCCCGGTTGTGATCCAGGATAGTCCTGACCGCCGAACTTCCACCGGACAAGGCCCAAGTTCCGGCTTGACTCCGCGCAGTGGCCGCTCTTCTTCATCTGGCACCCGTTCATCCCCATCACAGTCTCGAGAATCTAGAGGGTCCAGAGATTCAGGTTCTCGACGTGCCAGCCGGGGCGAAGGCCATCATGGCGGGTTCACCAGCTGGGTTTGGAGCCGGTTGGGAGGTGGCGGGTAGACTGTCCTCGATGTGGTACGAGATATGCACGCTGCAAGGGTTGATGTTGATTTTGATGGTTGATGATTGATTTGTTTTCGGGGATTCTCTTTTCCACTTCACTTACAGCGATACAGGTTTCATGGTTCTTGCTCCTTTTCTTTTTTCCCTTCTTGTTGTTCTTCTGGCTGGGTTATTTGCATATAGCAGGATTCTTCCATATGGGCCTGTCTTCGGTCGGTTCTCAGGTGTGTCTTCGTGGGATTTCTTTCTGTTCTTGTGTACATAAAGGGATTGTTTGTCCCTATTACCCTTGAGCTTTTATCTTTTATGTGATGTATGAACTTCTAACATCAGAACGGACTAGTTGAATCAATAAACACTTGGCATATAGATATGCTTCTAGAAGATATATTACCCCCATCCTTCAATGTCCTTCGCGAGGGCTTCCCTAACGGAAGCAAAGCCCGCCTGTCCATAAAACCCCCGAAGTAGACTCTGGGCTCTCTCACGGGGAGGAACATCCCCTCGATCCCTAACGCCATTAGGAGAAGGGCTTGAGATACGTGTATTCCCAGGCCGAAGCTGACGGAGCCGGGCAACAGTGTCTGTCCAAGTCGATTGGTCTGCAAACGCGAATATACGCTCTGATTTGACCTCGGGATCGAGAAGGCCAATGACGAAGAGTCTGGTGACGTCTTCCACGTCGACGTACCATTCTGGAACAGCATTAGCATATTGTCAGTGGTTGTGGGAAGGAAGCTACATACGCTCATGAAATCTGCCAAAGGTCGTGGAGTCTCCCTTGAGTAATTGTCGAACCCAGCCCATTGTTGACCCGAAGATTTCGGGGTGGAGGATCCTTCCAACCTGTACCATTCAAGTTAGCTGGCTGTCAAACTGCTTGTGTTGTATTGACCCCAAATACTGACCGTGAAGCTTGGGAGAACTGTGTTGAACGTGAACTGAGATCGATGCGTCTCAATCCACTTCCACGATTGTCGTTCACCCTCTATCTTGGATGCTGAATAGACTGCAAGGCCCTTGTGTTCTTCAGGAGTATTTTCATCCCATGCATCTCTTACGGCAGCATCATTCCAGGTATCTAAGAGTTGCAGTAAGTTTTATATTCGCTGGGATGTCTGGCTTATTTTATTGTTGTCGCTGTACTTACTTCCGTCAATACGGTGCCCCTTGGGATCAGGAACAAGCCAATAAGTTTGAAATAGACGAAGAAGCCAAGACTACGTGTTTGATCGCGGGTCTTTGCGCCGCAGCCTCCAAGATTGCCAATGTCGCCTGGACCACCCAGGGAATCACGACGTTGGGGTCACTGCCAAAGCTTAGATCGGATGTCTGAATTAACCCAAGTCAGCTTCCATACACTGAGCAAAGCAAAACGTATAGTAAACATCCTGTTTATATCATACCAAATGAACGAGTCCCTGCACCCCATCCAGAGCCCGCTCGAGAGCTTCTCTATCCTCAAAAGATTCCACAAGCATAGGCTCAAAGGCATCGGGGCTATATTTCTGGTCGAAATATTCCTTCAACCATGGCTTCGGGGTGCGAACGGTTCCTCGCACCACGTATCCAAGTTCAAGTAATTCTGAAGGAAATAGGCGGGGATGCCATATCGCTTATTCCCTCTAATAAAGGTAACAAGAGGGGATTCGTAGGGCCAGTGAATCAGTCAGAATACGATTATTGTAAAACATCGATTGAACCCACGATGACCAAATGAGGCACCCAATGAGCAAAAGCCACGATATCGCAGATGAACGTGGGGTCCGATCATGTTCAACGATATGGACTCTTTCACTTCTTGTCACCTACCTTAGGGATATGCGTTGGACATAAGTGGGATTTTTTAGGTCTGCCAGAGAAAACAAGACGGACACGTCCTTCCTAGCGAAGTATAGGGAGCTTATGATGGCAGTAAGGCAGGCGTGCGGTCGCTTCCATATTTTTGGGGGGGGGGTCTTGTGTTTTTGGACTTCGGAGACAGCAAAGCCAGGGTTGACGTCGCGTTAAACCCAATCACGTGGCGACATACCAAGACTGCAAGGAATATCAGGTGAATCTGATCTAGCCAAGATAAATATCTCGGATAAATATCTCGAGGGCACCTGGAGAATCAAAACAAGCAAGTGGAAGAATTCTGTCTCTACCCTATAGTTTGCCTCCCCTGTGTCAAGTCAAGACCAGGATGTTTTCGACCCTTTTGAACTCATACATCCATCTGTCCAGGTGGAACCGTGAACCCTGTCGGCATAAGCCTTTTGCCATCACACGCAACTTACGTGTGGGCAACTCGCGTTCGGAGAAAAATCTTTCTAGAACGTCACGGGTGTCCTTGTAACTCAGACCAGGTGATGAGTTTTTGCCTTGAGCAGGCTTCTGTAGTATAGCATCCAACCTGTCAGAAACTCTTCTGTCTCTCATTATGTGCCACTGGTCGGCTACCAGATATGTCTTGGCTAATGAATAAACATCAGAGCTAAAGCCATCATATTTAAAATGAGGATCATCTTCCATTGCATAGAGGGCCTCTAAAGATCATATCGATTAGCCACTTCTATTTTATATGTTATAGGGAAAGGGCAGGTTGCCAGGACCTGAAACTTACCTGGACTCATGTATTGTGGTGTTCCCGCAGCACCTCGTGGGGTAGCTCTATTACCGAGATATCGGGCATAATCCCAATCGATCAAATAGGAACCGTCGTCCGTCAAAAGGATATTTTCGGGCTTAACATCCCGATGGATGATCCTTTCGGCATGAGCAGCTTCCAATGCCCTTCCGGCAGTGAATATTGCGCGCCGGACATTGGGTCTCTGTCCTTTATCTAGAGCGTCGAGCAGATCGTCCTTGCCCTTCGGCATCACTAGGACCGATTCCCTGGCAGTTCTTGACCAGAAGCGCTCTATGTACCGCATAACATAGGGGCTGTCGATGCTTTCTTGAATGCCTGACTGGTCCAACGATGACCATCCCGCGGATGTTTTGACCGCAACTGGCCGTGGGCGGTTTATTTCAATCCCGAGCCTCCTGTTTTTTGTCGTGTCGCGGTAGGTGAGTATTCCGTCCCAGATCTCGCCTTGGCCACCCTGTCCCAATTTGCCTTTAAGTAACAACGTCGCATACATCAGGTCCGGATCTCTAGGGTCTTGGTTTCTCTCCCTAGGCTTTTGACCTTTACGGGCTTCATCATACATGACATATTTGGCAACGCCTTCTCCCCCCCGGATGTTTAGTTGTTCCCCCCATCGAACGCATCCAAGGGAGGATGTGGCATCGACGCGACGCTCAAGTGAATGATCAAGGGAGTGGTTTCGTGGCAAAGGCGTCCTTCCATGGTCAATCTGGGGAGATTGCAAGTCGTGGGAGTGGGGGTTTTCAGGGACTGGAACAGAGGAGATCTGAGGGATGAGCAAGGAGTAGAGCCCCCATATCAACAGCCGAGAGTTGAAGAGACGCATATTGGCCGATGAAAGATGGGAGGTGTTAGGAGACAAGCTCTTTGGATTGTCGGGGCTGGTATTATAAGGAGGATATTTCCGCCCCCAGGGCCTTACAATTCCTGGGGTGTTTTCTTCTACACAACAAGGAAACCTCTGCCCCCCGAGGCCAAGCGATTCTTTGGCTAATTGAAGATGATCATTATTACGGGCCGTAGCCATCACGAAAATGGTCAAGGATACGGATATCACGGAGCGAGGCCTCAAATATTCTTCGCACACCCTCCCCTATCCAATAAGTGCCACATTCTTGGGTCACATACACTTCCCTGGTTACAGAGAAAGATCAGGTACTAGCTGCCACCAAAGACAGATCCACATACTGTTGGAAATGCTGTTGGAAATGCTGTGGGTCCGTCTCAGGGCACGGCTGCAACTAAATAGCGCCCAATGGCCAATGGAGAGCCGTGTGTCCTCGAATCTGCCCCATCTCTTTCGGTTTAGGTGTTAACCGTATTGGCTATAGTGGCTGATCAGCAGTATTTGCCTATTTCTATATAGACCCACATACTATTTACGTGGTATTATATAATATCCTGGCAGTCAAAAACCTCTTTCTGTATTAACCCCTATAGCCGTCCCCTCGAGTCGGACCCACAGCATTTGCAGCTGTTGGTCCTCCATATATATACGCACTTGACCATTTATACGCAAATTTTCAGTGTTGGCTTTAGGAGGCATAGCAGAGACTCAGAATTACATTTCATAGGCTTATTATGTGGCTTTTATTTTAAAATTATCTATGATCTTGTTATAAACCCTGCAGTCACGGACTAGTTGAGGGGGCGCAACTGACCGAGAGGCTACCGAGAGCCAACTAAGCAAGCAATCACGTGGAAGCAAGGCGCAGGAAGCGGCCGTCAATTAACGGCAAAGAATACCCAATATAGTTCTAATCGGTTTAAGATCCATTAAAGGATAACTATCCCGGATAAATTTTATTAGCAACTCCTTTAGTAGAACTGTATCGAGATCTACTAAAGACAAAATCGGCGTATTTCGGGGATCTTAGGCGGATTAGGGAGCGTTCTCCCAGGTGGGATCTGCACTTCTTGGAATGCCACCTATCATTCATTGGAATCGATTTTGTAACATTTGACGCCTTCAAAGTTCTTAGCCAATTGCTATGATCACGGACCGATAAACTCAAAAGCCACAAACCCTCCAGCACGCCGAGTGCTGCTCGTTCGATATTGGCACCATCCGCGTGGTTTAGTATTCACAATGGCCTCCAAAAAACCATCCATCCTCCCGGCAGACATCATGGAGTCCCAATTGTCCACGATCGACCTCTTAACAGCCATGTTCCCATCGCCAGGCGAGCTGGAAATCCCCGAATCCACCACGCAGTGCGTCGAGAGACTCCGAGCCTGGTGCCAAGACCCGGCCTCCCCACCTGGCCAGGTGCCGGCCAGTATGTCTCTCGTCGTATGTTTGCCAATTGCAGACGGCGACAAGAGTATCCAAGTCAACATTTCCGTTCCGCTGCAATGCGAGGACTCGGACACAATAGACCAGCCACCGTCACTGGGCTATTCGCTTCGACAACCAGACTGGATGTCCAAAGCCGAGGTGGCCGGACTGGCGGCTCTCATCCCGCAGGGTGATGTTCTCGAGGCCTTTGAATGCATCCAAGCAGAGGCTGCCCGGTTTCTGGAAAACAAGCAGCGCCAGGCGGAGATTTCAGAGGAGACGGACCCACGGACGGGTTCAAGTTCCCGGGGTCCGGTCGTCAGGGTCTGGTTCTATTTCCCATCTCTGTCAACCCGGAAAAAGAGAGATGATATGGTCAATCTCGCTCCGGGATATTCCCTGACGGGCTTCGTGCTGGCGGGTAAACCGGGCGTGTTGTGTCTTGAGGGCGCGTCGTCGGATATCGATGCTTATATGAGCTTTATCAAGACACATTCGTGGGGCGATATCCCTAGCCATCAGAAAAAGGTTAGCGAGAGATTTCGAGAGACTGAGGGGGTTCGGCGGGTGTTTTCGGGCATGGAGGAAATCACGGATTCGCTAGGGGAGCGAGGAGGGCAGAGGGCTAATCGGGGTGATATGCAGGCACTCGAGGTGTGGTTGGGGTCTAAAGGGCTGCAAGAGGCATTTGAGCAGGTGATATTTTAGACTCTTGGAGAGTTGTAGGCTCGAATGTAAATAGAGTTGGTTGAAGCGTCGATATCAATAGAACGGGCATGGATGGTTCAGTCGTGATAGAATCAAATACGATATATCAGGGAATGGTAGCCATCGACCCAATGCCCGTGAAATATGAAATGGATCTCCATGGCGAGCTTCACGGTTCTTCTGTGAAGATTGAAAAGATACCTTCAATCGTCTCCTGTTCTCATGGCATGAAGTATTCAAGATTATCTCGGGAAGAACGAAGATTGTGAAGATCACTCCACGGTGGGTTGCTCTCCTAGAAATCGTTCTTCCAACTTGCAAGAAGCGTAAAAGCACCCTCACTTTTGACTATGTCAAAGGTCCTGCTCAAACGCACCCCAAGTATCTTCATACCCTGTCCATCCCAGCTTTCGAGCCTTACTCATTCATACTAGCCACAACCCCCCATTCTCGACCAAGAACACAAGCTACGAAGCCCCATGCAGCATTGTCCCAACCAGCCTGGTGCATGCTCTAGGCCGTCTTCCACTCAACAACTATTCCGGAAAGCCAACTATATCCTATCCCTGAATACAGTCCCAATCACTAACCACTCTCAACCTTGACAATCTTCCCCGTTTCCACCTCATACAAATACCCCGTAATAGGCACATCCAGCACCAGCGGGCTATCCTTCAGCAACTGGATATCATCAAGAACACTCTGTCTGAGATCCCCAAAAGGCAGAAACGCAATATGGTCCACGCTCTGGTGCAGATCCGCCCGGATCTTGTTGCGGATCACATCGTCGGTGAAGGTGAGCATTCCGCAATCCGTCTGGAAACATGAGTATTTGGGAGAGAAAATACATGTTTAAAAACAGAAACATGGATATGTATGTATGGCTTAAAACATACGTGGTGGACAATCACAATCTCGCGGGTCCCGAGCAGCTGCTGCGAAATAATCACACTGCGCAGCGCATCGGACACGCGTCCGCCGGCGTTGCGGATGACATGGGCATCGCCTTCTTCTAGTCCGAGAGCACGGGCGGGATCTATGAAGGCTATCAGTATAATACTGGCCAGGTGCTGGTTAGCGGTTGTTGAACCCTACCAAGCCGTGCATCCATACACGCTACCACAGTCACCTTCCTAAACCGAAGCATCAAATATCAGATCATCCATGTTGGACTTTGTTGTGGATTCACTTTCTGTCCAGTGCATACCGCTGTGGGGGCAGCGCCAGGCTGCCTTTGGTAAAGGATGCCGCATACTGGGCGTTGGCCGCCTCGAACTCTTGCGCGACGGACATGGTGGAGATATATTAACTTGTGGATAATATCTATAAGGCTAAGGGAAGGACCTTGGGGATGGCATGGAGGGGTATATAAAGAAGAACACCCCCCGCAGTGGGAAAGATGGTGTTGTATGAGGTGATGATTTGGTTACCACGACGTTGGATGGCGTGATGGAATGATGGGATCTTGTAGGCCAATCATTCTAGTGAGGCATCTTTTGGTATTCAAAGAGTAACTGGGAGAAAGTAATAAAATAGACTCTGTTGATTTTGACTGCGAGTCGCCAACATGGATAAAAGAGAACACAACGTCGCTTACGCATTATATTGACTTGACAGCTGCGAACTATTTATGCATCAAGATGGACCATGCTAGTAATGATGGACGCAGCGAGACGCTAAACTCAATATAGTCTGCAACAGACTACTCCAGAAACCCCTTCTTCGCAACCCGCTCACAAAGTTCGCGCAAAACACCTCCAAGCCACTCAAAGTCACTCTTCTCCACGTACGTCTGCCCACTCAGCCGCACCCACAGCGACCCGCTATACGGGAAGACCGGCACAAATGTATGATATTCCTCAATCATAGCGCGCTGAAGCCACGGCCCGAGTTTGGGCACATCCTCCGGCGATATACCAGCAGCAGCAGACGCAGAGCCAGAAGAAGAACCGACGGCAATCGGCAGCCGCACCGTCGTCATAGAACACTGGCGCATGCGGCTCGTCTCGCCTGGCTTTAACCCTGGCTCTTGCATCACCTCCGTGCCGAGGATAGCTGCCACGGCATCGGCGCCTTCGTTGGCGACCTTCTGGCAGTACGCCATGACCGCCCTCTCGCCGCCGCAGACCTCAGCTCGGAACTTGAGTGCCGCGGGAACACACAGGTACGCAGAGTCATCGCTCGTCGCAACAAACTCAAACAGCTCCTCGAAGGGGGTCTTTTCCTGGGGCTGGTTGGGGTCCTGGAAGATGGAGGGTCTGGTCTCGGGGGAGGTGGGCGCGGGGATGAAGCCCCACGAGGTTGGGAGAGTGGTGCGGATGAAGTACTGGTTGCGTCGGGGAACGTAGAGCACGGCGCAGCTGCGCGGAGTGTAGAGCCACCTGGAAAGTGAAAGCATAAGAATCGAGCACTTACGATGTCAACGGGAGAAAGAATGTCATACTTGTGGCAGTTAGACACGAAAAAGTCCGGCTGCAGCGCGCCCATGTCGAGAGGGACGTGGCCGATTCCATGAGCACCGTCGATGACGCTCAGAATTCCCTCGTCTTTGCAGAGCGCCGTGACTCGCTCAAACGGGAACCGGACGCCGGGATTACTGACAATGGCATCAAAGACGGCAGCGCGGACCGTCAGGCCCTCAACATTGCGGGTGTGGCGAACTACCTCCCGGAATCGGCGCGCGAGCTCATCCTCGGTGATGGGATACTGAAAATCGACTTTGCGCGCCTGCAGAGACGAGTGTTCCTGCAGCGAGACAATACCCTTTTCCACAGCGCCGTACACGGCCTCGAAGTAGATAAGTACCTCTCCCGGCTGGAATGCCAGGTTATGCAACACGGTGGACACACCGGTCGTGGCGTTCTTCACAAAGACACACTCATCCTTGGAGGCGTTCAGCACCTTGGCGACTGCTTCGCGCGATTGTTCCAGATAGACCGCATGCTTTTGGCGCACATACGGATCAGGCTGTGCATCGGCGACATCGAGGAAATGCCGCTGCATATCCCGTACTGGAATCGGGTGCGCGCCGAAGGATCCTGGTCGGGGTATGTCAACCAAATACTCAAGTTGGCGGTGGTGGGGTATGAAGATGCAGACCGTGGTTGAGGTTCTTATACGCCGGATCGAAGAGCCAATGCTTCAGCATTGGTTTGCCAAAGGGAGTCGCTTGTTCTGAAGCCATGATATGGACACTGGAAGTTGCAGTGATTTGCAAGAGAACAGAGAAAATACTTCCCAGGTTGAGCCATCCATGAAGATGAGTCAAATCGCGACTCTAACCGGACACGAGTCTCCAGGGCCAATGGCAATTCCGTACAAGATCCACACCATCGTGAAGGGCGTGGAGAAACTCCACTGTCAGCTTACTTGATGCATCCTTTCTTTTCTGCAGAATTGGGGAATGTTAGCCTGGTCTATTGTGACTCGTACACAGCCGTGTCTTTCGCTAGCAACGACTGTCACGCCCGGGTGGTTTCAATCAGCATACAAAATTTTCCATGGCAGAAATAGCTATAAACAAACAATTTATCCAAAAGCCCTAATATGCCCCGTCATACGGAGTCGCTTGATTTTCCTCCGCCCACAGCCGCTCCGCTTCACTCTGATACGGCGGCGGGATCATCCCACTGATCTTCCACAGTCGGCGCTCAGTCTCGGCAACATGATACACTCCGTCACACCCCTTGTCGGCGACATGAAGCTTCAAGATTTTGTCAATCTGGAAAGTAGTGCGCCGGTAGCTGGCGGCGGCGTCGGGGATCCTCAGAGCGATATGGGTGATCACGATGCGAACAAACGGCTTGTCCGGACAGGGTCTCCCTCCAGCAAGGAAATCTGCCTAGTCAAGTGGAATGAAACTGGCCACGACGTAGAAGACCGGCAGACCTAGGTCGGTGTACATCTTGGTGATGTCGTTGACAAAGGCCACTTTCGAGGCCGAGTCCCCGAAGGTGCCCGGGGGGGTGGAAGATCTGCTAGAGAGGCATTGCTGGATGATTTGCTGTTTGAAATGAGTATGCTATATGTGAATCAACGCAGACGCTGGATCACTGTCATTTTTTAGCACTGGTCCGTTGCAAGCGTTGAGATGGCCCTCGGTTCTTCTGTTGACATGATCAAGCCGGCACTTGGGCACGCATTTCTGCACTCCATCATGGCGTAGCACAGCCTGACTGTACCATGTCAACGTTACTCGAAATGAGCATCTTCAGTGCAGATCGAGTGTGAGTGACAGCGCCAGCCAGAAAACAGGCGCAGGCTCCACCCGACCGGTGGAGCCGATTTTTCGATTATTCAACATCCCGAAGCGCGCCGGACATAGGGAGTAAGCCACGGTCAAGACCTGCCTCCTTTCCAGTTCTGCTGCTTTCTTCTCTCTTGCACCTACGAGCCGAAGATCCGACTCTACTCAAACCAAGGGTTATACCAAGTGCGATGGCAGAAGACAGCGTCACTGCAAGTGGAGGTGGAGCCCGGAAACGAGGCCGCCCGCGGACTGTGACCGATCAGCAAGTGCCAGAGGTGGGTTGAGACACAGGTAGACAGACTACAAAATGCACATCATGCTCACCCGTGTGTCTTCAGAAACGCCGTAAGCAACTTCGCCTGGCGCAACAGGCGTACCGCCGACGCAAGGAGGACACCATCGACGCGCTGCAGACTCGCGTGCATGGACTGGAATCGGGCATTGAAGAGCTGAGCCAGTCGTTCCTGTCCTTCAGTACGCTGCTGCTGCTGGAGACCGGCCAACTTGAGCAACACCCGCAGATCACATCGGCGCTCCAGAATATCACCCAGCAATGCGTGTCGCTCGCCAAGAAGGCAAGCGACGAAGGCGAAGCCGCTTCCAGTGCGACAGCGGATGATTCAGATAAGACCGGTGCCATTCCAGAGAGTGGAACACCAGAGCAAGATGTCACTCCCATTCACTCATTGCCCACACCTACGAGTGACACCTTCCAAACCACACCAGCACCTCCATTAGAATGGCCCGAAGCATCGCTCTCAACTACAGCAGCAGCAGAAGCCTCAGATCCAGCAATTCTACCTTTCGGTCTGGTCCTATCATCCCCCAAATCATCCTCACCTACTTTCAGCGACCTCTTCTCCCCGTCCCCAACAACCTTCCTCCCCAGCCAACTCACAACAGAGCAGCCATGGTCCCTGTCCCAACGCCTAGTCCGAGAATGCTGCCACCACGGGTACCAACTATTAGTGCACACGCCGGACAACATCATGAAAATCACCCAGGTCTTCGGAACCCCACTCGGAGACTCAGAGCGCAACCGGTTCATCACGGCCTTCTGCACCGTGATCTATGGCGGGAACAGCAACTTGCTCGAAAGGAAATCCAACGCGCTGGCTGCCATCCAGCCTAAGACGAACGTCTTCACCCTCGAGCAGATGGAGATCTCTGCGCGGATGTGGAAACTCGCTGTTCAGTCCGGGGACGTGGAATGGCTGGATGCGAGTGGGGTGCAGAAGTTCCTGCGCGAGAGAGGGGTTCGTCTGCATGGGGATGGCGCTGCGCTGGGGGGTCGGCGGAGGGGGTCGATGCCGCCACAGTTTGATGTGACGGCTTTTGTTAAACGTGAGTTATCTCGCATCTATATTCTTTTGTCTCTTGTCTTCTTTTTTTTTTTCATGATTGTTTCGCTGACATTCATCCAGTCCTCTCTGCTGGTTGTATCTGTGTTGGGCACGGACCGGTGTTTCGGCGACGAGATGTAGAGAATGCGCTGTATATTGCGACTTCATCGGAGGCGTGGAGGTATAATGCGCCGTGTGATCTACGATGACCTCGCCGAGATCATCCCATACTTAATAATGAGCCACGTTACTCTTCGCGAAGAATCTTATGATGCACAGAGGCGATATAAAGCTGGCCATCTTAGATATTAGCAGCGCAACGATTGCTTCGCTTCTTCTCACGCCTCGTGTGGCCGGTCTTGCCCATATAGGGTCTGTCGAAGAGAGGACAAATGAGATAAAAGGTATCATGAAAACCCACACAGTAGATGGTCAGCTTCTTAGGTGCAGGATCTACATGGGACAAAACATCCAAAAAAAAAAAAAAAAACACAGCTGCGATAGCCAAATGTACATTGATAGTGGTACACAGCCCTAGAGAGGTGGCGTATATGGCGCACGCATCTTTCTTCTCGAGGGTAAAGATATCGGACCCGTACAGCAAAGCTCAAATCAACAACTTCTATAAGCCCCTCAAGAACACAATGCACACCATTACCGCCTGCCCTTCTTGCGGGGCGCAACGACCTTGAACGCGGCGTTGGCGCTCTCTTCCTCGCGCTGGGCTGCAACGCCGGCAGCAGAGCCCTTCTTGGCAACCTCACTCCAGCCACCGCCGCTCTTTTCTTCACCGAACGCACTGGGCGAAACGGGGTCGACAATGCCCTTGTCGGCCAGCTTACGGCGACGGATAAATTCGTCGGCAAAGCGGCGGCCATCGAGAGTCTGGGAGTTGGCGTAGACAGAGTCGGAGATAATTTCAGCTTCGGCGGGCAGGAACAGCAGCTGCTGGACAAAGTCATCAACTAAAAAGTAGTCAATTAGTATTTTGAACAATGTGAAAGTAGAACAAAATCTCACCATTGATGTTGCTGTTCAGCCCTTTGCCCAGTGCCAATTTAGCCCACTTGGTGAATTCCTCAACGGCCTGGTTCGCGTTTGACTGCGGGATGCTGCCAACCGTCACCGTGCGAGTGGTGGTGACTGGACGAGGCTTTGCAACAATTGGCGAGGCCGGGACAGTTCCGCTGGCCGACCGGGGAGCCAAGGGTGCTGCCGGCAGATGCTTAGGTTTTCCACCAGCTCCAACAGTAGTCCAAGCGCCAGACGGGGCCGGAGCGGCGGAGGCGGCGGAGGCGGCAGGGGCAGGGGCCTTACTAGCAAGATCCGCGTAACGCTTGACACCGGAAGAAGGTACGGGAGGACTGGGAGTCGCGGTCGCGGCAGCAGCAGCAGCAGCCGCAGCGAGGCGCTGCTTGCGGGCTTCTTCTTCCTTCTGGATCTGAGCAAGAGTCTTCTTGGCGGTGCTGGGAGCGGGCGCGGGCTGGTTCTTGCTGTTCCACACCGAGCCAGCCGATGAAGGAGTCGCGGGGGATCCGGCGCTTGCCCAGTTGGCCGAGGAGGGAAGGCCAGGAGCCGCCTGCGCCTGCACCTGGCTGAGACGTTCTTGTTCAGCAAGGAGTTGGGCACGACGGGCCGCAGCCGCAACCTCCTCACGCTGAGCCGCGTTGCGAGCTTCCGCTTCTTGAATTTCCTTCAAAGACGGGCCCTTGGGCAATTCATTGGCATCCTTAGCCCACGGTGCAACTGAGGTGGCAGGGGCGTCCACTGGGGTCTGAGTTTGGGATCTGGAACCAGCGGCCAGCGACTCGGCCACGTTCTGGCGGTTACGCTGAGCAGCAGGCGCCGGCAGAGGAGATGCAGATGGCGGTGGAGGGAAAGGTTGAGGCATTGCGCGATCGGTCTTCGTTCCCCAGACCGATTCAGGAGGGCCTTGGCTCTGTTGTTGCTGCTCTTTCTCTTGCTGCTGACGTTGAGCAGAGGCCGCCTTTTGAACCTGTTGTGAGAGAGTAAGAGCAGGCTCGCTGCCCTCGATGGAGTCCGAGAGCTGCTGTGCAGTCGCTTCCGCGTCGGCAGCTGTCTCCGCTTCAAGCTGCAGCGACGACGCAGCGGCAGGGTGACTTGGCAGCCCTTCCGCGTTGCGTATACCAAGCTCGCCTTCCTGGGCCCTCAGAGCATGGAATTGACGCAGTCGTTCCTCGCGAGCTTGCTGGTCAAAGGGATCATTGGCATTGGCATTATCGAATTGCTCCTGCTCCTGCTGGAGCTGAGCGCGATCCTGAAGCATCGTCGCAACCTGTTGCGAATGGAGGTAGTCGTCAGGCTGGCGACCAGTGAACGGAGCACCACTACCAAACGCAAACGGATCTTGTCGGCCGACACTCAAGCGATCCAGAAGAGCGGGAAGCTGGTCCTGGCTGCCGACAAGATCAGTTCCCAGCATTCCAGGGCCAACGTTCTGCAAACCTCCCTGTCTGAGCTGCGCGGCCCCATCAAAAAAACCTGGGACACCTTGGGTTTGCTGCTGCTGTTGCATAGGCGCCTGGATCGGGGATGGCTGGTAACCGACAGGGGAGGTAATGCTCCCGAAGCTTGGCTGGCTGTGAAGGCTATGGGCACTAGTTTGATGTTGGAGTTGGGGTTGGATAGATGGAGGAGGGCCTGACCCCGGGATTTGTTTCATCAGGGCTTGCTGCTGAGCAAGATGCTCTTTCTGCCGGGCCATGAGATATTGCTCTTCCTGCTTCCGTCGCTCAAGCGCATTCTGTTGTTCGGCTGTCAAGGTGGTACCAAAGCTGGGGAAACTGCCGGGGAAAGGAGGCTGAGCGGCTCCAGCGGTACTGGCCGTCCACTGGCCGGGGTTGGGGTCAGGTCCATGAGGGATGCCGATTTGCGGTACGAGGAATGGCTCGCGCGAGTTGCCGATGCGTCGCACCAACTGCGCCAGTGGCTCGAACTCCGGGTCCTCAAGCTTCTTGATCTGCAGATCAGGGCTGAAAAATCCGGCTTTGAACCAGTCGTGCATCTCAAGTCCAGTCCACGGCCCCTGAATATTGCCTTGCGGGTCGCGGTATATCCAGCGCATTCGGTCCGGCATGACCATGGTGCGCTGCTGAGCAGGAGGTACAGTTCCACCGGGGGTTTGACTGGCGGGCGGCAAATCTTGACCAGCGAAGTTGGTTGGAATAGAACCAACGGCCGAGACGGGTGTTTGAGAAGCGGGAGTCGACCCAGATTGGTTCAGCTGCCCGAGCTTTTCGGTTTGCAGAGGGTCTGTTGAGAAAAGAGTCAGCGCCGAGATCAAAAACACACCAAAAGTTGTAGAAAAACAACGGTGTTGTTGGCAAGACCGATGGTGGTGTTACCTGCTTGTCGAGTGGCATCATCCAGCCCCACAGAATCCGGTCGCGCTTCGTCCTCACCGCGCATCGTGGCTGAGAAGAGAGCCCCCAGTTTACTTGATCTTCCAATGCTCGCAGTGTTTGCGATGCCAGTATTCGGACTAAAGAGACCGCCGGCACCTAGCGTCGAGAGGCTGGGAGACTGAAGGTCGCCCATAGAGCCGAAGATAGGGTCCCCAAAGCCTCCCGCAAACGCAGACCGTTCGCGAGTGGGCGTGCCGACGGCAGCGCTGGATGGCCAAGCAGAAGCTCCTCCGAGCGAAGAAAGACCGCCAAGGCCGCCGAGTCCAGAGAAGCTCCGGTTCGCATTAGCACTGGAGCTTTGGCTGCGGTCCACGGTAGGCAGGTCCATTCCCGAACCGACTCTTCTCATGGACCCAAACGGATTGGAGGGATCTCGAAGTCCGGTAAGTCCGGGGTGTTGAGGTTGTTGAATGTCCGATCCGTCGGTGTCCACATCCTCCCCGTCTGCCCGGTCGCCGTGCGGGCTCTGGTAAGGGTTAGTGTTGGTCGGGCTCGTCGGTTCGTGGCCCTGCAGCAGGCTAGGAGTCGGGTTCCGCGAGTTCTCCTGGCTCTGCATCAACTCCCGGAAACCAGGGATGCTCGAAGTCATCCCGAATGCGCCAAAGCCAAGGTCAGCCTGAGACGGGACCTCAACATCCTGAGATCCGCCCAGCGCTGCGCTGCCACTGCGAGGCTCATCGAACGGGTTGGTTTCGCTTCGGTGAGCCCGCGTCTTGACCGCGTCTTCCCAGGGCGACTGCGACCGCAAGTCACCGTCATTCTCAGCAAGGCGCTCCAGGTTGCTCAAGGAAGGCTTCTCCTTGGCAGAGCCCGCCATGTCCTCGGAGCTATCCTTCGATAACAAACCCTTGAACCGGCTTTCACCGCGAAGGCTACCGGATCCACCTTTTTTCTCCGCTGTGGGAGTGGGTACAGCGTTGGACGAGCCCAAAGAAAACGCACCAAACGCACCCATCGGGGAAAAATTGGCATTGTGGGAAGCCGAGCCCCAGGGTGAAGTCGGCCCACTGGCACCGGCGCTTAGCGGGTTGGTGGTGCTGCGTTTCAGAGAGCCAAAAGGAGAGGCCGCGTCTGCACCCTCCCGGCCGGCCGTGTCCTTCGTCTTTTCATCCATCTTGGTGCTCGAGTCTCGGAAGTCCGTTTTCCGACGTAAAAGAGCTGGAGGCGGGGTCGAGGCATTCGAGTCGTCACGGAAGAAGCGAGAATTGGAACCAGTCGGAGACATGGGATTTCCCACCGACTCTCCCGTTTCGCGGCGTCGAGGGCCCGGGCGCCCGGTGTTCGGAGAGGAGGTATTGTAGTTATTGATATGGCCCTGAGTATAGGAGATGGAAGACTTGCGGCCTCCAGTTCCGGTCCCAGTATTCTCTTTCGACGCGTTCGTGGGCGGCGGCTTCAGAGGAGAATTGACCGAAGCGGAGAAGAGCTGAGACACATGTCAGCAAAAGACCATCGAACACGGGGCGATGCAAAAAAAAAAAAAAAAAAAAAAAAAAACCCCCACGCACCTCCTTTTCGCTATCCGTCATATCAGCCAGACTCAGCGGTTCGACCTGTCCACCATGATCCCAGCACACTTCGGGCCCCGCGGAGGTGTTCTTGTGGTCGTCCCGCTTCCCCCAGGCCCCGTTCACCGAAGGTGTCACCATATGAGGATCCCAGTCAGCCACGAAATAGTCCTCCACGTTCTTGTTCAACGAGCCCGACTCCCGCTGCGCCCTATACAACTCTAGCAGTTGGTCTTTGGAGTACCGGGCTTCCCCGTTTCGCAGCGCACTGGACAGAGGATTTGAGCTCATGTGTGGCGGGATGTACGCTCCAGACGCCGTTGGTGTCGAGGCGGATGCAGTCAGGCTACTCTCCCGGGGATGAGAAGGATTGGTAGCAACGGACGGGCGTCGGAAGGTCTGCGTGGCTCCGTTCATGCGGATACGGGACCTAGTGGCCATCGAATATTAGCATCGGATATCTCGTCTGGGCACGATTGGCCGTCTCAAGGGCATGCAAAGACATCGGCGCGGGTCCATCTGGCCACTGGGGACTGAGCACCCCCAAGACAGGGCGACGTTGCATACCATTCTCCACTGGCAGTTCCATCCCCTCTCCGACTGGAGTCGTTGGTGTTGCCGGCGGCCGCCGAAGCAAAACTCGAAGGAAGTGGCGTAGGCATTATGAGAGAGCGGCTGTTCGAGATGGATGTTGATCCCCCACAAAAAAAAACAGCCGGTTCTGAACGGTTTATCGCGAGACCACTGTGGCGGGTTTGACAAGCGAGTTGTGTGATGCGAACGGTAGGGGAACGCAAGACACCAAGGGTGAAAAGAAAAGGGTCGGAAAGGAGCAAAGACAGCAAGATGCTGGTCAATCGACAAACTCGTAGGGGTAAGAGAGAGAGGGAATGCAGTAGAGCGACTAACAAGCTCGAGAAGAGAGAGTTCGAGTTTCGACTTCGCTTGCAAGTGAACGAAAATGCTTTAGCGGAGGCCGTGGCAATAGACACGAAGACACTGTATTTGTGACGAGTTCTCGCGCGCTGGCTCTGCGTGGGGGGCCACAATACAGTGTATCATCCTGACCAATATTACCGCACTCTGAGGCGGGCCAGGTACTGGCATTTACTGGGGCAAGAGGTATTGAATACCCGCACAACGCCCTGTGTGCAGCAGGCACAGAGAAGTACCCTGTACCTCCACCTGCGCCCGGCCACACACTCCAAGGGCGTCGGGCAGAGGCAATGAGGATTATGTGTCCAACTCATTTTTTGTCTCTTTTTCTTTTCTTGATTTACAGCTCTTAGGTCTTAGGGATATTTAGTGTCAAAAAAAAAAGAAATAAGTATACATCTAGTGTAGGTTTCATGCGTCGGTGGCTTGGGACAAGCTGTGGCAGTAACCCGATGGACGTGTATAGCAGCTACAGCCACGCTCTGGCTGTGATTGGAAAATGCGCTCTCAAACGGTGCAGGTGGCATATTGGAGATGTGCTGGACGTGTCTCTCCCCTTGCGCGGCACACACAAAGAGAATCAGTTGCGGTGTTGTGCTGTGCAAAACGAAGACCGGGAGTTGCATCTCTCGGCTTCTATCCCTTTCTTTCAGCACCCCCAGCTGTCTGCCAGCTGGATGGATTGTCGCAGAGAAAAAGTTCAACGTTCATTATTGCCCATCGGGATTCGGACCAAGACCTGGTTGGATTGAGAATTGCATTCCTCTCTACCCGTGTCTTGTGTTGTAGGGCTTTGTTGCGGAGCCTCGTAATTCGGTCCATCTACACTGCAAGCAGGTTTGCCCTGCGACGGTCGATGCTTCATTCTATACAGTGTCCGATGACACTGTTTCCACTTGCTTGCACCTGCTTTTCTTTTTCTGTCTTGGTTCAAAACAACATGATGGATCTGGTGTTAGAACCATGGGAGAAGCCATGACATATTAAGCCTTCCTCCACTCCCTCTGCTTCTCCCGTTCTCTTGCATTCTTCCTACCAAGACAGTCTACTCGGCTTGTTCATTGATTTTCCCGGCTTATCTCTCTCCCAGAAAGAACCCAAAATAAGGGCCCGATCTATTGTGTCTGCACTTCAAAGAACAAAAGATCCAAGGTGGCGCTGTGGTCGTGGAAGATGAAGCGCCATGCCTACCGCAATATTCCATATTACTGGTACTGGGACGGCAAGCCTGTTCACAAAGGACGCTTCCGTGGTGAGCGTATCCGGCCAGTCCATCTGAAAGATTGCGATGAGGGTGCTTGCTTGCCAGGCCCATGTCCCTCGCGAGAGTCCCTACTTCCCGAAAGGGCATCTCACAGTCGCTGCGGACGGAACAGCGAGGAGGTCCGGCCCTCGACACCCAGCAGCAGTGACTATTCTGATTATGAGACCCCTCGACAATGCCGTGCTGGCAGCCACTCAGTTCCTGAATTCCCCCAGGTAGCGATGCAATGCCCATGCGGGGTTGTCTGGGGGCCTTGGACAGCTGGGTCCTCGTGTCCAGTTTGTGGCCTGGTCGGCCAGCCAGGAAGAACGGTGAACCCTCCTACTCAGCCCAGTCAGGGTGGCCGGGCCCCAAGCCCTCCGAGGAAGCCGGTTTGCTGTGAAGGGCATGCCGAGATGTGTTGCCCTCCCTCTTGCCCTCCATCTTCATTTGCGGCAATGCCTTGCTCCTACCATGCAACGGAAAGCTCCCGTACCCGTGCTTCCCATCCCAAAGGCACGTCCAAATGCCCATGTGCACGCCATCAACCTCCGCCAGAAACTGAAGTTCGACACCCCTGCTGCCGTCATGCACCAAATCGTCGTTCCGGCGAGTCCTCACAATATGCCAGTTACGATGATGATTCGGCATCGGAGGCTTCGGTTGCAGCATCATCTGGCAGTGATTACTCACAGCGTGGTTTTCTCTACCCACGCCGCCCACGGAGATATCGCTGTCGACACGGGGTCTATTGACCAAGGTGATCAACCATGTCTCCTAGTAGGGAGGCATTAGGTGTCTACGGTTTGGAATTTACCGTCTTGCCTGTCTGTTTGTATCGAAAGAGAATGCTAGTGTACTTGAAATTACTTGGTTTTGGGTTTATCGATTGACAACTACTGTTCTAGCTAGACATAGATCAAGTAGCAGCTTCCTCCAACTAGAAACTGGTAGAGAGATACTTCCGCATTGATTTATTATTTCAGTGTGGCAGTTCCATTCCCAGGATAATTCTAAATAGCGTTGTTGATTTCGTGCATTCAAAATCTCCTTCATAAAACTATACGTCTACCTCAAGATGTATCCACGTAGACCTTGACATGCCCTACCCTTTTGGGCACTCCTACAGGGTACTTTCTACATAAAATTACCTCATAACTAGTGTCCACAGCAATCAATGATCCTATTTTGAGAGCTGTCGAGAGCCAGGCAGAAGATGATCGCCTGAACAATTAGTAATGCCATTCATCCGGGGACCGAGGTCTACGGCGCGTGATGATTTAAGCTGGTTTTACCAGTGATTTATACCCACCACACGGCCTTCTTGCACAAAAATACTACTATAAGGAATCATTTGATCCAATCTCCTCCAGCTCCATAATTCCATTTGATCATCACTAGTCAAGTGATACAGCCAGTTCGTCGTTGAATCCTCGGTTATCGATAAGGACGGGCATTCCCCGCATCTGATCTCATAGGCAAGCTTGACCTTTTGAGACTGAGACTTGACCGAATCATTGGCATATTGCCATTCCCAAAATGTCCAAGGCAATCTATATCGCTCCCATTGATGGGAAGCCAGGAAAGCCAGGTCAGGTCTACTACCCGCTCTCCTTGCGCACCCTACCCCAGCCTTCTCCGCAAGGGCGCGAGCTGCTCGTGAAGCTGACCGCCGCTTCCCTGAACCACCGAGATCTCTTCCTCCGCCAGCATCTCTACCCTGGCGTGACCTTTGATGTGCCCTTGCTAGCCGATGGCGTCGGTGTGGTCGTCGGAGCTGGTCCAGATGTCTCGAACGCAGACCAATGGCAGGGCAAACGAGTCATCTTGAGCCCTGGAGTGGGCTGGAAGGACTCCCCCGATGGACCGGAAGATGCGGCGGGCTACCGGATCATGGGAGGGACCAAGGTGTACGACAAGGGAACCTTGCAAGAATATATCACCATCGAGGACTCCGAGGTCGAACCAGCTCCCGAGCATCTCTCGGACGCAGAGGCGGCTGCCCTGCCCCTAACGGGATTGACGGCATGGAGAGCTCTGGTGACCAAAGCTGGCGAGAGGAACTCTAGCAATGGTGCCGCGGTCTTGATCACTGGTATTGGTGGAGGTGTCGCATTGATGGCACTGAGGTTTGCAGTGGCTCGAGGCGCGCATGTCTTTGTGACAAGCTCCAGCCAGGAGAAGATCCAGAAAGCCATCGAGCTGGGCGCAGCTGGGGGTGTCAGCTACAAAGAAGAAGGTTGGGACAAGAAGTTGCTGGGGATGCTTCCATCCGGAAAAACGAACTTTGATGCCATCATTGACGGCGCCGGTGGAGATTCCATCGAGAAAGCTGCCAAGCTTCTCAAGGTATGTACCCGGCTGTTATCAATCACCACATAGCTCACGCGTTCTAGGCTGGTGGCGTTCTCTCTGTTTATGGAATGACTGTTTCTCCCAAGATGCCATTCCTGATGCAGGCTGTTCTCAAAAACATCGATGTTCGTGGCTCCACGATGGGCTCTCGAAAAGAATTCAAGGAGATGGTTGAGTTTGTCAACACTGGAAAGATTCAGCCGGTAGTTTCCCGGGTACTACAGGCTGAACTGGACGATCTGGCGGCCATTGATGGGCTGTTCGAGGATATGAGGCAAGGCAAGCAGTTTGGAAAACTAGTCATTGACTTTGGCAAATCCTCGGGCAGTAAGCTGTGAATAGCATCGGCATTGCTTTGGGTATATACGGACAGAATCAATCGAGTTGACTTGCAGGCACGTGCCTGTGTCCTTCGCTGCTGCCATCTCCCTCTGTGCTTCTCTTCGTCTCTGCCCACTCTCCTTCACTCTTCTCCCATTTCCATCACTTTTCTCCAGACACTCAAACGGAGTCGACCAAATTCAAATCCATTCATTGATCCATTCCATTCATTGCCTTTCTCAGCCATCATGGCTCCTGTTCAACGCCATCCTTCTCTCCCGAGAATGACTCGCTCCCTCTCCCGTGATTCGGGTCCTACTCCTCGGGGACCGACGTTCTTCGAACCGAGCGACTTGTATCATGAGGATGGATCGGTATCACCCACGGATGCAGCCCTATGGAAGCTTGATCATTGATGCTAACAATGGACTGGCTTAGAGCTTTGACATCACCCAACACATTTTACAGACCACCAACGACCACATCCAGAAGAGAATTGCTAAGCTGCAGGCCGACACCGTCCGGCTCAGGCGAGAGCTGCTGTTGCTCCAGCGCCATGTCAAGGACTTCCGCCACCCTTTCTTCGAGAATTGGGAGGCCGACATGCTGACCCGTCTCATCGAGATTGCGCATACTAAGCAGTACCGAAAGCTGGCTCCGGGGGTTGTCATCGGCGACGACACAATTGCCGAGCGCGAGACTCTCTCACGGGCATACAGCAACGCTGCCAAGAAAGTCCGTGTCGAAACCATTAACAAACTTGGTCTCTCGAAGGAATATCACCAAGCTCTGCAGCGGTACGACGAGGTGAGTAGTTGAGTGACATTCCAGCTCCCATGTCCTCTATATGTTCTGACATAGGTCAGGTTGCCGCCTACCGAAGCCCAAACCCATTCCAAACAGAGTTCGCCTTTGCCAAGTGGCTGGTTGAGGAGAAGGAGAACATGCCCGACATGTACAAGTTCTGGGCGAAGCTGTTCCCGGTGTGCTATGGCCGGACTGTGGAAGAAAGCGCTTCCATCTTCTAAGTGACGATCTCTTTCTTGCTTTTTCTTTCTCTTTGTTTTATCTTTTTTTTCAGCAGCGCGGGAGTTGAGGAAATTTTCGGAGCAACTGTCTTTCGTTGAGGGTGGCCGGAGTTGATGCGTCTACTAAACTTGTGCGAACTGGGAGTTAACTGCTTTCTAGCCCAGTCAGCTTCAGTCGCTGATTTATTTCGGTTATGTACCGATCATATTCTTATCCGTGAGGTCTGAATGCAATACGACTCATCCATGGGGTTCACGGATGTTGCTTGTAGAGCTGAGACACATCATACCCAGAAGCCCAGCAGAATCCCAGGGCAAGGCCCACTGCATCAAGTACGACGGTGGCATTATGGCTCAGAAGCATTGCTGTCAGAAAAGACCAGCAGGGACCAGCAGAGTAACCAGGGTATCAGCCGCCGCACCGGCGCCCTATTCACATCCAGCATCGCGGATCAGGCCAGCCAAGCAAGGCTAGCTGTACAAGGCACGCTGAGCTGTGCTTGAGGACAGCCCTAACGCGATCCTTTCTGTCACTTAATCCTGCCAAGGTGGTAAGACATACAGCACTCACAGAGCAGCAGCTAAGCCTATCATCCACAAGAGCCTTGGCCGTGTGATCACCGCACGAATGCACATGATTTTGGGTTTCTGCGCGCTAATAATAGATTCTGCTCACTGGGTGAAACAGCCCTAATTCCCTAATTGATCGCCCTGCACAGCCCGACCACGAGTGATGTGCTGGATGTGACTTGGGCGTTTAGGCGTAATTGGGGGGCCATCGACTGGCAGGTATCTGGTATCGATCTCGTGGGGAGACCCTGATTTGGTGACTCGGTTAGGTTCCGATAGAAGTTACTCAATACTGTATACTATTATACGATCGGGTAGGTTGCTCTTCATGGTTAGGTACAAGATTACGGACTCGACCTCATACTATGGAAATGTGATCACCAGTGACGCTACTCTAACTGCAACGTTTGACCACCTTCCAAAGTATACCATCTAAACGACTGTTTCAAAAACTCTGTTTTTCCCGTTGATCTGCGACGCCGGCGTGTCGCAGGGCTTTGTTTGGGGCGGGATGGGATCAGGGATCAACAAGCCCGACTCTACCACACCTACTGGATTCGGTCGCAAACCAGAGAATCATGAATGGGGATTGAGTTTAGGTATGTCATACTTCTTACAGCAGAAACCTCGGGTGTGTATTGAGAGGACTTAGCTTGGCAAGATTGCTTGTCCTGGGCATGTCCTCACTGTGCACCGCGAGGCCCAAGCACCTGGAATGACTGCTGCCTAACTTGGCAGGCCAATTTTCGAACTTGGAAGAGATAACCTTGGAAGAATAATTCTAATACATAATACTGTCCACTCTGGCATGGCGAGCGGGGAAATTCCGTTCACAAAGAAAGACACAAAAAGAAACCCAAGAAAGAAGGCAGCAAAGAAAAAGTGGATAGCCCCGAGAATACCTCGAGCGAACGAGAGAAAAGCGCCATTTTTTTTATCTCTTCTGTTCTTTTCTCCGTTTTCTTCATATTGTCTTCGGCCAGCTGGATCCGGTATAGCCCAGAGATATGTATATGAATAAGTCCACATCCACAACATCACTGGCCCCCGATCACTGGATACATCACTGGATACATCACTGGATTCATAACTGGGGCAGTTCGGTTGACGGGGGCCCGAAGGACCCGACGGAGCGAGAAATGCCAGGACTGTGATTTGACGAGATCAGATCCTGTGACTATCCTCGTACCCACATCCTATACTAAATATTACTATACTGGATACAGTAGGTAAGAGGGCACTGTACAGTAGATGTCTCCACTTCCTTGACTTCCTTGACCGAGGAAGCTACATACAATAATAATAGGCTGGCTCCACTCTTTCCGAGAGCCGTACATATTCCAGCACGTTGCTTGCCTGATCGTCGACAGCTCGGCGATTTTCAGCAGGATTGTATTTCTTAGTCTATTCATGATGATACTATGTATAGATGCTGGCAGCATGAATGAAAAATGGATTGCTTCAGTATCTATTTGAATGTTTAGAGCTACGATCACACTGAAATCTTTGAGAGACTCCGCAAAGGTTTTTCAGTCATGGATGATCAGGGCTGATCCCAGGTAAATTTGTCTGATTCAGGAGCTGGGCGATCGCAACATGACTAGCTTTTTTTTTTTTTTTTTTTTTTTTTTTTTGAAGAGAACGGTAAAAAGGGTCGCTCGGATAATTTAGTTCTTCACAGAGAATAATAATATATATACTGCTTTATTTTTGTATTTTCGCGGGGATATATATCAGATGAATACCCCTGCCACACTATCTCTATACATAGCTCCTTTTCCTACATTTTTATAATGAGATACTTAAACTATACATTCTTGATCTATATGAATACCATAGAAAATATCCCCGACCGCACATCCGAACGGTTCACCCCTCTATCCGAGATCGACGAGCAACGTGGTTCGAAAATAGAAACGAAGATCTGTCTCAGCCCCTGAATCCACTCAACGCCCGCGATATTCCTCCGCAGACCCTATAAGGAAGGTCGATATGTCTACATGATAGCATCGTTGCCCTGTTGCTGTTAGCATTGCTTTTTAGCTTCTCCCCAGTCTCACTTGGGCTTGAAAGATCCTACGCGAGATCACCTATATATGTACATAGCTCCGACAGCTACCAAGATCTACATCGTACACACCCCCACACCCACTTATACACTCTTTCAGCAGCAGAGCCCCGAAATTGTGCGGGAGCGAGTGCCACACTCTAACACTCTAGGGTGTGTGCAGCTCTGTTTCAGGGATTGTTGTCCGAGCCTTCCCCGACTGGGTATCTGATCATCGAACGATGAAACAGATCCCATGCCTTTTCTTCACTTTTCTTTACATTTAATGTGCTATTTCACGGCTGAACAGTACCTGTGTCATAACAGCGGAGATGGTGAAACCTCTGCCGCGATCATCCATGAGTGAAGCACGGCTGATGGATGACGAGGAGGGGTGAGAAGTCAGAGTCGCGGTGAGGACATAGAGTAGGTAGGCGGCGATGATCATATTTCTTTTGGGGGTTGACTATTGGCAGTAGGTGTCAGTGTCTATGTCTGATGGAGGGTAGGAAAATCCCTCAACTTTGGTAGGGCTATCTGTGAGAAAGGGAGAGATATCCCCAATCGGTGGTCATGCAGCCCACTCGTTCAGGTGATCGAAACCATCGCGATGGAATATATAGTATGCATTAGACCACGGCAAAGGCAAAAAACGGTATCGCGACCGGGTGAGAGGATCGGAAAGCCACCGAAGAGCGAAGGACACTATCCAACCTGACATGGGGCTAGCAGCTTTTGGTTTCCACAGTGGCACAGCCATGGTCACTAGACAGTCAGGACACTAAAGCAATTAGGGCACTAAGTAAGTACTTGGGGCGAAGCAGCCCCAGTTAGGCGATCCGCCTTTCGGAACTAGCCAGTAGCGCAGCTTCCCCAGGAAGCACGGCGTATTTACACCAAATGGGTATAGCACGCGAGGATCCATCAAGTTGAAGCTAAGCTAACTATTAATAACCAGTAATTAACTACAATATACCGGTAGGAAGCGAGGTTTTTTTTTTTTTATTTTTATTTTTATTTTTTTATTTTTTTTGTGGGAAGATAAATGCCGAGAGCACTGGTCCGAATGACTTGGAGTTAGGGTTAATTGGTTAATTGCAATCAAGGAGAAATGGTGAGCGAATGATGTTTTCCCCAAGGGATTTGGACCCAAAGATAAATAATATAATATAATATTCACAAGAAAATATTATTATTGACAGCATATTACTGATATTACTGATGTTACTGATATGGCACACTGTGGCTGAGGGAGCCCTAACCACCAGAAATGTATAGCCTCGGATCAGAGCGGGTCCAATAATTCCACCCGATTCGGAGAATGCCATGTGGGCGATGGGGCCCTTTCAGCACGGGACTTAGTACTCGCAGGTCAAATCGTGCCGTTTGTCTCAGGACTGTAAGGGCAGTGCAGGACAAGTTGGGGAACTTGTTCATCCCCAGTGACGATCCGAGTTCCTGTCCCGTGGACCACGGGCCCGTGTTGTATGCAAGGTTCCTTGCTGGGAGTCCTGTCGTATTTGCATAGTAGTTACCAGCCATTCTTTTGCACTTGCAAGTGGCAATCTACCAATTGACAATAAATGAATAAACTAATTAAAAGCCTACCTAGGTACGGTACCGAAGGGCGGAACTACAGAGGCATTATTAGGTATGTAAATTCATTATTCTCTCTAGTGGTCGTGTGGATTCGCGAGTCAAATTCCTTGGAATTAGAAACCACAACGCCATCCGAGGAACCCAGTTCCGGAGTCTCTCCAAGACGGGTCAAGCTCCGAAGCCCTGAAGGCAGACATCAAACCATAGAGAGTCCACTTTGTCGTTTTCACTTTCTTTTTCTATGGAAGCTGGTGGAATCCAAAAAAATATCGACAAACGATGTAATTGTTGATAGCGGAGATTTTACTTTTTTTTTTTTTGTTGTCGGAAGTACCTAGGAAGAAGTGTGGATAGCATTTCATCATTCCCGAGGATTGCCCGATCCGAAGACAAACGCCTCGGTTGGAAAAAGCACAGGGCGATTCAAGGGATAAGTGCGATCTGAGATAAAACTGAATTGAATTGAATTGAGTTAAATTAAATTGAACTCTTTTCCCTTGCCGTGTGAAATAAAAGGAGGCTGGGATTGGGAATTAACTGTAGAGTAAACATCTCTCTCGTATACTTACTAGACCTGGACGTTGGCGATCGCTGGAATTGGACGATCAGAGGGAAGCTTGGTGACGCGACAGATTGCTGATCAGTGGTGATCCGCCGGCGCTCCCACCCGGCTCTTCCCCAAAAATCAGTTTCTACACCCTGTAGTTCACGTATAGATTTGGAGAATCACTGAATCACTGGATGTGGCAACACCAAGATCTTGTGTCGGAATGAGGTCTTTGATCTCCCCCTTTTTTTTTTTTTTTTTTTTTTTGCCCATCGTGGTGGCTGGGAGCTGCACGGATCGAGTGATGCATTCGAGCCGTTGCTAGTTCGTTCCTTTTGTTCCCCCTCGCCCTGACACATCCTAACAGAGGGTGAGGGGAAATTGTAAAAACAAGAAATACATTTTCGATCTATTCTTGCGCCGTGATCTCATGTTTCTTGACAGGAAGGATTTTTTTACCCGTCGGGTAATTAACCCCAAAGCCAGCGACCGGGATAGGTATCATAGTGTATTATTGGTAAATCACCAGACCTGATGCGCCACTCGAAAAGAATAAAATAAAATAAATAAAAAACAAAGGTAGCAGTGCAGAGTCACCCACCGCAAAATGGTACCGTCTCGTCGCACTGGTGATACCGGATCGGGACATAGCTGTCTCTACCAATCATCTGCCAGAACTCGCCAGTGCTAAGTTTAGCACTGGACAGGGGGGATACCGGGTCAAATGATGGATTCCCTGGACTATACTCTAGGGCCTGGGGGATTCCAAGTGTATGATTGTATGATTGTATATGTGTCGACACGAGTATTCTACCCTGTCAACTCGAGCACGGGGATATGTGTATCATCAACCAGACCATGCACGGCGCAGCATAATCATGACACGAGGTGAGGTAACCACGCCCGTGAAGAACTCCCCTGTGCTCGGCCATTGGCCGAAGCACCAATTGTCCCCCGAGGAAGATCCACGGTGGGGTCGGAACAAAAAGAAGAAAATGAAAGAAAATGAAAAAAAGACCAGCAGGGTTCTTCTATAATAGAGTTTCTCTCTAGGGCTCCCTAGTACTCCGAGCCAGTAATCCAGTAATCCAGTAATCCAGTAAGGACTGAACAGGGAGGAAGAGGACGGAGGGATTCTCCCCGACGCTAAACGTGAGGGAGCTAATAATAAATATGCGAGTCCACGCTGATTGGCTGGGGGAGAACGAGAACGACGGGGAGTGTGATTGGACAGAAAGTCTGAGGGTTACAATTCACCTTGCAAGCTGAAAATCAGTAATCACTGGATGCGTGATAACACAAAGAAACAATCAACAAAATAAAAGATAAAAGATAAAAGATAAAAGATACATAGCAATAGAAAAAGAGGCTGTGCCATCAGGTCAGATCGAGTCATGTCTTTCTCAAGTCCAAGGGACCCACTTTGACTAGCGGCCTGCGCCGCCAGGTTGTCGACTATCCTCGTTTTCTCTTTTTCTCTTTCTCTTTTCTTTACATGCCCACGTTATCCCCGTATCGCCATTGTATCCGTGCTCTTTGTTGGTTCCAAGGTTCTGGGGTTGATATGATCGCATTGGATACTTCTCCTCGGTCTATTCGGACACTTCGGAAAGCCCTCATAGTACTTCGATATCCCCACTCGTTGACCTAGATACATAGTACATCCATGGATGTACACACACACACACAACTATGTATGTAAACTCGCATATTCTAAATATTATAATTGGAAAACAAGACCCTGGATAGTACCACTTCAGATCATCTGCTGTACCATCAGCGTGACAATACCAGTATTCCCGAGTCTCTTGAGCACCCCCCGCCACGATTTCCCACTAGTTTAGCCTGGAGTTAGGCGTGAAATATAATAATATAATATAATATTATATTATAACATTGAGAAAATAATAAAACAATAATTATTTTTCCAGTCAATACCCACCCGCCCTATACAGTTTAGGCCCGTTGTACTTTGACCTGCCTCTCCGGCTGCTAATAATAAAATCACTTCGATATCTCCCTCGTTGCGTCCTTTCTTCTTCCTTGCTTCTATCTCACTGAATTCCTCCCCTTCCTCTTTCTGTCTTTCCAAGGCCGTTATTATTATGACACCTTGAAAGTCCCACATTCGCTCATCGCTGACGTTCGCTCTCACGCTCGCTTTTTTGCTACGACCATCACGTTCGCTACGGTTTATTGCTTCGAGATCTGATTCACTCCGATCGAAACCAAAAAAAAAGCCCTCTTCCCCTTCAAGAGACAAAAAACACACACACATACACAGGATTTGGTATACTCCCGATTATTATTCGGGTCTATTCTTAATATTTAATTTGATCTCCGGACGCCTTGCGCCCATCGGATCGCAACCCTTGATTCTTCGACAATCGAACCTGAATCAAATCGAGTGGAAACGAGGTCGGAAATTACTTTCGGATCCCTTGGTTCCATCCCAGGGCGTTTGCGCATCGCGATATCTCCAAGTGCTTGTAGAGCCCGTTTGTCCGGACCGCCTCAGTTGCACCGTGGACATTGAATCATCACGTTCGGATCTATTATCACTTTATCTTTCTTTTTTATCTTTCTCTCTTTCTCTCTCTCTTCTAACATTTAAGAGCTGAGCGGAGAGAAAAAAAAAGTATTTCTTGCGTGTCTCGGTTGAAGACACTTCGATTGAGGAACTATCGGACATCTCGCGCTCTGTTTGGCAAGGTCTCAGCCATTGGGAGATCCAAGGAGAAAATCCCTTCAGACGAAGCAGATCGTCGGTTCTAAGGTTCGCAACATTGGCCCACTCCCCCTTTGCCCACGGTCTCACACTCCCCCTCGTGCCTTGCATCTTTTCCCGTTCTGGTCCTTGTCCCATCTCCTTGCAGGGGAAAGTCGTGCCCTCTCTGGGTATTCCGAACGGCGTAAGATGAGGAGCGGCAATAGTGCCGTCGAAGACTCGTCGGATAGCTTGGCTCCCGTTTTCTCCCAATCGTGCGGGTGATGGGAGTGTTTGTTGACATTCATCTTCTTTTAGTTTTTGTCAGATTTACCGCGGATCTTGCATATTATCCCCCGGAGACACCGACAGATCCCCAAGTGCCAGGTTTCTCTTTTTTTTTTTTTTGATTCACTCGGTGAGTCCGTCACTTGCTAGTTCTATGCACCGATCCGGGTTTTCTTCCCCATAGCCCTAGCAAGCTGGTACTCATTCTCTGAGTAGTTCGGTCCCTGTGTGCTTGTCCAATCCGCTTGAAGTCTTCCCGAAACCTCGCGGGCAAAAGAAAGAAAGAAAGAAAGAAAGAAAAGAAAAAGCGAAACATCTTCAGTCGGCGTCCGCTGTCATCCGCCTTTTCTTTCTCGGGGCAACTTCGTGGCAGCCCACTCTCGGCACTTTTCTTTCCTCTCATGCGACAGGTTCCTCCACTGCGATTGATGAGAAATATTGGGCATCGTCGAGATCTGAGTCGATTCCTGCAGCCAGCCTTGTCTCCCTAGTCTCAGCTCTTAGTGTCGTGCGAATTGCTGGATGGTGATTCGAGGGCCTTTCTACCGCCGACCCTTTTTTGTGAGACTGACAGCTTCATCTCGTCGCTCGTGTTGTCTGAGAGAGCTTCGTTTTCGCGTGGGCTTTTCGATCATCCCATCGTTTGGAGAATAAATTCCCAATAATTCGCTTCCCCCCCCCTCTCAAGAGTGTTCGGTCTTGTTGCAGTCGCTGCAACACCTTCAAGCTGGCTTACTCGAAGACTCACGGTGTTTTGGTGAGTCCCAATCCTGTCTCTCTTCTGGATGCTCGCATGATTTGCCCTTCTCTTCCAATCCGAAGCCCGCCTGCTGTTTGAACCCCCCATCTCACACACATACCCCTCTGAACCACTGGTCTCTGTCCAGAACCTTGACTGACTCCTGTTCCTCCCCTCGCAGTTCGACCCGGACTTCCAAACGCCCCTCATTCTAGGCGAGTCGTTGGATCTCTCGGATTCTGAAGAGTCACAGTTCGTTGGTGCGTTTTCGGACGGCCTGTGGGCCAAGTCTGAGCCCATTCTGTCTATGTCTGCTTTTCAGAAGCCCGCTGCCGGCGCCATACTTGGTAAGTCGTTTGTCTCTGGTTCTTCTTGCCCGTCTCTCGACGCCATTTGTCTTGTGGCATGGATCTGGACTCGTGCTGAGACCCCATCATAGATTACGGTTCCACGCAGTCTTTGCATGATGCTGGTTCTTACTCTGGTTACGGCCAATCCCCCTATGTGACGGCCTCGCTCGTCCCATCCCCAATGCCGGACCAGGCAAGTCAGATCTCTGACTGTGTGCCGTACATGCCCAACCATGAGTACGCCAGCTCGTACGAAGAATCCGAGTCACCGATGCTAGGTGCACGACATCGCCAGCTGCCAGAAATTGTCACCTACAGTCCTCAGCGTGGCGGTGAAGGTACACGAGTCGTGGTTCGGATCCAGTCTCCCTATGACCTGCACAGTTCTACCTACGCCGCTTTGTACCTGGTGTTTGGTTCGAAGCGGTGCGAGTGCATCCCCCACTTCCTGGGATTCCAGGGTTCGGCCTTCCAGTATGGCCTCTCGGTCGATGCCCCACCGTTCTTGTCGACGGGTTCGCCGTCCTTAGCCGTCCCTATCCAGGTCGTCATGGAGACTCAGAATGATTGCCCGGCCACTACTCTGCAGGTCGGTGTTTATACATACGAGCAAGTGCCGCAGCCTTCGCCTTCGGGGGATTCGCGGAAGAGGAAATTCTCGTCCTTCTCCGACAACCTGATTGCCAGGGCTGCCAAGCGGGCTACCGGCCCTACGATTCCCAAGATCGAGCCTCAGGACAACTATTCGTTCCGGGACAGCCATCCCGCGTCCTTCTCGCCATACCTGCAGCCTCTTCCCGCAATGGCCGGGTTCGTCGCACCTTTCCAGGCCGCTTCCTCCCCTCAGGCCGGCTCGAGCCACTACTCCACAGTGTCTGCCACCCAGCAGCCAGCGATCCGTGCCCCGTCCCCTCTGACTCCGGCCTGGAGCCCCTCCTTTGTGCCGGTCAGCAGCGATGGACGCAACCCCGGGCTTGCTGTGGCTCAGAGCATGTCGCAGCACAGGAGACCGTCGCCGGCGCGTGGTTCCAACCCAACTCTGATCCGCACCTCGACTCTCCAGCAAGGCACTGGCATGGGGCAGACCCAGGCCTTTAACCCGTATGCTATGTACCCCTCCAAGGCTATCCTCAAACTCAGTGGAGACCTCGACGCCATGGCCGAGGGGTGGACAAAGGAGGAGCGGGTCACGCAGCGCCGTCTGGTGCAGTTCACTCGGTCTCAGACTGGCAGCACCATCCATGCTGACTTCAAACCCGTCACCCTGGAAACCCGTACTCCAAACAGCATCTGCATCAGCTGCATTCTCTGGGAGGGCAAAGATGAGTGCTATGTTACCAGTGTCGATACAATCTACCTCCTCGAGTCTCTTGTGGGCGTCCGTTTCACTGTGGAAGAGAAGAACCGCATTCGCCGAAACCTCGAGGGCTTCCGACCCCTGACCGTCTCCAAGGCCAAGGCCGACAGTGAAGACTTCTTCAAAGTCATCATGGGCTTCCCCAACCCCAAGCCGCGCAACATTGAGAAGGATGTCAAGGTCTTCCCGTGGAAGATCCTGAGCCCTGCTCTGAAGAAGATCATTGGGAAATACGTACGTGCCCTGTTTCATTATTTCGGTTCTCTGTCATTTGATTGTTGAGTTCTAACATGTTTATCTTTCAGTCCGCCAGCTACTCGTCCACCGCAGGGGCTCTGCCAACCCCCATCACCCACTACACTAGCCATGGCACGGCTTCTGACTCGGGTACTGAGACGCACACTGCCGCCTCTCCGCAGTCGGTCTCTGACTCTGGCCCTACAAGCACCTATGCCCCCACAATGGCTACATCGGCATATCACTCACAACCGGATCAATCCTGTGCCCAGCTCTCTGCGGCATCCGACCTCCGGTCGGTCATCCCTGCAGTGAGCCAGCCGTACACTTCTGTGGGTGCTTACTCGTACCCGGCCATCTGTCAACCCCAGAACGCCCATGGACTAGCGGCACCCGCCCCGCGAACTGACTGGGATATGCATGCTCTCAGTGCCGGTACTTCTACTACTGGCACTTCAGCCACCAATGCATGCTACGCCTACTTGGACCCCGTGTACTCTCTGCACGACACTGCCTCGGGTCCATGATCTTCATGGTTTCTCTGCTCTGCTTTTTGATTTTTGACTTTGGTCTTTTGGCTTTCTGATTATCCCTCTTGCCTTTCTATTTTCATATTTTCCACCCTCTGCTTTTTGAAGATACGACTTTTTCTTCCTGTCACTCCTTTGACACCATGCCCACTCAGCACATTGGTATCGGACCTAACACACCCATACCTACCATGGTGGATCTATGTGTGTGTCTGTCTCCGACGCCGCTCACCGATCATGATTTGAACGTCTCTCCTTACAAAACTTTTCATGCCTGAATGCCCCTCACCCACCACATTACTTGTTTGCATATTTACCTTCTCACTGAGACCGGTTGTCTTGTTGCATTTATAGACGGTGTCTTGTTCATTCCTTTTATTATTGGGTTGCATATTCCTTGCCGGGCATTTTGGGCTTTCCTCTCTTTTTTTGATTTGGCTTTTTCAAGCTTTGCACATCTGGGCTACTGTACGAGTACTTGGCATAGCATGGGCGCGCTGCTGTCATTCCTTTTGCATTCGCAGGTTGGATTGGGATAGATTTGGGATCTGGGAAATATGGAGGGGTTTTGGGTTTGTTTATTTTCGGCCGTCTTCCCGTTTTCTCTTCTGCGGTGATTGCAGAAAAACTGCCATCTGGCTTTTCTTTTTGGCTTTCCCCTAAGGGAGGATTCTTTTGGAGTTCGACTCACCACTTGTTTGTTTGATTTTTTTGAGCTGAGGGTTGTTACTTGTTGCATTGTTCTGGCGTTTTGGAAGATGGTTGGACTTTGCGTGGATCTTGCTGTTATTTGATATTTTCTAGTTCTAATGATCAAGTTTCTGGTCAATTGGCTTTTATCTGTGCATCTATTTCTATATTCCTTTCATACTTTTCACAGTTCTACATGCACTCCACTTAGGGCAAGGCTGACTCACCCCTATCTTATCACACGTGACCTCCTGCCCCTCGAAAAAGGCAACTGACTCACTTTTGAGACCCCCGAGGTCCTGTTCTCTTCAATTGGCTTGTCAGTGACTCACCGAGTCTCGCAGACTCTCTCTTTCCTCTCTTCCCCCCATTTACTTATCCCTTATACCTGGGCTGAAGTGGCCTCTCCCTTTTTGGTCTTTTTTTTTAAACCGTCTTCTCTTTACTCCCACGTTCCTTTTTGTGCCCCGCGATCCCACGTCTCCCCGACCTCTCTCCCCTTGAACCCGCTCAATCATGGCCGACGGCATTAAACAGACCTTTGCCAGGTGCAAAGAGCAGAAACGTGCTGCTCTGGTGGCCTACATCACTGCTGGGTATCCGACCGTGGAGGAGGCGGTTGATATTTTGCTTGGTTTGGAGAATGGTGGTGCTGGTATGGACTTCCTTCCTTCTCCCCTCTCCCACTCTCCCCCCTCTTCACGGGGACGAGTCAATACGCGGGGAAGTGTGTGGTGTATATGTGTATGGGAGGCAAATGATTTACTGAAACCCCTCGATTGAATTGCAGATATCATTGAGCTCGGCATCCCATTCACTGATCCCATTGCCGACGGCCCCACAATCCAAAAGGCCAACACCAAGGCTCTCGATAACGGCGTGACGGTCACCACGGTACTGGAGCTTGTCCGCACTGCCCGCCGCCGTGGCCTGAAGACCCCGCTGCTCTTGATGGGCTACTACAACCCCCTCCTGCGCTATGGCGAAGAGCGTATGCTGCAGGACTGCAAGGAGGCCGGTGTCAATGGATTCATCATGGTCGACCTGCCACCCGAGGAGGCTGTTCGATTCCGTGACCTTTGCGCCAGTACTGGGTAAGTGCGATTGGGAACGAGCGCGCGCCTGCCCTACTTTAGAAAAAAAAAAAAAAAACATGCTAACAAACTGCGTATCAACTAGCCTCTCTTACGTGCCGCTCATTGCCCCCGCTACCTCTGATACCCGCATGAAGCTGCTTTGCAAGATTGCCGACTCGTTCATTTATGTTGTTTCGCGCATGGGTGTCACCGGTGCCACCGGCAAGCTCAGCTCAAATATCCCCGAGCTCTTGGGCCGTGTCCATGAATACTCCGGTAATGTCCCCGCTGCTTTGGGTTTTGGTGTCAGCACGCGCGAGCACTTCCTCTCTGTGCAATCCGAGGCCGAGGGTGTGGTGATTGGAAGCCAGATCATCACCGTTGTTGGCAACGCCCCTGCCGGCCAAGCAGCCAAGCAGGCCGAGGAATACCTCTCCGGCGTCACTGGACGCAAGCGCGAGCGTGACGAGCAGGGTACCTTGACTCGTGAGGTCAACGTGCTCGAGGCCATTGAGAAGGCGCAGGCGCCGGCGGAGTCGCAACCCACCAAGGTTATCACCGATGCTGACACTCCCTCGGGACCTGGCCTGGGTGACCAGCTCGAGGCTCTGAACGTCACGAAGGACCCCTCAGCGCAGCCGTCTCGCTTCGGCGAATTCGGTGGTCAATACGTCCCTGAGTCCCTGATGGACTGCCTGGCCGAGCTGGAGAAGGGCTTTGACGAGGCGCGCAATGATCCCAAGTTCTGGGAAGAGTTTCGCTCTTACTACCCCTACATGGGCCGTCCCAGCAGCCTGCACCTGGCTCAGCGATTGACGGAGCACGTTGGTGGTGCCAACATCTGGCTGAAGCGTGAAGATCTCAATCACACCGGTAGCCACAAGATCAACAATGCCTTGGGTCAGATCCTGATCGCGCGTCGCTTGGGCAAGACGCGCATCATCGCCGAGACCGGTGCCGGCCAGCATGGTGTCGCGACCGCTACAGTGTGTGCCAAGTTCGGCATGAAGTGCACTGTCTACATGGGCGCGGAGGATGTGCGCCGTCAGGCTCTCAACGTCTTCCGGATGAAGCTTCTCGGTGCTTCCGTCGTGGCTGTAGATGCCGGCAGCCGTACGCTGCGCGACGCGGTTAACGAGGCTCTCCGCGCGTGGGTTGTTGAGCTCGACACCACGCACTATATCATCGGTTCCGCCATTGGCCCGCACCCCTTCCCGACCATTGTCCGCACCTTCCAGTCCGTTATTGGTGACGAGACCAAGGAGCAAATGCGTGAGGCCATCGGCAAGCTCCCTGAAGCGGTAGTCGCCTGCGTGGGTGGTGGCAGCAACGCTGTCGGCATGTTCTACCCGTTCTCGAAGGAGCCCAGCGTCAAGCTGGTCGGCGTCGAAGCCGGTGGTGATGGCATCGACACCGCGCGCCACTCCGCTACGTTGTCGGGGGGCTCCAAGGGTGTCCTGCACGGTGTCCGCACTTATGTTCTCCAGAACGAGCACGGCCAGATCTCCGAGACTCACTCCATCTCCGCTGGTCTCGACTACCCGGGTGTTGGCCCCGAGCTGAGCGCCTGGAAGGACTCTGACCGCGCTACCTTCATTGCTGCCGACGACGGCCAGGCTCTGACGGGCTTCCGCGCTCTTGCGCAGCACGAGGGTATCATTCCCGCCCTGGAGTCGTCGCACGCCGTCTATGGTGTGATGCAGCTCGCAAAGTCTATGAAGCAGGGCGAGAATGTCGTGCTAAACCTCAGCGGCCGAGGCGACAAGGATGTGCAGAGCGTTGCCGACGAACTGCCTCGCTTGGGTCCCAAGATTGGCTGGGATCTGCGTTTCTAAGCGGAAGAAATGACTTCTTGCTTTTCTTTTTTGCTATCAAATAAAATTGTCTCTCCCTTGTTGTCTTTTATCCAAGGACATTTCCTTCTCCATGACGGACTGCACATACCATTTCTCTCTCCCCCTCCCCTTTCCTCACCTTCTGGGCTGATATCGCAGCCTTTCACATATTGTTTTTGTGCCTTCTATGGGATTGATTATGCGAGGCTTTCTTTTTTTGGTTTACGAAAGGCGATGCTGGTTTTTGTTTTTCTTTCCTTGGTTCCCTTATTTTTATCTTTTGATTTTCTTCTTGTCTTTTTTGGGATCCCGCTCTCTTGTCTCTATGCCGAGTTTAGAAAATATATTCCAATAAATCGATATCCTTATTCTTCTGCACGTTCTTTTCCTTGCGTATGGCTCCGTAGTCGTGCCCGAGGGTGTAAGGCAAATGGCTTCAAGAATAAAAAACGCAGGATGGAGGAGAGTGAAGCTTCCTTCACACTTATAAAACACAATTCTCGTCGGGAATGAACTTGAATCTTGAAAGGAATTGTATTGAGGCTTGACCGGAAGTAAACACGCAACCAAACATAAAAATGGAAAATAAAACCAGAGCAAGACACAGCCGCATAAAAAAAAAGAGTATATGCAATCGAGAAGGCAACAAGACAAGGGAAAGGGGAGAGGGAGAACATATATCCCTCTCGAATCCTCCAAGTCCAAGTCCTTCTCCTTTCTGTACCTTCATTTCAATCCATTCCACAACATAACCAAAAGAAAAGTGGCACCGAGAAGAACCCAGAACCATCAATCAATCACGCATCAATCAGATTCGAGTTCTGCTCGCCAGAGTGGTCACGCGTATCCTTATGAGGGATCTTGCGAGCAGAGCGAGCATAGAACTCGTCCAGGACGCGCTTGGGGATCCGGTTGAGCAGCTCCTTGGGGTAGATGCGGAGCAGGTTCCAGGCGATGTCGAGCGACTCCTGGATGGTGCGCGACTCATAGGGAGACTGGGAGATGAAGGTGCGCTCGAACTTGTCGAGGAATTCGAGCGACAGTTTGTCTTCGGAGGAGAGGGCTTCCTCGCCGACGACGGCTTTCATGGCGGCTATATTGCGAATGTAGTTAGTAATGGATATAATAATACACATTGATTCATGCATTCATGCATGGTTATACTCACCAGCATCGCGACCAATGGCGTACTTGGCGTACAGCTGGTTCGATACATCCGAGTGGTCCTTGCGTGTGCGTCCCTCGCCAATGGCCGACTTCATCAGTCGTGATAGCGAGGGCAGCACGTTGATCGGAGGGTAGATACCCTTGTTGGCCAGCTGTCGGTCAATGAAAATCTGGCCCTCGGTAATGTAGCCCGTAAGATCAGGAATGGGGTGAGTAATATCTAGAAATACGAATATTAGCAACCTCCATCTCCGGATTGCCTGGGTCACATACCGTCATTAGGCATGGTCAAGATGGGAATCTGAGTGATTGATCCGTTACGGCCCTCGACTCGACCGGCACGCTCGTAGATGGTCGACAAATCCGTGTACATGTAACCTGGGTATCCACGACGACCGGGGACTTCTTCTCGGGCGGCGGAAACTTCACGCAGAGCATCACAGTACGCCGAGAGGTCAGTCATGATAACCAACACGTGTTTCTCCAGCTGGTAGGCATAGTATTCGGCAGTCGTCAGCGCCAGACGGGGTGTGATAATCCGCTCAATTGTCGGGTCGTTGGCCAAGTTCAGGAACAGAGTAACACGCTCCATACTGCCGTTCTCCTCGAAGTCGCGCGTGAAGAACCGACTAGTCTCCATGTTAACACCCATAGCCGCGAAGACAATCGAGAAGTTGTCCTCGTGTCCATCGTGGACATCCTTGGTGGGCCGCTTGACCAAGCCGGCTTGGCGACAGATCTGAGCAGCGATTTCGTTGTGCTGGAGACCGGCAGCCGAGAAGATGGGGATCTTCTGTCCTCGGGCAATCGAGTTCATAGTGTCGATGGCAGAGATACCGGTGGAGATCATTTCCTCGGGGTAGACCTAGTCCAACTCCGTCAGCTTTCCGGAGCTTCCCAACTTGCACGAGCAATATGCGTGCATACTCGTGAGTAGGGATTGATGGGCTGGCCGTTGATGTCCAGATAGTCCTCCGCCAACACCTTGGGTCCCTTGTCGATCGCTCGGCCGGAACCATCGAAGACTCGACCCAGCATGTCTTCGGACACACCCAGCTTCAAGCTGTGACCGGTAAACTCGACTTTGGTCTAAAAAAAGTCTCAGCAACTCCGATACCATACAGCCCATCCTTCCGTGGAGTATATACCTTCTTCACATCGATACCCGGAGTACCTTCGAACACCTAATGAACGGAGAGTTGCGTTAACACCTCGCTCGAGATAAGAGAACCGGGGAGTGCATGAATGTCGGTCCGCACCTGCACAACTGCTCTACTTCCTATTTGTCAAATAAAAAAAATGTCAGTCTATGCACGATAACCCTCGAAATAGCACGGAGATGTGGGGAATCTACCTCTAGCCTCCAGCACCTGGCCGGAGCGCTCCGAGCCATCGGGCAGCGTCAAGGAGACGATTTCGTTGTAACGAGGAAATTTGACCTAATACACAAGATAATTCGTGAGTACATGAGCTCTTCGCCTCCTTTCTGCCCGGACCATTCCAAGCTCGCAACTCACATTATCGAGAACGACCAGCGGTCCGTTGATACCTCCGATGGTGTTATAGCGGATGCGAGGCTTGATGGAGGTCATCCGGGGGTCGACGAAGTCGGCCATGGCGAATCGTATCCTCCACGGGTGCAGCACAGAACCTTTTAAAGAGATAAATGGAGGGGGGTGGGATGGCGGAGGTTGAGCTGTCGGGATGGGGAGCTTGGGCGGTGACGGGGCACGTGACAACCACATGCTCCGTGGTCTTCATCACAACCGTCGATTCGAAGAACAAACTATATGGATTGAAAACTTAGAAACTAGGATTTTGTGGAAGGATTTAGGACAAATATTGATTGGAGGGATCGGGGTTCCTCCAGAAGGCTTCGCGGGGCTTCCAGGGCATCATTACGCATGCAAGTATGGCAATCAACGAAAGCCCAGTTCGAGATCATTGTACCCAGAACTGTGACCACGGGGAATTTAAAGATAAAAGACGAATAGCTTCATGAAAATAAAACCGTTCGAGAACAGATTAGACAATGGTCATCGGTGTGAACCAAGTCCAGGGTATTGATGCAAGTTGCAAAGACGAAAAAAAAAAAAAAAAAAGACCCGACAGGCACCAAAAGCTCCACGAAAATGCAGACAAAGTAAAGAAATGGCATCGTGGGAGGCATTCAGTCAACTTTGGCTTGTGCAAGACTCTTCGGTGTCGGCAGGTTATTAGAAAGACGGAAGTTCGTGTTGATTCTGCCCTTGGAAGTGTGTCTCTTGAGCTTGCGACGGGCCACCATCACCGGCACCGAGGAATTGGACAGCAGGTAGTTGGAGAAGGAACCAAGAAGAACACTTAAGTGAGAGGTTAGCGAACAATCAACTCAATTGATCGACAGAAATCGGGTCAGACTCACCCTTTCAAAGCACTCTGACCCCGGGCACCCACAATGACCAGTGTAGGTTCGAGTTCATCAATCTAAGCACTTGAGTTAGCCAGTATTCAGCGAATCCTCATAAATCAATCAACCTACTGCTTCGGTGATCATAAGTTTGGGGTTCTTGCAGTGTATCACCTCTACGGCAATGCGAACCTGCAAGAGTGTCTTCCGAAGCAGCTTCACACAGGTGTTCGACACAGCCTCAACAGCCCTAACTCGTTCTGCTTCCGCCATGGGTGATGCCCGGGCATCAACAGACCCCGACTTGCTGGCAGTGCCAGGGCCCAGACGGCCCAGAAGGTTGCGGGATGGTTGAGCTGAGTTCAGTGTCGCTTCTTTGGTCTGAGTTCCAACGACCGCTGTGGCATCTTGGATTGCTTTGGCTCCTTCACCAACCTGCACTGAAGAGATGTTGGAATCCTCATGCACGGCGCAGATGGCAAACATGGTATCCCCGTCCCGCAGAACGGTCCCAATCGTCCACTCCAGCGCATATACCGACTCTTCACTCAGGTCTGTGGCAATTAAATACTTGCGCCGCCGGCGCCGGCTGCCATCGGCTCCCTCCTGCAAGCTCGTGAAATTGCCGCGAACGATTGTGCGAATTGATCGGTTGTGAACAAGGTTGTCAATAGCGGACATGGAGATGCGAAGTTTCTGGGCACGCTTGATGTCATCCACCTCCGCTTCGTCTTCCGATCCGTATGGGGTGTTGGTGGCTGACTGGTTATGTGGAGTCGGGATGTCGAAGCTTGTCTGCGGATGAACAACGGCTTTCAAGGCCGACTTCTTGGGCTTCTTCTCTTGAGGTCCTGCTGGAGGCTTCTCGCTAGGTTTTTCTAGAGCCGGAAATTAGTCCATGGGTGCCTTCAACCGTAATAGAGTCACATACGCTCATCCTCGGGTTGAGTGGGCTTGTCACTCTTCGGTTTATTGAAATCACTTGGAGTGATGGTTCTGATATCAGAGTCTTTCTTCTTGCGTCCCCGAGCTTCCCCGGGCATGTGTTCCTCATCACTCGACGTCTCTTCGCCCTCATCTTCACTGCTTTCGATGATGTTCTTGTCCCGGTCAAAAACATCCTTGGCCAGGCGCTCGCCAGAGTCCCCATGTGCAACAGGTTTCACGTAATCAGGAAGGTTGCCCGCAGGCTTGGATAGCACTTCATCCGATTTGTTGTGCACATCTTCCATTTGGAGCGCCTTCCCTCTTCCACTGTTAATGGGAGTCGGTTTCTCCGAGTCCGTATTGGCACGGCTACCAGGGGAGACCGGGCGTCCAAATGAGGACGGAGATCGAGAGTCCAGCGACGAGCCCCGTTGTGATGATCCTCGTCCGGGCTCTCTGCCGCGGGTAAAGCTCTTGGGGAAGAATCTTGATTCCAGCCCCGACATCATTGCTGCCATTCCCCTCCGAGCCTGGGGTTTGTCTCGCGATTGCAAAAATCGTTTCTTGGCCGATGGATGGTCCGAGGATGAGGGACCAATATCCGATTTCGAGTCCTCCTCGATGCCAATCACCGATGCTCGGCGGTCGGTGCCACTGCCAATGTCCAATGATCTACGAGAGGCACCGTCGACACCAGCCTTGGGCCTCTCTGGAGAGCTCGGCGCAGACGCCATTGTCGAAATCGTACGCAGAGGAGACGATTGGAATGGTTCAGCCGGGCTGCGGACAGCGTGTGCCCTGAGAGGAGTTGCCCCGCTGATACCAGCGCCCGCGCTTTTTTCCGACTGCGGGGCACTGAGCAGACTCTGGAGGGCGCGGGTGACGGTTGGTTTTTGGTTGGCGTCGACACTCGATGAATGCGCTGGTGAGCGACGACCAGGATCTGTCTTGTGGTCTTCAAGCGCAATCTGAGAAGATATGGGAGAGGAGAGTCCGTGGGACGACATCACAAGTGGTTCCGCCTTCGGCCTGAACTGCTGTGGAGAAGCCGAAGCTCGGCCAACGACAAGCACTGGAATGTGGAGCGATCGGCCTAATGACGATAGTGCCTCCGCAATCAAGGAATATTAAGGGGTTTTTTGGATCAGAGAGAAGGATTCCAGAAGGATGCGAGTCATACTCTGCCAAAAACACAGTGAAGGAATGGGCAGTTCGAGTGTTTATACCAGGTATGGAGAAGGCACCCAAGGTGAGGCTTCCTTAGTTTACAACAGCACGCATCTAAATGACAAATGCTGAAAATAACAAAATTGGAGAGTGGTATCTTCTCGGGCGCTATTCCAAGGAATTTGAATAAAAACAATGATCCCACCGGGTCCCCTGCAAACCCAACTCCCAGCTCCGTCAAGTCAAGTAGATGAAAAAAAAAAGGAAGGCGCTCAGAAAACATGCATCTTCAGAATATAGCCACGGCGATTATGACTTGGCCTTCATGGTTTTGGGCTTCGCTCCCTTCTTGGACGTCTTCCGAGCCCCAACAGCCGCAAATGCCTCATCCGAGGGCTCATCCGAGGGCCCACGCTTCTTGCCATTGGGCTGGCCGTACTTTTCTTCGAGATGGGCAAGGAAGCCCTGGCCGCGTTGCTGCTGTCGCTTGGTGATCATCGCCAGCAGATCATCATCGCCAGTTCCCGAAGCCTTGGACGGCTTTGATGCTGCTGCTGCCTTCTTGTTCTTGCTGCCCTCAACCTCCTTGGCAAGCTTTTCAGCCTCCTTGGCTTCTTTCTGAGCGCGCTTCACCCGTCGCTCCCGCTTCGTTTCCGGTTCCTTGGTGTATGCCTTGAAGTCCTCCACCTCGCCGTCAGCAATGGCCTTGTCGAGGATAGCCCGGAATCTTTCGTCGTCATCTAGAACATTGGACAGCATGACACTGTCATAGATGCTGTCCAAGTTACCTTGGTGTATCTGGTAGGCTTCCAGCAAATCACGCTTCTCCTCGTCCGACCCTTGGTATTTCTTCTGAAAATCTCCAATGGCACGCGAGTCCAGCATTGCCGACAGCTGTTCACGGTAGAAATCCATCCAGTCGAAATCCCCATCTTCCCCGAACACTTCGTCGGTGCTGCCCGTGCGGTCGTAGACTTGTCGCCGACGCGAATCAGACAGGACACCATATGCGAGGGCGACCTGTTGGAATTTTGCGTGGGCTTCTTCCCGGGCATCCTCGCTCACCTTGTCTGGTTGGATGGGTATGTGATCAGTTGGTGTTCTGTGGAGCCAGTATTGCGCGACGTGTCGTAGATGATATTAGATCACATACCGGGATGGTGTTTGAGGGCATTCTTTTTGTATGCAGTCTTGATGGCCTCTGGTGTTGCATCAGATGATACACCCAGGATCTTGTACAGATCCTCTTCGACCGAGGGCAACTGCCCATCTGAGGCAGGATCCTGCGCCTTCGCGCCTTTAGCCATTGGTGCAGTAAAGTAGCGTGGCTGGTCACACAGAAGGCAGAAGAACGAACAATCCTCTCAAACCAACAATGAATGTTGAGAAGAAAAAAGTGAAAGCTTGCACAAGGTGATGTTGACTCGGGTTGATCAAAGTTGATTCACGCGAGTTTGACGCGACGGGCCGATGCCGTCATCGTTTTGCTGCAGCTCCCCGCCTTCGAGCTCTTGGAAACCTACCGCATTATATCTTGGACGACCTTTCATTATTCTTGGAACTGGCATCGGAGAAGACTCAAGGATTTCTCATTCTTATTTCATCAAACCACACTACGAAGCCAGCTCATTGACTAGTGAGAGCGCTTAAGTTCTCTTTCTCCCCACCTTCAACTCACCATGACGACAACCACCTCCCCTCACGTTCCTTACATACGAAAATGCCTCTCCCTGGCCGAGCAATCACCCCCTCGCCCAACCAACTTCCGCGTCGGTGCCCTCCTAATCTCCCGCAAAGACGATGACCCCGCCATGGCCGATGACCGCATTCTCTCGACCGGGTACACAATGGAGCTAGCGGGCAACACACACGCCGAGCAATGCTGCTTTGCCAATTATGCAGCAGTGCACCAGGTGGCCGAGGAGGCTGTCCCCGATGTGCTCCCGGTCGAGCCTGGCCGCAAACTTGTTATGTATGTGACGATGGAGCCATGTGGGAAGCGACTGTCGGGCAATGCGCCGTGTGTGCAGCGCATTACGAGGACGCGAGAGGGTGGCCGGGCGGGGATTCAGAAGGTTTTCTTCGGAGTCAAGGAGCCTGAGACTTTCGTGGGCGAGTCGGAGGGGTGCAAGGTATTGACTGCGGCGGGGATTGAGTGGGAACATGTGTCCGGACTGGAAAAAGAGATTTTAACGGTTGCTACTGCGGGACATGAAAATGGGGAGGAAGAGGTTAGGACTGCGCTGGGGGATAAGGAGACAAATATTGATGATATCAGCGCGGAAGAGCGGCGGAGGCAGGAGCAGATACCCCGGAACCCGAAGAAGAGGATGATGGAGGGGGAGACGGCTCTTTATTAGAGATAGAAAAATACACTCGAAAGATTCTCGTGGATGTTAAATTATAGTGTACAGTAGTAGGTTTATGAAAAATGATTCTGAGGATCTACTATGAATGTTTCCACCGACTAGGCCATCAAATACCCTAATGATGTGTAATCCAAACTTACACCCATTAAAAAACATGAATACGCCCAATCAATGGACTCTAGTAAGGAATCCTGCAGTGCAGAAAACAGCCCGCGTGTTGATCAGATCTATACTTCTAGGCCACGTGACCCGCCCATCGGCTTCTCTCGATGATAACTCCAAACTCCCTTTGCAGATTCCCACACGCTCCGCCGTTGATACCATAGAAAGAGCAGAAGTACAAACAAATCAAAAATGACCCAATGGATACAGCCAAACATGCCAGCCCAGTTTTCTACCCCGCATTCTGCTTCAAGGCATCGCCAACCCACTTCGCCTGGGTGAAAATGGCCGCGGCAGATGTGCATCGGCTGCAAAGGCGGAGAGGCTTTGAAGGTAAGCATATTATTTATTTTCTTCTTTTTTTTTTTTTTTTACCTTCTTCTTCTGGCATGCAGTTCTACCTCGGTCTGGATGTCTGGTATCTGCATAGACCCGACGGGTCAATCTAGCATGTTTCGGGAGAAGACATTAAATTCCGCTGGAGGGAGATTCGATGTCTGAAACATCTCCCCCCCTCCTCCTTTTCTGGTCCTTGAAACATATTACTTGCTGTTTTTGTTTCATTTGTTTCGGTGTATCAATACCCCATGGCTGTATGATTGCATATATCATGCACAACAGGCCATAGAACCCAATGTGGCCAAGCACCTGATCCATGAAATTACGACAAAACAAAAAGACAGGGAAACAAGACTAACGTCTCCACCCAGGCCAAAACATCTTTTTCTACAACAACCACCCAATCCGCTTCGTCAGCCTAGTCGGACTGGTCGTCGCCCGGACCGAGGTGCCTCGACGAACAATCCTAACACTAGACGACAGCAGCGGCGCCACAATCGACGTAGCCGTACTGCAAGCAGATCCCAGAAAGGACCCATCAAAGGGATCCACAGCGGCATCCAAACTGGGGATAGCAGACGCAGACCCAGATGCCGCAGTATCCATAGACTCAACAGAGATATCGACAGCAGATGGCAAGACAATCTCAACAACAACACCAACAGCAGCAACAGGAACAGCAACCCATGTATCCGCAACAGATCGCACCGAGCTCGACATCTCACGCCTGACACCAGGAACAACAGTAAGAGTCAAAGGCACGCTCTCGCTCTTCCGGGCCACGATGCAACTGCATCTCGAGCGCTTCACGCTGGTGCGGGACACCAACGCCGAGATGCAGTTCCTGGACGAGCGGCTCCAGTTCTTGGTCGAGGTGCTGGCCGTGCCATGGGTGCTGCTGGACGAAGAGGTGGAGCAGTTGCGCGGCGAGGCGGAGCGCGGGGATTTGTTGGCTATTGAGGAGAAGAAGCGCGCGGAACAGAAAGTGAAGAGGCGTGCAGAGCGCGAGGAGAGGGATCAGCGCCATATTCAGAAGAGGTATGAGCGCGAGGAACGGAAAAGAGATAAAGAGGCGGGCGTGTGTAGAGAGGATGGGGTTAAGGTGATGCGGAAGATTCGGAGGAGAAAGGTTCTTCAAGGAGAGTGATATGTCTTTTTTTCTTCTCCTTCCTCTTATTTTAAATGACTGGAAAGCTACGAATGGTTTATATCGTTAATTCAGGATAGCTTACAACATTATGTGAACTTGCTTCTTGCCATGCCAAACTATTATGTACCATTGCACCCCTATATTCCAAAGCGCATCATCCGTGAGACAGAATCAGTCTCGACCCCCAAAAAGACGGGGTATCTTCATGCCACATAGAACGCCGAGCTTGAGAAATAACCAGGGAAAAACAACCAGATTCAAAAGAAAAGAAAAGAAAAGAAATCAGAGCAACATCAACGGTAGTACTTGTACTCGTGAACAGGGCCACCGCCCTGCCCACCCAGCATACCACGATAATACTCTTCGCCACCCCGGCTTCCACGGTGCGGGACGTGCTCTCTATATCGCCGAATATCGTCGTCTGGAGGGAGAGTAGACGTTGGAGACTCGGTGTACAAGTCTCCGGTAGACATGCCACCGTACCTGGGCGGGTGATCACGGCTGAGCAAGTCGCTTTCCGAATGGTGATAGTCACCGGTGTGAGAGTTAACGCCGCGAGAGGAGCTGCGGGAACGGCGCGAAAACCGATGGGCGGGAGCCGGACCGGATCCAGAGCGGGCGTAGGGCGGGTCTCGTTCGTATACCCCCGAGAGTCGATGATTTGGAGCAGATCCCGGGATGTCCGCTGGCCGGGTCGTGGAGAAGGAGCCGGTGTGGCTATGAGTGCTGCTCGGTTCATCGTATACTTTGCCCCCTCCCGGCTGGGCCGAATAGGGTTTCCTCTCGCGTTCAATGGGCGCAGGAGAAACGGTCTCGTCCTCGTCATCGACTACGGCAGAGGAAGATGTCGAGGCCGATGGCGGAGGGCGACCTCTTTCGTAAGAGCTCGCTCGCTCGCTCGAGGAGTCGCCGGATTGAGGAGACCTTCTCGACCGGCTGGCCTGGGACCGTTCCTCGTCGGTGATGTGAGGCAGGTCGACGCCACAGTGTTTCATGATGTGTCCCTCGGTCTCCTCTCTCAGTTGCAGATCGGCGACTTCTGGGAACAAACGGCGCGGGATCTCCTTGGGGAACCGCTCTTTCTTGTCGTCCGGGTTGTTGATCGGCATGTTAAGTACTGCGTTAGCTAATCGCTCGTACTCGCGCTCCGGATGGGCTTGAACCATCAAGGTTGCCCATTTCTCAAAGCCATTGGGCGTCAGACCGGGAATATCGGGTCTCTCGTCTAACTTGTCTTGTACAAGGTGATGCTCTGCCTGCACCTCACGGAAGAGTCTGGAGATTGACGATGTGCGGTCATCAAATATGTCTGGGTTCGTCACAGTTAGGATGTCTGCATATTCAGAGAATTGTGATGCGACATACCTTGCCATGGATAAGGATCCGATGTGACATGAGTATCCTGGTAGAACTTTTGTAACTTGTGGGGAACGATGACAAGGGTGTTCCCCGGTGGGTAGTCCTCAATCTGCCCTGGAAGTTAGCCATTCACCCTCGACATAGACCACGAGCAGATTTATAGAACATACCAGATGAACAGCGATCCCGCGCAAGAATTGGCCGAGCCTCTTTGTCGGCTTGCCATCCTCGAACAGTTTGCCCCAGATCTTCTCCAGCGTTGTCATCTCCGTCAACGTGGCATCCCGGGACGGGGGTTTGGGACGAGTCTCTGGCTTCGCACTGCGATCGCTGCACTGGCTTGATAGCGAGTCATGTCTGTCTGGCAGATCCGGAGACGGCTGGGGACTTGAACGGGTATCTGCCGGGTAGCCGGAGGGAGGTGCGTATTGTGACTGGGGATCATAAGGTCCGGGGATTGGGTTTGGTGGCGGGATCGAGGTGCTTCTCTGTGAGGCCATCGAGTGAGGCGAGTCGTTGTGAGCGCGCAGCAACGGATCTACCGATGGCCATGGCGGCTGTGAATGCGGGGGTGGTGGTGGTGGAGGGCCTGATCCTTGGATATTCTCCAGCCCCGTCGCCTTAAGCTGTTGAATCACAGTTGCCGTGATATGCGACAGAACATCAGGAGAGAGGTAGGTCGACGAGTCGGCATTGTGGACTGCGGAGCTGACGGCCTCGTCGATGCCATTATTCTGCGGGGGCCGTGGGGGATTGGGATATGCTTCTGGGTTCTGAGCAGGCGATCCGGTCGGCATCGGAGGCTGCGGAATCGGCGGCTGGGGCATGTTGATATGATCTGGCTCATAATAAGATGGGTATGGAGGGGTGGGCGAATAATACCCATGGGGGTCGTTGAGGTCCGGGTTCATATTGCCCGTTGGGTAGGAGTTAGGGTAGTGCTCATCGTATGCCATGAGGTGATTGAGGCAAAGAAGAGGCAGCGATTTGTAAGAAAGCAAATATGGTCGAGAGACAGAAATGCGACGGAGGGGCTGTGGGGAAAAAGAGGCTGTGGCGATCCATTGGCGTCATCTCTCCTCAGTGCAACTCGACACTCCCCAAGGCAGTTTCATTAATTTCGAGTGTCACACAATGTCATATTGCTCGACTGAGCTGAAGCGTCATGATCGGCAATTTACGCATACCCGTCGGCCATTGACTTGGCACCTATCAGCATTGCGAATAGCACTGTTTTACTACTAGTACCTGGCCGTTCCCGGGCTGACAATCCTGCTTTAACAGTTCACTGATATAGCCGCATACATGGATCATGGCATTTCAGAGAGAACCAGCCCTTTGATTATTCTCCAGGGATCCTTGGGTCTTGTGGGGACGCGGTACCACCGATGTCATAACCACGGCTCTCTTTGTGTCCGACCGAGAAAGGAAAAAGCAAAACTCTGGCTCCCACGCCATACATATTTCAAAAGCACACCTCGAGGCCATCATTCAACGAAGACAGTTGCTAGCGTTAGGACATCTTCGATACCGAGACATGCGCCAACGCCGCTGGAGGTGGAGATTAGCAACTAAATAGCAAAATAGCAGATTTTTTTTCCACTCACAGGAACGGAGGAGAGACGTGAGCAGCATCACCTGCGACACACACCGGTCCGAATGCATACAACTTGAGAGGGTGTCTCGTCGAGTCGAAGATGATCCAAAAATCCACGGCCTCAGGCAGAGCCGCGATCAACTTCTGCACGCCAGGCTCCCAGCCTGAAAAGTACTTGACCACACCCTCTCTATCGGTGGTGTCCTTGAGGTTAAGCTTCTTCCACTCTTCGGCGTCTTGCATGACAGCACCAATGCCCAGGAACTTGCCCTCGGGGTTGGTGAACGGATACGTGATCACATAACCACCGGGCCCGACGTTGATGATGAGGTTGTTGGCCGCATCGCCGAGGATTTCCAGCACCTTCTCCCACGAAATGTGATTGCGGTATTCGCGCTGCCGCGTGTCGTGCGGAATTGCTGCCGGGTCCGTCTTGTCGAGGAACATGCGGCGAGTGGGAGACCTGATTCTATCGCATGCAAGAACTTTTGACAATGTTTGTATCTGTATTAATTCCAATCAAGAGCGTTGAGAACTTTCAACTTACCAGCATCAATCTCGGCAGTCGTCCCGTTTTGAAAGGTCAGCACCCGCTTGCCATCTTCTCTCGCCTCAATTTTCTCCAGCCTCATACTGAACTTGTCAGCTGGAATAAGCTTGTCCAGCTCAGCGGTAAACTGGTCTCGGGGCAGAGGTCGCAGGACATCGCAGCCTGCCTTGTTCCTGATGGCGAAATCGTACGGCAGCTCGCCTTCATGCGTCCGCCGTTGAAAGAAGTCAGGGTGTTGATTCGTCATGTAAACCGCAGCTCTGGGTGGGTTAGCAGCCTTGTCCAGTGCCTTGAGGATGTCGGGGTTCAACTGGCGCATATTCTCCATGGCGTTGGATGTGAAAGCCATGCCAGATCCCTGCCTGCCTCTCGCTGTGCCTTGCCCGTAGAGAATTGCAGGGATGTTTGGTCGGTTCAAGAGGCCAATGGCCATTTGGACACCGATTACGCCGCCGCCGATAATGGTCACTTCAAGTGGCTTGGAGGTAGACATTTTTTTAATTTTGTTTCGGGTTTAGTTTTCAAAGAAGTGTTTGGATTGAATTGTTGGAACTTTGGACAGGATAATTGAAAAGGTATATATAGCTATCCTGTGCTCAATAAGCATGAACTCCTTGTAGTCGCATAGCCCCTCCATCCATGGAATTAGTTGTATGCCCGAATCCTGACTCGTGCACCTGGACCCGTTGACTGCACAGGCTTTTTACTACAATAGAAACATAATCAGATAATACCTTAAAATACCAATATATCATTTAAGATCTCAATACAAAAAAATCATGTATTTCTAGCACGGTTTTACTAAGGGTCTGGAGTATATATTGCAGTATTGATAGCATAGTAGTGATAAACAAAAAGGGAAAGACTCTTTGACAAGGAATACTTGATTAACGCCGACAGTCTATGATTGGTATGGAGATAGACCAAACTCCCGATACCGCATGTCCTCCGCAATGAACGGCGATTTCGGTTCGGAGGATATGGACTACAGCCGTTGTCCCCGGAGCCCGAGCTGCCCCGCCCTGGAGGATCATAACTAGTTAATGAGGGTGAGTCGGCAGAGTGATCCCCGAGATCCGCCTAGTTTGACATCAGTAGTTCTCGTTAACGCCGAGGGGGCAGCTTCGGCCCTTAGATGATCGATATACATATTGCTAATCATGGGGTGCATGGGGCCGGACGCGGTGCTGGTTAATGAACCTGTGAGCAACTACAGCAGTTCGCTTCAGAATTGCTTCGTTTCGAGGTTATGGGAAGGTGGAAAATAGAGCAATGGCACTCCGGACCGCCTTAGAAAAGCGTCATGGCAAGGTGATATATATATGTTCTAGACTAAAATGCAGATGGATGATACGAAAGTCAGATCTATATTTCAAGTATGTGACTACAATATATATTCGCAAAGGTTACCCGCTCTACTCAATCTGGCATTTTCTTTTCTTTTCTAGGCGATGCTACGATAAAGCTTCTATATAATCATATTTACTCTACCGTATTCCATGCTACAGGGGACATTTGGTCGTCCTATGCCACCTGCTGGTTGTGGGAACCAGATTTGCTGAAGCAGTAGATAGCCCCGGCAACCTAGCAACCTAGCTCACCCTCTGCTCTATAATTTAAATTATAGGCAGGGCGCATAGAGTATTGAGCTGCTAAATACAAAGAGCCACTGCTTTATCTTGCGACTCAATATCTTACAGGGAAACTCGAGAATAGAGTGTACGACTATGGATTGGTCTTACGTTGCCAGCCTTGAGAAACGCGGTGTTTTCATATGGGCGCGGATATATAATTTTTAGATATGGTGTGTGCATGCGGGCTTTGAGAGTTGAGTCTCAGCAAGATCAGATATTTTCGCATCATCACTGCAATATGAAAAAGGGGACAAGTAGATATCAGGCTATAGGCGCCGGATTGACTCCCGTCATCCCGAACAAAGACTTAAGGAGCCATCCCAGGGCTGTCCATGTGATAAGAAAAACCACTCGAGGATCTAGTCAGACTCGAGACACTGGATACCGCGAATTATCAGTTATCTAGAGGATCACTTGCGGCGCAGTCGAAGATCACCTAGAGATGCTCTAAATATATCTATCCGTGGATATGCCCCCCCCCCCCCCCCCCCCTTTTAGCACAGCCTTACTGTAAGTAGTAGTAGAGTAGTATGCACCACCGGGGCAGCTTTCTATAGGGGGCAGTCTTCCACGGGGGCTACGGCATGGACCTGCCGGATCATGCGACGGCGCCAAATAGGACCGCACGTTACTGTAGTGACGGTGGGACCCAATTCCCTTTTCCCGGGACATTATGTGCATAGTCAGTGTGCCTCATGCAGGTTTCCCGGGTGCTAGATTTGTATCTAGCGTTGATCTAGCACGATCCGTCGGGACCGGCGTCAACGCCTCGAGTCTTTAGGGCTTAAAGGGGGAGCTTGGCAGCTAAGTCTCCAGTATAGTACACTAAAGGGGAAGGAAGGACGGGCGCTCCCTTTGTTCGGGGTTTGAAGTGGACCCGGTCTAGTAGTTAGCTGGACGAAGTGGGAGGTCCCGCTAGAGATACCCACGATATCATTGTATGCGCGCGGGTGGCGGGAAGGAAGTCCGGAGGGGTTCCATGGAGGGGGAAGGGGAAGGACAAAAAAAAAAAAAGAAAGGAAAAGAAAAGAAAAGAAAAGAAAAGAAAAAGAATAGATAAATCACTTGCGTGGTGATCTTCCCCTGAAGAGGGGCGCTCGGAGAAATACCCATCCAATGTTTGGAGAGTTTCGCGAGTCTCGAGAGCACGAAAGGGGGAGAGATGGCGTTGGACAGAGCTTCGGGGCGAAGGTTAATGATCCCGCTCGTTTCCACGGGCACAAGATGCCAGGAACGCCTTCTCGAAGGACGAAGGAACCCGACGGCGCCTCCCGGCAGTTTGGCAACGGTCAAATAGTGCGCATCCTGGTCGCTTGGTGGCGCAGGGGGAGGAGAGGGGGTAGGTCGATCTCCCAGGCGCTACAACCATGGCCCTTTTCGCGGGTGAGAGAGGGACGGGTCCTGAGTAAACAAAGTCCCCACGCAGTGGAGTTTTCCGTCGTCCCCCGAGTCGACGAGTCTGCGCCAGGCGGCTCCACGAGCACGGTCTGGGCAATAACAATTTGCTGGAGCGTCACCGTTGCGAGGGAATTGGGATGAAGGAAGGGGGCGAAAGAGCCCAAAAACCCACTCGGATTCCAGCTGGCTGGAACCAAGTGTTGAGTGGCCCAATTATAATGATAAATGGTCTGGCAAAGAGGGGACTCCATCAGGATTACCGTACCTGACTCCATCATCGCAACTGTGGAGGGCTCCGGTATTTGTGTATCCTCTCGTGGGTGTGTTTTCTGAACGCCCCATCCATGATTCTTCCCTGTACAGTTGCGGTGGACTCTTTGCTGAGTCTAGTATTGCACTCGAGGGCCCACTGGTAATGAATCCCTCATCCCAAAGCCCCGTATTGTGCTCGGTACGGCCCTTGGGGGGTGAGCCCACACACACGGGACACGGGGGACTCTGCAGATTTTCCTCATGCATTGACCGCGACAGTGCAATGATGACAATTCTTCATACCTCGGAATTGTCACCATAGTGTAGTGATAATTTGAATGGCTAATGCCTTGTTAAGTACCTTGAAATCTGTAGCATCCCCGAGTCAGCAGACCTCTCTCATGTGATATCCAGCAGGGGGCAAAGGGCGCAATCTTAGAATGATCCTTGCGGGTCTCTAACGGTGGCCCCAGGGTTCGTCCCGACAGTGCAGGTATTGGATTACCATACCCCTAATAAAAAAAAAAAAAAAAAAACCAATCCCCAACGTAAAAATGGTTGACAGGTAGATTAGGGATCCACGATGGACGTGATAGACATGATAAACATGATCGTCTGTCCGTTGTTGTGTCGTCGGGTCAGTTGCGCCTTGGCGAGGGAGATGTGGAGGAACAGAGAACGCACAAGCCAGATGAGTACCATGCTGACGCGGTGTCCAAGTTGTCCAAGCCCGTTGAGAACGGTGTCGTCAAGCGCGGGATTGTAGGAATTAAAGGGAGGATAAGAGGGGGGAATCATCGGGCGCCAGCTGTTCCCAACCACCTCATCTACTGGACATGCATTGAGCAGGGCACCGAATCAGAGGAACAGTATACTGTGTTGAGATTGTTCTTAAGCTATTGTCGCAAGAACGCGTCCGAACCTAATTATTTATTATTTTATTATCTTATTATTTTACCATCACGTTTTATATGGTGACTGATAGATTAAAGATCATTGAGAGACACGGGGACCTGAGATACCCGATGGTGGCAAAACACTTTCACTGTAGGACATGACATAACCGACAATAAGGATCCTCCTTGCTCTCGAACTGTCGATTGCTGGGAAATGACTGGTCCATCGAGGAAAAGGCTGGGAATCCCTCGGAGAAGAAGAATTCAAATCAGAGAAGAGAAGAATACATTACTCAATTACCCACAAGAACAGGGCGGCCCAACGGCCCTACGCTCTATTGTATGCCCAACCCTCGGCGATGAGCTACTGTACATAGTTCCTGTACATATAGGGCATGAATTCTATAATTCTATACTTCATACCTTGATTTAGTAGAAATTCGAGTGAGATTCGCGGTCATTTTGTTCTGTTTCGCCCCAAACACGAGATTTGGCTCTTTGTTTTTATTTTTTCTTTGTCGTTTTTGGAGAAACAGAAACAAAGTGTCCGTTCCACCCGTGTCCCATTGGCCATGGGGTGGTGTATGGATGCGTATATTTGGTATATTTGTATCTTCGGTATATTCGGTATCCCTGGTACATGCGTGTATTGCGGTAATCCGCTATTCGATCAAGAGTATTGCCCAATATTGTCTCTTTTCTTTTCTTTTTTATCTTCTTCTATTCCCTCGAAAGGCGCCCTTTTTTTCTCTCTCCTTTCCTCTTGTCCTCTTTTTCTTCTTCTCTTTTCTCGAATTCATTTTTGGCCCAATCCTCAACCACTCTGGTGGGTTGGATCTGCATCGTCCTAAGGTCGTTAATTTACGGTCTCCACGGCCCCGTCGTGGGAAGCTCGAGCTGTCAGCGCGTCAGGGGGTCTCCGATCGCTCTGGGTCTTCTCCTATTCAGGATTTCCCTTTTATTGCATCGTGCCCGTGTCTTTGCCTTCTCATCTCCTCTCTCTTTCCCAACTACTCCGTCACTCCTTACTTAGCCATTCGATGGGAGACACTTGCTCGCTTGACTCCTCACTGTTTGTCGGATCATGAGCGTCGGCTATTGACTTTTCTTCCCAATTTACACCCCGGGAAGCGCTCATTCCAACCCCTCCCTTTATCCCTCTCTACATAATGTGAGCACCCGCTTCCCCCACATTCTGTCGCTATCGATCTCCACGGATGATGACGGTGCTGACATCCATCCAAGACTTCCCATCTCTTCGTTCTGCTGGCAGACCTGAAGAGACACCATGACGGTCACATACGAGACTCCCGCTCGGGGGTCACAGACCTCTGTGGCGCCGCTAGAGGACCGCTTCGAGGTGATGAAGGAAATCGGCGATGGAAGTTTTGGTAGTGTTGCCGTGGCTCGGGTACGAACCGCGGGTGCTCATATCGCTCGCCGAGGGACCATGGTACGCTTACCCGCAAGCGCTCTCCCCCGTGGTTGAGACTAACACCCGCTCAGGTCGCCATCAAAACTATGAAGAAAACCTTTGATTCTTTAGCCCCGTGTCTGGAGCTGCGAGAGGTGATATTCTTGCGAACATTACCCGTGCATCCGCATCTGGTTCCTGCGCTCGATATCTTCCTCGACCCCCTCTCTCGCAAGCTGCATATCTGCATGGAGTACATGGACGGTAACCTGTACCAATTGATGAAGGCTCGGGACCACAAGTGTTTCGAGGCGAAGCACGTGAAGAGCATCCTGTACCAGATCCTGTCTGGGCTGGACCACATCCATGCGCATCACTTCTTCCACCGTGACATCAAGCCCGAGAACATCCTGGTGTCAACCTCCGCTCCCAATGACTCTGCCTTCAGCCGCTACTCCAACCTCGTCACTCCCCCCTCCACCCCTCCTACCTACACCGTGAAGATCGCCGACTTTGGTCTCGCCCGCGAGACCCACTCCAAACAGCCGTACACGACCTATGTCTCGACACGGTGGTACCGGGCTCCCGAAGTGCTTCTGCGTGCCGGAGAGTACTCGGCTCCAGTGGATATGTGGGCAGTTGGTGCGATGGCAGTCGAGATTGCTACGTTGAAGCCCCTTTTCCCGGGCGGCAACGAGGTCGACCAAGTATGGCGCATCTGCGAGATCATGGGCAGTCCAGGCAACTGGTACAGCAAGTCTGGCTCCAAGATTGGCGGCGGCGAGTGGCGTGAGGGATCTCGACTGGCCCACAAGCTGGGTTTCACATTCCCCAAGATGGCTCCGCACGCGATGGACACCATTCTGCAACAGCCGCAATGGCCGGCTGCCCTGAGCGGGTTCGTCACTTGGTGTCTCCTGTGGGACCCCAAGAGCCGCCCGACTTCCACTCAGGCACTGAACCATGAATACTTTGCCGATGCCGTGGACCCGCTGCGACCCAAGTCTTCTACGTCCTCGCGCCTCCTGGGCCGCAAGCACTCTGAGAAGAGCTTCAAATCCCCGACTCTTTCTCCCAGTGACTCCCCCACTCTGTCCTCGAAGCCCTCGTGGTTCCGCCGCTCCCTGATCGGGCGATCTGATAGCCCTGCCCCGACCCTGGAGAATGATAGCCCGGTCCGACCTCCCGCCGTTTCGCAGAATACCGCCCCTGAGGTGCCGCCCAAACCCAGACCTGCCAACACCAAGCGGGCGACCTGGGCCAATGGCGCTCCGATGCCTATTCTTCCTTCAATTCGACCTGTTTCTCCCCTTTCCAACTCCGTCACGGCTCAAGCCAATGCGATGGTGGCGCATGGCGAGAAGACCAAGACCTCTGACACGGAAGCCAGCAAGGCCAGCAAGAAGATAGGCCGCCAACTGTCTGTCAACTCCAATGGGAACCACTACTCAGACGCCCATCGCCAAGAAGCCGAGCGGATGCTGAGTGGCTCCGGCAACATTACCCCCACCACCAAGGAAAGTTTCTTCTCGCATCTGCGCAAGCGAGCTCGTCGACTCTCTGGTCGCAACCAAGCAAATGCTGCTCCCGATGACATCGAAGCCAATGCCGGTTGCATCCCCTGGTCCAACCGCTCTTCTATGGCCCTTGACGGGGCACCGACAGAGTCGAAGCCCAACTCTGACTTGAGCGAGCTGGACAAGGCTCTCCAGAGTGTGAAGTACTCCTTGGACACGTCCACTCTCAGCAATGTCCCGGTGCAGTTGAACTCTGGGGCTGACGGCAAGCCTATCAAACGTCAATCCATGCCCCAGGCTACTACCACGAATCCCGGTCCCATCTCCAGCAGGACCCGACGTGCGTTGCAAATGTCGACGCACCCAGTCCACCGGTACGAGACGCCCGAGGAAGAAGATGAGCTGCTGGATGAGGTGTTGCACTCGGCCAGCAAGGCCGCCAAACGCCTTGCGCAGACGCAGTCAATGGCCGCCGAATCACCCAGTGTTCACCGTCAGACCGACAACTCGCACGCTCTGCCGAGCCCATACCCCACGCCGTCGCCCACTGCTAAGCCCACTGGCATCACCTTCAGTGATCAAGCGACGCCGAGCAAATCAGCCACCCACAAGTTGGATCCCGCGACCTCGAACCGCCACTGGCCCACTCCCCCATATGAGGAGGCCGAGTGGACTCACAAGTCAACCGATTACTTTGGCTCGGGAACCAACTTCATCTAAATATGAACAGTGAATCTGTTCCTCTTTTACTCTCATTTCGACTCAAAACCAACAATCTGGCGAACCTGCACAAAAAAGGATGCAAAACCGAGTTAGGCGTATGGATTTCGGAAGTCTTCTGATTTTTCTCTCAAGGTCTGGCCGCCCTGGTTTGTTTCATATCGGGCATGGGTTTTCTTTCTTTCTTTTTTTCGTTCTTTCGATCTTGCTTCATACCCCCTACAGGCTTTTCCCTTTTACATAGATCTCTTTGCACCATTGCTTTTTCTGCAGTCATCCCCTTTCTTTTCACCCTCGTTGATACCACATGCGCAAGTCGCAACCCTATCCTGCATTTCCTTGATCTTTCCACATCCTGCGCATCTCACTTGCTGACCATTCTCGATGAACATGGCGCTTCCATTTCTTTTGTTGATATATATTTGACTCTCTCTTGTACATTCCTCGGCTACTGCCCTCCTCTCTATCATTTTTCCTTTTTTCTGTGTCATACTTGCATATTGCCCATCCAGATTTTCCCAGTTCACCCTGTCCATTCTTTCCTGTATCATCCTTGACATCCCTGCGAAACGGACTGGCCGGGATCCGGTCCGTGCTACACTTTTGTAATATAGCACTCTGAGTGGCACACTTGCCATCATACATACACTTTGCATGCATATAATATCCAGCGATTGTTTTGACTGTCATTTTGATGTATCAACAACTACTAGTATAGGACTTATAGACCAGTCACATCACATAGTATCGATGGTGCTCCACTTGAGCGGAGCGGAACAGCGATTTTCCAGAACCATTAAGATTTCCCAATCGAGAAAGCTCTGCATCGTGCCAACTTTTTTCTACTTCAATTGCATTTCCTGGCTGCTGTATTCTCGAGGACTGGCTGTGGGTTTTACCTCCCTACCCTTTAATTTGGTTTTTTTTTGGCAGTCCTACAACTTCGACACTGGGTCCTCCCAACAGCCCGTCGCAGACGGTGAACGGAAGCTAAATCTGCGCAGCCTCGATCGTCTCGCCTACACCATATTGCAGGTCTCCAAATACAGCCAGCACACTCAACTGAAACACCAAGTCTCAGGCACACTCCATCAATCTCCTCAAGACCACAATTCTCCATCTCCATCCACAATGGCCGCCCAACGGCAGGCCTCATCCGCATCACAGACCCCACACCTCTCACCCGCCGAGCTCTCCTACCTCTACACCTCACTCTCCCTCCCCAAAACCCCCATCCGCCCCGATGGCCGCTCCACAACCCAGTTCCGGCCCCTGACCGCCGAGTCCAACATCCTGCCCGGCACGAACGGCAGCGCGCGCATCGGGTTCGCGGACGGCACGCAGGCCGTTGTCGGCGTCAAGGCCGAAGTCGAGAAAACCACTGTGGCGGCTGACACACTCGATGCGCGCGGTCTGTTCCAGCAGCAGGAATCTCCTGCTGCTGCTGCGGGAGACCGCGAGGCGCAGGAGGGCCTGGGCTCGGCTGCGGTCTCGGGGCATGGGTCGTGGGTGCAGATGTCGATTGAGATTCCCGGGTTCCGGGATGATGATGCGCTTCCGGTGTTCTTGTCGGAGATGCTGCGCGAGTCTTTGGTTGGTGCTGTTTCGGGTTCTGGTGGTGAAGATATGGCTGGTGGGCTGAAGGGTCGGCTGGTGATTAACAAGCGCTGGCATTGGCGCTTGTATATTGATGTAAGTCTGGCCGACGCAAGAGAACTCGACAAGCATATTTTGAAGCCACAAAATACTCATATGTGTTTAGGTCCTCCTCCTCTCCCAGCCTCTGTCATACCCCCTCCCCCTCCTCTCCCTCACAACGCATCTTGCCCTGCTCTCAACCAAGCTCCCCAAACTCAAGTCCCAAGGCGAGGAAGACCCCCTCTTCGACGACGACTGGGCCGCCGCCCAATACCTGTACCCGCGCTCGGCACCAGGCTCAACTGCCCCCGTTACTACCTCCCAGCAAGTGCGCCCACCCGTGACACTGCTCGTGATCTCCGTCGCCGACAACGTCATCTTCGACCCCACCCGCGAAGAAATCGCCGTCGCCGACGCCGTGCTGGCGATTTCCGTTGCGCGCGATGGCGGGCATGATGGTCTGAAACTGCTCTCCATTCGCACTATTGACCCGCCTTCTCGTTTGACTCAGCCCGGTGTGCCGAACTCCGAAAATGTCAATATGCTGGCTAACGCTACCTCCGTGGATGATTCTGCTGCTGGTGGTGCTACGGCTGTGAACCTTGCTACGGGCGACGAGGAGGTTTCTGGGGTGTGGCGCCCGCGCCGGGGTGGTGCGAAGCGCAGTGTTCTTGCGCGCATGGTGAAGACGGTATTGCGGAAGGGTGGTGTAGGTGAGGAGGTTCTCGAGGGACTGGAGGGTGTGGAGGTGGAATGATTTATGTGTATGCATTATTGGGGTCTTCTTTTTCCCTCTGTTTTTGTCTACTAGAAACCGCTGGCGAGTTATGACTATGCAATCTCGGAGCCGGAGTATTCTTGACGTGATAGAAAAACCAAATGCTCTAATATACATGCGCGGACCAGTATGCACAATACAAGGTCAAAATATCGACTTGCCCATCCATCTATGTATGAGAGGAAATTTCACCAAATCCCCAACCACTTCTTAACAGGCCTCCGATTCCCCTCCCAATCAACAAACTCCCGCGGACTACCATCCTTCGCCTCAGCACTCCCAGCAGTAGCAGTAGCAGGTACAGCATTCGCATTCACGTCCGCCTCCGCCACAGGCGACTGATTATCACCAGTGCCTTGCTCCGCAGGTTCTTCGAGCCCATGCGCAACCCGGTACTGGCGCCGCTTCTCAGCGTCCTCGATCCGACGATGTCGCTGCTCGCGCACGCGCATAGAGTTATGCTGCACGTGCATGCGGTACACGGAGAAGGCCTGGGAAATAGTGTCAAGCGGGTGCGAGAGCAGCCCGGACATTGGGGGGAGGAGGTGCGCGAAGGGGGAGGAGGCTTTGAAGTTTGTGATGAAGGTGAAGGAGGCGCATGAGGTTAGGACACCTTTTTTTTTTAATAATAGTATTAGCAAAATATCAAGAAATATAGAAATATATAGAAAATATAGATGTGGGAGTATTGTTGATGTGGATGGGTGTAATATACTGAGTGTAATGGTACTCACCATCGCAATCCAAATATGAATCCACCGACTCGTCAAAAACTTGAACATCACCGTCCCCTCCGGCGGAAACATGTTCGGGTATTGGCGCTTCTTTTGTGCCTCGCGCTCCTCTGCTGACATCCGTGGACCCGGGTAGTTGATCGGCTCGCTGTTGCGCGAGGACGGGTGGACGAGGCGCTGGGGGGTGCGATGGGGGCCGGAACTTGTCGGGCTGGCTGAGCACTCGGTGGCGGGCATCGTTGTTGTTGGTGATGTTGCTCTTCTTTTTGAGGGCGGTGCGCGTGGTTGAGAAGCTGCGGAGGGTTCGGGTTGAGGGGAGGCCGCGGGGGAGGAGGAAGGTTGGGATTGAGGGTGTTGGAGGCATGGTGGACTCAATTGGGGTTTGAATACCCCCGGAATCACGGAATTGATAGTGTTGAGGGGAGATGAGGTTTGCGATGTTTAGTGGGTGAGTTGGAGGGAAATTTGGGATTAGTGTCACGTGACATTTTATGTACTATACAATGAAAACACCGTCTTTATTTACTCGCCTTTCTCCGGTAGAAATGGCAGAAAAGAAGAAAACATTAAAGACCTCATATCAGTACTGGATCAACAAGGAGATGCAACATCTCATCCTGATTCAGTTTCAAACTGCTAGTGTTCATTGACGCCACCTCCCGTGCACCCCAGACAGTCTCAAGAGCCTCACTGCTCCATTGAGACTCTTTAAAGAGCAGACCATACAGTTCCCAGTGGGAACCTTTGGAAAGCATTTTGACTGTATCTTTTCTGCAAGTACCCCAAGGCAAAACCTTGGACCAATTTCTGCTGAGCAATGCTGCCCGCCATCAATCCCTCGTCAAAGCATTCAACCCCCCACGGCCCAAGACAACCGACCAAAATGACACTGTGACCAGCTCCAGTATCACTGTGGCTGCTCGCATTCGGCCTCTTCTGCACGACGAGGGATCGTCGGGACAGGTTGTCGCGACATTCCCGCGCCATGGCGAGAGGGAGCGGTGGATCTCCATGAGCTGCGGAGGGTGGTGTGCCCCCTCCCCTCCGCCATTGAATGTTAGTAACCCCCCTTTTTATAGAAACATTCTCGACCGCAAAGTGAAAGAGAATTTGCTAATTGGGCCCATTATAGTCCTCTTGCTTCAGAGTGAACAAGGTCTTCGGCGCGGATCGCTCTACCGAAACCATCTATGAAGATCTCATCCAGCCTCTTCTTCCTTTGGTATGGGAAGGGCGCGTTGGTACACTCTTTGCCTATGGCTAGACAGACTCGGGCAAGACGTTTACTGTTAGCGGGATTGAGCGGTTGATCGCTGAATCCTTGTTCAACGGGGCCCTGCCAGGGCAGCGGAAATTTTATGTTTCTCTCTTTGAGCTTGCCGGAAATTCTGCATTCGGTCAAATGCTTTCTTTCTTTCTTTTTCTTTGATACTGCCTTGATGCGACTTCGAGACGCCTTTTAAACGACTTGACGAGAGGGTCAGCTAATAACTTGGCTAGATCACTTGAACTCGCGAGCGCCATTCATGATCCTTGAAGACCCTTTGGCAACACTCAGCTCTCTGGGACTCGAGAACAGCATGTCCAGAGCACAGAGGAGCTTCTTACCCTGATTGAACGAGCTACCTCATTCCGACAGACAGCCGGCACGGAGAAGAATGATACTTCTTCGCGCTCGCCATGCCGTCTGCCGCATCCGCATCGAGCACCCCTCCGCAGACATCCTGGAGGATGGATTTTTATACCTGATTGATCTTGCTGGCTCGGAGGCTGCGCGAGACATTGCTGCACATACCTCGAACCGTATGAAAGAAACGCGCGAGATCAATGTCAGCCTCTCCACGCTCAAAGACTGTATTCGTGGCATGGCCGCTATGGATCTTTCCTCAGGCAAAACCTCAAAACGGCCGTATATTCCATTCCAGCACAGCATGTTGACCAAGGTCCTCAAGCATCTGTTTGACCCAACGGGCCACCGCAACTGCCGCACTGCAGTCATCGCCTGCATCAACCCCAGCCTGTCTGAGCAGAGCCTGGCGGTTGTGCTATGTCCTCAGATGGCCGTTGGCGACCATGTGAAACATGTATTTGGGAACACGGTGAGCCAGACAGAAGCCCAGGAGGGTGGCCAGAATCCCAGCGAGACTACGGCATCGCGCTATCTTTGTGCGCTGATCTTGTCTGGGACACTAGCAGGCGCATTTGAGGTTCATCTGTGGCGCCAGGTCGTGATCGATGTGAAACAGATGGAAGCCGAGGTTCTGCTCGAGTATGATGCTGCCACGAGGTACTGTTATGCGACGATGTAGAGTGCAATTTCTGGACTAGACTAGACTATCTGTATGTAAACACCATTTCAATTGAGAACAAGAATATTGAGTGAATACTCTCTTGGCTATAGTTATAGTTGTAGAGGTGCCTGCATTCTCAGGCGTGTCCTGCGCCAAGCCAACTGCAAGGGCCGGTTTTGCCCTAAAAAGTTTTCATGGCTTGCGTTGCCCTGCTCTGGTTGTTTTTCAAAGGAAATTGCTCGCTTTCTTTGCACGCCAATTGAATACTGTTCCAAAAATTCCATAATAGCTAGCCTTGAAGACTCCTGCAGCATGTACAATATAAGTATAAGTATACTCTGTAGCTCCCTACCTCGGGTAGATACATAGCTATGCATCGGTGACCCCAACCCCGAGAATAACCCGCCTCGGACCCACCGACTGGATCCCGAGACACAGCGTCTCGGGCGAATGGTAGAAGGCGCATTTCGAAGCGGTGGATCATCTCGGGCGAGCCCAGAGTCCTTTCAAGGGGTACAGACAAGGGGCCGGGTGAAGATATTTTTGAATCATGTGCCCCCCGGGGCAGAAAAAGTGTAGGTAAACATTGGCAATACATAGAAATTAGGCTATCATACGCTTGGAAGCATCCGATAAAGCAAGAATTGCCACTCTTTCCGGTAGATAATGATGAGGGATGAGATCATGTCGGAGAAGCGGAAAGCAGGTTCTGACAGCTATTAAGTATGATAACGCCATTGACCGCAGTAATTGAAAGATACAGTCCTATAATTTGTAGCGATGCAGAATATGAACCGAATAATAAGTAAAGTATGAAAAACAACAAAAATAACAGAAAGAACTCGACAGTACAGTCAAACATCCAACTCACCGACAGCTCCCGGTTGCGTCCGTCGTGCTGAATCATCCGGTTGCTGATTGGTGGACGACCGGATCACGGGAGCCGGGGGACAAATAAATGATTTCGCAAATTTTGCGCCTTTTTTTTTCTGCCTTCAAATTCTCCCTCTGTACAGTACAATCCACCCATCTCTTTCATCTTCCTCATTCACAATGCCCAAGGACACCAGTTTCGCTCCCGGTAAGCTCCCCTCTTGTTTTCCCCCTTTGCTCCAATTGAGCGCATTGAGAGGTGGTTTGTCAATGGGACAATGGAAGCGACGGCATTGTTCGCGGCGATGCCCTCAATGATGAAGAAAGAGCACACTGGTCTCGATAAGAGGCTGGGAACTCGACATTCACTCGGAGCGCATCACGAGCTCGTTGCTTAATGCCTCTGCTGCGCAAGTCGCTTTCCTTCACATCCACCTCTCTATCTGCTCTCCCGTTCACCCAATTGCCTACACCTGCTTCAATCTCTGTCCCATCGATACCCTCACAATGACTACCTTCGACGTCTTCTACCTTTTGTCCGTTCTGGACATGCGTGAGGCCGAACTCGAGGCCGAGCAAGCCAAAGCCAAAGCCAGCGAGATGGCTAACCCGCTCTTCGTTCCAGGTGACTCTGCGAAGGGTGCCAAGCTCTTCCAGACCCGCTGCGCTCAGTGCCACACTGTCGAGAACGGCGGTGGCCACAAGGTCGGCCCCAACCTGCACGGTCTGTTCGGCCGTAAGACCGGCCAGTCCGACGGCTACGCCTACACCGATGCCAACAAGCAGGCCGGTGTGACCTGGGACGAGAACACTCTGGTAAGTTGTGTTGAACTGAAAATGTCGGTAATGCGACAATGCTAACCTGCCGCGGTACAGTTCAAGTACCTCGAGAACCCCAAGAAGTTCATCCCCGGCACCAAGATGGCCTTCGGCGGCCTGAAGAAGGGCAAGGAACGCAACGACCTGATCACGTTAGTTTTGCTTTCCCCCATTGATTGTTTAACATCTGCTAATATTCTCGTGCCACAGCTACCTCAAGGAATCCACCGCATAAACGACCCGTTGATGTCATTTTTATTACCCTCCGCGGCATTTCGTTTTCTTGTTCTATCGCACCCCGTCTCTGGAATCATAGACGTCTGGGATTGGTTTGGCGCCGTGGGCTGATTACCGGGCATCCGAGGGAGCGGGCATGTACTATTATCTGAAATTACCCGATTGACCCGCAATAGACTTATACTCTTCTCTCTATTTTCTGTTTTTTTTTTTTTTTTTTTTTTTTTTTTGTTTTGTTTTTATATGTGCAATCTGCAGGTACCTGGGTCGATCGCAAGGATTACTAAAGATCTTAGGCTGGTCCATTGCGTGGTTCGAGAGAAAGAAAGAAAAAGAACAAGAAAGCCTGAAACTCGATCGCCCCTTGAAGATCGGAGAATGCGCATTGTCGGTGATTGGCGGTGCATTTGCCAGCGAACACCCTGCATGTTTGGTGTACCGGGGGCGGGTACCACTCAGGTTCCGCCACCCGCATCTGCCTAGCCAAACGATACCTGCGTGGTACTTGGGTGTAGTGATTGGCCCAGCCTCCTCGAAGTGAGGGGATGCAGGTTCGACTGGTCGCATTTGCTTGTTCACTCTTCTCTGCTTCTCTCTGCTTTTTCTCTCTCACACCTTTTCATTCGTGGACCGACTTCGACTCGCTGAATTCGACTCACTGCTCTATATCGCTCGGGCGCCTGTATCGCAGCCCAGCAACGAACCATTCTTATCGCATCGCATCGCATCGCATCGCACCGTAGTTGCGCGGGGTTGACCGCTTGTCTCCTGACGTTCGACGAGTTTGATGAGACGACTTTCTCCGTATCGACCAGCGCATGAGACCCTCGTCCAAGCGCTTCTACTAACGTTGCTTGCTAGCGAATCTCCACGAGTGAAACATCATCTCTGTGCCGCGGCGCTTTGACAACAGTCCTGCGACAACCGCGAAGCGCCGACCTGGTCAGACGCCGTCCACCATGTTGGACGAGCTGGACGTCTTTGACGATCATCCGTCGCTGGATGCATCCCTGGAAGACTTCGAGAGCAATAGCAATGCGCACCGCTCCCCGCTCCTGGACCTGCCCTCCCAGCACTCGGGGTTTCGGTCTGAAGACTCGGACGGTGAGATCGAGGACCCCGCGGGCGAGCGCTGGTCGCCTCCCGGACTCCGCCGACATGACTACGTCCAGGGCAGCGGGTGGTATCGCCATCAGCCCTACCTGCGCAAGGGCCATCCAGAGTTGAGACCGACTATTGGGCTGAGCGTATCACCGTCGCGCTCGCGCGAACCGAGTCCGCAGTACGAGGATGCACTCGAAGGTCCCGCCAAGGGCCAGGCCGCTGATTCTGGCGAAACGGGCGACGTGGTGGTTGCCGCCAATGTGCCTCTACCCACAAGCGCGGGGACCCCGCAACAAGGACGATCCCCCAGTCCCGGCCCGCCTCCGCGATCAAGCACGACGCCGCGAAATGCTGTCGAGGATGATGGGATGGGGTTTGGAGCAGAGAATCTGAGCAACTGTAGGCCCTGTCTGTTCTGGTTGTCTTACCTGCAGGCGCGGCAATACTGACATGCTCCTTTTGCGCAATGCGTTTAAGATATCCGCTTTGCTGTGCGTGCAGAAGTTCAACACCGTGAACCCGTGGCTGCCCTGACGGGCTTCTTGCGCCGCAAGTTCGAGCGCATGACTAGCTCCAAGTCTAACACGACCCTCTCCGTGCTGGTTCTCTTGATCTCGATTGCCTTTATGCGTGCTTTATTTCTCCCAGGTCTTCCGCAGTCCATTCCGGATCTCGTCAAGCTGTCGGGCTTTGCGCGTTCGTTCGAGCCTTTGATCTATTATTCGGAGAATGGGGTGCAGCAGATCGGAACGCTTCAGGAGACTGGTGTGGCTGTCTGGGATTTGAGCGAGTCGGTGCGTGGCACCAACATGACCAGCGCCCCGATTATCGTGGGCCAGCTGGACGAGTTGTCGGAGTCGCTCAAGTCGCTTTCCTTGGAGCTGACGCGATTTTTCGCCAATGTCGACTCGGACATCGACTCGATCCTGATTGTCATGGACTGGGCCAAACGCGAGCTGGAAACTCTATCAGCACAGCCCCCTAGCTCCCTGCCGACTATTGTATTTGACAATGTGCACAACATGCTCTCGCGCCTCGGTGCCTTGGAACGAACCGGGGCCGTGTCGGACGGGGGGTGTTTCGACGGCGACGACGACCACCACGACGCTGGGACATCTCGTCCTTGCCGTCTTCGGGCCAACGTCGGCACAACGCACCCGCGCCGCACTTACGCGGACCTTTACCGAGTTCCTGTCGGTGCTGGAGGAGTCAATCAATAGCGAGCTGAGCCACTCGACTGCCCTCTTTTCCCTCTTCGAGGCCATTGACCGCCAATTCCTAAATCTGCAGCGCACCGTCGTACGCGAATCGGACGCCCAAGAGCGCGCCGAGGGCGAGATGCTCAGCTCCCTGTGGACGCGGGTATTGGGCGCCGACGCCGCCGCCGTACGCAAATACGAAAAGAACAAGAAGCTGCTCGCCAACGTGCGCAGCCGCACAGTCGCCAACAAACACCTCCTCGTCGACCACCGCGGCCGCCTCCTGACCCTCAAAGTCAACCTGGAGACTCTGCGTCGGAAGCTGGTCAGCCCGCTCGTGCGCCGCAACGACTCAATCAGCTTCATGGGTAACCTTGACGGCAGCGCCTCTCCCGGCGGCTCCTCGACCAATTCGGCGGGTCGCATGCTCGGACCTGTCGAGGCTGTCATCGACGGCCAGATCCGCGGCCTGGAGGGCACGTATGACTATCTGCGGTCCGTGCGTGAGCGGCAAAAGGCCAAACTCATGGAGATGGTGTACGGAGCGGGCCGGAAACCGTCTTCGTCGATGTTCAGTGAGGGACAGGAAGAGGCCATCGAGGGTGTATAGCACCATCCTTCGGGGGGTTTGCTTTTCGTTTTATATCTTGCTGTCTTATAGTGTCTCAATCTCTTATCTTTGAGGTTGTGTTCTTCTTTTTCGGCGTTCTTCGCAAATCTTTCGGGGTGGTCCATTCCGAGACGGATTGCCTATAGCGAGTCGGTGGCGTTTCTTCCTGGTCTTGACAATCGGCGGCATCTCATCGCACCTTTTATCCTTATGGCGAACAAGGAGGATGTCAAAAGGGATCGGGATAGATCTATGGTGTATGTTGGATTCGTTGAGGTCTGTTTCTATTTATTCTGTGTTTATCTATATATTTATGGCTGGACTTTTGCTGTCTGCATAGAATAATAGTAGCAATATCTACTATCTGGAATCTATCCAGGAATGTTATCAATGCTGTTACGAACCTGCTAGATTATTTCTTTCTAGCTGCAATCAACCGATGGTTCCAGGGTTGTCAATGAGATTCAGTGAGCCCTCAGAAACACATCCTGATTTTGTATTTGATGTAACAGCCTCTCCGTTAGAACGGACTGCGATACGACCGGAAGGTTTCCAAAGTCGACGCAGTCCGAAGGATTCTGTGCAGCAGCGTGGGATAGTCCCAGCCACACGCCGTAGCCGCCAGGGCAGTCAAGCTGGCCTGATCTTCACGGCCAGGTCGACCAGGGCCAGTCATATTCTGCCAGAAAAGTGAGCTTGTAGCCATGAATTCAATGACAAAACAGAAAAATGATTACTCACTGGCTTCATATTGATATCGAAAATAGCAAATCCAGACAAGGCATAGAACCGGCGCACATCGAAACGGATCGGTGCCGTGGCCATAATAAGCCGGGCGACATCCTCGCACGGCCGCATGACATCCGCATACGCCGGATCACGCATCTCCTCTGCAGAAACAACACGCGAGTTCGCAGTCACAGCCACAGCCCCGTTATACGGCGCATCCCCTCGGCATGATTGAACCGCGTGATGGGCGGCATGCTCGAATACTCGTCCCGATCCGGGGACGGCGGCATCACCGTGATGGTGGCCTCCTCGCCCGCGAGGAGCTCTTCCAGCATCACGAGAGGCAATTCCTCCAGCAGACCCTTCACATGGTCCTGCAGCTCCGCTGGGCTCTGGCATACTTTCACCCTGTGGCTACCCCGGCCGCGGATCGGTTTCCCGACTAGGGGATACCAGGGGATCGACCGAGCCAGACTTTGTACGTCGTCTGTTGCGCTGACCGTCCAGGACTGCGGCATGGTGAACCCGCTGCGAGTGCGGAGCTGGTCGTTCAGATATAGTTTGTCGTCGAAGTTCTCGACCAGACTCGGTGGTTGACCGACTACTCTCAGCGTTGAAGCGTGGCGGTCGAGGCTCGTAGCTGTTTGGAGAGGGTGAGAGGAAAATACGATTGTGTTGGCCCAGAGATGTGTGGCGCCTTGCCTGACGGCTGAAGTGATTCCCTCTGCGGAATCGGGGAAACACCGGCCCTCATGCTTAGATGTTGATGGTGATGACTCTGGTGTGAAGACATAAATCAATGCCTTTGCTTCGTAGTGTATATATAGGCAATGTCGGCCCCGGAGTCTTGGTAGCCTGTTACAATTAACTTAGCTATTTTCCAGGCAATGGCTTTGGTCACTCTACCTCCAAACTTGCATGGCCTGTGAACCCCGTTTATTACGGGAGGGTCAATGGCTTGGAACAGGACTGCCACTGTGGGCTTGCTGGTGTGACTGCTTCATCCTTTTCCATAACAGCTCCGTAAAGAAACATGGAATGAGCACTTGAATATGGTGAGAGTGAGAGAAGTGAAGTCAGAGAGAGGAGCCAGCGAAGGTATTTGGCTGTTTCGGATACATCCGAGCCAGGATCGGCCCCACCGCGACGGGGTCGGTCTGAGGAGCATCGCGAGGGGCTATATGAAGCGATTGTAGATTCTTTCTGATGAAATTGTTCTCAGCCTGAACACCTCAATTACTTCTGTGAAAATGGCTTCTGTATGGACATTGTGGCCCTTCATTGCAACTGATACTAACGAGCATATATAGACCCGGTATTACGCCAACCCTAAACAAGCGGGCGAATTCGCCACGAACTTGCTTTTGAAAGCCGGTCTCAATGACGGTGATGCCAAGTCAATGGCCGACGTGCGCGGTGTGGTACAGGGAGGCTTTTCCAAACAAAAGCCCAACGCAAGGCTGATAGACACCAGGACACGCATGGACTAGCCCGACTGCCACAGTACCTCGACCGGGTACACAATGGGCGAGTCAAAGCCCAACCCAACATCAGTATCACCTGCAAGGCCCCCGTAATGGCCCACCTGGACGGCGACAACGGCTTCGGCTTCATCGTCGCAACAAATGGCATGAACGAAGCCATCCAGCGCCCAGCGTCAGAGAGAGGGGGCTCGATATGCTGAGGCTGAGAAAAAGATGTTTGTGGATGTTGCGGCGGAGTATGGGATTCCTGAACTGGTGTTCCTAGAGACGCCGTTGGATTGGTTATTTCTTGAGAAAAGAGTGTGTGATTGTAAGAGGGTATTTATTTTGCTAGACATTTGACTTGTTTCTTTGCCCTTGAATTGAATTATTCTGGTAGACTCGAACTGCCGAGTTATGTATAGTGGCTGCGCAAAGGAATTCGATATGTGGACCACATCAAGCCTAGCTGCGATTCAGCAAAATGCCGGTCTCGAGGGAAGAAACACAGGTGAATATACGAAGAAATTATGATCTTTTAGTCATATCTGCCCACCTGGATGCCAAAACGGCTTCAATCCGTGTCGGCTATGGCCCGAACTGCGGACATGAGCCGGCCTGAAGAGGCTGAGGTGTTTGTGCGTCGCTCTGGTGTCCATTTTCTGGCGCCTTCTTTTGGTAATATCCACGGAGGATATCCGTCTGAAGGGGCGGAGAGAAGGCTTGGGATTTACCTCGGTGAGTCTGAACCTTTTCTTCTGTGGGTGATTTAAGCTGATCTAGCCTTAGTCTTGAGGCTATCGGTAAACTGGTGTCTGATTCTACGCCTTTTGCTCTCCATGGGACACATCCCGTGTCCGATGAGTTCTTTCGCAAGACCATCCCATCTCCTTGGGGGTCCGTAAAATTAACCTGAATCGCACTGTGCGGGATGAGTATTCTGAGTTTGTGGCTAAGAATGCTGGTGTTTTGGAGTTGACTGCACTCAAGGTGCAAGCTGTGGAGGTATATGCGAGGTCGATGGAGCGAATGGATGTTTTGGGCTCGTCCGGGAGATACTAATTTGCATAGCATCAGCAAAGCGATCAAGGAAGATTTTACTCGGTTTATTCATTCGTGAGAGTTTTTAATCTTTAAGAGCATTTTAAAGATGTGTCTTTAGAGGAAATTATGTCAAGTGCAGACAGTAGGGAATAACAAGGTCCGATTGATGGAGTGGCATTGATAACTGCGTTGATTTTCCTAAGAAAACACTCCCTTTCGTTCAATGAATCCTGCGATACAGCACCCCCAAAAAATACTTTCTATTTTGAGGATTTGCTGTCCAAATCACGAAGAATAGTCATACAACGTCGCCTGATTCCGCACCCACATATCCAACCACTCTTCCTCCGACAGCCACCGACTCATCGACGCAATCCAACCAGCATCACCAACCCGAAGAAACTCTTCCTCACTTGCGGTATTTCCAGCCACACGATCCTTGTGCCGCGGAGTGTGTGGCTAGTCACTACCCCAAACTACACGCCTGGGATTCGCCTCAACGAAGAACCGCACCAGCCACCGCAGGTCCTGGTAACCCGAGCTGGCGAGATTCGAACAGCGATATGTAGCAGACAACCTAACCCAAAGACTGCCCTCTTCCATGGCTTTTTTGCAGTGCCTCAAGACCAACGCGCTCCTCATACGTCAAGTACGATGCATCCTGGATATTCACAAGTGCCCAATCCGAGTTTAGCCGGAGTCCAAGCGTGTTTCCAGTGCCACAGAGACGGATTGCATCTACGCGGAGCTGCACCGCTTCGCGAACATGGACTGCTCATGGCTGTTGGCGCACACCATATTCGTCGCCTCCATCACCATGTTTTATTGCTTGTGGACTTCCCCTCCACCACACGGATCCGCTGCTCTCGCGACGTGTCTTGCACATGCGGAGGTTGCGCATACACTTCTCACTTCCCTTGGTAAAACCTGGCCCGTGGCCCACGACGCCTGCGAGAAACTGTCTCGATTGATTCATGTCACGACCAGGAGTTCTGAGGGGGCAGGAAGGAGCCGAGATAGAACGCGCATAGTCTCGCCACGACGGTGTGAACAGCCAGTGCGGCGGAGAGATTCCTGCTCTACAAATGAGCTGCATGATCCTGATCCTTTGTTCGATGGCCGCGGTGACTTGGATCCTTGGTCCCCTCGTGGATGAGCTCGGGATTCTGTGAGACTTTTTTGATCTCGAGTGGCTCAATAATGACACCCTGGATCCTATCTCTCAGTCAATGAGGCCGGGCTGGCGCGCGGTGTCACAAAGGGAAAAAGACATCCATGCTATATACGCTGGCTAATATGATGATACAAACCAAGAGTGAATATCAAAATATCAACCAGAATAAAGCAGATGCGTCAAAACTTGAATCCCGGGTTAAGTATAGAGAAGAGAACTGTTGTGATGGAAACTTTGCGGTCGATGCTTTCCTTTCAGTCTTGAGAGCGACTAAGTGCACGGGGAATATTGTAGTGTGAGTGGATGGAGTAATGGGCATAGCCGGGCTTAGAGAAGCCCGACTTGGGCTCGATATTCTTCATGCAGAATCGAAGGCCTGGAGAGACTTGAATGAAGCTATTTGCTTTGAACACATGGAACAGCGATTGAGAAGATTGCTTAATCATGAGGACACTGGCCTTGTAGGCCAATAGCCCTATCACTTCGCTGTATGCACTGATTATTTGCAGATAAAAGCAAGAGGTCGGTGTAAGAAAATGGGTCTGACTCCTATCACGTCAAAGAAGAGCACATATTGTCGGATTGTATACCTCTCTTCAAAGGAAAATGCACAGCGAAGAACATCAAAGCAACCGGCCAAGGTATCAAGGTTCGGTGCCCTCGGTGTCTCCCTTGCAGAATGCATAGACGAAGATTGGAGAGGAAGAAAGCGAAAATATGAAGACGAGTGCGATTTTCTAAGCTTCGTCGCAAGACAGGCCAGTATTGCTACACATGTACACAGTTCAATGCCCCGAACTCATCCTTCACTCGAAATCCCACTTGCTTCGGGGGAGTTTCAACATATCCGGCGAACCCGCTCGATCGTAATTCGAGTATAAGCGTCGTTTATTTCTGGTTGGCCTGAGCAGCGAGGGCGTCCTTGTTGGCCTGGGCGAGCGACTGAGGGTCGCCCTGCTTGCCGTTCTGTTCCCCCCCGACATGCCGTTAGCCGGAATCGCCCGAAAACGTAAAAGACGCCCGTGGAAAAGGAATCTCATTCAACTAACCTCCCACTTGGCGAAGCGAAGGTCCATCAGGCCGCGGCGCTCGGCGGCGAGGCGGGGACCGTCCTTGAGGGACTGGCGCACCGTGCGGGCGGCAATGGCCAGGTAGCGGTTGTAACTGCCTCCGAGTCAGTGATAGAGCCAGGCGAGAAGGCGAATTCACACATACGTCAAACCGGCGGCTTTCCAGGCAGCAGTCATTTTGAGGGTGGATGGCAGAGATCGGATTCGATGAAGGGGGTGAAAACGGGCCGGGGGGCCTTTGGGAAGTTCGACTTCGGAGAATCGGGTATCACGGTCACATGACTGTCTGGCTCTAGGTCACGTGCTGGATGGAGATTAGGCACTGCTGCACGTGATAGGCAACCCCATCGTTTGCAGCCCGCAAATAGATGCAATTTTACAGTCCTGATTTCTGCTGATTGAAGTCTTAAAAATATGAGAAAAAGACATCCTCGGTGAATAAAAACTAGAAATTGATATATATTATTTTTGAGTCTCATTAAACTTTCTGTGGCTGGTCCAGGGTACTGCTAACATCAACGCTCCGAGTTACATCTAGAAGTCGAGTAAACAATAGACCAGATGTTTTGGACAACAAAGCCCGACGCCCCCAAACCACAAATCAAACATTTTGGGAGAATCCACATCCGAAGGATCTTAAAGAGTGATCTAGGGGGATTTGGTGACAGGAATGATTTGGAAACAACTAAAATTCCAATATCAACCTCCAGCATTTCTGTCTACAATTTTCGGGATCACCAATAGCGACCTGTCATCACGAAAACAGTGCAAGAAGCGAGGCAGAAATAGCCCAGTGTTGATGCTCCAGGTACACAACTCAGCAGCCTATCTAGCATGCACAAAAATTGAGGAACTTGCCTGGAGCATGATCAACCACCTCGAGGTCAAGTTGCCCTCAATCTCATCCGCCTAGAATCTTGCAAAAGATTGGACGATTACGGCAGCGCAGTTACAGCAACACAGTATATATAGATAGTGATATGCTTTGCCTTCGATCTAATCAGCCAAAAATATCGTTACGCGATTGTGGCAGCGCGGTTAGGGTAGCGCGGCATATATAGTTAATAGTATACTTCACCCTCAATCTCATCAGCCTAAAGCCTTGTAAATCCTACAAAGGGTTACGCGATATGGTAACCCGATTGTGGTAGCGCAATTGCGGCAGCGCGGCGTATATAGTTAGTGATGTGCTTCGCCCTTGATCTCATTAGATACTTTACCCTCAGTCTCATCAGATGCTTTGCCCTCGATCTTATCAGCCTAAAATATCGCGACGCGTTTGTGGCAACGTGACCGTGGCAGCGTGACTAGGGCAGTGCGACACGTATAGACAACGCGACGCGCCGTTAAGGCTTCAATTTCTTCACTCCTCTCACTTTCTCTCTTTCCTTGTGCACCTCTGCAACAATCCCATTCCTTCCTCGTACCAATCCTGATCAAGAAAGTGAGTCCAAGTCTGCCAGGGCTAGGTTATCGCATATATCGATCAAAAGTTTTGCTGACTACCTGACCAGAAAACAAAACAAAGCCAAGAAAAGAAAAGAAAAGAAAAGAAACTCACAGATTGTGGAAAAAGTACCAGCCGTCTGTGGACTGACTACTGTCTGTCTGTGGACGGACTACCAGCTAGGAGCAGATAGCCTGCTAGCAGACAGCCTACCAACGAAAACAGACAGCAGACACCCAGTGAACAGTGAACCGTGAACCGACTGATCCAAGACCTAAATCATGGTTAACACGCGCAATTTTAACAAGAGGGGCAAGCCCTCCAAGGTCGGGCGAAACCTTGTTCGTTGGGACTGTAGGTGCTCCTTCGGATTTATTTATTTGCATTGTTCTCCAGCGTGCATATTAGGATCAAACATGCTGACTGAATGAAATAGCTGAGATGGATCTTTTCCTGCTGCTTGGAGTTCAGTCGGCATGCAACACCCTGGCAATCAAGCTGCCGTGGAACAAAGTTGCCGAAATCATGAACGAGAATCTTCCAGGACAGTTCACTGAAGGGGCCATCGTCCAGCATCTCGCCAAATTGCGCTCCCGCCGTGAGGCAGACGGAAAACCCGTGCCTCCCCCCTTCGCCGATCGGTAGCTTCAGGCAGCAAGACCGATGCCGGCACCCCAGCTCAAGGGTTTCGTTCTCGCAAGCCGCAGAGAGAGGAATCGTCCTCTGAAGATATGGGTGTGGATGAGCAGGGAGATTCGGACATTGAGTACAAAGAGCCGGCTCGTCGTAAGAGTGGTGCTCGACGCCCAAAGGCCAAGGTCGCCTCCAAGGCTCGCAGCGCAGGAAGCAACACTCGAAAGAGAGCCAGGGCTACAACCCGTGCCAAGCCGGCCAAGATCCAAAAGCGAACGCAGTCCACCAGTGCTGTGAGCAGCGAGAACGAGGCGTCCCAGAATGAGGACGAGGAGCTGGAGAGCTCTGATGATGAGCAGGTCGACCAAATGTGCGTTGGAGCCAGCTGGCTTCAGTTCTCGGGCAATGAGAAGGACCGCAAGCCCAGTGGATCGCACACTGAGGTCAAGAGCACGCCCAAGAAGAGTGGCATTCTTCGTCTCAAGGTCAACCCTGAGAGTCTGCGAGTCATCGAATCTGCGCGAAACCCGTCCAACTCGCCCTCCACTGGAAGCCACATGACCCAGCAGCCCACCCAGAAGACCAATCGGCCTTTCAGTCATTCTTTCAACACGTTCAGTCGAATTAGCCCTTATCCTGCCCACCAGCCGGGCCCCAGCCAGACGACTGGCCAGTTCCAGGGCATGGACCAGTACACCGGTCTGTATGACATGGACCAGGATTTGAGCCAGCCCTTCCCCCCGCTGCCGAGCATGGACATGCATTTCAACCCAGCCTTGCCTGCAAGCTCGTTCACCGATGATATGAACATGGAGCTCTCTTCAATCCCGGAAAGCAAGGCCTCTGGTTGTGGCAATCTCCATGCAAGTGACGTGGACGCGGAATTTGAGTTGGACTTCATCAACCCCGGGTGGCTTTCGCAAGAAGGTCCTCCTCCCAGCATGTCGTCGTGGACTCTGGATTCGAACTACCTGGAGAACATCGATCTGGGTATGGACATTGACAATGTTGCTGCCCAGCCCAGCCAGGATACAATGGACTCGGGAGATGGGGGCCAGCACGATCTCGTCTAAAAAAAAGGGGGTTGTCAACGTCTCTATTCCCAAGGTTATGCTCTGACCACATTGTTTCTCGTCACATCCCCATCAATTCCAAGTTAGTTCACGGCATTTTCCAGGAATTTCCCAGACATTTCCACATTTATTCCACTTCAATTTCACATCAATCCACACGGCACATTGTTTTCAAAAAGGGGTCAGTTTTTTTTTTCGCAGTTTCGAGGCTTGCATTATCACAGGGGAGTTTCCATGAGCGTTTGGGTCGGCAGACCAGTTGCTTTCCCGGCTGCACGGTTTCATGATTCCATGGTTTCACGTTTTGAATTGCGACAGGGTGTCTCCATAGGGTTTTCAATTCGGTCGTTGCTTTCACGGATGCATAGCTTCACGGTTTCATCCTTTCCATTCTCGTGGGGACATCTTCATGAGATTTTCATTCGGCAGATCAGTTCATTTCACGGCGGCATGACAGCATGATTTCACGGTTTCTTTTTTTCTGATATCTCGGGTGGTATCTTCATGAGTTTGTTTTCTAGGCGGTTCAGATCCTTCCACGACGGCATAGCGGCATGGTTCAACAGCTTCAAGGCTTCCTATGTCACGGGGAGGGGTCTTGATGGGAGGTTTTTCGGCGGTTCAGATCGTTTCACAGTTTGCGTTCTCATAGGGGCAGTCAGAGGCTTGTTCATAAGCAGGAAATTGAAAACTGTCTCTTTTTCGCAATTCCAGGGTAGCAGTCGATAGGGGTGTAGTGGGTGGACGATGACAGGGGAGATAATGCGGCGAGGAGAGGCAGAGGGACGAGACAAGACAAACAAACGACTAAGCAAAACAGACAACGTGGATAATTCACAATTTACCAAAAAAATTCCATATTACTTCTGAGCTCAATAGAGAGAGATTTGTATATCAATTCAATTCAAGTATTGTCCTATTCATTTTACTTTATTGCTGTCAGGTCTCTAGTATGGATAGCTTCCAACGATTAGCATCTCACACTTTCCAGAGTGGGCCATATGCTTATAGACCGAAGACAGAGGTTACAGATGGATTGCGTTCTTTGTAAATATCTAGGCTCTCAAAAGAATTCCTATATTTTGCTATATTTTTCTTCAGTAAACCGGCTAAATCCCCAATATCCTCGGGATCTCGGCACGTGACCTTCTAGCTGCTTCTGCCGCCAAGCTCTCCGGGGAAGAGGAAACGCCTGGAAAATTTTCGAGACTTTGGCTTCATCTCCAGCTTTCCATCTCCCTCCCCAACCCGTCTCCCCCAAGTCTTCTCTCGGGTTGACTATATTTTCTTCTTGTCCCTGTTAATTCTTTAATCTTCTTTGCTTCTTCGTTTCTCTCGCCATGCAGCGCGCTCTGTCTACCCGGACATCTGTCCTGTCGGCCGCTTCCAAGCGTGCCCCCTTCTACCGGCCTGCTGGCTTCAACCTCCAGCAGCAGCGTTTTGCTCACAAGGTACGTGGTCTGACGATTACCCTCACAATGCTCATTTGAGCCCAATTGTGTTTTCCGTCCATTCCGAACGCTTCCCCATGATCCCCTTGCTGACCATCAATAGGAGCTCAAGTTTGGCGTCGAAGCTCGTGCCGACCTCCTCAAGGGTGTCGACACCCTTGCCAAGGCTGTTACCTCGACTCTCGGCCCCAAGGGTCGCAATGTGTTGATCGAATCGGCCTACGGATCCCCTAAGATCACCAAGGGTGGGTGATGTCCTTGTCATTTGTTTTCTCATCGCAAACACTAACAACAATAGATGGTGTGACTGTCGCCAAGGCCATCCAGCTTCAGGACAAGTTCGAGAACCTCGGTGCCCGCCTCCTCCAGGACGTTGCCTCCAAGACCAACGAGCTCGCCGGTGATGGTACCACTACCGCCACCGTCCTGGCCCGTGCTATCTTCTCCGAGACCGTCAAGAATGTCGCGGCTGGCTGCAACCCCATGGACCTGCGCCGGGGTATCCAGGCCGCCGTCGAGGCTGTGGTGGACTACCTGCAGCAGAACAAGCGGGACATCACCACCGGCGAGGAGATCGCTCAGGTGGCCACCATCTCCGCCAACGGCGACACCCACGTCGGCAAGCTCATCTCGACTGCCATGGAGCGCGTCGGCAAGGAGGGTGTCATCACCGTGAAGGAGGGCAAGACTCTGGAGGATGAGCTTGAGGTCACCGAGGGTATGCGTTTCGACCGTGGTTACACTTCCCCCTATTTCATCACCGACCCCAAGGCCCAGAAGGTCGAGTTCGAGAAGCCCCTGATCCTGCTGTCGGAGAAGAAGATCTCCGCCGTCCAGGACATCATCCCTGCTCTGGAGGCCTCGACCACCCTTCGCCGCCCCTTGGTCATCATCGCCGAGGACATCGAGGGCGAGGCCCTCGCGGTCTGCATCCTGAACAAGCTCCGTGGTCAGCTCCAGGTCGCTGCCGTCAAGGCCCCTGGTTTCGGTGACAACCGCAAGAGCGTCCTGGGTGACCTGGGTGTTCTCACCAACGGCACTGTCTTCACCGATGAGCTCGACATCAAGCTCGAGAAGCTCACCCCCGATATGCTCGGATCTACCGGCTCTATCACCATCACCAAGGAGGACACCATCGTTCTCAACGGTGAGGGCACCAAGGACTCGATCGCCCAGCGCTGCGAGCAGATCCGCGGTGTCATGGCCGACCCCACCACTTCCGAGTACGAGAAGGAGAAGCTCCAGGAGCGTCTGGCCAAGCTCTCTGGTGGTGTCGCCGTCATCAAGGTCGGCGGTTCCTCCGAGGTTGAGGTCGGTGAGAAGAAGGACCGTGTCGTTGACGCCCTGAACGCCACCCGTGCCGCCGTCGAGCAGGGTATCCTCCCCGGTGGTGGTACCGCTTTGCTCAAGGCCTCTGCCAACGGACTGGAGGGTGTCAAACCCGCCAACTTCGACCAGCAGCTGGGTGTCAGCATCATCAAGAGCGCCATCACCCGCCCGGCTCGCACCATTGTTGAGAACGCCGGTCTGGAGGGCAGCGTCATCGTCGGCAAGCTGACCGACGAGTTTGCCAAGGACTTCAACCGCGGCTACGACAGCTCCAAGAGCGAGTACGTCGACATGATCTCCAGCGGTATTGTCGACCCGCTCAAGGTCGTCCGCACCGCCCTGGTTGACGCCAGCGGTGTCGCCTCCCTGCTCGGTACTACCGAGGTGGCCATCGTCGAGGCTCCCGAGGAGAAGGCTCCTGCCCCTGGCGGTGGCATGGGCGGCATGGGCGGTATGGGTGGCATGGGTGGCGGCATGTTCTAAACGCCCCAACCCAGCCCCTGAAGCCCAGCCCTTGAAGTCTTCTTCGAGCGTCTCTTGCATCGTATGAGCCTGTTCTGATACTGTTGTGAATTTGTGTAATGTCTTCACTTCCTTTGATGTCTTTTTTTGGTTTCTTTTACCTTTTCTCCTATACCTGTATTTTTTGATGTCTGATCTCTCCACTCTCCTGGGGCTCGAAAACGGTTCCGGCGCATCGTGTACCATATCATGTCATTTCCATCTTCATCTGAAGTTCAATACACTTCTGTGATGCGATTTTCTCTTGGATGATTTAAATTGTCGTCTGTAGCCCGAATCTAAGTCACGAGCCTAGGATAACCTTGGAATAGTCGTAGAGATAGGTCTGGCAGCCAAACTACACCACAATCGTTCTTTGTCAAGCTCCATGGGCCCCGAAGGCAAAATTCTCTAGCAATGTAATGTGCACCGCAGAACCTGAAACCTCCAGTCACTATCCATGTACATTGTACCGAATCCAATCTATAAAACCGGTTGTAAATATGTAGTCCACTTCAAGTAGCATAAAAGCACCCCAAATTAAGGGTGAAGAAAGGAAAACAAAAGGGTATCCCACAGTATATACAGCAAGCAACCAAGCCCTATTTAAACCTCATGCACCCCCCGCCGCCTCACTTTCTCCGACAACGAAAACGACTCCCCATCTCCGCGGAACTTAACCATCCTCCCGCTCCCACTCTTCCCATGATCCTTCCCGCCAAGGGAGATCTTATCCCCCTGCCACCGCATCCAGATATCTTCGTCGAATTGCGTATGATGGCGCCCATAACCGAGGTACTGGTCGAATCGTTTCCTGAGCGACGAGTCCTCCGGGACGATCATATCGGGCATTCGGTTCGTCACGGCGTCCCAGTGTAAGAGGCTGCGGATTGGGTAGAAGACGAACTCTTTGAGGAGACCGGCGGCGATTTTGTGCGATTTGGAGACGACTTCGCGGAGGGTTTCGCTGAAGGCCATGAGGAGGGCGACGAAGATTATTGCGAAGGAGGCAGGTGCTGGATATATATTAGCAAGAATGGGCTAGAAGAAGAAGAAAAAGAAGGAAAAGAAAAGCAGTGTATATCTTCAAGGAAATCACTCAGCATCATACCGGCAATCTCGAACATTGTGCTCAGTGGGAGGTTCTTGGGCTCGCCACTCCATTCTCGGGCATTGATGCCGAAGAGCGAGGTGAAGAAGGACAACGGGAGGAATCTGAATTAATTAATTAGTCAGTTAGATTTGTTCATAGCTCGACCAAGACAGGGAGAGGAGAAACTTGCATCACGGTGAAGATCGTGAATGTGGTCATAGCCCGTGACTGAGTCTGCGTCACCTCCGCCTGCCACCGCGCCATCTTAGCTTCGTCGACATTAGCCTGCTTCTGCTTGAGATCGAGCAGCGTCTCCACGGCCTTCTGGGCGAGATGGCTGTTTTCTTTCATTTCGCCGATCTGTGCGCGATACTCGTCGATCCGCAGCTGCGCTGCATCCAGGAACACTTTTCCATAGCCGCCGGCGTCGAAGTACTTGAACATGCTTTTAATGGCGGCGTCCTGCTGATCGAGCAGTTTCAATATCGTAGAGAGCTCGTCCTCGATGTCTCGAAGTTCCAGTAGAACGGATAAATCCTCGCGATTCCGTCGTGCGACTTGGATGTCTCGCTGGTCACGTTGCGCGGCTGTCATTAGTTTACCTTCTGCTGTGTAGTCGTGGTCTGCGGGACGGTTGGTGAAGCCGCGATTCCGGAAGCGTTTGAAGGATTTGGTGACGGATTCAGTCTGTAAGGGATTAGCTTTTGCCAAAGTGGTGCGGGTGCATGCGTGGATGGTAAAAGCCTAGATATAATCATACCAGAATACTAATAGATTCCTCGAAAATTCGCAGGACCTGCAAGTCATGGTGCAATGTCTTATCGAGAAGAACAGTTACGGCGTGCAGCATAATAAGCGCAGCGAGATCGCCCGCAGTCTCAAAGCGACGAGCCAGGTCCCCGTTAAGTTCATTGTAGATACTGCTATGCAGGTTCGACTGCTCGAACAACTTGCCTTTGGAAGTGGTGGCCTCTTGGTTCGGAAAAAAAGTGACAATGGTCTTGTCGTCGACGATCCACAACCAAAGCTGGTCGACCATCAGCACATTCCCGTCCATGAAACCGTCCGGATCTGAGTCCTCGCCGTCATCGGGTGCTGCTTCAAGGTACTCGCGCAGCTGGTCATCAACGCGCGTCGACCTCCTTGTACGCTTCCATAGCATTTGATCATCGTCTCGTGCAACCGTTGAGCGGAGGTTCGGGTATCCGAATTGATCTAGGGTGCGTCGGAAATGGATTGGAGGCTCGCAGCCTAGATATTTCCAAATTAGTTGCGCCTCCAGACTGGTTCTTGAGATGCGGCCGGGGACAGGTCGTGAGCGGCCCTGCCGTAGTCGCTCTTCGATGACTTTTCGTCTTTGTAGGACGTTGCGGTAGCTATCCCAGTGCAGATAAGGTACCTGGAAGCTGGGTCAATGCAGCAACTCTTGGCAGACGCAGAGACAGCTCGGACATACATATAGTGCCATTTGGGGGTCCTCTGTGGTGCCTGTCGTAGTCCCCTGCGCAACATCCAGTTGGCGAGAATGGATGCATTTCGGCTTCACAAACCGAGCATGAGGTTCGAGATGACGAGCTCGGTTGAGGTTCAAGTACCAGTTCTCGTCATTTATAAACTTCCGTAGACTAATACATGAGTTAGAACGAGTGATCGGCTTCGTAGAAATGATTCTCCCATACAAATTGGGCTCCTGGCGATCCTCACACGCCCTGCGGATGACTTGCGATACCCATCCAGTGTGAGTATACGGGACATGAATCCAAAGTAGTTTCTCGGTGTCGGGCTCCGGGCGATCAAAACCAGGGACTGAGCGAGGAGTGTCGGCGGTGTCTGCAATTTGGGCGATGCGATCTCGGGTGGAGGGTGGTATGGCCAAGAACCCCGAGTTTCTTGGTGGTGACGCAGAGCTCCTGTGGTAAATAGTGAGCAATCTCAAAAGCCATCCCGTGGTTTAGTGGCTGGGTGAGGGAATCTTACGACGGAGGACGGGAGTCACTCGTCTGGGAGCTGCTATCGGAGGCGCTGCGTCGGTGAGCCCTCAATGGGGTTAGCCCCAGTGCCCTGGTGATGGAAGTTCTTCGCCGGCGCTCTATAGGCGGAGGAGGGCTTTCACTCGAAGGGCTCTCATATAGACCGTCGCGGGATGCTTCAGTGACGTGGATTGTCGGGGATTGAGCTGATGGCTCGAGAAAACTTCGACTATGGCGCATGGGCGGCCGAGAAGGTCGTTGCTCTGCTTCAGGGACATGATCAGGATGTTCGACAGCCTCTGGCCCGGGAACAACATGCAACAAAGAATGGTGGCTGTCGAGGCTACTCAGGGAGGAATCATCCCAGCTGCCGGGTTGAATTCGCCTCAGCCGTTCTCGAAGGCAAGCCGATGGACCACGCGAAAGGTAATCTTCCAACGTAACACTAGTCGACCACAGCTTCAATGGGGTTTCATCGCTCACGCCGAGCGCGGTGTCCTCGAAGAAGCCGTTGACCTGCACCATAACTTCTTTCTCTACATGCAAGGGCGTATCCTCGTGTCTTGAAAGCTCGGCCGCTAAGTTTACGGCTGCCCCGAGCTCCTCCAAGAAGGTATCTCGGGTAGAGTCCTGTCCCTGGAAGCGCGCGGTGCCGGCATGGTCAGTGGCCATGGGCACTTCCTTTTCGTGTTCGATGTCGAGCAACCCCGATCGGATGGAGGTGATGGGCGCATGGAACTCCATAGTTGTTCGGGTCTCGGCATCGAATACATTCAGGGTCGAGTCGATAGTTTCGACAAACGACCAGATTTTCATATCCGCCGAGAGGGCCTTGAAGTGGTTCGACAGATGCCATAGCCGGTTCTGGCGCGGCCGCAACTGCTCGCGGAGAGACTGCGGGATACTCTGCTGGAGGTGCAGCAGCCGACGAATACTTGAGGTGTATTCCTCGGCAGAAAGGTAGCTCGAGCCCTGGTGAGGAACCGCGAAAAAGGCCACGCCGTGGCAGCTGGTCAGGATGCACTGGTTCGGCTCGGCCCGCGCTGCCAGCGCCAGACAGGCTTTCACCACCAGACCACCGGTGCTGTGGCAGACGAAGAACAGAGGCCGTCGGCGACTATAGATTCTGCGTTCGGCGAGGAGCTGGTTCAGGAGCCGCTTTCCCAGCGCGTCTATTTTATCGTGGTCGCGTAGCTCGCCGTGGTTGTACAGCAGCACCCGCGCTCGGGGCATATACTTGAATAGCTCTGTCTCCAGCCAGGATGACCGAGATCCCTGCGCGATCCATGTTCTCTTGTGGTGGCCGCCGATGGGCGGTACTGCGACGATGCTGTTGCTCACGCATCAGATGTCAGCTCCACCGGCGGGGAAATGCTCACTCACTCTATGTTGGTCTCTTTGGCGGCGACGATGTGCTCAAACGCCGGCGCTGTTGAGGGCGCCATGATACACGCCAAAAGCCACGAAACTTCAGAGATTCAATACTCGACCACAGACCATGCGGTGGTCTGCACGCCTTAAATCCATCAGGGGGTGCCTTTCAGCCTCATGTGCCCGGGTGATCATCTGCGAACCCGGGGCTGTGCCGATCGTCCGAGTCACTTGGCGCAAGAGATCAAAACATTCAAGAAATGATATTTTCCAACTATGTACAGGTATGCTCGCGGGAATGCTTTTAGTCCAAGAAACCAACAAAAAAATATCACTCTATAACTCGGCTCATGCGGTATCTTCTCAAAACGCCACAAAATACACAAAAAAGAGTTGGGAGGGGACGATCGCAAGACAGAAGCGACCGCATGCATTATAAAAGTACAAAAGGGGAGAGGATTCATGCAGACTCAGAGTGCCGCCGCTCATTCACTTCCCGGGCCATGCGCTTGCCGAGCTCGTAAGTTGAGATCATGATAGCGCAGGCCGGGGCAACTTTGAGGCAGCGTGCCACCCAGCCGCGGAAAAGACCGGGAGTCCCTTCTTTTCGGTAGATGTGCAGAAGGAATTTGGGTAAGGAAAGTTGCTCCGGAGGGATCGGGGTCGGCGGGCCAGCCTTGCGTTTGACCTCGCCGCTGGGAGCAAGATCGTCCATGTGCCGGAACACTTGCTGTCGAGTCTTCCCGACATCAAACGGGGTGGTGACTAACGCAGCCAGCGACCCGGAGATGGCACCGGCGAGGAAGTTGTCGGCGAACGCTGAGGCAGGGGAAGGGGCTGGCAGCTCCTGGTCAGACCCGGGGAGAGGCGCCTGGCGCGCTGCCATGAGAGCCTTCTTGACTTCTTCATAGCCCCACCAGTACAATCCCGAGAATGGCACGTCGCGCCACATGGTGAGCGTCAAGCCCCGCCAGAGAGAGCCATATCCCTTGGCCTGCGTCATCCGGTATAGATCGGTCAGGGTATTTTTGAAGTGGCCCGCGCCCTCGCCGGGGGTAGCTTGAAGACGCGTCCGAAACATCTCGATCGGACTGATCACCGATGCAGCCGTAACCCGTGCCAATGAACCGGCTACCAAGGGCGCATATACCTCCGAGATCCGTTGTTTGATGGGACTTCGATCATCGGTGCGCAGCCAGTCGTACCCCGCGAAGTAGATGACATTGGCGGGAATGCCCATCACCAGATTCGCACTGAGTCCGCGCCATAGTGTCAACGTTCCTTCGTTTCGAGCGATCTTGCGGAGTCCATCCAATGTTGAGGTAAATGTCCGTCGTTGCGTCTCTTCGACAGCACAATCAATTGCCGGTGGGGGGTGACTGGCGACGCTGGCCTGTGGGCCCATCATACAAATCTGTGCATTGTCTCCGACCCAAAATACTTCGCGACAGCAGGCCGTAATTCCGAGGTTGGGGGGAAGATTCTTCAAGGTTTGAGCGGTATGCGAGGTATACGGCGAGGAGTTGTGGACATTGGATTGGGCCTGCAGACGGACCCGTACGACATCGAGAGGAGTCACTGAAATGATTAGCACGGAAGTCCTGTGAGTTGTTACGTGGTTGGAGCTTCGAACTCACCGAGTAGCCCGGTCAAGACATTCCCGGCAGTCGCAGAGACCATGCGCTGTCCCAGTGAAATGTCGGTCGAAGGATTGGCGGTGCGAGCTGGGGATGAGCCCGTTCCTGATTGAACCGCCATTGTGGAATCGTCAAACTGTGACGTCCATGACGCCCCTGGAAAGCTGTCTATCTCAATCTCGAACCCTCTCTCCGGATTGCCAGTGTGGCTAGAAGTCGTCGCGAAATCCAAACCGGTCGGCATTCAGTCGGCACGTACCGACCACGGATAGAATAGAGAGTTTCTGGGACAATGTGTGGTGGCGAGGGAGGTGATGGGAGGTTCAAGTTGGAGCGATGCGTCACGACGGAGGGAAGATTTTCGGGGTTTTGCGGGTGGCGGAGATCGATAAGCAACTCTCTTCTTGCAACTCCGACCGCAAGAGTTTCTTTCCCTTCAGCGTTTCCAATGGCACATTGATTCTTGTACAGTTCTTTTTCTTTTTCTTTTTCTTTTTCTCTTTCTTTCTCTCCTCTTTGTTTGTCTGTGCTAGCGACTGTTCCGGAAAGAGTCTTTCCGGTGGCCTTATCAGTCTGAAAGGTACTCTCCGACGTCGGACGTCGGCCCCCCGCCATGGAAGACAACGCCGAGTTGGAGTCGTTCCGCCGCCAGTGGCGCGAGGAAGTTGCTCGTCGATCAAGGCCCAAGGTTGCCCCTCCTTCCGTGACACCGGCCCCGCCCACTCGGTTCCCGCCAACCCGCCATGAAGCCGCCGACCGCAAGGAGGTTGAGGAGGAGGGTCCACCACCCGCCTCGTTCGACCCCGAGGAGCTGGCCCAACAGGTGGGACAACTCAGCGTGGAACCGGGCGATGAAGATGAATTTACTCGCCGGGACGTGAAAGAACCCAGCTCGGCGCTGGAGCACTTCGAACGGGCCATTGAAAAAGAAGCCGAGGGCAGTTTGGGGGATAGTCTACAGCACTATCGGAAAGCATACCGGGTGAGTTATGGACAGACACAAAGAGAATAAACCAAATACCCATAATGAGTGCAGCTGGATTCAACCGTCGATAAAACCTACCGGAACAAGCACTACGCCCACGTCTGGAAGAAGCCGGCCCAGCCTCCACCGAGTGTTTCTACCACCGCTGCTCCCGCAACGACTCCGGCTCCTGCAGAAAGCGAAGTTCTCTCGACACCCGACCTCATCGCTTCATTTGCATATCTGCCAATCCCGCCAGCAGCCCCGGTGATTGAGAACACACCGGCACCGCCCTGTCCGATTGCCAACGTGCCATCCGAGGTCATTGTCGAAATCCTGCAGCATGTCGCACTGACAGACCCTGCAACCTTTGGGCGTGTGGCACTGGTCTGTAAACGGCTAGCATACCACTTCGCCCACGAGCAGCATATATGGAAACGGATCTGCCAAAGATCGGAGTTTGGGCTCCAGGGAATACACTACACCTTTGCGTGTGACCTGCATGGACACCCCATATACACGCTCGGCCCATGCTATACTCCGTTCCCCTCGGATGTGCCTTGGGAGATCCCCAGACCACTATCATCCTGGAGCCAGGCGTTCCAGGCGTTTCCCCGAATTCGGTTTACCGGGATTTACATCAGTACAGTCAACTATACGCGACCGGGTGCGGCGTCTGCCTCCAATGTGTCATGGAACAGCCCGATTCTCATCGTGACCTACTATCGATACCTCCGCTTCTATCCAGATGGATCGGTAGTGTCCCTCCTTTCCACAACAGAGCCAGTGGACATAGTCCCGCACATCAGCAAGCAAAACCTGATGGTTGCGCGTTCCACACAGCGGAACCATCAGCGCCGGGTTTCAGATCACGGACAGTCCTTGTCTGGTGCCGCCGACCCCGTACCCCCAGTTGCCATGGCTGCGCTGAAGCATGGCCACCGCGGACGCTGGCACTTGACAGCGCCTGTGGATGCATCCGAGTCGACTGGAGATACAAACCCCGCCTCAAGCGAACGGACCAAAGCCTCTACCGACCCTCGCGACCTTATTGTGGAAACAGAAGGCGTGGGTCCCCAGTACATATACACCATGCACCTGTCTTTGCGGTCTCCCACGGGTTCCCGGTCTGCACAGGTAGGTGCCTCACCGTCGAACCCATCCAAAAACACCAAGCTGGTGTGGAGGGGGTTCTGGAGCTACAACAAGATCACGGACGACTGGGGCGAGTTTGGACTTCGCAATGACCGAGCCTTTGTGTTCCGCCGCGTGCGCGGTTGGGGGCTAGATTGAGTGATGATTTGATGACATTTGACGAGTTTCGGGTCTTGCACGTATATCAGCATAGATCATAGGATTGGATATACATGAATCATGAAAACATTGGAAACCCTGTCCTTCTTACTAGCATTTCAGACTGAAAATCCCCCAACGAAGAACCATGGGATGTCTCCTGCAATTACATTGCCCGGCCCTAAGTACTAGCGGCAGTGCAATGTGCCCGGTCGATAGGGGAGCAGCAACTAGAAATTTAGAGTCCACTCTTGCGGGCCATCGCCCCCCACCCCCGACTTTCGGTCCAAGCTTGCGCTAAGCTCAAGTGAGGCAGAGAGACCCTGGATTGTTTCGTTAAGGGCTGAGGGGCTTGATGGAAGCTGAACTAACTATATTGCCGGAAAATCATCCCCAACGCCAGCTTTTGATATTGGAAAAGTGTATGTATTCGATCGAATCGAATGTATTCACAAGATAGCATAGAATTAATATATACAAATACAAATGCACACCCCGCTGCATTCCCCATGACGGGCCTCGGGACTACGCCCTCCAGTTGATGAACTGCTCCTCGTGGTCGTCGACAATCACCACCATCCACACCCCGACCTGCCCGTTGCTGGCGATCAGTGGCGTGCAATGCACCCAGCGGTTACGGCCATCGGTATTGAACCGTGTCACCCACTTGATGCGCGCCGTCACGCTGCGGCCCTCCATCATCGCCTGCGAGAGCTCGTCCTTGACGGCGGTGGAGCTGCCGATACGCGACAGGAACGAGGACTGCAGCATGCCTGGGATCTGGAGGGACGGGGATGTGAATAGGATGCGGAGGGATGGATAGGGGCGGACGAGTAGATACTGTACATCACGGGAAGTCGTTACCATATGCAGGACTAGTAGGACTGGATTGAAAGAATAGCACCGCGAAAGTGCAAAAGGGCAAAAATACAACAGCACAACTTACATTCTCGTACACACCCGTTAACGAACCCCTGAAAAACGGCGACTTCAAATCGCGCAGACGGATTGCCTCCGCCTCGCTGTCCACCGACGACCCACGCTGCAGCCAGGTACGCTGGCTACGGGAGCTGGCGCGAGTATTGAGAGGCTGGAAGAGGTCACCGCCGTGTTCCTGGACCGCGGCCAGCTCCCGAGGACTAAAGAGCTCGCTCAGCTCTCGGAACTCGTCTTTCGCGTCTTGCGCCGGCTTCTCTGCGATACTCTCTTCGTCGGGGTCGCGGTACTGCGACTGGAGCTCCATGAGCGATTCCATCTGCGCGCCATCCATGGCGAGGCCGGATACGTCGATCTGGGCGCCGATGAAGTACTTGACTCGGCCTTGGCTGTCACAGAGTGGTGCGCATTGGAGGAGGTTCATGAATGGGGAGCCGTCGCGACGACTGATATGGTTAGTGATTGTATACCGCGCTGGATCTAGATGATAACTTACTAGTTGAGGAACAGCTCCGAGTGGTGTCGGCCCATTGTGAGAGCTTCGCGGATTCGACGAACGCTGTTGGGATTGGTCTTTGGCCCTTGCAGGAATCGACAATTGCGACCAAGTACATAGTCCATGCCGTACTGCGTGGTTCGATGGAATTCTGTTCCTGTCAACGCCATACCTCATGCTGCAACGGGGGTAACCTACCCTCGGATGCGAAGATAATCGGGTTATCAGGCCGCGACGGGTCTGTCAGACAGAAGACCTCGGCCAATGCATTGGAGGTGTTTCGGAATTTCATGGGGAGTGTTCCCCGGACGCGCTCCTCGACGATGCGACTCGTAATAGTAATACACCTGGATGTGATAAAGGCAGGAAGCTCCTCTGCCGTGAGAGCATGCAGTCCATCCTTGACTCGCTGCTCGAGGACTTGATTCGCAGTCACACCAACCGAACCCTCGCCAGTCTCGACGGCTGGCGGAGGTACATCGACTGACAAGCGCACCAGGGCATTGGCGTACTCAATAGCCTTGAGGGCCTTGACGGCATTGAGATAGTAAGTGAGCGTGGCGATCGAGCGCGGGCGCTCTTCAATGAGAAACTCTCGGAAGCGAGACAGATACCGCGGGTTATTGAGGATGGTCAGCATATGGTCCGATCCAAACATTACATCCGTCAAGCGCTCAAGTTTGTGGAGCGGCACTTCGGAGCCCTCAAAGGGAGCGATAAGATCGTAAGACGCGCCGTCTTCCTCGACGGGGTTGAACTCGTCTGTCCCATCGTACGGGTTGATTTGCTGTAGGAGAGGGAGTTCATTGGCGGTGGCATGCCGACGGAGATTTTTTAGCGAGGGTTTGGGCGTGGGATACACCGTGTCTTCGGCGATGGCGTCCAGGTTTTTGGTGCGACTGGGTGGGTGTGGGAAGTCGTCGAGGAGTTGATCGTTTCTATTCTGTCAGTGCATGTTCGCTCCTCACACGAAAGATTGAGCTACCTCGATGTTCGTCCAGACTCACTGACCCATTCGTGGTAGTCTGGGATTGGCGAAGAGAAAGAGCGCAGCGACTCTGCATCGGAGCTGGTGAGGCCCTCATGAAGATCTGTGTGAGACATGGTTGACACCAATATTACACTGCTATAAAAAAATAAAAAAAAATTCCCACAGCAGGGAGACAAAGAAAAGAAATAGAAAAACCAAATGACCAGTACTTTTCCTCAATTCTTTAATAGCGCCGTCTTCGTAGGTGCTTTTGCTTCAGGATGGATGGATCAATTGATAGCCTGCCCCTAGAGAACGGTTCGCTGTATACACCACGCGAAACGACCACTGGTAGGAAAGACCAGGTCGAGCTGCGAACATGATGTGCGACATCACACGATCCTCAACGCTGACCTAGTTCGATCGATCGATGTAGTTCGCAACCCCACGAGATCGGGCGGCGATCAGGGCGGGTGATGCAATGGCGCAGCGCGGTGGATCTGTCAGGGTTGGGCTGGCGCGAAGAACATTCGGTGATCGCCGTCCCTATTGATTTTTGGGTTCGAGGTCGTCCTAGACTGGCGACAGGATCTGGTGGATTGAGACTCATCCATTTTGATGGTTGAGACAATGGTAATATGGACGCATTGCCACTCTACGTCTCGTCTGGTTGTCTGTGTTTTATACCCCGGTTCATTCTACGCTCGTGCCGCGATGGTCTGCTTCAGTTACTAACACGGAGGGCCTGAGCGCCCGTTTGAACTGTTGCCGATCTATTTAACTCTAAAGCCGCGATTGTCCCATTGTCCAATCATTCAGGGGCAGCCGTTGATTCTCGAGCGTTATTGATTTCTTGAATTAGGGCTAGTGTACCCGCCTATCCCCGGTTCTTACCGAGTGGTGAATCCACCGTCAACAGCCAGGCACTGTCCGGTGATCCAGCTGGCGTCTTCACTAGCTAAGAACAGTGCAGCCCGCGCAATATCATCTGGTTCACCCAAGCCCTTGAACGGGTGCAGCGCGTGAATCGGGCCCAGGGCCTCCGGAGGGATCAACTTGGTCGCAGCGTTCAACATCGGGGTTTGGGTATCTACGACAACTCAGATTAGCTTGTGGGAGAGGAATTGAGATCCAACCATGACTCGAATCGAAACTCACATCCAGGTGCAATGGCATTACAGTGAATGCGGTGCGGTGCATAGTCGAGGGCGATGTTCCTCGTCAACCCAACCACCGCCGATTTAGAAGCGCAGTATCCCGCTGGTCGCAGTCAGTCAAGGTCATTTTCAGTTCATGTGCTTGGGGTTACCAACGGCAGCTCTCCAGGCCGACCAGTCCCATGATGGAGGCGACGTTGACAATCCAGCCCCGATCACCATTGGCATGAGGCTCCTGCTTCAGCATCTGGGCGGTCGCATACTTGGACCCCAGGAAAACGCCCTTGGTGTTGATCGCCAGGGTCTTATCAAAGAGCTCCTCCGAGGCCTCATGAATAATGGCCGGCTCCAGCGATTCCACATTCACGCCAGCATTGTTGACCATACTTGAGAGAAGTCTGTTAGCTACATCGCTTCTTCTTTTCTACACGTGAAGAGCGAGGCCACCAACATGTCTAGCTTCCCGTAATGCTTCACGGCCTCGGCGACGAGTGCGGCCACTTGCTCAGCCTTGGTCACATCGCACTGGAAAAAGACCGCCTGCCCACCGCGAGCCAGGATCAGGTCGTGCGTCGCCGGCTCTGGAGCCTGGCCCGATCTTTCGGGATCAATGTCAGGGCGGAGGTCGGCACAGACCAACTTCGCACCGTGGGCGGCATATAGCAGACTAATGGCACGGCCAAGGCCTGATGCTGCACCAGTCACCACGGCGACCTTGTTGAGGAGGCGCTGAGCTTGGGGGAGAGATGTGTCGGCCATGATACCACTTGAAAGAACTGAATAACCGCGGAGAAAGTAATTGGCTAAGAGAGAGGGTTGAAAACGGGAAAACCCCAACGTCTCACTTGAACAGTCCCACTCACCTCTCGGGGTCACCCGTTTTAGAGGAAAAGGGGGCTAAGCCACGGCCGCGGGAGCCGTCCGTGCCCTAATCCGCCAGGATGCGCGGAGGCTCGGGGAAGTTGACAGACGGCATCCTTGGTTTGCTCGCGGGGCGACGCCATCTCCCCAGCCCCACTGCTAGCGAAACAAACAGGCCCAGCCTGGTCAGAATAGTCCTCGCTAGGAGTCTACTAGCTGCCCTACCAGCCTGGTGGGCCACAGGATCGGCCCTGATACATACCAAGAGCTGTCAACGCACACAAATTTCCGCTGCAGGATCTGAAGGGGGTTGCTAATAAGATGGACCGTTTTCCTGTCACTTCTATTCTCGTCAGCCTCTTTTCCTCTCAAGCTCAAGCTTGAACGAGTCTAAGCATGACTGTGTTTCGTGACCAGTCAGCCCAGCTCGCGGCATGTGTGTTTGTCCTGACCGTCCCGGCATACCTGTGCCTGGCTCTCCGGATCTACATTCGGCTGTGGCGAAGAACCTGGGGTGCAGATGATTGGTGTCTGATTGTTGCGTCGTTCTTGTTCATCGGCTGCTGCGTAACCTGCATCATCGGGCCCTTGAAGGGCGTCGGCGTCGGTGATACCCAGCTGCATAAGGGCGAGGATGTGACCGGAATGATGTGGTGGACGCTGTTCACAGTGTTCTATTGCAGTGGGATTATTCCAACCAAGCTCAGCATTGGCTTTACCTTGCTGCGCATTGCCGAGACCAAAGTCGTGTACCGCTGGGCTCTTTACATTGTCATGCTAGGGTTCACGATAGTCTCCATGGTTGTGTTCCTCTTTGTGATGCTCCAATGCCGGCCCTTTGCTGCCAACTGGGACAAGACCATCCCGGGCATGTACTGCATCGACTCCAAGACCACAACCCAGTTCAGCTTCGCCCTGTCCTCGACCAACATCATTACCGACTGGATTATTGCTGCCCTCCCGCTGCCGCTGCTGTGGAAGACTCAAATGAACACCAAAACCAAGCTGTCCGTTGGAGGTCTGTTGAGTTTGGGAATCATGTATGTAAATTGAAAATATGTGTTTCTGTTGTCGAACCATGGCTGACCCTATTACAGAGCAAGCATTGCGGCCATCGTGCGCCTCAAGTATACCATTGCTCTGTCATCCAGCTCAAACTTCCTGCTGGGAATCAAAAACGTGCAGATGTGGGCCTATGTGGAATTCGGGCTCGGCATCATCGTTGCATCCATGACGGCTCTGCGCCCGCTCCTCGAGCGGCTAGGCTGGACCCAGAAATCACACCAGTCCGACACTCCGCTCGAGCAATGGGCGGCGCGCGAGGACAGCAGGAACAAGCGGCTCAAGCGCTCTCTGTTCTCCATCACTGCGGCAGAGAATGACATGGAGCATCTCACGCAGCGCAGTGAGGAAAGGCTGTCTGATACATTAGAGCATGGAAAGGGGCCGCATGCGAGTGATCATGAAGGAGACATTAGCTTGAACAAAGCTTCTGTTCGCTGAGGACGATCATATGTACCTGCTCTGCGAGGCACCGGTCGCCTTGAATCATCTACTGGCTAGTGATTTAATCAAGTTCACAGCTCGACTGGAGCGCCCCCTTCGACATGACTCTCCTCCCATCCAAAGGTCATTTTGGTTCTGCCTACATCGAGTAGCTTCTGCTCATCGGGTGAAACAACCTGATGTATACGATCAGCAAGCGCAGAACATTACATTGATCAGGGTGACGACCAACCCCTGTGTAGTATGGATCTTTGAACGCCGCCGCAAGATCACCCACATCATTCATCAGAATCTCCGCAGACCCATCATGGGACTCAAATGCCTCGTCCGTGACTTGCCAATTGAGTTGCTTAGACAGCTCTCGCATCTTAGTGGGGGTATGATTCTATAGATAAACCGGCAGGGCCCGGCATCCAGCCCTCAGCAAACACTTCCAAAGAAATAATCCACTTCAACTATCAACTCCATACCTGTGTGTAGCGAATAATCCCATTTTTGGCAAGCCACTCCCGCACCAGCGGGCCATGGACTTGAGACCAGTGGCGGTGGAATTCCTCCTCGCTGAGCGCGGGGTTGCGGTAGACCGCCATGGTCAAGCGGACCAGCTGCTGTTTCTCGGCCATGGGGTTAGATGTCACTGACGGACGTGGCTGATTTATGAGAGTGATGTATCGGCTGCTGTCTATATAAATTAAAGGGCAAGGGGATTCCTCGTGGGGTTCGGCCTGTGGATAATGGCCGTTGGGCGTCTAGAGTACAAGAGTGGTGGGGATGGCAGGATGGCCCCCAAGCGGGTGCGGGCCGAAGGATCGCGCTAGGCAGAGTCGGGCTTATCCGTATTGATCGAGCTGCTAGAGGTGTGGCGAAGAATGCTGCCAAAGTACGGAATGTGCTCGAGTGAAATTTGGAATTACGTACCGGAATTGGCTAGACAATTTAGTGCCATATTGCAGCGAAATTGGAGTAGAAAACGGTGAAAATTATGAAAATTATGAGGGGAGACAGAGCTGTCATTCAATATGCTTGTTTATATGCTTAACAAGCCGCTACCCTTCGCTCAGGCGACTTTGAAAGATATAGTAGAGAATAAGAATTAGATTGAAATGACTGATTAACTACATTGTGTCCGATTTAAGAGGTTTTATTCTTTATTAAATATATAGATAGCTATTTTACTTCTATTATTATTCTATTAATATGTTCTTCTCTCTTAAATTAATTAATTTTCCAATCTTTTGTTTAATCTATTTTTATGATTCTCTCTTTTCTCTCTTTTTTCAGACAAAGATTTACCACTATAGGCGTATTGAAGGTCGGGGGGTAGCGAAGTTGAATCCTCCCACTTTTCAACGACCCACTGCACATCTTATATTATTAAATGATATTTTTCTAACTTTCAACTTTAAAGTTCTTTTTTCTCATGGCGATTTCATCTCTTATACTAGGAATATAACGCGCTTTACAGCACTGTTCACTTCTTGTCATTGGACTCAGCCTGGAGACATACCCTAGTACTATGGGAACTCGATATGGGAACTCGATATGTGACTGAGAGAAGCCCTAGAATTACCCAGAAACTGGTTACAAAAAGGCCTTGCTCGAACTGGCGCCGAAATACTCTCTTACACTAGCCCCCCCAACGCTTTCTAACAAGTATTCAGCATTTCCTCCAATGCCATCTCTTCGTCCGAGGTGACGGTCAGGTTATAGACCGATTTCACCGTCACCCACATCTCGGCATACGTACAATGGAACGATTCTGCTATGCGTCAGATCATAACAGCATTATATACCCAGCATCACGACGATCTACGAAGCGAAGGCTACCAATCCTCCGGCCCCTTATCTCCCTTTACTTGGTTAACAAAATCCGTAACCGCCAGAAGCTGCGGATGGGTAACGTCGTTGGCAAACGCTCGTCGCCTGTCGGTGGTCCACTCGGATGCACCCGACTGTTTATGAACTATGAGCAATCACAATATAATCACATGAATTCCCCACTTATCAAGATAACCACTCACCTTCCAGGCGTTGGACAAGGGCACTACGTAGTCGATATCGATGTCACTCGCACGATCCCACGTCCTACCGTCATACGGCGAATACCAGCTCCCACTGATCGGGGCGCAGCTGGGACTCTGGGCTACGTTTGTCCCGTCTCGTTTGAGGGCCACTTCGCGCGTGTCACATATTCTGTGCGCCGTGTCAGATGAGGGATGGTATGTAAAGTATGAAACGGATAAGAAGAATACTCTACCCGCGCTGTGTGATCCAGTGAGGGAATTTGGCTCGGGAATACCCCTCTTGGGGCCCTTGTGGAGCCAAAATTAGTTGTGCCAGCTCGTTTTGGGCTGTGGATGCTGAAGGGACTCCTGGCAGTGCCGGTGCTGGTGCCGTCTCGGGCGCTGGATAGGCAGCGATGGGTGAAGAGAAGAGTGCAAGAGTCCCAAGTAAGACTAACTTCAACTGATTAGCACTCATTCTGGATGTTGATTTGACGGACTTTAATAGTAGAATGGACATGTGATTTCAATGAGGAATTCGGAGAGGTTGCTGATACTCGGTCTTCGGGTAGCCTTCAAGTAGTCAGACTATAGTCCGGCTTTGTAGTGCTCGGATGGCCAGCGATTTTAGCTTTGACCCCACTTGATTTCTTGTATACATTGAAGGGTCCTTGGTATCGCCCAAGGGCGTACAGGCGCTGACCCAGGAGTCGGATAGTGCTACCAAAAACATGTCAAGGGCCACCGTGCCTAAGGATTCCATGTTACACTGGTTTCTTTGGTAGTCCCGAGATTCTTATCCACAGTTCTGAATTTGATTACTCGATTATGATCATCACATCTTTATAGAGGGTAGTAAAGTCTCTCCTCTCAAGGGTAAAGGATATAGCGTGGCTATTCAAGAGACTCATAGAAGAGACAAACAATTTTCAGTTTCTGAAATCAAACATGAGTCTGAAATAAATAAGAAGAACGGCGTGAAATCAGCGCAATCAATCCTCCCCGTGGACATGTACTGTCCAAATGCGTCCTTTCATATACCTCTCCTCCAACGCTGTAGCTTCAACGATCTCTTTGCCGTCAACCAGAGCACAGGTCTTATCCTCTCTCCGCTCCTGCAAAGATGGACACGGCCACTTATCAAGGTTGTGGTCCTTGGTTGATTCATGGAGCACTTCATTGGTGACATGCCATTCATGGCCGGGTGGGTTGTAAGCCAGAGGAGTGCGATTAGATTTCCCACTCAACCAACTTTGCACAGCCCGACCAAGACTGTGGTGATTTACTTCACCCAAACTCGTCGCCCAGGGGGCATCATCCCACTCTGGGCGAGGAGAGTGGTCGAAGAGATACTCGTCGATATCGAAGCTGAGCTGATCATGTTTCATGCACCATGCGATCATCCAGCTTAAGGGATATTCGACAGTCGGGGATTGTCGCTTCCTCCAACATCCGTATGGACCTGGAGAACCACACCTGAAGAAGCTCTTGGCCCTCATTCTTCTGAGGAATATTCCAGACAGTTGGCTGAAAGGCCTTGGGCTCTTCGTCAAGCGCTAAGGCGTGAAACGCATATTTCACACTCTCGTGCAGTACTGTATTTCGTAGCTCGAGTCTCTCTCCAGAGCCTCTACCTAGCCAAGCCTTTTGAAGCCCGACTGTATCCCAGACTCTAATGATCTCCACTGTCAACTGTGGCAATGGCTCCCGAAGCCCCAGACGCCGTCGCTGCTCGAGGGCATACACACGGGTATTGTAGAAATCGTTGTAGACATTGGTGAAGTTGTCCATGCCTCGCGAAGTGAGAAATTCCCACTGGCAAACCAGTCCGGCAACCGCGCGGGCCGTGTATGCACCACGCGAAAAACCAAAGAAATAGATTTTGTCGCCTTCGGTGTAATTGTCCACTAGGAAGCCATAGGCCGCTCGGACGTTGGCACTGACTCCCAGCCCTGCCGCGCCTATATAGATGCGTCATTAGTATCGACCATAGCTCCGTAAAGAGCAGGAAGACGAAGGCAGGAATGACATCTACCTCCTGAATAGTTGTCTCCCAGGTTGGTTCCCACGCCCTTTTGATAGTAGACGATCTGAGGAATCTCCCGGCTTTTGCCAACTTTTTCAATAACCACCGCAACGCGGCTCAACACTCGGCTGAAACGAGTGAGGTTGGAAGGTGGCTATGCCGCATCGGCAGGTGAATTATTCCATGTTCCTAGACAGATCTTGTTAGACATAGACGCTATGGGCCTACTGGACTTTTCCATAGCATACCGCCACAACAGACAATAAGCCGTTTCTGTGGAAAGTGTTGAATTTGGGACATGGGAAGCACCACTATATTTTCAGAATCTACTAGGTGCTGATCTAAAAAGTCTCTATAATATTGCTATCTCTTGCAGTTTGGGTTGTTAAAGTCCTCGGTCCCGAGAAATCTTTTCTCTGATGCAAACATTATCCACTGTCGCCAACCGAGCTCAGCATCATCGAGAATGCCCTTGATTTTCTAGTACTTCAAACAGAGTCTCATTCAGGCACATTCAAGTGCTGATGTTATTTAATGGGCGCCTAAAGACAAAATACGAATCAGCCCCAGTAGAGGTCCAAGAAACTTGAACTTCACGGCCAAGCAAAGCCATCCCGTGCTAATATACAGTAGATAACGCTTTTGATATAGTCAGCCTTCGAAGTGGATCGATAATCATACTCTGACCTCCGGCGAGCATCAATTATGCACCCCTGTCCACTTAGTTCACTCTCCCAGAATGCTCGCCAAAGACCTACTATCTGGCTCAGCCTCTCCATAGTCATCAGTTGGAAGTCTTTGTGACGCAAAAGCCAAAAACACAGCTTCCCAATGTCCATCGTCAAACCGAAACAGCACAGCTCCATCCTCATAGACCCCATTCGGATACCTGGGCAAACTACCCTGGTTCATATGCACATCATGGATCCCAGATCCATACGACGACCCGAAAATGTAAGCTGTTGCATTTTGATCAATCGCCGCAGTGAGAATAGGATTCATCTCATCGAGGATATCATTGTCGGGACCGGGGATATCATGCGGAAGAACTTTGCCACACTCAATATTCACAAGACCCTCGGTGCGAACAAAATCTAGACCCATCAAAGTGGCTTTTTCCCGCCGGCTTTGTGGGTAGTGTTGTCGATTGTTGTTGTTGCTGTTTGCGTGGATTGATCGTGCCAGGTGGAATCCCAGCTCTAGCTGTGAGAGCTGCTCGGTGATGGGGTGGGAGAAGTTGCGCGAGAGCCAGAAGACGAGGCGTGTCTCTTTGCCTGTTGACTTGACGTTAATGGCGGCCTCACATTCCTTGCCGGAGGAGTCATCGGTGAACTTGAGGTGAATGTGTGGCGATTTGGGGTCGTCGTCATTCGTCTGCGCGACGTAGCCCGTGGGATGGCAGGCCCAGACGCCATAATGGGGAATAGGCATTTTGTTAAAGAGATAGGTAGTCTGAAACTACAGGAGTTAGTGAGAGAGAGGACGCTTACGAGATATATGTTTCTCTTGGAAACTTGTGCAATACTAAATCTGTCCGTCATCTCTTCGTCATACGGCATGTCTTTTTTTTTTTCACGCGTTGCACGAATATTTGAGCAGTAACTCGATGCTGGTGGCTCGCGTAACATCTCAAATAGCCTAATACCGCATTTCTGAGGCAGATTAGTCCATCCATCATTTCTACTACATCCATGATTACCTATTGACCACTTCAGGGCAGTTACTAATTTCTTATGTCATCCGCCATTGGACGTTATCTTATCGATAAACTGAAAATTTGGGAGAAACACGGTGATGCGAGTGCAATCCAGCTGATTCGGGGTCAAAAATGCCGGAGAAGGTGCACACGTTCTTTGCTGATTCGGATGACGAGCGCGTCGAAAAGACCGCACCACCACCAGCCGACGACGGTGGCCGCAAGAAGAAAAGAAACAAGAAACGGAAACGCGACGAGCCCGCCGACCATCCTCATGTCCCCGAAGGCCCCCAAGATCCAATTGAGGTGCCAGAAAAGCCTGTGCTCGAGAGCCAACCCGAGAATGTATCTCCTGCAGCGCCAGTCCCGGAATCAAAGCCGAAATCGAGACCCCAGACCAAAAGCAAGGCGAAACCTTTGAACGAAACCAAAACCAACTTCTCATCCCTACGCGAAAAGGCAAAGGCGCTCTACGAAACCCGACGGAAACTTCCCATTTTCGCGCATGCCGATGATATCCGACAGAAGCTGCGAGACGACGATGTGATGCTCCTGGTGGGAGAAACGGGTAGCGGCAAGAGTACCCAGATCCCGCAGTTCCTCGTCAACGAGTTCTGGTGCCGACCGACACCAACAAAAATCACACAAGACGATGGTACACAGAAGGAAATTTCGGTCGGGGGCTGTATTGCCATTACGCAGCCGCGACGAGTCGCTGCGATTTCCCTGGCTCGTCGCGTGGCCGAGGAAATGGGTACGCCGCTTGGTTCCTCGTCTCCTGCGAGCAAGGTTGGCTACTCGGTTCGGTTTGATACGTCGACGTCGCCGAGTACGCGGATCAAATTTCTGACCGAGGGTATGCTCTTGCAGGAGATGCTGCATGACCCGTGGTTGACCCGGTACAGCGCGGTCGTGGTGGATGAGGTGCACGAACGAGGTGTCAATGTCGATTTGGTGCTTGGGTTTTTGCGCAACCTAGTGTCAGGAACCAAGGAGGGTCGTGGCAGTGTACCACTGAAAGTGGCAGTCATGAGTGCTACGGCAGATATGGAGAGTCTGCTGGGCTTCTTCCGAGAGGGATACAGCCTCCCGAGTCAAGAACAGAAGACCAAATCCAACGGGTCAGAGGCCATGCAAAGCAAAGATGGAGACTCGCGTGATATCTCGGTCTGTCATATCAAGGGCCGACAATTCCCTGTTAAAACTATCTACTCCCCGGAGCCAGTTCATGACTTTGTGGATGCGGCGCTTAAGGTGATCTTTCAGATTCACTACAAGGAACCAATGCCTGGCGACATTTTGGTTTTCTTAACTGGTCAAGAGACTGTGGAAGCTCTGGAACATCTCGTCAATGAATATGCTATGGGAATGGATCCCGCACTACCGCGCATTCAAGTGCTACCGCTGTTTGCAGCTCTTCCTCAAGCGGCCCAGCAGCGTGTTTTCGCTCCGGCACCACCCCGGACGCGCAAAGTTGTGCTTTCAACCAACATTGCTGAAACCTCGGTGACAGTATCGGGAATGCGGTATGTGGTGGACTGCGGCAAGGCGAAAGTGAAGCAGTTCCGTACACGGCTCGGTCTGGACTCGCTGCTCGTCAAGCCTATCTCCAAGTCAGCAGCAATCCAGCGAAAAGGTCGTGCAGGTCGTGAGGCGCCTGGCCAGTGCTTTCGCTTGTACACAGAGAAAGACTACTTGGCTCTGGATGAGACAAACACGCCTGAGATTCTGCGATGTGATCTCAGCCAAGCCTTGCTGAACATGAAGGCGCGCGGCGTTGACGATATTGTCCGGTTTCCATTCCTGACGCGCCCGCCGCGAGAAGCGCTCGAAAAGGCCTTGCTCCAGCTGCTGAATATCGAGGCCCTCGACGAATCCGGGTCGATCAGCGACGTGGGCTTACATATCGCCAAGCTGCCCTTGACGCCGACGCTGGGACGGGTGCTGTTGGCTGCCGCTGACAACGGCGTGGAGTGCCTGAGCGACGTCATCGACATTATTTCCTGTCTCAGTGTGGAGAATATCTTCCTCAACACCAATTCCGAAGAGAAGAAAGAGGCTGCCGAAACAGCGCGACGCGACTTATTTAGACGCGAGGGCGACCATCTCACGATGCTGGCAACAGCGCAGGCCTACGCCACCGAGAATACCGACCGAAAGGCTTGGGCAGAGCGGCACTTGGTATCGCACCGGGCGATGCAGTCGGTGATGGTAAGTTTGATCGCCTCCCTTGTTGTATCTCATCATCCAACCTGACCAAAACCCCCAGGATGTTCGCAAACAACTGCGTATGCAATGCCGCCAATCCAAGCTTCTTCCCAGCGACGACCGTCGGACCAACGCCTCGCGCGAACCTTCGCCTGTTCTCATTTTGCAGAGTTTCCTTCGTGGCTTTGCGACCAACACTGCCCGTCTGGTGCCCGACGGCAGCTACCGCACTGTCGTGGGCAACCAGACCGTCGCCATCCACCCGTCGAGTGTTTTGTTCAGCAAGAAAGTAGAGGCGATCATGTACAACGAGTTTGTGTTTACCAACCGCAGTTATGCGCGGGGAGTCAGTGCGGTACAGATGGACTGGGTGGGGGAGGCCTTGGCAGGCTGATTTTTTCCGTTGTTTTTATACTTGACATAGACTCCATGAGCGATACCCATGAGCGATGACACTGGATCTTTGATTCATCTGTAATAGAAGAATATGCGAAATCGCGTGAACAACCATCAGGTGAACCCTAAAATCTGACCTATGGATCCTTTTGTAGGAGTAAATATTCTCTTACTACATTGATACAACCTCCCTTACTCTTAGCTACCTAGTCCCTCTCTATAATAACCAAAGAGGCAGAAGAAGTGATCGAAGAAAAGAGATAAAAAAAAGTGGGTTGAAAAAAAAAATAACTATAGTGAGCTTATATCAAGTAGATACAAAGTATTAAAAAAAAGAATCCTAAGAACAAGGCTCTCATAGACGTAGACCGCTGTACTATAATAAGAACTAAAAAAATCCAGAATAAGCACGCTGATGTGGAGACTGGGGGGCGGATCAGGGCACTCGAGGGGTCGAATGAAGGTGGAAATCCTCATACTTCGTGTGGATGACACAACAGACAAAGGAGAACAGCTGGCCAGTAGCTAAATGTCTGCTGAGAAACATTCGTGGATATATCGAGCTGACTCCCCAGGAGACACCCTTTGGAAGACCAAAATCCCAACGATCGACGTGATCGCCCCACGCGAGCAGTCACATTGGAGGTGTAGGAACGAGGAGTTTGGCAGGATTTTGGCCCCTGAGGAGCCAAATCCATTTTTGAGATAGTTTTCTTGTTTCTCCTCTTTCGAATCAACAGCAAAAGGATCCGAAAAAGACACCATCGTATGATTTCTTCGCAGGGCATACCCACAGTGGAGTCCGACACCGCTGCCCGACGCTTGCATCACTTATCGCGCATTATCTGTTATCGCATCATCTCTCTTCCTCTCCAACCTTGGAAGTCTCTCTTCCTCCAGGGCTTGTTTCTCTGTTAATTTTACCTGCTGAAGGCCATATACATCATATTGTTACTCCCTCTAGACATATCTCCACCTCTCCATCTCTCTTTGTCTCCCTCGCGGGGAAACCCACTCTCCCAACGCTTATCTGTCCCCAGTAGGCCTGGGCAGCTCAGCCTCAGCATGGCTTTCCAGCTCCCAACCCAAGTCCCTCGTCGCAGGACCTCCTATCCGCATCCGCAGCCTTCTACCGCCCTCGATATCCCTCTCTCTCCCCACGACCAGCCCGATGACGACACCACACAATGGGTGCTCTTCTCCCCGACCGCTCGCACCCAGACGACCTCGACAGAACGCACCCAGACAGCAGGTATCTCACGTTTAAGTGATTTCGGTTCCTTTGGCACTGCAACCCGATCCGCGACTGCACCCGAGGGCGATGTGGATGACGGCGATGCCTTGGACGACCAGCTGGACGAAGATGGCACCGAGCTGGACAGCTTGGACGATGGGCTCCAGGCCTTTCGAGCCCCATCGCTGCCCCCGACCTCCCCCACCCGCCTCGACCAAGGGCCACCGGCTATGCTGCCGGCACACGATGGGCTAGGCAGCTTTCAAGCCTCGAGTCAACCCGTACAGGATCAACTCTGGCAACACGAGCAATACAACCCACAGCGGCACTCAGAGATCCAGCTTCAACCCCGCCGCCGGTCCAGCGTGCAGAGACACCTCGATACTGTCGACGAAAGCGGCGTGGATGTCGAGCGAGAGCGGTGGCAGCGCATCGAGAAATGGCGTATGGACCAAAGCCGGGTGTTGCTGCAAGAAATCGAACGAGAGACTCGTCGCCGGCGGAACAGTCGTGTCAGTCGATCCAGTGCCCGTCGCTCTGTTGGCGTGTTACACGACGGTACCTCAGAAATGCCTAAAGAAACCGCTTCGTCGGATGTCGACTCCGAAACGGACGAGTCGTTCTGGCGCCGTCTCACCCGAACGGTTATTCGAGATTTGATCGGGATTGACGATTCCTTGCTCTGCGTGATCTTTGGTGAAACGTTACGTTCAGATGAGCAGGCTCGTGATCCACCGCCTGAAGAGCCTCTGGATATGGAAACGGTGCTGGCGCGGGAGCCCGAGCCCGAGCATGGGGATCCACCAATGTGGCAGACGAGGGTGCTGCAGCGCATTGCCCACGAATTGGGAGCGCTCATGTCCCAGCTATGTGAACACCCTGGTGCTTTTACGACATATTATCAAATGACCAAAGAGATCTCGAACGAATACGCCGGCATGTCTCTCAACCGTCAAGGAGATAGCAGCGCCCAAAGGCCGGCAGAGTCTGTTGCAACACCGCCAACTGACACCGCCGCTGGCGACTCCATGCCCTCTCCCTATTTCTTGCCAACACTTCAAGACCCTAGTCGCGAGCACGAAGCCCAGTGGGGAATCGAGGAAGATGACCCCGCAGGAGCTGATCCGCTCTCCGAGTCGACTAGACTACAACAAGAACAGGAATACTGGGAGCGCGGACTCGACGTGAGGATGGTCTACCGCTACCTCCGCAGTCGGTTCAGTCGCCGCGGCTACATGCCCAGTGATACGCACACATCTTCTCAGCCGCGCCGTCCGCCCCAGGACGCCTCCCGCCGCGCCGCCATCATCCGTCACCACCACCCACTGGTGGCGCATGCACATGCACACTCCCATTCCCAATCCCAATCCCGGCGCGTATCCCAGTTCTCGGGTGTCTCGGGCCCTATGGGTGTTTCCTCCCCTCTGCTCCGACAACATCTCCGTCGTCCCGGCTCCAGCTGCGCCAGTCAAAGCGCCAAGCTCTCTGCCATCTCCAGTCGGCGGACCTTGACTGGGTCTAGTCGCAACTACTGGGATATCGGTGGTAGTGTCGAGAGCAGTAGTGCCATTGGTGTCGGAGCTGGTCTCGGCACCTGGGGCGAAGTGTGATTGCATCCCGAGGTGGACGTTTGTCGGAGTTGATTGAATATTTATGAACATATCTGGGATTTCAAGTCACTGATCATATATGATGAATGGATATCACGGAGTGCTGTTCTTATGACATGATCTGTTTAACGAGCTATGGATGTTTTACTTTCAACAATTTACCCTGGAGATTCTATTTCCCACATCTTGCTTTCTACGTAGAATTTGACCAGGCCTGATCAGAGTATTGATAAGGACATGTCACACCGGGTGAAGGAATGCGATAGAAAAGTCGTCGTCAGTGAATGTCTCGTATTTGAATAGAGGCTTGTATATTGACAAGACCACTGCCACGTCATTCTCACTGAGTTGGCTCCCCACATGCATGAATGTATCAAGGCATCATCAGTTCAGCCTTTCTCATGGGTTGCAAGATTTAAGTTGTTAGCCCTCTAAAACCTCTTCCTAGGAAGGATCAATATATCTTCAATAATGACATCGAGGACATACGCCCTGCCCTCTTAGGGCTTCGTTGTCTCCTGAAACCCAGCCAATGGCGAATGACAGCCCATCATCTTGGAATATTAGATGATCCAGCACAGGAATTGAAGGTATCTCCAAACTACCAGCAAAATGCACGGAAACTAGTCACGGGCTACGAAGATCTAGTGGTTGCGCTCATTGAGCCTCCCGACAAGGCAAAAGAGACATTCTACGAAAAGATATTAGCTTTGACAACTCTAATGCTAATGGCGAAGGGGACTTATTTGCTAAACAGATTGATTGGATCTTCTGCATTTCTCTGATATCCTGGCTACAAAACATGCTCTTTAAAAACCCTTGCATCTGGTCTACGTGCCTTGTCAATAAAATGGTGCAATATGATGTCTGAAGAAGTTTGCTCAATTCTGTCGTTATTCGTAACATAGGCCAAGCATGGTGCAATACTCAGGGCCTTAGCTTTATGCTAAACTATTCATGGTCCGGGGGTCCTGCGCCGGTTGACGTTGATGCGAAGATAAGTGCCGATCTTCAAGCTGAGCTCACAATATCGGCAATGTATACAGCCAGGATGTAGCGCGTTGCTTGAGCTTAAGTAGCTTGCAGCTTTACAGAATTAACCAGTAGTCCCGATTCTCGGTCCAAATGTCATTCCTCCAAAGTGCAAAACCCAAGTTACATATGGAGCAACGGCGGATATCGACCAACTCCACCCCATAGGACCGTGCATACTTACCATTGCCATGCATTTCCCTGTCCCTCCCGAGGGCGACTGGCTGACGATAATTGCTGATCTGGTGCGTCCGCAATCGAGAAATAGATTTGTCCGACTCAACTCGGTGGTACCCGCGCCAGCAGCCCTATGTCAATCTGAACGACTTCTCAAATGAGCTGGACATTCTAGCTCTGAAAGATGGTGTGCGCTTCATCGATGATATCCTGATGAACGGCGAAGGAATGAAATATATCATCGGAGAAGACTACCCTTGGCCCATGCCACGGGATTCGGATGAAGAAATGGATCGGGTCATTCTAGATCGATCGCAGACGGGTTTCCGTAAGTCGCTCTCCAATTATCAGAATACTGACAGCGCTGTCTGACTATATGGTCGCGTTGATAGATCCCTGCGGAACGACTCGACTGTCTCAGGATATCCAGCAGGACGTCGTGGACCCTGAGCTTCGAGTGCATGGGACTAAGAACTTGCGTATGATTAATGCATCAATTATTCCTGTCATCCCAGACTGTCGCATCCAAAATGCCGTGTATATGATTGGAGAGAAAGTAAGAAAATGCCAACATCCATTGAAAAGCTTCGCTGATGACCAGTTTTAGGGCGCCGACATTATCAAAGACGCCCATCCATCTTTGTACAAGGGCAGAAAGTAAGCTATTCGAAAAAATGGAGGATCTCCTTGAAACTAGCATAATCAGTGGGTTCCATTGAATATCTCGAGGACCTCTTGGTCAATCTACTGCGGGACTGGGGGTTATACTCCTGGCACTTCCTGGGAGACGTTGACGTGAAACCACAATGATAATCAATCATATTGGCATTTTCAAACATGACCGGCAATATCAGAAAACATAATCAAATGAATCGACATAAATTCCCCACCTCTCTGTTGACCCAATCGTGGGCTGCCCGGAAACGTTGAATGACCTCACCACCTCCGATCAGCACTTTTCTTGCTGCAAACTGCCACCCAATCACTTTTCTCGTAAAATAATCATTTTTAAGGCATATTCCTCAAGTCTTCTATAAGATCCTGGGCTCCTGACACCCCCTCTCTGGCAGAGATATGAGCAGACTTGGGAGTCTTGTCTGTAGTGGGTGCTTGCACGGGCTTGGAATTCGCAATTCAATCCGTCCCACAAGGTCAAAGGCGAGACGTGTTTTACCAACTGTCACAAATAGCCTGCAAGAACCATTTTCAAGCCAATCCACACTCTTCAGTCTACGAATACCGCGTCAATCCCTAACAACCGGCTCCTCAAAGGCAAAAATGAGCAGCCAGCGCGTTCCCATCGAGCCCCAGCGCGTCGATGCGCCGCTCACTCAATCAGCGACATTCCTTGTGGTATCAGTTACCAGCAATCCGGACGCCATTCAAACAGTGCGCTCGACACTAGCTGGACTGGACAGTCTCGCGAAGAACGTCTCTATCCGCGACCTCGGTGCTCAGTTCGCCTGCACTGTCGGCATCGGAAGCGACATCTGGGACAGTCTCACCGGTCTTCCCCGACCTGCAGAGCTTCACTCTTTCCGTGAAGTCAAAGGTGCTAAACATACTGCGGTCTCGACACCAGGAGATCTTCTCTTCCACATCCGCTCCGAGCGCCGGGATCTATGTTTCGAGTTCGAGCGCCAACTGATGGACCTCCTCGGCGACGCAGTCACCGTCGTTGACGCGACCGTTGGATTCCGCTACTTCGACGTGCGCGATCTACTCGGTTTTGTTGATGGCACCGCCAACCCCGTTGGGCCAGCGGTGCCCTCGTCAGTCCTCGTTGCCGAGGAAGACGCGTCCGCGTCAGGTGGCAGTTACATTGTGGTACAGAAATACACACACGACCTGCATGCATGGAAGACCCTGCCAGTCGAGCAGCAAGAGAAGATTATTGGTCGCACGAAGCTGGAGAACGTCGAACTTGATGACGCCGAGTCCGGGCAGCGCTCTCATAAAACCCTCAACACGATTGAGGACGAGGCCGGCAACGAACATGACATTCTGCGCGATAATATGCCGTTCGGCTCACCTGGCTCTGCTGAGTTTGGGACTTACTTTATTGGGTATACGCGCCGCTTGTGGGTTATTGAGAAGATGCTAGAACGCATGTTTGTTGGAGATCCGCCGGGACTGCATGATCGCTTGCTGGACTTTTCGAAACCATTGACTGGGACAACATTCTTTGCGCCGTCTGCAAGCTTGTTAGCTAGCCTTGAATCTGATTGAGAAGGCGACATTCCAAATATCAAGGATCGGGGTTTGTAAAAACACATATTCTTGGTGTTATCAACTGTCATAGTCCTTGGCTTTAGGAAACATACTAGAGAGTAAATCAGACTTTATAGCTTTATTCTTAGGGTTCTATCTTACTTAAAATACTTTATCATCTATTTGATATAGACTTACTATAATTCTCTCTCTCTCTCTCTCTCTCTCTCTCTTCTTTTTCCTTTATTTTATCTGTATCTTTATTTATATTTCTCTTTGGATTTCTCTAAGCTTTTTTTTCAATGTATTTCACCATATCCCTTTCTATATCTTCTTATATATTGTCTTTTATTGTCTTCTATTATTTAGCTTCTTTTAATTGTTCCTTTTTCTATTAGTTCCCAATTATATATAGGTCCCTTGGATCAGGAAAGGCTGTATTAATATATATAACATTTGCTTCCTAAAAGGAAAAGCATCTAGGTCAAATTTTAGGATTTGCATATTGGTTGTTTACGCAAATTCGTATATTCTCAAATTCTTATATTATAAATTATAAACTGGCAGCACTGCCATCAAAAAGAATCCGCTCTCTACAAATCCGGGAGAATTGAAAACAATCTATGGATATAGGTTCAAATCAATTGAAGAATATCTACAAATGGCCGTTCTGGCCGTTAATGCCTTGGGCAGATTATACTTTTTTTGATAGCAAGACTGTGTACTCTTGAGCTGTAGTGAAAGTGGCTATGGTCGAAGCTACGCGCTGCCCCTGTCGCAGACTAAGCGTGAGATTGCCTGGCTCCGATAATTCGCCAGAAAACAGGCCAAAAGATGAAAGATGCTTTGTGAGAGGAACACCAGTCGGCCACAAGAAGCATATACGACTCCTCAAGCAGTTCCTACTCATGCTCCCCTACATCTTACCGACGAATGATCTTCTCCGTCCGGTTCTACTACACCATGATCTCCATGCGGAGAACATCTTCATCGATGATGCCGATCCAAGCAAGGTGTTCAGTATAATTGACTGGCAGGCATTGTATGCCTCTCCCCTGTTTTTGCAAGCAAGATTTCCATCTGTTTTTGATAGCGACGACCCATACCCCTGGGGTGCAGTCCAACCCAAACGACCAGAGAACTTCGATAGTCTGTCCGCATCCAAGCAAGACAGGTCGAAGAGACGCTGGATAGGATCCGGCTGAAGAAATTCTATGAATTGGCGACAAGGAAATTCAATCCGCTTCTCGTTAAAGTTATGGATGCCATGAGACGTGACGACGACCCGACTACATTTATCTTCTATATTGTCGGCCAGTCCTCGATCAATGGCCCGATACCGCTCCAGGAACTCCTCGTGCAAATACACGAGAAATGGTACTACTTATCTACACAACGCGGCTTGAGCATCCCGTGCCCCATTTCATCTTCTCGGGAGGATATCGACCGCACTCGACGGCAGGCAAACACCTGGGCTGATGCTTACAACGAGTTTGACAGCCTCCGAACCCAGCTTCTTGGATATGATGGCTGGGTCTCTCATGAAGAGTACGAGGAAGCCAAGCGCCGGTGGGAAGATAGCAGGACTACGCTGGAATCGCTTCGACAGAAACTGGAACAGCTATTACGATATGTATAGATAGGCATGGACTGTGGTAGCCACTCTCCAGGATTTCGATAAGTGGAAAATCCCGCAATAACACAAGCCACTTTTGAATTGTTTCACTTCGGTTCACTTCTCCTCTTGTACCTCTAACTGCCCTCGGGCCAATGAGGCCATCTCCGCTCACATTCTGCTCTCCCTTGCTGCCGATCGCCGCGACACTTTGGTTTGTTTACATCGCACCAATGACAAGCCCAAGAATGCATGTATCCCTAGCCAGGCGCCCCAGAAGTCAATTCATAAAAGTCGCTGCCGGCCTCCCAAGTTCCCCCCCCATCCTCTGTCGATGTAATGAGATCCTCCTTCTCGTGAACCCACTCCACTCTACAACCCCCACAGATCTACTCAAGATGAAGCTTTCACTCGTCTTTCCCCTGACTAGTCTCCTGTCTTTGACAGTTGCTGGGTCTCTGACCACCGATGAAGTCAGCCCATGCTTGGTGCGTTGTTCTTGAACCAAGATTCAAGTACTACTCCAAAAAAAAAAAAAAAAAAAAAAAAGGACGCTGCTAACCTCCAATTCTTGGTTTACTAGACCCACTGTCTTACAGAAGGTGCCGCTGTAGCTGGCTGTACCTCCTACCTTGATCTGAAGTGTACCTGTCCCAGTCCGGCATTCAAGGATGCGCTCGGCGTGTGTCTGAAGGATGTATGCGAGAAGAAGGATTTGGAAGGTATGTCCTACTAACCGGACTCTATATGAAAGACCATCTTGAATTCGAGAAGCTAATACATTTTTATGGTTTGTATAGCGGCGAAGCAGTTACACGTGAAGCGCTGTGGGACAGCTCCTCAGTAAGGAGTGAGATACACGGAGATATTCATGGATATTGGGTACCTCCGTGGGAAGTCCAGTCCATGTATACTATTCCATATATTCAGATACCTGGCAGGCCATTGTATGATTAGAAAAGCAGTCAGTTCAACTAGTCATTGGACAGCTCTTGGTAACATGAAGTATGAGTGCGGGTCTTGGATTCATTTCTAGATCGATGCTATATAGCAACTGGGCAGGCGATTTGATCCCAGGTTCTCCATAAATAGACCAGTAGCGAGTATTTCCTTGTCTCACTGCACATGGTTGACAATCAAAAAGATGATACCAGTGCCTGGATTGTCATAGTAGAAAGGTTTAGGGCTAAGATGACTGTCGTCCCCTCTCACTATACTTAGTTGGGAGGTTGGGCAGCTCCATGGTACATGTCTAGTCACAGTTGAGCTAGCAGAGCCACCGGACCATTTATAGAAAGTCCTACAGCTACAGAAATAAACGTCATGACCCATGGAACAACTCCACCATTGCGATTCGCACACGACTGATATCAAGCTAAGGCGGAACGAGATGAAGACAATAAAAGAACATTTTTCTTGAATTCGTGGTTTAGTTCATCCCATCACCCTCTAAGCCTGAGAAACGTTCTCGTAGGCGTCGGGGAAGCGCTTCATGTTCTCCTCAACCAGACCGTGGCCACGCAGGAACTGAACGTAGGCACCGTCCTGGCGGAGCTTGCCCTCCTGGCGCAGCTGGACGTACTCCTCGCGACGGACGGGGGTGAAGCCCCAGTTCTTGGAGACAATGATCTTTTGGCGGCCGGGGAACTTGTACATGGAGCGGCGGAGAGCCTCGATGGCGGCGGCACGGTTGGAGTCACGGGTGCGGACCGACAGGATGATCTGGCCGATGTTCACACGGGCAACGCTGCCGTTGGGCTTACCGAAGGCACCACGCATACCGGTCTGCAGACGATCGGCTCCGGCGCACGACAACATCTTGTTGATACGGACGACGTGGAAGGGGTGCACACGGACACGGAGGTGGAATCCTTCCTTACCGGTGATCTTGACGAGGTACCTATAAACAGGGTAAAAGGTCAGAAGCTGGATTGGTCGAGTATTGTTCGTGGCAAACATACTTGTTGGCGCAAATGCGGGCGGCTTCGAGAGCCTCCGAGGACAGCTGCTCGTACTCGTTGGAGACCAGGTGGACGCAGGTGGGGAAGTCGTCCACGTTGGCTTTCTTACGACCGAGATCGAAGATACGGATCTTGGGATCGGGAACACCACGGTTGAACCGGGACTTAGGGTAGGGCTGGACGGAAGATTCATGTCAGTCAAAATGCCACCCTGAGTTCGTCATTCCGAAAAATATTTTTCTTTGGAAAAGAAAATAAAATAAAATCAATGGCGCAGTCTCAGCGACCATCCCGATCGCGACAAGCTGGCAAATGGTCGCGAGCACAGTGCTCGTCCATGCGCTCCCCACAACCGAGATGTCCATCCTAGCCCACACAAAAAATCGATCGGAGTCCAAAATCATCACGCACCTTGTTCTTGCAGTAGCGGTAGCATCTCGCGGGACGACGGGCCATTGTGAATGCTGGAAATGGGCTGACTGCACTTCCTGCGAACTGGGTGTGGGTTGTCGATGGTGTCGAGGGTTCGAAAAGAAGGAAAAGAAATGGACCGCTGAGTCACGGGATTTGGGATTTGATTTCCAAGCAGACGGTGGCAAGCCCTAACCCTACGCGATTTAGCCAATCAGAGTGCATGCCGAGGACCCGCATTTGTCAGATTCGGAAGAACAACTTTACGATGCGGCGACCTTTTTGTAGTTCCCGTCCTTGAGATAGGCGAGATTGCGAGACCGTAATCTATCGAATCTTGTTCTCCGCAAGCTTCTTCAAACGCAGCTCGAGGACTGTGATTGATATCACTTGGATCTAGATCCAAGAAGGTACGAGAGTTCTCTGCTGGCATCCGTCCTGCATGAACAACCCAGCGAGGATCGCTCGGTTTGATGCCAGAGCCAAAGTCAATCCATCTCGTGATAAGGACTAATAACTCCTCATGGAATATCCGAAACTCGTTTTGGTAATCGGTGTTGCACTTCTGGCATGAATCCGAAGAAATCACGTTCTTTTTTTGGTATAAAATTGCTTCGCAAGCCGCTCCTTCAAAAGCCCAAGTAGCGCATTAGATTTATGGTGACAAATCCGAAGATAACTCATAGTATCTTCGCACCATTTAATCTCCTGATCGCTGTGAAATAGGATGATGTCTTGGGTCCGTAGTTGTAAAGCTGGTGGCTGGCAACACATTCGTGCTTTGACGGAAAATAACACTGTGGTCCATGTTTCTGGTGTAACTTCGATATTAAACAGAGAATCAGTGCTAATATCGGCTACTGGACCATGACAGAATCGTTTCATCGCTAGTTGTAAGTGAAGGAAATAGAATTGCTGATATCGACTTTCGATATGATATGCGCGTCTCTGATGTAACTGCAGCCTTTGATCGTCTATCCGAAATATACACGGATGAAAGAAGCTGAAGTTGAATGGATGGGGTAGACCAAGGCTAGCCCATCCATTGTATCTATGAAGTCTGATGCATCGGTGGCAGATATATTTGTCCGGAAGATCGCGATCCAATCGATATAATAATGGAAGTTTCGGTTGTTCAAAACCATATCGAAGGTTTCTCCTTAGATTACCGAGGACCATGAATATCCAGCGACTGCAGAGGTAGAAACAGATTAAATCCACAGGTTGCAAGAGCTTCGATATCAGCAGTATAAGCTCAGCGGGGAGGCCATTCAGTGTATTGGATGCCGCTCGTGCCGGGACCAGTGCGTGCCTTCGCTCTGGATCTGCTCCCCCAAAGCGCAGTAAAAGGTCTCCGAAGAGCTAACATGGATTGTAGTGACGGATCTCAGAGTGGAAAGCTGGTAGTCGTCATCCGCTAGCAAAGCTAATTAGGAGAAAAGAAGTCCGGTGGCTATGATAGAAGACGGAGCTATATAGACAAGGTTCCGAAGTCAAAGAAGAAGATTCTTGTGAACGATGTTGCGATAGTGATGGGGGCTCAGCTAGAGATAGAGAGAATAAATAAGACAGGTTGATCGATGACAGGCCGATGACTCTTCCAAGGTTGCTTTGTTTAGGCGGCTTTAGGTGGCACAATAAAGAGCAAGAATGAGGTTCTCTAGGCCTATTATTTACCTTTCTTTTTATTTAAAAGGAGTTATTATTTTCTTGATATTGGATAGCTAATGATAATCACTACTCCTTTAGAGGCTGAGGTTCAGCGGCTTGTCGCTATTCACGATTTCCATACCAGGAATTGAAGCCAACTCTATGAATTTCATAGCATTGAGATAGCGGTCAAAAAGCGCATGAAGAGTTTCTTGGTGATATTGTTCTTTGTTTTCTATCTTTATCGTTTGATTAGTTCGGATGGGAACGTATATCTAAACATTAGAAAAGGAAAAATATAGTAGAAAAAGTGGTAGTGTCAATCAACTCTGTGCAGCAACTCAGTCATTAGCTCATCATTTCTTTCCTCTCAAAATCATATCCATCCTCATTTCCTCTATCTCAGTAGCCTGCCTTCTAATCTTAGCCACGTGCTCTTCAATATTTGCAGCTAGCGTCTTGTTCTTACTCTCGGCCTCGCTTTTCTCTTTCTTCGCTCAGACGGCTTCGCAAGACGTAGTAGATACTAAACATTAGATTTTAAAGCCATACTTTCTACTATTTTATATTTCGATAGCTATTTAGCTACTACTATCTCTAATTTTTAATCTGTTTTCCAGTCCTTTAAATCTTTTGGCAGTCCCTATTCCCTAGATTCTTCTCTATATGTATCCTAACTAATTGGATTAGGATCACTCAAATACCAAGAAACAATTAAGGAATTATTTTGCTGCAGGTCATATTTAATAATATAAGAAGATGTGAAGTGGGTCGCAAAAAGCTGGGAGGATTCGACTTCGTTACCCGTACGTGACCTTATGACCTTCTGTAGCCGGTATAATCGTAAATCTTTGTTTAAAAAGAAAGAAAGAGAAAGAAAGAAAAAAAATTAAAAAAAAAAAGACTTATTAAAAATAATAGATTAGAATAAGACTAGAAAAAGGATCAGAAAATAGAGATAGAAACTAAATAAAATAGTAATAGTAGTAGTAGTGAAATGGCTATCTATATATTTAATATAGAATTAAACCTTATAAATAGAATGTAATTTACTTGATAAACCTTTTAAATCTAATTTTTGTTCCATACTATATCTTTCAAAGCTGTCTGAACGAAGCGAAGGTCAGAGGTATATTTTTGTTTTATCAATGTGCTCCGACTGTTGTGGTTGCGAAGAGTCACTGCACCACCCCATACCTCTTGTAAGACGGAAAATCAGTTTCTCCGCCAGATATATTACATGCCACGTGACCTATACATGGAACAGGTGGCCTTAGGCAGAATGTCCCTGAATTGATTACGCTCGAACAGACTGAATCTCCTTCACTCAATTCAATCCCTTCTACATCTCATTGACAGCCTCCAGCAATCTTTCGATTGGTGCGATTAACTTGGACATCACCTCACCACATTTCGTGTCCTCTTGCCTGCCCCTCGTATCCCAGCCCCCAAACCGTTACTACACCACTGTATTTTTAGATACAAGCGCAGAGTAAGGGACCCGCCCGCATTCCTCAAGAAACCACCCTGATCGAGCGTCTGCAATCAGCATTTTCCTCATTCCTCTTGTCATTCCAGGCTGCTCTCGTCAAATGTCATTCTGTCTTCGATGATTCTTTGGCTTCCATCAGCCATGTGGCTCGCAATCAATTTCTGACAGCAGTCCCCCGAACATCCCCAACCGCCAATCTTCAATACAAGCGCTCTCCACAAGGTGTCCACTCATCCTTTGACCGCTCTTAATTTACACGGTACCCTGATTTCGTCCTTCCCTCCTGACCGTCACCAATTGAAGGTGTTCTTGAAGATTATTGAATTGGAGAGACCTCGCTTCATATTCTTATATATCCAATTTACTGGAGTCCACGGGCTCGGGACCCTGCACGATGTCAGCAACGCCTCGCAAACCTGGAACTCCCGGCAGTTCCAGCAAATCATCGACCGCAGATCCGCCCTCAACCAACGGGTCCACCACACGAGGACATACACGCTCGCCCAGCGCCGCCAGTAACGGCATCAACCGCTCCCCCTCCCTCCGAGGCTCAACCCCCGTTTCTGCACGCGCTGCGGCCAGAAAGCCCGCTCGGTCCAATCTGAGCATGTCAAATGTCCCCAGAGTTTCCGGCGACCCCTCCGACGAGGAGGCGCGGGCCCAGAATGCTGCTCTCATCGATGAGCTGCGAGAGCAGCTTCAAAAGGCCGAAACCGCCTCCGAGCAATACCAGAAGCAGCTGGGTGTCTTGCAGATGCGTCTAGATGAGGCTGTCAGTGAGCAGGGCAAATTGGAGGATCAGGCTCATGAGCGGGACACTCGCATTGAGACGCTCAACAGCGAAACTCGGGATCAGGCCCGCCAGATCCGCGACCTGGAACAAAACCACGAGATGGAGCGGAATGCCATGCTGCAGGAGAAAGAGCAGCAAACAAGCCGGGAAGAAGAGATGCAGGCAACCATCCAACGGCTGAAAGAGTCGATGGCACAGAAAGACATGCGCATCAATGCGGATGGCGATCGCCAAATCTCCCGATCCTGTATGACCCCTCTCGTATGCCCCGGAAGGTGATTGCAATCATCTAACAAGTCACTCCTCTATATAGCTAGTTTCCGCAACAGGGCCTCCCCGGAGTTGGACGGCCAGTTTGCGCCTTCGTCGCAACTGGAGCGCAGTCCCTCCCGGAATAATTCCACGCTTCTCCTGCAAAAGGACAAGGTGATCGAATCATTGCGCCTGGAACTCGCGGAATCCCAAATCAAACTCGTGGAGATGGAAAACAAAGGCGGCGGTCGCCAGCGCGAGTTGGAGAAGGAGCTTTTGGAGGCTCGCATGGCCAACGCTCGCCTGATGGAAGATAACGAAAGCTATCAGCTTCTCCTGAGTGAGAAGACTCTGACTGGCGACTTTACAAAGGGCGATTTTATGCGGGATGCCCACCCCGGGACAAAGGAATCTTCCGGCGGACTAGGGTCCCTGGCGGATGAGCTCGAATCCGTGGATGAGGCGCCTGAGACCGATCCGACTCGCAGAATGGAGGCGGAAATTAGAAGTCTTAAGGACCAAAACAAGGCCTTGACGCTTTATATCGAGCGCATCATCAGTCGGCTCCTGCAGCACGACGGGTTCGAGCACATCCTGGACAGGGGGGATCATGATGGCCCGAATGGCAAGCGGGCCAGCGGCGGAGACAAGGACTTGCCCCCTACTCCCCCGGAGAAGGATGATTCTCCCTCGCAGAGCTTCTTGCAACGAGCCAGATCGGTCGTCGCTGGGCCAGCCCCTCGCTCTCAACCTCGCTCCCGCCCAGCCAGTATGATGCCCCCGCCGCCTCCGGCACCTTCGCACAGCACTGCAAACGAGAACCCGGACACTGCACCCAGCATCCCTTTCCGTGCTCAGTCTGTGCGAGCGAGTCATCGCCGTACCCGCTCGGAGCAAGTAGATCCGGGCGCTGCATCGGTCGTTGGGCAAATGTACCGCGGGCGCTATTCTGGAGGGCCCATCAGCCCGACAGCTGTGGGCCCTGGGTCGCGGCAGAGCATGTTTTCTGGCGCCAACAGCTACTTTTCCAGCATGAGCCGTGCCCCGTCCATGTCGAGCCAGCCCGAGCGCACCGGCCGCAGCAGCTCGCCCAGCGTCACCAGTGATATCCCTGGAGAAACCGGCTCCACGGGGGCGACATCCAGCCCACCGCGGTCCAGCAGCGGCATGAATAATTATACTGGAGCGGTCATGACGCAGAATAAGCTGCGTCCGCTGCGTCTGGTGAGCGAAACGGCCAGAATCGAGGAGGAAGAGGCCGCTGCCCGGAGGAAGGCCAACCGCGCAAGCTGGATTCCGTGGATGAATCGCCAGAACACCAACCCCGATGAGCCGGCACCGCCTTCTTGATTGTGTTGATTAGTTTATGGACAAGATGATGTGATGTGATATTGTAACTGACTTTCCCCATATTTTACCATACCCCCTCTGATGCACATAAACGCAATCATGTTCTGTGTTATTTAAACGTCACGTTTCTCCTTCTGTTTTTGAATTGGCTGTCTCGTGGCATAGACTACGATATCTTTTCGCTGCTTGCTTTGGTCTAACATTCAGTCTTCCGATGCTTTAATTTTCGAATCAAATAAGGGTCTGGAAATCCCAAATACCCATAATATAGTCACTGTCCCTTATCCCATGTTCAAGTGATTGAAGATTTTCTGGAAAATTCTCTTTCCTCGAAATTGAGCATGGAGAATCCTTCCTCACACAGTACCGAAAATCTTCTCATCGTGAGTGGTCAAGCAGGTCAAATATCACGAATACTATGATAGAAAAGGAATTTTAAGAATTTGGGGCTTTTACAAATTTGGAGATGCTATCGTCGGAAGTAGCAGTGAAAAAATATAAAATTCGCAACTAAGTGCTTATTCTCCAACCCCTCAAGAAAATTTGTACAACAATACTTTTTAAATACTCGTATAATAGATGAATAAAGATGATAGCTATGCCCCGAGATTAAACTTGGCCTCAAGCCCACCAGTTTGGGTGTTTTGTAGAGAAGAGTGGCGTATAGTTCGAGTCAATGGCCGGAATAAAGTTAACGCGCCTCTTCCGGCCAGACTGGCCCTTGAGGGCATCAACACCGTGTTGTCCGTGTCCATTGCTCCCCATAATTCAATTCACCATGCCAGGCCCTCTGTCCCTCTTCTCCGTGAATGCGGTCCTCGTCATGTCCGCTGACGATGGGTCCCGCATCTTCAGCAAATACTACTCGGCACCGCACCCCCCGCCGGCGCAGCGCCCAACTCGACCGATTTCCCCGGCGCCAATCCCTATCCGACGGTCAAGGAGCAGCGGTCATTTGAGAAGGGGCTGCTCGAGAAAACCAACAAGTCTGCCAGTGACGTGATCTTGTACGACAACCGCATTGTCGTGTTCAAGATGGAGAGCGATGTGATGCTGTACGTGGTCGGGAGCGCCGACGAGAACGAGGTCTTGCTGTACAATGTGGTACTTTCACTACGGGATGCTCTGGGAATCCTTTTCAAGTATGTACCGGGTTTCGCTTTTCTTCATAGCCGTGTGGGTGTTCTCGACAAAAAAGGATTCTAATAGCTATTGTCAATAGGGGCGCAACCGACAAGCGGACCATTGTCGAGAACTACGACCTGGTCTGCCTGACCATTGACGAAACCATCGACGACGGAATCATTCTCGAGACGGACCCTGTCCTGATCGCTTCGCGGGTCAGCCGGGCACCGGCCCCGATGCGCCGAACATGAAGAACATCGACCTGACGGAGCAGGGTCTGCTGAATGCCTGGGAGTTTGGCAAGCGCCGTCTTGCGGAGGGACTGCGGCATATGTAGAGACGGGTCCTCGGACCTTTCCTTCTTGGGTTGGGCTGCCTTGTGTTTCTCCCCTTTGCGTGCATTCTCGCGTTTTTCTCCGTTCTCCCTGGCTGGTCCTGGCGCGATATGGTTCTCTTTTATATGTCCGAATTGAAGGGATTTCCTCCCTCCGAGGATGGAGGCCTCCATAGATCTCTGCATGCTTTTGTCTCTTACTGCGCCCTGCAAAGAATTGACTGCGTGATATAGTCCTGTGTTGGATTATGCTGGGGCTTCGAACAAGGCAGCTAATTCCGATTTCTCTGCGAGACTAATGACTGCAATGAAAAGACTCGATGCTTATCAACAGACTCGTTCATAATCCATGGATAGAAAAATTTGTGAATTTGCGTAAACAACTATAAGGTGAGCCCTAAATTTTGACCTGGCTAGTTTTTTTCTCCCCTAAGAAGCAAACATTCTCTTAATACAGTCTCCCTTACTCTTAGCTACCTACTTTCTCTCTCTATAATAATAATAGTAATAATAAGTGGAACAAGTAATGGAAGAAAAGAGATCACAGAAGAGGGTTAAAAAGAGATAACTATAGTAAGCTTGAATTAAGTAAATACCAGAGTATTTTAAATAAGACAGAATTCTAAGAGTAAGGAAAGCTATGAAATCTAATATTTACTCTTTGGTATGCATAATTGTATTAGAATGTTTAGTTGATATAGCTGTCGGAGAATGTGCGAGAAGACAAGCCTATTCCCAGTGAAGTGCCCGCCTGGTTCCTGCCCCGCATACGTCACGCTCGAAAATTCCGTTCTTTTCCACTTCAACCACCACGGGTTCACTATGAAGCAGAGATTCTCGTCGCTGGATGTCAAGGTAGAAAAATGTTCCCTTGGTCGAAGCAATTATCCACTGACAAGCCCAGGTCATCACGCGGGAACTGGCCTCGGAGCTAGTCAACCTCCGCGTGTCCAACGTCTACGATCTGTCCTCAGTACGCACAAGTCCCCTTCTCGTTTCGTGATATACTCGCCCTGGAATATACACTCATAATTCATTGCGAACAGCGCATCTTCCTTTTCAAACTCGCAAAACCAGACCATCGCCGACAACTCATTGTCGACTCCGGCTTCCGCACCCATGTCACCCAGTACTCGCGTACCGCCGCGACCACCCCCTCGCCTTTTGTGACCCGTCTTCGCAAGTTCCTGAAGTCTCGCCGTATTACTGGCATCTCCCAAATTGGGACTGACCGCATCATCGACTTTTCTTTCAGCGATGGCACATACCATATGTTCCTGGAATTCTTCGCGGGTGGCAACATCGTCCTGACAGACCGCGAATACAACATCATTGCTTTGTTTCGAACCGTCTCAGCTGGTGAGGGTCAGGAGGAAATTAAGCTTGGCCTCAAGTACACCGTCACCAATAAACAGAACTACGATGGGGTCCCGCCAATCACCACAGAGCGGGTTAAGGAGACGATCGAGAAGGCACAGGCTTTGTTTTCTCAAGAAGGCAATGCGCCCAAGAAATCCAAGAAGAAAAATACAGATGTCTTGAGAAAAGCATTGTCGCAGGGCTTTCCAGAATACCCCCCATTACTGCTGGATCACGCTTTTGCGGTTAAGGAATTTGATCCTGCCACGCCGCTAGATCAGGTTCTGGGAGAGGAAAGCTTGCTGGAGAAAGTGAAAGAGGTGCTAGAAGAAGCACAGCGAGTGTCTAACAGCTTTAGGACCGGGGAGAGCCACCCGGGCTACATTGTTGCGAAGGAGGACACGCGACCTCCTGTCGAAGACGAAGCCCCCTCCAAGGCTACTGGTCTTTTGTATGAAGACTTCCATCCATTCAAACCCCGACAGTTTGAGGGCAGGCCGGGGACGACGATCTTGGAAATCGAGCGCTTCAATGCGACTGTCGACGAGTATTTCTCGTCTTTGGAGTCGCAGCGACTCGAGTCCAGATTAACGGAGCGCGAGGAGGCAGCCAAGCGAAAGCTCGACTCTGTCCGCCAAGAACATAAGAAGCGGATCGACGCTCTCAAAGATGCCCAAGATATTCACATTCGCAAGGCGGGTGCTATTCAGGACAACGTGTACCGAGTTCAAGAAGCCATGGATGCCGTGAATGGACTGGTGGCACAAGGAATGGACTGGGGCGAGATTGCGCGCTTGATTGAGATGGAACAGGACCGAGGCAACCCGGTTGCGCAGATCATCAAGTTGCCTCTCAAGTTGTATGAAAACACCGTCACGCTACGCCTCGGGGAAGCTGGTGACGACCAGGATGACGAGGAGGAGCTTGCCACAAGTGATGAGTCTGACTATGACTCTGAGGGCGAGGAGGCACGAAGAGCAGCACAGGCCGACAGCGACTCTCGCTCGCTGACTATTGACATTGATCTTGGCCTCACTCCATGGGCGAACGCAACTCAATATTATGAGCAGAAGAAACAGGCCTCCGAGAAGCAAGCACGGACCCTTCAGTCTTCTTCGAAAGCGCTCAAGAGCCACGAGAAGAAGGTGACGACCGATCTTAAGCGGAACCTGAAGCAGGAAAAGCAAGTTCTACGAAAGGCCCGGACACCCTTCTGGTTTGAAAAGTTCCTCTTCTTCATTTCCCCGGAAGGGTACTTGGTTTTAGGGTATGTCATTCCGGTTGATTTCTAGGGTTTTGGCAGGCACTGACTTTTGTAGGGCATGGGATGCGATGCAGACCGAGTTGCTCTATCGGCATTATCTCAACAAAGGCGATATTTTCGTCCATGCAGACCTAGAAGGAGCAACTCCAATTGTGGTCAAGAACCGACCCCAGAGTGCTGATGCGCCCATCTCCCCTAGTACTATTTCCCAGGCAGGCAATCTTTGCGTCGCGACCTCGACGGCATGGGACTCCAAGGCGGTCATGTCCGCCTGGTGGGTACATGCCCATCAGGTATCGAAAATTGCTGAGACTGGTGGAGGCATCTTGCCTCCAGGTGAGTTTCAAATAAAGGGCGAGAAGAACTTCCTGGCTCCGTCGCAGCTTGTATTAGGGTTTGCCGTCATGTTTCAGATCAGCCGGGAGAGTGTTCGGAATCACAAACAGCGATTTGACCTGTCCGATGCTCCTGAAGAGGTTTCCGCTGCCACAGTGCCTGATGAGCTGTCAACACAACAGACCTCAGAGCAAACTACAGCCGACTCCAATGACCCATTGTCTACACAAAAAGAAGTCCCAGAAAAGCCAGATTCTGCATCCAAGGCTACTGAGGAGCCGCAAGAGGAAGAGGAAGAGTCCGACGACGATGAAAATGACGATGACAAGGCACCAGTGAGGAACGCTCTTCAGCGAGGAGATTCTGAGCTTCCAGTGAACGAAAGGCCCTCGGCTCAAGAACCCGAAGCCGAGTCAGACGAAGATGATGCCAAGAGCGAGGAACCTGAACCTGAACTCGCACAAGGAGAGCAACAGGAAGGGGAGAATGATGAAGCTGCATCCACAGCGGATCAGGATGCTGGACCTGAGCAGAAAGACCAAGAAAAGCTCTCGGCCCGCGAACGACGTATTTTGCTGCAAGGCAAGCCCCTCGACCGACCAGGCCAGGCCGAACCAGCTGCGCCGCGAGTGGCACCAACTCGCGGTAAGCGTGCTAAGGAGAAGCGTGCGGCCGCAAAGTATGCCTACCAGGACGAGGAAGAGCGTGAACTTGCTCTCCGACTCCTCGGTGCGAACAAGGGCAAAGCAGCCAAGGCGGCAAAGGCAGCCGAAACCAAGGCGCAACGGGACCGGGAAGCCGAAGCCCAGAAACAACGACGTCGGAAACAACATGAGCGCGCCACCGAAGCCGAGCGCAAGCGCCAAGCTCTTTTCGCAGAGAGCGGAGCGGGTGACTCCGATGAAGAGACTGCCCTCGCTGAAGCTGCGGATCTCAGCTGGATCCCTGCATTGGTCGGTACGCCGACTCCGGACGACGAAATCCTCGCGGCAATTCCGGTATGTGCACCATGGGGTGCACTGGGACACTACAAGTACAAGGTGAAGCTACAACCGGGCACAGTTAAAAAGGGCAAGGCTGTCAAGGAAATCATCGGTCGTTGGGTATCTGAAACTACTACCGGGAAGGTCAAAAAGGAGCATGCTGAGGACGCGGGGATCCCTCGCGCTGATGCAGAGCGAATGCGAGCACGGGAAGGTGAACTGATCAAGGGGTGGAAAGATACAGAGATCATCAACACTATGCCAGTAAGCAAGGTGCGCATCATGACTGCTGGCGGTGCTGGTGGCGGCGGAAGTAGTGAGAAGGCGAAGGGCAAAGGTGGTGGAAAAGGTGGTGGTGGTGGAAAAGGAGGGAAAGGAGGAAAGAAGAAATGAATGGACTTGGTAGACCCAGGCGACAGAATAGAGTTGTTGAATACTCATAGAATCGGAGATAGAGCTGTTCTATAGATCCATCTATACCTCGGGAGTTGCAGATGGTCCCACCATTCCATGTCACAGCACCGTGCTACTTCCCTCGTCTATCTGTAGATCGCGTAGTCTTTCTCTTGTCCACTTGGCAAAACTAATTCGAACATCATTTGTTGTTTTTTTATTGTAATAATCGATATGCTCACTTGGGGCAGCTGCCGAGATCATCTATCTGCTGAGTCATCCGACGTCATGGCGATCTGAAGTTCTCGGCGCCTTTTTTTCTGCGAACCTCCACTAGACAAGATTCGATCACAGCCCCGAATGGCCTAGTACGAGATGAGTGCCTCTGCTAGACCTTAGAAGCTACCTGGACACGCATCGTAACAGACAGGAGAAGATATCCACAGACAATTGTGACTCGGGTCCCCGCAACCGTTTCGCCCCTCTTTGATTTGATTGCGTGTGTGCCAGGACAGTGCGTCATTGCCCAAGTCCTGTTTCGACCACCAAATTGCTGTTCTCTCGCGCCTCTGCTGGCATCTGTCGGCCAAGTTTTGCCAGATTCCTGTCCACGATGGCCACTCCCGAGACACGCGTAGTCTCTGTTCAACGACTGAACCAAGGACTGGGCGACCGGTCTCTGGCCGAATGGTGGGAAAGTGAGCGCCGCCAGCAGACACCCGAGGCCAAGGCCATCGAAGAGGCCGCCAACCTCTTGCGAACTAGCGATCTACCCGTCGCGTTCCCCACCGAGACGGTGTACGGCCTGGGCGCCGATGCCACACGCAGCGCCTCAGTGCAGGGCATCTACCGGGCAAAGCAGCGGCCCTCTGACAATCCGTTGATCATCCATATTGACTCCCTGGACATGCTGGAACGTCTTCTCAATGCTGCCCAAAGCAGCCCCAGTGCACTGAAGACCCCGCGCATCCCCATCCCCCCGATCTACAAGCCCCTGATCGAGTGGTTCTGGCCGGGCCCGCTGACCATCATCCTGCCGAACCCGTCGGGCTCTGAACTAGCCGCCGAGGTGACCTCTAATCTGACGACCTTTGGCGTGCGCATACCGTCTTCGCCACTGGCACGCCTGCTCATCCACGCGACAGACCGCCCGCTTGCCGCGCCCTCTGCTAATGCATCCACCAAGCCGTCCCCGACTACGGCGCAGCACGTCTACCATGATTTGAAGGGCCGCATTGAATTGATTCTGGACGGTGGCACATGTGGAGTCGGGGTTGAGAGCACCGTCGTTGACGGGCTGTGTGACCCGCCCGCCATCCTGCGTCCGGGTGGAATCGGCATCGACGAACTACGCCTGTGTCCCGGCTGGGAGAATGTCGAAGTCGCTTACCGCGATGGCACGCTGGACATCAAGGAGATCCCGCGTGCTCCGGGCATGAAGTACCGTCACTACTCCCCCAAGGCGCGAGTTGTACTCTTCGAGCCCGACTCAAGCCCTGCCGGCGTGGCCAAGCACGTCCGAAAGGATCTGCAAGACACGGCGATTGGTGCGCACAACATCGGCATTGTGCGCACCCGCAATTGGAAGCAGGGGCTGGGTCTGGCGCCAGACAATGTCCTGGCCAGCACCGTGGTACCCATGACTGCGCCCATCGACCATCTCGTCAGTTTTCCCATTCCCGTGCAAGAGACTTGCAGCCAGAGCAGCCGTACCAAGATGGCATACGATTGTTATCTCGGCGCAGATGCGGCTTCTATCGCACATGGCCTGTTCGCTGCACTGCGCGCGTTCGATGATTTTGAGGTCGATGTGATTTACGTAGAGGGAGTGCCTGATCGCGAGGGCGATCTGGCCGCCGCGGTTATGAATCGGCTGCGCAAAGCAGCTGGTGCAGAGTTGAAGGTTTAGATGATTTACGATTACGTTTAGATTCTGATGGTTTTTGCCCGAGGATCCACTTGGGGTCAATTAGAGCGTCGCTTGGAGGTGATTTGTACAGTGTTTCATGGGTGTTTATAGGGTCAATGGGGATCTACAGGATCTACAGGATCTCTTAAGGAGTGTATAGATTGGACATGCCAAATCGGTTCACCCTCGTTTCTGCCTTCTTTTTCGGTTGTTCTCGGCGATCTCCGATGGCCCGCTTATCGAAATCGTCGATAAAAGATCCTCGCCCCGCTTGACATGAAGGACGTTGCGATATGAAAGTCTTCGGTGAGGAGAGGGCGATGTCGATGAGTTCTTTTTCTCTCTGCTCTCCCCCTGCCATGACCTGATCTACCATTTTTCTTTTCTTTTCCTCCCCAACCGCACGTTGGCACATTCCCGGCCATCCGCAACCATGTGCCAATCTCCACTTCACGACTTTCTCCAGGGCCTCCCGAAATGCGAGCACCACGTCCACCTGGAGGGCTGTCTGACCCCGCACCTCATCTTCCAGCTCGCAGACCGCAATGGCATCGCGCTGCCCGACCCGGCCGCAAACCCGGAGTACGCGTCGGTGGAGGCGCTGACAGCGCGCTACGACCGGTTCACCTCGCTGGATGACTTCCTGCATTTCTACTTCGAAGGCATGGCCGTGCTGCGCAAGCAGAACGACTTCGCCGACCTGGCGTGGTCGTATTTCCAGCAAGCGCACGCCGACGGCGTACACCACGCGGAGGTGTTCTTCGACCCGCAAGTACACGAGAGCCGCGGCGTCCCATACGAAACAATTGTCGCGGGCTTCTCGGAGGGATGTCGGCGGGCCGAGCGCGAGCTGGGCCTGACGACGCGGCTGATCCTGTGCTTTGTGCGACACCTGCCCGTATCCTCGGGCAAGGCCATCTACGAGCAGTTCATCTCGCACGGCCACTTCGAGGCTGGTGTCATCCACGGCCTGGGCTGGTCGTCGACTGAGGTCGGCCCGCCCAAGGACATGTTCCGGGAACTGTATGCGTCGGCCGCGCAGAAGAAGATCCCGCTGACGGCGCACGCCGGCGAGGAGGGTGACCCGTCGTACATCCATGCGGCGCTCGAGCTCGGCGCCCGCCGCATCGACCACGGTATCCGGCTCGTCGAGGACCCGGAGCTGATGCAGCGCGTGGCGCGCGACGGCGTCTTGCTGACCGTGTGCCCGCTATCGAATGTGCGGCTGCGCTGTGTGCCGTCGGTGGAGCAGGTCCCCGTGCGTCGCTTCCTCGAGGCTGGCGTCAAGTTCTCGATTAATAGTGACGACCCGGCCTATTTCGGCGGGTATATCCTTGACAACTACTGTGCTGTCCAGGAGGCGTTTCAGTTGTCAGTGCTGGAGTGGAGGATCATTGCGGAGGATAGTGTGCAGGAGAGCTGGATTGAGGACTCGCGCAAGGCGGAGCTATTGGCGCGCATTGAGGACCATGTGAAGCGGTATTTGCCCGGCGCGGTATGAGCTGCATCTGATACCCGGTGATTCAACACTTGTCGATACATCAGTTCAACGTGGACTATATACGGAGCGATTAACATGGAAATATTCTATTACCTTGAAAATATCTATTCGAATATTTGTAGTTTCTGGTAGACCTGGGAGATACCTTGGAAGATGTAGCTGCCTGAAGAGTCAGGTTGCCACTATGCATGTACCGCAATTGACAAGGGACCATCAAGCACCTTCCAGGATGAAGTAGAAAGTACCCTACGCCTCCGCACTTTGTCTCACTCGACTTATTCCTGAACAGACCGATGCCTCGAGTTCTCCCTTCTCCTTCTCCCTGGACCATCGCTCGGTCTTTCTCTCGCGTGTCCCAGACATCTCCCCCGCTACGCTACGCATCATCATCAGCTCTCTCCCCCAGGGTGGTATCTTCCCACGCACACCAAACAGGCCACCAACCACTGTATACGATAACAAGAGCCTGGGACAAAAGTACGCTCTTCCACTCCTACCGCACCATGTCATCACCCGCCAGCCTCCCCGATCGATACAAGCTTATCTTCTTCGTCCCGCCGTCCGACCTCGAAGCCTGCAAAGAAGCCATTTTCGCGACCGGCGCAGGAGCCTTCCCGGGCGGCAAATATTCTAAGACATGTTTCCAAACCGTCGGTACGGGCCAGTTCTTGCCCAACGACGGTGCGGCTCCAGCGGTCGGCGCCGTCGGGGCACTGGAGCAGTGTGAGGAGATCAAAGCTGAGATTATGTGTTTGGGAAGGGATGTGATGCTAAAAGCGGTCAAGGAATTAATCAAGGCGCATCCGTATGAGGAGGTTGCTTATGAGGTGTATCGCATGGAGAACGTGTAGCTGGAGTCAAGGGCCATAGTGCATTGGCCGGGCCTGGTTGAATTTCTCGTCAATCGGTCTCTGAGTCATGGAGCAAGTCGGATTATTAGTAGAATCATCAATTGATAGTCAAATAATCGTCCATTATTTGTGAAAACCCAGCGAAGAGCAGAAGAGCAGAATGTTGCCCAGGTGCAGGTCCTGAGGCGGGAGTAATCTGCCGGCGCTGATTGGCCGCCCGCAAAACGCCCTCGTCAACTCGAATCCCGTTCTCCTCCAACCTCCAACCTCATCTCCTCCCCCCATTGACCCTCGCTCATCGCTCGCGATGGCCTCCAGACTCTTCTCTGTCCAGCGGGCTGGCCGCCAATTGTTCCATCAGCTTCCCAAATCTCAATGCAGACCCTTTTCGGCTGGTCCGCAACGGTGCAGCGACACCCTTGCCGTGGTACGTCCCTTTCGGTCGAGCCTCTTCAGGTGTCGCCCGCACAAATGGATATTGCGTGGTCCAAACTGAGTTCGTAAAAAATGAACTCGCAAGTGCTAATGCTGCGACAGCACCGTAACAAGCCCACCAACAACCCGAACCTCCCGTTCCAGTTTTCCGAGCAGAACCTCAAGCTTGCCGATGAGATCCTCAAGCGTTACCCGCCCCAGTACAAGAAGGCCGCTGTCATGCCCCTGCTGGATCTCGGCCAGCGTCAGCACGGCTACACCAGCATCAGCGTCATGAACGAGGTTGCGCGCATGCTCGAGATGCCCCCGATGCGTGTCTACGAGGTTGCGACGTTCTACACCATGTACAACCGCGAGCCGGTTGGCAAGTACTTCCTCCAGATCTGCACGACGGTTTGTCTTGCCCCGAAATCGATGAGTTGTGTTTCGTGTTCTATGTTTCTGACTTTCAAATTGTTCTCTAGACCCCGTGCCAGCTCGGCGGCTGCGGTAGCGACTCTATCGTCAAGGCCATCAACGAACACTTGGGCATCACCCCCGGCCACACCACCGAGGACGGCCTGTTCACCTACATCGAAGTCGAGTGCCTGGGCGCCTGCGTCAACGCTCCCATGGTCCAGATCAACGACGACTACTACGAGGACCTGACCCCCGAGTCAATCAAGACCCTCCTGACAGCTCTCAAGGACTCTGCCAGCGCCTCTGGCGCGAACACAAAGATTCCGGCTCCGGGCCCGCTGAGCGGGCGCGACACCTGCGAGAACAGCAAGGGGCTTACAAACCTCCACGACCCCCCGGTGTGGAACCCGGAGACAATGATGCGCAAGGACGGTGCGTTGGATGAGCAGCCGCAGCAATAAGGAGACCCACAAAATATCTTGACGGTTTAGAGCATTTTGATGGGTTTTGCTTTTTCTTTTCTTTTTCTTTATAATGGGATTTCCAGCGACGCCCCTTGTTTAACCAGAGACACGGCGAAAAAAACTAGAGGCATTCTGACGCCCTACACGATCATCCCTGGGGCGTCTCTTGTCTATCATGTACAGTATGTTGCTCCTGGTTCTTGGTGTGGACCGGAGCCCTAGAGAGGGCGTGGCCCAATCGCCAGATCGACACCAATAGCAATTTTCTTCTTTAGTTCCTTCTATCCATACAGCGTAGCTGACTCGTCACCGGCGATTGTTCCATCGTATCTATTTTTGCAAGGCTATCTGTGTTGCAAAGTGTCTACCAGCAGAAATCGATATCTGTAAGAATTCACGATCATGGCAATTGCTATGTATGTCTCTGGGTATCGATTCCACATGACGCTTCTCGAATCATGCAAGATTGTCTTTAATTGTACAACATAACCTCGTTGCTCCCGATCAACTCGAAAACGGTATGAAGATCCTCACTGCTCAAAATCCAGCGGCTCACCTTGGCATCGAACGACGTCATTGCCCGATACCTCTTCCGGGGACACCATCACAGGCTCGCCATCTCTCTCAACCAGAATCTGGCCATGTCGCTCCTGGAAGATGTTGACATCGGCGGCGTGTTTTGCCAGCAGATGGTATACATGAACGTGTCGTTTTTGTCCGTAGCGGCGCACTCGCCCTATCGCCTGGGTCATGCCGGATTCCCATTCGTACTGGGTGGCTTTGAGTAGTGGTGATAGGAAGATGACATGGTTGGCACATTGGAGGTTCCTAAAGGAACGATGAGGGTTAGTACGTCGTTTCTGAGATCAATATTGTTGAGAGGGGGAGGGGAGGAAAGATAACTTACAAACCCGCCGCCATGGAACTCCCCAGACGGAGAATCAACACCTTTGGTCGGGACGGTTGTCCGCCCTTCTTGGTGGATTTGGGTTCAATGAAGTCGCGAATGGCATTTGTGTTTCTGGACTTGCTCACGCGGTGTTCGATCTTCGCTGCGGTAAGGGCCTGCGAAGCGATCACTTCCAATTCTGCGAACTGGATGAAGAGCAGCACCAGCTCATCGACGGGAGTCTGCTGGATGATTTCCACCAGCTTGTTGATCTTGCTGCTTCCGATGCCGTTTCTCTCTCCGTCCACGCAGGGGATGAGCTTGGATGGTACGGTAGACCCGGTACACCCTCTTGTCAGACACTCGTTGTTCAATGCGGTCCGCTCGATGCAATTCAGGCAATGGATATGTCCGCAGGATCGGATGACTCTGAGTTCGCTCTTGTTGCTGGGGGTATCCTTGCAGCCTTCGCACTCTGGGGTCTTGGTTGTCTTTTGAAAATCACGCATGGTTTGGAAGAATCGGATATCGCGTTCGGTTTTGACGAGCTCCTTGATAGAGTGGCTCATTTCGGTCAAGAGCGCCTTTTTCACAGTCTTCTCTGCCTTAGCCTGCAACTCTGAGTGGTCGTCTTTGGTAGGTGATTCTGCAGACTGTTTCACCCTCTTGCGTGAGGGCTGCCGAGGTTCCGTTTCTTTGGATTTCGACTTCGTCGTCTTGGCCTGTGCCTTCTTCGTGTTTGCAATGGCTGCTGTTTTGGTCACCTTGGTGAACCGGGCGTCCACTTTTGTCATGATGTCGCGGTACTCCTCGGCTTCAATCCATTCCCTGCATGACGAGTAGCAAGTTTCAATGAGCGTGGTCGCCCTTTTGACTGTATCTGGTCCCCCAAATTCCGTGACAAAAACTCCATCCAGGATTTCTGTTGCTTGCCACGAATAAGTGTTGCACTGGCTCCAAACAACAACCGCCTGTCTGAACAAGATCTCCAGCTTATTCCAGAGATCGGAGCAGATCCTTTTCTGAGTTGCAATCTGCGATTCACACTTGTCACTGCTCCAGGGAACATCCTTGAGTCGGGTAGCGGTGCAACACTTCACCAGAGTCTCGTGTGCAGACTGACTGCTGGTCAGGATCTCATTCAAACCAGAAATTTGGGGATCGTCGTCTGGGTTGTTGATCTTGCGCCGTTGACCTTTCTGGGCCACCAGCCGGCTATACAGCATCACATAGGCCTTTTGTTCTGCTGATGACATCTGGGAGAGAACAAGATGCGTATCGAGGGGAATGTGGTCAATTTCGGCCATGTTCTGACGCGCAAAGCGGTTGAGGAAGCTCTGGGCATGTCTGTGTCGATTGTCATACCAGGCGTTGCTGTGCGGAGGCTGGAACAACTGGAACGCTTCAACGGCCGTGTGGTTCTTTCGAATGAACTTGAGTCGCGTGTTTTGTGTGGGAGCATCGCCGTCATCATCAATGCCGAGGTGAGCATCCAGATATCGCGCAATACTCTTGACGTCGGCAAATTCGGCGAGCGCTGGCGTGCCGGACAAAATCCATTTGGACCGCGCGGCCAGATACAGGAACGATATTTGTTTTTCCTCGCCCGAGTATGTGTATTCATCGATGACCAGCCGGTTGAATTTGAAGGCATGCAGTATGGGATGTTTCACTGTGCGCCAGTCCTGGGATTCGTTGCTTTGGTGGATATTGAATGTCTGTCGGTCATTCCATTTAGGCCTTGTGCCCTTGGCCTCCTGTTGACCACACTTGCGCTTCCCATTTCGTCTGGAGCCATGATTCTCGGTGTCAGAATCGTCATATTCTGTTTCAGCATCGTCTAGAACAGGTTCGGCATCATCGGGTTTAGTTTCTTCATCTGTTGCGGATGTCTGGGTCCCCGATGATTCCCGAAACCCGGCTTCTTCACGTCCCTGGTTGGCGAGAGTGTATGCCTGTCCTCGAAGTCTCTGCGATGGTACGTAGGTGAGGTTGGCTTGGTCTTCCTTCAAATGAAGACGCCTGGCTCGCACATCCCGCAAGAATGCCTCGGGTCCTTCCTTCCGCAATTTGTTGACTCTATCTTTCAGGGAGCTGTGAGCATCTTGGAACCAATTATCGAAATTTCGACCGGCTTTTTCAGGTGCTCGAGGAGTACCCGTGAAATGTTGCATTGCACTGTAATAGCTTGGACTTTTCAGGATTGCCCAGGATAACAAGATGATATCGGCCGTCTGAATCTCATGAATGCTTGTGTTTGCCAGCTTGGCATGAGTCCCGATGCAAAGAACGTGGTATTGATCATCCAGGAACTTGCCGATCTCAGAATCCCATTGCGAGAACACATTTCCCGGTACCACAATCAGGGTGGCGTTGCTTGGGATCAATTCGGTGTCATCTGGAGCTGCTTGGCGACTTTTGTCGCTTTCAAATTGTGCATCGATCAGAGCAAGAATGATTGCCGTCTTGCCATAGCCAACTTCGTCGGCCAGGACTCCTCCGCGGATGGTCTTAGGCATGGTCACTTTGGCCTCGGCACGCCATGGCATCAAAGGCAAAACAGCCTCCTCGGTTTCTTCCTCAACAAAAGGCTCGATATCTTCAGCCTCCTGCGACATCATCCAGGCCAATGATCGGAGCTGTTCATTTCTGAGGGGCTGGCGGAAATGAGGTGGTTGTCGGGAGGGGGTATCGCTCTTGTTGTTAAGCAAGGTAAATCCACTTCGTTCTTGTCTTTCCATGTCATAAGCGTTTGGGATCAGGCGCCAAAAAACAGCGGGACCACCACTTTTCATGTTACCGACGAGCTTGCCGTAGGCTTGATGGACCAGAGACTGCACATTTAGCATGATATGGTATTCCCCAATGCCATTCTCGTTGACTTGGCGGAAAACCACAAACGGTATTGGCTTGTGCTTAACAGCGCGCTCAAAGGTGGCTGCACCCTTGGGGTCCTCATATGGCACGATGCGTCCTCTCTTATCGCGGCCCCATATGACCTTGGGCATTGGGGGATAGCACATTCCACAGATGAGACCATCTCCGTGCGGCGAAACGCTTGCAATATCAATCTCATTCCAGCCTTGGAACGGTGACCAGCTTGAAATCTTTGGAGCCAGCCATGCGAGATCCTTCAGTGCAGTTGCACAACTCACGGGATCCAATTCCTGCCATGGACTCGGGTTGTCTGGCAGGTTGAAAGTCGCTGCTGAGGCTGATAACGAGATGAGAGAAATGCAAGTATCGTGGCAGTCTTTGGCTCCGATCGAAACACAGGTGCCTGCTTTCAAGCTGCGGTAAGTCACCTCCGAGCCGGCGTACGGGCTCAATTTCGCTTCTGGGGCCTTGTACCAGGGCCGGTAGAATGCGTCGACATTTGTAGATGTCGAGGTCACCTTCAAAGCCCTCCATTTATATGAAAATTCGACAATAGTCATCCGCCTGGCGTACCCGGGGATGCGGCTATGCTCCAGAGAGAACACACAGGAATCCTTGTCAGGATGGCCGATCTTCGTGGGGTCCAGGAACAAATACACAGCCGACGAGCTGTCAGTCGCCTCCTTCTTGTACAACGTTCCCAGTGCCGTACCACAATCAGGAAGAAGGGTATACAGTCCACGGATGTCCAGATCCAGGTGTTGGATGTCTTCATCAGCTGCGCCGACACAGAGATGGCTCCAAACCTGACTGTCACGTAGCTCAGCCTCTTGCAAGCCACACTCTGACTGGAACGACCTGACTTGGGTACCTGTTCCCGAGGTCTGGAGTGTGAACATGACGCTGATAGGTGAGCCGACTTCCCATTTGCCATCAATAAGTGACCCGGGAATTGGAGTCATTCTTGCAACGGGCTTTGAAAGAGCCTCGCGGATAAGACTTCGAGATGGTGCTGTTGGAGGAGGTTTCGCAAAAAATAGCCACTGCAGACGGTCTGCGCTGATGTCCAGGCGGAGGATGGAATGTCTGCCTTCGTACTCTGCTTTCCAGTGCTCTGCACGGTTGATATCCACGAATCGAATCTGGTCACTCAGTGCCAAAGTGAAAACCTCCACATATTGATCCCAGAAATTACCCAAACAGGTGTTCTTTGGTAGGTGCTCTTTGAGTCCGTCAATGACTTCCCCAGAGATTCCAGACAGCTTCAGCTGCATGGGCAAGAGTCCTTTTAAACAAACAATAAAGTCCAGGGGTGGTGTACGCGAAATTTCTGAAGGCTGAAATGAATGCGAGGGATTTCCTGAACATGTGCTGCAGCCAGTATATCCACACAAGATGCATTCGACAATATCGGCCTTAACTCCGGTCTGTCGCTCACAAATGCAGCATCTGGCGCTGCTCACGGCCTTCGCTCGGAGTTGGTCTTGGTCCACGGTGCAGACCTGGGCGATCTCGATATTGCTGTTCACGAGGGTGTGGCTGTCCTTCTTCTGTACGAGAGATTGAGCGGCTGTCAGGGTTTCTTGAAGTTCAATTGATTCGGTACCCTTGTCAAGAACTTTCTGGCCGACGATCAATGCTGCCAGCATGACGGCTCCAACAACGGTCGACGTCATTGCATTGCCAGCCAAGTCCTGATGGTTGCTGTGGGTTTCTCTCGTAAGGAGCATCCGATCCAATGGCAGGCCTTGCAGTGCCAACGCTTCAATGCCACAAAGGGGTCCACCACGAGTGGTGACAAAAGGCATTCCATGCGGAGTAAGGCATCCGGCCACGCCAAAGGCAGAGCTTCCCTTGCCAGAATTGGAACGGTCCACGCCCTGGGATAAGTCGACCCAGCGTCTGCAGTAATGTTAGTTTCAGTTGACCATCACTTCACATGGCTATTGACTTACTCTTTAAAGCTCATGTCGAATCCCTGCGCCAGCATCTTCAAGAAGAAAATGTCAAGGGTCTCCCACACCCGTTCACACTGCGTCTTGAAGTACCCCTTCCAATAAAAGTCGGGGGGGCGGCAGACATTGTAGCTTTGAGAACGACTTATGGGTCGCTCATTGCCCAGTTCCAGCTCATCGCGGTGGCGCTGGTGTCGCACCTGGTATCTGTCCCAGCTGATCTCGGCACGATCGCTGGCGATCTCCCCGCGAATCGAGAGATCCTTCTCGACCTGCTCCAGGCGCCGATTCTCCTCGCCCAGGAGAAACATGCCGGCAGGGGAACTTGCCGTGCGCTTGAACCCGTTGATAACACCAAGCAGCTGCTTGGAAAGCATCTTGGCGTCGACGTCGCTCTTCGGATCCTTGAACATGCCCACATGCTGGAGCCGCGAGATATCGATACAAATCATATATCCGCGTTCCCGGGTCTGCGGGATGTAAAAGGACTTGGTGTCCAGGGCGGCGAAGACAGAGAAATAGCCGATGCTTTGCCAGTACTCGGCGAACTGGTTCCACGGCGCACTGCGCACATTCTCCTGCACTATCAGTCGCGGCCGATACTTCTCCGCGTACCGCAACAAGCCCCGGAAGGTACCCCCGGACTCACCACATTCCTCGATCGACTTCTTGCTGTTGTTAAGCAGCGAGAAGTCCACACAGGCGGTGCCCGCGACCAGGATGTCCAGCTTGCCCGGGACTGCCTCCAAGGACCCATACGCGGTCCGCCTACTGAGCATCAGCAATTGTTTACTTTTGAGGGTTAATCATATTACTTACGCCTCATCGCACCCAAGCTCCAGGATATCCCTGAAGATAATGGGCGGGCGAAAGTTCCGTTCAATGTACGCCTGCTTGAACGGAACGATTTCGCAACTGAAGAGGTGCGAAATGCGGAGGTCCAGACCGGGACCGAGGGCTAAAGATAGAAGCAAAGAGTCAGAAACCTCACATTCAGATAAAATTCAATTCAATTCCTCTTCCCTTTCCCTTGAGATAAAATCACTTTGGGTAGGGGAAGTCCACTCACCTCGCTGGATCATCTCCAGCGCCAGTAACGGGCTTTCGGTGCCCGAACACATCGTCGCCACCCGCAGCGGCCGCTGTCCCAGGTGACTCAGGACATCTGCAAAGCCTTGGGTCAAGGCCTTGTCGGCAAGATCCTTGAAAATATCCTCCAGCTTGTGCAGAGGCGGCAACTCCCAGTCGAAGTACCGGTTAGGGCCGAGCGGCGCTGACCTCACCAGCTCCGGGATTTCATCCCAGGCTGGCTCCTGGCTAGCTGTGGCCTGCTCAAGGCCCTTCTTGACTCGGTTCTCCTTCCTGGTGCCAGGCATGGTGGAGAAAGATGGGAAAAGAGAGGGGGAGAGGGGGAGAGAAAAAGAGGAACAGAAAACGGACTCGCTCGAACGCTGAAAAACCCGGTTGGAGAACCGTTCAAAAAACGGCCTAGAAAGTAGGAAGAAACAGCGAAGAAACAATCGAAAAAAAGACACGAAAGAAAACACCCCAGATCTCGTTGTCGAAGTCGAGGATCAAGACTTCTGTAGGGCACATTGATATCACGTGCGTCGGGGTCGGAGTGGAGCGGAGCGGAGCGGAATCGATCGGGATGAAAGGGCGGTCGGAGGAGGAAGAAAAAAATGAGGCGGAGGGGCAGATTTTCATTCGTGTGGGCGTGTGATTCGTGTTTACCCTCGTTGCCTTGTTTCTGCGGCAAACCCATCGTTTCCTAGAGCGTGCTCCTCGCCTCTAATGCTCCAATAGTAGTACCATTATCTCTCCAGCCGCTCCATTTACGTGGACTAGACATGAGTATAGTCTTCCTGCTGGAAAGATTATTTACTGTAACATCTGCCATAAACCATGTGATACCGGCTATAGTGATTCCGTTCAGTATCTATATGTAATTGATCCTCCTGTACTTCGTAGACCTGGTTATAATGTTGCAATGCGAGAATCTTGACAAACATTTCCGATACGGATTTTCACATTGGAATTCGGACTGCTCAAAATTCCATGGAAAAACAGAGACTTAACTACACAGCATAACATAAAGTGTTCGTTCGTGTGTTTACTTCTAGTGAACATTAAACTTTGTGGAAAGAAGAGAAATCTTGATCGTATTATAGGACGAACACTCATCATCTGATAGCTTTTTTAATTTCAAGTATAAGTGGACATCCTAATAAACATATTTAAACAAAGACATACAACAAAGAGTTAAGAAGTTTCTAGAAGACAGCTAGTTCTTAAGCTGATATGCAAGAATGGATTTAAGACAAAAAAAAAGACTCCCGTTGCGCCGTCCGTCCACCTGATTGAGATCATGAAAACAAGAATTAAAATGCGGCATGCCAGGCACCGTTCCCAGGAAAAGAAACACAATATCAAGGGCCCCCATTGACAAAGAGCAACCGTTGGCACAATACTGTTGCCACTACCGCATGGCACCCTGCATCAATTGTTGCCGTAGCAGCATGATCTGGCTGCGCTCCATAGGAGGAAGAGCATCAATAGCAGCCTGTGGCATGCTGAGTACCTGCTGAAGAAGCTCATCTTGGCCCGGGACTTGAGGTTGAGCAGCAGGTTGTGGTGGAGGAGGAGCAAAGGGAGTGCCCATGACAGGCGGAGTAGAGATTTGGCCAGGGACCGCACCATAGGGCTGGAATTGCTGGGCGACCTGAGGGGGAGCAGCGGGTTGGGCCGCTGGCTGAGCGGCCTGTTCAACAATAGAACCAAGCAGCTGGTACTCGACCAGGTTCATGAGCAGCAGAGCCTGGAAAACAGCATAGGCCAGCTGGGGCGCTTGGCGCAGCAGCTCCGTCGCGCGAACAGGGTCGGCTGCGGCAAGAGATTTCATCTGGGTGAGGACGTCAAGAAGTTGGTTGGGTGGGAGAGAGGCGAGGGTGTGCGAGATGGCATTGGGGCAGTCCAGGTGAGGTGGCAGCTCGACACCCGGTGGGAGCGGAGGAAGCGGCACCGAACCCGGAATCTGCTGGGGCTGGCTGGGCTCTGGAGCCATCATTTGTTGTGCTGGTTGTGAGTAGTCTAGCGGGACGGAGTCTTTCTCGTTGTTGTGTGGCCAGTCAACGCGAATCTTGCGGCCCATGATCTCGTAGTCGTTGAGGTTGCGCACTGCCGAGGCAGCGGCATCAGCGTCGGCGAAATCGGCGAATCCATATCCCTTAGGCTTTCCAGTCTCCGGGTTCATCATTAGCCGGAATTTGGTGACGACACCAGCAGTGCTGAGGATGTCTTTGACCTGTTCCTCGGTGAGGTCTGCGACGGGGTCAGCTCTCAGCGCTCGGGATGGGGCAACCACAAAACATACTGTATGGGATGTTCCCCAAAAACACGCTTTTCCCAGATCGATCGGGTGCCATGGTGACAGATAAGTGAGGCCGATAATGAGTGCAAGAAAGAAAGAAGACGCGGCGCCATGGAGCTGCAAGAAACATTCTGCCGGACTTTGGACTGACCGCCCAGACCTCACCTCATCCACTCGGACATTGCCAAGTCCGTCTTTCTCCATCCCATCCTTCTCTCCACCCACCATTCATCATGTCGCAAAATCAGCGGGAGGCTTGGGAACGAGTGCAGACGATGCTGCAGAAGCGCAAGGGCGGCTTTGGCGGATTCCCGTCCGGCGGTGGCCGTGGCGCGGGTATGACAAGTGCACTCATCCTGTTAGGTGTTGGCACTTGGGCAGTTTCAAACTCGCTGTTCAACGGTATGCTGCTTTGGAAAACTGTGATATTCAAGTGTCTAACGAGCTTTTCTAGTGGACGGTGGACACCGTGCCATCAAGTACTCGCGGCTAAGTGGTGTGCGGAAGGAAATCTACAATGAAGGTGCGCATAGCTTCAGAAGACCAACCGAGCTGGGACTAACATCATCGGGTGACTTCAGGAACCCACATCCGTATCCCCTGGCTGGAGACTCCCATTGTCTACGATGTCCGCGCGAAGCCCCGCAACATTCCCTCTCTGACCGGTACCAAGGACCTTCAGATGGTGAACATCACCTGTCGTGTCCTGTCGAGACCCCGTGTGGACGCCCTGCCGCAGATCTATCGAACACTCGGCCAAGACTTCGATGAGCGGGTGCTGCCGTCGATTGTCAACGAGGTGTTGAAGAGCGTGGTGGCCCAGTTCAATGCCAGCCAGCTGATCACACAGCGTGAGAATGTCGCCCGCTTGGTCCGAGAGAACCTCGCCCGCCGTGCGGCCCGGTTTAACATTGCCCTGGACGATGTGTCGTTGACGGTATGTGCTTTCTGGTTCTTTACTAGCAGAAGATGAAATTTGCTAATGTCGATCTACCGTACAGCACCTCACTTTCTCTCCGGAATTCACGGCTGCCGTCGAAGCTAAGCAAGTGGCCCAGCAGGATGCCCAGCGAGCTGCCTTCCTGGTCGACAAGGCCCGCCAAGAGAAACAGGCCTTCATTGTGCGTGCTCAAGGTGAAGCTCGCTCAGCGGAGCTGGTCGGTGATGCGATCAAGAAGAGCAAGAGCTACATCGAGCTACGGAAGATTGAGAATGCTCGTCACATTGCTCAGATCCTACAGGAGAGCGGTGGCAAGAACAAGCTTTACCTGGATACCCAGGGCTTGGGCTTGAATGTGAATGCCCATGTTGGTGAGGAGACCAAGTAAAATGGAATCTTAATACAGCGAGGTTACGGTGGAGTGGAATATCTGTACAAATAGCTATTTCAGGAGCATCCAAATGAGGTCTCTTCTCTTTTTTTTCATTGATCCTAGGTTTGTTTCTAGTGTAGTCTTGTCTGGGTGCTGGGGTTAGGTGAAGCCGAAATACACCCATTCTCTACCTTTCATTAGATCAGTCAGATTAAAGGCCTGCTACCTACACTTGGTTCCGTCGTACTTCAGTCTTTTACATCTGAAGCAATACGTTTTTGTTTGCAAACTTGCTTCCTCATCCATCCCCTTGTTTGCAGCCACACTTCCCGACCTTTGTCTGGCGTACAAGGTATGAAGCGGGCCATTCGCTTGCTTGTGGAGGACCGGCAATTCAGTCCAAGATCATGCTCTTCTCACCAATATTTCGGCAAGGAAGATAGAGCAGCGAGTTGTTTGTAAAAGTCATCAAGTGACAGGCGGTAATGCGGCCCGCAGAGGGTTTTGGACAAGAGTGTCCGATATGCTTTATCACTCTTTTGATGAACCCTGTCACCATAAAATTCGCTGAGCTTTTGCAAAGTGTTCTGGTGATCGTTGGCCGTATCCTCTGTCAATTCCTTCCAGGCCTTGTTATACGTGTCAAATATCACCGTATTCGGGTCCGTACCAAGTAATCTTAGAAGGCATATCCCAAGACTAAACACATCTTGGATCATCTTGTACTTCGTCCACTTCTTATGCACCATTTCTGCAGTTTGAAGTCATTAGCCTGCTGTAGTGCAGATAGCAAGGGATATATAGATTTCCGACGAGCCTGGAGACTTATGCCCATCGGACCCTATATTTCCTTTAGGGAATTTAATGTTGATTTCCTCGAAGTGTTTGATAGAGATCGCGATATCCCAATCGATAATTTTCCATTGCCAGGAGCTCGTTGTCTCCCAGTCCCAGTACTTCAACATCACATTCTCTAGTTTGAGATCCAGATGGATGATTTCCAACTTGTGAGCTGCCTTTACTCCCTTGGTGACCTCCCTCATCATCATCGTGGGTTTTTTTTTTTGGCGTAACAGCCCCCCACATTCACATGCTTTGATATTGTAAATTAGGTTTTAAGAATTAAGCTAATTTTTATCGAAAGTCTTTTATTGATATTTCTTTCTTTATTTGCTCTCGTCGCGATGTGTAGCCTGACCTACTTGTTAGCGTTATATATCACTAGACAGTGGCGGAAGTGACGAGAGGACTTCGATATTTATAGAAGAATGTAGTAGAATTACTAATTCAGCTATATATATATTCACTATCTAGATAATAAAGATCAGTATTATATAGCAAGCTGTATATACTCAAGATCCAGAAATTATCGAGGGCATCTAGAGAATACAATTGACTAAGTTTAAGATTTGACTACCCACACCGAACTCAAGACTTTTCTCTCCGGTTGCAACTCGCGACTCAACACCAAAAAAACCCCCCTTCAATTATGCGTGAAAACTTGAGATAATCTGTTCTATATTCCCATCTCATTTCATTTTCAAACACCCTGCGACATTCCCTCCATTTCCGCAAGCAACCCCGCCACAATGGCCGACCCCGCCGACCAAGACATCCGAGTCCACCTCACTGACGTGGACGTCGACCTCGATGTGCAAGAGGTCCTCTTAGCCGCGTCGCAACATGACCTCGCCAAACTGCGCCGGCTCTCCCGCACCCAGTCCTCCGTTCCCGACGCAGCAAACGTGAAAGATCCCGAAACAGGGTACTCGCCGCTGCACGCCGCAATTGCCGCCTGCGAGCCGGACCCCGAGGAAGAAGCGAACGGGGTGAATGGCACCGGTGCCAACGGCGTGGAGACAAGCAATGACGACCACTCTGCCGAGTCGGAGGTGATTCGGTCGGGGATTGACACGGTCAAGTTCCTGCTGCAGGAGGGCGCGATCTGGAATGACCTGGATAACAATGACGAGACGCCTGGGTGTCTTGCGCGCAGGATCAAGGCGCATGCGCTGTATGAGTTGATTGTGGATGCCGGTGTGCGGGCGGAGCTGTTGCTGAATCGGTTGGATGGGTACGAGGAGCTCTCAGATGGAGAGGAAAGCGACAACAATGAAGAAAAGGAAGAAGAAGCAGAAGCAGACAAGCAGACAACAGAAGAAGAAAAGACGACAGAAGCGGAGGCACAGACCGATGCGGACACAGTACCGCAGCTTGTGCAGGCCTCGACAGAATCCGATGCCACGGCCGGCACCAACCCCAACGTGACCAACCCGCGCTACCTCGACTCGCACCTCAACATCCAGCAGGACAGGATCCTGGACGAAGATCAGAACGGGGTAATGATGGGCTGGGAGAGCGACATCATGCGCAAATCCGCGCGGGCCCTCCTCCCAACGCCGGGACTGAACGTGCTGAACATCGGGCACGGGATGGGTATCGTGGATGGATTTTTCCAGGAGCAAGGCCCGGCGAGCCACCATATCATCGAAGCGCATGCCGATGTCGTCGCGGAGATGAAGCAGCGCGGGTGGGACACCAAGCCCGGAGTAGTAATCCACGAAGGCCGGTGGCAGGATATCCTGCCGGGGCTGGTGGCTGCGGGCGAAACCTTTGATGCGATCTATTATGATACTTTTGCCGAGTCGTACAGCGATTTCCGGGACTTCTTTTCCGAGCAAGTTATTGGGTTGCTGGAGCAGGAGGGCCGATGGGGCTTTTTCAATGGGATGGGAGCGGATCGCCAGATCTCGTACGACGTCTACCAGAAAGTCGTAGAGATGGATCTGTTCGAGGCCGGGTTCGACATCGACTGGGAAGATATCCCGGTCCCTAAATTGAATGGCGAGTGGGAGGGTGTCCGAAGAGCTTATTGGGTGGTCGATAACTACCGACTGCCGCTGTGCCGGTTTATGGATTAAGATAAGATGCCTTGAGAATAACACCCTTGCCCGAGGGGAAAAAGAAGAAAAGAAACATGATGTATATGACAGGATGCAACGCTTCAAAATGCTATGCAGTGACTTGAGAAAAACGAGGCCAACGCCCGGCAATGCAACTTCACAATTGAATCAGGTCCACCTCTGAGAAATCTGGCGGACTGCGACTGAAGATCGTCCGACACTTGCCGTCCAGGGCCTGGTACTCGTTGCTGACCCAGATGTGCTTACTGAACCGCTGTGTCCGGTACACTTCGTCGTCACTCACTCCCAGATCATCGCGCGGGATCCAGACAACAGGCCGTTTGGCGCGTAGGGCTTCATGCTGGAACGCACGTTGCACCAGCTGGTCACGCTCGTCTGGCGTGAGATCCTCCAGTTCGTCATGGATCCCTGCAAATAGAGCATGACCCATGGAGTGGGTGGGCGGTCCTTGGGCCTCGGCATCCTGCGCAAGCTTCTCGCGCATAGTCTGCACAGTCGGAGTGGAACCGGCCGAATTGAGTCCGAAATATTTGGATCGTCGCTTTGATGTGCGATCAGTCCACGACGGGCGCTTATTGCCGAGTTTTGGCGTGCAGAGGCGATCGTTAGAATTGAATTGTTTTCGGGAGTTCTGGTCCATCCCCAAGGTCTTAAGCTCAATGTCTCGTGCCTCTCGATCCTGGTGTTGTTCCTGGCGCCCGAGCTCGGGCTCCTGGTCATCATCATCCTCTTCATCGATAGCCAGACCCAGACGAGCGTGTTGGGCGCGACGGAACTCATCGTCTCGTCGCACAGCCTCATCCTCCAGAGTAATGGGCAGGTAGCGGATCAATGGACTAAATGCCTCACTGAGAAGAATTTGGTATCCAACGGTCAACACAAGGACTACAATCATGCAAATGCCTTGGCCTTCACACGCAACTTCGCCATTCTCGTCTCGGACTAGGAAGAAGAGTCCGATGAGACATACTTCCATGACGTAAAGACCAGTGAATAGTTGGTTGATGGCCCTTGGAAAAAGAAGGCCACCGGTGTCGAAACGGAACTTGGTGACATAGAGTGTGTTATAGCGGTAAACAAACCAGAAGAGGCTGAAGGTGATAATGTTGAACACAAGAATGAGAGGCGCAACCACGCAATAGATGAGCCCTAGCAGAGCGTTAGATAGCATTAGCACCGGAGAGGGCGGGAATACATACCGATTGAGGCCAGTGTTGTGTAAACCGGGAAAAATGTTCCCCATTGCATTTGGTTGAGGTTGGTGGTTCGGGCCCATTTCTTCCTGGCCGTAGCATCCATAATCGGAGCTAGGATGAACCAGCTCACTAGGCCAAAGATCTGGACGAGAGCACCAGCACTGACCGACATGGCTTGCAGAATCATGTATGAGAAGAAATAATTGCTGGACTTGGGGATATTTTCAGCCAAAAGCTCTGGCCAGCTAGTCACGTTGGTAACGTTGTCGATAATTGTCGAGAAGCTGGAAGCGATGGTGACCACCAAGAACAACTGCACAAACAAAAATGTAAAGTAGTAGTTTTGCACCGTGAGTTCGATAGCCATGCCAGTGTGCAGACCCTGTGTGCGGCTGAGGAAGCGAAGAATCAGGGGCAGTACTGCCATCAAGATGGCCAAACACAGCGCGGGCAGGATACCCTGGATGGCCGAGATGAACCAGCTCGGGAGCTTGCCAATCCAAGCGAGCCATGTAAAACCCTGGAGATAGGTCAACTGCGAAAGCAGTCCCGTAAATGCGACGGGGAATGCCCACCCAACCACCATTGCACACACGAGCGTGATGATACCGAAGGTGCGCAGGTAGCGCTCCCACCATTTAATGGACATGTTATCCCAAATGACATCGTCAGGGGAGATTTCGACGATCCGAGGCGCCATCTGTTTAGGAACGTGGTGACTGACAGATTGGCAGGCCATGTGCGCGGCGACTTGATGATTGAACTGGATGAACGCCGAGTTCATCAAGGGGAATCGCTCGGGATGCTGCTGGTCGATCTCGATTTCGAGATTCAACCGAGCGAGTTCTTTTCGACAGTGATTGATTGTATCGACTTTCTTGCCAATCAGCCAAAGCGACGGCATCCAACTCAGGCCAAAGATGGGAAGACGCATCGTATCACGATCTCTTGGTCGGATGTATTTTTGCCATGTCGGCTCTCCATAATCCTCGTTATCAAAGTTTTCGTTGTAGGCGACTGGGTACTCTTCATCTGCGTCTTTTCCATCCTTGCGGGTGTGCTTGTTGCTTTTTTCTTTATCCCCCTCAGCCTTTTCAGAACCGCGACGTCCCTGGCCAGAAGCAGGCGTGCCAGGTCCGGTGAGAGGATATTCGTCAGGCTCTGGTACTCCTGATGGTTTTGAATGAGAAGACACTCGAGTTTTCCAGAACGGACGCTTTGGCGGCGATTCTAGCTCGCGTGATGAAACACCGACGGGCTGATCTGTTTCGGGGTGGCCTGTCTCGGGTGTACGTGGCATTGAGACACTGTGAACAGATGCCGTCGCAGCATCTGTAGTGTGCTTTTCTTGAGGGAGAACCTCACTGTCTTCCGGAGGGGTATTCCCACGAGGCGGCAGTACGTTTTCTGTGGTGGCAACGAAGCCCCGGCTTTTGGATAGCGTGCCATCGAGACCATTTTCAACTTTCTTGAGGCCTCCCAACATCGACTTGCCCAGCTTTCCCACCCCTTGTCCAACGGCCCCAGCTGCCATAATAGCAGGATCAAGCATTCCAAGCCGAGGTGGGTCCTCGGAGGTGCTCTCTCGCCTTCCTTCTGAGGGCCTATCCAAGACTTCTTGCAACGTGTGGGCATCATGAGGATCACCAGAACTGATTCCTGGACCCATTGCCATGTGTGATGCTCGCTCATCGGTCGATACTTTTTCCTTCTCTGTATTTTTCTTGTCCTCCCCAGCCTTCTTGGCCTCTGCCTTGGCTCGCTTCAGCTGAGCTTTTTTGCATTTGATGATCAATTCCGTTTCAGCGGCCTCAAGCTGCAAGGCGACATTGTTACGCTCCTTGACCTTCTCATTCAAATCGTCGAAGTTGCGGTTGATCCAGATGTTTCTGACCCCACCTGGGAATACATCGAAGAGTGTAACGAGTGCGTCAACATCAAGCCAGCTGCGCGGAATTGCTGTCACAAGCACAGTAGTCGCAGAAGCACGCAGTCGATGTTGGGGGGACGTCATGTAGGCTTGGCGCAGACGGATATACCCCCGGAGTTCATCGAAGAATACGGCACAGACGTAGAATATGACGATGACGGCCATCACCAGGTGTGCCCAGTACCGATGGGTGTGCTCCGGAGTGACATTACCCCAAGCCAGCTGGTCCAAACCGGTGACGTTCCATCGAGGACCAGGGCCGGTGCCATTTTGAAAGGTGGTGCCTTTTCCGCCAACACGATTTACCGGGAGGAGCACAGGAAGTATAAGGCAACCCAAGGGGACGAAGATCTTAAGAAGCATGCGCAGATAGCGCAGGAAAAAGTATGCGTCCAGCCCACACTTTTGGATGAATTCTGAGCTGGAAGTGCGAAAAACAGGGCTGATCCAGCGGAAGAGACCCGGCGGCGAGGGCTTCGTGCGTTCTCGATCCGGGACGAGGTAAGTTCGTGGTTGACTAGAAATTCCGTCGGTTAACCCCATACTTTCCTCAGTTTGGGTTCGAACTTACTAAATGCGAGTGAGTTTGCCTTTCAGCAGCAAAAAGAGCAGAAACTCGATAACAAAAACAATAATGGCCGTCGTTAGCGAGGCCACAAATGTTTTGATCGGGACCCCCTGGGCTCTTCGGCCGTGTCCACCTGTGTTCTCCAACGCTTTCTCCAGGCCTGATGCCATGGCGATCGGCGGTAAGGATCGTGCAGAGAGAAGACCAGGCAAAGCAAAAGTTAGAACACCGCGAGTCGTGTGCGAAATAATCGGGGCATCCCGAGATCTTGTAGATGCGGTCAGTGGGAGGATCAAAAGAGGTTGAAAAAAGACATCCAGAAATTGGATTTCGGGGAGAGAGCGAGAGATGGTTTCCGTAATAAAGGAAGCTAAGAAAAAGAAACCTTAACAATCACGAATAGAAACAAAGACGCCGGATCAGCGGTGGAGCGCGCTATCCCCAGAGATGCAGTGATGTCTCGGGTTGCACAATGACTGCAGTGGCTGCCGGCAGCTTTCCAAGAAATTAGTAGGGCTTTGACAGGGATGATTGGAGGGATCGCGGAAACGCCGATCGTTTGTGGAATGACATCAGGCGCCTGGTGAAACAGCCTGGCTGACCCTGGCGGCTCCGAGGAATAGGAGATAGGAGGAAGGCAGAAATAGGAGACAACCTCGGGGAGTTTTGTTCTCGACTGCGTCCCAACCTTGGTCTGAGCCTGATGCTCCAGGCAGCACGTACACAAATCACCCAAATGGGAAAGCGCGGTGATTGGCGCCTGTCAGGAGAGTGGCGGTGCTAGTTATGTCATCATACCGCCACTTCCAAATTTTCCAGAGCAAAATGACACGTGATGTGGCTGGTGAACACGTCGTCCCAAAGAGGAAACCACTTTACGCGCGGGTCGCGTCCCACGCGTTGCCGGGGAAAAGAGCTTTTGTCTCCCTTTCTCAGTCACCCGTTCCCCATCCACTTTTGCCTATCTCGAGTATTCCGCCACTATCAATTCACCCTCAACATGTCGTCCCCGGCATCAAATCGGAGGGGTCGTCCTTCTAAAAACTCCACGGCGTCGCCCGTATCATCCATGTCTCGACAGGAACCTCCCAGCAGCCCAACTTTCCAGGCAACCCCCCGTGCCTCCCGACGCCTGATGGCCGAGGGAGCTGCACCGTCCTCATCTCCAATTTTCTTCCAGTCATCTCCCACCAAGGGCCATGATAGCGCAGAAACCCCCGATGCTCGGATGGCAGATGCGAGTTCCAATGTGGATGATGGAGAGAGAACACCGCGGGGAAACCCTGGGGTCAGAGGTATGCGACTTTGCAATTTGTCTTGAAGCATATGGAAGTACTAAAATCACAGCAGACTCTTCCCCGATCAACTACATCCCAAGCTCTAGCCCAACCCGGGGGTTCGGCCGAACAGACATCCGCTCAGATCTTCGCTCTGATGCCCTCAGCACGAGTAGTGGGTTATTCGTGTCACCGCAACAGGGTCGTCGCGGAGCGCCTCGCCGCAGTGACTTGCATTCAGGTGGCTTCGGCTCCACCCCCGCCCGCAGGAATCGGGTGTTCGTGGATGCCAATGGGATGCCCGCAGGTGACAATGCGCCTCGCTCCGATGCCACATTTTCAAACATCCACCCGGGCACGTCGGAGGCCGAAGCAATGGCTGGTAACTCTTCGCGCGTGATCTGGGGTACGAATATCTCGATCCAGGATTCGATGTCGGCGTTCAAAAACTTTTTGTACAACTTCGCCACGAAGTATCGACTTTGGGCGGATGGCGCTTCAGAGGATGAGACCCGCATCCTTGGAGAGGCAGCAGAGAAGCGTGAATATATCAACTTGTTGAACGACATGCGCCGGCTCGGTGTGACGACCTTCAATATGGATGCCCGGAACCTGAAGGCGTACCCCTCAACACTCAAACTGTGGCATCAATTGTCTGCATACCCGCAAGAAATCATTCCGTTGATGGATCAGGCCGTGAAAGATGTAATGGTCGATCTGGCTCTCAAGGAGATGGATGTTTTGCGGTCGGAAAGTCAGCGCGGCGCCCAATCTCGAGACCGACGGGGACAGCCCATTCTCACTTCGGATGGTGTCGTTCAGCCTGCTGATGTGCCTGATCTGGTTGGCGAGGTCGAGGCGATGTCTTTCAAGGTTCTTCCGTTCGGCCTGGATAGGACAGTGAACATGAGAGATCTTGACCCCGCTGGTACGTTTTCTATTGCGTGCTTCCACTGGTGGTAGCTAACATTTTGTTTTCTAGATATGGACAAGCTAGTCAGCATTAAGGGTTTGGTCATCCGAGCCACGCCCATTATCCCCGATATGAAAGAAGGTAAGTACAATGAAAATTGGTGGTTTTGAGAGTAACTAACACAATCGATCCTAGCCTTTTTCCGCTGCAGTGTTTGCAACTATGGTGTTCAGGTCGACATCGACCGAGGCAGAATTGCGGAACCAACGATTTGTCCTCGAGAGTCATGCCAGGAGAAGAACTCGATGCAACTTCTTCACAATCGCTGTTCATTCTCAGACAAGCAAGTAATCAAGCTTCAGGAAACACCAGACAATGTCCCGGATGGTCAGACGCCTCACTCAGTTTCCTTGTGCGTGTACGATGAGCTGGTCGATATCTGCAAAGCAGGTGACCGTGTCGAGGTGACGGGCATTTTCCGCTGCAACCCCATGCGTGTCAGTGCTCGACAGCGGTCCCAGAAGACCCTGTTCAAGACCTATGTGGATGTTCTTCATGTGCAAAAGGTCGACCGCAAGAAGATGGGCATCGACTTGTCAACCGTCGAGCAGGAGATGTCTGAACAGGCGGCAGAGGCCGACCAGGCGCGCAAGATCTCGGCTGAGGAAGAGGAAAAGATCAAGCGGACTGCTTCTCGGCCTGATATTTACGAGCTCCTTGCCCGATCCCTGGCCCCTAGCGTGTACGAGATGGACGATGTGAAGAAGGGTATCTTGCTGCAGCTTTTTGGTGGCACCAACAAGACCTTCCAAAAGGGTGGTAACCCACGCTACCGTGGCGACATCAACGTTCTTCTTTGTGGTGACCCGTCTACCTCTAAATCGCAATTGCTTCGCTACGTTCATAAGATTGCACCGCGCGGTGTTTACACTAGCGGCAAGGGTTCGTCAGCCGTCGGTTTGACAGCCTACGTGACGCGTGATCCAGAAACTCGCCAGATGGTGCTGGAGTCAGGTGCTCTAGTCCTGTCGGATGGCGGCACTTGCTGCATTGATGAATTCGACAAGATGAACGAGTCTACGCGCTCCGTTCTCCACGAAGTTATGGAGCAGCAGACCGTGTCGATTGCCAAGGCGGGCATTATCACCACTCTGAATGCCCGTACGTCTATCCTGGCGTCCGCCAACCCGATTGGCAGTCGATACAACCCCCGGCTTCCCGTTCCACAAAACATCGACTTGCCCCCGACTTTGCTTTCTCGATTTGATCTTGTTTACCTTGTGCTGGATCGCGTCGACGAATCGGAAGATCGCCGCCTAGCCAAGCACTTAGTCAACATGTACCTGGAGGATGCTCCAGAGCATGCCAGCTCGGAGGAGATTCTGGTAAGTCTTGATTGTCTCAGAACATAACATATGGTTCTATCTAACAGTCCCTCCTCTAGCCCATTGAGTTCCTTACGGCCTATATTACATACGCCAAGACCAACATCCAGCCAGTTCTCACCCCGGCAGCCGGCACCGCATTGGCTGATGCCTATGTGGCCATGCGCCAGCTGGGCGATGACATTCGCTCCTCAGAGCGCCGAATCACAGCTACTACTCGGCAGCTCGAGTCAATGATCCGGCTATCTGAGGCACACGCGCGTATGCGTCTGTCACCCGAGGTGACGGCCGCAGACGTCGAGGAAGCCGTCCGCCTGATCCGCTCTGCGATCAAGCAGGCCGCGACGGATTCCCGCACTGGTCTGATTGACATGGGTCTGCTGACCGAGGGCACCAGCGCCAGCGAACGCCGCATGCGCGACGACCTCAAGCGCGCCGTGCTGGCCCGCGTGGACGAGCGCGGTGGAATCGGCGGCGGCACGGTCCGCTGGGCCGACTTGTTCCGTGACATGAGCGAGCAAAGTGATGCACCACTGGACCACAACCAGTTCGGTGATGCCGTGCGCTCGCTGGAGGCGGAGGGTGCTGTGTATGTCTCTGGGGAGGGCCCGCGGCGAAGCATCCGCCGAGCAGCTCCCGGCCTGTCCTAAACTCGATGATACAATGACGCGATGATTTAGATTCGGCTGCATGTCATTCTCCGCGCTCGAGGGTGTCTGGCGTTTCGATTTGGGCGGGGGTTCATAGCAACAGTATGAGTAATGCATCTTTGTTCTGTATTCATGCATGCAGGTCTTGATATAATTCCGCGTCAACTATGAACACCTCAGTTTGCCCAACAAGTGTGATACATCTCATCTCAAGTGAGCTTGTTTAATCCCCTAGAGATTCCCCATCCGCCCAACCAACAAGGAACTCATCCAACAAGTCGTAGTTGGCCCTCTCGGTTTCTTCGTGAGGGTCAGCAGTGTTGGATTTCGCCCTCATTCCAGGCTGCGTTCGCGCTGGCAGAGAAGTATTGGATATTGCCATGTTTCTCAGACTGCCATCCGCGATGAGCGGCTTGGTACCGAGTGCATCCAGATCAAGGCCCAACCCATTTACATCCATAGCAAAAGGGCTGCCCATATTCTCAATGTCAAGTCCCTGATACCCCTCGGAAGCACTATCATTTCCCGTCAAACTGTGCGCAGAGCTGGAACCCTCATATTGCAGCAGTGGATCAAGTGACTCGCTGCTTGAATGGCTGACAACAGATTCCGGCGAGTGGCACCGCGGCATAGACCACGAGGGCTTCCGTTGGACCCGTATGCGCTGTGCTCGAGTCCTGGGAATAGCAGAACCAGGATAAGGCTGGTTGTGGGTAGGAATACCAGAGCGACTCTGACGCTGGCAATGCTCGGTGAATAGTTCGTTCAGGATGGTGTTTAACTGCGACAGCTTGTCCTCGGCGAACTGGTCACGCTTCCTTTTCGGCGCAGTCCGCTGTTTCGGCGATGGCACATGCTCTGTCCTCTCAAGTGAAGCGGCAGCGGCGGCGGCGGCATTCCTCGCATGAGAACCACTAGGATCGCATTGTCGTGATGGAGCTGGTTGTGACTCAGCCTCAGCCTGGAGAGCTTCCTCGTCAAAGGCCCGTGCAGGCTTGAAGCTGATATTGTGCTCCGTTAGGAGCTGTTTCAGATACCTAATACGGTTTTCGAGGAGATACACGTAGCTGCGGGGGACTTCGCGCTTAGTGAGCGGGTCGTAGCCCACGCACCGGACGTGGGCCTTTGCGCAGGATTGGCAGCGTGGGAGCCGCTGGTCACAGCGGTGTTTGCGGAGGCGGCAGCGGTTGCAGGCTGAAACGTTGCGGAATGATGGGACGGGGAGTTCCGATGTGATGGGTTGGGGATTGGCGAGGGGTCTGGTCTGGGGTGGTTGCGTTGTCTGGGTTGCAGGTATGGATTGAGTGTTACGGGCTGTGAAATCGGAGAGCAAGAATCCCCATTGCCTGTTGCTTGGGGCTGGTGAAGCTGGAGCCATGAGGTTCAGCATCGTGGAGATTAGGGCTTGGACTCATGGATTCTGCCCGGGATCAATGTCGTGATTTAGAGTAAAATAAATGAATAATTGAAGCAAGAAAACGAGAAAAAAAGGTCAAAAGAAAAGAAACTCCTATTATCATAACAATAAAGTAGATGGGCTCTCGTGCGAGACACTTCCAGATTGGCTCTGCCGGCATACAAGCTCAGGAATACCGAATTCCGGGCATCAAGGTGAACAGTGGCAAGCTCGAATGCCGAAAGCCAATTCGAACTCCGAGGCAGTCCGAAGAGGGGTTGACGGGTCGATCGTAGAGCTGTTGGTGGCTGTTCTAGAGCAAAATGCATGCTGATCTACGGGAGGGGACCCTATGTGGGCTCCACTTGACTCTGGGAAATGGAGTGGCAACACGAGAGTATACTCCACTGTAAGATGTCATTTTATAATCTATGAATTTGTAGCGAAATGCGTCCTCGATTCGAGTCTCTTCATGCTCGTATAACTCCAGTGCAGCTAATCGGGATGAATATAGCGTAGAGGGTGTGAAGGGAGATAAGAAAAGGATTCGCAACTAGCTTAAAAACTATTAGTGAGATAATATATACATCAAAGAAAGAACATCCTCGGGGTATTCCCCGCATTCCTTTGCGCCCATGTTCAATTGATTTGATTTGTTTATTTTCTACTCGCTTGAACTTGACTTCAGCGTGGATCTGGCATACAGTACCAAGCCTCTCTTCGTCTGTCCGCTGCCCCCGCAATATCAACAATACAGAACGAGACCAATGCCCAACCCGCAACGAGCAAGGTAAACGCGTGAGTATCTGGTATAGCTTCAACGGCTGGGGTCAGATCATCGGCGGCCTGATAGCCTATGGAATCGCAGCCGGTAGCAATAAGCACGGATCGCTTATTGCGCCCTGGAAAATTGTCTTTCAATTCACCGGGCTCTTCACCATTGCGCTCGGGCTATTGTTCTTATGGATGGTTCCCGACAATCAGCTCAACGCGCGCTGGCTGAAAAAAGAAGACCGAGTGCTAGCAAGTGCGAGAGTGCGCATCAACCAGCAGGGAATTGGAAACAAACACTTCAAGTGAGCTGCTACTGTGGACGTCATCCTCATCGTCGCGCTGCCGCTATCTAATAACATGGGCCGGTTGATTGGATGCTATATGACGCAAGCATTCCCGACCTCGTTCGTGGCGTTGTTGTAGTTGATCTCGTCCAACGTAGCTGGGGTATACGAAGTGTATACTAATCTGCTCTTGTTTCAAGGACCATTGACGTTCCGCCTTGAGGACGCCCCACGCTATGTTCCGGCCAAAGTCACAATTATTGCCTGCCGGGGCTTGTGTCTATTTATTCTGCTGTTTATCTGGTGGTGGTACAACCGGGAGAACCGTCGCAAGGCCGATATTTGCTCACAGCCAGACTATGTGCGACTGGAGAATCAAGAGTAAGTGGTTTTGCCTTAAAATATGTTTACATTCATGGATATCATTGCTCACTCATTTACTAGATGGCTGGATCTTACAGACCATGAAAACCATGATTTTGCCTACACGTTGTAGGAGGAAAGAGGAATAGGACAGTTCTACTGTTAGTGCAAAAACTAAGGCAGCAAGGCACCAGATCCGATCCTGAGGCTCCATCGAAGCTCCCACGTGCAGCAGTGATTGGTGACTAAGACACGCACGGACCCTGGGGAGCTCGACGTCCAGCTGACTCAGCCAATCTCACATTCAGAAGTCGCCACGGGATCGCGATGCTTTTGCTCCAATAGTATTTATTAGGAATTATTGAGAGAATAACTGTAGCATAAATCCAATTGAATTTTATATGACAACTATACAGTTCTTATGGAATGAACAAGTTGCTAGGTTCATAGCTACATAGTGGCTCCGTCACCCGCTAGTCATTCTAGCCGTTCTCGGCGCGATAAGTGCCTATCGCGGCCTGGCTCATCGTCCTTCTCTCTCTTTCTCTCTCTCTCGCCATGAGCTTCATCTTTTGATTCACTCTCCTGGTACACCTTCAACCACCCTCCCCAACGAGTGTGACCACCCAGCATGAGGTAATTCGCGCCCCCCTTTCCCAGCCCCAGAGCTAGCTGCACCCTCCCCGCAGCAAAGCACTCCCCCCCCTCCAATTTCCCTCCGTGCTCACCAATCTCGGACCAGGTTCGGCGAGTATCTCCGATCCTCGATGATCAAGGAGTACCATCCCTACTACATAGCCTACGAAGAGCTCAAAAAGGCCCTCAAGACCGATTTCGTCACCCAGCCTACCCCCGAAAACACCAAGCCCGCCCGCAAGGATTGGTCCGAGGATTATGAGACAAACTTCGTTGCCTTGCTTGAGAGCGAGCTCGAGAAGGTGTTTACCTTCCAGAAGCGCAAGAGCGAGGAGATCGTGGAACGCATCCAGGACAGTGAGATCGACGTCAATGATGTGGTCTCCCGGCTGGACGGCTCCGCCGACACGCGCCGCCAAAGTAGCCGGTCTTTGCGGCCTCAGCCGACTGATGCCGACTTCCTTATGCTCGAGCAGGTGCTAAGTGACATTATTGCCGATGTGCATGACCTGGCCAAATTCACCCAGCTGAATTACACGGGGTTTCAGAAAATAATCAAGAAGCATGATGTGGGTGACATTGACTTCACATTCACACGAAGCTATCGTGAGACAATCCTAACATCCAAACAGAAAGAGACAAAATGGTACCTTAGACCCGTCTTTGCCGCTCGTCTCAATGCCAAGCCCTTTTTCAAGGACAATTACGATGCTTTTGTGGTCAAGCTCTCGAAGCTCTATGATCTGGTCCGTACCAAGGGCAACCCAATCAAGGGTGATGCCGCCGCCGGTGGTGGCCAGCAGAACTTTGTGCGACAAACGACCAAGTACTGGGTCCACCGGGACAACATCACCGAGCTGAAGCTGGTCATTCTTAAACACCTGCCCGTGCTGGTGTTTAATGCCAGCAAGGAGTTCGAAGAAACGGACAATGCCATCTCCTCCATTTACTACGACAACCCCGACACCTGGGAGTTGTATCAGGGACGTCTGAAGAAGACTGAGGGTGCAGAGGCCATACGTCTACGGTGGTACGGTGGGATGGAAAGCGACCAGATTTTCGTGGAACGGAAAACTCATCGCGAGGACTGGACGGGAGAGAAGTCGGTCAAGGCCCGCTTTTCTCTTAAGGAGAAAAATGTCAACGCCTACCTGGATGGCCGCATGACGGTGGAGCAGATTTTCGACAAGATGCGCAAAGAGGGCAAAAAGAGCAAAGATGAGATTGATGATCTAGAGCAATTGGCTCGCGAGGTTCAGTATCGGGTCATCACCCGGCGTCTGGTTCCGGTTACCCGTACCTTTTACCATCGTACCGCATTCCAGCTCCCGGGCGATGCACGAGTGCGGATTTCACTCGACACAGAGCTGACCATGGTTCGTGAGGATAACTTGGACGGCCGGCAGCGGGCCGGAAAGAACTGGCGCCGGATGGATATCGGGGTGGACTATCCCTTCTCGCAGCTCCCACCGGAGGACATTGACCGATTTCCCTATGCCGTGCTGGAGGTGAAGCTGCAAACCCAAGCAGGCCAGGAGCCTCCGCAGTGGATCCGGGACCTGACGGCGAGTCACCTAGTAGAGGCGGTGCCCAAATTCAGCAAGTTCATCCACGGTACGGCCACGATGTTCCCTAGCCGCATTAAACTGCTTCCTTTCTGGATGCCGCAGATGGACGTCGACATCCGCAAGCCTGTGACGCGCAAGTACGGCATTCATCGACCACTGGCTAGTACGTCGATCTCTGCCAACGATGATGACTCGGACGACGATGAAACCCCGGGCGCGGAGGAAGAAGCTGCGAACGGCTTGCCGGGTGACGCGCACCCACCACAACATGTGTTGTTTCCTGATCCCGGTAGTAATGAGCTGGATGTCGAGGAGCGGATTGCGGCACAGCCGCTGCCTGGCGACGAAGATTACCCATTATATGATTCAGACGATGAATCGGTGGACTCAGACGAGTTAGAAGAGGCGCGTCGAGTGGGCGGTGTCTACTACGCGGAGCAACTCGCCAAGCACTATGTACGGCGCGCGGGCTCTGCCTTTGTGAACGGTCTTCTGGCACTGGTTCCACGTCCACGTCCCACGACACTCCCTCCTGCAGAACAGCGTGGGATCGCTGTTCTGGGCGAACGGCGTACCTTCCAAAAGTTCAAAGCTCCTCCAGGCAAACGTATGTTTACTTCCACCTCTTGAAACCCACCAGGAATTGCCCAGGCTAATCTCTTATTAGGTATCTTCGTGCCGGTCCGTGTCGAGCCCAAAGTATACTTTGCCGCCGAACGCACCTTTCTATCCTGGCTGGAATTCTCCATCATCGTTGGTGGCATCGCCGCCACTCTCCTGAATTTCGGGGCCGATTCCGCAACCCTAGCATCGTCTTGGGCATTCACCGTCCTGGCCGCTCTCTCTCTGGTCTATAGTCTCTTCCTTTATATTTGGCGCGTCGACAAGATCCGCAAGCGCCGCGACGTCAAGCGCGTGTATTATGAGAAATGGGGTCCGACGGTGGTTGGCGTCGGATTGGTCGCTGTGATCCTGGTCAATTTTGGTTTGCGTGTCCGCGCCGGCGGCTTCATGGCCCCTGGCTCGGGCAAGGATGATACTGGTCGTCATGGTGGCGAGTTGTAAAAAAAATCCCATGTGTTTGTTCAAGTTGCTTTTTCTGGCGTTGTTCGAACCTTATATATGCGATTTTGGGTGGCTTCTCTTGTATTTAGGTGGCGTTGGTCGGGCATGGTGTTGGGGGGAAGGGGTTGTATTCTGACATTCTTGTGCGTATTCATGAATCGGTGTGTACAGAACAGTTGCAGACAGACCGCAGTGTTGGCTATTGTCAATTGCCACAAACGAAGGCGACTTGGTTGATACTCTTGACAATGTAAACCAGGCTTACTACAGCCCCGCAATTGTCCAGCATACCTATTTCTTTGTGTCTGATCTAGCTGACTTCTCTTTGCCCTTCCCTGACAGCATTCAAAGTAGCTGTTTACCACCAACCAGATGGTCTCCGATAAACAATATCTCGTCCCAGATGAGACAGTTCTCCTTGACATTTTCCCCAGGGTGACCGGTCTCGAGCCAACCAGCCGCACCATCATCTTAAACAAATTTGATACCTGCACGTCCAGATTATCCAAAAGATATTATTGTCTGACTCGAGACATCGGGAAGAGAATTGACCACTTCGGCAACTCTCCAGCGTTTAGAACGCTCTCAACTCAACGAGCTTGTGCCGTCAGTTCTGCAAAACGGCTTCACGAGTGCAGACTCAAAACGAGATTTACTATATTTTTACCGAATCTGTTACGTGGACAGTTCCCCTCGACATTGTATAGGACACGTTTGCTCCAACACATCAGCTGGAACTCGTCGATTCGCTTGTTCACGCCGTGGAGAAGATCCAAGAGCTCTCCATCACAGCACCATTGGCCAGTCCCTGGCGGGAGGTCCTTGCATATCAACGGCTGCTAGCTCATCTCACCCGCTCCAGAATGCAATCGGCAGTCCAGTCTTAGGGTCGTCAAATCTATCCCTTTAGCTGGTATACTTTGTTCAAAAGCCGGGCATCGCATCTGCTACTTCGGGCAGAGTGCCATGCAAAGCTGATCAAGGCACTTCGGATTATTGATAAAGCCAGGAAGAGGGGAGGTGTATCATGCGAAACAAGAAACCGGCCTATTTTTTAGGATTATGACTTCGTATGTGTGGGATCTCCGGTTAGTGCTATCAACAGGAGCCAAAAAGGGAAATTGAAGAGTTGCCAAGGATTATAGTGGATCCACGCCCTATGGATCCCACGAAGAACAAAAGAAAGTCTCGGTTAGAAAAAAGAGGGAAAGGTAGATAGAGTCGGATATGTGGATGGTGATCTTCTTACCAGCTGAAGCGGATCCGGCGTAGACACCGCATGTTGCTGGCTCACTCACGGTCTGAATCGCCTAATTGTACTACGATATGGACTGGGGAATAAATTGTCGAAGAGGAAAGCTACTCTGCTTGTCGATCGGTGCTCTTCTTGGTTCGGGCGGCCCCGATTTCCAGAGTCCCGGTAAACATCAATCTCGGTCGTTTCGAGAGAATTGGCCCCGAAATTCGACGGGGAGAAGGACTGGGCGAACGTGATTAACGAGTTTCGACTATTCGGTCAATTGAACGATATATATATATATATGTATATAAGACCAGAGAAGGAAGCAACTTCTTTTCTTTCATACATTTCTTGATTTCCCCCACACCACAGCTTTCTTTCATCCACCCTCGCCATGAAGTTCAACCTAGTCCTTCTGCCTGCGCTGACTCTCGTTGCGGGCGCAGTCGCCGATTGCGTCTGGCATGAGAGCATTCTTATGTCTAAGGGTGAGCGAGACCAGCTCTCTCTGGAAGTTAAGTGCCCTCCCCCTCAAAACGATGGGGATGTGTACACCAAGGGAGACCTTAATTTGAACCACTGTCTCGTGACGAAAAGCAACGGCAAAATTGGGGCCCAGAAAGAGTGAGTGGAAGAGTTATCTCGACTCTTGCGAGGCTATTTAGCTGATTATATATCTAGTGGTGATGCTTTTAACAGCATCCCGGCCAATGCTTGCTACGTGGAGGACAACAAGACTCTGGACTGCGGTGATTGGGGCAGTCTTCCTATCTGTTCGTTGACTACGCCTTTTTTTTTCTTGTCTTTGGTTTCTTTATCCTAACGATTCTCTCTTTTTTTTTTTTTTTAGCCGATATCGTGTCGGGTTAGGCCCCAAATTTCAGTTGCCACGGTTACACGGCAGAGACGAAGACTGAGACTATGGGCTCGGCTTCGGCGGCGAGTCCGTCTGAGTCGGCATCATAAATGCATCATGCCGATGAGGCTAGGAAATACTTATATATCCTCCTGGGTCTCCTATGGCTCACCCGCGTTATGGCCCCTACAGGCTATGGTTCTTCCTTACAATGGCGCAAATGTACCCTACTATCCAGGCAGTGGCCAAGAATATTCCCAGAAGACCAAGGAATTAATTTCACAGGACACTTGTGCTCGAGTCAATTGCTTAATGTGAATCTTGGGGCCAACTCAAGCAGAGCACTAAGCTAAAACTTGTATTCTGTCCCCAGCACCCGCAGCAAGCCCCAGGGAGGGGAGGGAACGCCTAGTCCTTGATTGACGTGAAGATCAGAGGGGAGAAGACCGGCAAGCGAGCCAACATAGACGTCTTTTGTCAATACTCTCGGCGGATTCAAATATCATTTCACAAGTGCTCAGTTTTCAACAGTAATAGTATCCCACAGCATCAAGAGAAACCCATCACAATGAGAGGAAAAAGAAGAAAAGAAAGAGAAACGCAACAACCACCCAGCCAACCAGCCAAAGGAGAAAATGCCCCATCTCAGCTCAAGACGACACATCTCCATCATCATCATGGTCATGGCTCCCACCATTCGACTCCGAGAAATGCATCCACAGCATCTGCATGATAAGTTCAGGATCCTTGTTATCAACAGCACAAACAAAGCAAGGATCCTTGCGGATCTCAGGCGAGACATTGGCAAAGATGCAGGTGATGGCGACATCCCGCATAAGCACCCACCAAAGGTAGCGATCATGACTTTCATCCAGCGGCTCGATTTCCCCAATAGCAAGCTGCCAGACCTGGTGCTGGCGCATCAGCAGCTCGATGCCAGTCAGCCAGGACTTGTAGTTCTCGGTGCCAGTCAGCGGCTCGATCGTCAGCGGGATGCAGTGCTTGTCCTTGGAGTTGTCGAGGAAGAAGTCCAGATGGCGCAGCGTCTGCTGTTCTTCTTCGATCTGCGCCTCTTCCTGGAAGGAGTTGTCCTTGTCCTCGTCTTCGTCTGAATCGACCGATGAGGCGGAGAAGTCTGACTCTGAACCTATAGTTAGATCCATTGTGTCCGAGTCAGCGTGGTCTGTCTCAAAAAGTGCTTTTGTTAGGAATTGGTAGGGCTGTTCACATTCAGAGTCGGCCTTCTCTTCGGTCTCGGTCTCAATGCTCAGCGCTGGGTACGCAGTAGACGTTTGGGAGAGGGTGTTGGGTGCTTCGTTGTAGATGTTGTGAGCGAAGTTGGGGATCTTGGGGATGGGAGTGGCGACGTGGACGTGGAACGTACCACTTTGGGTGGACACTTTGGGTGTTGATGGTTCCATTTTGGGATCCATCTTGTGGTAGAGCTGATGATGAGATGGATGAAATGAGAAGAGAGGAGATGATTCTAAGATGGTGGTGGGGAGGATGGAGGATGGCGAGCTGGGTGGAGTGCTCTTTTTATGTGCAGAACGGGGAATACCCTCAAATAGGCCCTGGGGGCTTCCGTAGTGAATTCCTCCAGAGTGGCTCTGAAGTGAGGCAAACAAAAGAAGTTGAAACAAATTTAACACGCGATTTCCCGGCTTGAATTAGCAATGGCATTGTCTGAGAACCATCATCCAAGACACCAACCCAACATAGCCAGCTCTTCATAAAGCTCTATCCTACCCGGGTAAAAGAATCCAAAACAGCCAGTGATCTTATACCCTATCTAACATTCAAGGATTGTAATCCACCACCGGTACCTTGGTATCATCCAGCGTGACAGCCTTAGGGTTATGCTTCTCGACACCCGAATACCGATTCAGCCACCCAAGCACCTGCTGGTGCCAAACCAGGCTGTTTTCTGGATTGAGGACCCTATTATGGATTAGAGATGCTAAAATATCGAATGTGACTTGGGTCTCAACACAGCACACTTACCAATGGTTCTCATCAGGGAAATTCAACAACCGGCTCGGCACTCCCCGTTCCTGCAAAACATTGAAAAGACTCAGACCTTCTGAAATGGGTAAACGATAGTCCTTGGAGCTGTGGATAATGAGCTGCGGTGTGCTAAACTGTCGGATATGCTCCGGAGCCGATGGATCCCAGCGACGGTAGTTGTCTCGGTTGGCCCAGAAGGTGCCGTTGAACTTGAAACAAGGTTAGTATAAGAGGACCAGACATTGAACAACCCAATCAAAGAAAATCAGGGGTGGCGAAGAAGGAAAGCAAATGCATACATCGTGCTCGATGAACCACAGCTCCTCAGTCGACACCTTAGCATCGGCCACGAATGTTCCGTCATGGCTGACCAGCGCCTTGAATTTGCGCCCAAGGGGATTGCCTTGGATCCAGTTGATCATAAAACCTCCGTAGCTTGCCCCTGCTGCTACACCGTGATCGGTGTCAATGTAATCAAAGTTGTCGCGGACATGTTCCCAGCACTTAACCAGGTCGTCGTAGGGATAGCTGCCTGCTTATTTTTAGAAAAGGCCCATATATGACCCATACCATCTGAGATAGACTTACCCCAATTATTCTGGATCGCATCTGTCAGCTTGTCCCCAAAGCCAGTGCTACCCGTCGGGTTCGGCGCAACCACCACGTATCCTTGGTCCGCAAACACCTTGTAGTTCCATCGAGAGCTCCAGGAATCAGCCCAGGAGCCTTGGGGCCCGCCGTGAATGTAAAACAGCAGTGGGTATTTCTGAGCCTTGTCGAAATTTGGGGGATAGACAATCCAGGAATGGATCTAAACAAGGTCAGACTCAAGCATCGGTGAAGGGCGCAAAGAAACATACATCAGTCCAGTTTCCTTTGAAATGAAACTCATCCACATCCGAGGAGCTAAGCCCCTTGAGGGATGAATCGACTTTGTTAGCAGAGAAGAGGGTCTTCGTGACACCCTTCTTCAGATTCGCCGTGTAGACCGTCCAGCTCGTCCAAATCGCAGAGCCAGTGACCAAAACATCGCCGTTTTTCAGGGTATAGTATGCGCTCACGACACCGCCATCAGTGAAATTGTGGGGCTTGAAGTCATCACCTGCGTCGGCCGGCAACAAAAACAAGCGCTGGCGGGCCTTGTCTTCCGTGTTGAGAATGAGGCTCTGGCCATCGGGAGTCCATTTGATGGCGCTCGGCGAGCGATCCCAATTCTTCGCCAGACTGGAGATTGTTTTCTTCGAGTCAATAGTGTATACGTAGAGTGTGCGTCGATCGGCCTCGTAAGCAATGTCTTTCATCTGAAGATACGCGATCTGGTCACTGTCCGGCGAGAATACAGGACTGCTGGAATCTCCTCGGACCCCATGGGGCGTGCCGGGGCTTTTCGGACCGTTGATGGCCACGGGCTTTTCAGAGCCGTCGTGAGGAACCAGGTAGATATACGATGCAGTGTGGTTGGCTTGAGGGAGTTCCGGTGCCTTGCTCTTGAAAGCCACCCACTTGCCGTTAGGCGACAGATCGTAGTCAGACGAGTCTCCGAACGGAGGATAAGGAGTTTCAAGATTCTTGACCCCAGCGACGAGGTTGTGAAGAGGGCCAGTCAATGAAAAACGAGATTTCCCTCCCTGTCCGGTGATCTTCTTTTTCAAAGTTCCTGAAAAGACCGCATTGAAGGTGGTTGTGAGCCAAGTATCCCAGTGCCGGACATAGATACTATCGTAGATCCGGGCGGAGCTCAACGGGGTGGCTGCGAGTTTCTCATTGTATGCTGTCCCATTGCCATAGGTCTGGCTATATACCACAAAGTGAATATCACCCGACTTGGTACCGCTGTCTTGAGACCAGAGAACGAAGCCGGCAGAGATGCAGCCTTGTACCGACTAGAAGACAATCAATATGGAAGACAAAGAAAAAGGAAGAGCTGATAACATACGAGCCATCAAAATCCTCAGTGTTGGAAATCCACAGCTCAACGCCTCCAGGGATCTGGGCATTGGTGTTGTTAATATACAAAACATTGGAGTCGGTTGACCCCAACCAGACCACTTCAGAAACGCTGCTGTCGTTAGTGAGCCGAGAGACCTTGCCCGAATTCAAATCCAGCAGACTCCACCAGGAAGACGAAGCATGGGTGTCGAAGGAATACTGCGATGTTGAGAACAAAGCGACCTCCTATAAACAGGTCAACACAAGTACTCTCACAACATGTTAACCAAGGCACGCGACGCACTCCCGACGGATTCGGCACGGCCTGATCCCTTCGTGGAGCCGTGATCAACTGTCTACAACAAGATCAGTAAGTCGTTCAAGAAGACCCATATAGGGCCACCGAGCACTGACTCCGGTGTGATCGCCCCCGCAGAGACAAACGTCGATGCAAGCGCGAGCCATTGAAATGACCGCATGTTGACGATTAGGTATGCTCACACGCTGCCGAGGAGAAACACGCCGAGAGCCAGGCGCGCAAGAAGGACTGGCGTGTATTTAAGTGTCGGGGCAGCCGTGGCCATCGAGTGGGGGTGGCTGTTTCCCGTGCAAAAGGGGGGGGATGTTACATTCCGATGTCGCTATGAGAGACAAACATGAAAGAGGCAGCATTGAGCGGGCATGGCCGAGGCACTAAAGACACTAAAGAGACTAAAGAGACTAACGCCGGAGTGAGGGGAACAAAGAAACCCTAAGCCGACGGGGGTTGCAGCGCCAAGTACTTTCACATCCCGACAAGGGGGGGGGGTTGACGAACATCGATGATAACGCTTGAGGAAAGGAGAGAACATATCTCATAAATAGAAGCCACTGAAAGACTGGAGATTATGTTGGTTTGAATATTGAGTAGCTGCGGATGCTGAATGGAAAATCCTAAAACTCATAAACAGGACTTCCCCAGTACAAGAGGAAGACCCAGTGGCACCATTCCAAGTCTGGATGGTGTATACAGGGTGCTGAATGATGCGACTATTCTCAGTCATCACGACTCCCGTGAATGGAGTAGTAGTAGAAGTCAGTCAATACTCAAAATCATCATCCACTCCTCCCTTGCCCGCATTCTCCTTGGCCACGGCTTCCTGTTTCCGGTACATCTCAGCGACAGCCCGGGTCGAGGTCGCTTGCTCGGGCTTCTTGTCCTCACGCGACTTGATATATCGTGGGAACCGCAGAGAAACGCCTTTGCCGCCACCCGTCGTTCCTTCAAACTCGTCGGCAGCTGCTTTGTAGCGGGGGCTGAGAGTCAAGTCGGCTGTTTTGACTTCCCAGACAAGTCGGGGCTCGAACCAAACATCGGGCTGATCTTTGGGGACGTTGGAATGAGAGTAGAAAGGTTTTGGTCGGTCGATGACTAGAGGCAAAAGCTCCTTGTGAAGCTCCTCGAGGGCAGCCTCAGAGAATCCTGTGCCGATATTGCAAATCGTCTCGTAGGTGTCACTGTTGGAGTTGTACGCAGCAAGAAGGAAAGCACCGTAGACAGAGGTGCGTTTTCCGCGGCCGTAGTAGGCACCCAAAACAACCAGGTCAAGGGAATCGCCAACTCCAGCGAGGTAGTCTTTTTTGACCTGCGCTCGGTGTCAGCAACAATTAGAAAACACGCAAACCCATCTGAATCGTACCTTCAGCCAGTTTCGACTCCGCTTGCTGGGCTCATACCCACTCTCCTCCGTATCCAGCATTTTCACCATGAGTCCCTCGCACGATGCCTTGACGCTATCTTCCAGCAGATTTTGTATCTCGTCCAGGTCGTTCGTGTTGCCCCATTGCGCGAATTGGAATTCGCCCTCAATTGGCTGGAAACATTCATGCATAAGCTGCCGTCGCTCACGAAGAGACTTCTTCACACAGGGCTGTCATCAGAGTTAGCAGCAAGAAAGGCAATTGGGCGGCATCAAGGAGCCTTACCTCTCCATTGAAAAAGAGCAAATCAAATGCAAATATGCAGACCTTCACCTTGACATCTTCTGCCTTAACGTCTTTCCGCTTGCGAGTCATCAATTGTTGGAACGGAAGGACTTTCTTGCTGACAATGTCCCAGGCAACTGTCTCACAATCTAAAACGAAGCTGTCCACATCGCTCTTGATCCACCCGTTCAGCTTCTCCAGCACATCGGGATACTTCCTGGACAGATCCTCCGAGTTCCGAGAGAAGATAGCGCTAAGGCCTTTGCTGTCCTTTTGCAGTGTGGCTGTAGACTCGGGATATTTGTGGATGAACTCCGGGGCAACATAGTGGATCTGGGCCCTTTCACCATCATACTTGTACTCGCACGTGAACTCCTTTCCTTCAAAGCGGTCGAGCACCTCGGTGATAGACTTGGTCGGCTTGGCAAGCATGGGCTTCAGCGGGATTCCGGGCTGGAGCTTGCATACCTCATGCAGGTTGAATAAACCGTGGTCGAGCATGGCGGGGATGATGGCTTCCCAGGCAGGAAGCTCGCTATAAACCGTCTTTAGGATCGCTTCACCTTCTGTTTCTTTATTCACCGACGGGGTTTCGCCCTTAACAGCAGCTTCGTGGGCCACTACAGCCTGGGCAATGGCCACAAGCACTGTCTTTTCTGCGAGTCCCAGCCGGAGTTTGCCTTCCAAGAAACGTACAATGAATTTGGCCTCACTAGGGCCCCCTTTGTCCTTGGTGATGTCCACTCCTTTGCTTCCTTTGCCAGCCGTAGCGGCATCAGCTGCAGATAGCAGCTTCTTGATCCCGGAGATCTTCTTGTCCTGGGCTCCATGACCTTGAACCTTGGCAATGCCAAGCAGACCTTCGTGTACTCCCCTGACAGTCAAAGGCTTGGGTCTGAACATAGTCGGCTGGTTGGATCGACTCTTAGCGGCCACCAACCCGAGGTCGCCAATCTCTTGTTGATCAGCCTTGATCACAGCCAAGCTACGGCCAGTACTCTCGCCGATGGCTTTCATGATCAATGACTCCCCAATTCCCAATTCGATGCCGGCATAATCGGCAGCCAGTTTGTTGATCATGAGTTGAACGGTTGGTAGAAAGTCCTTCGGGGTCAAGCGCAGAACCTGGCGGAGGAAAAGAGAGCAATGGGCCGAGATCTCCAATCGCTTTCTCGTCATTTCGATCAAGGAAAAAGTGGTGCATAGTGCTGCGTAGGGAACCGGCTCGCCCGCTTTCCAGTCGGGATATGGATCCTTGCCGCATCCTTTTAGCGTAGCCTGCACCTTTTCAATCCTCTTCTTTTTAATCTCTGGTTTCTCCTCCTCTTCTTCCTCACTGGCAGATTGCACACCCTCCTCGTCCAGGTCTGATTTATTTTCCTCCTCCTTAGGAGTCTCTTCGCCAGACGCCTTCTTCACGATAGGCTTCGGGGATGGTGCTTCGGTCTTTATTTCAGTAGTCTTTTGCTTTTTGGGCGATGAGGGCTTTTTCTTGACTGGCGAGGCATCGCTTGACGCCTTACGTCTCCGCTTTGAGACAGGCTGAATGTCGGACCCGTCGCTATCCGCATCATCGTCTTTCTTCTCGCGCTTCAGGGTTTTGATTGTTTTTGCCCCATTGGAAAGAGCGCCATCTGCTTTCTCTGCAGCATCTTCGACGTTGGGCTCAGATTCATCTTTCGTGGCGTCGGTTGCGTCCGGTGTCTCGTCGGCTGCATCGCTACTTTCCCTCTGCCTTTTCCCGCCAAATGCCAAAGTTGTCTGCTTCTTCGGTGCCTGGTTGGCATTTGCATTCGAGCCGAAAAACCTCCTGTAGAGTAGCGTATTAGCTACTTAATTCCGATTGCTGAAGCACCAACCCCCATGGACACCATTCGTCTTCGCAGCAACATCCACGCACCCGATGGTCGCCTGGGAATCGCGCACATACCCCAGTGTAGCCTGTTTTCTGCTCTTGTCCTCCGCCATTGTCGCAGGATACAAGCGCAACGGCAATATGGTTAGGTCGCGCAAGGAGGATTTTGAACGGTTTGCAGTGCCGATATGATAGAATGAGCTTTGGTATATGCGTAATGTTGATTTGCTGGCTGGATTCGGGTATTGCCCAAAATCAACTCTAATGTTGGGTCTGCAGCGCGAAAGTGATGTAGGCGCGAGCTCCGAGATCCGCAGCGCGCGCATAGGCGAATTGCCGAGATTTCAGCTTGAGCAAAACCTGGGAAGAAGTCGGAATAAATAACTTCAACCAGACCAGATAATGCAACCAGGCAGACAACCAGCAAGGCAGCAAAGAGCAAAGGGCGCTATGTCTTACAGGCAGCGCTCGTCTCCATGCGAACGTGACGCGCGATGGGAGTCACGTGCTTATTATCAACTGGAATGATATGTCTCACCGCTTTATTTGGCTGGCAGTGGCGCGCTCTAGGCGGTCAATTTTGTCCGCGATGATGCAGTCCCGCCGCAGTCGAGTCCAGCAATTGCTTCAATCGTGATGGTTGGCGACTAGAATGTCTTTCTTTTCTGTTTGATTAGATTTTTGGTTATTTGATGGCTTCTTGTCGATAATTTCCCCGCCGAATCACGAACTGATTTCCAGTCGCAATGGACAACCAACGGCAGGAATCCTTCAAGCGGGTATGCATCGCTACTGTTTCGATGTGCCAGACATACTGGAGTCTAATATTGCCTTATACTAGCTACGTACACCCTGTGTCGAACTCAGCTCTACGGGCCTTCGATTTCGCGGAAACCAAGTCTCAGCTGCGGACGTTATTCGAGCTCTGGATCCAGTCCATAATGCTTTAAGCGACCTCGCCGGGAAGGATGCTCTCGACGAGAAACTTGCGGAATATGCGTTCTTCCCCTTATCGCACATTTTCAACGAGACTCAACGGCTCCCTGCACGATGCTTAGAGTCAGCCGTCCAATGTTTGCGGATCTTGGTCGCAGACGGCTGGCGCCAGCGACTATCTCCCGTTATGGGCAAGCAATTGATCATATTGTTAACTCTTATTGTGGGCGGATCGCCGAACAAAACTGAAGATAAAAATGCCCCGAAGTCGAAAACATCAGAGGAATTGTCCATTGCTGGATTCAATTGCCTCGAAGTCATTTTCAACGTGCTAGAGGGACCTGTGGCTGAACAGACGATCTTCCACGAGATCGGCACTGCAACTGTTGTTGACCAAACCGTGTATGTTTTGCTCGAGGGGCTTGTGGACGAGAGATCAGACGATGTCTGTCTAGCAGCCGCCAAGGCTCTGCAGGCCCTCTATGCTCGAGTTACAGATCGCGTGGTGCTAGCGAGTATCATGCCGCGTACCGTGTCAGAATTGACCAAGGTCCTGAAACCAACTACTCAAGCTCGGAGATCATATAAACTGCTTCAAACCTCTTTGCAAATCTTTACCCAGCTTCTGAGGGCTGTCTTGAGTGACCGTGTTGCCTCCACAACAGAAAAGCCAGTTGCAGCCCAGCCAGGAAACGACAAGCTAGTTCTTGATGCTTCTTGGCTGAAAGCTACAACGACACAGATCAAGTTAGCATTGGCTAATGTGATTCAGGTCCGACGTCATCAACGGTCTGAAGTGCAGTCTGCGTTACTAGACCTCTGCTTGCTGGTCATTGAAGAGTCCCAGACCACTCTGAGAGATGCCGTGTCCATGATGGTGGACACGATCGTGGTTTTGGCTGATGAGGAGGGCGAAGCACCCAATCAGCCATACACGACAATAATCCATCTTGCTACCAGCTATCCTATTGTATTAGACTCGATCAAGGAATCCTTGCACTCATGGCTTACGTCGTTCCCGCGGATAATGCAAAGCAATGATGAAACAGCCAAGCAATGGGGAATCCGTCAGATCTCAACTTCCTTCCAGGTCCTGTCTCAAGTTCAATCTGGCTCAGATTTTCTAACCAGCAGTCTGGCGTCTGGACTTTGTGAGAGCGTTGGTGCTGTTGTAAAGCATGGTACCGATACTCTCCAGCCAGTTGCCTCCACTGCAGAGACCGTCAACTGGGATGTACTTGATTCGGATGCCGGGTCGAGGACGTTCCCACCAGTGCTTCTGGAACACCGAAGCCAGCAGCAAACACTGAAAGATCTCCGGGCTATGATTACACGGCTCAATTTGTCCGAGTCCGGAAATGAGATCACTCGATTAATAGTCAACCGCATGCACGCCGCATCGGATGAAACTGCCATTGCGCCTTTCTGGTTGGCATTGTCCTCTCTAAGAGATCAGTCGCAACACACGGCCGGTTTTGACGAGTTCATCTCCGTTGACCATGTCGAGCAATTGCTTTCACCATCCGCTGGTGCGGGTATGATTGAGGAACTATACTACGTTTCGCTGAGTATCTTGAACGAGCTTCCGGCAGATGCCTCAGGTGATTGGCGGGCTTCTGCCCTAGCATTGGAGGCCGTGGCTCTTCAAGCGCAGCAACTCGGCGAAGCCTTCCGGCCCGAGCTCATGGACGCTCTTTACCCTACACTGCAACTGCTTGCGTCCAATAATCCAAGTCTTCAGCGGCATGCCATGATATGTCTCAACATTCTGACCAACTCCTGCAATTATCCAGACACGAGCTCCATGATCATTGAAAATGTGGATTACTTGGTGAACTCAGTGTCCCTGAAGCTCAACACGTTCGACGTATCGCCATATCCACCACAGGTGTTATTCATGATGGTCAAACTTTGTGGCGCGCGACTGATTCCGTATCTGGATGATCTGGTGGACTCGATATTCGGAATACTGGACCTGTACCACGGCTATCCGAAGCTTGTGGAAATGATGTTCAAAACGCTGGCGTCGATTGTGGAAGAGGGCGCCAAGAAGCCATCACTGTTGACGATTGACAACGGCAAAGAAGGCGGACCGTCAGATCACCGCAAGAACCAATACCAACACCTCTCAATCTCGACTGTGGCCAAGGACATTGCAGATCGGAAGACCCGTCTCGCCAAGCACGATTCAGAGGAGCTCGCAGACGCAGACAGCAAAATTGCTCATCCCCAGAAACCATGGTCAGAGACATACGGGAAACCAGCTCCCGAACCCGAGTCTATCTCAGAGCTGCTGGACAAAGCCGAATCCGACGAACCCCTCCCGCCACCCAAGGAGCCCGAGGATAGCGAAAAGCCGCTGAGCAAGACGCACTCACTTCTTCTGCACATAGTCAAATCTATCCCCTCGCATCTGTCCTCCCCATCGCCATACCTCCGGCGATCCCTGCTCTCCATTCTCATCGAGGTGCTCCCCGCGCTCTCGCAAAACGAAAACAGCTTCCTGCCCCTGATAAACGATCTTTGGTCCGCAGTCGCCAGTCGGATCATCTTCCCAACATCTCTTACCAGCGCCTCATCTTCCAAGTCTCTCATCTCCCGGCATTTTCCGTCGGCTGAATCAATTGGTGCATCCGATACCCACGACTTCCAGGAAGAAACCTTCGTCACCACAACAGCCTGTCAGGCCATCGAAACCATGTGCCGTGGTGCAGGCGACTTCCTAGCATCGCGCATCGAAACCGAGTTCCCGCGCTGGGACCTGCTCTACCGCCGCGTCTGGGATAAAGTACGACAAGATGCCGAAGCGGCAAATGAGCGCCGCGCTCGACAGCAGGGCCATGCCGCCACACCATCGTCTTCCTTCCTTCACAAGTCTACAGAATCATATCCAGGCCTGGATCTCGTCCTCTCATCCTCCCTCTCTTTATCCCCCACGGTATTCTCCTCCGGCTCCCGAGCCTTCACGCCGCACCATAATCTGTGGCGCGCTCTCGTAGCCCTCTTCATCACGGTTCTCGCACATGTGCGCCTGCCGTTGGCGGTGGGCGATCGTATCTGCGAGCTGCTCGCGGCGTGGATCGCGCTGTTTACCGGGCCGGAGTATTACTTTCAGTCCTGGCGATGGGGCTCTTCCGATTCAGCGCCAGGTTTGGATGAGGCGCAGCGCAATGTGCTGGGGTCTGTGGAGGATGCGATTCGAGCTATGGAGAGTTGGAATGCTGATTTGACGTGGTTTATTTTCATGCGGCAAAGACATATGTCAAGGGCTCGTGTGGGTTCGAAGACTACGTCCGGGATTATGGAGGGAAGTGACTCGAGTATATCTGTGGCAATTGCTGGCGTGGAAATGAGGTTTGCGGCGGTGGTATTCTAGTCATTGGATGGGGCTGGTGTTGATAGGACATTTATTGCATGGCACTAAATAAGCATGATACAAATATGGATCGATTTTACTAGAAATATATTTGGTATACAGTGCCCAGGAGATTTATATAATAGTTCAAATGAGTGGCGATTGGTGAGCTGAGCTAGAACTGCTATTTAAGCTGACTAGATCCCATGCGAGATAGCACAGCAGAAACGATAGTCAAAAAGGCAGATTCAAAAGAGTGGTATCGAGGAAGCAATAGCAACAAAACGAGCGACTCGGAACCAAACGGTGTACAAAACATCCACCATCTATTCCTCCTCACTCTCCTCATCACTCTCTGCATTTTCGAGCCATTCCAGGAACGGCTGAGCAGACTTGCGGACCTTCTTGCTAGTGGCGATGTCGACGTACTTCTTGCTGGCCTTGGCACCCCATGCCTTGAGGGTTTCCTCGGACACAAGGTCATTCTGGTAGTAACCCAGCAAGATAGCCGGGACCTGCGCGATGAGGGCAGGGTGGTCCTGGCCAACGAAGCGCTCAGTGCCACCCAGGAAAGCCTTCTCGTGGCGCTCCGAAGTGATCATCTTCTTGAGCAGCGGCGCGCGATCCTCGATCTGCTTGGCAATCTTGTCGTCAAAAAGACTCTGAGCCAGCACGGCCACCGTCTTGTGTTTGGTCTCAATACCAAACTCTTTCGCCTTCTTGTAGACTTCGATGTCGCTAACGTTGATTACACCATTCTTCTCGGCGGCAGTGCTGACAATCCAGCTACCCAGCTGCTCGTAGGCCGAGGGGCCATCAGCCTCCTCGTCGTCATTTTCCTCGAGGACGAGCGAGTTCTTCAGTTCCGTGGGCAGGTCCTTGGCACGGGCCTTCACAGCCTCTTCCGAGAAGTCAACGGCCCAGTCGTCGTCAGCAATCTCGGCCTCGGCCTCAAGTTCCTTGGCCTGGCGAGTGAGCTCATCGTCACTACCAGCATCGTGGGCAGCGTCGCCATTCTCATCCCCGTTCTCCGATCCGTTGCTGTCCCCAGGGCTGCCATCGTGGTCTCCATTGGCCGTGGATTTCTCCTTGTTCCGGTCACGGCGAGTCCGCTTCGTGGACTTGTCCTTCTTGCCACCCTTGGTCGGGGTGTTCCGAACGATGAAGGTGGTCAGCTTGTGGCGTGGGTCGACGTCGGATCGCTGACCACAAGCCTTGCAGTCCAGGGTGATCTTTTCGTCCTTGATGATCACGTCTGTCTCGGGGTTCTTGCATTTCTTGCAAAGCACGAACTTGGAGATGAACCCATCCAGATAGTCCTGGAGCTTCGGGGCATCGTGAGCACCATTAATGATCCAGCGTTCATCGCTCGGCTTGGCATTAGCCTGTGCGCCAAGTTCGAACCCAAAGTACTTGATCAAGTGGGCTGGTGGGCGGCTAAGGGACCCAGCAACCGAGTTCAGGTTGACAATGACGGTCTTGATGCCATTGCCCTTGCCCTCAATCTTGGACTGCAGGCGCTCCATCTTGTAGCGGTAGAAGGGATCGGTAACATCCCGACGAATGTTGACAGTGGCCATGGTGACGGTTGGTTGGGTGAAAATTGATCACGAGAACGGAACAGTAGGCTTTCGGAATAGGAGGCGGGAAGGGATTTTAACGGTGGTGTTGTTAACGAAACAAGACATGCGTGTCGAGTTCAACTTTTTTTTTGATGGATATATCTGCTTTGCAGTGTGATCTCACGGAAAGGTCACGAAAGAGATAGGCGTCCGGGGGGTTCAGCCACAGGATCGAAGGTGTATACTGCAAGGTTTCGGCGCGCGAAACGTTTGCAGCTTGAGCGGCAGGTGATGGTCGGAATTTTGGACGGAGGACGAATACATAGACAGTTTGTCTTGTATCAGCTTTCTCTGGCGGGTGGCGAGAACGACCAACGGGGGTGTTCTGGAGGGAATCCGAGGAAGACGTCGGAGACCCACGAATGACGGGTTTATGAAAGTGATGATGGCGATGCGAACGAAATCCGTGTAAAAAAATAAAGGCGTGAACTGCCAAGCACAGTTGACGCGGTCACAGTAAATTTGGAAGGCTTCACAGACGAGGCCTCGAGAAATCGATGGAAAGTGGGTTGATGCAAAGAAAGAAAGCGAAGGAACGAAGGATTTTAACGGGACAAACAGGCTTACGTCATCATCATTCACGTAAATAGTGGGCGGTAACGGGTAGCAGAACGAATATTGAGGCATCAATATTTTTTAATTGCGTCCACCGCATCATTCGAACCCTTTATATCCACCCTATATATCATTGGAATATATTTTGAATAACTTCCAATGAGACTCATTATACTGAAAATTATATAATAGTACTATTTTAATGAAAATCCTTCTTGATACTCACGTAATATCTGTATATCAGTATAGATCTTTGGACTACCAACAAGGCTGCACCGACGTTGCTGCACGATGAGATCAAACTTTGGTCCCCACCACGTTCCCCCAACGGCCCATTTTCTGCATTACAATTGACATAGAAACGACCAAGAGACCAAGGATCAGCAAAACAGCCTAGTTTAATCTGCTTGTACGTCACAACTTTTTCTGGTGAGACTAGGAGTTATATTTTTTTCCCACGGTCGCCAAGACAGCATGCCGTTGGACTTGTCGCTGTATCTCGTCACAGACTCGACCCCGGCTATTCTCAAGGGGCGAGACTTGTGCTGGGTTGTGGAAGAGGCACTCAAAGGAGGTAAGACTGCAGGAATTGACATCTTGGCTTTATGTCTGCTAATCTCGGTAGGCGTGACGGTGGTGCAATATCGCGACAAGACCAACGACACCGGCGTCCTGGTTGAGACAGCCCGAAAGCTGCACCAGATCACTCAGAAATACAATGTCCCACTTTTGATCAATGACCGAGTCGATGTCGCTGTCGCTGTTGGGGCTGAGGGCGTGCATCTGGGTCAGGATGATATGAGTTTGTAACCCCACCATGTGATATGCTTAGATGGTCAGAAGCTAATGCTCTTCCCAACAGAATTCGAGGAGGCAAGAAAGCTTCTTCCTGCCAATGCCATTGTCGGCATCAGTGCCTCTTGCCTGGAGGAGGCCAAGAAGGCCATCGCAGATGGAGCCGACTATCTCGGAGTTGGCACTATGTTTGCTACGCCAACGTAAGTTGACAACATCGCCCAAATCAGTCTGATACTAACAATTCTAGCAAAACCAACACCAAGTCTGTTATTGGAACAGCGGGTACTCAGGCCATCCTCGATGCCATTAGCGATGCCTCAGTCGGCACCGTCTCCATTGGTGGGATCAACCACGGCAATGCTCAGCGGGTGATCTACCAGTCTCAGTCTCCGAAGAAAGGGCTAGACGGTGTTGCTATTGTCAGTGCTATCATGGCAGCAGACGACCCCAAGGCTTCTGCAGAGAAGTTCATTCAGCTGATCAAGACTCCTCCCCCATTTGCATTGACCCCGAAAACTGCTCGTGCCAACGAGGCCGATGCCTTGGTCCAGGAGGTGCCCCATATCGTGCGCAAGATGGTTGAGGTGCATCCGCTCGTCCATAACATGATCAACTTTGTGGTGGCGAATTTTGTGGCAAATGTCACTCTATCGATGTAAGTTGGCGGTGGATGCGTTCGTGCATCTGGTCATCGTTTACTAATTGCTCCTATAGCGGTGCCTCTCCTATCATGTCGCCGTATGGCGACGAAGCAACCGACTTGTGTCAGTTTGACGGCGCTCTTCTGATCAATATGGGGACTCTGACCAGCGAGAGTGTGTCCAACTACCTGAAAGCCATCAAGGCATACAATGAACGGGGCAACCCGGTCGTGTATGACCCGGTGGGCGCGGGTGCGACTCACATTCGCCGCACGGCAGTGACTCAATTGATGAGTGGTGGCTACTTTGATCTAATCAAGGGCAATGAGGGCGAGATCAGACAGGCATGGGGTAGCAGCGGAGTCCGACAGCGCGGTGTCGACAGTGGGCCGAGTACCCTGGACAAGCAGCAAAAGGCAGCCTTGGCTCGGGACCTGGCTCGGAGAGAGCGTAAGACCATGCATCATTCAATTCTTGCTATTCTTGCTAGCTCCTGCTAACTTTGACCAAGGGAATGTTGTTCTGCTGACTGGGGCCACCGACTACGTGAGTGATGGCGAGCGAGTCATTGCTGTTGACAATGGCCATCCCTACTTGGGCCAAGTGACCGGGGTATGCTCTCCATAACATCTTCCCAAATAAGAAATAAACAAATAAAGAATCTAACAATTCGCCTTCTAGACCGGCTGTGCCATCGGGACTATCTCCGGCTGCTTCCTCACTGCTCACCGCAGCGACAAACTCCTGGCCGTTCTTTCGGGCATCCTGATGTATGAAATCGCAGCCGAGAACGCCGCCGCCAAAGAATATGTTCGCGGGCCCGGCAGCTTCGTCCCGGCCTTCCTTGACGAGCTCTATGTGATCCGCACAGCAGCTGGAAAGGGGGACGATAGCTGGTTTGCTGGCCGAGCGAAGATCCAGGAGGTGAAGCTGTAAATTGGCTGTATATGACTTGAAATCTAGACATCGTGGCTTCTCGTATATAGATTGAAATAATGCAGAGTTCTGCTGGGCCTATTTAATATCTTGTGGTGAATGCTCAGGTATATACTCCGCTTAACTTCCCCTCGGCCGGGCTGTTCTTCCCCGCATTCCCGAGTATTTCCCGCCCGGAGCTCTCCGGAGCTCTCATCTTCTTGATCCTCTCAGCTTCCTATCATCTGAAGTTCACTAGCAATCTATACGCCATGGCTACTGTGTCGCGCGCATGCCGGATCCGTAAGAGCCCTGTGTTCTATCTTCCCAGACAGGACTGACATGTCTCCACAGGCAATCCCGCACTCTTGTACGTGCTTGTTCGTCAACCAGCAACAACCGCAGGCAACTGATCGAGAATGCATTTAGTGTTTGCGACATCCAAGAGAAATTCCGCAATGGTATCTTCGAGTTTCCCAAGCTGTACGTCTGCATCAACTCCACGCATTGATACCTTCCTTCATCGATGGATATTCACGGCAATCAGAGACTAATAATACTTTACTCAATACAAAGAGTCTCCACAACAGACAAGATGCTCCGCGCAGCATCAACCCTCCAGTTCCCTGTCTACATAACAACCCAAAGCCGCGCCAAGCTCGGAAACACCGTCTCAGAGCTCCAGCCACACCTAAGCGGGCCTCACATCCGCGCGGACGTCGACAAAACGCTGTTCTCAATGATCACGCCAGAGATCGAGGCATTGCTCCCACCTTCGCCAGTGAAAACCGCTGCTGCCTCTGGCTCTGGGTCTGGACTGGATGCCATTGTCGTGGGCATCGAAACTCACATCTGTGTCACGCAGACCACGCTCGACCTCCTTGCTAAGGGCCACCGGGTGTATGTGCTTGTCGATGGGGTGAGCAGCATCAATTCCGAGGAGAGAGGTATTGCGTTGGCTCGGCTGCGGGATGCTGGGGCCATTGTTACGAGTAGTGAGAGTGTACTGTTTGAGATTCTGGGAGATGCGAAACATGAGCATTTTCGGGCTGTGAGTGGGCTGGTTAAGGAGACCAAAGATGAGACTAAGGGGGCGTTGGAAGTTTTCTCGAAGATTTGATGGGCTTACCATTAAATGAGCAAGAAGCTATCTCTGAAATTTGTCCTTCTGTCTGTTTTATGCTTACATCTCGGTTGTAGTAGAGAAGTTACAGTTGGTTTATTTCTGGTCCCACTTACAGGCCATCCTTAATGGCACGCCTTCCCATACTTTCGCAGCCGGGCATAATTATACGGCAAAGGAACCAGAAACCCAGCTCCCACTGAAACAGCAGCCGCCAGCCAGAAACCGGAGTCAGCAAGGACGACTACACCCCCAGTGAGGTGAAAGTCAACCGTATTCTCCGCCGCTTCCATGGCCAACATAGAGACGAGGTTCATCCCCATGGCGGTACGAGCGGCGATGGGCCATGGGAGCCGGTCCTTTCCATGTCGAAGAAGAACTGTTTCAAGGATGATGGAGCTGGTGATTCCGGAAGCCACTGCAAATTCATTGAATGCATTAGCATGCGAACAGAGCCAATATTCTTGCTTCCCTCAGGAAAGGAGACCCTACTCGACACAGCCATCATTGAACCCACTCCCATATCTGGGCAAAACGTCTGAAGCATCCATAACGCGGAGAAATCGCCGATACTGCAGCCCAGAAGACAACGCAGTGTGTTGATTCTAGCTCGCTTCCATGTCGATCGACAGGCCCAAAACGAGCGGTGGAGAATCGATAGTTGTGCTTTTGCCACATTGACAACTGTGCGCTTCTTTGAAGACGCATCTTCGCGTTCTGAGACAAGCTGCTTTGGTTGAGTTGACTGGCGATTTCTTGTAGTTGACGTCGTCGCAAAAAGTCGGGCTGACCAACTTAGACGAACAGGTCGAAGCCCTAAACATGGGCGATTCATATCATTACAACTTAAACAAGAACCAATAAGAAAATAAAAAGAATCTCCGAGCTAAGACCTTCAGACTTTGATCTTTTATATATCCACCGTGCCTTGCCTGGCCCACTTCCCCCAAGCGGCCAAAATACGCAAAAATCACGCACGAAATCAAGGGGCGGCGCAACTGCTCCAGTCAGGTCAAAATTCCTCGACTTCACCTCTGAATTTATATAAATCACTTTCCTATGAACTGGTACAAATTAAACACTATCGGCAAGAAGTGATTCGGTTGTAGACTTGGTCGCTGGAACTCAGTATCGCAGCCCTAAACAGACCCACTTGAATCGGAGACAGATCAAATCGACAATCCATTCTCGGGATATCAAAAGTTCTGCAGCTAGTGGAATGTCTCCGAAACGTGCTTTCGGATACCGGCTTGGGATGTGCTTTGTATAAAGCCCAGGCCTGACATGGCATTCTTCCATGCCCTCGATGCGCCACGCACGGCATCGGTTCAATCCCAGTTGAATCCAAGATACAGTTCAAAACGATGTCCTCTTCGTCCAATTCAAAGATTGATCTCCATGATGGGCCGAAAACCCTGCCAACGTGAAAAACTGGGCTCTCACCAAAAAGATCTGCAACACCGCGATCCCAGCCTTGCTATGCCTATTGATGTCAGCCCATTTCCTCTTCTCTCCTCTTCTCTCCTTCTCCTTCTCCTGGAACACAAATTATACTAATGTCTATGCTCCCGTTTACATTATACGTCTGCGGGGCTAGCACTAGGGCCGATGATCTCCGCCCCTCTGAGTGAAACCTACGGTCGACGCTTCATCTACGTATTCGTGACCTCGATCTTTATACTGGGATCTGGCTTCGCCCAGAACCTTGCGACACCCTTGATCTACCGCCTCCTGGCCGGCATCTTCTGCTCCTTCCCCTTGGCCGTGGGAGCGGGAACCATTCTGGATATTTGGAGCAGCAAGCACAGTTCCACAGCCATGGTGCTGCTGTTCCTCACCGCGTTTCTCGGCCTGGCACTCGGGTCGTTGGTGGGCGGCTAGGTGGCCGAGTATAAAAGCTGGCGGTGGTCGCAGTGGACGACGCTGTTTCTCGGGGCCTCAATATGGATCTTCTCACTGGGTGCGCAAGAGACCTACACGAGTCTGATTATCCGCCGTCAAGCAAAGAAACGGATGCTATTGCCATTAGTTTCCTACCTGCTCTCGACTCCCACCCCAAAAGCCAAGATGGAAGGTTCTTCTCACGACAACCCTAACAAGACCGGTATACATGCTCGCAATAGAACCGATCGTCGGGCTCTACTCGCTCTACACGGCGTTTTTTTTTTTTTTTTTTTTTTGGTGCTTTCTCGCCTCCTTTCCTTTGATCTTCGAGTCAACTTATGGGGTTTCGCCGGGGCAGAGTGGACTGGTGTTTATTGAAATTATTGTTGGCTGCATCGTCGGCACAAGCTCGTCGATCCTGCTTGATCAATATGTTCGCTGCGTGCATCAAGCAAGCAGCCAAGCTACTCAATCACCGAAGGAACTACTCGACCCTAAGAAATGCCTCATCGGCGCCATGGGCAGTAGTCCGCTGATGCCGGCGTCTCTTCTCTGGTTCGCCTGGAGCGCGCAGCCTGGCGTGTACTGGATAGTCAGTATTGTGGCCACGGGGGTCTTTTGGTGTGCGAATATTCTGATTTTTTTTTTGTGAACCCTCCAGCTCCTAGATAACTTCTTCTTTGCCGTTGCCGTTGTTATTGCATTGCTAACTCCCGACTAGTTTATCGTGCGTGTTCTACCTCGCCAACGCCTACGGACCTCGCTACGCGGCTTCGGCGTTGGCTGCGAATGGGCTGCTGCGGTATTCGATAGGAGGCTCGTTCCCACTGTTCACGTTAGCTAGTAGGTTTCCCGCTGAGTCTTTCAAGGGTGTCAGCCTGGTTCTACGATGGCTACAAAGCTGATGTTCCAGTCTATCGCAACCTTGGGTTCGCATGGGCGGGAGGCTTGCTGGGGCTTCTTGCCGTGGCATTTGCCCCAATTCCTTTGATCTTCTACTGGAAAGGGGGGATGATTCGAAGATCCAGTGCATATGCATCGTAGACTGTTGTCGAGCTGACAGAAGTGTGGGTGTGAAGTGTTGCTGATGGTCAGGTGGTAAATTACAAGGGCAACGAAACGACAGTTGTCAATATTGTTATTTTTTTCAGTCCTGTCATGACAGATGTGCCACGGCCGGGCAACAGTAAATCCTAAGAGTACACCCGCTGTAGAAAGAAAACCCCCAGAGCGCCTGACCCGACGCCGATCCACAGCAGCCCTTGGTTTCCCTGTGTGAATTCGTGCTCCGAGGTCTGAGAATCGTGAAGACCCGGGAGATACAAAAGAAAAAGCGATCAAAGAAACAAGATCCAATCCTAGTCTGTTTCATCTAGGATTGGCCGTGGTGCGGTTGGCAGATGAGGCCGGATTGAGCCAGCCAAACGCCGATGCACCTCCGACGGGGTTAGGGGCCCATGGCTTATTCGGGCGACTGTCGTCAGGGGACGTGCCAGGAGTGGGCTGGGCAGGGGAGCGGGCAGACTCGGACTGTGCGCCAGTCGACGATTCGGTAGGCTCGGTGGTAGCCACGGTAGGAGAAGAGGTAGTCGAGCCGACGCGAGACGAGAGCTTGGTGGACCGAAGCACTTTCATCGTGCGGCCACGGTTCGATTTGCCGGCTGCGGTATTCGGGTCGGGTTTGGGATCGCGCCGCCATGAACTCCAGACACCAGCACCTTCCGGCTTGGCTGGGGCAGTAGGTTGCGCGTCTGCGGTCGCAGAGATTGGGTGAGGCTCGGAGTCTTCAAGTGCGTCATGGGAGTCTGTCAATCGATGCTTGCGTGCATCGTCGGCCTCGCCGATGGAGACCCGGGCCGAGGCAGGTGCTGAGCTCGACTGCTCGGGGAGATTGGCGGTCTGTCCGATCACTCCGACAGAATTACCGTTCCCATGCGGCCCAGAATAAGAGCTATCCGGGAAAGTGCTCAAAGTCCTGAAGGCAGAGTCCTTCTCGGGACGCACGAGTGGAACCGAGATGCGGTTTCGTTCATCATCAACCATGATCATTTTATCCTGGGAGAACAAGATGTCTGCGTTATGGGCACGCAAGACGTCACTTCCAAAGATGATTTGGATAGATTCATCGATGGGGTCAGCCTCGCGAACCAAAAACCGAATCGTTACCGCGGGAAGTTGAGGGACTGGACTGCCCGAACGCGGGGAGCTTTGGTGAATGCTGGCTTCGGGGAGGTAAAGAGGCAGCTTGATGGACTGCCGCTCATCTTCCTGGGTCAAGAGATCCTCCAGCCCAAACTTGCGAACCATCGACATGCCCAGCGACGATACAAAAGACCCCGAACAAACAGCTGCGTACAAAAGGGAGTCATTTGAGAAGTTGGTGGTCAGCCAGCACCGAATGATACAAGGCACTGGGCCCAAAAGAAACAGACCAGGCGGAGGAATCAATGGGGATTCGCTAAGCGAAGAGCCCATCAGCCGGCTGCTGGTGTCGAGCCCAAGACTATTCGTCCGCGCCGAGTGATGCGAATGGCCTGACGAGCTCTGTCTCCCCTCCGATCGATGAGAAAGAGACCGCTCAGTCAGCGGGTGGCTTCCCAGCCCGCTGCCAGTTCGCAGTGGAAGGTCAGTACTGGGCCGACCGGCTTGACCGTAGTATCCGTGAATCGCACTTTCATCGAACCGAACACTGTTGGCCCGAGATGCCCCACGGCGTGGCTCCTCCTCACCGTCGAGGCCCACCGTGGAGTTGGCCATTGTATGATGCTGGCCTTGGTCGAACCCCTTGAAGGCGTCGGGGGGAGAGTGATAGGCAGGGTCTACGGTAAAATAATGTGAGTAAATGAATAATGAAGTCCAAGAGAAAGGCGGTCCATACCTGCGGGGATCGAACCTCCCACCACACTGGGGAACGGCGACAAAGGACCCCAAACACTTCTCAATCTCGCATCGTCGTCCCGCCGGCGTTCCAGTCGCCCGATTCTCTCACTCTGCTCGAATTGGGCAACGTGGAGCTCTTTCAGCTCGTCGAAGACACGCCAGATGTCGTCACGGGAGGCGAAGGGATACTGAGCATCCATCGCCACCGAGGTGTAGACTCCAGAATAGCGCTGAGTAACCGCCCAAACCGCGCGTCACCGATCCAAAAGAAACAGGAGCTTCGAGTGTAAACGCCACTTGGCTTAACCGCCACTCAGCCTCCTGTCTCCTCCCTCCTTCAAGCTGCGACGGCCCACCGGCCGTCCACCCGGGACGATGAGGTCAAGGACTTGGTGGGTCAACGCGCAACATGCACCGAGGGATTTACGAGCTTCGAGTCGCAGACCGTGGTTGGGGGAGGTGTCGGTCGAGAGTGGGGGTGCGGGAAGGGGGAGGTCGGGTAGTAGGTGGTGACGGGCGGGTTGACGGTTCGACTTCAACGAAATGAGGGGACTTCGTGGCAAGCTGCCGATTGACACGGGCCACGAATCGGCGCAGGGGAGTAGACGGTCGAGATCGGGGGTGAGGGAACGACAGCGACCGAGGGGCAGTTGACGAAGGGAGGGCGATAATGAGTAGGATGAGGACAGGATAGTGAAGAATATCTTTTTCGATGGGGAATGCAGGAAGATAGGAGCAAGTTGGAGAGAAGAAGAGATGATGAAGCAAAGGTCGATCATGGAGGGGAGTTGATCTAGACTCGTGCTCCACTTCCAACGGTTTGACTTGGTATTTGCCTGAGGCCTGATTGTGAGGGATAACAATGTCCTATACACTTCTCTACCGCACACAATTTAACTATTTCAATACACATCTGACACATCTACGAGCACTCCTATTTCGGGGCTTCTCCCCAGCCTGGAAACACCATAGGCAGTTTGTCTGGGTTCTGGTCCGGCCAGTTTGTCCGAATCACCTGCATCAGCTGGTCGTAAACAATGCGGTACCCGTCCGGGGTCAAATGGAGCCCTGCATCAAAGAGTCAGAAGGAGTCAGGAGGAAGGCCATTAAGACATAATTCTCCGACATACCATCTGTGAATAGCCTGGCAAACCTCTCATTATTGGGCACCTCGCGTGAGCCAACGAGTGGCTGCCCGTCGTGCCAGCCTGTGGTCTGCATAAATGCAGTCCATAGATCCACCACCGGAACATTGAGTGACGCACCGACTTGCCGGGCAGTCTCTGCATACAATTTGGTGTGTTTGGCTGTCCTGCTGGGATGGGGAGCGTTCTTGGATGCATCGAATGACTCCAGCTGATATTCATTGACTGGAGGTGGGGTGATGATGATGAGCCGTGATTTCTGTGCCCGTGTTTTCGGATGCTGTACAATCCTTTTCAAGTTTTCTCGGTACTGGCTCAGCGGGACGTGCTGATCATGTCCTGGAAGACATGCATCATTGGCGCCAAAGAAGATAGTCTAGAGTGGACATGAACCAAGTTCAAACTGGCAAAGGGTATTTTGAGTAGGAAAATTACCATAAACCGCACAGTGGCTTTGTTTGGTGGCGGAAGGATTTGGGGGAAGGCCTTGATGGCATGGGCAGTGGTATACCCTCTGCGACAGTTAGTGGCTTCCTTGGGCTTGTACTTGCATGCTACTCACGACAGGCCACGATTAATCACATCGAGTTTCCGTATATAGGCTGGCGGTCAATTAGCATGTTATTCAACCAGATTCTGTTGACTCAACACACCGTCTTGCAGGGCAGCTTGAAAGGCAAAGCCGCGGTCTTGGTTGCTAGCCATCTGAGTGATCGAGTCCCCGAACAGGACAAACTGATCGTACGGGGTGGATATATCATCCTGGCTGTCTTGGATTTTCCTGATTGCCATGATGGGCAATATAAACAGAAGTAAGGATAAAAAGAAAAGAATGAAGGGGCCGTGGTGGATGTTGAAGTTGAAGTTGAACGGGATCGACTGCGTGGGGACAGAAAAGGCAGGTGGATCTCGTCACTTCGCCAACTATATATACTCCCCATTATCCATGAATATTCCATACTACACGCTATTTAGTACTACACAAGATATATAAGATATTTTCGCCAGCCCATGTCCAGATTTCTGAAATTCTCCACCAATCATTCAGGTTGGCTTCATATTGGCCGATCATAGCGTCTCTTGTCTATTGCATAGATCAAATGGCATTGTGTACCTCTATGTATGATGCCGCTGGAAGATCAGAGCCTCAGCGAGATCAGGCTCTCACACACTCCGTTGAAATGACCAAGGCATCTGGCTCTCGAGACTTCCTGATCCACGTGAGATGTCATCCAGTCGAGTACTTTGGCGTCCTCGATGGATCCCGGACAGGGATCATCGGTGGATCACATTGGACGAGGCCGACCACAAGAGAAAATGGTACTGATGGAGTATGCACCAAGGACCTTTTGGCTGAGACATCACCTATGACCAGGACCCCGGGAGAAGTATCCAGATGAGCATCACGGAATGGCTTCCCCTCACGCGGAGTGGACCCTGGCCCCGTCAGATCATGTCAACCAGACCAGAATCATCTCGGCCCCAGAATGAGGCATCAGGCACAGCGGTCAAGATCCATGGATATCTCATCCTTCTCAAGCCAGAGAAAAAGAAAAAGGAGTTGATTTGTCGAGGGAATCCCATCAACGACCACGAGATAGGTGGGTCAGGGCACCTGACGCGTCCCTGTTGAATGTCGATCCTCTTGGCCACTTCCCAAGCTTCCCCCATCTCCGCTTCTTACTACTTTTTCCTTCGATTGATTCCTCTTTCTGTGGTGCTCCAGCAAACAGGAAGTGATGGTTGACAGTAAGTCGAATCCCGTTGCTGCTGGAATTCATCGGCATTACATATCCCTCTCCGTGGGCCAGGCACGCATAGCCCCAGCTGCTTGACATGTGGATTCCCCAGAATATGTCCTGACCATCTGCCAGATCCAGTCCCGAGTCGAGGACCGTGAACGCTCCTATCCAGCGATATGCCTCGTTCTGTTCCCCAGTACCGATCTGCCTCTCGTAGCGACCATGAAAGAGAGAGACCCTGACAGCACCCCCACCACGAGAACTGCCCCTCCCTCCCCATCCGCCTACCGTCGAACCCAAAGCTACCTTTCTGAGCCCCACACCGGCTATGAGTCCCTCGAACCGCCCTTGGAAATCGGCGAAACAACAAGCCTCCTGGGTCCCAGCCAGGACGGTCGGAGGAGAGCGCCGCGGCGATCATACACGAGTATCTCCGGGGTCTCTGGGGCAGAGTCTTTGAGACACCTGCTGGCGGCTGGTAGCTTGCGACGAGTGCGAAATCACAGCCGGGGCAACTCGCTGAGTCGGCGTGTGAGCCGACGAGGCAGTGTGGGAGATGACAGCCGAGTAGCCAGCGTGCCGCCGTCGGCCAAGGACGGTCTTACGGCTTCGTCCTTCCTCGATGAGCGGACATGGTACGACCAGTTTACCTCTACCGACTGGGTGCACGACAGCATTGCAGATGGAGAGCGCCTCCGCCAACTTCGCCGCCGCAAGGATATCCGGGGTCGACTGCTGGCGTGGTTTGACGGCGCACAAGGATGGATTCTCGTGGCCCTTGCCGGATGCATCACGGCTGCCATCGCGTACTTTGTCGACGTTACCGAGGAGTCAGTATATGACCTGAAAGAGGGCTTCTGCACAGCTCGGTGGTTTCGCAGTCGGCATGCCTGTTGTGATGATGGGATCAATTGCGCCGCTTGGCGGTCATGGTCTCAGATCCTCACACCCTCCGGTACAAACAACCAATGGATTGACTTCACCATGTTCATCTTTGGAGTTGTAATCCTTGCCGTCATTTCCTGCGCCCTAACGTTGCTTACCAAAACTGTCGTCCCATCCTCCGTCTCCTTGGCGACCCTGGACGAAAACCTGGGGGCGGAGTCACGCAGTGCCAAGTATGGCACAGTGAGCTCTGGATCTCCTTCCTCACAGACGAGTCCACATGGGACGTTTCCCAATTTCCCGCCACGCCCGGCAATGACCTACTACTCTGCTGCAGGCAGTGGAGTGGCTGAGGTCAAGGTTATCAATAGCGGTTTTGTTCTTCACGGGTATTTGGGTCTGAAGACGCTGGTGGTTAAAACTATTTCCCTAATCTTCAGTGTTTCCTCCGGTCTGAGTTTGGGCAAGGAAGGCCCGTACGTTCATATCGCCACGTGCGTGGGCAATATCTGCTGCCGACTGTTTGCCAAGTACAACCAGAACGACGGCAAGAGACGAGAGGTGCTGAGTGCGAGTGCAGCCAGTGGAGTCGCTGTCGCTTTTGGGGCGCCGATTGGCGGCGTGCTCTTTAGTCTGGAAGAAGTCAGCTACTATTTCCCACCCAAGACTCTGTTTCGGACGTTCTTCTGTTGCATTGCGTCGGCATTGTCCCTCAAGTTCCTTAATCCCTACGGCACCGGAAAAATTGTCCTGTTCGAGGTCCGGTACCTATCCGACTGGGAGATTTTCGAAATCTTTATTTTCATCATCCTCGGGGTTCTCGGTGGTGCGCTTGGCGCCCTGTTCATCAAGGCGTCGAGTCTGTGGGCGCGCTCGTTCCGTCGGATCCCCATCATTAAACGGTGGCCGATGCTTGAGGTCGTGCTCGTGGCATTGCTGACAGGCGTGGCCAGTTTTTGGAACCGATACACCAGACTGCCTGTCACCGAACTCCTGCTTGAGTTGGCCAGTCCCTGCCAACGGGACTCCGTTGAGAGTAACGGCTTGTGCCCCCATGAAGACGGGATCCTCGACATCATTAAATATCTCATAGTGGCATTTGTCATCAAAAGTCTCTTGACCGTGGTGACGTTCGGCATCAAAGTGCCTGCGGGCATTTATGTTCCATCTATGGTCGTTGGCGGTCTTATGGGACGAATCGTCGGGCATGTCGTGCAGTACTGGGTGGCGAGCCACCCCACGTTTTTCCTATTCGACTCGTGTCCTGCCGTCGCCGGCATGGAGTCTTGCGTGACGCCCGGGGTATATGCGATGGTGGCTGCGGGTGCGACTATGTGCGGTGTGACGCGGTTGTCGGTCACCCTTGCTGTGATTCTCTTCGAACTGACGGGCAGTCTCAACCATGTGCTGCCATTTTCGTTGGCGGTTCTCTGCGCCAAATGGACTGCAGATGCCATGGAGCCTCGCAGCATCTACGTAAGCTCACCTACGAACCTTGGAAACCCCGACATCGTTTGCGTGCTAAACCGTCTACAGGATTTCTTGACTGATATGAACGCCTATCCCTTCCTGGACAACAAGCTCCAGCCTCTGTCCGACGCCGAATTAGGTGATATTGTCAGCCCGGCTCGGCGGCACCGCGTCATTGATATCTCAAATTCGTCCTTGGTCGCTGCTTCAAACCTCCGTTTGAAGCTCGAGTATCTGCTGATGGCCGGCGAACTTGACGGTGGTCTTCCGATCCTGAGAGATGGTGTCCTAACCGGTCTGATCCCGGCACCGGATCTGGAGTATGCACTGGATAACCTCGGCGAAGACGAGGACACCACGATCTGCCTGATGGCCATGGACGCCTCACCGGCGATTTATGATAGCGAGAACGAGGAAGCCGTCCAGGTGGACTTTACCCGATATATTGACCCGGTAAGTTTCTGTTTCCCTAACCATCATTTGCCAAGGTATCTTTCCCTTATTTCTAACATCCATCAAGGCACCAATTGCTCTTGACGTGCATTCTCCTATCGACCTGGTCTACCAGTGCTTTGCCAAGCTGGGTCTCCGCTACCTCTGTGTTTTGCAGGATGGGCGATATGTCGGCCTGGTGCACAAGAAGGCATTTGTGAAATTCATGAAAGAGCTTGAATAAGCCGAGGGTAGGCTTCGGCCGTTGCATCGTGATTTCCCAGGCGTTGTGGGCGGTGTCCTCTTGGATTCTACTTTGCATAGCATTGCATGTCGCCTCACCTTTGTGTTTTGCCTCGACTTGGAATTTCACATTCGTCCTACCTATCGTTTACTGGCATTTGTTGGGCTTGGATTTGAATGGTTTGTATGTCTGGTTTGTACAGCACTATATAGCAAATTGTATAGTCTTGACCCTAACTGTAACTTTTGCTCTCTAGATACCCATGCATGCTCTCTAGATCTCTAGCGTCTATACAAGGCACTCCCAGAACCATAAATCACCATAAACCATCCTATGATCCTAACCAACCCGCTCAAACCCAACCATCTGAATCCCCACCTCGCCCTCTTCCCTCCACCCACCGGAAACCTCCTCGCCCACCCACTCCGAAACCTCCGCCGAACTAGCACTCCTCCACCCATTCTGTGGCGTGAGTCCATCCAACGGGAAAAACGTATCACACTCGAAAGACGCCGCCCCCGCCGCTACATCCTGCGAGTCACCTTCTTCCTTCTTTTGTGTCTCCGTCTCCGTCTCTGTCTCCGCATCCGGCTTCCGCACCACATTCGTCATAACCACCCGCACAGGCCGCCGCCGCAGCGCCGACGACCCATCAACAGCCTGCATATGCAGCGCCGCGGCGTAGATCTCCGCCCCGCCAATCACATAGATCTTCCCCAAACGCCCCGCAGCACCGTAGATAGAGTCCAGGTCGTGGAGGGCGGCGTCGAGGCTGGGAGTCACAATCGCGTCGGTGATGGGGTCTGCTGTCGTTGCGGACTGCGGGGTGGTAGGTTCTTTGGCGGGGGTATCGAGTGATGTTTTTGCGGGGTCTGCCTTAACCTTTGCCTCGGCCTCAACATTCGAATTCAAATTCGAATTCAAATTCGAATTCTGGTCAGTGCTGGTGCTGGTGCTGGTGCTGGTGCTGGTAGTGGCTGTGGTGGCAGCTTTGGCAGCAACCGCCGCAGCCAACTTCGCACGCCGCGCCTCCAGCTCCTGGAGCACGCCGTCGCGCACGGCGCCGGACTGGTCGCGCGTGATGACGACACTAATCCGCTTCGCGAGCGGGCGAAGATGTTTCGGGACCGAGTCGTAGGTCTTGCGGCCCATGATGATGGCGTTTGTGGTACCCGGCGCGGGGGGCGCGATGTGGCGCGCGCGAAGAAGCTCATGTCGGCTTTGATGCGCGGCCAAGGGAGGGTGCCTTTGAGGCCGATACCGAGGCGTGTTGTTGTCGTTGTTTCATTGGTGTCGCTGGTATTCAGGGTGGAATTGGTGGTGCTGGTGCTGGACGCGACGCGTACGGGGGTTGTTGCGACGATGAGGGTGAGGGGGAGGGATGGTGGGATGGGGTGGGTTGATGGTGGAGGCATTTTGTGTTTTCTTTCTTGCTTTGTTTTCTGTTTGGTATGAGCTTCTTTGCGGTGTTATTGTCTCATTGAAATGGAAATAATCGCCGGGGTCGAGTGTTTGGGGTTTGTCGAGGGGAAAGTTGAGCGCGAGTGATATCAGGCGCTTATCGGCCACGCAGTATACAGCGTTGTGTTTGTGTTCTTCTGTTATATTTAAATTGATTTAATTATGTATATTTTCTTATATCCTTAGGATTTTCAGGTTCAGTGGAAATTTTTATTTAGGCACATTCATCTCCATATTAGCATGCATTTCAGTCAACTCGAGTTGCAGATATATCTTCAGCCATACCACCACCCAGTCAGGTCATTGCCAATAAGATATTGCCCATGTCCTATTGCCTTCCTCGATATTTGAAAATATCAAATCTCTTTCAGTCCCAATTTATGATTGTACTAGGAACCGAAGTATAGAATCCTCCGAATATGCCAAGATGACACCAGATGAACGCCGCACCAAATACACCAAATGAAACCGCTCAAACGCCATGTCGAGCTCGATGAGCAATGCAAATCAAATCCACAGCCAAAGTCACACTCAATTCTTCCCTGAAGACGGCTTCAATAATCCACCCTCCTCAATAGCCTTCTGCACCGCAAGCACATCCTTCTCCAGCTTCTCACGGCGCTGGACATCGCGCTCGTCTTCACCGAGTGTGTCGAGTTTGCCAAAGAGCCAAGTCTCCTTCATCACCCGGGACAACGCAAGGAGATCTTCGGCGGCGCGGATCTATGGCGGTAGTGGGAAAGGGTTAGCACTCCAGGTTTCCTTTCCTCATGAACCCTGTGTCTTGATCGAGGTGTTGATGCTGTCCCGAATGACCAATACAATGCGGCGCATCTTTTAAGATTATGGCATGCCAGAGGCTTACCAGTGCTGTTGACTCCACGTCTAGCTGGTAGGTCTCGACGGCTGTGGAGGTATGGCTGGGATTTTGGAGCTGTCGCGGCGGTTGTCAGTAAACACGACATTTGGTGTATATGTAATTGATTGCAGGAAAGAGGGGAGGGGGGGGGGGGAAGACTTACAGTCGCCGTGGCCATGATATTCTCGAACCGCTGTAGCAATTGGGAGATATCGGTGTTGATGCGATCTGCGAAGCCGCGATTAGCTGCTCCGTTGTCTCACACCTCACGGTGTTTGACCACTGCGAGCATCACAAGCCACCAGTACAGGCAAAACTCACTGTGCAGCGCTTTGGCAGTAGGTTGCGACTCCATCTCGAGGGTTGAAGATTGGAGAAACGATGCCTGGCAGAATCGAACGATAAGGTGCGGGAGGGCGGTGAATTCGCTGTGTATACTTGGACTACAAGTGCAATATAGAGATACACAACATAGATACTTCGATATTAATGTCAAACTAATGCTGCTCTAAGACCAGTGGTCTTTACATTGGCCGGCCAATGAAACCATGGCATGAGGGAGACCCCGCGGAAATACCCTTGCGCCAGCTATCCGTTCATCTTGGTTGCTCTCCGAGGGTTGTTCGGGGCATTGGAGTTATGGTACACGCTGCTTAAAACAGGCCTCAAATATTGAAATGGGTGCAGTTAGAGTGATAGTCGTCATACTCAGGCCTGCTGATACCGAGGTCGTTTTCAACATTCGACCGATGATAATTCAGCGAACATATTTAGACTAACGCGATAAAATTAGCGAACACGTTTCCAAGCACGATCAAGTCTAGTCACATACCATAAATCGCTTGTGGAAGTCGGAGCGCAGCAGATCCTGTGAAATAGCCGGTTAATTCCGCCCTGTGGATATCAGAGAGTGAAGTCCTTACATTGACGAATTCCTTGCCGTCATTCTTCTCCGTTCCTCGGGCCTGGTTCTTGAACACAACGTCATCGTCCCACCGCCGCTTCATATTGAAGTCCTGCGGATTGAGAAGAGGGTTGCCCCGTGCGATGTCGACCTCGCGCTTCTCTTCTTCTTCGGCTGCTCGTTCGCGCTCCTGGAGATAATCAGTATGATTCGCAGCGCACTCGACATTCACTGTGGCATACCTCTTGCTCCTTTTGTGCCACTCGCTCCTTTTTGATCTTCTCGAGCTCGCGCATCAGCTCGGCCGCCTCGTCCTCGTCATCACTATTATCCGTTAACCTATGCATCTTCTCAGGCCCTTTTCCAGCCAAACTCACCTTTCCTCATCGCTGCTATCATCTTCTGACCCGTCTGAATCTGCATCGATGTCTCGTGTTTCTTCTAGTATGCGCCGTCGTTTTGCTTCTGGATCCTCTGCATCGCCATCTCCACTTCCATCTGGGGGTGCTGATTCCACTTGGCGCTTCGGAACCGTAGACTCGGCAGCAATGGGTTCACCGACAGGAACACCCTGCTTCTTGGCAAAGTGTGCAGCCTCGGCCTGGAGGAGCTCCGCGCGCAGGTCGCGCACTTCCGAATCGGCCTCGCCACCTTGTCCAGGTTGACTGGACCACAGTCAGCGATCGTCTTGTATCGATAACCATTCTTCACATACCGAACTTTCAGGTGGGTGTGTGCAGGAAGGAGTCGTTGGTGGTAGGCTGGGCCACGGAGAGCCTCTCGACCTTGGGCCTGTTCCAATTAGTCTGGAGTGAGAACAAAAACGCGGTCGGTCATACCGGATCAAAAGTAGGTCTGTGGGCTAGAATAAGTTAGTAAACTAGTATGATCCAACCATCAGAAGTAGCACACCATACCTGTAGTCATTGTGGAAAAGAGTGGTGCGGATGAATGTGCAGTTGGTTGCAGGTGCACCGGATAAGTCGCATCCAGGCTTTGGTGTATGGCCTGAGGCAGTCGTTGTTATCACCACCTCACCGCCCACTATTACTCATCTTTCATTGGTGGACTACCATCGGAATAACTATATACCGAGCAGCTATGCGGCCTGTGGGGAAGGCAAAATGGCCCAAAAAGGTCGACTTTGCTCCCCTCACTGGGGCTGGCTTTGCCTCGATAACAATGTCCAAAGAACACCCCCTCTCCAATCCAGAGCGAGACTTCATTCTTGATGCTCTGCGTCAGAATGTGCGTCTAGATGGCCGTGAGGTAGACCAGTTCCGTCCTCTGAACATTGCCTTTGGGGACGAGTATGGGCATGTGAAATTGCAACTGGGAAAGACTAAGTGAGTGTCGAGTCCGGAATTACCACAGTCAATGGCAGATGCTAATTGAGATTTGTCTAGCATTGTCGTCCGAATTTCTGCCGAAGTCACCAAACCGCACGAGGACCGTCCCTTCGATGGGCTCTTCAATATTAACCTGGAGCTGAGTGCGATGGGCTCACCAGCTTTTGAAAATGGACGGTATGGAATCGCTGCAATTCCTACATTAGTACGCGACTGGCGCTGACTTATTACTGCTCATCTCCAGGTCCAGCGACCTCGAAGCCAATTCCACCCACATCCTCGACAGTGTCATTCGCCATTCTAATGCCCTGGACACCGAGTCCCTCTGTATTATACAAGGTGTCAGTTGCTGGAGCATCCGCGCTGACGTCCACGTGCTTGACTACGACGGGAATCTGACCGATGCGGCCTGCATTGCAATCATGACGGCACTGCAACACTTCCGCCGGCCGGATGCTGTGGTGAAAGAAGGGCAGGTGATTGTCTACGGAGTCGAAGACCGCGTCCCGGTGGCTCTCAACATCACGCACAAACCGTTGTCAGTCACCTTCCAGACCTTCAACGACGGCACTCACATTATCCTCGACGCCTCTCGCCGAGAAGAGCTTGCGTCGGAGGGCGAGCTGGTCATTGGGATCAACAACGCGGGCGATATGTGCTTCCTCTCCAAGTTTTCCGGTGCGCCCGTCGATGCTTTGGCGATCGTGAACAAGACGACGGTGGCTCTGGAACGGGTCAAGGAGATCAATGCTCTGGTGGACAAGGCGTTGAAGGCGGATCTGGCGCAACGGTCGAAACAAGGCATGGCCGACGAGTCCCGGGCAGAAAATGACCGGTGATGGGCATGGAATACCCAACGTTGTATCATTAGAATCGTGATGACCCTGGGACTGGAGTTTTGCTTGGCTTCTGACTACGCAAAATAAGAGCATTTCTGCATTTTTGTCAATAATCAAAATTGATTTTTCTCAGACACGAGTCGTGGCTTAGCGCTGGCGTTGTAGATGCGCTGACGTTGTACATTTCGTGGAGCCGCTCCTATTCTTAGCATGTCTCAGGCTGCGATTGTTGAGCAAAACCGGAATTTTGCTATGCGAATAGCAAGAGCAGCAAGAATCATTCATATAATAATCGGAGATAATTTCTTTCTAACGAGTATTAAGCAAAAAGAAGAGAAGAAATAAAAGAATCTCGTGGTGACCGCCTGACAAGTTGGCAAAAGGCGGGACGATCAGGTCAACATAGCTTAATCGCTGCCTTCCGCTAAGCCACTCCATTCTCAACTTCCCACTTTTCTCTCTCTGGCTTTTTTCTAGCACTCTTCCTGCCATCTGGCTTTTCTCCTCGAGAAGGACTCGCTTTTCTTTGCATCGTCCTGCAGATCCAGTACGCGTTCATTGGACCAGCTTTCCCGATCAATGCCTCAGGGGCATCACCACTGCTCTCCATCAGTAAGGGTGTCAACTCCCCCGCGGCATTATGGCCAGCGGTAGGCCTCCCGGGTCGCATCCAGCCGCTGGCCACGATGATGACCTGCTGCTGGATTCAGGCCCGACGTATAGCACTGGTCGGGGCCCGCCCGTGAACGACGACCACCTCTTGCAACAGTTCAATATCGACGACTCCGACGAACCGCACGCGCAGCCACGCCCCTCGGTCTCTTATGATCAATTTGTCGGAAGCAGCGCATCCCAAGGTGCCCATGCTAGCAATGCTCCCGGTCTGGCGCATCCCCCCACCATCCCCGAGCACCTCCGCGATCCTTACACTGGCGCCTCGATGGATCGGACCTACTCCCAGACTTCGGGACTGGGGAACTATCAGCGATACTCACTGGATGAGTTTGAAGATTCACGCTCGATACAGGGATACTACGACCTCGATGCTGATGATGGAGCCTCCGGTACGCACCGTCTCCGAGAGGCGAAAGAGCGGAATAGTATCCTAGGACTCGGCGGCGGACTGATGGGGAAAGCCAAATACATGTTTGGCATGGGACCACAATACTCGGAGATGGACCTTCCCTTGACAGAGGCCGGGGCCCGAAGGGCAACGGTGGATAGCGCCGCGGAGGCGGCCGCGGCTCGACCTCAACGAAAGAAATTCCAGGCCTCTGATCTCAAATTCAGTTTTGGACGAGGGAAGACCGACCCATCGAAATTGGGACCTCGTCTGATTCAGCTCAATAACCCACCCGCAAATGCCGTGCACAAATTCGTCAACAACCACGTTTCGACCGCCAAATACAACATCTTCACCTTCCTGCCCAAGTTCCTCTTCGAGCAATTCTCCAAATACGCCAACCTTTTCTTCTTGTTCACCGCCGTCCTGCAGCAGATCCCCAATGTATCGCCGACCAATCGCTGGACCACCGTTGTGCCGTTGAGTATTGTCCTGTTCGTATCGGCAACCAAGGAGCTAGTCGAAGACTATAAACGGAGGACGTCAGATAAAGGGCTGAATTATTCAAAGACCCAAGTTCTTAAGGGTTCTTCCTTTCACGAAACAAAATGGGTGGATGTCGCAGTAGGAGACGTGGTCCGGGTCGAGTCCGAACAACCATTCCCAGCAGACTTGGCTTTGTTGGCATCGTCGGAGCCCGAGGGATTATGTTACATCGAGACCGCCAACCTGGATGGCGAGACCAACTTGAAAATCAAGCAAGCCATTCCAGAGACCGCGAATCTGGTCAACCCCAGTGACCTGAGTCGCTTGAGCGGGCGGATCAGGTCTGAACAGCCCAACAGCAGTCTGTACACCTACGAAGCCACTCTGACCATGAACGCTGGAGGTGGCGAGAAGGAACTGCCTCTGGCACCAGACCAACTCCTGCTTCGAGGTGCGACTCTGCGCAACACCCCTTGGATCCATGGCATTGTTGTGTTCACGGGCCACGAGACCAAGTTGATGCGGAATGCTACTGCGACCCCGATCAAGCGGACTGCTGTGGAGCGAATGGTCAACATCCAGATTCTCATGCTCGTGAGCATTCTCATCATTCTCAGTGTGATCAGTTCCGTTGGCGACCTGGTCGTCCGGAAGAGCGAGGCCGAAAGTCTGGCTTATCTCGACTACGGGTCTGTCAACTCTGTCAGGCAGTTCTTCATGGACATCTTCACTTACTGGGTGCTTTACTCGAATCTGGTTCCGATCTCCCTTTTCGTGACGATTGAAATCGTCAAATACTTCCAAGCATTCCTCGTCAATTCCGACCTCGATATTTACTACGACAAAACAGACACCCCCGCGACCTGTCGTACCTCATCTCTTGTTGAAGAACTTGGTCAGATCGAATACATCTTTTCGGACAAGACAGGTACTCTGACCTGCAACCAGATGGAGTTCAAACAATGCACTATTGCAGGCATCCAATACGGAGACGACGTCCCCGAGGATCGACGAGCAACAGTAGAGGATGGCGCCGAGGTTGGGATCCATGACTTCAAGGAACTCAGGAAGAATGTTCAATCCCATCCCACCCAGAATGCCATACAACAATTCCTGATCCTCCTGGCTACCTGTCACACGGTTATCCCTGAAAGATCTGGCAAAGACCCCAACGAAATCAAGTACCAAGCGGCATCGCCAGACGAAGGCGCTTTGGTGGATGGCGCCGCCTCACTTGGGTATCGGTTTACCAACCGAAGACCACGCTCGGTGATCTTCGAAGCCGGAGGACAAGAGTTTGAGTATGAATTGCTGGCAGTGTGCGAGTTCAATTCGACCCGGAAGCGAATGTCGACCATCTTCCGATGCCCCGATGGAAAAATTCGCATTTATTGCAAGGGTGCTGACACCGTCATTCTTGAACGGCTCCACCCGGACAACCCCACCGTGGAAGTGACCCTCCAACATCTCGAGGAGTATGCTTCGGAAGGTCTACGAACCCTTTGCCTGGCCATGCGGGAGATCTCGGAGGATGAATTCCAGCAGTGGAACCAGATCTTTGACAAGGCTGCCACTACCGTTGGTGGTAACCGTGCTGAAGAGCTTGACAAAGCCTCGGAGTTGATTGAGAAAGACTTTTATCTCCTTGGTGCGACTGCAATCGAGGACCGGCTCCAGGATGGAGTTCCAGATACCATCCATACCCTCCAAACGGCAGGCATCAAGGTCTGGGTTTTGACCGGTGATCGACAGGAGACGGCCATCAATATCGGCATGTCCTGCAAGCTTATCTCAGAAGACATGACCCTCCTTATTGTTAACGAGGAGTCGGCCGACGCTACTCGTGACAACTTACGAAAGAAACTAGATGCAGTGAAGAGCCAAGCTGGCTCCGGAGACATCGAGGCATTGGCTTTGGTCATCGATGGGCGGTCATTGACGTTTGCGCTGGAGAAGGACATGGAAAAGCTGTTTTTGGACCTGGCCGTGATGTGCAAGGCGGTGGTTTGCTGGTAAGGGTTCCTCTTGATGGATAACAAGTTCGTGCTGTTGACTTTATTTCCAGTCGTGTCTCTCCCCTCCAGAAAGCCCTTGTCGTCAAGCTTGTCAAGCGACACTTGAAGTCATTGCTCTTGGCAATTGGTGACGGTGCCAACGACGTGTCCATGATCCAGGCCGCGCATGTTGGTGTCGGTATCAGTGGTGTTGAAGGTCTTCAGGCTGCACGGTCTGCCGATGTGGCAATTGCTCAGTTCCGATTCCTGCGCAAGTTGCTCCTCGTCCATGGGGCTTGGAGTTACTCCCGGATCAGTCGAGTGATTCTGTATTCCTTCTACAAGAACATCACGCTGTATATGACACAGTTCTGGGTAAGTTCATACGCTTTGTTATTTGAAGAAATGAAGTCTAACCTGGTTGCAGTATTCCTTCCAAAACGCATTCTCCGGAGAAGTTATCTACGAATCTTGGACCCTCACCTTCTACAACGTGATTTTCACTGTCCTCCCTCCTTTCGCTATGGGAATTTGTGATCAATATATTTCCGCTCGCTTGCTGGACCGCTACCCACAGCTGTACCAGCTGGGTCAGAAAGGGCTCTTTTTCCGGAAGCACAGCTTCTGGGCCTGGGTTCTGAACGGATTCTTCCATTCACTCATCCTCTACATCGTCTCGGAGCTGCTTTATTTCTGGGATCTCCCGATGGCGGATGGCAAAGTTGCCGGCCATTGGGTGTGGGGTGCGTCGCTGTACACCGCCGTACTGGCTACTGTTCTTGGGAAAGCCGCTCTCATCACCAACATCTGGACCAAATACACCTTCATCGCCATCCCCGGGTCCATGCTCCTCTGGCTTATCTTCTTGCCGGCGTACGGTTACGCTGCTCCTGCCATTGGCTTCTCCTTCGAATACTACGGCACTATCCCTGTTCTCTTCAAGTCGCCCATTTTCTACCTGATGGCCATCATTCTGCCTTGTCTATGTCTCTTGCGTGACTACTCATGGAAGTACGCCAAGCGCATGTACTACCCACAGCATTACCACCACGTGCAAGAGATCCAAAAGTACAACGTGCAAGACTACCGACCGCGTATGGAGCAATTCCAAAAAGCGATTCGCAAAGTCCGCCAAGTCCAGCGCATGCGCAAACAACGTGGCTACGCCTTTTCGCAAGCCGATGATGGTGGCCAAATGCGCGTCCTGAATGCATATGATACCACGCGCGGTCGTGGCCGATACGGTGAGATGACCAGCTCCCGGGCTATGCCGTCGTGAATTGCTTTTTCCACTTTGCTTCGCGGGGATTGCATTGCCGTTGCTTTTTTTCTGCATTGAATACCAAGAGATTGGTATAGTTTCTGTAAACTCTTGTATTTTTTTACCCTCCTACATTTTCCTTTCTTTTTCTTGATCTTCCTCTAGATCTATCTTTTTTTTATAGCCGCGCTATTGGTTTGGAGGAGGCTGTGATATATCACTCTTTGTTGATTTGGTTTAGTTGGAGTGTTGCGAATAGCAGACATGACTGGCACATAGCTACGCTTTGACTTTTCTGGCCGTAGGTGATATGATAGCCATCCTGTGATTTAGTAAAATCGAGGGACCTACACGCTACCGGCGATACCCCCGAATTCCCTCTTGCGAGTTCCCTGCAATATCGACGACAAAACCAATGGTTAGGATTCTTTGTCTATCCGCGAACTTTCATTTTGCACAGCTCCACCCACCTCTTTGTCATAGAAAGACCAGCGGTGTTTCAAATCTTCCATGGATTCATACTCGGTGTGTACAGGGGTTCTCGTTCCTGGATCTTGTGGAGGGGGGTTCTGTTTCGCGTTCACTTTCTTTCTCCAGTTGAGACTAAGAACAAATCTCGCACTATCCGGCAACCCCAATCTCTCAACCCCGAGGAACCCGAGAAACGGTTCTATACATCGGTGTTTGGCATCTTCTCTTTGTCCTGATCCGGCTAGGAGACTCGACCAACCTTTGATGGGTTCAATTCAAGGTGTCGCTCTACTGACATGCACGTTGACTTATGGGCCTCGCAATTTCTACACACTGAATGCGTATGGCTCGAAGTCCAGTGTGCCGGTCCGCGGCGTATGTTCTTACCAGGATGCAGATATACGAGTCCCCGGGAACGAGGTATAGGCATTGAGTGCGTCAGGCTTTTGGGGTTGACCACATCGCCAATTCTGTGGCTGTTTGACGTGCGGATCTGTGGCAAAGTGTGAACGGCTGTCCCTGGGGGGCTTGAATGATCCATGGGATTGGGCTTGCCGCGTGGATTCTTTATTCTTTCTTTGACCTTGGGGGTTCAGTGCGTGGTGGAGAGCTGCCAGATCGAATCTTCGCCAGTACTCCAGTACTCGATGGCCTTTGACTTGGATGCTCATATCTCACCCTCTGTTGATTCGCCTATTTAACAGAAATGAGTCTCTTCCAAGAGGTCGCGACAGCCTGAGCTTTAACTTCGACTAGACATATTCAAAACACAAGGAGGGGCGGATTAAGGGCTACCACGACGGCAAGTGTTGCTCGACCATAACCGACAGTGGTCGAGGTCTTTGGATTTTCCTTTCTTCATCAAAGAGCATCAGAAGAAGATATCGGTGTTAGAGTACATCGCAGAACCGGGCAAAGGGGGAAGTTGCGATGGGGTGTGTCTTGGCTTAGGGCATGGTCTGAAAGAACCCGGAGCTTGTGGCGTCGTCTTTCTTTCAGACAGCCGTAAGTTCTCCTACTTCATTCTTTGACGGAGACCAGCTAAATTGAATGCTCCCCAAAGATTCTTTCTTGCTTTGTCTCCTTTTCATCACCGCTACTTTGAACAGATATGCCGATATCCTCCAATCCTCGGTGGAGCTCTACGCTCGTTGCTCGATTCCAATGGAACAAGGAGCTCACCACACTAGTGTCTTTGAAAAGGAGAACGTTTGGAAGCTCCCTTTTTCTGGATACCGCTGGTTCTCCGTTCTTGAAAGCCAAACAAAGAGAACCCTCGGCCAGGGTTCTAACATGGCTGACCGGGTTATCCAAAGAAATGGACAAAAATAGAGTCAAGCTCAACATGCTCGATATGGACCAGGATGAACTGCCATATGGACTACAAATATCCCCGAGAAACTGCCTCGTCCTGACCATTCTCGTACCTCACATCCATTCTACTTCTGCTATTATCTGCAGTCTTTCTCTTTTCCTCAAAAATCGGCCGGATGCCAGTTACCAGAAGTGGTGGCGGGCGTTCCTCGAGGTCCGAGGGCGGACCTTTCTTGGGGGCCAGGAAGAGGCCGGCCAATCGAGGCAAGGGAAAGGGCAAACAAAAGCCGCAATCGAAGAAGAAGGGGATGAAGGAAGCGGAGGGAGGAGACAAAATGGAAATTGGCGATCCGATCGACTCGGAATATCCGAGCGAAGAAGAGGACCAGTCTGCGGCCGTTCAAGAGAATATACCAGAAGGTTGGACGGCTAACGAGCCAGATCTCGAAGAAGAGTAAGTTCTTGTGATATGTGATAAAAAAAAAAAAAAAAAAAAACAAGCAAGAAGTATGTAACCAAGAGTGCAGCGATATCGATGGCAATATCCAACGATGCCGTGACCGAATTGCCGCAGGAATATTTCCACGCGCCTTTAAGGCAAGGCTGAAGGGATATAAAGTCCGGAAGAGAGCGCGCGATGCGATTCTTACCGCCGAACCAGAAATTCAGGATGAAAATGTTGCCCAGCGCCTGCATTGGCTGAAATTCACCGAAGCAGAACTCGTTAAAGATGGCGACAAGGGTGAACATCTGCCGAACGTGAGAGCACTCATAAAAGCCTACCGAAGTGGCAAGTTGGCGTGGGACGAGACGAAAGTCACGTATTGGTCCAAGGGAAAACAGCTATGCGAGCCGCAGGAATTCGACGTCGAGGGATTCAAGAAGATCAACCTCGCCAACAATGGCCACAAAGGGTTTTGGGTGGAAGGGGTAAGTCCTGTTGTCATCCTCAATCTTTGTGCATTGCATACTAAGACGCGTTGGATCGTCCAGGGCGAAAAGCCAGGGCCTTTCAATATGTTTCCGAGCTTTATCAACGATCCAACAACGATACCTCTTAATTATCATCAACACGAGGTATTACCGCAACCCTGGAGCTTCGAAATTCTCCTATTGATTGATTGATTCTAGATATGGTTTGACGTTCAAGTGTCTGACTCGCGGCCTGTACAAGGTCCGCCCATAGTACCGAAGCAGATGAAATTCCTAGATGACTCGGGGTCCCACCTGATGTGCATCTTCCAAGATGACCTAGACGAAATCATAAGTCTGGCTCATGGCACCCAGCCTATGGACATAGGTCCGAGGCCTGTGGTGACTGCCAACGGAGTACGGAATTTGGATAGAAAGCTGCTGGAAGCCCGAGTCTTGACGCCAAAACTAGAAGTGATTACCAGACCGTCCTTTGTCGCCTGTTCTATCAGACCAACCTCAGACAAAAGCTACTCCAACACCCGACTCAGTGGTGTCTGGTGGAAAAACTTGCTCTACCTTGGCATGGCCCCTGACGACACTGGGAGACTGTATGTGAGTACCGATAAAACCAACATGGTGAATCCGATGCCGGATATCGACTCAAATAATGCAAGCGCACCGGTTTAGGTATATGATACAGCTGGTGATTTGCTGGCTAGTGGTGGTTTATTCTTGAATGCGTTGTGGTTTTGTTTCCCTCCCTTCTTTCTTTCTTTTCTTTCTTGTTTGGTTTAACATGTGGCTTTCATTTTCCTCGTCTTTTTTTCTTGACTTCTGTGCTTAATCTCTGCTTTTTTCTTTTTCCTTGCAAAGAGACCTGTTATCGAATGGCGTCCGCGGGGTTGATATCTATATTGACTGTTTAGACAACAGGCAAGGAACTGAGCCAGCCCCCATTCCTGCATTGTTGCCTGATCATGTCTTCAAGTGAATAGGAGCGAGCAAGTGTCCTTGGCTTTTGAAATGTTCCGCTTTGATTTGATTTTCATGACTATCACATAAATTGGATTTATCTTGCGAGTATAATAATATCATCCGAATACTATACAAGTATAAAGTCTGCTCTTGAAACCATCCAATGTGCCTTGAAAAAAAAAAAAAAGAATGCCACGTGTGTGGCACCATGTAAAAAGAGTCATTCATACTAGGGTCATGCCGATCATCTGGCCTTGACTCAGTGTTGACTGGGTTGATCGAAGACTCAAACAACCATTGCAACAACATCTTTTCGCTTGAGTCACAATTGATTTAAAAGAGCAGATCAACAAGCTCCTACACACCATGAGGTCCATGAACCAGAAAAAGTTCCTCGAGCAGTACGTCTACGCTCTCGAGAATGATTTCACCTCTCCGAATGGGGAGCCTGCAGCCTGGGCGCCCGACCATCCCAAATATTGGGGCCAAGAAAGAGCGAAGATCGGTCTCGATGGAAACAGAATCACGCCTGCGCTCAGTCCTGATAATCGGTTCCTTGCAGTAGGAGCCGAGCAAGAAATCCATGTTATCGACGTGACTACGCAGGAGCGTCTTGAGGTGCTGCGCGGTCATAGCGGGGAGTTGGAGAAGGTTCAGTTTGCACCAGAACTGGTCGATCACGGCGACAATCAAAATGGGACTCGCTATCTATTGGTCTCAGAATGTGACGCGGAGATAGTGATCCTATGGGAACTGAACGAGCGGGGGAACCTCGTGCTGTCGAAAGAGGACAAAGAAAAGGCCGTTGACGCCGATACCCTCGCCACCGAGACATTGCAACCTCTTGTCTCCAAGCTGGTCACGGACCATGGCTGGAATACCGACGACAAAGCAATTGACGCTCTAAATAACGAGGTGCGGAGTGCTCTTCGTAGCGCTATTACCCTGCACGAACAAGAACGAAGACTCTGCTTCCGCGGCCAGCTGGCCTCCTTCGGCAGTGCCGCCTTCAGCCCTGACGGCAAGACGCTGCTCTATCTCAGCCAGAACGAGTCGACTCAGGGGGGATCTCGGGACGCTACATCCCTGCCCTGTGTCAATGTGTGGGATGTCGAGAAGAGATATCTCCGACACCAACTACTCGGCCACGCAGATGCCATCATGTGGACTGCTATGAGCCCAGACAGCAGACTAGTCGCATCTATTGCATGGGACGGCACAGCACGGATTTGGGACACTACCTCGGGGGAGTGTCTCCGCGTCGTGGGACCGCTAGGCGGCCAACTCTGGAGCGGTGCATTCTCCCCAGATGCAAAATGGCTTGCCATCAGCCAGGGCAGTCCCAAGACGCATATCCATGTCTACGATATTAGCACAGGGGAGCCAGTGTCTCGCTTTGACGGAAGTCGTCGCTGGGCGCGGTCCTTGGCTTGGAGTCCCGATGGGACTATGCTCGCGTGCGGGACCGATGACAGCACGCTGTTCATCTGGGATCCTATCACGGGGCAGGAGCGGATGCGCTGGCGTTTGGCGTTTGAGGATTGGATGATGCGTAGTTTTGCGAGTATTGGTGGAGTGCGGTTCCTGGATGGCGGCCGGAAGTTGATCTTTCAGATCAGAGAGGGGACGGTCGAGATCTATGATTTCGAGACTAATCTCAAGCAGCAGCTTACAAGAGGTGCTGAAGATCAGATTGACCAATGTCCTAACTCGGAGGTGGTTTGTTCGGCGGACTCGAGACTTATTGTCGTTCCGGATGGGGACGGGGTGTTGAGGGTTTGGGATCTTTAGGGCTCGACGTCTTGTATACTTGTACTTTTCAGATAAATCACGAAGAAAACCTATAAAATAGAGACATGTAAACTTTATGTTCAAATCTCATTTTAATTTGTCTATCTCGTGCATCTCTCATCCGGAGGCCTCCATCCCACCCCCAACCGCTCCATCACCAGTCTCTCGCGCTCCTCCCAGCTCTCTCCCCCATGCTCCAAATCAACCACCTGACCTCCAGCAGTATGCTCGCGCACGCCGCTCGAATCAAACTTCCACGCATGCGCCTTCTTTGCATACCGCCGAAGATCTCGCTGGAAGGTCGTGTCCCCAGACCAGCCAAGCACAGCACAGCCAACAGTACGCCATGGCGAGATAATAATATCAACGCGGCGATGTGGATTGGGGTTCTTTTTGGGAGGTTGGGTATCATTGTCGGAAGAGCCGAAGTGCGGGTCCTGCCATACCACCAATGCCTTGTCGAGAGAGTCGAAATGTTTTCCTGTGTCGTCGCCGCAAAACGGGAGCGTTTGCTGGTCACGATGCGAGGAGCTCAGGTTGAGAGCAAGTGTATGGGTGACATAGTGCTCTGTTTCGAGGCTGGCGACGACATCAACGACGAGATTGCGGGTGACGGTGTCATCGCGGTGCGTCAGGATCAGATCGACGTCGCCGCTAATCTTCTTTCCACGGCGGTAGCCACCAACCAGCACACAGTCGATATCCCCATCCGCATCAGGCCGGACACGATCAGCATGGCGCCGCACGATACCAGCAATATTCTCGGACTCTTTGCGAGGAACACCATCCAGGAACTCATCGTAGAATTTGACTCCGATCTGCTGCACGCGCGAGAGCGAATTCCAACCCTGCTCGACAACGTCATCCAGATCGCGCCATCCTCGCTGGTAATAAAACTCTCGTGCGGTTTTGGAACCCACTCCCCAGATGCGATAGAAAGTATTCAGCACACGCAGCACAGGATCCATTTCTAGCATGTCTGCAGCGGCCACGTTGCCGTCATCATCCGTGTGGTTGCAGCCGCCGCTCTGCTGGAACTCAGCGAATAAATTCGCAATCTTGACGTCGCACCCGGGTAGAGCGATGATTTCGCTGGGTCGTCGGATGAGATATGGGTAAGCGGCTAGAGCAGCGATTGATGTGCTGTATGCTCGTACGCCCACGTCGTCCAGCGTGAGCTCTCGGATACGGCGGATCTTCTCGAGTTGCGAGATAAAGTCCTCGTTGGGAGGGTGGAGTGGTGCGGAACGCATGCAGGCATAGAGAACTTGGTTGCGGACCCAGTCTGGTGGTGGTGGTAATGAGACGGTCTCGTCATGCTCAGAGGTTGTTTGGCGATAGAGCACTGGTGGATTTCGCTGACTTGCGGCCCCGTCCGGTACTTCTTTCGAGCGCCGGGCCAGGAACCGGTTAGAGGATGGAGCGGGCGGGGGATTTAATGTAGCATCTTCTTTGGCCCGTTGGAGAATTCGGGTTGGTATTTTCTCTGGGGACTTTTGGCCAGCTCCGATGCTCGAAGGAGCAGCGACCTTTTGCCCTCGGTAAATCACAAAGGCGTCCTGCGGTAGACATTCTTCGACCTTGATGCAACGCTCCAACCATTCGAGCTTGACAACTACCACTATCTGCAGTTGCCCTTCTGGTGCTTGAATCAGATCTTGTGCCGGGCTGTGTCGAGTTTCCCCACCATCTTCCTCTTCTTCAGACTCGGTACTGAGATCTACAATCTCTGTGGCTGCGTCTTTGGGCAAATGACTACCATCAATGCGCCTGCGTTTCACCGGCGGTTCTTCTTTTTTCGATGGTGCTTTGGACTGAGAGGAGGATAATTCAGGGATTTCCTCTGTCCAAACGCCATGCGAGCGCAATTCCAACGCCGCGCGTTTCTTCTGGCTAACGTTGCCCAGGATTAGACCGGCTTCCGAAATGTCATAGGTGAGGTTTCCACCATATTCAATGAGACGGTTCTCTACCTCGTGGAGTCTTTCCAGGGTCAGATGGGTTGGCAGAATGAATGTCGGCGGAGTTGATGAGAATATAGATGTATGATGAATCGAGTTTGCGGTAAGCTCTTGTGGCGATGAGCTACCAAATAAGGGGTTTGAGACCATGTCAGGTTATATATGCAGATAATTCAAAATAGATCGAATGTACAGCTGGATGTTGGTTAGATCATGGCATGTGGCATGGGTTGCCGTCGTCAAGCTGCTCGGCTGCAGAGCGAGTGAACATGGTTCTTGGGGGCGAGATGTGCGGTTTCCATTTATGCATGGGTGTGATCGATAGGGCGCAACATGTTGATGAATGATCAGACTTATCGAGTGTTGATGCTTGGATGTTGTCGAGGCAATTGCGGGTTGCGGTCGGCCAGAATGACGTCATATTAAGCCTGAGGCACAGTATATAAAATTAAACGTGACGCACTCTATTTTGTTGATTTCTTTTTAATACTTTTTTTTTGGTGGATAGCAAAGTAGATCAAGTCTATATATTAACAGTCTTAGACGATCTCCCCCTCATCCCGTGGCCCAGTCGCTGTCACCGCAACCCTCGAACCTCCCTTGCCAACCACTTCAGTCCGTCCATGCTGGGCACTACCCCCAGACTCGTTCACAACAGTGACACCAGCGTCCGCAGTCGGCTCCAGTGAGTAATCGCGACAAGGCTCCTCCTCGTTCGTGACAACACTTCTTCCACCGCGCCGAGCTATCCACCGACGCCACGGCTTATACAGCACGACACTCAGTCCGCCAAAGATAATAAAGCAGCCGCAAATACCGCCTCCAATAGCATCATAGTAGTCTCCTGCAGTCTGCACTCCATCCCAGAATTTTCCCGTGGCGTTGGTGACGTTAAGGATCATGGTGAGCAGCTGAATCACGCCGATGACAATGGCCACGATCACCGTCAGCGTGGTGAGCACGATCGAGTAGTATAGGAAGGCGATGGGGTCGCGGTGGTTGCTTTGTGGTGGAGGGAGCTCGTTGCTGTCGCTGTGAATGGAGGATGCACTCGTGGTGTTGTTCGTGGGTTTTGGTGGGAGGAAGTTGGCGGCAGGTTGGATGTAGAGTGAGAACATGAGGGCTCCGTCGATGGTGTCTAGGAGGCACATTCCGGCTGGACAGAATATTAGTTTTTCGACAGTCATGGATGAAGAGGAAGTGGACTCACCGGTAAATAGAGCTGGCAGGATGAGAATCACCCAGAATGAGGTGCCTTTGGCAGCCTCAATCGACGAGATGCCGAGCAAGGCGATCTCAGACGAAGTGTCGAATCCCAGACCAAATAGAATGCCAAGGGGATACATCTTCCATGGACTGGATCAAAGATCAGCCATATACTTCTATATATCATGAAAAAGAGTGACATACCGGTTAATCAACTTGAACATCTTCTTCAGAATCGAAAACATAATCCCACCGCCCTCAATCTTCCACGCTTCTTCCTCTTGGCCCTCCGGCAAATCCATTACTTTTTGCATCTGCTTGATCAGCTTATACAAGATATAGCCATTCATCAGGCCCAGCAAGATGAGAAAAGCAGCGCTGACTGAGCTGCCGATGATACCGCCGATCGTGCTGAAACTGTCGAAGCGCGACGAGACGGCGGCAGCAGTTGCAGCGACCACAATGGATGTGATGATGACGATGCTGTGTGGGAGTTAGCAAAAAAGGGCTGTTTCAAGTTTGGAATCACCAGAATTCAACTCACGTCGAGTGACCCAGTGAGAAAAATGTACCCACGGTGACGGGCTTTTGCCCGGTTGCCAGAAGTCGGCGAGTCATAAGATCAATGGCCTTGAGAAATGTCAATATAAGTGACTTCCTCTGGGATACCGCGCAGTACATACAGAGATGTGGTCTGCATCAAAAGCATGTCTCAGACCAAGCGTGTATGCCAAAACAGCCGTGGAAACCAACGATCTACCAACAAGAAACATGGTTAGTATATTCAAGGCCCCCGACTGCAATCGATATGCCACAAGATTCGACACAGTGAGGCTCACGGGTGATAGCGCTGCAGTGCCACATTAGCAATTGTTCGAATATTTTCATAAGATCTCTGAGGATGGATATCGCCATACCAATACAATCGCAGCTGCAATCCACACAATAGCATTCAACAGCGCAATAAACAAAATAATCCCAATCGCCCGCAGCGGAATCTTTCTGATCCCGGGCACCCGACTATGCGAGCGTTCGGCATGCCGTAGCAGGGGTTTCAAGCTCCACCTGCGCTCGCTATTCAGACTCTGCGAGTCTGCAGTGTCGTCTGCCGGGTTCATGTCGAAATTGATGCTGTTTTCTCTGCTGCGTTTGACAGTTAAACTGCGTCGCGTAACCCCGCTTTCCAGGGATGTTTACTCCTATCGCGGGGTAGAGACGAGAAGAGTATGAAGAGAGAGAAAAAAAGAGACTGGATGAGAGAGAAATGGCCAGAGTATTATAGCCCGCTGTATGCCGATCCGATAAATATGAAAAATTGCCATTAGTCTTATCTCCGCCAAGGTACCGCAGGAAAGCTTGAGGGTCGCTTGGCGGAATGCGCGGAGACGGTGGAACTGCGGGACTGCGATGGCCGAGCCCCACGGGAGGCCATATCGGAGGGCCCCGATCGTACTGTTAGCAGTGTTGAATATTCCGTGTGGCAGATATTTCTTTATCTCATTCTAGTAATTCTCTATTTTTTCTAATTATTCTTTGGCATCTTGAGCACGACAAGATTTCCTATTCGCGTTCATAGTTGGCCGATCGGGATTGTTGATGGCCGAGCGGGGCTCGGCAAACACCTGCGGGCCTTGACATCGGCGGAATAATGTATGCGAGAGTTGCGGGGACATCGGAAGGATCAGAACTACATTACAATTTAAACCAGTCAGAAAGGATTTCTCCCCTTGCCCGGATTCCTCTTTTGTCTCAGCCTTAAAAGTAGTTTACCGGTGGCAAAGCATGGAAAGCACCCACTGTTCGAACCTATAGAACTAGTATATCGTCTCTGCTTATTTTAGATACATTCCAGATCATCTTAACCAATGTAGATCAGTTTATACCAACTATGCTTTAGAGGCAGCGAAGCTAAGCGTAGTTTAAGCGTATCCATGGCATATATACTCCAAAGCATAGCATCTACACCCAGACAAGCCATTAATTCCAAGAACATGCAAGGTCCATTCAATGTCCGCCAATAAAGACCCATATCTTCATATAAATATATCTAACTTCTCAAGACCATAAGATATTCACAATTTGATCCCCAAGCCCCTATCCTACTCTCTCAAGAGACACTTCCAAAAATCTAAGAATCACAAGAGCCCTCCACAGTATTAATAGTCCCATCATCCCCACAAACATCATCCCCATCCCTCCACTCCTTCACACCACCACCGCTTGACGAGATGTACGTGGGCGTCGTCACCTCAAAAGTCTTGTCCGAGTCGACACACGTCCCCGTCACTTTGCAGTATGTCTGCATGCGCATCAGTCCGATCCGAGAGGACTTGGTGTCAGCGACGTCCTTGGAACCCGTCGAGTCGTCCGGGTAGACGTTGTAGTTGTCGGCCATGCCGACCTGGAAGTGCATGGCTGGGGAACCGGGGGTTTGGCCTGCGAGGCCGGTGGCGCTGAGTGCTGTCACGAGAAAATTGCAGTTGGAATTAGGAGTCATGTGCAGGTAAGTTGGAATGGGTATGGAAGAGTAGCCGTACCAAGACAGGCGAGGAAAGTCAAGGGAATAGTTGCGCGCATGGTGGTTGATGTAGATGAGAATGTGAATCAGGTCGAGTGATTTGGGTAATTCAATTCTCAGGGAGGGCTCTCGGGTATTCTAGTAAATAGTACATGAAGAGGCAGTCTTCAATTTATCTATCTCCAAGACCAATTTTAAGACCAACATTGCAATGAATCATGTACTCTCGTCGAGCCCGACGGGGCGTCTGATGGGGGCGAAGGATTCTAACAGAAGGCCAACGCCTATCACCAGTCTATGACCTTCATATTCTTCATAAGAATAGGATTCTAAATTTCATAAAACGAATTTTTTTTTTTTGGACCCTCTTCTCAAACGGCGAGTTTGATGAAGGTTTTAAAGTCGTATAGTTATATGAAGTCTATCTAGAAATTGATAGACAATACCCTCGTCGACTCACGGTCTCATGCACCCCGAATATATGATATTTGGGAGATAGGGGTCCTGACTCGAGTGCATAATACAACCAAGTATCTTTCGGGCATTTCATTGCCCTGCTCTTCCCCAGTTTGCATGCTGGATGCCGATCCCATCCCCAACGCTTGGCTCCCCAGATTGGGGATTTAAGCTCGGACCCCGAATGACGTTGAGTGGGGTGAACTATGTGAAATAGACCCGACTTTCCTCGTTGCCAATCACGGGTTACTTGACGCCCAGCGAGGCGCGCTCGCTTAGGCTCTCCAGTGTTGGATATTCTGACAGCAAAGTTAGCTTTCACCATCCCCTGAGAAGAACTCATGGCCATCAATCAACCTACCTGAATCCTGGCTAGGCCTGGGGTTTGAAGGGTTTCAAGATGCACCGCCAGTATCCCAGCAAGAAGCAACCTTGTTCAAGGTCGTTTATAGTTGATATCACATGGAGCAGGTCTTGCCCGCTCAATTTTCACCCAAGCTCACGCAACTGCCAGCACCGTCGGCGAGGGCGTCCACTTGGTGACAGTCGGCTGCAACTGGCGGATGTCTTGGCTGACAAGAATGTTCCACTCATTTCTCGTGATTGGGGTGACATCAGACGCCGACAAGGGCGTCTTGGGACCACGTTTGGCAGGCACACCCGCCTTGACAGGGACGCCCGACTTGACAGCCACACTCGACTTAGCAGGCGGGGGTTGTCGACGCACACGGGCAGAGCGGATAGGTGATTTTCTTGAATGCTCCGCCTTAGCGCGCGGGGGCAAGATGATGGCCTCTTGCTTGTGGACGTTCTTATAAGCGGTAGCGACAGCAGTCAGCAACTCGTCGGAGACATCGAGCTGCTCATAGACGCGGTGAAAAAAGGCCTTGCTGAACGGTCGCCCCTGGAAGTCGACGATGAGCCGGTGCAGCAGCTGGACGCACGAGGTCATGGACTGGCCGTCGGAGCGCGAGAACGGGCGGTTGGACAGAATGCACAGGCGGCGCTTGAATGTGTAGATGCGGTCCATGTTGAGCAGGGTCAGCCCTTCCTGGCTGAAGACGACCTCATTCTGTAGGATCGACTGCTGCACGAGGTACTCGTTGGCCTGGCGCTCGTACTGGCTGCGGTTGAGGGCGTCGGTCCAGCTTTGGCCGAGGGAGAATTTCTTTGCGCTCTTGGAGATGGCCCGTTCGAGGACTCGCCATGAGGCTGGGTCCAGCGGGGTGATCGGGATGATCATTAGATCGGATGCTTGGCCGGTCGGGAATGGTTTCCCGCGTCCGACTAGGAGTGTGACGTGCATCATTCTTTGTTGGAGTTTGGAGGAGATGTATTCGAGGGCGGGCATGATGGAGGGGATGACGGTGTCGGCGTCGAAGGTAAACTCAGGTGAGAGTGGCGGGGAGATCATATCGTTGGTGAGGCTTCGAGTGGGCGAGTTGGGGACGTAGATGCCCGTCGGGCGAGGGAGACGCATGACGCCCATAGTGAGAGGAAAGAAGAGAAGTAATAGAAATAGGATCTTCACTAATGGTGTACAACCAGATGAGAACAGCCTTGATATATCTAGATTGCCCCCGCGTAGGCTGGAACATAGTAAACATCCAAACCCCTCTGTTGCTAATGATAGAACGATATAAATAACCCTAACCGCCGCTGCGCGCATCGCAGCCAACCAGCAACGCCCGTTGATCGCCCTCTGACCGGGCTTCTGCACGCCACCGCACGCCAGCACATGGCCCTTGCACTGTGAGAAATATCATTGGCTGAGATTCGAGAGCCCCCGCTCCAGTGGGTCGCGAGGTTCATTTCCCCCTGTCAAGCCTGTCAAGCCTGTCAAGGATTATGCTGTTGCTACCGGGCATCGACAGGCTGTCAGTCCTTGTTGTGCGCGCCCAAAATCAATAGTTTATCGAAGCTTGCAGCAATGACGAGGCATATTCTCCGGCGGATGCGCTGCAGTGCTTACTGGCTCGAGCTTTCTCCTCGATGCATGCAGGCGTTGGCGACATCCAATATCGAGGTCACTTCACCCGCTCGGGGCTCACTTGCGTTGTTAGCGTGTTGGTGTCCTCTTTAATAGTGGGAAATATCGATGCAACTGACTCGTATCAACGATCGCCCCGCATCTTGGTGTTTATGGATTCACCCAAGTTTATCACACTTGGCTCGCAAGCCTACCCACAGCCCACGGCTATCTCTATAAGGAGGGGGAATTTGAGCCTCAGCACCAGTCTTGCTAGTTATGCTGTGAGGTGGTATGGATATATATATATATATACTTGTTAAACTCATCCTTCTCTCACCGCACTATGTCTCTTGCCATGCATGCAAGCGCCAGGGATCTGGGTGCGGCATTTATGGTTGTCGAGCCAACAGAACATAAGTTGGCGCTGCCCCAAGGTAATTGGACATTGTCAATCGATGAGCCTTGCTGTGGTCCAAAAGGAAATGAGGTGTCGGAAATCACAGAGCCAGCTTTCATGCTCAATGCCTATTGGAGTCGGGCAACAGTCTATCAGTCCCCCTAGTACACATGCGACTACTAAAGCCGAAGTACAAGCTTCCCAATCTGCTTCCCCTGCCAGATACACTCAATCGCCTCCTCCGCTTGCTGGAATGGAAACACGGTGTCAATCAAATCATCCAGCGGCATCTGCGTGGCCGAGAGGGCCGCACACAGATCCTCCATATCGTACTTTGACCCAGCATTGATTCCTCTGTATACCCCAATAAGCTTCTCGTCCGCTCAACCCTAATTATCCTGGATGCTCACCTGAGTATGACCCTCCGGTCAATAATGGTTGGCACAAGCTCGGCAAGGTCGCAGGCATCCTGCTTCCCAAGATACCCAACCTGGCTGACGATTCCGCCGCGTCGTGTACACTTGATGCTCTTGACTAGCGACCCCGTGCCACCGTTTTCAACCACAATGTCCACGCCAACTTCCTGGGTCAAGCTCAGAACCTCCTCGTGCCAGCCTGGGTGTCTATAGTTGACCGTCAAGAGCGGCGGGCTTGCGAATTTCTCTTTCATCATTTGCAGCTTGTCGTCGCTCGAGGAGGTGAGGATGACTCGCAGGCCAGCTGCGCGAGCAAGCTTAAGTGCAAACACACTCACTCCTCCAGTACCTTTCCACTATTAGCCATATTACCTTCGCCACAAACCCAGGGAGCACACACCTTGGATCAAGACAGTCTTCCCAACACTCATCCCACTTAACGCCGCCCACGCGGTAACTCCCGCACAGGGAATAATCGCAGCAGCGACCCAGTCTAGATATGTTGGGAGTTTACACAGCTTTTCTTCATCGAACACCACATAATCCGCCAGAACCCCATCCTCATCAGCGGCAAGCCACGACCGGCCCACCTCTCGCCCGGACATATTGACCGTGTCAGTTATAGGAGCGACTCTATCTCCAACAAACAACGTCTTCACCTTGTTTCCCACCACGACTACTTCACCTGCTGCGTCGTTACCGAGGATCCCGTTCGGTAGGACCGGCCACGGGTTACCCCCGTTGGCGATGTTGGCATCGCGATAGTTGAGGGAAACCGCGTGAACTTTGACCAGGGCCGAGGTTGGTGCGAGAGGCAGTGGGAGAGGCTCTTCCACGAGCTTTAATTTTGGTGCGCCGGCGGTATAGTTGTCGGTTCGACGAAAGGCGTGGCGGGTTGTGATTTGGGTGCTTGTCATGTTTTCTGCGTGAACGATGATTCTTCAGGTATTTATCGCATTATTGATGTCTGCTTTATAGTTGCAGAAGATGCAGGTTGGATTAATAATGTTGTTGGGCTGACTACCTGGGAAAGATCTACAAGGTTAGTAATGTGATTCTGGATGTAGTCAACTCTGACTACATGTATAATTGTGTTTCTTCCGGCGGGAGATATATGGTTGAGAAAAGTTGAGGAAAGGGGAAGAAGGAATTGCGCTAAGCGAGAAGTAGACAAAATCTTGGGATCTCTCCCCGTCTATTTTGGGGGGTTTTTTTTTTGCTTCCAGCAATGATGGAACGGGGCTACGGGGGCATATGGAAACAAGAAAAGAAAAAATAAGCCTCTTGCCGAGACCTTCCAACTTGATGAGGCATTTGTTTATTCCCCCGCACTCTCTGCAGTACCCGAATGCTACCTGGCAATCCTGAGCCCCGCGATTACAACTAACCTACCCCGGAATGGGGGTGAAAAAATGGGGTCAGAGAAATACTACTAAATAACACGCCTTCGGTGTTCCACCAAATGAAGAGTCGTCTCACCAATAATAAACACATGGCGCAAGAGTCCAGGAAGGAAGGCGCTGTTGGAGTACTCGCCTTCGGACCAGTAGTCCAATGGCCTGACGTATGGAAACCCTAAACGTAGATAGACTCCCCAAGTCTCGGAGTTTTGGCATCCTGGGGGCGGCCCGGTGGAAAGTCTCTTCAAAGACAAACCTAACAAGCGTAAAAAGAGAGAAAAGGGAGGGAGGGCAAAGACAAAACCCGGCCTCAACCCTAGCCCTAATGGTATCTGTGGATACGCTGACAGGTCGATGGATATAGATCGGGCACAACGCTATCTTGCACCACGTGGTGTCTCAATATCCACGCCACCCACATGCACAGCAAGAGTTGGCGTAGCGTATTTATCGGACTGTCTCACCCTAGCTATCTACTTACCTTCCAGAAGCTATGCAGGGGCCAAAGCCAATGCGTTCTGGAAAATTCGCTATCAACGCCACCAGCACAACACGCTAATGAAGTCAAGAGAAAAATCTGGTATTAAGCAAACACGGATCCTCAGGCCGCACTGGAGATAAGCCGGTCATCTGAACTGGAAAGTTTGTAATTTCCCTGGTGGCCATTGGCTCCAATTGCAAAGGGGGGCGGGCTTGGCAAGTGAGCCCAGACCGGGTTATCTGTCGCTTGGAGGGCCCGTTAGTGGTCTGCCAAGCCGCCGTGGCGCTTGGCCTGCCACACATACCCCTTGGGCCTCAGCGAGTCATATCGCCTCGGGATTAGGGTTAGGTGAGGGTATACAGCGACATTTTCATTATTCCCGCATAGAACATCATGCGATTCCTAAGCATACACACAGAAAGAAAAAGAAAAAAAAAAGCTCTGTTATGCACGCTCTGCGACATGCGAAATCTGAAGTGGACCAAACTCAATGCACCCCGCGACGGGAGTGGGCCCTGAGATTTGGGGCCATTCAATTCCCCGATGCCAACCGATTTGGGAACCCCAGTCTCCGATGTCTTGGCATAGTACTTCGGCTTATCATTTTTTGGAAATTTGAACTATGAGAAACCGGACACGTATTCCCTGCTGTATACAGTAGTGAGCTTGGCTTTATTGCCCCAGGGGTGGATTGAGACTTTCGTGAGGTGTTGAGATATGTGCACGTGGTATCACACAGCCCTACTGTATCAAGATACTTGCCGATTGCGGAATGTCTGCAACGAAGCCTTGTACATAGTCCGCCAAGATCCACTACCATTCACGCATTCGGTGACTCCGCACGGTGTATTTTCGGCTGGTGAATAATAGGAATATGTGTACCCCAGAGAAAAAGATTCTGTCAAGCCTTGGCTTTTCCAGCTTATCTCGCTTCCTGTTCGCTTGTTTTGTACGTTTCTATTAATTATATTTATCTCGTCCGTGCCCCATTCTCGATCCTGATCCTGGTGTCTCTTCCTTTATCTTTGGCTGACCGGGGGGGCCAGGATTTCTCGGCCCGTTTGACACTCTTGCTCATCTCACCCGACGTGCCGACTTGTTCTCTGGCGAGTGCTTTTTAAAGTCTCCCGTTTTCCCCCTCTTCCCTGCAGTCCTAGTCCTGTCACACCTCCCCTCCATTCCAACTCTCAACCCGAGATTCCCTTCCACACCTTGCTGGACGCAGTGCCCAGGTGGCAGCCATGGCGGTGACGGATCTTAAGAACGAGGGCTTCTCTGAGGAGAAGACTGTGGAGAAGAAACTCAGCGGCGACGATGTCGGCGCGGCCGAAATGGGTGGACTCTCCAACCCTGAACATGTTGACCTGCATCGCGCTCTCAAGGCGCGCCATATTACTATGATTGGTACGTGACTGGCGACATCCCACAGCAAGATACACAGCTGACAGCCTACCAGCCATCGGTGGAGCAATTGGTACGGGTCTGATTATTGGAACGGGTGAGGCTTTGGCCAAGTAAGTTGAAGCCCGTATTTACAAGTGATGCAAGGATGAAACTAACCGTCTCTGTTCTTAGGGCTGGCGTAAGTATTTCCAACAGACACCGCATGACTGTCCTTTCTAACTCAATCGCAGCCTGGTGCGATCTTCATCTCATACACGTGGACCGGTTTCATCGTGTACCTGGTTATGTGCGCTCTCGGCGAAATGGCAGCCTGGCTGCCTCTGCCGTCTGGTTTCACTGGTTACGCCGTTCGATTCGCTGACCCTGCTCTTGGATTTGCTCTTGGCTGGACGTGAGTGGCAGATGCAAATAACGACTTGAGAATAATTACTGACTCGGATGAACAGGTATTGGTTCAAATATATCATTCTATCGCCCAATCAGTTAACAGCAGGAGCGCTCGTCATATCATATTGGATTCCCACAGAAAGGATCAACGCCGGTGTATGGATCACGATCTTCCTCGTAGCGATCGTCTGCATCAACTACTTCGGTGTGCGATTTTTCGGCGAATTCGAATTCTGGCTCTCGTCCTTCAAAGTGATTGTCATCCTTGGTATCATCCTCCTGTCCTTCATCCTCATGCTCGGTGGCGGACCCGATCACGACCGCAAGGGTTTCCGATACTGGCGCGAGCCTGGGGCTTTCAACACGTACATTGATGAGGGTGCAGCGGGTCGATTCTACGCCTTCTGGTCCACCATGGTGTCCGCTACTTTCGCATACCTCGGTACAGAACTGGTCGGTGTGACCGTCGGCGAAGCCCAGAACCCGCGCCAGACGATCCCCCGTGCAATCAAGCTGACCTTCTACCGAATTGTGGTCTTCTACGTGGTCAGCGTGCTGCTCGTCGGCACGCTGGTTCCCTACGACTCGCCCAAGCTGGCCTTCGCCGTCAACTCGAGCAGCTCGGCGGCGGCCTCGCCCTTCGTCGTGGCCGTCGAGCTGGCCGGCATCCCGGTCCTGTCGCACATCCTCAACGCATGTATCCTACTGTTTGTGTTCTCAGCCGCCAACTCGGACCTATACATCGCCACACGCACAATCTACGGCCTGGCGCGCGAGGGCAAAGCGCCCAAGATCTTCGCTCGCACCGACCGCCGCGGCGTGCCAGTCTACGCGCTGGGCATCTGCTCGGTGATCGCGCTGTTGGCTTACATGAACGTGTCCAGCGACTCGAAAACAGTGTTCAAGTACTTCGTCAACCTGGTCAGCATCTTCGGGCTGCTGACCTGGATCTCGATCCTGATCACGCACATCTGCTTCGTGCGCGCGCGCAAGGCTCAGAACGTCCCCGTCGAGAGCCTGGCCTACAAGGCACCGCTGGGCGTTGCAGGATCGTGGGGTGCACTGATTTTCTGCATTATCGTCGCGCTCACCAAGAACTACGACGTCTTCACGCACAACCCCAAATGGGGCAACTTCGACTACAAGAACTTCATCACCGCTTACCTCGGTATCCCGTTGTACTTTATCCTTATTTTTGGGTACAAGCTTGCTACGCGCTGCAAGATGGTTGAGCCCGCTACTGCGGATCTGTGGACAGGCAAGGATGCTATTGACCGTGAGGAGGCCTTGTTTGTGGCGCAGAGAGATGCCGAGATGGAGAAGCATTCCCAGTCGCACTGGTTCTACCGCAAGTTTGTGGCCTGGCTCTTCTAGGATGTGGTGGAAGATTGTCTGCGGTGGAATGGATAACGTGTTCAATGGGTTGCCACGGGTTTAGTGGTCATGGAATGATGATTAAAATCTGCTAGATTCAATAAACGTATGAGATATGGATTTCAATCAGTATAGAAACTATGAATGAAGTTGACTATGCACCTGGTATCAGTATTTCTTTCTAATCTATGCATCATTAGATTTATTCTATGATCTTATCATAAATCTGGGGCACAGCAGGATCAGAGATGCTCATTCTCTTACCCAAATCGGGAATAGCGAGCCCCAAGTGGGGATTCCTATCGCATGTGGGGGTTGATAACAATGACATTTATGCTGTGCTCTCTTTCTGACGTTTCCCTTCACATACGTCTGAGAATATTGCTTGATATCTTCGTTCAGTTTTTTTTCCTTCCAGTATTGACACCAATGCCCAAATCCCAAATCCCAGGCAAGAAACCAAGGCGAGTCAAAGGTATATCTTTCCACATCCTTAACAATCAGTCTTGATCCTTATAGGACTTCTGTCTATGATGCTACAACTGCTCCCAGTGTCGCATCAACTGTGATTGTGGCACTCCCGTGTGCCAGAAATGCATCAAAGCAAATATGCAATATTTTAGGCTGGGGGTGTGGTATCGATTCAATGAGGGCGTTGCTTCGAGAGGGAAACTGGCTGGTCGGGCTATTCCCATGCCGGAATCAGAGTACATGTGCTTCTCGAGTGCTTTCTTTTTCCTTTCCCTTTTCTTCGCTAAGAGGCGCTTTCCTTTGAGTGATTCAAGTCAATCACCCACCAAAGGGAATCATCCGGGTCTCTAGAACATGATCCGCTATATACTCTGGACCACATCGACCAGCAGTCCAGATTCCTTCTCCAATACTGCAAGTTTTACCGTTTTTTTTTTTTTTTTTTTTTTTTTTTTGCTTAAAAAAAGATCTAACAATAACCAGTCTCACAGAAAGTAGCCCCAGCCATGGTAGCCATCAACATCGCCTTTAATGGCTACCGTGGTCTGATCCTGCCTATAATAGGAAAGACAAAATCATCCGGAACGCGGTACTAGCAGTATCCTCTTCTCATACTTCTTGTATCACGCTTAATGAAAAGATATTGCATCGAAGTACCACATGGCCGCGATCCAATGCTTGAACCAGCGAACCAATCAAAAAGAAAATACTGGTGAACGTATCGCACATTCAAGTCTGTATACGATAGTCTTGCTAGTTGTTGATCGAGAAAATGGTTTCTGTGGGGAAGGACTTCCAGATCCTACTGCGGGTGGTGCGAAGTTTTGTTGAGTCCCAGGGTGGGCCGGAAAGCATTGAGGAGAAACCTCTAGGGAGATTTCTCATGCAGCAAATACAAAAGTGTGTATCCCTCTTCCGCAGAGCAAAGGGAACTCTATCTTAGCCCTTTTCATGAAAGGATGGTGGGCAGTGGATAATATACCATTTTTTTTTTTGGTCTGCTGTTTCCACGATCCTATCAGCGTGTGGTATGATTGAATGCGATTAACATACTTACCATTCTTGCTCGTTTTTGTTTTCTGGAGGTTTGTTGGGTCTGCCATGATAGTCAAATCCGACATTGGGATAGCTTGAGTTGTCACACTAGGAGAGTTCAGAGAATGGCATTAAAAGTCCGTAGAATCAGACTACATGATAAATCTATATTTTATATTATCTGGTCCTGGAGCAGCGCGAAAATACTCTACTTCGAAATCAATGCAAGCACCTCTCATTCCGCCTGATCCCCTCACTCTGGCAATCACTCGCAGCATACTTCCTCCAACCAAGCCAATGAAATTGTTTATCCATTGATACACCAACATCATCCTGTGTTTCCGTTGGTACGATAAGACTATAAAGAACTTGTATAACCTCAGAACTATATAATCATAACTCCTCATTGTCCTAAACAGCAGGTGGTGAAGATAAAGTTGTGCGGGGAAGCTGATGTTGGAGATAAAACTCAATTATTCCTAAACAGGGAGCTAAAGTGAGCACCTTATCGTCATGCCCGCGTGAGTCCTGTCAATGGTCACCACTGGCAATATCGCTCCAACTAGAGGCAAGAACAACGTGGTCAGGGTGGGAAGATGTGATGGCATCACACATTGGCCCGTCTGGCCCATGTTTTTATGCTTCAGTTTTGCCTTGAGCCTTCTTTTCTTGATCTCCAAGCTGCGACAAAATGCCTGCATTTCTTCGCCTAGCACTCGAAGAGATGTCTGTGCTAATACTGAGCCGACATCCTATCCCCCAGTCACGCCCCTCCCAGACTTTGATTGGGAAAAGAAAGAACCCTTGAAACTGCGGCCTTTCAAGTCAGAAATACCACCTGACAATGAGTGTGTGGCAGAGGAATCATATTGTACACCTCCAGGAACCAAGCTAATTTGAGTCCATGCATCCAGGACGTGTCCGTTGATGACCTGATTGAGATGGACAAAAACTATCTGCAACGAATTACACTTCGCAGGAGAATCATGAAGGAGCATCCCGAGACAGTTCTAGCCGCTGAGAAATGTGTCAAGTCGTCGACAGACGACTTTTACGTCTGGCTCGTCGGGGCTTATCTTCCTACTCGGTCCCCTCGCATGTTCACTTTGACTCAGGAAGAGAAAGAGAAGCCATCATCTATCCACAACCTTGTCACAAATGAGACATTTTCCCTCTGTCCAGCAGATAATCCCCTTGATACTCTTCGAATCCTCAGTGGTCTCGTCGAGGACGACCTTCTCTTCTTACTGCCTTCCGATGATGGAGGCGGTTACATGCTCAAAGGCTTTGTGAGCTGCTTTCCAAATGGCTTCAACACTGCGACCAAATTCAATCTCGAGCTGCGAGATATCCATACACCTATTCCTCAGTATAGGGAGAAACTCGAGAAAAGCATGGACCGATACTTCGAGAAGCTTAAAGCAGGCAAGTTCATACAGCGCGCTAATGTCCGTGGCTCTCTCAGAGACTCTTAAACCCTCAAAATATGGCCATTGCGCTTACTTGGGGACAGTGGACGATAACAACCACCGACCATCTATTCACGGTATCTGGCACCCACCTGTGCGAAGGAGAAGCTATTCCGCAAGAGGATATTAATATCGACACTGTATGATAAGACCGATGAGACCGCTTTCCCACCTCCGATATAATTTCATAACATTATTGTCCTTGGCCCGCGTTCGCTGCGAAAGACAATCCCTGCATCGCCTTCCCCAGAGCCGTGCAATACTGTTTTCTTTCAAGACCTATCTCTACAGCCTGCCGGAGATCAAGGACGAAGGATTCGGCGAGATACTGGCTCAAGCCATTGACGGACTCAAAGAGGGAAACGCACCAGCGTTCCTTTTCTATAAGCGGGCAGTAGTCTCGGGGGGGTCTGCAAAAGCTTACCTTCGGAGTTAATTCGCGGTCATCATTGTCTGTTACGACTCTAAAAAGATTTCCAAGGCTGCACAAGTACTGGTTGCAAACCAGTGAAATGAAGGAATCTCACTCGCATCTTATTCTCACAATATCTAGAGCTGTTTATATTCGCACTTCCAAGACACAGCCAAGACTCCCAGGATGTAGACAATTATAGCCAATCAACCGATTCAAAGTGTTTAGCTTGCCAATGCGACAGGAAGAAATCCATGACTCGCAGGGTTTCATTTCGGGTCAAGCTGCAAGTCTTCTCGCGAGGCCATCAACTGTGGGTCCACTAGTAGGTAAAGGATTCATGAACCTGAAACTATCAAGACCGCTATTGGCTCTGCAACAAGGAATAAGGGGATGGTCTGCGTGGATTGTTTACCCCATTCGGTGATCGACCATGATAAGCAGAATCCAACATCAGCGCTGTCTTGTGAAGTAGAGAGCCTTCCGCTCCCAAGGGTGTTTCGTGGCGAATAGAATCATGCATGAATATTTGGTCTCGCCAAATGCGAGGGATGCACCGGGAAAGGTCAATCACTACCAACCCCATCTACGGAGAAACCCCCCTATCAACCAACGTGGGAAAGCATTCCAAGAACAAGCCGCATTCACGATGATCGACACTCGCGGGGCTGGCATCAGTCAGACTCTGTCGGGCCCCCACTCAGGCTGCCCTGCTCTCCAGCCTGGAATTTGTCCCCCCTTATCGAGGGTCCACTTTGCGCGAAGTAGACTTGGGGCCAAGACATGTTCGTGGTGCAGGGGCCGGCCCCCAACGCGATACTACCAAATTCTCCCATTGCCTTATGGTCTCCATTCTCCAAACTCTATTGAAAGAAAAAGAGAGAGAAAACAAAAGAAATAAAAAGAAATAAAAAGTAAGGAAGGAAGAATAATTCCCTGATCGTCGTTTGTGCTTGGCTGCAAGGCATAGGGTTCCTTCGGAGAGATCGCAACGCAACAAACCCTAACTCGATCGTTCTTCTTCTCTTCTTTTTCCTCCCCGGTGCAACAATCCTACCCTAAGAACCTTCCTGCTCCTTTGGTCGGGCGTTCGTGGATCGCAAATTCGGAATTTGGCCCCATCCCCTTACAATCCCACACGTGCTGGGCTGAGCTCCCGCCTTTCCCGCGAGCTCTTCTTTTCTTTTGCTTCTTCTTCTTGCCTCGACTTCCTCGCCGGCTTGTCACTGTTCACACGCGAGCAGCCATTAGCCATTATGGACAACCAGAAACCCAACGCCGGGATCGATCTCGAGGAGATCGGCGAGCGGGAAGGCTATGTGCTGAACGACACCTCGCTGATCCAGGACAAGGGCCTGCAAACGACATCCGACGGAACGACCATCCTCATCCCGCAGCCCAGCAGCTCGCCCAATGACCCGCTGAACTGGAGCGCGTTTCGCAAGCATCTGATTCTGATTATTATTTCGTACACGGCGTTCTTGCCCGACTATGGGAGTACGACGGGATCGGTGACCTTGAACCCGCAAGGAGAGTAAGTTTGTGTCTTATTCAGTGTTGAATTATATTCTTGGATGAGACTGGTCTGACCGCTGCGATTGCATAGGGAGTGGAAAATGGACCCGAACGTGGTCAATCACTCGCAAGTCGGGAATGTTTTCATGGTCGGTGCCGCAGGCCCAATCGTCGTCGCGCTGTCGGCGTACTTTGGTCGATACCCGGTTCTTTTCTGGTGGATGCTGCTCTCGCTGGCCACGGCCATTTGGTGCACTGCAGCGCTAGGCTTCGAGTCGTTTATGGTGGGTCATATATACTGCCAAGGTATCATGATACAAGGATGTTCCATGGGGCTGACATACCTCGGTGCAGGCTGCTCGCATCCTCAACGGCTGTTTCTCAACCGTCGCCCAAGGCGTGAGTATTACCTACAGATTTCAGATGAAACACCAATTAACATCGCAACGCAGGGTGGTCTGATGTTCATCAAAGACATGTTCTTCTTCCACGAACACACGCGCAAAATCAACATCTGGTCCGGCTTCGTGATTCTCTCGCCGTACATGGGCCCGTTGTTCGCGTCGTTCATCACCAACACCCAGATCTGGCAGTGGGCGTTCGGTGTCTACACCATCCAGACGGGTCTGGCTGTGATTGCGATTATGCTCTTCGTCGAGGAAACCTACTACGACCGCAAGACCGTGCAGCCCGAACTCGTGCCCAACGGCCCGCGCTGGCAGCGCATGCTGGGCATTCAGCAGTGGCGGACTGGGTACATCAAGAACACATTCACCGAAGCGATGATGCGGCCCCTAGTCATCATCTGCAAGCCTGTGGTGCTGATCTCGGTCGTGTACTATCTGCTGGTGTTTGCATGGGCAGTTGGCATCAACACGACGCTGTCGATCACGCTACCGCCCGTCTATGGATTTGGACCCAAGCAAATCGGTACGTCCATCCCCACCGTTTTAATACAGGTGGAAAAAAAAGATCATAGATGGTACTAACAAATTTTCTCAGGCTTCTTCTACTTCACCCCCATCGTCGCCGTCATCCTCGGCGAGATCGCCGGCCACTGGCTGCACGACCTCCTCGCCAAGTACTTCGCGCGCCGCAATGGCGGCCGCATCGAGCCTGAAGCCCGTCTCCTGGCCATCTGGTTCTCGATGCCGCTCATGGTCCCGGGCCTGATCCTCATGGGCTTCGCGCTGGAGCGCCACTACCACTACATGCTGGCGGCGTTCGGCTGGGGGCTGTTCGCGTTCGGAGTCATGGTCCTAACCGTCGCCATCAACGCGTACGTGCTCGACGCGTACCCCGAGGCCAGTGGCGAGGTCGCGGCGTGGATCAACTTTGGACGCACGACTGGCGGCTTCATCGTCTCGTATTTCATGGTTGAGTGGGCGCAGCGCCAGGGCACGATTCGCCAGATGGGGACCATGTGTGGGGTTGTTGTTGGTGCTTTTTTGCTGATTGTGGTTCTCCAGATCTGGGGGAAGAGGATGCGCGTTTGGGCTGGGCCGGCGCGGTTTAAGACTGGCTAGATGAGTTGAATGACTTCTTGTGTAAGATGAAAGGGGTTGTCAGTGAGGGCATATATAATTGGGACAGCCAAGACTTTGGGGGCTGTGTTTGTTTATGAGATATATAATTCACGAGGCCTCGGATATTTGGGGATTTAGATTATTATTATTATTTTTTTCTTAGATTTTTTGTTGCTACTATTGAGAATTGGATTGATGCTGCAAACTAGATACTTCGACTGGAATCTCCAAATCTAGACAGCGCTATCAACAGGTAGTTGCAATTGTCCATTTAAACACCCACCTTGGACCTTCGATGAGGATCTTTCTTAGTACATAGCCCACCTCTCATCGTCTAGTCTCAAATCTCATATGAGAAGCACGTCAAATCGGATTTTCGCGATTCATTCCCAGACTATATACAGTGCCAACACTATAAAACCCCGAGCCCTGGTTGTATGATAACCTCTGGGTCGGTCATTTATAACCCGCCGTCCTTGCAGCCATGCAGCTTGCAACCCACCACCCCAGGTTCTGTTGGTACAATCGAGACCCCCCGACCACGATGAGCCTTTTTCGTGGTCGTTTCCCAAGCTCTTTTGGGGAGAGAGGGGGAAGCCTTGTTTTGTTTTGGTGATTTTTCCTCTCCGTAGCCGATTTAAACAGATCAAGTGAGTTAAGTGGGTAAAGGAGTGAGAGATCGCATGAGAAAGATCGCGAGAGAGTAAAAGAGTCGGAGTAAAACAGGGACAGTCCCAGTGACAGAGCTGTGATGATTGAATCCCATACAGAGTCTCCATAATCAAGACGCTGAAATATGTTCTGCTAAATCTCCCACGGATCGACTTCCCACTGTGTCAGTCTGGGAACCGTGCAAGATCCGCAGAAGAATAATTGATATCATTGGTTGGCGACTCTTTTTGAGCCAGGTGTACGGAGATATCCGTTTTGAATCTTCCCTGTAGTGTCCTTGGAATATTGCATTCTTGGAGATGTGGGAGAAAGAGGGTCGCGCGGCCAGACAACAGTAGGCGTAAGTGCATCATATGCAAGAGTCGGGTCCATTGGGCGTTGTCTTGTCCGGAACTCTCTTTGGAGCTTGCGAATGGCATCAACAACAGCCCATGTAAAGACTTCGAAACACACAGCTGCTCGCAGTGCTCACCGTGGGCTTATGTGCTGTATCCGTCGGGTTGAGTTCTCTTGTCCAAGCGAAAGATGGATTCCAGGTGTCTGCGAGCAGACTGGCCTGTGGCATGGAGGGTAATTTCCCTCTTTTCCGGATCCCCCAACGGGATCTTCAGCCCCCGACAGTCTCCATCGCAGCAGTCAAGTCGACATGGACATGGAAGAGGACAGAATGACAATGCCCATTGTGAGAGTGACGCGGGGAAACCTCGCGTGAAGGTGAGGTGACGGGAATAGGATTCCCGGTCGACGAAGATAGAAGTAGAGAAGCCGTTGCTCCTATCATGTTCAAATTCCTGCTTCTTATATGGCACAACTAAACACATTGCTTGAAATGAAGCAGAACTAGTAGACTAACGAGATCATTATCGTTCCCAAGATATTTCAGTAACTAGTGGTTGTCATCATGAGAGAGAAAGAAGGCAATATTTACATGACATTATCCAAGGGTGGGGCGGTCAAAGAGGTCAAGAAACAAGGGCAGTGGCAGCTACGCCAATGGTTTTTGACCCCCAGAGCCCTCGAAGCTTGAGCTGGACGTCTTCTCGCCCCAAACGAACTTGCCAAAGGTCAACACTGCCTGGAAGATCTCCTGACCCGTTGGGACAATGTATTCTGGAGGAACCAAGAATCCATAGCTTCCACGATCGCGCAGTTTGATCTGGTACGAGTATGTGGCATGCAGCTTGTAATAGAACCAGTCCAGCGCACTACCACCTGAACTCACACCGGCCGTAGCGCCGGACGGAAGGATCCCTTCACAGGCTGAAGTCACATCGTAGGACTCCCGAGAAGATTGTCGGATGGCCTTGGCCAGTCCCAGTGCTAGTTCTTCCAGACTCTCAAGAGTGGGAGGAACCGAGGAGCAGCTGTATGAGTAGGGATAGAGGATTTGCTGAGAATATGAATGCAGGTCCAAGAAGCCTACAATATCTGCATGCCCATTCGCCGTTTCGTTTTGGACCCACTGTGCCAGGCGGTGAGATTCTAGCGCTTCAAATGGCTCCGCGCCTGCGTAGTTCTCAGAGCACGGATTCGAGCGGGTTGACTCGCCATCCCACTCGAAATCCCAGGCACGATCGAGGTCCACACCAGGGCACAGTGGCAGGCCCGTTGGCTGCCGGTTCTTGCGCCAGAGACGATCCGACGTCCACGAGTAAACATACCCATCTGGGTTGAGGGTCGGCACCAAAACCCAGTCATACTCATTCAACAACCGAGTAACCGCGGCTGACTGGCCATACTCGGTGATGAGACTGTATGCCAAATAAGTTACGGTCGATGTGCCAATCCATTCTCGCGCATGAGTGCCGCCAACCACGACGATTGTCTTGCGCGGCCCTGAGTTTGGGGCTCCTGGGTTTGGGGAGGCTGCGCCTAGTCGCAGGGCGGGGATGTCACGCCCTTCGTACGAGACTCCGACGCTCACCATGCGCGCGTGTGAGGCGAACATTGACGCCATGAGGCGCATCCATTGCACAATGATGGGCAATGGCTGATACTCGCGGAAGAAGAGATCACCAGACACCGCCGTTCTTCTTCCACCGGATACAATTCCCGATTCGAAATCAAGTGGGGCATGGGGACGCTTTGGATACGTAGCGTAGATCATCTCCGCCAGGTCGTCCATGAGAGGCGTGTAGGCTGTTCGCAGGGATGTTGGGAGTAGTTCCAGCAAGGAGGGTATCTATTTCCGGGAGCATAGAACATCAGTGGAATTCGGCATGGGGTAACGACAAGAACCACACACCATTGCATCTGCCAGACGAATATCAACATAATTAGACGTTACTGCCCAGACGTCCAGTAGCAGGACCTGCGACGCCGAGCTTAGAGCTTGTGCCTCGTCCGGGTGATCCAGATGAAATCGAAGTACGACATCATTCCCATATCGATCGTAGACGTTGGATGGCGGAGAGATCTGCTTTGGAGAGGAATGGGTGACATCCCAGACAGATTCAATAATCCAATCGCGGAGTCGGGTCCATGGGCGCCGTGGGTCTGAGGGTTGAGTGAGGAGCTGGATGGGTTGGAGTGGCGGAGGTGGGGTGATACTGGAGCCCGCGGGAATGGCAAAGGTGGGTGATAAAAAGGCCGAGACGGCCAAGAGGACAGGCAGGACACGCATCACGATGACTGGAGAGATATTGGGATTGGCGATGCGGGGAAGATAAGCCACGAAGAGAGGCCTCGGATCAAGCCATGATTGGGATGGAAGTCGTGTCAAGGATCATAAGAGATCGTAAAATTAAGTAAATGGTGAAGATACCATGTGCCCAGGATATGGAGATGAAAGAGGCAGAGAGCGTGTGTAAGAGAGAGAGAGCAAGGGAGAATGAGAAAGGCGCGGGCCGAGTGCTACGTCAGTTGGCCACCCCGTGCCACCGGCTATACAAAGACGCCGGAAGCGTGCAAATGAACCAAATCCAAGAAAAAGCTATTCCTGCTTGTCATACCTATCCTGATCCTGGTAAATGTCTCATTCGCATCGTCTTCGTAGACACTTTTTTTTTTTTTTTTTTTTTTGCTCTCAGTTTCAACAGAGAGTCCTTTGCTCCAAGTCCTTCCAACTCGCTCAGGTCATTTTTATCCCCCGGAAACTTGGCTGCCTTGCCCCTCGGTAGTATTCATTCTGCAATCCACGGAAAAAGAAGAGAAGAGAAGAAGAAGAAAGCTCAAAATAACGAAAGAGAGAAAAGATCGCAGTGGCGTTGACCATCCCACCCCTTTCCCGTGTTCCCCTTTTTCGCAGGCTGACGACGGACCTCCACCTCTCCGATCCCGCGTTCTGGAACTCTCCACCATCGCCATGTCCATCCTGTAACTTCACCTCTACTCTTCTTTTCCCATCAATCTTGTGCGAGCATTTGTTTGGATGGGTTGAGCTGTGGTTTCCTATCTAGCTTGGACTCGCTCCGTCCTTTCGCAGCCATGCATTGGAAAGGCCTACGGCTTGTCCCTGATGGCAGCTCTAAGAGGCAGAGCACTCTTGATCCCTACGCGCAGTCTCGTCGCAGTGAACACCTTCCTCGCCCCTCTCCGCCGGCCACCGAACCGAGACTCTCGGAGTCGACCACTCGATTGCCGGGTCTAGCTGAGCCAGATGGAACGAGTACCGCGTTGCTGGGGCTGGAGGTGCCAGAGAATGGCCAGCCCGATGGAGTAACCTGCACGGATTTTGGAAGCTCATCAGCTGGAGACACGTCCAGTGTGCTTCGAAACCGATTCAGCTTCATGAGACTACGCCACGCATCCGATCCACAACTTTCCAAGACCTATGCCAAGGACCAGGATACGGTTCCTCCGGTGCCTTCTTTGCCGCGTACGTGATCGGGCAACATGCTTTCAGCCGGTGCAAGTTCACGACTAACCTTTCTTATTGATCCCATAGCTCCGAAAATCATCACTACCGCACCTACAAGTAACCAGCTCGACCAGCCGGTCAAACAACGCCACAAGCTCAGGCTCCTACCGATATCACGAAAGCATTCCATGGAGGAATTGCCCCGTAAATCCACCGAACAGTCCACTCCCAAACCTAGCAGAAGAAACCAGGGATCAACCGATTCCCACATCGCCGAGTCCAGTCTGTCGACTTCTCAGGGGAGCATGGATGAACCCGGCCGACTTTCCACAACGTCGCTGCGAAGTGGGGGGCGAGATCAGCCCAATGATCCTCACCGCGTTTCCGTGATCGATCCCCGATTCTCCGAATCCTCGCGGTCGGACCAAAGCTATGGCGATCAGGCGGCATACCGAACCAATTCCCCCGCGATGGACATGGGTCCACCTCCAACGTCAAGCGTTTCCGTTTACCTCGTTTGAAACGGCACCGCAGCCCCCTCTTCCCGTTGCCTCCCAAACTACCACCGCCGGCAAATTGCGGAATCGGCGCCGGACCCAGATTCCCCCAGCAGACACCCCGAAATCCGAGCACTCGGATGAACTGGACCATGTCTCGCCTCTTCCCTCACCATCCCGCTCCTCGGTTGGACTGTCTGCGACGGGTGCGCCGCCGTTGTCTCGAAATGATTCCACCAACTCCGCCCGCTCTTTACACTCTAATCCATCGCACCAGGGCCGAGGGAGATCGTCCACAATGGGATCGCTGGCCGAGAACCAGGAAGACTTGTCTCCAGTGCCGTACCTGGCCTCCTCAGGGCGCACGTCCACCTCCACCAGCGGTCGGAAGAGCTTTGGAGATCTGTTCAACATCACCCAGCGGCTGAGGCAAAATTCAGAACCGCCGATTCCTCGCAATGCGTCTCCCGGTTTGGGTGGTGCATCCACTCCCATCTCGAAGCCCGAACCTCCGCCCTGTCCCGAACGTCAAGATGATGATACACCGGCCGCCTATCTGGCCCGGTTGGAAGAAAATCTTCCCCGGGGCATGGTCGCCGGGCCATTATGTCAATCCCCCGATGAATTCTTCAAAATTGCTCTTCGGAAATACATGAGAGGATTCGCATACTTTGGCGATCCCATTGACATGTCCATTCGCAAGCTTTTGATGGAGGTGGAGCTTCCCAAAGAAACACAGCAGATTGATCGGTTCCTGCAGGCGTTCGCTGATCGCTATCACGAGTGTAACCCGGGAATTTTTGCATCCACTGGTAGGACTATCTTTTCCGCGCTATGGCGTCCACTTTCCTTGCTGACATTCTTACAGACCAAGCATATTTTATCGCCTTTTCAATTTTGATCCTCCACACCGACGTTTTCAACAAGAACAACAAACGCAAGATGCAAAAGCCCGATTACGTGAAGAACACACGTGGTGAGGGCATCTCGGACGATATCCTCGAGTGTTTCTATGAGAACATTTCCTACACCCCTTTCATTCATGTCGAAGACGCCAATCTTCGCGAACGACACCTCGCAAAACCCCGTCGAACCCTCTTCAAGAGTACCAGTTCCGAACACCTGCCGCGCGTTGCGCGAGAACCGGTTGATCCCTATACCCTGATTTTGGATGGTAAAGTCCAGTCCCTACGACCCAGTCTAGGGGATGTCATGGATCTGGACGACACCTACAACCATTTCGGCACTGCGGGGCCGCCAGATATGGACGATCTTCATCAAGCCTTCACCAAGTCCGGAATTTTGCAGATTGTGTCTCTGCGCTCCCGGCCCGATGCGTTCATGCAAGCAAGTCTTGACAACCCCGCCGAGTCAAATCCGGGGCTGGTCGACATCAAGGTGGCCAAGGTTGGACTGCTTTGGCGGAAAGATCCTAAGAAGAAGAGGGCGCGGTCACCGTGGCAGGAGTGGGGTGCTATTCTCACTTTCTCGCAGCTCTACTTCTTTCGCAACGTGACCTGGGTACGCTCACTGATGGCACAGTACGATGCTTATGTGAAGAACGGGCGCCATGGAACCCTGGTTTTCCGGCCACCTCTTGCGGACTTCAAGCCGGATGCCATCATGTCTACAAACGACGCGGTTGCCTTGATGGACACAAGCTACAAAAAGCACAAATACGCATTTATGTTCGTCCGGCATAACGCGCTGGAAGAAATTTTCCTCGCGGGCACCGACGGCGAAATGAATGACTGGATCGCCAAGCTCAACTACGCTGCAGCCTTCCGGACCACTGGTGTGCGCACCAAGGGTATGATTGCCACCAATTACGAAGGCCAACGGTATCGCACGAGTCAGCGGATTAGCTCTATCTCTTCACTCAAGTCACGTCAATCAATGGACAAAGAACCTCCTTCCCCCAGCATTGACACTGACATTGTGGCCGAGTTTGTTGCCGCGCGACGGCAGCTGATGAGCCAAAAGGTGCGCGAAACAAATGAAAAGCTCTTGATCTCGCAGAAACAGTTGGATGAGTTGCTGCAGAATGCTCGACACTTGCAGATTCTGACCCCGGTCCATCCCCGGGCACGGGAGGGCGTCATAATGGCTGCGGGGCGCATGTCGGCCAAACTTAAATGGATCAGACAGGATATTTGGCGGAACAAATGTTACCGCGAAGTTCTCCTTCGAGACTTGGGAGAGGATGAAGAGGAATTCGAAGGCAGGACAGGGTCGGTGGTCGATCAACCACCACCCACTGTCGGTTCAATCCGGCTGGCTTCCACCTCTGGACCTTCGGTGACTTCCGAGCCCAGCGTGGGTCGAGCCCCCAGTGTTATACATACAGCTTCAAGTCACGATACGACCGAGCCAGCTGCGCCATCTGTCGACCGGCCTGTCGAGCATGGCTTGCTTACTCAACTCTCGGTTGGTGACATGCGACGCCCAAGCATCCCTGCATCTACCACCTCGGCCGATGTGGCTCGCGCTGGACGGCGGCTCTCTGCTGGTGGTATTCAGGAACGCGCCAAGTCAACCTCCCCCGACCCTAAGACTATTCAACTGGAACGTGAAGCCTCGGTGCTGAGCCGTGGCAGCCGGCTTGACGAAGTTAGTCTCGGCTCGCGAGGCTCCAAGCTGACATCTCCCGCCAGCTATGATGACGGCGAGGAGCGCCTTCTGAGGGATGCTGGCTTATTGGATCTCGGTGGTTCGTCTCCCTCGCGCAACCCCGCCATCGCCGTATCCGATGAAGGGGCCGACAGCAAAACCGATGGGCCATCTGAAATGCCCCAAGGCGACATGCCGAGTCGGGTACGTCGCAGTCTTCACCGGACTTTGCGCGACTCGCACCACGGTCATGGACACCACTCTCGTGGAAGGAAGGGCCGGGAGTCTGTTTCCAGTACTGGGTCTCTTGATGACAACAGAAACTCCCAAGAGGGCGAAGTCTTGCCTCGCAAAGCACCCAGCTTTACCGTTCACGGCAAGAAAGCATCGATTGTCACCTTTGGGTCCGAGTGGCAGAATATGCCCCCTGAGGAGCGTCTCAAACTGCGGAAGCCCACACCATCGGAGGAACCGCGGGCCTCAGATCCTGCTATTATCGCGGGCGGGGAGACTGCATCTGATCGCACCCCAGGCCGGGCTCATTCCTTGTGTAGTACAAGCACCACTACTGGACTCAGCCTTGGCACTCATGACGAGCCGGCCGATTTCAAAGATGCCGCTGAAGAGTTACCCGTGGAGGACTCAGACCGGCCACTGCCTCAAGTCACAGCTTCGGTCCCGGATCCAGTCTTGGAGCAGTCAGAGACAGAAAATACACCCCGCTCTCCATCTCATGTGGCAATATACAATGGCCATCTCGCCGCGCCAGGCGACGACCGATCCACGTCAGCTTCATCCACATCTCTGAGCGAGCGAGTCATGGACACGCCATCTCAAGAGAACCTCCGACAACAAGCTGTGGGCGCATGATCCCATGTTCCTTTCTCCGCCGCCACCTCCGGCTTTTCTTTTTCCCTCTGTCTTCTTGACGTGTATAGCCTGACTCTTTCTGATCTGCCGGTTCACGAATTATTATACCCCCATTTTCAACTCTTGCGGCTCGTTTCCTCCCTATTTTCTCTGCCTCTGTTTTTCTGTTTTCCCTTGTCATTTACGATGTTGCATCCATGTCCGTGAGGATTTTTTTTTTTTTTTTTTTTTTGTGATAGGTTTCGGTTCGGGGTCTTGGGCAAGCATCTGTGTGCGTATGAAAGCTTGTGGCATTCTATTTTGTCTGTGGCATTATGCTGGGCATTCGGATATTGGGCGCATTCCACCTTCATGGACATTGCCAGCGCTGCTTGAGTATTGTGCCATCATCTTACGCAGGGGCTTGGGAAATGGGCTGTGTTAGACAAAAGCAGAATTATGATTGACTATCGATAGATGAGGTTTGTGTATACATCTTGTAGAATGTTTGGTAGGATCAGCATAGCATGGCCAATCTGTGCCGACTAACTATTTGAGAGACTGTCTACAAGGTTATTCGGTGCTTTTATCCCAACATCCACGTCTTAATTGGACATTGGATCTACCTGGGTGGTATATTAGGGTTGCCGTTGGAACTTGGCAAACTTGGTGGTTTCTCTCGCAGTGATCGTACTCTCAATGGTAGGGCAGCTATCCAGCAACAAAGAACCAATATCAGATTTCTCGGGTGTGCAAGTAGATTAGCACCATCCTCACCGAGTAGACAGGTAGCTAGTTCTCTTCCTCTCTTCTCTTAAACCATCCCTTCCGTCTTCTGCATTCACCCTTGACAGTAGCTTATGCAATCCCAGGCCTCTCCTGATGAATGTTGTCAGAAACCCCTCATTTTCACTGCGGAAATTCGGTGTTGGCGGCACCAGCGGCTACGGCGCTTGAACTTGGAAGGGGTCTTTCAAATTAAAAGAACACTTCTTGTTCCAAGACCGGTTCTATAGGCTTGTTAGCTTGATATACTCACATCAGTCTCAGTCATATCGCAAGGGGTCTTACCGCTGTGTAGAAGGTGTAGCTTTGTGGATTTCGAGGAGCCACGTTGTCACATTTCTCTTTCAACTGAGTGCATTCATATGCATCGTAAACCTCGTCATGCCCAATGAGGATGGGTCCCTGACTTTATTGCCATCATTCAGTCGGTTAAATCATAGATCGGTAGAATGCAAGGTAAAGGGGCTTTTATACTTACCCATATTCGTCCATTGCGGCGTCTCCAATCGACGGGCAATGGCTAATGAGATCGTGATGTCAGCTCATTCTCCGTTATATAGAAGTAGAGATGAAAAGAGAGTCCACCCACATAAGTTCATGCAACAATGTCCCCACTTGACCATCCAGGTCATTGTTCATTCGTTGGTCTTTAACTTTGTTGCAATCAGTGACTTGATTGTTTTTATTATGGTCGAACTGGTCTTTGCAGAAATGAATAAGACAGTTATTGTCCCCCATCTTCTTGCTATTTGCGCTCAACTTAACGCCTGCCCCTCTAAGTTTAGAAACAGTGGTTAAATAAGCCTCGACCCATCTGTTGGAGCAGATTTGAAGATAATCATTTCGGGAAATCCAGATCTTAGGGGCGTCGGTGTCGCGCTTCGACGATTTCGATGCAGAGTCTCGCTCCTTGATTTGGGCTTTCATGCGGTCGAAAACACTTTGCACAAGTGGACGTCCCCAGTCGCCATACCATCGGTCGAAGACGTCGTCGACCTCTATCTTGCCCACTAGATTTAAGAGATCAACGAGTTGCCCCCATAGGTTCTCGAAGTCGGTAATCTGGCTGGCGCTTTCTGGCCATCCGTCGTAGTAGAACGCCTTGCCCTCGACGTATCTCGCAGGGGGAGGGGGAGGAGGAGCGCGGCCTCGAGCGGAGAGAGCGTGCTGCGTGACGTTTGTGTATTCGTTTTGGCTATATTTGGTTGGTATCAGTTCAGTATGCCAATGGTTTTGTTTTCTCTTGGGGCATGCCGGGGTTCAAGCCACTCACCTAGGGTCCTGGATCGCTCGAGACGATACCATCGAGAAGAGCAAAAGCTCAAGAAACCACAGAACATGCATTAGGAAGGATGGTGCAGCTCTTCTGCTGCGATGTCGGGTAGTGTCTGGATTTAGGTCTAACAGAAAAGGTTGAGAGAACAACCTTGCTTCTTACTGATAAACGCTGTAATTACAGACCCTTATCCACTCCAAGAAGAGTCGAGCTACATATTATTGGGTAAAAAGTAGTGGATTCTAATTTCCATATATGTCTAGCAGTACATGGGTTGGGGGCCGTGCTTATGCCTCATATTTTTTAGTTGATTTGGGGCTGGGATGAGGCCAATGACATGGCCTTCAAAGAAGCGGCAGCCAGTGAGATGTAAGAAGCGGAGGAAAAGAAGATGAGAATAGAAAGACGAGAGTGGAGTTGGCCCAACCCCATACCAACACCAGAAATGAAGGAATCAGGTCTTGACTGAGCAAATTGAGCTCGAAATGTAAGCAAGAATCGTGGGAGAAAAAGATTACCCATTAACGAATTCCCCACAGGAATTGGCTCTTGTCTGATTTCGTCCTTGTGTCATGGATGTTACTATACGCCCTCTACCGGCTTCTACTGGATAGCCAAGTACAGGCTGGCCCTCAAATAATCGCCTTTCTACATACCGTAATCAGCGTGCAGTCTACTTTCTCGGGCCTAAATCGCACCAGGAACTAACCCCACAACCATGAGGACATTTTCTAGCTCAATGAGTAAATTCGTAGAGAAAGTGGCGAGAGAGTCTATGGTACATGATAGAAGATATATTTACAGCATACAGATCTAGATTTGGAAACTTGTTTATCCAAAGAAGAGATTTCAGATCATATAAATTTGAGAAAGGGCTTTTCGACGAAGCCCCTAAATAGTGTATGTAGGTCGTGATTTCGTCCCCGATGCATGTAATGATTCGCACCACATGGTCTTTTATACTATCCGGTGTTAATCTAGCATTACTTTAGCTCCAACAAGAAAAGCTGCGAGCTGCGTCCCCAAAAAGTATATATCAGATTAATTCTCAACCGTGGATATATTATTCTCCTCAAGAGACAAGACTAGCCAAGGGCAGGGGTCCCTAGCGCGCTTTCATTCATTATTCCAACACTACCACACAGGCAGGCTTATTTTATGATATATCCACTTGGACCCCTTTCGAGGGCTTCAGCCATCGAGAATCAATGCTGCCTATGTCAGCAGATCGTGTCCCGAATTCTGAGTCAGATTGCTGACAGGTATTTGTGTAGTGGGGGTACCAAACCCACATTGTCAGCTGAGAGCTTCGGCTATGTGTATATAGTTAGTCTGACCTCAAGAGCGATGGGATCCGCACGTACGGGACCGGTATCGAAAAATATGGCTCAAGGTTATATTTATAGTTTAACCGCTGAATTCTCAAAACTATGGTCCCTAACTCAGCTGATAGGGGGCCGCCCCATTTCGCGAGGTCACATACGTATATACAGTTTTTCATCCTGAGGCATAAATGGAGCCTTAGACATCAGGTGTATATCTGCCATCCACATGCTTCGTGGTCGAGCATATATCATAAATATTAGATAGACGACTAGACTTTTACTATTCATAGATTAAAGAGTATAGTGACCTCGGGCAACTCCTTAGTCAATCAACAGCTTTCTGCCCTAGCAAGCTCTGGAGTTGTTCCTTGAAAGTCAGCAATATTTTATATGGACAGGAGAATCAAAAGCCAGCTGAGCAGAATATTATTTTGAACGGGTCCATGATCTGTGTTAAGAGCATGAAAGTGAAGATAGTCATACAAAATGGTTAGATTGAAAAAGCCAAGGCGGTGACGAAAGTTGACGTTCTCATCTTGGGGTAACTCGTCATTTTTGGAGATCCAAAGCTGTTCTACACCTCTAACCCCCGAACTCTACAGATACCACACTCAACACTACCTGTGGAAAAAAAAAGCACGAACCTCATATTCCATCCAGAAATTCCCACCCTACGCCATTGCCCGCACCCCATCACCATGGCGCACTCGAAGCGCAACACCTCCCTCCCACACTTCACCTCATACGAGCGCGGCCTACTGCGCTCGAGCTGGGGCACAAAGCGCAGCGTAATCGGACGCGACTCGTTCCTCCCATTCGCATCCTGTCGCCTCTGTCTCCAGCCCGCACGCCCGCCCGTCGTCGCCTGTGCCAGCAGCGGCGATCTATTCTGCCGCGAATGCGCCATCAGCGACCTGCTGGCCCAACGGCAGGAGATCAAGCGCCTGGAGCGCGAACGCGAGGACGCCAAGAAGCGATTAGCCGAGGACGAGGAGCGCACCCTCGAAGAAGCACGGCAGAAGGACTTGCAGGACTTTGAGCTCGTGTCGATGGGGCTCGAGGCGAATCAGAATTCCGGCCGGAAGCGCAAGGTCGAGGAGTCGGAGGCGCTGGCGTCGTTTAAGGCGCGGGAGGTTGAAGTTGATGGGGAAAAGAAGAAGGTCTTTGAGCTTGATGAGAAGGAGATGGCTCGTGTGGCGCGCGAGGAGCAGGAGCGGTTGAAGCGCGAGTTGAAGCGGAAAAAGGTGCAGACAGCATGCCTCTTCCCATTTACTATAAACGTGTCCCTGTTTCAGTGCGTGTTTACTGACCCGATCACAGTCCGAATCCAGCAAATCCGCCCTGCCATCCTTCTGGGTGCCGTCCTTAACCCCCGGCACAGACCCCAATGAAATTGCCGCCAACAAGGCTGTCAAACTCACACCGATTTGTCCCGCCTCGACAGACACAAACCGCCACAGCTACTCGCTCAAATCGCTGGTCGATGTCCATTTCACCGAAGAGACAGCGTCCGATGGTTCGGTGTCGAGGGTTTGTCCGAGCTGCAAGAAGAATCTCAGCAACGGGCTCAAAGCGATGCGTATGTCGTGGTTGACTTCTATACAGAGACAAATACTAACATTTTTTGTTTCTCCTACCGTATAACAGTCACCAAGCCCTGCGGCCACATCATCTGCTCTCCTTGTGTCACCAAATTCATGACCCCCCACGAAGTGCCGGACCCGCATGCCTCGAAGGAAGAACAAGCGCATTCAGCGGCTTTGCATGGCCGAATCCTATGCTACGTCTGCGAAACAGATCTCACGCCCCTTCCTCCAGGCTCGGAGAAGAGCGGCGACGCCAACGGAACATCCAAGAGGTCCAAGAAGAAGGACAAGGACAAGGACGCGATTCGGCCGGGACTAGTGGAGATCAGTTCCGAAGGAACGGGGTTTGCAGGGCGAGGAGGAAACGTGGGGACAAAGACGGGGGTTGCGTTTCAATGCTGAGTGGACTCCCAAAAAAAAAGACAAAGATATCCTTCACAAGACTACACATCAACTACATGTACATTTGAATATAATTCTGGTAAACCCTTGATGGTAATCGCCCGAAGCGGGCATCAAACGCCCGAGCCATGCAAAAATTATAACCTAGATATACAATGATGAGCCGGATGGCTCAAAGAAATGATATAGTCCTCTCGCCTCGCCCTCATGCCTTCTTCTGGGCATTGTTGAACTCGCGCACGACAATCTCGCAGCGGATCTCCTGGCAGAGGCGGCGACGACGGCTGAGATCCAGCTTAGCGGCAAATTCCAAGCCGGAAGCACGCTCAACAGCCTCCAGCGGGACCTCGAAGTCCGACAAACGCTTCTCGTTGGGAATGCGGGCATTGGGCAACACAAAGGCACCGAGGGCAACCTTGCTGTGCGGGAGCTGAGAGCCGTCCTCGGCATAGATGACCTTGTAGAAATGGGTGGGAACAGCGACATTGGGCGGGTTCCCAATCACCTCGTAGTTGACGCGCCACTTGCCGTCGGGGTCGCGGTGCGGCAGGTACAGGGGGCCGGTGACGATGCGGACAGATGGGTATTGCTTGGCGAGACCACGGCAGAAGTCCTCGAAATGGGCCCAGTAATCGCGGTTGAAGCCCTCGCCGACCTGAGGACACATGTTGCTCAACGCAAAGGTGTCGTTCATCGCCTCCTGCGACCACTTGGCGTCGGCGGCCGGCACCTGGTGACCGCGGTCATATCCGGAGCGGAAGTAGTCGGACAGACGGGCGCGGAAGAGACCCGGAATGGACTGGTCCTCGACAAAAGTGCTGTGGCGGCGGTCGGCGTTCTTCATGGCCAGCGACTGCGGTGTGATGTGCTCGGCAACCCAGGCGGGATTGCGCGTGCGGCGGTCGTACGCGCCCGTGAGTGGCAGCGTCGACAGCTCATCGGCGACGGGGCCTGGGAACCCATATTGGTAGATGCCAGACGGATCGACGGGGCCTGCAGCTTTGGCAGCAAGGGTTGGCGTGGGCGTCGTGGCGGGGACCTTGACGGCGCCGCTGGTCGGAGGAGGCAGTTGTTGCTGCGGCTGAGGACGCGGGGGCTTGAGTAGAGCAGCGCGGTGACCCCGGCACCGGTGGCTGCGCTGGCCGCAGCGATGACGGCGAAGGTCGCCTTGGACATGGCAATTGGCCTGGATTGAAGCTGGGAAAGTCCAGGTGGTCGAGGGAAGAGAAGAAAAGAACAGAAAAAGCGGAGACCAAAATATGGGAGTCACGGGCCAATCAGGTCACATACAAAGGAGATGTCTCAAGTGTCGATCTCGGGGGGAAGATAAATGCAAGTATATAATTATTACAGATAATTTGAATGTAGTTATTGTGCACTAGAAAGACAGAAAGAAAAGAAAAAGAGAAGTGGGTGAGGATGTGGTAGATATAGAGCTGCAGCGCATCAACAGACGCAGTCAGGCGAGCTGCTCAGGTCGGACAGCGTCAAGCATGACCCGTCGAGAGGCAGACATCGCCATGGATGCTTCGAGACATCATCTCGAGTGGATTTTGCGTCTCATCTTCGTGGAATTCCTCCCGGACGATCATCGACAGTGTGATGAACAGAACATGCCCGCCTTGCAGCAGACCATGGGCCACCGTGAGAACCTTGGGGACAGGAATGCAGCCTTCAGGAAAATCCCCCCGATGGACTTTATCTCTGCCCACTTTCTCTCGTGGAGACAGAGGCGACTCGGTTTGACCGCCAACGCCTTTGCCTTTTGACGGCCCCGTTACATCACCGTTTCTGCTTCCTCCCACTCCCCACCATGGCCGCCAGCAATGACCTCCGGGGCTGGGTGATGAGCGCCGTCTCGGGCGTGGGTGAGTACTGATGTCCTTTGGACTGCAATTTCTCTCACTGACGGTATTCCCAGCCTGTGTCCTCGGTTCGGCCGTGATTTGTGTCGATGTGGTGTTGCGGCGGCTCACCCACCACAAGAGCTTCCAGATCGCCAACAGCAACAACTTCCTGTCGGCGTCGCTATGTCTCAGCGCCGGGGTGATGGTGAGATATCTTGTCCTTTTGATTTTCTCTTGATTCTGGTCGGATACTAATTCATCACCGACAGCTCTTCACCTCGCTCTACAGCATGCTCCCCACCTCCAAGCAGTACCTCACCCGCGCCGGCTTCTCCCCGTCCGCATCGGCATATATCCTGACCGGCCTTTTCCTTGCTGGAATTGTCGTCATTCGAATTGTGTCTGAGTTTATTCACCGCTTTATTCCGTCGCATGTGGTCGACTGCGCCCACACCCACGGTGACCCGGACCCCGAGCGTGGGGAGCGCGGCCCCAATACCAGCAAGGGGGACACAGAAAGGACACCACTGCTGCACCACTCTATAGCATCGCCCTCCCATCGGGAGCCGGCGGTAGTCCAGTGGGCGGAACAAACTCCCAATACTGGGCCTCGGCCATCTCTGCGGTCGAAGCTCACGCGCCGGATCAGTGCGTTCGTGGGTGGCGCCAAGCCTCTGTGCGATGAGGATGGGCCCTGCTTTGGTGTTTCACAGACATGTGGTCACGAGTGTACGAAGGTTCTTGTGCCGAATGTTGATGGATCACCGATCACGGACGAAACCGCTCGGCCGGCCTTGGTCCCGCATCAAAGCATAGCCGTGCAGCTGGGCCCCCAAGGTCGAGATGAGACAGATACAGTGCAGCCCGAGTCCGCGGATCCCAATGCCAGGCTTTCTGATGGTGCATCGGCACCGCAGCGCGTTCAATACGGCACCGGCTTGTCCTGGTCGCAATCTCCCGGCCATGACCGTAGTCTTGACTCTGACAATGAAGATCCTGACGGCGATCCACCCAAGTCTGCCAATGGCAACCCTCACCACCATCATGTTCCGCAGAACGCGTTCCTTTCCATCGGTCTCCAAACCTCTCTCGCCATTGCTTTGCACAAACTGCCTGAAGGTTTCATCACCTACGCCACCAATCACGCCAGTCCCACGCTGGGTCTGACGGTGTTCCTCGCCCTTTTCATCCACAATATTGTGGAAGGGTTTGTCATGGCACTTCCCCTTTACCTGGCCCTCAGCTCCCGCTGGAAAGCCATGTTTTGGTCCAGTCTCCTGGGCGGAATTAGTCAACCAGCCGGTGCCGGCCTGGCAGCGCTCTGGATCTGGGGTTCTGGACGACACAGCGGACATGATGTGATGGGACCCTCGTGGGGTGTCTATGGAGGCATGTTTGCTGTCACCGCTGGAGTCATGACCTCTGTTTCGTTGCAGCTCTTCAGCGAGGGCCTGGGCCTGACGCATCATCGGGGCATGGGGATTGGGTTTGCCGTTGCAGGAATGGGGCTGATGGGATTGAGCTTTGCCTTGACGGCCTAATCATTTTTAACATCCTCGATATTCCTCTTGTCAGCTTGCGTACTTGCCTTTTTCACCCATGATACAGGCCCTTTCGGAATGAGTGTACATTCGTTTGTCTGGCGTTATAAATGCTCACGCAGCATCACGAAGAACAGAGTGCATCTGGCGTTTTGTTTATAAGTGTCGGGGCTTGTTTTGTTATTCAACATGGCTGTACAGTGGAACCTGCACAGGCGCATGCTGAGTGTACCATTCCTGAGATATTGTTATTACAGTGCTCAGTACTATAAATTTCGGGTTTTCTATGCATTCTTCTCTTGTATGATTTACTAAAGTAGCTCCTAATAGCGACGATAGTAAGGTAGAATGATATCTTCATGAATGAGTCAAGAAATCGCACTTTTGCTTTCTATATAGTTCTATCATCTCTATCGTATGGGTACAAGCCCTTGGGAATATAAGACAAGATCAAGTAATACACAAGAAGAAGAAGAAGAAGAAGAAATCCTTAAGAATCCTAGCCCAGAGTCAGAGTGAAAGCAGCACTCTTGCGACAGCTGTTGGTGTTGACATCATCCGGGTGCTGGTACGAGGCCGCACAGTTGGAGTCACCGGCATCACACTGAGCCGTCTTGCACGAGTCGTCGTCAGTAGTGACCTTGAAGCCCTGGGTGACAAACGACGAGTCCTTGTTGAGGTTGATGGACGACAGGTCCCAGTAGAGGGTGTCGCCGTCCTGGGTGTACTCGAACTGCAGCACGCTGTCCTTGCTGTCGGAGGTGGACAGCTTGATGGAGACGCCGCCGCCGTTGGAGTTGGTCTGCCACGTCTCCGAGTGCGAGTTGCCCTTGGACAGCGTCTTCTGGTCTCCCGGGGTGTCGGTCACCGTCCACAGGTAGATGTCGTCGCTGAGGTTGTTGATGATGTTCAGTCCGCTGCCCGAGCTGGAGCTCGTGGGGCTGCTGGCTGGCAGAGCGGTTGTGGTGGCCACCATGGCCAGGGTGGTCAGGCCGAGCATCTTGATGAAACCCATTTTGTTTAAAGAAGAAAAGATGTGGTTGTGAAAGTAATGTGCAGTAGGGACAGTGTTACTTGTTCGACAAGTATAAGACTGAATGAAGGAATGGGGACCGTAATGTAGGAGGTCCTGCCTCTGAAAAGAGAAAGCGAAAGTAGAAAGAAAAGAAGAGAGTGAAAGACTTGATCAGAGAATGATTGATGCCAAAAGAAAAGACCTGAAAAGAGCGAGATCAGGGCCATCTTTATACCTCTGACGAGATATGATTTCTAAGTCTCAACCAGACCCTACTCCAACGTGGTCAGCGTTCCTGTCCCTGTCCCTGACCACCCGACCCAGGGACACGCGTAAAAGCGCATCCAATTCTAGAACAGGGGCCGAACCATTCTGCCACGCCAGCCTGCCGACCTGAAGAATAAGCTCATTGGGGGGCAGTCGATCAGCAAGTGGAGCATGAACCACTGGGCCGGCCGTGGTGGCTTGCTTGAACGTTTGGATGTGCCTGGAAAAAAAAAGGAGAGTGGCCAGACTGTGTCATAGTCAAGGTCCAATCATAAAACTTTTTTGTTATTCTCCTCTTCCTTTTGTTAGGGTTGGGCGTGCCCTCGAGACTTTTTGGGGCAGTTCGTGGCGTCGGAACCGGATTGCGTCTGTTGCGGGTTGGAACCAAACTGATGCGTTCAAAGGGACTCGAAAGGGGTCGAAAGTCAAAGAGCCCCAAAATATAGAGATAGGGACTATTATTTGGAAACAATGTTAGCAGACTTTGAAAGGGCAGAATGCAAAAATGAGAAAAAAAAAAAAAAAAAAAAATCTGTTGCTGTCTCTGCTCATGTCAGACCGAGGGCTGATCCCCCAACCTCCACTTCTCTAGCGCAACGTCTCGTGCGAGTCTGGACTTGCAGCCTGCTGTTCCACAGCTGTCTAGAACGTAGTCGATCGGTGTGAAGGGGGGCACAAAGGATCTGTATGTCGCGCAACCCTAACCCTAACCCAACGCCTCGTCATACTTGGGCTGAGCCCACTCTCTATTCAATAGTATTGGAGCAGTTAAAATAAATTAGATATAATTCTATTTATTGAAAATATTACCATAATTCTATGATCTTGGCCTGAGAAGTATTGGCGAGCACGAGGTGGCTGTTCTGCACGTTCAATGTCAAGCGCCGATCGACGGAGGCTGAAAATCCTGCTGCACGGCTATTCTAACCCCCCTCCATCACACGATCCCGAGGTATACCCCAAGGAGGAAGTACTCAATCCTTGTTTTCAGATTTTTTTTTTTCAAATTCGAGACTCAAGAATCGTATTTGCAAGACAACTGGCTATGGCTCGTTCCATGCAATGACTCGAATTTCTTATTTCTGAGAAGTCCCTTTGGCCCGAGCAACATTGCAGTTTCAGCAGATAGCCACTATCTCTAACTAGCGCCGGTATTTCCGCTGCCCCGCAAGCTGCCATGAGACGACAGCGGGGTTGCAAAGTGGGAGCGTGAACCCTGCGGGCCGCAGACTAGTTCGTTGGGGGCTATTATACTTCTTCTATCAGCAAATGCAACCATGCCGTATGCTTCCACTGTCCTTTATCTGACGGTTTCTAGCCCCCAATTCCTATCCAGCTCGGTCTAGCTCGGGTATCCAACAGATCTATCGAAGAAGTTGACAATCTATCTACTGTGCAGAGCAAGGATTGAGGTTCTAGAATGTGTGCACATATTCCATATTCCAGAACCTGGCATTCTCCGTAACATCTACCTCAAAATCGACTCACTCAATAGGATCTCGTTATGGAGACTCATTAGTCATTTTTCCCGGTGGAGTCCCCAGGCACTGGATCATCCAAGACACAAGCAACCACCTGGGGCAATGAATTCAACCGCATTGTGTCTCTCCAGGAAAATGTCTGCACGTGGCTCTCAGCCCATGACGCGCAGTGGCGAGAAACCCTCGGTAGTCCCCACTTCCTGGCTCTGATTTCTTTGGTTCTTTGATTGCGGAGCTCTCTTTCTCTGTCTTTCTTTCTCTCGAGTGGCCGGATGAACCGGATGAAGAGTGGGTGGTCGCCACTCGCCGCCACTTGACGTCCTAATCTCATTGGCGACCAAACGGTTCTGTCCATGGCGATTCTTTGATTCTTGGGTGGGTCAGCTTCCATTTCCGGCGTTTTTTTCTCTTTTGTTGGAGAATTGTGAAAACTCGGTGCTGGGAAAACTCAGTGCTGGTCTTTGTAGCAGGTTATCCGAAAGGTTGTTGGAGACTTGGCAGTTTTCTGGATAATCCCTATGAGACTGTTGGAGATTGAAAAAATTGATATGGCGGGCTTTACTTGCGAGTGCAATTTTTTATTTCATTTGATCTTGATTACAATTTAATTTTTGTTTCTACGGTAGAAGATAATCGAAACAGTAGTTTTCCAACCCGGCGTACACCCCGTTATAGTACAATCTGTTCCTTTCCTCTCATCATGTTGCAATCTCTTTTAAAATATCCCATGATCCATCGTAAAACACATCAGTATCTGGCAATTTAGCTTGACAACTCTCTTCCCCATCAATGGCTACAGAGCCTGTACCGAGATCCTTCTCGGCGCACCACTGCCATTCAACAATCCAGCAACACTCGACTCACGCAGGTGGTTGTGATGCATCTGACCCTGGTCATCCAGATCCTCAACATCAAGACTAAAGCGTCTAGGGCGAGACCAGACACCAAACTGGTCCCCACCATTAGCGTCGCCAACACCCTGGATCTGCTCCGACTGCAAGCCAAAGCGGTCGGTAAGCTGGGCGAACAGCTGAGCATGGGCCTCGGCCCTAGCAGGCGATGCAGCCTTCTTCTTGTTAGATCCCTCGCCAAGACGAGCCTGGGCTCGCCGCAATAACTCCATATGCTGCGAGGCCGTGTCGGCGGCAGCAGGCTGGTCCGCGGCCTCAGAATCATTGAGAAGATCGTAGAGTACGCCTTCGTGCAGCGTCGCGGCGGACTGGTGGTTGCCCGATGCGGTGAACAGCCCGGACAGCAACTTGGTCATTTCCAGCGTGACGTTGTCGGCGCTGCCCCATACCTGGCGCAGATTGTAGCAGATGTCGCGGCACAGCTGGATGGCCGGGTCCATGGCCCCACGGCAGAACCGCGTTTCTACGAGGCGCCGACCGATCCAGACCACGACATCTGGGGTCCAGGTGCGCTGGACGATGCGCGAGGTCCAGAGCTGCGTGAGGATGGATTCGAGGTCGTCGAAGAGCTCGTACTCGCCCAGCAGCGTGATTATGTCGTTGAGGTCTGTGAAGGGTAGGTCGATGATCTCGATGCCGATGGACTTGAATGCGGCCATGATCTCTTGCAGTAGCAGTTTGGACTTGACCGACATCTCGCTGTACATCTTCTTGTCTGTGCACTTGGTCGCGCGGTGGCCGCTCAGGTACAGGCACAGCTTAGTGGCTGTGATGATGCTGTCGTAGTTGTTGAAGCCGTCGGTCAGGTGCAGGAACGAGTGCAGGACGCCCGTTAGGTCGCTGGCGTCCTGGAAGCGGGACTTGTTGCAAAGGTCGCGGACCAGCTCTGTGGTCTTGGTGAGGATGTTCATGTTGTAGGTGTTGCTGTGGACCTCAAACAGACACAGGCGGTAGAACTGCTGCACAATCTCCCTGTCGGCAATTTTCGTCGCAGACAGATTGGCGCAGAAGTAGTCGTACAGCTTGTCGTGCGTGTCTCTGGCGGCGCGCGTTCGTTTCTGCTCGGTCTGCAGACGTGCCAGGCGGTCTCCGGCCGCCATAGTCGGGATGAAGTCGTGGCCCGACAGGTGTTTCGAGAAGGTCTGCTGCGTCTGCATCTCGCGCGCCATCTCGTTCAGGATCTGGTCCGAGGTGGCACGGCGACCGAACACCTCTTCGAAGGATGCCACGAATACTGCGTCGCGCCGGTCTCCCAGCGCCATAGCCGATGTGTCGGAGCCATACACCACACGGTGGCGGAGCTCGTCGAGCTCGCTGTTGCCACCGTCAATGAAACCACACTCGAGGTAGATAGCAGCAATCTTGCGACCCCAGTCGGCCGTCAGGTCCGGGTCTCCGCCGGCATGTAGAACATCCTCGACATAGTTGTGCAGGATGGCATTGCCTTGCTGGATGGAGGTCGGGGTGCCCTGACGCGAATGAGCCAGAGCAAGCTCGCGGAGCCACGACAGCGTGGTGCTTGAAAAGAATCCCTGTGTCTTCTTGGCAAGCTGGAACTCTTCGGTGTACATGGAGCGCGCTTCACTCGTCGAGTCATGCTTGCGCACGAACAGCTGTGCCAGCTTATGCTTGAGCGTGATGGGCAGCGGCTGCGTCATCTGATCAAGGCCCTTGGACGACTGGGAAGTGGGCACCCACTCGCTCGTCTGCAGCGGTTGCTTGTACAGCGAGATGGCCTGGTCGGTGTACGAATCGCTGGACTCGCACAACTCGGCAAAGAGCAACGTGGCGTTCAACGTCTTCTGGTTCGTGGGTCCGTAGACATTGCGACAGGTTGTCACGTAGTCGGAAGCAACCTTGTACCGCTCTGAGAAGCCGGTGCTCTTGGTGCGCGTGGTCAAAATGGACATGTAGCCCAAATATGTCTTCTCCAGTAGCCGCTCCACTTGGAAGCGGTCGTAGGCACTCGTGCTGTCCTCGATGACCATGGTGGGCCACAAATGCCGATAGACGTCGAGAGCAGAATCCCACTGCAGCTCTTGCTCGTAGAGGCCAAGAAGCGCAATTGCAGCCTCAATACCCTCGGGGGCGACCTTGTCGTTGCTTGTAGTAATTTTGTAGATGCGCTGGTAGGTGCTCTTGGCCTCGTTGTTCATCTCGAGACGGTTCGCCAGGGCTGCCTCTAGATACAGGTTGTCGATAGTGTGCTTGTGCGACTCACCCAGACGAGTGGTCAAGAAATTGCTGACGGTGTGAAGAAGTGTGAGAGCTCTGGCGAACTGGAAGGTAGTCTCGTAGAATTCGACCACAGCCTTGGCCACGGCCAGCACAGATGCCACGGGTACCTTGTCGGAGGAGACCAGCGAGCCAAATGCGTTCTCATACACAATTGTGGCCTGTTCTAGGTGCAGCCGGCGGAAATGACAATAGGCCAGAACCAAAGCGAGATCGGCCACCGGTGGCGCCAGATCCGTCGAAAAGACCTTGTGAGACTTGGGCTGCTGCACCGCCGGCCAGACATGCTGCAAAACAGCCATCGAGCAATCACCAGCCTCCACCCAGTCCTCTTCGCGGACGTAGATACTGGCGAGGCTATGACACAGGATCAAAGTAGACACGGAGATGTTGCCCGACGACGATGTGATGGAGTCCAACAGCTCAACCAGCAGCTTGCGGTCTCGGCCGGACAACGAAGAGGCACTCTCGATGGAAACAGTGTTGGCCATGCTCTCAGCAAGCGACAGCGCCAGGGTCGTCGCTTCAGACGAGTATTCCTGGTTGGTCTCCTTGTAGTAGTTCCACATCAAGATCGACAGCGAGCGATCCAGGCTGTACAGCTGCATCTCACGCGTCTCCGCGCGGAGCAGTTGCACTCGCTGCATCATCTCCGGGGAGTGGATGCCAGTAACCTCGAGATCTGCCACCAGCTCTCGGATGATGATCTCAGCCTCGTCGCTCCGGCCCTGTCGACGCAGGAACTGGTAGTAGACGAGGGCGACATTGGACTTCTTGTCCATCATGTCGACGGAATCAATGTCACGAGAATTGAGGCCCGCCCAAAGGCTTGACAAGACCGCCTGTGCGTGTGCCTTGTCGCCCTGTTGTTCATACATCTGGGCAATGTACAAGGTGTACTTGATGCGGCGCTCGTCGGTGACTTCCATGGTCCGAACCATATTTTCATACTTGGTTTTGGCAATATCTCTGCTCATCTCGTCGCTGCCCGTAGTCGAGAAGTGGCCCGTCAAGAACTCTGCGGTTTCTGTGGACTGCCTCGAGTTGGTGCCATATTTCTGGATGATCTGCTGGTAGAACTGCCGCGAGACGAGCAGAGCGGAGTTGCTGTCGCCGCGAGACTTGTACATGCCGACCATCAGTCCGAGGTACCTCAGACGCTGATTGAACTCCACGCCGGTAATCTCGGAGTCTGTCAGAACCAAGTGCTTCATGATGTCCTCCTGTTGAGCGGTCATCGTGCCCCTCTCTGTGAAGGACTGCGTCATCATCTCCGCACAAGTAAGCGTGATGGCATCGGATTGACCGAGAAGCTCCTGGCTGAGTTTCCATGCCTCATAGCAGTGTTCATCCGCATGGCTGGCGTGTCCCAGCTTGGAAACACGTGCACTGAGGAGCAGGCTTTGAAGCAGGGCCATCGATTTCTCTCCCAGGATCAGTCTGCGGATGTCCGTTGCAAGTCGGTACAACTCAACAACACTCGACCGAGTAAACTGCGACTCGTGGCAAGTAAGCTCGATACGAGCAAACAGAACGGTTGCAGGGAGCAGCTTCTTAAAGCTGCTATTGAACTGGAACTCGCCATCATCTGTCACCAGAGGTGAAGACAGCAGATGCGACAGCCAGTACCGTGCGGTGTATTCCAAAATGACATACTTGTCGAAAAGGCGGTTGCGGTCCTCCATGCCTAGCTTGTCCATGGACACGTCGGCCTCCTCCCGCACGCTGAGCTGTACCCAGGCAAGACATCTCATGAGAAGATCATAGTGTGCCTCCTTGAGGTTGAGCGGAGACTTGGCACCAGCAGACCTCGCCTTGTTGATGACATGGTCACGGATACAAGTGTGGGCGAACGAAACCACGCCACCCCGAGTCGTCACGAGTGGGCTCAAGGCATTGAATGACTCAGTGTCACCGGCAGAAATGCGGGATGCAAAGCTCGGAGTCTTAGGGTCGACATTCAACAGCTGCTCGACTTCCTCGACCAGCAGAGGTCTCTCCGATGCTGCAAGCCAAGACATGATCCATCGCGTTTCATGCTGTTGGAGATCGAGATTCTTCAAATGGAAGTCCAAAAGCTCTGTCATTGATTGCGGCAGGGTTTGCACCGACGAAGCCACTTGGCTCAATGTTCTCTGCTGACGCGCATACGCAACGGCCATCTCAGCCCAGCTGAAGGAGCCCTGGGAGCGACTGACAATAGCAGTCACGGCCGATTCGAGCTGATCGCCCTTGAGAGCGTCAAAGTGCGAGCCGGATGCAAGCATCTTGTGCACATAGGACACCAGATCGGTGCGGGTTTGCGAAGACTGCATGGTGAACTCCTGGATATTGTTCAACCGCATCTTCGAGCTGAACGGGCGGGTCAAAGCCATCATCTTGGATCCAGCGTTTTGCTTGGTCAGGACATCACTGAAACGTTCGAGGACCATGATCGCATCGGTCTCGCCGCCCTTGATCTGGTCAAGCCCGTCGACTACAAACATGTACTGAGTGTTTGAGGCCAAGCCGGCGCGAATGCCGCTCCAAAGACATTCTTCGACTTCTGCATCTCCTGCTCCATCGAGTGCACCTTGAGCTGCCTTGGCAACCTCGGCCAGAATTGATTCCTGGGTGCGCGTGTCACTGACACAGTGATCCATCATTTGGTGCAAGATGCCCTTGAGTATACGCAGCGGCAAGGTTGCAACGGGAATGTCGGCTCCTGTAATGAGATAATTAGTCGTCGTCAACCCAAATCATTATATCCAAATAACTTACTGATGGTGTACGGAATCACATTCCAGCTATCATGCTCAGCCGACTCCTGCAGCCGCTCCACAGTCCACTGTGCCAGAGCGCTCTTCCCTGATCCGGGGCCGCCGGATACCAGCATCACAGGCGACCTGCCCACGGTAAACTCGTACAGAGTGTTGTTAAACCACTCAAAAGAGCCCTCAGCAAGCGAGTGGGTGCGGGATTCGAGAATGAACTGAAGGGGGCGGTCCTGAACTCCCAAGAATTGCCGAAGGCTGCCCAGTTCAGGACTCGAGTAGATCAGCGAGCTTTGTTGAACCAGGTTCGAAGTAGCAGACTCGACGATGCAGCTCCAATGCGTCGAGTAGCGTCGAGCATAGGTCACAAAAGCCGCGTCGACGTTGCGCCCGATGATCTGGTCAGACTCTTTGCTCTTGAATCCCTCAATACAGCTAGTAGTTGTGTTGCAAACCATCTCCAGGACGTCGGCGTACACCGCAGTGACCTCGGGTTGGAGATCAGGAGAGGATTTGAAGGCGCTCTCGTACTGGAGAAGCAAATAGATTCCAACTGCCACGCGGCCATATCGACCGAAAACGCCCTCAAAGAGATCCGTATTGTCGATATCAGACTATTCTTAATTATTAGCATATATTTAAAATAGTCGATGACGAAATTCGACCTCACTCACCTCCAGAAGGAGAATAGAGAATCCCCAGATGAGCGTGGCCGCCTCGTTGGCCCCAGGCGCAAAAGCCCCTACGGTCTCACGGAGGGCGTCAACCGCATACGCCAATCGAGAAGCCCATCTGAGACTGCAGTCGAGTCTGCTTCCATCACGAGGCATCCAGCGCAGCCGCTCAGCTGCAACCGCGTCAAAGAAGGCGTCGACCGTGGGGCTGCGCTGGCTAATCTCGCCGGCAGAAAGACCTAGCTGGGCCTTGCACTTCTGGGAAACAGCCTGAACCTTTTCTTGCAGAACATTTACGCTGCGTCTGCTAGCACTCGGGTTGCTCACGAGAGGTGTGGTGGTCGTATTGCTCGTGGCTGTGGTCTGGGCACCTCCACGGCCAAGGCCAGCTTTGCTCAAGTCTCCATGACTGACCTCCTGTCGAATTCCACCGCTAGCAACACCTCGTTGACCAAGGGCGCCTTTTTTGGAAGCGCCTTTGCTTGTCTGGGCTGCGGCGAGGGCGCCTTGATTCATACCGGTTGCATTGGCGGCTTTGGGTGCCTGTTGTCCGGTGCTTTGTTGGTTGGCGCCGCTCTGTCCAGCAGCAAGGCCTTTAATGGTATCTTTCTTGGAAGGATTTGACATAGCACCTCCATCGCTGAAAACATCCGAGCTGATATTTTCCTGGTCATGCAGTTCTTGGTTGAGAGGATTCTCGCTGGAACCTCCGCCGCCAACATTACTTTTGCTGACTTTGGACTCGCTGAGACCTCCCCTGCTGCTGCTTCCTGCTCCACCAAGCGCTGCTTGACCAATATCTCTTTGGTCGACACTTGATCCACGTAGTAGGCCCTTCCGGATATCATCCTGAGCGATCCCTCCGCTGCTGGACATGCGGTAGCCAGACTCTTCGGTGTTTTCCTTGGTGGAATTTCCCTTCTCAATGGTCTCTTTCGCGCCAGTGAAGTTTCCTTGGCTGATCTCGTCCTTGAGGGTGTTTCCCTTGTCGATAACTTGCTTTTCAATCCCACTGGAGCCGGCGGCACCGGCACCCTCTTTAGTACCCTCTTTGCCGTGGCCCATTGACATTCTTTTTACTCAGTCTCTTTGCAACCTTAGAACCAATGCTTTGGTTGCTCTCTGTCTCTGGCTTTGCCTGGGTCTGTTTGGCGGACATGGTGGTGGTGGTGGTGTTTTCGTAGAGTATCAAAAGAGATTATCGAGGTTTTGGTCGTAATAGTAAATCAAAAGAAAAGAAAACAAGAAAACTATATCATACAGTCGTTGGGTTTGGTAGTCATGAGTTGAATAATTGTAGGATAAAGAATAGAAAACCCAGAATCATGGAGAACTAAATATCGGTAGGGGGTTCTCCTCTCGTCATTGCATCATGGCTTCAGCTCGGGGATGTCCGAGCTGCACTCGCGGTCATGGTCCTCAGTGTAGACTAGTCCTTTCCCCCAAGGAGCTCTCGACTGGACTAGGACTGCAAGCATGATCCAAGGGAACTACGAGGAGCCCGATGTCATCGGGACACCGAAATGGCAGAAATCGATGATGCTGCATCGCATGGAGAGATGGAACAAGTGGAGCTTTCAACCAGCCGATTCCTCCGCATAAGCTTCGAAGCTTCGTCACGGCGTGTGGTCTCTGTTTGCGTTAGCTCAGACTTTTCGAGTCAATGGGATGCTAAGAAACTGCCTGCCTGATGCCATTGCCAGCGATTCCATCGCGGAGCCGATATAAATCGGCGCTCCTGAGTACTTGCAGCATCACCAGTATAGTTTCTGCTTGGATTGATGGGATATCGTCTATGGCGACGAATGGATGCGTGGCCAACGATGTCATCGCAGATCTGGGGTAGTGACCCAGAGGGTCTGGAAACAATAGGTTTTCGATGAACTCAATGCCATCTGCACGGCTTGCGTGACGTAAAGACCTCAATGTTTGCCAAGCCGGGGATCGCCCAATGCATGATCTCTCAGAGCGGACTCGAAAACGCTGATGGTGAGCGAATAGTTCCCTCGTCCTTAGTCATCGCGATCAGTTCGATGTCGCATCCATGGATGGGTGGATTGTTCGGCCATGGACCGTGAGATCACAAATGGCATTCCGGACGGTCCGGCAGTTGATGAAATCATGTCTCCTTGTTTGCATCGCGGGGAAATAACATTCTGTCCAACCATCGCTCATGGGGTCTCTCACCGTTAATGTCATGACGTTGGTTGTCAAACAACTTGGGTCGAGTTCTGTAGGCGGGATGGCGTGTTGATTAGATCACATCCCAATCAATGATCTTGACTATTGAACTGGCCGCAGGAACGGTCCGCTCACTCGGCCAAGGTGATCCAATATTGAGATTGATTTGCGTCGTACGGTATAACCTCCAGGCTTTCCCAGGTAGTTACTGTTGCGGAGTTGTTGCGGGGGAGGAGTGCCATTCAGGTCTGATTACGATAGTGTTTCAAATGGGCCCTGAAGACATTGATCTTGAAAATGCGCCCAACAGTGTGAACAAAAGAGGCAGTTTAATATCAAGACACTGATAGCAGTTATGCTTAGTGCTATTCTACAAGATTGGTTTTACAGCCAGGTGTCTCGGCATTAGGCGACACACCCATTCAGACGAGGATAAGCAGACTAATGTATCCAAGTCCAAAGGTTGCAGGCATTGCTGCATACGTGTCTGTGTACTTGGCCCGACATTAACAACACTGAGCGCATACGCAGTAGCCGAGAATCCATTTCTGGATTGGAAATGTAATGCATGGAAGAGCCTATGTACGAGTTGAAAGCGACCATCTTGAGTCAAAACCCTCAAGTCTAGCCGGTGACATCTGCCAATGCGCAGCTCGCCCTCCCAGCCATAACTTTCCATCCTCAGGTCACCATGTGGTATTCATCCATTTCCCCGATCCGCCCTCCGTAACCGATCCGTTGTTTAAAAAAGAAATAGTTTCAAGTGAACACAAAGCATGATATCATCCGTACAAGTAGCCAGCCGCATCTGGTGTGCCTTCGATCGTTGCGGCCGTGACGGTGCCGGGTCTGACGAATATGTCTTTCAACATCGTGGAAACTCGGCTTGCCGTCAGCGGCTCAGGAGGGTTTTCGAACGACTTGGATCAAATTTAAGAGCCGGGGTTGGGGTTCATCTGCGTGGAGGAACTTGTCAGCCAAACTGTTCTGAATTCCTTCGGTGTGGGTTCTGTGTGCATGGATCCTCGGTTTGTTTCGAGTTTGGGGATGGTGCGATATTCGAGATTTTTGTGCCTTGGGGGTGTAACTCATTCGGGATGATGTACCTTGCGCTTGCCACCGGTCATGGTCACGTTCACAAAACGGCGGGTGTACTGGACACGCTTGTAGGCGCGGCCCTTGGGGGTCTTCTTCTTCTCCTGGGGCTCGACCTGTATTCAAAACTCCAGTTAGGATGGTCGCTCTGATGACAGCCGCCCGGCACACACAACTTGGTGGCGATAAAGAGGTTCAACAGGGAGCACTTGCCTTAGGAGTGGCCGACTTGACCTTACCCGCACGGGCGAGAGAGCCGTGAACCTTACCCATGTTGGATGATTGACGTTGGCGATGGACGGGATGCGAGAAATGGAAGTGGTTGAAGGGGAAGCGAGTCTCGTCTCGACACGGGAGGGTTGCAAAATTGGGAGTGCGACCTTGTGGGGCGGCTTAGCGAGCACCGGATCAACTGCGGTTCCGGTGAGTCATGTGATGGTGAGTCACTCGGAGTTTGTCCACGGGTATTTTAACTCCGAAGTACATCGCGGCTGCCAGCATTTGCAAGCAAAAGATTTTATGAAAGAAAAAATCCACATATACTTAGGTAGGGTAAGAGACGGCAAGCGGATTGCCAGAAACAGTCTCACATTTGAGGTCGTCTATTTACCAAAGATCCTGCCATAGATCCTTACTCCAGATTTCAGAACAAATATCCCATGTCTAAAAGCTTGAGGATATTTACAGTAGCACACAAAAGAGAATGTTGATTGGTATTGAAGATTGATTGAACATAATGCTTCAATTGCATAGACTGATCATCCCATGAAATTTGTGTTTATTGAGGCCGGTAAACACTCATCTCAAATCCATTAGTAAAAGGAAGAGTCATGTTTTGGAATCCATTCTCAGGTGCTCGCAAATAAGCCAGAAGGTCTGCATAGCCGCTGGCTCCCGAGATCGTGTTATCAGTAAGCACGACGGCTCCCGGTCGAAGACGAGGTAGCACTGTCTTGAGCGTGGAGAGAGATAGTGTGGACCAGACTGTACGTCGAGTTAATACAAGAAATACAAGTTAGGTGGGAGAAAGACAAATCTCAATTCAAGACTTACCGTCGAGGAGAAGAAGATCAATGTCTGGCAACCCTTCCTTGAGGGTCTCAAGAAGATCACCCTCTCTCAACTCAATCTCCTGCTCAACTTCCGGGCCGCACTGGGCCCAGTATTTGCGAGCGATGGCTGCCTTTTCGCTTTCATTTTCGGTCGCGATCACAACGCCGGGTTTACCGGTGGCAGCCTTGGTTCTGGCAACAGCAAGAGCGAGGTAGATTGTGCTGACGCCGAAGCTAGTGCCCGCCTCAACGATGTTGGTAGCACCCATGGCGTTGATCAATTGGTAGGCAAATTGACATTTGTCTTCATCCAAGGCTATGAATTTGTCTCGCATGAAGCGATCGAAGTTCTCCTTGGGGTTATTGTTTGGTTGTTCTTCCTCGATATCACGGAGGACATCCGAGGAAGACATCTTCCCTTCTTTCGAGAAACTGGCTTCTTGTTCCAATGACATTTGATGGAGTTGCGATAGTAGTTGCTGTATATGGGGTGGAGCATTGATGGGGCGCGAGAACGACATCTTTTATAGTATGTGGTTCGGGAATCCCCAAAAAACCAGACTTGATGCAAAGAAAATGCGAGGAATAGAGAAACTGGATGGATGTAACAGATCCGTGGACGATTTTGGAGGGTGGCTTTCTACTGTGAGATGGTCTCAGATGCTCAGAACTTTTGGCATGGAGAAGTCCCCATTTCCCGACTCTTCGGCATTTAGCCGGTGGGGATGATGGTCTTGGCATTTTGGAGAAAAGACAATGTTCTATACACCACATCAGATGTTACTGATGATTATTCGGATCGAATTTGCTTTTTAGTCCCCTCCTCCGGTAGCCTGACTCGCTACCATTGCACTGGCTCGGTCTATTCATGGCTGCCTTGTCCCCGAGGCCACCTACCAGGGCCAAATGACTGGTGCCAACCCACCTCTCCATATCTATATTAGGCCTTGTCGGCCAGGAGTCTCCTCTCCTTGAAGCACTCAGTACTAAGGCTGAATTGAGCTCGGAAGACGAGACAAGACGCACTTGTTATGTCAAGCATCTGACTAGGTAATATGCTTTTTTTTGTCACTCGGTGCTTAGCGTGTGTGATAGGTCTGCATGATTCTAACTTACTAGATACTTTGCTCGATGTTGGTCGATGCCGCAGCCTATCGAATCCAGACTACTGGAAGAGCGCCATGCTGGAGTCTATCGCAGGCTTGTCAAGCTTAGGCACACATCGCCACTTATCGTTTCTGACCAGGCAATCAGCGAGCTAGAATGCTGTCTCCCAATTCTCTTTAGTCACAAATACCCCCAAGTCCTGACTCACAATGACCTCTCTAGAAAAAATATTCTAGTTCATGAAAACACACTGGGAATCACAGGTATCGTGGACTGGTCTCTAGCTACGGTGTTACCCTTTGGTATGGAGTTGTACTCTCTCTTCCTGATGACTGGGTACATGAGCCTTGATGGTTGGCACAACTACACCTGCCGGGAAAAGCTCCACAGCACATTTTGGGGGAAATTTTTGTCCACTTGCGGATATGTGATGATGATAGCGTGCGTCGAAAAGAGATCTGTAACCTGACGCAACGGGCCGGTAAACTTAGCGCAGTACACCATTACGAGTTCCAGCGTAGCGAAGATGGCTCTCCTTCTAAAGACGTGGCGACTTCAGAGGGCATGTTGATGTTTCTTCCTGTTTTACTAGCAGACTAGTCTAGCTAAAGGAAGTATGGGCTTCTCTGTGAAAACTATACTTGGTCAAGTCTCGATGACACCACCTTAGACACTTTTACTCTCTATAGATCTGATAAGCATATATGACTGTATGATTGTCCTTGAACCCTGGTGGACTGGTGGACTGAGCGCAATTTCCCCTCTTCATGACGTGTGCTGAGGCTGAAAGAAAGTGTGTTTCTTCAACGGCGTAGGCGCTTATGTGCGGCTCAGGCGGCGTAGGACACTCGTGTCATGCAGTAGACTGCACTAATAGCCGCGATCACTTCCTATATAGGGTATTTCTCTGTGTGCTGTCCCATCACACGTATGTATATGGCACTAAATCTCCTCCTTTTCTTTTCTATCTTATATCTATATCTATACAGTCTTGGTTCAAGTCCTTTCAAGATAGTATTTTTATTGAATCCACCTCGATACTTCATCTTTCATCATGGCTACTGCTGATCTCTTCCCTATGTCGATTCCTGGCCTCCATCGGCCGCCCACGAAAGATGATCTTTCGACCTCCCAGACTATGTAAGACGTCCCGACAAATCGCAGGCTTGCTGGACCAAAGCCCAGCCAATTTCAGACATGGCCACGAAGAAACTCTATGGACATGTCTTTTGCCTTCGGGATGACGGGACATTTTTCCCTAATGAGTTCCTTGAGGGCGAGTCCAACATTCGAGACGCTGTGGTTGACCCGGCCTTCTTCAAGGAACTTGCCAGCTTTATCAACATAAACTGCCTAGCAAATCTTCTCGCCTTGGAATACCTTGTTCGTTTTGAAGATGGGGTCAAGAGTATGGAGCTTATGGTTGGAGAGGATAGTACTGTGGCGGTGGATGAGAAGGACGTGGTTGGTTTTGGTCAGCACCGTCTCACTACTGGATGGCATTTTCAAGTGTAAGACGATGGGATAATTTCATGCAAGGGAGGCACGACCTATGCTAGAAAGGTGAAAGGCACGCATCAAGTCTTTGTGAGTTCAAAGCCGTTGTTTACTGTGGAGGCGCGGGTGAAAGCTCTACAAGAGGAGGGAATTCTCGCCGTGGTGTCCGGATCCCAGGAATTAATTCTTCGACACTATTAGCTTAATCATTCATCTATTGATGAGAATGGATTGAAGCTTGTTTTGGAATAGTAGTTCAATCTATGGAAGATCTAGATATGAATTCCCCAAAAAGCTCTCTCAAGCCTCATAAGCAGGCCAAGGATCAAGTATCTACATGGAGTATCAGCGGTATCTTGATAAAACAGGCTTAGTAGAGTATTTTCTGGTAGGTTCGAGCTTATAACTTATGCATGGCCTGCAATGAGTGACTCGCTGGTCTTGGTAAGGTCTATCCTAGAGATAGTATGTGTGCTCTTTCTTTCTTTAACTTCGGAAGTTTTGTTCCATGAGACCATGGCATAAGTAGTATACCTACATAGGATGAGAACAATGCAGCATTAGTAGGTATTCGCCAAGCCTTAGAGCTCCATATCCTGAGCCATTAGTCAAATACAGATCCTTGCACAACGCCTTGCAATATACATCCCAAATGAAAAAGTCCAGAGGCTCCATAGATGCAATATAACCAAGTATTTTGTTCGTTGGCTTCAGCCTGCCTTTGCCTTTTCCTTGGCGGCAGCTTCTTCTCGCTCTCGTTTTCTGGCCAAATATCGCTCCTTCGCACTGGACACATCGCCCTCGGTCTTGCGACTGCGGTTGCGTTCGGCGATCTCCTTTTGCCGTCCTGCCTCGGCTTCTTCCTCTTGTCGAGCACGCTCCTCAAGCTGGGATGCGACCATCTCGGTCTGGCGGGCACGCTGAGCATGGCGGGCGGACTGGTAGCCCGCGCCCATACCTGGTCGCCCCGCCGAAGGATGGGAGGCGGGTGCGGCAGTCTTGGACGGCTCGGGCTTGGGTTTCTGAGACACGTTCAGACCTGCAGAAAGCAGTTGGCGTTTGTCGACGACCTGGCCTTCGTCGTTGACAGCAATATGGGCACCGTGAGCATTGAGATCCTCTATCGATTGGGCATCCGTCTTCTCGTCTGGTTCCTTTGCTGTATCGTCGGGGATCTCGCCTGACTTGACCCGGCGAGCGGCCTCTTCCGCCGCCTTGACAACCTCCTCGTGCCGCTGCTCACCTCGCGACAACATGTCCCGATAGAACCCGACCATGCCGGCGCTCCCGTTTTGTTTGCGTCGCTCTTCCTCCTCCTTCTCTCGACGGGCGTCCTCTTCTTCAATCTTCCGCAGTTCTTCTTGCTGCGCCTTGTAGGCAGACGTGACGAACTTCTCCTTGTCTGCAAATTCGTCGCCCTCAGCCTCGCGCTCTTTGGCTAGCTGGCGGTCGCGCGCGCGCAGTTGGTCGCGTTTTCGAACCTCCGCACTGCGCAGTAGGGATGTCATGTATTTGGGTACTTCGCCCTTTTTCGTGGCGGCGGATTGGTCAGGCTTCGCGTGCAGACTGTCGTAAACAGCATCGTAAGAGTATATGGATGGATCCAGCTCCTCAGCTTCCTTGCTGTGCTTCTTGCTGCTGTGCAATGCCGAGAGATTGGTGTATTCTTGAGTAGAGCCAGTTGGCTTCTTCGATTGCGCCTGGTTCAGTCCCAGGCTAATTTCCCCCTGTTGCTGCTTCTCATTCTCTTCGTCTTCGTCCTCGTCATCGGCAAAAATGGAGTTCTTGCTAATAGGCTTCACATTGGGCTTGCCAACACCCCCCAGTTGCATCTTTCGCTTGGGCGGCGGCTCGGCAGCTGAGGGTTTCGACTTGGGAGCTGGCGCTTCGAGTCCTCCTATTGTCGATACTTCCATGGTTTCGGTGTCATTTTGTTGGCCTTCGTCGCCAGAATCATCGTCGAAGATATTCTTCTTGCGCTTTTGTCCGAATGCATTGCCCGGCTTCGGCCCCGAGGGGTTTTTGCTGGGCATGTTCAGTCCATATGAAAGTTTCGGTGGCATGGTGGATGTGAGATGACAGGCGCACCAATGCCAGTAACCAAGTCAGCGGCGACTGGGAAATGCAAAGATGTCGCGATGGCAATGCTTCGGCGTCGAAGTCGAAAAGCTGCGACCGCCCGATAGGCCGATAAAGCGTGGCTGGTTATCAGTCACGTGGTTGTATACTATGCGGAGAGACATCCATGAATAGATCCTGGGCATTATCTATTAGAATTGGATTAAATCTTCATCATTCGAGTGTTAGAAGAGTTAATATATGCTTGTGATACATCCAAAACGGTTTAAAGAAGCCAATCCACCATCTTTGAAAGATTGTGTGTCAAAACCGGGATATATACATCTGTGGGTACCCACTGAGAGATATATATTCTTTGAGCTCAAGCATGCTGACTCCGATTTTCCGCTCGAATACGCAATCACAACCCCTGTACATACCCATTCTGGTGAGAGCCTCAAATTGCTTATATCATTTTTGAATTCCATTAGCAGCTGTCAATTCATGGCGGTACTTTGGCAGATAGCTTATCAACCACGTGACCGACACCCAGCGCCCTGATCGTTTGTCTGGCAACTCCGTCCCAAGCTCGAATTCCACATCTGCCACGCCAAAATGTCGTACTACTTCACAATCCTCTCGCCCACTGATGTGCCCCTATTTAACATTGCATTTGGCACATCCAAAGGTGGCGGCGATGGCATTGCCCGCTTCCGGTTCCCGGACACAGCGCAGTACATGAACCAGTTCATCATCCATTCGAGCTTGGACATTCTCGAGGAAGCGCAGTGGACGAATGGGGGAATGTAAGTATCCTACAATTTCCGTCAAATAAGCGCTGCATATAACCTGCGCCGTTTCTACACCCCTAAAGAAGCCATTCTATCTTGCAAATCCATCTCAACAACTTTGATTTCCCACGATTTTCTCGCGATGCTCCAATCGCACCCATGGATCATATACCAGCACACACACACACACACACACACACACACACACACATGATCTTAGACACTGACTCGTTGGGTAATTCACAGGTACCTGAAACACATCGACACCTACCCCCCAGCAGCAGCCTACATCACCGCCTTCCTAACCCCAAGCGGGGCCCGCTTTCTCCTCCTCCACCAACCTCCACAACTCCCAGCTTCTTCGTCTGGCACGGGAAGCGGGCTCGGCTCATCCTCGCTCCTCGGCACAGCGGGGTCGACTACGCGCGCGTCGTCGAGCTCCGTCGCCGCGAACCCGACTTCGCCGCAGACCGAGGAGGCGGTGCGCCAGTTCATGAACGAAGTGTATGAGAGCTACGTCAAGACTGCGATGAGTCCGTTCTACAAGCAGGGAATGGAAATCCGGAGCCCCGTGTTCAGGACTAGGGTTACAGCGGCCGGGAAGAAGTGGCTATAGAGAGTGAGAGAGAGCCCGTGGAGCTTATTTTCCTTGACCGGTTTCGGTTTGGGGGTTCTTTTGTTTTGTCCTTGTAAATAAGCATGGCGTTTGGAGGGCTTGCTTTTCGCTATTCAAAGAGGTTGTCTTTGTCGAGTGCATTTTGTTGTCGGTGCCGCAGCTTTTCATATCCATGGGTGTATGTGGATCGAGGGAGACGAACGAGGCCGGGATGTGTATGATACCCCAAGAAGGCCATGAATTGAGCTGTAAATGCAATGACCTGATCTGGACTTTCGAGTGCCTGCACATAGAAAGAATCGACTTGGCTGTGACCGAAAACCCTGTCCCGCTAAATCCGCCAACAAAGAAGGAAAAAAAAAAGAAAGGTGAAGCCCCAAAGAGTACGCTCTCCCATACTGCAAAGGAGAAAGAGAAATCCCGATCCAAAAACGCCAGCCCTATTCCTTTCCAAACCCAGCGACCCAAATCAATCCGCTTAAACAAGAATTAAAAGTCTCAAACCGTCATCTGAGGAGCCAGCTTCTTCATGGTGATGGATTTGAAGTTTTCGACTGCGTGGATCACATCGTCCAACTTGGCGACGGCCCCAAAGATGCCGCCTTCCATTTTGATCGAGTCGATGGTGCTGACATGAAGGGAGGGCTCGCTAGCTGCGCTGCCATCGTCAAGCACCACACAGTCAAATCCGCGATCATTGGCTTCGCGCATGGTGGTTGACACACAGACATCGGTTGTCACCCCTGCAATGACAAGGTTTTTGATGCCCTTGTTGTGAAGGATGAGCTCGAAATCTGTGTGGGCAAATGCACCCCGACCTGGTTTGTCGATGACGGGTTCCCCAGGGAGAGGATACAATTCATCCACAGTGTCATGTCCCATCTCACCGCGGATGAGTAGACGGCCAAGGGGACCCGGCGACCCAATACCCAATCCCGAAGCGTTGTTGCGGGAGCGATAAGACTCCCTGCTGGAAAGAGTAGACAGATCTGGTCGGTGGCCTAGATTAAATGGGTGAGTCAAATGGCCAATATCGATTAAGGTGAATCAATACCCTACCTTCTCGCGTGTGATACACCGGAAACCCCCCGGAGCGGAATATATGGAGGAGTCGTTGCAATTTTGGGATCAGAGACTGTGCGGCTGAGATATCATAGCCTTGATACTCCAGATACCCTCCCGGCGAGCAGACTAGCAGCAAAAAAAGTCAGTCGCATGTTCTTGCCGGTCCGTAAGGCAATCAGACAACACATACAATCTTTTTGCATGTCAATTATGACGAGCGCAGTCGTGTATGGCGTGAAGGAAGCGTCATGTGGCCAGTCATATGGGATCGCAGGGAGCTGGCCCTTCCGGACCTTATGATGAGGTACCTGTCGAGGCTTTTCAAGGATGGGACCATGGTTGTGGGTCGGGTTCAGGACTGACAAGGTCCAGATCCCCGGAGAGCCAGCTGCGACCAGCATAAAAGGGCAATCCATCAGCCGCGACGTTCTCCTGCGCTTGCGCGTTTCTTCCGTGAGCCCATTCCGCGGACGGTAGTGCCCACCACGATCGCACCGCAGCCAGACCTTGGCAGTCCGACCGGGTTTTTTCTCTGTTGGCGTGCTGGATGACTTGACAACCACATTGTAGCCATGCGTTTTGCCGTGAGCCTGGACCGCCGCGAGAAGAGATGACCTGTTCAGATGAGGGTCGTAAGATTGAATCCTCCCTACCAAAGCAAGGGGCCACTTAGAGACCTACTTGTCAGGGTATGTGCCTTCCGGAGGAGGAATCAATTGCATTGCCAGTTCAGGAATGTCCTGAAGGTCGCTCGGCGCGTCGAGATTGAGATCTGAGGGATCCGACATGACTGACTAACCTGGTTGCGCCTCAATTTCACAGGTGATCTATCTAAAGTAAAAAATGCGATGAGCATGCGATTCACTTCATCATCGTGAACCAAGTCGATGCGCCTCGACTTGACCGGGGAATGAGCGCTGGAGTGATGTTGGGGGGTAAACAAGTGCGTGGAAGCAATCGCGACGATCATCCTTCCATCCAGGGACGCTGTGCGTGGGCATTAGGACCCAGCTTGGTGTCTGGACGCACCTGGACCCGCCGATTGAAGGTTTGGGGGTTGGAAAGGGAGCGCAAGGCCGTGGAGGGAAGGGGCATAAACCGAATCATGACTTACCTCGCCAAACACTCGAATACCCCAGAGACCCAGGGAGACTGGAGACCCGATGAACCCAGATCACAGCGGCTGAGCGGTTGATCCAGGATCACTTGCTCTTTTCGGCTTAGCGGAGACCGTCAGGCACCAATAAACACCTCAGGCACCAAAGGCGGTGGGTGAGCCACAGCCAGATCGGGATTAGCGCGGTGCCCCCTGACGACCGAAACATCAACAACTCACTCAGCCCACTTGATCTAATCATTCAATCAATCTCGCTTTGCGACACCTCGCCTTCCACCGTGAGAGTTCGTTCAAAGGTAAGTTCGTCCGAATCGCCACTTTTGATCTTCGTCTTTCGCTTTTTTTTTGGCTCTCTCGGTGGAGGGAGAGTCCCTTGTCGCAATCCAGCACCTTCGTCACCGCCTCGGCCGAGGGGCTCTTATCAACACACGGTTGTTGACACCAGCCACCACGCAACCACATGAGTTCTTGAGTCGGGCTATCGATATTTTGGGGGCCCGACAACTTATCGAATACATTTAGTTGTCTTGGTTCATCTTTTCAACGTCGCCTGTCGTCCGGAAATCTTCTCAGCGGCCGGCCACCGGGTGCCCAACGCGGGAAGATGCCGGTCGCCGACGATACTCCTTCCGAGCGGAAGCACACCAGCAGCTCGTACAAAGATGAGCTTGCACACTACAAGGCTCAATATGAGCAGCTGGAGGCGGAACTGGCGGACTTCCAAACGTCCAGCCGAGAGTTAGAAGCTGAGCTGGAGAAGGACATTGAAGCTTCGGAGAAGCGAGAGCGACAACTCAAAGAGAAGGTCGATACCATGCGGTATGAAGTCGATGAATGGAAGGTAGGAATCCGACTGAGCGCGGTTGCGATCGGGGTGGGAGCTTACCGTGCCAGCAGACCAAATACAAGCAGTCCAAATCCGAAGGCAACTCCGCACAGAACAACCTGCAGAAGGAAATCACAACACTGCGCGACGCTCATCGCACTTTGCAACTGAAGCTGCGGGATATCGAGGTTGCCAACGACGACTTTGAGCGACAAGCCCGGAATACCACTTCGTCCCTGGAGGACATGGAGTCCAAATACAACATCGCTATCGAACGCGGCGTCCTGCTCGAGGAAGAAGTCAAGAATGGAGAACAGGAGAGAGAGGGTCTTCGGATTGAGAACCAGCGTCTTCGTGACGAATTGTCCGAACTCAAAATCGAAGCCGAGATCGTCCAAGAGAAGCTCCGGAATACCGAATCGGGTGGTTTCCGTCGCCGAAAACCGACTCCGCTGTATCGCAGCCCGTCGACCCCGCAGACCTTGGATATCTTCGATCGTTCGCCTGGCACGACCACCTCTTCTCCTGTATTCGCCACGCCCCCAGCCAAAGCATCGCTGGCCTCGGCTGCCGCAACCCCCCGTCACCGCCCATCTCGGAGTCCTCTACCAGCCTGCGCAGGTCGATCAACGCCACCCCCAGTTTCCCTCGCCAGAGAGCTGCGGGCCCAGAACCGGTGACTTCCCGGTCCCTACACAATGCTCGCGCCCAACCGCGCAGCACCCACACACGAACACCATCTCTCGCTTACAGCAACGGTCGTTCTACTCCATCCGTCTCCACCCGCACTAGCATGACGAGAATGAACGGAACGAACTCACAGCGACCATCGGGACTTCCCAAGTCGGGATCCCTATATCAGATCCGAGGCCTGATTGGCAAGATGCAGAAGCTCGAGGAACGGGTCCAGTCTGCCAAGTCACGGCTTCCAGCACCGTCCGACACTTCTTCGCGCGGATCACCCCGCTCGGGATCCGTTGCGGGCGATAGTCCAGTCCCTTCGAACATCACCGTGCGGAGAAGCTCTCGCAAGCGGCTGAGTGGCAGTAGCTTTGGCTCGTCCGTGCGAGACAGTGAGGGCACCCCTTCGTATATTCCGCAGGGTCGCCAGTCATTTGGAACTCGTACTCAGGGTGACAGTCGCCCCAGCAGTCGGACCAGCTTCTCCAGTCGCAGCTCTTTCAGTCAAAGCGTCCATTCCGGCATGCCGATAGGTCGGCCCGAAAGCCGACAAAGCCGCCCCGGTGCAAAAACTCCACTGGGCCATTATTCGACCAACCCAATCACGGAAAGCCGGCGACCTCGTTCATCGCTGAGCAACCACGCCGGGCAGAACTCCGGCGTTGCAGGAATGACTCATATTGAGGAGGACTGTGATGTTTCTACCCCTACTTCCCGTATACCCCAGGATCTGCGCCGGCCGTCGGTCTCGGCTACCCCAACTGGACTGAAAAAACGAACCACTAGTGGTGTCTCCGCGATCCCCACTCCCCGCAGTTTCAAGACCAGCATTGGACCCGGGGCTATGCCGCCCCTTGATCGGAAGACTCAAGTCAGTGACTTGGGAGAAACTTTTTGAGGGAATCCGACTGGTTTATGCCAGATCTTGCATTGGATTTAGATCATCGGAGGGGCTTTTCTGTTCATGGTCATTCTGTTTACTGTTATTACCCTTCCTCGCCTTACACCTTTTCGAAAGACACTGACCCGGAAGCATGAAAGTGCTATTTATGCCTTTGATGTATTCTGCGGGTCGGTGGTCTTGAATATATCCCCCCTCCTTCCCCCTTTGTGCACCATCCTGTACAGTTACCCCGCAGGGGATGTTGGTGTTTTCTCTACCAGCTAGTATTGCTTTTACTTCTCTCTCTTCTTCTCTTCTTTTCTTCTTTTTGATGTGACCCCAGTGGACTCTGGGGCGTCCCAAGCTGTGTCTCAGCACCCGACTTTTCGTTTCTTGTTACTCGTCGCGAGGCGTTGGATAATACCCACGGTGTTATGCTTAAATTTATGTCTTACCTTGATGTAGTGTGGCATGCGCCACTCGTAATGATTGAGGGGATCTCCGCTTATCGGGCTTATTGGCGGCCGATAGCCCTAGAGCATGTCTGTTTAGTTGGATGGACAGTTCATAGCATGCCGATCTCTGCAGCAACACGATAATAGTCGTTCTACTGTAGTTAGTTCCTCTGCTCATTATCTATATCTACATCCACTGTATAGATACTTGGTGACCTATTGTATATCTACCTGAGAAAAGAGCCATATATTCTACACACACACACACATAAAAATATATAGAGAGAGAACAAAAACTCAAATAAACTAATAAAAAAATGACATAAAACAATAACTTTGATCCAGCGATCATGCATCTCTGACAGCAGATAAGCAAATCGAAACGGGCAGAATATTGGTGGGATGCCGACCACCGCCCGGCCCAACAAAGGGGAGTTGGGGAAGTGTGCCTGTTACCGCCCAGAGGTACCCGCCCATAATAAACACTATGGGAGGGTACCTGGCTTGCAGTTGGGAAACTCCACCTTGGGTGGGACTGTAGAAAATCATCCTCATCAATTTTTTATTTTTTTTTTAACGCTTTTTCTTTGAGCTCTTTTCTTTTCCAGACTTTTTCCTTGAATCTCATCCAATTTCCGGTGTATTCCATATTCCCCCTGTCGCTTCGGGCTTAGGTGGTCCCGGTGAGTGTCATTGCAACCCTCTGACAGATATCCTCGTTCCATTATAGCCGTTTGCAACCAAAACCCTGCAAAATCCCACGCCAATTCCGCATCGGGCCCCCTAGTTTCATCTTTCCTATATGAGCTGACACTTTCTTTTCTGCGAGCAGTTCCTGACTTGCATCTCCGATTTTTTTTTTTCTCTACTGTCTCCCGCTCCCCGCGACAACCACCATCCGGGCTGAGCATTGTACATTATCGAATTCCTTCTCTCAGCGCTGTCTTATTCCATTGCGACAAAAAGGAACACTATTGGGGACCCCCAATACTGTATGGGAGAGAACTGTTCGTGATTGCTTGCGTGCATCATGGGCGTCACAAACGGCAACCTGCCGGCCAATGGCCATGGTAGCTCCAACGCCGCCAAACACAGCATTCCTTCACATTTTATCGGCGGGAATCACCTCGACCTCGCGCCCCCGAGTATTGTCAAGGATTTCGTGGCTAGCAATGACGGTCACTCCGTCATCACTTCGGTGAGTGGGAAAGCCAAAAACATCTGGCGCGTGGGCACAAGAGGCACAGTGGGGCTAACGGTGGGTTGACAGGTGCTCATCGCCAACAACGGTATCGCTGCGGTCAAGGAGATCCGATCGGTGCGGAAATGGGCCTACGAGACCTTTGGCAACGAGCGGGCAATCCAGTTCACTGTGATGGCCACTCCCGAGGATTTGCACGCCAACGCCGACTACATTCGCATGGCAGATCAATATGTCGAAGTTCCGGGTGGAACGAATAATAATAATTATGCCAACGTCGAGCTGATTGTCGATGTTGCGGAGCGCATGGATGTCCATGCCGTCTGGGCTGGATGGTGAGTCTTTTCTTTGCGGACAGAAAGAAGGCAATTTTGACAATATTTGCGCAGGGGTCATGCCTCGGAAAACCCTCGGTTACCCGAATCGCTGGCCGCATCGCCGAAGAAGATCCTCTTCATTGGCCCGCCGGCCTCGGCCATGCGTTCGCTCGGAGACAAGATTTCGTCGACCATTGTCGCACAACATGCCGGTGTGCCCTGTATACCGTGGTCCGGAACCGGAGTCGATGCGGTGAAGATCGACGACAAGGGGATTGTGACGGTGGAGGATGACACCTACAGCCAAGGTTGCACCCACTCGCCGCAGGAGGGTCTGGAGAAGGCCAAGGAGATTGGTTTCCCAGTCATGATCAAGGCCTCGGAGGGTGGTGGTGGAAAGGGTATCCGGAAGGTTGAGAAGGAGGAAGACTTTGTTTCTCTGTACAACGCCGCGGCCAACGAAATCCCCGGATCGCCCATTTTCATCATGAAGCTGGCCGGCAATGCTCGCCATCTGGAAGTGCAGTTGCTTGCTGATCAGTATGGCAACAACATTTCCCTATTTGGTCGTGACTGTTCCGTCCAGCGTCGTCACCAGAAGATCATTGAAGAGGCTCCCGTCACAATCGCCAAGCCCCCTACTTTTCAGGGGATGGAGCGTGCCGCCGTGAGCTTAGGTAGACTGGTCGGCTATGTCTCTGCCGGTACTGTCGAGTACCTGTACTCGCATGCAGATGACAAGTTCTACTTCCTCGAGTTGAACCCCCGTCTTCAGGTTGAGCACCCTACCACTGAGATGGTGTCTGGTGTCAACTTGCCTGCTGCGCAGCTCCAGATTGCCATGGGTATTCCCCTGCACCGGATCCGTGATATTCGCCTCCTGTATGGTGTTGACCCCAGCACCTCTTCTGAGATCGACTTCGACTTCTCCAGCGAAGAGAGCTTCCAGATCCAGCGCCGCCCCCAGCCGAAGGGCCACACCACCGCCTGCCGGATTACCTCCGAAGATCCTGGCGAGGGCTTCAAGCCTTCTAGCGGAACCATGCACGAGCTGAACTTCCGTAGTTCGTCCAATGTCTGGGGTTACTTCTCCGTCGGTACTGCTGGTGGTATTCACAGTTTCTCGGACAGTCAATTCGGTCACATCTTCGCCTACGGCGAGAACCGATCTGCCTCCCGCAAGCACATGGTTGTTGCTCTGAAGGAACTGAGCATTCGTGGTGACTTCCGCACTACCATTGAATACCTGATCAAGCTGCTGGAGACGCCTGCGTTCGAAGATAACACCATCACCACCGGGTGGTTGGACCAGCTTATCTCCAACAAGCTGACCGCCGAGCGTCCTGACCCGATCGTCGCTGTTATTTGCGGTGCCGTCACCAAGGCGCATCTTGCAAGTGAGGCTGGTGTTGAGGAGTACCGCAAGGGCCTCGAGAAGGGACAGGTTCCCTCCAAGGACACCCTGAAGACTGTCTTTCCCCGTAGACTTCATCTACGAGGGTTCGCGCTACAAGTTCACCGCCACCCGCTCCAGCCTGGACAGCTATCACCTGTTCATCAACGGCTCCAAGTGCTCTGCCGGTGTCCGTGCTTTGGCTGATGGTGGTCTGCTGGTTCTTCTTAGTGGACGCAGCCACAATGTTTACTGGAAGGAGGAGCCCGCGGCTACTCGGTTGAGCGTGGATGGCAAGACCTGTCTTTTGGAGCAGGAGAACGACCCTACTCAGCTTCGGTCTCCTTCGCCCGGCAAGCTCGTCAAGTTCACTGTCGAGAACGGCGAGCACGTTCGCTCTGGCCAGCCGTATGCGGAGGTCGAGGTCATGAAGATGTACATGCCTCTGATTGCCAAGGAGGACGGTATTGTGCAGCTGATCAAGCAACCCGGTGCCACCTTGGAGGCCGGAGACATTCTCGGTATCCTTGCCTTGGATGACCCGTCCCGCGTCAAGCACGCCCAGCCCTTCACCGGCCAGCTGCCCAATCTTGGCTCGCCGGTGGTGGCTGGTAGCAAGCCCCCTCAGCGGTTCTTCATGCTTTACAGCATTCTGGAGAACATTCTCCGCGGTTTCGACAACCAGGTGATCATGGGCACCACCCTGAAGGACCTGGTGGAGGTGCTGCGGAATCCCGAGCTTCCTTACGGAGAATGGAACGCGCAGTCTTCCGCCCTGCACTCGCGCATGCCCCAGAAGCTGGATGCTCAGCTCGAGAGCGTGGTTGACCGGGCCAAGTCTCGCAAGGCCGAGTTCCCCGCCAAGCAGCTCCAGAAGACCATTGTTCGTTTCATAGAAGAGAACGTCAACCCGGCCGACGCGGAGATCCTCAAGACCACCCTTCTGCCTTTAGTGCAGGTGATCAACAAGTACGTGGATGGCTTGAAGACCAATGAGTACAACGTTTTCATCGGTCTCCTGGAGCAGTACTATGCCGTCGAGAAGTTGTTCTCTACGCAGCGCGATGAAGATGTCATTCTGAAGCTCCGTGAGGAGAACAAGGACGACATTGTCGGTGTTGTCAACACCGTCCTCTCCCACAGCCGCATCGGTTCGAAGAATAACTTGGTTCTGGCTATTCTCGACATGTACCGCCCGAACCAGCCCAATGTTGGCAATGTTGGGAAGCACCTCAAGCCCGTCTTGAAGAAGCTGACCGAGCTCGAGGCGCGCTCCGCTGCCAAGGTCACTCTCAAGGCTCGTGAAGTTCTCATCCAGTGTGCCTTGCCCTCTTTGGAGGAGCGTCTGTCGCAGATGGAGCACATCCTGCGCTCGTCCGTTGTTGAGTCTCGCTATGGTGAGACCGGCTGGGACCACCGTGAGCCTGACTTCGCGGTCTTGAAGGAGGTCGTTGACTCCAAGTACACCGTTTTCGATGTCCTGCCACGCTTCTTCATCCACCAGGACCCTTGGGTCACTCTTGCTGCTCTGGAGGTTTACGTTCGCCGCGCATACCGTGCCTACACGCTTAAGGAAATTGATTACAGCGCCTCCTCTGAACCGCCCATCCTATCCTGGGATTTCACGCTTGACAAGCTGGGTCAGCCTGAGTTCGGTTCGCTTTCGTCGACCCAACCTTCGGCCCCCGGCACACCCACCGCGGAGTCGAACCCGTACAAGCGCCTCAACTCCATCAGCGACATGTCATACCTTGTCACTGACCCGAACGGTGACCCCATCCGCAAGGGTGTCATAATCCCCGTGCAGTACCTGGAAGAAGCCGAGGAGTACCTGTCCAAGGCCCTCGAGGTCTTCCCTCGTGCCGGTTCCAAGGCCAAGCGCCCGGGCGAGCATGGTCTGTTGGCCAACCTGGAGGGCAAGCGTCGCCCCGCCCCTCGAGTTGAGAATGATTCCGAGCTCACTGGCGTGTGCAACATCGCCATTCGCGATATCGAGGAGCAAGATGACACGCAGATTGTCTCCCAAATGCAGAAGTTGTTGTCCGACAACAAGGAAGAGCTGCTTGCCCGCCGCATTCGTCGGGTTACGTTCATCTGCGGCAAGAACGGTGTCTACCCTGGCTACTTCACCTTCCGAGGCCCTGCCTACGAGGAGGACCTGAGTATCCGACACAGCGAGCCGGCTCTTGCCTTCCAGCTGGAGCTTGGCCGTCTGTCCAAGTTCAAGATCAAGCCTGTCTTCACCGAAAACCGCAACATCCACGTCTACGAGGCGATTGGCAAGGGTCCCGAGAACGACAAGGCCGTTGACAAGCGCTACTTCGTTCGTGCTGTCGTTCGTCCTGGCCGCTTGCGTGATGATATCCCTACTGCCGAGTACCTCATCTCTGAGGCCGATCGCCTGATGAACGACATCCTGGATGCCCTGGAGATTATTGGCAACAACAACTCTGACCTGAACCACATCTTCATCAACTTCTCGCCTGTCTTCAACCTGCAGCCCGTCGATGTCGAGCAGGCGCTGGCTGGTTTCCTCGACCGCTTTGGTCGCCGCCTGTGGCGCCTCCGCGTCACTGGTGCCGAGATTCGCATCCTGTGCACCGACCCGGCTACGGGCATGCCGTACCCGCTGCGTGTTATCATCAGCAACACGTATGGTTTCATCATCCAGGTCGAGCTCTACATTGAGCGTAAGTCCGAGAAGGGCGAGTGGATCTTCCAGAGCATTGGTGGTACCAACAAGCTCGGCTCCATGCACATGCGTCCCGTGTCCACCCCCTACCCGACCAAGGAGTGGCTGCAGCCCAAGCGCTACAAGGCCCACCTCATGGGTACGCAGTATGTGTACGATTTCCCGGAGCTTTTCCGCCAGGCCTTCCAGAACAGCTGGACCAAGGCTGTTGCCAAGATTCCGTCCCTGGCCGACAAGCGTCCTCCCGTTGGCGAGTGCATCGACTACAGTGAGCTGGTCCTGGATGATACCGACAGCCTTGTCGAGGTCTCCCGTGAGCCTGGTACCAACACCCACGGTATGGTCGGATGGATCGTCACTGCCCGTACTCCTGAGTACCCCCGCGGCCGCCGATTCATCATCGTCGCCAACGACATCACCTTCCAGATTGGTTCGTTCGGTCCCCAGGAAGACAAGTTCTTCCACAAGTGCACGGAGCTGGCCCGCAAGCTGGGCATCCCGCGTATCTACCTGTCTGCCAACTCCGGTGCGCGTATCGGTATGGCCGATGAACTGATCCCGTACTTCTCCGTTGCGTGGAACAACCCGGAGAAGCCCGAGGCCGGCTTCAAGTATCTTTACCTCACCCCTGAGGTCAAGAAGCGATTCGATGCCAGCAAGAAGAAGGAGGTCATCACTGAGCGCATCCATGAGGATGGCGAGGAGCGTCACAAGATAACCACTGTCATTGGTGCCAAGGATGGCCTTGGTGTTGAGTGTCTGAAGGGATCCGGTTTGATTGCCGGTGCCACCTCCAAGGCGTACGAAGACATCTTCACCATCACTCTGGTGACCTGCCGCTCGGTCGGTATTGGTGCGTACCTGGTCCGCCTGGGCCAGCGCGCCATCCAGGTCGAGGGTCAGCCCATCATCCTGACCGGTGCGCCGGCCATCAACAAGCTGCTTGGTCGCGAGGTCTACACCTCCAACCTGCAGCTGGGTGGCACCCAGATCATGTACAAGAACGGTGTTTCGCACATGACCGCCACCGATGACTTCGAGGGCGTGCAGAAGATTGTCGAATGGATGTCCTTCGTCCCCGACAAGAAGGGGGCACCGATCCCCATCCGGCCCTGGTCGGATGACTGGGACCGCGACGTCGCCTACTACCCTCCGCCCAAGCAGACTTACGATGTCAGATGGCTCATCGGCGGTAAGCAGGAAGAGGACGGATTCCTGCCGGGTCTGTTCGACAAGGACTCCTTCGAGGAGGCGCTCGGCGGCTGGGCCCGGACCGTCGTCGTGGGTCGCGCCCGCCTGGGTGGTATCCCCATGGGTGTGATTGCTGTCGAGACCCGATCGGTCGAGAATGTCACCCCGGCCGATCCCGCCAACCCCGACTCCATGGAGATGATCGCCACGGAGGCTGGTGGTGTGTGGTACCCCAACTCGGCCCACAAGACCGCTCAGGCTCTGCGCGACTTCAACAACGGTGAGCAGCTGCCCGTCATGATTCTCGCCAACTGGAGAGGTTTCTCTGGTGGCCAGCGTGACATGTACAACGAGGTTCTCAAGTACGGTTCCTACATTGTCGACGCACTGGTCAAGTACGAGCAGCCGATCTTTGTGTACATTCCTCCATTTGGCGAGCTCCGTGGTGGTTCCTGGGTAAGTTCCTTTTATTGTGCCTGGCTATCTCAATTGTATGCTAATATTCATTCCAGGTCGTCATCGATCCCACGATCAACCCCGACCAGATGGAGATGTACGCCGACGAGGATGCCCGCGGTGGTGTGCTCGAGCCTGAGGGTATTGTCAACATCAAGTACCGCCGTGACAAGCAGCTGGATACCATGGCACGCCTTGACCCTGCTTACGGTGAGCTGCGCCGATCGCTGGAAGACAGCTCTCTCAGCAAGGATCAGCTGTCGGAGATCAAGACCAAGATGGCCGCGCGCGAAGAGCAGCTTCTGCCGGTGTATCTGCAGATCGCGCTGCAGTTTGCCGACCTGCACGACCGTGCGGGTCGTATGCAGGCCAAGAACACCATCCGCCAGCCACTGCGCTGGCAAAACGCCCGCCGCTTCTTCTACTGGCGCCTGCGCCGCCGTCTCAGCGAGGAGCTGATCGTCAAGCGCATGGTTACCGCCTCATCGACGCCGGTGTCGCGGAACGGCTCGTCTGGTGCCATCCCCTCGTCGGGCACCGCTCACTCCAGCCCGCAGGAGACCCCTCGCGCCACGCACCTGCGCACCCTGCACTCGTGGACCGGACTGCTGGACGACGAGCTCGAGCACGACGACCGCAAGGTTGCTACGTGGTACGAGGAGAACAAGAAGAACGTGCAGCTCAAGGTGGAGGCCCTGCGTACCGAGGGCGTCGCTACCGATGTTGCCCAGCTCCTGATTGGAAACAAGGAGGGCGGTCTCCGTGGTGTGCAGCAGGTGCTGTCCATGCTGCCGGTGGAGGAGCGCGAGTCAGTGCTCAAGTACCTGGGGTCGGGCTAAAAAAAGTTGCTACCCTACCGGAAGAGATGCAATGGTGGAGCATATGAAAGTGAACCAAGACTTATTATGACTTGATGTGTTTTCTTACTGTTTTGTTTTTTTTCTCTGGTTCTCCAGATTGCATTGGTGTTGTGTGTTTACCCGGACGTATTATATGTCAGACCGTCTTTTATAAGCAGATCGGAAATCAACTCACCAATCGCGGTGATATTCCAAGGTTGTCTCGACCGTACAGGAACACCTAAGCGCTGGGGTCAGTGGTCGATCTTGCCCTAACGCGGCCCCCAGCACCCCCACTGCGAAAACACATAAGATCCCTGATCCCTGAGACATTCAATGGGCGGCAATGACGGGCGAATGATAAATATTAGCGAGAAACAAATTGGATACATTGGCTGCGTACATCTATACCTCTATCACCATCTCTATACATCCATGTCCAAGTGCAAGGGATCACTAAAAATAGTCGGTGGGCCCGATGAGATCATCGGCGAAATCTCTGAAGCCGTCTGACATTCTTTTCCATATTTCCCCAAACGGACAATGAAGTTGGGGTAGCCAGGTGAGAGTCATGATCCATGTCCAGCAGATGATACAAATTTTGTAGACAGCATCGGAAGTACCGTTTCCCCTGAAGGTGCGCATCGTGGCAGTGTTCAACGGGAATATCTGATTCGCGTCCAGCCTTGTCTGACGAGGCGAAAAGGCGCGTTGAGTTAAGTCAACCGGCCGATCCCAGCCCCCAGTTGTGGATCAATTGGCCAATGCCCGCGGTTGCGTAAGTCTTCGGCCAAAGGATGGGCTGTGTGTGTGATCCTCGCATTCTCACTTTCTCCAGAACATGGCTGCCTGTCTCTCTTTTCTTCGTTTTCCCCTGATTACCTAGTTCCTTGGGTGTTTGTGTTTGTTTCTTGACTCCATTCTTTTTTTTTTTTTTGTTTCTCCAGATTCCTATCCAGCAAGTGTGTTCGCCCACTCTTCCCGGCATCTCTGGTTCTCGGGGCGCAACTCAAATCATGCACCTCTCTAATGGCTTCGGCCTTGTCGCCATCTTGTATGGCGTCCAGGTTGCCTGGGCGGCCGACTTCTTGCGAATGGACTCGCTTGTTTCGTGCGCCCCCAATACCCAGGTCAAGGCCAGTCTGTTCAGTGCGACCTACACACCGGGAAACAAGTCGGCGACCGCGGGTTTTAGTGTCGACACCAGCATCGATGGCTATGTGAATGTGGATGTGGATTTGATCGTGTACGGGTACAAGGCAAAGACCCTGCACAAGACGGGTTGCGACTTTCACCTCCAGTCGCTCTGTCCCATGAAGCCGGGCCCGCAGAAACTGCCTATGGGTGCGCTTGATATTAACTCTGATATGACTACCTCCATTCCAAGTAAGCTCCCCCCCCCTCCGCTATAGAATAGAATAATTCCGAAACTCGAAAGAAGATATCGCTGATATATCTCCAATGTGGTACAGATATTGCTTATACAACACCCGATATCGATGCGCTGGTCCGCCTCCACCTTTCAGACCGTGATTCCGGGAAGAGCTACGGGTGTCTCGAATCCCGTCTGACCAACAGCAAGACCGTCAACCAGGCCGGTGTGTCCTGGGCGCTGGCCGTGATTCTGGGTCTGGGGTTTGTCGTTTCGGGAGTGATCTCGCTTCTCGGCCATACCAACACCGCCACGCATCTCGCATTTCGATCTCTCGCATTCTTGAGCTTCATGCAGACCCAGGCTCTGTTTGGGATGAGTGCGGTTGAGTTGCCGCCCATTGTGCAGGGCTGGACGCAGGTTTTCCAATGGACCATGGGGATTATCCACACGGACGCCCTGCAGACCATCAGTACCTGGTACCAGCGCTCGACGGGCGGACACGCAGACGACCTGTTGCAGAACCTGGAAACCACCTCGGTGAATGTCATGAAGCGGAGCTATCTCGATGACAGCGGGCAGGGCCAGGTGACGCTCCGAGGGATTGAGCGCGTCGGCTTCAAAGCATCGATCGAGGCGAGCAACATCTTCATGACATCGTATCTGTTCTTCTATTTCGTGGTTCTTGTAGTTCTCATCTGCGTCGCGCTCGTCCGGTTTGGTCTGCCCGTTCTGGCCAAGAAGTCTCCCAAGGTCGACCGCGCTATCAGCGACACCACCGAATGGAAGGCCGTCACTCGGGGGACTCTGTTCCGACTGGTTTCGATGGGGTACCCGCCCATGTGCGTGCTGTGTCTGTGGGAGTTGACCCAGAAGGACTCGCCCGGAGAGATCCTGGTGGCCATCGTGATGTGGCTGATCCTGTCCGCACTTATGGGCTGGGCGACTTTCCAGGTCTTCAAGCGCGGCCTCCGGTCCAAGTCGATGCACAACAGCCCCGCCTACATGCTGTACTCGGACCCGGCGTGTCTGAAGAAGTGGGGGTTCCTGTACGTCTACTACCGCGCACCGGCCTTCTACTTCACCGCAGCGGCGCTGGCGTACACGGTGATCAAGTGCATGGTGCTCGCCTTCGGACAGTCCTCGCCCATCGCGCAGGCCGTGGTGATCCTCATTCTCGAGATCGCCATGTTGGTCGCCATCAGCATAATCAAGCCGTACATGAACAAGCCGACGAATATCTTCGCCATCGTCGCCGCCACCATCAACTTCCTCAACGCGATTTTCCTCCTCATCTTCACCAACGTCTTCAACCAACCCGAACTGATGACGGGTGTCATGGGCGTGCTGTTCTTCATCTACAATGCCATTTTCACCTTGATTCTGTTGTGCTTCGTGCTGGTCGGGCTCTTCTTCGCCCTCACTCACAAGCAACCCGACAGCAAGTACCAGCCCCTTGCCGATGACCGCGGCTCGTTCCGTCTCTCTAGCGGCGGCGGTCGTATGACCACCGAGTTGGAGTCGCTGGAGAAGGTCGCGCGTGGCGATGGTTCGCACCCTGGATCACGCGATGGCTACAGCAGCCACAGTCGGGTGGAGAGCGTCGACGACTTCGGCATGGGCACCCGCAGTCCTACCCGCAGCCCATACCGGCCATACCGAGGGGATGTGGTAGATCCATCTGTGCCGCTGGTGCCTAGCCATGAAAATGTGGCCCGGCGCTTCTAGTCTCTCTGTCTCTCCGTCTCTTTTTTCTATATTGTCTCTTTTTTTCGGGGAAGTCATGCATTATGCTTTTCCAAAAAAAAGTCCTTCCAGCCTCTTTCTCTCATCTCATGCATGCGAAACCTGGGATTCATGAACGTCCCCCTTTCCTCTTTTCACTTTTTTTTACCCTTCTGATGTACATCTTACCTCTCTCCTTGTACTCTTTCCTTGGGCTTGGATTATACCCTTTAGGTATACTTCTGGCACTTCTCTGTTTCCTTTTTCTTTTCCTTGTCACTATGCTCATGGTCAGCCGGGATGAATGGCGTTATTTTTGGATATAAGGGTGTATCACCAAGCGATATACAAGAAATGTAAAAACATTCCACGACTTCAATGTGTTTTTTTTTTCAGTAATCATAAAGCAGTATGGTTGGTCTTGTACTCTTATTCCTGCACTGGTGAGAGGAACAGTTGGCATGCTTCAACGAAATAGACTGTCGAGTATAACCTTGTTCACGGACCTACTCGAAATTAAACAGTCTATACAGATGAAGTATCGGACTGACGACGGTATGATCATTCTATTCCACTTCTAGTGGACTTCCCTCTCCCACATCCGATGATGAAGGCCAAGGCCGGGGGCCGTGGCTATGTGGCTTGGCTGGGCTGAGAAGTGTCCAGATGCTTATTTTTAAAAAGACTCTCGAAGATGCATCAATCCATGGAAAACTCCCTTCCTTTTCTTTCTCTTTGACTTCTTAGTTTCTTCCGAAGCAAGAACCCCGATCCCAGATTTAAAAGAATTGCATCTTGTTTCGAATCCAACCACCACCACCATCATTTACCCCGAATCAACCTCGAAACCACTATACCCAGTCAATTTCTGTCTTTTTCAAAAATGTGTTTCGGCATGTTCGCGTCCGTGAAGCCGCAACCACCACGTCGGGAGGCATACAAGAACGAGAACAAATATCAGCGCGATTACGAGCGATACCAGAAACAGTACGCCGAATACATGGATAAGGATAACCGGCGCAGACGCATGCAGAATTCTAATACTGGCGCTCTGGCGGGGACTACTGCTGCTATTGGGGGTTAGATGAAGAGTGTTGTATGGGATGCAATGGGCCATACACATATTTATTATTCGGTTTTCAGTTTTGTTGTTTCATTTTCTGGGTTTCTGCTGTGAGAGGGGAAGGATGGTATACCCGGCTTCATGACCTGGATGAATGTTTTTGCTTCTTGTATCATGGTATGAACTTAGATTAAGATTAGTCTATACAGCCTTGCAATCTACAAGATGGTAAGATTATACATAGTCTTGTTTTTGACACTCTTTTGTTTGAAATAATGTGACACGATCTAGTTCAAGGAAGACTCTAGTTTGTATATGACTGAGTTTTGTATCTTATTTCTAGTAGGGTATTCCGAGGTTGTGCCCTTTAAAAAGGTACTATCTGAACGCTATTCTTATCGTCGCTCTCCACACATTCTATCGCACAAATGTTAAGGAAATTAAACAGCCAACTCTTTATACCCCACACGGGGTTGACATTCCCAAGTAAGGCATTTCGATGTCGATCAGTAGTGATGCAGGACCGTTCCTCGGGAAACGCTGGCATCAAGCTGGATTTTTTCCCCTGCTTCTTCTTTTTCTTGTTTCATTCTGCAGAGAACTTTTGTCTTTTCTTTACAGTGCTGGCACAAGGTTTCAACTTCATAGCCTAATCATCATTAGTCGAGACCCACATATTATGGCGGTTGCTCAATCCGCTTACCCGTGGGCATCTCTCCCCAAGCAATTTGCCAAATTCACCAATTGCACGGCTGGCCTCGACTTGACTCTTCGCCTCATCCAGGCCCTGGCGCAAGTGGCCGCTGAAATTGGCATTGATAATGCATTGGCCATGAAATGCTCGATGGTCACGTCGCAACTAGCGATGGGTAAGTTGAGTGGGCTTTTTTCTTGTTGTATTATATCAACCATTACTTTTCTGAAACTAATCATTGAGAGTATATAGCAAGGCGATATTTTCGGTTCTTTTGCTTTATTGACTGCTTCGGACATGTTCATGATCTCCTGGTTGGGGACGCCGTGGCTACAGGGAATATCCTGAGGACCATGGAGATGGCAGAATCCAGCTTATTAGGGCTCTATTTTGTCATGGAAGATCTGACTATGGTATTGCATCCACCTCTCTCCCTCTCCCTCTCTTTTCGGTCAATTGAAACAATCAAGATCCAGTGCTGACCCATCAAAGCTCCATGATATGAATATCTGGCTGGTGCCGTGGTACACACCAGTGCTGGTAGAAGCAAACAAGCTCTGGTTCTATGCAATTTGCACATCTCTGACAAGAACCATCTGGCAGCTGTTGTTTGACCAAAATAGCCGCAACAGAGAACCAAGGAGCAAATCTAAGGCAGAGAAAAGAAAGTCCAAGTCAAAACCTGCTCCTCATTCAACTCAGGGCCCCTCTAGTACAGCTCTGATCAGAAAAATTGTCGTCGGTGGTTGCGATATCACTCTCCCCGCTTCTTTTCTAGGCTGGACTACACTCGGGGACCTAGGGATTGGTGTGGGGATGGTGGTGAGCACGGTGCTTGCTTCGTTGGATGTTTGGGAGAAGGCGCAATGATAGAATAGAATGAATTTGAGGAATGGCTATGACCTTACTTCGAGTAAATAGAATCCAAAATTTGGATGGCATGCGCAATTGTCTCTGTGTGACGACCCTTGTACTCTTGTAGAGCAGATCTATGAAGGTAAAATATCCGTGGTGAAAAATTACCTTAAAACGACTACTTTCGTTGAAAATACAGCGTACGAACGACCTTATTCAAGGCTCAATCTTATTTGGCAAAGAGTGAAGGTACAGAAGCACTAAAATAAAAAAAAAAATGAAAATGAAAAAAAAAGGAAAAGCAAGAGGTGACGGGGGGAAAGAAGGCCTTGCATAGATGGAGATCAAACTTATCCAAATCTAGCTTTACACTTTACAACTGAAAAGCCAGGTCTGCAGATCCAGCAGAATCGCCTTGTCGAGGGTTGGGGTCAAGAGATTATTCCAATGTCTGGCCCCTTTGAGAAGCTGTGCTAGAAAGACAGCCTTGGCAATACATTATGAATTTCTATCTCAAGGTTAATCGGTTGATCCGCAAGGCCGGAAGGTCCTTCGGCTAAATGCCCCCGGGATCGGCATGGGATTCTCGATCCCGAACCCGCACCAATGGCCAAAACCCAAGAACAAGCCGAATCCAAAAATTTTCATGCTGAATGATCGAATCATTCTTTGTTCTATGCATATGATGGGACACTGTCTAATTGAGATAGGCTTTCTATTCTAACAACTCAATATTGAACAGCAATCTTGTGCATGCCGCCAAGGCTCCTTAGCCCCTAATTGCGGGTGGTTACAACATCGCCAAAAAGGGCAATAGGGGCCGGGGAGGAGAAACGGCCCTGGCCCCAATGATTTCATCATTGGCTGTTTGAAACGCGTTGGTCTGACTTTATGGAACGGCTAAATTTCTGTTGTATTTTGTTTTGCTTATCATCATAGTCGGATAACTGCCAGTTGATCAAAACATTATTCTCGTGATATAGGATCCTTATAGGCATGGCCATAGTATTTGCAATAAGTATCTGGCTGCGCGGGATTTTGGGTTAAAAGAGGTAGTTGATACCCACAATAAATCTCCAAGCGCATGGTTTCAGGGCAATTAGAACAAGACTGCCAGCGAATCTCCCTTCCAGGCAAGTAAATATGATCATCGCAATGGTGTCTCCTGTATTCAGTATCTCTTTGTGCCTCAATTAGCATGGCCATATTTTGACCACAGAAAATAGCTTCTTGTTTTTATTCACTGAGTAAGATTGCAATTTGGGGTGCACGAGTCAAAGAGAGGAGGTCGTGAGAGAAGTGGAGGTGCTTCTCTCTAGGCTTGAAATCAGGATCTGTCGTCCCTCCGATGGGCCTTTCTCGCCCCTACCAGGGGCCATGTTCCTTTCAAATAAGATGCTCAAAATGAATATCCGACTCTTGGCCATCCTTGCCCCTCGAGACAGGTACTTCACACACAGTATAAAAGGAAGAAAAACCGCCCCTTCCCTCTTATCCCCACTCTCACGGAAGGGCAGCGTTTGGTACTCCCAATTACCAAGATGATGTACCACTTAGGAATTTTCTTTTTTCTTGTGGTGCATGGCACACACTTGGTAGTCGGTAACCATGTGTCGTCATTCACGCCGAGGGCCTCAACCGACAAAGCATTGTACCTGATTTATTTCCACGACGATGTCGACTCTTCCAAGAGAACCGACTATGCCCGCGACCTAGAGAAAGCTCTCCCGGAGAATCACACGCAAGCAATAACACTTCATAACAAGATTTTGACTATCGCCGCGGTTCTCACCGAGTCCCAAGTCAGCAAATGGAAAACAGACTCGGTCAGCTACTCTTTTATTAACGGGATTCTCTCTAACGCTACCACGGGGCTAATACATATAACTCTGCCTTTAGATTGAAGCTATCGAGTCAGATGATAGCGAAGTCGACATCGACGGCAACTTCGATGACTCGACGATCCACGCACGAGATCGATACCACGATACCTTTACCCCGAACAGCAACGCTTTTCGCGATTTCCCGGAGATGCTGTTTCTCTCGCAGCCGCCGAGAACCGAGCTTGAAGAGTGCCCGGATTACGCCTATGACGATACGGCTGGTAGGGGCGTGGATGTATACGTGCAGGATACTGGAATCAACCGAAAGCACATCGAATTCAAAAACCCAACGGAACGCGATAATTTCCCTCGCAAGGGCAGTATCGAGACGCTGTATCCTAAGTCGAGTAGGTTTGGGAATCTCTTCTTTCGTTCGTCGCCTGATAAGGATGACGATGGACATGGCACTTGCGTGTCAGACAAAATCATCGGTACTAAGTATGGCAGTGCTAAAAGTGCTAATCTTTTCCTGGTACCTACGGAGACAAACTTCAAGGCACTCGCAGCCCTCCTGGGAAGCTTGACAAAAGCAAGGATGGTCTTTTATTTTGCTGGCCTAGCAGCAATCATCGAACATATTGAGAAAAGACGGCGGGAAAACAAGGATGCCTTCCCGCCCGTGGTTAATTGGAGCTACGGGCTTCTAGTGGATGAAAAGAAGCACAAAAAGACCTTGGATCAATGGCGCGATTTTGTTCGGAGGCTCGATAAGCTGGGCGCTACTATGATCGCGGCATCTGGGAACGCCGCGCATATAGCAGGACGCGAGGAAGTCGACGAATATCCCGCTCTTTTTGCCAAGGAATTTAAGAGCGTCATTCCTGTGGGATCCGTCGATATTCATGGAGTAAAATCTACGTTTTCACAAGGGGGACCCCTGGTGAAGGTACATGCTCCCGGGCGAGTCGATGAACACCGCGGTATGCCCTGTGCAGGCAAAAAGGGAGAGCGCGATTGGAACGTCGACCCAAAGAACGAGGGCACTTCCTATTCCACCGGAACCATTTCTGGGATCGCAGCCGTCAAGATTGGCTCAGATCCAGGGGTTCGTACAGGTAATACAGGGGAAAAGGTGGCGGCGTGGTTGTATAGATGGGCCTACATCCGTGAGGGTGGCGACGTGCCATCAGTATGGAATACGGAAATCCCTGACATATGCTAAGCAACGCTCGGCACGTGTATATAATAACGAAATTTTCATAATGGACTGTCCAGAGCTTATGTTAGAATCATGGATTGTAAAATGACTCGGTTTCATAGTAGCCACTAGGGCTCTACCGTACCCACCAGAAGAAGCAGGAAGCTGATTGCGGTTTTCGCTGACGGGGTCTTGAAATAGAGAAAGTATAAACCAGAATCGTATAATTTTACGGCCATGGGCTATAAGCCATCAAATATTATACGTGCAGAATGCTGGATATCCAATCAATCGTAGTATAAGAACCCGCAGGAAAAGCCCTTCACGATGACAAAATGAGCGCAATCGTGCCCAACCGTATTAGAAAATATATATAGATGGCAACATTTGAAATCAATGCCATGACCGTTGACGCGATGCGCCCAGGATGGTTGAGGATCCTCAAGAATGAGGACAACCTGCCTTTTGCTTCAAGCCGATCTGCGAGAAAGGGCAGTTCTCGAACCATAAATGGTAAGCAAATCACTGGCATTACCATCACGGTGAGAATCTGCCAAGCTTTCCTCTCGGCTGCCGTTGGAAATGTAGAGTTCCATCTATGTATGTTCATCAAGATCAGTTTTTTGAGTGGTAACAAATTGCAAGAAGAGATGAATCAAAGGCCAAAAGGTCAGGGGAGTAAATACCCAGCAACATGAATGCCGCTAAAGACCATAGCAACAAGAGTAGGAAATCCAAAGATCATTGTTGCAGTGGGAACTGCTGTGTACCTTTCATCATTGTGCGGCTGCCTCTTAGGAAAGACACTGGAGTATTTGAATCGCCCTGGGCATCAAAAAAACATAAAATTCTTGATTGACAAGGAAGATTCGGGTGAAGAGCTTTGAGTAGGCGCCGCTCGCACATGCACCCAATTTCTAGGATGGGCACCTATGATGTTTGTTGAATTCCCGTGGAATATCGCTGCGCTTATAGGGCAGAGAACTCACAATCTGGGTCGTCATGTCGGTTGGCTTGGACCACCAGAATCCGTAGATCAAAGCCCCACACACCACATAGGCAACGGTAGCGATCTCTAGTGGTATAACTGGGAGAGAGCATATCGCACGTGCAATTACTGTGCCAGTCACCCATGCGCTCTGTACAACTGTAAAGAGTTTCCCGAGCGCATCAGTTTTCGCTCGGTCTTGAACATCCTCGTCTCGGAAGTCGGAGCATCGAATCAAGCCCGCTTCAATGAAGCTTTCCACATGCTTCGGAGGGATCTTGTATAGCCAATCATCCCGTGTTTGCAAAGCAAGCCCACCCATGTTGATGCAGAGCGCCTGCCTGGTAGTCCATTTTTCTTGGATGGAGAACGTGTGACATGTTGCAGGTATGGGTCCTGCTCCAGCGATGAACTCTGTTGTCTTTTGTTGCAGGGCAAGGCAGCTTGGGCAGAATTGCAAGCCGCGGCCAGTTCTCTTGCAAGAAAGAACTGTTAAATAGCAACCATCGCGGTGAGCTTGGGGCATAGCAGCATGACCAGCCACGCGCCTAGTTTAGGCGTGATAGAATTCGTGAGGCCTTTCCCAGGCTTTGAGATGTCAAGACATAGAGCAGTCCAGGTGCAGGCGAAGATGGTGGAAAAACACATCCACTGGATATCCCATGTCAATCGTGCGTTGTCGTCAAACTGCCAGACGACCAAAGTTTAGTTTGAAGCTAGCGAGGGACGCAAGAGCGCGAAAAGTACAAAATCAATAAACATGGCCTGAGGATAGGAGCTCCCCCTCGAGGACGGAGAGGGTGGAAAAGTAGAAAAAGCAGGAAAAGCAGGAAACTCGGCGATCATGCCCAATGTGTGGGAAACCGTGCATTGGCGGGGCATTCGCTATGTGTGGCATGGCGACAGCTTGCACGCAGACCACGTTGATCAAGCCCACAATATACTTGAAAATCCATTAAGCCGATGGGACTAAAATTAATGCCAAACCGAGTACCATAAGTTGGCATTGGTGACAGCAGATCAGGAGAGTCCCGAGAGAATCCTTTGTTTATATTGGCCTTAATTATTAGGCGGCGATTTGGATAGACCGCCAAGACGTCGGCCTCAACCTTGTCCTCTTCTTCTCACATCATCGATATCAATGTTCCTTGCTATATCATAGTAACCAATTTGCTGTGTCATTTCCACTCACCATTGTTTACTGCCTTGTTGATTCTTGCAGTAAAAAAACGGGTGCTCTACCAACTCGCAAACAACGCTTGATCTCTAGCCTCTCAACGAGTACTATCATTATGGACATCAATGTAATTGACAAGTGACAGGTCTTTCGACGAAAAGATCTTTACCTTGGACAATTAAAACACATCAATACTATTCCGATAACCCAAGGTATCATCTCATCGTTTCTGTAGGTGTATTGACAGGGCTCTGTAGATCTGTGGGCAATTGGTCGTACAAGTAGAAGCTTACTATCTATCGTCGCATAACATTATAGTATACATGTACTAGTAGGCTAGAGTAGCTAGAATGCTAAGGTACTTTGTAAGGAGCATACAAATGACGAGTGGCACAATGTGACCGAGGCATATGAAGTGCAACCCCAAGATGGCTCGGCACACCCACCATCCTATCTTCATCTCATCCACAATTGTCGCCTACGCAACAGCCATGCATCGGCCCCATCTGATCCCCAAAACCGCCGCACTGGTTTTTCTCGCGGCAGCACTCTACCTCTCACTCCACATTGTCCACATTCCCTTCCCAACCATCTTCCACCTGAGCGAGTTCGAAGCGTACGATTTCAACGCCACCGTCGACGAGCAACAATGCTTCAACAATCCATTCCCCGCCTCAGAGCCAATCCCAAAGATCGTGCACATGGTCTGGGCCAAGAACCCCGAGCTAAATCTCCTGACCTACCTAGCCATCCGCTCTGCACTGGACTCGATTAAACCCGACCAGCTCAAGCTCCACCACGCCGGCCTCAACGATGACAATCCATGGCTCCGCAAACTTCAAAACAGAATCACCATGGTCCCGCATGACCTCCACGACGAATACCCAAAACAAATTCAAGACAACTGGCGCACACCACACATCGCCGACGCAATGCGCCTCGACATCCTGCACCGCGAAGGCGGCATCTACCTAGACATGGACGTGATCTCGCTCGCACCGTTCGACCACATCCTCTCAACACCCAAGCAAGTCGTGCTAGGCCACGAAGGCGGTGACCGCCAGGGCCTCTGCAATGCAGTCATTCTCAGCCGGCCGGGCTCGCCATTCATCCGCCGGTGGATCGACACGTACTTGAATTTCACCAGGAGCGAATGGAACTACCACTCAGTGGTTTTGTCCAAGAAACTATCGCTACAGCACCGCGATGAGGTCTGTGAGCTGCCGCCGTCGGTCTTCTTCTGGCCTACCTGGACCAACAGGCATGTTCGGTATATGCACGAGCCGATCACTGATCAGCAAGCCTTGGACTTTGCAAGCGAGATCGCGGCTAATGGTGGCGCTATGTACCCCGACCAACTTGCTTACCATGCGTGGAGCCACCCGGCGACGAAGTATTTTCAGAAGTTGACGCCGCAGTTGCTGAAAGAGCAGAATACTCGGTTTAATGTGCTGGTGCGACGGTTTGTGGATTGAGATGTCTGTTTATGTTTTGCGATTATATTGTGTATGTTTTATTTTATCTTGGCTGTTGGGAAGGGATATTGGTCAGAAATATCGGTTTATGGACTTGAGGTTTGTCGCTGCGGGCCAAAGCCCTAACCAAGATGCAATTATCAGGGTTTCCAAGGCAGTATCGCTTACAACGATCCTATACTTACTAAAATAGTATTGGATCTCGATCTAGTGAATGCTTTCTTTTTCTCAAATATCACAATGTGAAAGTCATAATCTAATATCCAGTCATAGCTCCCCTAGAATGAACGAGCCAAGAAAATCGTAACCCCCAATGCCAATTGCCAGAAACAGAGTAAAAAAAACAGAAGGAAACCGAGCATCTCAGTAAAAGCACCATCTTAAACACGGCGGCGGAAACTCTCATAGCTGTCCGCCTCGGTCACCAACTCGACATTGGACTGATCCTTCGGCAGCGCAAACTCCCACTGCGACGGGATAAGCCAGCCAGGGTGAAAGACATTAAAAACACCAACAGCAAGCACCATCAGAGCCCCATCAAGCCCGATAAAGTACGACTCATGGGTAATGAGGTAGCCCGACCAGCCCTGGGCCAGCTCGATCGTGCGGTAGATGCTGCGGATATAGATACAGAGAATGGAGAGCACCATGGCGCCGAGGAGGATGGTAACAGGGCTTAGCGAGATACGCAAAAGCCCGCGGCTAATACTGCGGTGCAGGAAGTCAGCGGCACAGTACACAAATACCGTGATGGAGACCAGCTGGAATACGATGCCGGCCACCATGGTGTTGGTCCCCGCAGCCGTGTCGCCGTGCGAGCCCGAGGCTGATGACGCCATGCCACCGCCGGCGGCTTGCACGACCAGCGAGATGATGTCGCAGGTGCAGAAGATCCAGAGGTACAGGCGTGGCGAGAGCTTAGAGCATTGCGGGCCGAAGAGCTGGATGAAGCGGCCGAGGAGCACGTAGATGCCGGCAGTGAAGAAGGTCGGTGCTATTAGGTGGAATTGTCAGCTTATATTTCCATTCAGCAGGTATAAACAGTCCTTACCGATGATCAGCGTGGAGATTTGGATCATGAATGCCGTCGAGTTGTACGGGCACACTGCGGACCAGGTCCGACCAGCCCATCCGAGCAATTCGACTGCAGAGCAGGTGTTAGCTATATGAAACAATAAAGATTTCCAATCATCTCCATACCTAAACATCCAATTGCGAACACGCTGCACCACCAGGTCCGCTTCCAGCAGAACTGGACTATATGCACCAGCATCGACAGTCCAAATAGTACACAGAAGGCGATGCCCGCTGCCTTGGAGGGGACATAGTCGTACGAGGTATCGACCCCGGGGACATAAGCATAGCAGCCTTCTTCCAGGGCATCTTTGGACAAGGACCCGTTTTGCAGTCGTGAAAGGGTGTCGGAAGACATTGCCAGGCTGGTATGAATGAGACGATGGGAACAATAGGGTAAGGTTAAAACGGGAAGAAATTAAAGTACTATGACCCGACAATCGTCAAGCCAGTTTTCTTGAAACAAGAAGAATTTGCAGTGAAAAGACTTTTTTGTTTGAAAGATACTGGAGAAAGACCCTCTCTTGACAGGTCTATCACCGGCCCTTTATAGACAATTTATCTGTACATTCCATGGTGGTCGCCAACGGTCTCGCAATGAGCAACCCTAAATGAGTTATCAGCCCCCTCGGGTCGGTACAGCCCGGTGGAATAACAGAAAAAAATATAGGGGGATGAGCCACTCTCACTGGCTGGATAGTATAAGTCTCCTTTGAACATTGTCGGTTTCGCTCCGGCGATATTCCCGAGCCTAGGGAGGCCTAAGAGGCCTAATAGTGTTGTGGGGGCCAGTGGGTGGCTGATTGGCTGAGTCGTGAAATGTAGAACGGCAACAAAATAGCCAGCCGAGTCGGGTGGATCCCGGGGCTTAGATTGGCAGTTGTATGCCTGAGATGATTGGCCGTATCGTATGTCGCAGCCTGTTGCTTGTCTGATATTGCCAAGGAAAAAACGAAATCAGCTTAAGGTAGTATTTCTGGTACAATGGCTTGTAGGCTTGTAGGCAGATATATTTTATCTGATTTGTTTTGATTTTATTTGATTGTATACTCCGTTAGTCTAAAAATAACATGGACATGCTCGTCAGTGCGCTATTGAGTTCCTTCGGCTCGGCGATGCAAAGTGGGTCGGGTCGGAGATGAACCCTACACTTTGCATTTCCATAGAGCCAGCATGTATTCCGAGCTTCTACTATGATGTCTTGATTTATTCACTTGTTATACAGGGATGTATCTAGAATTGACACAAGTCGCTGACCCTGGCTTAGCCTAGGCAAATTTAGGAGACGTAGCGGAGAATAGAAACTAGATTTGAAAGCCTTATTAACTTAATTTTATCTTATTTAGGTCTCATCGTCTAGCCTATGACCAGGTAGTGGTCCAGGTCCAATATATTTTGAAAACCATGATCAGAAGTTATCGTTTCATTCCTTACGGTAGATGACTCGAGGACAACATGTATATATCTCCTTGGTAGATTTTATAACAAGATCATGGTCATCTTAGCCAACCACAAGTATACCCTTCGATCAGGCAACATCCAAACAAACAAATGCTCCCACCACGGGTATGACAAAAGTCCACAATCATCAAACGCAATCATTGCATAATCGCAAGAAAAAGAGAGAAAAAGAGGCTCCAAACAACACAGCAAAGACTCATGAATAAATATAACTCATTCACGATTATATTCCATCCCAATCAGGCAAGCTGCCGCTCAATGTTCCGCGGACCGGTCAAAAGCGCCGACGGAATCGGGGGCACGGGGCCCCGGTACACAGCCCCATGGGGGTCATGAGTACCAGGCGGATGAGGAGGAGGCGGTGGCGGAGGAGGGCGCGGATAACCCGGCTGCTGAGGGTAATGAGGATGGGGATGCTGAGGATGATGGGGAAAATGGGGACGAGGCGGCGGGATGGGAGGAGTACCGGCGGCACCACCCAGAGCCAGACGACCAAAGTCCTGGGGGAGCTGCTGCGGCGGGTAGCGATATTGGGCGGGCGCGGGTGCGAGAGCGGAAGAGTGAGGATGGTTGTAGCCTGGCGATGCGGCTGGAGCGCCGGGGAGGGAGACGAGCGAGGTGTGGAGGGTGCGGGCAATGTCGTCGAAGGTTACCTCCATCGGACTGATGTAGGTGGTGCTGCTCTTTGCGGACCAGGCGAGGACGTGGCCACACACGCGACCGGTGGATCGGTCAAAGACCCATGCGCCGGAGTCACCGGGGGCTGTTGGAGTTAAAATGATTAGCTTCACGAAAAATAGCTTACTGGATACGAAGTCACAGCTTTAATAAAAAAAAAAACATCCCGGTGGAAAGGGTTCTTGTTTACCGGTTTTAAAAGGATAGAGGAAAAAGGAAAGAACATGGGGTAGAGAGGCAGGGGGGGTTCGTGATGAAGCAAAACAAAGGGTATCTAATTAAGGATCGTATAGACATAATCATGAATCTGTTGAGGTGCGCGTCTTACCTCCAAAGTTTCCGTTGACGCAAAAGCTCGTCGAGAAGGAGTGTCGGCCATGCAACTTCACTAGGGTCATGGCCTTGGATATCTGCCCAGTTTGTAGTCCGCTTGTGCGGCCACAGCAGTGAACCTGCAATCCACCCAACTCCTCCATCCGGGCGACCTGGTTCAGAAAGATGGGTTGTGGAGGCACCGCACGGCGCGGGCCGGCTCGGGTGAGAGTGGGTATGGATGTGTCCAAAATGATATTGCGGGGGTCCATGCGAGCTTCGTCGACCTTGATGAGGGCCCAATCGACCTCGTGCTTGATTCCCTTTCGTGTCCAGCGCCGTACGCCAGACGAGGCATGGACGTATCCCAGGGAATGTGAGGCAAGATGCTCATCATCGCGGTCTTCCGGTGATGGAAAAAAGTCATCGTGAACGTCGTCAATGGCTGGTTGAGTTACAAGAAGCCGTGGTTCTTCACCGGGTTCGATGCCAGCGGTGTCGCCGATTGATGCGGCATCGTCATCATCATTGTCCGCGCCGTCAATAGAGTCGTCGTCGGATGAGTCCTCATCCGACAGCCAGTATTCGTCGTACCCGGTCTCGAAACCTTGTGAGACTGAGCCATCATCCCCATCCTCCCGATCTGAAATCTCAAATTCAAGATTGATCTCCGAAGGGTCGTCCTCACACCACGTATACATCAGATCTGGGTTTGGGGTGGCCGACGTATTCCGGGCAAAATTACCTGCTGATCGAGATGGGGCGTCTTGGCCTTCCTCGCCGGGGCCTTCGTCGTCACTGGGGGCCTCCAGCATATGGTGGACGGTGAGGCCGTACGGTAAACCATCCACGAGCACGGCCCCACCATAAGAGACAGGAGGTAAATGCTCCTCATTTTGAAAGGCTCCAATGGATGCTCCACAGAGGGGTCGTTGCTGATAGCATGGGTTCAGCTCTCGTTGGCGAAAAGGCGTTTCGTTGGATCCGTTGGGGCGTGTCTTGGCCGGCGTGCGACGCTTTCTGCGGGGAACTTTGGACCGTTCGATGTCGCCCCGGAGAACAATCAAATCCCAATCGTCCCGACCGAGATTGTAATGTTTCTTCAACGCAGATCGAACTTTCTTGACACTCGCACAAGTCACACAGATGGTCGTTCGAGCCGTCTCAGATGAATCTCCAGTCATCATGAGAGAAACCCCGCAAGACTCTGAGGAATCTTTCAAGATCTTTTGGAGGAGCCGACTCAATCGTGGCATCATCGAGTAGTTCCATTCTTGCAGGTGGTCATCAGGAATGTCGAGAGTTGGAATTCGTTTGACGGTACGCTTTTTTGCGGCCTTGTCCGGATTTTTCCCTTCTGTCGCTGCACGCCAATCATCCGCAGGAAGTGTCGGTAACTTCTTGTCCAACTTCATCGGCTCACGAGCAGGTTGGTATGCTTCATACTTCTGTGCAGGAGCTGGCTCGGGAGTCGGGACGAGCGCAAGCGGGAGGCAGTCGTCCAACTCCTCTGCTGGCGGCGCTGAGAAGATGTCGATACGGCAACACGACCACAAGATTTTGCAGATTGTGTAGAGGAAGTTCATGGAAAACGAAAAGGTGCCATCGGGATCGGACAGATCGAGGACAGGGTAATGGTAGATTTGGGGCACACGAAGGCCCAGGTCGGTCATGGGCTGGGTAGAAAGATGGAAGTTGGGTGCATCCAAGCATAGCTGAACAGCTTGCAAGTATGCGCTGCCGCACTTCGGACCAAGTTTCTTGACATAAAGATCCTCGACACGATGTTTGAACCACGAACGGTCATATTTCATTTTCCAGAGTCGGCCGACGGGGGCCCAGAGTCCAATCTCCAACAAGACCAGACCGAGAGAGTAGAGATCGTAAGCCCATGCACCATCGTCCTCCACGGATCTCTTGTCTTCGGGATGGCGATACATTGCCGAAGACAAGGGCTCGGGAGTTGGACCATCGCCAGAGAACCGTGCAGGGGAAGTTATATAGGGGCGACGCAGATCCGGTGCAAGGCCGCTCTCGTCATTGTTCGCGTCAGTGCGACCCGGAAAGAAAATGACGTTGCTGCTATTGATGTTTCCATGGACAGCATTCTGACTTCTCAGGTGCAATGCCGACATAAGAAGATCGTAGGCCAGTCGAAAGCGAGTTTCCAGGTTGGGTACACGCTTCTCGCGATAATCTTCCGCCGAGGGCAAGAGGGCCACCAGTGGTTTGGGCTTCAGCTCCCTGAGCAAATCACTCGGGTTCTGAAGGAATGGGAAGTAGTCGACTGGCATCTGGTACAGAAACACATAACGCGAATTGGATTGGTCGACACAGTATCCAAGAAATCTCAAGAGTCCCAGGTGAGAGATTCTGGCATTTTGCAGCAACTGGTCCAAAGATTGCTGAAGCTTCTCCAACCGAGACCCTTTTGAGTTCATTTGAGTTTCCACCATCATGGGCATGAATTCCACCAATACGGAAACATGCGACTCTTTCGTGGAGCTGAGGGAGGGGGACGCCGACGCCTTCAAGCGGCCAATGGCACGAGAGTTCGAGGTCGCCGCAACGGCTTCGTAGGGAGGAGGGGTGTTATCTTGAGCGGCGCCATATATTTGGAGAGCAGAGCGATCGATGATGAGATGCTTGGATGACACGAATGGGTTGGTAAAGTCGCGCTGTGGCGTTGAGGGCGAATAGGCGTATGAGTCGTACATTTGTTTCGGACTCTGAACCTTCTCTTTGGACTCAGAGAACGAGTCATGAGAGGAGTCGTATGGTGAAGTGGGGGTAGCTCGTGGTCGTCGCGCGGTGGCGCTATGTCGGCTCGACGACATACTGGAAGCCATCGTGCGCCGCGAACGAGATAGATCATACAAGGTGTCGATACACCCAGTCAAGTCATTCAAAATTGTCTTCGAACGGCTGATATCATCATCTGTCCACTGTGTCTTGAGGGGCCGGCTGCCGAGAGTATCCTTTGATGGTAGATCCACCTTGCGTTCTTTGGATGGGAGAATCGGCGCATCCGCATGTTGAACTCGTTCGGCGTCATTTAAAAGATCTTGAATGGAAGACATGACACTTTCGACCACGTCGCTGAAGCCTGCCGCCGTCAATGATTCATCGATATCGTTGGGCTGGGCAGCGCTCGCATCGCTCCAATCGAGACCCCAAGTCAGCAGCCGGTCTCTTTGTTTCTGGAAGCTTTGGTGCAAAGCAACAAGTTCTGGATCGTCGAGGGCTTTCGAGGCAGTTGTAACGCTCTCGCATGATGTCTTTGTGTCTGTATATAATTTCGTGAGGCGCCGCTGGAGGAAGCCTCCCCTCCCCCGTGGCGGAGGACTGACATCTTGGCGATTGCGGAGGGGATTGATAAGGGTGGACTGGGAGATTCAGAACATCCGAGAGAAGGCACTGTCGCATACACTCAAAGGTCCATAGCGGAAATCGCCTGAGTATGTTGAATCCATGAGAAAGGAGAAGAAGCAAAGAAAAGAAGGGAGTAAACAGCAATTGGAGCCTGATTGACGGATAGGATGAAGGTCGATAACCACATAATCGTGGAGGGAATCCTGTTGCCTAACCAATGAGCAATCATGGGGCGGGTCCGGTGTGTCACGTGGCAGGCAGCTGCAATTTGGTAATTTATTCAGTTTATTACGGTAAATTATATACAATGATGCCTCAGGCAATACTTTACATACTTCAACAGCCACATGTAAGGAGACCACCTGGACAGCATTAATCTATTCGTCATGCGGTAGTAAATTGTACATGATATACCTATGCAAGGTACTTGAACGTCAGAAATGACGTCGGCATCTCTCAATCATCCCTTTCTTCATCCCGTGATCACTCGCCGCGACACACCGACATCCCGCGCACTAAAGTTGTGTAGTCGTTCTCCAATCAGATAGACGTCATCACGGATATTGACGCGCCAGACTGCCACTCGTCGAAGAACCAGATGCACGGTACAGACGGCCAACACAAGCAACAGTGTGGCCGGATATGCATAACGATAGACATCAGGCTGCACCTCTGGGCGGGAAAAGAACACAGCCCATCTCACCACAAACCCGAATGACAAAGGCAGTACAACGGCCGCAGTGGTCAGGAGCGAAAGGGGCAGGATCAAAGCCCGAGTGGCGAGGCCGACGTTTGGTTTTAACCAGCCGTCGCGGAAGATGCCGTTGACGGCGGCGGCGGCCCAGGAATGGGGGTTCCACAAGATTAGTTTGATCGCCATTTGGACATACAGTACCCCCAAAGCCCAGTCCTGGACGATGTGCACAACATGTGACTGCCCATCGCCGAAGAAGGTATGCACCGGGATGAGGATGTAGAGCTCAGTAAGCAGCGCAAAGAGGGAAGGGAGAAGCACTACGGAAGCACTGAGAAGGTACAGCAGGCGAGCAGCATCCATCATCAGGCCGATGCAGGCATGTGCAGCCTGTAAGGGAGATTGTAAATGGGTGCCGAGGTGCTCCCGTGCCAGGTGTAATGCGGTGCGGCAATAGCAGACCACGTATGTCAGCGCGCCCACCACACATAAGCCACTGGAGAAGGCATAGACATCATTTACCGGCACCGGGCTGGAAAAGACAGACGAGACAATGCGCCGACCAATAACCAGGGGAATAATAGTAATGCCTACACCGGTAGTCGCAGCAAACAGCCAGATCAAGAGAATGAAGGCCGCAATGCGAGTTCGGAAAAAGGGTGGGATATAGACCTTGGTGAACATATTGCTGTGACGGCCATGCAGTCCATCCGTCCGGTCGGGCTTTCCGTCGATGCGTTCGTTGCCTTCGGTCACTTCCAGGAATACCCGGGTGCCTTTGGGAATTCGAACTTGATCGGAAGCAGGGGCACGCACGTATCGGCCGTCTCGCAGGAAGTAGGCGTCATGGTTTTCATTTTCGGTAGCAACCCGATGATCTTCACCCATGACTGGCAGAACCCAGTCTCCCTGGGCTCCCGATAAAACACCCCACCAAGTCCGTCGGACATGTCGGCCCTCCTCTTCGAGGACTCTTTCAGAGAAGAGGAAATTGCTCAGCCGCAGGAAGTGTGCACACTTGTGGAACCACCAATCGTAAAGGTCGTGGAGTCCATCCGAGGGTTTGACGGACTGAATTGCCAGTGGCATGATGAAATTGTAGAACAGCAGATCCACGGGAAACTCGAGCATTGGAGCACTAGCAGACCAGTGGATTGGCAGGACACCATCAAGGGCGAAATGGAGGCCCCAAACAACACCACCTAGGCAGACGATAACCAGGGCTCCGTAAACCATGGCACTGAATCCAATTTTGCGGAGCTGAGTAGTGATACTGCGCTCGAGAACATCACGTATGGGATGGAAAGTGGGATCATCTGGGTCACGAATGAAATCTGGAATTTGGACTGTCAGCAATCGAATTCGAGGTTGATGAACGGCGACACTTACAGAGAACGCCCCCTCTCAAAATCTTTCGGCACATGGAAACAAATAAAGCAAAGTGGAACATGTAGCAAGTGCCAATAAACCAATGCACGAAGAGCGACGTAAGCGGAGACGCCCCTGTAAAAGCAAGTCGCGATGCCGCTGTAGCATTGGAGAATAATGGGAGCAAAGCGAGATCAAGCAGAGTACCACAATAAAGAGGAAAGACGATCATTTCAATTCCGATGATGAGAATGACCTTCATGACACCCCCAGCCTGAAGAAGGACCTCAGCAACTAGGCCATCAATTCTCTGGCCACGATTCGCCCCGGCCAGCAAGCCGGTGATTCGTAGATAAAGAAGCCCTATTGCCGATGCAAGCAGGTAGCCCATGAAGATTGCGATGACCCGGTCTTTGGTGTCCCACACGGCCAGATCATAATTCACAGACGGGGTTGTCGCTGCTTTCGTCGCGCTTGCGTTGATAAATTGGGACACGGATTTTGTAAACAGCGGAGAATCGGCGATCCTACTAAGCTCATGTTGCACTTGTACCAAGACGGACTTCAGTTGGGAAAGATCCAGGTCAAACGAGAGTGCGCCCGGGATACCACGGGTAACAAGGCGAAGTGGGAAATCATGTAGAATGAATTTCGTGGCCGCAAATATCCACGAGAAGAGAGTGATAAGGCGGGCTTGATGTAACTTCAATGCTCGGTGTGAAAGCACCGAGAACATGGGGATGTCGGACTCGTGGAATGCGAGGAACGCTTTAACAACCTTGGCCAAGCGCAAGGTACTGGCATCAATGAGGGATAGCGACGCACTGGTGACTGATTTGCTCTGAGGAATCCAGTCCACAATAGGCACAAAAGCACCAAGAGGACTGAGCAGCACCTTGCAGAAGAGGCTCACCGAATACATCACATATCCCAAGACGCCGATGAGTGTATCGACAGCAACATCCGCAACGATAGTGACGGCAGTCATAGGAACACCGATGATGAGTTCAATAGGGTTAGCGAGCAGCACGAGAGCAATTTTCCCCCACAGATAAGGGAGCCAGATGCCGATGGCTACCGTAAAGGCGATCAAAAGGGCACAGAAAACGCCGTTTTGAAAAAGCCCAAAAATAGGGCCCTGCATGCCAATGAGATCCATGATCCCTTCAAAATCATCGCCTTCGATAGCGTCCATATCACCGGCATCCAAGCCAGCATCGCCTGGGGCCGCTTGCATCCCAGCGTCCGCCGCATCGTCTTCCACTCGGTTCTGCAGGGGTACAAATGGGTCTTCCAATGCCGGATCCTGGACAATATGCTCATCGTCCTCTGGTACTGGCTCTTCACCATCATGCTCGACCGGTGTGATATCTCCCCAAAACCAATCAACGAGCCGCTCAGCCACGCCTCTTGCGGGCTGGTCGTCCTCCGGTCGGTCCGCGGGTGGTGCGCCTTCCATGCCAGGTAATTCATTGTCCGGGTTCTGCGTAGCAGATTGCTCGCGAGGCTCCAGTAGGTCCCTGTCTTGGTTCTCATTTTCTGCTTGCACGGTATCAATAGCACCGACCGACTCCGTGACCTCGGCATTACCATGAGCGGCCGTAGAGGGTCCAGCTGGGTGTATTACGTCCTCGTTTGCAACAGCCGATTCAGCCTCACGCAGATCCTGCTTCTCCCCCGCTTCGTGAACCTCTTCTCGAATAAGTCGTAACATCTCTTCGGTGTCCCCGTTGGCTTCGGCCTCTCGATAAGCAACTCCACGAGGACTCGGGTACAAATCATGATTGTTGTCGAAGAAAGTATCATAATGTATATCGGGAAGATCCATAGGACGATAGGCTTGATCATCGATTTGTCCTGGGGGTCTCGCAAAGTGCGGCAAGCCGTCATCAGAGTCAGTCCTCCAGGAGGGAGCGGGAGACTGTGTGGAAGAGCGAGGAATCCTGCCATCCTCATCCCAGGCCTGACCCTCTTGATAATGGTCAAGACCATCTTCCGGGCGGGCAGGACCGAGTTCGGGTCGCGGAGCTTCATCTTCATTAGGGCGGTTATTGGCAATTAACTGCACCGCAGCCTCCCGTTCTCCCTCTGCAATATTGGCCATTGGTTGCTGTTGGACAACCCATTCGCGGATCAGGAAAAGAAGGATGAAGGCGATTACCACAAGGAGGGTAATGAGCTGTCCTTCCAAGGTGTCGATGATCATGTTATTGATGGTTGGGTACGGGGTTAACGAGTTGAGAAACTTGACATCCGAAAGCCATGAGGGGTATCGGGGCTTGCCCGAGCTAGATGTCGCGTTGGTTGAACCCATACCACCCTCGCTGCCGCGGGAGGTGAAAGCAGGGATGAATAAGGATGGAATGACTTTTTTTATCATGGTAAGCATAAGTGGCTCACCAGCCGGGAAGCTCAAGAAGGACGATTGCGTGGTAGGAAAAGAGCTGGCTGATGGCATGGCCGCATTGGAGACCGTCGAGGTCATTGAGTTGACCCCATTGCTCGACATGGTGCCATTCAGAACCAATTCCCCAACGCCTGTCTGGGCAACTTGCGCAACGCGGCCCTGCGCAGAGTCACTGGCCGACCATCGGCCGTCGGCGAGCCAGAATAATGCCCTCCATATTGCACGCATTGACCATGGTAACCATCCCAGCCAGACGAATGCCACCAGAACAAATCGCAGCCATGTCACGATGGTCCGAAAGCTTTGGATCAATGCTTGCTTCAGAAACAGGGGCGTAGGGAGGCTTTGGGGCATGTTCGGGTCATAGAGTTTGGTGAAGCGAAAAGGTGTTTTGCACAGCTCACAGTGTTTCTTCTGTGAGTGCGATAGCCACTCCACTAGGCACATCTGGTGGACGAACTTGATGCTGCCGCTGCACTTGCAGGGATAGAAGAGCGGTTCTTCCTCCGAGGCCTCACCGTGGCATATTCGACAGGTATCAAGCTCCTCAAAGCCCTTTTCCCTCTCATCGAAGGCTGGGTCGTTCATCACGTCGGGAAAAGAAGCCATGCCGGCACGATCACGGGTGTGGTTTTCCGTATCCATTTTGAGTTTTCTCTCATCGAGCCGATGGTACCACGTCTTCTCTTAAGGTTTCACCATATTCCTCATCAATCTGTAATTGAAAGGCAGGGGACGTGGACATGCGACGATGGAGATTTTGAGGTACAGTCGATCGGTCGCGAGCTAGTGAGGAAAGAGAGTTAGCAGGTTTAATTACCCTTTTCACAAAACATTTCTAGGCGCCACTGTACCTGACCGCTTGAGATGTAGCTGGCTCACCACAAATTCACTTGTCAACAACAGCGTGGCGATCGCTTCAGGTGTTCATAAGGCCCGCTGAAAAGAGCTGACTCATCATTATTTTGGGATTGTAAATACCAATATTACCAATCTAATGCTACGTTGTAAGCAGCATTACTGTATTTGTTGTACTGCCAAAGTGCCACCGATGACCTCACTGCACTGTGGACAAAACAATCCCTGCTTGCTCTACATATCTTTATATCTCGAGTAGAGGGCCTTTTTTTGTTACCAGTCCATCTGATGGGGTATTTGGTGTGTTCGACTCCGTCAGTCCTAGCCTCGCTAGCCCAAGTAATTCTGCATGGGAAGCCGGTCACGGCCCACGCGTGAAGTTCTGCTAGCGCCAAGGCCGACGCGAGCATTCCGCCTACATCAAAGCTACACTCTGCTGGTAGGACTCAACCCCCTCCGACACAGGCCCAAATCATCGATGCTGGTCCGTTATCCGATGAATCAGTCATTCTTGATTTAACCAGCTCGATACCCTGGAAGCTCCTGGTCAAACACCGACTCCTAGCTTGTCGAGATCGCGCGACCTCGGTTGCTCAGTCCAGGATGGTCGCAAAAGAGAATGGGCGGGCGCCAGATGCTGCAGTCAAGTCAACTGAACGGAAAGACCCTGGCAATGCACGGGAGAGAAAGAGTTCTCTACGATGGACAGTAGGGCTAGTCGTGCGGTAAGTGCTAATATTGTGTTCCTTGAGGCTATCAATAAACCTGGGAGGCTAATGACTCTACATAATAGGTTGTGTATATGGTACGCGCTGATTACACCCTTCCTGCGATGTCCTTCCGACCTTTCAGGATTAAATGACACATCGCCCCGGGTCTGCAAGCCCTATTTGATCGCTCGGTCACACGTGGAACCCTACATCTCGCCCTATTATAACACATATGCGGCACCTTATGTTGACCAAGCTCGTCCTTACGTGGAGATTGTGCATCAGCAGGTGTATATTCCTGCTTCGGGAATCGCAAAATCTGGATATGATAAATATGGGGCCCCGTCATTGGCTCAGGCTCAGGCCTATGGAGCAGAGCAATGGAGACTGCAGGTGACACCGCGACTACAGAATGTTCAGGACAAGGCGAATCAGCTTTATACGGCTGAGGTTGATCCATATGTCCAGCAAGGCGTGGCCATCGTGTCGCCCTACTATCAACACACGAACACTGTAGTTCGCACTGTCTATTGGGACTATCTGGTACCTTTCTATACCCAATCGAAACCCTTCATTGGGAAAACCTACACGGCCGGCCAGGATATTGTAATAAACCATGTCATGCCCGGCGCACGGTCTACTTGGTCGGCGGTGGTCTACTTTGCCAACAGTTCTCTTTGGCCTCAAATTACGGGCCTCTACTCAGAGCAAGTTGAACCCCAACTGGTGAAGATTGGCCAGCGATTGGCAAGTTACCGAGAGGGTAAACGATTGCGCGCTGTTGTCGAAGAATCAGAGAGGTAAGCGCAATCCCTGCCCCGAAGATGATACCTCAGTCTTGCTGACTCGAAGTAGCAGTACTTTGTCAGAAAAGCCCGTGTCATCGACTGTCACGAAATTCGAGGGGAAAAACCCAAACATCGACTTCTGTGACTACCACATCCACGAGCGTGACTCCCCCATCCCAGCCAACGCTGTCACCCACTGAGCAGGCCCAGCAAGCCCGCGAAAGAATTGCCACAGACCTTGAGAGATGGCAACATAAATTTGCGGTTGCAGCCGACAAGGGAGTTGAGGACCTGGAAGAACGTATTGAGGAGATTGTGGCTGGTCTCGTTTCTAGCAGTGCCAATAGTCATGGCGCGAGTCTTTCGACTGCTCTGCAATCAGTGGCCGCTGATCAAGTCTCCACCATCCAGCAGCGCATCAATGACCTGGTGAAGTCTTTGCCGGAAGAAGATGCCCCGGAGGCTGAAGATTCTACGCGCCACCAGCTGGTCAGTGACATCAGAAACTCCGCTATCAACGTGAGAGATCGTGCCCAAGCGCTCCGGGAATGGTCTCTGTCATTCGATGATGAACTCCTGCGCCGGGTCTCCGCCGCTGTTAACTCGACTGCGGATGTTCTCGACAGCATCCGTGACCTTGGCTTGCAGGAGATTGGAATACGGTGGGCCTGGATGGATGGCGTGACTTACAAAGATTGGGCACGGTACCATGCGCTCAAGGTTCAGCTTGAGGACTGGCGCAATGCAATTCGAGAGGTGGGCATGAACCATAAGTCAATTGCAGAGGCCAGAAGCGTGGCCACTGGCATTTTAGATCACGGCATGGAGGTTGCCGAAGAGACAGCCAAAGAGCTTGTCCGGCTCAAGGACGTTGGCTATTGGAAGATTGCCGCTCGCGAAGTGAGTGATAATTTCGACACAAGGACTGAGCCCCCGCCTCCACGGTCTCAGCCTCAGAGCGAGCCCGAAGACGAGACTGAGGGCTCGGAGAATCAGACACTGGAGACCGATCACGATGAATCTTCAGAGGCAAATTCGTACACGCCTGCACCCTCTAGTGTCTCCGAAGCGGAAGATTCCGTTCCGGAATCTGAAAACTTAGCGCCGAAGCCAGAGGATACCGCAGCCGAAGATTCCCATGAAACGTTCGTGACCGAGGATGAAGCCGGTGATCAGTCTGTCTGGGTCGATGAAATCGTGGAAGACGAAAATGTCTCAGCCAAACCTGCTTGGGGTGTTGCCGCGGCTGATGTGCCCTCCAAACAAGAGCCTGTCTTCGAGGATGAGGACCAGATTGTCAACTCGGCCAGTCAAACAACGTCCAAGTCTTCCAACGGTCCTTTGGTCCAAATCTCTTCGATTGCCTCCTCGAGGTTGAACGAGGGTCTTAGTATTGCTTCCGAGCAGCTAGCGCAAGTGACACAAACAGCACCCGCAACGAGCTCAGTTGGTTCCCAGCCATTCGTTCTCGATGCGCAGCGCCGCTACTACGAAGCCGTCGGTCTTGCTCATGAGCACTATACCGCCTTTGTCTCAACGGCATCCCATGCAGTCTACGGAACTCCAACACCCACCCCGCCTCCTATAAACGTCCAGGCTATGATTGAAGAAGCTGGATCACAGTACGAGCATGCCTCTTCCCTGGCATCCGCTAGCCTTGCTGCCGTTGTTGCATCGGCAAGCTCTGCCATCTCATCTGTCGACAATGATCAATCGCAACGTATCATTGATGACGCTTCGTCTAGATACTCAGCCGCTCTCTCGGCAGCTTCAGCTTCCCTCTCCCTGGCGTCCGCGTCGGCCAGTTCCGCTTTCTATGGGACATCCACGGAGTCGTTGGAATCTTTCTCAATCCAAGCATCTGAGAATTGGGAAAACCTCGTTTCCAAAGCCAGCCAGCAGTTTTACGGTGCGCCAACGCCGTACTTGCAACAAGTTATTGACAACCGCCGTTTGGAATTCGAGGCAGTTCAGGGAATCGTCTCCGAACTTTTTGTTGGTAAACAACCTTCCTTCACGGAGAGTGTGATGAGCAAGCTCCATGCCGTGTATGAAACACCCTATCCGGCCGCCGCTGTGTCCTCTGCCTCCAGCTACCTCGACGAGGCTTACGGATCAGCCTCTTCCGTGGCTGCCGCCTATGTCACGGGAGCTCCCAGCGTTGAGGACATCATGCAACGCGCAAATGACCAACTCAATGCCGCCATCGAGGTTGCCAGTGTCGGTATCTACGGTACTCCCAAGGGCTCTTACGAGCAGGCCACCGATGCCGCAGCCGATGCTTACTCGACAGCATCTGCGCGCATTAGCAGTGCTGTCTACGGCAAAGAGTCTAATTACATTGATGTCGCCAAGGACTCAATCAAGAAAATCCAGTCCCAAGCTAGTGCTGCCATCTACGGGGAAGAACCTGGGGCAGTAGAGAGTGCCACCAGCCGTCTCGCTCTCGCCGTTGAGAGCGCCCAGTCTCGGGTGGCTGATCTGGCTTCTAGTGCTAGCAGTGCAGCCTCCGAGGCTGCTGACACCGCTACGTCGCATGTGGATGATGTGACTAATAGCATCAAAAATGCTGCCTCTTTGGCCAAGGACGAATTGTAACCCTGAAAAGCCACCTGGCAGGTTAGTTTGGCATGGTACATTTTTCATGTTTTTGTCTTTCTCTTCCATCTACCCTTGCCTGCTTAAGCGTGTCGCTCTGAAATTGGATTTACATGCCATGCTCGGTTCTCGACACATTATTCCCCATACAGTTATGTCACGACTGCAATATGCCCACTTTTCCATATCCTGTGCTTTTCATTCCGGGTTTGTACTGGTTTATTTTTATTTTTTTTTGTCTCTGTAGCTGTGGTCACTTCTGGCCTGCTGTGTGGAGGGTTGTTTAGGGGCGATGCCCTGGAGTACATAGTGAAATACAATGATTCTGTGTAATAAATTTCCCAGTGCTTTTGCTTTTCCTGCTGTGGTCTCAGGGCCGATCAATGGTAGTCCTGTTTGATTATACACAAGCAGCTTCTTGGGGGGCAGCCTAATAGAAACAGATGCTCCGTTCTTGCCATAAGCCGCGCGGCAATCCAAATTTCCCAGCAGCAACAAACACTATATCCATGTATTTACGTAATTCTAGTTCGCCAGCCTTTCAAGCTCACCCAGATGGGCCATATTTGACCTTTCCTCCACCCCTCTTCTCTTTCTTAAGCTGCGTTTTGCTTTTTGTTGCATTGAGGTCTTCTTCTTCGCTGCCACCACCCCCAATCCCTGCGAACCCTTTCTTCATACCCATGATGGTAGTATAGGCCAAGTAGACCGAGTAGAGTGGAATCACCGCCCACAACCACCAAGCCCTGTCATTGAATAGACACACAGCCACAATGCAACCTTGAGTCCAGTACAAGACATCCCACATGTATTCTGTGAGGCCAGTAGCATTGAGATCCTCGCCGGCAGAGCGCAGAGAACCATCGTCGGTGTAGCGGGGGCGTCCTACGCGGTCAAGGTAGAATTCAATGAGGAGAGTCGGGACCGCCAAGAGGAAGTATGGCTTTAAGGAACGCGGGCGCTGGAAGACCTGATGCAAAAGCAGAAATAACAGGTGTAACGCGGCTGAGATGACATGCGTCCGCTTAAGAACAGCCGCATTGCGGCTTGCCAGCGTCTTTGCGGCTTTCTGCTTCACTGTTAGAGCTTCTTCTTCTCTCCTACAACTTATCTGGAAGCATCCAACTCCACAATTGCAAGCAACTGGGACAGATACATACCTGTGCCATGCTGGGTGATCCGATTTGGGAAATACAGCCACGAATTCACCTGCACCCAGTCAAGGACCCAAAAGTCCAACAGTTCACAATCAGCTTCTCGAGCAAAAGATTGGGAGCTCGATGGAATCAATCCCCGAGTTGATCAAAATCTGGAATGGCGAACGAAGCGGAGAGACGGTGGAGTCCAGGAAATCGCCGGCACGCGGAGCTCCAGATTGTTGCCCGCCACGACCTTCACCGCCCGACAGCCGCGGCAGAACGACGCCGGATGCAACCAAAATAAGAGACTCCAAGGAAGTCCTCATCGCGCAATTCCCAGGCTGCAGGATGACTTTGCTCTGATCGGCTCGTCTGGAGTCTGCAGACTATGTAATCAGCAGGTTTATTAGCTGCCTCTTTGCCCTCTTCGTCTTATCCTCCATCCCCTTTACCATTTCCGTCGATTTACATTCTCCGTGCTGTCCACATCGTGGGACGTCTGCGTTCGCGATTACTGGAAGCTCTTTACAAGATCGAGCCTCTCAGTGCCTGGAGACCTGTCGCGCCTCATATGCCTGGCAGTTGTTGATGGGCTGTTGGGTCTCGATACCAATATCCACTCCGTCGCGTCGTTGCTTCCTCCCCGCGTCTCAGAAGGCGTCACCCCGACACAGGACTTGGATGTGCTATTTGCGTTGACTGAAAACTGCCACCATCTAATCTCTCTTGATCCTGTTGAAACCCCCTTCTCTAAACTTCATACTTCCTCTTTTCCTGTCTTGTCGCGTGGATTCTTCCGCCGCACATCATGGCCTTGTCCACGGGACATGTCGCCGGCCAGTTGCGGCAACTCATCTACTACAACCTTGACAACAACATGGTCCAAAATGCCCTCTTTCTTGCCGGTCGCCTCCTTGCCCTCGAACCCCGATCCTTTGAAGCCCAATACCTGCTGGCCCTATGCCACTTACACAGTGGCGACGTGAAGGCGGCTTTTGAGTGTAGTCAAAGTTCAGCCTCTCGAGGTCTGCACCTTGGCTGCGCGTATGTCTATGCCCAGGCATGCTTGGATTTGGGGAAATACATGGATGGTGTCACTGCACTGGAGCGCAGCAAAGGCCTCTGGGCCAACAGAAACCACTGGAGTATGCATGGCAGTCTGTCTTTAATCTGAAGGGAGGCTAATGATGCAATACAGACAAACATAGCGAGACGCAGAGACAGCATGTCCCCGATGCAGCCGCCGTATTCTGCCTCCAGGGAAAGCTGTGGCATGCCCAGAAGGACTTGACTAAAGCAGTGGACTGCTATGTCGAGGCACTCAAGGCAAATCCGTTCCTTTGGGATGCATACTTGAGCTTGTGTGAAACGGGTATGTTATGCCTGTGCCTTTCCGCTCAATATCTACTAATACGGCCAATAGGTGTCACGATCCGAGTTCCCAATATTTATCAACTCAGCCCAGAACTTCATGCCATCATTTCTTCCCCTTCTCCTGATGAGGGTGACTCTGGGTCCGAAAGTATTGCTACCACAGCGACCACAGATAGTGCTTTTCCCATGCAGGCAACTGGCATTTCTGCATTTGATCCTTTCACGGTTCCTGCCTCTCGAGGCGAGTCTGATGCCACTTTCGGCAACTCTGCTCTCTGGGAAAAACTAAATGGGAGCTCTGTCAGTGTCGCAACGGCGGTACCGCCAGTAATTCATGAGGGCATGGAGACGCCGGGGGCGCAGAGTAGCGGGTCAGAGGAGTTTCGCATTGCCAATGGAGTCACTGAGCCCGAGTCCACCTGGGAACCACCTTTGGCTCCCATGCGCAAGAATCGCCCCATTCAATCCCTTGGTTTGGATCCCACCAGCCAATCTCCCCCCAAGATGCGGCCGACTGGAATTAGGCCCAAGACCAAGACCCGATCCGAATCAGACGAGCAGCCCACCATCCCCGAAGAAGGGGATCCACCGCCCGCACCACGAATTGGCGATCGCAAACGCACAGTCACTGGTCAAGTCGCCAACCCCGCTCCTCCAGTCGAACCAGGCGCACCTCAGCGTCGCAGTGTTCGGCTCTTCAATCAGATCAAACCAACTACCAGCAAGTTCTCCACCGCCACGCTCACCGGAACAGAAGGCCGCGAGGTGAAGAAGGTGCGAGGGCAAAGCAATAGACGCCAGGGGGGCACCTCCACAGTTGGCCGTGTTGTGAGCGGCAACCGGAAGCCTATGGATACATCCGACAGCGAGGGCAAAGAACTTCGGGCTAGCTTGATACCACCTAACTCCGGCGCCCCTCCCCTGCCCAAACATGCTGAGAAAACCAAAGATCTAGAGGCCTTGAGTTGGCTGCTAGGACTTTTCAACAAACTTGCGTCCGGGTATTACGCGTTGAGTCGCTACAGATGCCCTGACGCCATCCAATATTTCAACTCCCTCTCCCAGGGTCAGCGTGAGACCCCTTGGGTGTTGGCCCAACTGGGTCGAGCATATTTTGAGCAAGCGATGTACACCGAGGCTGCTAGATATTTCTCTCGGGTGCAAACTCTGGCGCCCTCTCGAGTGAAGGATATGGAGATCTACTCGACCGTCCTCTGGCATCTCAAAGACGATGTTGAGCTTGCTTACCTGTCACACAAGTTGCTGGAAGCCGACCGCCTCTCCCCACAAGCATGGTGTGCCATTGGCAACTCTTTCTCCCACCACCGGGACCACGACCAGGCTCTGAAATGCTTCAAGCGTGCCACTGCGCTGGACCCCACCTTTGCCTACGCATTCACCCTCCAGGGTCATGAGTTCGTCGCCAATGAAGAATACGACAAGGCCCTAGATGCGTATCGTCGCGCGATTCATGCGGACAATCGGCACTACAACGCCTGGTACGGACTGGGGACGGTATACGATAGGATGGGCAAGCTCGAGCATGCGGAGCAGCATTTCCGCAACGCGGCTCTTATCAACCCGACGAATGCGGTGCTCATTTGCTGCGTGGGGCTGGTGTTGGAGAAAATGAACAATCCACACGACGCCCTCATCCATTACAGCCGGGCTTGTTCACTGGCCCCGCACTCAGTACTGGCTCGGTTCCGCAAAGCGCGCGCGATGATGAAACTTCGAGACTACAAGTTTGCCTTGGCCGAGTTGAAGGTGCTGAAAGACATGGCGCCGGACGAGGCGAACGTCCATTACTTACTGGGCAAGTTGTACAAAATGCTCCACGACAAGGCCAATGCGATCAAGCATTTCACAACGGCCTTGAATCTGGATCCCAAGGTACGATTTCATCTTCTAAAACTTCCTTTTGTTGTTTGCTAACTCTTTTCTCAGGCTGCCCAATATATCAAAGATGCAATGGAATCCTTGGACGACGACGAGATGGACGATGACGACATGGCTTAGCCCGGGAGCGAATTCCGGTCTTTCTCCAGGGGGGTTTTCTTGAGGTCTCATGTTATGAGTTAGGCGTTCTTTTGCAGGTCTCTTTGCACAGCATCATAGGGGAGTTTCCGGGGCTAGACATCAGGCATCAGGCATGGTGTTTTCTTGTACATTACTGTTGGGTTACGGGCATGCTTCGTGAGATGAGCAAATGCCTCCGCATAATCGACTGTCCTTGTGGTCAGAATCCACATAGCTTTTCTCTGAGCTCTGATATATATATGTCTGCCTGTATCTCAATTTCCATGGATGTATCCATAGATCCCCATACCTCGAAGATGACCTCGGGGAGGTGACGGAGATGCTCGAGGCGGTGAGGAGGCAGAAAAAGCAACTGCATCAACCGCGACAGGCACTTCCTCTCTTTCATTTCTTGGTTTTTGCGAAGGATGGTCATGGCTCAAGCTAGCTGATAGAATTGTCATTGATCTACTCTTCAACCCTGACTTCCTGATTCCACATTACTGCGGTGGGCTGAGTGTGTCCACATTCCGTTGAATACCTAGGCAAAGTACAACCTCCCCACAAATTCCCCGTGATGAACCTTGTGACTGACCTTTGAACCCTGTCTCTCTCTCTCTCTTACAGAATACAATCATCTACACCATGTCAATCACCTCCTGTATCTTGTCGGGCATCGGCTCGTTCGTCGTGCTGACACTCTCCCTCTTTGCCCTCGGCCAAAAAGTACCCCGCGCAGCCTTCGTCGCCCGCTGTCTAGCCGCCTATGGCTCGCTCCTCCTATGTGCCACCTACGGTGTCATCGCCTCGATAGTCCTGCGCCTGATCGGCTACGGCCGCGTTTCGCAGTGGGCCACGGCCCGGAGCTTCAAGTGGGTCATGCGGTATACGACGGGAGTTACTTTCGATATCACCGAAGGCGAAGAACACCTCTCGACCCGGCCGGCTATCTTTATTGGGAATCACCAGACCGAGCTGGATGTCCTCATGCTTGGCGCTATCTTCCCGCCCTACTGTAGCGTGACTGCCAAGAAGTCGCTGAAGAACATTCCCTTCCTGGGCTGGTTCATGGCGCTCTCACGAACTGTCTTTATTGACCGTGCCAACCGAGAAACAGCACTCAAGGCATTCGATGGTGCTGTGAATGAGATGCGCACACACCGCCAGAGTGTTTTCATCTTCCCCGAAGGCACCCGGAGTTACTCCGACGAGCCCACTCTGCTGCCCTTCAAGAAGGGCGCATTCCATTTAGCGGTCAAGGCCGGTGTACCCATCGTGCCTGTCGTCACCGAGAACTATGCTCATGTCATGTCGCCTCGCGCCTGGCGGTTTGACGCAGGGTCCATCAAGGTCAAAGGTTGGTTCTCGCGAAGTTATGCAGCTTGTAATACAATGTGGGCTAACCTGTCGAACGTCTAGTTCTTCCTCCTATCATTACTAAGGATTTGACTTCCGCGGATGTGGACAACCTGACCCAGTCGACGCGAGAGTCTATGCTGAAAACCCTCGCCGCAATGTCCCATACCGAGGAAGACAAGGTCGATGCGGCGCATACCACTGGTGTTGCCACTGCCGTCGAGATCTGAAGAGTTTAATTGGTAATCAAAATTAGCCCTCCAACTCTTCCTCATTGCACCGATGCATATCTCTGGATCTGCCCCCGCGCGCTCTGCATCAGTTGCCCTCTCGGCTCGATTGCCAGCATTTCACGACACAACCACAACCAAAATCGGGAACCCAATTTCCGTCAGAACCTCATTCTACCATTTCCAGCAGGGAAGCAGTGCGCCTCTCCAATTTTTGCTACTGTATATCTCCGCCCTTGCTTTTCTTCTTTCGGTACATATCCTTCACCTTGGGCAAGAACCCGGTTCTATTCTTGGTCCCTTTTCTTTTACATCAAAGCCCAAGGAATTACAAGCTGACTTGTCACCTTGGTTTTTTTTTTTTTTTACTCTTCGGCTGCATCACCTAGAAAGTATACTCTATCCTTGCCCCTCCTCCAAAGTATCCCCGGTTTCTTTTCTTTCAAATCTTTGCTCCTCTTTCTCGGTCTACAGCTATCCCTTCTGTTTGGGGGCAGCGTGGTTGAGTATTTCTTGATCTTGCTCCAGCATAAGATGTATATACCTGGTATCATTAGAACGAAAATATGACATGACCTGGCTCTTGGATGTTTAATTTTATTCTTATTTTGTCTGAGAATTCATTTTCGGCGAGCATGGTTTTCGAGACTGGGCTAAATGATATAGATGATCTTCGTCGAAGATGATATCTTGAGTCTCAGAAAATATACTTGCCTCTTGTCTATGAACACAATACTGCTGGGTATCTATATATTGTCTTGGACGTCTACTCCAAGATTTATTCAACCTGGTATTGAATTATACCCAAAACCAGTAAATGATACATGTTTGTATTCTTTGCAAGGTAGAGAGGGTATTGGGGGTCCCATATCCCCCTCTGGTTCTATTGTAGGGCAGTGGGCTACGATTTTTGCCAAAACCGATCAGACTTGCCTACAGCAACAGTGTCCGTATGAATATGGGTTGAATTGGTTAAATCAAACATGGTTGCTCGGTCGTTATCGTTCCTCGTCGTATCATATCAAATGTGAAAAAAAAAAAGAAAAGAAAAGGGAAGAGAAGGAAATGCAGAGACAGAGGAAGGGAAGATGACAAGGAGGTGAAGCTGGGATGAAAGCAACAGAAGACAGTGCCATATATAGTTCAGCTGAATAGATTCGGTCGGATAGTTGACGAGCCTTCATGCATATCCACACTCAACCCTTCGAAGATCAAACCTAGCTTCCATACCATGGCCGTGACAAGAGTCTAAGACCGTCGTGGCTCAGGCCGAGAGGTCAGGGAGGATTTCGTCAGGGTCGGTTTTATGGGAACAGGGGATGGAAGGGTTGGAACAGGCGCGAACATCCAGGTTGATGTCGACCTCCTGCATGGGGAGCCAGGGGTCGCTGATAGCCGATTTCAACCTCCAGGGATCCTTGTAGCCGACTCGCTTTCCAACACAGAGCGGAATACGCTTCTCCACGACAGAGTCCAAACCCTCACGAACACGAATAATGCCAGGCAAGTGGTGAAGGGGGTCGTTCAAGGCATTCTTCGCTATAGGGCCAACAAAGTCTCCGCGGGCAGCGGTAGCAACGATGTAGTCTGATTCGAAGGCGACAAGCTGCATGCGGACAGTATCGTCGATAAGTTTACCATCCATCGTGACATGGACGTCATTGTGGGGTTTGCTCCAGTTCCGAGGGGATGATGGGATGAAGTTCGGGTTTGATGCTCCAGCGGTAGGTCCATATGGCCTCGGCGCACGCAGTGGATTGACTGGCTCTGGAGGGATGACGTTGAAAAATTCTAGCCTCCGCAGCCAAGGAGCCAAAAGAGCCTCGCCAGTCATCTTGATGTAGGCTTCTTTCAGAGCCCAGTAAGAATAAAATAGTCGCAAGCCATAGCGCACTAGGCTCTCTTCGTCGATGAGGGCTTGGGTCCTCCAATCATGCTCGACAAATTCCAACCCACGAGAGTGTCGCCAGACATGTAGAGGCCTTGACATGATGTACATTTCGTGCTCCGAAAAAACCTCCTCGAAAATTTTGATAAAAGACAGCAGGGTTTCCATGGTTTTTGGAGGCCGATCATGGCGACGACGGTTGGGTTCATCGACACAAGTAATATCGATGCCGACCCTAGGCGGAGCCAGCCTCTGAGGCGCCTCGGGATTCATATGGTGGAATTCCGCTCCCGGGACCACAGTGCCTGCCAAGATGACCAGAGATGCTTGATGGCTAACATTGAAGTCAATCTGGATGGGGTTCTCCGGGTGGCTGAAGCACGGGCGGTGGTCAGGCGTGCGTTGAGTTCTGATGTTGTCCCAGGGAATGTCATAGACATGGTGGATGAACAGATACTTCAGTATGCACGAGGCCAGAGCATGGCGCTTGTCTGCAGGCTGGACGAATTTCCTCACATTTGCCTGATCGGCTGAGTTGAGTGTCTCCAATAGCGGGAGATTCCACCCATTGTCCTCCCATTCTCGGGTATCAATGTACCACCGGACCAAAGTTGGTGCAGAGCTCATCGAGTGTTCCACTTTACTCTGGTCAGGGAGTTTGAAGCGGGCATCGTGCGGAGTCGCCTCGTTGAGCTCCATAGTGAATTCTAGAGCGAGGTAAGTCAAACCAACCCATCTAAAGCTGAGCCAGGCACTTCATCAAAACCTTGGACACTTACATTGTTGGACTGCTCCTCAGCAGAGACGCATCATCAGTTCACAGTGTTGCAAGTCAAGAAGGTGCACAAGACGCGCTGCTCCCCAACTCCCCGCGTCGAGGGGAGCTTATCGAACACATCACGTGCTGATAAAAAAAACCACCGGGAAACCACAAGCACGTGATTCAAGAGTCATCAAGGCAAAGTTTCTCGAGAGTTTCTCGATTTTCTCTTCTGCAACATACAGAAATGACTCTCACAATTGGGGTGCTTGCCTTACAAGGTGCATTCCATGAACATGTGCAGCTGCTAAAGAAGGCCACTGAGCAAGCACCTCCCTCGGAGTGGGATTTCATTGAAGTACGAACCCCACAGGAACTAGCAAGATGCGATGCTCTAGTCCTGCCCGGCGGAGAAAGTACCACTATGTCACTAGTGGCAGCGAGGTCCGATCTCCTAGAGCCCTTGAGAGATTTTGTCAAGTAGGTGCTCCCCTAAAGTGACCTTCGCGAATCACCTCTCTAATGTGGCGATTATATAGGGTGCATCGCAAACCAACATGGGGCACCTGTGCCGGTCTCATTCTGCTCGCTGAGTCGGCCAATCGCACCAAGAAGGGCGGTCAAGAGCTGATTGGGGGGCTGGATGTTCGAGTGAACCGCAACCACTTTGGTCGACAGGCAGAGAGCTTTCAAGTTCCGCTGGATTTGGCCTTCTTGGGTCAAGATGCATCGCCCTTCCCCGCAGTCTTCATCCGTGCCCCAGTGGTTGAGCGCTTGTTGCCCCACCATGAGGGCATTCAGGTGGAGGAGGAGAAGCGGGAGGAGACTGTTGTAGCACCATCCCGGCCGGCAAAAGACTTGGCGACGACAGCCAGTAACGTGGAAGTGCTGGCCACATTGTCTGGACAGGCAGCTCGGTTAGCCACACAAGGACGAGATATCAGTCCCGAGGCAGAGGTTGGCGACGTTGTGGCAGTGCGACAGGGCAATGTGCTGGGCACTAGTTTCCACCCGGAATTGACAGGAGATGCAAGAATTCATGCGTGGTGGCTGCGCCAGGTGCAAGAAGGCGTGCAAAGCAAAAGAAAAACAGAACAATAAAGCAGCATTAGACAGCATTTAGATCAAGGAGACACATGTAAATAGGGTATCAAGTGAAAAGAAGATTCCTGGTTCTGCTAATTGGTTTTTTGTCATACCCCTGAGAACAACGCCATTTGTCCGAATGCCTTTATATGCAGCAGGCCTACCTCCCTTGGCCATACTCTTCTTCTTCTCGTCGGCGCTGGTCATCGTATGCCCGGCCATACCCACCACGGCCGGGATCGTATTCCTCCCGGTACTCATCTCGAACTTGGCCACCCGATTTACCTCGTCTATAATGATAGTTAGCTGGATTGGTTCTATTGTGGTTTCGGTCTTTACATATCACATACCCATATTGTCGGCCCTCTTCAAACCCGGGGTCGAGATCTGCACGGATGATGCGCTCGTCCAACTTGGTACCTCCGACGTACTTCAAACAATCCAGTGCATCCTGGTGGGTATAGTATTCGACGAAGCAAAACCCGCAGGGTGTCTTGTTGAACCGGTCGAGTCCCATTACCAACCGCTTGATCTCGCCGCATCTAGATATCAGATAAGCAAAGGCCAATGGGGTTCATAATCAAGCGTGGACTCACTTTGCGAACAGTTCGTGGATCTGTTCCTCCGTTGTGTAGAAAGAACTGAAGGTGGTTAGCGATTTGGTCCATCCTTGGTATAATGAGATCGGCTCCAACATACAGGTTGCCCACATAGAGGGTGGTGGCATCTCTCAGCCCTGCCATCGAATCCTCCTGGACATCATCCTCTCGGTCATTATATCTGCGCTTCTTCTGTCGGTAAAGAGTAAGCGTTCATCTCTCTAGTCGAGGGTATTGTCGAGCTGCTCGCGCAGCAGTCCTTGAAGCCAACTGCATACCTTGCCTACATAGTAAGCGCTGGGCCGATCCAGTCGATCAACTGTATTCACTGATAACAGACTCATGGCGTAAAGAAAGGTTGCGGTTGCAGTGAAGAGAGTGGTGAACGGAGGTTCGGGAGTTGAGGGAACAAAGGAGCTCGGAGCTTCCAGCAGAATCTTGGCGCAGAACTCCACGCCGTCTACTCGCCCGCTTTGTTTCCACCACACCCTCTCCTCGCTAGCGGGATGCGCTGACTGTCTTCTTAATTACTGAAATATTGTTGGCCGTCTTCTACGTTCTCATTTTCGATGCCCAGGGTCAACAGTTACGCGCCTGCCTGGCTTTGCCGGCCCTCGCCTGGCGCAAGCCTGTTCGCCAGCAGCTCGGTGAAGAGCCCAGCGCAAGACCTGCAAAATGGACACAAGGTACCTGCGGCCGACGGACCGACCAGAACATTCGCCAAGAGAGGAAACGAAGTGTTCGCGGTAGTCGACAATGAGATCCGCTGGGCCAATCTCGCGCGACTTAAGGATCAGTGGCTACAATCAAGACAGAAAAAGGGCACCACAAAAGAGGATGCTAGAGATGGCGCCCAAGCTTCTTACAGGGTAAGCGGTTTTTTTCTTTTTTATCTTTCCCCCTTTTTTTAGGTGCATCTGGATTCGATCGCGACTGACAGCTTTCTTGGTAGATTTTGACGGTGCCTGTTTACGGCCAAATCAAGCAAATCCTTCCCTCTCCGAATGGCGCGTTTCTCGCTGTTGTCACCGAACATACTGTCCACATTTCTGTTCTACCGGATTCCTCCCACCTTTCATCCCCAGACACCGCGCCAATTCGTCTCAAAACTTATCAGCTCGGTCCCACCACCCATGTTATCCCCGAAGCTCCCGTGATATCGGCGCTGTGGCACCCGCTGGGACTGCACTCCAATATTGGAGGATGCATAGTCACTATTGCCGCAGATTCTGCGGTGCGCGTGTGGGAATTGGATCGGAATAACCACTGGTCTTTCGACCAGCCTACGCTCGCAATCGACCTCAAGAAGCTGGTGGATGGCACTTCCTCCGACCAAGACTTCACACCCTCCGGCTTTGGAAAGAACAAGGGGTTTTCTGCCGACATCTACGACATGGAAGTCGCATCTGCATGCTTTGCCGGCAGCGGAAGCGAGAGGGAAGACGCGTGGGCACCCATGACCCTCTGGGTGGCGATGAAGCCGGGTGACTTGTACGCACTGTGCCCTCTGTTGCCGTCGAAATGGCAAGCTCCATCAGCCACCATCCCTTCTCTGTCTGCGGCTATCATCCCGAAGCTTGCTGCATTTGAAAAAGGTTCTGCTGATGTCGAGGAGGAGCTGACGGCCTCTCGACAACAGTATGAATGGCTTCAGGAGATCGATGGCCAGGAGTCCTTGGACCCTCACTCCGGGTCTGGAGCTATTGAGGGCGCCGACGTATTCACTCGCCCAGCTGCCCCGAGCGCCATTCCGAGACTTCAAGGTCCTTTTCGCTTCGATACCGGAGATGAGTTGGATGACTTGGAGCTTTGCGATCTTCTTGTCATCGCCGCCAGATTGAACGCCGACGATCTCATGAAGGGAGAAGAGGAAGAGCTCGCAGTAGACGCGATCGACCAAGATAAGCTGTCAGCGACTGTCATCTGTCTCTCTAGTGGCCATGGCCGTGTGCACATCTGCCTGGAACTTGATGGTGTTGAAGGCCAGTGGCTACCCAAGGCCAGGAAGAATGCATTCCGAACACCTCTTTCTGAGCCCGGGGATTTGGTTTTGGTTGAATCTCTTGATACCGTCAAAAATAACGGGGATTCAACTACCTGGCCCACTTTCACTAAGGACATCCATTCTCGATACTCCTTCTTTGTCACGACCGCAGCAAACGTGGTCTTTTTCTCCTTGTCTTCCTGGGTCCAAAGACTTGAAGCTGAATTACAGGCCGAGGACACGGCGGGCTCGGGCTTCCGGCTCCAAGTTCTCTGCGATGGGAATGTGATTCAGAGAGAGCGGATCTTGCAAGTCTCGAACACCGATGTCACTGCTCACACAGAACCCCTTTCCGCATCCCTGATTTTCTACGACTTCGATCTTGGCTATTTGCTTCTCACCTATCATCCGTCAAGTCCATATGCGGCGGTCATGGATGCTCCAGAGGACAGTTTCTCTGTAGCGGTGGATCAGCGCCTGTATGAATCCAAGGCACTGGCACCGGGATCTCCGGTCTTGCTCCCGCGGCGGGTCCCGTATCAAGTCCCTGCCGTTCTCTACGCGCAATCGCCACTGGATTCGTTCGTCGAGAAATACGTTCCGCACCGCCAGCGCCACACTCTGAAGGAACAGGTACGCCTTTCTCCAGCGACTCTGGATCTTGTCGCTACAGCCCATCGCGTGCTATCCGCCCATACAAATGCTCTCGAGAGAGCTGCATCGGATCTGTTCCGGCGCTGCGAGCGCCTACAAGGCGAGATGCGTGACCAGCTGAAGCAGCTCTCCGATGCTGCCGAGCGCATCAAGGGCGTTACGAGCGAGATTGACGAAGATGGCCACCGCAAGGAAGGAGCCCGAAACGGAGAAGCGCTGGACAAGAGATTGCAAGCTGCGAGAGACAAGCAGGGTGAACTTGTGCAGCGATACGATGCCTTGCGCAAGAAGGTTCTCAATTCGGGTGGCCGTCCGCTGAGCGAGAAAGAAAAGGCGTGGGTTGGAGAGGTGACTACGTTGTCCGAATCACTTGGGGGCCCGGACGCGAAAGACCGCAAGCAAGACCAGCAACTGGCGGAGCGGTTGGAGACGGTCAAGCATCTCGTTGTTGAGCTGATGGCGGAGACCAAGTCCATTGCAGCCAAGGCTCCTGCTGCTGCAGAGCCCGGTAGTCCATCGTCTCCGGGAGGCGCTCAGCCCAAGGTGCCACAGCGACTCCAGCGAGCCAAGATTGCGGATGCAATGAGAATGGTTGAGCGAGAGTGAGTTTTTTTCCTTTTTTACTAAATTCTTTTCGTCTACTAACTCATCTTTTCAGGTCCGCTGTTATTGATGCTATCACCTCACGCCTGGAACGACTCAACACGACCATATGAGATGGGTTCAAGGTACTCTAGTCTTTGCAAGGGAAAAGGATTCTTTTTAAGCGCTGTGGTCTGTCATTAATATGAGCAACATACGTGGTGCATTGGTGTTTTCCCATCTAAGTTCATTGCATGGGTATGTAGGGTAGAGTCGTACAGCAATCTAATCTACTGTCTATGATATTCAAGGGCTTTGTCGATCATTCAAACATTATAGGACTAAGAAGGAAAATAACAAGAATAGAAAATAGAAAGTCGTTCAAAAATTCCAATTCTTTGCCCATGTTTCCTCGGGGGAAACATCAGCACTCTCCCCCCACAGCGTACGAAAGAAAACATCACCAATGTCTTCGTCCTCTGATTCAGAGTCATCGCCATTTTCGTCTGCATTGGGGTTATGACCTACCTCAAGAATATGTAATTAGCACTTTTCACTCCAAGCTGGGAACATGAAGAAAAGAAAAGTCTTAAAAGCCTGAATTCACTTACCACCAACCTTGCCACGCCGTACCCGATAATCTTTGCACATGGATCGGATGTTCACGGGGTACAGGGCCCCGCTTATATCAACAACCTGCTCTCTATCGTCCAGAAAATACGGAACTCGTCCTGGCATATTCCGTTCGTATATGACTCTTGGGGTTTCGGGTCGCGAAGGCGGAGATGGAGGGTGCTGCTCTGCTGCATTCACCCCATCACCATCACCATAATCATGGTCACCATTTTTTTCCTGGGCGTGATTCTCCTGGAAACTGTCATTTGCATTTTTTCCCTCATCTTGGGATTCGGGAGCTTTTTCGCGCCCGAGAAGCCTAAGAATCTTTGGGTTGATCCTGCAGTTTCCTTGTCGCCAGCATTCCTCGCACGCTTGCAGATGGCAGTAGAGCCGGGTCATGCATTTGCCCCAGCACTGTTTTTTGTCTTTACAGAGTTCTTTTTCTTCATCTATGATACATCCACACAGGGTGTATTTCCGGACCCAGTGGATGCACATGGCAGAGGCTGGAGTGGCTTACTCCCTTGCTAAACTTGGAGACAGTCTGGCCCTGTATATATCAGATTAGAAAAAGCCTAATATTTTGATGAACCTCGCTTGATATAAATTTATTTATAAGGCCTTGCCCCTTTTTACCCTTTTCGACATAGGTTGTATCAAAAAGGGTAAAAAGGCAAGACAAGACTATTATACACAGGACAAAAAGTCAGTCAGGGTACGCACTAACAAAGAGGCAAAGGGACAGAGAGTTTGAAACAAATCTTTCTTTTTGTGTTGTATGTTGTATATAATAGCATTTTAGTTATCTTTGTTTCTGCAATAAAATAGGGCTATTGCCACACGTGATCACAGTCGAGATGGCAATGTTTCGTGTTGTCTGCAGTTTAACACACAAAGGATGGAAGATTCAAAGAATTTAAAGGATAATTTCTTCCCTTCAAACAGGGGAGGAGTGAAAGCTGGTGGAGAGACATCAAAGGAATGGCACAGTCCGTTCCAAGCAATTGGCTTCATCTAGGTGAATCCACCTGGGTCAATCCGCGATACTACGTCCATAATCCAGTAAGTTGAAGACATACCCAGGACTAGCAAATGAATACAATTGAGTGTTATTATGGGTATTACAGAATAAATGGAAGTCACCATGTTCAAAACACGAAACAGCAAGTATCAATCACGAGCGCACAGCAGCTCGTTTTCTGTCAGAAACGCCAGTATCCCTGAAATCTATCCCACACCATGCACCGAACCAGCGCCCAGAGCCATGCAAGAAGCCTCATTTAGATCAGCCCAGTAAAAAAAAAATGTCTGTAACGCCGATTTCGCAGTGTCGCAAGATCACACGAGGCAAGTCGAAAAGCTGAAAGAAACATTTGTCGGCTCATCCAGCGGAGTTATGGACTCCGGGCTGCTGATGTAGAAGGTATTGGCAAGCTCCTCAGAGTCCTCAACCCAGTCGATGATCATGAGGTAAACATCATCAATGATCTCTTCCCAAGTAGGCATAACCAGGCCCTCCATGCAGACCTCCCACTTCCACATCTCATCCACGAAGGTACCCTGCCACCAGCGGCGCCATTCCTGGTACTGGAAGGATCCCATAAGACGGGAAGCCATGTGCTCAAGGTGGGACTTGTACCCGCGCCACTTCTGGTAGGGGATGGTGACGAACTCGCTGATGAGGCGGATGTAGGTGGTCGTGAACGTGGCGTAGTGGAGTGGGTCAACATAGAACTTGAGGGCGTCGCGTGGGATCTTGGGTGCGGGTGCCAGAGTGGGATCCTAGACATCCCAGTCGGGCTTCCATTCGAGGAGTCGCTTCATGGAGCCAACGTGCATGTGGTGCAGGATGCCCATGTCCTTGGAGCACAGCTCGTTGTAGCGCCGCTCGCGCATGCCCGACAGCACGTTCATGCCTTTGATGACCTGCAAGGCAATTGAATGGAGCTGGTGGTGTGCCTCCTGGACTTCGGGCGGGACTTGGAGCCACGAGGGCATTTCGAAGCAGCGAGGGTCGTATGTGTAGTCGGTGATGGTGTTGCATGCATACGACAGGCGCATGATTGAGCGTCTACGTCGGACTGCTTCGGCCATTGTGGCCGACGGATTGGGACAGTGTAAGGGTCAAGATGTAGGGGCAATAAAGAGAGAAAATGTGGGTGCTAGGAAAGAGGAATTAGCGAGAAGGGTGAGAGAAACAGAGCTGGGTTGGATGGCTACAAAAGATCAAAGGCTGGTCTACATCTAAAAGCAGCTAGACTTGATAGGTGCTCATTCATTGCTACGCTCAGTAGGACTACAATAGAGCTAACCAACCTCCTATTGTCGCTCCTCGGTCTTCTCTTATTGTGGCATCGATGTTAGAGTCTATTGACTCAATTGAGGCCATCGACAATGCAAGCTTATCATTGTTGAAACTGTGACTTGGTATCAGTGTCTACCATGCCTATAACGACCATTGTTGTGATGCCTCAGTACTGTATGAGACTATCCAACTCGCGTAACCAAGACAACCCTATTCAAAGATCTGTGAAGAGCTTCTTGTAGACACAATTTGATTCTTGACCTTTTTTCTTTTTGAACGATAACCATCCATATCAAACAAAGAGCATAACCAAAGAAAAACCGGGAAGAAATGCTACAATAACAGTTTGCCAGCCCGCTAGCTCGACGTAGCCAGTCTATCTCGATATAGGGATCAATTTACTGGACACTATACCACAGTCCAATTAGCCAGTCAATCAAGAATATCTTGTAGTCTCAGATCTAGTCAACCACACATACCGTTCAATGAGATGGACTCCAGAGGCCGTCTCAACCACCCCGCTGACCTGGCCTGGTTGTAGCGCAAAAGCGGCAGTTTCAAACTCCTTCTGCATCTCACCAGGACCAAAAAAACCCCTTGAAGGAGTCAGCGACACAATAGATCATAAATCCATGCTCGAATCAACACTCACAAGTCTCCCTTCTTCCGGGCGCTGCTGCAGTCGGATTCCGATACCGCAAGGTCCCCCAGAGTGGTCTCCCCAGACTGGATGCGCTGTTCGTGGCCCCTCAGAATCTCAATGGCCTCCTCCTTTGATCGGGTGATCTCAGCTTCTCGCCAACTGCTGGGGCGTCTGCTGTCGCGGTGCTTCACAAGCAGGTGGCTACAGCGGATCTTGCCTTCGGCTTGGCCAGAAGAGTCGGCACGAGCTGCGGGGGTGTGGTGCTGGGCCATATAGACCTTCAGCTTCTCGGTATCAGTGTCTGCTGGTGGCTCCCAGCGAGACTCCTTGGTTGAGGGGTTGAAATAGTAGGGAAGGTTCTTGGAATTCGAATGACGAACTTCCCATCCTGCGGGGAGACCTGAGTCGGCCTTGGACAGTCAGCATGGGTTTTGAGGGGAGATTGTAAAATAAGGGGTATAAGAATACCATGATTGTTGTATGGCAATAAATTCCAGTTGGTCACTGCAACTGCACAACAGCTCGTACACCGTGGGGGAAGTACACTTCGGGCAGGCGCAACTGCGGGGGATGATGCTACCTGCAAATAGTGCAAACATGTCCTAATTAGGGTTAGCGTCTGCTCCGCGATTCACCTCATTAGGCCTTCGCCGCTTCCTTATGATTATTCCTATTCTCCCTCACGCCCGAGTTGCCACCCTGTATCCCCTTTAAATCACACCATCGGCCGCTTTTAATATTGCAACCTCGAGATAACCATGTCCACAAGCCCTTCTCCCTCCGCTGCTGGCGACACCAAGCAGTCTGACCAGATCCATTTCCGATTCTGTCGCGAGTGGTAAGTACGACTCATTTTGCTCTAGAAAATCCTCTAGCTAACACTGTTTCTTCTAGCTCCAACTTGCTCTACCCCAAGGAAGACCGCGTCACCAACCAGTTGATGTTCACCTGCCGCACCTGCCACGTCGGCGAACCCGCCACCTCGTACTGTGTCTACCAGAACAAGCTCCACAGCCAAGTCGGAGACACGGCGGGTGTCACCCAGGATGTGGGATCTGATCCGACGGTTTGTCTCCCTGGCTTCTGCACCCTCTGTGGTGACGAGATTACCTGCTTTGAGTGTGGCTCGCTAGAAGGCGAGCCGGCTTCGGAAGAGGAGGATAGTAGCAGCCTGGAATCGATAGACGGGAACTGCCGGTCTAGCATCGGAGATTTTCTTCCATCTTGAGATTCCTGCTGGCTAACATATTCTGCTTCTCTGTCTACAGCTCCCTCGAGCCAACAAGCTTTGCCCGAGTTGTGGTGAAAACGAAGCAGTCTTCTTCCAATCGCAACAGCGATCTGCGGAAACCGGAATGGTGTGTCTCCCTTGGATATTTTTGATATGAGGTTCTAGGCTAATTATCGCTGGGGGTCTGTTTAGAAACTCTACTATGTCTGCTGCGCATGCGGTAACGTCTTTATGTGATGTCTTGTTTTTGTCCCTTGCGATACGGCCCCCCGGTCGATTCCTCGATACCCTTTGATCTTTGGGAGCATGTTTTGGAGTTTGGTGATTTAACCAGAAAAAATCGAAACGGAATCTGTGTGGTATTGTGGCAATTCTATTGATACATAGCGATGAATATTCAGCCCAAAGGCAATGGCGCTCTCCCATCAAGTACAAGAAAAAATCATGGACTGGTAAAATATTAGACGTGCATCGGCGCCAATGACAAGATCTTCGAGTATTGTCGCTTCCGTAGTTCTTGTCCCACGAGTCCTGTGGAAGAATTAGCATCCAGAGAAGAGAAATCCAAGGAAGAGCACGAACCGTTCATTCTCGTCCCAACCGGATCCCCCGACTTGTTCACCAACACACAGGCATTGTCGCCGAATCGAACAACCGATCCATCAGGCCGCTGCAGTTCCTTCTTCACCCGAACCACCACTGCATGGCGAATATCACCACGACGGACCTTGTTCGCAAGCGCGGAGGAAGTCGGTGCCTCGGACCCGGCGGGCTTTGATTTCTGGACGACAACAACGATCCGATCACCTAGACGGTTGCCGAGTGAGTTTGACTGTCTCCATTCTCCATTTGGTTCTTCTCCCATCACTCTGGTTTGCGGAGACTCACCGATGGTTGCGGGCCGCTTCTTCTTCAGGACGTTGACGCATTCGACAATTGAGGCGCCGGAGTTGTCGATGCAAGTTAATAATGACTAAACCGAGTATATGATTAGTATTTGGAGGCGGTTACTGAACAGTATGAGTTATGCGCACCTTTAGTTGAATCATCTTGAACGCCTGGTCGGGGAGCAACTAGCTGGAGTCCACCAATTTGTTTCTCGATGTCGGGTTGCTCGGAAGAGGGTTTGTCCGAACCCGGGGTATACACTCTGCGCGAGATGCTTCTGACAATCAATGCCAGATTTATGCACAGATCGATAGGTAGATGCGATTGGGGCAGTCAGTTTCCAAATGTAATCTCTGTTAGACAGTGTAGCCCATCCCGTCATCAAGCCAAGCTGGATTTGATTCAGCTGGCTGCCGGGGGTACCCTTGGCCGAGTTTAGAAGTAAAAAGTTAGTCCTTGAAATTGAATGCGAAATTAAATATTATTGACAATCGAGAGACAGTAGATATGTGCCTTGCTGTGGGTAGCAAAGACATTATTCTCCCGGGGTAACAATATGGTTCTTGTAAACTGTAACACAATATATATATATCATAGATTTGATCAATATATGGAGCACAATACTACATCGACTCTTTTACAATGATTACAGTAATCCTATTATGAGCCATTGAACATCTTGAATAGATATTATGGATCGTAAGCAGATTTCTTACAAGAAAGTACAAGAAAAGGCTCCAAGATGGCCCATTGCGCAACTCTGTCGATCGCTGGATGGATCGAATGCCTTCTGGAAGTCGATTATTGGCTACGAATTTACGACAACGGTGACCCACCGAGGAAATGGTCTGCGCTCGAGTTTATTCGAGGAGTGTGATATCGGAGATTATCTTTTTATAGGCCAAATGCCAGTGTAGTTGTAGTATGGTGGAAGACTGGGTGCCCTAGATGGAACGCGTAAATAGAACAACCCATATTTCTTGCAGACACGAGGAATATAGTAGGAAACACTCCAATATGCCAAATATCCAATTGCGACACGCGATCATTGAGAATCGGTTGTAGGGCGAAGCGCGTGGAGCCATCAAAAGCGAGAGCCCGAGACGCGGAAGACGGCGTCTCCCCTAAACCGGGCGACTCGGCAGAGACGAGCAAACCAGCCTCCCATTCACTTCTCCCCTCGTCAATTCTCAATAGCGATATTCTATTGACAATGTCTATTGTCCCCATTGACTCTATTTAACCATTCACCATTCACCAGCCTCGCCCTCCGAGTCCATTCTTGGCCCCCTCCCTGCCCTCGGATCTCCGCTATATTTGCTCCTCACCTTCTACAACCACGTTGCATTTCATGACACCTCTTATCTTCCTTCCCCTCGGGTGCCTCACTACCTGACACACCCACCATGCCTCCGAAGAAGTCGCGCTCCGGCCCTCCCGCGCCCGAGCCGCGCGAACGCTTGACCCTGGCAAAACTGGCCAGCTATGACGATGTCGCAACCGATGCGCTGGTGGACCACGTATGCCTCTTGCCCACAATTCGACCTGGACAATTGCATACTGACTACTTCTACCAATTAGGCCTACTTCTGGACTACCATTCGCAAGAACCGCACCAAGTACAACCCGGCCCGCGGAATCCACGACGACGAGATTGCAAGCATCATGCTTCACGATGTCATTGTCGCCAAGAACGCCCCGCAAGCCGAGAACAAGCTGCTGAATATCTCGGGACTAAAGAAATACATGAACACTCTGCGCAGCCCCCGCGAGCAGGAGTGGTTCCGTCGACACCTGCGCAAATACATTCAAATCTACCTCCCCGACTCCCCGTTCGAAGTGACCACAACCAACCGCTACATCATCACGCAGCACGAAGCTGCCATCTGCGCTCGCAAGTTCATCAAAGCTGGCCAGGAGATCAAATACCTGAGTGGAACCCTTGTGGCTATGACCCATGAGGAAGAGATGGACCTGGACCTGACCCGCAAGGACTTCAGCATTGTGATGTCGAGCCGCCGCAAGGCACCTGCTTTCTTCTTGGGCCCTGCCCGCTTCGCTAACCATGACTGTAACGCAAACAGCCGTCTGACAACTCGTGGCTCCGAGGGCATGTCGGTCGTTGCTGTGCGAGACATTCACGAGGGCGAGGAGATCACGGTCTCTTACGGCGAGGATTATTTCGGCATCGACAACTGCGAATGCCTGTGCTTTACCTGCGAACGCGCCGTTCGCAATGGCTGGTCGCCGCAGACCGACTCCAACTCTGACAGCAAAGAGTCCAGCCCCGCTTCAATCGACGAGCCTGTGTCTGTGGAGACTTCCATTGGGAGCAAGAAGCGCCGACGCAATTCCGACCTGGAGTCAGAGATCTCGACGCCCACCACTTCCACCCCGCGCAAGCGAACGAAGTTCCAGCACCAGGTTTCGAAGTTGCGCGAAGAGATCTCTGTCTCTGAGTTGGCAGGCGATTCGACTGAGACGATGACTCCTGCGACCCCGGAATCGGATGTGAACAGTTCTGCGATTCTGGCCCCAATCAAAGGGGTGAAGCAGGAGGCCAACGGCAGGGAAACTGAGGGATCGATCGCTGAGAAACCAGCACATTCCGAGAGCTCAGCCACCGTGGAGTTGGATCAGGGAGAATCAATGGTTATGGGCAATGGATATGACCCTCCCAGTGAAGCTAACGAAGTCACCACTCAATCCACTGCCCCCACTGATTGCGAATCTCCCAGCTCCCAGGCAGATGAATCCCACCGGTCAACCTCCAGCACCCCTACCTCTGTCGACATTGGAACCAAGATCCAGCCCGCAGAGGTCATCGGATCAGAGCAGACGGACACCGAGGCCACCCATGCAGAAGGCCACCCGGATGCTTCCTTTACAGGTCAGCCAGATGCAAAGCCCCTCCTACAGGACAATAACACCCAGGATGAACTGTCGGACTTATTTGAATCGTTTGAACTAGACGATATCCTCATGACAGTCGTCAAGAAGCAGAAGCCGCGCAAGACCCGCAAGCGCAAGCGCCACATCGTCGCCTCCGTCGAGACTGAGCTGCAGTTTGCCCGAGTGCCTGGCGACTACACCCGAACGTCGCGGCTGCTCGCCCAGCGCTACGACCGCTGGGTCGACTGCCAGACCTGCGACTCGTGGTTCGTCCAGTCCAATTCGTACCTGACGCGCCGCGAATGCCCCCGCTGCGAGCGCCACTCCAAGTTGTACGGATACCAGTGGCCACAGACCGAAATGGGCCCAGATGGCGAAGAGCGCGTCATGGACCACCGCACCGTCCATCGCTTCTTGTCCCCCGACACTGCCCGCGCCTCGCGCCGCGACCGTGGTGTCAGCTCCGTCGTCACGCCTACCCCCGAACTCTCCGATGCGCGCACCGAGACCGAAACCAGCGATGCGAATGAGTCTCGCCGCAACACGCGCGCAAGCCGTCGCCGCAACCGTGAACTTCGCATGACCATGTAAAGAACGAATTTGCCAAATGTATGGAAGAAACGTTGAATCCGGAGTTTGAGATGGGATCGGTCGGGGCGCTATCTTTCGTCGACAATTTCTTTTTCCTCTTTTTCTTTCCTCTACCTTGTTTTCTTATGATTATCATTTCTGCGTCATCGCATCTATGGATTGCACTGTCGGCGCATCGGTTCTGGTGTTCTGTTTTAAAGGGTTAAAGGGCCAGGTGCATTGAGGATTTCTGGCTTGTTTCTTTTATGGGTTGCATCGGAGTCTGCCATTTCTGCCTCTGTCTCTGTCTATTTCCTTCTTTCTTTCCTTTTTTTTATCGGACACATATCTTGTGTCATTAAGAATGGTCGTCGCATACGGACATATCTGGAGCATTTGAAACGTGGCATCGTGACATCCAGATATCAAAAGGATCGAGTTTCAATGAATGCACGTACAAAAATCCTTTCTCGGGACATTGTAGTCGAGTTGCTATCATGCATAGAAGTATAAGAGTAGATCAGTGCGATTATATACAATCGAATATCATACACACCAAATTCATGGATGCCAAATTACATGGGGTATTCGTTTTTCTTCCACCCCAGAGAAACCAAACCTTCAAGTCAACGCCAGCTATGATACAGATTCTATACAGAATGGGGGACATGCGAGGGAGAGAAATAGAGAGACAGAAAAAGAGACCTAGATCATGGCCTGGCCGCGGAACATGCCATCGCGGACCTCGCGAACGATATCCTTGCGGTCCTTCTTGCCAACCAAAACAACACCGCGACCCCGCTTGCCCATCCGACCCAGACGACCCAAGCGATGAATGAAATCGATGGTGGTGTGGGGTACATGGTAGAGCAATACAGTCTTGACGGGCAGGGTGTCGATACCACGCGAGGCGATATCGGTGGTGACAAGGACCTTGGTGCCTGGGAGACGACGAGAGGTGTCGACTTTCTCATCCTGGTCCCAGATGAACGGAATCACCTTGGAGCTGGTCTTCTTCTTCTTGGCCAGCTCAACTTCCTCGGCAGTCGGGGGTTGTTGGATCTCGGTGAACTCGGCGAGGATCTCGTCCGACTTGCGGGAGGTGGAGTCGCGGGACAGCGAGACGGCGTCGATGCCCTTACCCTGCAGGAAACGGGCGACCTCATCGGCTTCCTCTCTCTCGTTGACGAAGACAATGATCTTCTTGACCGTGGGGGCCTTGAATGACTCCAGAGGTCCCCATGACTCGCCGCGCTCGTGCCGGTCACCTGCTTTGCCAATTGCCCAGATGACATCGGCGCAGGCGAGACTGCGGTTCCCGCGGTACGGGTCCTTTTCAATGTCCACCACGCCCAGCTGGACTCGACGCGGGATGGCATGTAGTTTGGGGGTCGTCAATCGTCGAACGTCCGGGTAGTTCTGGCGGAGCTGCTTGTCCAGGCTGTTGGGGATCGTGGCCGAACAGAAAATGAGCTTTTTAAGCGAGGGTGTCGCCTTTTCGATCACCTCGGTTGTAGTCGGCAAGAAGGACCGGTCCATGAGGGAATCGGCTTCGTCGAGGACAAGGTGAGTTACCCGGCTGAGGACGTAGGGGTTCGTTTTCGCGATAGATGCGACGAGGTGCGGTGTCGACACCAGGATGTCAATGCCGTCCGGGTGGAACAGCGTGTTTTTGATCCGACGCGGTGTGAGGTTGGATGAAATCATCCCGGAACGGTACTTGACGCCATGCGCCAACTCTTTCACCCTGGCACCGACCTGAGCTACAAGCTCGGATGTGGGGACAAGAATGAGGGCTCGAGGGCGGCCGGCGTTGGTAACCGGCGGCTCCTCAGGCTCCAGCTCGAGTGTTCGATTCTTCAGGCGCTCCTCCCGCTCCTTCGTCTTTTCTGCCTCGATTTGTGCTTGTTCTTCGAGCTCCGATGCCTCAGCGCGCTTGACAGCGTCTACGACCGGGAGCAGGTATGCGAGAGTCTTTCCTGAGCCCGTCTCTGCTGCGAGGAGATATTGTTCGTATTGGGGCTTGTTGTCATCCACTTTCTTTGGCTGTTTCTGTTTCTTCGGCGTGCCATCGTTCAAAAGCTGCGGAATTGCAAGTCGTTGGATTGGTGTCGGCGTGATTTCATCCATACCGGGCAGAGCCATGGTGAAAATCGATTGGCGCACGGCTGGCAAAAGGCGGAAATGGTCGAAGCTGGTGACGTTGGCAATCTTGTCCTTGATGGCGTTCCGGCGGCCATAGGAGACAGGGGCCAAAGTAGTCTGCATTTTGAGTGCTTTGTACAAAGGGCTTTCTTTTTTCTCCACCTTGGCTTCCTCCCCTGAACGCTTCAATGCCGCCTGGGACTTTGCGCGTGGTGTGCCTTCAATCCCCGCCTCGGTCCGATTCATTCCAGCAAAAGGGCCTGCCCGGTCTCTCGCCGAGCGCGGCTTTGTCAAGGAGGCTTTGGCCACATTAGGCGACAGGGCCATTCGAGCGGCTTTGCGCCGGAATCGAGCAGTGGCCATCGCTCGCGTGGCCTGCCATGATACCGCGGGAACCGGTGACGATGGGAGGATCGTAGCTCTAGTTTGACACAAGAAGCATATCGAAGAGCGGATTGGCAGTTGCATTCTGCCCGACCGACCCAGAAGAAAAGCTGGCAAGGGAACGGTTCACTGGAAGTTGCGAGCAAAGAAAAAACCAGTTTGGCCATCGGATGTTTTCTGCAGAACACGCTAGCCCAGTCTGGGACTAGCGCCGATCTATTCCACCCGACATTTTAGGCGTTAGATCATGTGACCATGGCGCTGAGTCATCCCAGCTTCCCCCATCGTTGCCATGGAGACTCCCGCGACTGTCAACAAGTTTCAACTTGCTTTGGGGTAACAATCCACTTGGGGATCCATGGACGAGACATCCAGATCTGATCTTGTTTCTTGTTCTCTCTCTTCCTCCGCAGCCTTTTCTTTGTTTTACTTCCATTTTACCCTTGACCTTTCTTGTACCCCTTCATCACCCCTTTTTTCACCTTGACCTTGATCCGAATACCGGACTGGGACTTGTGTTTGGTGGCCCTGTGGACGCACCTACATTCTTGCTACGATCGACACGACTCTACACTCCTCTTGGTGGATGTACCAGGACTCGCTGGCAAACAATTCCCACGCGACTCCTGGTATCTATTAAGAAAGGTATGTGGCCTTATTCCCGGCGCTGAGCAGCACTGGACTCCTTGTTGTTTCACGTGTCGAGACTCGATCCCCCATCTCAAACGCCATGAGCAACGATTGACACGTCGCAGACACTTGATTACCATCGCTTGTTAATCAAAACCTCTTGGTCTTATCCTAGTATCCAGGAACTCCCAGTGTCAACATGGGCAATGGATCTGTCCAGTGGCCGCTTTCCGAAGTGAGCCCCATGGCACAGAGGCGCAACTCGCCCAGCTGGAACCAAACCACGAAGGTAAGAATCGCATACTACTCTGAGTTAAACCCTTGTTAGCATAGTACTGACTTCCGCGACAGACGCCAAATGGCGAGTCGCCGCTGTATGATGTTTCGCCTCTGAACAACACAGCCTCGCCGCGGCTCTTCTGGAAAGGTCGCGATTCGCCCTCGCCCTATGCAAAGGGTGCTGAAAACCAAATGCCCTACGACCCGGAAGCCTCATACTTCCCCGCGAGACGGCCATCTCTCGAAGACTTGAAACGCGTCTCACGGGTCAAGAACCATACCATGTTTCGCGATAGCCAGGAATACGACCCTGCGCAGGTATATCTCCCCCAGCGACCGTTAGCTGCCGACCGATCGCCCCAGCGGGATAGCCAGATGAACCTCGCAAAGTCACAGCTTCCCGATGAGATGAACGCCAGCCCGGTGCCACGACCGCCTTCCCCGAGCAAAGATCAAGCGTCTCCAGGCAAGTCATCGCTGTCCAAGGGCAGCCGTTTTGGCAAGGGCTTTGACCCGCAGAGCGACATTTGGTCTGAATACGATAGTGCTGGCCACCGTCACGCGAAGAGTGTCACATTCGATGCTGCGCCTCCGCAAGTCAACGAGTATGAGATGACGACCCCGGATCCATCATCTATCGCATCAGGATCCCGCGACAATAGTTACGACTCCGAGGAAGAGGAAGATATCAGCTTCGAGCATGAATCTTCTGTTGAGCGCGATGACAGTTTTGACGCGTCGTTGGAAGACATCGAGAAAACGCCAGTCGTCTTGCCCGAAGACTGGCGCTTCATGAGCCCAGGAAGCGTGGATGGGGACGAAGATCCTTTTGTTGGTGATGACGAGGGTCGCGAAGACTCCGTTCCGGTTGAAGGGAAATCACCTCGACATGGTCGTGTTGAATCACTGGACTCCAACGGTGAGCGACGCCCTCTGCCACCCTTGCCATCGGTGTCGCGCATGTCCGGCTCTCAACCATCGTCGCCTGATAAACTTGCCACCGCACTTGAGCTGGGAAGTGGGGGTCAGCGGAACTTGCCCTCTCCCCCCGCTCCCGCTTCTTATACCAAGTCAGATCTTGGTGGTGCTATGTCCTTGGAGGAGAGGCTCCGTCTTATGATGCTTCATGAACGCGAGAATGATGAGCATGATGGCGAGCATGACCGCGGTGAGCTTAACGTAACGGCTCAGCAGTCCAGCGAAATTAAGGAATTGCACAACACAGACGATGACAATGCTCCCACTGGCGATGACGCCAAGGACAACGTGTTTTCACCTCCTCGTATCTCACGGGACTCTATCTTGAGAGATATCCGTAAGAACGACAGCTTTGAGGAGGATGATTATGATGACTCTCAGTTCGCCTCAAGCCCTCACCCTTACGACCATTATGACCCTGATGTTCCGATCCCCTCGCTGGAAAACGATGACGACGATGATACTGGTAGTGTAATCATCAAAGAAGAAGACCATGATGAAGACCTCTACACGATACCCGATTTCTACCAGAACATGTCAGACCACAGCTTGTCTTCCAGAGATCAGCGAGCCAAATATGACGAAGACAGCAACTACTCGCTAAAATCTGCCGCTGAGAACACCGAAAACCACCATGGCAGCCGGAGCTCCGGCCACGCAACACCTGTTCCTGAGGAAGAGGGAGCAGCTGGTCCAATTGAGCAGCCAAATGAGGAAGCTGCAAAGGAAGATCCAAAGGCAGCCGAAGCTCAGCCCTTGGACATGGCTTCAATTCGTCATTCGCTTGGTCGTCCTGTAACGCCAGAAGCAGGGGAGGAGCAGGTTTCGGAGCCCTCGACCCCAGAATCTGTGATCCGCCATCCCGTCGAAGGCGAGGAAGGAGGTGAAGAAGTGGAGGAGGAACAAGAAGCAGAAATCTCTTCGGACGAGTCGGTGCCTGAGCCAGTGGCCACAATCAGGGCTCCTGGCGCGGGTCTGAAGACTCGGCCCTCCCTGACCCCAGCTGATATGGAATCGATGGCGGCCACCCGGCGTAAAATCAGCGGCCAGCACCCACCCCCAATGCCGGATCTGACAAAACAGGCCTCTAATGACTCGGCGAAGTCCAACCGCCAGCAGAAACAGGCCGACTTGCCTCCCCAACTCTCGCTACCGAACAACCTGGTAAACCGGCAGCCCAGTCTCATGAAATTGGACATCCCGTTCAGCATCCAGGAGGAAAGCCTCGGCTCTGGCCTCAACAAGGAATTTGACCGCGTTATCGAGACCCAAAAGGTTGCGTTTGAACTCGCCCTCTCCCAGCTTTCTTCTCATTCTCTGCCCTCTTCCCAGGAACAGATATCCCTGAACCCGGGGATCCCAGGATTTTCCAATTTAGTTAAGCTTGCAGCCCCTGCTAACACATCATGTGACAAACAGAGAGGGTACCTCATGAGACAAAACACCAAGGTCATCGTGGCTAGCAGCCATAATGAAGAAGAATCTGCACCGGCCCCCGAGAAAGCCACTCAAGACCCACGGGGCACGAAGTCTGCCGGATCTTCGCCACGAAAACCAAGCCAGCAGACTTGGACCACCGTTCCATGGAATGGGCAGATGCGACGTCCTAGCACTAAGATCGGCACCGGAATCCCCAAGAAGAAGCCCGTTCCTGGATCAGTGCCACCCCTCCCTGGCCAGTCGAGCAATGTGCAAGAGGCCCCTGCATCGATTGAGGAGACCGAGCCCGCCGTCCCCGAGTGCTTTGAAGATGGCGAAGAGAGAGGCCGTGTGTTTGTGAAGGTGATTGGCCTGAAATATTTGGACCTTCCCCTCCCTCGTGGTATGAATTGACCTAATCTCATCAACGGCGAGCTTGAAAGGTGCTGACTTTACTTTAGGTGAACGATCTTACTTTGCCCTGACCCTGGACAATGGACTTCACTGCGTCACGACTTCCTGGCTTGAATTGGGCAAATCTGCTCCCATTGGACAGGAGTTTGAACTCATCGTGCAAAACGACCTGGAGTTCCAATTGACCCTGCAAATGAAGGTTGATGAGAACAAGTTTCAGCCACAGGACACTGCTGCATCTCCGCGTCAGAAGACCTCTGCTCTCAGCCGTGTCTTTGCTTCCCCTCGGCGGCGCAAGGAGCTTGACCTGAAGCAGCAGATGCAATCACAGCAGCAGAAGGACGTTAACGCCCCTGTCTGGGACCGGCTCCGCAACTTGGTTGCCCGCGACGGCAGCTTTGCCCGCGCCTATGTGTCTCTGAGTGACCACGAAAAGCAGGCTTTCGGACGCCCCTACACCGTCGATGTGGCTTGCTTCAATGAGTGGGCAGTGGAAGACCAGCCCAGTAGTGTCAAGAGCAAGAAGAGTGCGACGAGCATCAATACGCAGCGTCGCCCTCCGTACAAGATTGGCAAACTGGAGCTCCAGTTGCTGTTCGTTCCCAAGCCTAAGGGTGGTAAGGATGAAGACATGCCTAAGAGCATGAACGCTTGCATCCGTGAGATGCGAGATGCTGAGAGCGTTGCATCTCGTACTTGGGAGGGATTCCTGTCTCAACAGGGTGGAGATTGCCCAGTAAGTACTTGTTCCTGATTTGTCCATAAACAAATTCTAACCAACTTTTAGTACTGGCGTCGTCGATTGTTCAAGTTGCAGGGCTCCAAGTTGACTGCTTATCACGAAACGACCCGCCAGCCCCGTGCTACTATCAACCTGGCCAAGGCATCCAAGCTCATTGACGACAAGTCGGCTCTCACTCAGAGGGAAACCAGTACCAGAGGTGGTGGTCGTCGCAAGTCCGCATTTGCTGAGGAAGAGGAGGGCTACATGTTTGTCGAGGAGGGTTTCCGAATTCGCTTTGGCAACGGTGAAGTGATCGACTTCTACGCAGACTGTGCCGCCGACAAGGAAGGCTGGCTGCGTGTCATGTCTGATGCTGTGGGCAAGGGATCTTCTTCCGGAAACGGGTCTATAAAGCCGTGGGCTGACCTTGTGCTGAAGCGTGAGCAAAGCATGAAGTCAAGGCGCCAGACTGCCGAGCGTCTTCCCGGCAGCAGTATCCCCGTTGCTCCCCCTCGCCTTCAAAAAGACACAGTGCGATGATGGCCGCGGCACCCCCGGCACCACCGGCTTCAGCGGGATCGGCGGCGCCGGCGCCTCCGTCACCCCGTCCTCGGCACAAGCACACTCTTTCTCAGCCCGAGGCTGGAAGTGCCGAAGCCCGCCGCCAAAAAACTCGCTCTCTCATGTTCTAAGTCTTGCTGTGCATACCCGTGGCATTGCACAAAAGCACACTCTTCACTTCTTCTGTTCATGATGCCCCTAGTTGTCACAATAACTACCTTTCTTTCCTTTGTTCCCTGAACTTCCCCCTTTTTCTTTCTTTTTTCTTCTTTTGCCGAGTCTCCAGGTGTTGGTGTATGATGTTGTCTGCTTCTTTTGTTTCTTTTTCTTTGTCAGATTCTCTTCGCCAGGACTTGAATGAGACGATGTGTGTTTGCAGCAGTGGAACGATTGGGCGTCTCATGAATCTCGTTCTCGGCTGTCCGTTAATGATACATACTCTTCTTGTTTCCTTCTTGTTTCCTTCTTGTTCGTCGATAGTTAGGTTGATGTCAATTTAATTCACTTGGGTTTTGCTATGGTCAAGGACTGAATATTGAAGAAAATTAAGAAAACTCGAGGCGCCACACATCCCCCAGCCGGTCGTTGGTCTCTCCCAGTCCACCCTGGACGACAAGCGAGGATTTCCCATCGACATCAGCATCGAACCAGCCACGCGCGGCAGGAAGTTCATTGCCCTGGGTTTCCACCTGGGTCCAAGTCTTGCTGTCGATTTCAAATGCCCACACATCACTCAACATCTTCCCAGCCCCCTGGTGCCCCAACGAACTGGGATCCCGTTCCCCAAAACAAGTAACCAAATAATCCCGGCCACCAACGACGATAGGCAACAACGCACTCACACTCCGCGGCGTTGGGCCCGCCTTCCCATCAGGGGCATACGAATGCGACACCCAAGCATTGGACTCGGGCGTATAGATATCAACACTACCCCCTGCTCCGTCTTCCCATCGAACCCATTCATGCGAAATAGCTTGCCGCCAGCAAACGCAATCGACGTACCCCCTCGCGGCGGGTCCGGCGCCGCCGCAAGCTCCGTCCACTGCCGCTGCGCGACATTGAAGGCCCACAGATCCGATAGCCGGCCCTTCTCGGGACAGCCGGCGTGCACGTAGATGGTGTCGGCCCCGTCACTGGTGGTGCAGTGGTAGCTACGTGCAGCGGGGCTTGCAGCCGTAGCATCTGCCGGTGCTAGGAGCGTCCAGCTTGCCGACTCCGGATCGTACTCCCAGACCGCGCCTTGCTCTTCAATAGGTGCCATGGCGACGCCGCCTCGTCCGGAGAAGAGGTACAGCTTGTTGTTCAAGGTGGCTGCTGCCGTGCCTACGCGTGCAGAGGGGGGCTGCGACGTTGAGGGCGCAGACGAGAGGGCGGGGTCTATTATAAGTGTTAGATTGTTTGGATCTGTATTTGCATCTCTATTATATATCAGATGTGTTACTTACTTTGACCCTCCCCCAACGAGAGGACATGCACGTCGTTGTCGCGCGGCTCACGGGGCCGCAGTTCTCCGCCGAAGATGTACGCCCGTTGGTTGACGACCGACACGACCTGCGAGGAGCGCTGCAGGATCTCGGCTTCGACGACCTTGTGCCATTTTGCCTGGATTGCGACCATGGTGATATTGTCAAATAATGTGCTGTTGAGCGAGTGAAAAAGGAGTTGTTTGGGGTTTCTGGGTATGACTGATTTCGGGGATTTTATGGGGTGTTGAGCCCGCGGATTGTTGAGGGATCAACTGGAGAAATACTACATTCGGGTGTTTAGGGACCTTGGGGGTTAACCTTATCTGCTTGTCAGTTAGTTCCAGTGTCTCGGATGTCCCATATGCCGTAGCTCCACACATCACCTGGCATTTTGGATTATGCTGCCATGTTAGGGTTACGGATGGTCGCTGGGCCTTTTCGCGTGCACGTATACTTGCTTGATCCACTTAGTTCTTAGTGGACCTTTCGTTTATTATTCAAATCTAGTCTAGATCTCAGAAATACTGCCTTGATGGGTAGTTGATTGTTGGCATTGGCCATGACCGGATTGTTTTCAAGCATATAATAACCACCTGGGGCGAAGATCAACTTCTACTTTTTGCCCAACGTGTTTGCTTCTCAAACTTATCCCTCTCTTCGTCCTTCATATGCTGGAGGCCCAGTTTCCTAAGATTCGCAAAGAATTCACAGGCCGCATCAAATGTCTCATGATGTGTCCAGCCATCTCTTTGCACAAGGTCTTCGATGCTATTAAAAAATTCCTGAACCTCATTCCATCTCTCAGTATCAACTGAATGTCTTTTCCATTCATCCCCCGTGAAGTGGAAGGGGCAGTCATCCTGGATACCTAGATCTTCCCAGTTCCTAACAAAATGCTTCGTTATTAGTGGTCCCTTGAGAAAAAATAAGTTAAGAGCCGCACCTTTCCACGTTGGTAAGCGCTTCCCGAAAGGAAACAATATCATCGTCCCACGTATTCGCCGCAAATTCGATTGGGAGCCGTCTTGTTTTCCCATGATCTAGGTGGAATGCTTTTGCAAGGATCGTATTGCGTTGCTTAGTTTCTAGCAGATAAAGCTGGAAAAGCGTCGATTTGAAAATCTTTTGCTTGATTTAAGCCTGGTACTTCGGATCAAGATTGTCGAAGTTGTCTGGACGTTGGAGCAAAATACTGCCTTGATAGTCCACAAGCGGGGATGGCTGTGCTTGGAGAAATAGCGGGCCAGCCCATACACTTTGCCAATCGATAACGGCCGTGACGTGGCTGTCATCCACGAACAAATTTGAGGAATGAAGATCCGTATGCCATAGCGTAGAACGAGTCAGGGGAGCGTCAATATCGACAAGAGAAGGGGCAATTCTCAGGTATCTTTCTAGCAGCTGCAAATGTGCCCGTGGGCTGCTCTGGGCTGAAGAAACGAGCATATCATCACTCTGTGGCTTTGGAATAGCATAGTTTTTAATCCACTCCATTTCACGCCAACCTACACAGAGCGCACAATCCTTGGGGCTTGACCCTAGAGACAATTAGAGCCTTTTTCCGTTGTGAGATGGCACATATCAACTTACGGGGACCCCGTGAAAGATTCATCATAGAGCGCTCCTTGTTCCAAAAATCTCTGCTAGTGGTAGGGCCCACCGTGAATGTTTTCGAGACTTGCTCTTTGAATTCTGCGGGAACCTCGGTGGTGATTTGTGCTGGGACTGCGCCTTCCACGGCATCACTCGCGAAATAAATGCCTCCATAGCTAATTGCATAGATGGTAAGCATTCATATACCACGGTAAATATCAAGATGTCCATACTGTGAAAATGAGATCGACAGCATCTTTGTCTCCATAGAAACCACTTCCTTCATGATGCTGAGTTTTGAGTCGGGGCTCATATCATTCCACACTTTTTCCAGCGGAGTCCCAGCCGCCTCTTCCATAATGATATACTCCGAGCCCACGGGGTTGGAAGCTGTAGCATTCCACTCCAATACCCGAGGAACACGAATTCGGAGGAAATTTCGAGCCTTTCATAACAATCAGCCATCTATTTTGTCCTTAAAAAAATCCGGTGTGCTTACGAATTCCATCGTTGCAACTTCGGACGCAGTCGTATAGAATGGAGGCCCAGCGTTTGGGTTCGGGATACGTGCTAAAACTACCTTGTCATCATTCAGAACAAGGCGAAAGACCTTGTTGTATCCTCCCTCGGCTAGCTTTGTTATTGAGACACAGTTGTTTGAGCCTATGGCCTTGGCTGCTAAATTTTGAAGTTCGACAAGGTTGAAGGCCCTGCACCGATCTCGGAGCTGTTGCTCTTCGTCCCAGAGCCACCTTCCACTGGTATAGCGGAAGAGGTTCTCAAATTCAGGATCGGAGTGTTTTTTTGTCTTGCAAAAGGATCTCATCGTGCAGACGGCCAAGCCTCTGGGGGCTGCGATAGGTCGTCAGGGATGGTCGGCATGATGATTGGAAAAGCTTTTGTGAGGTTTGTGCACATGCTCTACGAAGCTCTGACGGTCGAAAAATTGAAGAGAAGAGATTTAAACCACGTTTCATTGCTGGACTTTAGGTGTGAGTCGAGGATGAGTTAGGCAGGGGGCTGCGAGAAATCGCCCTTGAGCCTTGGCGCTGAGGGAGCCACGATCGCAACATAATATCGGGCAAGACAGCAAACAATATTAAATTAAGATCGTTGGCTATGATGTGGACTTGGTCAAATTTTAGGAGTTTTGATTGAGGTCCTTATAGCACTATTTTTCAAAATTACGAACAGTTCAAGATCTTACGGGGCGTAGAATGCGCTAAGGCTATACTTGGCAGGTATTTCCACGCTAGGAGCTTCTATATGAAGCTATAATATAATTAAAACAGCTCAAATTGGACGAGATCAATGCTTTGAGCTGATAACATGTTTTTTAGAGCACTTTCAACGACGATGTGGATAGCCAAGACAAATATCTTCCTGCTTCCTCCCTAGACGGTGCTAGAATAGATAGATACATAGAAGAGTAACAAAAGCCAGCCTATACAGCCACTAGGAGACTATTGGTGTTGACCACCTGGAGGACAGCCTCCATGCTTGTACTGGAGCTTCTTATGAGGCCAAACACTGTAACCAAGGCACTTATCGCCTGATTCCAACGTGCCAGCATCGCCATCACTGCATGACTGACGAGTTGTTTCGTCTGAGCTAAGCCAGCACCAGTCCTCTCCTTCATCCCATCCGGTTGTCATTGGTGTACCTGACTCAGAACCCACTTCAGCTGTGCACGCAGCCCAGCGAAATCTGTGACCATCTTTGTCGGGCTCGGCGCAACCAGGTGATTCCTCCATTCTCTTCTGGAGCCCGGTCGCGTTGAAATCTAGAAAGGAGATGAGTTAGGAGCCCTTGACTCATTTTATGGATCACATACTCGGAATACTATCAGCCATTGACATGGCCGTGACAGCAAGCAGGAGAACGCCCTGAGGGATCCTCATGTTGGGCAAGTAGAAACTGGAACAAACTAGACCCTGTATGAAAAGGAGATGGTAGAGCAAGAAAATTGCCGGGGGCGGAGGGGGGCTGGCCCTCCCAATTTATCCATAACGAAATGCAGACCCTTGTCTCGACCAACGTGTAAATATCTGTATATCAACATATATAATACCTTATTAGACAAGTATCGACACAGCCAAGAGGGCGGGGATTTTCGATCGTCGGTCTACTTCCCTCGCTACGGTCTGTGATTCGTCAATTTATATTCCTTTCAATACCAGTGGGCACGGCGCCCCCCGGACCCCCAGCCTTAACTGGCCGGTAAGACGCCGAAGAGATGCGGAGCGTAGCTTCAGTATAGGCGCAATTTCTATATATCGAGAGGCTCCTAGTTTGTTGCGTCGCGTAGCTTCGGCGTAAACGTAATTTTTAGACCCCGCCTACGGCTAGTATTTTAAACGTAAGGTTTAATATAATATAATAAAGATCTATTTTCTATCTTTCTATATATATATTTTTCTATATAATATAATATATATATATACACTAGGGGGCGGTAGCCCCTAGGACCCCCGTCTAAGTTTTAAATAGATGATTAGAAAAGGGGTAGTCACGATTCTTATCACATGATTCATCACGGGAACAATCTTCGAGATTTTGGCTATACCAAAAACTGGTTTGTATAGGGCATAGGGCTACAAAAGTCACTGATGATGATTCGATTTGGCCAATCAGAGTGCTATGATTCCACCAACCAGATCGCTAGAATTCGGCGCAAGTCACATGACATACATTGAGCCTACCCTGGGTTAAAGAGACAAAGGTCAGGTGACCCGGGATGGTTGTTTAGAATGCTCCGCTACGCTCCGCAATAAGCTATCGACGAGCCTTGCAGGATTTTCGTGGTTGATTTGATAAATATATATTCAATTATTAAGTTTAACTGAAGAATTATATATCTTCTGCGCTGTTATGGTATTATCTAAAATTATATTCTTCCCGAGTCTTAAAACCTATCTTTTCCATATAAAACACCCTAGAGTGCCGCGTTGGATCGCAAAACGCCACGGCAGTAGTGCGTTGCGATAGCCCACGATAGGGACTTTTGTATTCGCTTTGATTTGTATTTATATTCGGGCTATTATTGCGAAATGGCTACTGGCTTCTTTCTTCTTATTTCCTAGGTTGACCGCGCCGCAATAAGCGCGGTGCCAGTATTCTTCTAAGTATCATTATAATGCTTCCATATTCTTCGGCTTTTCAAACCATTTAAAGCTTCTTCAACTTTTTTTGGTACCTATTCGAGTACTTAAAGTATAGGGCCTGTCGGTCCGCCGAGGGAGATAATCAAAGACTACCGAGTTTAAATCAAATAACAGAAAGTACCCCGGATCAGCGGTATATATATGGAAAAGGTAGACTTCAAGTTGAACTGGAGTTATAACCAAGGAGGGACACATTCTGGAAGAATTTTTAGCATTACCAAGCTGGCTTGGTCATTTTAGGGCTACGGTTGCGTCATCTCCGTCTTGTCGAATGACGAGCAGGAAAACAGCAGCAAAAGCGATCATTAATAATGCGATTCTATCACATGGCCTGGCTGTCATTACAGGAGCTTTAAATGCGCCTTGATGAATGGTTACTATTTGCATTTATCAGCATTTCTCCATGTCATACGAGGATTGCGTGCTGCTCTGACAAATAGACCCCGCAAGATGAGCTCGACTATATAACCACCACAGTATGTCTGGCATCGAATCTTCAGCAAGCTATTAAATCGTTTTATTTGATACGCATTACAGATTTTCACTATGGCCTCCGCAGCTGTCCAACTTCCCGGCACTCATGATGCGCTCCAAACTAAGAACCTCTCCGTCCCTGTCTCGGACAAGCGTCGTCACGTCCAGACTACGTTGAACTTTTTCAAAGAGAATGAAGATGGCTCGCCTCCAGAGCCGAGTATCGTCGGCAAGCCTGAAACCTACGATCGTCCTGTCATCTCACTGCCCGTCACCATCCACGATGTCAGCGGTCATGAGCTCGACTATGCCTTGGACAACCAGGGGTTTCAGTTCTATTACCACGAAAGCAGCGAGAAGGATTTCCATGATGAAGAAAGAATAAAGAAGGAGTATTATCCTGAAACAGAGCAGTTGCTGAAAGATGCGTATGTTTGTGATATTTATTGTCACCTAAACTACCTATTCCCTTCCATTCGTTATGTCCAACTCATAGATCTCAGTCTGAGCTAACAGAAACAGCACGGGAGCCTCCCGCGTCTTCATCTTCGACCACACCATCCGCCGAGCCCCATCAGACGGAACAACGGCATCGCAGCTGCGCGGCCCAGTCCAACGCGTGCACATCGACCAATCCTACATCGCATCAACAAACCGAGTCTCTTACCACCTCCCCGACGAAGCACCCGAGCTTCTCAAGGGGCGCTACCAAATCATCAACGTGTGGCGTCCGATCCGCACGATCCTGAAAGACCCGCTCGCTGTGGCCGATGCCCACTCGGTCCCCGACAGCGATCTCGTCCCGGTGAAGCTGATCTACCCCAACCGCGAGGGAGAGACTTATGCAGTGAAGCCGGATCCCAATATCAAGTGGTACTACCGCTACGGGCAAACCCCGGAGCTGGTGACTCTCATCAAATGCTTTGATTCCAAGACGGATGGGAGGGCTCGGCGCGTGCCGCACTCGGCGTTTGTAAATCCGGAGACAGAGCAGGAGCTTGGACGGGAGAGTATTGAGGTTCGAGCGTTGGTTTTTCATCCAGATGACCGGGATAAGATGTTGTATGAGCTGGCGACGTGGATTTTATGAGTATGGTTACTTTGCCGTGACACAAATTGCATAACACATGAATCATGTCTATGAGACTGACTCAGGGTGAATCCTTGTTATTATTATGTTGAATCGATTCCACTGCTCCTACTGAACCCAAGGTTGCGTATGTGTCGAGCTCGGTATCTGGCTGTCCAGGATAGTTCATCCTCTATATCTTCCAATAACCAATCCCCGTTCTCGTCATTCTCGGCGAGATGATCGAGATCGTGTAACCCAAACCCCGATAGAAATGCGGGCTGAACGGGGTTTCTGTCGGAGTATTCAACTGAGAGGAAATCAAATCAGAATACTTCTCACAAGCCTAGCGCAGAAGGAATAGGAATGTCGTCAGAGTGGATTTGCTTGACATCCAGCCAAAGCATGTCTACTCGAACTATGCTCGACGTCTTTCGCTCGCCGAAAACACTGGCGTGAACATTTTTTATATCTCAAAATGGTATGGTTATATTTTGCATTGTGCTTTCAGACCAATTTTGATTCATTGGATCTTATTTCCCTCAAAGACAGCAAGAAGCCAGCTAGTACCACAACCCATCATTCGGCTCCAGCCTCTGCTTCTCGCAATGCTTATATACGAGCATAACTTAACACAACCATAGTATTCTTCAAGCTGCCATCATCATGAAAGAACTCCAGACTGCCAGAGACCGTAAAAACCACCTCGGCGCCTTTACTCATATGCAGCGTATGAATCGTGCCAGGGTTTTTCACCACATAGTCCCCTGGTCTGGCAACCCAGTCATATCTAGTAATTGTCAGCACTGCATACATACCCGATGCAACGAGACAAATGAAACAGGAATCATACTCCTTGTAGCACCACTCTCCCTTGAGGGTAACGGCCGTCACATTTCCCCGATGGCGATGCTTGCCCAACCACGTATCTTCCAAGCTCCGTAGCACCACCACAAATGTGTCAGTGCGTGTTTCAAAACGTAGGGGCTTGACCTCGACATTGTTGTCCACGGGTGCCAGCAGGTGTCTGTTTCACCGTTGATGTAGACGTCCGGGGAGCTGTATTTGCCAGCGAGGGCGAGCTCGGACCTTTCGAGCTCGGACAGTTTGGACAGTTTTGGGGGAGAAGAAACAGTTCGTAAACGACGAAGGAGATAGATTTTATCTATTAACAATCCCTGCCAAATCGGAGGATTTAAATCTAGCTAGATCATACGATCCGGCAAGCATATTTCGGTGTGATCGCCCTATCGAGTGAATTTTTACTCTTTGGACAATGTATTTACTCTAAACATCCAATCAATCCGCTTTTCTTTGGGCCAATATCTCATACATTCAGCGGTTTGTTGATTTCAAAGCAAACTGAGGGGTTATCCAACCTGGTTTACCACTTGGACGCAGGACAACCGTGTTGATCTTCCATCCTGGGGAAACCAGGCGAGGTCACCAGGCAGTAGCTATAGTTTAACGCTTTGTAATTGCTGGAGCCTCGTAGGCAGAAAGTCTTGTCAGAATGATACTTCCTTTTCCCTCTCATATGAGATTCATCAAGAGAAATCTTGCACCCCTCACGGAGATGCCGTCGACAACTGCCAACATCAAGTTGTGTAACTGCCCCATCACCAACATAGAGACACTGATCCGAGGAAAAGAAAGACCAAATATAAGACCTGCCAATAAAATAATAATTTCTTCCATCAAGCAGTGGTTTATCTTGCCCCTTAAGAGGCTGGGGCCAACGCCTGAAGTGCCACGATGATTTGATCCTTGTATGTAACGGGCCTACTGTTCGAATCCACGTAAGCCTTTAACCCAACAGCCTGTCCAGCACTCAACCCAAACGGAATAGTCTCAGTAGGCTGTCCATCGCAGGTCCCCCACAGTGGACTTTCGCCATTCGCAGAGCAAAACTGGAACCCATGCAGCCCATTGTCGACCCAGAGCCGTATGCAGTCCAGCGGCACTCCGCCGACTGTCCACTCCTCAGAATGGTAGTGGAATTCATGAGTGATATCTGACTTGGAAGCCATATGACACCAGCACCACGGCCTGCCGTCTTTACCCTCGGAGTCTGTCGGTGTCGCGACGCGGGTTGGACCGACGGACCCGACAGACCCATCGCTGTATTCCAAAATAATGCTGGTAGGAGAGAACGGAAGAAAAGCGGTTGGGTGCGCAAAGACCAGCCTGAGCTTTTCCACGGATTGAGTGCAATCAAGCCAAGTCAAAGTCGTGTGTTTGGATGGCCAGTCCAGGGATCCAGCAATACGGGAACCAAACACCTCACGCGGGCAATAGATGGGACCTGTTTCGGTCCACGAGGATGGAGGGGGTTCCGGCTCCCATAAGTACCCATTTTTATCTTTGCGACAACTGTGTTGTTGCAGCTCAGCAGGCCCAGTTTCAGAGGACGTAGTTGGAACTGATATAAAAAGCGGTGCCACAGTGACGAGTTGACTCTGTGGCGAAGCACTACTCCAAAAGCAACTTAACCCACATATGGCCTTCCCTATCTCGGACGCACGCCAATTCATGCTCGCCGGACCTGCTGCGTGGGATCCGACCACTAGCTGGCGGTTGCGATTGGTTCCTATCCAGATTGTCGTGGCTAGAGTTTTTGTAGTGGCGCCGATGGCAACAATGCGCTCGCCTCCCGAGCCATCAATTTTCAGTGATTTCATGGTCAAAGTCCGCGGCCCAATCGACTGAACGGTTTGATCGGAGTACCGGACCTCAAATGCCCCGAATTGAACGTCGCATGAGATTTCGGTGATGGTTGATAGCTCTTCCTGATTGTGGCCGAAGATGAGCGTTTCCATTGGGCGCATCTCTTCTTTATTTCCCGGGTCCCGGTTGCTGGTGTGCTCTGTTTCTAGAGTCATCTCTGATGGGGGAAGGCCGTCCCTCCAACACAGTGAGTCGATGTCAGAGCCGGCGTAGGGTTGGTGCATTTGGAGTTGGATTAGCTGCTCTGCTTGTGCTGAACGACCTAGCACAGGGCATTGAAGCAGTGAAATGCCATTTATATTACCGGCTGGGGACCACTGGGCAATTAGTCCGACCAGAAGGTCATTTTTGACGTGGACCAATCTCGCGTCACCATTACCATCACCAAGCTGAATGGATTCGCCTCGTGCAAACAAGAGCTGCAGTCCAACTATCTTCCTCTGGTGCTGGGGGTTCTTGTCGGAGGTCATCACCAAGTGCGTGGTCACAATGAGCCCTCTCAGCCAGTCACCGTGTTTTATCGCAACTTCATTGCACACAGTCAGGTTATCATTTTTCCCGACGACGTTCTTGGGATTAACCGAGGAATCGCTATCATGACGAACACGGAGTCCTGACAAGAAACCTTCACTTGACCAGTACACACAGATTGTAGGGCGTGGATGGTCCATTTCTGGAAAATCACCGATCAAAAGTAAAGACGCCGTTTCATCATCGGCTTGTTCGGGCTCAGCCAGTCGTGCCATTCGCGTGGAAATAGCTTCCGCGAGGATTGGACATTGTCGACCATTGCGGTCGTCTGCGGCTTTTTGGTAATCCGAGAATTGGGCAGCAATTTGATCGCAGATTCCCCAGACTCTTCGGCGGTTGACAAGGCCTTCAACCTTAATTTGGTTGTCGGATTGACTTCTCGAGAGAAGATCTTGGTATACTTGAGCCCAGTCCAGATTCTGAGAGGCAACTGCGTTGTGCTTGGGCAGATCATACAACCAAGCCATGTCGTGCCTTATCTTTCCGTACCAGAAACCATTGTCAAGCTTGAGTCTAGCTATGGCGCAACTAGCAGCTCGGGCAGAGTTGAGGGATGGAATTGGTAGATTATCCAGTACCATGAGCAGAAGTTCCGGGGCCAGTTTAGCAAATGGGTCTCTGTCCGGGGTTGTTTCCTTTAGGTGCCATCTGTTCTGTCTTTCCTCTTCTTTCGATGTTGTCAATAATGGCAGGTCTTTGTAGTATGTTTCGAGCTCGGGAATAGCAATTGGGTGAGCCCCAAAGACTTCGTCGCCAGCCTGCGGCCCCCAATACTGATCCTGCAGCTTGGAAATCTCCCCGTAATCGACTCGATTCAGGCAATTGGCACATTCGTCATTTTCGTCTGCGAATGATTTTAAAGTCTGATATAGGACATCGGTATTGACCCTGTCTCTTTTCCTCAACCAGTGCGAGATGTCCTCCTGCAGCAACTGGTGGCATGCCGTGTGGAACGGGACCACAAGACCTATGGATTCCTCCCAGTCGAATCTATGGTACCGTCACAGTTAGTAATCGAATGCCAGCGTTGATTTTCTTTTTGAAAAAGCACTCACTCACCCCCGAATCATGGCAAGCCCATCCCTATTGTAATCGATTTGATTCACGGTCGGGAAATTGGGGTCATCTCCAGGTTCGACGTCAAAGAACCCCGAGTCGTCATAGAGCGCGCGACCCGAGATAAACGCTCTGGTCGAAACACTGAGCACGGCGCCATCGTCGTGTTTATTTTTCCATGGGCTTACTTGTTTATGGATGTCTTCTCTGGATTCTGGCCGATGAGCCGGATATCTTCCATCCAGGCTGTCGTTTCTCCTGGTAACACCTCGGGATCCCACCCGTGGCTGCTTAGGCCGGCGCCGCAAACCACGCAGTAGAGGTCGAAGCCGCCCATTTCTGCGAAGATGTGACTGATAATATTGCAGAGACACACGCAAGGACTGAATTGCGGAATGGAAAAGGGGTGGGGGCCAAGAAATGGCTGTTTATGAGGTCATCGCACTGGTTGCCTATCTAGGCAATATTGGTCTGGTGCCCGATAAGCCAGGCAGAGAGGTTCAGGTGTGGATAATAACATTTGAGATATTCGATAGAGATATGTTTCCTATCTGTTTGAGTATTCGTATTCTATTCATATCAGTATTCAAATGTCTCCCAAGAGCCTCTTTCTTAGAGCCAAGTGATCTAAGCGTTTCTACTGTTCTCTTCTCTGTGAAGCTGAGTATCTAGAGCGACATTTCATTCATTAATCATCTATGCCAGGAATCATCTAATGAACAATACCCTTCCTGTAACTGCTCATATATCTTGATAGGCCCTCTTTCTTCTAGGTCTCCACTTTTCTCTCCCTAAGACCGTCTCCTGCGACATACGGAATCAGGTTAAGTATCATTGCGAAGATTGCATAGCTGTCTGCATTAAGCAGAACATCTTTCGCATGAAACATCCGCAATGCTATGCATCCTTGTGATCCAAGAGCAGGGTAACTTTTCCCCTTGTACGTAAAATCCTTATCATCAACTGGAAGATGGTCAGATCGATTGTATATAGATTAGGAACAAGATCAACAAAAAAATATAAGGAAGTACCGTCAGGGCTAGTGAGATGCATGATCTCATGGAGCGCAATGGCTGATCTTGCAAGCACTTTGTCAACCCGGGTCCCATCCGGCAAGTCCTTGATAGTCGCCTTGGCTGTAGCCAATGTGATTTCATTCCAAAAACGGTCGCATATAGTGAGGTCGTACGCTTCAGTAGCAAAAGCTGCAAGTTTGGTATTCCAATCACAGATATCTTGGCCAGGCTTTGGGATCCCAAATTTCTCGATATCCCCAGGATGTAGCGGGGATTTTATTCTTGTCCGGCTGTTCCTCCAATATCCGGGGTCGCATGCTGCATTTAAAAGAAAAGAAAATAATGATCAGTAAAGGCAGGAGCATAAAATATTTTTATAAAACTCACAACTAGCCCCCTTAGGGGGTTTCTTGGTGGGATCCATTTCTACCCATTTCCATTCTGCACCACCACACTCTACCTCGATATTGTTCGCCATCAAACGCGATAATCCGTGCCGGTAAAATTCTTATGTCGAATGTATTAGATATAGTTAGAAGACATAGTTTCTGCCAGATTGACTAACTTTGCACTTTGTCAAGTATGACTCTCCCAGTGGGATATGTGATTGTTTCTTCCTTGTCTTGGTTCTTTTTATCCTCCTTGGAGGGCGCGGACTTCTTATATTGTTGATTCCATATCTTATATGCGGCTTCGGCGGTGATTTTATTCGCAGGCGTAGTGCTAACAGTATCCTTGTTGATATCCTTGGCACGGTCGAGTGTTTTATCAAACAGTGTTTTGACTTCCCGAGCAAGGCCCTTTATGTCCTTGCCATTGCAGCTAGCCACATCAGACACTTCCCGGAATCCAGGAGAGGGGGCATCTCTCAGTCGATAATCATTGAATTTTGAAGCCGAGCAAGACAAGGTCAGTAGGCATAGAGCCACAAGGAGGCGAACAAGCATTATGGTCGCTTAGGATGGAGGAGGAGTTTGGCCGACGTGTCGATCTAGACATTAGTATTGCGTGGATAGTAAGGGTAGTAAAGAATATAAACATTTCAAATGGGAAGAATAGGGGGCTTGTTCTTCTCACACTCCTAGTATGCTAGTCATACATAATCTGCCAATAGGGGAGCTACTAGAAGACGTCTACTAGAATAGACAGCCCCCCGTGGGTCTGAAACCTTGATGTTTCCCGTCTAAGCACAGGTACCTAAAATTATCATGGCGTTCTCTTGACGCAGCCTGTGAACTTAGGCACCGGCTAGGTAATACTATATAATAAAGATTTGAAACTAATCAAAAAGAGGCCACTCAAGTGCTCAGGTTAGAATAATGCCCTATTACAAGTAGAGAATTCCATATAGCCAGTTACTTCATATAGTATTTGTGCTTTGGGCTCGCCCAACAGGGGTCCACTGTGGTGGGGGGTCTGGGTCCGAATAGGATGTAATCTGCAGATTGGAAGAGTCGACGCTTATGATTAGGGGGCCGGGGCGGGACGCTTACACTCCGTCTGTTGTCTATCTAGGTAATGTTGGTGTTGATCTGATGCCCGATAAGCCAGGCATGGGTTCAGTCGTGAATAAACCGATTTAAAGACTTTGGATAGAAATATGTTTATTCCAAGTTGTTCTATTTGAGTATTTGATAGTTTACAGTGCATAAATATAAACGCCACTTCTGCTCGCTACCATAAAAGACCAGCCTATACCGGACTTACAAGACCACACAAGCCTCATTCGCCGCAAAAAGCCTGCTGTGTTCAAAATCGCTCACACTAGCTCTCTCCGCGACTCTCTGACGCAGATTGGCAAACGTAGTCCTCAGCCAAACAGCCCGATCAAACCACTGCACCTCGGGAAAATCAGTCTGGTACTCGAGCAGAATACCCTCGATGCGGGCCAACTGCCGCGGGTCCAGCACGGCCGCCCACGCAGCCACCAGACACAGCGACGCATAGCCAGCACCGAGCGGGCGATGGCACGAGGCCAGTTCGGCGGTAGTGGCAATCTCCTCACAGAAGAAGGCGGCCTCGCCCGCCAGCGCGCTGTTGCTGGGATCGAAGGCGCCCAGGATCGAGTTCAGAGTGACGGCCAGTGCAACTAGGATGCAGTATGCTGCGCGGTAGCGGGCGTATTCCATTGAAGAGGATGGAGCTACTCGAGACCATTGGGCTAGCTGGTGACGCATTCTGTAGGACTGGTCGCGCATACGCTGGTAGGTTGCTGTGATCTCGTGGAGATGCGGGTCTGGGAACCGCAGGAAATCTGGGATTTTTGCTAGTCGGCGTAGCCCAATTGTTGACTGTCCGGTACTGGACTCGCGAGCCATAGAGCTGCGCCGTGTAAAAGCCATTGCATTGTCCCAAAATGTCGGATCGAATCTGAGACTGGGGTTGGCGATACTTTCTAGAATCTATACATAGTCGTTTATCAGGTCTCGTCCTTGCACCCGAGACATGGGACTTGAATACGTACCACGGGTAAACATAATGTTAACACCATATCTGCCTCGAAGGTGCTTGTCCACTCCCGCAAGACGGCAGCCCTGAGCAGATGCGCAATGGCTTGTCCGTGACTCGGGCAGTTGCCATCGGCCTTTCCAAGCCAGCCCTACAAATGAAATTAGCCTTTATTCCACAACATATACACAATCAATGCAACTTCAACCCAAAGAAGAGAATCACTAACCTGGCATATAATAATCAAGTAAATTGCACACAGAGTATTAGGCGTTGGCGCTTCAACCGGATCATCCAAACAAGTCCTCAGCGTTCGCAGAGCCCGTCCATAGCGCACAAGCACATGAGGGGGATATTGCCTGGCATGCAAAAACGGAAACGCACTACCCATAACATTGGCAGCGGCATCTAAAACAGCATTGCTCCCTAGACGCCGTGGAATATCATAGAGAAAGGTCCCGTAAGTGCTGAGGTTGTAGCGAAGATCCGTTACTTGTAATGCCGACACAAAGGCCTGCGCTACCATCGTAGACTCATTACTTGGTGATCGCGCTGGAGACCCGGCCGGGAACATGTGGCCGGGAGCCGGATATTGGTCGTGTTGCGACGCTGGGCTCAAGGGTTGTTCCTTGAATTTGTAGCGTTGCTGACCGGAACCTACGCATTTCAGGTGGAGGCGGGTGCAGCGGGTGCAGACTGGCTGTTTTAAATCACACTTCACTTATAGGTTAGCAACAATTAACCACTCGTAGATGGAGTTGACGGCTAGAAATCATACCTTTTTCTTTTGCTGGCGACAAGAGTCGCAGCCTCGACTGGATGGAACTCCTGGCATTTTGCAACAGCTGCAGTGAAAAACAGAAGGCAAGATCTATGGTTCTATAAACCGTTTCTCGAGAAGATAATGAATGAAGTATAACGACTTGACTGCATGAAGTGATGGGGTTTTTAAAAGCTTTAAGAACCGTAAGACCTCCAAGAGCCTTAAGAGGCAACAGCCCAGAATATCCATTCCCAGCTAAGGCCTCGAAGGCGGATCGAGAAAATCAGGCTGGTCACAGTGGATCGAAAGATGAAGGGCACCAACTTGCCCGATCAGGAATAGCGCACTCGATCAGAGATGTCTCTGATGTCAAGAACAAAAATAAACAAGCAGGAAGACAATCCCGAGGACCCGAAGTTCTATTTTTTGACAGGGATCAGGGATGTCCCCTGCCATGGGTTGCATTAGTATAAGGCTCTTTTCGTTTAAACCATCTATTTTGGGGATAATTGGCCAAACAATGCTGAGACAGACGTATGAGTGTATGCTACCTACTATCAACCATTGAGTAGGAGTGATGTTGAGTTCGCCTGATTTCTGGTGAGAAGTTCATGAATGCCAATTTGATTGCACAGTGCTCTAAGACAGCGTGTTGAGTGCTATTTTTGTGTCTCTCGTGTATTTTTGTTCTGGAAAGACTCAACGTCGTGATTAGGCCAACCAGCGGGATCGGGGTCGATCAATGTGTCCAAATTTATCACAATAAGGCCCCTCCATTTTAGCGGCCATTTAACCATGGTTGGTAATTGTGTGAAAGAAATTGGTTTTAAAATGGTTCAGTCAAAGTGAAGAGTTAAAAAAAAGAGAGGCTGGACATTCTTTGCTCTACATTCGAACATTATTTAGTCCATGATGATAATGAGCCTCCTCCAAAACATTATTTACCTGATCTAGTTCTAGGTCTAACCCAATTTCATACATTTTTTTTATGACTATGAGTGACTCGTAGTGTAGGCATAAAAAATTCGAACATGATCCGATCTTGAATCTATGTCTGGTCGAGGCGACCTAAGTATACAACGCCTCGGAATGAAAGCCCCAGAAGCGGAAGCGACACAATAGGAAAATCGTTAGAAGCCCAATCCCCACTGCTGTCAAGAACATGTCATAGACCCATCTTCAAGAGTGGAACAGGCGATTCCACAGATTCCCACTGTGGTGGTGGACCTTTTGTTATCGAGTTGACAACGATAGTTTCTTTCCCACATCTAAATTAAGCTCACTCGCATGATTGTCTATTATTAAGGGAAGTAGAAATATTTACGAGTCTGCTTGCTCTGCCTGAATTGAAAGCAAATAGAAAATTGCAAGAAGCAGCAATACAATATCCAGCTATTTGAAGGAAAGAATTTCGGCCAGCCGCTGTCAACTGGCCAGCCTTTGCCTTGGCAATAAGAGCTGACACTAAGAGCGAAACCTGCCTAGGTGCAGTTCATGGGTATTTGAAATCAATAACTTCTCTAATTATTAAAACCCAATATCAAATCAGGTTTCTCGAAATCTTACGTAGGTAGAGGCAAATTGACAGATTTCTACAAGGCCACCTGGCCTAAACTCGAGTCAAGGAATCAACGACTAAGTACTTTTAGATGAACTTCTATATAAAACAAAAACAAGAAAATAATAAAGATAGAATGGAATCATTCAAAGTGATTCAAGACAAACGACCAACCAATGCAAACCAAAAAGAGACGAGGGAACACCGGACCATGATGCGCGAATGCCGACAGAATGCAGGACAATAAACAAGTCTAAAAGGAAAAAGGGGTATGTGCAGTGAGTGCAGTGCCAAAAACTGCCAATAGCCAAAAGCCGAGAAAAATAATAGGGAAAACAGACAGAGAAAGACAACAAGGCGCTGGGGAAATTAAGGAATGAATGATCCACCAGGTGAGTCCTTGTGGGCGGGAAGGGTGCAACATGTCAAAATAAAACAATTCAAACAATGGAGAACGAAAGATGGACGAAATACCATAAAATCCCTATATACAAAAGAACCCCAGTCTTGTTCTTTAGACTGGGCATTCTTTGCTTTCTTGCGGTCGGTCCTTGGTTCGGTAGAACCACATAGGAGCCAGACCGAACGCCAGGGCCAGGAGTGCCAATAGCGTGTTGCCCCATCCGAGGCCCAGCTTGGCGTACATGTCAGGACCAGACAGAGGGACGAGGCCACCAGCCAGACTGCGGACGACGTTGTTGGCAGCGAGGGCACTGGCCGAAAACGAGGTGAAAGCGGCAACGAGGTAAGTTTGGACACTGGTCATGGAGCCCGAGAAGCCGACACCAATAAAGAAAGTGCCAATAAGAGGCACGAACCAGTGGACGTGGTACTGCGCGGTCCAGCCATAGATAATCAGACCGACGGGGAGAGACAGCGCCGCAGGGATCAGCATCAGGAGACGGTACTCTGCGCGCTCGACGCCGTTCTTCGCCGTCAGCTGGACGTGGAGTTTGTCGCTCCAGGCGCCGAGGAATAGCTGTGTTGCGCAGCCCAGACCCATGCCCAGGTACGTGAGGCCCGCAATGCCCTGACTGAAGCCGTAGGTATGTTGGAAGACTTCGGTGTACGAGGTGAACAGCAGGTAGATGATACCGTAGATCAGACCCATGTACAGGGCCATGGCGATGCTGACGGGACTGGTGCAGAGGAGTTCTATGGGGCGCATGATGGCGCGGCCGAGGAGTTTCTGGAAGGGCAGGGGGGATTTGCCGGCGGGTTGGAGCATGGGGTTGCCCGTCAGTTTGCGCATCTCGGCAGTTTTGCGCTCGAGGAGGACGGGGCCGAAGGTTTCACGCAGGAAGATGAAGCAGACGATGGTGGTAAGGCCGCTCTATAGAAACAAACAGTTAGATCGAATCACTCTTCTGCAGATCCAGACATATGGTACTTACCAAAATCGTCAGCAGCCAGAAGATCCATCGCCAGTCTGCGGCTTCACCCAGGAATCCTCCAGCAACAGGGCCCAGTACGGGAGCTAGCAGCATGCTGAGACTAAACACACTCATGATGCTATATTCGGAATTAGCACGGAGGCTGGTGAGACATGGGCTCGTGTCAAGTACTCACAATCCTCGTTCGTTGGATGGCACCAGATCAGCGATGGTACCACCGCCGTTCGTCAACGGGGCACCACCCATAATACCAGCGAGCAAGCGGAAGATCAAGAGAGAGGTAGCGTTGGGGGAGAGACCACAGCAAGCGGTGCAGATGGTGAAGAGGACGTTTCCTCCATGGTAGATGTTGTTGCGGCCATAGATCTCAGAAAGAGGAGCTAATAACAGAGGACCAATACCAAAGCCAATGATCTAGAAAACTCGGTGGTTAGAATCATACTTTCGGATATGGAAGCATGCAATTGAAGTAAGCTTACATAGATAGAAACAGTGAAGTTGATCAGCATCGGTGATGTGCCTGCAAACTCCTTTTCAATCTGGAGCATGGTCGGGGCCATCATCGATGAGGCAAGTGGCCTGGAAAAGAGCCATGTCAGTTTTATTTCCCGATCATGCATGGGGCATGAGTGCAGTAAGCAGGACGTACGTGGTAAAGCGCATCAGACACACAGCACCGAGGATCTGGTTCTTCTTGCTTCGGGGCCAGTTTATCGGCTTCTCTGGATCATCAGGGCCCTTCCAGTCCACCTCGCCAAATGTGCTGCTGCTGGCAGTGGACGGGGGCTCTGCAGAGCTTGAAGAGCCCGGAACCAATTCTCGGACAGTGGTTTGATGTTTGTGGTCCTCGACCATCTTGGGTAATTGTGACATATTCTCTCTTTTTTTCTTTTCTTGTGGAAACGAATGTATACAGTGGAGATGTTCTAACGAGAAGAAAGTGGCGACAGCCTAAGAGACGGGGAATAAAAAAAAAAAGAAAGTATGAAAAAAAGAGAGAGGATGTCAAGAGAGTGTATGAGAGAGTGTGGTATAGTTTCAAGCACAGACTTTCGGGGGAGCGCATTGCTATATACAAGCAGGCGAAACCCCCAGGCCTCTCTCACTATGAGATCGAAGTTCCTTACAGGGCATTCCACGCTACGATCCCTTGCCAGAGACGTACGTCAACTCAGCACGTAACTACATTCGCTCTGGCAGTTACAGAATGGGTCTGTCCCTGTCGATCGAAACATAACCCACTTTCACCCTTGTTGTCCCCACCTCCTGAAGGGCTTGCCTCACACACATCTCTCTCACATGAGTAAGTCTCGGGATGAAGACATTGTATAACCCAGGTCAGCCTCTGATCTACCGTGATCGACACACCAGTCAGCTTGGCATTCTCCGCCCAGCTGGGACGAACTATTGTGACCAGACCCACTGTATCCGCGTCAACGGCCCGCGGTGGTTCAGCGTTGTGATTTGAGGATTGGAAATGGATCTGATCTTTCATATGCGCCCGCATCATTTGGTTCTCCTCTTGCACAACGTGATGCCTCCCCCGATGGTCCTGACGCAATAGCCTTGGCAGTTTTATATTTAATTCCTTTTTCTTTTGATTTTTCTGGTTTTTCTCTTGGCATGATCCACCCCAAGGAGAAACAGGATGAAACTATCGACCTTGAAGCCTTGATCCACTAGGCGCTGTACTAACGGCCCGCCGGCCGCAGACGGAGATCAATCCTTGATCGACGGAGCCAAGTCCCGTGCTGCAGAACATATGCAGTGTTGGCACAAGGGGGGTTGTGCTTCATCCCGAGTTCCGGATCCCTGAATATGATCCTTGACATGGGAGAAGAAGAAGAAGAAGCTCTCTTCCCGATGGGTGTGGCAGGGATAGCCAAGACTGACGTACATCATCAAGCACGCAATGATGGCATGTCCATAGCCGCCCCAACATAATAGCCCTAGGAATATTAAATCAGTCAACAATAAAATAAAATAAAATAAAATATGTAGAATAAAAATAAAATAGATTCGTTAACAATGCCGCGTCAGATGTGCCACATCTCTCTCCTGTCACCAGTCTCATCCAGACCTTCCAACCCCAACTGGTCCTTTCTGCCCCCCCCCCCATTTTTTGTGTTTCTCACATCAAAGACGTCATTTAGGAATGGGAGGGCGTGGAAAAAAGGTTGTGAGGTTCATGCCGAGACACTAGTGGCGTATTAAGAGTTTGTGGATTTTTGCTTGGTTTGTTTTTGTTTTCTTTCTTTTTGTTTTCCCCTTTTTGGTGCGGACATCTTGCCTCGAAGAGATTGTAGAACAGTCATCTACAGTCAGAGAAACCCGCCACAAATTCTAGGTCTTCTAGCGCCGGTCCAAGGATCTGTTAGTTGGGTGGAGCCCGCCTCCTTCTCCTGCCAACCGACACAAACCCTCCCCTGAACCCCCGTGGGTGGGGACCTTCAACCCTGAAAATCAGAAGGGCCCCTGCAGGGCCTCGAATCCCAGTCTGTGGCGACCGGGGAGGGTGGTGGATCAGTGGATCAGTGGAGACTTGCCGTTGGATGCCGAATAATTTGCCCGAGTCAAAGAGTACAGCGCACATGCAACGAAAATCATTGGCAATAGAAATCATAAGTACATTTCTATGTATGAATGGGACAAATTTAGTGTTGCAGGATATTATCTGATGATACAGTAGATACAGTAGATGTCAATATATTCTACTTGTGTTTCATGGTAGGAATGATATGTCAAGTATATCGATGTGGATAGTCATGAATTCACAGTTCAAGTCCAGTCTGTCTAGTCCAACGCCAAGTATATACAGATCCAAAACTCCTGAGCCAGGAATTTTTTGTGCCAAGTACCAAGTAGGAAAAAAAAAATCGTGCCATATCCAGATCCCAGTAAAATCCCCAACGCCTGAAAATGAGTCTCGAAATGCTAAGCCCGGTTCCATGTCTCCGACGGCGGGGCCCGTGATTATGTGACGAATGTCAAAAAAGATGCAAAAAGAAGGCAAAAGAAAAGAAGCAGACCCAACGGTTTAGTTGGAGCGCTTGGTCAGAATGGGCTTGGTGTAGGCCAGGCCGAAACCCTCCTTCTCGGCATTCCGGCCCGTGCCCACACCCGGACGAGCATGGATGGTGGCAAAGTCATAGCCGAGACGCTTGGCATCGATCAAGCGAGCGCGGATCAACGCCTGCTGTACACCGCGGCCACGGAAGCTCGGGGTGGTGCTGTCGATGTAGAGGTGGGCAACGCGGCCGTACTTGGTTTCCATCAGAGCCATGGCGCCACAGCCGGCAATTTGACCGTCGATCTTGCCGAAGTAGAGATTTGTGTCGGTGCGCATGGCGGCGGATTCGGCCAGGCTGCGCAACACCTCAACGGAGCGGCCGTCGTCCTTGAAACCCGCGACGGACGAGTGGATAAAGGCGCCGGCACCGGCGTCGTTGGCGGGGGCGCGGCAGACCATCATGTTGGAGGAGAAGGCCAGTTCAGAGGGCTCGGTGGAGTCCATGTCCAGGTCGAACTCGACGTGCAGGTCGTGCAGGGAGCGCGCGTAGATGTTGAGGAATCCATCTACGACGTAGCTGCGCATAGCTAGTGCCTGCAGCACGCTCTGGTCGGCGTAGGGGCAGAGGAGAATGGTGTGGGGTCAGATTGGCCGAGTCATGCAGGGTTTCGATGTCACAGAGGTCTTGCTCGGTAACTCGGCCCTTCATGCCCAGGCCCAGGGTTCGGTTGATTTGGGCTCCGAGGAGTGGTGTGGTCAGAGCTACCACGCCACCGCCGGCCACGGGGTGGAAGCTGATCTTCTCATGGGGGAATAGTTGCATGCCCACTTCCACTTGACGAGACAGGTGCAGGATGTGTGCGTCTTCAATTTGGTGGACAGTGTCGAGCTTGGTGATGGGACGGGGAGTCATGACGGTAGGCGAAGCCATCTTCTTGGGCTCGGCGCAGATGGGAGTAGAGTGTGAAACCAACATATTCAAGATCAAAGATTCAAACAAGATTGAAAAGATTGGAGAGTTCCAGTTTTGAAGGTATATAAAGAAGGTTTGAACGAGTGATTGATAAAAGAATAGACCAGCACAAGAAGACAGGCGAATATATTAGAGAAAACGAGCACTGCTGTCTCAAGCCGTGACGACACGGCGATTTATCAATGACCAGTGATGTACCATGAGGTATCCCATGCGTGAGCCACCTCCTCACCTCCTGCATTCTTGGCTGTGGACACATGGGTTGATTGCGTACGTGGTCCGAAACAATGGCATCCGGATCCTTCTGGAGAAGGAGCAGATCCCTTATTTGCCTGGATGAAGATCCTGAAGATCTGAGCTGGAAAGTGGAGCCATTATTGGGCTTGCCAGGGCTTGCATGATGGCTTTCCAATAGTAGTTGTTTCGGGTTCAAATGCCAATGAATGACGGTGGTGAACACGCGTGCAAAAACCAATGACGCCGATCCACCAAACGCCATGGATGACTTTGTGACGAACCTGTTGACTATGGCGTGGCGTGGTTTTGTTTGGCTCTTTCTCTCTGCGAGGTTTTTTCCTTCCCTTGATCTCTCATGTTGTTGTACAAGGCGTGTTGTGAAGTGATCCTAGTTCTCTCAGCATCCCTGTTATGTCTCAGCTGTTTCTTTCTATCTTTTTTTTTCTATATGCCTCCTGGATAAACAGCGGTTAGACCTCGAGCCCCATTAAAAAAACGGTCTAGAATACTAGCTTGTTGGCCATGGAAAAAAGAGGGGGGAAAAGTACTATAGTCAAGGAACGTGGAGCCTCACGGCCTCGGGATCCCCCATGGGATTCCCCTGACCATTCCCCTCCTGCGCCAAGAAATATGGGATGACGGCGTCAGATAAAAAAAAAAAAAAAAAAAACTTCATTCTCGACCGTCTCTCTGAATCAGGAAGGATTCTGGGACATCATGGGGTCGAATAAGGAATTTTCCTTATGTCAAGGATTGTGAAGTTGGGAAACATCGGGGAACCCTCGTAGCTTGATCCGCCCCCTAGTCAGCCCCAAGCTCTTGCGATCCATCGATCTGGTTTTTCCCCTGGGTAGAAAAGCATCGACTAAGCTCTCTAGTCCGTGAGGCTGTGCTGCGTTAGAAAGAACCACCAATGTCCCCAAAAAAACTAGTAAAAATCAAAATAGAAATAAAAGTTATGACAGGCAAAAGGGCGCATTTATGTTGAATGTTGTTGATGTTTGATGTTTTATTTGACTCCTTCTCGCAAGCTTTCGATGATGATGATGATGTGCGTCCTCCCTAGATTCGGGGGTTCCCTTGCTCCGAATCATCCCAGGTGTCTCATACTCGCAAACTTGCAAACTCTGAACGCCCCCTATACTTGAGTAATGGATAGGATATAAGATATTTGTGTATAAACTTGCCATATGGCTAGCTGTTGCAATAGACTTTAAATAGTATGTCTGAAAAAGCAAGAAAGTACTATTGACAGATGTAACGGTATATTCCACGTCAACCTGTAGACGTCTTTGGTCGCATATATATCGCACACCATCGGGTCTGGTACTGACTCAAGATTTGGATTGTAGTTAACACAGCTCTTCAGTTCAAAGTTAATCTCAAAGAACTCAATAAAACAGTTTTCTTTTTTTCTCTCCGAATAAACAGCTACTACTTTCAGCCACTCTGTCGTTCTATTAGATACAGATGGACCATGCGAAGTGCGGATAATTAGGTTATGGACCGTGTTAAGGTTGACGACTACGTACTCCTTGGAGAGAAATTCACCCATCACCAACAACTCCTACTGCCTCCACTACTTGAGACTCTCGACTTCTACTGAATTGAATTATTTTTGCAGCACACATAACCCAAAGAATGGAGACAAAACAAGCTTAATTTTTGCATTCTGAGCAAGACGGCCACCGCAGCCCCTTCCGAAGCTACGCCTTGGCCTCCATTCCCGCCCAAACCCTAAACCAAGCTCCCCGAGACATGCACACGCACACACACTTTTCCCCAGGGGATGTGAGGATAAGAAAAGAGGACGGAGCAGGTTACGAGCGGACTCGAGCAGACTCGAATTGCCCAGCAACAGTCCGACAAATTTACCGAGCTATAGCTGACACTGCCTAGAGAATAGGAGACGAAATCACAGAAACCCATCCCCTATACCCTACATCCCATCGGAAAAAAAAAACAATAATACATCACCCCTTAATCCCGCGCCGACGCCGAGTCGCTCTCGGATTCTTCGGCCTTCTTCAAGCTTTGCTCCTTGGTCAGCTTGGGGTTGCGCAGACAGAAGGCAAAGGCAATCAGAGGCACGGTCAGACAGATCCCCGTGATACAGAGGAGGCGCTGGGTTTCCATGTAGGCGGAGATCACACCGCTGCGGGCAGAGGTGCCGACGGGGTGGGCGTCGGCGAAGACGAGGGGCTGGGCATACGCCTCGCTGGCCAGGTTTACGCTGCCGAGTCGTTTTTCGAGTTCCGATGGCAGGACCTGGTTCCAGACGGCGCCGGAGATGGTGCTGCCAATGGCGTTGCCGAGGTTGTAGAAAGCTAGGAAGATACCAGTGATGACGGCGAGATCTGGGGTTGGTTAGCTAACTGGTTGGTTCTACCTGTGCATGATTTTTTTTTTGTTTTCCTGCAAGGAGATGATAATAGGGGGGGTACGTACGTTCGTGCTTCGAGGCGGCCTGGATACTGGCCTGTGTGGCGTAGGGGAAAAGTCCACCAGCTATGCAGGCGATCTTGTTAGATACTGTCATTGCCATTCAGAGTCAAGAACACACTCACCAATACCCAAAAGAACCTGGCCACCAATCACTCCGGAATGGCTGGAACCTCCCGTGCCACCACGGAAGTGGATGAGAATACCGAAAGCAACCATGTACAAGGCCGTGCCGGCAATGATGAAAGGCTTGAGTTGGCGGACCTTAATCACAATGAAACCGAGGATCGTCCCCGTAATCACCGAGGCGAAGCTGTACAGAGAGTATATACGGGTGGCGCTCAAGTTGGACTCGTCAAAGCTGACGTAGAGCACGGTGATTAGGTAGTTCGACTGCATATAGTACGCTGGAAAAAAAAATCAACGATGAGTCTTCGCAAGTATCAAAGAAGTGACCATACCAGTGTTGATCATCAGGGCAATTCCGAGAGCAGCCCAGACGGCACGGTCTTTGATGAGCTAGACGATCAATGAGCAACCATTTGCTTGATATTTCCTTTGTGAAAGTGTCTGAACATACCTTGAACGGGATCATGGGGTGCGGGCACCAACGCTCCCACAACACCCAGACCGGAATCAGCACGAAGCCGATGACCAGAGGCGCGATGACCTTGGCAGTCTGCCATTGTGCAGTGACACCCCCAGCAAGCGTAAAGGGCACGAGGATGCAAGCCAGGAAAATGATCATCAAAAGGTTCCCCACCACGTCCAGATGCCAGAACAGCTCGATGGCCAGCCGGTTCCCGCCAAGCAACTGGAAAGAACTCTTATACGACTCCAGCTGGCCAGACTTCTTCGCACGACGGTTGACAACGAACAGAGTGATGATCAGAGGCAGGGCGCAGACGGGGTAGATAATGGCGAACATGCCAATACCCCATTTCCACGAGGCGACGGCTAGCACGGATGAAGTGAGGTTTCCACTGATCCAGGTGTTGATCTAGATTTCCGGTCAGTCTTCGGCTGTGGTTGGCTTCATGTTTTGGGAAAGATAGAATACTGACGATGAATGGCAGAGTCGGGATGTACGAGAAAAAGAGACGCGAGCGAGTCGAGGTCACATCGGCAACCAAGACCTCGACCAGGAGCATGATGCAGGTGTATCCGATCTGAGAATGGGTCAGATGATTGCTGGAGACAATACGTCAACACAAGATGTTTTTACCTGGTAGAGCACGGCTCCGGCGGAGAAGGCCTCGACATTTTTCGAGAAGGTTTCGATGATCGTGCCCAGGGTATAGAAGAAGATGGAGACGATGATCAGTTCAATGCGTCCAAACACGTCTGCAATTTTGGCTGCCGTGGGCTAAACTAGTAGGTTAGCAAGAGTCATTCAGTTTCTAGCGTTTTATAGATCGATCGCGCCTACCTGTGCGGCGACACCGATGACGGCGCGCAGAACGTTGATGGTCGCGAGCAAGCTGTGCTGGGAATAACTCTGGGTGGCATAGGTCTGTACGAAAGTCAATGTTAGTGTCTTGAAATATATATATATGATTGCAACTGACCTGGTATGTGTAGCGAACTGCGCTATCCAAGCCATAGACGTAGGCGATGAGGAAAATGCCGAAAAAGAGGAAGATGCGATCCACGAGCCCGAAATGCGAACTGATGACGGCAATGCGACGTACACCGGGACTCCCCTCACCAAGAACATTGGTCGAGTCCTGCTCCGGCGCAGTCTGGTGCGGAGGGTTCTTCTCGTGGTCACCGAGCTGGCCATTTGACTCCTGAGCATGTGCCATAGTTGAGAGAAGCTGTCACGAACACCAAAAAAAGGAGAATCAACGGCGCGCTAACAGCAGGGGTTCGTACATCGAAGAGAAAGAAAAGAAAAGAAAGAAAAGAAAAATCAAACGCAGCCAAGGCCCGAGGTCATAAAAGAAAAAAGCAACTTTCGAGGAACCGACCACGGGAAACATCCCCACCGGCAATCTTATCTGATGAGGGCGAGTTTCTTCCCTGGCCCGCGTGTCGGGCGTTGTAATGGCGGGTTTGTCGGCCAGTCGCCGTGGTCTAAGGCTCTCCACCTTGTATTTGGGTACTGGCATTGGTCGAGGGTCCGCGTGCCATGGCCCCCTAAAATGGGCCCTAACACTGGAAATGAGGCATTATCGTTGGTTGTTAGCAGAGATTTTTTTTTTCTTCCCCCTTCTCATGCTACCAGGGTCTGTGGGCTGTGTCTCGTTGTTCCGGATGGGACTATCCGAGCCCCAACTCGATCAGGGATCTTGCTGGGCGTCTATCTGGAGAATAGGGGATGATTGTTTGTCAATATTTTACTAGTGCTTATAGTAGTGGGTTCTCTAGACTCAAGGCTCGGGTTTTTATATGTATTTTGTATTGATGTTGATATTTATAGATATAATAGGAGGGATTTTATATCGCATTTGATCTTTGACTGTGCGATCAGATAAAAATTTGCAGCCCACCCAAATAAGCTTTTGTGTTTTGGCTGAGACGCTGTATTGACTCCAGTTATTTTACTTTGGCAATTTACCACGACACGCTGAGTCTCTTGGCCGGCTAAATAGAAGAATGACACAACATAGATAGGATTTAGTTGAAGCCACGCACAGATATGTTCACGAGTTATTATTTTTGTGCGGGCTGGAGTAGAGTCAAAGACTTTAAGGGTGGTTTCGGTCGGATCGTTTAGATATTTTGAGTGCTAAGATAACATAAACGTAAAAAATAAGTGAAAATTCTTTTAGCTCTCCCGATTGGCAAACCATAGTATATACCCTCTATCCTCCTTCTAGTCGTAGAAACTGGTCATTAACTATTTACATCGTATTTGCACAGCCACTATCACGATGGGTCCAATGTGGCTTTCACATTCCATCGTGTGGCTTGGCCATCTCACATGATACCGGGGTTCAACCCTCTTATTTACTTGAGTTTAATAAGATAATTTTCTTGGATATGCTTCTTTTCTTCATAAAATAGCGTTTAATTTGGCCATCTATTAGATAGAATAGTTCTTTCTCAAAGTAGCAAAATCGAGAGGAAGCTGTAACGATCTAGTCTCTGGATATATATATTGTCAGTTACACTGATCAATAAAATTAATATAAACGCCGGTTTACAACAAAGGTTCGTTATTCCGGTAACTATTCTAACAAACTCGAATTGCTAGAGAAAACCACACACTTAATTACTTGAACGGACGACTCGAATACCGCAGAATTTTCTCCCCAATTTCCCAGCAGTTCACCGCATCTCACTCACATCTCACAATCTCACAAGGCCGAACAACACCCCGTAGATGAGACAAGCCGCTAAAGGAGCTGGTTGGGGGCCAATCCCGCAATAAACAAAGAAGCGATCTTGGCAGACCCTAGATCTGACGCGCTTTGACTGCTGACCGCAGAGAAAAGCTCATGGGATCCACCGGGCTTATCCGAGCTTGCTCAATTTGGGATACCACGATGCTCGAATGAGGCTCATGTGGAATGTCATTGACTCGACCATGCGAGGTGGATCATCGGGGAGCAGTTTTACTATGAATCCTTTTCTTTTTTTTTTTATTGTTAGCATAAGGCTGACCGGCGTAGATGGGTGAGTTGTAAGATAAATAGGAAGCTCTTTCCTTCTTTTTTTACTGTTTGTTCTCTCACTTTCCTCACTACTCACTCTCGAACTATCAGTCAACATTTCTTCTGTGTACACCAATATCTTCCGTGCATATTGCGCTGGCACATACCTACATCCACTATAACCATGGCCCGCCACCACCACCTCTCCTGTTCGCAAAAGGTCTCCGAACCACCCATGAACCTCTGGAACACCACCAACGTCGTGGCCTTCCGCAAGAGCGAAAAAGAATCCGATGCCATCGAGCAATGCTGCGGCCTGACCACCAACATCGTCACATACAAGAAAGACTGTTTCCAATTCTGCAGCACGCAAGACAACACTACCGAAGTCAAGTCCTGCATCGAGGACCACGGCGTTGATGCCAAGTCCTATCACAACGACAAGGGCGGCCAGTCGGCGGCGAATCCCATGTCTAAGCCCGCTGCTAGCCTGATCTTGTTGGTTGTGACTAGCCTGATTGTGGGCACGTTTTAAGCACCTGAAAAGCAGCTGAATTGGAACGGAGAAAGGCATTGATGTTCAAGATGATCTTATAGTACTGTTTATGTGGCATGGCGAATGTGGGTGGTTTTCTAGAGTCTTTTATGTATGACTGTATTGTATAATTATTGCTTTATATCGTTGAAAGTCAAAGCAATTTGAATCTTCAATTCTGCTATTCAAAATAAGTTGGATCAACTTGCTTAGTGTCTATGCAGCATGCTCAGCATAGTATCTCTGGAACTCCTCCCACCGAGCGTCCTTGCCATACAACAGGGGAAGAATCAACTGCGCGCCATAGATCGCTCTCCAATGATTGCTATAGGTGCACCGAAAGACAACCTCGGACAGCGGCGATGCAAAAAGACGAGATTAGAGCATGCGTCTCGGAGGCGAAGCTTCCCCCTTTCTATCTCAATCTTCTCCAGAGTCTGAACAAACATGTCCCGGAAGTTAAACACGGCCTGTTTGAACTCAGCCGGCGCAGCAGGAGGGGCGACGAATTCCGGACTGATGGCAAACCGCTCCATCGGAACCGTCTAAACATAGCTCCAATCCAGAATACCCGTAATGTTGTAGTTTTCGTCCACGAGGATGTTGCCGTAGTGGAAGTCCAGATGGCACAATGGGAGTGGGCTGTAGATATGCTCTTCGGTAATCATCGATGTCAGTGCCTTTACAAGAAACCAGGCTGACGCTTCCCGCTGCTGTTCGCCCTTGTGGTCTTTCAGGATTGCCTTTGTCTACTCTCTGCGCAAATGATAGAAGAATTCCAGCGAGGTGGACAGAAGGCGGTTCCCAGAGCCTGTCAGAGAAGATGGAGACAATTCCACCCCTTCAGATGAGTCGTAGGGCATGATGTGACCGAATTTGTTCTAGGGCATGGTACTCGGCTCATATTAATTCCCTTGGATATCCAGCCTTATGCACTCTCAAAAAAGCACCAGGGGAAGCTGGGGAAAGCAGAACTGCTGGGGCAAGGGCGCAGAAGAGAGAATCAAATTGTCTGTAGGAGAGAAGAGAAGCGAAGCTATCTGCTACCTACAGGTCCGCTGCGGGCGGTCAGGGAGGCGGTGGAGAAAGGCTGACAGAACCCCAGTCCCAACACGCACCTTGTGATTGATACCTGTGGCTCCGAGTTCAAGAATGAAATGCATTTCTGTCCTGAGATGGCGCGCAAAACACCCTCTTCGCGATCTCTGCGATTGCAAATGTATGCCACATACAATATAAGTGCACAGCGGACGGTGAGATGAAACAGCCCAGCAGTTGTTCAACCCTTTGCTGTAAGCTTCATCACTCTATCGAAGGCTGTGGCTTGCTTGGGATAGAAAGCCTTCTAGAAACAAGTATAGTGCCCGCGTCTTATGAATATTCAGCACTGCCATTACTCGCCCATTGGGTATTTTAAATGAAAATAATCAAGTTCAGCCCGCTAAGGACATTGACCTTAGCGAAGTAGGCAATTCACTAGTTGTTAAATGCCAGTTTTCCAAAGACTTGATACAATGCAGTGAGCAAAGCATCGTTTTCTAGAGATGGCTACCTCGGAGTTCACTCCCATCTGTGATGAAAACAGTTACAGTATGTAGTTAACCCTCGCTAAAGAAGCGATTCTCCGGCCTCGCCAGGCCAAAGTGCTCACGCAACGTCGAGCCCGTATAATCCTGACGAAACAGCCCTCTCCGCTGCAATTCTGGAATTAACTTGTCTGTGACTTCTTCCAAGCCTTGCGGCAAGAAAGGAAATGTGCATGTAAACCCATCCGAGGCATCTTCCCGCAACCACGTCTCCATCTCCTCAGCAATATCGCTCGGTGAACCGAGGAATGCCAGTCCCCAGTATCCACCATACCGTTGCGCAAGTTGACGGATCGTCAATCCCTCCTGCTGTGCCAATCTCTCAACACTCTCTCTGATCGTCTTACTTGCATTGGTCTCAGGCAGATCCGTCGGCAATGGACCATCCGGATCGAAGCCACTAACATCCACCCCAAGTGCAATCGACAAAGACGCAATAGCACTATCATAGTGCACTAGACTATCCAGCTTAAGTCTTTTCTCCTGCGCATCCTGCTTGGTGTCCCCAACAAGAATCATTGCCGCAGGCAAGATCTTCAAGGCATCTCTCTTCCGTCCCGCCTTCTCGACCCGCCCCTTGATGTCCGCATACAGTGCCTTTGCAGACTCCAGATCTTTCGGGCTGCAAAACACCACTTCTGCCGTCTCAGCCGCCAGCTGCCGTCCGGGCTCACTCTGCCCGGCCTGCACGATCACGGGCCATCCCTGCGGCGGTCTGGCAATATTCAACGGCCCTCGCACCTTGAACTCGTCCCCAGAATGGTTCAGCACATGCAGCTTTGCAGGATCAAAATATTCACCCGTCTCGACGTTGCGAGTAAACGCGTCCTCGGCAAAACTGTCCCACAGCCCCGTCACCACCTCGTAGAACTCGCGGGCACGCTTATATCGATCGCCATGGGCCATGTGCTCATCGAACCCGAAATTGTGGCTCGATTCCGGATTGCCCGTCGTCACGATATTCCACGCTGCTCGCCCGCCGCTCAGATGGTCTAAACTCGCAAACCGTCGAGCGACATGGTACGGCAGATCATATGTGGTACTCGCCGTCGCAGCGAGGCCGATCTTGTCAGTTACCGCGGACAGGGCAGAGAGCAGTGTGAACGGCTCGAACGAGGTCGTGGTATGACTGCGCTTGAGAGCTTCCACGGGCATGTTCAGCACGGCCAGGTGATCGGCCATGAAGAAGGCGTCGAACTTGGCGGCCTCGAGCTTCTGGGCGAAACTGGCAATGTGTTTGAAGTTGAAGTTGGCATCGGGGTAGGATCCCGGATAGCGCCAGGCACCTGTGTGCAATGACACTGGCCGCATAAAGGCCGTGAGGTGTAGATGGCGGCTGGGTCGAGAGTCTGTCATCTTGGGGGCTGAGGTGAATCTAACTTGGGAAGCAAGGTGTGATTCTGAGACTTTTCTCTGGGAATGATCACCCTTATAATATACCCCGCTGCTTGCAATCCATCAGGATGGCATTTATCGGCCGATTTATAAGCCTCGGCGTTGATGATATGGCGTGCTCCGAGTAGGTCGCTCACGCAAGCATTTGCGGGGGACTGCAATGGAAGTCATGGTAATCATGGATGTTCCATGAAATGTTCCCTAACTCTGTGATTGCGGATAGGGTGAAATTGGCCATTTATATAGCGAGGCTGAAGTCTAATTAAAACCGAGCTGTATACTTATATAGGGAGTTTACCATGTAATGGGGATCTTTTTTGTTTGGCCGACGGCGTTGTATAGACCCAGGATCACCAGGATGGAGAATTGTGGCGCGCATACTCGTATCATTATGAATGATACGTTGGATGGTAGGGCTGGATGTAGAAGCCTTAACGAGTTGAATTGTCGAGATCTTGCTCCACTCGATATACACCAGTGTCGAGCACTGCCGTGTTGGCCATAGTTGCGCGTAGAAAAGACAAAAGTACAGTCAAGTACTTGACAAATATCCATCAACTCAACCCATCGCAGCATGGCAAGCATTACCGGCACGCTCGTGCCCGACTTCAACGCGCTCCGCCGCCGGGAGAACGACGCGTTCGGCGCCCCCAACCACTCCACTACCACTTCACCGTGAAGTCGCTGCCAGGAGTACCCGGCGACGCAGGATTCCTCGCAAACCCCAACCACTCACACGGCATTGCGAGGGCCGAACACGTCTCGTGGGTCTCTCACCGGAGGAGCAAGCCAAAGTGATCGTGCCCCTGCTCCTGGAATCATTCGTCACCGCGGTTCGACGAGCCCGGCTTAATCCCACAGATGGCCCATAACCTGCTCCCCTGGGCACCGTGTCGAGCCGGCTACGGGCGTATGGTGTTCGACCGGAACTGCGCAATGCCTCTGTCTCCAGTGCTGAGGATATTCGTATCGCGGAGGTCTGCTGGATGATCTGGTCGTGTGATTTTGCGCAGCTGGCGGGTATGTGTCCCGGTGATTTTGTCGAGGAGGTTGAGCAGAGGTGTCCTAGGAGTTTGTGGCTTTACTCCGTCGCTGGATAAGTCGCTGCAGCGTTGTGCGCGCTGCAAGTTGATTTCGTATTGCTCGAGGGATTGTCAGAGGGCCGACTGGAAGATTCATAAGAGGTACTGCGAGCCGCTAGAGCCGCTGGAGCTGCTGGCGTGCATGCATTATGTCCTCGTTATATTTTACTTGTTATCCTGGATGCGCACGATCTTTCAATTCGGGATCCTCTTCAGCCCGGGTTGGGTCATCTTATCATGTCTCATTTAGCGAAGCTATTATGTGCATCCGCCTCGCAGCCACAATCTATACATACATTATCATCAATCATACAGTCGTAAGTCAGAACCACCCAAGACTAAGTGACAGGCACCGTCGTAGTACCCTGATAGATCAGTTCATCGGAGATTCTCCTTTGCCTTCCCTTCACCATGCCCATCTTGTGCAGAACATGAGTTACATCGTAGCAGTTGGCACTACTGAGGAGGCATTCCAGACACATATCGAAATCACCATCCAAACACAGATCACAATGGAAATGGATGTCATGTGCCGCAACACCCCCCTGGCAGCTATCACACTCGATATCCGGGCCCGCGTCGTACGCCTTGGCCTCCTTGGAGGCTGCCTCTACTCTTCTCATGTCAGGCTCGGTATCGCCCTCGAACGTGCCGTTGAGCAATGCCCAGATGTTTTCCATGCTCTCGTCCCCGGTGGCGAGGACATCTTGTTTGAACTGGCTGGCCACCGAGAGTGGTGTGCGACCCGTACAGGTGGGAGTCTCGATCGCAGTGCTGCCCCGGCTGAGAAGGATGCGCACGATTTGTTCGTATCCGAGCATGGTCGCAGCGAAAAGGGCCGTGCAGTTGCGTCGGTCCGGGACGTCGATGTATCGGCGGCAGGGGAAATTTTGTTGTGATGGGGACGTATCTTGATTTTCTGAGTCGTCGGAGTCCACAGCCGGGGCATGGTCGAGCAGAGCCATGACAGTCTTCGCATGGCCAGCTCTCGCAGCAATCACAAGGGGAGGGCACCCGTAATTGTCGGTGGCAGTGGGATCGGCGCCAGCGTCGAGCAAAGGTTTGATAGCTGTGTCAAAGCCCAATCCCGCAGCAGTGGCCAGCGGCGTGCGACCGTTCTCAGTGTTTTTCCATTCCGTCTCAGCGCCCCGCGTCACAAGCTCCGTGATTACCTCCTCGTTGCGGACCCACGCAGAACACGCCCACGACAACGCCGTGCGCTGCCGATCATCCGGAACGTTCGGGTTGGCACCTTTGTCCAGCAGAAACGACACGACGCGGCGGTTCCCACCGTTCGCGGCAAAATGCAGAACCCTCTCGTGGCGCTCGTTACCTGCCTCGATATCCGCGCCCGCCGCGACAAGCATCCGCACCGTCTTCGCATGGCCGCGGCGAGCCGTCCACGCCAGCGGGGTTCCGTCGCTATCAATGTCGGTCCCATCAACGGGATGCCCCCTTTTGAGAAGAAGTCGCACCACCGAGGTGCGGCCCAGGTCCGCGGCCCAGCCGAGTGGGGTGACTTGGTGCCACCATGGAAAGACTATCGCGGGACCCCGGTTAAGGAATTGAGTCAGGATCTGGACATTCCCGGCTCTGATGGCCCATATGGGCGCTGAATACCCATGTCCACATTGCACATCTTGATCGGCTCCTGCATCGAGGAGAGCCTCGACGATTTGCGGATGGTTTTGGGCAGTTGCATAGTGCAGGGGGGCTCTCTCCGCCTCGTCTCTTATGCTCGGGTTGAAGCCATGTCGTAAAAGGAGTTGAATCAAGTCTCGTCGGCCTCTGGCTGCTGCTGCGCACAGAGGGGCACCCGCTTTATCGTTGTCTGGTTTGGCTCCTGCGTCCAGTAATTTTTGGGTGGTGGTTTTGGGGCATCGTCGTGCGGCGTAGTTTAAAGCTTTTGCACAAGCTTCTGTGTAGATAATATAGTTGTAAAGAGATTCATTAAACTTGTCGTAGAAGTAATGGCATGTTTGGACCAGGGCGTTCATGTCGGTTGTTGTTTCGAACAGATCCCAGATATCCAGGAGCAGTTCGGGGGGTAAATCGAGGAGCTCCATTGTCGTATTCAAACTCATGATGGAGTTATAGATCAAATTATATCTTAAAGGGAGTATGAAGAAAAAAGAAAAGGAAGAATGGCGATCGCTTTATAGCTTGCGTTATCACGCAGCGCCAGGCACAGTGGCTATGCACGTTTTAAGGCTGGTGCCCCTGAGGGTGGGTCTACGGCTGCGCAGTAATTATTCATTGATTTATTTACTCTTTTAGGTGTTTTTTCTCCTATGGCTGATGTGAGTCATATCTCATTTAAAGTCTAATATTCTTTTCTTTTATTCTGTTATTCTTTATTTGACTCACTGAGAACGAGCATAAGAGTATCGTTAGACGCCTGAGGCAGCAACAAATAATTATTTACCCACTTATCGTGGCAATCATTAGGAGGTAGCTCTGTGAAGAAATTCGAGAACTCATTTTAAGTTGAGAATGATTAATGGGGAGCCACCAGGCTCCACTATTAGTTGGGACTTTGGAAGTGTAAGGTGGAGATCCCGAACCCGAACCCGAGGTCTTTAGGGTTGGGACTTGTTCGAAGATCATCATCTATTCGATGGTAGGGGCCCCGACAAGCAGCATTCAAATGACCACCTTCTAGCCGAAATGACGGCGATTCTTGGTCCTCCATCTGTCATTAGAGGATTCAGAAGAATACCTCGAAGGCGACAACAAGGTGTTGTTTATGCAGTTTATGCGAAAAATGCTGCAGTGGGACCCAGACGAGAGACAGACTGCCCGAGAACTGCTCATGGACCCTTGGCTAAACAGCCAATGAACAGCTTGTTCTTGAATGGCGAGAATTCTGGAGAAGCGGGCCTTCTCCTTATAACGCGAACAAAAAGAGCGATAGATAGACCCGTGGGTCGCTGTAGGAAATGATAAACAAACTCAACTCATACTCATCTACACATCAATTTCCACTCTTTGTCTATTCGCTTTCCTCTAGAAAAGTAAATTATAACGCTGGATATTAGGCTAGTCCTTGATTGCTATTTCGATAACTTTGTTGCATGATTGTCAATCCTAATATACCCATCTGCGACGTCCCAGACGTACCTCCATGATCGTCCAAGGTATTAATGATTGACCTCTAGCTCCAGCAACTTCATAATTCAAACCCTTAATGTTTTTACATGCATTTATGTCTCAGGTAACCCCTTCAGTCTCATTGCAAACAACATACCACCGACAAGCCCATATCGAAACCATATCATATATCCCACCAAAACAAGCTCTTCCCCTTGGGTGTCAAGCGTTCTTGCCACTAGCAGTTGTGGTCATATCCCTTACGCGCCCAGACCTTGTCTCCCTCAATATCCCCACCAGCCCAAGTCACGCCCTCCTTGGTGTTGTGGCAACCACACCCGCAGGTCGGGCACAGCCCGCCCGTGTGATTCATGCCACAAAAATCGGACTCCTTGCAATCTGAGTCCTTGGAGCATTTGATCCAGTCGCCGAACAAAGCCGTGCTTGTCTGGGTCGAGGGTCGCGAGATCTCCGACGTCCAACACCATTGGCCCTTGAGGCCTTCGCTCTTGTCTTCGGGCTCGCCGCAGCGTTTCCAGCAGTATCCTTTGCTGCAGCCGACACTTTTTCCATTGTCTGCTAGACATTCGCCTCGGATGGGGTTGTCAGCCGCAACGCAGTGGTCTCCTGCAGAAACGGTTGAGGCCGCGGCGACGAGGAGGGCGAGGATTGTGAGCTTCATGACAATCCTGATATTGGGATTCCGATTAGCAAGTTTCTTGTCGGTTCGGAAAGTGGACTATAACTTACTCGTTCTGGCTTGAAAGAGACAGCTCTCGCGTAGTGCTCGCAATTGGGTATGTATTTGGCAGAAACTCTTGTCTTGGAGATTCTTGGAGATGATGTTGGAATATTGGGAAGGTTGAACTCGAGCAGAGTAACCACCCTTTTTATACCCCATCGGAGCATCCAGCTCACCGTCGACCTTGCATTCAGCCTTTCACTTTTCTCCACAGCTTTCAACACTCTACATGCACGAAGAAGGCCTTGCATCCACAGGGCTCACCGTCTCTTGGTTGTAATCTTAGAGACTGAGATGTGGATTATGAACATACATCGTCAGCTCGAATTCTAACAATGCTACTAGGTATATCATACTATCTATTGTTAACCACATTTACAATAAAACTTCATTTAGAAACGGGTTTTATGATGTTATCTAGATGATAACCACGAGCAAGAATTAACGACTCACAACCGCCCAAAGAATTTGATTTAACAACTCATATATACACCCTCAGAATTACCGGCCCGCTCTATAGATCATATGTGGTTGAGCCCTCGAGGCGAGTGTGGGGCGATATCTCGATCATCGATGCCTTGGCGTGGAGCAAGGAGTCTTCCGGTATCTGGGGGATGGGCCTTGTGGGGGACCCATTTCGTGTGCTTGTCTGAGTTCATTGGCTCGATTCTATTCATCTGCTCTTCAGCCCCAGCTGATCTTGGGGTTTCCGAGGCGGATATGTTTGAAAATGTACTTCAGTGTCCCTCACAGATTGATGCAGGTCTTGCTCTGGATCTCACCAGACCTGTGTTTGCCTCAGTAGGTGGTTTTAAAGTGAGACATTTCTTTTGTCTAACTTCGATCTCGTTGGCCGGTCACTTGGTCAAGTAGTGTTATTGTCGCAGATATCCAGAACTGGAGTTTCCATTGATGTAGCAATTTGCCGAGACTAAGTGTTTTCTCCAGTCGTTCAATTCTTATTTATGGGAGAGCTACATGTGATGTTCATCCAACACATATAATTGCGGCGCAGTTAATCTAAAGCTCTATGAGCCATAGAGAAATCTTTCTCTTAGCATGTTCTACAGCTTGTAAAGCTATATCTGCTCCAAGGGTAACATTCATCCAGTTTATTTTTATTTTGATTGATAAAAATTGAACTTGGAATAAAAGATTGATTCGAGACGCTCTCATTCAGTTCCTAGCCTGAAATATTGAGATATGGTGCCTAATGTGTTAAAAAGGGCATTTGCATTGACATTGACCCCTAGAGCTTAGTGGGTATCCATAGACCCCCTCAGTTAGGAAAATTTGATTTTTCACTACAGTGTATGTGCTCTCTTCTGGTTATATGAATATTTCTATACTGACAACTAGAAGTTGGCATGGAAAATTGAGGGAGTCAGCATCAAAGTGCGAGGCTCTGATTCGCCTTTTTAGCTCCGAGGGCTACGACGATGTAGTAGGAGGGACTTGATATCCAAGTGTTTGTTTTTATTTTGTATGCGAGGACGCTTTCTTTGTTTCTATTCCTATCACTACTTCTATGTCTTTTTGAAGGGCCGTTTTCGGGCTGGCAGATTGTCTTATCAAGTACTTCGCCGTGGATATAATAGTACGACATAGAAAGCATCCATAATATCTGACTCTCTTTGCGCGTGAGATATTACAATTTGACAAAAAACCAGGAGCTCTTCTGAGAATATACGTAGAATTTCTGATGAAGTTTTAAGTTCTATGATGCTATTGGTAGACTCTGTAGGAGAGAGAGGGCTGCTGCTGATGATAGTCCTCAGAAGACCCGTCTCATACCCGTCTCAGGCGCAGGGGTATTGATATCCAGTAGACACAGGTAGATCATCTCGTGGATATTGTCTATTTTAGTTAAATTATCTACTACAATACCATATCGAGTGGCTGCTGTACTTAAAGCTGGGGGTTGGAAGACAACATATTAGGTAATTTATATATATTTATATATATCAAACTTACTATTGTATTTTATATGCACAGCCATGGATTCAAATTAAATGCATCCTACTGTACTATATTTGGACAAGTAGAGGTAGAGTTTAACGTGGCTGAAGAAGATAGACATAACTAGACAATTTGAAGCCATCAGAAAACTATGATATAGAGTGATCCTCAATCTACTTGCGTCTGATCTATTTCATGTTGCAATTTGGAATACGGATAGACCATGTTAATAATATTCTTGTTTTCGGAGACGTGTGACAGAGTGGGAAAAAAACTTGGGGGCTGGTCGCAGGATTCAGGGGGCCAACACCGTAAATATTTGGGGCAGCTTTTACAGATTCTTTTTTTTTTTTTTTTTTTTCATACTAAGAGCTAGCGAATCAGATGAAAGGCCCGATAGGGCCAGACTGAGGGAGTGAACACAGACTATAGAGTAGAATTATATCCCCTTAGGACGAGCTGGACCAGTGATACCGTCTTTTTCCTTATATGGAGTACACTTCCCGCAAACGCCAGCGTAAAAATGGAAACCAACATACTTCTGTTTCTGGGAAATTCTCGACCCTTCAACTAAATTTGGCACCCACTCAAGGCAAATTTTGGGGGGCCATCGGCAGCGTTCGGCTACAGTACAAGGTGAACGCTCTAGCAGCATATTGTACGTAGACAAAATAACGGGCCCCTAAATAAAATTAGAAAATGAAAAAGCAGCCCGCTAAATATCCTCTTGTCTCACCTTTGATTTCTTTTCTATTCTTTTCTTTTTCTTCTTTCGTGTCTTCCTCACATCCCATCCTCACTATACCGCGATATCCATACTCCGTACCGAAGATGCACCTCCCTAAACTGGGATTGCCTCTTCTAGGCATCACTGCCTCCCTGGTGTCGGTGGTCTACTCGGCACCAACCGACCTCCAGTCTTCCCAGTCTCCTGACTTCCTCCAGCGCCGTAGTATACCGAGCGACATCAGCAGCTGGAATGTTTGGGAAGATCACCAGGCTTGGGTCAAAACGAAAACCCCGTTGCCCAAACTGCCGACCGAAGACAGTGGCAGCGATGGCTATTGCGACGTGAAGGCATCCAAACCCCAGTGTCAATACATTTACACCAACGATTGCGGCCAAACCGAAATTCGAAAGATTCAATTGATTGATGTCATAGGCTCAGGATATGGTGGAGACATATGGCATGGCATACAAACCGTCAATGACGGAGACGAGCATCGAGTGCAGATTGAGATTGTCAAGTCTGATCCCATTCGCAGGATCGAAAGCTTCCAGCTCCTGAAAGAAATCGGCAGTTCAAACGTGCTCAACCTTGATGGTTACTTCTACTCGAGCGGGAAACAATACAAAAAAGGCGAAGGCAGAGGCAGCAAGGTCGCAGGTTTGGTCTCTGAATGGGGATCAACGCACACCATAGCGGATTTCAAATCGGCCAGCCAGGCGAAGAAGAATCAGGCATTTGCGGAAGCGGCCTCGGGAGTGCGGGCAATAAATTCTGCTGGCATAATCCACGGCAACATCACCTTGGAGAACATTATGTGGGCCCGTGGGAAAGCAACGATTGCGGGTTTCGATGTGGCTGCAAAGCCCCTCACTTCAAGCGGTCTGGTGAGGGACTACTGGATTGCTACAGCCGGATCATCAGCCCCAGGTAATACGCAATTCCCTATATTCCACTATGGATATTCAAAGCATGAACTAAGGACCATGATTCATTGCAGAACCGGTGAAGCAGAAACCGTACACAAAGAGTATTGATCTTTTTGGTCTGGCATTTGCGTGGATTCGACTGTCTTTTTACGACGACCTCAAGGACGACGATAAGAGATATGACCTGTGGAAGGCACTAGTTGGAGACAAGGACAAGTATCTGACCCCTAATGATGTGGAAAATGTTTTGAAAGAGAAGATTTCTAGCATCGGGGATAAGAAGGAGATGCTGCAGTTGGCGGGTAAAGCTCTTTGCGGACCGGACGATCGCACGATGAAAACCATAGCGTTCGAAAACGCACTCAAGAACCTTCCAACCTAGGCTTTTAGGGGCAGTTTTGGTGGTTGTCTTTTGGGGAGGAACGTATGCTGAGATATCGTTGACGATCATAACTACTGCTATGCTGTGCTTATGAACTATGAATGATATTTCACGTCCCTGTGCTTCTGGCATTTTGCTTTCTAAACCAAGTACAGTAAGCTTGCTACTAGGTTTAACTAGTTTCTGCTAAGTTGCAGTTGTCTCATGATTGCGTATATTAGATATAGCCGGGTTTGAATAGCACCTAGGGATTTCAATTGGTCATCTGGACTAGGATTGGTATATGGGTAGATTATATGGCTGGGACGCTGTAGCTTCTTGGAACTTACATTGTAATCAATGCCACAGCTTTGGAATGGTCATGCCGGACCAGAGAGCACCCCGAGGCCACAAGTGTTGCGGTAGACTTATTTTTATATACCAATTGCTAATGCCCAGTGTGTAGCCTTGTCTTCAAATCAAGCACTAGCACCGACGCCACATAGGGGGCAAAAATATAGACAAGTTCCACACCGATCTATTCAAAGCCTTTTTTAAAATTTCCGGTGAACTCCAACCCAATCTATTCATTACCTTCGTGTTACGATACTCCGCTGTCCCTGGTTCATAGCCTCCGTGACCTCGTCCAAACATCCGGCAGAAGCAGCGAAGAAGCCAAGGAAGGCCTTGCTGGGCATCAGGACACGGCTGAGGTACTCGGGGTGGAACTGCACGCCCACGAACCAAGGGTGGTCACGGATCTCAATGATCTCCATGCGCTCGCCCTTGACGTCTCGGCCGATGAACGACAGGCCGGCCTTCTCGAGCGTGTCGATCATGGCGGGGTTGACCTCGTAGCGGTGTCGGTGTCGCTCCTCGACCTGCGTGGCGGTCGGTCCACACAGCGCGCGGAGTCGGGACCACTCGGTGCCCTCCTGGAAAATGCAAGGGTGCTTGCCCAGCCGCATTGTGCCACCGAGCTTGTCCTTGTCGACCTCGGGCATGTAGATAATCGCGTGGTTCTTCGCCTTCGGGTGCAGCTCTTCGCTGCCGGCGTCCTCGATGCCGGCCACGTTGCGGCTGTACTCGAGGGTGGCCAGTTGCATACCCAGACACACACCCAGGAAGGGCTTCTTCTTCGTGCGTGCCCACGTAATCGCCTTCATCATTCCCTCCGTGCCGCGAGTGCCGAACCCTCCGGGCACGAGCACACCGTCGGCCGTGCAGACTGCATGCCACGCCTTGTGGTACTCGGCCGGCGCATTTTCAAAAGTCTCATCCTCGAGATGCGACGCGTCCACCCAGATAACTTCGATCTTCTTGCGGCAGTACATGGCGGCGTGTTCGAGCGCCTTGGAAACACTGATATAGGCGTCTTTCAGCGATGTATATTTACCAACAAGTGCGATTGACACGGTGTCATGCAAGTAGTCTTGACCCCGGGCGAGGTCAATCCAATCCTTCCACATACGGTTGCCCTGTTCAATCCGGTCGGCCGGGCGGGGGATAGATGGGAGGTCGAGGAGATTGCTGATCGTGTGGATGAGCTTCTGTTTTTCAAGAAGCAGCGGCACATGGTAGGTCGTTGTCACGTTGTGCACCGCGACAACCTGGTATTGTTCCATCGAGGACATGTTGGCGATCTTCTGAATGGTAGCATCCTCCAGCGGCTGCTCACAGCGACAGGCAATCTTGATAAAAGAATTAGTATGAACGATCCTGCAGTATGACTAGATTAAAATCGTACCAGATCAGGGTTCAGGCCAGCGCTGCGGACATCGCTGATAGCCCTCTGGGTTGGCTTCGTCTTTTGCTCGCCATCGGGTCCAGGCCTGAGCTCCTATTAGCTTTGGATTAATGCAGCTTTATCAGAGAAAAAGGACTGACGGGATGACGGGCACATATGAGACATGAATCTGGATAAAGTTGCCCTTGCCGGCCCTTCGTTGCAGCTGGCTGATGGCGTGAATGAACGGAGCACTCTCAATGTCACCCACGGTACCACCTTCCTTGTGTGAGCTTCAAACAATCAATTAGAATAATAGGTAGCCGGGACTTACCGAGCTCGATAATGCACACATCAGGTTCGGCCCGTGACTCATCAACCGGGATCCTAGCAACCCGCTCAATCCAGTCTTGAATAGCGTTGGTGACATGCGGCACCCTATGTGGTGTCAGAATTTCAATCAAAACCCATGAAATATGATCCGTGGCACCTACACCTGGACAGTCTTGCCAAGGTAATGGCCAATGCGCTCCCGCTCAATGACCTGCTGGTAGATCTTGCCGGTCGTAATGTTGTGGTCGCGCGACAGGGTGGTCAGAAGGTAGCGCTCGTAGTTACCGAGATCGAGGTCCATTTCGCCACCGTCGTCCGTCACGTAAACCTCGCCGTGCCTGGAACGATCAGTATAAGGGATCATGAAGGCCGGAACGTAAGGCGGGCACTGACTCGGTTGGTGCCATGGTCCCCGCATCGATATTAATGTAGGGGTCGATCTTGATGCTCGTGACCGCAAGACCCGTAGTCTTGAGGAGCAGGCCGGTGCTGGAGGCAATAATGCCCTTGCCCACACCAGAGATGACACCTAGTCGAAACTCGTCGTCAGTATTTGATCTCGACCGATCCCCAATATAGACCAATATAACCCCACTAGCTCTCAATTGATGAAACGGACAAGTCTAACGTACCTCCAGAAACCAGAACGTACTTCATCTTGGCGTCAGCAACCGACCGGCAAAGTTATGGCTCGAGGACGTCGGCAAGGAATTGGCGACGGCAGAAAGCAGAAAATCCAATGCGGCGAAGCGCGGTGAAAAAAAAGTGTTGACGCTAAGCCTGATTCGTGGTACCATCACGTGGCTCGACGTGTTTTCTCCGCTTTCCTCTTTCGGTCGAATATACTTCGCATCTCACGAATCACATCGCAGCGTTGACATGATGTTTGTGAGGGTGTATAAAGTGTTGCAAATGCTTTTATGGTATATTTCTATAGGGCTTGCCTAATTTTTGGACCTCATATCCCTGGTAAATCTAACAACCTCCTTTCTCCTTTCGAATCCCTAGATCCAACAATACCGAAAAAGTAGAACAGGCTTTATTTCAATCATTTGATTGAGTCATTCATTTTTCCGTGGATATCAACATTTCCCCGCACGTGCTACCGCACGTATATCATTAGTGGGCGGCTACCGACATCCCCGGATTTGCACTGGGGCTATGCGACCCCGCGGGGTAAAGCAGTGCCCAATAGATCGCGCACCAAGCCGAGCTGTAGGAATCGCTTTGGTTGAGTTCAAAATATATATATATATATATATCCTTTCCATTAGCTGCTCGCATCTAGGTTCGATGAGTAGCCTACTGCTATCGAGAATGTTGTCTCACCTGTACACAAAAGGTCACTACTGTAAGGCCATGACGGGGGAGAAATATAAGCGCAGGGAAGAATCAGCGATATACAGAAGAGTTTACTCGCGGAATTCCCTTCCATTGCTTGGGCCGGCGTACTTTCCCCGTGTCTATTTCTCGCTTACTGCCACAACATCAGCTAAGGTTTTCTCCGGCAACGCAACTTTGAATGTTGACTTGCCGTCATATAATACTCATTATTATCCACGCATAGTGGTCTACGGTGGCGGAGAGAAACCCGATTATGGATATCCTGAGCTTTCTATGGCTTGCTTTTAGGTAAACACTCTCTAAAAAGATTCTTGTTATCGGGTAAAATCTCTAGTACACCCAGGAGCTGCTAAAGCGTCGTTATTTTTGTGCAAGTTTCAGCTACGTTACACCTATTTCAATGGACCAATAGAATGTACTTCAATGCGGGAACATGAACCTCTGAAGTTGAGATATCCATCTCGGCTTTCTCTCCGGTGGACGCTGGTTTCCGGGTGGCGGATAACGTTCGGAAACACGAGTGCATAGGCTGTGGATATAAGAATGAGTGATTTGCTCAGAATAGAACACATTCAGTGCATTTGCATAAGAGAAACGGACCGCTTACCCTCAATATGGCGCCCAAACCTATCGTCCTCCACCTGGGGGATGCCATCAAATACAACCATGAGTTCTACAACAAGGAATTTCTCAGCCGCTTCGATGTCATTCAAGCGACAGAGGCCGACCGAGAAGGCTTCATCCAAGCCCTCAAATTAAAGAAGTACAAAGTTAACTATTATTTTGGCCACATATATATGAACAGCTAACATAAAACCCACAGATACGGCGAATTCTCCGCCCTATTCAGACCACACTTCCAAACAGGAGGGTTCATGGGCCATTGGAACACAGAGCTGATCTCCCATCTACCATCGAGCGTGCGAATCTTTGCCTCTGCAGGCGCGGGATTCAACTGGGCGGATGTCGATGCACTCGGACAGCACAAGATCTGGTATGCCAACGGCGCGGGGGCATCCGACGAGGCAGTCTCCGACACAGCGCTGTACATGATCCTGAGCGTGTTCCGGAATTTCACACGCTCGCAGCTGGCAGCACGAACGGCAGATCCCGAGGTTTTCACTGCGACGCACAAGCTGATTGCGACAATTTCGCACAATCCCCGAGGGCATGTCCTTGGCGTTGTGGGGTTTGGCAATATCAGCAAACAACTAGCGTTGAAGGCGCACATGGCACTGGGCATGGAGATCCATTACTTTGATATTATTCGCGCTGATTCGAAGGAGGAAGCTGATCTGCATGCCACGTATCATGCCTCCCTGGACGACCTGTTGAAGGTCGCGGATTGCGTTTCGCTGCACACGCCTCTCAATCCGCATACGCAGGATTTGATTGATGCGAGGGCATTGTCGTTGATGAAACCTGGTAGCAGAATTGTTAACACTGCCCGTGGGCCAGTTCTCAATGAAGATGCCTTGGTTCAGGCCTTGGAGACGGGCCATCTCTCTGCTGCGGCGCTGGATGTCCACTACAATGAGCCACAAGTGTCTCCGAAACTGGCGAGCATGGATAATGTCACCCTTACCACGCATATTGGTGGCGGGGCGCTGGATACCAGAATCAACTTTGAGCTCAATGCTATGCGCAATATCCTTGCGGTGGTTGGAGAACAGGGGGAGTTTGCGGGAGAGCCGCTTACGCCAGTAAATAGGAAGGCTTTCGAAGCAGCAGGGCAGACCTATCTCTGATAGCCTAATAGCATTGGAAATGCAGTAAACCTGAGAGCTGGTATTAACTCCATTGGCTGCAGTTAATATGTGTTTTGTCCACGCCTGTGATCAACGTAATGCATCTTAAAGCTGAGGAATTATCAACGCATCGGTTTTGGAGCTTGGTTGGCATCAAAAAAATAGTTCTAGGTCGTTGCAATTGAATGCATTGTTATTCCTTCGGTTGACACAGTGGTCTAATATGCACCGAAGATAGGCAATGTATTCTACACGTGTCAAACATATAGCCAGGAATTAACCCCCTTCTTCTCCACCATCAGGGGGATTAGCTTCATCTTCCGACTCGGCCTCGACAGCGGCAAGCGCCTCCTGCTGAGAGTTCCCGGACTGTGCTGTAGACGAGGGCTTCGAACTCCCAGGCGCAGTAACGAGTTTGGCTGTGGAGATGCCGCCAGCCGTAACATAGAGGAAGTATTCCACGGGGTAGCTGTCGATATGATTGAAGAAAGAAGCGAACCTGTAGGTCATATATTAGCATGGCGCGGATGAAAAAAAAAATTGAACACAATTTGCAAGGAAAAATACATACGCATGAGTTTCGTCTTCCTCGCGGAAGATTCGATCGTAGATCTCCCGTTGTTTGAACTCGTCCATTTCCTTGGAGAATTTGCTGAAATCAATGTGCTCGCGACCCAGAGAAGAAGCCTTGACATTGTAACCATCAAAAATGGGTCGTTCGAGTAACAAACCCAGACCAGGGGCCTTAGGGATGGCAATGCGATCAGGTCCGTAGGTCTCATTGATGCGGGCCGGAGGACAGCCGGAGCGGACAACAAGCGCGGCCATTGCAACCATCTTGCGGATCTGGTGCATCATGAAACTTTGGCCGTGCACCTTCAGGCTGAGCCATTCGGTACCGTTGATAACGATGGGGGTCGGGTTGACGTTGAATGACTTGATGTGGCGCTTGGAAGAGGGATCACGGTGGGTTTTTTGAATAGTGTAGTTGTGGAAGTTCTTGGTGCCTTCGTACTGATTTAAACACTCCTGGAGACGGGTGATGCGAGATGTAGGAACGCGATAGTTTCGCTTGGCTGCATTGTACGCCGCTTTGATGGATTTGATGGTGTCATGAATCAGCTGTTGCCGCGGGTCCATCTGGTCGGGCTGTCCCTCGGAAGTCTCGGTAGACTGTTCTGTGGGAGGCTGCTCATTTGGCTCAGGTGCCACTGCCGAAGCATCTTCGGCACCCTCTGGCGCTTCTTGGTTCTCCTTCCAATAAAGAGCCTTTTGGATGACTTGACGCACATCCTCGGGGACGTTCTCCAGGATGGGCTTGATGTGTTTTTCGTCAATCTCCTCCCAAAATCCTGCAACCTCTTCCTGTCGGGCTGCAAGAGCATCTGTCTCGCCTGCTTGCTCCGCAGACTCGACGATCTTGCGTCCAAGATAGGTGCTCGGATGGGGTGGCAGGAGACAATGACTTGGCATCAGGTACTCGTAAACACGGGAGTCACACAGCTGGTAGCAGCTAAAACTTTTGCTGGTAAGCTCGATGCCCCAAACCCGAATTTGAGGGCTGAGCTTCTCATTGATCTTCTGAACAATATCCGGATCTTCGACGATCATCTTTAGCGAAACAACATTTCCAGCCGCGTGGACGCCCTTGTCGGTTCTCGCGCAACGGACGAACGAAGACTTTTTGGGATCCGCCGCATTGGCTTTCGAGATGGCGCCGGCAGCGACAAAGGCCGCAAAGAGGTCACCCTCAATTGTTTTCCGATTTACGTTCCTTTAAATGCGTTGTCAGTGCCAACCTATCAATTATTATCACTCGTAACACCAGTAATTCCACATACAATTGCATTCCAGAGTAGCCGGTACCGGAGTATCCCAACAGAACGGCAGCCTTCTTCTTTGGTCGCCGCTCCTCATTGTCGATCTCTTCTTTGGAGAATTGGGTTGCATAAATCGGGTCTTGGGGCTCATCGCCATTTTCGATCTTGCGGCGCTTGGCTTCGGCCTGCTGCTCATGCCGCGCCCTCTTGTCTATATTTTGTCGACTTGCTTGATTAGTTAGTCGATATGGCGGGGCAATGCAGCCAGTAACTAGGGTGAAATACCTCCATTCTCCCCGGCCCAAATCTCTTGGCCGACGCTTTTCACCAGCTCCGCCTCCTCTTCCTTTGTCACCGGCCATTGTACCCGGTTTAAGACTTGTGATAATTCGGCGCGAGGTGGAGGGTCGCTCAAGAAAGACCGGGTGAAAGCACGCGGGGAAAGTGTATTTGGGGGTTTGTGGAGAGATGAATATAATATTGAACTGCTGGGCTTCGTAAAGATCCCAGCCAGGTTCCGCTGCAAAATCGCTGAGGAGCGCATTAAATCGGCCGCCGGCAAAATCGAATCTTTGCTGCGGCGCGCTTTTCTAACAGACGCTAGTCCATAATGGTCCTAGTGTATTGATAATGACGCTAACCACACTGGGGTTACGACTGCCTGGGGCTCAAGTAATCCATCAGGTGACCTGCAGGTCGCATTGAGCTCGTCTGCTTCTTGCAATCCCGGCTCATTCACTCTTGACAAGCCTGGCGCTTGCCCTGGGCAGACAACGATTTTCTTTGTTTCCTCTCGCCTCTCTCACTCCCCCCCACCATACTGGCTTCATCTGAACTCGAAGACCGAAGCATGATCGCCTCGCCCAACTTTTGAAAAGCGCGACTTGAAGCCTTGCGCTCTATTCCGTCACGAGAGCCCTGTCCGCTTCTGAGCTTTCTCGCACCTCGACCACTACCGCAACGATGGATCTCGCAAATACGCTCATTCGGAGCGTGGCGCGCGCCTTCTACGAGACCCGCCACATCTTGGTAGTGGATGCGCTCTTCCTTCACTCGGTGTATGACTCTCCGACGCATTGATTGTCTGAAGACATGCTTATCTCTTGCAGTCTACATGCCGAAGACCTCGCCTTCTTGATGGGAATGCAACAGAAAGACCTTCGCAAGCTCTGCGCCAGGCTGCGGGAGGACCGCCTCATCGCAGTGTATGGTTCACCTCTGTCGCATTAGGTTGCATGGACAGATGTGACATCAGCTAACGGGACTTTTTTGTTGGGATTACAGAAGCACTCGAGCCGAAATCCGTGATGGATCGACCCGCCCTGTGAACCGTGAATACTACTACATTCCTCTGCACCCGGTCATCGATGCGATCAAATACAAGGTCTCGAAATTGACCTCGACGATCAAGGCGCAATATACGCCGAGTGAAGAACGAAAGGAATACATCTGTCTGCGATGTGGAACCGAATGGACGGAGCTCGACGTGCTGAGTCTGGTCTCCGAGGAAGGGTTCGAGTGTCAGAACTGCGGCGCGATCCTGGAACGAACCGAGGATGTCAAGGGAGTTGAGGGCATCGACCGCACGGGCCACGAGAAAAACAGCCGACTCATGGCACAACTGGACAGCATGCTCAAGTTGCTGAAGCAGATCGACTCGGTCGAGATTCCGCCCAACGACTTCGACACCGCGTGGGATCACAAGGTCGATGTCCTCCGCAACCAGAGCATACACCCGATCCGCGCGGCGATCGCAGTGCCTTCCAAACAGCCGAATATTATCCGTGGCACCATGAAGACGGACGAGTCGGCCATCGAAATTTCGCTTACATCAACCGAGGAGAAGAGTGCTGCCGAGCAGGCCGAGGAAGTCGCTCGCAAAGCTGCCGTGGAGAAGCAGAATGCTCTTCCAGTCTGGCACACGCATTCCACTGTCGACGCCGATACGCCTGGTACTACGCATGTCAAGAGCGAGGCTGGCGTGACCGTGAAGCCAGACCTTGCCGATGAGGACCAGAAGCCAGGCCTGGATGCGTTGGACGACAAGGTTGCCGCCTACTATGCCGAGATGGAGCGGGAGAAGGCGTTACAGGCCCAGGAAGACGCCAGCAGTGCCGAAGAAGACTCGGATGAATTCGATGAGGAATTCGAAGATGTCGGCGGTACTTCTGCCCCCAGTGGACCGAACACGCCTGCGACAGGTGGTCCAACCAGTGCGCCCGTACCTTCTTCTGGGGTAGCTGGAATTAAACGTGAACACGACGCCGACTCCAGTCCTAGCGCCGCTCGGTCCTCCACAGGGACCCCGTCCTCGCTCGCCGACGACGGACCAGCAGCAAAGAGGTTGAAGGTTGAACCAGATACTGCGGCTGAGCCGGCCATCAAACCGGATCCTGATGCGAAGACCGAGCCTGCGGTGAAAGAGGAGGCGGGTGAGTCAGATGAAGATGACGAGGAATTTGAAGATGTATAATACGCTACGCTCCAATAGTTGGCGTCTACAGCCACCTCACTTTGGGGTACATCCCAACGTGGTTCTCTCTGGTGGGTGGCCACTGGACGTAAGCAACGAAAAACCAAAAACAAGTCTGGCGCTGGCGCCGAAAATAGAAATTGATGCATTTTCAGATGATGTCTGTTTTCAGCATGCTATCGCCTATGTCACACCCATCAACACAATTTAATTGCGCAGGTATTGTACACTGTGTCGTAGTTACCTCGGGTGATTTCTGTTCTGAAAATCCCCATTCAGGTGGGCAGCCCTAACCACCACCAAACACGCAAAAAGAGCACCTACGAAGTATGTAACTTGATTTGAGATGACGCTGGGAAGTGCACAGGATTTCGCGGCCTGGCATGTCAATTTTCGTGACATTTCCGTTCCGCTAGCGCTACTTTAGCCGCCTCCTAGCTGGACGCTAAAAATGGCGACAACTTACAACGAACTATCTAAAAAGCGCTTAGTAGAAAAGAACAGTTTCATGTTTAACCCAGCGCTAATGGTTACCACTGTAAATCACGATAAGCTACCCTTCCCAGACATCTTACCACGAGCACCACGGCTTCTTCATTCGAAAGCCCTTGGACTAGCTCTAAATTTGTTCCTGACCCACCAAATAGAATCTCTAACGACTACTACAGTGCGTACCGACTGCTATTTTCAACTCAACACACTTTGCAGACACCGGCCAATCTTGTCCCTACTTTAGTCGGGTCCACTTTGGGGGCAGAATGTGCTATGGGCACTAGGATGCCTTGCCCGTTTTTATTATTTACTTTATTTTATCTTATTGAGTCAGGACCTTTGCTGAAATAGCGCGTGGGAATGTTTCTTTTTTTTTTCCAACTCGCCTCTGTCGTGTCAACTAAAAGCAGGGTGGATATCTTCAACTACCTTCCCCAGGTATTTGTCCCAAGTATAAAGGGCTGCGGTTCAATGAATGTCAGACAGTTTGATGGTTCGGCTATCTTTGAACTAACTTACCATCGAATAATATCTCGTGCCTGGCCAACACGGACGTGGGTTGGTGCTCTCGTAATATCTATCCTGGACTCCACTTCACACCAGCTGAACTGTATCCTCATACTAGTCTTGGGGGCCGGCCCCAAAAACTCTATCACTAGGAAAAGTTGACTGTTTTATTGAAATGATGCAGAGAGACAAACACCCGCACGGCATGTTAGACCCATTTTTCGAGAAATGCTGAACGTCTATTAGTGCGGAGGCTCTTTGGGCCCGTTGCTTTGCCCAGCGAATTCCAGCAGACATTAGGCGCTTGAATAATAATATGAAGAACTCTGCTGAGAATTTGAATCTTTCTTGTGTTGTTGTCCTTTCTTCTGTATAGTGTCCAAATCCTCGCCGCCAGGATGGTTTCCTTAACAGGAAGTATTCTGCTTCTCCTGCCGGTGCTGCAGAGCATCCATGCGTCCCCGGCAAATTTTCACAACCATGACACAGAGGGGGCGGCTGACATTGATGCTTCATCGGCTCTTTTGAGTTCAGCATTAGAAAGCAATACTCCCTTCACCCTGGCTGCTCGAGACCAGAATATCAACCGCAACGTAGACAGTTCCCTGTCGAGTTCTCGATCTTCGAGGACTCATCGGCCCACTGGAACTCGTCGACAGGGAGGTCAGCCACCCAGCAATGTGCCACAGACCCCAGGATCGGGGTCTGTGAATGTGGCCGCCTCAAGCTCATCCAAAGGGCCTGCTACGCCAGTTGGTGGCAGCCAATCGACCCAGAGTGCCACACCCAACACTAGCAAAGGCAATGGCAATGGACATCCGACACAAACATCAACCAAGTCTCATGGGCCTACAGGGGGGGATGTTGGCACGTCCAAGCCACCGCCTCCACAGAGCCAAACCCCGTCGCCCCAGAACAATACCCCGAAGCCGAGCAAACAACTCACCAGCAACGCTGCTCCTAGCCCTCAGAAGAGCAACACCACGCCTCCTAGCGGGCCAGCCAGCACTACCCCGAGTCCCAAAGGCCCCCGTCCATTACCGTCGAACTCTAATAATGGTGGCGCTCCGGTGGGCTCTGGATCTAGTTCCTCGAAAGACAACACGCCCAAGCCTACGTCGTCCCCATCGGCATCTCCTAGCAGCCCACCATCAACCAAGCCAGGCGCATCCGGGGCCGGCGGGTCTGTGTCGTCAACTCCTGGTCCTAGTACTTCTACTCCCTCGGCCAGTGGCGGAAAGTCAGCAGACCCCAAAGGCGACTCAACAGTCACGACGCCCAGCAGCTTTGCCTGGGGCTATGTGGCCCCGAGCTCGACTATGTCCGCCGCAGCGGAGAGCAGCTCCGCCGTTATTCTGGCAGGCATGTGGCTGAAGGCAGGAGACAACATCGCGGACATAACAAGCAACGACAAGGACAAGAAGGACAAGAAAACCAAGCAGATCGAAGACGTAATCGAGAACACCCAGCACACGTACGACGAAGTGTCCAAGAAGCCCGACAACCCGCCCGACTGTTCTGGAGGAGGATCAAAGAAAAAGAAGAAGCGCGGTCTGATCTCTGGCGTGGCTAATCTGATCAAGACTGGCTTTACGGCGGCCGAGTCGTTGGCCTGTACCTCGCAGATGGCAGATACACTCTCAGGCCTGATTAAAGTGCCCAAGCCCGACCTTGATCAGATCACCAACCTCATGAAGAGTATCACTACGTTGCAGCAAACGAAGCCCTCGCCCCCTGATGACCCCAATGACCCGGAATCACAGTCCGAGTCCGAGTCTGACAGTTCGACCTCGTCGACGTCCACTTCCTCCAGCTCTGAGTCAAGCTCGACGTCAACCCCCAGTTCAACGTCGACGCCCAAGTCGAGCTCCAGCTCGACCTCTAGCTCAAGCTCCAGTTCCAAATCAAGCTCCAGCTCCAGCTCAAGCTCACGATCCAGCTCCAGCTCAAGCATCCAGTCCGCTTGTACCAGGAGACCCTTGACCAGCTTCTCCACAATCAACTGGGAATCCCTGAAGTCCATGTCAAGGGGGCCTACCTCAACAAACCCACCAAAGTCCACTAAAGCAGGCACAACCTCCTCCAGCTCAGCAAGCGCAACAGAGCCACCCTGCCTCCCGCACGAAGACCCAGACAAGGGCGAGGGCTTGCAATGCCGCTGCGGCACCAACGGAGTCGCTTACCCAGTGATGCCAAGCAGTTCGGGACAATCCAGCTACAACCCATGCGGATGGGCGACCACGCCGGCACCAGCAACGAAAACGCCAGCCAACTACAAGGTGACGAACCCGCAAGGCACGGTCTTCAGCTGCATCTCAACGTCCTACGAGAACGCAGCTGTCAACCCGACGCCCAGCTGCGTGAAGACGGGGTCCGCAGTGGCGACGATCACGTCGATGGCGCGCGCATACACCTCGTCGATATCTGCGTCCGAGGCGGCGGCGGCGGCGTCCACGTCGTCCGCCATAGCCATGCACCTCCACCGCAAGGCGAGCTGCACGAAGCTATGGCAGGCGACCGATATCGACTACCCGGACACGATGTTCAAGGTGATGCTGGGCGACTGGGCCGATGGAAAGACGTTCTACGACGAGGTGCAGAAGTGTCTCGAGTCGGATGGGTCTATTGAGGGCTTCCTGTGGGATGAGGTCAATGACGGCGATTATAAATGGCGTGCTGCTTTTGAACTCAAGCGGTATGGTGTGGGTTGTCCCGATAATGCGATCTATAATATTGGGGGGCCGGTTACGGAGTGTGGTCAGTTCCCTGAGAACGATCAGGATCTTGAGTCGTCCATTATGGTGGCGCCGCATACGGCGCCTCCTTCTTGATGGGGGTGATGATGGCTATATTACTTTGGTTTGGAATGTTCGAGATGGTAAGCACTAGAGTCGAGTGAGGAGAGTAACTCGCTTTGGCTGTTAGAGTTAAGTCTTGATGCATACTCTGAGTATCTAGATGGGAATCTGCCCCCAGCAGAACCCTAGTTTCATTTCCTTTTGATGTATTCATCGGTTTATGAATCAAAGATAATAATGTGAATTGAATATTCTGGTCATTTTATCTTGGTTTGTAGCTTTGTGGATTTCCCTCACGGGGCATACCTCGAAGTGTCCATGGGCTTTGTCCACGATATACCTGAAACCTCTTGAGGCCCCCGCCGCTAGTACCTAGTATGAAGGCAGTATACTACTCTTCCCCTTCAAAACAGACACCATACACAAAATGCACAGAAACTGTCTACCGTGACGCCTTTTTATTCAGATAAATCCACGGCCCATCCCGAGCCGAGCAAGTCAAGGCAGACCAGCAACGCCGCGAACCCTAGCATGAAACATGGGAGGATACAATAAACCCCCAAAATGAAAAACACAGAAAAATAAGTAACCCTCCATAAAGATCCGTTACGTATGCGAATGTGCTATGAATCACAGACCCTCGCCCTCGCTCAATCTGCAGACAACATCCCCGATGAAGAAGTAAGAAAATCAGAAAACGAAAAATCCACTAAAAAAAAACTCCATGTTCTTAGGGGGAGCCGGCGAGTCCCATCTCGGAATCGCTGGCCAGCGCAGAATTGGCATCCCATTCTTCCGCGGAAGGCGGGTCAGACTCTGGGATCAGGGCGTTAGACAGGGAGAGCCGGGAGGCGTCTGAAGGGGCGGCGTACCTGAGGCCAGATCGTCAGGGACGTCGACTGTCACTCGCTCGAGGAAGACAAGGACCGCTTTGACAGAGGAGTCAGTGAAATTCTCAAAAAGGCTAACTAGAAATCGGCTTACCATTGGCCTCTTTGAGGATCTGCTGATCCTCTTCACTATCGTTGAAGTACACTTCCAAGCAATGGGTCATGACTGAGCTGATCGCCTCGACTAATCTGGATTCGACGGTCCGGATTTGGTCGTTGAGGAACGACTTCTTGACTCGTTCGACGCAGGCCTGCAGTAGAGCACGAGCAATGGTGGCATGTCGGGGTTGATCTTCCTCAGTGTCGCTCTCGCCGTGGAAGAGGAGGGTGCGAAGCGCTTCAACGGCAGAAAGGCGCACATTTCGGTCAGGGTAAATGAGCAATACTGGCACCCAGTCCGGAATTTTGTCTGTCACAATCATGGTAAACTCTTTGGGGCCGATGTCCAATCGATCGTTGGACACCTGGCGGAGGCGTGTAAAGAATTGCAGGTGCTCTGAACCTCCACTGTTTTCGATGGTATCCAATCCCTTACCAACGAAGTCAATCATGCATAGAATTCGCTCCTTGTCTGGGCAATGCTTGCAAAAGACCAGAGTTGCATCGAGGAACGGGGCACAGTGCGCAGCAGGAGAAATCCTCAAGCCACCCTCGAGCATCTTGCAAATCGGCCCCAGGAAGCCTGCCTGGGGCTCTGCTTCGAGGAAAGTGATGAATATGCTCAGACAAGCCGGCGAGTCAGCAATGCTTTCGTGCTGGAGCAGTTTCGTGAGGAACAACAGCGATCCATCCTCTTCGAGCGGATTGATGAGGCTGCTTTCTCTCACACTAAGCGAGAATCGCCCTCCCGAGCAGGTTCGCCCGTCCTCGGCTGCGGTGGGAGGAAGGGAGAGATCGATGTTTTTGAAAAACAACAAACACAATGCCGCCATTTTTCGGTAGGAGAAGCGACGGCCCTTTTCTCTCAGTCGACGGTAGGCGACATAGTACTGTCTGAGCCTCTTCCGGTCCTCAACATCGAGCCAGATGATTTCCAGGCATTTGACAAATACCTCATTGTCCAGCATCGCCTCGATAACCCGTGGTCCAAATTCTGCGAGCCTGATGAAGAAGTCGAAGTAATCATCCCACACGCGCGGTAAAGCCTGGACAGAGGGCCAAATGACCTCTAACATGGCAACAATCTGTTCAATAGCTTTGTCGAATTTTTCCCGCCATACGTTGCGTTGACTCTCATCGATATCACTGTCATTCATACCTGCGTGGATCCTTTTGACAGCGCCCATAATGATCATGGTTTCTTTGTGTCGAACATCTGGGTTCAAAATCTTCAAGATGAGGTTTTGAAGCGAAGTTTGTCGAGTACAAACCCACTCAAGCACTCGAAGGGCTGCATCTGGCATCGGGAGCATTTGGAAGAGTTCGGTGAAGATACCATCCAAACCCCGGTAGTCCTTGGATCGAGAAACCAGCTGTTCGAGTGTATCCAGCCCCACGTCGATGGCTAGCCTGCCAATCCGGAGTCTGTTCGGGTACTCTGGATGTGTTTCATTTAGACGACGGAGGAGCCGCTGCACAAAAAATGCATAGTATGGGTCCAAGAGACAATAGCTCCGAATAAGGATCTCGTTCTCCATGGAGATGTGATTGGCAATCGTAGTTGGAATCGGGACACGAACCGGGAGTTTGGGCATTTCTTGCTTTTGTAGCACTGCCGAGTCCTCCCCTGTGGGAACACGCTGGTAGAACAACATGTAGGCGTTCCAAACTTTATTGAGATGAGCACCGCCCATGGAGGGAATCGATTCACCCTGGCCGCCAAAGCAATGATCTGCGATTGTCGATGGGTCAAAGCGGGTGACATCCGAGTCGTTGAACTCCACCCACGAAGCCGACGCATCAGTTGGGGATCGTTCTCGAGTGTACGAGTAGTAGTGGCCTGATTCGGCGGTGCCGGTATGAACCAAAACGCCAACCAATTCGAAGACATCCGGTGCAACACACGCATTGGACTCGGAAAGATAATCCACCTTGAAGGGAGTCATATCGATTCGTTCAGGGAACTGGAATTCGTCGTTGATCTTGCTTCTCATCATAGTAACCATATCAAAATCGAACCGTTTCAAATGGAAGATGAGGTTGTTAGGGACATCCTTTAAACAGGCCCTACACGGCAGTTAGAAGATTTAGCTCCCACTAGAGCATGGGAATTCACTCACCGTTTGACAGCATCGACATGGCGTCCACAAGAAGTGCATGAATACTTGTTGTCTGGTTCATGGATCAGAAATCATATCTCAGCATGAGATGCGTGTGCTCACTAACCTCCCTGCATGATTTCGCCTTCGACATATGCCTGCAGACTCTCTTCGAGGCTGGCCTTGCCCTTGATCTCACATTGAATCGCAGAGAAAGGTTCCAAACGTTCCGAAATATGATCACACTCTTTGGACTTGATTTGCTGCACCAGCTGACCGCCATAGAAAAGTCGGAACTTCTTCTTTTCTTCTGGGTCCGTGATTTGCGCCTCCCAGCGGTCAAAAAGAAGATTGTAGAATTCATCAACATCCATCTGAATAGTGACATCGATCGCCTCGTTGTCGTAAGTGAGAATGCTGTCCACGAATTCTTGCGGGTCAACACTCTTCCTCCATGTCTCTTGCATCCATGCAAACAGTTTTTGGGTTTGATTGAGAAGCATTTGCGATGAATCAGAGTCAGTGAGATGCATTTTTAATATGAACTCCCGGAATTCGATGTTCATGAAAAGCTGTGTCATCAAGGAGTTCAGGTAGCAGGTGTTGGAAAGGTTCTTGAGGCCGGCATAGCCCTCAGGCGCTCGAAGCATCTTTGTTCGATCAACGCACCAACTCGAGATATAATCTAACGAAGAATCAAAATCTGACAGGATCAGAATGGAAAAATGGTGGAATGAACAAACCTCGTGGAATAGCATCCTCTAATTGCACTAGAACATGCTCGTAATTTTCATCCCTTTGCTTGCATAGCAAATTGACTATATTGTAGAGTTTCTGGCGAGACCAAGTATGCAAGACTGGGATTTGCGTGACGATGCGATCGTCCGATTCCGTCGACAACTCCGGCAGAAGGTAATTGTTCAAGATCTGCTCTGCAAGATCACTGTAGAGATCTAATTAGCCTTCTACCAAACCTCAACGAGTAAAAGGGAACCTACAACGTGTCCAGGGTGATTTTGGCAGTGTCAGCCAGATCAAGGCACACTTCCAGCAAATCAGCAAATCCCAGAATCAGGTAATCGACCTGTTCCCTCCCAACGAACTACGGGCTGTTAGCTTAGGACATCACCCAGTTTTCAGGAAAGGAAAAATACCTCTTCTGTACAATGGCTCAGCATGACTTGACTCCATTCTGCGAGGTAGTCGCCGAGTATCAAATCACTTGGCGATTTCTCTGCAACAGAGCGGAACACCCAGAGAGCAACAGTGAAAAATTCTGCTGACTGACGGGCATATTGCAAAGTCTTGGGGATGACCTGGACAAATGAATTCCAGATGGTAGCCAGCATGTCGATTCGGCCAGGGCTTTCGGCAGGTGATAACGCTTGTGCTTCCTCGTTGCTAGTCTTTGTTGACTGCTTGAAAAGTTTTGAAGGACTGCAAGTGATCTTGATTCGCTCTGCGATGCTATGCCGGATTTGTTGTCTGTCTTCATCCAAAAGGAGAGACAGGATCAATTGGTCGAACTGAGCTTGTCGTTTGACAATGTTCCAGAACTTGTGATCGCACAATGACCCTTCGATCAAGACCGCGAACGAGTGGCAGATCAATTTTTGAATCCTTGGACTGGGCAAAGAGACAGCGGGTACATGTCGGCCGGTTTCGATGAGACTGAGAAGTCGTTGAACCAAGGACTGGGGGTCGTGAATGGGAATGGATCCATCATCGGTCGGACGATAGACTGAAGCGTATGAGTATCAGTAGCCGCCAGTAACAGAAGGGCGAAAACGAAACTTACTAGGAAGGGCAACAAGAAGGCATTCCACGGCATGCGTAGCGAGGTGAAACTTGATCGGACTTTCTGCGAGCGACTCAAACAGTTCGTTGGCAGTCAGGAAAGCCGCCAGCGCCTGAATGCTATGCGACACGAAGGACTGTTTTGGTGACAACTGCGGCATTCGTATTAACACCGGCATAATAGAGCATGAAAGCAAAACTCACCTCGACGGCTTCTTCACGAAGACAAGAGGATAGGGTGCTCAGAGAATACAATGCAATGAAAGGTTGTTGCAAGGGAAACAAGTCCTTTTCGTTTTTCTCTTCAGACCTAACCAATTCCAGGGCCCGGTCTTGCGGCGGAAACACGAGGAGAAAGTCGAAGATCTACATACAGTAAGCATATGGTCAAGAACGGATGATGGAGTATCAAATAGTACCTCGCGAGCCAGGTCATCTTTGAGGCCGAGAAGCTCATACAGCTCATCGAAATGCTTGAGCACCTCGAAGTCAACCGAAGAAAAGGATTGTCGTTTTCCACTCCGATCCACCTCCTGCGCATCTGGGGATTTGCGAATCATGAGAAGTCCAGGATGAAGCTTCAAATCCTTGAGGAGGGTCTTTGGGCTTTCTAGAAGCTCGATCCTTTGTCCACCAGTAATGGTAGTGAATTTAGAAAACCCTGTGAGCAGAGTCAGTCTTTCCACAAGATCGGCAGCCGTGGAAAGATCGCCGATGCGTAATGAGCAAACTGCGGAGCTGGAATTGCCGCTGAACCATTGGTAGGAAATAACTATGGGTTGACCAGACAATGGAGGATCAGGCAGATTGGAGGGCGAGCTCTGTGGTGGGCTGTATTGTGGGCGAGTGCGCAACCCATGAAGCAGTTGGCGGAGGAACAAGAGGGACCGGCTAAAGCTGAGCTCGTCAGCTTCCAAGTCACCATTTGAGCTGTCGATTTCCATAGGAACATCGCCATTGGCCGATGCGGTGTTTGGTGACTTCAATTTCGTGGCAGCCGACTTAAGCTGATCCACACAACGGTTGACGATGGCCATATGAGTGGCTTCCACCGCCGATCGAGGGGACCTGCGAATGATCTGGTGGTCCAGATACAGATCGATAGCAAATTTGGTTGCCTCGGTCTCAATAGTACCCGGGGGAGCCGTCAAGATGAACGTCCAGATCCGCTCTATTCCGGGAATAGACACCACTTCTTCCTCCCCAGCCATGGGCGGGGGGTTGAGACGGACCTCGTAGTTGATCGACTGTTTCGCGAACAACAACACTTCATGGGAGAAATCCTGAGGGAGAAGCCCGGGCAAATACTCCCGAATACATCGCTCAAGAAACGAGTTGTGCTTTCCACTGCGACTCGTGACATTGACCATCATATCCCACACAACCTTGCGGATCTCGTTTCCCAGCTTTTTCGACATGAGAACCTCGTTCCACATTATGCTGCTGAGTTCCGGCGTGATGGTGTCAGGGGCCATGTCAATGAGACGGTACACAATCTGCACCCGCGAAATGAAGCCGTGCCGTGAGAAAGGATCAGAAAAGTCGATGTGGCCTTCGCCCACGGTATGGCGTAGCTCCTGGATCACTAATCGAGTTAGATCGAAGTCCGTGGCCAGCTTCCAAATTTCTTGTGATTCAGATGAGGGCACCAGGGCGTTCAAAGCCTGAATACTGCCTGCAGTGAACTGATTCATCTCGGCAATATCCTGGATGCAACGCTCGTACATCTCCATTTTGTCCATCTCACTCAAGCCCGCTTTGATGAACTGGCCAAGCTGCGCGCTGCCGAAACGTTGTAACTGGGTTTTGTGCTCTACCGACAAATCCTCGGCTGCAGTGCTTTCCCGAATGAGACGTACGCAAAGACGTAGCGGAATGGGATCAACATGGTTCACTTCTGATAGGTCGTAAACCCCTCCTGAGACAGGCCTTTCACGCATTCGAGGCAAAAGGAGTTCGCAAACCTCTATCATGCGTGCATCGAAGCGATCCAACGGCAGCTCAAGCAATTTGGTACACACGTAGAGCAAGGCCGGGGACCCAGACGAATGCATAGGGAATGTGCGCATCAGCATTATCAAAACCTCGGAAACGGTTCGGCTGTCTTGACTTTCCGTCACTGTTTTCCAGATGGTGTCTGTGTCGAGATCGTTGTACGCCGACGTCACGACCAAGAAGCCAACGATATTGCTGCTGCGGCTGATCAGTTGTGGATGGGAGTCGACACCCACAAGATAGTCCACGATTTTATTGTCTCGCAGAAACCTGACAAGGTATTGAACGAACGGAAATGCCAATCCGTCGGGGTTGTTGGAGATGCTCTGCTGCCAGATACTAACCAGGTCTGACTGCATCGTCTCCACGCCGAAGACCCGAAGCTCCATGCGGCCATCCATGATATGCTTCTTCAAAACCCCGAATTTCCAGGCCCATAAAATGACGCTGGTGTTTTTCTCCGAAGTTGCTCCTTCCGACAACTCTATAGATAAATCCTTCGAGAGTTGGTGAATGAAGTCGGGGTCGCGATTGCAGAAGAGACTGTAGCCACGACTAATGAGACGCAGCATCTGCTCACTCATGTCGCTGGAGGCCCAGGGGAACTTTTTCGTGACTGATTCTTGGTATTTTTCATCGATAGATCGCATCATCTCGTAAAGTGTTTGCGTGTTCCTCGACTGAGCCGGAGAGTCGACGATCACACCTGCTTCCATGCTCTGTCTTCGTTCCAGCATGTACTCGGTCAAGCTGTTTGAGACGCATACAATCAGTGGCACCACGGTAGCCAGGTGTTGGCACTTGGGAGTCAGGTATATGATCTGAAATGCATATTCCGCTATGCCGTCGACTAGATCAATTGGAGGTGCTGCAACCAGGGTTTTGAGTCGAAGCACAAGGTCAGGCATCTCTCCGTCGTAAAGCTTGTCTAAGGCACGGAAGAAAGGAATGGCGTGAAACTGTAGTGACCAAGACAGAGGTTGCAAGTAGCGCCGTGACATGCTTTCGGGCACCTGAAGGTCTGTCTCATCTGCCCAGCGCTTCAAGGCCAAGGTATCCTGGCGAACCAGATGGATGGTGATCCGAGCATAATTGAGGAAGAACTCTTCGAGGAAAGTCCAGAGCCCTTGCCCATGATTTGGGTGAATTTCGTGTCTAATGGGCATGTTAGCTCTAGAGAGCAATGAACAGTGATCTCGATCCGGGGTCTCCTTACCCTCTGCGCAGCAGAGATTCTATGATAAGCGGTATAAGTTCCCAGAAGTCGCGGTCCTCCGCAAACACGGCCGGCGTCAATCGATTCAGGTCGCGCACACAACCGTCCATCCATCGTTTCATCGCAACCAGCGCGATAGCATCATTTACATCTCCTGTAGCAGCAGGGCAAGTCAGGATCGAGGCCGGGCTTGTCGAGGGCGAAGCGATCGGTCGCTTACCTTTTTCAAGCATGAGGCAAATCTGCTCCAAGCTCTCTCGCGCAGCCTGGCCATCACACACCTTGGGGAAGGAGTCAATCAGAGGGACAAGGTCCTGGACCTCGACGACCTCAGACGCAGTGTTGTCCCGCAACGCCTCCTCCAGCGGCCGCCAGTTGGACATGTTGGGATCTTGATCCATATCCTCCAACTCAGCAACTTCAATCTCGGGGCTCTGCGCGGGTGAGGAGGAAATGGATACAACGTTGGCGGGGGTCGCGTCGTCGCGGGCAGCGGATTGCGACTTGGGAGAGGGATCTGTGTGGTCAGCCGGGCCATCCAGCTGGGCAGAAGCCAACTCAGAGGCAGGGGATTTCATGTTGATGGTGACTTTGCTGGCCGAGCGAGCAGGGTCGGGGGTCAGGTCCATGTCGGAGGCAGGAGCGGGTGTCGCGAGAGCACCGTCAAGCGACAAGGTCTCAACCACGCGACTTCCACTGTCGAGACGCGGACGTTTCCGAGTCGCCTGCAGATCCAGATCCTCCATGGAGTCACCGTGCAGACGTGTCGACTCGATCAAGGGAGTGCCAGGTGGGGTGTGAGAGCTCTCTGGCGGGGGTGCTGCCATGACATTTTCTTCGGGGGGGTTGGATGGTGGAAAAAAGTGATCAGTGAGGGGAATGACGAGAGAGGGATTAAAAGTGAGAGGAAGAAACAGTCATGTGTGTACTGGGAGTGTCAAGTGAAAGCAATCCGCCGACGATGTGTGTCTGCGGAGGCTGAAGCGGACAGCTTTTTTTGGGGATGCGAGAGACCAGTGACGTTGTTCGGTGGAGAGAACAGGATCGACCATTCTCAGGACCCAATCCTGCGTGTCCTTGTCTTTCTAGTAAAAGGTAGGGAAATAGTCATTTAGAGCTATTAATTCAGCTTTTCTCATTCCGTTTCTTGTTTTTACTAGGCAGCAACTCAGTACTTAGTGAGCAAACACGGCTCTACCTACAATGCATGTATGCAAGTATATACCCAGCATATACAAAGAAATAGAAACAACCCCAAACTACTAGTAAGAAAACTGCATAGATTCTCTGAAAAGGGCTTATCCGATCGATCAAATGCCACTGTCTGGCCCAGCCATGCATCCCGGCAATAAAACCAGTGTTTATTGATCATCTCTCTCATTCCACGCATGTGTGGATGCCAAGATCAAATCCAACAAGCAACAAAGCAAGACAACCCTTCATTCTGTCATGGATGTCTCAATACGGCGAATCACTCGAGCTGGGTTCCCAGCAGCGACATGAAATGCAGGCACATCCTGTTGTGTTCAGCACAGTGGCAACCATTTATAAACAAAAGCAAGAAGAAATAGATCTACAAGACATATTCAAAGAAAGCATAGAAATACATACCTTGGTCACTACACTCCCAGCTCCGATCGTTGCACCTTTCCCAATCTTTACCCCCGGAAGCACAATCACATTCCCTCCAATCCAGCAATCCTCGCCGATATCAATTGGCTTGCCCATCTCAGGCCCCTCAGTTCCATTGCGCAAAGCAGGATCGAGTGGATGTGTCCCCGCAAACAGGCTGACGTTGGGACCGAACATAGTCCGAGCACCGATGGTGATGGGGCAACTGTCGATGAAGACGCAGTTGAAATTCACAAAGACACCCTCGCCGAGTCTCACATTGAAGCCATAGTCCACCCGGATTGGAGGCTCGATCCAGGGCTCATGTTGAAAGAGGGCTTCATCAGCCACGGGGTCATCCTGGACTGGTGGCAGAGGACTGTGATCGTCGACAACACTGGGGAGTATTTTAGTTGAAAGATCGTAGACTGTTGAGAGGTTGAAGTGGTGGCCATGACTGTAAGGTACCTAACATGGCCAGGTCACGTTCCTAAGAACCACATGTATGCCACCAACAGGGGTGCAATGAAACCAACTTACTCTCTCCACAGCTCCACCAACCGTCGCCGTGAGACCTCCCCAGCATTGTTGAACCGATTGCAGGCATATTTACAACCGGCCCGAGCTGCCACCAGATCTGGGGTGAAAGCATGGAAGAGCTCCCCGCGGAGCATCTTCTCTCTTTCTGTGGGCTGCGACATTGCCACTGCAATCGCCGATCAGTCTGAATTCCAAGAAGACCTAAATGGAACTAAACAGATGGAACCAAAGAACCAAAAAACATCAATTATACCTCGAATAACTCAAAGATCAATGACTGGAAGCAGAACTAAGAATCCAAGGGAAGCCAAGCCATGTGGGGGTGCCTCGGGGCGGGCAACCCAAGGTGACCCAAAGGCGCCCCAGATGAACAATACCACCGACATGTATTGTTCCCTGCCGTGCGAGACACAATGAAACACCACCACACCCAGACGGCGCTGGAGATTTAAGACTTCCCCGACGATCATGCGAACTCTCAGTGCGCCATCACAGCCAAAACCCTTCCACTCTCGAGTCCTGAATCTCTTCTCCGCAAGCTCCTTTTCTCTCCGCCAATATCTCCCCACCTATCCAACCCCCCCCCCAAAAAAGACATGGCCTCCGACGCAACCACCTCTGGCGCGCACCCAAGCCCAGGAAACCCGATCATCTCCTGGCCAATCGAGCGCACCTCGCACACCAACGAACCAGGCTGGCGACCTCCCCCGGTAACGCGTCGCCGCAGCTCCAGCTCCAGCTCCAGCTCCAGCAATAACTCAGCCTCAACCTCGAGCACCTCCTCCTCACGCGAAGTGGACATCGGAGCAACCAACTACCCAGGCGGCAAGATGGCGCTAGACGGGATCGCCCTGCGCGCATTCCTACTGGGGACAACACTGGGCGGGACATTGGGGCTGGCACTGTTCCTGGGCAGCGTGTACGAGACAGCGCTGTGGCGCGTGCCGTTCTTCATCGGCGCGCTGAGCATCTTCCATTTCCTCGAGTTCTGGGTGACGGCCCGGTACAACACGCGGTACGCGACGGTGTCGGCGTTCCTGCTGTCATCGAATGGGTGGGCGTACAATGCGGCGCATGGGTCTGCGGTCGTTGAGTGTGTCGTCTCGCATCTGCTGTGGCCCGGTCGTCAGTCGGCTCTGGCGCGGTCTCTGTCTTTTACGGAACCCATTACCGGGACGTCTGTTTCGGTGTTGCTGCTCGCGGGATTTTTTCTTGTCGTGCTAGGCCAGGTGGTGAGGACGCTGGCCATGGCGCAGGCCGCTAGCAACTTCAATCACCATGTGCAGGTCGAACATAAACAGGGCCATGTACTGGTCAAGTCTGGTCTGTACCGCTTCTTCCGCCATCCGAGCTACTTCGGCTTCTTCTGGTGGGGGCTCGGTACTCAGCTCGTGCTGGGGAATGTGCTCTGTTTAGTTGGGTATGCCGCGGTACTGTGGCGGTTCTTTTCTAGCAGAATCAAGCGTAAGTTTGGTTTTATCTTGTCATCTGTTGCTTTTTTTTTATTTACTTGGCTGACCATTGACCACTCATTGTAGGCGAGGAAGCGTTCCTCATCCAGTTCTTCGGCGCCGAGTACGTCCAGTACAAAGAGGAGACCCCCGTCGGAATCCCAGGGATTCGGTGATCTAACACAGAATATGGGGCTTTACAAAAGCATCAATCTAGCTAGTTAGAGAACAAAGCAAAAAGACATTTCAATCCATCGATTATGGCTCTGGTATATGGTATATGTACGGCATGGTCAACGTCCAATGCCTCACAGCTTACACCTCCAATAAGAACCCCGTGGGAACTTCATAGTTTATTCTCCGGCGCAACTCCTCCTACCGCCCCAGTCATATACGGCCCGCTTTCTTGGGATTCCCCGGCACCATGAGACGTCTCGGCCCCAAACAAGACCAGCTCACGCCCACCCTGGGTACTCCACCAGGCGACGCAGCAATGCGCTCGATCCACATCCATCTCGCCGCTGCTGAGAGCCTCCCAGAAACGGTCAACACAGATGTGTCGCATCTCCCGATCTGGGATCGTGTTGATCAGCTGTGCTGCGAGCGGAAGCCACTCTTTGAGATCGTCGACGCGGAGGAAAGAGAGAGAATCGATCAAGGCGAGGGTAAGCACAGCCTGCTCGGAAAGGGGCACGGTAGGGCCTGAATCGGCAGACACACCGGCCTGGGGTGGGATAGGTGTGGACGAAGCATTCAATGCGCGATCATGGACGACTTCCAACAGGATCGATGGAAGAAGGGGCTGGTTATTGGCGAGAGGCGACGGAGGCGCCGTGACCTGGATGACTGTTTTGAAAGCAAGACGGAATTGTCGCGCGGACAGGTTATTGGGAAATACCTGTGGATGATGAGAAATGTGGCTGGTTAAATAACAAGAGAAGAAACGTACGGCAAAGAGGTTTTCAATGTAGAAGGGCAGGTGTTTGGCAGCCAGTGCCGAGTTGTGCGGAATAGCGAAGACCACAAGCACCAGACTGTGAGCAGCCTCAAAGATCTCCAACAGGAGGCTGTTGGCCCCAGCGGCCAAATATGGAAAAGCGGCAGAAAGAAAAAGCTCTTCGTTGGCCTCGGGTGACAATAACAGAGGGAAGTGCTCGGCGGTGTTCAGGAAAAAAAGATCCAAACACCGCTCGACTGGGTGAGCAGGAATCTGGCCAATATCGCTGGGCTTGATACTTCGCAGGAAATTCTCAGCAAGGTCGGGGTAGTGCGAAAGGATGTCGATAGCTGCTAGGAACACAAAGTTGTGTTGTGATGAAGCATTCTGCCCAACTCGAGAAGAGACGAAGTAGAGGTTGCGGAGAATATGAAGGGATTGCATGGAAAGAAACGGCGCACCTAAGATATCTGGATCAGTCTCAAGAAAAGAGGCAGGGGTCTTGTGCCACTTACTACTGCCAGCAGCAAGAGCCGGATCATTGATAGATCTCCCTAGAACAGCCCGAAGAAGGATGACCACCGAGTATAAGCAGTTTCGGAGCACCTTCCAGAGAGCAGGAATCGTGCTTCTCCGTGATTCAGCTTCCAAGAACTCGGACTCCTCTGCCATATCAATCTCAGACAGTTTATTTTGGCGCCATTGCACCATGAGCGTCCGTACAAAGTCGGCGAGATAGTCGACGGTTTGCGCGACAGTCTTAACATCTTGAACATTCTCAATCGCATACGCGACAAGACGAGAGAGAGGACCCAAGGCCGACACAAGAGGACGAGAAGATATTGAAGACAGATAGCCGAATGTTGCAGAGTTGGCCGACCACCGGAATTGTTTCCCGGGGGCCTCGACAACGTCCTTGTCGATAGTCCCCAAGAAATAACCTCCCTCAAGACCCTCGGGCGAGAAAAAGGCCGATCGAATCATGATCGGCAGCAAGCGATCGTAATCCAGTTTGTTTCGTTCCAGATCGGACAGAAGCTCGAATGTGTAGTTCAACACCATAGTGATGCAATACCCATCCACACCCGCATCGGGCTCTAACTCCTCGAGAGCCAACTGTGCAGCCGTTGCCAGAGCCGACTCGAGTTTTGTTCGTATATGCCATGGTAGACCCTGGCGATTCTGTCCCTCGAAACCGAGCAGAATCCCGCCTAGCAGGAGCATGTGCCTCCAACGCGGAGACTTGTCGTCAGCGCCTTCCACCACTGCCTTAATCCATGCCTCCCGCTCGATCCTCCGATTTCGCCCATATGGTAACCGAGGCTCGTCTGTGCTGTCATTCTGCAGGACCGCAATGGCGGCGGTATTGAAGACACTGATTATCCTGCGACACGCCTGCAAGTCGACGGGGTGGTTCCACAGGGCGGGTGCGCTGAGAAGCTGCGATGCAAGCAAGCTCAAATTCAACGGGTTTCCAAGCATCGACAAGAAGCTGGTGGCCGTGGGAAGGATACTGGATATGGCATTAGCTCAAAATCAATGTTTCCCTGGTGCGATCGCGATGATGCTCGACTTACGCAGCAGCATCTTGAAGACTGGAGGTCGACTGCAGCGACCGCAGGAGCGCGGCCAATGAGCGTTCTGTTGCCATTGGGAGAAACCAGCAGAAGCACAGAGCGTGGACAAACACTCTCCGAGGTCCTTCTGCTGTATGTACATCAGGGAGAGATGCGCCCACGGCGGAGAACCCCAGACCTGCCGAGGTCCAGCCGGAGACAAACAGTGCAAACACGCGTCATTCTTCACGTCAAGCCATCTCCAGGGCGTTGTTTCCCGACCAAACCCACCACGCTGTCGAGGAAACGCTTCCTACTCTCTAGACCATGCTCTGAAATATTTCTCTTGCTGCAGCTGAACCGGCGCTGCAGCATAGCTCTCGATGGCCAACAATCGCATCCCGATCAACTACGAAGTGCCGGCGTTCCCTTCGCTGTACGATCCGCTGCCATCACACGATAAGGAGGCGTATTACCTCTATTACAAGCACGACATCTGGCGTTTTACCTTGTACTGGACCTTGGTGTTCTATGGCGCCACTCATCTGACGGTCGCCGGATGTGCGGTGTTGACGCACTTCCGCAATTGGAGCATCATCTGGATCCTGCCGCTATTATATAGTGTGGTTGCCGGGTTAGAAGGGTTATTTGCCGGGAGTATTGTCGGGCTTATGTGAGTATCTTTCGGTGTCACTGTCGAGGATTGTACTATTGTACTCGAGGGTGGGGTCTAATAGCTAATGTGTTTTGCGCAGTCTCGGCGCTGTTTACGAAGCAGGCAATTTTCGCATGTCGACTTGGCTGCCGATGATCTGGGGTGGCGTGAATGTCATGGTTCTCATCATGACGAGTTTTCCTATGCAGGGTGGTCTTTGAATGGGATCAATCTTGCCCGATGAAAATTACTTGCAAGGTGGTCAACATACGATCTATAAAAGGATATTCCATGATGCAATCCCGTTCATAAGTTGAGGTTGAATTCTGAACGCCCAGGCTATAATACATCTGGGAATCTATATCCCACAAAGAGTGCCTGACTCCGCAGAGCCGCGTCACAGCAGCCCATCATGCTATGTCCCTTACGCCGGTTCCGCAATTCCCATCCGCCTGGTCTTTTGCAGGCATTGCTGTCCTGCCACTACCGTCGGTTGCCATCGGGAGTGCCACCTCCCTGCAGTCCTGGCAAGCCACCGAACCCTGCTGGAAAGCCAGGGTTTACCGGGAAATTCTGGGGGTTGGGGTTCTGGGGCATGGGGAACCCTTGAGAGAGAAGCTGCTTCTGCAGTTGCGCGAGATCGACATTCATCGGTGGCGCTCCGGGTATTCCCGGTGGCATGGGGAACCCGGGCATTCCTTGATTGGGTGTGTGTGACTGCGGGGGAGGTTGTGTGCCCATAATTGCAGCCAAGCGGCCAGGATCCATTCCGCCCATGGCACCCGGCGGCGGCGGTTGAGCGGCACCGATACCAGGCAGTAATCCTGGGCCGTCGGGCTGGGGAGCACTTTGAATGCCGGGCAGAGACGGACCACCGGGTTGGCGCTGGTCGACAAGGCTGTCGGCCTCGTCCTGCATATCTTGCTCCTCTTCCTCGCGCATCTGTCTCCGGCCGAACCCACGGTTCCATGTGCCCTGTGCTTCTGCTGCCTCTTCGCCGATATGGAATCGATCCTGCATGTAACTAGTTTCACCGGGTCGCGCTCGAGACCAAAATCGAGTAAAGTTATCCTTCGATCCTGAGGCCAGGATATGGCCCAATGGGTGCCAGTCCAGCGACCAAATCGTGGCGGCGTGTGCGTATTGAATCCGATGCGCCGGGTAGATCACTTGTGGCGGGGTATTGGCAGGGTCCGGGCTATCATACGGTGCCACGGTGGGGATCTGGCCACTGGGTAGGTTGGGCTCATCCAGGAGATAGTGATGCAAGGATCCATCCTCGGCTCCAGTAGAGATGAGGTTGCTGTGAATCGGATGCCATGTCAACGAAGACACGGGCTTGTCATGCCCTCGTAAGATGCAAATGTCCCTCATCATCCGCAGGTCAAATACTCGCGCCGTCTGGTCGCGCGATGATGTAGCGAGGAGATTGTTGTTGACCCGCGAGAACCGGGTAGCCGTAACTGTATTTTTGTGGCTGTGGAGCGTGGTCAAGCACCGAGCGGTGCGCGGGTCCCAGAACTTGACCTGGTGGTCTTTTGACCCAGACACCAACAATCCTTTCGTCGGGTGCCAGTCGCAGGACTTGACATCCCAATTGTGGCCCGTCAGAGTCGTATCGGAGGTCCGCGAGGTAAAGTCAAAGATCTTGAGGGTGGTATCATCCGACGCAGAAAGGAACTTGGTATCGCTAGGCGCCCAGGCCAGGTCTCGCACCGCATCGTGGTGTGCGTCGTCAATCGTCTCGACGTTGTTGAAATTCGGGCGCCAGTACTTGATGTCGCCCCGTTGGCCGCCGGAGATCAGCCAGTCATGGCTGTGAGACCAGCCCAGCGATGTAACGCCTGCTTGTATTTGATCGTAATGAGCCTGGGCAGAAGACAAATGGTCAGTCTCGCCCCTCACCAATACCACAACCGATTTACATGCTCAGATACGCACATCCATGACCGTTTCAAAATTGAAGGCCGTTCCGTTCCAAAGCATAAACTCGCCGGTATGGCCTCCGGTGAGCAGCCGTCTCCCTTCGGGAGTCCATCGCACCACGACAATCGGCTTCTTGGATTTCCCAATCGACTGGTGCAGGTGTCGGACGGGGATTGTATCGGCAGGGGAATGGATTCGAGCCATGGGCGGCAACATCTAGTCAGAGCAAATCCCATCAGCCTCGCTTCCGCAATGGGGTCGTTGCGCGACACGTACATCCACCGTGAAACTGGCGCTCGGCCGCTCGGTCTCCATCCGATGCCCTCCTCTGTAGTGTGGTCGCCGTGTTCGCATCCATTGTACCATCGAAGAGCCATAATCCGTCACGAGTCCTGTGGGAATTAGGTGGTCAGCCGAGCCATCACCAAGGGTTGGGAAGCTTTTCCGGAAGGCGCGACAAGAGATCACACGTACTGGGTCGTCGGGGACCGACGGGGCCGCTGTCATAATTCTTCGTAAACCTCCCCCCGAGCTGGGAGTCGCCCCCATGGTCCTCGTAGTAGGCCATTGCGACCACCGATGGGGAGCTCTGTGAAAAGTTGACGAAGGATCAGGTGGATACTTCAGCCGTCAACATGACCAAGAAGGGGGTAGCGAAGAAGCGGCAATCAATCTCGGAGCTCAAGATCAATTCAGAAATCACCAAAGTGAGAAAAGCTGGAAATCGCCGAGGAGCGTGGATGATGCTTGTCTCCAGCATCGCAGGATCCGCCGTCTCCCTGGGGCCGGCCGCTCACTCTGATTGGCCACGCAGGGTATCTGCATTGCTTGCGCCATGGCTCTCCCCGCCGTTGGACTTTCCTTCTTCGCGTGTTCAAGAGGCGTAGTCGCCTTGGAGATCTGTTGCTTTTGTTGCTTGTGTGGCTTTGATTGCTTTGTCTTTGGTTGTTCCAGCTACTTCGCGTTTTCTCGTCAAGGCAGCTGTCCGCGGGTTGTCGTCGAGCTTGTCAACATTGTTCCCCATCCCATTCTAACCTCATCCGCAGGTCGGGATGGCCTCACAGGCTGAAGAGACGAGCCCAGCTCATGAGCTGGAGACTTCCAAATCAACAAAAGCAAATGCGGCTGCTTCGACTGGCGAGACATCTGTGCTGACCAAGCCCCGACGCAGTAAATATCGCCATGTCGCGGCCTATCACTCGCAGGTGCGACATTCCAGCCTCAGCCGAGACGCCGATTGGACGCCCAGTTTTCTTGGGTTTCGCAATCTCATGGTGCTGGTGCTTGGTAGGGTCGTTGCTCTCATCGGTCTATGTCCAGGCAGGACAGAGACGGGCTAACACGTCGTGACAGTGGCGATGAATCTACGGTTGATCATTGAGAATTTTATGAAAGTGGGTGACCTCGCTGTCTGCTCAATGCAGACCACCGAACTAATTTAATGATATAGTATGGGGTTCTAATCTGCATTAAATGCCATGACTACCGCCAGCGGGACATTGTACTCGGGTCGATTCTGTTTGCCTTGGTCCCATGCCATTTATTTACTGCATATATCATCGAGTTGGCTACTGCGGGAGCCGCTAAAAAGACGGTCGGTCAGCCAAAGAAAACAGACGAAGAAAAAGAACATGACCAGCAAGTGTTTCGGTCCACATGGCGGTACACAGCCTTTCTTCACACGTTGAACGCCACGCTCTGTCTGGCAGTGACGAGTTTCGTGGTGTACTTTTACATCCACCACCCGGGCATTGGAACCCTCTGTGAGCTACATGCGATCATCGTCTGGCTGAAGATCTGCTCGTACGCATTTACGAACCGAGATCTTCGTTTGGCACTACTCAATCCATCCAGTGATCCTGGCCTGCCCGAGATCTACGCCTCGTGTCCCTATCCTAGGAACATCACCATTGAGAACCTGTGCTACTTCTGGCTTGCGCCGACACTCGTCTACCAGTCGGTCTATCCACGGACCTCGTCAGTGCGGTGGTCATTTGTTGCGAAACGCCTGGCCGAGTTTGGGGGTCTCTCGGTGTTCATCTGGCTCCTCTCGGCGCAGTATGCAGCCCCGGTTCTGCGCAACTCGATTGACAAGATCGCTGTCATGGACATCGCCTCCATCTTAGAGCGGGTTATGAAGCTGTCTACGATCTCGCTGGTTATCTGGCTTGCGGGGTTCTTCGCACTCTTCCAGGCTCTGCTGAACGCCTTGGCCGAAGTGATGCGGTTCGGCGACCGCGAGTTCTACACGGACTGGTGGAACAGCTCCAGTCTGGGAGTGTACTGGCGGTCTTGGAATCGGCCAGTATATCTTTTTATGAAACGACATGTATATTCGCCGCTGGTGGGCCGCGGCTGGAGTCCATTGGCCGCCAGCGGGATGGTGTTCCTGTTGTCGGCCATCCTCCACGAGATGCTGGTTGGGATTCCCACTCACAACTTTATTGGTATATCCCTCCCTCTCGTCTGGTGTTATGGCCACCCGATGCTGATTAGTTTTAGGTGTAGCTTTTGTCGGGATGCTGTTTCAATTACCACTCATAGCTGTCACCGCACCCTTGGAGAAGATGCGCGACCCTCTTGGCAAGGTCATTGGCAATTGCATTTTCTGGGTGAGCTTTTGCTTAGTTGGACAGCCGCTGGGAGCTCTGCTCTACTTCTTTGCCTGGCAGGCCAAGTATGGCAGCGTCAGCCGAATGCGCTAAAAGACAGTCCCAGGCATAGTCGGGGCCGCATGACGTCACCGGGAAGCTTGGTTTTTTGGATATTTTGATCATATACGACTTGGTTCGCATAAGCATTGAACATTAATAACCATCAGAGCATTTTACATTAGTCATTTCCTGCCCTTGTAATTTGGGTTGCATTTCTAAGTTTTATTTTGTTTTTATTTTTCTCTTTCGCTGGTATATCTGGCGTCCAAAGTGTATACAATTGTAGGAATGGTGACAAGATACCGCGAAGAACATTAATTCTCAGCTCTTATTTCCCCGTATTTAAATAAACCACAAATCAATCGAAAGCAATCGACAGCAGTCGAATCGCCAAGATGTGTCCCAGATCGGAGAGACTGAGTGTCCCGACCGAAGCACGGATGTTCGGGCGTTGGCCGCCCCGAGTGTATAAAAAGCCCATCCGTGGCACCCCAACCCCCAGACTCTTCTCTCCATTAACCCTTGATTGATTTTCATCATGGTCGCAATTCCTGTCCCCGACAACTACGGGTGAGTTGGACATTATCCCTCTCAAGAGGTGTATGGTCGCTTACCATCTGCAGCCTCGTGATCGGCGTGGCCCTCGGCGCCATCCCACTGCTGGGCTTCGTGCACGGCGGTGTCACAACCTCGATACGCAAGGAGGCCAAGGTGCCGTATCCTCACAGCTACGCGTCGGTCGAGCAGTGCCAGGAAAATGTATCCCCTTCCCCCTCCCTCCAGTTTATAACACTGAGCCTTGACATTAACTTACTTTTTCTTTCTCTTTTTCAGGCCAAGGCAGAGCAGTTCAACTGCGCCCAGCGCGCCCACTCCAACTTCCTGGAGAATTCCTCGCAGACCATGCTCTGCACGCTGGTGGCGGGCCTGAAGTACCCCGAGCTGGCGGCCGGCATTGGCTCCGTGTGGGTCTTGTCCCGTGTGATGTTCCTGTATGGATACGTGTACTCGGGCCAAGCGCAGGGCAAGGGCCGATTCAACAAGGGCGGACCTGTCTTCTGGCTGGCGCAGGGTGCGCTCTGGGGACTGGCTGTGTTTGGAGTTGGGAAGGATCTGGTGTCGCTCTAGGAAGATTCAAGTGTCTAATTAAATCCATTTTATACGTCGCACCTTATCAGTCATGCAAAATACAAGCAAATCATCAAAGGATTCAAGCATCCAAGTCAGCTTCACGAGTGCACGGCCACACAGCGAAGCTCTGGGGTTTTGTGGCGCATGCTCCACTGTGGCGCACGAAAAAAAAGCTCCCAAGTCCGTCCCCCTCGAACTCTGCGTTGCATTGCTTCTGTTCTTGTGATATCGAAGAAGAGAAAAAGAATAAGAGAAGGGCATTCTTGTATCTATTTCTAATACACCCTCCCCACCGCGCCCATTCATCCCCTCGCCCCTACCTGGTCGCCTTTCACCACCCCCCCACCCCCCGCCATGTCGTCCAAATCGCAATTGACGTACGGCGCCCGCGCCAGCACTCACCCCAATCCGTTGGCCCGAAAGCTCTTCCAGGTGGCCGAGGCCAAGAAAAGCAATGTGACGGTATCAGCGGATGTGACGAGTACCAAAGAGCTACTGGATCTGGCCGACCGTACGTAACAACTTTCCCAGCGATCCTCGCCAAGTCTTCTTGTTCTGGCGAAGGGGGGGGAGGAGGGGGAGAGGGGGAGCGATAAGTGGGCTAACCTTCGACTCACATCGAGAACGAGCCCTACAGAACTTGGCCCCTACATTGCCGTGATCAAAACCCACATCGATATCCTCACAGACTTTGGACCCCAGACCATCGCCGGGCTCCAGGCGCTGGCCCAGAAGCACAACTTTCTCATTTTCGAGGACCGCAAGTTCATCGACATCGGCAATACGGTCCAGAAGCAGTACCACGGCGGCACACTCCGGATCTCGGAATGGGCGCACATCATCAACTGCAGCATCCTCCCTGGCGAGGGCATCGTCGAGGCCTTGGCTCAGACGGCGCAGGCGATGGATTTCCCCTATGGGGCGGACCGGGGTCTGCTGATCCTCGCCGAGATGACCTCGAAGGGGTCCTTGGCGACGGGGCCGTACACGGCGGCGTCGGTCGACTACGCGCGGAAATATCCGAGCTTCGTGCTGGGGTTTGTGTCGACGCGGTCGCTGGGCGAGGTGCCTGCGACGGTGGCAGCCAGTGCCGACGAGGATTTTGTCGTGTTCACCACGGGCGTTAACCTCTCGTCTACGGGCGACAAGTTGGGCCAGCAGTATCAGACGCCACAGTCGGCGGTGGGTCGTGGAGCGGATTTCATTATCGCCGGCCGGGGCATCTATGCGGCGCCTGACCCGCAGGAGGCTGCGCGCCAATATCAGCAACAGGGATGGGAGGCGTATGTGGCCCGTGTTGGTGGGGCTCAATAAGAGCGAGAGAGATAAAGAGAACACACATTGTATGCATGCAATAATTGAGGCGAACCCTGGAACTACGATTCGCACCGTCGCATTGGCCCCCTGGAGCCCTTTGCTTTTTTGTACCAACATACCAGTTCCAAAAAATGGATTCCCAGGATGGTGCGGGTCGACGTCAGTGGAGACTCTCGGTCACTCTCGGTCAGTCCGGGGCCAACCTGATTCAGTGTGATCCATTGCGATTCCTGTTCGGGTTCACCGCTTGGCGGTCGGAGAAAAAGCTTCGACATCTTGGTTAAGCCTTGGCCTCGTGCTTCCACGTTGCACGAGGGTACTTATCAAAATCCGCGGTAGAATATCTCCGATGCGAGATATCCATGGTTCGAGGGTGGTTTCACATTCCCACACCGCAACAGGGGGATCCCTGAAGAGAAAAAGAAAAAAAAAAAAAAGAAAAAAGAACAAAAAAGGACCAAAGATAGGGTGCTGCATCGGCTCAGATCTCAAGCGGTGGGAAAGCCTCTCTGAGAGGGGGCCCGTTCACCTCGAGTGGACTCATCCACAGTACACATCCCTGATGCATTGCTCTTTCATCCCTTGCCGATCAACCCCCCTCTTTCTCTCTCATCCAATAATCGCCAGCGAATCCGGCGTGATGCCGACCCCAGATAATCGGGTGCTTATCGTGGAGAGACCCACCAGGGGGCGGTTGTGGAGCTTGATAGGATGCAACATGCGTGGCCCGGGGAGTTAACATGGCCATGTGCGTGACATTTGGGATCTGCCGAGAGCTCACCGTTCTTTTTTTTCCCCTTTCTTTCTTCCCAAGCTATAAAATTCTCCTCTTCCCTCACCTCTGCTCTGCTCGGTTCTCGAAAAAAAAAAGGTTGGTCGAACTTTGGTTTCCGGTTCTCTCCATATCTCTATATCTCTATTTCTCTGCTTCTCCGACACATCCGGGTTCCATTTTCCGCCACAACCCCATCATGGTAGACGAGGAGAAGACTCTGGGCAACTCCTCGTCCGTGGACGTCGACACGGGCAAACATGCCGGTCCCACCTTGGAGAAACATGGCCAGGACGCCGACGAGGCCATGAAGGCCATTTCTCAGCTGCAAGGCGAGGCGATTGAGTTAGACGAGCCCACGAACCGGAGGCTGCTGCGCAAGATTGACTGGCATATGATGCCCATTATGTGCTGTATCTATGGCATGAACTTTCTCGACAGTATGTCTGACGGAGCGTGAACGTGCAACTACTGGAAACATGCTGACTCGCTTCGAGAAACCACCCTATCCTATGCTAGTGTCATGGGCCTCAAGGAGGATCTCCATCTGGATCCTGACAGTGACCAATACCAGTGGCTGGGCAGTCTATTTTACTTTGGTTGGTTTGGTCCTCGAAAATTGTGAAGCTTTGACGTCCTTGAATGCTAATATCTTTCTTTTAGGATACTTGGCCTGGGAATACCCGACCAACCGTCTCCTCCAGATGCTACCCTTGGGCAAATACTCGGGCGCTTGTATTTTAATCTGGGGCCTCATCCTCTGCTGCTTTGCCGCTACCAATAACTACCCCGGTGCCATTGCCATTCGGTTTTTCCTCGGCGTGTTCGAGGCTGCCGTAACACCGGGCTTTGCTCTTCTGACTTCTCAGGTATTACCTTTCCCAATACATGAATGGATATAAATCGATGCTAATAATGAATCCAGTGGTATACCCAACGAGAGCAAGGAAGCCGTGTGAACATCTGGTTCAGCTTCAACGGCTGGGGCCAAATCCTGGGAGGTGTAGTCTCCTACGGGATCGCGGTCGGCACCCAGAAGAATGGATCGACGATCGAACCCTGGAAGATTGTGTTCTTGTTTACGGGCCTGCTGACTATCGTTTTGGGCATGGCCTTCCTCTGGATCGTCCCCGACAGCCAACTCAACGCCCGCTGGTTAAAGGAAGAGGATCGCATTCTGGCGATCGCGCGGGTGCGGGTCAACCAGCAGGGAATTGGTAACAAGCATTTCAAATGGTATCAGGTGAAGGAGGCACTCTTGGACCCGATGACGTGGGCCTTTTTCTTTTTCGCGATCATCGCGAATATTCCGAATGGTGGCATTACCAATTTTTTCAGTCAGCTGGTAAGTTTTTCCGAGACTTGAGACTTGTTGATTATTACTTGCTTTGATTGTCTGTTGCTAACTGTCGACGCTTTTCTCTGGTTATAGATCAAAGGCTTTGGCTACACAGAAGAAGACAGCTTGATCCTCGGTGTTCCCGGCGGTGCCGTCGAAGTGGTGGCTCTGCTGTTGAATGGTTGGGTCGGCCATGTCACCGGGCAGCGTATCCTGGCCAGTCTTGGTGGTCTGTTTGCCTCGATTGTCGGAATGGTCTTGATTGTCGCTCTGCCTCTCTCCAACAACGTCGGCCGCCTGATTGGATATTACCTGACCCAAGCCAACCCGACACCCTTTGTTGCGCTGCTGTCCCTCGTCTCGTCAAATGTGGCTGGTTACACTAAGAAGACAACCGTGGCAGCTCTGTATTTGATCGGATACTGTGCAGGCAATATCATTGGTGAGTGGAGCGAAGAGTTCTTCAAGAACCTTGGAATGATCTACAACAATGCTGACATTTTACTTTTCTTTCTTTAGGGCCCCAAGTCTTCCGCCCTCAAGATGCACCCCGCTATGTACCGGGTGAGATTACTATTATTGTCTGCTGGGGGGTGTGCATTCTGATGCTGCTGGGGGTGTGGTGGTGGTATGGGAACGAGAACCGACGCAAGGCACAGGTGTGCGCGGCGCCGGGCTATGTGCGCATGGAGAACCAAGAGTGAGTCTCTCTTTTTAAACATCTTGACTCTATGTTTTCAGTTACTGACTCACTCAGGTGGCTTGATTTGACTGACCGGGAAAACCCCGAGTTCGTATACTCGTTGTGAGAACTCCATTGTTTTGATGTGGAGAAAATATAAAGTCATATAGCCGGCGTTGGTACAATTGAATGAATTATGGTTATGGTTATGCTTAAAAAGATCGCATATGTCGTGTCCTGTTTCACCGCACAAGCTAAAATATCGAATATCAAATCTTGAATATTGAATGCGTACGTGGATTTGCGCTCCAAGTGGGCCCCCCAGGGCCCATGAGGGGCTGCAGAATCCAACTCAGGAACTATACAGAGCTTTGTATATGATGAGATTTGGAGTATCTCGGGGTGTATATGATTTTGAATAATCTCTGATTTAACACCAATATTTGGCTCTACTACTAACTCTTCTTATTGTCAGACAAACCCCCGACACGCAGCAAATGCAGGGGCGTTTACGCACGAGTGAAGATCAGCCCCCCACCTCCAGGGCGCTTGAGGGAGCGGTGTGAATGAACCTGTTTAGCCTTCGCTTTGACTCCTTTTTCTTTTTCTTTCTCTTCTCTTTCTCTCTATCGTGTCCCTCTTCTTCTTCGTTTCCTTCTTCATCTTCTTTTTAGTATTTTCTTTCTTTTTCTTTTTCTCTTCAAGATGGACCCCTTTCTCTGCCACCCCCTCTAAGCCCTAATCTTATCGCCCCTCTTCATCAGACGCAGTATTGATCGGCGATCCCGGTGATCGCTGAGCGCCTGCAGCCATTTGGGCAGGCACGTCCTCTTTCAAGGTTTCGCGAAGGCAAATGGCCTCCGTCACATGCCATGGCGATCCTGACATGGCCCTTTCACCTGCAGACAACCTTCTTTCCCATCCTCCTTGCATCGACCTCTCCAGTCCTTCCAAGACTCCATGCAACTCGGTGACGGAAATCACTGAGAAATGCGTCATCCCAGTCGAGTCTCCGCCAACTGTGCCTGTTCGATCATCGGAGATGGACACCCCTAAGATGAAGAGGGTTGACCCGCCCAGCACGAAAACACCCGATTCCTCCCCGACATCTCCCAGCCGGCCTCGCCCTGCGTCTCGCCCTACCTCTGGTGCCAACTCGGTCAACCACTCGCGCTCAGCTTCACGCAATACGGCGCGGTCTCGACCGACAAGCCGTCGCAGCTCTCTTCATTCGGCTCGTCGGGTGATTCCCAATACTGCCATCGTCCCTGTCCACTCGGCCCGCAGTACGCCTCAAGAGAAACGAGAGTCGTTGCTGGCACTGCATCGGGAGTCATGCCGTCTCTTCCAAGACCAGTCATCTAGATCAGATGCAGAAAACCCCAAGTCTCTACCAACCTTGCATACATCGGCATCTTCAACCTATCGATCTCGGCGCGAAGGCCGCGCCTCTTCTGAAACCGGTGGCTCGGCACCGCCATCACCAGGCGCCTCGTCATATTCCAGCCACCGCTTCGAGCGCGTGAGCTCTTCCAACGCACCCCCTTCCCTCTTCGCCCCAGTGACCGAGCCAACACCGACCCTCCTCCTATGGTGGGAACCGCCTCCAACTACCACCGCCGCAGCCCGTCGTCCTCGTCCGTGCATGTCCCCGCAACTGTCATGGAGTGGACGTCGGTCTCGACCCGCCGCCGCGAGTACGAGAAGATCGACCGCGCCAGCCGTGGTGTGCGCGGGCTCTGGCGCCGCGTCGCCCCGCGCTGGTGCCGGACCCGTGACGCGCGCACCCCGTTCTTTGAAGAAGGCAGGCCCAGCCGCGAGGGCAGTGTGCGGCGTTTCCGCATGGATCTTCCCGGTGATGGCGATCAGACAAGGGAAGCGAGAGACCCGGGCAAGCCGCAGGTCCAGCTCCTGGACTTTTTGCACCGAGGTCCGGGCAATGAAAGTGAAAGTGGTTCTCAGCGTCGCTGGCCTGGTCTCCGCTCCAGGACCTCTTGATACACCCTTGACTTCTTTTTTCTTTTATTTTCTTGGCCAGCACCGGTGCTGGTTGCTTTTATTCTCTGTTCTCTGTTCTCTGTTCTCTGTTCTTTCTGGTCCCGCTTCTTTTCCCTCCCTCTACGATACCATGAATCCCTGACTGCCGATCCTGACTTGACTCTTGCATCTGAATCTGCATTGCATCACATCGCATAGCCTGCATCTAGCGTGCTGTACACGGTTTGTCCTTTGTGGCCGGCCCCCTGGTGGTCTTATCTTCGCATTGTTACTTGACCTGTTGAAGACTGCGATACCCTAATTGAGTTACCCGATGTGCTTCCTTCAAATGCTATTTTTTACTATATTCAGATGGAGGTGATCAGATAGATAGGTGTAAGGAAGTACTATCAGTACCTAGACTATCTTAAAATTCCTGTTTCTAGTTAGGTCCTTGATTTTCTGTTTCAATTTTATAGTGGCCACCCACGGACCTTGGATATAGTTCATAAGCATGGAAGAAATAATCATCGAAAAGCATTCAAACAAAGAGTCCTGCCCTCAGCACCACCAGAGTTCACACTAGATCTCCTGAGACTGTCCCCTTTGACGAAACAACTACAACTCCACATTAGCCCAGACACACTGATACACACTGCAAGTCAACCATATACATACTAATTTCTGCTCCTGCCATTTAACACTCTCCCGAATCGATTGAGGCAAATAAACAAGCCCCCTCGGCGCCGCCTTAAACCCATACTTCTCCCTCATCTCCCGGAGCGTGATCGGACGCAGCAATTCATAAACGGAAACCATCCGATAAGCAAAATCATACCCGATCCAGTCCTTGTGTCTATTATTGAACTCTGCATTACCGAGTCCATCTTCCTGGAGGGGCGCATCATCAGCATGATTCCGGGTTCGAGCTGGCAGGGTTTCGCAGATATGTGTGATGCTGGAGTGGGGCGCAGTGCGGTAGAACCAGATTCGTTTCACTTCAGGCTTGAGGCGGTATTTGCGGAATTCGTGGTTCTTTGTTCTGTTGATTATTTGGTTCATGTATGGGTCTTGCATTGGGAGGATGGCGTCGCTGTGGAGGGGGCATTCGTTGAGCGGGTTTGTTGTACAGGACATCGGGAGAGAATCTTGGAAGGAAATTTGGGAGATAGAGGGTTTTGATTTTGAGATTGGGATTAGACAGACTAAAAGGAAGGTTGTGATATAGAAAGAAGAGGGAAAGGGGAGAGACGCTGAGGCTCTGGCGGTGTGGTTTCGTGTTGTGTTTTTCAGGGATGTATGTACTGCGCCTATACTGCAGTGCAGTGCATGAAAGGTGCTATGTTTCATAACGCGTTCATGGCCCTCTCTATCTTGAGAATTAGACTATGAATTGTTAGATAGTAGCGGTACCCTAATGGTAAGGGTTTGTTATATTATCGACTATTAAAGTCAGACTTTCAAAGGGTAAATTGAGCGAGGGCCGGCATAGATACTATATATAGACTCTGTACGATAGCCTTGTCAAATTATATTCCACTGGCAGACCCGCTTGGCATGGAATATTTCAAGCTAACGTCACGTATAGCTACTCAATTCCAAATCTGGTTCAACTTGCAACACCAAATAGAGAAGAACCATGACTAACCGCGGTGAGATTTATCGAGGGTTTCGTAGTGGGTCTCCTATTGACCCCCAGACCCCAGACACGTTCAATATGAGCATCATCATTCTGGCCAGTCAACGGAAATCCCCCATAAATCAACCTCGGAAGGTTATGACCATCACCTTCGATTTCTGGCACCTTGACTTAGGCCACTTTTCTTTATCAATGAGAGTAGTTGCTCTATAGAATAGATTTTTCCTGGTTAATACCAATTTCTGTTTCTTCCCTTTTCTTCCCTTTTCTCCTCGGATCTCTTTTCTTACTTTCTCCTCTTTTCGATGTTCGGCCTAATTTCTAACTTCCAACGCCGAAAGCAATCTTTGGGTTCGGTTCGTCCTGCGGGCCGACGGGTGACGGAATGAGTGGGTCAAAAGTATATGATCAAATTCCCATGCGGCCAATGGAACATCGCGGAATATAATATCCATGACAAATTGGCCTTGATACACGGTGAATCGGCCTATTCAAACCGCCGAGGAAGGTCATACGGAGGGAATCATATCTCTGGTTCATCCCGGCAGTATCCGAGTCAAGATGCTCATAGATAAGATATTAATGGATTCACTCGTGCCAATGACAGAACCCAGGAGGTTGCATGAATCATACACTGTAGACCTCCAAGGCTCATGGCCTCGTATTGCTATTGAGACATTTTCCATCCTAGGCTCTTTGAATTTTCCAGACCGTCTCGCGGGGGGCAACATGATCCACAATAGAATGCACCAGGATATACTCGCTGGACCCCAATCAGCCTATGATATTGGAACCTTAGTAATCTCCATTGGATCAATGTCTATTACACATAGCTTTGTGGATTGAGCAATACGACAGCAGCATAGTATCATGCGAGATACGACAGCAAAGAGTATATTGTGCAAATATCGATGTTTTGGATTAATGTCATGATATCACCAGGCAAGAATTAGACTGACCAAGCCGTGTGGTCTATAAAGACACTCGAACATTTAAGCACCCTCTTTTCATTGCAAATCAGCTTATCCTCGTCGATGTGATTGACAGTAATCTCAAATTCTCTTGGATTCCCCAATACACCCTCGTCTCCGCAATCATGGTTCGAACCCTATCCGATGCGGCCACCATGCCCGGCTTCATTGAGACGCCAAGCAAAATGGCCGACAATCCTGAAGATGAAAGCCCGCAGGACGATATTCTCAACGATATCGACACGGGTGTTCTCCTCAATGAATTGACGAACCTCAGCCTCATGCCCAAGAAGGTCGATTTGGCCCCTCACGAACAGGCAGCCGGTGAAAAGAACCCCGAGAGTCTTATTTGGACATTCGCGGAGAAATTTGAGCCGGAGAGGCTGCCAGAAGGCACCTATCGCGGGACTCAGCTGGCACTGACGAAGGTCTATGATCTGATCGAGCAACGGTATCCATACCCCAAAGACTTTCCTTTCCCCCTGCTCTCCAATTTTCGCTAATGCGCTGCTCAGGTTCTCCTCCTATACGGATGTCACTGGTGTCGAACCTTTGCTTCCCTTTGCTGTGAGCAGAGAAGACCGCAAGAGCTTCTTTGCGTTCACCAAAAGCAAAGACGACGGCTATCCCCCCCACCTTGATCTTGGTCTGAACAAGAAGTGGGCAAACTCAGGCGAGAAGGACAAAAATCAGCGTTCAACCCTTGGGCCATTCGATCTCTTCAATCCTATTTATCTGCTCCAGTTGCAGCGGATCATGTCGGGCATTATCCCCAAATGGTTCTTGAGTCCGGGCACACCCGACAAAGGCAAGACAATTGCCGATGTGGAAAACTACAATCGCGAACAAATCGCCAGAGCCAAGTCGTGGTTGCATAGGTGGACAGAGTTTCACGATATCTTCAACCGTCCCAACGTGGGCGAGTTGCTGGATTGGTACAGCGATGCCCGGTTTGCCCAGCAGCAATTCACAGGAACGAATCCTACCACCATTAAGAAAGCCCCGAAGTCTTGGATCTCTTACTTTATCCGAGCTGCAAAGACTCCGGAGGATGCACTTGCCAAGGAGACCATCACAAATCTCAGTACTAAATACCCAAATTCCTTGTACGTACAGGATTACAGCTACTTCCGCGATTCCGCTGGGTTCACGGACCCGGAGGCCGAGATCAAACGTGTCGTCGACGATAAAACCACTCATTATGGCTGCGCGGCCGTGTCTCTTTTCTTCCTCGATGACAATGGCCAGCTTCATCCGCTCGCAATTGTCACGGATTGGCGAGGCAGTATGGAGGCGTCTGTGACTATTCACAACCGGGAACTGTTCAAACGGTGGGATCTTCTGGCCGGAGTGGAAAAGCCACCCAATGCACAAGAAAAGAGAGTTGATGAGGCTCATGACTGGCCGTGGAGATATGGTATGGCCTTCTCTCAAATCCAGTCTTCTATGCCATGTTGCTAACCCTGTCTTTCTGCTATCAGCCAAGACCTGTGTGCAGACCAGCGACTGGTTCCGGCATGAAGTCACTGTGCATCTGACTCGGACTCATTTGGTTGAAGAGGCCGTCATCGTCTCGGCCAACCGACAGTTCGAATCCGACCACCCGGTCTACCAAATCCTTCGCCCGCACTGGCAGAAGACACTGGCTCTGAATGGGGCAGCGCGGGGAATTCTCGTTCCTTCCGTCATTCTTCAGATCATCGGATTTGAGGCCAAAGAGGCCCTGGCGTTCATTCGCAGCGAATACAGGTCTTATGATTTCGAGAACAGCTACGTGCCAAAGGATCTCGAGAACCGCGGTTTCCCTCCACAGGAGCTCGACTCACCCAAGTTCCACAACTACACCTACGCCAGATGCATCAACAGCATGTGGAAGAAGATCAGAACCTACGTGAAAGAGCGGCTTTCACTGGCCTACGCAAGCGACGAGGAGGTCGAGCAAGATAAGTCCATTGGGAAGTGGTGGAACGAGATGCAGTCTCCTAGCGGTGCTGATCTGCGCTCGTTCCCTGAAATCCACACGTTCGACAGCCTGGTCGACTGCGTGACGATGTGTATTCACATTGCATCGCCCCAGCACACTGCTGTCAATTACCTGCAAGACTACTACCAGGGCTTCGTGATCAACAAGCCCTCCTGTTTTTTCACTCCGCCTCCAACTTCGTTGGAAGACCTGCTCGATTACACCGAGAACGACCTTGTCAAGGCGCTGCCTATCAACCATACCATGGAATGGCTGTTGTCTTCGCATGTTCCTTACCTTCTCAGTTTCAAACCAGACGAGAGTAAGGAGACGCTGATGAATTGCATCAAAACGGCTCGCGGACTTGCCAAGGACAAGAAAGCCAGAGGGGCTCTTGACAAATTTTATAAGGCTCTTCAAGCCAGCGCGAAGGAATTCCAGGGATACGATGACGCAAAGTGGGACTCTAAGGAGATCCCTTACAGCGTGTTGAAGCCAAAGTATAATGCCGTGTCGATCTTGATTTAGCTTTTGCAAGTCAACATCTCGCACCCTGGGGCAGAGTCCGGAGTTTCCGGACTTGGTGGTGGTTTTGGGTTGTACAAGGGAGTTGTGGTATTGAAATGGCAGGTTTAAAGGACCCGGGCAAACTTGCAAAGTTTCTATACGTTTAATCACGCTCATTTTCATTTCCTCGCCTGTGGCAAGAAAGAAGCTCGGTGAAGGAACTTTTTTTCAAAAATAATACTCTAATCAATCGACATTTCTCAACATAGGCACTATCTAGTAATTTTTCAGCTGTGCTGCTAGAGACGTAGAAGTAGACTGGAAGGTCTTAACTCAAGTAGAACTTTTATCACAACCGATCATAACATGTCATATGTCAACAAGCGAATCCAAACGCCACCCTGAAATCTTTCGCAATGCATGACACGGGTATATCAAAGAAAACAAGCAGCAAAAGAAAAGCTTTTCGAATATCCCAATCCAACCCTCGGGATTTCCATTACAACAGATCGAAGTCGTCCAGCTTCTCGCGGTAGCGCATAATATTGCGCTTGATTTTGCTGGAATCGACCCAGGTAACAAAATCCTCCATGTTACGGGTGACCAGGTACGCCGGGTCCGTGACGACCTCGGTGCCGACGCGGACGTGGCCCTGTTCGATGAAGGTGGCGGCCTATACAATCATTAGCTATGCCTTCACACAACCCAAATATACATATACTTTTATATGTATATATTATGCAATGTAGAGCAAGAGAACTGCGGCCACGCTTGACACGGCTTCTGTCTCATGTGGGTAAGGAAAACTCACAGCCTTAATAGTCTCCACCATCCCCGTCCGCACCATCAAAACTGCCAACCGCCGCCGACAAAACGCCGACACCGTAACCTCACGCTCGACACGCGACAGCGCCGCACCCTGCTCGCGCGACTGCTTGAGGATGCCCATGCGCCACAGCTTCTCGAGCAGCTCGGACTCAATCTTCTTGCGCAGGGCGTCGGACTCCGGGTCCAGTTCCGAGAGCTTGTGCGCGAGCTGGCGCAGCGAGCCGCACAGTGCGTTGTATTTGCGGTAGTCCATTGGGTCTTGCAGCAGGTAGCGTTGGCGGATCTGGTGCTCGCGGTGGTTGCCGTCGGATTTGTAGGTGTGGAAGTCGACCTTGCGGAGGAGTCTATTAAAAAAAAGAGTTAGATTCTTCGGGTACATCATATATGCATGGACTTATATCGATGTTGGTGAAGCTTCAGTCTGGTGCACGTACTTCTTCTCATGGTGCTTGAGTTGGCGGACCATTTTGGCGGTTGGTCAGTGATGGCTTTGGTAAAGTCTCGGGTGTTTCTTCGCAGAACTTGCAAATTGTAACAACGGCTGGGGAACGAGAATGCCCTCGTACGGCAGAGCAAAAGTCGAGGTACCGCGATAACAAAAATTCGCTGTTATCGAGGCGGTGTGGTTCTGCCATCACGTGATTTACCATCTTTTCCCTGACAGGAAATAGGTCATCGCATCAGGGATGTAGGTCCGTGGATTCTTCCCTACCAAAATACACTTGGTGTAAATGCAGGAATGAAGATTGCAACTGTGCTGAACCGTTGTACAATTTTCGTTTTAGAAATTACTGTACACCAGATAAGTACAACCACAGACACAGAAACAGGTCTATTCTAGCGGAGACCCAAGTCAACACCTCTATGACAAAACAGCGGATACAATATACAATAGACAGGAGAACAGACACAAATCACAGCTCGTCCTTGGCCTCCTCCGCCGGCGGAGGCATCGGCCGGCCGCTATCGGTAGCCAGATCGACGCCGACCTTGTTGCGCCACTTCTGCCACAGGGCAAAGAACTCCTTCTCCATCCCGCTCTCCATCTGGTCGGGCAGTACGACCGTGTACTCGATGTAGAGGTTACCGTGCGACACGTCCTCGTCCTCGGGTTGCTCATGCAGATCGGCGCCGGAGTAATGCGGCATGCCCTCGCCAGCGACAGTCTCAACAGACAGAGGCTGGACGACCTCCCCGCGGGCGCGGCCGAGACGGACAATATGGCCGTCGAGATGGGTGAGGTTTCGCGACCAGTCGCCCATCCAGGCCTCGCGCAGCGACAGAGACTCCTTCCAGAACAGATCCTTGCCCTTGCGGCGGAAGAACGTGCCGTCGGTGCGGTAGTTATCATCATCGTCTTCGGAGGCAAGCTCGGGCGCTTTCTCGTCCAGTGTGACGACCAAATCTCCCGCTACCCAGTCGGGGCTCTCGTCGGCCTCGTTCTCAAAGACCAGCTGCGTGCCCTTGCCCATGCCGGGCTCAATGTCGGCCGTGGTCTCGATCTCCTTCTTCACCACGCGCTTCCCTGCACACACAGGGCACGGGTTCTTAATTTGCTGACCGCGCCCGCCACAGCGGTCGCACGCCATCTGGACCTGCTGGAACATGCCTGGCGCCAGCATATGTTTCTGGATCACCATGCCGTGGCCACCACACCGGTCGCACGTAATCACTTCGTGGTCCTTGGACCCCGTCCCCTCGCACGCATCACAGATCTGCTGCTTTTCCACCAGAAACGTCATCTCCCGGCCCACGTAGAAGTCGCGTAGCGGCAGCCCCGCCCGCACCTCCATGTCTGGTCCGCGGCGGTGGCCCGGCGCATGTCCAGAGTGACCACCACCGCCGAAAAACCGCGAGAAGAGATCAAACGGGTCGTGGGCGTGCCCGCCGGCGCTGCCTCCCTTCCGGTGCTGCTCGACGCCCGCGTGCCCGTGCTGGTCGTAGATCTTGCGCAGGGTCGAGGTCGACAGGACGTCGTAGGCGTCTGCAATTTCAACGAATTTCTCTCGGGCCGACTCATCACCACTATTCAAAACATCGCACAGCATTAGTAATTGGCACGCACATAGAGCTCGAAATATAGACAATAGCCTCTAGTATGGTATGGTCTCAATCGACCGAGGAAATGGCAAACTCACGGGTTCTTGTCCGGGTGGTATTTCTTGCTCATAGTGCGATACGCCCGTTTAACATCCTTCTCCGACGACGACTTGTCCAGCCCCAGGATCTTGTAATAATCTTCTGCTGCCAGCACAACCACCGAGAACAACACCACCGCTAGCGCGGCCCAGAACCGGAGCAACTGCATCCTGAAGTCACAATGTACACAAAATAATTCTGCAGGAACGGCTCATGCAGGGACTGCCCCCGAGTATCGAATAATTGACGTTGTGCGCACGCCGGAGTGCCCGTTGGCGCCGTCCGCTTCGGTCCTGGAAGGGACAGAAGCTTATCGGGGCGATTTCAAGATAGGAGAGAATGGATTAGCTCATAGACATGGAGCCAGTGGTATGTGGGTGTCCTGCACAATTGTCTCCAGGTGGAGCAAGACTTTTGAGGACAGTGTCAATACTGAACGGGCCACATCATACGCCCGTCGCGATCTACTTAGGTGGCCCCTGGAATAACATTCGACCGGTCACGTGGCCTATACAAGGGTTCGCTTTTGTCTGTAGTTTAACGTGGCATGCCATTCCTTTAAGTTAAAGAAAGATCAAAATATTTCATTAGGTAACTTGGCATGGTTAGAAGTGAAACAATCCTGATACCCTAACCTCCTGGTCGTAGGTGCGCCATTGCAAGCCATCCGAGCTGAAGCAGATTCGACTCCGTCATTAAGTCATTAAAAAAAAAAAAGACAAGATCCATAAGCATCTCAAACTGAAGAGATAAAAGTTTCAGCGTGTTCCAGCAACATCAAAAATATCGTTGCGCCACGTATGGCCCAAACCACCAGTTTCGTCGCCGTCCTCGATAGCCTCCTGAGCACGAGAGGCCTCCTCCTGCCACGTCTTGACAACACTGCCAGGGGCATAGATACCCTGGAAGACACTGCTCTTGGGTGCATTGAGACTAACATGGGTCTCGACATCGCCACTGGGTGGTTTCAGGCGTGCGAGCACCGCGCGCACAAAAGTGGCCAAGTCCTGCGGATTAGCGATGCGAGCAGCGCGTAGGCGTTCGCGCGCAAAGACCAGCTCGCGATTCAGTGCCACAGCAGCGGCAACAATCTCCTCGGCGATCTTCTTCTCCAGCACACGCCGGATGAGATGTTTCAGGAAGGGCCGGGTGAGCCACAGAAGGAACTTCCACTTGCTACGCTGGAGCTTATAATCGAGCTTGTGGATGCGCACTCGCACGCCGCGCAGCGCGAAAATCTGCTCTAGCCGGTCTCGGCCTACCTCCACATCAAGAGAGATGTCGATGCCGCGTTGGTCGAGATAGAAACTGCCGATACCTTCATCCCTTAAGTGGAAGAAAAGGCCTGTGTGCGTGCGGAACCAATACCCAAAGTCCTCAGCGCTGATATTCAGGCCCTGGACGGTCACCGTAAACGCGGTTTTGATGGCAGTCTCGGTGCGCTTGGCGTGTTTCTTCACAACATCGATGTCATTGCGAGTTGCAAGATGCATGCGGTGGGGAAGAAACGAGGAGAAGTGGACTGTGTGACCCGGCTGTAATACTAGGCTCTCGACCAACAAGTCCATTTCTGGGGCGGCGATCTCCAAACGTGGGATCGGGATGTATTGAATGTTTCTCAAGACAACTGGAAGAAAGACGTTGAGCAGATCCGAGGGAAGGTCAGACTTGCGGTCGCCGTAGGCATTCCACACATCTTGATGGAGCTTCTTGGTGGCGTTGACAACTTTAGATACTGCAGGGTCATCAGGCACGGTCCGGAGCGTGCGCTTAGCTTGGGCCAGTAACTTGTCCACGTCTTTGCGTAAAGTTGTTTCGGAGCCCAATTTCTCGGACTTTTCTTTGAGCTCTTCAAGCTTTTGGGGAGCGGCGTCAAAAAAGCTAGGGTCGGTGAGCATATCTTGAAGGGAGTTGCCCACGTCGCCCATCAGCTGCTCAAACTCAGGGTCTTGATTTGCGTGGCGCAAGACATCGTGGAAGTTCTGTTGAAGCCAGTCCCACTCCTCAGCGCGACCAAACGACCGCAGCAAGCCCCAGAACTGATCCGTCGCCTGCTTGAGGTCTGTATTGATGTCGATGTCTCCCTGGGCAACAGAAGCCGTTTCCTCGACGGCACTCGCGTAGAGCTTGGCGTAGCGCTGGATTAACTGCGCAATGGTTGACACCGAGTCCGAGTAATCCGACCGCTGCCGTAGTTTCTGGATTGTCTGTTTCAACCGATTTAATAATGTATCTCTCTCCGGTCCCGAGAGATGCTCCCGAGCACTCTCAACGGCTTCCTGGCCGGTGCGAGCGACTCCCTTGCCAGTCACATCAGCCACATTGACGGCTTCGTTCTTCAAGTCCTCTCCCGATTGAGCCTTTCCCTCATCAGCCCCTGGTCCTTGAAGAGATTGTTGTTCTTGCGCGGACGGCCTGACCTGTTCCGCGACCTGTTTCGAGGTCTCGGACAGCGACGCGGCCGTTTCGGAAAAGATCTGGCGGCCAACAGTAGCGACATCATCGACGAAGAGACGAAAGTCAGCATTGGTGAGCAGCAAGCCCCCAACCGTTCGAAAGCTATCATAAGCTATGAGCAGGGCATAAAGGATCAGCACAACCACTCTCAACGCCAAGAAATCTAGATTAAGACGACGCAGCGAGACCCACCGGCTGTGACATCGCTTCGAGCCTTCACCTGGCCGGCCTGCTGCGAGAGCTTCGAGCGATCCAGTGCCATGCGAGAGCGCGACAGATGCCACAAGAACTCCTGCAGCTGATCTTGGCCGTTCTTCTCCTGCAGAACCTCAATGACCACCTGGATCCCTAGCCGGCAGTCCCGGACTAGCTGGCGCCCGGCACTGCCGATGTCTTGATTGCGGATGCTGAGGACATCGGATGCGAGTAAGGTGCGGAGGTTGGCAATGGTCTGCTCGGTTGATGGCATGTATCCCTCTGAGAGGGCGCGGACCATCTGGTAGGAGTGGAGCTTCTCATGGAGCTGACGCTGGCGTGGGGTGTCATCCTCGTAGCGAGGGAGCAGGGGTTCGGTCTCGTCGGGCATAGTGAAGAAGTTCTGGACCCGAAAATATCAAAAGAAAGAACAATCGGGGGCACTTGGGCGTGGGTCGGGTTTTTCTGTTCGCAGGGATATCCGGACAGCGTTGCGAGTGACACGCTTGGCAGAATGACGACAACTTCGTCATCACCATGTCACTCTGGCTGCCTGGATATTTACACACAACCGCCAGTCTATGGATGTTTGCTATTTCTATCTTTCTATTTATTGCTCAACTTCCTCTAAATACTAATCCCTGCAAATTCCGATCAGCGCTAGGGAAAGCTCTGGATTGGCCACTTACAGCGAATGACACTCGGTCGTAGCAGTTGGAGGGTGAAGATAACCACGGGCTATAGAGGAGCAATATCACATCGCATTTCTCAAACTCTGCATGGAGATTAACAAGTCGGTTAAATAAAGGGCCAAAAAGTATGCATATTGTCTTTAAGAATTGGATCATGAATTAAGGTCGTAGGGTATAGAAATTTCCCGAGGTGTTAGAATAGTGGGTTTATCGTGATATCAAATAGGGTATATAGAATATCCAACATATTCGTACCGTGAATTAGGCTTTTAAAAACATCCACTCTGAGTTCAGGGTATACCTGGTCTTCCGATTAGCTCGGTAGTTAGTAGCTATTGCTAGGAGCATGTTTGTAAAGCTCGGTAGGGGCCACAGAAATATTCTGGAATAGTGCTAAAGAGAAGAAAGAATGGTCTATACTTTGAGGTTAATAAGGGCAAGGGAAGGAAGAAGAATGACGGCGATAGTAGAAGAAAGCTAGCGTAACCGGTAAGCGAGTGGCCTATCTAACCGAAATCGCGCTATCTTCGCGAACCTCCTACTTTTAACTAGCTACTATGCCACTAATTCGCTCTCAACAAGCTAGAGATTCTATCGAGTAAGAAGATAGGGTCTTATTAGCTATCGACGCTATCCAGAAGCATAAAATCCCTTTAATTCGCGAAATAGCACGCCAATTCGATATATCTTGTTTAACCCTTCGTTATCGCCTCACTACTTAACTAAATGTAAAGGGTCTATAGAGATGGTGGGGCATGAAGCCATTCCCACCTGACCCACCCTACGATGGAATGATCACGATACTCGGCAGAGACCCAGTCGTTTACATCATCGATGATGCGTGGAATTATGAAGACACTGTATGACAAGATTCAGTCTTGACAGCAATAAGGATATATGCTATACATGATCAAGGGGAACCAGGAAAATAGACTGCAAGGTATCCTAGAACCAAGAAAGAAAAAGGAAGAAAAGAAGATTGACATTGCAGCACCATTGTACTCATGTATTCTTTATTCTTTATTCTTTCGCAGACATGGAATCAAATCATGATGGTTAATATTCAAGGACCAACGTATATAAATAGAACATATGGCTTGGTGCCAGGGCACTCCCAACCCTAAAGCTATACCAGAACCAAGAAAATAGATCTGAAGTCTATTAATACTTCCTGAATAATGCGAGTGTTTCTGCCACGCGAAACCCCACAGCCAAGCCTTCATAGACGTAGCAGAATTGTGCTGTAGGAAAACATCGAAAATCGTGACGAATCTTCATGACCACATCTACTTATACACTCCAGCACGACTCGAAAACAGGAAAGTCGGGCAAAAACGAAAACCACGCAGGGGGGGCTGGAAAAGAAGAAAAATTGGTGACTCGGCGGCCAAGGCCATTCAGAGGGCAGCATGGAGTCATCGCCAACGCCAATTTGAGACCGCTTTGTCTCATCGCCTCCGACCGACCTCCCTTTTGTTTGGGCGCCCGGCAGACTCCGCTGGCCGACTCCATTCTCATTTCGGGATCCTTCCAGAAAGACTTTTTCTTCTTTGCCCCGAATTTAGGTGTCAGCCTTGACAACTGACTCCACTTCGGCACTCTCTGCGGCTCTGGAAGCTCGCAGCGGTGGGTCTTCGGCGGGAGTCCTGTGGCCCTCTCCGGCATCAAGAGCCAGTCACAAAACACGCCAAAAAATGCAGGAAAATTGGGGAAATCCCCCCCGTTCGACAGCTTACCGTGTACATCTGTGTCCTGCATTTTCGTCGGACTCAAGTGTACGGTGTAGCTCCCAGTGCTCGAGACATAATCCCCGTCAGATCCCTCTTGTTCGCTCAGCGGTGTGTATCTCCGCAAGTGTCGGCGTCACTGTGTCTCCACAGCTATCCTTGCTGGATCTAAGCTTTGTGAGGGATCCAGAGTTCCAGACTCCATCCGCGCGCAACGGTTCGCTGCCACCACCGAACTACCATATCCACTTCCTCCTGGAGGGCCCCCCCCCCCCCCTAATCCCTACCCTGCCCGACTCTTCCCGACCTCAAATCATGACTCTTCTTTTCCTAGTCCTCGAGCCCGTCCGCTTGACACGCGGCCCCGGTTAATTCTCTGGTCTGGTAGTACTTGCGTGTCGGAAGATGTCGTGGATGTGCGCTCGAAAGGGGACCACTCGTCGCCTAGCTTGTGTACATAAACCCAGAGCTGCTCCGAGCTCGTTTTTCTCCTTGGATCATTCTTCGTCCGTCTCGAACTCGAGTAAGCTGCTTCGCTCTCAGTCCGACACAATGGCTCGATTTCCTTCGCAACAACAAAGCCGTCCGGTCCACGCGACCCCGTTTATGAACCACTCCAACACCCCGTCGTGAGTACCCCTTGATGTCTAATATTGTCGCATGGGTTGTATCGATTGTATGAATTCCTCGGCTAACCCTTTTTCCGCGCATAGGGATGCCAACTATGACACCGCCAACCCGTCTTACATCCGCAAGTACCTGCGCACCTACGGCCTGACTCCCCCGCGCGCCGAGTCATACGAGACGCAAAAGGCACGATGTATGGAAGTTCAAAAAAAAAAAAAAATTGTCTGGCAATTGGGTCGTATACTGATGGACAATAGGCCTGGCCCAACTGGGTCTGAAGAGCACCCCCATCGACAAGTTCCTCTACCTCAGTACCCTGCGCAAGAACAACGTCCACCTGTTCTATCGTTTGGTGACGGACCATCTTAGAGTACGTCGATCAGATCCCCATGTGATTGGAGGGGGAAAAGTCGGGGGAAAGACGAAAATTAAACGTTGAGCTAACATCCTTGCAGGAATTGACGCCGCTGATCTACACTCCCGTGGTGGGTGAGGCCTGCCAACGGTGGTCGGAGATCTACCAGCAGCCCGAAGGTAAGTTTCTCTCCGCACCGGCAACGAAATAGAACCGGGGCTAACTCATCTCCAGGCATGTACCTGAGCTGGGAAGATCGCGGAAACTTAGCTGCCGTGATCGCCAATTGGCCGCAGCCCAATGTGGAGATCACATGTATCACCGATGGCTCCCGCATCCTCGGGTTGGGTGACCTGGGGATTAACGGTATGGGCATCCCCATTGGCAAGCTGGCCCTATACACGGCCTGTGCGGGTATCCGCCCCGAGGCCACGCTGCCCCTGACTCTGGACCTGGGTACGGGTAACAAGACCCTCCGGGAAGACCCGTTGTACATGGGTAGTCGTCGGGGCAAGATCTCTCCCGAGGAGGAGCGGGAGTTTATGGACGAGCTGATGGCTGCTCTCACTGAGCGCTGGCCTGGTATTGTCATCCAATTCGAGGACTTCAAGAACCCGTTCCCTGCTCTGGAGCGCTACCGGGACCTCTACACCTGCTTCAATGACGACATCCAGGGCACTGGCGCTGTCATCCTGGGTGGTGTGATCAACGCTGTCAAGCGGGCTGGCCTGCCCTGCAAGGAGCACCGCGCGGTGTTCCTGGGCGCCGGCAGCGCCGGTGTCGGCGTGGCCAAGCAGATTGTCGAGTTCTTCATGCGCGAGGGCATGACCGAGGACGAGGCCCGCGGCTGCTTCTACCTGGTCGACACCAAGGGCCTGGTGACGGCCGACCGCGGCGACAAGCTGGCGGACCACAAGGTGTACTTTGCGCGCCAGGACAACAACGGCGAGCAGTACAAGACGCTGGAAGAGGTCATCGACCACGTCAAGCCGACGATCCTGATGGGTCTGTCGACGCTGGGCGGCGTGTTCACGCCCGAGATCCTGCGCAAGATGGCCGACTGGAACACCGCCCCGATCATCTTCCCGCTGTCGAACCCGTCGCACAAGTCCGAGTGCGACTTCGAGAGCGCAGTCACCAACACCGACGGCCGCTGCCTCTTCGCGTCGGGCTCGCCGTTCCCCAGCATGTCGTTCACCAACTCCACCGGCGAGACCCGCACCTACTACCCGGGCCAGGGCAACAACATGTACGTGTTTCCCGGCATCGGGCTGGGCAGCATCCTGTCCAAGGCCGTGCGTGTCACCGACAACATGATCTACGCGTCCGGTGCCGCCCTGTCGCAGGCCCTGACCGCTGAGGAGATCGAGCGCGGCCTGCTGTACCCGGACATCACCCGCATCCGCGAGGTCAGCATCGTCGTCACCCGCAAGGTCATGCGTGCCGCCCAGGATGACAAGGTCGACCGCGAGACTGCCCTGCGCACCATGTCCGACTCCGACCTCGACAACTGGATCAAGGCCCGCATGTACGACCCGCACACCGAGGTCCGCGCCCTCGAGCGCGAGGTCGGCCACCTGCTGTCCAGCCTGGGCTCGTTGTCTCCAGCCCTGAACGGGTCCTCGGAGGACCTGAATGGATCGAAGCTGTAAGGCCGATGATTCCTTTTCTATGTTTTTGTCATTTGGCTCTGCCACATATCTCGGGATTGCTGTTGGCGCTTCTGCATTCTCAAACATCTGTTCTAATCCATTGTGGTTTAGGATCTCTGCGTGATGGTTTCGCATGTCTTTTTTTTTGGTTTCGTACTTGGATTCGAGCGTGGTTCTTCTGTGATGGATACGGATTTTTTTTTCTTTCTTTTCTTTTCTTTTCAATACCCACTTTTTTTGTTGATGGTTCTCGCATTTTGAGTGCCTGCATTTTGGTTTATTAGGATATAATCACAATCTATTGGATTTGTCTACTTTTACACTGTCTTTTTGAGGGGATTTATGGTCTCGCCAGGTACATGTAGTACAGACTCTTCATAGGCGTGTGTGGCTGGTGTCTAATTCGACGTCTCTGCTTCACCGCACCAGAGTGACAATACCAAGGTCTGTGTCCCTCCTAAAAGATGTTCTCGCTGATCATATCTCAAGACAATGTCTGCCGAACCAACCATCAACAAGGCCTCGGTAATCCATCGATCACCAACTTTGTCACCACTTGAGCTCAGATTAACCCCCCTATTCACGAAGAAGTGGAACCAAGCAGGGTTCCAAATCTATCAACTGCTCGATAATTCCCCATTCTCTCTGCGTGAAACTATAGCTCCATTTGGACACTCGGGCTCCATTCCCTTCATCACATGTGGATCCCGCGGGTGAACTGATCCCTCCGATTCTGCAGCGGATCCTTTCTCTCTCGCGGGAGGAAAACTGAAGAAACTGGTTCTCAACCGGTCTCAAGATGCGTATTTCCCCTCATTTGCATCCAGTCCGGATCGACGCGTGAAACGGCGAGATTAATTCCTCCGCGCGATGACTAAAGCGTGTCTGTGAACCTTGGGAAGGTTTCGACCGAGGTTCAATTTGTGGCGGGCTTGGGGGTGGTTAAGTATTCAATTGATGTCGATGAGGGCGTTTCTGTGCTTTCGTTTTTTTTTTTTTCTTTTGTGTTTTATTTAGAAATATACTTGGTAAGTGCTGTGCGTTGTGTTTTTTTATTTCATTTCATGCGCCTCTCATGTAGGACTGACTCGGTTGCCAAGTTGATATCACTACCTCCTGCGATTGATTCAGGGGCTGCGTGTCTCTGTTCGCATCTAGAGACATATCGAATCAGCACCATATTTTGTACAGGTATTGCCATTGACATTATCGCATCATGCCGTCTCCACTCGCAGACCCGGTCAAGCTTCCTTGCGGTCTTGTGTTGCCCAACCGACTGAGCAAGGTATGTCCATCAGAAGTATGTCTAAATGCACTGGATACTTACACCTCGCCAGGCTGCTATGGCCGAGCTCATGGCCAAGACGAACCACCCCACCGACAACCTCCTCGACGCCTACGAACAATGGGCGCAGGGCGGATGGGGCAGTATCCTGACCGGTCAGTACCATTGCTTATCACAGCAAGCAACACAAATCAAATCAAATCAAATCAAATAAAACAATGATATATGTTTAAGCTAACGCCACCCATAGGCAACATCCAAATTGACGTCGACCACCTCGGCAGCCCCTACGACACAGCCATGCACGCCGAATACACCGGCGACACAGCCCTGGTGTCCCAGTGGAAGAAGTACGCCGATACCTGCCAGAAGCACGGCACACCCGCCATCGCCCAGCTCTGCCACCCCGGCCGCCAGTCATTCCGTGTTGCGGGCCGCCGCGGCATCTTCGCTCAGACTCTGGCTCCCAGTGAGGTGCCGGTTCGACTTGGCGATGGCCTGCTGCAGCGGTTTGTTGCCGCGCTGGCGTGGACGGCGCCGCGCGAGATGACGCGCGCGGATATCGAGAGGGTGATCCGTCAGTTTGTGGATTGCGCGCGTTTGATGGCGGATGCAGGGTTTTCGGGGATTGAGCTGCATGGGGCGCATGGGTACTTGATTGGTATGATGCTCTTTGCTTTGATATTCAGGGATATTTATACTGACGATATGTTCCATCAGATCAATTCCTGAACAGCAAGGTGAATACTATTTCTTCCCTCGATCCACCAATTCTATTCAATCTTCTTATCGATTTCATTCAAACTAACCCCCCCAGACAAACCTCCGCACAGACGAGTACGGCGGCCCACCCGAGAAACGCGCTCGCTTCGTCCTCGAAATCATCTCCGAGATCCGCAAAGTCGTCCCAGCCAAGTTCTGCGTCGGCATCAAACTCAACTCAGCAGACCACAGCTCCGCCACCTTCGAAGACACCATGACCCAGATCAAGCTGCTCGCCGACGCAGGCATCGACTTCATGGAAATCAGCGGCGGCACCTACGAAGACCCCAAAATGATGGGCTGGCCCGAATCCAGCCCGCCAGCCACCAAATCCGAGCGTACAGCCGCGCGCGAGGCCTTCTTCCTGGAATTCTCCAAGGAAGTGCGCCGGCGGCTGCCGGGCCTGGTGCTGATGTTGACGGGCGGGTTCCGCACGCGCGCGGGCGCGGAGTCTGCGATTCATGATAACGCCTGTGATCTGATTGGCATTGGGCGGCCTGCTGCTATTGATGCGAGGTTCCCGCAGTTACTGCTCGATGAGAGCGTGCCGGATGAGAAGGCGCAGTTGCCTCTGAATAAAGTGTCGCCACCGTTTTTTACGCGGTTTTTGCCGCTTAATATTGTCGGCGGGGGTGCGGAGAGCGTGAGTTCTTTCGTGATTTATGTTTATATTCAAGAAAAGGTTTACGGGTTGCTGACTTTTCACTGGCAGACATTCTATGCTAATCAGATTCATCGGCTGGCCAAGGGCATTGCGACGTATGTTCCGGCTCTGTGAGTGTTTTTTTTTTTTTTTTTTTTTGGAGTATATCTTGGTTTCTGGAAGTATATAAACATAATTCAATTATTTCATTTTATCTTGATTAATCCAAGGTTTATATACCCGTATTCATTAAAATATGTTCAATGCCCGTTTTTGCCCGACTAATATCTTTATTTCTACCAGGTATCCAATCTAAAAGACATAGGACTTAATCAATTGACCTCATCTCCTTCCTTATTTTCTTCCAACTGTTCTAATTGTCGTTGTAGAGCGTCATTCCCCGCAACAAGCTCCTCAATCAACGCCGCCGTCTCGTTCAAAATGTGCTTGCGCGTAAAAGACTGCATCCTCAAACTGGGGACAACCTGACAAAGATCCCGATACCCCCTTCCAACAAGCTCTCGCCGCCTCTTCTCAGACCGACAATGACACGTTTCCTGTCCAGACTTCTGAATGCATTTCCTCTTTTTGGATGGCGGCGTAGCGGCATCTGCTTCGCGATCACTCGTTCGATCGGTACCGGGACTGTGGCCATCAGAGGATAGTGTATGTTGGCTCAATGAAGACGATACCGGAGTGGGAATCGTAGTTTCTTGTTGTGCCTGGCTGATTCTGCTTTGTGGGCTACTACTCTGCAGCTCGGACGAGGGCAGCATCAATTGATCCAAGCTCACAAACTGCGGCACGTCTTCTGGTACTCGTTCTGCTGAGTGGCTTGGCTCGCTGGCGCCGTCGAAGTCGATCCCACTGCACATACATGCTAGATTGCGCATCAGGTTCTGCACCATGCGCTCTTCTGTCCAGCTGCCGATTGGGCTTGAGAAGCCGTGGAATCCGAAGCTAGGGTCGGTTCCCCACTGGAGCTCGCTTTGGGCGGGCCATGCTTTGGTGTTTGGACTGGAATATTGTGATCGGGACTGGTGGTCCCTGGTTTGGACTTGACTCTGCATCGAGAATTGCGGGTGGTGGTCGAGGGCGTGTAACGTATGGATCACATATCTGGTTGGTAGGCGGTTTGCATTGTAGGTTCAAGGGTGCCGGGTTGGCGGTTGGTCGTTAGTGGTTTCTGGTTTCTGACTGAAGGTTGTAGAAGGACTGTGAAAGACTTGTAGGAGAACACAACGAGCACAATATCTTTCGCTTGTCATCCAGGCAGCTATGATTCTTCGATCATCCTGTGTTGTTGCGTCAATCCCGGAATGCACCCGAGCCCGGGTGTGTTCCGAAGCCCTCGCAAGCATCGACTCACTCGGTCTGTGGAGTATCTGTGAACATCACGCCAATCACTATTTAATGATTGACATGTAAAGTTTTCCGAGATGAATCTCATTGAACTAACGATTGCACTCATCGCATGACGCCCCCATCCGATCTCATACATCCACCCTGAGTATATGTCACGTGCATCGGGTCTCTCCCGGGCATCGCGTTCTCCAAGTGTGATTCTGCATCAAACGTGCAGGTCCAGCAATGCCTCCTCGAAATGGCGTCGCAAAGCGAGGAAATCCGCGTCGTCGCAAGATTGCTTTAGCTTGTGAGGCGTGCCGTGAGAAGAAAGTGCGATGCGACGGCCAGAAGCCGATCTGTGGGCCCTGCGCTCGGCGCTCCTATACCATCGACCGATGTGTGTACAAGCTGGACAATGCCCGTTCGGCCAGCAACGATGAATATCTCAAGATCCTCCACAATCGGATCCAAGAGCTTGAAGAAGCATGTTCTCAAGGGGGTGTTGGTATACCCCCGGCTTCTTTGGATGACCCCGAAGAAGGGGGAACGGGACTGGACCATGTGGAAGAGCAATCCGCCGCGCTCCACGCCGGCGATGCAGAATCTAGAACCTCTGTTGCGGTGGAAGGTCTGCTCGGCTTGGGCTCGACTCCTGGACTCTCGGGACAGGATCAATCGCCCGCAACACCTTCGCAAATCTCCTACCCAGCACACAGGAGTAGGCCGTCGTTTCTTTCATCTCGATCCCACGCGGAAGGAGCAGAGCCACATAGTGGTGATTTGGTCCACTACAATCCCGCCCAGTCCCGCACTACCAACGCCTATCAGTCCCCCTCGCTCAACTCCCATGGCCATGTCACAGCAATGGGCGCAATCTCGGTAGCCGAGGACGGCGAGGGCACAGACTCACCCCAAGAACCGTATTACGGGAACTCCTCCGCCGCATCGTTCATGCGACTAGCAAAATACTCCATGCCCGTGCGCTCGTACATGCAAGCCTTGCAACGCAGCAAGAACAACCCCATCTGCAGCGAAACAGGGCTGTGGCAGGACTTGAAGACCGACTCTTCGGACTTCCAATTCGCCGACTTCTCTCTTCCACCACGGCCCCTGGCTGACCATCTGCTCGAATGTTACTGGGACCGGGTGTACTGTCTGTACCCATTCTTCCACCGACCAAGTTTCGAGCAGGCGTATGAAAACCTCTGGGGATCGAGCAAATGGCCCAAACCCGGGTTGCCCGAACTCAATATCGGACTCGGGGGCGCATATGACTCCGGTCCCGACTCGATTGTTTTTCATTGTGCGCTGAATGCTATCTTTGGATTGGCGTGCCATTTTTCGGATATTCCCGCTGCGGAACGGGAGACAACGGCGTATACTTTCTTCCTTCGCTCGAAGCGGTTTATTGGGCTCGATATGCTGGATATCGGGACTATCGGCGTCGTGCAGACTTTTTTGATTGTTGCGCTTCTTTTGCAGAGTACCCCGTACCCGAATCGGTGTTGGAATTCGATTGGGGTGGCTTGTCGAGTTGCCCAGGGTCTGGGATTGCATGAGACGGCAACCCAGATCTCGATCAAGCCTCTTGAAAAGGAGATTCGGCGGCGCACCTGGCATGGATGTGTCATTATGGATATGTTTGTACCCATGTCTCTGCGAAGAAAGTGAATTGCTCCATATCTGACCATCTGGTAGGATCGTGAGCATGACATTTGGGCGGCCGAGCATGACCTCCCACATCTCTCCCGTTCCGTTACCTGCAATGGGATCCGAGCCAAAATCCGAGGACCCTTGCGCGCTGAGTGGACAGCCTTGCGACCACAGATTGGGATACATGACATTCTACGTCTCCACCATAAAGCTATACAAGATCCTCGAGTCAATTCTGTCGGACATCTACAATGCCTGGCAGAGCCGATCCAACAGCAACCGTCCTACCTCTCCGCGAGAAACCAGACCCGGCAGCCTGGACGTCCTCATGGAACTCGATGACAAGCTATCGCTATACGAGGCGAGTGTTCCCCACATGCTGAATTGGACAAACGCACGTCCGCGACTCGGTGCCGGCTGCCATCAAGGATCGATCTTTGAACGTCAGAAAAATGTACTACGCGCGAGGTATTTGTCTTTGCCTCCCCGCTTCTAAGGAGTCATTCTAAAGTAAACCAGGTTCATTCATCTTCGTCTTCTTCTATATCGCCCTATGTTCTCCCAACTCTGTTCCAATGAACGAATCAGCACCTCGCGCCGGGCAGGTCCCGACTCTAGAGACAGACCCGGCTCGCCTCGCGTCGAGCCGAATATCATCTACTCCTCTGTGTCTTCGAAATGTGCAGCTGCTTGTGTTATGGCGGCTGTAGATCTGGTTTCGCTTGTTCACATGACATATCAAACCACGGCGACTGACGCGTGGTGGTATAATGGGTTTTGTATGCTTTGGGATTCTACCTCTTTCTACCTCTGTATAACCCTAAAACTAATACAAGACAGATACATCGACCGCAGGATTCATCCTGATCATGTCATATTCCTGCCGAGCAATCCTCGACCAAATCGACATCCGCGCCGTAGACGACACCTGGCGCAAGTGCGAAGAGATTCTAGGATACATGGCTTCATTTAGCCTGTCGGCTCGGAACTCGCTGCAGTTTCTGCAGGTGACGCACCAGCATATCGCGCAGCATTACTCTGGTCTGTACACCCTCCAAACCCAGACGTTGTTTATGCGTCGAGTGAACTAACTCCTGTTCAGGGACTTCTCGCTCTGATCATCCAGCCCCCGCTCCTAATCAGTCACAGCAGAGAACGAGTTGTCACTCGAGTCGGCCTGGGTTTGCGACTCAGCCTGCTGATGTTGTCTCGGATGACCCCAGTCCAGAGTATTCGGACCCCGGAGGTCCCAGTGTGAATCCCTTCATGTCTTGGGATGAACTGGGTCTGGGGCAGGAGGAGTTCGGATTTCTGGGGAAATTCGATCTGCCCGATTTGGCGAGCTGGTTCGCCGATGTGCCACCTTGAGACAGCAGCACTATCTAAAATGGAGGTTCAATTATACGGCGAGAAGAGATGTTTTTGACTTGGAACCAGATCTCCAAGACGACAACTACAACGCATCAAACAGCGTCGTGTCAGCATGGCTCCAAAGTGTCCCCGACAGATTCTCCAGCGTCTCAAAATCAGGCATCCACAACGGATCACTTTCATCCTGATCGATCCACGGCGCCAGCTGCAGCGCCATGCGTACAGCATGATCCGTGTCCTCGGGGGCATAAGGCTGCGTCGCCGCTCCCGCAGGATCAGGGTCTAGACCAGGGGCATTAACCGACGGAAACCTGGCTGCAGCATTTGAGAGACCCGACATGGCAGCGGTGGAGGGAGTAGTCAGATGTGCAGTGTTGTGCTGGGCAGTCATCAGCTCGGCCATGCCGGCCGTACGGGCGGTCTCGTTGCCCTGTAGTTTCTCCATGGCGGCGTTGACCAGCAGCTCGAAGGTGTCACGGTACTTCTTAACCCAGGCGGCGCGCTCGCCCATGACAAAGAGGACTGTCGAGCAGGCGCGGATGTCGTTGCTCATGCGGACGGACCATACTTGATCTGTGTGTGTCCAAAGTGCGTACAACAATGTGATTCCCGCCATGAATACGGTTTGCACTGCCAGGAAGGAATGCCCGTACTCGAGGGTCTGATGGAGTCGTTTGTGAGACTGACAGATCTCCCCAGCTGCACGCAGACAGATGTGATAATAGGGGTCGGTGATGGGGAGCAGTGGCAGGAAGGGCTGGATTAGGAGCCGTACGGCCCGGTTGTAATGCAGCATCGGGTAGTCGAGTTCGAGGCCGCTGAATCGCAGCATAGCGGACTCTTTCCATTCCTCCAGTTGCATGTAGAGCGGGTCCATTTTGGGGAGGAGAGAGGATAGGGGTCGATCGGCGCGGTAGATCTTGTGTTGGATGCGGGAGTCGAGTCGGCGGAGCTTAAACAAATAAATGGCAAATGTCAACAATGTTGTACGGTTGGGATCTTGGGGAGCTGTCAACAGCGCTGGGTCATGCACGTCGTCGTCCACATCTTGGGGCAGATCGAGGTCGATATGGCGGTCGGAGATGCTGAATGGCCGACCAAGAGACATCGACACTATTCGCTCGAGGTAATAGACCGTCCAGAATAGCCGGCGTCTGATCTGCGCTGTAAATGGATCCATACCAATCTCATTCGCCTTGCGATGAAGTCCCAGGTCGATGGCTGTACGCATAGCAAGTCCGATCATATACCACATCCCATGGCTGGTCGCGGTGCGGATATTATAAATGACAAGAAGCACCATGGCCTCGATGTTTTCAATAGACCTTGCTTCACACATCGTGGACACATACTGGAGTGCAGTGGTGTAGAACCGCTAGGAGAGCGTCAGTATGCATGTCAGGTTCTTGCCATAGAAAGATCCTCTCACCTCGGGCGCGGTGTATGCATATTTATCATCCAACTGAAGCATCGTCGCGCCGATGGCATACACCAAATTCAACTTGAAAATAGCGAACCGGTCAGACCGCGACAGCTCTTCGCGCTTGGCCTTTGCTAAGCGCCAACGTTCCTGGTGCAGCTGCCATACTTGGCTGCGATCTAGGAACGGATACCGAGAGTGAAGCCTTTTGAAATACGTCTCAATGATTTTAGATCCCATCTCGTCCGTTGGCGGCTCCACGTTGGCAGGTAGGAGCTCTTCAACTCGCATGGACCGATCCCGCATGCGCGCATTACTGCCAGGTTGTGACGCGCCGGAGCCAGCCCCTGAAAGAGTCTGGGGAGTGGCAGTACCTCTAGTGGTAGACTGGAGTTGCATTCGAGTAGTGAACTGATTCCATACACTGGTCTGCACCATCTCTCCTAAGTTGGCGGCCAGCGAAAGACCCGAGCTCGGGCCCACGTAGGCCGGCGCCTCGGAGGAACTCAAGGCAAGGAGACCCACGATCTCGCCAACGGGGTTATTGTCGAGCCCTGAGGTAGCAATTTGCGGTGTGGCCCGTTTCATTGAAGGAGACCCAAATGAAGCTGCGGTGGTTGTACTGGGCCCAGTTTCATCTGTAGAGGCCCCAGATTGGCCCAGTCTGCGTTCTAGGAACGCAACTCGTTCTTCGAGAGCACGAGTGTATCTGTTAACAATATCAGCATTCATTCTGTGAGACGACCAGCCGATAGACTTACTCATCATGTCGGTAATTGTCCTCGCGCACGCTGGACTTGTCACAGCTGACGCCTGCCTTCTTGCAGTTGGAGCAGGTCGGATACTCATTATCGCACTGTGACAAACCTATTAACAATCAAGCATCATTGGTGGGTGCCTTTAAGGTACTTACTTTCTGCTTTCGTGTTTTGCAACGAGTGCACGCCGTCCTCCCGCGCTTCCGAGGATTGTGATCCCGCGATACGGGACTTGTCTGCCGGGAGGACACGGGACTATGACCCATCGGATACATCTTGATGCGAGACCTGCAAAACTATATTTTGCTGCTGATAGAATTCATTTCATCTTTGGTGGAATATCTACCCACGTGGGGGAAGGTGATGTGAAGAGGAGAGTTGGGGATGGGTGGCGGGTGCCAAGAGACAAGTGATGTCTCGCTGGCCTAACTATATTCGTCCACAAAAATACCTGAATCAAATATGAATTACAAAGAAAATGTGTGGATCTCAGTATGGAAGTTCTATTCATGCTCTATGTAAATGCTGTGGTATCGAACGCCGCTCATGCAACAAGAGGCACTCCATGCTGGGACATGGAATACATTATAGACAACAACCCTCTTTCTAGCATCTACATCCTCCCCTTTAATGTTTTTCTTTCTCCATTTCTTCGGGACCCAGAAAACCCGGGTCAGCACGAGACGGTGGCATCGACGACTCGGCAAGCGTCGACTGAGAAGGGCGTTTCTCTACTTGATGCTGGACTTGATTCTCCGATTCTTCGGGACACGGCTCAGTAGTACCCGCCTCAGCATCCCGTTCAGCTTCAACGGCTCTTCTCTTTTCTTCCTCTACTTCCTCGGGCTCCTTCGGCCGTTCGAGACCGCGATCGCGGACGAAGACACACGCAAGGAAACAGGCCCCAATAAGAGGGACCTGCAGAATGAAAACCGCGTGCGAGGCCTTGGTGTACGATAATAGAATCTGAGCCCACTCTGTGTCAGAAAGATTTGACCGCGAAGGCAGAGAGTAGGACGAATGCGTGAGGTAGGTGAAATTTGCAGGAAGATTGGAGCGCAGCGTCGCTTGCAAGACGGCGGCCGAGATAGCCAGGCCACAGGCTCCGCCCATGCAGCGGAAGAAGTTTCGGTTGGAGATGACCACGGCGCGCTGCGATTTCGTGCAATGCGCCTGCAGTGCGACGAGCGTTGGTTGGAACGTGAAGCCAATTCCCACGCCGGAGACGGCTACTATGACTGCAATAACCGCTGGATGTGTGTGGCGGTCGAATAGAAGCATTAGGCCGGCGCCTCTGTGAACGAAATAATTAGCAAGATGTCAACTGTACATGTCTCCAAGTAGCTTAAAATACGTACAAGGTCCAGAAACCAAACCCTGCCCAGATGATTTCGCCGTAGCGTTTGCGCCGAGAGATATACTGCCCAGAGGCAATGGATGCAAGCGACTGGCATGCCACCATGGGGGCAGTCAAAGCCGCGGACACAATAGGTGACCAGCCACGAGCATTCTGGTAGTACAGAGGCAGGTAGTAGAGGTACGACTGGTACACTGCCCCTAGCAAAAAGCTTTGTAGGAAAAGGGTCGAGATGACTCGGTTCTTGAAGAAAACCACTGTTTGTCTGTTAGTTCAGAATCCTTCTGCTGTCTCTTTGAAGCATCATAAACGTACCTGGTAGCATCGGCAGCGACGCCACTTTCCACTCAATAAAGAAAAATGCAATAAAAGCGCAGCCGCCAATAACCAGCATGCTGATCACCATCGGCGACTCCCACGGGAAGTATGAGCCGCCCCCGGAAATGGGGATCAACAAAAAAATAATCCCCACGGACGAGGCAAAGAGACCATACCAGTCAATACGGCTGATGTTCTTGCGAAAGCCATCCTTGCGGGCATTGTTCGGGATGAGGAAATGCCCAACAACCGCAGAACACGCCGCCAGCGGGGAAATCAGCCAAAAGAAGCCACGCCAGGTCGACCGCATAATCCAGGCCGACGCAACGAACGGGCCCATGATATTCCCCAAGCCGAGCGAGGCACCCAGCACGCCCTGGTACTTGCCACGCTTTTCCAGGGTCACGACGTCCGACACAATGATCATAGTCAGCGACGTGACGCCGCCTCCCGCGACACCGGCCAGACCTCGGAAAACATAGAACATAGCCGGGTTCTGGGATAGACCGCAGAGAAGGTCGGCAATGCACAACAGAACTAAGGCTGACAGGTAGACAATCTTCCGGCCGAAGATGTCGGACAACCGGCCGTACAGCACGGTGAACATGGTGTTGGCGATCAGCGACGAGGTCCCGGCCCAGGATATGGTGTTTTTGGCTCCAAGCTCGCGCGCAATTGTTGGCAGCGTGACGCTGATCCCGTTTTGGTCCACAAAGGTGATCAACAACGAGATGGCCAGGCCGGAAAAGACGACCATGAGTTGCCCAAAGGGAAGAATATTGGTTTGGTCATGCAAGGCCTTTTCGGCCGCTCGCTGTCGATTCATCGTTGAAGCGAGATGAAATCAAAATCCTCTTTGAATGTTGGGGACCATGTCAATGTGGAGCAAGCGACAGCATTCCGAAGCAAGTCTGTCGTCCTGCTGAGCAATGCTTGGCTCCAAACTTTCTCTTGAAATACGATCAGAGTTTGAATGTGAAAAGAGGAACCGAGAAAAGAAAGTAATTCTCCGAGACATCAACTAGTTCATATAAGAGTCATGAGGCCGATCAGGGATTTTTTGGTCAGGATTTCAGGATGCAGGCCATTGGCCATCGGCGACTGATACTGTGCCTCGATTGGGGCGGCAAGACCGTTGGGCGTTGCCATCGGCAGTCCGACGGAAAAGCCTTCTGTTCATGCTGGTCCACCCATCAAAATGAGTGGGAAAAAAGAAAGAAAGAAACCGAGATAGCGTCGGGCCAATTTCCGCGTCATCTTCATTGCGGTTGGTGCTCCGAGCCCGTGGTGGATCCTCGGACGTCCGATCGGAGGGCCGATTTAGTCATGAGCATCCATCGGTGGATAGAACCTTGGAAACATTGATGAATAAGAGCCCGAGAGATAACTCTTGATGATTGAAGGCAATTACCTACAGATACACTGGACAGCGAAATCCAGATGGTTTTGGTATAAAGGAGATCATGACTATGTCGCCTTCAACCAATTTCCTACAAATCTACTTCCCACAAGAATGTATAGAGGACAAAAGGCAGTTCTGACAAACGCGAGACCTCTGCCGGTTTAATCCTACTTATTCTACTAATTGAGCACGGCTATTCCTTACAAGCTAGTCTCATGCCAAGTTGCGGCCTGAGAGTAAGTAAGATTAGACTTCTGTTGACCAAGTTTGGCTCTTTGGCTCTCTCAATTGAAGCAGACGATCCGTATATCAGCGGTTGTGTGAAGTAAATCCTTCCGTTCAGCTCTCTTCAATTCGGGCATCGGCCTCATCTACCCGTCTCAGCATCGCACGGAGAGCAATCATGGCCAGTAGGAGGCGCTGAGCTTCAAGCTCCTGGGATCTTCCGTGAGTAGTCAGTTCTCGAATTGTATCAGCCAGGTCTTCAAATGAATCAGTCAGGTCCTGGATAGCGGTCCGTAGACGATCCGGGGAAGCCTCGGGATCATGGGGGTCGATCACCGCCTCGGGCCCCAATGAAGCTCGACCATCGGTTGATTCCATTAGATTGTTGGTAATTTGTTTGTAAGCCTGGTGTTTCTTGGTAAATCCAGCATACAGGGTCGGGGATGGCTCAGTGGTGGTAGACTGCGCAGAACCTGGATCGAGGTGGCCAGAAAACTGACAGTAGATGTTGTTGGCACGCCAGTGGCAGTTTGCACAGCTGGTCAGAGTTGACAAGCCGTCTACCACGACACATTGATTCCACGGGCCCTTTTATTGGCGGCAGGGAATGCATGGGCTCTCTGCTGCCTGGCCGACAACCTGGACGAGGGTGGACTCGACATTGTGCACTAGGTCACCGATCATTTGGTCCTCGGTTCCACCGTCCTATTGCATATTGCTGCGGATAACAGGCTTGCGCTGAGCTGGAAGTGCGTACAAAGAGCACAGGAGAGGCGTCTTCCATTCACCCTCTCGAGCTTTGACGTAGTTGAGGCTTTTGATTCGGGTGGCCCAGGAACCAGGAGGCACCTCTAATTCTGCGCTGGCCACGGCGTTAGGGGTAGTAACAGGGTCAGTTGGTGCCTGGCTAGGACTGAAATACAGACCATGAACGTCAGTGTGTCTGTCATCTAAAGCCGAGGGAGGAGAAACAGTCTCACTTGGCCATTTTGAGAAACCACCAAGACTATGAGAGAGTGAACAGGAGAGGATAGTAAAGGGAGAGGGCAAGGGAAAAGTAGATAAAGGTGAAGGAGGGAAACGTAAATTGAAGCAATGAATAGGGTGAAGAAAGTGAAGAAGGGAAGGTAGAGACACAGAAAGTGTAGCATTAATTCTATCGAGCCTATCCTCTATGTTGTCCTTTATACTCATTCACTTGAGCAAAATCTACAAGATTCATCTCACAACAAAAATCAATCCTCTCAATTCATACTGAAATATGATAGCTTGTGACACCATCACAAAGAGATCTATCTATTGAAAGAAAATAATAGATCTGTGGTCTATATATTAGGGGATGCCTCGAGTGTGAAGAAGCACGCCAGAACTTTGGCATATAACACAGACACAGCATAGATACTATATCGATAGAGTGGAGACGGGAATAGCCGGCATCCCTTGCTAGCAACGGTTTCTGGAATTTCCATGGTCCGTGCTAGCAACAAGGGGCTGATTTAGGGAGCCGAGATGGTGGAGTTTCGCCAATCGCACTTGACTGAAACAAAACAGATAGTGGGTAATCCCTGTTCAGATTTGGCTTGGCTGGCCAGTTTATACAAGTTCATACAAATTCGTCTACTTCTTGTTCAGCGTTGGCCCATCATCACTGCCGATCCCAGTGGGGTGAAGCGTCAAGGGGTTTCCCTTTTGGGCTTTAGGGCCCGCGACCGCAAGCAGCGTGGACCCTGGGGAGGCCGATCAACCTGCAACTCTTCTCTCTTCTTCAGCTCCATGGCAGCATGTTCCCTGCTTTCCTAAGGGCCCTGCCCTTCCCTGCAACCTTCTCCAGGGCCCGCCTGCTGATTCTTGGATTTGTGATATTCGGGCTAATTTACCTTTATCCTCGTTCTCCCGATGTGCACAGTCTTTGGGCCCGGCCACCTCCGTATCACCCCATCGATACCTTGATCGACTTTGCCCAGGACGAATGGGACACTCTTCTCACCAATGAGGCTCATGATGTTGCCTCCGCCGCGACACGATATCGCACCCGCCGAGGTCGCCACCCACCGCCCGGATTCGCAGAATGGTTCGAGTTCGCCAAATCCAAAAACGCCCTGCTTATCGAGAACTTGTTCGATCAAATATACCATGACCTCTCCCCGTACTGGGGCATCGAGCCCCGTGAACTGCGCCGACAAGCTCAGAGCTTCGTGGACCGAATCATTGTGCGCAACCACACTACGAGCCGAACCGATGGGGATCCTCCGTGGATAGGCGAATGGCAGGAGTTGGTGTCGTCCATCCAAGAGTTCCTTCCCGATCTTGACATGCCGATCAACATGATGGATGAGTCGCGCCTCGTGGTGCCCTGGGAACAAATCAACCAATACATACAAAAAGAACAGAGCAGCCGACACCTCTTGGAAGCGCCGCAGGTTGTTTCCGAGTACGTGACACTCTCGCCGACAGATCTGCAACAGGCCCCACCCTTCGACCCGGGCTTCATCCACGGCAACTACTGGGAGCTCGCCCGAGTCGGTTGTTCCCCAGGCAGTCCGTCTCGGCAAAGCAATATGCCCGAAATGAATTTCACCAATCCGCCTCCCGAGCTCAATAACTTCAAGCACATGTCCTATCAAGGCTATGTCCAGAATTTTACATTAAACAAAGACATTTGTATCCGTCCTGAACTTCAGGCTCTACACGGAACCTTTATTGAGCCGGTCTCTATCTCGACCTCCCACAATCTTTTCCCACTCTTCGGTGGATCCAAGATATCCGTCAATAATGAAATCCTCATTCCTCCGGCCATGTATTGGGCCGATGATGAGCGCTACTCCGGAGGCGACGCCGAACACGGCGGCCCGTGGGAACAGAAACACAACCAGCTGATCTGGCGCGGTGCAGCCACCGGCGGCCGCGCCAAAGCCCACACCTGGAAAGGGTTCCAACGACACCGGTTCCTGTCCATGGTGAACGCAACGGCGGTGCAAGGCGCCGAAGACAACGGTGGGCCCGCGATCAACTTCCAGCTCCCGAACCAGACCGAGTATGGTCTCAACAGCACCCAGACCTTCCTCTCGCAGTTCGTCGGCCAATATGCCGATGTCGGGTTCGGACACCTAGTCTGCGACCCGTACGTCTTCGAGAACCCATACTGCCCGTACCTGGACCCATACTTTAATGTCACACCGGGCATGCCGATGAAAGAAATGTACGGTTACAAGTACCTGCCCGACCTGGATGGCAACTCGTTCAGTGGTCGCTACCGCGGGTTCCTGCGCTCGACCTCGCTGCCCATCAAGGCCACCATCTACAACGAGTGGCATGACTCGCGTCTGATCCCGTGGGTGCATTTCGTCCCCATGGACACCACGTACATGGATATCTATGGGATCATGGCCTATTTTCTGCAGGGTCGCGATGCCAAGGCCCGCAAGATTGCTCTGGACGGTAAGAACTGGGCGGAGAAGGTCTTGCGCAAAGAAGATATGCAGGTTTATGTGTATCGCTTGCTTTTGGAGTATGCTCGTATCTGCGATGACCGCAGAGAAACCCTCGGGTATGCCGATGGTTTTTGAGCGTGTTGTGTTTATTATTGCTACTGTTTTTGGCGTTGGCGTTCGTCCGACATACCCATATAGGGTCTTTTTTTTATTATTATCTCTGCAATCTGGCGCATGGCTGTGTTTTTTCGATACCATATTTTGGGGAAGGTCATGTACATGAGACCTTTAGGAAACTCTGGACATCAAAGCTGGCTTATAATCGCTTAACTGCTTTAATTGAATCGGCATCCTATCTTGCAGGAGATGGATTTGTTTCGCTTTTCAGTCATTTGCGGCGTTTAATCGAGGGCATCTTCACATATCTAACGTGAATGGCCACATGCTCCGAACTTCGTCAGGAGTTCTGTTCGGACCCAGCTTGGAGACATAGTAGTCAAACAAGATCTTGTTGCGAACCCTGACCTCGTCCAGGTCCTGCTCTGCCGCAATCCAGCCCTCCTCAAGCATTTCCTTGACAAACCTGCGCAACTCACACCATTCCTGATAAGCCCCAAACTCTGTCGTATACTGCGCGATCTGTTCCTCAGTAAACCCAATCGACAAGTCCTCCTCTGCTCCAAACCCCCAGACCCTCTTGACGGCGAACAATCTCAATCAAAGCCTGCCGAAGAGGAAGCACACCCTCATCCCAGGCCCCATCACAGCGCCGAAACATCTCCTTGAACAGCACAGGGAGTTCTTGCATGGCCTTCCAAGCGGTCCGATTATTCAATAAACTAGCAATCTCGCACGCCTTTGTCCACGTCGCTTTGTCCTTGTTGTGCAGCGCAAGCTCCTTGTTTTCGTCGTCCATCTCTTCGAAGTCCGGCGGCAGCTGCGGCATCACCTGGCCCTTTTGGTAGCCTTCTGGTGGAGTCAGCTTTGAATATTTGGTCTGGCGATGTCAAGAGACGCGTGTTGTTTTGCAGGCGCCAGTTCGGATTCGGATTTATTCAATTCCATAAAATATCTGAGTCAAAAGCTCGACTTTCACTGCAGATATTATACCGGATCGTGGAATTTTATAAGAGAGGAAGATCTCGCTTTTAAGTAGGGGTTGCATGGAGTACATTCAAAGTAAATGGAAAGACCTCAAATATCCACATATCACCAACACTATGTCCATTCTCATTAAACTGGTATATCAAACAAATTAACAGTCGTGTCTCATCAACTTCGTAATCTTATAGTCAAGCCTTCTCTATTCCACCACTGGGATGGGAGAGAACATTCTGTAGTATGTATAGAATAAGAACCCCCGGAATATTAGAATAAATCTGAGGCCTGGTGATCTCCAGTGGAAGATTTTGTTTCTTGGAGATTTTATACTGCTGGTACCGTCGTCACATCCAGAACATCAAGTATGTGATGGTCCGATGGGGACCCCGAGATCACCAGCGGCCCATGCATTCTGGATATCACGAGCGCTCGGGGTATTGACGTCGTAGCCGCTGCTCTCGCCCACATCATTGCCATCATTTCTCGTCCCAGCCTGAGGAGGGGGCCCGGCATGTCTCGCGAGATCGCTCGGGTTTGGGACTGGGTGATGGCCCATGTAGCTATCCCCAGTGACGTTACCCTGGTTCGGGAAGAAGCTCTGGTTCAAAGCTCCACAACTCGTACATGAGAATTCAATTTTGAAGTTCGTCAGGACCATGTGTGGGACAGGCGGGGCTGTATCGCGAGGCGGGTAGGTTGGGCCTTTGGGGTGCTCCGAGTCCACTATGGGTAGAGCAGCAGCAGGCGGGTATGGGACCCGGGGATGCGCAACCGTCATCGGCCGCGCATCATGGTTGAGAGCGGGTGATTCAGATGGCCCCATCTGGGGTGTCCGTTGGACCAAGGGTGGGGGTTGCACGGGCTGAGGGTTCGGGGGTGGTGTGGAGACGTGGTTGCTTGGGGGTTGAGGTTGGGGCATATTCCCGCTTTCAATCAGTGGTGGTAGGAGGCCATCAGGAAGCCAGCGATGGCCCGAGATCTCTCGGTACCTGGGCCCTCCGTCATCTTGCGATTCATGCTGTGACGAAGGCGACTGCTGATCAGCTGCAGTCACGTCCACGTCTAGCGGCTGATCACTCTGATTCTCAACAGACTGCGGCTGGAGCTTGGTCAACGCTCGCTGCGCCTGTCGAGTGGAGATATCGTATCCATGATAGCGTTTAACGGCATCCACGACATCCTGAGCCCTAATTTTGGTCTTCATATCAAACAGTTTGGGAATCTCGCTGAGCAAGAACCGCACATGTGATGCCTCCGAGCGAGCCGGCGTGGCCGCTGGGGATTCTGCGCCGCGCCGACAGCTATGGCTATCTTGAAGGCTGCTGATATAGGTCGCATTTTTGTTGGAGCGGCAGACCACGCGGAAGAAGCAATTGACCCCCGATCGACAGCCGATTACCACGCTCTTCTTGTTGCTGCGCGTCACACGGAGCTCCCAGTGTTGTCGCACCGATATACTTCGTATCACCGCCTTAAAGTCTTCCAGAGAGGGGAATCGCTGGCCCACATGGAGCCCCGAGTACATCTCGGTCATCTTGGCGTGGGCACGGGGCGTGGACAGGGCGACAAATGGGCAACCGGGGAGGCAGTCACTGCTGTTGGGGCGCCAACTTCCATCGGGACGCTCGTCAACGGATGGCAGCGATCTTGAGTCGCGGTGCTGGCGATCACTTAAGAGGGCATGCGGAGGGCAGCTTAATACCACACGATCGTGAAAAAAAGCTTGATATGTGAATCTCGCACTGGCAAGCGACCCTAGTTCAGACCGTTCCAGGTGGAGTCAAAAGTTATCGCGAGGTAGGCCGGTGTGGTCTTTGGATGCGACGCTTCGGAGAAGAGTTGATAAGGGCGGGTGGAGCGCTAGACCGCTCGGCTTTGCTTTTCTCATTCACTCCCACTCCGCAACGCTTTCAAACGCCTGGGACTCCACGCTTCTTTTCACCGTGCTCAAAGTGCCAGCATCTGAGACCGGAATACTTGGGAAAGCCAACTGTGCAACCATCTCGAAAATGGCTTCCTACGGTCTGCTGAGCCAACCCGAAGAAGGTCGAGTCGGACCCCAAGTCGAATCTTGCCAGCTCTGCATACTAACGCTACAGTTCTCCCGCAGATTCGCTCCACAAGTCGCGCCTGCTCAACGTTGAAGAAAAGCCATTCAAGCGGATATCGAAGCGTGTTCTCAACCCCGACTCCCTGATTGTCTCACATGGCTCGCCCCCTCTCACCCCTCCCCCCGAGGGATCCGACGCCGACGCGACAGCAGCCGCAGAAGCCGAGAAGCAGAAACGCCTCGAAGAATGGCGCCATTTCCGCGAGGATGTGACCCTCGACTTCGCCGCCTTCGAGGGCAGCATCGCGCGCATCCAATTTCTTCTCACCAGCAACCAACAAGAGCGTGAGCGCTACGCGACCGAGAAGCTCCGGATTCTGTCGACGATGCAGGCCGTCCGCGATAACACGACCGAGTTACGGAGTCAGCTGGAAGAAGCGCAGCGACTTCTCGCTTTGCGAAAGACCTACGACGACCTAACAGAGAAGATCACAAGCAATCGCCTGCTCAAGCCTCGCGAGGACCAGCAGACAAACCTTCAGAAACTGCAGGTGGAGATCACCGAGCTGGAGAAGGAAAGCAAAGACTACGCGACGACGTGGGCTGAGCGTCGCGAGCAATTCGGCCGTATTGTGGAGGAGGGCATGCAGCTGCGGCGTCTGATTCGCGATGAGAAGGAAGAGGTCGAACGCAGGGAAGGTATGCAGGAGGGCGAGGACGCAGATGAAGGCGATGTCGCCTCCAAGGGTAAGGCCAGCGGCGCAACAAGCCCTCGGCCTGAAAGCGATGGCATCATCCCGTCCCCAAGCCAAGACGAGAGCAATCGGCCGTCTGGTCTACAGGTTGACAAGACTTCGGGGGCCACTGGCGCCGCCTCGCCTTTGCGGCAAGTCACCAGCGCCGAGGAAGACAAGGGCACAGGCGACCAGGAAGACACGAACATGGTGGATGAGGGTGAGGTATCTGATGATGCTGGGGAACAGTCTGATGGCCTCGAGGAAGGCGAAGAATTGCCCGATGATCGCACGGGCGAGAAGATGGATACCACATGAACATGGCATTCTGGGTCTATCTGTACATTTTCAAGCAAGGCGTCTGGTACTATGGTTGCATTTATCGTTTAGGACACTAAATTACATTTTATTCGATATTACGGTCTCTTCATCCAACGGGTATCCGTCTGACCTGAATTCAAGACTCCATTCACGACACTTCTCGCTCCGCAGTCTTGGCCTGAGCAATGGCTTCCTTTGCGGCGGTGATGTGCTCGACATTGCTCTCCGAGCCCTTCTTGCCCTCCTCGACCTACCATGGGGGTCAGTAAGCAAATTCCAAAGAGAAACCATAGGGAGTCGACGCACAACCAGGGCTTCCAGGCTGGCCACTGTATCCGCAATCTTCAGCTTCAAGTTCGGGAGGACCTTTTTAGTTTCCTCAAGGGCCAGGTGCTAGGATGGGTTAGCAGGTCATTTTATCCGTCAAATATTAAATCATCTAAATCAAATATGGAATGGGGGAAAGGAGAGCTCAAGACATACCTCCTGCTTCAGCAGGTACTCCCGGTTCTCATCCTCGTCACCGGTCTGGGTTTCCAGCTTCTTGACGCGCTCCGTCTGCTGCTGCAGTTCACGATGGTACGATGTCTCCTCCTTAACCAGACGGAGGACTGAGGAGGTGGTGATCTCCAGCTGCGAGCGGGGAGCCATAGTGATATTTCTGAAATCATTTGTCAATAAATGTAACCAGCATCAGTCAATCCACATGATTAATGGCATCAAGAAAATCCATAGCTTCAATATTTGGAAACAAATGCTCCATGGCAACCAGGGACTGTTTCCAAAGCTCACCATGACACAATGCTCTATAGAAAGAATCAAGCGAGCATTGGTTAAGTGCTAGCTAGGCTGTAGATATCCCCATGGGGGCAACAAAGCTCATCAGACCAGAATATCAAAGTAGCTTACCTTAAACGAAAGTTTATGTAGTGGATGAACTAGGAAACAGTTCAAATCATGCAGATCGATAATTGCTGGCCAAGAGAGATCAGAGGGACTAACGCCCCTCATGATGCTATCGCGGGATGTTTGCTGTGTTTGTTGTATATCACATGATACACGTTTGCTGGTGTCATATGACTCTATCCACGTGAGATCACTGAGGCAGCATTGATGCGCCGTGCCATCAGTGCCCGGTACGTTCGAACGGAACTAGACCGACCCGATTTTATATTTGATATAGTGATCTTTTCTCGGAAATCAGTACTTCTTTATTTTTTTTATTGTGAAATAGCCACTACTTACATACGATCGAGGCAGATTAAGACTATCACTAGCCAAGCGGTCAATTGCCAGGATTTCTACCTATTTACCCTAATTGTAGCATTGTCCACTCTGGTCAAAGACCATGCATCCCATATCGAGTCCTATATTCATAGTTGTCCTGCAATACTAGATATCCGCAGCCCGCAGTACCTCGACGAGACATTAGAATGCCTGTGGGTCTCGGCCAATGAGAAAATGCAGGGAGCTCGATGATCCGCCTTCGGTCCAAGGTACCTTGGGCCGATTTCTCCCCAGTTAAACGCCGCCTGAGATGCTTCATATCTCACTGAGCACATTATCGGTGCCTTTGAGCCATATATATGACTTTCTTCTCTTGTGCATCTTCATCTTGTGGTGTTCTCATGTCCGCATTTCTGCATTGTGCTATCCGGTCGAGTTCTCTTCCGTCATAAGCCTCGAGCCTCGATGCCGGCTCCGTCGCTCAAGCAGTTGGCCACAGCCACGGCCGTCAAACACTTCAGGTGTAAGTATTTCTGGACCAAAGAAACTGCGACATATCACAGAAACTGACTGGCTTTTTTGTGTTGCATCTAGTCCTCGATGATCTCGGCAGCCTCCCATACTCACTGGCCCGCCCCATACTGTTGAAGATCGACAATCCGGAGAAACTGGTATGAATTCGCTGGGGGATGCACCGGGAAAAACAAAAGAACCTTCGAAATTGCTGACAGTGGTCTTGTTTCCACAGCATTCTCTCGAACTCAAATCGCCGCAAATCGCCGAAGAAAACGAGGAATTATGGATGGAGTTCATCAGGCGCGACATCCCGCAGTGGGAGACATACAACCTGCCCAAGAAAACGAATCAGTGGTATGAAGTCTATTGCGGCCTCCGCGACCAGGTGCAGCGATCGCTGGATGCCGACGCCGAGAAGATGAAGATGGCCATCGATGGCATCAACTCCGAACGGGCCCGACTGACCCCCAAGATCATCTCGAGTTCTCGCAGTGCTCGCCTGCCTGGCCAGAGACCAACCGCGAGACAACGCATGGTCTCCTATGACCGCCGAATGGGCGGACTTCCCCCGGGCCAGGCTATTCCGCGCTCCGAAATGTTTGCGCCGGCTGCAAAGAAAAGGCCCAGCATCTTGGCTCCGCAGCGCAGAAACAATGCACTGGCAGTCCCGACGCAGCATCTCAACTCCCGTGCCTCGCAAGTGACTCAGGCGCCGCGCGGTTTGGTCGAGGAGCATCGCCGGCCCGTGGAACATGCCGAACAGCTTGCTTCGCGCCGCAAAGAACCTGTGGCATCCGCTGCGTCTGGGCATCCCAAGCAGCTGGCCTCGTCCACTGCCACCATGAAAACCTCGTCCACTACCCCGAAGCCGCTGTCCGATCTTAAGAGCGATCCCAAAAGCTCTTCACTGGCCCAGAGAGAAGCCAGGTTGAAAGCCCTGACGGGCAGCAGTCCATTTTCTTTCCCATCCACCAACACCGTTCGCAAAGTCCCCTGTCCTCCCAAGCAGAACTCATCGTCGGCCCCGAAACCCGCCGTCAAGCGTCGCGCCGTCTCCCCGCCTCCGCAGGTGGCATCTACCCCTCGATCTGAATCATCATATCAGCCTTCAAATGAAGCTGCCGTAAGCCCGGACAAGCCGGCGGCTCGCCCACCAATGCTGCGCAAGCGGAAACCTGACAGCGTCTTCATCCAGCCCAAGCGAAAGCGGGTCTCGTAGCGTGTCTGCATACTCTGATTTTGTTGTCATGTAAGCGTTTCGGGTTTCTTGTTGATTGTTTTGCATGATTGCATCTCGTGGGGTTTGGGTGGGGCATGGAAAACGTGGGAGCATATCTTTATTGTTTGTTTGGGGGCATTGTAGGGGTTTGTTCATGGCGTCTTTCCACTTGTGGGGGTTTGCGTCTTGTTTCGAGTACGTTCAATATGTGTCTAGCGTTTTGTCCTGGGAATTACAGTAGGAGGTCCAGCATCTGTAAGGCATTTCGGCCATTCTGTCGTCCTTGCTAGGGTTTCGCATTGCGGAGTTTGAATTCGCCATGGCGCTCATATCAAAATGCATTTGAAACGTCAAAGACGTCGGGGTCAGCGACGTAATGACAAAACTCTGGTTCAAAAACCTGAGTCGCGCCGATTTGGATACCTGCGATGCAGATAGCCCAACAAGCAACAAAGAAGTGAGATCCGGAACGCCTGATATGCATTTCAAGCTCTGTCATCACGACTTCAATTCGGCCGTCCCCCATCTGTCCTTCTCTCTCCAATCGTTCGAGTCACAAAATTGCCTGCTGTCTGACACCATGAACTATCCTCAACTCAAATTGTATTGCTGAAAAACGAGGTATCTTAAAAAGAAAAAAAAAGTCGGTTACATCGCGCATCCACCACGCAGGGCGAGCACCAGATGGAGCGTGGCTCCGCCCTCGAGGTTGTATTCTGAGGCCGTCTTGTCGTCCGCCCTGGAGATGACAATATTAGCTGGAGTTTGTATCTTGTTTCCCCCGGTGGCACGTACATTTGCTTTCCGCCGAAGATTAGTCGCTGCTGGACAGGTGGGATGCCCTCCTTCTCCTCGACACGCTCCTTTATCCGCGAGACCTGATTACAGCTTGAATCAGTGTCTGAGCTCAGATACTGATTTCCATCCCTCCAATAGCATTCTCCGGTCATGCAGAGTATGTGGTGTGGCCATGTCCGAGACCGGGTGTTTCCGTGCGGGGGAGGGTGCAGTCGCCGGGAGTTGTTACCTTGTAGTCGGGCTCGATATCCAGCTCAATCTCCTTTCCAGTAAGAGTGCGGACTCTGTCGAAACATGCTGTGTGAGCTCGGTGCTTTGGCGGGGATTTCCCTCCGGCGGTGCAATGATGCATATGGGGGGATGCTGCACCGGCACCAGCACTTACTTGATCAACATCTTGGCAGCACAGTCACTTTAAACAGAATTGTAAGAAGGGTATGAGGTTGAAGGAAGTCGGTTCATTCAGAGGGTTGGGAGAATGAGGGCGTGTTGGTCAACCTTGAAAGTGTTTGGAGAAAGAAGAGTCCCTCGTCAGCGGGGTTTTGGTGGGGCAAGTGGCCTTGTGGCTTGATTACGGTTGTCTCCAAAACGTCTACAAGTTGGACATGAAACATCCTTAAATATTAAACCGTTTGGACAGTCGATCCTAATTAGACTGCTGGCTCTTGGTATGCACTTTCCTCGTCAATGAATTCTGTGGTTGGTGTTGATGGTTGACCAAGAGAGTCTATATATATATCGATCGCATTCCATCACCCCACCGGTTGAACTGGCTCCAACCCTCCCCAAGACCTCTAACTGAAAATTGACCAGCTGGTGAAAATCCATATTTTCAGATGGGAGTAGACCACAATCCATTCCAGCAGGTCATCTCTGCTTGCGAAAATGAACCGGTAATGCTGGCTAAACCACGACTATCAATTGCTGGACGCTGAACAGCCCTCGCAGAAACGGATGCAAAAAGTCTACGAGAACCACCGGTTGAACAGAAACATGCAGTCCAGAGAGAAGATCCTCCATCCCAGATTCTGCAAGTGGCAAGTGGACGACATTCTGCAGAACATCCTCGATGCAGACAAAAGCCCAACCCCGTTCATCGACCCAAGGAACAACCTTGCGGTTTTGGCTCGTCCGCCGCAGCATACCCGGGCGTTGATCCAGGAGATTCAGAATGAGATTGCCCTTATTGCCGGTTCCTGCAAGTACCCATCCATGTGCTTTATTTTACAAGTGATCCCCATAATAACTCAAAAGAAATCGGTCAGGTCTTTGGCTTGTGCCGTCGGATCATCTACATGTCACCACCCTGGAGATTGCAGCTGCGCGGGCCGAGCCCGAGATTGAGGATATAGTCTCATTTCTCAAGCAGCGCCTGTCTTTATCAGAGTTAGTCAACTACACGCTCGCTCATCGTGCTCGGCTGGTCAAACCGATTGTGAGCTATGATGCCTCCGCGATCGCACTGACTTTCGTCCCCGCCGCTGAAGAAAATGATGCATACACCTACCATCATTTACGAAGCGATCTCTATAACACAGTGGCTCGCACGGGATGTCCGATTATTTCTCGATATACTGTGCCATCGGCACATATCACCATCGCTCGGTTTGTCACCGATCCTGCACTAGAAGCTGTTGCGCCAAATGTCTTTCGTGAAAGTGTCTCGCGACTGCTTCGTCAAATCGAGGCCATCAATACGGAGCTCATCTCTGACGACTGGGTCCGATTTGGAAGCAGTTCCCGTGGGGAATGGGTTGTTGGGCAGGAGACAGGACTGGAGTTGACACGAGGGCGGTCCTGGTATGGGAATGGGGAGCGGATGTTGACAGGAGAGGGATTTGCATAGAATAGAACAGCCCACCATCAAATGATATCAAGTCTAATATATGCAATCTATTAATTTAACAAGTAAATCCAAAGGGACTTCCTAAACAGGTGATGTCAAGACCGATGACTCAGCAACCCCGAAACGGTTAGCGGCGCACAGTAGGGCCTAAGCGAACGAAATCCCACAATCCTCGACTCGCTCCTCTCCGACAAGCGACAATCCAACGACCACCACCTCGCTATCCGGCCAAGTCAGTCAAAATGGTAAGGACCCGTGCTCCGTTCTCCTGCTCTATCCCGAAGTCCTGGTCAATCGAAACTGCAAAATTCTTGCGCCGAAAATGAGAAATGTGTGTGTGATGGGGGACGACACTATGCCGACTTTGAGATCGTGACCCGACCGTCGCAAACCACGTTTTCGCCAGTCCGTGGATTCTCTACAGCAATGTGACAAGCAATGGGAGCCCCAACGACATTTTCAGCATGGGCATGGGTGGCGACAAAAGAAGTGATGTTTGTGGGTTCGACCGAGGGCTGGAGTGAGAGTGAACGGAAAATCGGACTTGAATGATTGTGCGGTCGAGCATGCTTCGCCCACACACAACCGACTCTATTTTTCCCGACGGCACTGGACCTTCCTCTCCGATGGCAATATTCCGAACCGGACTTTAGGACTTGAGCAGGACTGGCTTTCATATCGCGACAGAGGCTCACGAGTTTTCCTCTGCACAGGTCAACATCCCGAAAACCCGCCGGACGTACTGCAAGTCCAAGGACTGCCACAAGCACACCCAGCACAAGGTCACCCAGTACAAGGCTGGCAAGGTGAGACAAAACCTCGGACGTGATCGACGTCATCCGGACAAATGTGGACAGTCGCTGATGCATAGATGTTCCAATATAGGCCTCGCTGTACGCCCAGGGTAAGCGCCGTTACGACCGAAAGCAGAGTGGTTACGGTGGTCAGACCAAGCCCGTCTTCCACAAGAAGGCCAAGACCACCAAGAAGGTCGTCCTGCGTCTCGAGTGCACTGCTTGCAAGACCAAGAAGCAGCTGGCTCTGAAGCGCTGCAAGCACTTCGAGTTGGGGTATGTTGATACAGCCGAAATAACATCGAATGTCCATGCTAATGTGTTTTTTTCCTCTCTTTACAGTGGTGACAAGAAGACCAAGGGTGCTGCTCTGGTCTTCTAAGCGTTCGATTTCCTTGTTCGGATTCTGGGTTTCCTGCATTGCACAAGACGCTTCGCTGCTCTTGCGGAGAACATATGACGTTGGCAATGGAAAAAATGAAATAGGAATTGACCTCTTCAAAACAACATGACTACCCGATTTTATCTCTTTTCCCACTTCAAGTAGACCGATTTTCTAGCATATTGATGATGGGCTGGGGCTCCGACGATTCCACCGCCAGCATCCTATCCATAGTGTTCCAAGGATAGTGTCTCATGATTACTCTCCCGAAAATGCTTTTCGTCGTTATGAACGTCATGAGCCTATCTCAAGGTGTGTCCTGAGCAAGACTTCGCATCCATTATATCAACCCTCTATCTCGGGGCTGATGCCTCAACGCACTCGTTACCTCAAGTGACCCCAGGTCTACCACACTGACCTGCATATATACCAGCGATTTAGATGCTGTAGTATGCCTCAATTGATCAGCCTGGAATCGACACCATGGCCTATAAGACTGATCTGTTCGTCATCGCGACTCGGAGCTAGACCACTACGATGCTAGATCTTGATTTCCTCATCCATTTCTGGTTTCGGAGAGTGGCTGTCATCCTTAAGAAGAAAGCTTTGAAAAATTTGCGATACAATAGACAATTATATGTGTTACTCGTTTTTGTTTTGTTTTTTTCAGACTCTCATCATGCTTTTTTGACAGTTTCTTAATAGATTTTGAGTTCTCTTTGTTTATAATGCTTTTGAAGTCTATTTTCTTTAACATCTTGAATAGGTCTTAATTATGTCTTTTAAGACGATTTTCTAGACATGTTTTATGAGGGGCTTTAATTATGTTATGTGGGTGTTTAAGGCCTCACAAATTAGAGTTAGGTCAACCTTACCTAAATAGGCTTAGTACAACTAGTATAAATCTCTCCAGTAGGGAACTCTCAAGTTGCCTTTACCTTCTCTATTCTTCCCTTCCCTCTCTACTGCACACGACACCCCTATTGACAGGTGAGCGCGAGTGAAAGACTGACCAATACGATACTAATGGTACGAACGAAGCTACCTACATACCATAGGAATTCAAATTCGTCACTATCACTCATCCAATCATGGCCACTCTCACCAAAACCGAACTTGAAGCCGCGATCACTAACTCCGTGCAAAATCGCATTATGGCCTACAACAGCTCTTTTGCGTTAAGTATCCACTGGCAACTCGACAATACTAATGCTACCGAGGATGCCGACCACTTCCAGTCTATCTTCAGCACCCTCAACCTTCCACAAAGCCGAAGTCCTGGCCCTTACCACGGCAGATAGGACCCCAGGCTGGACGATCCAGGAAAAAAATAATGTCTATATTCCGGGCTGCATTCCAATATCCTGGGCAGATCCTTTGTCTTTATTCACTACGCTGGGCACGGTCAAATTCAAGGCAACAGCCTATTTATTGCTGAAAGAGCCAATGGCCCCAAGTTAAACTTTGATATAAACATCAACCAAACAGCTAGCGACACCTACTACGAGCTTGAAAATGTGGATAGGCCACGAATGGATGGAGCTTGCAGAGGTGATGCAGACAATTCGAGTCGAGAACCCAGTTGTCAAGCCAACCCACAGTCTTAATATTAGGGGTTATGTCTGTTCGCCTCCCATTTGCCGGCTTGAGACCTATCACTATCCATCCGAATACTATAGCCCCATCTCTACGAGCTTTCTTCAGCGTCCACATCGCCGAAAATATGACGGCACACGAGGTTGATGGATTCTTCAGACGGGTTCGAACCCTTCCTCTCAGCTGCGCTATTATTACCCTTGATGGTGTCTACCCGGCAAATTCGACGCTTCACATCATCCAAAGCGCATATGCGCTTTTCTCAAATCTTGCTGGCTTGCCAGTGATTCCTCTTACTGCAGAGGTCTTCGGCACTATTCTTTATCGTTCTTTCAGCGAGAGAGCAAAGTCGATTAAAAAAACATGAGGAAAAAAAAAAGATAATAAAAGCTTACATATTTTTGATACATTCCCTTGCCTCCTGAGAAATGACTCATTTTCAAATCCCCCTTCCTTCTTTTTTGGAATCATATTTTCAAAACTGTCTCTGAACCAAAACCGTCTTCCACTTAGTGTTTTCTATCAAGGTTCAAAGTTCAGTGGATACATCGTGTCGACTGAGATTTCGAAGTCCTTTGGACCGAGCACTGGATGTGAGAATACTTATACCCTTGCACAAACCCAGTGCAAAAGCTCGTGCTCTGTATCACATCGATGGGCCTGGCAAGCAAGAAGGCTGCGTCCAACCACAATGAACTGTACCAAATGAAGTTCAGAGTCCCGGAAATTACTATTATACCAAGGACGACCCAGAGCCAGATCTGCGAGAAAAGAATATTGTAGCCCTAAGAAGTCTAAAGTTCGCCAACCCCCACGCCAAGAGGAAAAGGCCATGATTCAAGATTCCAAGACGAGAGCCATGGGCCGCACCAAGTGGACCCTCGGCTGATTTCACTTCTTTTACCCCGTGTTTCCCCCGCATCTTGAGCTGCTTTGCTCTCGGCCGTTCTCCGATATGGGCACAACTGCGAGGTGTTGTGTCACGCATCCTCGTATCGGACAAAGCCCGCATGAGCTCCCCAGATAATACTGACGGGGTGCTGCTCTCTTTTATTCTCGATGAGATTCTCCCCTCATCTCTCTCTCTCTCTCTCTCAAACATCGTATAGTTCGACTGGAATTCGTCAAGATGGCCCTGTGGTACTCGTTGGGTATCGCCTTTTTTGCCGCGATCGGCACTTTTCTGTTTGTATGTCTTGGGTCATATGCTGCTTTATTCTATTTTCCTTTGATTCCTGAATTGCTGAAGACTAATTACTCGTCGATGTAGGGCTTCGATACCGGCATTGCGACAACCAGTGAGTACCACCGCGTTGATGAACGTTCTACGCCCGCCATTCCATCTTGCTAAACCTGCGTGCTAGCGATTGCCCACCAAAGCTGGATCGACTATATGGATAACCCTTCCAAGGGCCTTACGGGTGCAGTATGTCGAACACTGTGACAGTCCTGCATCGACATGACACTGAATGTCCCAGGTGGTTGCGGTTTATATTGCCGGCGAGGCCGTCGGCGCTTTCACTCAGACTTTTATTGGCGACAAACTCGGGCGCATTCGGTTCATGCAGTTGATGTGCGTGATCGTGACCATTGGCACGGTGATCCAGACGGCGTCGGTCAATATTGGCATGTTCCTCGCTGGCCGCGTGTTAGCCGGGTACGCAGTAGGGTAGGTCTACCATACACAAGCCCCCCCAAAAGCCAATTACCAAGGAAACATATAGTCTAACCCAACTAGTGGGATGGTCGCAACGGTCCCCATCTACCTCAGCGAGATCTCCGACCCACGCTACCGCGGCCTGATCGGCGGTATCTCCGGCTGCGGCATCTCCTTCGGGACCATGATGTCCAACTGGGTCGGCTATGCCTGTAGTTATGCCTCCTATGGCCCCGTGCAGTGGCGCCTACCTCTGGGTATCCAGATCCCCTGGGGCATGGTCCTCTTCGCGGGCTTGTCTACTTTCATGCCGCACTCGCCGCGCCAGTTGATCCGCAGCGGCAAGATCGAGCAGGCGCGCAGCGAGTTTGCACGGATTCGACGCGGATTGCAGTCGTTTGAGATGCAGGAGGAGTTTCTGCTGATGCAGGCGCAGATCGAGTATGAGATGGAACGGGAGATTACTTCGTACCGGGAGATCTTTCGGCTGTTTCGGCATCGGGTGCTGGTGTGAGTGCTTCGACTGGAAGACATAAATTTCATGGGATCTACTTGAGACTGACTATCTTTCCGACAGGTCAATTGCGGTGCAGACTATGACTAGTCTGACGGGCGTCAATGTCATCCAGTATTACCAGAGTGAGCTTCCAATTTCGTCTCGGCTTACGGCTTACTATTCTCTGGTTATGCATGCTGACCAACTATTCAGCCATTTTGTACAAGTCCCTCGGCATCGGCTCGCACACTATTCTTGCTCTGGCTGCTGTCTACGGCACCGTCGCCTTCCTGTCAAACTGTGTCACCACCAAGTACATGACAGACCAGTGGGGCCGTCGCAAGTTCGTGATCCTTATGCTCATCACATCTGATGCAGCTCCACTGACCATAGCAGGATGCTGATCACCGGACTGGGTGGCATCGTATTGATCGAGATCTACGCCGCCGTCATGCAACGAGAATTCCAGAACACAGACAACCGAGTCGGGAAGGGATTTGCAATTCTCGGCATTTACCTCTTTGTCGTATGCTACTGTATGTGTTGAATTGACTTTTGTTGTTACAAGGAAGTGACAGGGAAGTGGCCATGATCTAACATTTTCTAGATGGCTTCCTCAACAGCACAACCTGGCTGTATGGAGCTGAGGTTCTCCCCATTGCTCTGCGCAGTAAGGTCATGGGTCTGGCAGCAGCATCTCACTTCATTGTCAATGTTGCCGGTATGTTATTGATCTCATTGGGGACGTGAGGAAGGCAACAACCTCAACCTGCATGGCTAATGTGAATCACCACAATAGTTACCGAAGCCGGGCCCAGTGCCTTTGCCAACATCCACGAGAACTACTACTATGTGTTCGTGGTGTGCTCCGTCTTCTTTCTGGGGGTGGCATATCTATACTTCCCGTATGTCGCCAAACACCTACTTGATTTGGGTCGCATGACTAACTCTTGACTCTCTCACAGAGAAACCAAGCAAAAAACCCTCGAAGAAGTGGCTGCGGCCTTCGGAGATCGGGTCGTCTTGCCTGATGATGGGCCTAAGCAGGCAGCCAGTGTAGTCGGCGAGGCAGACCATGTGGAATCGACCGAGGCTACGACCAAGGGGGTTTGATGATGTATGGCGTCGTGTTGGAGTGGCAATGGTTTCATTTGTCTGTGGTTTGTTCAATTGTTAAATGAAGATGTATCAGGTCAAACAACGTAGCTGCCTGGGTAGAGCCTGGTTGCTTTTGAGTCGATACATCGTCTATTGCCATAGTATATCGTGAGACAAAGTCCCAAAGAGGCAGCTGGATAGGGTTCACGATTCAGCCCCTACCCCAAGGTCCTCCCTAAGGACCTACCTCCCTAAAGAAGTATGCAACATGTCATTCTTGACGAAGACATCAATCATGTTTAATCTAGGTCAAAAGGAAGGGAGCTATGGGTATATTGACCCCGAATTCACATGTTTGTACCTCTTCTACGCCCAATGACTCCACGATCCAAAAAGGAAAAAAGCAAAAAAGCAAAAAAGCAAAAACATTGCATCCTTCGGAAACTCTATTGCCTGCCGATCTCTGAAATCGATTTTTCTTTTTTTGTCGGAATGCTACCGTACGCGTTGGTGGGTGTTTTTTTGCTGAGAATCCCAGGGACACTATTTGCCACGGAAAGAGAATCCTTCGTGCCCTGTCGGCTCTGCCAGGGATGCTCCACGAACACGAGATTCGAAAGCCCCTCGCTCACATATCCCAGACTGCCATGTGGGAAATGGGGGCCTGGGAGGATCCATGGAAGTATGTTGTGAGGCTCGAGTCCTCTTATTCTCCCTCCCCGGGGCGCAGTGGATATTCAGAGCCCCAACAACCAAGCCCAACTAACACGACTAAACAGTTGCAAACCCTGGAAATGAGAAGCGAGAAATGAGCTGACAGCCCGTACTTTGAAATTTTGACGTGTGCGGGGCCTTTGACAGAATTTTCACCGCAACGTCGCCAACGGCTCAGCCCAAGTGGCGTGTGGCTCAGTGTTTACCCTCCACCCAAGGGCAATGATCGTCGCACATTTGGGCTTTGGTGGCGGTATTTCTGGTTCACAAGCTCTCCAAACCAGGCACCCGACATATTTCCTGGTTCTCTCGCACTGACATCAATTATTTGCCGTTGCCGGGATCCGTTCGGGGGATCCTCGGTGTTGAACAGCACATACTCTCTCTTGTATACTCGAAGCGAGCGGAAATCCTGGATCGGCGCTAACACAAAAAGACAAATCATGACAATTCTCCATTGACAGTGGATCCTATCCGAAATTTTCTTTCCTTCTGGAAGACTTCCGTCATGCAGCCTCGGGCTCCCCGTACTATTGGAAAGTAGCTCGGAATGCTGTCATGGCTACAAGTCGATCCTGAGGAACGGGGGCAAAAGGATGATGCGGCCCTGCTCTGCTCAGCTCTTACTCTTTCGGTGGCCATCCACAGGGTTGCCTCTTATATATATATATATATAAAATATGGAACGTCGGGCAAACAGCTCGCGAAAGCCCTTGGCTCTTTCGACAGACGTCCTTTTGAGTATTGCACCAAAATATTTTCTTTTCCCTAAAAGAAAAAGAGCCATCCCCCATGTTCTCTTCACTCATCACCGGCCCTCTATGCAAGATTGAATGAGTCGTCTGTTCACATCCATTGGCTCGAGTCGACGTCCTCCAACATCCCTATGGCCTCTCGTGCATCTGGGAAACGCCTCCCCATCAGCTGCCAGGCCTGCCGCACGAGAAAGATCCGCTGCTCGCGCGATGGTCGGCCCTGCCAGACGTGTGTGCGTCGAGGCCTGGGTGCCGAAGATTGCATCTATCTCGGTCAGCCCCGGCTGTCTGTTGAGCAGAGCTCGTCGGGGGATGCCACCGCGCAGAACGAGCTGCTGGCCCGAATCCGCAACCTCGAAGGGCTGCTACAGAAACAAGTGGCCTCGCAGGCTGGAACTCCCAGTGGCGGCGCGGTGTCCCCCCTCGGGGCTCCGAGTGTGACGGGCAGTTTCTCGGAGTCGGAGATGGGTTTGGCTGGCGATGCCTGGGACTCGTGGAATCCCATGCTCGGCAATATTGGGTCCCTGCAGACGACCACCTCGGGCCATGTGCGCTATGTGCCGCTGATGTCGCAGTGGGAATCGGTCGTTGCGAAAAGCGCTGCTGCGGATTGTCTGCGCATCACGGATTCGGATATTCCTGAGGACGATGATGATTTGCAGATCCCGCTTGCACGCAATGGGAGTGTCTCGCGGGCTGAGCTGCTGGCTTTTCTGCCACCGGGCCGGCACTGCGATACTCTCAAAGACGTTTATTTTCGAGTTTTCTCGACGGTGCGTCAATGCTGATGGATATCTGCGAGTAGTGGCTGACTCTGTACTAGGTGTTTCATATTCTCCACGACTTGACCTTCGAAGCAGAGTATCAGCACTTCTGTCATGACCCCAGCAGCGTATCTACCTCATGGCTCGCTTTACTGTTTGCCATCCTGGCAATTGCCGTGAACGCACTCGATGACGATGACCCTCTATTGTCCGACCTTGGCCGAGAAAGAACAGTCAGTCGCAATATCAAGGTGCTAACTGCACGCTACCGGTCAGCAGCGCTGCGATGTCTTGCGGCCGACGGTGTCGTGTCTCGACACTCGATTAATTCCTTGCAAGCCCTCGTTCTCATCAACTACGCTCGAATCAATCGCGGATTGCCTATCTGGACACTGTTAGGGTTTACCCATCATGTCGCCATCTCGATGGGATGTCATATCGACCCGGAACGGTTCGCCCTGGGCGCCATTGAGCGTGAGGAGCGCCGGCGAGTCTGGGCCGGGCTCATGATGCTCTACACAATCCACAACTCATCCTTCGGCAGCCTGGACCAGCAGATGATCGCACAAGACGTACGGATGCCCGCCGATGTCGACGACGTCGACCTTCTCACAGGCCCGTCCGCCTCCATGACCTCCGACCTTTCCCCCGGCGCCCGTCCAACGCAGATGACCCATCTCCTCTTGACATTTCGACTATACCGCATCTCCGCCAAGGTCTGTGAGACCATCTTCAGCGCCCCACACGCATCCCGCTTCAGCGTAGCAAAACTCGAGGCCGAGATCCTGGCTGTTCGCGAGACCTGCGATGCACGGTACCTGCTCGATACGAGCCCCGAGCCAATCTCTCTGCCAGTGCACCATCAGGCCAATCTCAATATCTTGTATAGCCACGTCCACCAGCTCTTCCTCCTTCTCCTCCGCCCTACCTTGTGCCGATACCTACAAGGCGAGCTCACTCCGGATACCTGCGCGTCCAGAGCCAAATGTGTCGTCTCCGCCAAGGCCTCGCTCACCGTGTTTCAGACTCTGTTCGAGTCATTGCAGTTTGCGCCGTATAAATGGTATACCTGTGGTCTGGGAAGTTTCCATGCGTTTCACGCGGCTGTCGTTCTCGCCGTCATTCTCTTGACCCCGGAGAGTCAGGCCGAGTTTGAGGAGATCAAGGCCGTGCTGGATCGCGCCTTGGATGTCTTTGCTGCGTTGTCGGTTCGCAGTGTCTTCTGTAGCAGGGCTGTTCCTGTTGTGCGACAGATTCTGTACGTGCCCCGTCTTAGACTCTACTTTACCCTATATCCCTCTCCCTCTCCCGCTGTTGCTGTGGGTATTTGCCCGGAACTAACATCTCATTCTCTCAGTGACGTCGCCTGTACAAACTACTATCAGCAAAAAACCCATTCCCACCTCCACGCTTCAACCCAAATCCTCTCCGCCATGCGTCCCAGCATCTCTCCCGCGGTAACCATGCCTGAAAGCTTTGTGCTGTCGCACCAGCACTCCCAGTCCCAATCTCCCGTCCCAACAATCGCCTCATCAGAAAGCGATCCATCCTTACAATCCAGTTTCGGCGCCCAGCTCCAGCCCCAGAACTGGCTGGGCCCGACTTCGGTGCCGTGGGATGCGTTGGGGCCGAGTATGAATCAGTTTGGATTTGATGGGGGTTCTTCTTAATTTCCTTCAGGAATTATTTTCTTCTTTTCTATTCTAATTCTCTTTCCCCTCTTATACCTCTTTACTGTTCTTATTTGCCCTTCTCTCTCTTCTATTCTTACACACGAAAGTTGGGGCACATCTGGGACTACCTATTGGGGCGTTATTTTGGTGCTTGGTTTGGGATTGGATGTTGACGGTCCCTCTTGTCTATGCTGTTGATGAGATATGAGCTATATGACTTGGCAATGGAACTATGCTTGATGTAGTGTTGAATCTGCTGTAGGATTAATAGCTAACCAATATCTTGTAAAGGTTCTCCCTTGTTCATGTTCATGACGATAGCAGTTCTGAAGGAGACCAATTTGTAGCTATAAGATCCAGCTCCGCTAACCCCAGATCCCATCGTGGACCGAGGCTAATTCCGATGGCCCACTCCATGTCCACTTGACAACGCTGTCCACTGTCGATCTCTGACCTAACTGTAATCCCCAAGAACTCGTCAAGTGCGGGGATGGACAGTCGTACGATGCTGGCTGGGTTGGATCTTTGAGCTCGCATTAGTTTTGCATTGGCCCGATACAAACCCCTACAAGGCTACCCTATAGACATTGCTATGTTAAGAGGGGGTGTGAGTCAGACGCATGGATTATTCGTGGGTGATTGACACCATCATGATTCAATCCATTCACTTTGTTCATTTTATTCAGTGTCAGAAATACCTGCAATCTCCCCAGCTAGCCGTTGATCGTTATCTATATCTATATCTACTCCCAGCACATTTCTCCCCATACAAGCCCCATGGCCTTCCCACTCAAAATACCAGAACACCGCGAACTCAGCGGCGGAGACGTTCTCGCCCAAAGCCTTGGGCATATCAGCGTTGACGTCGCCTTCGGCATCCACGGCGGACATCTCGATACCTTCCTAGTAGGCTGCGAAGAGAAATCAAATCCGGCTCGTCGATACCCGCCACGAAGCCTCCGCCCTTCAAGCAGCCCAAGGCTACGCAAAAGTAGCCCAGAAACTGGGCGTGGCCTTTGTCACCGCCAACAGCGGCTTCAGCAATGCTCTTCCGGGGATGGTCACTGCGTTGGCAGACAGAAGCCCCGTGCTCGTGGTGACCAGCTCGGCTCCCATCAGGGATGCGGAGACCAACTGTCTGCAGGGATTCTTGGATCAACCCCTGGCTGGAAATCGCATGGTTAAATTTGCGCATCGGGTTCTGTGCCCGGAGGATACTCCTCGGCTTGTGGCTCATGCCCGTCGAGTTGCTCTCTCTGGGGCTCCTGGTAAGGGGGGGTTATTCTGCCCCGGGCTGAATACATTTTCGGAGTCGCTTTCTTTTCTGACATCTTTGTTTTTGGGCAGGGTTGGTCTTTCTGGACTTCCCAATCGACGTGCTTTTTAGTCCGGTGCAGCTGAGCCAGATCTCTTGGGGATCCATCACTGGTCCTCTTCCGTATCCTCCAGGGCCGAATCATCAGGCAATTACCGATACACTTGGACTGTGGTAAGCGGCATATAGGCCGGCTTTTATTATTAGGAGTGGATGCAGTTCAGCAAATGTAGTCTTTACTTTCTTTTAGAAGACCACCCGGCTGTGCGAACCTTTTGCTAACGATATTTGATCCAGGCGTCGCAAGAACTGTCAGCATTGCTAGAGAAAACCCAAACCCCAGTCTTCCAAAGCCAGAAAGGATTTGGCGCAATCGCAACAGACCACCCACTCCAAGGTGGCATGGCCGTTAACTTGGCCAGTTTGCCAGAAAGCTCCAAACCAGACTTGATCATTCTGCTTGGTGCTCGAACAGGCATGTTTCTGAGTGGTCACAGTAGCATTATCCTACCTGAAAGTGACTGCAAATACATCCAGGTGGACGTTGACGGAGAAGAAATCGACAGATAGATGCCAATCGACGTCGGGATCGTCACCGACGTGGGCGAAGCCTTGCTAGCATTGAACAGAGCAGTGGCAGACACACCATTCACAGCACCTCTGAACTGGAAAGAGACTGTACTGGGCAAAAGAAGAGAGCCGAATTCCCATGAAGAGCAAGACACCCATGCCGAGGGTCGTATGCATCCGTATCATGCCATGAAAGCGCGCTTCACGTCACTTGAACCGGGGTCAATCATCTCGATTGATGGCGGCGAAACTGGGAGCTGGGCAAATGACCTAACTGAAAGCGCTAACCCCCATCTCACTTTCTTCTCCGCTGGGTATATCGGCATGCTGAGCAATGGCTGGGGTTATTCACTGGGTGCTGCGATCGCAGATCTCACAAGACTGGTTATCAACATCCAAGGCGACGGCTCGGCCGGGTTCCAAATTGGTGAACTCGACACGTACGTTTGACACGGGGTGCGGGTCCTGACGGTCGTAATGAACAACTATGTTTGGGGGATGTCTCTCCATGGGCAAGATCTAACTTACGAGTCCAACGCCCTTGTTCGGCCGGTCAGCTCGTTTAGCTCCAAGGCTTCTTATCGGGCGGTTGCCGATGCCTTTGGGATGCCAGCAGCCAAGGTATCTGAAATTGATTTCATCAACCCAACAGTGAGGAGCTTTTTGGCTATGCAGGGTCCGGTCATGCTTGAATTGATCGTCTCTGATAAAATAACCCACCCTGGGACGGCTGCGATGATTGGTAACACCTCTGATCCAAACACCATTGTGGTGCCTTACTATGATAACGTTCCTCGGCCATACTATAAGTAGTTGTGTGGGAACATTTAAATATCATTCAGTGTAGCAGTACTTTACTGAATTACTTCCGGCTAAGAAGCAATCCAACCAAATGACTATTCCAAGGTCGTTTGAATGCTCTTTAGAGTGGTTCCATCTATGCTTAATTCTGCTACCAGGTAAGAAGAAAGGAAGAGTTATCGTGGCTGGATAAACAACTGTCCCAAATAGTATATACGAATGCCTCAGGGAGAGATATGACGTATGCTATCATATAACCTTAATCCAAGGGCTGGACGTATATAAAATTTGTGGTTTCATCCCCTTCACCTCAATCATTTAAATCATTCAAATCAAATCTGATTTAATTTCTGGTGAATTAATTGTGTTTCATTCCATGCCCTTTGATTTCGGCCAATCGCAGCCTTTGGTGGAGCCACGGGACCGCGCAGGTACATGGACTCCCTTGGTCTTTTGGTGGGGAGCCAAGTACCTCGTCCAGTGCCTGGTCCCTTACCAGACGGGACCTTGCATCCATAGATATACACCCCTAAGAAATAATAATAATATTACAATCATAATAATAAACAAAGTAAAGTATACTACCTTACTCTACCCCCGCAATATTCCACAGGCGCATGATGAATGCACCTGATCACGATTACGAACCTAATCGGAGCTATAGATTTATTTCCAAGGTTCTCTGGAACAAGGCCACATGTTGATATTACTTAAAAGAAACTCAGTCAATTATCTCTGGGGAGATTCTGGTGCTATCCACTGGGTAATGTATTGCTCCCAAGGAGAGCAGCATGTAACCCCCATTGAGGGCCATGAGGAGGTGAGGCCAAAGAAGCGGAGGAGCCGAGCACATGACCCACTCTCAATACAAGCCAATCATCGTGACTCTTTTACATTAATCATCCAGCGAGTATCGCCGTATGCAGGATCCCCGCACATTCCAAGGATCTTCAACACTTTTGCGATTCAATCGAGCCGATGAATGAGTGTGCCACACGTGGGAGCACTGGAAATCACAAGGGCTGGCTTCTGTGGCAATCGGCTCCACTCCATATTGGGCATATAAAACCTGTCTGAATCCCTCGGGAGAAACGAATTAACAAGTGAAGGGAATTGGCCACCCTGCTCCCACTTCCCTGAATTTACCATGCATCCAAGCGCCCTTATTGGTCTGCTTGCCTTCGCGGCAGCAGTCCCTGCGTTGCCTGAGAAGCGCAGTGAAGATGTCCATTCGGCGGCGTCTATCGAGAACTTGAAGAGCAAGATTAAGAATGTGGTCATCCTGGAAATGGAGAACCGGTCGCTCGACAACGTCCTCGGCGGTCAGAAGCTCAAAGGGTTAGACAATCCCATCAACAACGGGCCCTTCTGCAACCCGTACGATCTCTACGATCCGTCCAAGGGGGAGGTATGCAGCGAGGCCAAGGACTATGACTCCATTCTTGATGATCCGGACCACTCGGTAACCGGCAACAACATCGAGTTCTACGGTGAATTCGTCCCAAACAACGCCCATATTGCCTCGGGAGAGCTTACCCCGAACCAGAAGGGGTTTGTGCACGAGCAACTGCGCCAGCATGGAAATGATGCCAACAAGACCAACCTGGCGAAACAGGTCATCAACTACTACACCGAGGATGAGGTGCCTGTTTTGACCGCACTGGTGCAGAACTACCTGACTTTCAACCATTGGCACTCGGATGTCCCCGGGGTAAGTTTATTTTATTTTTCTATTTATGTTCTCTTACTGTTGCAACCCTTCCGACATATGCTAATGCTATTTTTAGCCCACCAACCCGAACCGCGCCTATGTTCTCTCCGGGACATCTGCCGGCCACGGTATTAATGACGCGTCTTTCAATACCGACGTTCACGCGCACAAGCAGCGGTCAATCTTCCAGCAGCTGGGCGAGACCGGACACACCTGGAAGAACTATTACACGAACAGGGGAATGATCGATGCTTACTTCTTCGACTGGACCTTCACCAGCGGCAACACCGACAAGGCTCAGCCCCTTGAAAGCTTCTACGCCGATGCAGCCGCCGGGAAGCTGCCCGAGTTTACGTTCATCGACCCGTCCTGCTGCGACAGCGGCACCAACTCCATGCACCCGACGGGCCTGATCTCCAAAGGTGAGGCTCTGATCAAGGATGTGTATGATGCGCTACGAGCCAGCCCCCAGTGGGAGGAGACCTTGTTTATCTTGACGTTCGACGAGACTGGCGGATTCCACGACCACGTGCCGCCGCCGCTTGCCGTTCGACCCGACAACCTGACCTACACTGAGACTGCGCCCAACGGTCAAAGGTACACGTTTGAATTCGATCGCCTTGGGGGGCGTATCCCAACCCTGTTGATCTCCCCCTTCGTTGCCAAGGCTCAGGTCGAGCAGAAGGGTATCAACACTGACGGCGAGACCGTGTCATACTCGGCTTCGTCAATCCTCCGCACGCTGGGCTATCTTTGGGACTTTGAGCCCTTCACCCCGCGTGTACAGGCGGCTGCCTCGTTCGAACATCTGATTCAGAGTACGAAGCGCACCGACACGCCTACTGAACTGCCGGTGCCCAAGGCCTTCGAGCGGAAGGTCTTGTCTCGCTTGTCTTTATAGGGTACATAGTCTCTTAGTTTTTCTGGGATGTTGGTTGAATTCCATATTGGGATCTCTCCCTACATTTTGGCATATATCTCGGGCTTCTTTGTATTCTTATATAGTCTTTTCCTAAGTGTCCTACCCATTAGGATCAGATGTCGCACCATATCTATAGCCTTGGAGGCAAATCAGTGCCATGGCAAAAACCATGGGTGCATTCCTCCGTCATCTGTAGCACCCAGCGACTGAACAGTACGAGTGATTATGCAGGGACACTCCCAACATCCACTCGTAGCCGCTTAGAAATGCCTGGTTACTCCGGACTCAAAAAGTGGGCTGTTGACGTCATCGATGGAACCGCCACAAGTTTCAGGCGGGCGCATCTTGTTGCTGGAGATGGGCAGGTTGAAACCCAGGAGTTGAGGGTATGTAGTAGACTGATGACGGGGTTTGTGTCGCATGTCAGATAAGTGTAGTCTCTCTCCCAATATATCTTAATCTTGGTAGCCCACACTGCGAGACCGTGGAAAAGACAAGTTTGGGACGGGACGGCGAACCAAACCCGCGATTCCATGGGTCTCTCGCATCAACAACTTCTATGACACTCAACATCTCGAGAGATCAACAATCAAAGAAGATACACCGCGTTTCGCCACGGCTTACCCGGGCAAAACGCTGCGCCGAGGGCGTCTGCAGTCGGTGTATTTCAGCCTCACGTGGTTCTGTTGGTTGGTCTTCTCTTCTCTTTTTCTTCTCTTCTCTCCATCATCATCCTCTTGTCCTTCATCCTTTTTCTTTTGCGTCTCCTATCTTCGTCATCCTGATTTCGATTCCTATTCTCATCCAAACCCATTGTGTACCTCTTTGGCGCCAAGTCAAGAATATTGTTCTGCCTGCAGATCACTGAGATCGGACAAGTTCGCCCCTCTCGGCCCTACACGACTTTCATCATCCTGATTCATCGGCATCCACTCTCTCGAACTTTCTTTCTTTGTTCGCCTCTTCGTCTTTTTGCCTCGAGTCCTCTCGTCGCTTCTCTTTGTTTCTTATACCTCCTACGCTTCACTCTTCTCTCAATCCTTCCCGGATTCTTTCATCCGACGCTAGTCGATCACAGCCTCTCTGCAACCCCACTTGCCTGCGCCTCCCCAATTCCTTGCATCGTGCATTGGGGCTGCCCCTCTTTGACATTTTTGGAATCGGTGGTTACTTCATTGTAACCCCGAATCCTTCTTCTTATCTTGCCTCATCCTGTCTGATCTCCCCCACCATCTTTTCTGTATCCCCTCGTCAATGTCGTACGTTCACAGAGAGCGCGATCGGGACTGGGACGACTCCCGTCCCGTCACCATCAAGCGCTACGTCGTACCCCACGAGGACGACCGAAGAGATTTCTTCAGGCGCGACGATCACTATACTGGGGACCGCGACCTGGTTCTTCGCCGCAAAGCCGACCGCGAAGAACCTCTCTCTATCCAACGCTATGAGCGCGAGGTAGACTATGATGTGCCCCGCCGCGAGCGGGACTACGACTACTACGAGTGTGAGTATTTCGAGCCCTTTGCCCATCCTTACTCCAGAGACCGGAATAGCTCCCCGCTCCCATCATTATTTATGAGCAGCTGATAATTGTTTCTAAAGCACGCCCGCGCGAGGCCGACTATGACGTCGTGCGTCGATCCGACTACGATGACGACCCATACTACCACCACCACCGTCGTGTGCGCGACTATGACGACCGGCACTCGCGCCGGGAGGTAAGCCCCGGTGACTCAATCTCGCAGGTCAGTAGCCGACGTGACCGCGACCAGGACTACAGCAGCGACGACAGCATGGTCTATATCCGCAAGGAGACTCACGGCTACGACGGCGACCACCCCCACCATCGCCGCCACCTCGCCGAGGGCGCCTTGGTTGGTGCCGGTGCAGCCGAGATCCTCCGCAGCCGTCGCAAGAGGGATGGTGAGGAGGTCAGCGGTGGCCTAGGTCGTGTCGGGAAGACCGTGGGCGCTGGTGCCCTGGGTGCCGTGGCCGTGAACGCCGCCTCTCACGCCCGCGACTACTACCGTAGCAAAAGCCGACACCGTTCACATTCCTTCGATGACGAGCGTTCATACCGTCACAATCGTCACAGCCGAGGCCGTCGCAGCCGGAGCCGCAGCCGGTCTCATTCTCACTCGCGCGCCAAAACCCTCTTGGGTGTCGGTGTTGGCGCCGCTGCTTTGGCCGCGGGTATGGCTGCTCTGCAAAATCAGTCCAAAGACGGGCGCCAGGGTCGCTCTCGCACTCGCTCGCGCTCGCGCTCCCGTGCACGCGCGTCTAGCACTGCCCGGTCCGAAAAAGACGATGACGCTCGAAGCATGTCCCAGCGTCGCAAGCACATGGCTGGAGCCGGTCTGGCCGGCGCTGTTGTTGCAGGTGCCGTCGAGCATGTGCGGAGCCGTTCGCGGGCGCGCAAGGGTGGGCGCTCGCGTTCCCGCAGCCGGCTGAGACAGGCTCTTCCTGTGGTGGCTACCGGTCTGGGTGCCGCCGCTGCCACTGGTCTTTATGAGAAGAACAAGAGCAACAAGGAAAACAAGGATGGTGTGAGTCGTGAGCGCCGCCGATCCAGATCTCGCAGCCGTGGGCCATCCGAGGCGTATCCAGACCCATCGCGGGACTCGGCAGGCTTGATTGAGTATGGCGGAGGCCCTGTTTCGGGGAGCATTCCTGCTGAACATTACTATGGTCAGTCTGCCAGTCCCGGTGCTCCCTACTACTCGGATGGCCCCGACGGGTACGGCGCCAGGCGTCACAGCCGCAGCCGTAGCCGCAGTCGTGGTGGCCGCTACAGCGGCAGCTCCTCGGATTCAGACCGGGGAAGCCGCCGTAGGCACAGAAGCAAGAAGAAGCACCGCAGTCGTTCGCGGGAACTGGCCTCGGCAGCCCTTGGTGCGACGGGCCTGGGGTACGCAGCTCACAAGTATTCTCAGCGGAAAGATCGTAAGAAGGCCGAGCAGGAGCAATCCCGTAAGTCTTTTTTTGGCCTATTGTGGAGGGAAGTGTCATTCCACTAACCACTTTTCTAACAGGGTACGACGATGACGCTCCCCGTGATCCCTACGAGGAATCTTACGATCCAGAGCCCTACCCGCCTTCTCCTCACGCGGTCCACTCGCAGCCTCCCGACAACCACTACTATCCCAACGGCAACTATTTCCCCCCGCCGCCGAGTTCAACTCCTAACTTGAATGCCCCTCCGGGTCCCTACAACCCAGCCGACTACCCCCCACCACCGGGTGCCGCTCCCCCGCCACAGCCCTACAGCTACGGGGCCGCAGGGCCGGGTCCTGAGACTTACGCACCGAGCGGACGGAGGGCCAATGAGAATGTGAGTGCTGCACACAGCTCCACCCTACCCACAAACCAGTATCACACGCGCGATGGTGGGTTCACAGAACCACGCCCGGATTTGCAACTAGATCCAAGACTAACGCCCCGCTTATAGGTCTAGAAAGACAAAGTCGTCGACGGTCGACGTCCATGCCGCGATCTGTTACCCAGCCAGCCTCGAAATCTGTTGCTTTTGATCTCGGCTCGGATGTTTCGTCCCGCGGCCGTCGTCCGGGCCCCGGCTATGAGACCGACGACAGCGACACGACCATTGATTCGCACGGAGACCGCGGCCGTCGTCACCATCGTCGTCGTCGCTCTTCGTCTATTCCTCATCCGCCTATGCCTCATCCCCGATCTTCTGACCATCACTCTGGCTCTTCTCATCCGCGGCATTCACCTAAACATTCCCACGCCCCGCAAAAAGCCCCGGAGCAGGACTCGGACTCGACCATCGATCTTCCGGACCGCTTCGATTCGCATGGCCACCTCCTGACTGAGCGGGCCGATGACCCTGCCGCTGCCAAGATCGAGGATTTTGTCAATAAATTCAGCCGGGTGCTGTTCTGATGCAGGTTAATCCACTAGGGGCTTGCCTTGTTTCTGACATCTTATGGTTATGAAACTTCGTGATGTGCAATAGTTGATGCTTGATGCTTTGGTTTTCTTGTATTCATCTTGCGTTTCTTTTTTCTCTGATGCTGTATTGACTGGTGCTCTTGAGATTTTTTTTTTTCATTTTTTTTCATTTTTGATCTTTGGTCTCGGTGATTCTGATTCCGACTTGATGCCTGCCGATGATGATTTATGACTCTTACGTGTCTTCAGATAGTTCATGCTTCCAATGCCTGTATTGTTGCGTGCATGGTTCTCTAAACTTCCTAGCTTCAGTATCTAGATCGATGTTTGCAAACCAGATCCTTGGTTGCATTCTTTTGGGTAGTAAGAACAGCCCTGTCTGTTGTGCATTATACCTAACATCAAGGGATATACTCCAGAGGCATCTCTCAAACACTAGGGAATGAAGTGATAACCAGCTACCATCCCATCTGACAGACGATCTAAGATGATGCCTGTTGGCAAAACATAAGATTCAGGGACCCAGGTTCAAAGTTAGAGTATAGATACAGGAAAGGGTTAGATAGAGAAAGAGAAAGAGAAACCAGGACAGTAACACTCAGAACAACCAAAGCATAGGAAATAAAAGCACCTGCAAGCACAGGGTAAGAAAATCCCGAGTCAACGGGGGAGGGGACAGGTCAGATATAGACACAGATGAAACGAAATCGCAAATGGGTATACAGCGAGAAATCTCAGTCTCAATCTCAGGCCAGGAGACGGGGCCAGGTGGGGCCGGGAACAGAGGGTTTTTTTTTTCCCTCTCATTACATAAAACACGGAGACAAACAAGGAAAAAGGATAGGAGAAAAAGGAAAAAGGAGACAAAAAAAAAAGGAGTAAGGCTGTCGTAAGTCAATGACATCAATCTATCACTATTGTTTCATGCCGTAAACGGTCGTTTGGTTAGCCCCGGTGGATGCTCGGGGACTGCAATTCGAACAGCTGGCGCACCACGCTTCGCCAGCGAAATCCGTGCAGTGTCGTTACTGGGTGGACGGTTGGGGCCATGGTCTTCGTCGTCTGGGATCACTTTGACGCTCGAGCTCACGGACGCCGAATGGAAGCGCGAGCTCAGAGGGAGTTGGTATTGGACGACCCCGCGCACAATCAGCTCGAACGGATGTTGGAGAACACGTTCCCAACGCTCTGTGCCCCCTTCCTCGGTTTTGTTGCCCGGCCGAGGGAGGCGAATCTGTCCCTTGGAGGTTGAGGCCAGGTGGTTCCAGGGAGATGATTCAAAGGAGAGCGGCGAGTCGAATCTAAACACGCGGCCGAGCAGCATCATTTGGAAATCGCCTTCCGGATCCGTCGTAATAGGATCGGTGCCTCTGTCGACGCCGCCCTGAGGATGTTGTGATGGTTGGCCAGACATGGCTTCTGTCACACAGTCCGTCTTCCCGAGACACCGAACCACCTGCGACAACTGCCAGCGCCGCCGACTCTCTTCCACGCGCGGAAATCGATCAAGCTCCTTGTCTGAGCCATGGTCGCGCCAGAGCTTGTCCGTTCCGACATACCGGCTCCGCGCGAAGAGGTTCACATCAGTGTCATCAATAGTGACGGGGAAGAGATTGGGGTTGACGGCTTGGACATTCAGGTCGAGCATTATTTCCTGCTCTGAGGCGAGCACATTTTGGATGGCAGTGACCTGGACATCCAACAATGGCCTCGTCGCCGCAATTATGAACGAAGTAGCCCCTCCAGCAATGATCAGGAGCAGCAACATAATCACCGCGCACGAACCATATCGCGAGAACCAACCCCGTTTCCGCTGCGACATGTACTCCATCTGTCGCAAACTGGCGCTGTTGGGTCGTCGACCATGCCGGCTTCGCGTTGCGCGGGGCGTCCCAACGAGTGGTGTCCGCTCATCATCGGCGCCCTCGGCGTCGAAATCATAACCGTACATCTCGCCCGCCTTCTTGGAATTATTGATGGTCTTGTAGTTGGGGGACGAGCGAACATTGCCGTGCCGAGAATGGCGGTATCCACTCCCGATAAAATGCCTCGGCGACTTGGGCTGCGATTGGGGCGGCGGGAAAGGGGAGTCGCTATCGAAGAGAGACTGGTGCGCACCATTGCGCCCATGGCGTCCAACATGATGATGCCGCGGCGTAATGGTGCCACTCCCATCGACTCTGGCGGGATTTCGATTTCCATCAGGCTCCCCGGCCTCGCCATCCAAGGCGCTGTTGAAAGTGTTATTCGTAAACTTCATGCTGCGCTTGCCTGTCACACTGTGGGCACCATCCCGCATGGCCCCGCGTGCACGACCAGCCAGTTGGTCCACTTGGCTTGCCATAGACGTTGCACTGGGCGTCCGCGAATGATATCGTGACTGTCGCGGCGGGTACGGATCGGGTGGATTCGATTCGTATACAAAAGTCTCATCTGAGTCCGACACATCCGCCTCGTCCACGGCACTGGCCACTTTGGCCTCAAAGATGTCCGCTCTGCTAGAAGCAGGCCCTGTGGTGAGGGGGTTGGGTCGACGGTTCTTCTTCTTTTCCTTGCGGGGTCGAATGGTCTCGGTGGAAGGTTTCATGCGAAGGGTCCCTTGGTCGGTGCGACCACCATTGCCACGTTCACCGGAACCCACACCGAGCGAAACCTGCGGTATGGAACTGACCGTCTCGGTCTCCACGATCATGTTGCGAACGGACCCATCCGCTGGCTTCCCGCGAGCACCAGCACTCAAAGAAGTCGAGGACCGCTGTGGTATAAGAGTTTTAGGTGTCTTTGTCGCGTGAGGACGGTTTTCTTCTTTGGGGTCCGAGCCACGATTGCCTCCACTGTCGCTGCCACTCTCGACATTTTGCTTCGAACGCGGTGTCGGGTCCTCATCGATCCGGTGTAGCCCCGGGTCCTCCGCGGTTACCGGCTTGGCAGCGGTTTCACTAGACGGAGTCGATGGGTTACTGGCCATCTCCTGGACTGTCTCCAAAGAAGACCCTTGGCCACTGACGCCCCTTGTGACGGCCCGAGGCACGCTTCGGTCCACTTTGGCACCATGGTCCTCCGACGGTGACAGAGTAGATCTTTTGTGGGATATATTCGGAAGGGTCGACTCTTGGTCGGTTCGACGATTCCCGGCCCATGCTGGCATGTTGGACTTTTCCGGGTTGGGAACATTGGCTGGCGGGTCTGCAGAGGAAGGAGAAAGAACGGGAGGCTTGCCAGGATGGGCCGGCGCACTTTGAACAAACGGTGTGGGAAATTGGGTGGACTGGTCTAATGTTTGGCTGTGGGCGGGTGTTCGGGCGGGACTGGTTCGGTCTTGGCTGGGTTTGCGGGATTGAGAAGGAACTCGGCTGGCCGAGGGAGAATTGGCTGTGCGGGAAGAGACACGAATAGGGGAGGATTCGCGAGAGGAAGCGACGGAGTTGGAGGTGGATGCCGGGGTGGAGGAGGTGGGAACACTGGGGGAAAGTTTAGGTACCTGTGACATGGCCTGGGTCTGGGATTTAGCTGTCAGGCGCGACGGCTCCAGCTTGTCACCCTCGCTGGCCGGCTTATGGGTGGAATCCAAAGCTGCATCCGCAGGCTTCCCATCGCTAGGCCGACCAGAGGTACCATTAAGGTAGGGCGGCCTCTCGGACTCCGCGGCCATGGTCTCTTATCGAGTCAGATTGCACCGACGCGACGTAGAACAAGTCAGCAGACCCGAGAGGATGCCTGGCAGTTGGGCAGAAGCGTCCCAAGAAGGGAACAGAAAAGGCAAGGTGCAAATGCCAGACAAGAAAGACACAGTGAGGGAATGTGTTGTTGGCGATCCCAGGGCGAATGGGATACCGAGATCAAGCGATGTGTTGCGCAGAATACGGTTTTGTTACACAGATGACGGGGCAGGAGAACGAATCGCCGACGACCACATGCTGTGAATGGAGAAAGCGGTGTTGTAAGAAACGAAGGGGCTGCAGCAGGTGCAGGGATGAGCAGAGAAGAGATGAAGTGTTGAGGGACGATCCGGTCGCAACTTGTGCGCGGCTTTGTTTCGGGCGGAGAGGCAAAAACAAGATGTCTAGAACGAATAACCGAGGCCGGTGGTTGGCGGGTGAGGATGGAGACGCCGATCTCAACGTTTGGGCTTGAGTTGTTGTGCACCCATTCATAGGAGGAGGTGTGGCGTCTATTCGGGGCCGAACGCTCCTGCAGAGATGTCGGTGACCCAAACCTCGGTGAAAAACAGTGGCTGACGGGTGTGGAGAGTCAGGGCCACGCCCAATGACCGGAGCCCACGTCAGGATGGAATGGGCCTTCTGCAGGGGAAGTACACCGATGGAGTCGAGAATGGATGTGTAAGTGCAAACCCAAAGTGCAAAGCAGATGGAAAGAAAGAGGATTGAGGTGAACAAGCAGACTGGCAGGCTGGAAGAGAGAGGTTGATGAAAATTACAGTGGTAATACCAATACCAGCCACAATGACTTCATCGATAGTCTCGACACCCCCGTTACATCCATGGACCTTTTGCCACGGAGATTTCAATGTCTAGAAAAATGTAGAAATACCTCGAACAGATTAGGACAATGACTATAGAAATCTTGCTAAAATCTAGGGAAATATGCCCAGTAGAAGAAACATAGTATATAGACGAAAGAAATTAACTTAGCTATACTGAGAGATGTTCCTGACAGGCACCCGGAGCAACCTCAAAACCTACTCTTGGCGCATACATCATAGGTGAATATATACTTCTATTCAAGCTCCTTCTGAATATATGCAGACAAAGTCCCAAAAGCCAAAAAAAGCCCGAGTCCTGCTTGATCTGTCCACGATATATCGTTCATTTCATCACATAACGCATAGGATTCTGGCAAACAGCGTTTTCAAAGCCAAAATCAAAAAGAAAAGTGGACAAGACAATGAAAAGGGTGGGGGAGAGAAATGGGAGGGTATTCGTAGCGAAGAAAGACACCGTGCCTCCTTTTAGACGATTTTATACACTCGTTTGGCAATCACGAACGAGACAAAAGCGAACACAAACAACCCGGCCGTGACTGTAAAAAGTAGGTTAGCCTCTGTCAAGAATAATAGTAAAGGCCCAAGGTCCAGAGACGTAAATGTAAGCCCCCCTCGAGGACAGAGAGAAGACATACTCGACCAGAACCACGATAGATTCTCAATATCCTGACCCGGCACCTTGACGTTCATTCCCCACATACCGCAGATGATGTTCATGGGCAGGACAATCGTACCAAGTACAGTCAGCTTACCCAAAACATCGGCCGTCTGCTCCTGACGCTCATTCATCAAGATGTTGATCTGTGCCAGATAGTTGGAATGAGCACGGGAGAGGATCCTGGAAGAGAATGATCAGCCATCCATAGCCTCGACACGAGCCCTCGCTCAAAAGCGGAGACTTACGTTTCGTAGTGCGCCAAGTTGCCAGTCATCGTCATGATGTGGTCCTGAATATCACCCAGGTACAAGCCAATTTCCGACTTGGGTGCCACTTCCCATTGCTCATTACACCGCTTAGCAAAGCCTTTGACCACATCTGCCTTGTTGCTGAGCAGCCGGTATAGACCCATAACTTTCTTGCGGCATTCCCCTGTGCGCCGGAGCATTTCCCCGGGTGCAAATGAGGGGAGTACATTGTCGTTGGAAGAAGCCTCTTTGCTCGACGAGTGCATTTGCATGATCATTTCGTCGATTTCGTCGACCTCGTCCTCAATGGCCTGGATGAGCGGACCGAAGACATCGGTGATGTCATCAATCAGAGCGTAAGAGATCCAATCTGAGCTCAAAATTAGGTAGTCCATCAACTGCCGGATCCGCCGTCGCACGTTGGCCGGGTGTGGCGTCTGTGAGAAATGGAAGGACAACACGCCTTCACGGAAGACCACCACATACATGTTGACCGGCTCGAGGTAGTTCTCGTTGTTGGTGTCTTGCTCGAACGTGCGGTAATTGACAAAATAGTAGCTGCGGAATAGCTCAACCTTTTCCCGAGCCTCTTGCATCATGATATCCTCTGCGGTCAGCGCATGGATACCAAATGCCTTAGCAATCACACGCATCTCAGCATCTGTGGGCGAAAGGACGTCCAGCCAAAAAGTCGGCCGAGGGCCGTATCGTTTAGGCTTTGAGGGGAGATTCGAATGCGATGGCGAGATCTCCCTGTGGGATCCCGAAAGCCCTTCGCTGATGACAGATAAACGTGGGTTCTCTAGACCCCCACTGGCGGTTTGAGGAGTCAAGTCATGGTGATTCTTAACATTATTAGAGTTGGGGTTGCCGGCCGCGTGTGGATTTTCGGGATGAAGGCCCGGTCCTCGACCACCGTTAGGAAAATGACCCCAATGGGCGGCAGCCGTATTATCTGTTGCGGATTGGTCGCAGTCGATATCTTCGTCATCCGAAGAATCCTCGAGCTCTGGGGGATCAGGGATGAACAGATCGCGGAAATTGCCACCAGGCTGTACTAGTTCAGAGATTGTTTGAGCATGGATAGTGCTCTGGAATTCTTCGTTGAAATAGGTGAATCGGTAAGGAGCATCGTCCTCCTCGCGTCGCCACAGTTGATACTGAGGGCGCAGTCGACCCTCGATGAACATCGGCTCACTGATCTTTTTGACACGTAAATCACCGTTGCGGTCCTCCTTTTCCTCACGACTCCACTCTTCCAGCACGGAAAGATCAGGCCACTGCCGATGTCTACGTCGACGGCGTTCACCGGTTTCATCTCGCGGCGCTCTCGGTCCCTCATCTCCCAATTCGGAGATCTCTTCAGTGGGGAAGCACACATCCTCCTCCACTGGTAAAGCCACCGTCCGGCGTCGTCGAAATTCATGCGAAGACAACTGTGGGGACTGGGGAGACGACGGCGCTGAATGTTGGAGCGGCGCACCACCATCGATGTCAATCAACGTTTCATTCAAACGGGTCAATGACTCTCGCCGATTCTCCACGGACTGGGCCAACGAGAAGTCAAACTCGGCCCCAGTCATCACAGCATCGTCGTAGTTCATGTCCGGTCCCAGTTTCGGGGAACCGGGAATTGAAGGCGGATTGTTAACATCGTAATCACGCTCCGCGTCGGGGGTTTGAGTTGGACTGTGATTGCCTCGAGGGGAGCACCGCGAGGACGTAGTCTGAACAGAAGCTCGTCGCGGGCGGGATGAAAATGGACTAGCTCGAGCATCTGTTCCATAGCGGGCGAAGCTGGATGTATGTCCTGAAGAAGGACGTATCAATGGCGTTCGGTCATTTGCCTCGGATCCATCACTGTCGCCCTCTTGATGTTGTTGAACCCGTCCACCGCCAGGAGTATTTCGAAATCGCTGGTCCCCGGCTCGAAATGCGCTCGACAGTAAAGAGCTTGGGCGGAATGACGATGCGGCGCGGCTGTCTCGACGTGGCCGCATCATAGGTTGGTCCCTGTTTGTGTATCCAAAATCAGACCCTTCGATCTTCCATTGAAGCTCAACATGCAAGGGAATCATACCGGTGGTCCAGCAAAGCATCACTCTCTAGACTTGTATTGCTCAAACTCCTTCTAAACTTGATAAAAGGCGGGTTCTCTCTCGATGCTGGTCGATCGCCCCCCATCGAATCTCTGGCGCCTCCACCAGTGGCCGGAGGAGATCTAGGCGTGTCATGGGATTCTTCGGGACCAGGAGTGAGAAACGATTGGTGTCGAGCGCGACGCTTGCGGTTGCGGTTCTTCTTCCGTTTCGAGGTCTTGGACGGTTTACCAGCACTGTCCGGCGCGGGGGGCGCAGAGCGGGTTTCGTTTGTAGGTGCGGTCTCGGGGGCGGCAGCCAGACTGGGTCCCTGATCTCGACTGCCCGTTAGGCCGGTGCCGGCCTTGTTATCAGCGGAAGGTGGGGAATCGTTCTGCTGGGGGTGTTTTCTAGGATTCGACGCCGAGGATTGGGACGAACGAGGCGGTCGCGACGCGCCCATCCCGGGAGTTGGGGTCAGAGGCGGATCCATGAACGTGACCTATATAAGCAGGACAAAGATGAGAATACCCGGGCGCTGCCTGATGTGCGTGCTGGGGCAAGATGCGCAAGGATGAGGACCGTTATCAACCAATTGATTCGGCCGAGCAAGATTCCCGATCACCGATACGGAGACGGCATCGACTTCAACGGCCTTGATGCGGTCGCAATAGCCTTGTTGATTACAGGAAACGCAATGTCCGCGTGCCTGGTAGCCAGATCAGCGCCCAGGCACCGAGATCGAGAGCAATTCAGGCTGGAGCCGGAGCTGGAAGCTGGCCGTGGGTGACGCGGGTGGCGAGACACCGGAACATCAGGTCAAGTGGGGATTCCAACTGGAATGCAAAACGAAGGGTTGGAGACGCAATCCAAACAATAGATTCGAAGAATCAAATTACTGTTGGAGCAAGACCAAAAGAGACAAGAATCATAAGAGATGGAGAAAAAGAAAAGCACCTGACGAGGTTCCTTGGTTTGGCGCAGGGTTGATTGCCTGAAGCAGAGCGATGAGGTCAGCGACACCTGCAGGCCCTGATGCCAATGCAAGTATATCTCCCTTGTATAGAGCCTGCTATATGGACGAATCTCTTCTAGATCACCCTGCTAGGAAGATTTCAATGGGAAACCCATCAGGATTGAAAGATTTTTATTACACCATGTCAGAAGTACAGGTCATCAATCATCAGACATCAAAGCCATAGTAAATACAACATCCAACTGACATATTTCAACGAAAAAAAAAAGGGGAAATGACAAAGAAACATGAGAGAAAAGGAAATAAAAGTAGAAAGTAGAAAATAAACTCCGAATCCTCGTGTTGGCTTAAGCATAGCCCAACACGCCATGACCGGGACGCCAAATTGCCATGCCGCCAATGAGACAAGAAATTACCAGAATGGAAAAAAAAGGCAATGATACGATGATCCGCATAGTGAGATGGGAGCAATCATGATCGGAGTGTGACGCCTCAGATCGCATTGTTCATGTCCATCATGGATGACGGCGCCACGCTGTGGACCGACTTGGTGGCATCCAAGGACATGCGGTCACCGCTCATCACCCGTGCCAATTTTTTGTCTTTGCCCGGGCGGGCCACGAGGACCTGGGCAGGGCAGACGACAACCTCGTCGTCGCCTTCGCCGACATCGTTGCCCTTCTTGACAACGAGAGGGAAGAGCACGATGCGCACTGCAGCCTGTTGAGACTCCAGCTCATCGTTGGATGTAGTCTCGCCGCTGCGCTCGTTCATCAACGACGCATTAAAGAAGACCTGTCGCGCCAGGTCGCCGTTGGTGTCGTATTCGGGTTGCAACGGCGGCAACATAATGAACTCGGCCAATTGACAGCGCATCTCAAGAGAAAGATTGACGGCAACGCGCAGGACCTTGCGAAGGGAGTCGAGCAGCTGGGATTCGACGTGGGTGGGAGGCAGAAGGACTCGCGATAGGGTGCCAAAGATTTCCAGCGCGACAGCCTCTGTATCACTTTCACGCTGCGCGGCGAAGGCGGGTCGCCGTGACAGCAGAGTCAGCGTAGTGGCACGCCAGCGATGCACGGCGCGCCGAGGACCAACGTCACCGAGCTGTTTTTCCAGCGACTTGAGTTTCTGGCGCTGCTCCCGGTCCATACCAAACAAGTAGCGGGTGAAGATGTATTCCCACACCATGGTCATGACGACTGACATAAACACATCGCGTCGACGGACCCGATCCGCCAGGTAGGCATCAGCGTCGGAACCGTCAAGAAGAGCGTTGTCAAACCGATCGGCGATCTTTTCATCGTGCAACTCACCGAGCGCGCGACAGCGACGGTGATCCGAGTGCTTGGAGAAGCGCAAGACCCATTGCTGGACGTGGCCACATAGTTTTTGGCACGCTGCGTCGAAGTAGTCCTCGTCACGGAAGACAAGGGCGTTGTCATGTACCGACGCGGCGATCTGTTGCTGCAGCTCCTTGACCTTGTCGCGAGCATCCTCGAGTTCTTCACGCAGGCGGCGCAATTCAGCATCTTTCTGCGCGAGCGCTGATTCAATCTCCTGTCGCACACGCTCGTCGATCTGGGATGAGAGCTGGTCGTGTTGCGACCTCAAGTCGGCCAGTTCGCGTGTGGACGATTCGCGAACATTGTGAACGTCGGCGGCATGGGCGGCAGCGAGGGCCGCATTGGAAGCTGTCAGGCCTTCGTTTTCTTGGGTCAGACGGGACATCTCCTTCTGCAGCCATTCCACCGAATTCTTCAGTTGTTCCACTTCGGCCTCCTTGTCCCGCAAGTCGGCACCACGGGTGTTGAGGGCCTGGTCGCTCTTCCGGCGAGCGACACTGGAATTCCGCAATTTATCTTCAGCTTCATCTCGGGCGGCGATCAGCAAGCGGTTGTCTGAAATGAGCTGGTCGAGGCGGGATTCAAGATCTTGGAGGTGTTGCATGCTGCGGCGGCGGCGGACACTCGGCGGTCGGCTGGGCGACCGCGGGGAGCTGGGCGTCTCACCCCATCCTTCCTGGGTGATCATTAGTAAACATCCAACAATTTTGGAGGCATCAATAATAGCTCACATAAACATCGGGCATGTTTCGCAGGGGACGTTTGCCCTTGTCATTGACGGGGTCGTAGGAGGAAGAAGAAGGAAGCTGATCGAGATCGAGTGTCGGAGGCTGGGAATCGTCTAGCGCGCGACTAGCCGCCCGCAGATCATCGCTAGTGCTGCGGTTTGTGCGGCGCAACTTGCCCTTGCTGCTGCTGGACTTCAAGATGGGCATGCCCTGCTCGGGCGTTTGGAGAATTGGTGAGCCTTTACGGTAAAAACCATCGCCGGGACTTTTGCGTTTTTCATTTTCCGGTGTCGGCCATGCTTCTCGGGCCAGTGCATTGTCCGTGAATTTGCGAACTGGTGTCTGAGGTCGTGGTAAGACATGCTCACGCTTGACCTCCAGACGGGGTGTCCCATGGCGACCCATGGTCGCATTGTCTGCGTCCCCCGGTTCCTGCTCCGCAATAGTGTCCAGTGGAGTCCGCGGCCGAGAAACCGTCTCGTCTCCCAGCGGCCCTCCAAAGAGCGACCGAGGTGGTGATGGGCCTTGCACGGCTTGAATCGAAGGCTCCTCCAGACTCCACGTTCTGGGGGTTTGTTGGTGCCGCCCATGGATGATCGATGGCGCTCGACGCAGCCCACAGGGGGAATCGTCTGCGGTTTCCTGAGAAGGCAGAGGATGTCTGGGCGAGGAAACATCCTCAGTCCGAGTAGATGGAGAGGAGCCAAAAAGAATAGAAGACCGCTCCTTGGAGGCGGAATGCATCGGCACTGGCGATAGGGCATCGAAGGAAGCCTCGTCGTGCACCGGGAGCCCCGGTTCCTTTGTCGATTCCTCCGTAGCAGTAGGCTGTTCCGCTTCAACATGATCGTCTATATTTGTAGCCTCAATGTCCCGTTCAGTCCCAGTGGGCATTTCAGGACTGGTCTCGACTGTCTTCTTGGGTTCAATGGTCGCGATGGGTGCTTCCGAGACGGGGATCGCAATGTCGCGATTCGCTTCCTGGTCCGCTGCGGTCTCTTCTTCAGCACTATCTTTTAGCGACGGTGATTGAATGTCCAAAGGGGCTCGTCGAAATCCCCCGCGCTCGAGGCCAGGGAATAGACTGGCAATCTTGGACCCCCCAGGGCTCAACGATCTCACGGGAGGCTCAATTTGGGTCTTCTCGGGGGTCGGCGTTGGTTCTGGCTTTAGTTCTGGAGCTGCCTGCTCAATGGCCTTGTCATTGGAGAGCGTAGGAGCTGGCTCTTCAAGTTCAGCTGCTGTAGGGGCGGTGTCCTGTGCCTTCTTGTTTTTCTTGGCCTTCTTTTTGTCTTTCTTGCTCAAAGGCATGGACCAAGCGTCCTCGGCCGCTTCTTCGGGCACCTTCTGGGCCTCCTGCAAAGCAGCAGGGATAGCAGTCTCGTCGAACTCGCCAATTGTCTCTGGGTGCTGTGCGGGTACAACTGGCTCAGGCTCAGGAGCCAAGTCCCGCGATTGCTGGGAATGGTCGACTTTGCCATGTTCCCATTCAATCGTAGGCCACTCTTCATCATGGCCGGCCTTTGATGTTACCTGGTCCAGGACCTCAGCTTCTTGCGTTTTTGACGATTCTTGCTCGAGAGCAGGTGCAGCGGTCTGGTCGAATTTGTTTTCGATCGGCTCTGCGGCCAATGCTTTCTTCGCCTTCTTCGCCTTCTTCTTCGAAGCCTTTCGAGAAAGCGGGGCGTCCTGCTCCTCCGTGGTTGACTCAGGAACGACCGCTGCGAGGTCCTTATCGGCTGCCGGCTCCGCTGCAGGGTGTGACTCCCCCACTGGCTGGGCTGTTTCTTCTGTGTTCAACCCGGGAACAGCTGATGAGGACTCTCGATCAGTATCAAGTTCTTTGGGAGATTGTAGATCTTTTTCAGGCTGAGGTTGGGATGCAGATTCAGATTCCACAGCAGGCTCGGGCACAGGGGTTTCAGTATCCGTGGATTCGATGGCAAGCTCTGGGGTCGGTTCCTCTTGCTCGTGCACCGGGGCCTCTTCAATGACACCCTTCTTCTTGGCTTTGCGCTTCTCCTTCTTGGACACCTTTTTGGAGAGGGCCTGTACTGGCTCTGGCTCTCGAGGTCGGTCCTCGAACATGTCCCCGGCGACCTCTAAATCGGCTGCTTTCTCAAGGGCTTGTGCTTGCAGCCGACGCTGGGCCTCTTGGTCTGATGCTTCCTGCCTTTCAGGGGAGACTTCCTCGTTCTGAACCTGATCGACGGTGGTCTCGTCAGGGAACTCTGTTGGAGCTTCTTGGCCCTGCACTTCAGGAGACGAGGGCTTGTCGAAAGGATCGAGTGAAACACGAGGTTGGTCTGGCTCGCTTTCTTCTGGTTTCTTGTCTGCAGGCGCCACCGTTGGGTCCTCGGATATAACCAGGGGTTCGGCTTCAATGTCTTTGGACTGAGTCTCGGCAACAGGCTCCACGGTCTCCTCCCCCACGCTAGGCTCAGGTTCCGGCGCAGAAACGTCTTCAGGTTGAGCATCTTCAGTTGGCTCTTGTTTTGTCTGTTTCTTGGCCTTTCTCCTTTCCTTCTTAGAAAGCTTGCGAGTAAAAGGCTCAGCCGCGGCGGGTTCTTCTGCTGGCTTCTCCGTCTGTGAGGTGGGCTCTGGCTCCGCGGGCTCAATCTGTCTTAGCTCTTCTGGCCGTTCTGTGCCTTCTTTGTCGGCTTCAGATTGTTGCGTGGTCGGCAGGTCGTCGAATCCTTGCTCAGGCTCTATCACTGGCTTTTCTTGGGATTCAAAAGGCTGTGTCTCCTCGGTGGTTGTCTGTTCGGCCACAGCCTCGGTCGCCTGTTCAGCAAGCTTTGACGACTCCTCTGTTGGAGGATGTGGTTCAAGAGATTTGTCTTCCTCGATCGCCGCGGCAGCGGCGGCCTTTTTCTTGTCTTTCTTGCTCTTCTTTCTAGAGACAGTTGGCGACTCATCCTCTGGTTGCGTAGCTGGTTCAACGGCTTTTTGTTCTTCTTGCCCATCCACCTGCTCGGCGGACGCTTGTTCTGTAGTTTCAACCATGGCAGCAACTGGCGCTTCATAGTATTCATCCGTTTTGGCCTCGCTTGGCAGGGGCTCAAGGTCAGTGTCCTGTTCAACCTCTTCTGTTGGCCGCAGCTGTTGGTCCTCTTCAGTCGGGACTGGCTCTTCGGGTTCTTGGGTTGGAATTGGCTGTTCGGCCTCCTCACTCAGGATGGGTTGTTCAATCTCTTTGGTAAGGGGCTCGGGTTCTTTGTCAGCGTCCTCCATGGCGTCAAGAGGCTCCGCTGTTGATTCACTTGGTTCAACAGCCTGTTGGCTTTGTTGATAATCAGCAGCCGGGTGGCTTGTTTCGATTTCAGGACCCGAGGCCGGAGCATCCACTGATTGCTGTTCATCATGTTGTGATTTTGCTTCTGCTTCCTGCGCAAGAAGAAGTTGGCGTTGTTTCTTCTTTTCTTTTTTGCTCAACTTCCTTGACAAGGGTTCCGCTTCGAATGATTCGGTGTCGGGCGCAACAGTCTCTGTCTCTGGAGCTTTCGTCTCTGTTTCCTGGACCTCTTCAGACGGCTGAGGTGCAGTTGAGTCGAAAGTCTCTGTCTGATCTGCTGCTGGTATTTCCGGGGCTTCTGCGGTCTCTGTATCGGCGGGCCTTTCCGGCTCAATAGCTGCGTCTTTCTCGGGTGCAGAGGCATTAGGTACAGCTTCTGGCTCCTTGGCTTGCTCAGGCTCAGGCTCAGGAGCTCGTGTTTCCTCTTCAACAGGGATCTCTTGCTGTTTTTGCTTCTTCTTTTTGTTCTTCTTCTTTTCTTTCTTGGACAAGGCAGGCTGCGAGGACTCGTCTTCGGCAGGGGTTTCTTGCGTAGGAGCAACAATTGCCTCCGGGTCAGCCTCGGCAGGCGCCCCTGCAAGCGGCTCCTGTGTCGTCTCCTTCTTGTCCTCCTCTTCCTTCAGCTTAGTCGGCTTTTCCTCGGCATCCACAACGTCGACAGGTTCGGGGTTGTTCGCCTCCTCCACATCTCCGGGCATGAGTACTTCATCCCCTGATTTCTCAACATTTTCCTTCTCAATTTCACCATCAGCAACATCTTCCACCACGTTTGATACCTCTTTCTGTTGAATCACAGCATCATCCTCCTCCTGCCCATCCTCCTTCGCTACCTCTGTGGGCTGAAATTCACGCTCAAGCACGGGCTGGGGAAGATAATCTGAAGAACGACTCTCTAACTGCGGCTGCTCTACCTGCGAAGACACGAACTCATCAGTCGAAGCCAAATCATGTGCTGGTGCATCGTGCGTTTCTATGTTGCGGGACTGATGGTCTTTACCGTCATCTTCCGCAGGCGAGGGTGCCGTCACGGGTAGGGAGTCCGGGGTGTCTGTCTCGGTCGAGGGAACTGTTTTCTCGGCATCGTGGGCGGCATCTTCGGGGACGACGGGTTCTTGCACGGACGGTTCGGCAGCAGAGGGAGCTTCGGCGAGAGTGGCGTCATCATTGGCATCAACGTTCTTTGACTGGCGCTTCTTGTCCTTCTTCTTTGCTTTCCGTCGCTCCTTGGCTGACATGGCGCTTTCGTCTTTCGGCTCGGCGGTCTCCTGGATAGCCTCCTCTGCCTCCTTTGGAGCAGTAGGCTCGGACTCAGCAGCCGTCTCAGCGGCTGGCAGCGTTTCCTCCGGCTCCTTTTGTTCAAGATGCTCTGGCGCAGAAGCCTGCTCGGGCTCGGATTCTCTGGTCTCGAGCTCCTCAGGTTGAGGGGCTTCGAGATCAGTGGGCATCTTCTCGGGGATCTGTTCCGCAGGCTCGTTTGACTCCGGAGTTTCTTGTTCCACGGTCTCATCTTTTGGCTGGGAGGTTTCGACCTCCTTCACCTCAGGAGTTGTGTCCGGCTCTGCGGGTATTGGTGCTTCGGCCTGAACATCCGTAGAAGCGTCTGGCTCCTTGGCCACTTCAGACCTCACGGGCGGTACTTCATCAGTCGAATCCACCGACTTCCCCTTCTTTTTATCCTTCTTCTTTGCTTTGCGCCGTTCCTTGGCTGACATGGCCACCTCTGGCTCTTCCTCGGCAGCCGGGGCACTTGGGGACTCGGAATCATCTGGGATGGGGGCTTGCTGCTCAGGCTGGGCAATGGGTTCGGTGACAGGCTCTGGCTGCTCGTCGGGAGCAGGCGACTTGGACGTCTCCAACTCTGGCTCTTTCAATTCCTCGTCCTCTGGGGCTTCTATGCGTGTAGCGAGCTCGGGCTCGGGCTCGGGCTCAGTAGTGTCTTTGACCTCTTCTGATGGAGCTGTCTCGGTCGAGTCGACGATGGTCTCGGGGGCTTCCACTGCCTTGTGGTCTCCATCATCCAGGGTTCGTACTCCTGCATTAGTAGACTCCTGGCCCAGGGGGGTTTCAACCGCTTCAGTGGTATCCAAGGGTGTCTCAGTTGGATCTGAAAGCGAGACAGCTTCAGTAGCAGCAGAGTCTTGTGTCTCACCCTCCTTAACAGCAGATGACTCTTGCTCCGTCTGAGGCACTTCCACTTGAGCAGCAGCCGCTTCATCGCCCCAAGAAACGGATTTGCGCTTCTTGTCTTTCTTGGACTTCTTCTTGGAAACTGCGGGATGGGGCTCGGCTTCGACATTCTCAGTGGTTGGCTGCTCAGGAGCAATGTCCTGCGGAGCAGGATCTTCCGGCACGGCCTCCTCAGGCTTCGGTGCTTCTTCATGCAGGGCGGAAAAAGCCTCATTTTCTTTGGAGGCGGGCTCTTCGGTGTGCTCACTGGGTCTGGGCTCAGTGACTTGTTCCTCAACCGGTCTGGGCTCCTGCTCCAAAGAAAGAGATTGGCGCTTCTTGTCTTTCTTCTTCTGTTTCTTTGACTTTGCAGATGTGACTGGCTGATGTTCTTCGATTTGCTCTGCCACTGTAGTTTCCGTTGACTCGGTAGCTGCAGTTGCTTCGTCCAGTGTGGGCTCCTGCAAAGACTCCACGGGTGCCGCGGTCTCAGTTTGAGGCTGGTCAGACAAGGCCTTGTCCTCTGTAGTCTTGTCGTCCGCAGTTGTATCATCCAAGGGCTTCTCCAACGCAGGCTCTTCCCCCTCTGCGGTATCATTCTTGGGTACCTCCTGAACCGTTTTCGCAGGAGCAGTGGCTTCAGCTGTCGACTGCTCAGCCTCCTCTGGTGCAGTTGAAACAGCTTTCTCTGGAGAAGGCTTAACGGAGGCTTCTTTTTCCACAACCGATGTATCTTGTGTCTGCTCCTCCTGTGCCTTCTTATCACCCTGGACTTCACGCTCAGTATCGGCGTGAGTGGGCTCGTTTACCGAAGTGTCTTGGCCAATCGTAGACTCAGCAATAGCGGAGGAGGCAGCATCTGTGGGAGCCGCAGACTCAGCCTCGGGAGCGGCATCCGCATTTTCTTGCGTGTCCTTTTGCTCTGATTCAGCGGGAGGGGGCTCGGTAGTCGTAGGCTCGGTCTCCGTCGCAAGCAACTCCTCTGGCTGCGTAGACTGCTGCTTTTGTTGCTTCTTCTTGTCCCTCTTGGCCTTTTTCTTCTGCGCAGCAGTCATGGGGACGTCAGGTTCTGCTGGAGGGGCTTCTGGCTCCTCACGAGGAGTCTCGGTCTCTCCTGGGGCACTTGGTGCTTCCGGAGCAGCCACGGCTTCCGATTCACTGGTCTTAGGACCTTCGGCCTCAAGTTGCGGCTCTGTCTCGAGGTTCTCATCTTTCTCGGCCGGCTCTTCTTTCTTTTCTTCCTCTGGAGCCACATCGACAGGGGCAGTGGTCTCCTCAGAAACGGGAGGAATATCAGCAGCGGGCTCAGCGGCTTGAGAGTCAGTTGGCACAGGAACATCAGCGTCTGCTGAAGCCTGAGGCACAGGAACAGGCGCAAATTCCTTGGTGCACTCGGGAGATTTAGCATCAGGTACCGGTACACTCTCGGTAGGCTGCGTCTCATCGGCAATGGGGCTCTGGCTCTGCTGCTTCTTCTTCGCCTTCTTCGCCTTCTTTCTTTGAGCGGCCGTCATAGGGACTTCTGGCTCGACAGCGGGGGCATCCTGAGCAGGCTCTTGTGCCGCAACAGGTTCCTCTTTCGGAGCCTCTGCTTCCACCGTTTCGACGGGGGTTTCAAGGGTAGGCTCATGCTTGGGGTCTTCTTCCGTCGGTCCCTCCACTGCAGGGATCTTATCCTGTGCAGGCTCTTGTGCGGGCACATCTGCCGGTGCCTCTTCGGATGCCGCAGGAGCATGGCTCTCGGTAAGAGTGGCAGCAATCTCACTCTCAGGCGCTGGTGTAAGTTCATCCGCATGAGTGTCTGCTGATGCGTCTTCAGATGCCGAAGGTATCTCCTTAGCAGTATCAGCAGCGGCACTGTCATCCACAAGCGCAGGCGTTGCCTCTTCAGCAGGCGCTGGCTCAGCGAACTGACTTTCAGAATGAATAGGCTTAGTCGAGGTCTCTACATCCGGAATCGAAAAAACACTTTGCTGCTTGCTCTTCTTTTTGTCCTTCTTGGCCTTTTTCTTCTGTGCTGGCGTCATGGGGACTTCTGGTTCAGGCTCGGGTGCCGTCTCAGTGGCAGGTTCCTCTGGCACATCCCGAAGGGAGTCCTCAGTGGTTCCAGCTGGTTCAGCGGGGGTTTCTGCTGCTTCGACATTGCTACCAGAGGGGGCAGACTCCTGTTCCTGAGTGACAGCAGCTTCCTCGGCAGTGGTTTCAGAGGGTAGTTCAACATTCCTGGTGGTCACTTCAGCATCGGAGGGCTGCGTCTCAGCGGCGGCTGCAGAAGCCTCGGAATCGGCAGTCTCAACAGCGGTCGATTGCTCGGGTTTCAGCTCTGCGACCACAGGCTCAGGCGCGGGCTCCGGGGCAGACTCAGGCTCGGGAGCGGAAGAGAGAGCAGGCTCGGGTGGGGTATTTGTCTCTTCAAAAGTGACAGACTTGCGATTCTTCTTCTTCCCCTTCTTGCCCCTCTTCTTTGGCTGCTCCTGAGCTTCTTCTTCTGCCACGACCTCCTGAGGCTCACTCGAGACCGGGGCATCTACAGCCACGTCGGCAGCAGGCTCCGGTTCAAGGTCTTTGGATTTCTCGGCTAGCTCTGGCTGTTCTTCAACAGCCTCGTGGAAGCTCTCCGCTTCTGTATCGGCCTCGGCTGGTTTTGTCGGGGCATCCGCAGCGGCGGTCTCTTCGGGGGTCACTGCTAGCGGGGTGATATCCTCGTCGGCCTTGTCAGCGACTGGCGCGTCGATGAATTTCTCTTCAGGCTCTTGGCCTTCAGGTACGGTAGTCTCAGCTGGCGTGGGTTCCGCAATGGAATCTGCCGCATTTCCCACAGGCAAGGATGGTTCTTCAATCGAAGAAACAGGTACGTCTTCCTTGGGGGCCTCATCAAGGACCTGCTCTGGCGGGCCCTCGAGACTGCGAGTTTCTTGGGGTTCCTGCGTCTCTTCAACAGGCACAGAGACATCAGGAGTAGCGCTATCTTGCAGCTTGCTCTCAGCAGGCTCATCCAAAGCCGCAACGTCCTCGCCGGGCTTAGCTCCTACCCCATCCTCAACAGATGCAGCTGGCTTCTCTTCTTGTTCGACCTGGACCTCTCTCGAAGCAGAAGCGTCATCGCTGGGCTGCACAGCACCAGCGCTCTCATCCACCTGTTCGGTGGTGGAGACGTTCTTGGATTTCTTCTTCTGCTTCTTCTTGTCACGCTTAGCCTTCTTGGACAATGAAGCAGCATCCTCGGGTTGCTCAGTCTCGGCGGGTGTAGCGGGCGTGGAGTCAAGCTCCGGCTCGGGTTCAGGACCAGCCGCAGGCTCGACAGGCTCGGGCGATGCAGTGCTTACGGGTTCAGCCTCGGGTTGTTTGGATGTCTCCCCGAACGGTTGTTCAACCTGGGGGTGGGAACTAGCATCCTCCTCGACACTTCTGGGGACGGCCTCGGGCTCGACAGTGTCCGGTTGCGCTTCTGGTACTTCAACGGCCGGGGTGGTTTCTTCGGGAACTGGCGCAGGTTCTGAAGATGCCAGATCCACGCTCTGGCTGGCCTGGTTCTTCTTTCCCTTCTTCTTTTTCTTGTTCTTCTTAGAAGATGATGTGGTGGCAACATCTTCGACAGCTGCTTCTTCAGAGGGTTGAGGCTGGGCAGGTTCACTTGGCTGTTCCACGGATTCAGAAACCAGTTCCTTAGCCTCTTCTGTCTGGGTTTGCAGAGTGGGCTCGAGTTCTGTTGGAGGCTTTTCCTTAATTGCAGTCACTGGCTCTTCTGGGACTTTATGAGCGGGTTCCTTGGCCTGGGAAGATACTCCCGTGGCGACAGCAGCATCCACAACGTTGGCAAATCCCTGCGTCGTCGCCTCGGGGGCAGAAGAGGGCTCTGTGGTCGGTTCATCCTTGTCATAAGACACAAATTCAGACTCGGTGATTTCCTTGTGTGCAGAGGGAATTGACTTATCATTCCCTCTCACAGCGGCAGATACAGCGGCATCAACGACACCCGCGAAGCCCGCCCCTTTAGCAATATCGCCACCGCTGAAGAATGAAGACTTTTCCTGAGTAGGCGTCTCAAGTTCAGGTTGTGTTTCCGGCTGCTGGGAATCAAGGCCACGCTCTTGCTGGGGTTCTGCCGCACCATCATCTGGAGGCAGGTCCTTGGTGCCGACCATCGATCCCTCCGCAAAAGGGAGACTCTCCAAGGCAGGCGACTCAGGCAGCTCCCCATACGAGCTCGGGTCCTGCAGAAGCTCCGAAGGAGAGTGGAACTCGTACTTGGGCTTTTCCTTCTTAGTCGAGTCCTCTACCTCATGGCCAAAGGTCTGCGCCGTAGGAGTAACTTCCTGCGAATCCAGAATATCAGGCTCTCCATCACCGGCCTCATTGGCGCGATCGGTCGAAATGGTAAGGCCGGTGGGCCTGCGCCTGTCCATGAGGGACTCGCTGAAGTCCACGGGCTCCCAGCTCCTCACGGCATCCTCGTCGTGCAGGGATCGCAGATCCTCGACAGACGGGGCGCGCGACGAGGTCTTGCTCGAGGGAAGCGACGGCAATGGCTCGTCCGGCTCGCCCTCGGTCTTGGCTGCACCATGCCGCTCAACCAGCCACAGCGGACGGATCTCACGCGAGTTGCGGAACTCAATTGAGTTCGGGCGGCGGTGGCGCAGCTGCGTAGGAGAACTGGGAGAGACAGCGGTGGGCGACCCGGTAGGCACGGCTCGTTGCAGGCCCGGTGATGTTGGGGGTCGACGGAAATGCAGCGGCACCGCCGTCGGAGACTCGGTAGTCGAACGTGCCGTGGATGGCCGGCGAGCCTGAGAGAAAGGGTTTTCTCCCTCTTCCGCCGTTGCAGGCGAGCCCGGTCTACTCTGGGACCTCGGCGTGCGATCTTGGGTCCTCTCTGCGCCGGGAGGAGACGTGGACCGGCTCCGGGGCCGCTGGTGGAGGAGTTTCTCACTCGATCCTAGACCTGCAGCTGCGATGGCTGCCTCCTCCGCCAACACTGGAAACCCCGAAGCACCACGGTCGTCGCGCTCAGCTGCGGCCGGCATTTCGGGGCGCTCTCCTAAAAAGAATGCTTGTCGTTGTCGTCATTATAACCCGATGGTTTTCCGTCCTGCGCATGGAATAATACCAATCAAATGCTTAGTCCAAAATTCTTTTTTTTTTCGGGTTTTGTGGTTTTGTGTGCAATTCTGGATAAGTCGGGGCCGTGCTGGAGACATCCAGCGCGGAAGGGGGAAAGCTATATGGGACATAACAGTGTACATGAACATGATAACATAAACAAGAATATAGAGAGAAGGAAATGTCAGATGCTATACCTTCTCAGACTCCCGTCGTCTTCCTGATTCCACAATTTCCTCGTACTTGTGTCGTCGTCGCTCCTCCTTCTGCTGCCTGTTAGATCTGTACTCCTCCAAACCGTCTTTGTCCGACTCGTCGTCCTCCAGTCGGCCTCCACCGCTAGAGCTGCGGTGTTTAGATGAACGCTCCTTGCGTCGACGCTGAGAGTCATCAGCTCCAGCCTCAGAGATGGCCTCCCGCGACGAGCGCTTCTCTAGGGAGGGAGACTGGGTGCGCTCCGCTGGAGCCGATACGTGCGAGCCAAAGATACCGCTAAAGAAGCCACTAGAGCTCTTCTCTTTCTCCTTGGCATCTTTGCTCCGGCGCTTACCACCCGACTCGTCCATGCGCGCCGGAGAAGAGGTGATTGAGGCAGTGTCATCAAAGCCGACGTCCCGCGACGACCGATGCCGATGTTTACGTCGCTCAGACTTGTCTCCCTCTTCAATAGTAGTGACGGCGGACCGAGCATCATCATCGACCGAAAACGTATCGCTCTCGCGCTTGGAGCGTCGCTTTCGACGTTTCTTCTTTCCCTCACCGTCTTCCGCGTCTTCGGGAGGGGACGCAGTATCACGGGTCAAGTCGAAGTCCTCTTCACTCCGAGACTTCTTAGATTTCTTAGGCTTCTCAGAGTAGCCCCTTTCAGGTGGAGCAGAGAAGACGGACCGAGCGTCATCGCGGGACTGGGATAGTTCAGGCGAGTCGCCCGTGTCGAATCCACCAGGCATAGAAAACACGTCATTGTCGGGTGAGCCAGACTTTGCATGCTTTCCGTTCAGTTGCTCAATGACCTCTTGAGCAATTGATCCCCGATCAGGACGTTCAGGTTTGGACACGTCGATATCCTTCGAAAAAGACTCAGGTTCGGCGTAGATAGGCTTGTCTTCGATGACGTGCTCAGTGATCGGATCAACATCTCTAGATCCTCCTGGTGTCTCAACCTCGCCTTCAACAAACCCGTGAGGCTCTTTTCGTCGGGAAGTCGATTTGGCCCAAGGCGAAGTAAAAGCCACTTCGTCTTCTGATCCGGGGGGTGAAGTGCGAGTGTGATAGGTTGGGTCACCAGTGACCAGTGAGGGATCAAAGCCTGCCGCTTCAGTTGCCGCAGCGACAGTGGCAGCGAATTCAATATCACCGGCAAAGTCAGGTGTGCTACCGATGTCCTTTGTCCGCGTATCTTCGGATGAAGTAATGGGAAGGTCCTTGGGGGCATCTTCAACCAGAACAACTTCGTGCTCGAGCGGATCCTGCTCAGAAGAAGAGGGAACCTCATATTCGTGGGTCTCATGTTCACCCCAGGACACTCGAGAGCCAGTCGTGGGTCGTTCGCGCTGCTTGGTATCACGAGATGTATCTACAGGTGAGGTCGGGGAAACAACTTCCCGAACAGATCCCACGAGGCTCTGGGGCGGTGTTGGCTCAATGATGTTGAGCTTGGGAACGGGCCAGGGAGGTGGTCGCAGTGCAAATATGGTTCTTGCGCATACTCTGTCAATTCTTCCGGCACGTCGCGTGTCCGTCGTTCGCTGGCAGGCTCAATCTCGACTATGGTTGGCATTCCAGAGGGGCCTTGACGATCTTTTTGTTCGTCTAGGCTGTGTCGTACCTCTTCCGGAGCAAAGAACTCAGCATAGTCTTCGTAGACAGGCGCTGGCCGAGGAGCTCGTCGAGATGAGCGCTTTTTCTGGAACTCTCCAGACTCCGACGCTGACACTTGTTCTGCAGCAGGCCGAGCGACATCGACCGTGGACGAAGTTGGCAATTCAGACTCGATTTCAGAAGCACTGCGCCGTTCGGCTCGGCGCTTGTCCCGACGTTTATCGTGGCGTTTCTGGCTGGTCTCCGACGCGTTGTCATCATCAGCCTTGCGAGACACAAGTTTACTGGCAGCAGCAGCACCAATAGCCCCAGCGGCAGCTGCTCCAACCCAGGATGAACTCTCGGTGTCTCTGTCGTGGTCACGTCGACGGGTCTCATCATCTCGGTCTTTCCGTCGACGGTCCCGGCGTTCCGAGTCCCGATAAGAGCGCTCCTCTTCTTCACGGTCAATCAATTGAACCGATTGGTCCCGGGGGTTCTCGCGGGATTTTCGTTGACGGCGATTGAGGTCACGCTCCCGTTCCGCTTGCTCTTCAGTCAAATCAAACTGCACAGACGCCTGGTCCCTGGTCGTGGAACGGCGTTTGAACCTGGATTCTAGAGGCTCCTGGGTAGGGAACACAGGAGAGGAGTCGCTTCTGCGCGGCTTTTTGCGATCGGCAGATGAGTCTTCTGCAGTCCAGGATACATTCCGCGAATCCTGGATCGGACGACCATAGCTGTCGAATTCATTGGCAAAAATAGGAGGCACTGCGGGTGCGCTGTAGGCAGGGATCGACCCTGGTAGACCGCCTTGGGTAGTGTACACGGCTTGGGAAACGGGGGTAACGGGTTGAGGTTGCTGAAGGGGAATAGGTCCTGGGCGGACAAGGGGTGGCTGGCCTCCAGACGTGACAGACGGGGACATCTTCGCAACGTCGAAGCGGGAGGGATCGGAAGTGGGCACGGGGTAAACCTGTTGAAGGCTCCCAGCGCTGCTAGGCACCCGGCTGTCACGGTGACGAGCAGCAGATGCCAATGCCGCACCTCCAAGAGCACCGGTACCCGCGGCCAAGGCAGCGTTGCCGACGCCAGACGTCTTGTCCTTCTTCTTTTTCTTCTTGCTTCCCCATTTCCAGCCAAATAAACCGCCACTCGAGTCAGACCCAGAATCGGCGCTACTGGCTCCAAATGCCAGAGCGGAGCCGGCACTGGATGAAATATGGCCCTCGGATTCAGCATCCACCCATTCGTCGTCCTCGTTGGTAGCAGAAGAGGCGTAATGGGAATGGCGAGATCGAGGCTCTTTACCTGAAAGGACATGTCCGGCTCTTCGGTTGCGGCCATGAGGTGAGGCGGCGAGGGCAGTGGCCGTTGCACCCAGTCCGAGCAATGCAGCGTCCACGTCCTCATTTTTCTTGCCCTTCTTCTTGGACTTTGAAGATTTCTTCGCAAGGCCAGAGCCAAAAGCAAGATCTGCATCAAGCGAAGAAGATGACGAGGTACTGAAAGAGAAAAAGCCTCGGCGTTTCTTTGTCCGACGCTTCTTGCGGTTCTCGGATGAAGACGTGAAGAAAGAGCCGATGCCTCCACCGACGGACTTAGCACGCGATCGAGAGACGTCAACGAAAGAAGAACCCGATGAGTTAGATGATGAATCTTTGCGGCGCTGGGTTCTTCCAGGAGAGCGGCTGCGGGCTCGCTGGTGCGACTTGGAAGTGGCCAGCGCAGCCGACCCTACCACCGCGCCCAAGGCAGCCTCCTTCACAAACGAACGGTGGCCAGATCGGGATGAAGATCTTGACCGTGAGCGTGTTCGTCGTGAATGGCCCGAATATGATGTGCGCTTGGCGTCTGAGTTATAGTCCCTCTGCGGACTGTGGCCTGAACGGCGGGTGACCCCACGTGAAGTGTAGCTGCGACGATCAAGATTCGAAGCACTGTCGCCGTCGTATGAAGATGCACGGTCACTAGCTTGTCGTCCAGAGCGGACACTATACGAATCATCAAAGTCTTTGCCGGTGAAGAGCGACTTCGCCGTGTATCCAGCCAGTATTCCAGGCAGCCACGACGACGATTTCGTGGACTTCTTGCGACGGCGACTCTCATCCTCGGAAGATCGGTACCGACTGAGCTTGTTAATCCTCGATGAGCCATTGCTGCTATAGCGGTCTGCCGAGTGGCGACGCTGGTGATAGTGGTGCTGACGAGGTGCGTCAAGGGAGCTCGTGCCCGGCTCAAAACAGTACTTGCACACACCAATGGTTTCCGTGTAATCCTCGAACCGGCCCACGCCCTCCGGGTCACGCCAGAAATCGACGAATCTCCCAAGGGGCCCTCGCTGACGATGCGGGATCGCCAATGAACCAGGGCTATGGGGGTAATAACCATGATGCGCGGCGGCATGGGCAGCATAGCCGGTCGCCCCCGCGGCAAACATGGCGTCATTGGATCCGGAAACATAGTGCGGTAAGCCTCCTTGAGACGATTGCTCATAGTTCTGGAAGGTGTACTGCGACGAATGCTCCGGGCTGGAGGAATGATGATGGTGACCCATCATATACCCCGCGGCAGCACCTGCAGCAGCGCCACCAAGTCCTGCGCTCATGCTGTGGGAATGGGGTGGTTTGTGAGATCCCATTGGCTGTGCGTAGGACGTAGTTTCGTGAGCACCGGCCGCGTCGGATGATTCAGACTCGGCATGGGACAGAAGGCCACTTCCCACCCCATAAGTAGCAGCTCCGGCGGCGGCGGCAGAGATTGCGCTCGAAGAGGAAGGCCTGTTGGGTTTCGATGGCTTGGAGGGCTTGGAAGGCTTGGAAGGCTTTGGTGGCTTGGAAGACGATGCCGATGGAGGCTTCCCTTGTGTTTCGGAGATCTCGATGTCATCGGCAAAGTAAGACGCCGCCGCACCGACCTGACCCTGGCTACTAGGTTCGGGCGGAGGGTTGGCGGAAGGAGAGGCCGCCATCAAATGGGCTTGAGTGTTTGGAAGCACAGAGGGAGGGTTCGGGCGAACACCCGGCTGCTCTGAAACCGACTGCCCTTGGTCACCATAGTATTCTGCCGCGGCGCCAGGCAGGTTGGGGTGGTACGGTTCAGCGACTGTGTCAGGAAATTGTCCAGGAAACTGCTGGTGGACATGGGGATCGAATGGCGCGGGTGATCCGTCGTGCTCTTGGGGAGCCGAGGCGGGTGGGAAGGCATTCTCGTACTGCATGGGGAATTGCGAAAAGCCCGGGGCCGCAATGTCGGCGGCAAACTGTGCGCCGGGGCTGCTCGACGGCATATAGGGGTCCCCCGACTGGGTGCGCCAGCGCTCGCGACGGTCGCGGTCTCGATCCAAGTCATCGTCCGTCCCCCGCCGGCTTATCTTCTGGCGTTCTCGACTCTCGGATCGGTCGCGTTCGCGGCGGCGCGAGCTTTTGCTATCCCGGTCGCTATCTCTGCGCTTGGGGGTTCGCTCGATAATGGTGCGATCGGCATCCTGAAGATCTGAAGCAACAGACTCGGCGGCGGCACTGGATGGGCCGCGCTTGCGCGAGTCTGACGACGGGTAGGCCGACAAGTCGCCCAGGCCGCGGTCACGGTCGTCACCCCGTGTGGATTTGCGGCTGGATGTGGACTTGGAATCGGTCTTGCGCCGGCTGCTCTTGGAGCTGGTGCTGTGGACGTCGGAAGTGGACGCCGACCGGCCCCCGCCCATCAGGGCTTTAAACATGGTGGGCAGTAAATCAGAAGGGAGCGTGAACCATGTGGAAGGTCAGGAATGTGAGAATGAAGGGATAAAACGGAGATCGGAATGTTATGAGGGGAGGAAAATCGAGGCAAGTCGAGATTATGGTAGTGTTTGTTTGGGTAAACAACGGAAGCTGAACCGTGGATCTTCGCCCTCGGGAAGCGGAGCCTGACGAACCCACGGTTGCTCCAGACGATGGGACTAGCTCGATGGCCCTTCGAGCGGTCTGTGCGGGCAAAGAAAATGTGAAGAGAAATAAGCGATGCAAGATGCAAGACACAAGCAAGAAGAAAACTGAAAACTGAAAACTGTAGAAACCCAGTGAATTGTCCAGCGCAACGGTGGAGCGAATCAAAATCGCGGTGAAGCGCCGTGCACGTGCCCGAAAACCACGGGGCTGGGGTTACCCGATTGGGAAGTGTGTGTACTCGACCTGACAGTTGGGAATTTACAATATAGATAGCTACCTGTACATGCAGGTGATTTGATCATATAGTACTGGTCTGTCTCGGGAAAAAAAAGATCACATGAATTTAACTCGATGAAGGAAATTGAGCAAAGTCAAGCAAAATATATATCGAGTGGTATCCAAACAAGCAATTTATACCACCAAAACCTGATATCTGCGGGGGCAAATAATAGCAACAGCACGATGATATCAACAGAAAAGAAGACCAGACACAACCCCCCCCCCCCCCCCTCTCTAGGAACCACGCATGAGCCGCTCCAACTGACAGCGCAGGGGATGCTGGAGCCAGAGCGGAAACCCGCGAATGCGCTGAGAAAGCCAACCAACCACGCCGGGGACAGCAACATAGCCACTCTGACCCGAGAGCACCTGGTCGACGATACCCTCAGCGACCGTCTCCGGGTGAAGCAGTGGATGGAGCCAGGTATCCTCGGGGGTGAGGTTGCTAATGAGCGCCGTGCGGGTAAAGCTCTGAGTAACGAGAACAGCACGGACGCGGGGGGCATGGTAGCGAGTAACCAGCTCAGCAGCGAGACCCTCATGGAAGGCGATGGCAGCAGCCTTGGTGGCGGAATAGTCGACCATGTTCGGGGTGACGGTGTAGCCGGCCTGGGACGCAACAGTGACCACCATGCCGTGGTTGGCGGCGACAATATCCGGCAGGAACTCCTGCGCCAGCCAGTAGTGGGACAGTGTGTTAACCTCGAACAGGCGGCGTGTTTGGGCCTCGCTACTGCCGAGGATCGTCTTGCCTGTGCAGATGCCGGCGTTGTTGATGAGGATGGATGGCCGGCCGAACGACGTGCGAATCGTGCACGCTACCTCGGCGATGGTAGGCGGCGATGTGATGTCGCACTCGTAGAAGCGCAAGCTGTTGGGCAGGGTGTCTGTCGGCGGCGCAATGTCGAGGATGGCGACCTTGATGCCGCGCTCGCCGAGCAGCTGCGCGACCTGGCGCCCGATACCGTTGCTGCCGCCGGTGAGGACCACCACTTCTCGGTTCCAGTCATAGTGGTCTGATACACCATTGTTCACAGCCCGACAGTCCAGCCAGGCCCCGATGCGACCGAGTACTGCCAGTGCCGCCAGGTTTCGGAGCGCCTTCCAGACGTATGGGCGAGTCGTGAGAAGCTCGCGGCCCTTGACGGTGTACTGGGCCATGGCAAACAGTGGCACAATCTTCCAGGGGTTGAGAAGAGTTCGCTGGATGGCTTTGGCGAACACATCGGCAGTGAACCCTGAGGTATTGTCAGCGTCTGCCAATATGATGTTAGGGCAACTTGCCTACCTTCCCGCGAGGGCCATGTCTTTGCAGGCGATGCCATGTCAAGAAGCTTGCCTACGGTGCTTTCTGCTATGTTATTATTATTAGTTAGTTAGTAAAATTGTTCATGGGTGTCGCGAAATTTGAGGAAACTCCCTGGACCCAGCAACAGACTGATCTGCATGCGGGGAAGCCGAGGCACAATTGCATCTGTGATTTATGCACTTTGTATTTGATGGGTATACGTTAGTAACTGAGAATGATAGTCGATCAGCGAAAAGGCATGTTAAATGTCGAATGTGTTCTATTGTTCTATGCCATTTTAAGACTGAATTCCCTCAGGCATGGCGAGCATCCACACAGATTTATCTCCAGCCTTGCGTCCTTACAACTAGAGAAAAAAAGAAAAAGAGAATTAATGAGAGAATAAGTAAAATCATAACCAAGCTTTCATTGAGGTATATTTCAAAAAACACCAGGGCCGACCAGAAAAAAGTTCAAAATGCATCCCCAAGTTCAAAACAAACTGCATAGGGATTGACGGTGTATACCATGCAAATAAAGCACAAAAATGAGATAGACGCACGGGAAACTCCCCAAGAGCGCATATGCTCGCAGATCAAAATCATCAGAGCCAAAATAGAAACCCACCCTCTCTTCCCAGTCACCTCCCAAAGGGCCAAAGGGGGCATCAAATGGACAGGTTCGTGGGCAGGGGACGATTGGGCTGCGCCGATTGAACACCAGACCAACAAGACGCAAAGCAGCAAATCCACCCTTAAGGAGCCCTTAGAAGGGAACAAGTGTTGCCTCGTCGATATAAAAACAAGAAAAGCACGAATCAAGACGCAGAGAACGCACATATAAAGGAAAGGGCAAGATTTCAAGAGAACCTCCACCAAAGACCAAAAAACAGGACATCAAAACAAACCGTAAATGAAGCTATATGTAAAACAAATCTGAAGCAATCAGTTGATTTGTGGTAGGTGCCCAAAGATCTTCTGATAGATCTCGGTGAGAATACGCGCATCGGCCCGCAGGGTCGGCGAGATGTTCTCGCTGCGCAGCAAGAAACGAATCGTCCGCTTGAGAAGACGCTCAAGGGTATTCTTGTCGACGAGTTCTGTCAGACTCGACATGTACGTGGCAGACAGAACCAGCATGTTGCCGAATTGCCTGTTGTAATGCATTAGCACAAAGATGACGTCTTCGAAGCCGACAGCCAGAAGACTTACGCATGGGCAGTGCCGAAGATATTCGTGACGACTAGGCGATCCGGGATCCCATCAAAGGCTTCCGTGCTCAGAATCGCCGAGTCAATGCAGACCTTGCAGGCCCGGCGGAGTTTCTGTGGGAGCTCCCGCAGGTTCACGGTAGGCGGGGCCCAGCCATTGGTGAGCGACGGGGCAGCGGTGCCCAGGTCACTGGAAATCCGCGTCATGGCTGAGGCCCGTTGGGTGGCGTTTGCCATTGAGGGAGATAAATGTTGAGTCTGGGTGGTCATAGACCCCGTGGGCGAGTCGACCGTGTTCTGGGCAACCGAGCCGATCCGAGCACCGGTCTGACCGTAATGGAGGGCGTGGTACAGGAGAGGCCGGTGGATAATATACCTGGCGCCGTAGTACTTGGCTCGCATGCGAGCTGCATTAATGTCGTCGGTTGGCGGGTCATTGTCCTTCCACTTCATATTGTCGGGTAGGCTCGTACGCCAGAGATCGAGGTTCATGCTGAGGGTTTCTTGCACATTGGACGACCACCTCGTTTGTCCTTGCTCTATAGCAGTAGTCAGTATTGTCGCAGCAATTAAGCCCATGCTAACAAAGAAACCTACTCTCGACCTTGTAAAGGTCCGTGTGAACCCGGTTGAGAACTTTTCGGAGGTGGATCTGAGCCGAGTAGAACAACATCATCATAGTGGAGGGCGCGCTAAGGTCATCCGGCAAGCAAATGGTGTATTTGCCTTTAGGAAGACCCATACGACCCTCGGACCGAGAGATGCCACTGGCCGGAAGATCGAGCTCTGCGAGCAGATCACTAAAACACAAGTCAGCAACATAGCGTCGAGTTTTCCCGTGCCACTTAAAACGCACCTCTCCAACTGCAGGCAAGTCCAGTAGGCGAAATTGTAAAGATCCAGCGTAGGACCATCTTCCAGCCGCTCATACCGTTTCCTAAATCATTCAGCTAATATGCCTTGAAAATAGCAGCAAGTTCAAATAAACATACGCTCTAACAAGCACGTGGCAGGCTCGAGAGGCTTGAGCAATCCAGCCATGGCTCTGGAAAGGATGGGCCAATTGACCGGCATAAAGACCAGCAAGCAAGCCTGCCTGGACATGTTCCAATTCAATGCCACCCTGAAGATGGCCCAGAATAACGGTTGCATATCCATAAAGAGTCAGGCCGGGGATGACTTGGTGGTTTTTCGTGCGGCCAAACCGGTCTTGGCTTGTTGTAACGTCGCGTCGTGATAGATTTCGTTTATAATCGGCTGCAGTGAGTGCAAAGGACTCGCCGGTGTTGTCAGCAATGGCATAAAGGGAAGCCGTGGTTGGAAAGCCCGTGCCCGAGTCTGTCGGTGAGAGGACATCACTGGGATTGTGGGTGTGTTTAATGGGGGGCATGGGGCCGGGGATGTGTTCCTTGCGGAAATCAGGCTTGTGGTCGAGGATCGGCCCCGGCAGCGGGGATTTGGTTTCACAAATGGCACCAATGGCAAAGATCAAGAGGATAATGGCGTTGTCGATATTTCTTCCCACTCGTGGACGCGAAGGGTTCGAAGAGCCATCTGTCGACTGGCTGTCACTGCGAGCACCTCGTAGATTTTCGTTGGAGCGCTTCCGTTTAGTTCCAGTCTGGCTGTCACGGCTTGAACTCGAGCCGGGGGCTGAAGTGGAACTTGGAGGGCAGTAAAATCGAATGAAGTTTTCCACTTTCTCGTTCAACTCATTCTGGTCGAGGAACGGATGAAGCTTGTGCATGTTCTCCAAATAGCTCTGGTAGTAACGTCGAGAAGTATCGGCATCCGCCATGAATCTACCCACCCGGTCGATATCCGAGTTGGCATCAGGGAAAAATTCCGAACTTTGTTGGTTGCGAGTAGCCCCATCATCCTCCCATTTACTGCCATCCCGCAGCCTCGGAAATGGGGGCAGTTCACTATCATCGGCAGTGTAGGAGATCTCGCCCTGACCATAGACACTGATGAGACCACGTTCTTCCTCCAATCTCATCACGTAGTCCTCGTCGTATTCGTGCGGGTAGAGGAGCTTCTTGATAGATGGCCACATCAGAAGCTTGTGGGCCGCGGTAGTGTGTTCGACAGGGATTGACAACTCCCCTTCCGACTGCTGTTCCTCCAGGGTGGTTTCCATGGGTTCCAACTTTTGACTGTAGAAAGAACTGTGCTCATCCTGCATTTCCGTGTCCTTCATCATACCCGCAACCTCTGCCTTGAGCAATGGGTCGCGAGTCGGGACCGGAGCAATCGGGCGATCCTTGATCATCCGGTACTTGTCGCTCATGAGCGAGCTAAGGATCGTCCCATGCTCCACCTGAACCGTCTGCAGTTGAGACATGCGGTCATCCATGCGATCTTCCATTTGCATAATTCGATCCAACACCAGCTGAGTGGTCTTCTCTTGTCTATTGGTAATAGTCAGTATCTTCCGTTCTTCTGCCGAACTCGATGGGGGATTGCACAGACTTGTGAGGCGGCACTTCTTTGTACACACAGATCAGACTATTTTCCTTGCAATGGCTGCAAGCCGGCCGTCCTTCATCGCATTTGGCCTTGCGAGACCGACATTGGTCACACGCCTGACGAAACATCAAGAGTCAGCGATACTTTGCGCCGGGGCACAGACTAGTCTTTCTTTTTTTAATCCACCAGTCATCCGGGCACATACCTGAGTCGCTCGAGCGGCCTTACGCTGGCGTGCGGCATAGCTTTGATTCTGGTAATAGCTTGGATCGTAGGGACCTGGGGTGGTCGCAATCGGGGGAGTGGGTGTCAGGTATTGGGAAGGGCCGGATGTTGGGACAGGTTCACTCTCCGAGTGTTGGAACCCCATTCGAACACGATACTCCGGGCCGGAATGCGGCGAGATGTCGCCAATGGAGGGACGGAAACCGGGGTGAGGGTTGGCCTCTGGCGCGGGAGGGGATTGAACGGATCCTGGCAAGCTATTGGGTCGACCATATGGGCCATCGAGAGGAAGTTGGGGGAGTTCGCGATGCATGGCTGGATATCCTTGAGGCGGAAGGGGCGTCTGGGAGGTCGTAGATGAGCGTCGGGAGTCAGGCCCATGGCCGTCGAAGGACGGGGGAAAGGGAGGACGCCATGAAGGCTCATAGGCACCATGCGCACCTGGCGGCGCAGGTGGCCCGTCGGGGGGAGGCATACGAGTCATCGGAAAGGGGAAACGAGGTAAGGACTCGAGGATATCAAAGATCTTCTAACGGTCAGGCGAGGTTCATCTCCACAATGTTTGTCCTGGGAAGAACTGGTGAGGGGAAGAGAGGGCTACCAATATACCGATGAGAAAGCAGTTCACTGAGTAGGTAAAAGAACAACACCTAGATGAGCATGACGGGCTGCCACGGTCACCAGGGAGAGAATCGAGACAAGGTAGCAGAGTCAACGGGTGAGAGAGAGAGAAGAGAGAGAGAGCGAGGATGACAGGCGCGATGTTCGGGAGGAACCATGGAATCGAGTTGACGCTCCCTTTTGACTGCGGTGCCCAGGATACTTTGGCGCAAATAAGTTTATTTTGGTTTAAATCCACAGGGACACAAAAAAAAAATCCGGGAGAGATTCGTTTGACGTCGAAGCTGGAAGCGGGCAACCGGGGTGGAGCTAGGAAACAAAGAAATGGTCAGGATACGACCGACCAGGGGTCCACGTCGTGTAAAAAAAAATGAAAAGAAAAAGAAAGCAGAATCACGAAACTAGCCAGGCCAATACCAGAGATGGTTCAAGGACTCCACCAGATCAGATAGATCGAAAAGACAGAAAGTACAGCCAGAAGTACAACACGGTTGGGCAGAGTCAAAAGGAGGGGGAAACCCAAAGGTATCCAGTACCCGACGGATACGCAGAGGGTACGCGGATCCTGTATGGTATTGTGGTATAGTAATGACGTACCTCAGTCTCGGGTCCAGAGTAGCCAGGACTTCTTTGTCCAGTCTGTCGGGACGAGTTAAAGAAAAGATTTGAATATTCCAATGGAGATCTATTCCAGTGTCCAGGAGAATAACTCAGAGAATAAATCAGGAAAGGAAATCATATAAAATCCCCCAAAATCAGAGAAGAATCCCGAGGGGTTGGGTCAGGGAAAAAAAGGAAGAAAAGGGAGGAATATGGGGGGAGGAGAATATTATATTAATGATTATCTTATAATAATATAATAATAATCTTCAATTATAATTGCACCTGTAGGGATCGACACCAAGCTATCACAAGTGCGTTTGCCCCTCCCTGGATTACTCGGCCATTACTGTACACAGTACAGAGATAGCCCTCAATCTATTTATTCGGTTGATTCGGTTGATTTGGTTACTCTGTTTCTATGTTTATGATATGATATTGATTATGTTGAAACATGACTTTTACCTCGACATTCCCCTCCCGATCTGGACTTGGTCAAATCGGCCCCAAACGGAGGTGACGGGTCTGTTTCCCTCTTTTTCGCTGCATCTCGGGAGAAAATGATACTAATAATACATAATCATCATAATACAGTGGGCCCTCTCCCACGGCTGGGGGGAACATGACCTGATGATGTGATGATTGACAGCACTCGGGGACTAGGGGACTATGGTTTTACGCCTACCAGTTCTGTCCTTCCTCAAACACCGATCGCGTGGAACGGGGATCAAAGGGACTGCCCGAGCCGAAGGTCAACCATCTCGCTGGAAATCATCCTTGAGTCAGTGAGGCAATTCGCCCGAAGGAGCACACCTCTTCTCTCTCTCTCTCTCTCTCTCTTTCTTTTCGCCCATCTCTCATGTTCAACAAAGTGGGGACGGGATGGGACCCTCGCGAAGATCACACACAACCGCGAGTCGAGAGATTCCCGAGGCTAGGGATTCACTTACCCAGAACCTCGTCCTTGGGAAAAGCTTGAGGAGATAGTGGTCGAAACGTGAGTCCGAGCACTTTCCTCCATGAGATGTGTATACAAGAACATAACATCGGGTTCTTAGGGTTACGTTAATTATTCCATCGGGTGGTTGGAGAGCAGACTCATCCACCTCGCAAGGGGTCCAACACGGCAAATCGAGCGAACTTTATTGGCGACCGATGCTCAAATCAGTGGATGCGATAAGTGTCCCCAGATCGGCGATATTCTCGAAAACATCATCCTACACGAAAGGGATGGGACGCCCAGGGCAATGGTCGAAGGGGGCAGATCAGCAGGTGTGGATGACCCGGGGTCTTGGGCAACAGGCTGTTCCCGAACGCGTGTCCATTTCATGATCTATTGACTGTAGTAGGGATTAATATTTATTCTTTAATCTTGTATATTATATAGGGTATTATACCATGTACATTATGCTATAATCTTACAGAAATCAAGTACATACAACAGTACTCAGATAAACACGTATGGTAATTACCGGGTCCATGGAACAGCGGGCCGCCCTCTCATCCATGGGATGCCCGGTGTCATCCATGGTTGCTCCATACTTCTATACTTTCATACTTCCATGACTCCAGATATCATAGCTTCCAATGTTGACTCTCTCTCTCTCTCTCCATGGGACACAATCAACATGGAAATATCTCACAAGAATTGGGTTCTGACCCAGCCCCTGGCCTCGACAATGCAACGCCAGTACACCGCAAGACGTCCTCACCGCGGGGGGTCCTTGTCGTACAACGCAGCATCCTTCGGAAATTTGAGAGGTTTGCTTCTTTTGACCGTTGAGTGGACCAGCAAGTGCAGTCATCCGTCATCCTTTCTATGAATATTGTCCTCTCTTTCTTTTACATGTACTGGGATTCCGGCGCCAATCTCCAGGGCCCCAAGTGTGATGGGGTCATGATGGGTCAAAGGATGGTCGAGTCCCCACGGCCATACACTCCATACACGGGCCGATTACAGTACAATAGTTTTCCCTTTTGCGTGCTAGCCATCTTTTCTTTTGTGAGTTTTGGGGGAGATACAGGATTCTCTAACGAAGACCAAATCAAAAGAGGTAAGCAGGAGAATTTGGCGACTCGACGTTAGGGCTGACCAGAATCAAAACAAAACAACCCGAGCCGCACCAGACAGATATGATTATGATTGTTATCATGAATATTACTATTTCTCGGACATCTGAGACACTCTCCTGATTGGCCCATCGCAAATTCCAAGACATGGAGGTGTACTCTGCGAAACCTGTGAATCCTTCTGAAATTCCAAATCCTAATCCTGACGTTTTACTCCCATGATCCACCCCGTTTCCACCATCCCGTTCCTTGGGATCCCGTCTGTGAGATCTTCAATTCCACCGTTATCTGCGGTTGCATCAGTCTCCTGTTTCTCCCACTGGCCGAGTTTCCAATTCGTCCAGGCACTGAATCATCCAATGGTATATGACCTCGGGCATTCCTGGGATTATCTCCTGCGTGACAGGAAGACAAACTTCATGGATCTTGGATACAATGGGCAAATCTTTTGTTCTTTCTCTGTTTTGCCCTGCACGCCATGCATGGTGCAGCATCGGGTTAGAGCGGTTTGGTTTGCGGGAGATCAATGGCGACATGTAAGGGATGGCTGAAGAAACCCCAACCCGAAAATAAATAAAAATAAAAAATAAAAAATAAAAGCTATGTGCTTGATTGCTACTGGTATGGATGAAGTCATGGCCAGGGTTAGAATCGAGATAGTCATAGCACTTTACGAGCCAGAGACCAGCGGTGGACATACTATAAACCCTCGGGGGGTACACCGCACTCTCTCGAAATTCCAGCTCATGGATAAGCACCCCGGAATTGAGATATGCAGTGTGCTCAGCCCTGTTCACCAATCAATTACACGCATGGCCTTCACGAGACTCCTGGAATGACTCCAGATGGAGAATGGATGATCGGCGCTCTCCCTCTTTTCTCTTTCTCTCATAACCTCTTCCTTGGGAATCTCCACACCGACGTCAACAGGGGAAGGGGAGGCCACAGGCTGGTCAGTTCATAGGTCTCACGTCCTGGCGTCCACCCGAGACAATGGCTCAACAACATGATACATCGATCCTGTCAGGTCCTACCAATAGACTATGTCTCCAAAGAGGCGGGTGTCTCTAAACCAAAATCCTTCGTGAGATACCTCAGGGAGCCTGGAATCCTGCAAGTAATCACCCACCCTGCTTCGGGATTCTGCCTCGGATCAACCCAATGTGAACAGGATATCTTCTCTCTTCCCCAAAGCCCAGTCACCTGAGTCCGCAACAGCGCAGATCCCTTCAAAGCCCGGAGGAATGAATCTCTGGAGTCAAGGGGGGTTGTCCCCCCCCCCCCCCCCCCCATGTGTTGTTGTCTCCATGACAAGAATGCTGGGGATGGGGAACACCGACAGTACACATGTAGAGTGTTTGGTATCGGCATGTTATGATCTTACGCTGGCTTTGGGTGCGATCCCCGTGTTCTCCGTATCAAACACCGCTTCCTTATACACGTACATCGGCGATTCTCGTTGCTGATTCGCGCGTCCACAGCGGATCGGTTCAGTTACCGAGGCGTGTCCAGCTGAAATGTGAGCCCCCTTTTACGTCGCGGATGATCCTTATATAACCAGGATATTTGACTGGCTTGGGTCTGACAGCGGATCGGCCGAATCCAAGAGGATGGAACCTTTTGAGGTTTGTGGGATGGGATTTCTCGGGATTATGTTTATTGGGGGCCTCACTACGAACATGAACCACCATAGAATTTGAAGGGAAAAATAAAACAATAAAGAACAAATTCCCAGTGACGAGTATTCCTTGACCTCAATCCTCACCCACCTGGGCATGGGTCGCTCTGAAAACCGCTCCTGTTGTTGCCACTCCACGGACTCCTCTCCACCGAGGCAAATGTGATGCATAAACAGATACAGAGGAATGATCGCTCTATGGTGCCTCTACCCTTCCCTTCTGGCCTACCTAGGTAGGCAGGCCCGAGATCTAGTTGTCGCCACCCACACATGGAAAAACTGACACGTCTCGCACTCGACACCTCCCAAATCCCATCGTCCCAGTTGAAATGATTCCACGTGGGCTTGAATCGGCCCATGTGGCTGTAGAGAGTGGTGAGCAGAAATTCACTGACTTCTCCATTAATTAAAATCCAATTTGGTTGTTGAAATAGCAAGGGGGGAAGAACAGAGCTAACCTAAATCAATAGAGTGGACATCACGTACAGGCTGGGTTATAATCGAGGTCATCGCACTACAAACCACTAAGATTCTATCGCCTCTCTTTTCTTTCTCTCAATTAGGTGTTTTGCATGATCAATGAGCCTTATGCTGCATCCTACCCCCCCTTGAGCAAAGGCAGTGATGAGCCTCACATGAACGGCTGGTCTGTTCGCCAATGCAAGGGCAATCAGAACTTGGCCCAGTTGGTGATTGTGCAGGTGTCCGGCTGTGTCAGAAGCAAAGATTGACTAGTAACCAGCGGAGACCCTTTAAACGCCTGGTTAGGCTTGGAATTGCCACAGTATATACCATCCAAGAATTTCTTGGATGATGTATAGTCGAAGAGAGTCTTTACTATAGCCCAGTATATCCAGCCCCTAAATCTCACTGGTCTTTTTACTTTGTAAATCCATTTACTAGGGTTCTCCCCACAAGCGCCTCCTTTTTTATTCTTTCTCTGGGGACATGCAGAACACCCACGCAAGTCATCGCATATCCCCCCTTGACATTCCATGGACCTAATTAAGTAACTTGCATATTCTTCAGTGATCTACCAACCCCAGCCTTTGTTAAATTTTTTTTTTCTTCTGTTTTCTTTCATCTTGTTTGTTTCTGTATTTCTTAATACCAGAGCCATTTAGGGGTAGCAAAAGTACAGGGACTAGACTGATTGTGGAGTCCTGGTCCCCGAGGTGCCCGAACGCCAGCCAGCTCGTAGATCGGTTCTTTTGTCTGTTTAAAGTTCCCAACCCACAAAAGTAGTGACAACAATGGTTATGAGGCTATTAATAATGACCATTGATCTATAAGTACTTTTGGCAGTGAACCGTAGCATTGTTAACACCCTCTAGAAATAATCCTTATTGTATAGGGTTCCTCATCAGCAAAGCTTCTTAGAAAGTCAATATCTACACCGCTGAACCAAGTCCTAGTCAATTGTCAAAGTAGTGAGACTTATCCTTGTAGGAACCCAGCCAAATAGTTATAGTAGGTAACACGCAGAGTTTGTTGGGGGCTATTCAGTCTGATCTCACAAACTAGGCATTATACACTAGCCAGGGATGTTGTTAGAGCAAACATGCCTATCTAATGTGGCTTGTTAAGAAATAATATGCTCTTGGTCTGAGAAGAATCACTCTGTAGGGCAAGTCTGATTAATGGTTGATCTTATAACCAACCTTGCCATAAATTAGTTGATATGACATAGTGTGGAGGTATCATCAATATAGATAATATATATCTACTCAATCAGGGTTGATATCTAGTACTATCTCGATTTGCTCTATTATACCTTATCTTGTTTGTCCTACGTAAACATAACAATAATTGCGGCTTCTTCGAGGCACTGCAGGAGAGCTATCAGTTATTAACAAAGGGCTCTATAGACCTATTCTTAATCCTCAGCATGCTAGTTATAGCCACTACAACGCCCCCTACGGATAGAGATATATTTTCAGCTATACGATAACAAGCCACCGCAAAGATATCCCTCAAACCCTTCGCATTACTTCTTCCTTTGGTCTAGACTACTGCGTCTGGCCACCCACAGATGAACCTACAGGAGGAACTGCTAGTTGATATCACAACCCGGCTGTCGATGCTGCAGACGGCCCACGGCAGTGTTTGATCTGCATAGTCCCTAGACCTCAGGTACCCATAGGTATATACTTCTGGCTAGGAACCCAGAGCATAACATGTAGTATCCCTCAGTATATGCGTATACATAGGGTTACCATGACAAACGAAGCCAACCCGAGTATCGAACACATCCGGATCAGGGAGCCCCGTACACTGGAAAGAGGGCAGAAGAAATAGGAATTCGGATCAGTCAAGTCAGGCCTGTACTGTGCCCCACTTGGCTAAAGCATTTTAAGACCGAAAGGGTGCCCAGACACCCGCTCCTTCCGCGGTCCAAGAGCGAGTGGACTGTATTGGCGAATGGATTTGGCCAGATATGGTCTAGATCATCTACATACATAAGTAGGTAGTAACCTATCCCCAACCAAGAGAATCTTTCCGTGGTACACAGAGAAAAAGAGAGAGAATCGGAAAGTTGCTGACCACAGAGGGCCATTGCGCACATCAGCCCCCCCATATTCCCCACCATCCAAACTTCCTGTGGATCGATCGCCAGTTGATATATCACATTATTATTCCCACCAGCCTGGGACTGTCTGCAACGAACTCGTGAGATCATCGATCTACCGAACAAGTCCGTAGCAGGAGACGTTTCGTACGAAACAAAAAAAAAACCCCACGCGATGGTTTGATCTGTATGATGAGTAGTATGTTCTTTCTTTGACTTTTCTTGAAAAAAAGGATATAAGTGATATCGAGCCAAACCCACACGCCTGTTATGATGGTTGATTGCGAGAAGTTGAAAAGACCCCAAAAAATGGTCGAGAATCCCGTCGATTCGGGTGCATCGGGGCTACTGCAGTACGTCTGCACTTGCAGAGCGAGTGTGTGATGCAGATGATCTGGAACGTGTCGGCTGGGGCTCGATCTGGGATATACATCATTGAATACGTAGAACCAAGGAGCTGGGGAGCCAACGAGGGTAGCTATCTGGGTTGGCTTCTAGAGACCAATAGATACTCAATGACCAAAAGCAGGGACGGGGAGACACCAAGTTTCTGGGGGGGATAACTAACATCCCATATGTTCTAGTTACTACTCAGGCCACGGCACCAGATAAGAGATCTAAACTCGAACCCTTTGAATTTGTGAAGAGCCCCATTCATTCTATTTGAACGTCTAGATATTCCCTTGATGATATCTACACTTATCTTCTCATGATCCAAGCCATCGGGCTTTGACTATTGTCTCATCTAGCCCAGGGACTTTTCTAACAATACTAGAATATAGTATATATATGACATATTTATCCATCTCTAGACATCTATACCCATATAATATAACGACCATCAACCCAGGTCCTTATAAACAATAGTCACCTTTGACAGCCCCCACAGCTGTCGGGCCATGGGCTGCTTTCAAAGGGGGGGCCAGGTCCTGAATGTGAGGCGGCTTGATACTAAGATGACGCGCCCACTCGCACACGGCGAGCGTCAGGTTCGAGAGCCTGAATACCCACAGCGAGCTCATGTGCATCTTCTGGAGCGTCCGCAGCTCGAACACGATGGATAAGACACCGCTGGCTGCCACCATGCCCGCTAGGGCGCGGTTGGCGTACACGGAGACCAAGTTCGTTGCGTCAAAGACCTTGTTGGATTGCGCTGAGATGAGAATCCCCGCCTGGCAGCCGATTATGAAAAAGCATTGGGCTTCCTGGAAGACTAGCAACGCGTTGAGGACGAATGCGTAGCTGCGCAAAGAAGTCTCGGATGCGAGTCTCCCACCTCTCGGCGAAACGGCTGAATTCCTCTCGTTGATGGGCAGCGCCTTGCCGTTTGGCTTCCATGGCTATGATCGATGGTGAAGTTGAAGGGCAGATTACTTACATCCTTCTCCGGACAAGCTTTCCAGCTTTGGATCAGGATGCTTGCAATATTCCGTCAGACATGTCGGCGCCAACTTGGAGAACTTGTTCTTGAGGATTGATTTCCTGGCATCATAGTAGTTTGCCAACATGTCGAAGCTCTCAAAGACGTAACTGGCATTCTGGCACAGCAGAGACCAGTTCGGCCATCTTGGCTGACACGGTATAGAGCCTTATGCCAGAAAAAACTGCGAGACGTGCAAGGGGATCAAAGAATAGGGGGTGGGTTTCCATTCAGCCCTCAAAGGAGGACCCATCTGCGAAGCTTGAAGCAGTTAAACATGTATGCCTTGCCGAAGTTTGTGGATTTGGAATCAGAGAGAAAGAAAAATAAAGACCCACAGATGATCGGTACTACTGACATACCATGTCTGCGAGATAATCAATACTGGGGATCTCGGATTAAAAGAGAGAATTGTCTATTCCGGAGCTATGTACATGCCGTCAGAGGCCAGTGTGTGCTGGTGCTCGAATTGAAAAGGAGCCACGGACAATACTGAAAACATGCCTTTTGAAGATGCCATCGACATACCATTGGCCGCACCAGTTGGAACATGATGCATCGCTTCGCAAAAAAAAAAAAAAAAAAAAAAAAACAGAACTAAAAGGTATTCGACCGTTATGTCTTCCTCGACTGATAGTGGAACAGCCGCCACACGCCCTTCAAGGCTTCTATGCGGTCTTTGGCATCCAGCAGGTCATACCACCGCGTGCGCTGGAGTTTCAACACATGCCACGCTTGCTCTGAGGCGCCAGAGTCGGCAGGATATGTGCTTTCGCCTGTGGTGAGGATATCAAGGTAGCGCCGATGGACGCGAAGGTGCAGGATAGAAACATGGTGGTTGATCGACGAGATCATGTAGATCTAGCGAGGTAGGTTAGTAGATGAAAATATCACTAAGGAAGCGGTTCACCATACATCATCAAAGGGGCTCTCCTTGGCCTTGCCGATCTGCATATATTTCATCCGCTTGTCCCACAAGCTGGGACCGGGCTGCAAGATTCTCCATTTCTCGCTGCTGGAGAGCTTTCGCATCGCACTGGGCCGGCGAGAGAGCGAGGTCATAAAGGGATGCTCGAACTTGTGGCGTTTGCGGGCACTCTCCGGCTCCGGGGTAGGCATCGAAAACGTCATAGGCTTATCTTCCTCCAGCATTGAGTCTGGGAGCGACATCCCGTGTCCCCGACCGATGAGGTCGTCCAGGATCCCATCGTTGGGTGCACCACCAAACCGAGGGGTCATCGTCCACCACTTGCCTTCTCCAGGTCGCATTTCCACCGCTCCCTCACGGGCACGCTCCTGTGCTGCCAGTAGCATGCCGCCAACTTCACGGTACAGATCACAAACTTCCCCGATTCCAGCACCCGCGGCGTCTTCAGTGCTGCGGAAGAAGAGCTCAGACCGGCACTGCGCGATAAGGACGGGTCCCTCTAAGATCCCGCTCCGGGCGATCTGGCGGTCTCGCGGGGACCGTGACGCCTGGAAAGATTGACGCACAGGGAAGAGCAGGCTCTTGACTGTCAATCGCGGTGGAAGCGTCGGTACAGTAACCTGGCATCCGAATGGCCAGGCCGCCATCTCGACGAACGACCGGATCGTTTCATCCCGAATGTCATCGGGCATCTCATTCCCAGCCCCCATTCGACGGCCCGTGTACGTGGGCACCGCCGGGCGAGCATGATCAGTGCCAGCACTGCCGTTGGACGTCGGAGGAGCCTGCGGTTCATCCACCTCCATCGCGTTTGCTGTCGAGTCAAACCCAGTGTTTGTCGGAGACAGGTTCTCCGTGTCCATTTTGTCCTCGCTGGACGGTTCACCCTCGGCGGGCGGCGTCCGTTGGGGCGTCGCAGGTCGCTCATAGTAGTGATCTAAGCTAGTATCCCAGTACTGGGCCATACGCTCGAGGCCCGCCCAGAATTTCCTCGACTGCGTCACCCGAGCCCGACTCCGCCCCTCGCGCGGGGGTAATCGGGCGACCTCACGGAATGTATCATCATTGTCCAGCAACAGCTCACTCTCGAGTGTTTTAAATCGGTCTTTCGTGGGATATGGGAGGCCGTTGCTCATCACCGGTCGCGGTTGGTCCTCTGCGGAGTCGGCAGGTTGGTTCTGAGGCTCATCTTCCCAGGGCAGTGGGGGCAGGGACCGCGCTTGGTCTTCGGGGAACATGCGCTGCACATCAACATCCGTGTCCAGTTGGAGGTTTAACGGCTTGAATCGTGCCAGAGAGATATCTTGCGGGCGCTTGATGGAGGCCAGCAGGCCGCACAGGTCGCGAAGAGTCGAGTCTGACTCGTGGGAGACGGCATCGGGGAGGTTGTAGACGGGGAAGTCGAGGGGGGTCGGGCGAGCCGGGGGTGTTCGTTCCTTCTCTGGCTCTGAGCTGGCAGTGGGCACGGCTGGTTTGATGCCACGTTAGTAGAGTTTCGCGCGGTAACAAACTTCGGGGACAACTGGGAGAATTGGAGTTTGCGCAGTGACCTCGGGACAAAGGCGCCACATTCCACCCATGGTCCAAAAGACAAAGATATGTCAAGGAGAAACCAAAGGAAATACTCACTGAGCCCAGAACCCCAGCCAAACATGATTCGAATAACAGCAACTCAGTGGATATTCTAGGACCTCAAATCACATGCCCCGAGAGACTGAGACAGAGAAAGCGCCGAGACAATGCAGACGATGCAGACAATGCAGACGATGCAGACAATGCAGACGATAGCACAATGCAGACGATAGCACAATGCAATCTAAACAACAGCGAACGTGAGAAAGGAGAGCGAAGGAGGGGGGGGGGGGAAAGAGAAGGAGTAACTTTCAGCGGATCCGTCGACTCGGTACTTTTGAGGTGGGGAATTGCCCGCCCGAGGATATCGCCCGAATGTTGTTGTTTTTGCTGGGGTTGGAAGGTGATAGATCAGAGATCAGCAGATCCATGGAGGTCCATGGAAATACATTTGGGGGCATTTCTATGGCAGAGACCTCGTGGATAATCTACACCCCCCTTGGTCCGTTATGTAGTAGAGAACAGCCTCCATGGATATGTGGGAGGTTGTAAAATATAATCTGAAATACTATAGATTGTAGACGATAAAAATAGTCTTATTCTCATGCAATTACACTATTCTTAGAGAAATAGCTTTGTTCATCGAACCATCGCCAAGTCCTCAGGACGACATCCTGGGATGCCTGAATACTTCCCCAAATGAGGCAATGAAACCTCTCCGCTCTCTTCTTTCTCCTCTGCCCTTCCACCCCTCGGACAGATTGGTCCCTCAGCAAAGATGAGTCCCCCTACTGTCTCACAAGTGTATCATCTTACTCCTCCCCGACATTTCTGGGGGGGTGATCACCCGCCAACGGCCCGGTGTCATTGGACCGAGCGAGTTAAGCGCTCATCGATCACACCGGAACGCACGCAAGAAGCGCCGCGCTCCCAAAGGTCATTGAGACTCAACCGAACTCAAAAACCCCTCCGATCACCACGAGACATCTATAAATCGACCACCCTCTTCCTCTTCTATCTATAGTCTGACGTGATCCGCCGTTGGTTTTTGGCCCCCGTGGTGTTCGGTGGTCGGCCCCCATTGTCGCATCCTGTGAATCCCAGATAGGCGTACCACGGGATTATGCTCGGCCTGCTGTATCGTGGCTTTTTCGGGGCTGCGAGACACAAAGAACGTGGTTTGGGATAGTATTTTTTTGTGAGTCTGCTGGTCTTTGTTCGTTTGTTTAAGACAAAAGAGGTCTCGACCATCCTTGGTCTCGCTAACGGGTATACCAGAAGTCTCGAGGCTGTACAAAGGTGCGACTCATGTAAGGCCCCGCAGTGGGCACAGACTCGTGGCAGGACCCAGCTTTGTGTTCTAAAAACGGGTGTTCGTCCCGGATCGCCCGGCGGGTCTTGGGGTCGAACATGCCCAGGGCCTCTTCAACGATCTTTCCTCCCGCATTGCATGGCTCCAGCACCTCTCGATCGTGGCCAGCGTCCTCGGACCTGACAGAGTCGCTCCCGACGGTAACGATCGCCTTGGTACGGACTCAAACTGTGCATACGACCTGGATCTACTCTAGAGAAGTGGTGACTACCCTGCCTGAGACTTCGTCAACTTCCGACCCTGCCACTGTGCTGTCACGAAGGCCGTTGGAAGATCTCCTTGTTTCTAGCACACCCGGAACATCGCTGCTGTCATTGTGGCACTTGGATGCCCACTCGAGCGCCCACGAAGATCTGCCCGTGCCTTTCGCTGGCTCGAGCACTGCTAGCCTGCGCTCATCATTACCCACTTCGTCCCAGTCAAGTCGCACGATGAGCACTACAACGAATGTCGTGCAAATAGCCACAGCGACCAACACCCCGTCGTATTATCAATCGACCTCGCCATTCGTTGGAATACCATCGAGCACGACTGGGCCCTCGAAAGACTCGCCAGCGCACACTCAAGACCAACACTCGCCGAATGTTGGGGTCATTATCGGAAGCGTCGTTGGCGGCGTGGTCTTTATCGCATTCGCTCTTCTAGCATGCTTCCTGCTCTTTCGTCGCAGACGACGAGCTTCCCTTCAAAGACAGCGCCAGAGCAGTAGGCAGGGACTACTGCGCAGTGGCGGCTCGATAAGCTCGATTCAAGGATACCATCATCGCCAGTATTCGCATCCACTCTTCCCCCTGGAGCGCTCCCATTCCATTCCCACACCACCAGCTTTCTCCGCCTCTCGCCAGTTTTCTAACCCTTTCGAGGACCGCTACACTGTCCCTCCCATGCCGGGGTCGAACCCTGATCTCTCCCTCGACGCGCTCTATCTCCGAGGGGAACCAACTCGCCCCTGGAGCCACTACACTGACGACCCTTTCGAGGACCCTGAAAACAGCTCTGCCTCCCCGCTTATTGAGCTCTCTCCTCCATCACGAACGCTTTCTACTCACTCGCAGTCGTCTTGGGAGGGAGGACTCCAGCTGCTGGAGTATTATGATACTCCCTCTCGGGGTTCTCATTACGACAACTATTACTTCGAGGATAACGCTCTTACTCTCCCGAGCCAAAACAGTCAGGCTCAAAACCGAGGCTTTCTGTTCCCATCCAAGTACCTTGATACACCCATGATGCGGGACAGTGCCCGCAGCGACCCGTTCGATCTGGAGCCGCCTCCAAATGCGGTGCACAGAAGGCCTCCAGTTCCTCTTCCAACGCCCTGGGGAATCAAGTTTTAGAGCTGTGTCCTTCCCGATTATTTTTCTCTTTTCTTACTTTTTCTTGTTTATATTACTTTCCTTTTGGTTCCTCTGCTTCCATCGGGGCCTGCTTTCCACTCTTTTATGCATTGCTTGGTTGTCCTCAACACCAAGGATCACGACGACTCTTAACGCTGATTATGCTTGCACGCCCCCGCCCCCTCAACGACGGTCTCTACTTGTTTTTGATGATATCCCCCCCAACGCGTTCCTTTTCTTCTGATCTGGGGATTCCATTACCACGAATTGATTGATTTGTACGATTGATAGGTTTTCGGCGTTCGTTGATGTTATGGCCGAGACACTCGGCACTGGTGGGCGAATTTGGGTTTTCTGGTTCAAATAATATACTTATTTCTTATTAACTACATTCAAGAGTGCACTGGATTGAATGAACCCCATAGGAGATTTCAAGCGATGCAGCCGCCTCATAGTGTCGAGTCGAGCCAACGTGAGGCGGAGGCATAAATACCCTTAATATAACTGACAACAAAGCTAAGGTACTTTCAGTGCCTAGCTTTATGGTGTATGTTACTATGGAAATCTTCTCTACCAAGCTCTAAGGGGGAAATATTATTATTATTACTCGTCTACATTTGAATCACGTGATAACGATGTACATATGTACGTAGTCAGGTGATCAAGATACTCCCTTACAACCAACCAGCACCCATCACTGACATTATTTTCTTTGCATGATTTCCTAAAAAACGAGCGGTTCCTCTCTGCCTTTAAATCCATGGAAGTCTATTTGCTGTGTCCTGATGACTAGCCAAGCATCAAGCCTCCCACTCCTCCGGGGCTCAATAATATTAGATGAAGCCTTTGAGCAGGAAGAGGATATCCTTCTCGAGATATCCTATCCTGAGTCCCGAATGAATTTCTTTGTGTTTTTGTACAGTCATCGCAACGAAATCGCAGAAATCGTTTTAGATTATTTAGGACTCGGTCAATCCATCTAGTGTCGCATAGGCGAAGTAAGAGAATGGCATGACTATATACTATTAAACTATATTAGGGTTTTTATCAGCTAGAAAATATAGGTATCCCGACTAATATTAGTCGGGATTTGACCTATCCTTTAACTGATTTATATTATCTCGATACTTTGGCCTACCACGACAGCTGTATACGATACTAGCCTAACTCGATGTATGATAAGGAGGACGGACGTTTCCAATTAGCGAACCTTAGCATTATACGATCGATCCTTCCTCACTTTACCGACTGAGAGCTCCGCCAAGGGCCGTTTTTCTTCAGACTCACAGACCTATACCTAAGCAATATCCTCGTCGACTAATAGCACATCAAATATCTAGTCGACCTTAAGTAGGCATACTCGCTTCCATCAGAGACCTTACTCCCACTATAATAGTTGACGGTTCGTTCCATAGACAACATCCTAGGTGAACATCTTAATAAATTTAGCGAAGTATACAACGAACTTATGAGAGTTTTAGAGGAAGAGAGGCGATATCCGCCCCTTTTTGATGTTTGCTCGTATCGAACAAACATTATAAGAAAGGGCTAGACAATCGGAAACTTCTGGTACTTCCAAGCTCTGGATAGCCCTAGGGGGTTATTCGACATTTTCCGTGACCACATCCAACCGAAATTTGCAGAGTCTCAAAGTGCCGATCCATCAGCCTTTTTCAGGATTGTGTCCGAGTACTGGGCTGTGGACACACAAGACATCATAGCGGATAAGTTGAAAGACAAGGAGAGCTACGAAAGAGAACTACGTCGGCATTTTGATAATAGGCCTGCTAGCATATGATACTGAAGCAGAGCAGCATTTCTCATTGAATCCGTGGGAGAACATATGCGTCCTCTATACCCTCCCAGTCATTTGAATGCTTTCGATATCTGTTGACATCAATTCCCCCAGGGTGATAAAACTCTCTAGCATTGTCGTCTAACAGCCAGTGGAACTTGCCGCAGCCGCAGCCTGAGCCTGCTGCTCAGCAGCCGCTCTGGCGGCCTCCTCAGCCTTCTTTCTTTCTTCCTCCGCCCGTCTTTGTCTTCCTTTCTCATTGTCCATGTTGAAATATATGCTGATTGGTCAGTATGATGGACAGATTGTTCTGATTCAGTACTCACTCTCGATGATCAAGCTTACTCTGATCTCTAGGCCAGAAGACTGAACCGGCAAATATGCACCGGGTGAGGAGAAGTTGCTTCTAAACCAGTTAGTGATGACTCTTGATACTGGTCATATACCGGAATCTCACCTGGGCTGGCGTCGAAGGTAAAGTAAAGGTCTTTAACAGGGGTGGGAACGTTGCAACAAAGTTTATAAAGAGAGATTAAATTCTGAGCGAAGTGAGGAAAGAATCCTGCATTTAATAGCTAAGATCATGTAGATCCAAAGGAGGCTCGACGAGCCCCTCATATGCTATGACGTATTATTGTGGTTGCCTAGGGACATCGACTGTGATATCTAGAGTTACGCTGACACGTCACTAATATAGATAGGCTAGTGCTTCAAGTTCGATTAACCTTGAAATCCTCTATTCAATTTAGAAACAGGTTTTTTTTTTCGATGTCATCTAAATATATTGGGATGGGGTGGCTGTAGACTAGCAAATGCAGATGACCTCCAAAAATATATCTTATTATATACCAAAAGGTCGGTAGTTAGATCAAGCTCTATAATACTTTCAGTCTAATCACAATTTAGACCCAAAGTACAGATGTAACATGATCTAGCAATATCAGATATGTCTCACAAAAGACTATCCTGGATTTCGAGGGTTTTCAATATCTACTTAAAAAAAAAAAAAAAAAAAAACTTGCCCTTAGAGATGTGGGTCCGAGATTGCGGCCTATTCCCTCTGCGAATAAAATGTATGGCAGCTACCTAAGAGTCCAACATCCGAGGCAAAGCCACATAGATACAAGAGCGTGCAGTTTGCATACAGGGCCAACAGTGCAGTTAAGGACAGGGGCAAGACGATTCAAGTTGATAGTACAATTAGATAGCATGCCAGCGAGAGCAGGCGGGGAAAATATTGCTTTAAGGGATTTTTTTTTATGTTTGAGAATAAATTTTCCTTTTGCTTTCTCGTTACATATCAACAAGAAAAGCATGAGTATCACATCATCATCGCATCTTCCTACTTTTCCCAATCCCTTTCTCAGACCCAAGCAGCCCAAGCCCCACGCAATCAGAGAACATGGAGAGGGTGTTGGCGAAGTGAAGACCATAGGAAGAGTCGAAAGAAAAAAAAGAGACCGACCAGGATTCGAGCTGGGGGGATCGGATAGGCAGCGTTGAATCCTGGCGCAACCCAGAAGTAACCGTTTCCAACCTCCGCACCGCTGAATTTGCGAGGGGAAAAAACAAGAGTCACACAACGGAAACAGATTTTGATTTCAGATTTACTCCTGAGGCTCATTAAGAGCGTTGCGCTTGGCCTCGACCCGCTCCTGCCGACGCTCACGCATGGCCTTGTTCTTGGCACGCTTAGCATCCATCTCCTCCTTCAGGGCACGCTCACGTTGGCGCTCAGCCTTGGCCTTTTGGATCTGTTGGGAGGAAAAAAGAAGAGTCAGTTTGATCCCACTCATGCTAATTCACGGGTCTTATCCATGTCGAAACTTACGTGCTCAACGAGGGCACGCTTGTGCTTGAAGGTGTTACCCTTGCTCAGGTGGTAGAGCTCGTGGTACAGGTGCTTGTCGATCTTGCCGGCGGCACGGTAGCGGACGAGAAGGCGACGGAGAACGCGCATGCGGCGCATCCAGAGGAGCTGGCTATAAAGAAAGTAAGTTTGTATTCATAAGACTCGACACTTATTTTCAAGCCGATGAAGATGGGCCATCCAGTATGGGGAAAAGACATACCTGGGCATACGAGCGTCCTTGGTACCCTTGCGCTTACCCAGGCCACGGTGACGACCGATCCGACGGGCCTCGTTGAGCTCACGGGCGCGGGCACGCGAGTGCATGGTGACGGGCTTGCGGATGATCAGGCCATCGCTGACGAGCTTGCGGACGGTCTGGCGGGAGTTGGCGTTCGAGATCTCGTTCATCTCATTGGGGTCGAGCCAAATCTTGCGCTTACCGCAGCCGACCACGGAGGCGGCGAGGCGCTTCTGGGTGCGAAGGTTGACCCTGTTGGGGTGGAAAAGGCCTCGGTCAGCATCACGGTCACACTTTTTTTTGGAGGTCTTCCACCAGGTCGAAAATGTCGGTCCAAGAGTCGTCTGGGGGCACAGAGATATTTCGAAAAACAGAGCAGAGGGGTCCCAAGGTATCGAATCAACAGTAGGAGATGGAACTCACATCTTGATGTCGGCGTATCGACGGTCGTTGGCGGATGATGTTCGTTGCACTGGGAAATCCACACGGGGAGAGTTTGAGAGGGCGCGGATTAGCTAAGCTGTGCTGCTAAGCGAGTCGCCCGCCTTAGGGCTACAACCCCCGCACTAGCCCAAATAAGGTAATCACTACTTGAACAACTTCACCGCTTCAATTCACTGGGTCTGTCAAAAGGCCGAGTATGTACTTTCGGAAATGGTGTAAATGCTTGTTAGATTACACCCCCTTATGCTGATAAGGACGGTGTCCTTTCTTTTTGCGCAGAAAATGCAATCCGAAATCACACGAGACAAACCACGTGACCCGACGATTGATTCGCTCCTTACCCTAATAGGTCACATGACCACCCACTTATCAGGTTAGGAAACAGACATCCATGGATGGAATCGACGGATGACCATATCAAGACATATTCCAACTATCAGCAGCCATAAATCATTATGCGAAACCTGATTCGGTTAAAAATAGAACTTCTCACAAGAATATAATCACATCATCATCTCAACATCGAATCATCAACAACTTTTGTACTATTCAAATGATCCAAGGGTATATCTATAGACACGATGCACCTTGGATGCTCAACAAATCATTCAATCATCGCCAAAGCCGTCTTCCCCAAGATCAACTTTGCCAATACTCCACAATTCCTTCTCATCATCCACCTCATCATTGGACAATCCCAATCCACCTTCACCACCTTCGGCTTCCCGACGCTCACGCGCCTGGTTGGCCAGACGGATGGCAATGCGCTTAAAGTAGTCGGACATGCTCCGCTTCGGTCCCGGTGGGAGGGATGCCCCCGGCCCGGCCATGTACTTGTCAAACACCTCGCTGTCGGACTCGACCACGGAGAAGATCGATAAGAATGCAGCCTCTGCCGCCAGCTTGACCGGGATGACCGGGTCACGGACGCTGGCGAAAATGGGTGATGCGAGGAGTGCCAAATGAGGCCGAGTCATTTCCGGGTGAAGACGGCCGACAGTCCGAATGACGACCAAGGTCAACCGTCGGGTGTCACTGGGGCTGCCGGGCTGAATGACAGGTGCCAGTGCCTCGAAAATGGCCTTGTTTGTTTCGAAACCATGGTCTCCATCTTCAGACAGGAGGAACTTTCCAGCAGCAAGGACACTGTTGTCGGACACGAAGGGCTGTTTCACGATTAGTTGGTGGAAATAGCAGGTTTTGTTACAGGCCTCACTCACATCCTTGTTTGCAATGCCCTGGCAGATGATGGAGGGCGTCTCAGAAGCAAAATTCTCCGTGAGGATGCCGGGGCATTCAGTCAAGAGAGCATTGAGACCGAGAACTGACGCATGGGAGAGTTGCCCGGCAAGGACGCGGTTCCTAAAGAGTGAACATGTTAGTTCCATTCGTCTATCATTCTTTCATCCAGAGCAAGATTAAAACATACTTGATTAATGGAACCGCAGTCGCAGGAGGCAAAACCTTGACCAGGGAGGACAACAACCGTGCGTTGGTGATGGCAACAGCGTCTGAAGAGAGGAACTTTTGGTTAATTGCATGCCACCATCAAAGATTTTTTAGTAGGCTTACCAGTCTGGTCGCTTGTACCATCGTCAATCAGACCGAGGATGGCGGTTCTGGATGCCTCACTCATGTTACCACCGGCCTTACCAACGACCTCCTGAAGGGCCTTCATCATGGCATTCTTCACGCCAAAGTCGGTGGTTTTGGATCCGGTGATGAGTTCTAGAATGCATTTTAGCAACCCGCCAACACACTGAAGACAAAGGTCTATCTGGAACTTACCAGCAATGAGCGGATCAACCCTTGGAGTCAAAGTAATCAAGATACCAAGACCCTTAGCAGCTCGGTTACGCAAGGTCTCACTGGAGGAGTCTGCCAGACCACGGGCAAACGTTCGTTGAAGCTGAGGCAAGAACGGCTTCACGGCCAACGGAATCTTGGTCAACAGCTTATTGAGCGTAAAGAAAATGGCACCTGGAAATTTTCGTTAGTAACAAAAAACCTTCAATGGTCGGAGTTCAGAAGACTTGCACTTGATATCGACCGAACGTTCCGACACAACACGAATGAGGGGACCGGTGATCTGGGTGACGAAAGGCTTTAAAGAATCCGAGCCAGTGCGATCGATGATGTCTGCAACCGCAAGAGCTGATTGTGTACGTTGGTCGATGTTGCCATTGAGAAGACCCTGCAAGAAGATCGGGAGAATGGCCATGATTCCCTTTGGCAGACCGAAGCCCGGCAGATCTGCGCCAGGTACGCCCACTTGCCGCAGAATCTGTCGGGTGGGAATGGCCAATACCTCCATCTCTTCCTTGCGCATGTGGGAGGTCAAGCCACTGAGAGCAGTCCATGCTGCCTTCACAACCCCCTTGTCTCGGTCGTCGAACGAAATCAGCAGCACCCGGATCAAGTCCTGGTGGTATCGTGAGAAGTCCACGTCCGCATCCGCGAAGAACTTGGTAAGATGGAGAGCAGCCTGGGCGCGGCGGCGGTGGTCGTCATGCTTGACGAGAGAGATCATCACATTCATGGCCACGTTCAGGCCATCATACTCATCCACTGAAACCAACACGGTATCGAAGGAGTTGCTGAGCTCTAATCGAAGGTCGTCGTCGGTAGTCTCGATAATACCATCCATGAGAGAGTTGAGGATATTCGGCAGTCTCCTTGTCATCGCCGTGCCGGCAACCTCGGCCAGAGAGGCCAGAGCCTTGGCGTTGAAGGCAGAAATGGGCGGGGTGAGCAGCGTGGGAATGAGATTCGGAAGGATGATGTTCGCCCGAGTCTGCTCGGTGAGCAGGGTTAACAGGGCAGACAACGCCTGCTCGGCATCGTCGTCATTCCTCAACAGGTGGAGAAGATAAGGCAGGACTTGATCCACGGCCTTCTTGCCCAGGATCTGTTGTAATGCGTCGAAGGCTTCGGCGGCCGCTTCACGCACATCCTCATCACTATCGACCAGAGCCACCCGCACGGTGGCAATAAGAACACTCTCGTAGTCCTCCAGAGCGTCGGGGGACGCAGAAGTGATGAGCTCCCGGAGAGCAATACAGATCCCCTGTTTGACGTCCACATCGGGAGAGGTTTGGAGACCATCCTCAAGCAAAGGCAGCAATGTGGACAGGACCGATTCCCCAGCCTTCTTGATGAGGTCTCCAAGGGCATTGCTGGCAATAACCTTTTGTTCCATGTTCGATGATCCGAGGCGGCGGATAATGAGCTGGGAAAGCGTAGGCAGCATGTCCTTCAGTGTTCTCGGGGAGGCGACAAGCGCTTTCCACACACCCATAGCTGCACTCTTGACCATACCCGAGGTATCGCAGCGGCAGATGAACAAGGCCGAAAGAACCTTGTCTCTGCGCTCTTCTCCAAGGACCTCGAGCAAGGACTGGCCAGCCTGGGTCGCTTCCTCCTCCTCTTCTTCGCCCTCTGACTTGCCTGTGATACCAGTAAGGCTAAACAGAAGGTCACCAACCAGCTCCACAGAGCTCAAACGGATACGATAGCTGTCATCAGCCAGACCACGCTCCAGTTCTGGAAGCAGGAGGTCGATGGCCTTGGTTGCGAAGTTCTTGACGAGCAGGCGACCGGCGCGGAGAGAGGTTTCCCGAATGGACTCAATGTCATCGGCCAACCCAGCAAGAATTGGCGGAATAATTTTGCTCAAATAGTTGGCGAAGCTGTTACCGAAGCAAGCAGGCAAGAAGATGAAGAGGGTCATGAAGCCCTCGCGAACAGCGGCCTTAGCACTGGAGACGTTCTGCAGAATGGTAGGCAACGTCTCCTCGAGTCTTGCCGTACCCAAGCCTGCAAGCACCTCAGAAAGAGCCTGGGCAGATCCCAGCCGGTCCCCGGCACCAGTATCGGACTTGAGAGTAGACATGAGATTGGGAATAAGATCGGGAAGGGCATCCTCTCCAAGTTTCTCGATGAGCGAACCAAGAGCCTTGGAAGCAGTCGCCCGTGTAGTGGGAACTGGATCGACGATAGCCAAATTGAGACCGGCCACAATGATAGGCAAGTGCGAGATGAGGTCCTTGCGTTCTGTAAGGTGGGCCAAGCTGCCAATGATTTGAGCCGACTTTCGCTTGGTATTAGATCGGTCTCCAAGGCCACGTTCGAGAATGCGCACGACAAGAGCCAACGACGGGGCATCGAGATAGTGCACGAATGAAACCTTGATCAGGGAATCTAACGCCTCATCCGTGTGCTTAGTCGGATCACTCAGGGCCTTCAGAAGCACCCCGACCAAGCTCTTGATCTCAGGGTTACTGATGACCTCTCCGAAGCGCTGGAGACTACGGTTTGCCGCGTTACGAACCTCCTTATGCGTGTCATTGAGAACGACCGTTAGAGGAGGAATGATATCGGGCAGGCTGGCCGCGAGTTGTTGTGGGTCAAGGTAGGCCATGGCCCCTAGAAGATCACACGCTCCCTTCTGACTTCGCCATTGCGTATCGTCCAAGCCGTCGAGAAGAGTAGGAAGAATCTGCTTCACACCGTAGGAGCTCAGATTTTGGAAGCAAGCCTTCGAGGCATCAAGGCAAGCATCACGGACATCAATACTTGGATCACCGAAGCCTCCCAGCAGCTGTGGAACAATCTGAATCACGTAAGGCTCGAAAGTTCGACCGAGGACGGTTGCAAAAAGCTCGAAGGCCAACAAAGCGCCTTGTCGTTGATGCGGTTCCTTCTTGTTTTCGGTAGCCTCTTTGAGCAGGCTCATAATTCGGAACTCACGCAATGTTGCAATACCTTTGCCGCTCACGATTCCGGCGAGACCGTACGCAGCACCGCGCTGGGTGGCATAGCTCTTGGTGTTAAGAAGTTGGTCCAGCAATTCCTGAACATAGGCTGCCGTCTTCGGACCAGACAACCTGATCAAAGGTGGCAGACAGTCGGAGGCGGCGGATTGCACACTTTCCGAGGGGGTGGGTAGGGTCGCGAGAAGCTTCTTTATGACTGTTTGCAAGCGAGGATCATCGGCCTTTAGGTGTCTTGCTAGAGATCCATACAACACAACGACAGCCTCATTCAGTAAGTCGGAGCTTTGAGTCGCTTTGTCCGAGGTCTCTAGTGTTGCTTCCAGAAGCTTCATCAGCTCCTCGACCTTTTTCTGGCCTCGCAGGGCAATAACAGATTTTCCACTTTCTGCCATTTGAGCCCGGACTGAAGAGTTTCTGTCGACTAGGGGTCCTCTCTCGATCAAGAATTGCAGGAAGGAAATGATCTGTTCGCCATTAAATTGGTTTGTCATCGCATTGAAGGCCAGTGCGATACCACTGCGGCTTTCCCAATGGTCTGTTGAATCCATCTTCTTGGGCATCCCATAAGCGTCCTTTTCGGGGGCCTTAAGCTTGACTTCCTCGGCATATTTCGATTGCAGATCCGACAGAATACCAGGGAACCTGTCCTGGTCAAACTCAATTGCATGAGACAATGCACGGGCAGCAGCACCCCGGAGCTGAGAGTCTTGAGAATCCAGATATTTCATGATCTTGGCGAAGGAGGTGTCGTCCACTTCCAAGGCATTCTCTTCCCAAATTGTCTCGGCAACTTCAGCATTCTCCTCCACATTATCATGGCAGCCAAGCCAGATATGTTCAGAGAAGTCGAGGTCGGTCAGATCGATTTCAGCCTCGATCACCTGGAGGACGGATGTTCTAACAGAGGCATCGGGAACAATGGTACCCTGCAGGAGGGTCTCCAGCTCCTTCATGTTGATATTAGGAGAGATGCACCGACAGAAGTTAAACAAGGTATCCTTAATCAGCTTGTAGTGCTGTGTGTACCTTTGCATGGCGAAAAGAAGCTGCCGCAGAACTTCAACGCGAGGGAGGCGTTCATCGGAGACTGAAAGGGAAATGAGCAACAATTTCGTTAAAGAGACAATCATGTAACCTACAAGAGTTACTATGGAACGAAAGGACTTCAAGAGCCAGCATGACCTGCTCGCCTTCTTCCTCTCCCTTCACCTCCTCAATACCGTTTTGGCTCAAGATGAGAAATAGCATGGGAAGAAAGTAGGCCAGAGACGCGACATCAAGAGGACGTTGCTCCGATGCAAAGCGAAGCCGGTAAAGGATCTTTGTCACAAGCTCCCCAAGATGCTCTGCTTCTGTAGCGGGGGAGAGATTCGTTTTACCAATCGCGCGCAGAGTTGCAATGCCCACAAAGGGGCGAAGGTTCCCCAAGCGCGAGGAAAGCTCGCTGGCACAGACAACAAATGTCTGAGACACGACATCACCGACAAAAAGACCCGCGCCAGCGCGAGCAAGAGCTAACAGGCAGTCAACAGCAGTGTTGATCCAGCCTTCGGCATCGTCGGCAGGGCCAGTTGCAAGGCCCCGGATGAGACCGGCTCCTCTTTCAATTCGTTTCACTTCATGCAGCACCTCTTCCCGGATATTTGCCTCTTTTTTAAGCTGCGCGTTGACCTTAGATTGCTCCTCAGCTGTGAGCTTCTTCTGCTTCTGCCCCTTCTTCTCGGCCAGCTGAGCCCTGAGCTCCTCTTCCCATTTCAAAGTATCGTAATCCTTGGTGTTCTTGTCAAAAGCAGGCTGCTTTAATTTATTGCTCAGAGGATCAACAAAAGCAGTTCCTTCGGGAGTACGGGCAATAGCGGCATCAGTGGCAGTGAATTTGGAGAGACGACTGGAGTCCAGGTCATTCTTAATTTGATTGACGAGAAGCGGGATCATCGCATCGGGCGCCACGAATGCCAGATCAGCTGCAGCACTCCAAACGGCGAGGTTGACATGTGGTACCGCTGACTGAATGGGATCCTGTTTTTAGGTTAGTTTAGAAACCTCCTGCAACTTAGTTATAGCGGATGACCTACTGCATCGACGCGAACAAGTGACTCTATACATTCATCAGAATGCAGACGCACGAGGTCACCGGGATCCGTGCCCGTCCTCAAGCACAAGGCGATCCAAGAGGCATTTGGAATCAACTCTGGCCGACTAAGTACCAGAAGATTGATCAGCTGAATCTTGAGCTCGGGAGAGCTTTGGGACCCGTTCTTATTAGTTGTGGATGGACAGAGAGATCTCAAGACCAGGTGAAGTAGGCGTTCACTTCCAGGACCTGCAGAAACAGCGGCAGACTCTTTCTCCCCCGTGCGGAAAGCCATGATCCAAGCCCACAGAGCATTGATGATTACTGGTCCAATGGACGTCACATCAGTTTCATAAACTTGAGACAATGTTTGCACAGCATTTTCTCGGAAGTTCGTTGGCATCGCGGGTGCGGTAATAGCGTAAATGAATGACTGGGCCCAAGCAGTTTTGGATGCATCTTCAAAGCTGACGAACTTTGGGCTAGAGGCAACACCCGCCAGAGACCTCACAAGCCATTGCATCTCGAATCGGGAACCCAGCTTCGAGTAAGCTCTAGGGTTCAGGAGGAAAGAGGGCTTCGGATTGAGTGTCATTGATTGGACGACCTTCTCTTCCCAGGTTGACTTGTCTGATCCTTGGATGTCAGAAACCCGCTGGAAGAGTGCCAGGAAGATATAAGCCGATGACAAAGCGCCGCTTTGCGCCGAGGGCAATGGGTTGGAGGCAACTTCGTTGAACAGGTCCTTCATCTTAGCAAGGAATTTGGCGACAAGCGGTTCAATCTCGGGGCTCTTCAAGGCTATCACATCGGACTTCCAGAGTACTTCTCCCACGTTAAGCTGCCAACTCTTTCTAAATGAAACTCGCTTGTCGGAGATGCCCTTAACAATAGTGTTCACCACATCATCACTGACCTTGACAGTGGATTGGACAAGGAAAGCAAGATGTTTGCCGAAAGCTTTAATCTGCTCCTCGAGAGCGGCTTCGTTCGACTCGCGCGAGAAGGCGGGCCCGAATCCCTGAACAATCTCTTTTGAGACATCGACCGACGGTGATACCGCCGACAGCGCCTGGGCATACGCAACACGGTGCTCGGGGGTAGAGATTTTCTGGGTCTTCAGAGGACCAATGATTTCACCAGTGATCTTCAAGACCGCGGGCTCGGCTTTGCACCGTGCAAGCAAAGACCCGAACGACTCAGCAGCCCCCTGCCGAATTGCCGGGTTATTTGACTTCATGCTAGCCAAAAGATGCTTTAAGAGCCGAGTTTGCACCAGCTCAGAAAGATCGATTTCTGTTGGTAAAGCGGCACAGAGAGGGGAGATGACGCCGGTCAGGACCACTTCCGGTGCCCTCAGTATGGATTTCTCCATCGGAGGGACCAAGTCGTTGGCCACATCCTCGAGGGTGACAAAGGTAGCGAAGAAATCTGACAGTCCATTGGCGATGTGCGAGGGCACCACAGATTTTGAGCTCACAATCTCTCTCGTGTAAAACTCCAAAATGATCTTCTTGGATTCCTCAAGGATGGATTTCCGGGCCGAAATTCGTGCGCATACTCCGCAGATGACGCCGAGAAGCAACGCATTCTTGGATCCTGCGGTCGAATCGGCAGTCAATCGGCTGACAGACTGGCGGATGGCATCTTCACCCAATTTCTCAGACGAGAACACCGCCCGCAGGGCACGTCTGGTGACCCGAAGAGCCGACTGTTTTACTGCTGGCTTTGGTGTTTGCGCAAAGCAGTTTTCCAAGGCCTTGGCATCCACGGCGATCAAGTCGAGCACAACGGCCAAAGGCGTGTCCGGATCTTGGCTGACCTGCTGCAAAAGGATGCAACACCATTCCAACAGTACGAACGCAGACGCGGGTGCCAATACGGGCTTGGTCGCCTCCTTTTGTAGTGTCTGGGTGAGGTATTTCAGGTGTTCGGTCGCATTCGAGGTTCGGAGAAGGGAGCGGAGACATTGCTGGACCGCCTGTCGCGACGATCGGTCGACGTAGCGAGGATATGTTTGAAAGAGCAGTTCTAGGATGTCATGGTGAAATTCTGGGGGTAAATCAGATACTATGACAAGAATTGAGTGTCAGTGAATGTCCATGTGTGGTTCACATCGTGCGAGAATCAAATTACCATTTTTGTCGCGAAGTTCTTGCAGGGCCCGGAGCCTGCGAGCGGTCGAACTTGAGAAAAGAATGACCCGCAAGGCATCCAGATCCCCGGCCTTGACCTGGTCCCATGGAAGTGAATCCATGATCGGAGGTCAATACGGGGGGAATTGGGGGAGTGGAAGGGTGTGGTGAGAGTGAGGGAATGTGGTGGAAGTGGGCTGAGATCGAATGTTGTCATAAGAGTTTTGTGTGTGGGGAGAGCTGGATCCATCCCGCCATTCAACATGTCCGGTTCTTTCTTCTTTCCTCTCTGCTTTACATCCTTTCTCTCTTTCTCTCTCTGTAAGTACTCGAGAAATGGCTGCAATTTCTGAACTCTCCGTTTTAACGTCGAATCCGCCAGACCCCTCGTGCTAGAATGCCGCCGAACAACAGGAAAAAGAAGAAGCCCACCGCCAATCCAGCACGAGGATTTGCAACAGTCTCCGTTCCGTCGAAACCGAAACCGGAGGGTACAGAAACGCCTTCTTCGACTACTGAGGAACCGAAAGCCACACAAGAGAGCGAGCAGCAAACCCCGCGCGCTGAAGACCATCGCGCCGATGCGGGCGCCCCGGACACGGCGCCCTCATTGCAGAACTACTCGCCGGAGGAGCTCGAGCAACATCTCGAGGAAGCAGAGCTACAGATTCTTGTCGATAAATATGCGGCAAAATGCAAGAGTGACGCGACCCGCCAGGCCGCAAAGTTAGACACTGAGCGGCGGGTCTTCCGACAACAGTCGGTGTCATTGAGTCTCCTCGAGTGGCTCCCGACCGAGGTACAAGACAGAATACTCGCATTGGCGGGTGCGGAAGAACACGAATATTTTACATCGGGTGCACGAACTGCCAGCGCAAAACAGGCTGGCTCCGAAGAGGAATTGTATACGAAACTTTGGGCGCTGAAGGAGGTGCTCTTGAAGCTTGAATTCCCGGCCAACCGTGTTGAAGAGGCCCTTAAACATGCTTTGCACTACTTTGCGGACAACTCGAACAGTATCAGTCGGGATATGGTGTGGAATCTGGAGGAATCACTGGAATGGCTGGCGATGCACAGCGACAAGAAAGAACTGCCTCCATATACACAGACAAATGCTCGGCCGCAGAAGGGCGCAGATACAGTTACCTCCTGGATGACCGGTAAATCTTCAAAGGCAAGTTTTCGCGTGAGCGAAATGCTGACCCCCAGCAGACTCGGAGCCGTCACGGTCCATGACCCCCAATGTTTCGCAGAATGAAAGTAAACAGGGAAAGGCGAAGGCAGATTGGAAATCATCCAAAGTCGCACCTCCTGTCACTTATGAATCGGACAGCTCAATCGACCCGGACACCATGGTCCCCGAATGGCTGGAGCTGCAGACTCGACTTTATGGCCTTGAACCGGACCTATTCGATCGTCCCGGGAAAGGGAAAAAAGCCGTGGAAATGCACATCCTCAATCGGACAACCCGGAGGCTGCCAAAGTGCAGCGCAAGATTGCTAAAATCGAGCGTGATGTGCTCTTTGAGCGGCAAGAAGCGGAATACATTTGGAAAGACAAGCTTGACGAGCTGCGGAAAGACGCCACATTTCTCCGGCGACCTGTCGAGAGAAAGAAGCAAGATCCACATCCGACCAAACAAGAGGACCCTAAAGAAGCTGACTCGGCTCTCATGCCGATGGATGAAGTCGACGAGAATGCCGGACTTCTTGGCGATATGTTCGAAGCTGAACCCGAAGACCCAGGATCAATCCTGGGAATTCCCCCTCCAGTGGTTCAACCTGCAATTACGATGCGTGACTTTGGAAAATGGGCTGGTCTGAGCCCACGGCGAGTCTTAGAAGAGACCTGCAAAGCAAGAGACTCATCTTGCGCGGTTGTCTACCAAGACTTCTCGTCCTCGAGTCACACAAACAGAAAGGCCGTTGAGGTGCGGTGGTCGAAGCCCCAAGAAGTTCCATTTGCTTTGTCAGTGGAGTCACTGACGCATAAGTCAAATGCCTTTGCGACATTCGTTTCAATGGATGCCCTTGCGACGCCCAATCCCCAACAGGCCGAGGGATATGTGTCGACTCTTGCCCTGTTTATCCTGTTCCCACAGAATTCCAAGGAGGGCAAATCATACTTGCGGTTACCGGCGGTTTGGAGGGAGCTTTGGACCGAGCTTACAACTCTCAAGAAAGCACAAGAGGACACGGTTGACAAAGCTACAGTCAAGGATCTCAAACGCCTGGTCCAGGAAAACCAAGGCACATTTGAAGATGATATTGTCCTGTTGGATAATTTCAAAAAACGCAACGGAGTCGGTAGCAAGCCAGGAAGTCCCATGAAAGGGCTCGTGCGAGAAAGCCACTTCGACACTGACGAGCAACTGAGGCAAGCGTGGGCGGCGAAGTCATCAAGCCCATCTTTTCAACGCATGATGACAGGCCGAATGAACCTGCCGATCTGGAACTTCAAGGACGAGATTCTTAATACGCTGGATACTCACCAAGCTCTGATCATTTGCAGTGAGACAGGAAGCGGAAAGAGTACGCAGATCCCTTCCTATATCCTCGAGCATGAGATGATTCAGGGTCGGCGTTGCAAGGTCTATGTGACAGAGCCGCGCCGTATCTCTGCAATCTCTCTGGCAAGACGAGTCAGTGAAGAATTAGGCGAAAGCAAGAACGATGTGGGCACTATGCGCTCTCTCGTCGGCTTTGCAGTGAGGCTTGAAAGCAAGATCAGCCAATCCACGCGGCTAGTATATGCGTACGCCTCTACCTTGCCTTGACTTCCATTACCTCCCAAATAACTAACTTCCTGCAGAACAACTGGTGTCGTTGTGCGCATGCTCGAACGGCCCGATGACTTTCAAGACATCACTCACGTTGTTCTTGACGAAGTCCACGAGCGTACCATTGACAGTGATTTCCTCCTTGTCGTGCTTCGCAGACTCATGCATAAACGGCCTGATTTGAAGCTTATCCTCATGTCTGCGACTCTTGAGGCACAGCGCTTTTCCACGTACCTTGGAGGCGTGCCGGTCCTAAATATTCCAGGTCGCACGTTCCCCGTGGAAATGAAATACCTCGAGGATGCGGTCGAAATGACGAACTATCGTCTCTCCGAGGACGAGTCATTCACCGCGCTCGATGAGGACATGGATGAGCCACCCACTGATGCTGCTGTCGGTGACAACGCGGGAAGTCTTCAGGCTACGCTGGATGGATATTCTAAGCAAACCAGAGAAACGGTGCTCAAATTCGACGAGTACCGGATGGACTACCAGCTCATCAAGAAATTGCTACTCAAGATCGCTTCGGCTCCCGACATGGTTCACTACAGCAAGGCCATCTTGGTCTTTATGCCTGGGTTGGCGGAGATTCGTCGACTGAATGACGAAATCCTTTCAGAACCACAATTCCAAAGGGGCTGGATTGTGCATGCGCTTCACTCTTCGATCGCCAGTGAAGACCAAGAGAAGGCATTTGTTGTACCTCCCGAAGGCACAAGGAAGATTGTGATTGCTACCAATATCGCAGAAACTGGTGAGGTTTTGAGGCCGAGAGTTCCGCCGAGATTTTCCAATATCGCTAAGTTGTCAATAGGTATCACAATTCCTGATATTACTGCTGTGGTTGATGCAGGAAAAGAGAAAATGATGCGGTAAGTTCATCATTGTCATCATTGTAGCTGTTTATACTTACAATCCCCAGGTTCGACGAGAGGCGGCAGCTCTCCAGACTTGTTGAGTCCTTTATCTCACGTGCCAATGCCAAACAGCGGCGTGGCCGAGCTGGACGTGTTCAAAATGGCATCTGCTTCCACCTCTTCACCAAATATCGACATGACAAGGTGGTGAGTATATTGATCTGGCCTTGAAAATAGAATAGTTACTAACAAAACTTAGCTTGCGGAGCAACAAACACCAGAAATGCTCCGGCTCTCCTTACAGGATTTGGTGTTGCGCGTCAAAATCTGCAAGTTGGGCGAGGTAGAGCAAACGCTACTTGAAGCCTTAGACCCGCCTTCCTCCAAAAACATCCGACGCGCTATTGATGCTCTGAAGGAGGTCAAAGCCCTGACAAGTAATGAAAGTCTGACATCCCTTGGAGTTCAGCTGGCCAAACTACCACTGGATGTCTTCCTGGGAAAGCTGATCATCCACGGGGCCTTTTTCCGGTGCTTGGATGCGGCTGTCAGTATCGCCGCCATCCTATCTTCCAAGTCACCTTTCGTGAACACAATGGGCTCCAACTCTCAGCGTGATGCCGCACGCATGTCCTTCCAAAGAGGTATCACTTTCCATTGCCTCCTTATCCCGATAATTGCTGACACATCCAGGGGACTCGGACCTTTTAACCGTGTACAATGCCTACTGTGGCTGGAGGCGCACAAGAAGTACGCCTGGGTCAAACGAGTACTCATTCTGTCGGAAGAACTTCCTCAACCCGCAGACGTTACTGGGCATCGAGGACGTCAAGATGCAGCTAGTTGTGTCCATTGTCGATTCCGGCATGGTGAATCTGGATGCCTCCCAGAGAGCGGCTCTCAATCGGTGAGTAACAGACCTTATTAACTCATAGATGATGATGGGTGGCACCTATTAATACTTGTTAAATCTACAGAGCGCGTTCCAGCGGGAGACAACGCCAATTCTTCATGATCCCAGAAGACTATGACCTCAACAGCGACAATGATACGGTGATTAATTCGGTCGTCGCCTGGAGTTTCTACCCGAAGCTTCTGACGCGTGAAGGCCGAGGCTGGCGTAATGTTGGGAACAACCAGTCGGTTACATTGCACCCGACGTCCGTCAACAAGCAAGCAGACTCGGCCATCAAATGGATCTCGTACTACCACATCATGCAAGCCCGCAACCGAAACTTGAACGCACATGAGACCAGCGCAGTGGACGACTTCGCAGTCGCCCTACTATGTGGCGACGCCGAGTTCAAGGTAAGCCTTTTTTTTTTTCTGCTTTGTTTGAAACCTCACTGTTTTGAGTCATGGCTTTTGATTTTCCTGTCAGCTAAATCCCTGCCACAGATGTACTCTGGTGTAATCTCCATCGATGCCAACCGGGTCCGATTTGCCGTGCGAGACTGGAAATCCATGCTCGCTCTGAAAACCCTCAGTGGCCGTCTTCGAGATATTTTGTCCAACACATTCCGCAATCCACATCGCCCATTGTCATACAAACAGCAGCAGTGGCTTGAGATCTGGCAGCAAATATTTGCTCAGGCAGGCAAGCGCTAAGTCTTTGGGGGCTTGGATTCTTTGTATTTACGTCACTTTTCATGTCTTTGTCCTGGGTTATGGATCATGATAGACTGGGTTGATAGAGGTTAGGCGATAGAGCAAACAAAATATCCACAGCAAACATTCGCCTGTGATATTTAAATCATCTCCACCTGCTCATTTCTTCTCCTTTCTCATTCTCTCTCCATCCCCATTTCCCCCCCTTTCCCTCATTGCCATCCTCCTCATCCATCCTCTCATCCCCATCCTCATATCATCATCATCCACATCTCCCACCTTGATTTTGATGGCAAGACCAGACACGATCAGGGTAAATATAGCAGCGCCCTCGACCTTATGCAAACTGCGGCCTTCGATGCGCTAACCCTTGGCCGTTCCCCAAAAAAAGCTGCTGTTCGCGGCAAATTGACATTTATGTCGCTCAAAACATTCACGAGGCATATATACCTTCCTTTCCTACCACCTTATGAACGCGCACGGGAGTCCATCATGGCCTCAGTACGGCTGTCGCTTTAAAGAGGTTCAAATAACCTGACTTCCAATCGAATCTATATAACCTACAAGTGGCTTGTCCATTCAACCTTCTACATGCTCCCAGCCATCGTCTCTTGAAGTCTTCTCAGCCACTGAATATACCCGGGGAAGGACAGTACCTATATGAGTCTGCCATGATGAAAGTCAACGAAGGAATACTGCACCGTCCATGCCCACTCACCGACATGTCGGAATCCGCAACAACATTGGACACAGTATATATATCTAACGCCAAGAAAAAGAAAACATGTTTCTGTTGGTGAAGACAGCTCGCTGTCCTATCCACAATGCCCACCTAGGCTGTTGGGGCCTAAACTTCTTGGGTCACTCACTGGCCCAAAGTCTGATTCGAGAGAGCTGATGCCAAGAACGAGCTATGGTAGGCATTCATCATTGTCGTTTCGATTATGTTTCTTTTCGGGAGTCGTTGCTAGTAGACCCGACTCGTGAATGTCATTTCAATCCCCACTCTGATGCTGCCTTGCCACTGAGACATCGTCGTTCTGGCCGTTTGTCGCACCGGCCGGCGTGTTCCACTACCCTTTCGCCCGCGTTCCTCTGGTGCACTAAGTGCTTTCAGACCAAGGTCAAGGCGTATGATTCAAACTCACCCTTCTCCTCGTTGAATGTGAGCTGGATGCGGCGCCTTGTTTTTATACTGATATTTCTAGGTTGTGGAAGGGCATGGTCGGGGACGCCTACGATTTGCAGTTGATCCTTAACTGGATGAACGAATTTTTCCTGAAGCCCCTGGCCAAGGGTACTCTCGCTGAGGATAAAGCATGGGCAAAGCATCGTTCAGCGGACACACGAGCTCTCATTGCTAACCAAATGAGACCAGGATCATAGACCAGCTCAATATGTCTCTTTTCAAGGTCAACGCAGGAGATCTCACTCCAACCCGAGCCTGATGTGCAAAAGTCAAGACGCTGGCTACTATGCTTGCAAGAGAAGGAAGAAGAAGGAGCAATTCCGATCTATACCATTTCTCGTCTCTGCTGCCTGACGCAGCTGCCAAGGAGTGCAACTCTGTGTGTTGGGACAGGTCCAGAAAGAGTCGCCAGTCTCTTTCTCTCTTTCTGTCTGTCTTCTGTCACTGGTCAATGATGGACTGCGTGTGGTGATTTGTGTCTCTTGTCACATCGATCATCATCGCCTTGGGACTCTTTCTCTCCCTGTGTGTGTGAAGCCATTATGAACGACTCTATTTGTGTCATGGAGACAAGATCCATGAGTGATTCCAATCGACCTTGCCTCACATCTAGATGGCAGACTCACCCCGGCGCTCTCCTACTCTCTCAACTACTGCATCTTGATACCGAGATGTGGCTAGGCTAGGAGCTGAGAGTGACTCTCTGTCGTTCTTGCAAATGCAGAGTCCAACCTTGATGAGGTTGCTTTCTGGTTTCTGGTTTCTGCTTCTGGTTGGGTATGTGCTGGATGAAGGTAAAAAGACTAGGCGGGAATTGGTTGCTCATTTTTGTTCCTGACAGGACATCGGTTCGACTCGGCAAGCATTGAATTGTCTATATGCTTGAGGAAATGAGTAAGTGTCCCATGATTCTATCGTCCGTTGGATCGACCCGAGACGAGACGTCGATTCTCCCATCTATTCTCACAATGATCAAGCTTCTCTGCGAGGGTATGCAAGCCTTTTGCCACGGCTGATAGATGCCAGTAGCTGGCTTGATTGTGTGGAGGCACCGGGTAGAAAGTCAAGTGCAACAACTATATGAGAGACAATAGAAAAAGAAAAGAACACTACAAACACTCCAAGACGGAATCAAAAGAACTAATAGAATAGAGTTAAATAAAAACTCACACCTTACCAGCCTCAGCTTCAGCCCTCGCCTCAGCATCCCTCCGCCCCCGAATCTCCCTCTGCAAGACCTTCGCCTTCCGCACCCCAAACCCACTCTCATAGACCTCGCGCACCGCCTCCAGCGGCATATTATGCACCTCGGCATAACACCCCAGGACAAAAACCCAGCCGATAAAACAAATCCCCGCATAGAACCCGAACGTGCCGCTGGGAGTCATGGTCTTCATCATGGACAGAAACGTCGACGAGATAATCAAGTTGCAGCCCCAGCACACGACCGAGTTGATCATCGTGCCCAGTGCGCGCACTTCCAGGGGCAGGAGCTCAGTCCCGACCCAGGCGACGGGGGCGACGCCGGCGGCGAAGAAGGCGACGTAGGTGATTATCATGACGAGGAGTAGGATCGTTGCCCAGGTAGTTTCGCCGCTGCTGGAAGAAGATGAGGTGATGGTTGAGAGGTTGTTTACGGGAATCCAGTGGAAGGCGATTGCGGTGACGACTAGGGAGAGGGACTGTTTATCAAAGTTAGATTGTGTCGTTTTTGAATCAGTACCCAAGTTACTTCTAGATGGTTTACTTGCCATGCCCAGCATCGTGATGACTAGCACTACGCGTCGCCCGACCCGGTCGATCACAGCAAAGTTGAAGAACCCGAAGATGAAGTTCGTGCCGCCCACCACGATGGAAACTGATGTCGGCTGGTTGAAGCCCACCATCGAGAAGAGGGTGGATGAGTAGTACATGAGGGTGTTGAAGCCGCCGAGTTGGGAGACTGAGTAGTGAGAAGGAACATAAGACACATATAAAATATGAAGGGAAGAGGAGACATACTAGCCATAACCATACAAGCAGTAACCAAAGCCCTCAGGTTAGCCGGCACACAAAGCAGCTGTTTAATCTGCCACCCCAAGCTCCGCTCGGAGATCGACGACGCCGCCTGCTCAATAAGGCGGATCTTCCCCGCAACCTGAGCATCAGTAGCGCGTGGGAAGATACGGCGCAACGCAGCATCAGCCTCCGACACCCGCCCATGCGCGATAAGCTGGCGCGGCGACTCCGGACACTTGGGCAAAAACGCCGCGAGTGCCAGCGCCGGCACGGCACCGATAGCAACCATCCAACGCCAGCCTGCAGCAACATGTGTGAAGCCGGCGCCGAGCGCATACGAAACGAGCTGGCCAAAGGCTACGCACAGGTTATCGAAAACGATCATGCGGCCGCGGAAGCGCGCGGGCGCCATCTCGCCGATGTACAGCGGGACGATCATCGCCGCGCTGCCGACGCCCAGCCCGACGACGAACCGGCCTACTGTCATCTGGGCCAGCGAGAAGGCTGCGGCTTGGACGACGGCGCCGACGACGAAGAGCACGCAGCCGAGGTAGATACCAAGTTTGCGGCCGTATTTGTCGGAGGAGAGGCCGGCGAGCACGGCGCCAATTAGGGGCGCCGCCGGATGTGATGGCTGTGACGAGTTCTTGTTCATTGGAGCTGAGGGGGGAGCCGAGGTCTGTGCCTAGGTTGACTAGGACGGCGGAGATGACTCCTGTGTCGTAGCCTAATTATTACACGACAAAATGAGTACGAGGTACAAGAAAGGTGGGTGAGTATGGATGAATACCGAACAGGAACCCTCCCATCGACACCGTGCAAGCAATCAGCCACACGGCTACCCCCGGGTCTGTTTTCTCAATAGAGTCGTCCAGCTCCAGGGCGGAGAGTTCCTCATGGACGACATCGGCCTTGTCCTCGTCTTTATCGAGAGACGATCGATTGGCGTTGGCGTCCATAGTAAGATGAGGGTGATCTGGTTGCAGAAAATGTCAAGTAGAGAAAAGATCAATGGACAACAGCTTCGTCTGGTATAGTCAACAAGAAAAGAAACACAAACTCAAGACAGACCAAATCCGTTGTTTTTATAGACTCAGGATTCTACCCCCCCCCCCTCCTTATTAAATGCCATGCCCCGTCCGCCGAGAGTATGAGATGACGATAACCGGTCTCAGCATGCCATGCGGGGTCCCCGGATTCACCCCGGACTGGCGCGATGAAGTGACCAATTCAAGGACGGCGAGTGGACAGAAGTGTGTTTGTGTGGAGTGTGTGGGGGAGTGTAAGCCCCCATGGATAAACTCTCACAGTTAGGAATTGGAACAGGGTACGGTTATTGAAGCAGACGTATACCATGACTCCATTGCCGAAATGTAGGCATCGTAACTGGCTGCAACACAACTGTAGATAGGGCAAGGTCCACCAGAGAAGAAAGATTCCCCGCGTGCCAGGCAGATCACCGGGGAATGCGACTGTGTTTGGCACTTTGCGGGGGATTGGCAGGCAATGGGGTAGTATTCCCCGCGATGGAAAAAAGACAGTAAACACGCAGAATGCCAGGGGTTTGAAACTAAGTTTCTATCGGGGAAAGCTCATTCAAGGGCAAAGCGCGAGTTCATGGCCGTTCATTATCATATCATCTCTCTAAAAGAGGGGGAAAAGCCCAAGCCCGAATGCTGGGGAAACAAGAAAACAGCCCTTTTGAAAAGAAAAATTCAAAACCAGACAAAATCAAGACAGAACCAGAGCGATGTAGATCGATCGCACACAAAGAAAATTCGTTCATAAGAAATTCGTCACATCATAGTCGTCAAGGCCGGTCACACTCCCCTATGCAAAATTGCAGAACTACCCTCGAAAGGTCTCACAACCCGAGATCCCGGAAGAAAACAAAGCAGAGAGATCAAGGCTCCAGAAGGAATGGCAGAGACTGCGTCCCCTCCATCGCCTGGGACAGGCAGCCGGAAAATGGGAGACCAGCATCAAAGACACAACGAAGAAAAATAATAATAATCAAGTCCGCGGCGCCATGTGGCATCATGGCACGGAGTCTATCATGAAAACAGTGACTCCGGAAAGGGACAAACAGAAGATCATAAAAATTCAGCGACGGCGGGCCATGACTCCACCGGTCTTCATGGGCTGCAGCAGGGGAGCCCCACCCACAGGCCCACCAAGAGTCGCATCGGTCAGGGTTTTGCGGCGCTTGCTGTCATACTCGGCAGCGGAGTCCTGATGGATCACATCGTCATCCTCACGCATCCGCTTGGTGCCCGAGCTCAGAGACCCGTTCATCGTGGTCGAGTACACGGGCGCCGGGGCCGACGCCATGGAATAACCATCCGAGGGACCATTGGCCGGAGTGCCGCGCGTGTCACTAACCGCGTTGTAGAGGCTGGTGGCAGCCGGGCGCGGGGGGGTGTTGTAGCCCGACGCCCAGTGCGGCGGAGGGGCACCGCCGGTTCGCGGCGTCAGACGGCCCGAGCCGTTTTGCTGCGGGGATCCCGTCATCTCCGGCGTCAGCTGGGAGTGCTCTCCAGTCAGAGATCCGATGGATGGGTTGGTCGTGTAGGTGTAAGAGCCCCGACTGCTATAGGCAGCGCCATGGTCATGCAGGTACTCGGGCTCGTGTTCCGAAACCGCCTCGCCAGGGCCGGGGCCGTGGGAGTATCGGTCAGATTTGAGTTCCGACGTCTCGGGTTCCGTGGCACCCGGTGCCCGACCCGTCGGGGGCGCCATCTCACTTTTCAGGTAGGTAGCTGGCATCGACTGGCCATACGCGGACATGCCCGAGGAACCCAAGGGGGTCTGCGGGGCGTACTGCGAGTGCGACTGAGGCGCCGCCGAGTAATACGGCTTGGAATTGTCATACCCGGACTGTCCTTGGTAGGGCATGCCTTGCATGTTGTTGCCCGGCGGCGTGGTAGCCGGGGTGGTCGGCATGGAACGTTGGCTGTTCAGAGACGTATCGATGGACAGCGGCTGATTGTGCGGGACCCCGGAGTTCATGCTCTGGCCACCCCATTCGTACGAACTGCCTTGGCCGGTCACGCCGATCAAGCTCGAGGCGCTGGCGGGAGGTGTGGGAAACGTATTGGCCCGGTCGACTCCCGGCCGAGAGCCAGGCTGACCGGCCATGGCCGAGGGGTGGGACATGTGCGAGGACATGGGTGTCTGCATGGAGTGATGGTGGTGGAGACCCGCGGACTGATGCCCTGAGGGGGTGCGCTGGGCACCAGGGGGTGGGCCCTCGAGACGCCGCTGCTGCGATTCTTGCACAACCATGTTGGTCCGGGTCTGGTTGGCCGGGTGGTAGAGGAGGCCGCCGATGTTGTGTACAAACAGCGGGTACAAGAGATCCGTGATCTTTTCCTTGTTGGCAAACTCCAGGGCACGCTCGAAGGGAATCCTGATGGCCATGGTCAGTTGCTGGAGAGGTGAACACATCATCCTAATCTCTTAACTTACCAAACACCTTTCAGATGCATCGGGCCAATCTTGACCACCTGTCGCATTTTTTCACTCTTGAGAATACCATCTCGGCGGCCTCGGGTCATTCCCGCCACGTTAAGCAGCTTGGTTCCGTTGATCATGTGGTTATCTGCAACTTGTGACTTAGAATTTGCTTTCCACCTTTCATCGATGACTCTTCTTACCTTCCCGCCGAGCTACACAAACTCCTTTCGCTTCCACCTGATAGCAGAGACTGCCCTCATCTTCCCACAGGGTGGCAGTCACTCGCGGCTTAGCTCCTGGGGGTGGGTTCTGCCCCGAAGGGTCATAAATGTAGCCCTGTAAAGGGGCCCCCGTGCTGTTGCCATAGCCGGCCGGCGTGACTGAGTGGGGGGTGACTATTGCATTGTTAGAATCATTGGTCTCCAGAGATGGAAGCCCAATCTTGGACCACTTACCAGGTAATGGCAGCAGCTGCGAGGGAATTTGACCCCCGATGGAGCTGGATGAAGCGGGATGTCCTGTCGGTGGCGATGTGACACCACTGGGATATCCATACTGCGAGTACGGGGCCGGAGCATAGGTCGAAGAAGGCTGCAGGACCGGGGGTTGCTGGGGGTAAGGATATTGGGGCATAGTGCCAGACGTGGCACCCTGAGAGGTGTAGGGCTGTGCAGAAGACAGGTGTGATGGGACGTCCATGTAAGGCTGTGACTGATTCATGCTGCCGAGCGAGGTTGGGCTGGGATAGTACCCGTCGTGGACGGATGCGGGTGGGATGCTGTAGTCGGCGCCTGAGTCCAGAGAGAGCCGGCCCTGGGTCCCAGCCAGATCCGGGGGCGGGCTGCGCTCGTGGGCAGCCACAGAGGATCCAGAGAGACTCGTGCGAGCGCTGGAATTGGAGCTGGCCACAGAGGGGTCTTGGTATGCCCGAGCAGTCTGGCCTTGGATGGCTGTGGGTAAGCTCAGCGCCGGGAGCTTATCGCCTGACAATATGGGTCGTTCAGCGGCGTGGTGGTTGTACCAGGGGATATCAGCAGGACCGCGGGTGTGGACCTGCGAGATCGACGGTAGCTCCAGCTTTTCGGTTGCACGGAAAACGGCTTGAAAGGGGGGAGAAAAGCGACCGTCGGACGTGGAGGAATTGTCCGGCGGATCAAGAAGGAAAAGGTCGCGGGCCGTTGGAGCACTGACTGCACACGTCCGTAGGGAGATGCAGAGACAAGCAGAGCGAAACGAGCTTCAAAGATGCAAGATGCAAGAAATGCAGGGGCGTGCAATCGTAGCGAGCTCGTCGCAAGTTCGTAACCGTTCAAGACTCGGGAGCCTATGCGAAGGACAAAACAAAAAAAAAATATCTCAAGGATGTTGGGTGTCGCAGGAAGGTCAAGTTGATCAGACAAATCGCTTCAGTAGATTCAGAAGCAGGTCATAAGAATCATCAACAGTCGTTACAAAATCGGGCACATCAAAGAACAGTAGTTTGTGGGATCCACGGTTCAGAGAATGCGGAGGGGAAACTAGAAGTAGGCGATCACGTAAGTCATCAACAATCGTCCAAGGTGGGATGAGAGTGCATTAGATGGTCAAATAAGGCCCAAGCAAGATGAGGCCGGGACAGGGGAAGAAAAAAAAATCACGTCTCAGACATGTCGAGGGATGTGGCAGAGAGAGGGAGAAGAACGCGCGGAGGTTGGACGTACAGAAAGGTGGAGGCTGGGGTGGTGCAGCAAACGCATCCCTATGCGCTTGCAGGGGAAAATCAAAAAACAAGTGGGAAGGGGGAAGATGTTGGGGGAAGGGCACAGATAAAAAAAACATATATATGAGATAGAAATCAAAAAAAAAAAAGAAAAAAAAAAAAAAAAAAAAAAAAGAGGAAGAAGAAGAAAAAAAAAAAAAGAACCAACTCGTACAGGAACCCAAGCTCTCATTAAGAAAGAGAGAGAGAGCGAAGAGGGAAAATGACGCTGAGCCGCAGAGAGGCTTTTGGACGATCAGATGACTAAGTAGGAAGAGAACGAAGAGCCCAAAATGCCCCTAATAGAACAAATCGAATAAATATATAATAAATCAATTCTCTGCAGAACTTCCGGCTCGCCCCGTCGAGAGAACCCCCCCTCTCTTCACAGAAATAGTATCGAATCAATCACAGTGGGGCGTGGTGGAGTTGCGTTCAGATCATCTCGAGTCGATTTCTACGCAAGGGTGATCAGCAGGGACATATGAATCCATTCTGTATTTTATTTTATTTTATTTTTTTTGGATATGAATATTATGAATATATATATGTATATTGTATTTATATTTTATATATTATCAAGTCATGAAAGAGACCAGGAGCTGAACTCATCCTGGTCTGTGTGACCGGCCAAAAAGCAAAACGCTGATCGCCCGGGATAGGCCCGCTGGATCTGCCCCGTGGAGTCCGATCGATTCTCTTTTACTCATTTTCTCTTCTTATTATGATTCGGATTACAACTACTATTATAATTTCTGTTTCTGACCTGAGACTGCAATGGAGATATCGCCACGTAAATGCCAAGATCATCATCATTATCCCTCTGTAGTATTATAACCAGAGGGGAAGGGCAGTCCCCCAGGGTCCACTCGAGTCGGGGGGAGTGGATGGGGTGCAGACGGGGAGAACACCTCCCCCTCCCCCTCCATGGACGCCCGAAACTCCAAGGGCGCTGGGCACCGGAGAGTCCAGACTGGCACCGGCCGGGGCGATCGACAGGATCTGCTTATCGTGCAAGACATTGCAATAATTACTAAAGAAATATAAGAGAAAAAAAGTTCTACCTTATTTTAATCATGAAAAGGAGGAATATTAAGCAAAAAAAGACAAAGGAGAAGAGACAAAAAAAAAAAACCCCTGGTAATGCGCGGCGGCTGCACTGTCGATTGTGAAAAGGCCAGAGATTGTGGTTGGTGCTTGGCAGGAACAGCGCTTACAGGAAAAGAGCGAGAAAGAGAGAGAGAGAGAGAGAGAGAGAGAGCATGGGCCACAATGCAAGGTCCATAAAAAGCGGAGACACTTGTACTGATCGACCCGTGAGAGATCGCATTCAACCATCATATTCTATATAGATCAGCGTTGGGTCGGGATGGAAACACGGCTATAGCCGATGGTGGGGAGTGCCCTGAACCTCATTATTATCGATCATGTAGAATAGTAAATACTATGGGTGTATAAAGTGATTATTATTATTTTTGTTATCATAAATATAATAACTATCATGTTCAGATATAATATGAATCATATAGTAAAATAAAATAAGAGCACGTCACCCCCCTTCCCCAAAATCAGTGGCTCTCAGCGCACCACGAAACACAGCTGGAGTCGATCAAGGGTCTGTTCTCAGCCATCCCTGTCTGGTGCCACGAGAGTGAAGAGTGGCTAGTCATTTATTATTATTATGATTATGATTATGATTATTTTGTCCAACCCATCTCTCATTACCACTAGCTAGAGAGAGACAATGCCCTACGTCAGTACTGTAGCCACCTGGACATACCCGGGCTGTACCCGGATAGTCCGAATAGCAATGGAAATGAAAAATCCCCCGTCACATCACCATTTGGACTAGCCAGCCCCGTGACGGGGTCAACACGGCTACTGGCGTCGATCAGATTGGGGCAATTCAAGACTGTTCTCATCTGGGCTTGCCATTCAAATCAGCAAGGGGGGGAGAGAAAGAAAGACAGCGGGTGGGTATACACCGCTATTCATTCTATTTATTTTATTCGTACTGAATAGGATGGCAGAGAACTCTTTCCCTTGCATTCACTCCACCCGAGTTTCCCATCTCGATTGACAGATGTCATTCCTGACAGCGAGGGGGGGGGCGTGGAAGTTTGGAGTTGACGTGTAGTATCTATTTTTCCTCTCTCTTTTGGTTGATGCATGGAAACTTGACATACATGGCACTAGCCAGTTCCCATGTCATAACCGTCAATCCGTGGATGCCTGTGGATCATGATCGGAGGGATGATTTCCGGTGAATAATCGCGCAGCAAAGTGGATTCGGTTCTCGAGCCCGCCACACGGACCCTTGTCCTCTTTTTTTTTTTTTTTTTTTTTTTTTTTTTTTTTTGTCGGAAAGAAACGGGAATCCTCAACAGGAAGGAGAATATTTGTTAGTGGTTTTGTTTTTCGGGGGTATATTGAGATCGAGAGTATATTGACAGCATATAGACAGTATATCTATACCTTTATGAACGAAGTAGATGTACAGCTACCATATATGCAATCTTGCCCTATGTACTCCAAATGGGCTTCTCTTGCATTTTGCAGACTCTGGCACGGAAGCAGGTACTCCCCAGTCTTTGTCCGGGGGCCCATCTCCAGATTCCTGCACCGTCACTATCGACGGCCCGATACCCGCTGTACATACAGCATACAGTAGTATAGGAGGGAAATAGTGAAGGATCCGCCCCGGAAACCATTTGACATCCTTGATAGGGCATGTCTAGCGCCCGAGAGGAGCCTTGAAACTCTCCCTCAATGGATCTGAAAGGAAGAAAAGAAAAAACAATTCCGTCTCGGGGGGAGTTGAGTGGACCCAGCGATAGCAACTGTGGCTTTTTCTCTCTCCTCTCTCTATCTTCCGACTGAATACACAGAATGAATGAATAATAATAATAATAATAATAATAATAAAAATCTTTTCGATCAAGCGAGCTTGCCAAAAGGAAAATCTCCACCGCAAATCGCTAGCACGGACGCCCTCCCCCCTCGGCTCCACTACACACACGGCACTACACACACGGCCCCAATCTGCTTTGGGTGAAGTGGCCGAAGCCCCCGAAAATGTGATGCGTCCAGGCTCTCCGATGAACCGCCGTTGAACCATAACGCAAGGCGCAATTCGATATGAGTGGTCTTTTTTGCTCTTGGTCTATATGATAGTCTTTCGGGGTTTCCGTGTGTGACGACCTCTCAGCTCTTGGGGGTGGATCGGGCAAATAAACCTATGGATGGTACAATTGCGAAATACAATACAGAGAAATAATAATAATAATTATTATTATTATTATTATTATTATTATTATTATTATTATCATCATCATCATAATTTTGAATCATGGCCTCCACTTCCTCTCTGATGCCCGTCAATTGTGCATCGATCGACGGGTTCATCCGTACCTTGCAGCGAGACGAGTTACCCTGCAGCGGACGTTCTATCCGTGCAGACTGGACGATGGGGATTACCTCGGTTGACAGGTTTCACTAGGAGCATGGTCCATGGTATAGAGAATAATCATTGAATGATAATTAGAAATAGAAAATTGTAATAATAATAATAATAATAATAATAAAGTGGAATATGCCCGATGCCGTCTGGGCGTTGATGCCAGATCAGGTTGTCCGAATCGCAACAATAGGACAAGGCCTTTGAGGTGGGACATACTCGGTCGGACAGAGCCAGTAGTCAACCAGGGGGATCCCTGCCAGCTTGACTATCTCGGTATGATCATCTTTATACATAAGTAATCATGATTCTGGGGGTTGTACAAGCTACATATGGAAGTATACAGGCCTTGGTATTTTCTCTTGGTATTTCCACTCTTCTCTAGGAATAATCGCGCACCAAGCTAGGATAAGGCCAGGATAAGCTAGATAGACAGGATGCGAGTGTACAACCTGATTTAACCTCGCATTGCATTCCGTCCCGTGGGCCAAGAGATCGACTGCACGTTCATCTTGATCAGGCGGGCAATCGTACGAAATATAATAAAAGAAGAAAAAAAAAAGACACCATCCCCTCTGTGGCGTGTGCTCCGAGCGTCATTTCAGGGCTAAAAAGGTGTAACACTGGCGCGGTGATTGGCACTGCCGATCGATTGGCAAACGACTGGCGGGCGAGTCAACCACGTAGGAATTCGTGGGGTTTTCACCGCCAGTTGACCCTTGCGTGCAGACGTGGCACCTTCTCATGCAGTCACCCGTTTCTTTTCTTTTTCCTGATTTCTGAGTAAATCGAGAATCTATTTACTATAGCGAGTGGTTCGCTATATATCTAGAGAAGGTAATATATCTCTTTTTTATCCTGATAATGCGTAGTTATTACTATAATATAGTAGTAGAAGATAGAAAATAATATACTAGGCTATAATAATATATAATAATATAATATAATATAATTAATCCTAACCTGTGTAACTCGGTCTCACCCCGATCCCGCCCCTCCCCCTCATTCCCAACGATAACATTGCCCGATAAGATGCGCAGGGACCGTGTCAAACCACCCAGACCGAGTGTTCATGCACAAAGGCAGCAAGAAAAAAAAAAGAAAGGGAGAGAGAGGTTAGACTCACCGTCTCTTGTGTCTCACTTCACAGCAGGCCACATCCTAGATGTTGAGGGAAGAATGTGCAGCATGCAAGTTGTGTTTAAAAAAAGTAAAGAAAATAAACTCAGTAAATTATGATCCTTTTTTTTGTCAATCATTCCTATTTATCTTCGTGTGGGTGGGCCTGCCACATTCTCGAAGCATGTCTGCCATTCATGTGGCGTAATATCTTGAATGAGGGGGGGGGTAGCATAGGGAGGGTGGGGGTAGTAGTTTCCTCATACTAGGGATGCTGGGGGATAGGGATGGGGATGCGATGCGATGGCGGGTACTCACCGCTGGTTTCAGAGTGCTTCATTACCATATCTGGGTGGCTTGTCAAGGGATAAAGATGTCTAGGCCTGCATAGGTGATGTTGCTGGGAGAGGCGGTGGGTGGTTGGTATATATCCCTTGATTGGGAGTCGTGATGCTGGGAATTGCGGTGGCCGATGTTCTGTGTTGGATCGGTGGCTAGTAGCCATCTACCTACTAGGTAGGGGTAGATCTAATGAAAGCCAGACTTTTCTCGAAGGATGTAGATTGAGTATATGCGTTGGCTATGGATTATGCATCGCCATAGATCTACACCTAACACCGGTGTCGAGTAGGTAGATAGCTAAGATAGTGCATCTCTATACGCACTGCACCACTGCACTACGGAGTTATGTCAATTGATAGCAGTGCAGGGAGCACGAGGACTTGAACCCTGCAGATGTGCTCTGTGCTTTGTGCTAGGACGGATTGCAGCAAGCTTCTAGAAGGCGTGGTTGATGCGGTTGACTACCTATACTTAATGGCATGTCATGTCTTTTGAGTATTGAGAATAAGCCTATTGAGTATTGTCTTAGTACCTAGCAATACTTAGAATAGACTAATATCAAAATTTAGATATTGGTTGTTCTTAAAGTGTTCAATGTCATATCAAGTCAAGGTATATCTCTTGCTGCAACCTGAAGTATGATATTATTTGAGATGACCTTAACGTTTTATGTTTATAATAAATGATGTCTCCTTTCAAATATTTGTCTTCAAGCTTTGGATAGTTTTTAACCCCAATCTGTCTACGAACTTGGTTAATATCGAATGTTTAAAACACTATAGATGTCAGATGTAGCCATCTGAATATATATCCCAAAACACCGACAGCAAGTTCAACCAAAACCATGTCTCATTCTCTCAGATTCAACTCGAGAGGTATATACCGAACTCTATCTTCTATCTTTCTTGATCCAACAATTAAGCAAGTACATTACCGTTGGAACATACCAACAACACGTGATCCACCAACCCTATCCCAAACCAGCAAAACCAAAACACCATCCGTTCCATGGTTCACCCGCTCTAACGTCAAACCAACAACATCGCGCACACCAAGTTGAACCGAGTGATGTAACCAGCGCCAAACCCACCAAAGCAGCCCTGGAGCTACATTTTTGGAGAAAGACGCTTGCCACACACCTATCATCTACCGAAATCTCCTAGTCCACCCGCAAAACCACCTATCTACCTCCGGACCATGCCCCCCACCAAACGGCCGGCCCCCGTCCAGCCCCAAAACCACAAGATCTTCGACCCCTGGAACTCGGCCTCAACGGGCCACCAACGCGCAGAACATCGGAATGCAGAAGCAGTGGCATGGGACGATGTGCGCGCCGACAAGCTGGCGTGCCAGTTCCAGAGCAGGGATTGTCTGGCGGGGTTACGGTCGCGATCGCAGTGCTATGGTGATTCCAGAGAAAATTTCTTAGGCGGGGGTGCCTTTGATGGGAGAGTCGAGGCTCCACAACAGCCAGGCCAGAGAGTTGGTGCAAATACAAGACCAGGGCCGGGGGAATGGCTCTGCGTGTCTGATGCAGAGGCAGAACGAAATCAGCTCGGGGTGCGGGATATTCGCAGCTTCATGGGGGTTGGCAAGCGCAAGGCCGATGATGGTGGAGAAGGGAATGCGAAGGCGAAGAACACCATCGGCAGGAAGAAACTAAAGCCCACACCGACGGAGAAAGAAACCGAGAAGCAAGAAGCGACGGGAAGAGAAAATGTGGAAACGCAAGAGCAGCAAGACCCCGAGCATGAGACTGCTACGACTGCTTCGACTACCACCGACCCTGCTTCTACGACCTCTCCCTCGGATATCTTCGCCGGAATAACCGTCTTTATCAACGGCTCGACGCTCCCCCAGATCTCAGACCACAAACTCAAGCACCTCCTCGTCGCGCACGGCGCCCACGTTTCTATCGCGATGGCACGGAAGACCGTCACACATGTGATTGTCGGCCAGCCAAACAGCGGGCCCTCGACTTCTACTGCGGTACGTACAGGAGGTGGTATAGGTGTGGGTGCAGGAGGTGGATTCGCAGCCCGGAAGCTCCAACAGGAAATTGCCAGAGGTGGCTGGAAGAGTGTGAAGGTTGTTGGGGTAGACTGGTACGTATCTATTCTTCCTCTATTGCTTGGTAGTCAACTAACATACTCTTTGGCCAGGGCCCTTGAAAGTATCAAGGCTGAGCGCCGACTGGCCGAGTCTCGGTTTGCGGTTTTGCATGTTGCGGCCAAAGGGCAGAAGAGCGTGGCGGGGATGTTTGGGGCCCGGTAGTCTTTGGTTTCTTGCATTGCATTGCATGGTGTGCACAGCGTTTGCAGATGGGTGGCATAGACTTCTACGGACATTATGATACCCCTTTTGTTGGTTACCTAGGAGTTCAATCTAATTGATCTGCTTTGATCTTTCATCACACATTATCATTGGTCTTATGTAGCTTCGGTCCATATACATGGTTATTCATCAAAGTACCCAACTGCATTAGCAAATCCCCAATATATGCGCCATCAATGCAGTGCATCAGAATATATGAATCAATCGTAGGTTAAAATCATGACATCCAAAGAAGTAAAGGTCTTTATACAAACGCCCCAGAGCCACCACGGCCCTGGCCCTGTCCTCGTTGCTGGTATGTCTCAGCGTCGGTGCTACTGGCCTCGGACATATGCCGACGCCAGCCACTCTGACGACGAGCAGGATACACAGTTGGAGCATCGGCACTGTCGCTTTCCATAGAAGAAGACAGTGACTCCACGCCGAGGTCGGACGAGGCAGAGGACACGGACCTCATGCCGGCTGGTTCAGCGGACAATGAGGTCTCGTCGGGCAGGGGTGGTAGGGGGTTGGGATGGCGATGGGTAGAGAAGGAGGATTGTGCTGGAGGTGGGGCGTGGCCATGGGACGAGTCGGTTCTTGTGCGAGACCGGGGTTTCGCCGAGGGCAGTTGCCGGCCATCGTCTTCGATGGGTCCTGGTGACAAGGCTTGCCCGAGGGGCGGGAGATAGTAGGGGTTCGACTCTGCGTCATGGGACAAGAAGAAGGCTTGGTGGTCCTCGTATGCCGGGAATGCCGTAGTCGACATGGTTGACACGGATGCGCCGTGATTGCGGTTGGTGTACATGGGTTGAGCATCGCTCAGGTCGGAATCGCTGCTGGACCAGCGCTCTAGCCTCTCGTTCAAGGTTTCCTCTTCAGGCTGGGCGGTTCGCGAACCACCTTGCACTAGGCCTAGCTGTTCCTCTTCCGTCGCGGACTTGAGAGGATCGGTGCCCGGTAGACGATGCTTCCGACGAAGGATGCCTCGGGGCGGGCTAGCAGGGGGTTCGGCGAAGGGGCACCACCGGCTCTAAGGTGCTGGAACATCGAGTTGAAGGAAAACTGGCGGCGGGGCGTGTGAGCAGGAGGCTTTTCATCAACCCATGAAACGGATCGCGGGGTATCGCTGCGTTGCCGGCCGGGATTGAGGGTGCCACCTGCACCATGATACTCTGTATCGACAGCGCCATCACTTGGGTAGGTCTTTTCATCCTGTTCGTGCAGGGGCCTCCATTGTGTAGGATGAAGCACACTTGATGCGCGGTACCGGATGCCATCCAGGAATGAGTGGCCACTCTGTGTTGTGTTTGGACGATGATCCTCTTCATCCTCAGAGTAGGGTTCAGGAAGTCGGGACATGCCCAAAGGTGGGAGTTGTTGCTTGATCGAAGGCGTACGAGGTGTGTAAGGGCGAGAAATTGTCGATCTGCGCCGGCGCAGACCATCCCATTCGAAAACTTCATTCTCACTGGGCGGTTTCAGTTGATCCTCATGCCTATCATGAAAGACACGGCGGGCTTCCTCAGCCTCCGTAGTGCGACGAGCAGTTGAGATGCGACGAATGATGGCCGCCGCGCCCCGGATCGAGTCCGCCTTGGGCTCGGACTCGGGTTCTTCCTGTGTTGCAACCTCGCGCACTTGATCCAAGTCGCCTTTGAAGACAGCCGCGTCGGGCACATCCTTGGAAGATTTGGACAGCTGTAGCAGAACCACGCCGGCGCAGATCTGCAAGAAGCCTAGAATTACGGTCGTGATTTGGACTGCAGAGCCCTTGAATCCTCGGAACAGAATGGCGGATGTCACGATCGTAGCACTGGTGAAGAACACATAGTACGTAGGGGTGACGAGGGCGGCGTTGAAGATGTTCAATGCTTTCTGTAAGATAGAGTCAGCGGGTTCATCACCAAGGCAAAACCGGGGTGCATACATTGAGATAGATGATCTCGGTCAACAGCGTCGCAATGACAAACACAAACAAGACGTAGAGAAACCACTCCTTGAACTGCGACTTGCCGTTGATCTGGGCGAGGATAGCAGCACCCAGTCCTTGGGTTGCCACCACACTCAAGCCTCCGATCATACTGCAAATGCTGATATACACGAACATATTCTTCTTTCCCCAGCGCGGGCCAGCCCAGAGGGCAGTGATGACCGAGCCCACAATGATCACCCCCGCATACGACAGAAACCCTGGGGCGATGACAAAATGCTGCATGTCCTGGATGTCGCTGACAGACGACTGCTCGGGCGCATTCATGGCGATTACCACGGACCCAATGATGCAGCAAAAACAGCCAACCTTACCGACAAAACTGAGGCGTTCTTTCAGGAAGATGGCCGAGAGGATGGTAGTGATCACCACCGACAGCGCTCCAAGGGGCGTGACCAGGATCGCATCGACAAAGGCATACGCAACAAAGTTGCAGATCTCCCCCATGATCATCAGGGTCATCCCCGTCCACCACCAGAAGTTCTTGAGGTAGCCATACCCTTCTCCGGCCTCTTCATTGTATTTCACATTCGCCTTGAGTAGACCGATCTTTTTGATCACGAAGGAAATGCCGATGAAGACGCCCGATGCGACTGCCAGCGAGATCCCGATCGCCTTGTACACGGGTGGGCGGCCGTTGGAGGAATCTTCGGCTCGTGCGAGCAGGGTGGACGCATGCGATAAGGAATGGGAATCCATGGTGAAAATGGTGATGGAAACTACACTGGCCAGCAGTGGGAGAAGACAAGGTGTCTCGTCGAGCCCGAGGACGAGCCCCCGCGACTACCTGAGACGCTTATCGCCACGATCGGAGCCCAAGCGTATCGCCTAGACGACCAACCAAATCCAAACCACAGGGTACAAAGTCTCGATGATGATGGTGGCCGTGTTAGAATTGTGTGGAAAATGTGCCAGGTGGAATAGTGGTAGTGCTGATGATGTCCTTGGAATGTCGATCCTGGAATGATTCTGGAAAACCAGAAGGATGTAAGGGGCAATCGAAGAACCGTCGACGTCGATGTCGCAAATCAATTCGAATCCAGGACCGGGCCTGAGGAGATCAAGAATACTGTGCAGGCAAAGAAAATGAAACAGAAACAGAAATCAAATTGAACCAAAAAAAAAGGAGAACAAAAGATGCAGAAACACATGAGGCTGGGGTGTGGAGAAGATCGGGTACCTGGCAGTGGGGCGCCAACGTACAATTCTGATGACTGGCGACTTTCCATGGTCCGGTAGATTGACATTGTTACAAGATGAGACACTTGATTGGTTGATTATGATCTGAAACTATGCAATTAAAATGATGTACGGCTCAAAGGGATCACAATTGATGTAAACTATGGGTTGAGGACATTGATATTCTTCTTTCCATAGAACAATCCTCCAGGCTAACCTAGGAATATATATTCAATCAGCTTAAATGATACTTTACTCTTGTCAATTTAGAGGGTTTCTATTTAACTAATGGTGCGGTAAGGGCACCTCAAATGACCTTAAACCCTTGTAGCAAATCATGTGATCTGCTTATGCCTAACCCCCTCCTATATTATCTGCCTAGATATATTAACCAGCTACCGGCATAGATGCGCTCATGGATGGTTTAAAATTCCAACCTGTATTCACTGATATACAAGAGAACAAGAGAATTTTCTAGCAGTATCGGTCCAAGGGTTTCTTTCCTCTTACCTATAACGATCCCACTCTACATCCCGCCTTGTATTTATACTCTCTCTGGCCACTTTCATCCCCCGCTACACGAACGGCCACTCCGAATCTAAATTAAAGGTCCTCTAGTCTCGATACAAAGGCTTCTTCTATATATATTATAGCGTTTGCGTATAGGGTACACCGACTCCGAATTTCCATAGCCAGCGGGCTAAGAGCTAGCAAGGTTGGCATATTAATAGATATATATGCGAGATGTTTGTCCTAAAGTCCCGGGTGATCTAGTTGTGCGGGATGAGTACCTAGGCTGGGTAGTTAAGGAATATCCTCTATTTACGTAAGTATATAGCTATATTTCTCTCCTCAATAGAGATAAACTATTATTTTGCCTAACTAGAGAGATTAATTATTATAGTATAATATTCGACTATCTTGTCCTAGCTAACGATACCGATCTAGAGGTATTGCAGATTAACATCATTAAAATCTAGGATAATAGTAGTGGAGTTTATACAAATAAGAACATGCTATTTGTAGTTAATCCCGCTGATTTGGTCGGGAAGAAGGTGCTAGCCGTTCCAAGATGTTGCCAAAAGAGGAAGGGGGCTTAAGAACGTGGACGAGTGAATGATAGTATGCAAGCGAGGGATCAAAGGATGCTATATGCCGCATGAAGCGGAGCTAGGAGAATAGTGCGGACTTTTTTTATCAATATGATTATTAACTAGCAAACTTCTAGTCAAGGCTAGACGGGTGATTTAGATTTGGGAACTACAATAGGGGCCAAAGTCTGCCGACATCACAAATTTCCAATAAATTATGAAATTTTAAACTTGAACATCTCAATTAAAATAAATAGCATCTTTCTAGAATTTATATATATAATATATTACTATAAACATATATTATATCTAAAATATCTCGCTTTTAATCAAATTCGCTAAAATCTGACTGTCTAGTTTTAAACTATAATCTTTAAAATTATATAGAAATATATAATAAGAATAATATATATTAAAAGAGAATTGTTTAATTATTATATTATATCTATTATTATATCTATTATATACATATAAAATTGAGCAAAATTTTTGGAAAGTTTTGTTAGTGTTCCTATACAAAAAAGAATATTTTCTCAACTTTACTTATCTTTGATAGCGTACAGCTCTTTAAGAAAAAGTCTAGCCTAAAACTATTATATATATATTTATTTAGTTAAAAAAATATTTTAAGAATATAGTACCATATAAATTTATTGAGAGATTTACAATTGAAATCGTCGAGTTTTGCGGGAAATATAGTGAGTTTCGGCAGACTTTTGGACGCGTATGTATTGTTCACTTAGGGTTGAGTCTACCAACAGTCTACTCGAAAATTCCACGAGGTAGTGGTTTCTTATTCGCCATCCTTTGAGCACTTCACGATATTCGGAATGTGGTTACCTTCCATTGTAGGGGGAGAGAGGAAACTATATACTTAGCTGTATATCGTGTGGAGCTGCTCAAGGCCGACTATCTTAGGGCCGAAGGGGGGGGGGGGGTGGGGTGACTAGAACGTAATTATTTCGATGCTCAAGCTGGAAATTTTTCACCTGTCTACTTGATAAGCCATAGTGGAACCCCCTCTCAAAGCGCAATAGTGCTACTGTAAGCAACTAAACGGGAAAAAGCAAAAGCCAAGGGGCTAAAATATAGATCGGATGGTCCACTTACTATATCAAGTCTAGGTTGCTTTGTTAGTTCACGGTTAACCAGAGAGATATGCATATGCAGTATACGACTCTCATAACTCCAAAGTGCTTCTGGCCCGTCACTTATGTATGATATCCTTTTCACTTCTCATGGCGTGCTACTAAGCCCATGACTTATAGGTGGTTGTTACTTGTCTCTCAACCTATCCTCATCTACTGTGGGCGGCACTCACTCAGGGGGAACGAGTGAATTTCTGACAGGTAAGACGGGAATTTCGGTGAGAATAAACCGGTAGCTCTTCAACATCAACAACTATTGATGTTTCTTCCTCTCCACTTTTTTGGGGGCGCTCTAGAAAATTGCCCCCAAAACATTTGGAAATCCTGAACTCTAGTTCGTACAATAACATTGAACCTCTTTTTATAATGCCGATGTAGGAGTTATTAAAGCCGAGAAAAGATATTTGGACAGTATTCACCCGCCTCCCCCCCCTTTTTTATTATTCAACTCATGAATTTGTGCCCCAAGGCTCTCGTTATACAGGAGCCTGGAAGAAGGATACTAGGCTGTACCTTGGTACAAACCGAGAGAGGGAGAGACAAAGAGGAGAGTGATACCTAGTTTCAGCCCCTACAATATCCAAATGTGTGCTAAACCCGTGTGCACACTAGATCCACTTAGACAGGGCCCAAGACCCAATTCCAGTCAGCAAGGCTATGAGATTCTAATTTTACATTTGGCCCCGGAGTTAATTCTACGGGGTATATAAAGCTCTTGAAGTGAACCCCTATGGGAGATTCTTTTCTATTTCTTGTAGGAACAGAAGCACCGCAATTTTGGATTCTCTTCACGCTGCTCTATCATGAAGTTCACTACGAGCGTTCTCCTCCTTGGGGCTGCGGCTATCTCCGCTGCCGCTAGTATTCCCAGTAGGTGCTTCTTCATTTATGATCCGAATCGATACAACCTGAACTAACCTCTTGTACCTTGTGTGTCCAGACTTGAATGCTACTGTACCTACCGTTCGAAGGGATAGCGAGCCCGCTCCTGGGTGTACCAAAGGCGATGGTGGTACCTATTTTGCGTGGACAACCTGCAAACTTTGGAAGGACCAGCCATCCTTGATGTAACGCGACGTCGAAGATGGTGAAATCGAAGTTTGGCCTTACAAACCGGGTGATTATTGGTGCTGGCTCACTAAAGACAAGCTAAACCGGGTGCCTTGCGGCGAGGGACACACCCCTCCTTGGCTTGGGAATGATGGTGATGACCTGAGTAAATCGGGCTATTCTTGTCTCCCTGTGGGCGATTCGGGTGACAAGGAAGCGCACGGGGGTTGCTTCACTCAGTAACCACTCCCTACCCCTCGAGGAGTACATGTATTTAGTGAAACGTTTTGTGGAAATATCCCGACTTGAGGCTTAATATAAAACCGCGTCTTGAGCGTATTGTGTTGCTTGACAAAGTTATCAACCCAATTCTTTCATCGAAGTAGATCGTAGATCCACGCTTCACGAGAAGAATCACCCCGGACACCTCGAGAAAGTGAGAATTCGGAAATGCCAGCGGCTGGTAAAACAAAATGATTGCATAAATAATTCGACATCAGCTATGCGAACAGGTGATGCAAGCAATTCCCAGACAGAATTAACATCGGAATGGAAACTCTTCAGAGCTCTGCCTCAACCTCCTCGCCGAGCGGGCCGAAATCAAGCCCCCAAGACCTGAACTCCAGGTCCAACATGTCCTCTTTGCCGGAGGCTTTGCCCAGGCCAAAGGCCTTCAAATTCCATTTCTCAACGCCATCAAAGCCCTTCAACTTGTTTCCGAACATCGAAAACAGCTCGGTGCTCAGGCGCTCATATTCGCTGTAGTCCTTGGGCCAGTAACCCAAGCGCTGCACGGCAAGCTTGAGCAGGAGAAAGTGCTGGCGGACGTGTTCGCCCTCGGAGACGGTGTCGGCCTTGTCGATATCGAGGTCAAAGACGGAGTAGACGGAGTCATCCGTGCCCAGACTACTGTCGATACCACCCTCGAATTCGACGAGAGATGGGTCGAGGAAGATACGCAACAGGTTCTCGTGCACGCTGGCGCTCTTCTTGTAGTACTTGTTTGCTAGGAGCTGGTTGCCATTCTCGGCCAGGCAGTGCTGCGCGATACCGATGTACAGCTGCGAGAGAAGAATTGACATCTCCAGGGTGCCTGGGTCGCCAGCACCGTTCACGCGGCGGCAGTTGTACACTATGTCCTCGGCGAGGCGGATGGCATTCAGAGCGTCACCCACTAGGAAGCGGACCAAAATATAGCGGTGAGCCAGCTGAAGAGTCACGACGTGCGACCAGTTGACCATCTGGTTACGGCGCTTCCAGAGACCATCCAGAAGCCAGACCAGACTCTTGTAATCTTTCTTCTCACCAAGAAGCTCAATCAGGCCGTTCAGATACTCCAGCCTAATCTCAAATATTTCCTCTGGTAGGGCTGATTGATCGCTTAAGGCTTGAACGGCAGCGCGTCTCACGTCCTCATCCGGATCTTTCAGCCGTGCCACCGCGGCTTTGATCGATGCCAATTCTTGGTCTTCATTGGTTGTTCTCCAAGACAAAAACTTTGAGGTATATTCCGCTTCCTCGCTCGTGAGGAGCTTTGAGAAGTCGTCCGGCGTCTGCTCATAACCTCCGGCCACAGAAAAGCCGAGGCTACTTACCTCTGACTCGGAATCACTGTCTGTGCCTTTGGACTTGAGTTTCGCCACCCGCACTGAGGCCCCTGAATCTCCAGTTTCTTCATCCTCATTAGTACTGGACAAGACAAAGAGGGCGATGTCCTCCATGTGAGCGGCAAGGTGTTTCTGCAATTCCAACAATGATAGTTCCTCTCCACAGACGAGGCATGCGTCTTTTTTGTGGTCTGAGACATCAACCTGGTGATCGCAAAGATCCAGAATGACACTTAGATGAGCTGGTGAGATTGATTCGCCATAGTGTTCTCGCAGATGCGTCGACATTTCCTTTTTGCTGGGGCATTTCTCATGGCATTCTTTGCAGACATACTCGCGCCGGTGAATCTGAAATTCGTGATACATCCAGTCGTTGCGGCTGACGTACAGCTTCCCGGCATTTGGGCAGTCTTCGAATGTGCAGACGTAGGGACGGAGATCGCGGAATACATGGCGCCTATGAATTCTTTCCGTCAGCGCATTCTGACCTTGTAGCAATAAGGACGGGTAACTCACTTCCATAACTGCCTGTTCTGCATCTCGCTAGACTCGAGCGTCATCCCACAGTACGGACATGGAAAGGTTGTCTGTCCTTTCTGCGTCTTTGGGGGATCTGGGACAGAGTTGTAGCGGCCTTGGCCGATGGCTGTGGGTGCGTAGAGTGTCCGTGGTCGAACGTTGGTCTTCGGATCGTGGATATCTGAGACAGCAGCTGTTGAGAAACTTTGTTTCGACACGGCTGACTTGGACCCTTCACGCGAGACATTGGGATTGGACGGTTTAGAGGTATCTGCCTGGCTTCGTGATTCCTGGCTTTCTTTCGCTTGTTCCGCATGATCCAGCGTCATATTTGGCGTTGAAAGTCGAGCTACACTAGTCCAGTCCTCCTTGGGGTCATCATACGGATGATCGGTCCAATATTGAAGCTGCTCGCGTCGTCTTGTATTCGCTGCCGCAAGCCGTTGGCAGAACCACAGAATGTCTTCGAAGCAACTGTTTGTCGATTCTTGTCCCATCGGAGCAACGTCTTCGTCCTCAAATTCTATACACTGCTGGCTCTTAGTTAAACCGCGCCATTGCAGCACCTTCTCCACTATGTGGCTTTCGTCGGCGCCGCTGAAGCCGGCACTTAATGGCATGGTGTCCTGGTTTTCCAGCGTGGCTTTCTTTGTTATTGAATGAACGGAGCGAATATATTTGCCCGCAACCTTAGGGCGCCGCAGCAAAGCAGACAGGTCGTAAAGTGATCGGATCTGCGCCAGCACCTGCTGGACAAGTAGACGAATCTTTGGCATCCTATTGTCTTGGTGCTCGCCATCGTCGCTCGAATCGGAATTCGAGTCAGCGCTGACACTGCCGATCGAGTCCTGATCCGATCCAGCGACCGGGTCATGCTTTTTTCAGCGATGTATGTTGCTAAAGCAAGATTAGACAAAGCCTCAAGTGCCCGAACGATGCGACTTGCCTTGGCCGAGGAGTGCTCTCAGTCGAAAGAGGATTCCCTGCACTAAGCCCTTAAGCTCATCCTCATGCCGGAGTGTGTCATCCAAAGAACCACGAGCTCTTGGTGGAAGGTATGCTTTGGTCTGATCACCCCAGATCTTGGTCCTCCCATACTCTTCCAGTATCTGGGAAAGATGAACCTGCTCAAGACAAATCACACGACAGTTCTCCTTGCCGAGAGCCAGTATAAATCTCCCAAATGATTCAATGCACTTTGTGTACGACTTCCAAAGAGATGAGCCATAGTCTTGGGGTGAGAGGCTCGTCATGACGGCAAGCCAGGGGAGATTTTGATTACCGCTTCAACATTGCTTCTCGGTAAGATAATCGATAGCCAGGCCGTCGTGGCGTGCGCTGATTGAGGAATTTAAATCACCGCAAGACTTTTGTTGCTGTCGGCAAAGTGGGGGGACACGCCACGTTAACTCGACCTGATCGCTGCAGAAGCCCCTCACTCAACCACAAACCTCGGGATGTTGATTACCGTCTCTCTCTCAAACTCTACAATACATTGGTGAAATAATTGAATGTTATTTATCGTCATTAGAATAACTCCTTGGAACTACAGGTAAGTGGGATAACCGACAGGAAAAGCCTCTGACTGACTGCAATTCAGGTGGACACACCACAGGCATGGCTGAAATCGCAGGTCTTGTTCTGGGTGGTATACCAATCGCAATTTGGGCTCTTGAGAAATATGTGGAGCCTTTCGAGGCTTTTCACAATTACCGCACTTCAATAGAGACCTTTCGGACCGACCTGATCTTGCAACACCGGCAATTGCAGATCACTCTCTGCAATATTGGACTGGACGATGAGCCATCAAGTGAAGAGCTACGCGAATGCTTTGAAACCAAGTTCCCGGGTATCTCTCGCGAACTGACGTCCATCGTTCAACGCATGGACCAGGTTACCGCGGTGCTCTTGAGGGGCCTAGATATCGATGTCAACGGAAAGGTATATAGAGGGTCAAATCCACAACCCTGTTCCCAGTGGTGCTGTTATTCAAAACAGAAAGAAGCAAAGAAAAAGGACACCAGGCTAACTTGCTACTACATTATTAGTCGAATACTTTGCCAGACAGGGCCCAATGGGAATGGCGTCGAGTGAAACACAGCTTCAGCACAAAAAAGCGAAATAAAGTCATCGAGGACCTCAGACATTGGAACGACGATCTGAGAAGATCTCTTGAGAAACCTGAATTGCCTGCGGAAGACGACAGTGGCAAAGTTCAAGATCTCAAGCGCCGCTTCAATATTCAACGTTGCAATTCAGTTCGTCAATGCTTAAGCTCTCTTCACCGAGCACTCGAGTCGGGATTCCGTTGTGCCTGCTCACCACCTCACCAAGTTGCCATCGATCTCGACTGGACGAAGTATGAAGCTCATACAGCCAAGCCGTTCAATGTGGCCGTCTCTTACGGAACAACCCCACAGCCCCAGCTGCCTCAGTCATGGCGAAAGCTTGATGTTACTTCATATGACTCCAGCAAAATGGCCAGCTCGGCTCCTAAGCCACTGGCACCATCGCCTCCTCCTGTTATAACGCCTCCTCCATCTTCATCTCTCCGATCTAGGATGGTACAATTCATGTTCCGTCCACTGTCCCGGACACCCTCACCACCGCCAACTCCGTCGGATTTATCCACGATATCAACTACCGTGTCAACGCCAGCAGGCACAGAAATCACCAACCTTTGTGATGCAGTATGCATGGAATGTGATCTAGCAGGCTTGCTCAAAGACCCAGACCCAGACCAAGGTCGACAATTCTGTCTCGACCACCGTAAAACAGATTTCTCAAAAATCATCAGAGCAGTTCCTCTGAAGTCTTTACTTTCATCTCACGCACAGTCAACCCAGCAACAAAGTCTTTGCACCTCCCTGTCTGCAAAACAGAGGTTTGGCATCGCCGCCTCCACCGCCTGGTCAGTCCTACACCTGAGTGGCAGCCCCTGGCTTGGCGACTACTGGGACGAAAGACAAACAAAAATCTTCATCCAAAAGAGCCAAAGCGGCCGAGAGGTACTCTCCCGACACCCGTGTGCCTTTTGTATATTCTCATCGCCATCAACCCCGGAGGAGCCGCCCGTGAACGACTTCAAACATCTTATACCTAACCGAACTGTCTTTTCTCTCGGCATTCTCCTCATCGAGCTCTGCATCGGCAGGTCCTTTGCGGAGATCCGTCAGGTCGGCGGAAGTACCAAGTTATACCCGCTGTTTGATGACTTTCAGACTGCTCTGGGCAAGCTGGATGAGGTGTACAGGCTTGCGGGCGACTCTTATGGAGATGCGGCGGCCCGGTGTGTGAGGCACGGATTCCAGGGCAGAGATCAGTACAAGGATTTCCAGTTCTCCCAGTTCCGGCAGCAATTTTATGACGCGGTAGTTGCGCCGGTGCAGGCGACTTATCTTATGTTTCCTGATTCGCGCATTCCTGTATAACTGCATGGTGGGCTTGTACCATTTTCTCGCTGTGAAAGATATACCGGAACATAGTTTATTCTACATACACTTAATGCCCATTCTTTCCAGCAGTCTTCTTTTTTCCAGTCGCCTTTCGGTCTAGCTAGACGAACGGTTCAACTACATGTAGATGTAACTAAGTAGGGATATATAGTCACTATCTGGTTGTCTATATCGGCTAGAGGCCACGATGATCTACATATCAGGGCCCAGGACGTCGCGTTCTTTTCTAATTTGATGAACGACCTTATATTTTGGCTAGTAGCTAACCGTAGAAAAGGGAGTGATATGACCTGATTATTTCATACCAGATTTTACCAAATTCTCGACCATCCGTGGGTCTATCATTCATGCTGACGCTTGTTGCATAGTTGATATTGACGTCTGGGGTAGGGAATATTCTAAGAAACAGCCCATATCCAAAACCCGCCGGGGTATAACAAGGGAAACTCGTCGCAAGATTCTCGTCTGGTGGCGACGACTACAGGACGTACCAGGTATTGAGTGATAGGAACCTAAGAAGCTACCTGCCTTGGCTACACATTGTTCTGCGAGTGAACGACCCATTCTACAGGGATGATGGCACAGTTTTGGTCATGGAAAGCCCAGATGAGAGGTTCGTGCTCTGCTCTCTGGGGCCAGTCGAAATCATAGAAGCCCAGAATTGTTCAACCGGGTTGAGCCAATCATGGCTGTTGCAAAAGCGCTAGACTATTTGCACTCAATTGGAGTGTTCCACCGGGACATTACGGAATCGAACGTGATGGCGAGAAAACCCCATCCTAGCACCGGGAATCGGGACTGGGTGATCATTGACTGGAAGACTGCGGCATTCATGGCACCAGATCAAGGTATGTTCTCGGCAAATTCATCATTCATGTTGGAATCAATCGTTGCTCATCTAAGCTCTAGGTACACCCCGGTATGGCCCCGATGATGTTCTTGGTATCGGGCATCTTCTTTTAGGAGCAGGCGTTCCTCGTCTCATGGATGATGAACATGACGATGAACGGTAAAGTCTTTTTAAAGAGCTCCATATCAGTCAAGATGTTTATCATTCTTTGGACGCCATGGACGACTTCGGCCTGGATACCCCCAAGAATGAGGAATTCTATAGTCTTGTGGCTCACGCCCTGATGAAACGTGGTGGCGGAATAACGATGATTTAGTTCTACAGGCGTCTCAGAAGTCTTCGAAGGTCCGCAGGAGAGAAAGGATTGATCTTCCATGGATAGAGATGAGATGATGTTTTTGTTTACGCCAAAATTACATGGATAAATTGATGCCCTATATACTCTAAACTAAGCTTATGCAATTTCAAAAACGGTGAATAGGTAATAAGAGCAAAAGGCAGAAAGTCGACCTCAGTGCTAGACAGTACTTCTAGTTATGGCGATCTGTAGATACTGAGCAACCAATGTGTTTTAGAGATATTTGACAATGATAATATTCTGCTCTTGTTTAGCTGAAGGGCCATATCGATCGTCGCATATCTGGCATCCTTGTATCAACGATATGGAAATATGTGTATATAATTCTCTAAATTAGTGATTCAAGTACATATGACCACAGGGTGTGGAGAACATGGTTATCTAAAATTTCACGATACAGGTCTACATTCAAATATGGTTGTTTCATTTTTTTCCCGCAAATAACTATATCCGGTATGGTGTAGTGGTCAACATCGCCGTTTTTCAAACGTTATCACGGCAGCCGGGGGTTCGATTCCCCCTACCGGAGTATTTTCACTTTTACGAGAATTTTTTTGGCCTTTTCCTTTTTTCTCTATCAAGATACACTTGTACTTTAATTAGTTGCCTCACACTGAATTCTCTGTTTGTTCCCAAGAGGAACGCTTAACCCAAGGCCAACTTGAAGCTAGTTACCCTAACACATGCAACGTATTAGGTCGCCCACGTTAAACTAGCAATCTTGCTACTAATAAATAAAGCCCTAGACAACTCCTAACTAAAAAAAAAGACCTTAGTTGCATAGAAACGGCACCTTTCAACCACACTCTTTATATATACCGAAGTTTATTAATTAACACTGCTACGAACAAATTTCTTTAACGTAACACGAACACGGACACAGATACGCCTTATGTATCCAAGAACTAGGCTTCCAACTTGATCAAGCAGTTCCCGGAGAATCTCACGCTCAAAAAAAAAAAAAAAAAAAAAAAAAAAAAAAAACACAATATCCTATCAAGATAAAAAGGACTCGAAGCGGAAAATATCGGGGCTTCAACAGCACTACTTCGACCGTGTAGAAAGAACCATTCATCGCTATAATCTCCCTCTATTTCCACCCCCCAATAAATCTACAATTTCGATAGATTAGGGCTTTTAACGGGGTCACGGCAAAATTCAGCAAGTTATCACATCCAAGATCATGCTGCCCGAGGCAACCTGACAAAAGGAATGAGCAAGTCCATCACCGCTACCGAGTGCATCGCCGCCGACAGGAGCATTATATCACTATGTTTTATCTTCAAGGTTGAATACCATCTCGAGCGGTGATTTCAGTCAATCCCGGACAATTACCAAGTCGTAAACAGCTCCCTAAGCTATATAACAGACAATATTGTCTTTAACTAGCTTAAAACGCCTAAGTTCGATTTCAGAGGGTGAAAGTCGACTTTCTATTTAGAAATATAGATACGACCTCATCGAGTTCTGCAAATAGCTTCTAATTATACCATTTTGCTTCATTCCACACATTAAACATTTAGCTCAGCCACTCGACAGTCAGCGCTTTGAAGTGCATAAGAATTTTTCCGAATCAAAAAAATAATGAAATTGCTTGATAAGGTAGCATTACCATCGACATAGCTGATTTGATTAAAATTATACCGAAGTTCGCCCAAAACCTTCCAATAACGTACAATTCGTAGTGCCTTTGCCGACCGATAGATTTATCCATTTATCCTCAAAAACAAAAATCCTACAACCTCTTCAAGACGCCAAATCCCTGACTCCAGAGCTTCAAATTCAATACCCCGTCTCCAGTATCGAGTTTAATAACCAATACACCTCCGTCTACAATTCCTCGAATGCGACGTAGTATCAAAAAAACCTAGGATTACACTCGGACAGGGATGCTAAACGAAGGATTTCACACCGTACAGAGCCAGAGAGGCAACAGAATATCCTGCGTGCTAAACAAAAAAGCCAATCTTGCCCGTCTATAATAAGCAGGCAGCGGATAAATCACCTATACCAGACATTAGTTAAATGGTTTCGCTAGCCACTGAGGGGGACTTTTGGATAGATCAGACAGGTGAAGTTGTATAATTAGAGGAATGACTTCAAATTGGACGTTTCCCTTTGGACGAGGGAGTGTGGGGCCTCAAGGATATTCTGCAGGAGGTGCTCGACTTGGAGGTTGAGCGTGGTTATTTCTTTTTGGCAGACATATGCGTAATAACTACACATAATAATAATACTTTGAAGATGACCAATTATAGTTTCCGGTATGGTGTAGTGGTCAACATCGCCGTTTTTCAAACGCTATCACGGCAGCCGGGGGTTCGATTCCCCCTACCGGAGTGGATTTTTTTCTCCCTTTTTTTCGGCTCTACCCTATGATCCAAAATCTCTCTTAAGGTGCCGGCCACTCAACTAAAATCGCAGTATTTTCGCGAACCTACCTAATTCAACTACTTACTACTGTTACAGTGCAGGCTCTGACCCCACGTGATATACTGCCTGTATATATTTTATTCAGCCCCTGATCCTGTGACTATACTATTAATTCGCTCTCAAAAGCAAGAAAATCTATTGCAAAAAGGTAGGATTTGCCAGCTATGAAGGCTATTTAGAAGCAAGAAATTACCTTACTTCGTGAAGTTGCGCTCTAATTCCAAGTGTCTTGTTTAACGCTTCAAACCCGAATCCCTGGCTATCTAAATGAAACTAAAACACTCGTCAACTACTAGAAATTGACTAAGAATAAAGAAAAATCGATTCTTAAATGGATTCTTTCCATAGATATATATAGAGCAGCTCTATAGCTAATACTCTATTAGTTCAGGATAGATCTATCTCTATTTAATCTATCGGTCAAAAATAGATATATAATTTTATTAATTAATATAATAGTATCCGATTTCTTGGTAACTAGCTTCAAACGCTTGACTGTCGACGACACTACGCTGGCCTTGCAATCCTGAAGATGCTGAAAACAGCTCCGCCTTTTGCGTGCGCGCTGTGGCTCATATCGCTCCTAGAATGCTCATGGCAAGTCGCTAGGAAGCAATCTATATATCTTTTGTGAAGACCCGGCCACTTGATCTCACAGCCTACCGAAAGGCTTACCGTTGCCAGAACGGGATGCCACACCCCCAAACATTTTGCCTACTTTTGCTGTTGATCACCGCTTCTCGACCCTGCTCCTTGCACGTCCTGATTGACTGTGGTTGAACACTAGCTTTACGACTTTCTCCCGTTTCTGAGGCTGTAGGCGTCACCGCCCTAATGGGTGCGTAAAACGCATGCTATGACGCTGTTTTTACTCTCCACCCTTAATCATCTTACAATCATAAAGTAGCGACACTAGGAGTTTCCCTCTCTCCTATGAAAAGTCTTCGTTTATCTTTGTGTTTGATCAGGTGTCCTAGCCATCATCGGTTTGCCGGCCTCCCCCTCCACAGCTACCGTGGCTTCTTTACCATTGACATGACTTCCTCTCAGACCAACTCCCTCATATTCGCCAGCCTCTGCTCCTGGGACCATCATCTTCAAATCCTTTCCTTCATCCTCCACTCCCTCTTGACCTTGCCCCCTACCTTCGCGGTCACGGTTCGGTATTCCTACCTCTTTAACATTTTACATGTCAGCCCGAGCTTAGGATGCAGACCACAGAGGAGAACTTCAGGCTCTTCGGTGATCTGTGGCTAGAGGACCCACAGGTCTGCTTGAACGAGCAAGACCTAACCCACATCGACAGCCTCATACCCCTCATCCAAGACCTCGACAAGAAAAAGGCCCAAGGCAAGTACTTGATCGTCCTGCTATAGCATGACCACCCAAGACTAACACGAAAGCAGGACTCAAGCTGTCATCTCCTTGGAAACTAGATGAGGCATTTCGAAGCTTCCAGGAGAGAGAAGTCGCATGGTAGAAGTCCCACAACACTGAGCGCCCACTTGAATACTTGATCCGCCCCAGTGGCTCGCTAGATGCCCCAGTGGCATGCCACTTGTTCAATCCAACATTTACGGTCACGGACCCTTGTCTCGGTATTATGGAAGATCTCTCAAACCCGTCAATTGCCCAAGTCAACAAAGCTGGGTTCTCATCAGATCATGATCATTGTATTTTCTTCGATCATTTAGCTCGAAGAGATGTGAGCCGCCATTGCGTCGACGTTTATCCTCCCGATCTTCAAAACCTACATGAATCATTCATGCTTGAGCTGCGCAGCCATATGGGAGCGGTGGTAGAAATATGTTGGGGGAAAAATGTGCGCGTATGCATGCTTCAGCTCGTACAGCTGGTCGCCTTGCCTCTTTGGGGGCGTTATAAGGGTGTAAAGTTGTTTCTGGAGCTTACTGAAGATCGAAAGACTCTGAGACGTTTCGTTGTTTTTGTTCGACACCCGCAATCTTTCTTCTATGTCAGAGGCTCCACAGAGAGGACTCAGGCATGGCGGACACATTTTGGGAGACCGCAAGATTTGTTGTTGAGTGTTGCCGCTCGCCTAGCTGGCATTCAGATTGAACCTCACTTTTACGAGTTTAGTCCTCGGCTATGTCAAAACCTCTGCGTGCAAAGAACTGTGACCCAGACCAGAGAGATTTGGAAAGCGCAAGCCAGAGCACAATTGAAAATTGCTTTCCCGGATGCCTGTCTGTCTACAGAAAAGTCTCGTCGTATTTTCGTCACACGAGAAGACCGAGAGGGATTGCCGGAAGTCAATCAGTTCATGGCCGGCCAGATCACTAAAAGTGTCAACCTATCAACTCGGAGTGAGATCGCAGATGACAAGGCCCAGGTGAGATGGAAGCTTTGCTTAAATCCCTCACACTGCTAATGAGCTTTTCTAATTCAAACCAGAGAGAGACGCGCAATAGAAAGATAGCGGCTTTTTGGCATGAGCTGAATGATTTGATCACTATGTTTATGCCCGAGACCTCCTTCAATATCCAGACTGACAACAACGAGCGTTTAATAACCGCAATTGAAGCATCTGACTGGACGGAGCTCTATGATTGGGATGAGCTTCCAGAGGTTTTGACCGAATTCATTGATGAACAAGATGGTCTGAGGATAGACCGGCGCCCGATATCTTCTCGGAAAGAGCTTGAAACTGCCTATGCCCTGCTTCAGTGCAAAGGTAGCTTAGGGGCCTTAAGTATTGTCGGGCTTGCGTTTTCTGTTCTCATTGCCTACGCCTGGAAGATCACTCGACCAAGAAAGACGAGCGTTGACAGTCTGCTTGTCCTCGGTACACCCCCAAGGAACGTTGTCTCACGGAAGTGTTCTGGGTGCGGGGGAAGGGTCCTTGATGATGCCTTCGCGTACTACGCAAAAGTAGACCCGGATGTCTATATCCTTTGGAGGCTTCAGAACACCTGCGGGCTCCCCAGTTGCACACAACAAGGCGTTGATCTTGTGCCTTTTGACGGCTGGACAAAGCACTCGCGTCCAAATCGAGACGAATTAATCGAGATATGCAATATCTGGCATGAAGCCGCGTGGGCAAAATATTTTCTCCGCACACCAGCAGAGTGTGGCGACCTACCAAGAAGGGTAGAGATTCAATGCTTGCAGTGCGGCAAGAAAGAAACGAAGGCTCGACCAAGATGGACACCCCATACACCACCGAGGCTTTTGAAGCCTATTCAGAAATGCAGTACATGCAGCATAAAACGAGTCTGGAAACCTGTGGACACCAAGGTATTGACCATTGGCACATCATCTCTCAGCAGATTGTGGGCTTCTTTCAAAAAGGATGGATGCGATCTGGCCGAGTACCCGCGGATGCCAGATGTTTACTTCTCATCAAAATACAGCCTCACCCAAAGAATCGCGCAGCTCAAAGAGGCCAAAAAGATGCTCGAACAGATCCGTGTCATGTAGCCAGTTTAGGGTGACTTGCAACTCAGTGTGTTTCTAATGTTCCACCCCTCCCTTGTTGTCCCGCTCTCTTTCGCCTTTCCCTGTGTTATGAGATCTGCGCCTGGCCAGGGAGGATACAGTAGATACCATCATCACTTTTTTTTATTTGCTTGTTCCGGGGCCTAGGCGCGTGCGATAGTCGAATTGAGTGTATAGTGTAATACTAACCAGTGTCTTTATTATAGGGTTAGTATCCACCATGCATCTCTTATTCCACTTGAAATAAAACACTAGACGACGATTGATACCGACTTCCTGAAGGACTGGCGGTTTCGAGATAATATAACGCTATTAGTTAAGCTAGCGGTCTGATTGAATAATCCTTATTATTTAAGTGACAGGTTCATTCTGGGAGGGAGGGGTGAAGTGGGTTGGTGAGTGCAAAATGAAGTTACCCATGAGGGAGTGCAATTTTGGTATGACCAAATTGAGATTCTGTTGTATGTGACGTTTATCGTACGTAATTTGGGTCCCCGGCAATGAAGTTGGGATCATTTAGGAGAATCATGGTTTCTGTAGGGTATGTTGCCAGCAATATATTAATGAGCCCCAGTCGTATATCCAGGTGTGCTTTTTCATGTAAATTTATGAAGAAATTTGGTAATAAAACCTGTTCTTGAGTCTGATCGAGCTCTTCACCAGGTCTCTTTTCATGATCTGCAGCAACTTCGCCGGCCCGGACAGCAAATTTTAGGGCAAGCTTCCAAGTCTGCCGGCCCCACCCCTATTCGACCTTCTCCACTATCCACCCCTTGTTTTCTTTTCCCTCTTACCACAATAACCGTACAACGTTTTACATGTAGCACAGAGATTAGTGGGAATCGTAGGCCAAAGACCGAACTATCAGAATCTACACGCACTGCTCTTATATTTGCTCTCGAAAATAGTACAAGTCCTACCAAAATCGCCTGTGATTTATATATTAGTCTCAGGCGGGCATAATAGTGATGAACACCCTAATATCAATCCTTTGCTCCACAAATCACCTCATTCCCACTCTGTCGGTTGCACAATTACCCGATTGGGTTGCGTATATGCCATACCTAAATCCTTCAAATGGGGGCACCTTATAACTATATTAGGAAGGCGATGGGCATCAATACATGCCTGATTCATAAAATCAATACCCATTCATAAACCAAATATTATGTAATTAAGTACTGTTGGTTTCGAGTGTAGTACTGTTGGTTTCGAGTGTAGTACTGTTGGTTTCGAGTGTAGTTTAGAAATACATAGAAGCACCTCAAGAATGTTACAAGTATAGCCATGTCATTCCATTGTAACAAAAGATTTATCTTAACTCATATATCAAATAAATATATAGAAGAAAACTATAATAGTAATAAAAAGTTCTTTGTATTTAAAAAAAAGATAGTAAATCGATATTCTTACCGCCGTCCTAATATGGATTACAAGGTGTTAAGGATTCGGGTGTGAGATTGAGGCGAGGTTGATATGGGGCTCAAGGGGGGCCCAGCCCTGGTCCGCCATCAGCCCCCAGAGGGGCCAGTTGTTAGTCCATAAGCAACTTCAAAACTATAATTAGTATAACAGGGAAAATCTCTTAACTGACCATCCTTTCGCCCCTATTACTTCGTCATTTCTAGTTTGCAGCGGATCATACATAAGCAATGTGAAGTGGCCCCCATCCAGCCTTTGCTCGGGCGTGATAGAGGAAGCCTTTTAGGAATAATAATAATAAAGCTCCCGTCTAGCTTGACATCTAGCCTCATCAGCAAAGCATTTCTCTTCGGCCCCCCCCGCCCCCTTCCATCTTCTCTCCTCCTTTCTCTTTTTAGATGGCCTCTTGTCTGTCTCGCCTAGACACGAATTTGATATAGCCAATCGGGGCATTCAAGCCACCACTGTTCAGCCAACAAGAAATTACTGCAGTGGGGCCCCCCGATTGCTCTTTCACCATGTTGTTGCTGAAGAACGTCCTTTTTCTTCTTTTCCTGATCTTTGAACTCCTCCTCGCTGCCAGCATCCAAGTACGACAGGACTCCAAGGTCCAAGTATGGCAAGACACTTCGGTTCGGAATTACTTCCAAGACGACACCATGTTTCTCTGGAACGGGATCGCCACATTCTCTCGTCACGTCACCGATGGCCAGCTTGTGCAAATAGCGGAAGATGGTCTTAAATCTATGCTCAGGGATGCACGCGATAGGGTGCCCAAAAAGCGGGTTCCAACAGTCATGTCGGCACTGGTGTATCAGGGAAAAAGCGACTGGCGCGTTTTTCTTTCTTCGTCATTGAAGGGCTCGACATCTATGATCTACGAATACAAACAGGTAGAGGGAGACAAGGCATGCGGAGACATGAGAAATACGGTCCCTGGAGCAGTGAAAGACGCACTCAGTCAGTGCGCTGCCGAGACAAAGTCAAGCCAACACCTTTATGATGCCGGCTGCGGCGAGATGAACATTCTGTTGGAATTCGCTGCTAAGACTGGACGAAGTCCAAGGAGGATCGCGGCCAATTCCCGGATGGTGACATGGCAGGGCGAAGTGGACGGGAAAAGCTTGAAATACTCTGGTGGAAAAATTAAACCACCTTGCACGGCGCCCGGGAGATTTGGATGTGATAATACTCTTAAGGCGCTCACCCAACGCATTAAAATTCTCAGCGAGGATACAGGACGCCGGAGCTATGTCAGCAACAGGCCTACATCAACAGAATACCAGCCCCTGTTCCCTGGTTATGAGAACGGTGCCACAGAGTCATCTGAGGACGGTACCACATAGCCATCATGAAAAGGGGCGAAAAAGGCGGAAAGAGGAGAGAAATATATGATCTACGAGGAGATCATTTGCGCGGGGGGATTTCAGCAGTGTCTGGAGCCATGGAAGTGTCATTCCAATATACAGAAGCCACAAACAATATGGAACGTGGAAGCCTCGTCTATAATAAGCTTTGCTATTTATGATTGACAAAACAAGGGAAGCTAGGTTGTAAATTGTTTAAAGTGTCTGCCGTTGAGAAGACATTCTTGTCTCAGTCCAGATCCCGTTGGAAACATCGTCACATATAACCTCAAATTCAATCCCTTCCCGAGCACAAGCAGCCCGCGCAATATCTCTTTCTTGGTTATGAACGGGCGAGCCGAAGAGCAATGGACACCCGCGCACAGAGAGTCGTTTCAAACCAGGCATATGCGGACGTAGCCTTGCTGCGTTCTGCGTGACCAGATCTAGCAAACAATCTTCATGCCAGCCTTCCTCATCGATAGTGTGATAATCGGCCCGCAAACAGAGTTGCTCGACTGTGGCGGGTAAACCCAATGTCAGATCAACCGATGGCTCCGTCGCCCATCCGGCCAGTAGATTGGCTGGCATCTCCACAGAATGAAGGCTGTGGAAATGCTTCAACAGGCCGTAGAATGGGGAGCTTAGCCTCGCCTCTTCCGCATTCAGCCAGACGTTACCGCACATGGTGGGTGGGAAGTACTCGATACCGAAGGAGAGGTTTTTGAGAGACTCCCGAAGGGACTCCAGACCTTGGATGATGAATGACCCGTCTTGTAATGCTGTTTCCTTGCCCCATCTATAAGCCATTCCCAAATGCAGGGTTTCTAAATGGGGGGCAAGGGAAAGGACTTTGGGAACCTGAGCCTCCTGTATGGTTGTTCGAGCTAGAATCAGACGCTGAAGCCGAGAGAGATCAGGGGTTCTATCGGGTAGTTCGACTCCCTGCTTAGTCTGGAGCCATATTTTGAGGGATCGAAGAGACGGTAAGTAAAACCAAGCAGGGAATTGTTCCGGATTGCACTGGGGATAGCCACGGTCTTGGTAAATCTCTGGATAACCAAAAGATTGTTGGTCACAGGGAACGTTGGCGCCATAGTCCACGTCCGTGAGCGAGTTGAACCGAGATAATGAAGACTTGGAGGAAGAAGAAAGAAGAGCATGTCGTAGCATCAGTCCCGGAAACCCTGACTGCCACACAAAAGAGAAATCCAGCTGAAGAGAGTGCAAGTTGTGGAGTTGGGAGAGAAGGATCGACACGAAAGCATATGGGTTTCCGCGTTTGAGAGCAAGGGCCCAGGTATTAGTATCTGGAAACCCCGAAGATTCGACAATCACTTGAGCGTGGTGCAAGACATCCTGAAAGCTGGCAATCTCTTTTTTACAGTCTGTCTGGCAGCTTGGAGGCTTCCAGTCATCGCGAGCCTCTTCCTCTTCATGCGACACAAGACTCAAGTGGCGAATTTGGGATGCGCGCTCTGGTTTCTGTAAGATGGCACGAAACAATAGAAGCACTCTGCGGAAAGGAATCGGTTTCCAATCCCAGGCGATTTTCCGGAAGAGAAAAGGCTCGATGAAGGAGGAGCTGCTCTTGGACACAAAAAGAAGTGACCTGTAGTCCTCTGGAGAGAGGTGTTCCAACACTTTTAGCCAGCAATCGCTGGGCAGCAAAGACACGGGACTTGGCAGATGTCAGTGGGAACGCGAGAGATGAAATTTGTGACATATCTCGATGGATCATCTTTCACTGACCTTGAGCTTGAGCCATCAGCCATATTCGGAGGGTGAGAAGGTGGAAGGAGGAGAAGGTGGAGAAGGAATACGTTGTACATTCTCACCATCTTGGCTGATCCTGGCCCCCAGCTGTATGGATCATCGTCAGGGTGGGCCGGCCCCAAGTAAGTGGGTTCTGCCTGGAAGTGCCGCTTATTCCTCACATCCGCGAGATAGGGGGCTTGGGCGCCGATTATTTCACTGACAGTCCCCGTCACAACTGGGTATCAAGCTACAGGTCGCTTTGAAAGTGGGCCTACTATTTCTTGGAGATGTCTCGCATTACTGAGTACTATACAACTCCATGATCACATCCTCAATGTCATAAACGTCATCATTCATCATGCCTCGTGCAGACATGCAGGGACAGATGCCCCCGTTGTCAAATTTCCACCAGAGAAGGGAAACAAAAAGATGATCAAACTGTCTCCATGCGCCACAATGCCTCGCCGGTCCAATCTTGATGGGCCACCCCGTTCTCTTTCACCATCCCGAATAAAGGGTATCCATTGAGAAACACAAAACAAAACTAAAACCAAAGCCCCTAATTCCCGAGAAAGAAGAGTCATCAAAAACACAAGTCAGCGGACGTGATAACTTGGCTTCCGTTGCCGGTTCACCACGGGCGGCGGCTCATCCACCGGATACGGGGGCCGGACCTTGCCAGTCGACGGAGGTGGAGGCGGGGCAAATAACGGTGCGGGCATGGAGATGCCCCCGCCATCTTCCTGAGATGGGTAGGGAATGGGTGTCTTGGGGGGAAGGGGAGGCGGCATGCTGGGAGGCGGGAATTGCTCGCCGCTGTGGCGGGGGAGCCCTGTTGCTGTGATGCCGGTCGGCTGTGTTCGTGGCTATGGCGGTAGCTAGCAATATCACTGCCGGATTGCCGCCCAGGGGCTGGTGAGATATTGTCTTGCGGCGTGGGGTGAACCGGCAGCGAGTCATCCGGTGGCGCAGACATGGTCACGTTAGTCGGGACGGGGGGCGCCTGTGCCGGGGGATGTGGTGGATACTCGACGGGCTCGGCGGGTAACTCGATGGCGATGGGATTCGACGGAGGCGGCACCGATAACGACGGGGGATGGGGCGATATTGACAGCTCCTCGGTTGCGAGGTCGAAAGACAAGTCATCCCGGTCACCCCCGGCGGCAGCATGATTCGCCAGGCGACGGTTCATGCGCTCGATCTTTGCGAATTTCACACCCGCGTCCAGAATCATCTTCTTGACCTCAGGCTTCGACAGGTATCTGCGCGTGTTGGTGCTGATGTCTGCAAGTCGGTTCCATTCGTTCATGCCGAACTCGCCAACCCCGACCTCAACGTTAAAGCGGTAGTAGTTGTCTTTGCTCACGTTGCGCTTGGCAAGATATTCCCGAAGCATGTCATGATGAATGTCTTCGCAGCCTTCGATCTTCGCAATAAGTCGTCGTCGCGCCTCCGCAAAAGTGCCCAGCGCGTCCCCGAAGAAGTCCTCCCACCATTCGTGCTGTCGGTTGTTGGTACCTGAGGGTCGCTTGCCGGTGCCCACACTGACAAAGACGCCGACCTCGCGGCCCGGCCACTCATTCACGACAGCTTCGTCCAGAATTTGCGGCGCGGGGTTGTATGTCCCGGGGCCTTCGTCGATGAAGTTGTGCTGGCCGATCTGAATAGGTTTGAAAGCCAGCCCCGTGGCGGAAGTCGCACGACCAGCCTGCCAGATAGTACAGTCAAATTCAGGCGGGGGCTCTCGGCGGGAGTCGTAGGAGCGTAGGAGCACGGCCGGTCCGTTACGCGGGGTACCCTTATAGAGAGCGGTGACAGCACTAACAGCATTAGTTAAGACGGGTTATCAGTGGCCGGAATTCGGCAGAACTCACGTTTTGGTCCGATTTTCACGGCTATCATAGAGCAGTGCATCTGGATTGCCCCAACGCAGCCCGTTGATAAAGGTAGAGCCTCTTTGACTCGCCGGCGGAGATGTGTATGACGGGTTGGCAGTGCTGAAGCTACCTCGGCTGACAGAGCGCCGAGGAATTGAGCCGGGGCTGTATGGCAGGCTGGAGATGGAGGCGCGGGGGTTGGAATCACGCATATCATTTCCCTCGGCCTCGAACACTGTATGTTCCCGCACGCATTCTCGAATGGCCTCCTCGAGTTTGGAGGCCTTGAAGAGCGTCGAGCGATAGGGGATACCCGCGATCGTCTTGTCAGTCTCGAAGACTTTGCGAGTCATGCGGACGTATACTTCCTTGCAAGTCTCGAGGTCGAGACGCAGGCGACCGAGCATCAGGGCGATGAGGCCACCCGTTCCAGTGCCGGCGATCAAGTCAAAGTGGTCGCAGGGCTTGGGAATTTGGTCGCGGCGCGGAGGCTTGCCCTCGCATTCGACGTAAGTGCGGTACATGAGTTCCTGAAGGATGATGAGCATGGAGTAGCCACGAACGCCGCCTCCATCTGCGATAGTCAGCCTCGGTCAATCATGGGTCTACGAGGTGATCAACAGGTAGTCCTTACCGAGCGACAGGATCCTCAACGGAGGACCCTTGGTTGTATCCTTGCGACACAAGGAAGCGGGATCCATCGCGACTGCGGCAGTGGGTGTTGGAGCAATAAAAGATCGCTGTTTTTCTTTTATTTCTTGCGGCAGCTTACCCGCAGCGGGGCTCAGCGGTGCCTTATGGCCCGGAGTCGCGGGACTGGCGCCTGACCAGCCGGGTTGAAGCGTGGAAGCGTGTAACCGGTGAAACCACAATGGTCAAATGCGGCGCCGGTTGGGAAAGTGTGACGAGGTCAACGTGAGAGATCCGCTTTATTGTGTGGGCTCCGAATAGGCAGCGGCGTATGAGGGACTGGAGGGGCCAAGCCACCGATAGGGTCCTGCAAGGTTGATTTGGAGCGTAATCGCACAGCAAGGCTGGGCTGGGAGTATGGCCACGTAAAAGAATGAAAATAGACAGACCAGCAGGCAGAACGAAAGAGGTGAAAGCTCTCAGTTATTCTTAGAAAATGACGAATCCACATCGAGTCGCTTTTCCATGGATAGGAGCAGGTCATGTGATGTAGTGGCGGTGCATAGGCTTGACGTAATTGTGGCAGTGTAAAACATCCAGGGACCATCAGGTACCTTCTTTTATACTTGGTTTTCAATACATAAGAAAGTATTGAGATGTACTGCAAGGTTGACAAAGAACATACTGGAACATTGCCTTTTCAGGCGACCAAGTAGGGCCCTATAAAGTGTTGGGGTGAAGACCACCTACAAATACTTTTTCAACATTGGACTTCACTACCTCGCATTGAATGACCACAATTTAGACGCTCTTTCCATTGTCATATCCTCACCACGATCCTCTGATTCCCGAGTCGTCTGGATCCATTCATCATAAGCTGTTCAATGAGCCTCTTGAGCAGCATCCCATGCATCGCTCGGAACCCATCCATCCGACTTCGTATGTAGAGAGCCGTAGAGCCAAAGCTTGAGCGTTTGCATAGTCTCGAAGTCTTCATAATCTCGCGCATGCTCCCTGGACTCCTCCTCAGTCGGATTTTATGGACAATCACCCGGCAGCCCTAGTTCCAAGAGCTCAATTAGTTCTTGACGGACATGTACGGCGCTGTCTCGCCATGAAGTGTGACAGTAGTGGAAGAGACGAAACAGGATCGGATCAAGTACATGATCTAGCGGGAATGTAATTTCGGACCAAGGCCGTTCATGTAGACATCGTAGGTCTGGGAATAGATCAAAACATCTTTTCGCTCTCGTTCTCGTTAATGCCTCTCGTGTTCATCGGGGAGAGCGGCGAAATCAGGGGTCTCGTTGGCATATATAAAGGCTGGCTTGATGCTTTTTAATGACCATGAAAATTATTCATTGATGCTGTCCGAATCTATATGCTAACAAAGCCGAAGTAAACACCCATGACACAGATATATTGCTGATTCTTTATACATTCCCTTTCCTTGAGTTCTTCCTAGATGTCTTGACAAATGCCTATCTACAGATCGTTATTCTCTGTGGAGTGGACCTCAGTTCGTCAACCCGGGCCAGTCTATCAAACCATATCCATTAGTCATGCCAGAGCATAGAAAGTAGCAACCAAGAAGGGAAAAAGAGACACTTACCAACAGCAGACCTCTCCTCACCACGCTCTTGGACCACCACCTCATCGCCGACCCGAATACTCATTCCATCACCAGCATGATCCAAGAACGAGTACCGACCAAACACGGGACTAAACTTGGCGCCAGAGTCCACCCGGCGATCCTTCATCAGCTTCTTCAGAACAGCCCCAGACTCGCCGTCGCCCATCCTGCCCGTGGCAAAGTCCACATTCAGACTCTGGCACCGTACACAGTTCCCCGTCAAGAGCAGCGAGACGCGGTCCGAGCCCACGGCCAATTTGGTCCAGAAATCCTCCTCAAAGGCCGTCTCGGCCCCCGACACCACGATGTTCGGCCGGAACTTGGTGTGGTCCATTTCCTCGCCGTCAGGGAGCCGTGTCGAGACGTCGTCGACGGAGGTCTCGGAGATGACGAGGTACGGCGCGCAGTCGGCGAAGCTGATCCCGTCTTCATGTTCCTGTTTGTTATCGTCGTCTTTGTTCGTGATCGTGTAGACCACGAGGGCGACTCCAGCGAGTGCGGCGGGGAGTAGCGCCTTAGCGGCTTCGGGCGACATGCCGTTCTGGATATAGCTTTTGGTCTGATAGATGGCATTGATGAAGAAGCTCACGATGAGGATGGGGTGGATCCATTTCTCGAGGCCGCTCGGGGATAGCAGCGAGTCTTGCCAGGTCTGCCACCACTGGCCGTTTCTGTGTTTCTGTTTCGCCGGCGCTAGGGTACCTAGCACTTCGCGCCAGTGATCCCCCATATATGCGAGGACCACGGGATAGCCGAAGCACGCGCTGAACCACTCGTTGTACTCTGCGCCCATGTCGTACGCGGTGGTCGGGCTCTGGTGCATGACGACCTCGAACGACTTGAGGTTCTTCACATCGGGTTGGAGCGGGATCTCTAGTTTGTTGACGGAGGAGACTTCGGCATCCGAGCCTGGTGCTGCCGATGATGATTGCGACGGGGGGTGGTGCGAAACAATGACCTTCCCGCGGTCATCTTCGCCCTGGGGGATTTCGATGTCGGTCTGGAATAGGCCCATCTCCGGGGCGCGGGTGACGTGCATGTTCTTCAGCGTTGTGGATCCGGAGTTGTCGGTGGCGGGCTGCACCTTGAGCAGCATGAAGCGGCGGTCATATTGCAGACCACGCGGAGTGAGGATGCCCTCAGTGATGGAGGTCGGTCGTAGGGATTTGATCGGGTAAATATAGAGCTGGCCATCAATCAGTGGTAGTCACCGGAGTGAGTTTGAGGGCGATGAATTGCAATTTCTCAACGCATACCTGGCTGACTTTCATCTTTGCGATCGACTGTATGGTGTGGGAAAGTCCAACTTGGCCAATGTGAAGTGACGGCATCGCGCTTTGACCGAGCTTATCGCTGATCGCTTATCTATCATCTTGCGCATAGCCCCTGGGGCCATATATCTGCTCGAGCTGTGAAACAATCATATTCGTGTGGAAGTGTTGAACCCATGCAGGAAAATGTACAGATAATTAAAAAACCACAAAATGTCTACTGATCCTCGGCCCAAGGCAGACTGAACGTGCCCACCCAGTCCTCCACCTCTTGCCGCAGCAATACAATCTCTGAGATCTCCTCGCCCTCGCCGACGTACTCCGAGAACGCCTTGATGGTCCCGGGGTTCTTTGCACCACGAGACTGTGCCTGCTCCCGAGCGGCCTTGTCCAATTTCTGAGTCAGAATAACAACGCGGTCAACGATGTCGGCTACCCGACGGAAGTCCTCGGGCTGGAAGCCCCGCGAGGTCATGGCCGGAGTGCCCAGACGCAGGCCACCGGGTTTCAGAGCGGACTTGTCACCTGGCACCGTGTTCTTGTTACTGGCAACGCCACAGAGCTCCAGCACCCGCTCAACACGGGCGCCGTCGACACCGCGGTTCTTCAGGTCCACCAACACCAAGTGGTTGTCGGTGCCGCCAGACACGATGTTGTAGCCGAGACCGCCGTTGCTAGTGGAGGATCCGAGCCGCTCCGCCAGTGCCTGGGCGTTGTCCAGAACGGTCTTCTGGTAGGCCTGGAAGTCTGGCGATTGGGCCTGCTTGAGCGCGACGGCCAGCGCAGTGATGGTGTGGTTGTGAGGACCGCCCTGGTGGCCAGGGAAGACCGACGCATTGATCGGGTTCTCCAGGTCGTACATAATGGGGTTGCCCTTCTTGTCGGTGCCGCGGAGTCCCTTGCGGTAAAAGATCATAGCACCACGCGGGCCGCGGAGAGACTTGTGCGTGGTGGTGGTCACCACGTCCGAGTGGGGGAAGGGAGACGGGAGCGCATCAGCAGCAACCAAACCCGAGATGTGTGCCATATCAGTCAGCAAGTAAGCACCCACGGTATCGGCAATCGCGCGCATGCGTGGGTAGTCGATCAGGCGGCTGTAGGCCGAGGTGCCCGCGACAATCAGCTTGGGCCGGTACAGGTGGGCCAGCTTCTCCAGCCCGTCATAATCAATCAACCCCGTCGCTTCGTCCAGTCGGTAGGGCAGAGTCTCAAAGTATTTGGAGATGGCCGAGATCTTCTTGGTGGGGGTCTGGTAGCCGTGCGACAGGTGGCCGCCGTGTGGTAGGTCCAGGCCCATGAGGCGATCGTGGGTGTTGAGCAGCGCGGAGTAGGCGTAGAGGTTTGCGGGCGAGCCAGAGAGCGCTGGGTTAAGTCAGCTAGTTTTCATGCCATTGCAGCAACACGACATACGTTGGACATTCACTCCCCACTCCTCTGGGTTGAGACGATAGGTCTCCAGCGCGCGTTGCTGACACAACCGCTCCGAGGCGTCAATATGTTCATTTCCACCATAATAGCGAGCACCGGGGTAGCCCTCGGAGTATTTATCTGGGTTGCGACCAAGGTTAGCCTAGCCTGGCTTAAGAGTACACGGGAGCTAGAGCTGCCTACTTTGCATCACACTGCCAAGCGCATCGAGAACAGCTTGCGAGGTGAAGTTCTCGGAGGGGATCAGGTTGATAAAGTGCTTTTGGCGGGTTTTCTCCTGCAATGGTCTTAGCCGCTATCCACTGGCTAGCTCCGGGGCAATGACGCACCTTCTGCAGGATGTTATAGACGGCGGGGTCGGAATCCTCGAGGGATGCGGAAAGCAGCTGGTAAAGGGATACATATTAGCTTCCACAGCCAAGCCAATTGAGGCCATCTCAAGCCGGTACCTTCTGCTGTGCATCGCGACTCGACGACACTCCCCGCGCCAGAGGGGCTAGTCTGGAGGGCAGATAGGCGGAGACAGCTACGGGCGGTCTGGAGCTCCGCAGGGGGAGTCGAGCAGCTTGTCGGCCACAGCGCGACAAGAACATGGTGCGATGAAGAAAGAAGTCACAGAGAAACCTGCAATTCCAACTGAGCTTTAATGGGCAATCGATAGGAAAAGCATCGGTTTTATAGCGGAGAGGTTATCGCATCTCGGACCATCGCGCCTTCCCGTTGCCCGCGGAAAGCAGCCGCGCTAAACCCCTTTGAGCTCTCCGCCTGGCCCGTGCGCGGAGCCCTTTTTCCCGCCCGAAAATTCTGCGTTTCTTTTTGTTCTTCACACAACTAAATCCAAGATGAAGAGACGGCGTTCTATCTGTGTCAGCTCTCGTCGGTGTCCGGGGTTCTCTCTGGACACTGGACGGGCGCTGCTGAGAAGGTCCCGCGCCCTTTCACCATCCATTTAGGGACCAGTACCATCGGATTGGAGATGTTGTGTGGCATTGGCTCTGGATCAGGCGAGTCAAGTGTTCAAGGCATGGCACCGAGCTCAATGAGGATATTGGGCTTGGACGTGTCGAGATTGAAGATAGCCAGAGCAGCGGATAGCATGAACGGTGTTGGGTTTCGGTTTCTAGTGATGGTCTATCTACTGTTTATTTTGGGACCACGGTGTTCAAGCGTAAATACGCAAGGGGCGCCTGAGGCACAATCAGCCGAGAGATCCCGGGCAGATCAGTTGAACACTCGGCCATCACTGTGTCCTTCATGTACCCGGGTGTCCCTATTTTCATTCATAGATATGCGCTCTGTTTGATACCAGTCCAGATACTTTCTTGACTTCGTCTGACTGCCTCATCTCTCCTGAATTGCAAGTATATCCATGGATATAGCGATATTATGGCCCCAGTAAGCCTAGACTTGGAAATCGTCCAAAAAGCCCTAACAGCCGTGCCCGACGAGGTAACGATCCTCTGGGCCACGCACCACAAACCGGTTCCCAATCAATGTCCCCATAATAATCCCACAAGAGGGCCTTGAACTGATCTATTGAGGCCAGAATCCACTGGACCAATGGTCCAGACTATAAGAATAATATTAGAATAATAAAAGGGAAAAAGAAAAAGAAAAAGAAGTGTGAGGCTGTTATTGCCACGCTCGCCCCTTTTTCTGGTTGGTGCACGGGTACCTGAGTCGACCCGGGGGTTTTTTGATTATAAGCCCCGGCCCCCCCTTTCCCTCTCTCCTTCTCTCTTCTTCTTCTTTCCCCATCACATTCTCTTGCGTATCCCCGGTTTTTTCATTCCGAGTACATTCTTTTTTTTAAACTTCGCAAAAGTCATTCTTTAACTAGACACCCTCGTGTCCTATACTCCTACCACATTCCTCAAACGAACATTTTTGGAACCCCCTTTCCACATTTTTTACGCTTTCTCCGATCACAATGCGTTTCTCTATCGCTGCCCTCTCTGCCCTGGCCGCCGGTGCCGTCGCCACCTCCAGCAGCCACGCCCTGACTACTGAGGTTGTTACCCACTACACCACCTACTGCCCCGAGGCCACCTCGGTCGTGCACGGTGGCCACACCTACAGCATCTCGACGGTAAGCCTGCGCAGAATCTCTTCAAATCTTCTGATCTTATGGATCGAACTAACACAATTACTTCTAGCCTGGCGACATCACCATGACCCACGGTCCCTTCACCGTCACCCGTCCCCTGATCACCCAGACCGTCACCCAGTGCAACCAGTGGTGAGTAACCTACTCGGAAGACAATTCCCAATGATTTATCGAGCAGTTTTAACTAATCTACTTCTCTCAATCCAGCTCCAGCGGTGTCCCTCTGCAGACCCCCATCAAGAGCCCCGTCGCGCCCCCCCGTCGCCCCCAGCGGTGCCCCCAGCTCGGGCGCTGGCTCTGGCTCGGGCTCGGGCTCGGGCTCGGGCTCTGGCAACCCTGGCTCCCCCTCCGGCACGGGCTCCGCCTCCCCCTCGCAGTCCTCGTACAACGCCGGTGCCATCAACGCCGCTACTGGCGCTGGTGCCGGTCTGGCCGCCGTCTTCGGTGCCGTCGCTCTCCTGCTGTAAAGTGGGGGCTTGATGTGCGATCTTGATTCGTCCCATTTTTTTTTTGATCCATGCATTGGTGTGTTTCATCGAGGGATAAATGGGACTGATACGCGGCGATGAGATGATGTCGCAGCAGATTTGAGATTATGCTTGATTTCAATCGCTGCGACGTTATTTTGTTTTTGCGGGGTTTCACGGCGATGGGATATTTCTTCGGGTGTATATGTTCTTTGTCTATGTTTCTTGTTAGATAATACATAATGACACCCCTACAGGACTGTTGTTCTCTGGGGTGTTTTATGTTCATCTTTTGATTGTTGACTGGATTTTCTTTTCGATTGGATTTTCTTCGGTTCTTTTGTTGCGTGATATTCTCCTGGACATACCTTGCCGTTATTTCTTATTTGAGTGTTTCTATTTCATTCTCTTCGATCATTCGTAGTGTCTGGTCTTTACAGCCTATTCTCCAGGATATAGTTCAGCCCTATGCTAACCATCTTAGACTTGGTCCATGTGTTGACTATCCCGACGATCCATGGATGCCAATTGTTACCCAATTAGGCACTTTCAAGGGTTGCCTCTCAGATTGCAAGATCTTGGTCCCAAAACACGATCAAAATCCTTGATACGTCAGATACCTTTGCCGCAGCAGATTTGATACTATACTGACCCGAAAATATGTAACTATCCATAGACACAGACCACAGTCACTCACCGTCAACTACAACTTCGCCTTCCCCTTCCTCTCAAAATACTCCCTAATCCGCCTCCGGGCAACCTCGACCACCTCCAAATCTTCCACCGTCGGCGGCACACTCACCGAGGCCTGATACTCGCCCCGCGCCGCCTGCTCAACCAGCTGGCGCAGAACCCGGCGCAGCGTCTTCCCGCTCCGCGTTTTGGGAATCATGCCACGGCCCTGGATCATGCCGCCCAGCGAGGCGATGGCGCCGATTTGTTCGCGGACAAGGGCATTGACCTCGGCGAAGAGCTGGGGCGTGGGTGTGGCGGGGAGGGATGTTTCTTGGGGCGAGGTGCCGGGGCGCGGCTGGATGAATGCGAAGGGGAGAAAGCCCTTGAGGGAATCAGGGAGGCCGACGACGCTGGCTTCGCCGACGGCTGGGTGTGAGAGGATGGCTTGCTCGATGGCGCCTGCATTTTGGGTTGAAAATTGTTAGTTCTTGTTTAGAGGATCAAAGCATTTGTGGGGGGTTGGGGGGCGGGGGAGGAGGAGGAGAAAGAAAGAAAAACGGGGACACATACCAGTGCTGAATCGATGTGCTGCCACATTGATGATATCGTCTGACCGCGACATAATGTGCACGTAGCCTGCATCATCGATCATGCCCGCGTCGCCCGTGTCCACCCATTTCCCGGTAAACCGTTTCATATAGCCGGCATAGAATCGCTCTTCGTCCTGGAACAAGCTCGTGAACGCCGTGGGAGCCAGTGGCGGCGCCATGACAATATTGCCCATCGTGCCCTGCGGCACCTCGACGCCGTCATCGTCGACTATCCGCACATCAAACCCGGGCATTGGTGGGCCGGCTGATCCAGGTCGAACAGCGAGTGGCTGGGCCGCTCTTGGGGACGGTTTCCCTGTAACGGAGGCGGCGCCGTTCAGCGCCAGACCAGAGATGGGCGATCCAGACTCAGACGACCACCAGTTGTCAATAACCAGCGCACCAGGCGCAGCATACTTCCCCAGCAATCCTTGGTATGTTTGGATGATGCTCGGCTCGCTGCGTTCGCCCGCTAGAAACAAAGCCCTCAGGGACTGTAGACCTCCGCGTTTGCCGACTTCCTCGACAAAGCGGTCGTTCGGGTCGTCTTTGCGGATGGCACGCATTGCGGTTGGTGCTGTGAATAGCGCGTTGACTCGGTGTGCCTCAACAATGCGCCAGAAGACCCCTGCGTCTGGTGTTCCGATGGGCTTGCCCTCGAAGAGGACTGTCGTTGCGCCAACGAGTAGCGGCGCATACAAAATATACGAGTGGCCCACGACCCATCCGATATCAGAGGCACAGAACATTACATCACCAGGACCCTTGATCCCAAACATAGACTGAATCGATAGTTCGAGGCCGACGGCGTGGCCGCCTGCTTCACGAAGAACGCCCTTGGGGAGTCCCGTGGTGCCTGCCGTGGACATGGTTAGTGACTGGACTCAAGGAAGCTCAGTAAACATCCTACCGCTGGTGTAGATAATATAGAGTGCGTCGGTGCTCTTCACAGGCACGGGCTCCGCCCGGATGCCCCGCATGCGTGCACTTTTGACCAGGCGTTGCCAGTTCCGCTGGCCGCCCAGCTTGTCTGGGTTATTCCACCGCAGCTGATCGCGCTGCCACACGATGACCTTGCTAGGTTTGAAACGACTGGCCTCAACCGCACCCTCCACCAGCGGCCGATACGAAATGGGCCCTTTGGCTCCTTCGATGCCGCACGAAGCAGTCATGATCGCTCGCGGGCGTGCCGCCTCGATGCGTTGCGCCAGAGACTGCGCTGCGAATCCACCAAAGACAGCCGCGTGGATGGCACCCAGGCGCGTGATGGCCAGTGCGGCAATCAATGCTGCTGGAATCATTGGCACTGCCAACAGGTCAGAATGCTAACGTCATCTTATCATGATGGACTGACGTACTGTATATAATCACCACATCACCCCTTCGGACGCCTTCCTCCCGCAATACGCCCGCAAGGACCTCGACTTCATCTAGTAGTTGTCGGTAGGTATATTTTTCCGTCGTGTGGGTTACAGGCGACTCCCAAATGATGGCAACCTGGTCGCCTTGGCCATTGTGCACATGGCGATCTACACAATTGTAGGTGGTGGAGATCTCACCATCGGGGAACCATGACCAGTGCTCATGCTGAACCCCACTCGATAGGGTCTTGGTCTGGCGAGTGAGAGCCCGCGATGGCTTGTGGTGCCAATGGAGCCTATCCGCATGGCTCGACCAGAAGGTGTTTGGGTCACGGAGAGAATGTTGATGCGCCGAAAGCTGGGGGTGTAGCATCACGGTATAGGCTCGAGAGCTGTGTGGAACGGTTTCAGATCGCGGTGCCCACAATCCATCGAGCACCGAGCTACTAATAGTGTGTTTTTACCCGAGGTCCTTCCAGAGGATCCGTCGGTGCGATTGGAGGACCGGAGAGATGGATGCAACAAGTTCCCAGTACCGGGGTCAGGATCGGCGAGGGCAGGAATGGATGGTCCATTCAAATCAGCTCGTTAAAACCCCCAAGAATCCGCTGCGGGGGAAGAGCTCCAGAGGGATGAAGCTGGAGAAACCCCAGATGGGCCCGAGGTGAGTCCGTGCTTTCCCCGCACCTGGGGGGTTACCCGCGAGGTACTTGCCGAATGCTACAGCCCACCGCCAATCGGTCGGTACTCCACCGGTACTACCTAGGTAGGGATTGGAGCTCGATCTGTAACGATTTATTCTATATCCGACAGAAAATGGCTGGAATCAAATAATCAAAATATAAAACAAGCTCAGTCGTAGGGTATCATATCGAAATGCCTGCTAATGCGCGACTGCGATCTTCTGGCTTGGTCGCCGGGGGCGGGGTTTTTTTTTTTCTTTTTTCTTTTCTTTTTCCTGGCCACCGGGCTGCTCCAATGGGTATATAATGATGCCGAATGCATCCATGGGCCGTGTGGAAGAGCGGGAGACGATTGTCGAGAGAATGGGGAGGAACATCCCAGCCCAATGCGCTCAACACTCGGAACACGGCATGGGCAGGGGCGCATATTCCCACAGGGTGACCCTTGCTGAACAAAGATGGAGATGCATCCAAAGAAGCTCCAGGCGACCGGTTGGGTGAGCTCCGGTGCAAGCGAAACGGATGATTGAAGCACGGTCGAGGCCGTCGACACCGAACAAAAGGTCGTAACCAAAAGACAGAACCACCCTCCAGAATGCACCCGAGAACCAAAAAGGAACAGGAAATGTGTATATATCCTCATATCAATGATCACAGATCAAAGGACCAGCCATCACGCTCTCTGTGGGCGCATTCATTTCAGTGCTCCACCTCCTGGACGGACCCGGCCGATCACAGGAGGACACAAATTCGGCCACGATGCCGCGACCGATCAGGCCGGAAGGACTTGGGGTACTCGGGACCTGCGTCACGGTCTCGGTGACCCGATCCAAAGCCCGTTGGGCGGCGGTCCTGGCTCCGGCCGCCTTGCTGCTGTTGGCGCTGCTGGCGCAGCATGCGCACCACATCGTAGAAGGCCTTTTCGACATTGATGCAGTTCTTTGCAGACGCCTCCACGAATTCACACCCAAGTTCCTTGGCAAGGGCCTGGCCCTCTTGTGCCGAGACGGCACGCTCCACAGCCTTGTCACTCTTGTTACCGACGAGCATCACGGGGACGGGCAGCGCGGGGCCGGAGGCGTGGATGGGGGACCCGAGGTAGCTGGGACCGGACGGCGAGCCGGAGCTAGCAGACTCCTTGACCATCTTGATCTGGTTGTAGAATTTGGTAATGCGGGAGAAAGAAGCGCGCGACGTGATGCTATAGACCAGTACAAACCCCTCGCCATCTCGGATCCACTGATCTCGTAGCGCAGTGTATTCCTCCTGGCCCGCCGTGTCCAGCACCTCGAGCATACACGACTGTTGGTCAATCACAACTTGTTTGCGATATGAATCTTCGATGGTCGGGTCGTATGTTTCGACAAAGTGGTTGAGACAGAGCTAACTGGTGTTAGCCTCGGGGAGACATCCCCTTGTGGCCAGAGGTCAACCAACCTGAATGGTAAGGGCAGTCTTTCCAACACCTCCATCACCCAGCACCACCAGCTTGTACAACGTCATTTTCCCTGACATGGCGGGCAGTGTCTTTTTTTTTTTTTTGCCAACGGGCACAATCGAGCACGATCGGGGTGGTAGAGGAGGGGGCAAAGTTGGTGGCAATCGCGTCACTACTCCGAATTAGCATAAGGAAGTTCCAAGTTTCGTCAAAGGAGCTTACCTGGATTGCTTGGAATTAATTTCAGGGGGGTTGGTGTCCGAAGGAGGGGGGAGGGTGCGCGAAAAGAGGGGGGGAGAGAGAGAAGGGAGAGAAGCACGTTCCAGGCGGGGGGGCAAAGACGGGAACCACACAAGATAGAGACCAATTGTTCAATTGCTCCAATTACTCCCGAATGACGCGAAATGGGAAAAAGCAAAGGAGAAGAGAAGAGAAGAGCGAGGATGGAGAGAGGGGGAAGGGGAAGTGTGCGAAGTGGCTGGACCCAAGTGGAGAGGGAGAGGGGAGAAACCACAATATGACAATCGATGGATATGAGTTATGAGAGAAAGATGGAATAGAAAATATATATAATAGATATTATATATATATAATATAAATATATCAATATAAATATATCAATATAAATATATCAATATCAATATCAATATCAATATCATATCATAATCTCCCTCGAGCTCAATCCCTGTCGGGGCACTGATTTCTTGTTCGCTCCGAGACCGTCTCGGGTCCAGTGGGAGAGTACTATGTTTTGTTCTTTCTTTCTCTTCTTTACTTCCCTTCTCCCTTCTCTCTATTTCCCTTACTCTCACTTCATTTTTATTTTTATTATTATGAATATTTTTTTTTCTCAACATCCTTTGGTGGCGGAGCCCGGGCAAAGTCGCCCGACACACAATGGTATTCCTATAATTAGAGAGCGCCCGAGTAACAGCTCCATGAGATCATGCACTCGGCAAGATGATGTATGTCAGGAGGTGCGATATTTTCTTTCTACAGAAGAGAGAATGGTCACCTTCGAGAATAGTGTAGGATTTCGAAGGATAGAATGGGATATAAATCCCTTGGACATCTATGAATACTATGAATATTGGGATGGATCAATAATTGCGAATCCATCCCCACCCACCAAGTAATATATCAAAGATAGAATCAAAGAACCTTTAGACTTCCGGTGAAACTCGGCTTTGGACAAGCTCACATGGAAGAACATGCGGTCAATCTCGGAGAGTAACAGGGGGGAAAAAAACAAAAATGCACGGAAATACCGCTGAATGGACAAGCGGGTCCTTAAAACAAAAAGAAAAAAGGAAATAAAAAGGTGGATAACAGAGAAGGTCCAGGCTTTGAGCAAAATTTGGCCCGACACGGCTTGGCTTTTGCTGATTATTATGATTAGACGATTATGATATTGCTGTGATTACTCGTTTCTGGGGAATTATTCGGAAATATCTCAACTGCGCAGAGTTTTCTCACACCAAATCCTCTAAAATTGACTTTGATTAATTCTATGGATAATACCTCCCTAGGTATGGATGCGGCGTCAGACGATGCCCCATATCAACCCCATTATTCTTTCCCCTGGCATCTCGTGCTCCATGGTCCTGGGAGACGCTATGCATGGGTTCTCATGCACGTCGGTGGACCCTGTAGAATTTTTTTTTTTTCCCACAATATATATACAGAAAGAGATAGAGAGAAAGTGCCCTATCTCAATCCCTCAATCCCTCAATCCCACACCTTCTGTATCCTGTGATCATGTCAGAATTCCATAATTTCGGGGGCGAAGGAATTGGCATTGCACGGGAAGGCTTCCGGCAACGCAGGAATGTCTTCGGTGTAGAAGTGGACTGCTTTTAGTCCCGCGGAACGGCGCGTGAGTTCCCGCTGATAGATCGGCCCCCAGGCCTACCTGGATGGTTCATATAGTGGGGATGGGCGGCACTTCCCAGTTCTGTGGCCGCGGGCCATTAGTGATCTGCTAAATGGTGAAATATGTGAAATAGGTGAGGTGAAATGGTCTTTAGCTTGTTCCATTCACGGCTGTTCCCCAAACAGCAGTGATGTGCCCCCCCCCCCCCCCCCCCCCTTTTTTTTTCTTGCCCTAGTCTTTGATTGATTGATTTTTCTTTTCTTTATTCGCTTCCTGTCATATCTTGTGGGAAGGTTTGAGTCGGCTCTGACGGCAAGGCCCGAAGCGATGGGGGCAAAGGGGCCAGGACCCCAACTGTCACCAATAATGCTCATTATAACTGGCATGCGATAGGGGTTCGTGACGGATCCTCCCGTCCTGCTTGGCCGTTAGATGGAGACCTCGTTAACGGCCCGCCATGGTCTCTCTCCCCCTTCTCTCTCTCCTGAGCTGCGTATCTCTCTGATAGAATGATAGGTGTCTGGTGATCGACAGATCCAAGGGGCCGGAACTTGGTAACTTGGTGAAAACATGTATCTTGGGGCCACCGGGGCTCTCTCTCTTCTCTCTCTTCTCTTTCTCTCTCTGCCAGGCTGCGCCTTGCCGGGCACCCAAGTTGGCACCCAATTTGACCGACTCGTTTCTTTGGATCTTCGGTCAATCCCTCCGCCCCACGCCCGCCCAGCCTGTCTGATTTCTGGGGAAGAATGGGCTATGGTCGACTCCCCTATATCTCCATGCTAGCAACTCCCCCCTATTCCATAGTTCTAGGAGACCGGGGACGGTGATTTGTCAAATTAGGGGGTCAGGTCCATTCTCGATATTGTGAATCTCCTAGCGTTGGAAAGGGATGCTCTCCTTATTCTTTTCCTATCGGTCAAAGCTTAAAAATAACAAAATATAACATTTTGCCTCGGTAGTCTTTGGGTAATTTCTATTCTGGATACACAGCCTTATGCCTAAGCCATCTTAACCCATGGATGATTGTGCTCGACAACACATCTTGTATTGTATCTGGTTTATGCTCAGGAAGCAGGCTGCCTTCATTAGCACATTGCTTGGATTTGTTTAGATATGAGACATATCTTTGGCAATATATTTGAAATCCTAGCTAGCATGATCCGAAACCAAGATGGCCTATTCAACATCTCAAAATCCTCCTATATTTTTACTACAGACCGTATACAATTTGAATTCAGAGCCCACCTCAAGAAATTAATCTACTCATTCTCGATTATTGCAATGCCCAACCACTTGCAGACATCGCAGCAAATCTACCGCTGACATACCTATGTTCTCCATCTCTGCAAGTTCTCTTGGAAGAGAATCCCAGACTACAGGTCTCGGATGTCATTCCACCTGCCTTTACCCCATGTGCGATTAGTTCCGATCCTACCGGCTTTTCCGGAATTGATGATGAGCCAGTCTTTTATTTACTCAACTGACTCCTTTTGTGAGGAAGCTGTACTTGCGTTTCTCTTTCTTCTTTCATCTCGGGTACTGAACTGATGGATCACAACGGGCCCATATTAAATTGGAAGTATGCTTGATATCTAACTCATAGTTGCTAAAATAAAAAAGCGCCAGCCAGCACAACACTAAGCCCGCTGAATATCATCCAAGAATGCAGTCACCCTCTCCACCAGAATGCGCCGCGGCTCCGCCTGGTCACTGTCACTCAGCGCGTGCGACGCATTGGGAACCACCATACTGCGCGGATCCCACAACTGGCGATCCCCACCATTATCAAGGGCCGTCCGCCACCGCAGCAGCAGCGCCTCCTTGTCCACCCACGGCGGCACGGACTGGTCACGGCCTGAATACAGCACCATCAGTTTTTGATTCAGCAGGCCGCGCGCATCAACCATCCCAAAGGTCTGCCGCAGCTGCTCGTCACTCAGATCTGAACTGAACAGATCATCTTCCTCGGGTTTCTCAGGACTATCCGGGCTCACCAGGCTCAGGAACCGGCGACTGCTCACCGGCGCCGAGGCCGGATACCCGATGCGCGCGGTGACGGAGATGGGGACAATAGTGTCGACGGTGTCGTCATCTTCGTAGGTGGCGCGTCGCGCGTCTTCAACGGCGTTGTTGTACAGGTTGCGCATGGCGGCCGGGCTGTCGCGCTCCGTTCCGCACTTCAGCACCCACAGGATGCCCTCGCGGTCCGAAACAGGCGCCTGCATGATCGCGCCATCGACCGGGGTCCGGATGATCGGGGTCCAGCTCTTATCGAAGACCGGGTGTGGCGGCCGCGGGTTCGGGCAGTTTAGGTAGTGCAGCACGTCCTGGCTGCCCGTCGAGTGGCCCATTATCACCACCTTGCCCGCCCCGAACTGCGGTGTCTTGTACTCCCGGATGTACTGCACGCACTGCGCTAGCTCGTCGATGTCCTTGCCTAGTCGGCCCATGCCCCACCCCCCGTACGACGAAGAGAGCACTAGCGAAAATACCGTCCATTCTGTTGGTTCTAGCGCCCGCACGATGTCGCCCAGGTAGTCGACCGAGCCGAGTCCATCTCCGAGTCCGCCCACAAATAGAAGTGTGTGTGGCTTGCGCGGGGCTCCGCGCGTATACTCAAAAGCCACGAGGCTTTTGGTCTGGTGAGGATGATCAAGTCAGCAAAGGGACCTGGGGGGTCCTTTTGAGCAACAGGATTATTTACGCAGTTATGGAGGACGCCAGGCTGACCTCGTGTCAAAGACGTGAGCATCTTGAGTTCCATTTGGTCTTTCGGGGAGAAGGGGGAGTTGAGTGTGTCAGATCAGATAAGAAAATATCAAGATCCGGTGCCGATAGCGGCGGACTCGAGGTGGAGTTGTTGGGTTACATTACGCCTGCGGGCCCGATCCATAAATTATGTACATAGGTACTGTACGCCGAGTATTCTTTTTCTCGTACTGTATGCGCCACGGTTTTGTTTAATACGTGCTACCCAAATGGAATCTGAACCGGAGGGAAAGTCTGCAGGGTGCCGATCCGTCGTTAAAATCTCCTGATTGATAAGATTCTACGCCTTGCCGAGAGTCCTAATTTGGCCTCTAACGAGCTCATTATCCGGTGCGGTGTGGCGAGAAATGCTGCTAAAGGTCAGACCAGAATAATTTTCTACTTTCAGCAATTGAAGAATGGGGGCTGGCTTCAGAATGAGAAGAAGAAGGTACTGAGATCGTGGAATGAATAGTTGAGATAAATGCAACAACATCAAGACAAGATAATGGCACAATGAAAAACACAAAATATCACAATCCATAGACCATCATGCAAGAATAGCCGCCGGATCCTGTACAAATGCCTCCATGGCAGAAGCCAGTTCCTCCAACCTCGCTTGCCAAAACCCCCTCCGCTCTTTATCTGCCGCAATGCCAACATACATTGCACCAGCCTCAGAGTATGACACCACGCGAATCGGATTCGGTGGCTCGGGGTGCGGGTTCATATAGTCAACACGACATTCAGAGCCCGCGAAAGGCATCTTATCGAAGTATTCGATATCATGGTGGTGGACGATAGACGAGAAGAATGGGATGTTCGGAGACCAGCCTGTGCAGTGATCTGAGATCTCTTGAAAGCCGAGCGTAGCATGGTGACTGCCCTTCAAGTACTGATCGCGCATCTCGTGCAACAACTCGCGTGCCGTCATCCCAGCTTGGAACTTCGCTCGGAGCGGCATAACCTGGTAACATGGTCCCATTACGCGGTCAATATCGGGGACGTCGACGGTGCGGCCGGATACAACACCCCCGAAGGTAATATCCCCAATGCCGAGGTGCTGGGCTAACACCCGAGCCCAGCTGGCCGTGAGGAGAGTGGCCATTGTTATATCGGGTGCGCGCGCAGACACGTCGATGGTTCTTTTCAAGAATGTGGGCTTGCTTTCGGGTTGAGATGGTGGGAGGACTGTTAGTCGAGACACTTGGAGCATGTTGCGCCAGTAGTTAATCTTTTCGATGCGAGAGTCGGCTTGGTGTTGGACAAAGGTTGAAAAGGGAGGAGACGGGGATAATGGTTTGTTTTGATATTGCTCATCGAGCTGCCGAAGAATTTCAGGGAATGAAATTCCATCGTACTGGGCGTGCGATATCCGGATCATAAATCCCGTCTCGTCAATGCCATGAACGACGAAGATATGCAGGAAGCTTTTTCCAAAGACAAAGCAAGCATCCTGTTCCACATCTTCTCTGGCAAGTTTGGTACAGTATTCATCCACAGGTTCATCAATACTGTGCTCTGATACTGGCACCTTGAGACTCTCCAATACCACTTGCAGAATGCGGCCTGACTCTGATAAAGACAGTTCGCAGAATAGGATGAGTAGAAAAAAGCTGATCAAAACAAACCAATAGCCGTGCTATGTCAACGGTCTTGTCCAGGTACAGCATGTTGTACTGCAAAGCACTTCGCGGTGCAGAAACCGTCGCCTCCACATCTCGCGCCTGAGGGTCCGTCACAGGTAAAACATCTTGAATGCTCCAATTTGCATCTGCCAGAGCCGGCTGCACCTTGTGGGACAGGAAGACCTCCACATCGGCGATGCCCAGCAACGAGAAAGCAGTGTAGATCTTGACCGGGCGTTGATTCTCTGCTGGGATATCCTCAAGTCGTGGCCGGCGTGTTCCGTCATAACTTTGAGAGACTCGACATCGACCTGGTCCCCGAGGGAAGGAACCTGTTGGAGTGGGATATAAGTAGACGGAATCATATATGGTGGCAGAATATCAGCAAGGTCCTTGCTGAGACCAGAAATAGAGTCAGCAAGCTCCGTTGAGAGCACATCCGTCAAGGGGAGCGCCGCGTTCTGTGTCTCGAGCCCGAGGTTGACTACTTGACTGTCCTTTGGTGGAGGTTCACTGACGAATGCAACCAGTACAGGGGATTGACTGCTGTCGCTCTTCGGGGTAATGAGCTGACTGACGACGTCGGTTGTCGAGGGAAGAAAAGAGCGAAGCTGGATATCAATGGCAGCAAGATCCATCACATGGCCGTCAACCTTTTTCAAGCTCCTTTTTCGCCCCATAAAGATCAAAGACCCGTCTTCGTCATATTTGACTAGATCTCCAGTCTGGTAGAGCCTGTGGTGACGGCCGGGAATGTCGCCGAATCCCTGCTTGAGCCACTCCGGAGTCTCGATGTTCGCGGCTTCTCCGACTCCTTCGAGCAGAAGCTCGCCCACTGTGCCAATTGGCATGAGAAGATTGGTATTCGCAGGATGCACAATCCATGAAACGGAGTTTGTTAGGTATTTGTCCCCAATCATGCGGCTATTATCCTCTTCTGAAAGAAGTGAAGTATCGGGAGCAGAAGAAACTGCGGATGTGTTGGACTGCCATATTCCTGCGCACTCTTGGTCACTCAGACAGGTAATACTGCTAATTTGAGCAATGTCCTCGCTGCAGAGCTGCGACACAGCGCACTCCAACTGAGCCAGAACTCGGTTCATCTGTGGCTCGCTGATGAGAACAGAGTCGAAGCTCGCGGTTACTTGGAACCCTTGATCATGCAAAGAGCATGCCAACATTAACGGGTACGAGTTGAATCGAAGGGCCTCGTGAGCTGCGTCTTCAGCACGGAAAGAGGGAAGTTCATCGTCGGATGGCTCTGATGTTTTTGGCCGACGCGGCTGGATAACCAGACCAATTTTGACTTCCTTCACACGCAAGCTGGGCATCGGGGCTCACCCGACGAATATTCTGCATGCCGAGGTGCTCGTGTGCAGCTCTTACAAGACCCTGTTCTTGGATCGCCTGCAGGAACTCCTGCACAGGCGCGGAATGATCGATTCTCACTCTGACCGGGACAGTGGCAATCATGGGACCTTCGATCTGCTCGACGCCGGGAATCCGGAGTGTGCGTCCTGCGAATGTCTCCCCAAACACCACATCGTCGCTCATTGTATACTGCGAAGCGACTAGAGCCCAAGCCGCTCGAATGAGGGTTGCGGTGGTGATGCCAGATCTTGTAGACCGTTCAACAAAAACAAATCGCTCGGCTAGTGCATTTGATTCGGGAATGTACATCCGTGACGGTAGAGAGGGAAACTGGGGTCCTGTTGCATCTTGAAGTTGTACACGCCAGTAATCCTTTGAGAATTCTCTCGCAGAGTCGATCAGGTAGCGAATGAAATGCTTGAACTCAGCTGGTCGAGAGAGTGGTAGACCTTTGTACGCATTCACCGCGTGTTCAACAATGAGATCCGTGGACCAGCCGTCGTAGATTGCATGGTGGACAGTCCACACAAAGTAGATTTTGTCATGCGATTGGTCATGGACGAGCGCGTACCGGCTCAATGGCATGTTGACTGACATGGAGGCTTTCTGATCTTCTTCCAAGAAACTGCTCAAACTGGTGTTCCTTGACTCCCATCTCGGAGATTCGTTAACGACAACCTGCAGGAAGCCATGGTCTTTGAACTCGACGACGCGAGTTCGCAGAATTGGACTTTCCATAAACACAGTGTTCCATGCGACTTGAAGCCTTCCGGCTACATCCATACTGGGAATCTCCGCAATGCGCTGAGCAACATAGCTCTTGGCTGAACGGGCTGAAAAGGCCATCAAAATCTCCTGTAAAGGAGTGCAGGGGTAGATGTCTTCGATAGTGGCTTTGTCAATCCCACATTTCTCTGCAGTCTCCGTGCAAGCAGAGTCACGGGTCCATGTTGGGTCAATCAAAGAGAAAGCTGGCACCTCCACTTGCGAGTCTGCCTCTTCTTGTTACATCGATCTTGCCATGTCTGACAGAACAGGAAAGTTGAAAATATCCGTCACAGTCAGCAAAAAGCCTTGCACACGCACTGCTGATACAAGCTTCATCGCCATAACAGAGTCCCCACCAAGAATGAAGAAGTTTTGGGCGGTGCTGACCTCCTCCGCGCGAAGCCCGAGCAGGCGACACCATATACTCTGCAAGCAGATCTCTGCATCCGAGACGGGCTCCTGGCTCTGGGATGTCAATCCACCCTCCGAGCTTGTTTGCAGAGACAGCTGTGACCCAAATGTTCGCAACGACTTTCGGTCGGTCTTCCCAGAAACCAGCATGGGCATGCGGTTTATCCCAACGTACATCGATGGGACCATGTACACCGGCAGTACCTTGGACAGCTCTTCGTTGACATTTGCTATTTTTTCTCGAGTTCCGATCGAGAGTTCTGCTTGTTGGGGTTCGTCATTATGGGAATCGGGTTTTTTCTCAGCATTTGGATCAGCAACAAAGGCCAGCAGCATAGACTCTTTGCTCCGGCCCTGGGGCGCAATGACCTCGGCCATCACGTCTGTTCCAGGGAGCAGTCTTCGCAGATGATGCTCGATCTCGCCCAGTTCAACGCGCTGACCACGCAACTTGACCTGCGTGTCCTTGCGTCCAACAAAGACGAACCCGCGTTCTCCATCTGGGTCGTAGCGGACCAAATCCCCCGTCTTGTATAAACGACCTCTACGCCCAGGTACATCACCACCACCTGCGAGAAGCCATGGCGGGTCTTCAATGAATGCCGCTGCGGTCTTCTCGGGATCCCCCAGATACCCTTGTCCCACGATCGGGCCCTCCACCAGCAACTCCCCGATTGCTCCCACTGGCATCAATCGGTTGTGGTTTTCGGGGTCAACTAACCATATTACCGCTCCCACGCCAGGACCAATACTGACATACGGCTTGCCTGCTGCACTTGAGTTGATGGTACATCCCACGGTACATTCCGACGGGCCATACCCCACGACGATTCGCGTGAACCGGCCCCAATGGGAGACGTCACCAACGGAGCATGATTCTCCACCCAGACCGAGACTATGCAACGAGGGAACGATGTCAGGATCAAGGATGCGAGCCACAGATGGGGTCATGTTGGACATGGTGATCTTCATGCGACGGATTACGCCGCTCAGGTCATTCAGGCGGTCCTCGTCGGACGGGATACATAGGCACCCGCCTCGCAGAAGCGTGCAGAGCATACTATCCACACTGACGTCAAAGGCGTATGATGCGAAATCGAGGACTCGCGATTCGGCCGTGTACCCTACCGCCGTACTTCTGGTGATGGCGCTTGTAGTGTAGGTGGCATGGTCGATGATGACTCCCTTGGGCTTCCCGGTACTCCCAGAAGTGAATATAAGATAAAGACTTGAATCTGTGGGAACCACCGGTAGCTCAGGTCGAAGCGATGAAGAGGTTTGTTTGGCGAGTGTAAGAAGCGTGTCTTGCCTAACAATGACCGCCTGGGCACCAGGCGCGATTGTTATACCCAAGGAACCGTGGGGTTGGGAGGTGATGATCAAGGTTGCATTTACTTGTTCTGCAATTGTCTGGCGTCTTTCAAAGGGTTGACTTGGGTCCATGAGAACGAACGCTCCACCGGCCTTCATGACACCCAGGACGGCGACGACTGTCCATCGAGATTTCTCAAAACAAAGAGGCACGATTTGACCAATTTTTAATCCAAGCTCAAGTAAATGATATGCGAGTAGCGTTGAATACTTCTCGATATCCTCGTAAGACAATTCGCCATCCCACGAGCAGATGGCCTGCGCCGTGGGTTGTCGTCGCACTTGATCCGATATTAAGTCTTGCATGCAGGTGTGGGTGGTGGGAGGAAGATCCTTGTTCCAGCGCCAGATCTCGGATCGGTCGAGTTCACCCAGTTCAAGGCCTGTGGCAAGTGAAGATGTCGTTTCCTAGCTCTCAAGATAGGAGCATCAAAGCGGACGAACGTGGCCAGGCGTTTCCTCGGTGCCTCTCTCTCAGAGGACAGAATAGCACCAGAAGCCATGACCGGTGGAATCCTGACGTGTCCGGGTACAGTACAGAGGACAAAAAGGCAAGCCTATCAACAAGATATGGACTAGAAACAGAAACCGACGGTCCTTTCCACCCTTGTTGCGACTTTTGCCATGCCTGCATCCACTGCTCCCCACGGCCCTCGCTTCTGCCATGCTCTGCGCACTCGGAAATCGCGTCTCCGTTTCTTTCCCCTGCTGGCCAGAAGACCGGTGCTTCAGGTGCTTTCTTGGGGCCCACCTTGTCGGTGGACTGGATAAACCTGTAGAGCACACACTCCACAATCATAGATGACACCCAAGGTCTGCCGGTGTATGGAGGCTTGGTTGTGCGGTAATAACCGGCTGTCCGTAATTCTGTAATACCGCGCCAGTTTGTATTGTATGGTTCTCGATTGTGAAGAGGCTCCACCGATCGTCGATAGGGCGAGGAAATCATGAAGGTTGGGGGTTGAAACTGATTGTACTAACTGTTGTCTGTTTCTCATATCAAAACCATCGAGCATAAACAAAGAAAAGAATCAAAGAAGCAAACAGCAAACGCGGAGTCTGTGACGATACAGCTCATTAGGGCTTGACGAGTCATAGCCGAATAGCGCTGGCCCCGCTTGGCAATGGAGAGATCCATCTTCACTTCCCATGGATGACCTCGGCCAGTTTCCGACTTGCAATCTTATCAGATGCTATGGACTTACCGAATGGGTCCTCGTCTGCGTACGTCGGTCCAGCCCGATGTGGACGATATTCGCGTATCTGATCACTCCACTGCCCTCGGCGCCAGCTATGCAGTCCCCACTCAAGCAACATCCGGGTTATCCATCGAGAGTTGATGAAGCTGCGACTGAAACGAGCCTGCGAAATCGGATTGACCCACGGGGGAATGTTGCAAGGAGGAAAAGCCGAGCACGAAGCTTCTTGATCTCCGTGGTATAGGCTCTGCGCGACCAGCTTACTTCTTGTATTTGGCTATTCTTAACTTTCTGCGCCATCAGCAAACACAATGGCTACAAGCTTACAGCCGTTGGAACCAGCCAAAATCCGCTTGCCCCATCCTTATCTGACCACCTACCACCTAGTGGCCTCGTCCAAGATCTTTGAAGGAACCCGGTCGTTCCAACTGCGCAAGGCCGACAACGCGGATGAAGCTCAGCCGTTCCCTCAGGCCTTGCACAATGAGCAACTATATTTCAATGCGCTTCAGCCGGTGATCTCCGAGATGGCCGTGCCACCTTCCAACAACACGGCATGGGCACGCGCGCAGCGAAGCCCGTCATATACTTGCAGCTGGGAAAGCGAGCCTGCCCCAACAGTCGGCCAATTCTGGCTGTTTTTGTATTCGATCTTTACCGTGCAAGAAGAACTCGAGACTTTCCGTCTTCAACTGCAAGGACCAAATGCCGACACTGTTGCGCAGGCGCTGCGTCTGTCAATGGTGGCCATTGACCACCCCCGGCCTGTCAGCCCTACAACCAAGTTCCAACCCACTCCCAACGAGCTGCTTGTTCTGTGCAGCGCTTTCTGGCAAGGCTGTGCCTCGCCTCTGGGATTCCAGCCTATCTGGCTACCCACCTGGAACACAGCCGTCCCCCACCTCGAGTATACCATGACCTCAACCGAGGTCGCGCACCATCGTCATCCGCGACGACACGACGACACCCGAAACCAACACCAGGCTCCGTCGTCTATAGTCGTTATATCCCCTTCCTCGATGAGCACTTCTCACTCGTCGCCCTCGACTACCAAGACTCCGTCCACCTAAATCTCTTCCACACCTGGCAGAACGACCCCCGCGTAGCCAGGGGCTGGAAAGAGACCGGCACGCTGGACGAACATCGTGAGTACCTGCGCCGAAAACATGAAGACCCACATACCCTCACTGTTTTGAGCCGCTTCAACGAGACCCCGTTCTCCTACTTTGAGATCTTCTGGGCCCGCGAAGATACAATTGGCGCGCGCTATGCCGCGCAGGACTTTGATCGCGGCCGCCACACTCTTGTTGGTGATGCCTCATTTAGAGGGCCGCATCGGGTCATGGCTTGGTGGCCGAGTATGATCCATTACCTCTTCCTAGATGACCATCGCACGGAGAATGTGGTTGGAGAACCCCTTGCCACCAACGACAAAGTCTTAACTTATGATTACACGTTTGGTCTGCACCAGGATCAAGTCATTGACCTACCCCATAAACGGGCCAGTCTTGTAAAGTGTACCCGGGAGCGCTTCTTCCAGCTGTGTCCGTTTAACCAGGGCACTCCGCATATTGCGGGGACCGGATTGGGATTCCAGTCGCGGGTGTAGAATGTGAAATCGCAAGGGCATGAATGAACTGTGAATGTATGTTTTGTTTATTTGGGATCATTGGTGGCAAGTTCTATTTATATGTTTATGTACGAAATTATACCATCTTCACTTTATTATATTTTGAATTCCATAAATCTAAGAAGTAAAAGCTACTGTATATTATAAATCTGGTCTAAAAGTATGCGTACAGGTTAAAGCGAAATAACTCTATAGTACATGCCATCATCCTCCAAATGTCTGACTGAGCACATTGGTGCGATAGCTTTCAGAGTGGGTAAACAACTCATCATGAGTGCCCGCATCAACACAAACACCCCCTTCAATCAGATAGATGGTATCAGCCTTGCGAATAGTGTGCAGTCGGTGCGCAATGGCCAAGACACTGATACCTCGCGACGCCACCTCCAGTCCCTCCTGCAGGAGTTTCTCCGACTCAGCATCCAGGGCGCTAGTAGGTTCATCTAAGATCAGCAGTCCGGGCTTGCGTACCAGCGCACGCGCAATAGCCAGACGCTGCTTCTGGCCACCAGAAAGCATACTACCATTGGCACCACACGGGGTATCGTAGCCCTGTGGGAGACTGGCAATAGTGTCATGAATGTTGGCCAGCTTGCAGGCTTGCACAATCTCTTCGTCGGACACTTCGGTACCGGGACGGGCGCCTAGTGACACATTGAACCGCACGCTGCCCTCGAAAAGCACCCCCTCTTGCGGGACCAAAGCGATGTTGTCTCGGAAAGAGATATCGCTGCGGTGCGTGATGTCTGTTCCATCGATAAGAATTGCCCCCGAGATCGGGAGGTACATGCGTTCCACCAAGGAGATGATGGTTGATTTCCCGGCCCCTGAGGGTCCAACCAACGCGCAGAATTGGTCGGGGCGGACATGGACATTCAGTCCTCGCAGCACAGGTGCGCGGGGGCGCGCTGGGTAGGAGAAGTTGACATCGCGGAGCTCGACGTCCATACCGCCTTGCGCATTTGCGGCGACTGATCTAGTCGTCCCGAAAGCCTCAATATCCTTTGCGGTCGTGGCTTCATGCATTGAGGCTCCGGTTGCACCAGAGGATCCAATCTCCAGGATGCCGAGAACTCTTGCCACCGCAGCTCGAGCATTAGATACCTCAGGGGCCAGCGCAAACATCTGGCTCCAGAGCTGGGCGCTCACCAGCAGCGCAAACATCACAATAATAAATTGAGTCTGGCTATACGTCCCGTTAAAGATCTGCTTTGAGCCCCACCAAAAGGCCAGTGCGTAAGACAGATTTCCGAGGAAATATGCCAATCCTAGCCAGAGGTTGGCGTGCAGACTGATCGCGGTGGTTTCTCGTCGGGGGCCGTGAAGCGTGCGACGATAAACGGCCAGGGTTTCATTCTCAAGTGACAGAGAAGCAATTGTCTGGATGGAGTTGATTGCTTCCACACTAATACTGACGGATTGGTTGAATGCGTTTTTGTGGCGCTCTTCAAACTGAGCCAGGACGTGGAGCTGCATCACACCCACGCCGAGAAGAAGAGGTACGACAGCGATACAGACCAGGGCTATTTTCCAGGCAATAATCAGTGTCATGATCACAGCCACGACAAGGTTGATACAGATCGAGAATATGATGCCGATGACCGAGCCGCTGAGGCCCGCAATCTGATTGCCATCGTTCGTGATGTATCCCAGTAGTCCGGTTGGCGTACGACTCTCCGACTAATGCCACTGCAAGTCTTGCTCGAACAACGAACGGAACAACAGCACGCGGATTGTGTAGATAGACTTTTCAGCCACCAACCCAAAGCCCACCCAGATAACGATATTGGCGAAGAATTCGATAATAGCCAGCACGAAGAACATCAAGCCGAAAAAGTTCCCACGGGAACGAATATATTCAGGCGTTTCACATGGGGTCAGGCTGCCGACTGTGTTGCCAAAGATCACTGCCTCGGCTAAAAAGGCAGCGCCAACGATACTTGCGCCGATGAGGGCCAGGAATGCGATGAGCAGATGGGGGCGCATAATGGGAAACATGCCACTGGCAAGGCTCCAGACAGACTCCTTTTTTGGCTTTTGGGAGCGATCTTCTGAAGACGGTGATGTTGGTGGTTTCTCGCTGGCGTCAATAGAGACGAGCTCCTTACTCTTGCTCTTGGCGAGCTCCATGGGACTTTCATTCCTGGATTGCTCGGACTGATTGATATCAATCGAACTGGAATTAGTACCTTCAGACGGTTGAGTGTTGAGATTCTGCATCTGGACAAGACCGGCATAAGCACCCTGCTTGGCCATGAGCTCGGAGTGGTTTCCTTCTTCCACTACCTCTCCATCCCGCATGGCAATAATCTTGTCTGCCTTTTGAATTGTCGAGAGACGGTGCGCAATAGAGATCATTGTCCTTCCCTCGGAGCAGCGGCTCACAGCTGCCAGGATCTCCTTTTCACTTTTGGAATCAAGAGAGGCTGTGGCTTCGTCCAGGATCAAAACTTTGGGGTCCTTCACCAGTGCTCGCGCAACGGCAATTCGCTGTTTCTGGCCACCGCTTAGCAAGGTGCCGTTGGATCCTACTATAGTACCGAGGCCTTCCGACAGGTTATCAATAAAGCGCGCAGCGTCTGCGAGCGTTGCCGCATGCTGAACCATCTCGACAATCTCCACCACCTCGGATCCATGGGCCTGGGCAGCGTCGGAAGCCTGTTGGCCATTGCGAATTGCAGCAGCCACTGCAGCAAGCCGAGGGCCTACTAATGTGGCATGAAGATGATCGTGTGCGGGAGAGGCCGAGTTGACGAGGCCATGGGCGATATTCTCCAAGATTGACCGATCAAGTAGCGTTGCCTCCTGTTGCACTATTGCAATACAGCTCCGCAGTTGGCGCGTGTTGAGGTCTCGCACATCCTGACCGTCCAGCAGCATCGATCCTTCGGTGGCATCGTACAACCGAAGCATCAAGCTTGCGATCGTTGATTTTCCACTGCCGGAAAGACCGATAATAGCAGTTTGCTTTCCGGCTGGGCATTCTAGAGAGACGTTACGGAGAGCTAGTCGTTCTGGGCGCGAAGGATATGTAAACGAGACATTTCGCAGCTCGAAGTGGCCCGCAGTGGAAGGAGGAAGTGGGATCCCCGAATTTGATGTACCGTCAATTACAGACTGGCGATCCATGTCTTGCTTCAATTTGGTGAATGCCGCAGATGCTGCGCCAAATATCTGCAGAAAAGGTGCGACCTGGCTGAGAACAAGTGTTGCTATCACCAACTGTCAGCCTCTATTGCACCATCAAAGCAGAAGGTTCCTCTTACCATCAACCAAAATGAAGATAACCGTGAAAATTGATCCAACCGAGGTTCCATGACTGTTATTTGCCACGGTATCGGCAATTGTGCGACTGCCCTGCCAGAAGGCCAGAGCATTGGCCGCATAGGCGATGAAATACATCAGGCCGGCCTGCACACCGGTAGCCAAGGCCTTTTTCAGGCATTCGTTTCTCGCTCTGCGCAGATGAGCCGTGAACTTATTCTCCAGTCGATCATTGGCGTTGAAGGCATGCACGACTACAACGTTCGACAAACCCTCCGAGGCAATCGATGAAGCAGCTGCGAAACAGTTCGACATGTGTCGCGAGTATTTCTCAATAAACCAGCCTCCCACGAGGGACATGATAAAATATGCTGGAACCAGGGAGACCAAGATGCCCGCCAGTTTTGCATCCTTTATGAAAGCCACCACATACGAAGTCACGAAGAACGAGACACTGGAGATACAGATGCCTACTTTTTCCGAGGTGCCCGAGCGGATGGTCTGGATATCGCCGTTCAGTCGCGATAAGACTTCGCCGGATGGAAGGTCGTCAAAGAACGCGGCCTCCTAGCGTAAGAGGCTTCGAAAGTACTGTTCGCGCAACCGCTAAGCCAATCGCGCACCCCCAAGTGACCAGCAGGCTAGTTGGATGTACATGAAGCTAAACTGCGCGATGGCGAGATACAAGACATAGAGAATCTTGCTATTCACATCGTTCTGATACGCGGCCTATACGGCAGGGCTTGCCGGTGTCGTGGCTGAGGCATTGCATGTCTCTGAGTTGAAGTCATCGATGAGCTGGCCGAATATAATGCCCAGCAGAGGAAATGGGACACCAGAGGCAATGGCAAAGATCAAGCCGGTAATGAGCAGCGCGATGTCGAACTTGGTTGGAGTAGCTTGGGCATAAATCACGAAGTAGCCAAAGAAATTCTTGGGCTATATATCAAAAGGGAGTCAGCTCGGTCAGCCATATTCAATACTAGCGCGACAGTCATACCTTCTGGGCAATTCGTGCGCTTCCTTTCACGGATGCCGAGTCTGCCATGTTCACTTGCGCTGCCCTTTGCAGTTGCAGCGCTTCCAAAGTGACCGATAGAGACTCTGTCATTCAACAATCAGTGCTCAGTGTTTTGCACTGTCTGAAGCATTGAAACATTGAAGCATTGAAGCATTGGCAGACCAGGTCCAAAGCCACTCTTCGATTCAGACTACGGCATCTTTCATCCGATACCGGATTCCCCATCCACGCGCTGCCACACCGTGCAGAAAAAAGATCTGATAAGATCGGACGATCCATGAAAGGGTGACTCGACGACATGCTCAGAACGAGGACCCAACTGGTTTAGGTCCCGGTGGTCCACCCGGTGGAGGCGTATCCAATCTTACGCGGCTGTAATTCTGCAAGCCCTAACATCCCGACTTGTATGTAACGATCTACGGCCTTGACTGTGTTCCACCAGCCCACGCAAGCTCCACGGTCTAGTCCGCTGTTTGAAGCTCGATTAGACTAGAGGTCGCGTGACATGGGCAGCATTGGATACTGGCCTGAGCCGACGAGAAACCTTTAATGTTATTCAGGGCCCACTAGCTGGGGATATACAGTAGTACTACATATAGTAGTGGGCTCCATTGCAACCGGTTCCAATGGTTCAAAATGTAATGTCTTAGAACGACAACCGTATCCTGGTAACGAGCATGCTCCCTTTTCTTAGCCATTTCAGCACAATGTCTTGCGGATCTAAGCCGAGGGTTCTGTCGGTATCCACCGGAGAAACAGCCGTCTCGAAGCATAACTTATCCAGATACAGTCCTAGAATTATTCCAGCCATATGAGGAATGATTTCGGAAAATGGGTCTTGTCCATCTGTTGTAGACATGTTAGCCGGAACTCTATGACTCCGAAGCAAATAGACATCGGTCCAAGGTGCCAAGCTGTTTCTAACAAAATATCCCCCAATCGTGCCTCTCTTTTGTGATCTATCCTTGCATAGCTTGCTCCAGGACTATGGACGTGAGGGAATTCAAACGGCGACCACCGCCCCAGACATATGGCGTGATGTCTTTTCCGGCTCCGCATGTTGTGTTAGTCGTTTTCAACCGACCCGAGGCACTCAATTCCATGACCAGAGCTGCACAATATGAACTCGAGTCTCTCTTCTCCTGGTTCGACAGCGAAGCATCGCTCCGCTGTGCGATCGTCACAGGCGCAGGGCGTGCATTCTGTGCCGGGATGGATCTGAAACAATGGGACATATCCAACGCTCGCCGTGCCAACGGAGAGCACGACGGACAACTAATGATGCCACGGTCCGGTTTTGGAGGGCTCTCCCGGCGCCATGGCAAAAAGCCTGTCATCGCCGCGGTCAACGGGCTGGCCTTTGGCGGTGGAATGGAGATTGTGGCCAATATGGATCTCGTCGTCGCCGCAAAAAGTGCTCGCTTTGCCCTCCCAGAGGCTCAGCGAGGAGTTGTTGCTATGGCCGGCTCCCTCCCACGACTCGCCAGAACTATTGGACGGCCTCGAGCAACGGAGCTCGCTCTTACAGGCCAAAGCATCACTGCGACAGAAGCTCGGGAGTGGGGGTTGATCAATGCAGTGACAGAAGATGCCACGAGTGACTGTGCTGTGCTGGAACGGCCGGTCGTCAAGAAAGCACTGGAGTATGCGACTAAAATCGTCGGCAATAGCCCTGACAGTGTGGTGATTAGTCGGGCGGGGATTCTGGCCGGCTGGGAGGATGGGAGTGTGGAGAATGCGAGTCGTCTGCTGAGTGAGACATGGGAGTCCGCATTGAATGAAGGCACGAATCTACAAGAGGGCGTGAAGGCCTTTGCTGAGAAGAGAGCACCGCGATGGGTTGACAGCAAGTTGTAAGAGATAACAATATCAAGAGTCCTCCGTTATACCCTGTCCTGAACATCTCAAGCTGTTTCTTCGACGCGTCAAGAATTCCTGTATGTATGAGATGACACAGTGGAAGTGCTCACGCGCCATCGGACGTTCCTATGTCCTCCATCAACCTTCCACGGATCGGTGGCAATGGAAAAGTCGAACATTCCAGTGTCGAATGGGTCCACTTCAATGCCCAGCCCGTTCATCTTTGTTATTCATCTGTCCTGTACTCATCAGCGGGTTGCATTGCTGAAAAAGGCTTGTTAGACAATGCTTCTCCAGGTTCAGACTGACGGGTTAGTCCTTTCAAAGGATGAAAGCACTTCAAGCCCTACCTGCATTGAATTCTTCTACACAGCAAAACTTCCCCTCAGGCAAATACCAGTCATAATCCTCGTGCTGTGCCGATCTTCGCAGCACGAGCACCTGCCACACCCGGGGGCCGAAAAACCCGCATCACAGCGGGCTTGGTGGGCCTCCATGCAGACGCATCTGCCGGTTAGAAAAGTTCCAGCTCCATCGGGACCAATATATCGCAGGACTGTAGCGTGGCCTGCTCCGAGAATTGGCCGCGAATAATCAGATGCAGAGTGGGCGCATGGATGAGATGCCACGTACTATAAGAACCGAAATACAAGAAATACAACATGGCGAATACCGTCAATACTCGGAAATGTCCGCAACACGCCGCATACAAGCTCATACAAGCTCCATCAAAGGCCTTGGTCTCGCATGGTGCAGGATTTTTCGTTTAGCTGCAAAAACTCCCTGTCAGTCATGCCATCTTGGCGCAGCAGTCGCGTTCTTCCGACTTAAGCGAGTGATTGTCTTTCTTTTTTATGGAGATTGACTCGGATTTTACCTAATGAGATCGGGGCCAGCGCCCCCGGGGCCAAAGGCACAGCACCTTGCAGTTATCAGATCGGATAAAGAATGGAGAATACCCACATCGTCCACGTTTAGCGTCGGTGCGATGGAAGAACTTGGCTAGTCCTGACGAGTTGTGGCCAAATCAGCGTCCAATACGGCTCTTCATCTTACCGGATCCCTCTTTACTCGGCGAGACCGATGTGGGTCATCCCACGCGTGTAGCCCTGTAATCAGATTAGATTGAGTGATCCAGCCTTTTGTTTCTTTTTTCTTTCTTATTCCCATCCTCCGTGATCGGGAAATGTGTGGTGCTGACTGGGCCCAAGAATTTGCAGTAGTGACGCATATTCGCATTAATATATTAATTATAATGGATCGACTTTTTCTTAGTCTCTTTGCTGCTCTTTTTTTTATCAATCTCGGAGTCGTTCTCATTTATTTGAGCGCATTCCGTCTTCCTGCCCCTTGCCAGTCTCGATCCTAATTTTCTTCGGACTGTAGTCAAGATGGCAGACGCTGGCATTCAGGAGTCTGATGCAACAAAGATTGACATGAAGGTCAACGTCGAAGGCCAGAAAGAGGAAGCCCTTCCAGCCTACGAGGCCGGCGACCACAAAGGCAACGCTGAAGTCCCCGACGAAAATACTCAGGATGGTGTGCGAATTATGGAGGCCATGACTCTGTCATGGTCGCGGTCCTCGCTGATCTTAGTCTATATCAGGTAAGGGGTGATCTTTGATGGTGGACGATCTTGCGACAAAAACCTTGGAATCATTGGGAATCATTGGAGAACTAATCGGTCGGTATAGTATGTGGCTACTCTACTTCAGCAACGCCTTTGAAGCGTCCCTCTCCACCAATCTGGATCCCTATGTGTCGAGTGCCTTTCAGGATCACTCGTTGCTGCCGGTCATCACGGTCGTGTCGAATGTCATGGCCGGTGCCACGTACATGCCAGTCGCGAAGATCTTGAACTTATGGGATCGAACTGTGGGCTTTGGCTTGATGCTGGCAATTGCGACCCTGGGCATGGTGCTCATGGCGTCTTGTAACAGCTTTGAGCTGTATGCCGCAGCCAATGTAAGTCAAGCTCTCTCTCTCTCTCTCTCTCTCCTGTGTTCTTCGAGGCTCATGAAATCCAAAATATAGATCTTCTACTCGGTTGGCTTCACAGGCATGATTTTCTGCATCGATGTTCTGACGGCCGATACCTCGACCATGCGAAACAGGGGGCTTGCTTATGCCTTCACCTCGTCCCCGTACATTATCACCGCGTTCGGAGGTCCCAAGGCTGCCGAGAGCTTTTACGCTAAGAACTGGCGCTGGGGATATGGTTCCTGGGCGATTATCCTCCCGGTCGTCGCCACGCCCATGATAGTGGTGTTGCAGATGGCCAAGTTCAAGGCGAAGAAGAAGGGCCTGGTCCAGAGACCTCCGAGTAACCGGACTTGGTACCAGAGTCTCCGGCACTACCTGGTTGAATTTGACTGTAAGATCGGGAAAACTTCCCTTTTGGGGATTTATAACTGACTTGAATTCCTAGTTGTTGGTGTCTTCCTCCTCTGTGCCGGCTTCGTCCTCTTTCTGCTGCCCTTCACGATTGCCGCCTCGTCCCGCGACGCCTGGCGCACCGACTATATCATTGCCATGCTGGTGGTTGGTGCTTTCCTGCTCGTGGTCTTTGGGTTCTGGGAGAAGTTCGGCGCTATCAAGCCCTTCGTGCCCTGGACCCTGCTCAAGTCGCGCACCGTCATGGGTGCTTGTCTGCTGGACTTTACCTATCAGGTGGCCTACTACTGCTGGTTCGACTATTTCACCTCGTACCTGCAGGTGGTCTACAACACCTCGCTTGCCTCGGCCGGGTACATCTCAAGTATCTTCGACATTGTCTCGGGCGTCGAGCTGTTCGTCGTCGGATTCTTGATCCGCTGGACCGGCCACTACAAGTGGGTGCTGATGTGGGGTGTGCCACTGTACATGCTGGGCGTAGGCCTGATGATCTACTTCCGCCAGCCGCATATAGGCCTGGGCTACATCATCATGTGCCAGGTCTTCATCGCGCTGGGTGGGGGTGTCATCATCATCGGCGAGCAGGTCGCCATGCTGGCGGCCTCACACCACAATGATGTCGCTGCTGTCCTGGCCCTGCTGGGTCTCTTTGGGTACATCGGTGGCTCCGTCGGTGGGAGTATCTCTGGTGGTATTTGGACCAATACCCTGCCGGAGATGCTGAGACAGACGCTTCCTGAGAGCGCCCAGGGCGATTTGGAAAAGATTGTTGGTAGCCTCGATGAGCAGCTGAAGTATAAATATGGTTCGGAGATCCGTGAGGCTATCATGGATGCCTACGCGGCCACCCAAAAGCGCATGTTGATTGCCGGCACTGCCGTCATGGCTTTGGCGCTGGTCTTTATGATGATGATTCGTGACCTGAACGTGAAGAAGATTCAACAGGTCAAGGGCATGCTCTTCTAGTGGGCTAGAATGCATGTTTTGAGGAAGATAATGTATAAAGAGTCAGGTCGACATTGTCGGTTTCGGTAATGTAGATGACGGGGATCTTACGATGATGGATGACGAGGTGGTGTTTTCTTTTTTTTCTCCTCTGTATATGAGAAATGAATTTGTGCTAGGAACTAAACCCATAAAAATCAAGGCAGAAAGCTGCTATTCCGTTTCAAACACAGCTCCACCATTTCCCTTACTGCTTCTCTTGGGGTAGGATATCAGGAACAGGTCCGACTGGAATTACCAGCTGGTTATTGCCAGTCTTTCTGCCGATAGCGTTGCAATACCCGAATTTATACTAGATAGTGTCGGTATCAGCAATCTGGAGGTTCCTCTTTTCCTGTATTTTCAGAGTAACAAGCACTCACAATGTCAAAAAAGGTGGTTTGCCTAAAGGCACCATGAGTCTCGTCGGATTTATCATAGTAGAGTCGCCGGTACCATTGATCAATCCGCGGGTAGTCGTGTCTGATCATTTTGAGATTACATCGAAAGATCAGGTAGTAGGCCACGTCGAAGCGCGCAATGGTTGTATACAGGCGGATGTCAGCCTCGGTGATATGCTTTCCAAACAGAAACGGTCGATGACCCGGCTGAGCCAAGTGCGCCTCGATACGGTCAAGAGCCTCGAAGAGTGGGTAGATGTTTTCCTCGTAGGCAGTCTGCGTGGTCGCAAACCCCGTTTTGTACACGCCGTTGTTGATCTGTGGATACACCCACGCATTCATGGCATCGATCTCGCCTCTCAGATGATCGGGATAGAACCCGCCTCCAGGGCGGTTTGCTTCGCGCAGTTTCGGGGACAACAGATGGTCAAATTCGGTGTACAGCATGCGAATGATCTCGCTGCTTTCGTTGCTCACGATCGTCTCTTTCTTTTTATCCCACAGCGTCGGCACCGTGTATCGTCCTTCGTACTGCGGGTCCGCCTTGAAATAGAGCTCCTTTAGGTACTTGAAGCCATACAGTGGGTCCTTCTCCGCGGATCCCCATCGGCCAGAGAAAAACCACCCATCGGGCCCCAGCTCCGGGTCCAGCACCACCATCGGGATGATGTCTTGTAGTCCCTTCAGGGTCCGGACTAGATTGGCTCGGTGTGCCCACGGGCAGCCATAGTTGATGTAGAGCACGTAACGGTCTTTCTCAGCTGGGAACTCCGAGGATGCATCCCGGGAGATAAACGACCGGAAGGCGGACTCCTTTCGGCGGAAGTGGCCGTCTGAGTCGGCGTGTTTGTAGATGTTGGTGTTCTGTGCAAGTTAGCCATTATCTCGCAAAGGTATATTGTCAATATGGAGCTCAGACTTGTCCACTCATGGTTGAGATGTGGTTGTCTTCAGAGTACTCGTGAGCTCTGGGGATAGCAATTGATCACTTTGGACGTAGGCCTACGCAGATTAAATAGACCCGTAACTAGATGCCCCCGCGGTCTTTTCCACTTTGTCAGAAGGGAGAAACATCCCCGAGGTCTTATAAATACAAGCCGAAGGTTGTTGGAAGCTCGGTTGGGCTGACAAATCGGTGTCGTCATCCATCGCATCGCCCGTCGGGGCCGAATCAACAATGAAAGCATTGAACTACATGCAAATAAACATCATAAACATTGCAGCTTAAGAGTGTGGTCCAATTCCAAACCGCCTAGCCACCTCGGGGAACCCCCCTTCGTTCAATCCAACCCACATATCAACCGAGCCATCTATCCTGGCCTGCGCAACCTGGTCTGCAGGAAGCGTCTCTTCCAACTCCCGCTCCACATAGACGGTCTGGAATCCGCAGCTCTTGGCTGCCTTCAGGTCCTTGAGATGTGCAGCCACCAGGGCACATTGACCCGGCTCCAGGCCGAACTTGTCCGCGGCTCCATGATACACTCGAGGTGATGGTTTGTATGCGCCGAAATTCTCGGCACTGACCAGATGCGTGAAGGGCAGGGACCCATGGCGCTGGAGATCCTGGAGCAGAGACACATTGCCGTTCGACAATGTGGCGGTCGTGAAGCGCTGGTTCAGCCGCTCAAGTCCGGCGGCGCTGTCGGGCCACGGGTCGAGCCGATGCCAGCTTAGAGCGAGGGCCCATCGCTCCTCGTCGGTGAATAGGCCGTGGAGGCCTCGCTGCTCCAAGAGGTCTTGGAGAGCGGCATAGTGGTGCTGGTCGACCGACACAAAATCCTTGCTGGGATCAAATGTACTCGTAAACACACCGTAGGTCCGTCGCCAGTCTTCGGCCAAGGCGAGCCAGTCTACCGAGATCATAGCAGCCGCGCGGTCTCGCACATCAATGGCGAGTTCCTTGTGGGGATTGTTTAAGGCTTGCTGGGCTGCGGCGCTCAACGCCTTGGTGATACACGAGCGCCATTCCACGACGGTCCCGAATGTATCGAAGAACAAAGTCCGGGGGTGTCCGGTCGGCATGGTGGGTGTGATCTGCGATGTCCCGCAACGTGACGGTCGCGATGGGGATTCTTCACGAGTTGGTCGAATGTGAAATTGAGATTTCAACCGGGCAAAATGTCAATTCTTTCAATTTTCGCCGGGTGCAATCGCAAGGGACTTCATTGCGAGACCCGAGGTTCAAGTATGGCGTGACGGGGGATCCAACCGCCTGATAGTTCTGCCGCTATGGACTGGGCGTGTGATATTCTGTACACATGTAGTATGGTATAGATAGAGATATATAGAATATTTCCAAGTCTCTAGATACCCGGGCCTATGTATCTATATCCATATCCATCTTGGGAGGTTTTCTTGCACTTGACTCCCTCCCACGTGCAATCTATATATCTACACAGACTACGGAGTACCTCGCCCTAGTTTCAGGCAGAGTCCAGTAAGAGGAGAGCACCCAAATATAAATTTGTTTTAGATCTATTAAAGATAAAAATAAAAATAAGAAAAGGGGCACCTTCGAGACTGCGCACGGATTCCCGCGTCTTCAAAGGCGGATGAACCCTGCATCTGTCAACGGGCCCAACGGTCAAAAGTACATTAAATAGCCGTAGAATTATTGTGGCTAGTGTCGACAAGAATAATTATCCTAATAGCAGCGGTACTAGTGGAGGAATATTGGTATATAACCTGTCAATGGTGCCTCCCAGAGCATTTAGATATACCAATTGACCTGTCAATTCTCTTCTCCAGGGAATTGCCAATATTCCAATACTCCCATATTCCACTGGCATGGATTCGCGCGTAATCAACAACGTCGACGCGTGGAAAGGGGCTCGACACGTCCCGGATTCTCTTCGCAGCAAATTTTGGTTCGATGTGGGTTTCTGTTCCCACGCGGTGGAGACCTCATCTGCGCCAACCTCCATCTTTCCTCTACATCGACGGTGGTTCGAGGGATCCCCTGTTGCTGCAGGACAAACTCAACAAAATGGCGATCACAAAGCCATGGAAACATCAGAGCCAATTGCCTCCAGTGCAACCTAGGGATCCTGAAACATCGTGATGGCTCTGAAATTGCCTACGACGATCATGTCGCGCGAACCTCACGCTAGGGTGAACTGACCCTCTCAAACACGCTAAGCCGGGCCCTCCTTTTCCCTATCGAGCATCGTCCCCAATTTATTCGACTCACCCCGTCTCAATTGGACATGGGTCCTTTTGGGGATCCCGGCAAGATGGGACCCCCTTTGGTGGACGCATCATCGCATCGCAAGTCACCGAAGGAGACAGAAAAAAAAGGGGGAGATCTTCCCTGATGCACAGCCATCCTACACAGCTTGGAGGAGCTGGAGCTTCCGCTGTTTGGACCCATACAACGCGTGGTGGAGCTTTGATTCAGGCGTGTTTCGTCACAGACGAACACCTTCCCCCAGGAGCCTGACATTGGAACGCTTGTGTTCGACGATCCTCGAGAATTTCGACTCCTTTTCCGCTTCCAGCGTTCGACTTGTGTTCCCGACCTGCCCGAGATTACTCCCGCGCTTGATTTGAACCCTTGTGTTCCACTCCCTTTGTGCCAGTCTCTGCCAGGTCCGCTCACCCTGGCTTGCCTACCCATGGTGCATGCGGAGATGAGAAACATGGCCATCTCATTGCAAGTGCATCCAGACCGAGGATTATCTACATTGAATGTCCCCGACCTCGACTGGGAGTTGCTCGGGCCAGCATCCCATGCTTAGCGTCTTGGGTGGCAGCTCCTGGTGGAGCAGCATGCGGCGTGTGGGCTAATCGGGTGGGTTTCTTGCTTTCCCCATGGCCCCTAACGAACACCCCTGGGACAGCCTTTTTATTTTTCTTATTTTTTTATGCATACGAAAAGGCCCCGTCACGCAGCTTGCCTTTTTCTCCTCGCACCCGGCGCGCTTCCGACATATGGCGCGCAAGGCTGATCTTGAGGCTAAGGTAATCCATCGTTAACGGGCAGCTGGACTCGTCTCCGATCTTTGCCTCGTTCGTATTTCTCGAAGATCTTGGACGTACCCCCTTCCCCTCCGTGATCGAGCCCCGTGTGTGTGGATTGATCCAAATTGTCTTGAGATTCCTCAGACTGATTCCATCCCTGGTGGCATTGTACTCGCTTGTCAGACGGTAAGTAAAGGTAGAGCTCCCCCGTGCAGATTCAAATGGCGCGTCGCGTGCATCCCGCATCCCGCGCTGTACCCCGTGGCTGACGGTTTGTCCCACAAAGTTGCTTGTTGGATATCCTCTCGAGACTGCCGACAGCCACCCCTGGAAAGCACACGACACGGAATCGACGCGCTCTCGACGGATGATCGAACTACAGTAAACTGCCGTTGAGATTGGGTAAGCTTGCGGGATGGTTTGAGATTTCCATCCGGTACATGCGCAACGAGAGATGGCCACGGACTTGCAGTCCCCTGTAGCCTCTACGGCCCAACCGTCTCCGGCACCATCTACCTCGCGCCCTCTGGAAAAGGCGGGATCGAGATCGCGGCCCTCTCTGTGCCGACGAGACTCATCTCCTGCACCATCCTCCTCCCCGCCTGGCTTGCCAACCCCCGCGTTCTCCCCGGATGGACAGAGCGATGGCGAAGATATCATCGAGGATACATTATCCCCGTTCGACCCCCGCAGAATCACGCCCACCCTTCATGCGTCGCTGGTTTCGAAATCCTCGCCCTGCGGCGCGAGGTGGAAAACAAAACCAAGGCAATTGATTCATTGGAACTGAGTCTAGATGAATCGAGGACGGAAAATGAAACATTACACATGAATGTCTCCCAGACCAGCCAAGAGGCCCGGTCGTTGAAGCACCAAATCCAGCTTCTGGAGGGTGGAACGTCATCTGCGATGACAGAGCTCGCTCGGGAGCGAGACGAGGCTGTGGAAAATATCACCGATGTTCGCAAGAAACTCGATCAGGCACAGAAGAAGGCCCGGAGTCGGGAAGAAGAAGTCGAGCGAACACAGACGCTATGGGATCGCGATCGCGAGGCCTGGGATGGCGAGCGACGAGGTTGGGAGCGCAAGGTCCACGTGGTGGAAGGTCGCTTGAAAACAGTGTTGAACGAGGTCGCCGCTGCCCAGGAAGCCGGAACCCTCCATTCGCAACTCAGCGAAACCGGGGAAATCGCCAAAGACAAGGCCAAGGAAAGCGACACGGCCAGCGTGGCTTCCAGCAGCCAGGGCCGCCGGCGAACAAGTGTCACCAGTGTGAGTACAGAAGAGGATGACGGCGAACCTGATTTCCACAACGTCCGCTACTCGGTGATGAGCATGGCTGGGGCCAAGGTCGACTCCGGCTTGAATTTGGCCCAGGAATTGGCCTTCGACGAGGAGGACGAGTTCGTTCCATCTGACGAAGACGAAGACGAGACTCCCGATTCACCCGAGGCGCTTCCCGAGGAGCGCCCAATGTCGGTCCACTCGCAAGCGTCGCACACTGTGGCGTCGAAAGCAAGAAAGATCTTGGGTCTTTCGCTTCAGAGCACGGGATCAACCACGACCGTGGATTACCGACCTCCCGAACCGACTAGTCCATTGAAGACGATGATTCCTCCGGTCGAATATCACGACCGAGGCATCCAATACTCGCCTCCTCCCTCCCCCGAGATACCGGCCGTGAGTGAGAAGGAATTCGTTCCTCCATCCACAGAACTTCCCGTGAAACTTGATTTACAAGACGAGGTCAAGGGTCAGCCTGAAATGAAGGACTCTGCAACGCTTACTATCGCAACCGAGATGGTGTCTGCCTCGTGTCAGACGGTGGGTGAGCTCCCCAGTCCTCCATGGACGCCCAAGGTGACGGAAGAGCCACCGAAACCTGTCGAGGATGAGCCGGAGCCGGTTCAATTGACATCAATATCTACTCAAACCGAACCTATGGCAGATTTCGCGCCGGTCGATGTCGACAAGCAATCTAGTCTGTCGCCAACTTCCATCCCAACACAGATGGATATTCCAATGATTGCCATTCATCCCCCTGGCTCAGAACCTCCCTCGCCTCGAAATAGTGTCGTTCTACCCCCACAAACGAAGAATGTGTCTTGTCAGGCCAATTTCCTCCCTGTTGTTGATAAGCGCTCTATTGCCATCCAAACCGAGGAGATCCGCATCGACCAACGCCCTGTGAAACTACCAGCAAGCCTTCTACCTTCTGCCATTCCGGATATGCCGCCTCGCTCAGAAGCTCGAAATTCTGGTATACAACCTTATCGCGCACCACCGCCACGATCAGCCAAGAGAGACCAGAGACCTCAACCCTCCGAACGTCCCGTCAAGCCACCCAGAGCACCGGTGGCAGAGCCTGTTCAAGCCTACCCCGGCAACAATGACAACGGTCCGCTCTCAGAAGATGTGATGTCGGGCCTTCGGCGACCTCTGCGGTCCAGCAGCCTCTTTGCTGGATTTGAGCAGCTGAGCGATGACGAGAGCCCCGATGCGGAACGCGATATCTTCACCGATGACGAACTCCTCAACCGGCCGTTTGCATCCTATTCTGTTCGACGCGGAAAGTTGGTAAATGCGAAGTCCAGGCCCAGCTTGGATGAAATGACTCTCCCCGAGATCGACGAGCATCTGTCCGATCCAGAGTCAAAGCAATCTGACGTGGGCCGTGGATCTCGAATGACGCAACGGTCTGGCACGACCGCATCCAGCAGTCGACAATCGGGAATGCGCAAAATGGCCATGATCTCTAGCGGTGCTGTAGCACATCAAAAGACTCGTGCCCGGAGCCCCAGCGAGCCTAGCCTGGATAGTGGCAGTGCGGGCTCTAGTATTGCCCCTCCATTCCCTGTTCCGATCCGCCTTAGCTCACGCAAGATCCCGCTTGGCGGTAGCGATGGATCTTCGAGCCCGACTCGGTCCTCCGTCTCCGGTAGGCAATTCTCTGACCGCGGTCGCCCCCAGCTCATGCGACGGCCCACTTTGCGGCGAGTTCGATCTGCGGCGGCCATGTCGCAAACGGATGCCACCGAGCGTCCAGAGATCCGATCCTCTCCTGCGCGCTCGAACTCGTCGTTTGCTCCGGACAGTCCTTCATACCGTCCGCCCCCTCTGCCGGCTGATGATATCACGGCGCCTCGTGCACGTCGCGGAGTCCCGAAACGGGCCTCGATACGCACAACAGCGTCTCAGCATCTGAACCATGAGCGGCAGGACTCCACCGGCGGGGTGCAACCGACGAGTGTCGTGGATGCCATCGCCCAAACCATGGTTGGCGAGTGGATGTTCAAGTATGTTCGTCGGCGCAAATCATTTGGAATGGGCGAATCCAAGGATAACTGGGAAGGGCGCAACCCCGACGAGGTGTCAGCGAACATTACCAACAGTGGCGTGCGGCATAAGCGATGGGTCTGGCTCGCGCCCTATGAGGGCTCCATCATGTGGAGTAGCAAGCAGCCGACAAGCGGACCCGCCTTACTGGGGAAGAGTGGCCGCAAGTGTAAGTCTAGCTCAGCCTTAGGCTTTTTCTTCCTTTTCTTTTCGCGCTAACATTCGGTTTCTAGTTACGATCCAATCAGTTCTGGATGTCAAGGATGACAACCCATTGCCCAAGGGTTCGCCGAATGTGTTCAATCGTTCGATCTTGGTGCTGACGCCGCAGCGTGCGCTCAAATTCACCGCGCTAACTATTGAGCGCCACTATGTCTGGTTGACGGCGCTATCATTCCTAAGCCATTCTTCTATGGGCCTCCACGACCTGGCTGCACTTCCACCCGTGCCTCAAGAGGAGGCTGGGTCTCCCGCACCGCCGCAGGCCACTTTGCGGCGGAATCCAATCCGTGACTCGATCCGGGTGGCCAAGGGCCGGCCCCGACCCATGCCCAAGGGCAAGCGCTCCTTCGGCAGTGCGCCCGTGCCGACGCCCGTGCCTGAATTGCCGGCTGGCGGTTTGGACACAATGGCTGCGGACGCGCCGCACGTACCACGCTTCTCGACTCACAACCGCAAGCGCAGCAACACCGCACCCCGGCCGGCACCGGCGCTGCACGCAATCCGCAGCTTCTCTAGTCAGGGAACCATGCCATCGTCCCACAGCGGAACCACCGCAGGCTCCGATGCGTATTACCCGCCGCCTATGGCGCCTCCGGGCCGACGTCCCGGTATCGCTAGCGGTCGTAGCAGTTTCAGCCGTACCTCCGAGGCGAGTGGCCGCGCCTCCAGCGGCACTGGGGCCATGTTCGATGTTGGCACCGTCCGCATGGAGGCCTTCATCGATCACCACGCCGAGCAAATCAACCGGCCCCGCGGCCCACCTCCGCGCCGACATGTCCGCAAAAGCTCGAGCCAGTGGAGTCACGGCCGCTACGACTTCGATGCGCCTTCCTTGGACGATAGCGAGCTCTCCTTCCGACCCGATGACCCATTCCGGGGCTTCTAGTATTTATTGATATCGATTGACCTTCTTTCCTCCTTCTCCCTTCACTTCTCGATTGGTGATTCATGTGTGTCTGTTGGTTCTGGTATTTGGCGCCGGTCGACCGCCTTTTCTTCTTTTACATGCTGTACAATCCCTGGACATATTTATCTTTCTCTTCCCTTTCTGTGACATAGTGATCTGTCGATCAGTCTTTTTTTCTCCGTGTTGATACCACTTTTTGTGCTTCATCCTTTTTTCTTGATCAAAACTGCAGCAGATACCACTGGAGTGGGACAGGACGTTGTGTCCGAGTCCCCGACTATTAAATCACATTCTCTATTGATCCTCTTAATTGAAACTGTGTCCAGGTATAGGTGTTCGTAATTGATCTAGGCTCTTCTAGAAAAGAGAAAGAAAGAGAAAGAAAGAGATCGGGTATAGCATCGTTCACATGGGGTGGTAGACTGTAGCGCGAATATGGAAACACAAGGTAGAATTCCAAGATACATTGGGTGGAATCAAGTCGCACGGACAGCCATTATGCCGGGGTGGGCTGACAGCGATATCTCCGAACTGCAATGCAATTCCCACCCAAACCGAAGACTCTTTCCCCCGACATTCGAGATTTTGAGACGGGAAAAACATGGACAAAACAAGAAAAGAAAAAAGAAGAAGATCACAGCTTGGCGGCCTCCTTCACCTCGCCAATCTTGAGTTTATCGGCATATTTCTTCAACACGGTCTCGTTGTGGTACTAGATCAAAAAAGAGGGGAGACATGTCAGCAACTTATGGTCGTGAGCCTCGGTAAATCAAAGCACCCTCTCCGCGACAGTCGACCAAACGCAGGTGTATATCGGGCAAAGGCAACTAACCTTCCAGAACTGCTTCGAGGCATCCTTCCCGGCGACGCGCTTCAGGATCTTGGCGCCGCCCGGGTGCTCGTCGATGAAATTGGTTACGTCGTAGACGGTGCTGTCGACGATGATGTAGAGGCCCTTGTCGGGGCTGTTGTGGGAGGCGACGTCGGCGGGGGTGAAGGATTGAGACATGGTTGGAATGAGGATAAAAGATGAGAGGATATGAAAGGGAAACAGGGAAACAGAGAAACAGAGGAAGAATAGCGAGTGACGTATAGGAAGAAAAGAGTCCGGGGTGAGGCGGAGAAGCCGAGGTCCATCGTTTGGGCCGCGGATGAAATACATTGCGTCTGATTGGTTCGTGGACTCGCATGAATAGACTACGGTTATGGCGGTATCCTCTCTTCTATAAATACGTTGAATGTTGGAGATTATGACTATATTTGGAGATGTCTTGACATATAAAGAATATTCTTGTTAAATGCGTAGAAAAGTACAGCTCCAAAGTGTGTGATCTTGGTAACTTGGTATATTCACGAGATCGGCCCCAATCACCACATTTCCTGCCGGACAATCAATCTTCTACCGCTTCTGCTTGGGCATCTTGCGATCCACTCCCAGCGACTCCAAATCCTTCTTCTTGTAGTAATGCGGTGCCACTTCCACTAACCACTCCGCCTGCAGCGGCAAGTTACTGCGCATGTACTCCTTGCTGGTCAAAACCAGCTCAAAGTAGATCACCCACCGTGGGTTGACCTCGAACAGAGTACTCGACGGGTGCAGGTATACCGACTGTCCATTCTTGATTGTGCGGTAGCTGTCACCCCCGCGCTGCAGTCGCGCCGCGTTGGGGAAGAACCCGGCCGTAATCGCCTTCTGGATCGGCATCATATTGGTGGCCCCGCAAGTGCTAACCGAGACCTCGACTCGGTCGCACAGCTTGGCCAGCTGGTCGCGCACATCGCGTGCCCGCGTCAAGCTGCGCTGTTGCAAGAAGTTCTCTCGCGCCCACACGTAGCTGAAGTCCGAGTCCACCCACTGGTTCCAGATGTTAAGCAACGTGAGGTGGTCACCTCCGTCCTTTACGGTAAATCGGTTGCGGGCACTATCCGCGTGGATCTTCTTGTCCTTGGGCCGGAAAAAGAGCGCACTTGCCTCTCCCAGCATCGACACGATCGATAGGACCTCCTCCACACACCCGTACTGGTCCGCAGCCAAGATCGCTTTGGCAAGCATCGGGTCCGTGGGGAACTCTGCCATCTGCCGACCGACCTTGGTCAGCTCGCCACGGTCGTTCAGTGCCCCCAGAGCGTACAGCTGCTCCAAGGCCCGAATGATAGTTTCCGCCGGCGGCGGGTCCATGAAGTCAAAATCGAGCAGTTGGTCGATACCCAGCGACTTGAGCATCAGGATCACGCCGTTCAGGTTTGTACGCTGGATCTCTGGGGTGGTGTTCTCCTCGAGTTCGTTGTAATACGCCCATTTGGTGTAGAGACGGAAACATTTGCCAGGCCCAACTCGCCCAGCGCGACCAGCTCGCTGGTTAGCCGATGCCCGCGAGCACGGTGTTACCACCAGGCTCTCCATGCCCGTGCGAGGATTGAACACATTCTCCTTTACAAACCCGGGGTCAATCACGTAGACAATGCCGTCGATCGTCAGGCTGGTCTCGGCGATATTGGTGGCCAACACCACCTTGCGAGCCTTGGGTGGCGTAGGCTCGAAAATCTTGGTCTGCAGCTCCGACGGCAGATTGGCGTAGATAGGACAGATAATCATTTCCGGTATTTTACTGCCCAATTTTCGTGCCGTTTCCTGTAAGCTTTGGTCGGCTGCCTCGATCTCTTCCTGACCAGTGAGGAACACCAAGATATCCCCGGGGCCCTGCGTGACGTGAATCTGGAAGACCGTGGTAATAGCCGCGGCCAAGTAGTTGGCCTCGGGCTGCGATGTATAGTGCACATCCACAGGGTACCGCCGGCCAGGGATATTGAAAATGGGCGCATCGTCAAAGTACTCCTGGAACTTCTGCGCATCCATCGTCGCCGACGATATAAGAAGCTTCAAATCAGGCCGAGCCTTAGCGATATCTTTGAGGAGGCCACACGCAATGTCGGTGGGCACCGTCCGTTCGTGAGCCTCGTCGATCATCAAGGCGGAGTACTGGCCCAAGTCTGGTTCCGTCAAGAGTTCTCGCAACAGCATGCCATCGGTCATGTATTTGACAATGGTCTTGTCGGTGGTGTTATCCTCAAAGCGGATAGCATAGCCAACCTCATTTCCAATCTTCACGCCCATCTCGTCTGCTACACGCGCTGCCACACTCATGGCAGCTACTCGTCGTGGTTGCGTGCACCCAATCTTCAATCCATCCTTCGTGTATCCGGCCTCATGGAGGTATTGCGGGATCTGCGTTGTTTTTCCCGATCCCGTTTCACCCACAATGATCAGAACCTGATGTTGATGAACGGCCTGGATGATCTCGTCTCGGAATTGGTAAATTGGCAGGTTCTTCCGGGTTTCTTCCATTGACGCAGCCTTCTTTTCCTCAGCATCTATCTGCTCTTTCAAGCGTCTTTGCTCCTGCGTCATGGGTTTCTGCGTGCCTTCAAGCTTGGCGTCCATGACAAAGTTGATCTGCTGGGAATCATCGAACACATATTCGTAGTCTCCCTCGTCGACAAATTCAGCCTTCTTGATCTGGGCCTTGGCCTTGGCCGTCTGCTCCATCTCCCACTCTTCGTGCTCGGTGACAAACCGCTCTTGGCCCGTCTCGTCACGATCGACATATCGCTTGTACAGAGCATCCTCTTTCTTTTTCCGATCGATCTTCCCCTTCTCCGTGATATAGTCGTCTGGCATCATATACCCATCGCGGTGGTCATCGATTCGGAGCCGCTCTTCAGCGATGCGGAGAACCTCTCGGTTTCGCGCAAACTCCTCTTTCTCCCGGCGCGTTAGACTCGGATTTTCCCGCAGCTCAGCTGTCTCCTCCGCGACCTGCCGCCGCAGCAATGCCAGCCGCTCTGTTTCACGTTTCTTCAGATACTCCTGTCGCGATCGGAGTCGCAGATCCGGCATCATCGCTGCGCGGGCATCGGCGTCATCAGCCAACGCGCGCCGCCGGGCAGCTTCTCCATCTCGGGTGCGGTCTTCGACAATCTTCCTGGATCTGCTGTCATCCTTATTGGCCAGTCGCTTCGCAAACTCGTCTCTTTCGCGAAGGTCTCGTTGACGGTCAATCTCTTGTTTGGTCTGCGGGTCGATATCCTCGGCCGGCGATGCGGGCCGTGGTGAGGCGGATCCATCCTCGAGTCGCGTGCGCTTTGGGGCCGATTCTTCGAATTCCTCAGGATCGTCATCGGCGTACATCTCGTCGTCTGGGATTTCTTCGTCGCCCCATCGGTCCTCAAAATCCTGTGAGTCTCTTCTCCGAAGCTTCTTCGATCGTGGACGATCTCGGCTCTCTGCGTCCCGACTACGATCTCGCTTGCGAGTATCATCCTTTTCCCAGCGACTCCGAGCTTCAGAATCACGTTTCCCTCTGCTTCTGTCTTTGTCACTGTCCCTTTCCTTGTCTCGCCGTCTCCGTCTCTCTCGGTCTGCCTCGACATTTGCGGGGCCCAGTGATGTAGCTGGATCCGGTAGATCATCCTCCATGTCCAGTAGGCGGTATTTCTTCTTCGTAGATTCTTTCGCCGAGCTTTTCGGGGCAGGCGCGCTGGGCTGTGCGCCTTTGCCCGCCCGAGAATATAACTCCCCACAAAACGCCCCAAGATCGCTAGGGTTCATTCCATCTGTGCCGTCGAGGAAGGAGAGGAGTTTGTCTTGCAGGGAAGAAGCAGACCGGGCTGAGCTGGCGGTCGCGAGAACGAAATCAATGACAGTCGGGTCTGACGCGCCCGTCAGGCGGATGAGAGAATCAGACACGAAGGTTTTATTGTCCATGTTGTTTTATGGGCCCTCGAGCAGAGTAGGGGAGAAAAGGTGAGGTAGTGTTTCGACTTGAGAACGGAATGGACAAGAGACGCGCAATGATCGATACTCTGTTTCAAGTGCAATGGTGCATATTGCTGAGAGAAACCAAGGAATGCGGTAGATTTGCGCAATATATTTCCCCAAGGCTCCAGGGCGATAAGAGCAGGTAAATGGCGAATTTGGCGTGGGAGACTGGAGGGATCGGGGAGAAGTCGGAGAAGTCTGAAGGGAAGCTCGCGCCAAGAAAAGTGGCGATCGGCCACCATTGAAGAGATATACACTGGACAGCTCTCTATTATGGGAAGGCTTAAAACAAGTTTGATTGACGATTATATAAAGGATCAAGAAGATCATTGCATTTAATATTACACTTGCAACCAGTGAAACCAATTAAAAAGAAACGAGACAATAGTTCGACCGTGGTCAAACCGCCAGTTCTATATAATCTAGTTCGCTCAGGCTTGGAAAGCCAACTACAGCGGCCGGACTTTCAAATTGAGGAATACTTATACTTCAAAGCAAAGACTCCAGAGAAATGGAAACCAAAAGATAGCCAGGATATCGTTCAAGTACTGGTTCATGCTATACACATACATCAAACCCAAGGTGGTCAACCAAAGACATCAGACACAAGCAGATCGGATCCCACTAAGAATAGCCATGGCTGTTTGACAGCAACCCGAAAGAAAAAGCTCAAGGAAGGGAGAACACCCTAATGGCCCAGGCCATCTCCGGAAAGTAAGTACCTATCCACGTAGCGCTGTTGGTACATTGGTATGGCACCTTGTAATGCTAGTCAATGGTACAAAGGAAATTCATAACCGCAAACGAACGAAACTCCATGCTGAACGCCAGGGCCCATAGACCCTCCCACAGCCAAATCAAACTCCACCGGGTCATGAGAGATGGCAAGACATTCACGCAACCGGCAGACGCCATAAAACCCAACCAGGTTTGAAAGCATCCCAGTTGACAAGTGATCAAAGGGGGGCGAAGAGGGGGACAAGTCCCAGCTTCCCTTTTGGAAGCTTGGGATAGAGGAGAGTAGAGGAGAGGGAAAGGTCGTGACGTGGAAGAAAGAGGGGCATCAAACGAAAGAAGGATAGGAAGAAGAGACCAAATCTGGTCAACGCCGGAAAGGAGAACAAAGGAAAAAGAAAAGAAAATCAGACAAGCTCGGAACACCATCCATATGCACAACAATCAAAGGCGACATAGATTACACATCGATCATCTCGGCATCTTCGGCCAAGATCTCGTCCGCCGGTCCCCAGTTGCCTTCGAAGACAGTGGCCCCGGCGCGACGACGGTGACTCACAAACTGCAAGCCATAAGTCTCCAGAATCTGGTCAGCAGTGGGGCGGTCCAATGGCTCGGGGGAGATCATCCATCGGACGATCTTATCCAAGGCCTGGGGATGGGTTGCATCGACCATAAAGCTAGGAGGGTCAACCAGCTCACCACTGCGAGCGAGTCGAGACGGCTGAGGCTGATTCAACTTGCGGGTCGTCAAGAAGTCGCCACCAAAGTCATCATCGCCCAGATCGGATGCACAGAGCTCCTCAAAAGAAGGTTCTTCCGACACAGGATTTCCGGACGCGTCGCGGAAGATACTGGTCTCGGAGCTCCAAGTGAGGCTAGGGACATCGCTCATATCGCCATTGCGGAGTTTCTGCCAGGAGAGGCCATTGTCTGGAAGCTCCACGTTTCCTGCGATTTCAAAGATGACCAGACCAAGAGAGAATACATCGGCCGGTTTATCAAAACGGCCCATGAGAATCTCTGGTCCGATGTACTCTCGATCGCCCTCACCCTCAATGCCATCTTCAGCCGGCCAGCGCGTTGCCATGCCAAAGTCACCGATTTTCAAGACACCTTCAAAGGTGACGAGGATGTTGGCAGGTTTGAGGTCCAAGTGGATGAATCCCTGGTCATGAATGTGCTTAAGTCCCTGTTGATAAGAAGGTTAGCTTGACTTCGTCACAAGGAGGATATCAGCGGAGATGATGCATACCAGGGACAATTCCAGCAAAATCTTCCAGATGCGGAAATCATCTAGCCGGGCTTTAAGACCGGCTTGGGCCAGGAAAACATCCAGGCTGCCCTCCTCGCAGAATTCGGTTTGGATGTACAAGTGACCATTATCTTCCCAGCTGTTCATGAAGGAGACAATGTGGTCAGAGTTGATCAAAGTCTTCAGAACGTCCACCTCGCGAATACGGCGTTCACGATCCTTCAGGCCCGAATAGGGCTGCTTGCTCTTCTTCACAGCCCACACCTGGTGCGGCAAGGCCGTAGGTGATTTTGTTGCACTCGGAGGGAGAGAGAAGACAGATAGGAGCGAGGATTCGTGCGGCTGCGAAACTCGGTAAACCTGGGAAAACTCCCCAGTGCCGATGAGCTCGACTTTCTCGAAGCGTGATGTCAAGCTTGGATCCACGTCGGGGGCATGGTAGCCACTGAGTGACAGACTGGGACGTTTTCCTGACAGCAAAGAGTCACGAGGCCCAGTCGGGGTAGCCGGAAGGTTGCTGCTGCCGAAGTCGGTCTGAATAGACTGATGGTGCTCATTCGGAACCGAAATCGACAGGCCACTTGGGTCAGGCGGGAAGAACTGATCGCGAGGGGTGCGAGGCGTTGACTGCAGAAACTTGTCACGCAATGGACTCGCTGCGAACAATGTCAGCTGTTGATCCCGCGCGGGAAGTGAGAGGCACTTACAACTGCTTGGTCTTGACTCAGACAAGCGCTCGAGCGGGGCAATTTGGGAGGCGGTGGGTGGATAAGTGCGAGAAGAGAGGAATGACTGTTTCGTGGGAGTAGGGGGAAAGTCGGTTTCAGCCAGCGTCTGACTGTCATTCCTCGAGGATGGGGATTGGGCCTGCGACGGTTCATCGCCATCGATACTGGCGAAGCTTCCACGGCGCGAGGGCTCCGGACGGTTAAAAGCACTTCCGAAAATGCCCATACCTCGAGCGAAGGGTCCCGGCTTCGGGCGCGTGGTAGAGGGAGGGTTGAAAGGTGAAGGAGGCACAGCATCAGACTGTTGGCCCAGGCGAGACTTCACGAACAGTCGCTCAGATGGGACATTTGACCCGGCAGCGAACAAGTTGACGGGTCGCTTGCACGGGGTGTCAGGCATATTCTTGTTGAAACTAGCCCCGTGTGGCTCCTCGGCGTTGCGGTTTTTCTTCGAGATGAGTCCAGTTGACATGAAGGCTGCTGGCAAAGGCTTGACAAGCTTGTAGTTCTCCGGAGTAGCGAATGTCTCGGACGAGTTCGAATCCTCCCGGGTCAAACGACGCACGGGGGCAGGCCGGGTAGCGCCCGCAGGGAGAGACTTGGAGAAGTTGAAAAGCGGCCGTGGTCGCTCCGGCTTTTGAGTTGGTTCATGAGTGGGCGAATCGTCCAGACTCGACCCAGATGAAGACTGAGTGATGGTGCGCGAGAGAGGATGAGCCGCAGGACGAGCGGGCTGGGGAGGGTTAGGGTTGGCGGAGAAGAGAGGATTGGCAGGGGGAGGACGGGGCGAGAAAATGTTTTCCTGGCCCGCCTGGAAAAGGCCGCTATCAAAAGACATGCGTGGCCGGACCGTCAACGGAGTGGTAGAAGGCGGTGCCTCAGGGGACTCATTCGCCGGCCTGGATCGACCGAAGAGAGGTCGCTCACCCTGGCGCTGCTGGAGCGTCGAGCGCCGCAGGGACGATGAACGCTTGGGGATGGTGGCGAACGGACTGAAGGGCTGGACAGGCGTGGGAAAAGAGGGAATGTCGTTGTTTGGCGGACTGTTCCCAGTTGCACTTTCACCATCGTTGTCGAAGATGTTAAAGTCCGCTGAAAGATTTGCTCCATGCACACTCCGCCGCTTCGCGGAGGGGCTGCCCCGAGACGCCTGGTCCAAATTCATGATGCCGTCGCTGCGCTTCAGGGGACTGACTGTAGCGTAGGTTCCAAATGTTCCACTTCGTCGCTTCTCGATGCGTGACAGGGTCGACCGAGGCGCAAATGTCGTGTCGATTTGGGGGACAGATGGCCCATTCACCACACAGGGACTGCCTGGAGTGGTACTCTCACCCGGCACAAGGTTGTCGACCGACAAGGCATTCTCTTCACCTGGTGGTGCTGCAATCGGTTGGGTTGGAGTCGCATTACCACCGTCGGCGGAGACATTCAGAGCGCGTTTTGCCGGACTGCGTGGCGACGTGCGTCGTCGCATGGCTGGTCGGCTGATCTTCGCGCTGGGAGGATAAGGAACGGCAAGAGGAGACTGTTGTTGGGAAGAGGGGAAAAGCACAAAGTTATTTTGCGAGGAGCGCCTCGAGGGCGACAGAGGCGATGAGATGTAGGCAGCTTTCGAGGGTGACTGGTTGCGCGAGTTCAGGAAGAAGTGGGAGCTCTTGGAAGGCGAACGTGACAACGAGCGACGCAGCTGGCGGATGGCAGAACTGGCATCAACGTGATGGATGCCCGAGGGCGATGGCAGATGGAGAGTGCCACCCGAGTCCCGGTGCGGCGAGAAGGTTGCAACCATGATCACAGGAATGTGCCCACAACGTGCCGCGCAACAAGACCAGAATGAGAGTTAGGTAACAATGGAGAGGATCACCTAACCAACCGAGTGCGTGTTGAATTCTAAGATGCAGCGCACTAGAAAAAAAAAACAGAAAGGATTGGGATATTGTTGCAAGTGCAACTCTGGGATAGAGGGGTCTCAACCTCCCCGAGGCCCAATTCTGCGACGCGACAGAGGGTCAACAACGCGAGCTCTTTTGGGAGGGGCGGTCAGACGGGTGGCTGATCAAGGATGAGTCAAGGACAATGCTGGTCGCTGTCTCGACCAGTCAGAGAAGGCACGCAGGCACTGGAATGCTGAGCAGGAAGGCGCAGTCACAAGTGGCAAAGTTCAAAGATGAATCGGCTATAGCGACCGAGTCACACGCTACTCATTGCGAGGTCGAGGAATTCAGTGCCTTCCCTCCATGCGCGCGTCCGTGGAGGGGAAACGCGAGCGCATCAACACCCAGAGATAGGCGCGTGCACAGGGTGATTGGGCTTTACAGGTCGATGCGACTTCCAGGAATGTTTCTGGTCGAGCACAGTGACAATCGGCAGGCACGACGCAGGTATTGTTGACCCTGGGCGGAAGGGTAGGCAAAGATATCAAATATCGTGAGATTTCTTTCTTGTCACAGAGCAGAGGGTTTCACGCAAGAACGGAAGCGTAAGGGGCAGATCCCCCTCTTTCCCACCAAAGAGGTCGAGGTCAGCTCACGCGGGCAAGTTGGATGAGAGCAGGTATGTCGAAGGGGGATAGATTTCGAGGGATCGAGGGATCGCAAACCGAGGGAGTGGATTTTGACAGAGAGGGGGGGGATGAGATGAGGAATGTTGAGGATCGAAGGCGGGCTGTCAATCGATTAACGCGCCGTCGCGTTGTTGATCCTCGATGCCTGATATGGACTAGCGTGACGCGTGCCCGTGACATAAACAAATATGCTTAGTCATGCGTATACTCCGCGATTTGTCTGACTCGGGAGTATGTAGCTCGTCCACACTACACCAATAAATGAATGTCGGTCTTCTAAGGATGAAAAGGGATTAGGCTCTCTAGCTATAACCTGCTCAGCTCCTCCTGTTCTTCTTGGTCTTGACACATCATTCTATGTTTTCTGGGTGGGACACCCGCCCTCGCGCCGGAGACAGCCACCGGATGCGCGTGTAAACTTAGCATGCTTCCAATGGCCCCTCATAATTCTGTTTTCTTATTCTGATCTCTCATTGATAATCGCATTGTCCCAATCGAGTGTTCGATAGGCCCCACCACGCGACTTTCCCCTTGCTTCTGTGCATCTCCTCCCGGCTGCTCTGCCATGGATGCCTGGCCCATCTGATTGATCGCGGTTCTTTGCTAGGAAACAACATCCGGCTTGAGAGTAGCTCCAATGCTTCTGCAGAGGTAGGACGAAGGATGCGAAAATCTCGACGGTACCTGCAGCTCATCCCCGTCGTGCAACTTCGGTTGATCGGCCTGTGCCCGTCGCGTGGGTCTCCCGTCAACTTGTCAAACACATCACATGGAAAGATCCCCGGGAAATTTGATCTATTGAAAAAGAAAATAAATAAACAAAAAGAAGAACAAGAACAAGAAGAACAAAAAAAATATTCAAGACCAAAAATACCCAACTCCAATATATGCACAGAAAAGGAGATCTCGTTGCGTAGCACCCAAAGGAAACCAAAACAAACAGTCGCATACTTCCTTGGCTGTGGGAAGTCTATGTCGAGTCTGGCGCTTCTGCCAACACGCTCATCTCTTGCCGCATATCTTCCATCACCCGCTCAGCAGTTTTACGATCAAGTCGACTGTCGGGCGCGAAGAGCCCGAAATCCAGTCGTCCTTCGCGAATGGCAGCCTCCACGTCAATCGTTGGCTGTTGCACCCGGAGAAATTTGGTTAGTGCGAAGTTCTCGCAGTGTGTAAGGTCAGGGTGTGGTTGGTCACTTACGCGGAAGACATCTGCGATAGCCGCCGTTGAAGCGGTGAAACCCGACGGTGTTGCAGTCTCACCGTTAGTTTGAGCCTGGCCGTCGTCGCAGCGAATGAATCCTCTCATCTTCTCAAATGTCTCGCGCGAAACAGCTTGGAGAGTCACTCGCCCACTCTCATTGGCGTCGTGGGACTCGTTCAGCTCGGGCAGTCGCAGGAAGTTGATGCAGGTGTCGATTCGCACGCCAGTCCACTTGGCAATTTCCATGAGAGACACCCCGGCGTGCTCCACCCTACTGATCTCGTTGATGTCATCTTGGATTCGCCGAGCAGCGGCAAAGAGGGTGTCATCAGTCCCGTGGAGTTTGTTGTCGAGGCGTAGCGGTACAATATTGACAGTGGGAGCAACAAGCTCAGACAACCCCTCCGTAGCATAAGACCGATTTGCCAGATACAGTCCAACCACAAACTGTTTGTGAAGTTTCTCGTGGGATTTGTTCACTGCTGCGAAGTTCTGGGCATGCACTCGGGCATAGACGGCCAAGAAGATAGCTTGGATACTGAGGCCCTGGTGGTTGGCGGCTATTTCAATACGGGACATCTTTGAGACAAGCCCTGGTCGATAATAGTGCTGAACGGCACCAAAACCACCCACCGGTTTTGCAGGGGACTCATCGATTGTAGCGGAGTCCAGATATTGTTGCCAGAATTGCCGCCGAATCTCCACGGGCGAATGAACGTGCTGGAATGCCACAAGCTGTGAGAGGTCATCAATGCCAGATGGTGTCTCGGATGGCTTTTCTTGGCTGCACAGCTGAGACAACCGGTCTATAATATACGGCAGGCTCACAGCATCATAGAGCGCATGATGAATCTGGAGAATTAGCGCCGTACCATCGTTGGTTTGACATGCATGCAGAGTCACCGGCACCGAGCGGGGCTCTCGCCTAGATTTCATCGAGGCAACTTGATGATCTGACGGGCTATGCCAGACGACAGGGGTCTGCACTGAATCCAGCACGATTTGGGCATACGGCAATCGTGGATGGCTGGTAGGGAGGAAGGCAGTCCGCAACATGGGAGTTTGATCGACGAGGCAAGCCCAAGCTCTTTCAAGCAACGCTTCGCTCAGCTTCGTAGATGCTGTGTAGTAGAACTCTGGATAGAACATCATTGGATTCAAGGCGTGCATAGAGAGGAAATAAGCTTGCCCTGCAGTTGCCGGGAATGCCTTTTGAACCCGCTCTGGATCAACACCGGCAGACTGGAGCAGTGCGGTCATGTCGATACCATCAAGCGAAGCACTGAGGGCGTTGGATAAATCCGCGGGTGTGATTTCCACGCTGTTTCTGTTCGCCACTCGGGCCATGTTCTCGATTGTACCAGCTCTGAGCATGTCACTGACGGCGAGCTTGACACATTGTTTCTTCAGAAGGGCCGTCACCTTGATGGCGCTGATGCTGTCTAGCCCAAGCTGGAAGATAGTTGAATCCTTGTCGATTGATGTCTCAGACACCCCAGAAACAGCAGAAAGAACATTGCGAATCTTGCACTCGATCGACGACCATTTTGTTTTGCTAGATACCTTGGGCTTTGCATCAATTGCAGGCGTTTGAGGTTTGGCTTCTTGGAAAACTGGGCTTCCGCAAATTCCCATGCCATCTTCAGTGAAATCCACCGTCTTTTGGCCTGGTTGGTCAATGATTAATGTTAAGACATGCGACATCCGCTCCAAAAGCTCTGTGGTGTCCTTTTCTCCCAAGGCACTCCCACGGCAAGCTACGCGGCCAACAAGAGTTTCTCCAACACCTTCGATCTCGGCACAGACTGGGTATTCGACCTTCGATGCACCGCCCATCGGCTTGTACAGACTCTGTCCTGTTTGAAGATCCTCTGTCGGTCTCCTCTGGTATATGAAAAGCGTGTCGAACAATTGTCGTGACTTTGCATCCGGTCTCGCCCGTCGCAGTGGGAAATGCTGGTGTTCCGAAATTTCGACCAAAGATTCGTGCACGTATTTCACCAATTCCGAACGGCTTCCATGCAAAATGACACGCATGGCTACTGTGTTCATTGTTGGGAACATCACATGTTCAGAATCGGCCATTTGCCGGCCAGATAGGACGAGTCCGAAAGCCACATCCAGCGTCATGGTATAGCCTGCCAGTACAAGGGACCAGCAGCTGACCAGGAGTGACTGGACAGTAACGCCATGCTGCTTGCAAAATGCTTCGGCTTTACGAAGAGGAACAGACAGTAGTCTCTCTGTACGATGAACAAGATCCGAATCTTTGACGGAGTGTTCTCCGGCTGGGAAAGATTTCGGAACAAAGTTGGATAGCGTTGCTCTCCAGAACCTAAGCGCTCGATCACCGGATGATGCTATGATCTGTTCAAGAACGGCATCTGGCGACGGACGATGGCAAGTCTGGCCGGCGTAAAATTTGGCAACATCCTCATGGAGCAGATGAATCGACCACCCATCATAGAGAGCATGCGAAATTGACAAAACCAGATACCGAGCATCTCCGTCCACAACAACTGTGACAGTCATTGGTGGGCGGCCAGCGAGATCCGTGAGTATCCTCGCCCGTTGCTTTTCTATAATCGTATCCACAGATGCACCATGTAGGGTAACCGACTGGAAGTCGAAATGATCTTCGCTGTGGACGATCTGGGCGTAAGAAGCAGATATCTTCGGATCCGAGACTTCAACAAACGAAGTACGAAGTATGGGGTTGGCCTTAACAACCGCTCTCCATGCCTCTTGAAGCTTTTCAATACTTGCGTCTGGTTCAAGTTGGAGGATCTCATGGTTGTAGTAGTGCTGGTAACCTGAAGCAACCATTTCGGCAACCATTGCTTCCTGGATCGGTGTAGCTGGGAGGATTCGATTGGCATCTTCAGGGACAAGACATTCACTCGCCAGGAACTGACTGAGAGACTTCTCAGTTTGATCCAGTAAAGCGGTTGTCCCATTTTGTTCATGATGAGTTGCCGTCCCCAGCTGCTCGGTCATGGCTTTAACTGTTCGATGACGCATTATAGCACTCACTGGAATCTTGATTCCAGATTTGCCCAGTCGGGAGGACAACTTAATTGCATCGATACTGTCGAGTCCAACTTCGAAAATGGATGTTTGCTCGCTGACAGTTTGTGGCTCTACCCCAGCAAGGGTTGCAATGACATCGCGGATTGTATAAGCTTGAGTTGTCCACTGGAATCCAGAGTCCTCGCTCTTTGCCGAAGAGTTCAAATGCTGTTGTGGCTCAACGATTTCACCGTTTGTTTGAACTTCCTCTCGCGGCAATATTCCGTTGGTCTGGGGCAGTTCCCTGTCGGGGTTTTGCGCGAACTCAGACAAATGTCGCTCGAAGCTGGAAAGGATCTGCTGCGCCGCGTCCGAGGAAAGTACATGGCTCTTTGCGGCAACGGTGACTGTCAACGATTTAGTGCCGTTTCTCACAATTTCAAACGCCAATGGGTATTCGTGTTGTGCTTCTGAATCGAGTGGGTGCCACAATGCTTCAGTCACAGATTCGATATCAGTGGTTTCCCTCTGGAAGACAAACAGAGAGTCAAAGAGTCTTTCGTCAGAGTTCTTGCCCAGCCATTTCACAATGTCTCGAAGTGCAGAGTACTGGAACGGAATCGTGGAAACATGGTATTCATGACACCGGCGAGCAACATCCGACCAAGTTTCCAAACCACGGAATTGAACATTGCTCGGGATGGTGTTGAAAAGAGGTCCGATAGTATCTCCAATGCCGGGTACATCAATTGTACGACCTGAAGCGATGATCCCAAGCGGAGGCACAAACGAGTAATGCTGCTGGAGGGTGAGCAGCCAACAGGCATGGAGAACCGCTTGCTCGGTGACGTTGAGGGACTTCCTTAGATGGTCCAAATGTTCTGTCACATTAATTTGGGTCTTTTGAAGAATTGAAGAAGTGCTCTCATGATGCATCCCGGCCAAGGCCCGATTTTGACAACCTGCAAGGTGTTCTGTCCAAAAGGCCTTTGCGGAGGGGTCTTTGCAAAGTGGGCCTAAGTGCAACACATCCAGGAAATTGGGGGCTTGGGGAGAGGTTTGTTCTTGGTTCAAGTAGTTTCGAGCAGCCAATTCAAGAAGAAGAACCAGACTGTTGCCATCATAGAGAGCGTGGAAGATGTTCAGGAACATCAACGATTTTCCAGGGCAAATTATCACTCCGATCTCCCACGATATTGTAGAGAGACCATCGAGGTTTGAAATCCATTGCTGGGTTTGTTGTTGTCGCGCAGTTTCAATGCTCTCTTCGGAGTCTACCGTGGTGGAAAACCAAGGCAGTCTGTCCTTTTTCAGGATGACTTGAGCATAGCCATCAGGGGAAGGAGAGAATCGAGCCCGCAACATCTGAACCTCTTTTTGAGTCTGGATCCAGGCTGCCTGCAAAGCCTCAAGATTGACTGAAGAACGAAGCTCAAAGGTGAAGGAAGAGCAGTACAAAGGCGTGTCACTCGACAGGAAATGATATATAATACCTTCCTGGAGTGGAGTGCAAGGGGCAATTCTCTCGATGTCCTCGTCGGAGATCCCAATATTCTCAACGAGAGAAGCAAAGTGCTTGTGTTCAAAGGCCTCGATGGCTTGTTTCGAATTCTTGTGAAGTGTTTCGAGTGAATCAGAGGCAGTCGTAGACATCTGTAAAGCGGAGGCCATTCCTGTGATGGTGGGATCTAGACAATATAACCAATTAGACGAAATACAGTATTAAATAAGGGCCAAAACTCACGTTTCATAATCAAAGATGGCTGGGCCTGAGGGAACCCGGCTTCTCTGAGACTCCTGGAGAATGCTATCACGGAGATAGAGTCGAGGCCCAGTTCGTAGATGCTCGACCACGACGAAATTGTCTGGTCAGTGGATCCCACGAATTTTGCCAAGATAGATATTATTGACTGTTCTTGTGCACTATCCGTGGTCCGGTTGACACTCATGGAAGTCAGTTTCTGAATGTCTTCGAGAGAAAGATCTTGATATATGCTTTTTAAGACCTTCATATCAGCCTTGTTGTTGGCTGACAGAGGGAAGAGGCTCATAGGAATAATGTGAGTGGGCACCATGTACCCTGGAAGATGTGCATGGCAAGCAGTCTTGATTGTCGAGAGCAACTTTCGATCCTCTTCAGAGGAATGGACTTTCACGCCCCGAAGTGTCTTGTCGTCAGTGACTCGAGTAACGAAGGAGACAAGCTGATCCTTGGATTGTTTTGGATGCTTGATCACCAAGGTGGCCACTTCGTTAAGCTCAGGAGTTGCTTGCTTCATGACTTCGTTGATCTCCCCGATCTCAAGTCGCTGGCCACGGAGCTTGACTTGGTCATCAATGCGGCCAAGGAACTGGAAACTGCCATCATGAAGGATCCTGACAAGGTCACCAGTTCGGTAGATGCGATCTCCAGATCCAGGAAGGCTTTGGAATCTCTCTTTGGTAAGCTCTGCCCGGTTCAGATAGCCCTTCCCAACAAGAGGTCCTGAAACACAGAGCTCACCGATGCCGCCTCGCAAAACAGGTGTCGATGAGCCCGGACGGAAAACATATGAGCCCACGTTATCGAACTGCGGTCCAATGTTAGAAGGTTTGTCCTTGGCGGACATTCTCGGAAGCATAGTGCACCCGATAGTGACCTCTGTCGGTCCATAACCATTGTAAATGACCCCATGTCGGCCCCATGCGTCAAGAATTTCTTGTTTCAGCTGCTCACCACCAGTGATAAACACACCTTGGCACAGCGAAGGAACCTCATCGGGGTGAACCAATCTTGCCAGACTCGGCGTCAGATCGATGTGTGTGATTTGAAGCTTTTGAATGGTGCCTGGCAGATCCTCGAACAGGAGATCTCGAGGGCATGAGGTAACGCAAATTCCAACACTCCAACTCCAATACTGTTCGAGAACACTGACATCGAAGTGGAAGGACGCAAACTGGAGCCATCGAGAGTCTTCATTCCAGTGGCCTGAGAACAATCTTTGGAATGCCAACATCGCTTGTACGGCGTTTCCATGTGTGATCTCACAGCCCTTGGGAGTTCCAGTTGTGCCGGATGTGTACAGACAGTAGCATGTATCGTTCGGCTCGATTGCCCGAGAAAGCAGAGGCCGCGCGACTGAGAGGCCATCAAGCAGGCCCGGCTCATCGAGGGTTTGAATTTCAACACCCGAGAGGCCCTCCAGTTCCGCTTTCTTTGGTAGATGGGAGAGGAGAAGTTGAGTCCCAGAATCCTCCAAGATAAACTGCTTGCGAGAGATGGGAGCCGTGGGATCAATAGCCACGTACGCACAGCCAGCTTTTAAGATACCCAGAATTGCCATCGAAGCTTCGGGACACTTGTCGAAGCATATGGCGACCATTCCACCGGGAAGGGTTCCTTTGGTCTGTAGAAAATGGGCAATTCGATTGCCATTCTCATTCAGCTCCCGGTAGGTCCATGTCTTCTTCTGCAAATTCTCTGCTGAACTTCCAAACGCAAATTCGAATGCGGTCTTGCCTGGGAGGTTTTGGGCGTTGTTTTCGACAAATTGGTGCAACAGAGAGACGGAGGATGGAATGGTCTCGTCCTTGGCCTGACTGACAGACAGCAACCTGCTTCCCACGGAAGAGTAATCCTCGGAGCTCGAGTCCGCCGAGAAGACAGTATTCTCCAAGAATCTTTCGTACTGCTCCAACAGAATCTTTGCCTGCTCTTCTGGAAGAACGTCGCTCTTGTAGTTGATTCTGACCTCAAGATCAGTCGAGTGCGGGATCAGCTCCAAAGACACCGGATACTATACAAAAGGTTAGTCCCATATCGAGTATATCGAAAGGCTCATATGGTTGCAAAGTATATGAATGCATACATCAATCTTTGTCTCTTCATCAAATACCTCCCAGTGTTGGGAGTCTTCCTTTTTGGATGTGAATTTCTGGTAGACGAACAAAGTGTCGAAGAGAGGTTCATCGCTGCCCATCCAGCGTTGGATCTGGGACAGTGGGGTAAATTGATTATTCAACAAGGATGCATTCATCTTCAATGTGCGGCTCAGAAGATCACGGTTGGTTCCTTCGATGTGCAGAGGAGAGGGCACGGTCACCAAGCATGGGAAAACAGCTTCCTGGGCAGCGGCCGACAAATTGCGGCCAGAAAGAACCGTTCCAAAGACAACATTCAATTCACCGGTGTATGCAGCGAGTAATCGAGCCCAGGCTGCTTGGCCGGCCGCTTGCAGTGTCACACCGATGTCTCGACAAGCATCTTCGAGAGCCCTTCGAGACTGTGAACAGCGGATTGAGCCAACGAGCAATTTCTTCTTTTCGGTCCGAATAGGATGCAAGTCAGGGAATTTGCAAGAATGCACCTCTGTAGCTAGTCCCTGCCAAAAGGCCTGGGCCTCATCATTCTGCGCTCGACTCTCAATTAAGATGGGCCCAAGAGTTGCAGTAATTGAAGGAGGCTTTGCTAGAGTTTTTCCTTCGTATACTGCCGAAACATCGGAAAAGATTGAAGTCAAAGATTGGGCATCATAAATGGCGTGAAGCGCAGAGAAATGGATCTCCTTAACGGTCTCGCAGGACTCAACATCGATTTTCCAAGGAGGCTGGTGGAGGTTTTCCAATACATGCTTTTCTTGAAGATTGACAGCATCTGCGGCAGTGTCCCTAGCTTCATACCAGGGGAGTTCAATGCCTTCATGGTACGTAACCATGGCAAATGGGTATTGTTGATTGCGCAGCTGGACAAAACCAGTGCGGAGCATCTCGTGCTGGGCCATCACTCGAGACCAAGCTTCCTTCAGTAGACCTTTGTTAAGTGGCACTGAGAACTTCAATGTCATTCGGTTGAAGTAAATATCACCATGGGAATGGGTGAACATCGCCAGCATGCCGTTCTGAATTGGCGTGCACGGCCGCAAAGACTGCACTGCCTTTCGTGAAATACCAAGCTGCTCAGAGGTGGATTGCAGATACTCATTTTCGAAAGCAGAGAAGTCGAATTCGTCTTCCTTGACGCTTTTTTCACTGGAAGTTAGAAGCGATGCAATACTCTCAATAGAAGCAGCCTAGCAAAGGTTAGTCCCGAGCTACATGAACGAATACCCGCACATTTTCCTTACCTCAAGAAGGTCCCCAGCCGAGACTTTGTAGCCCAAATCCCGCAGTGTGGCAGATATTTGAACGGCATTGATGCTGTCCAGCCCAAGCTGGAAAATCGTGGTTTCCTGCGACACGGCCTCGGGGTTGAATTCTGAGAACTTGCAAAGAATGTCCCGCACTGCCTCTTCTTGGTGAGACCAGGGACGTGATATCTGGGTCGTGGTTGACACATAATTGACGGCGTTGGATTTACGTGGATCTCTTCCTTTAAAGATTCGAGGAATATCGGCCCCCAATGGTCGTTGATCGGAGGCCTGGGCCGAGGGATATTGGGTGGTGTGGTCAACAAGAGCCACAAAGTCATGCGCAATTTTCTTGGCCACATCATGGGCAATGTATGATGTTTGGAAGTGGAGGCAGATATGGATGTTGTTTTCTGTGTCATCGGGAACAATCTCGCAGACGAGCGGGAATCCCATGTTTCCCTCGTCGCGAAGAAGCTCCCATACGCTCGAGTCAAGCTGGGTGCTCCGATTCTGGAGGACAACCAGAGTGTCGAAGAGATGAGACCCATCATTGAATGTACGCCTTTGAATGCGCCGCAACGGGCTGAGCTGATGGGGCAAGATTTCATTATTGGACCTCTGTGAGCTCCCCATGATGTCTCTGTTCGTTGCAGTGGAAGAGAACTTGACTCGTACTGGCAGCGTGTTGAAACAAGGTCCAACTATTTGATCCGCCCCATCCAAAGGAATAGTTCGACAACCGAACACATTGCCGAAGCAGACATCAGAGGTATTGGCATACAATGAGAGCAATCTGGCCCACGCCGCATGAAAAACGTTCAAAGGCGCCACTGAGAGGTCTTTGCATCGCTGTTTGAATGAATCGAAAGGACCGCTCACTTGGATGTGGATTTGCTGCGACACTGATTCGTTCGCAAGATTCTTGGCCTCCTTTGGCATGGATAGCAGACTCGGTGACACCCCAGACAAATACCGATCCCAATATTCATCCGATGTTTCTGAGTTGGCAGAAAGCATGTACCCGATAAACCGGTAAAATGGCGTTATTTCTGGCAGATTATTCCCAGAAATAAAGAGCTCAAGTTCGTGCAATAATTGCATTATGCCTTCTCCATCATAGAGTGCGTGGTGGATAGACAAAAGAAGATGTGCCTTTTGTGCCGCGGAGTCCGTGAATAGAACCAACGAGTAAGGCAGCTCTCCATTGACTGGAGATTGACCCTCGAATTTCGACTTGCTCCTGTTGACATCCTGGTCCAGCTCAAAAGTGGATGTTTCGGCATGCGTCCAGGGCAAATTTGCACTATCCAGGACAACCTGGGCATAGGCGAAATGTTGGTCAGTGGTTGGCCGGAAGCAGGTTCGGAGAATGTCATGTCGCTGCAACATTTGAATCCATGCAGTCTTCAAAGTCTTGATATCGACGTGCACACGCAATAATAGATGGTTGAAGTAGGCCGAGTGGCTATCGGATTCAGCCGCAAGCATAGCCTCCTGCAATGGCGTACAGGGGTACACATTTCGGGCCTCTTTGCCTGAGGTTCTGAGCTCATTCTCGACTTGAAGGATCCAACTCTTGTCGAACGCACCCGGGAGCTGTTGCATATACTCTTTGGGCTGGTTCCTGGTGGCCATCGAAGGAACAACCTCCGCAAGTTGAGCAACAGAGCTATAGCGCAGTATGGTAGACACAGCAAGCCTTTCGCAACCAAGTTCTTGTAACCTGCGTGAGAAAGATATGGCAGACAAAGAATCCAGTCCCAGCTTGTAGAACGATGTCTGCCTGCGTATATTGCGTTGATCGACACCAGTGACTTCTGAAAGAGCAACTGCAATAGTCTTCTCAAGATCAGAAAGATTCTCGTCATTCTCATGAGCCTCCACCGCGGGTGAAAACAGCCGAAGTTGCTCTGGTGTCATTTGCTCGATCTTTCGCTGCAACTCCGAATAATCGGTTCTGTAAGTCTCGGTCATAGGTATCTCTTCCATTGGAACCAGGAGTGAGGGAACCATATGTGAAGAAAGCCTTGAGCTAAGCTTTTTAGATAAATCATTGACCACCGAGTCAAACCGGAGGGAGCCCGTAGACTGGCGAGCATGAGCAGAGGGAATCCAGAACGCAACCAGGCACTGTTGGCTCGAAATTGGGTTGTTAAGAACCATGCTCACGGAGTTTTGAACCAGTTCTGAAGAGATAAGGGCACGATCAACCTCTTCGAGAACGATGTGTTGGCCATTCAGCTTTACCTGGTCGCGTCTCTGGAGGATAAGGGACCCATTGGGAAGAATTCTGCCAAATTGACCGGTCCTATATACTTTACCTAGCTCAGGGTGATCCACGAATCTCCCTGCGGTGGAACTTTCCTTGTCCAAGGATGCATGCCCCTTAGATTAAAATGTTAGTCTGAGTCGGGGAAGCAATATTCTCGAAAACTTACAACTTGATCCCCACCAAAGCATATCTCTCCAACCGCACCTCGCGGAAGCGGATGGAATGGTTCTTGGTCTGCTGCAATCATGGCAGATGTATTATTTAATGGTCTGCCGACATTGGCTGTCAAAGTTGAAGCTTCAACGCCTTTGTAGAAAGTGCAGACATTGGTTAAGCCACGATTGAGGTAACCTTTGTCAAGGGAATTAGTAGAAGTAAAAAAGAGGACGTAGCCAGCTCTTTAAATACCTTGATGGAGCCCCCTTCCAGCCCAGTCCCGATGAACCTTTGCAGTCAATGCCTCGCCCGATGCAAGCAAATGTTGCACTGTAGGCACGTCTTGTGGCTCTAGATGTGAGGCCATTGTCGGGGTAATATGGAGGTGAGTCACGCCCATGGCTGCGATAGCCTGCCGTGCGTTTTGAGTCAGGAAGTTGTCTGGGGTTGAGCACAATGTCATTCCTTTCTGCCATGCGAAGAAGGTTTCAAAAATTGAGGCTACATAGCTGTTAGTGATCGATCAACGAAGGCAATAAATTCATTCAAACACTGACCACCCGATGCCTGAGGAGCCGCCTGCAGAATCTTTGACTCTGGAAATGTTGGAAATAGGTCCATAAGCACATCGATGTTGGTTTGCAGATTGTGGTATGAAATGAACTGATGCTCCGTAAAGCCATTGCCTGTAGGCCTGGTTTCGGTATAAGCAACATCGGATCCCTCGTTGGTGGTAGTAGGATTGCTGTGATAAGAGTCGACTTCAAAATCAGGCAAGCCAATTACATGCATAAATTCCAAAGAATCCAAAGTAAACATGGACTCTGTGAGCGGACTGACGATGCAAAACTTGGGTCTTGCCGCTGTCAGAGTGCTTTGAAGCGTCTGGAAAGAATCCTGAAGGGTCAAGGGCACAAGGCCAGCTCCAACCTTCACAACAGCGAGCATGCAGACGTAGAATTCCAGGGACTTGTCCAAAATAATTGCAACCAAATCAGATTTGGCGACTCCCATATCTAGCAGATGATGGGCGAGGCGATTCGCCCGCGCTTGCAATTGACCATAGGTGACTCTTTCAGATTTCGAGACATTGGATCCCGGCTCTTGGGGAAGCATAAATTCCACGGCTGTACGGCCGGGATCAACAGAGGCAATCGCATCGACACTAGAGGAAAGACGAGGAGGATTGGTCTGTTTTTCAAATGTCGCTCTGTGGAGTGACAATGTCGATGGCGGGAGATGACAAGGAATTTGAGGGATTGAAAGATCCGGGGAGTTGAGGAGAATCGACGCCACGCAATCAACCTGCTCCAACAAAATATTCGCCTGTTCCTGAGACAAAACTGATCTCTGGTATGTGGCCTTTGCGTGAATACCAATCTCCTGAGGCTCAAACTCTAGCAACAACGCGAATTCCAAGAATTCTGCAGCCCCAACTTCGTGGAACAAATTGCTGTGGTTTTCGTTGGACCAGATGCTCTCCTGCCACACCAGAGCACTGTCAAAAAGGCTCTGATCTAGTCCGATACCGGAAGCCTTTTTGATATCTTGAAGAGGAAGACTGCCGTGCTCGAGAGACTTGTGGTTCAGATTCTGGATTGCCAAAAACAGATCTGTGACATCCTGCATCTTGTCAAGATCCATACGTGTTGGCAGTGTCCTGATGCAGGGCCCAAGGACCGTCTCAATTCCTTTGACTGGTAACGTGCGGCCTGAAAAAACGGTGCCGAAAACCACGTCACCAGTCCCGAGGTAAGATGCTAAAACATAGCAGAATGCAGCCTGAAATATAGTCTGCCTGCTCACTCGAAGGACGTGCGAAACTTCGTTGAGTTTTGACATCGGGACTTCAAGCATGCGAGTCGTCTCCTCCGTCCCGGGCAAAACATCCAGCCTTCCATGGAAATTTGGGAAGTTTGCAGGAGATGACCCTTGGAGTTGATCCCGCCAGAAGGTCGAAGCCTCCTTGGCTGATTCGCCCATTTTGTATTCGATGAAGAAGTCCGTCACGATATGGTATGCAGGTCTTTGAACGAGCTCTTCTCCTAGCAGGATACCATGAAGCTCCTTCAGAATCAACTGCCAGGACCAACCATCATAGATGGAATGGTGGATATGCACAAGCACGTGAAGCTTCTCTCTTCCTGTCCGAAATTGGACCCTGACAGGATTGAGGAGATCTTGATCTGCACTCAAACTCACGTCGTAGTCAAACTCCTCGCACTCATGGAAGACATTGTCACTTGAGAGATTCCAGGTAAAGCGGCCATATGCGTGATCCTTGAGCCCAATTTCCACAAACCCAGACCGCAAAATGTCGTAGCGATCCACCACTTTCATGAACGCATTCTTCGCGGCGGCTAGGTTGATCGAGGGCTCGAATTGCAACTCAACCCAATTGCAATATGCCTTCTGATCTCGGGCTGTCTCCAGTATCATGGCCTGCTGAATATGGCTACATGGTTCAACCGCCGTGACCTCTGAGCCCAACCCAAGCGATTCGACCCTCGTGCTACCAGCATCCGCCACCAGTTGGCGGATTGTTTGAAGGCCTTCATACTTGTCCTCGGCCACTTGCGAAGTCTCCAGATCCTTTGCAACGTGCCATATTTCTTCCACACAGTCAGCCGCTAACAGCTTTCCCACATCCAGGCAAATTCCAGCGTCTAGCAGATGGGAAGCAAGGCGAATGGCAGCCAAAGAGTCAAGGCCAGCGGCAACTAGACTTTCAGTGGACGAGGGTTGCCGGCCTATTACATCCGCTGCACAAGACACAATCGTCTCTTCGAGTTCATCCCGAAACGGTTCTTGGTCGACAGCTGGTGCAGCGGCCCGGTGACGGAGAAAGTCGGCCTCCAATCCCTTACGGTCGATTTTTCCGGATGGAAGCTGTGGAAACTGGTTGACAAGCACAAATTCACCCGGGACCATAAACCGAGGGAGTAATTGGCGACATGCGTCTCGGAGCTTACTGTCAGTGGTTCCTTTGTCGTTGACTAGCACGAATGCAATCAAGCTCCCGCCACTCACGATGGCGACAGCAGCTCGAACATCTGGTGCTCTACAAATAACATGCTCAATCTCTCCAAGCTCGATCCGCTGACCTCTGAGCTTCACTTGACCACTGGAAATTCGTCCAAAGCATTCGATCTCCCCGGTAGGTAGCATACGAGCTTTGTCGCCAGTCCGGTAGAGCCGGCCATGTGAAGTACTTTGGATAAAGGCTTTGGCATTTTCTTCAGGTCGGTTGATGTACCCGTCTGCCAGCTGGGGTCCGCCCACCACGAGCTCTCCAATCTGCCCCAGTGGAAGGGCCTGGGGCTCTCCGGTGGGTGATCCTTCTTCGGATTCAAGTGACATGATATATGCGGAAACCGTTTGGAATGGCTTTCCAATAAGGTTGACGCGGGATTGGGCCTGGAAGTGGGTGGCTGCAGTGCAATGAATCGCCGCCTCAGTAGGACCGTACATCCCATGAAGAAGGCTATCTGCACTGTGCGACTGACCAAACTCGTCCACCACATGCTGCGTGAGCATTTCGCCAATCGTCAGCAGGACTCGGAGAGAGGGTGCTGCGGCTCGTGTGCGCAGCAATTCTCCTGCGACGGTAGGGGTCAACTCGGCGGCGTCCACTCGCATTTCGGTCATGACATGGGAGATATCGAGCAGCATGTGCTCTCGTTCAGCTCCAATGAGGGTCGCGCCCCGCATGAAAGGAAAGAAGACTTCAAAGACGGAGACGTCAAACGTCGGCGATGCAAACTGCAAAAATCGTTCAAACGGGGGTATCAAGTCATTATGGGCAAGCAGCGACTGGGTGGCAGCCAGATGTGAAACTCCAACACCTTTGGGCCGGCCGGTCGATCCGGAGGTGTACATCACATAGGCCAAATCTGAAGAAGTACCCTGTTCCACACGGGGCTCTATTGTCTTGCCATCTTTGATTGCAAGTTCATCCACTGTAAGAACCGCCAGGCGTTCATCCTGTGGTATTTTGGCTGCAAGGGCATCTTGTGTGATCACAACCGATGCCGCTACATCTTGCAAGATGAACTCGATCCGGTCCAGTGGCGCATCGATGTTCAATGGACAGAATGCTGCTCCAGACTTGAGAATCCCCAGCCATGAAATGTACAATTCCACAGACTGGGGAAGCAGCACGGGGACCACCTTTTTCTTCGCGTCGTTCGCCACGGCTGCGGAAGCCGCGACGATTTCAGCCGCTAGCTTCGACGAAAGCCGGTCCAAGGCATGGTACGACAGGCAGCGGATGTTTCCATCCGCGGCAAGAAATTCAATGGCGTGACCCGCGCTCTGGGACTGGCCGAGGGCCAGCTCATGGAGAAGTGGAGGCCCCGGTAACGTACGGGGCGAGGGGTTTGCAATCGACAGGGCAGGAAGTTCAGAAACAGGTAACTCTAGATGAATACCAGCTCGCGACACTTGCTGGTTCACAATCTGCCTGAGCTGCCTTCCCAGTTGGTGCAAGAACGAATCGTCCATACCCCCAGCCGAATGCAACGCACCCGACTGCGTTGCAAAATCCAGGGTCCACAGCAACGTAGGCAAGGGCTCAACGGACGAAGACAAATGGGCCTCGGTCACCACTGCAGTGTACTTTGCGGATCGAGCGGACACTTCATCCAACGTTGCCTGCTGGATGGTTTCAGCCGATGGATCTGCCTTGACCGGAGCTCCATTTAGCAGGAAGACCGGGGTTTCATCGGTAGTAAATGCGCGCAATATAATAGCCCATGACAGAGCAAGACATTCCGAGGGAATCGGAACAGCATCCACCTGCCATGGAATGACTGCGGGAGCCAGCACATCGCCGTCTTCCCTTGTGACGGCAGGAAATGGGGTGAAACGATCCATGACGAGCTTTCTTAAGAAACTCAGTCTTGCATGATCCAGCGATGCTTATAGTTAGGAGGGGATGAGGTCGCTTATTAGGGGAAATATGAGTGGCTACTAAGCAACCAGGGTCTTCTGCAAGTGGTAGGCGCGTGGGAGCGAGAGGTCTTTGCTTTCGCGGCAGCAGAGAGGGCTCGTGGTCACAAAAGGGAGGGTGGTTAGCGAGTAAAAATGAAATACGGCCGAGGGGAGAGTGGCATCCATCGACCGAGACAAGCGCGGAAATTGGAGGTTGGAGAGAGAGAGAGTTAGAGGAAAGTGGGTTTCGATGTGGTGCCTGGTTCAGGTATCCAGTGTAATTTTTTTTTTTTCAATTTTTTTTTTCTTCCATTTCATGTGATTTTTATATTTGCTTCCTTTTTGTTTTGTATCATATATTCCTTATATTGTCATCTATTATCATCTATTCTAATTTCTATCTACTTTTATATTTAGAGGGGTCCATGATTCTATAGCCATCGCATTTACCCGTCAAGTGTGTCAAGATGTGCAATAGGAGAATATGACCAATACCATACCCATACCCAGCAAAGTTAATGCGTTGATGCACGGAAAATGCAAAAAATAGGTTTTTGAAACCATCTTTCTCCCCCCAAGGCGTGGGGCACGAGGTGCAGGCCCCCACTGTACGTGCGTTCAGTATTCCTGCACACTTTGTGCCGACATCGGGCCTGAGCGGATTATATGGGGTCTGAAGAGAAGATGAAATGCTGTCTAGTGGATTTAATATGAAAATATACTCGGCCCATGGATGTAAGTCCATGGATTTTACACCAAAAAAACTCCCGAGATAATTTCCATGTGGATACTGATTGATAACCGGGAAACCGCAATAATACCGCGATATTATACAGGGCTCCACTACGATTATCTGATTTATTCACGGCATTTGGAACCGAAAACGCACTTGTCAAGAAGTCGCCTCGATCCGACAACTTTCCTGGCTGATCGGCTTTGGAGTCCGTGTAAATAACGGGGGAGGTCCGCTCGCCTGTTATTTTTATTCCTCCTTTTTTTTTGAAATTCTCCTATGATTTAATTTCCTGGGATCGTCTCTCTTTTCTTCACTCCTTTTTTCTTTTTCCTTCATAATTTTTGTTGCCTTTTTCCTTTGCGCGCCCATGGAACCGATTTCTCGGAGACCCGAGCTGGCCTCGCCGGATGAGATGGCAACCCGCGCACAAGCCCCAGCCGATCAATCGCTGCTGCGATCAACGCCAGCCGACGAGATGCACGACTTGCTTTGTGTGGGATTTGGCCCGGCATCTCTGGCCATCGGCATTGCGCTGCATGATGCCATGGATCCCGCACTGGGCCGCGGTGCATCCGGGCCCAGCTGGACACCCAAGGTATGCTTCCTCGAGCGCCAGAAGCAGTTTGCCTGGCACTCGGGGATGCTAGTACCGGGCTCGCGCATGCAAATCTCCTTCATCAAGGACCTGGCCACGCTCCGGGATCCGCGCAGCAGCTTCACCTTCCTCAACTACCTGCACCACAAGGACCGCCTGATCCACTTCACCAACCTGGGCACCTTCCTTCCGGCCCGAATGGAGTTTGAGGATTATATGCGGTGGTGTGCTCAACGCTTTGAGAATGTGGTGGGATACGGCGAGGAGGTAGTGGAGGTGGTTCCTGGTCAGACGGATGCCCGTGGGGAGGTCGACTACTTTACCGTGCACTCGCGCAATGTTGCGACGGGCCAGACCTCGGCCCGGAGAGCGCGCAAGGTGGTCCTAGCCATTGGTGGTCGGGCCAAGATGCCCCCGGGTTCCCGCAAGACCCGCGCATCATTCACTCGTCCAAGTACTGCACCACGCTGCCGGCCATGCTGAAGAACGAGTCCGAGGCCTACAACATTGCCGTTGTGGGTAGCGGCCAGAGCGCCGCGGAAATCTTCAACGACCTGCACCGACGGTATCCCAATTCGCGAACAACACTGATTCTCCGTGATTCGGCCCTACGGCCCAGCGACGATTCCCCATTGTACGTATCTTTCAAGCGAAGAGGAAAACAAAGTGCATTACAACTAACCTAGGTCATCTCATTAGTGTGAACGAAATCTTCAACCCAGAACGCGTCGACAGCTTCTTCCACCTGTCCCCCGAAGAGCGAAAGCAACGCATTGTGACAGACAAGGCAACCAACTACAGTGTGGTGCGGCTGGAACTCATTGAACAAATCTACCACGACATGTACCTGCAGCGGGTGCAGAACCCCGACGAAACACAGTGGCAGCACCGCATCCTGCCAGAACGCAAAGTGGCCCGCGTCGAGCACCACCAGCCGTCGAGCCGCATGCGCGTCCACGTCAAGTCAGTCCAAGATGAGACCGAGGGCAACGAGGTGCTGGAGGTCGACGCGATGATGGTGGCCACGGGGTACCACCGCGATGCGCACGAGGCAATGCTAGACCAGGTACGTGCACTGCGACCGGCGGGTCAGGCAGCTTGGAGCCCCGGCCGAGATTACCGCGTCACGCTGGACCCCAGGAAGGTCAGCGCACAAGCAGGCATCTGGCTGCAGGGTTGCAACGAGCAGACCCACGGGCTGAGTGACAGCCTGCTGTCGGTACTTTCGGTGCGGGGCGGCGAGATTGTCAACTCGATGTTTGGCGATCAGCTCTCGGTGCAGGACACCCGGTTGCGCGCCATGCTGTGAAGGTTCGGCGGTCAAGATTCCTTGAGATTTGGGTACACGTCAAATCAAATTCCAAAGAAAAGAAAATCAACGGAGGCTGTGGATGGATTCCCTGTGAAACACAACCTTAGAGAGTGTTCGTTTAGATGGTCTATTTGGGACTAAGCTAATGTCGGTTCTCCAACGGAACTGGAGACTTTTCCTTTCTTGTCTCCTCCACATTTCATCATGGCTTCTGCTACATACATGTAATGAGCAATATCGATGTGTCACTACGATCAGCCCTCGGGGTCTCCAGACAGAGTAAAGTCTGCTGAAGACCGTGGCGTGGCAATCGAATGGATCTCAACACGCAGAGACCGTGTCGAGCCCCATGCGGTCTTTTTCTTTCTTCTTTTCGTGTCAAGTGGACCCGAAACGCATCGGAAACCGCGCAAAATACGCTTCTGTTCTCTTCTCTTCTTCTTTTTTTTTCCCTTTCCAACCCAGACCAGTAAACCCCCGTAAGCGATGCTGATCGTGCCGATCGTACACCGTAAAACACTGAGTACCAGTGTAATTTGGCTCTTGGCAAGAAAGAAAAGAAAAGGAAAAAAAAAGCCACTGTGCGGAAACCCTGGCCAAGATGCACCAAGGCCAAGAGTGGGTCCATCTCCATGCATGGTGCCATCAGATAACGCGAAAAAAATTTTATCTGATCAGAAACACGCGGCCGAAGTCGGGTGCGAAATGACACCGATGGACCCTCTTTCTCGTGACACATATCCTTGGTTTTTGGAGTACATACAGTATCTTCTTTGTATGTTATGTACGTCTGACCGGTCCCATCGGGATGTGTGGGAATGGTAGTAGCCCCCCCCCCGAGAGCTCCGGTTGTCAATCACTTGCCTACTCGGTCTCTCGCTAAAGGAACGGAGCCCACCCCTCTCTCTCTCCCCTGGCAGCTGGAACTTGCACCGCCTCTAATGCGATTCATGTTTTAATTTGCTCTTTTGGTTTTGCGGGTCCCGTCAGCCAAGAACGGGATGGGCTTGACCTAGACCGGTGACATCCTGGGATGACAGTTCGGCGACATCGGATGGAACAATTCATCTTGTGGAGAAATGAGCGATGCACAGGGGCTGGCGTTTGGAACAATGCCCGGCTGTCTCAATCCGACTCTCGGAGCTGGCACCGATAACTAGGCTTCATTCCAGAAGTACCCAAGAAACGCCCCAGGGGGATCGCCCGTGCAGTGATCCCCATGCAGTGAGTCGAGGTTAGCTGCAGGCATGTTAGATCGTCGCGGGGTAGTCGAGGTACCGTGTCAGCCTGGTTGCTACAGGCCAGGTAGATTGTCTCGTTAAGCAAGAGAAATGAGGGAAATGAATGATCGAAGATCTAGTAGTCCACTGTACATTTAGATGCAACCCAGTTCAGTCATGCCACGTGCCCGAGAATACGCCGCTGAGTCGCAAGAAACAAAAGACCAGCCACGGTATAAGGATATCAATGCAAGGCGGCAGGAGAATCAAACAAGCAAAAGAACAAGCAAGGCCCCTATACAAGGCTCAAACCATGTGTTCGGGATCTTCGCCCGCAACACTTCGGTAAGCCGGCCCGTCGCCAGAGCGACCGCCCCCAGTACGCATGCGCAGCGGAATCTCGTACATGTCATGATAGTTCACCACTTCGCCCCCGAGCATGGCAGAGCCAGTCTCACGTTTTCCAAAGTACGGGGCCGGATCGCACCAGAAGTCACGACAATTGCTCATCACACCACGAGAGAAGACGTTTCGGGACCGCACGGCACGCGGCCCATCGCGGAGTCCGTCCCGGGCGGTGGCGAAGAAAGTATCGATACCCAGAAGTGATGACCACTGTTGAAGACATCCATGTCTCCGCCGAGGGGCATCTGGGCGCGCAGCGGCTGGGTTGGGTCCCTGCCCGGCAGCCGAAAGACCGGCAGCATCCATCGAAGTTGTCCCCGCGGTCATGGCCGATGCGAAGGCTTGAGTGCTCGGGTATGATCGGTCGATCGAATGGCCGCGCATATTCTCGTACGTCGTCTGGTTGCGGGAAATCTGGACCAGCTGAACCGCGCAAAGCATCGTCACCCAGACTAACTGCAGCGTAATCCAAATGTTAAGGGTCAAGGTGAAAGTGTCGCGAGACACATAGTCACACAGCGTGTCATTGATGATGTTGCACTGAGCATTCTTGAGTGCTGGGAGGTTATTGATATCTAGATGCTCGGTTAGCCGAAGTATCATGAGCCGCAGCAGGGTTGGATATACTTACAGCGGATGGTTAACTGCACAAACAAGATGATGCCAACTTCGAGACACAGAATATAGAGCACAAAGTGGCGGATGTTGTTCGCCCCGACACAGTTGTCAATCCAGGGACAATGGCTAGAGCGGAAAGTTAGAAAGTTCAGCTTCGCGCAGGCATGGAGAGAACATACTGGTCGTGTTTTGCAACACAACGGCCGCAACGCCGGCAGTGCTTGCTCCGGAGTGGCTTCCTTGTCATGCAGGGGATGCAGAAATTCTCTTCATCGAATCTCCACTGCTCGAAAAGCTGGTTGACGACTTCTCTCTGCTGGTTCCGACTGCTGAGTTTCGGAACGTACCCGGGATCTTCAACCATGGCATAGATGTAGAAATACGTCGTCAGGCAAAAGAAGACCGCAAACAAGATGTTGAGGACCGGTGACGAGTTATAGGTCCCTAAGAATGCGTCAGCTTCAGTGTCTATTCTTGGATAGCTCTTACACCGACCTGGCAGCACATTGAAGGCATAACGAACGCCAACCCAGAACAAGGACCCTGCAAACACACCGGCCAAATACGGCTACTCGACGTCAGTCCACAAGTCTCACAACTTTGGAGTTAACACGTACCGTCTTTTGAAGAATTCGATATTCAGATGGCCCACGGTTGGCAAACTGCTGTGCAGTCCACTGCATACCGAACAGCGCCACGAGCACCAATGGAATACCGAAGAAGATGACCGTGTTGCTCAAGATCCAGATAGCAAGCAGAACTGTCAGGAAAGGCCAGAGGAAGAAGAACTTGGCCATGACACTCTTGTTGCGCACGTATGCCGACAGACCGTAGGACATGACCTTCTGGCTACCGTCTGGTTCATACCCACGCTCATTGAGCGCGCGATACCAAATCCGTAGCGTGTTCATTTCCTGCGCCACCATCGTCGGGGACTTGCCGTCCCTCGTCTTTGTAAACCGGTCCGCGCCATACTCGAGCAATTTCAAGACACATGGCAATGACCCCTTGACAAGCGCCCAATGAAGCGGCGACAACCCACCTTCGTCCACCGCATTTGCATTGGCACCCCAGCGCAGAAACAGGTCCACACAGACCGGATATCCCTTATAGGCTGCCCACATCAGACCCGTGTGGCCTTGCTGGTCAACCGTATCCACCGGGATCTCCTGGTGCAGCAGTAGGGTGAGAAGGAATGCATTGCCATCGATCGTCGCGAGGTGGAGGATGTTGTATCCTTGCACATCGGTCAGGAGCGGATCCGCACCGCGCTGGAGTAGGAGATGGACGATATAGTAGTGGCACCGTTGAGCAGCCCACATCGCCGGCGTGGCTACCGACTCTCCTCCCTTGGCGTTTACGTCGGCTCCCGAGTCCACGAGAAACCTGCACATAGCATATTGATTGTTGATCGCGGCCCACTGTCAAAAAAAGACACCATATGGTCAGTAAAAACAAACACGACATCAACCAATCATTATAGGGAGACGAACATGCAACGGAGTAATCCCTTCCTCATCCCGATGGTTCGCGGTGAATTTCTTGGCTGTGAACAGGCTCTGCATCGCACCAATCTCCCCCATACGAGCCAGCTGCATGATATCTTCCGCCAGGGGAACTGAGCCCTTTGTTCCATCGGGTCGCAAGCCTTTCATCTCAACTTCGGTATTCGGTGCGGGCGTGTCTTTGCCGTTCGAGAGAGAATTCGAACCTGAATTCTGGCCAGGACTATTGCCCTGGGTTTCCGTAGAAGGTTTGGAGGACATGGTGTATAGTTTGTTTGTAGTAACGAGTGACGGGCGTGCAAGGGGAGGGACTCGATTTTTGAAACTGTTGGGACACGGTGAACTAAGGGGACATCGCGAATACAGTTACAAGCGTGTCCAGAGTTCTTGGTAGCCACCTGAATACCAAGCAAAAGAATGGGAAAAGGAAAGTAGAGTGTTCGGGAGGGAGTTGGGGGACAGGGTCGATGCCGAAAGGGTGGACTTTTCTCTGAGCCGGGGAAAACTGGCCGCGACGCTAACAAAGTCCACCAGACGCTTGCGCTTCAACTGTGAAGTGTACACTCCACGGAACAGAACCTCAGGAGAATCTATTCAGAGTCCTCTTGATCAAATGATGATCTCTCTATTATTTTTTGACTTCGTTTTTCTTCGCTTTTTTTATTTTTTTTTTTTCTCTCGCCAACCTTGGGACACACTGGAAGGGATTACTCAGCCATTCATAGGCAGCTGCATTTTGGCCCTGCCGATCTTCTGCAGACCTTACTCTCTATAGTACACACAAAAACACCCAAAATATACTCAGTCAATGGCTCTGGTTTTCTGGCGCAGAATCAGCCCTGGACTGGAGCTTGGCTTCGTCCGCCAGCATCTGCACATCCACCCGCAACTCGAAATTCGCCAAAAAGCAGAAGCTGATCTCTAGCTTCGACAGCTCCAGCTCACTAACCCCACCGACCTTCGCGATGCGACTATGTGGATAGCTGATGTCTTCCAAGGCCTTTGTCGCAACGAGAAGACCCGAAAGGACAAGCCGGTGCATATTCTTGGGCGTCACATGGAGGACCTTTTCAACCAGCACCATCTTGGTTATATAGAGACTTGTAGCCAGAAACACGCCCGTAGACATAGGACAGTATCGGTGAAGGCGCTGCAGATAATCCTTTAACGGGATGGGTGGCACTTTCTTCGAGAGGAACTTGCGCGACAAGAGTGCGAGCTGGAACGCATCTTCTCTTGTCTGGCCCGAGTCATCGGGGTCCCGGCAATGCAGGCCCACAGGGTTGATTGAGAGCCCTCCTTCTGGCTGGACCTCGCTTCCCACTGGGGTAGAGCTATGCGAACTGGATTCGTCGAGGTTTGCGAACTGCGCATTCAAGTTCTCCACGTTGCTGCATAGCATCTGCAGGGCGATTTCCGGGGTTATGTCAAAGACCTCCGCGGCCTCCTTGAATAGCGAAGAGACCCCCGTCTGGTCTGTTTCACGGTCGGGAGATCCCAACTTCAGCGGGGCGTGCGGTGACCTCGCACCCGGCAAGCTGCCTTCAATCTGTGTCATGACAGCGACCATGCTGTGGCTCATTGCAACGCACAGGAAGGCGCCGGATCGGCAGTTGAGATCGGAAGAGTACACCTGGACCTACAGGTAGACAGCCGCTCCCCAACTGAACATGTCATCTTATGACCAGAGCTCCGATGCTGGGAGGCGAGACTTTCCAAGCGATCGCAGGGAGACGAATGAGAAGGATTTCGAGGGAATTAAAACGACGCGCACTTCAAGTCAAGCTGAAGACGAGATGAAAGGATTTTTCAACAAAGATGCGATCGATGGATTCGTGCAACGGTCCCTGACGGCCTGAAACTGTCAACGTCGCATGCCCAACAAGCCACGGCAAAAGACAAGCCCAAGACGCAAGACTCACCTCGAAAGTCATCAGCACTCGAGCAAAAACACGATTCCCCAAGGAACCTCTTCGTCAACAATCAGAAACCCAACAAGCTACGCAGCACTGAAGAACAAAAGACCCAGGGGCGCGAAAGATAAGGCGAGAGGGTCCACTTGGGTTTGTCAGTGCCGTCCCCACTCTTTTCCCTTCTTCACTGGCGATATCTTTACAAAGATTCTAAGAGACATCCAGGGATATTCGAAGATCCAAGAAAACATGATATTGGAAAGATGCAAAGCAAGTCTATATCCCTAGAACCATCCTGTCTGACGCCAAAAACGGAGAAAATATAGACCTCTATCCGTGGGTATATTGTACACGCCATCAGAGCCACCGACCAGAGTACCGCTGGTCATCATACACAACCCGCTCCCTCCTTTCTGTCGGGCGTACTCGTCGATAATATCGAACAGATACAGGTGTAGGTGGCTGGATGGTATAAATCTCGATTGGGCGAGCGGTCTGAGCAGGTCGAGACCGTGCATCACCGAGAACCCGATCAGCCGAGGACGACAGCTGGCGATTCCCATCCTGGATAACACGAGGCCGTCTTTCCTGGAACCTGATGTTGCTGGGTCTAAAGGGTCGCGGGGTTGCGGTTTGAGATGGTCGAGCCGCTTCCCCTTGTGGCTGACGCATGATGACGCGGGGGCTAGGGGCATCTCTTGATGATGAACGGCTTCTATGTGCTGGTCCTGGAAGGTGTGAGGGTCTTTGTGTCTCTCGTCTCCTCGTTGGCGAGACTCTCGGCGTGGTTCTTGCACGGTCCTGGCTTCCTGACCGGGTAGCATATCGGGATGCATTTCTTCTCTCGAGGTCATGTTCTCGATCTTGAGGATTGGGGTTGGGGACTAGCACTCGGCGTATCGGCGAGATCCGTCGTCCCGGCCGGGGAGGTTCCCGCTCAATAACCGGTGACCGTTCTCGAGGAGGTCGAGACGGACGCGCCAATGGCTCTTGAAACCGGACCCGGTATCGCCCACGCGATTCAGACGAAGAATCCATCGTTCGGGTCAAACGAGCCCGAGTCCTACCAACAGACCGTCGAGAAGATCGATCTGCTGGCCGGGGGTTCTCTAGGAAATCGACCACAAATGGCCGAGGCGATCGTTCACGGGACGGGCTTTGGGCCCTTTTGCACTGGGGGGCTGTTCTCTTCCTTTTGAGAAAGTCCAAGTGAAGCAACGAGGATAACCAAGCTCGAGGCCGAGACAATTCCTTTCTCATTGTTTTCACCTCGTGGGCCCTTGTGTTGCGGATCCGCTGGTCGGATGCTCTGGTATAGATTGGTATAGTATCCGATAATTCTAGATCTCTCGTCCCAAAGAACTGGGAGCGGAAGAACTCGTAGTCGGTAGTAGGTGTATGCCGTGCTCTTGGACGACTGCGGGAGAGATACTCTGGGAGTCGATGATGTTTGCGGGTTTTTCGAGTAGATTTGTTAACAGAGTGATTGAAGTACATTCTTTGCCTTGCACGCTCTTGCGCTCGTGGGTGGGTATCGATCTCGGATGGTGTCCCAGCCAACATAGCAGATCAGACGCTGATTTATAGGACACACTCGACATGGACAACGCCTCTATGGACAAAGAGACACTCGGACAAGGGATTCGAGAAAACAAAGTCATGATTCAAAGATGAAACTCGGGATGGCGTGTTTTGCAGTTCTTGCAAAGGACATATAAAGACAATGTCATGAAGGCCAGGCATGTGGAAACTGTCATAGGCACAAAGCAGCTGATTCCTCAAGAGAGAACGGGCATTGTTCCAGGGACAAAGCCAACCGGATGATTGTGTCCATATTCATCACAAAGAACCATCGAGGCGACGAGGCATTAAATATGCAAGCCATCTTGTACCCAAAGCAGGCAACAACCTCGTCAGAAAAGAGAAGAAGAGAAAAGAAACAAAAGAGGCATCGTTCTAAAACTTGCGATGGAGTTTTGGAGGGTGTGGCTGATACTCGGTCATCGGGGCGCAGTCCGAGTCAGCAGGAGGCGAGCAGGTGACGCCTTCATTTTCTGGCATTTTTGGCCTTGATGCACTTGAATCTTCGCTCTTCACTCCCTTGCAACCTGAAATTCATCGAGTTTCGATGAGGGAATTCTCCGAGTGCCGCCTTGACATCTCATGAGTGAGGCTCTCGCATCGCCTAAGGCCCCGCACCTGGACCTCTGACTGGCTGAAACTGCGCATGGCTGAACCCCCCTCTATGACACGCGAAGCGCAGAGCGACTGCAAAGTGACTGCGGCAGTTCGATCGCTGGGAGGATTGTGGTTCACCAGCCACAGCATTCGGCGAATCAACAGCCCTGTGGGGTGTTGGTGGTTTGAGCTTGCTGCAGATCCAGTGGAATGACAGGCTGAGGATTTACGATAGCTTTCTCCAAGATTTACGATGCCAACCCCCCCCCCCCCCCCCCCCGGATCTCCCGAGTTAATGGTCCAACTGTACAAGATAAACCAGGCTGCACTTGCTAGGCTGCAAGGACTCTAGGCCCATCGCTCGAGGAATGTGTCCTGCGTCTTGTCTCGTTGGTGGAGTACATCCAAGTTGAGCCTCTGGACCCCTCGCTGAAGGCTCGCCAACTCTGCCTCGAGGCCCAAGAGCGCGTTTTCCTGGTCAGGGTCTGGTAATGACGTTTCAAAGTGGGAGTTGGCATGTAATGAAGATGTCAGAAGCTGGGATGCGTTGTCCAACGGAGCCAGATGAGCCACCAAGGGAACGTCCACCCCGACCTTGAGATGCTGGAGCGTCTCGGACATGTGAATTCGCTTCTCGTGGAGCCCTCGGGCACCGCCATCCTCTACCTGTGGGCGTAGAGCTGATTCAGGCGACACCCCAATGCGCCGTAGAAGATTCTCCAGTGCCGGCTGCTCGATCGCCGGAGTGGCGGGGTTGCGGGTATTGGCAAACAAGACTCCCGGTTGTATCGATCGTCGTCTCAAGGACTCCCGCCGGGAAGATTGCTGGGGAGCCATCTGGCTGCCTGCTTGCGATTGATAGAGCGTGGCTAATTGCTCGAGCAGTTCACACGAGGATTCCCGGTCCTCTAGCCTTTTCTTGAGTGCTTGTTTCGACAAAGTCATTTCAATCAAGATATCGAGAACCTGTTCGAGCTTCTGTTGAGATACTTCCCGTAGCTGAGCGTGCTCGTTTTGGATTTCGCGTAGAATTGGCTCGTTGAACTGCTGTTTGGTGGACATTTCGGCGAGAATCTCGATTTCTGTGTAGAGAGACTCAAGTTCGTCCTCGAGTGCTGTGATCGTCTCATCTTCAACGGTCGCGTCCGGATGGGGCTCTGACTTGCTCTGAATGGCTTCCAAATATAATCGGTCGAGGCGGTAATGGATTTCTTCCGCAACGTAGTCCGCGAGCATCGCCGCCAGATGGCCGGTTTGCTTGGCCGTCGATGCACCATTGCCATGAGACTTGATGCCAGATATGAGTGCTTCTAGACCCACCAGTGTCTTGTCATCCTGCTTGAGCCGGGTGGACAGGGACGCTAGAATTCTCTTGCTCTCCGCACCCGTCTGGTCCGATGCGTTCCTGAAGCTGGCCTCAAGCTCATCAGAAAGCCCATTTGCCTGCAATAATTCAGTCACATATTCCCTCATCTGAGAACACAAGTGATATCCGTACCGCGACTGTAGTGCTTTGTCTCCCCGCTTCGTGCTTCTTGCGCAGTCGGGCAATGTCCCGAGTTCGATCTTGGTCCAAACTGTTTTCCTGGCCCAATTGCTTCTGAAGTATCTCGCATTGTAGCTCTAGCGTCTCGGCCTGTTTCTGTATTGTAGCTGTCGATGCTTCGAGGGATTCAATCGCAGTTCGGAGGTCGTCTTCCAGGAGAGGTCGGGTCGCATCCAGGTCTAGGTTATGGATCACGGATTGAAGGGCACCGGAGCTTTCTAACTTGGTGTATCTGGTAGATAATGTTAGCGGCAGATCCTTTCATATCAATCCAATGCTGGGAGACATGCAAGTTCAGCTCTTCTCGTGACAGCAAAGTGTCCGGGCGAAGATGTTTCGATACCCATTCCACGTGCGCGGCCTCTGTGAGAGCGGATTCGATCGCATCCCGTTTGATCAAGAGATTGCGATCCTTGAAAGCGGAGATCACTTCGTCGACTACCTCTGAGGAGTCCATCCCGGTCTGGCGGGTTTTGGGTGGTGCGGAAGCCAAATAGTCGGAGAGGCGGAGCCCCGGGGACGACTTGCCTAGTTCCACTTGGATTCGCACCAAAACTTGCATTTGCATGGGACCGATATCCATGGATACTTCAAGCAATAAAATGCACAAGTAAACAGATATCCAATTTAACCTAACTCTCTAGCTTAGAGCTGAAATTGATGAGCTAGTACTGCGGGAGAAGCACAGAAAATAGTATTAATGAAAGATGGCATTCGCTATATATTGAAGTATGGGTATTAAGAGATATATTCCCAGCGAAGCCATGCAATTCCTGCTAGGCCAGGTTGGTCGATGCCATGTGCACGGGGGGATAATAGTAGCTGGTGACCGCGATAATCACATAGACCATCACACACAGCGCTCCCTCGAGCCAGTTGGACTTGCCATCCCGCAGGAAATTGCCCACGACCAAGATCGACAGTACCAAGAGCACGATCATGAAGATCTCAAAATTCAGGCTCATCCCCTTGCCCATACCCCATCCCACAAGGACGGCGAGGGGAGCGTTCAACAGTGTTGTCTGAATCGAGGGACCCAAACAATGGAAAAGAGCAAAGTTGATCTGGTTGTCCCAGGCTTCGTCGACGGCCGTCAGGTGCTCGGCGGCCTTCTCGACCAGAGGGACCAAAATCAACCCCATAAAGTTGTCGGAAATGCCCAGTTCCACGATGTGTTCGATCTCTTGGACCAGAAACACTGCTGACATGCAGACACAAGTCAGAGAGACCGCAATTATCACCAGACATTCGGTCATTGTGAGTTTCGCCCTCCTCATCTCCTCATCTCGATCTTCATCCTGCGCTTCATCCTTCTCCAGTACCTCGTCGTAAATCGAATTATGGCTGTGCAGGTTGAAAACAAGGTAGCTAGAACGAGGTCAGCAATCTCGATCAATGTTCAACCGGGAAGATACTTACGCGACGAAGGCGATCAGGAGGATTACTGAAGTGGCACGGCTGATCATCAAGACATCCTGCGACAGCTTCTCCAGGGTATAGTGCTGGTTGGTATTGTTTCTCCAAGCTGAAAAGAAAGCGGTAGGGATCAAAAGGCCAAAGCCTGCCACCAGGAGGAGTCCTGTGCCCACTTCGCTAACTGCCTCGTGGAACACCTGCTCCTCACGCCGAAGGCCTCCGACGAAAAAGCACATGCCCAAGCACAGGAGCAGGTTAGCCAGGACGGAGCCAAGGATGGCAGCCTGAATGACCGGGATCAGGTCAACTCCACGCTCGCCGTCGTTGTGAAGGAGGACCATAAACAGCACGATTTCCACTACCGAGCTGAGAGTTGTCTCCAAGAGAACCCCTAGCATCTTGGGCAACTTTTTGGCCAGCTCCCCACCTGCAAAGCCAAGAAGGTTGGCTGATGGCACCATCGCGATGTAGTTGAGAATGAAGATCCAGACATGGAGGTCTGGCCGGGCAAAGTGCATGACGATAGCAGCTGGGACAAAGGGCCAGAGGACATTGACGATCATCGATAGAGTGCAGACGCTCCTAAAACACACTACCAGCAGATGGAGCGGATGGATACCAGACCGTCCACTTTCTCCTGCAGTGTCCACACGGAAAAGCCCATGAAGGCGAGTGGGGGTTCTCTCATGAGTGGGCAAGAGAGAGGTGGATTTCTCTGGTGCTTGCATCTCTGCAGATGGCCTCGATTCGTGGCCATGTGGGCGAGAGTCCGCATTCTGAGATGCAGCGGATCTGATTGAACCCATGAGATGCAAAAAGGGGACCGAGGTCAACAAATGACAAAAAAGAAAAAGGCGCAAACTCCCAAGCCCAACCAATGTTCAGGAAAGAAAAGAGGAAAGAGAAAAACAAAAACAGAAAAAACAAAAGCAAGCTTCAATGGGGCATGGGAAAAGAAAAATAAAGAAAGGAAGAAAAAGCAAATCGAGGCTGGGGTGCGCGAAAGTCTATACACAAAAGGAGGCACTAGAAAAACCGTGGGATGCGCTGGCCGCCCCCAAGCGGCCAATCAGTCTGACGGGGCATCCAGGAGGACTTGGCGTATCCCAGCCACGATGTCGATGCGATGGCTTGCAGGACTATCGGCCCGCGTCTCCTTTTTCACACCAACTCGACCATGATGACTACCCAGTCCGTATGGCTCCCAAGGAGCAGGGGCAGCGATTCAACATCCCATCCGATGATTGTACCCGTCAAAGCCCAGGAATGAAACACTCTGGGCGGTGGAGCAATGCTCATTTAGATGATGCACAGCCACGGGCTTGGCTTTGCAGGATTTCGAAGCTCACTCGGGGTGGGTCTGAGTCAATCATCGAGAAATGATGTTGGGCCTTGAAGGAAAAGATCGACTGGAGAGGAGCTTGCATATACACTGGAATCATCATGGCTCACGACTCGCGTGCCTGAGAGCCGAGGCCAGACGCGACAGGAAAGGAGCTGTGAGTGAGCAATGCAATTCAATCGCCTCTGGGGGGGTTGATTGTCGAATATTCTGTGATCGACAGTCCCGAGGTGATGTCAAGCAGATTGACATGGTAAGATCAGAAGGAAACGAAGAGAGGATGTGATTTCCTATGGAAAAGAATGTGACGGTGATGCCTGGGTCCACCCCGAACGGCTATCGTCGGGCGGGGCGATCAGTCAGAATGGCGAAATCTTCCTTGCAACTTGCGCTTGATTTTCTTCAATTTTCCTTCAATTCTGCTGTCTGTCTTGATCTCGGCATCCATGGCTTCCATCACCAGTCCTGCCATCCCTCCGGTGGCGCTGGATACCATCACCCAGCACATCGGCAATACGCCTCTGGTCCGACTGAATCGGCTGCCTCGCAGCCTGGGAATCGATGCCACTGTCTACGCCAAATTGGAGTATTTCAATGCTGGTGGCAGTGTCAAGGATCGCATCGCCTTGCGCATGATCGAGGAGGCCGAGCGGTCCGGCCGCATCAAGCCGGGGGACACGCTGATTGAGCCCACGAGCGGCAACACGTGAGTTTTCTTCTGTTATTGTATAGAGAGGGTCCATGATGGGTGCTAATTAATCTCATTTAGTGGTATTGGGCTGGCACTGGTTGGTGCGGTCAAAGGTGAGTTATATCCCATGGATCTATAGATCGAGATTGTCTTGGGATTTGTGCTCATACTTCTTTCGCCCTACTCAGGCTACAAGACTATCATCACACTTCCCGAGAAAATGTCGGCAGAGAAGGTGTCTGTCCTGCGTGCTTTAAATGCGACTATCATCCGAACCCCCAACGAAGCCGCCTACGATTCCCCCGAATCCCACATCGGCGTAGCCAAGCGCCTCCAGAAGGAATTGCCCAATGCGCACATCTTGGACCAGTACGGCAACGACAACAACCCATTGGCCCATGAGTTCGGTACCGCCGAAGAGATTTGGGTCCAGACTAAAGGTCAAATCAAGGCTGTCGTGGCCGGTGCAGGTACCGGCGGCACGATCACCGGTCTCGCTCGTGGCCTCAAGAAACACAATCCTAATGTCAATGTTATTGCAGCCGACCCCTTCGGCTCCATTCTAGCTCAGCCTGCCTCCCTCAACGAGGCGCATGTCAATGAGCCCTACAAGGTAGAAGGCATTGGCTACGACTTCATTCCCGAGGTGCTCGACCAGAAGGTCGTGAACCAGTGGTACAAGACGGGAGACAAAGAGTCTTTCCAGTACTCACGCCGTTTGATTGCCGAGGAGGGTCTGCTGGTCGGTGGTAGTAGTGGCAGCGCCATCGCGGCTCTGGTAAAGGCCAACCAGGAGCACAAATTCACCAAGGGCGATGTGGTAGTGGTGATTCTTCCCGACAGTATCAGAAGCTATCTTACCAAGTTTGCCGATGATGACTGGCTGGCAGCCAACGATCTGCTCCCGTCGCTCCCCACCGAGGCCCAGCCGCAGCCGCAGAAACCACAGGAGGATCCCTTGCTGGCGCAAAGGTGAACGCCCTTCGATTGAAGCCGATCACCACCGTGGCGGCGAACTTCCCGTGCGATGCTGCCATCGAAATTATGCGCGAGAAGGGATTTGATCAGCTTCCAGTCCTGGCGCCTTCTGGCAGGAGGCTCGTGGGCCTCGTCACGCTGGGTAATGTCCTCAGCCGGCTGACTCATGGGCGTGTTACTGGGAAGAGCCCAGTCTCCGAGGTCATGTTTGACTTCTCCAAGATCCCCGAAGTCGTAACGGACCCCCGTGACATGGGGATCACCAGTGCCCAGCCTCTCGACCCGTCTCAGACAAGAGATACCCTGCGGGCCCCGGCCAAGGGTCGCCGCTTCATCGAGATCACCATGGACACTCCTCTCAGCGTGTTGAACCGCTTCTTTGAGTGGAACAGCGCCGCAGTTGTGACTGAGAAAGATGAGGCTGGAGTGATAAAGCCGGTGGCAATTGCCACCAAGGTCGATCTGCTTACTTGGATGCTGCATCACGGCAAGAAGAGCTCGTAAGCGGTGCAGGCATGTTTGGCATGTCTTCTTGGAGGCGCAGATAGCCCCGGGAATGGGTTGTCAACACATGGCTTTTGCATTCTTTGATCTTTGTTGGACGGGCGCAAATTCGGGGGATCTTGGTTTCAACACTCAATCCGAAATCGGAGATAGATCTAGCTATGTGGATGAGAGAGCTTGTAGCATTTATACATACCCTAATATTACCTCCATACAAAGCATTCGGTATGGGAACACCCGAGATCGAATTGCGTGAAGCTTTTGTAAGACGATGACGTCGGTCTGGATCACCTGGAAGTTAACCACGTCCAGCTGATCTTGGATGTTCGCCCATGCAAATATCCCAATCGCTCTAATATGACGGGACTCTTCACGTATCGAAACTTTGACTTGCGGGATACTCCAGCGTTGGATGGACGAGTGGCGGTGGTGACAGTATGTGTGTTCGTCGTGTCGTGCCGTCAGGCTGCTAACCCCAGCTTGCCATTGATTTCAGGGTGGTCAAGCAGGTATCGGTCAAGGCAAGCTCAGCTCTCCTTTTCTATATTCTCCCTCTCGATTCCTGTTTCTTCACATCTTATAAGTACATCGATCGGATATCTAACCAGGCCATTGCATCAAATGTAGAGATCACGGCGCAACTCCTGCTCCATGGTATAGCAAAAATCTTCATTGTCGCCCGCAGCGCAGACAAATTCCAGATTGCCCGAGAAGAATGGAGGCAGCGTGAAGGCATTTCACTCGGCGAAAACGATGCCCGAGTCGAGTTTGTCAAGTGTGATCTGGGAAATATCAGCGACGTGAAGGCTGCAGCCGAGAAGATCAAGCACAAGACGGATCAAGTTCACATCCTGATCTGTAACGCCGGTTGGTTTTCTTTTTCTTGGAGGTCTATCATCCGAATCCTGGGAGTATTCACACTGTCGAGATGCAGGACTCGGGGTTCCGAAAGAATACAAGCGCTCGCCGCAGAACATCGAATGGGTCTTTGCGACCAACTGTGTGGGACACCAAGTGCTTGTCACACTTCTGTTGCCTCTTCTGAAAAAGGCACTGCTGACGAGCAGCAATGGCGATGTCCGCGTCGTCGTAACCAGCTCGTCGTTGCATCTCGTATGTCGACGACTGGACCTGGACCAACTGATATCGCCATCTCGCATCAAGTGGCCCGCCCTGTATGATGGCGTCTGGCGGTACGGTCGATCGAAATTGGGCAATATCCTGTTTGTGAAGGAGCTGAGCCGTCGGCTCCTGCAAGATCGGGATCCGGCCACCAAGCATATCTATGTCAATGCTTTCTTCCCAGGGAATGTGGTCACCGACCAGTGGCTGGGCTGGAGTGCCTATGTTGGCCGATTAGTTGGCTCGCTCGTCAGGCTGGCTGGCACTTATTGGGGTCAGAGCCTAGAGGATGGTGCTGCGACGGCTTTGTTTCTCGCTACAAGTGACGAGGTGCGCGACAAGAACCACCGAGGCCAGTATTTTGTTCCCATTGCAACGGCGTGCGAACCGAGTGCGATGGGCCAGGATCTGAAGCTGGCCCGGGACTTATGGGTAAATACACATTCGAATCATGCTAGATGGTTGGCTGATCTGAGGTTGCAGGACTGGATTGATGCCCAGGCGACTGAGACTTTGGGGGTGGGTTGGCAGTAGACAGAATACATGTACACGTCAAATTGATTTATGCATGCAGTCACCACTATTTACGAGATAGAGCACGGATTCATAGACACATGCCCACCCACTCTTCCCACCGGCGCACCCCCGATCCGAATTCCTCTTGTTGATCCCCTTTGACGGCACCGCCAGCGACGTCAACCTTGATGCCGACTTCTTCCTCGAGAAGCTTGAAGCTGAATTGCCCCTGTGCATCATCATTCCCCAGAACCTCATCTTCTTCCTCCGCTCCAGTATCCGCACTGGCGTCCAAGAGCCCCTTGGTCTTGGACTTGCGGATCCGGTCAATCTCGGCCTCCAACTTCTCTCGCACCGAACCGGGTGGCAGAGCCGTAAACAAATCTTGTTTGTTCGCGGCGACGAGCACGGGGACCTCCGCGGCGGCTATGTCGGAAGATTTACCCTTGCTCAGGGCCCGCTTTTGGAGGATCAACAGCACATCGTGTAGATAGGTAGCGGTGTCCCGTAGTGTCGCTTCATCCACCAGAGCAGCAGTGTCGACCATGAACATCACTCCCCGCAGCTTCGATTTCGCATCCTTCGAATGGGACATGGATTGAAGCTGGGAGATGCCCTGGGAGGCGCGGAGCTTGCCATGGCCGGGAGTGTCCCACAAGCGATACTTGATTGGGTTCCGCGAGGCCTCTTTCAAGGACGGGTCATTGGCAGATCGGAACCGGTTGGAAGCGGTGGGGACGGTCGGCGGTAGAGTGACGGTTGCCAGTGTCGAGGTCTGCGAGGTGTGGGTAAGGTGCGACTTCTTGGATGCGGACGAGGACTTGGCTTCGAGCTACAAAGCTGGGTTAACAAGGAGTCCATGGCATGGAATGGTCGGCACCAGGTCAGCGATACCAAAGTCGTGAAAGCAGTTTTCCCCGCTGTACTGGGACCCAGAAGCAGGAAATTGCTCGAAGGTGGAGATGCTACACTTCGGAAGAAGATGAGGTGCAGAACTACCGGGATACCGAAGGTGATGAGGATGGCGATGGCGATGGCAAGCGGACTACCCCCGAGAAGCAGCGTGGCGATGCCAGTCACCGAATTCCAACCCGCTTGACTCGACATGGTGTTGTATTGGATTCCACGGAGAACGGAGGAAGAGAGAGAAAGATCAGGTCAAGGGAGAGGTGTGGATGTGCGATAGCACGGACCATCAAGCCCTTATCGCGCGTATCATCGGGGCTGTCATGGATACCTCCCAAGGTTGTTGTAGATGGAATGAGGCATGCCAAAGGGCTGCCAAGGGATAAACTCCCCCCTTCTCACCTCGAATCGCCGGGGGATTTGAGTCTCTTCATCCTCTCGCCCATTCGCCCTCAGCATGAAACTCCATCAAATATTCCTTGTCCTTGTCGTTCTTTTGACGGCCGTCTACGCCCAAATCACCTCGAGTGGTTTGACCTTCGATGGCGGCGATGTAGTGACTCTTGCTTGGGCTTTGGAGGGCGACGGCTCTACGAAATATGATTTCTACCTCTGTGCCGGCGACGAGACAACCAATTCATATGTGAGTCTTTTTCATATTTAGATCATATCATTCCCGCTTCCCGACGCAATACTAACCACAGTTCCTGTAGGAATCACTGGCACGAGTCATCAAGGATGGCACCTTCGCGTCGGGGGACCTGGTGTCATTCCGAGCGGACCAGAATATCGGCGGGAATGAGCCGAATGCATAGTATACATCACCCCATATCCCGAATTGACTCAAGTTCCTCCCGTTAACCGATGGCCCTGCGCAACAGTTTCTTGAAGATTGTTTCTTCGGGATCCAACGGATCCTGGTCTGGCATCACCTCCCATTTCACCCTGACGAACATGAAGGGCTCGTTCTCGGCCAAAGTGTTGGAGGCCATCAAGACTATGAAGCCCGCCATTGGTCTTCCTTGGTCCTCTTTCGGCGGTGACCATCTGCTCGAGGCCGAGGTACCCACTAGTCACAATGCATCGGCCGCTGAGGGCTTTCTTCGTGAAGAAGTGACCGAATCAGTCTTGCAATTTCCCACCCCCATTGTCGAATCTGAGATTGAGCGCAATGAACTGCGCAAACGACAGGCCATCGGTGCACACACCATTCCTTATGGTGAGCAGACTGGCCCAACGCGGTATGCTCCGGTGCCCAAGAGAGCCGGCACCACCATCGCAGACAGATCAGCCACGCCTCAATATCCGCCGTTCCCGTTCTCCGTGGCAACCGAGTATCTTCCTGCCCCGACCGTCTCAACAACGGAGATGGCTTATTTGACCTGGACAACGCACAGCATCGAAAACACGGTGAGTCAGACATTGGAGGAATCATTTTCGCTCTGTATGGAGACTGCTAACCTCTCTTGTTGTCAAGGCTGCCCCTGCGGCTGCACCCACGCTGGACAAGCGAATGCAGCGATGGCTGGAACGTTGGAAGGATTAACTCCATCATAGTCCTGCGGAATCTTTACTTGGTGCTGATTGGAATTGGAACCGGCATGGAATTGTTGGGTTTGCGCTGCGTCGGAGGTCATGGTTGGGCCTCAATTGACTTTTTGTTGTCTGCCATTCTCATGACTTTCTGTCTTGGAATTTTTTTTTTTAAAATGCTTTGTGTCGGACAATGCTGCGCTATATATCAAATCTGACCCAACTCAATCTTAATGTGACCATGGGCCCCAGTTGTGTCTCTATGCAATGCAGCAGATTTCAAAAAGCCCCTCCTAGAAACTAGGATAGAACTCCTGCGAAAAATAGGTGATCATCACTTCAAATGTTACCCAGACTTCCATTCCTCGAGCGCAGGTGTCAAGGCTGGAGTGACCGGATGACTGTGCCGGTCTTCTGGGTGGAAGGAGATGTTCTCTCGGACAGCCACATAGTCACTGTCGGCGTAGCCTAGCAACGACTCGATTTGTGTGCTTCGATGACCCATGATATGAGCAATTTCAATGCTCCCATAGTTGACCAGAGCGCGCCCCACTTCCTTGGGCTCGTGCGCGTGGTGAAGGAAATCTCCATTCAGTGCATCTGCAGAGGGTCGCTCAACCACCACCAAGCGCACTGCTTCCTGTTGTCCAAAGTGGCCTTCCACCCCGATCACCCCAGCAGGGAGAAGATTGGCCTTGTTCATCAGTGCATGGTAGGCCCCGTGGTCGATGTAGAGAGTCCCGTGTGGATTGAGTCCGTGGAGCAACCAGAATGTTCGAGACTGGATCGGGGTATCTGAGGGGAGGAATCGAGTATGGAGAGGTGCTGTTGGAACCTCCAGCGTTGAGGTATCCGCACCACTGGCGGCCGCTGTGGAGTTCTCCTGGAGTCGTTGCAAGTACTTTACAATCTCGTGAACATTGCCTGGTTTGGAACTCTTGGTGATAATAGTTGTCACGCCAGCACTGGTCCCCAGTTTTGCAGCCACAATCTTTGTGCCCATGCCGCCAGTTCCCAAAGCTGAGCCTGCGGACGAGACATCAGCCTCGAGCGAGGAAATATCGGAAACCACCTCGATCGGTTCTGCGTCGGGGTTGGTACGCGGGTTGGCAGTGTAGAGACAATCGACGTCGGTCATCAAAAAGAGGTAGTCGGCCTTGACCATCGCCGCGGTAATTGCTGAAAGGGTATCGTTGTCGCCAAATTTAATTTCCTGGATACCGGGAGCGCGTCAGAGCCGTGGGCCGTATTCAACAAGGAAAAGGGGTCCCTACAGAAACAGCCAGGGTATCATTTTCGTTCACAATGGGTACTACACCCATATCGAATAATTGCTCGAATGTATTTTGGGCATTGACGTATTGGGTTCTCTGAGTTGGACTTGGGTGTCAGATGTGAATCGGCGGCGGGCACGAGTCATATAGGGAAGGGGGCCTACATCTGCAATATCGTTTCTCGTCAAAAGAATCTGGGCCACTGCGACTCGGAGATGCGAGAATAGGTTATCCCACAGACTCATTAGTCGGCATTGACCAACAGCAGCAAGTGCCTAAAGTTCCACCAGTCAGCCTCTTTCCATAGGCATTACGCATATATCGCTGGTGCTATGTAATCCAATGGCGCTCATACCTGTATTCGAGGCAGATGTTTGGGACGCTCAGTCACGTCCATCCTGCGCAGACCGACCCCCACCGCGCCGGATGACACCAGGACGACTCGGTGGCCATCTCGGTGCAACCGAGTCACTGTTTCCACAATTAATGTCAAAATTGATAGGATCGGTTCGTGGGTTTTTTCGTCCACAATCGAGCTTGTTCCTAAAGTCTCCTGGTTAGTGTGCCGTCATATCGAGTGACTCATAGTTAGATATATATAACCACCGCACCTAACTTGATCACAATCGTGAGACCCGAAGAAGCTGTCATGATGAAGACAGTCCAATGCCAATGAGCGCCCGAAACCGCTCGTTAGATTGAAGCACCCTTGTCCCCGCAATGCCGTCCTGGTCGAAGTCACTTTTTTGTCCCCGCCATCGGAGCATCGCCCGTTCTGCCACTCACCACCGCTTCTGCGGAGAGTCTTCGGCTTCGTCAACGCCGCGCGAGATCTGCCCAAGCACACGCTCATAATGACCGACCCACAGTCGCCAGGTGCAAATGCACCATCAAATGGCAAGCCGGAAACGGAGTACGCCCCTGGGGACGATATGTGGACACAATTCCGCAACATTTACTCGATCCTCATGGGAAAGATGTCCAACGAGGGAATCGAGCAGTTCCGGGTTGCGCGAGACGTCCGGAATGAAGCTGCCGATTGCAAGCGCTGCGAGGACCAGCGGGACTATTTACTCCAGTACAGTGAGTCTCTACCACTTTTCCTACTAGCATGTCAAGCCGGCCGAAAGACTAATCGTTTTCGGTGGATAGGTCCAGTCATCCGCTTCCTCAGCGATAACATTCGTCAGCTGGGAGGCGATCTCTACGGCCACAACATCTACTGCCGTCGATGCACGAATCGTAAGGCCGGCGGGTTTGATCCAGAGTATGGGATTCTACTATGTGCAAATGAGATGAAAGATCAGGGACATTTGGAGGACACAATGGCCCATGAGATGGTTCATGCCTACGATCACCTGAGGTTTAAAGTCGACTGGACGGACAATTTGCGACATGCGGCCTGCACTGAGGTATTCACTGCTTCGTTGATATCCGATAAGGATCTTGAGCTGACCAATTCTAGATTCGAGCCAGTTCGCTGAGCGGCGAGTGCAGATGGGCACGCGAGTTCTTCCGGAGAGGACAGTGGAAGCTCACTCAGCAACATCAGGAATGTGTCCGAAGACGCGCAGTTTTGTCTGTCCGGGCAAGACCGAATTGCAAGGATGAGGCCCATGCCCAGCGCGTTGTCAATGAGGTCTGGGATAGCTGCTTCCGAGACACGCGACCATTTGATGAGATCTACCGATGATACCACACCCCTTGCTATTGTGCTCGACCCATACCATTCAGCCCATATACCAAATCTCCCTCTCGTGTACCATAGACCTGCTCCCTTTTTCTGAATGTACCATATTTCATTGGCGCTGGCGAAGGAAAACCAACATTAAATTGACATATCGCCAGATCACAAATCCCTTCTCCAGTTATACTCCCGAAAACGCAAACTCCCTAGTTGAAATGCTTTGTGCAGTGCTCGACACCCGAAACTCCATCAAAAGAAAACACAACACCGTAAACACCCCCCAAAAATCTGAAATGCAATAGCTATTATGCTTGGCCACTCTTGGAAGAACCAGAACTCCGTTTCACACTCCGGTCATCCTTCATGCAGTGCTTGACAATCCAGGGGTGCCGGTGGATATCGTCAAGCGGGATTCGCTTCTCGGGATCCAAGATAAGCAGCTGCAAAGAGTCAGTCACTGCACTCGCTGTACTTTAGATGATCACGGGGTAAAAAGACTCACCTTCTTAATAAGATCCTTTGCCTCTGGACTCACAAAGGAAGGGACCGACATATCGCCTCGTTTAATGCGTCTTTGAGTCATGACAGGCGTGTCTTCGAATGGTGCCTCGCCCACCAGAAACTCGTAGGTCAACACGCCCAGACTCCACAAGTCCACCTTTTCACCGTAGAAATTTTCATTCGGGCCGGTATGAAGCATCTCGGGCGGCAGGTAGTCAAGTGTTCCACACATTGTCTGCCGTCTGTTGTTGGGAGCGTGTACACTCCATCCAAAGTCACTTATTTTGATCTCCCCGTGGATTCCAACAAGGATGTTTTCGGGTTTGATGTCGCGATGTATAACATGCTTCTTGTGCAGATACTTCAATGCTGCGGCCATTTGGGCAATATACTGCGCGGCCTTCCATTCCGGGAACCGGTTCTCTTCCGAAGGTGCTTGTAGAGTTCTCCACGACCAGCGAATTCCAAGATCAGGAAAATGCGCTTGCTGTCATGGAAGTGGCCATAGAGCTGGAGGACGTTCGGGTGCCGCAGATTACTTTGAATCTCAATCTCGCGACGGACCTGCTTCTGGACACCACCTTGCTGAAGTTCGGATTTGTGCAAGACCTTGAGTGCACAGACGAAGCCGGAAGACCGTTCTTTGGCCAGGTAGACTCGCCCAAACTTGCCCTTGCCTAATGGCTTGCCGATCTCGAACATGCTGAGGTGCAGTTCTTTTGGTACAGAAGGCTGCTCGTACAGTGGAGTGGAGATGCGCTTCTCCCCATTTTCATCCGTGTTTCGGGTTGCTATGGGCCCTTGTGAACCTTTGCCCGGGGAAGCGACCACATTCATGGCATTGGCTTTGTTGTCATTGGTGTTTTGGAGAGCAAGCTTCAGTAGATGAGCCCGGTTGGGGTTGTTCACCTGGGCTGACGCGCCAAGCCCGGACAAAGCGACGGCAGTAGAGAGAGAACCCTGAGACCAGATGAGCACGGGGGGTTTGACTAAGACAGCGCATTAAACGAGTACCTTATGCTTGCCGTAGGTTCGATCATTGGCGCCATTCTCCTTCTCATCTTTGACCGACAGGTGCTCGAAACGAGCTTCAAGTGTCTTGGACGTCATGGTGTGGGGAGAAGGAGGGGGAAGTAGAGGATAAAAGGATGGAAAAGTCGGGTTAGGAAGAGGGTTAGGATTGAGATGGGGTTAGCCCAGGGAAATGGGCAAGAAGGTTGTGTTGTCGACAGTCTGGAAAAAGAAGAAGAGGATGAATCGCAGGGTGTTTGGGTGCCGTTCCCCAGGACGTCGCCCCGGCAACGCCTCGGTCCGCCTCTTTCTCCGTCCGCGGGGCGATCGCTATCGGCGATCGCATAGATCGTGCGCCGATAACGTTGCCCTCTCTCCTCTGCTTAACTATTTCCTCATCCCATCATGACTTCCCTCCCGGCAAACGTTGTGCCTGTCGGCCATGCGACTGTCTCCCCAGAGGCGAAGGCGCCTCGCTCGATCTCAATCAACGGGTTTCGCATATCCACGCAGAAATTACCCATTCTCAAAGCGGAGCCCATCGAGGAAATGACGAACAAGCTGGGCATTGCACCACCCGAGATGATTTTCGGCGATAATTTTGTTGCAATCGAGCATGAGAAGAGTGACTGGGCAATCCAGTTCAACGCATTGGACGCATTGGACCTTGTGGACAAGACCGGCGAGTCAATGCTTCAAGTCGCATATTCGCGCGAGTGGCAACAAAGCAGGTACTCAAAGCCCTGTCATCGGGCAACCTTCCACAAGACTATCCTAACACTAACCTACCTCGCAGAGAAAAGACCCACGAAGGCATCAAAGAAGTCGTGAAACCGTTCGATTGGTCCTACAGCACCGACTACAAAGGCACCCTGCATCCCAATGCGCCCCCATTCGAGAAAACAACAAAACCGATCCCTGTTGAATTGTTGAAACGTCCTGACCCAATTCTCTTTTTCGACGAAGTGGTCCTTTACGAAGATGAACTGGCTGATAACGGAATCGCAATGCTATCTTGCAAGATCCGCGTGATGCCAGGAAGACTCCTACTACTCTCTCGATTCTTCATGAGACTAGACAACGTTTTGGTCCGACTCCGAGATACCAGAGTGTATGTGGACTTTGAGACACGTGAGGTGATTCGGGAATACCAGTCCAGGGAGTGTGAATATGAGAAAGTCCGACAGGTACATAATATTGATCTCATCCCACTGGCATCAATGGATTTAGGACTGACCCTCTACAGACACTAGCGGCCACCCGAGACGACATACCTGCTTTTATGAGAGATCCCAATCAGCTCTCAGAAGTACTCCCTGTGGTAGGGAAACACTCTGAGCGAGTGGTCCTCGATGGTTGAAATCTACCGGCCTAAAAAAAGGGTCATGATTGACATGAGCATCGCATCTTATTCCTGAGACTACTTGCATGGTCTCTCGAAATTCTCGCAGAGTTTCGGTGTGAATGATGAGTCCTTCAGAGCGATGATACCGCGCTGGGGGGATTGGACCGCAGTCCAGACACGATGCGATGATTTTCGACCTGGGAAGACAAAGATGTTGTGATGAATTCAAGATCTCGATGACTCAGTCCAAATGAAAGAACATTTCAGTGAGAATAGCCAGAATACCGTAGTACCAAGAGCCAACGTGCAAACAGTACAAACACGCTCTGGATGACTTCGATCGGTCTCATTCCAATCCCAAAAGTCGTACTCATCAGTTGGCCAAAATGAGAATGTCCAGACCATTGACGACATTGTGGTCGCAAGAAGCCCGTGGGTCCCAGACCTCATGGCTCCAGGTATACATGTCGCTGTCTCTCAGCCGATGATTTCGTCCTGACCAAGCGCAACAGTCAAAGCCCCAGAGAGTCCTGTCATCAACATTACAATCGCCTGTCTCGTGTCCCTCTCGAAACAATAGCCGCATGCCGCCAGCGTGTCGAAATTCTTTATCGAGCTCATTCGGCCCGACTCGATTGTATTCGCAGGGTTCTCCGGTCTCCCGCCTAGCCCGAAATGTTTCGCCACGGCCGGGAACAGCAGCAGAAACCTACGTCGCGTATGGCATGACACAAAAGCTTTTCGAGGCCTGCTCTAGCCAGGCTGATTACAAAGTCCCCCAAATAGCTCAGAAAGTACCAGTCCCCACCACCGAAGCGGGTGAACATCTGGGCGTTGGAGAGAGCTGGTGGTACCAAGGTTTGATGTCTCCGTGGCCCTGGGAAATTCAGGGCAAGGACTAATGCGCATGTTTTTTATTGTAGAGCTTGGGCTCCGACCAACCTTCTCCACCTGGTCGCAAGTGACCTTCCTCCACATGTACCTCTTGACCGTTCGTCTCCGTGCCCTTCCGTCCAGGGACAGCGTCCAGACATACTCGCGCCACCTGATTGATCACTTCTCACACAATGCGGAACATCGAATGGATGTTCTCCATGACCTGGGCAGCCGTGCTATTCGAAACAAGTATCTGAAAGATCTCTTTATTCAATGGCGAGGTATCCTGGCTGCATACGACGAGGGCTTGGTCAAGGGCGACGCGGTGCTGGGCGCTGCAGTCTGGAGGAATCTGTGGAAGGCGAGTCCCACCGGGCCAGATGGCCAGGAAATCGACTGGACCAAGGTTGCGTGGGTGGTTGCCTATATGCGGCGAGTGCTGTCGGAGCTCTCGAAAATGAACGAAGCCGACTTGGTGTTCGCTCTTGGCCAAGGAGGCGCAAAGGACTCTGGCATCTTTGGGTACTCTGAAGTGGACAAGAAGCTGGCCCAGGCAAGCGGATGAATGGGCTCGGGCAGGGACCGAAAAAGTCTCGGATTGGCGAGCTCTTACATTGCCGGATTTCTCATTTACCATGTACTCATATAGTATGCCATCTTCTCTACCAGGACAAGGTAGATAGGTTAAAACATGTATAATAATCGACACTTTCAGCTTGATTCATTGTGCTCTTCGCTTATACTGAACTGGAATCGTTCCCATTCCCTGTTGTCAATGAAACCCGACAAGCGTCTTAGTCCTTTTTGGCAAAGAGGTCCTTCTCCACCATGCCTCGACAGATCGGATGGTAGAAGTCCTTGTACTTTTCGAAAGTCTCGAGAGCGATGGGCCGATTGATCTTCTGAAGATTACGGTAACTGGTCAAGTCGAGTCAGCTCTTATTCACTTCCAACCTCCAGGGAGACAGGACATCTTACAGAGGCCGCACAAACTTCATCCTTCCAATTCGGCCCAGCAACTCCGTTGTGGGCTCAATCACAGTTTCATCACCAGCCTTCATGCCAACTTGGAAATAGAGGTTCGACACCTCGATATTCTCGCTCTTGGAGAGTCCATAGACATCGCCCATGAGCTTTGACAGTTCAGGGCTGAGCGGCCGCTCCAGGAGGAGAATCTGCTCCAAGAAAACAACTAGCTGGTTCGCAGTTAAGCCGTCGATATCGCTCGCCTGTGGTTTGAAAGATGGGTCCGGGAGAGACTGCCATTTCCGCGCAAGTTCATAGACCACATCCACCAGCGACGTGTCAAAGCGCGGCTTGGGTGGCAGACCAGGAGAGTAGAACCATGCGTCCCAGTCCAGTTCATTCAAAAGTTGAGATGCCTCCGCATCCGACTTGAAGAAGTCCAAAATCGTAGCTTTGAACTCATACGAGTCAAGGGATTTGCCCTTAAAAGTGGTGAAGTACTAGAGATAAAGGTCAACACAAATTCTCAGAATGCCGGATGGGTTGACATACGTGAGGCATAAACTTGTCGAACTTCTGCTTGCCCACAAGATTCTCGAGGTGAAACAGGAAATTGAAGCCCTTCTCGTAAGGAACGCTCGAGAATGCGTCATCAGGGTCCTTGCCTTTCAAGTCGGTCACTAGCTTGGTGAATTCATGATCGGGGCCAAAATGTGTGACGGAATCTGTCAGAGACTTCCACCCGATGATGGCTGAGAAGTGACGGTACGGCTCTCCATGACTGCGTAAGGTCAAATGTTAATACTGTCGCTACCAGGAAAGCAGCTTCCAACACATACATGGCAGCCAAGATCTGCGTCTCAGTCAGTTATTGTGGCTTGACGAGAAATGCTGTCCAACGTTACACATACCCGTCTTTCAAGATAAACAGTCCAGCCCTCGTTCAGCCAGAAATGTTCCCACGAGGCATTAGTGACCAAGTTGCCACTCCAGCTATGGGCCAATTCGTGTGCGATGACATCGACATTTTCGCGGTCCTGGAAATGATGTCAGCCCCCATACCTTGTGGAGAACATGTACTGACATACTTTGGAGATGATACTGGGAGTCGCGAAGGTGAAGATCGGGTTTTCCATCCCACCATACGGGAAACTTGGCGGCAGAATCAAGACGTTGTACTCTCCCCAGACGTAGGGATAAACGATTTTCTGGATCTCAATTAGCATCAAAAATCATGGCCATGTGGAGAACGGGCAGCACACCTCAATAGTGTTGATGAAGTTCTCCGTGTCCGCTTCCAATTCCCATCTGCACTCATCCAACCTGTCAGGGCTAGTGGCAACCACACTCCGGGGTCCAATGGGGGCCTCCGAAACGTCTCTGTTTGGCAAGAAATGAATTATTCAGTCTCGAAAGAGAAAGGGACAGGTTGAATGGGTTCTTACCCGCTTGCGATGGCAAATAGATAGCTGGGGATCGGGACCGACTGATGGAAACGATACAGTTGGCTCCCTGAATGGGAGGTCAGCGAGGATTGCCGGATAGGCAATCCACTGGTCATGACCGGGAGCGAAGAGTTAATATTGAAGTCAAAGGTGCTCTTGACATCCGGTGTATCCTGACATGGGAAAATCGACCGCGCGTGGATCGCCTGGCACTGGGAGACTGGAATACGGCGTTATCAGCGACGGCGGAGCCCTCGGAACCCAATGAGGTACATTACTGACACATGTATGGGTGTTTCTTATTTGATGTTTGCGCAGGCGTCAACCACTGGAGTGCCGTGCATTTCTTGGTCGTCTTGACGGCAATCTACAAGAGGGATCAGACACAGCGGGGGGAGGCATCCTCGGGAGGAGCACCTACATCCACCTCGACCGTCCCGTTCAGCTTCACGCCTTGGCCAAGGGTAATCTTCAACGGAGTGCCAAAGGGCTCCAGAGGGGCCAAAAGCTCCCACTTGGATGGCTGGCCATCCACCTTGATCACACCAATGTCGAGATGGCTGGTGTCCAAGATGATTTCCCGGGACTCGCCATCGGTAATGGACTTGAACTGATGGACTACATTGCCCACCAGCTTCTTCTGGTCAAACAGAATGTCAAAATTGGCGGTGATGTGGGTGGAGCGCCAATTGTTGTAGTTGCTCAGCGTGTTGGGATCACGCGGCGGGTTGATCGTAGCGGTGGCCATGTTGCGCATGAATCGACTAGAGGGAACAATGTGGACAGGTCCTGAAAAAAGACAGAAGACGCGTCCAAGGGGGAAGCGAGAGAAATGATTCATTGAGGGGGATCCATGGGGGTTGATGTTGGGCCGTATCTAAGCGGAGTCTTTTTGGATCAATCGCCTCAGGCTCCCGTCCATTGCAACGTTAACAGCGAAGGGACTTGAAAGTAAATAAAACACCAAAGACTGAAATATCTATATCGATATCGATATACTGGTAATAATCACGCATAAAAAGAGAATAAAAGAGAATACCAAGGAAATAATAATAACAATAAATAAAATAAAATAGAGCCCATCCCTGTGCGATGTATAAGATGGCGTTTGTCTCTCTCTCTCTCTCTCTCTCCCCCCTAGGGATCATCGAGTGGCACTTGTCACACAACCCCCTTTCCTCCCCTCCAGATCTCACTCATCTTCAATCAATCCTCAACTGATTCTTCAAGCGGAAGTGATCCCCGCATTCTCTTCCCGTTCTCCCACCGCCCGGCACCACGGTCCACCCCTGACCATCGGAAGCACCGCGGCCCCTGGCCTCTTCAACCTTACCTCATTGCGCTGTTGCGAAATCTAGACCAGACGCCGAAGCTGCTGGATTTTTCCTGGCAACCCCAAGAGTGATTGTGCCGCCGACCAAGGTCAATTGCGCACATCCGATAGCGTACCCCGCCGATTGGTAAGTTTGTTTCCTTGCCCATTTGTTCCCCGAGGCTGACCTGGACGCTGATAAGTTCTCGTTCCCAGGTCAATTGTACGAGGCGATGCGTGTAGACCACCTGAGTGTATTGCGATAGATCTTCGAACTCCCCGAACACGAAGCGATGCGCCGAGAAAGCGCGGGAATATAAATCAGGGGAATCTTCAAGAAATAGCGCCAACGCGGCTCTCGGGAGCTATCTCCCTGCTGCCGAGCTCTTATTACAAGGAAGATTCATTGTCAGAGAATGACCGAAGACATTCAAGTCGTGGTTGCGAATCCTCTTTGACCGTGCTATCTGTACTCGCCCAAACGTGTCAACCGGTCAACCGGCACACCACCACTCCTGGTCTCGAACTCTCAATGCCAGGCCTCGATATTTGAACCATCCGCAATTTGTGATTTGAATCGTTTCCCTCCGTCTCGAAAATGCTACACCGCTCCGCCTTTGACGATGAAACCAAGGCGTTCTACCCCAAACATCCCTCGGCACCGCCAGAACCCACATCGGCACCGCCCCCTAGGCCTACCTCTCGTTCGTCGCGCCCCGGATCTCGAACTCGAATGGTGAAGCCAACAGGCGCTGTCACGCCCAACGGACTGGGAGTGCTCACAGAGAACATTCCGAACTTGCCTCCTGACAACCTGGGAAGTACCAGTCCCATCAAAGAGGGTCTGGGAAGCTTGAATCGTTGGTCTCAGTCCACTACCTCCAGCAAGGGCCCGTCGGAGTATGCTGGCCATCGCCGAGGGAGCTCCAAGATGTCCATGTCAGGATCCAGTCGGGGCCATGGGAGTCATAGTCCGCAGCGTGCGGCGGGAATGGCAGAACTCCCCAAATTAAGTCTGCCAGAACTGGACCAATCTTCCATCTTTTCTCCCGATCCCACATCTCCACCACTTGATCTCTCATTCACGGCCTCCAGTCATATCTTTCAAAGTTCCCAGGCAAATGAACCAAGAGCAGAGATGGAAACCGCACCGCAGGCAGTGCCGCATTATCAAAACCCCCCTCAGGACAGTGTTGCTCGAATCAGTGACGGGTCAACCTCCTTGGGGGATGGTGAAGGGGACCCAGAAAACCGACAGCACGGCCAAACCCAAAAAGCCATGTTGTCCAAAGCGCTTCAAAAGGCGAATACAGCCGTGCTTCTTGACAATGCGGCCAACTTCGAAGGTGCTATGGAAGCTTATAATGATGCCTGCCAACTACTGCAGCTTGTCATGTTCCGTAGCAATGGAGGCGATGAAGAGAAACTCAAGCTCCAGGAAATCGTAGGTTTCAGACTGGCAAAGCTCTACTGCCATCCAGAATCTTGTGTTAAGGCTAACCCCTACCACAGCGTGACACTTACATGATCCGAATCACCGAACTTCAGCGCATGGAACTTCCTCTTCCGGAGAGCGACGATAAAGCTCTACCAAATCGTCCTCTCAGCCAAGAGTCCTACAGTGAACTACTCCAGTTGTCAGAGAAGGGCCTCGGTTTTGGGAGCCACCAGAGCGCCGACAGCTCCACTTTCGGTTTTCAGCACATCTCACCGGAACACAACAAAACATTGCCTTTCGAGGCAATTCCCCCTCGACGGCAATCGCTGAGACCTTCAGACTTTGATGGTCAACCCCGGATTGCAACAACCAAGAATCGGCATCCAGAGAATTCTTTGCAGGAAACCCATGAATCCACCTCTTGGCTGGACACCATCGACGAGTCAGGTGCTTCATCGCCGTCCTCTGCGAATTCAAAAGCATCATCTGTGTATCTACGCCACCGAACAAGCCGGCGCCTTAGCAATGACACCGAGGCCGAGTTCGATGCTGCTCTAGATGCAGCTGTGGAGGCTGCATACGATGACGGTCTGGAGCCGGTGCTAGAGTTCAAGGAGGAAGAAAGCGATGACATTGTGGCCAACGCCCGCAGAAACATCGAGTTGGCGAAGCAAAGGGTGCGAGAGGCAGAACGAGAGGCAGAGGTCGCGATGAACCGTGGCCGTGAGATACGACGAATCCAGGAACGGACGGAATTCGGCAACCCTACCGGTCGTGATTCAGACTACCTTGACGAGGAAGCAGAGGAGGAAGAACGTCTCTTGGAGGAGATGACCAAGGGGTACGTGATGGATGACTTCGAATTTGGTATTCAATCCAAGTCCGCGCTTCCGCGGGAATCGGACTCCAGCAACGTGTCTGGGCGAACATGGGAAAGCTCCGCAGCATCCAACATCACCAGCACGGGGGGGCTGTCTACTCTCGCAGAAGATGACACAGTGCCCGCCGGTGACCAGAGGGGAGACGCCAGCTCGCGACCCTTTTCGCCCCCGATCTCCTCCGATTTTCCCGCCTTGCCGCCACGCGCGTCCTTGTCACAACCGCCTGCCCAGATGGGCCGGCCCCCTGTACCAGGAGTACGGGCACGGCGGCTGTCTGGCCAAAATCCAGGTGAACTGAAAATCGAAACTAACACTCACTCTCGAGCCGATTCCAATACCTCGGGCCTGGAAAGCTTCTCCACCCCCCTCACAAGCCGACCGCCGCCGCCGCTGCCGAAGGATGAACCTCTCTCGGATCCATCCAAGCCTTCCACCCCGGGACTCCGAACCAACTTGCACCCTACAAAGCGTAATCCATCCGTGGGATCTGTTCTGGAATCCAATCTCGCCAAAGCTCGGACACGGGAAGATGACGAGCCTGAACTTCCGCCATTGCCATCAGCCGCCCGGCCTATGGGCAAGATACCCTCCGCTCCAGACGGGTTGGACAGAAGCGCCTCCAGTTCTAAGGCTTTCCGATCTCGCAACGTCTCTGTCCCCAATCCGGAGACCGCGCCTGGGTCGCCAAGTACCCCGTGGAACGGCGCATTCCCAGCCCTGGATACCCAAAAGGGCGCATTGGCTGGTAGCGTGCCCGTTTTACCCACCCCAACAGCGGCAAGCTTTACGCAAAATGGATTACCAACCAGCGGTCTGAATCTTTTCGACTGTGACATACATTCCCCCACAGCGCTTGGCTGCCCGAATTCCCTGGTAGCTAATGCGCCACTCCCACTGGAACCATGTCCAGAGTCATTCCTCTTCCGCCCATTTTGGTTGATGCGATGCCTGTATCAAACAATCGCCCACCCCCATGGCGGCTATTTATCAGCTAAGCTATTCATTCCCCGCGATGTTTGGCGCGTGAAGAACGTTAAGCTCAAAGCAGTCGAGGACAAAATATCTAATTGCGACCTCCTGACTGCCGCATTGCTCAAATTAGCCCAGGTCGACACCTATGATGCGGACGCAGTGCTCGAAGAAATGCAGGCACTAGAGACTGTTCTCGACCAGGTCCAAGGCTCATTGTCGAAGAAACTGGGCCATGACGTCGGGGTACAGACAGCCATGCCGCTGTTCAAACCGGGCTCAACACCCGATGAGGCCTCTCATGCCGATAGTTTTTCTTCGAAGAACTCTAGCTCGCAAAACAAGTCCTACCGACCGACCTGGAAAAGACTGCGAGCGAAGACCTCAGGGATTGGTACTGCTACGCTACCCCCGGGCGCGCGAGAAAGCAACAAGGACAACCTGACACTTCAATCCGTCCCGATGACTTCGGTGCCCACCACCCATGTCAAGCGCAATGTCACCCAGCTTGAATTTTCAGGCCCCAATTCCCACTACATGGGAGCATTGGCGCGTGTATTCGACGCTGCTCAGGTCTTGGGTAAGTAGTGTTGCTCGCATTTATCTTTCATTCCTCGTGCTTACCGATCCCAGATCAAATCGCCCAGCAGGTTGAAGACCCGGGCCTTAAACATTCGTCTCCTACTCACGTTGGCCTAGAGCTCAGCACACGCCACGCAGCCGAGTTCTTTGGCTTTTACGTGTGCCGTTTCGCATTGGCGGATGTAGGCATGATGCTCGACAAGTTCATTAAACGAGGCAGCGAGTGGGTATTGGTCTAGGGAGTATATGAAGCTATCACGAGATACTTAATTTTCTTTTTTTATTAGGGCCTTGGGAAATTACTGAGCCTCTTTTGTTCATTTTGCCCATACTTTTTGTTTATTTTACGTCGATATTGATCAGCCCCCCCCCTTTTTCCCTATACTTGAGATACCATGATTCAGCCCCCGTGAAATATTTGATGATTGAAGAACATAATTGATACAAGATGTTTATTCTTACCCGTTCTCATTGCAGATAATCTCAGACTTGGCACCAGGTTGGCATACCGCTCCATTGGCGCAGAAATTGCTCCAAATATGCTATGGAAATAGATATATGGGTAAATATAGGCATGGATGTATGTATATCTGGGGACGTATGTATTTATAATATAAGATTCTAAGGATAGGGTTGCTTTAGAGAAGTAAACATTCTCTTGATTTAGTCCTCTCCTCCACTACTCTAAGCTACCTGCCAGCTGGATAGAATAAAATAGAGACAGAGATGACAAAAAAATATAGAAAAAAATATATATATACTAAGTAAGAGTAACAAAGAAGATGCAAAAAGAGGTCCAAAAAGAGGTGCAAAAAAATTCCAACGTTGTAATCATAGTGAGCTTATATAAAAGAGTAAGTCTTTGAAATCCTACGTTTACTCTTTATGAAGCGAGGGCCAGCGGCTGGTTGTTTATATATAGGATCACAGCTAATGATCAGGTTCTTTGCTAGGTACCAGTACCCAGCCCTAGCAGCATCTCTCTCTCAAAGGGACTGGTACCGGTACCTGGGCCAACTTCCCCAAAAGTGGGGCACTCTTTTCGCGTCTCAAAACAACGCGCTTCTTCCCGTTGCTTCTCTTGCTGATAACCCAAAACACACCTACTCTCACCATCACCATGCCGCGCCCTGCCCCAAAACGAACGCGCCCCTTGAATAAACCTGCGAATGCGACGGAGACTGCGCGCCAGAATGATCCTCCCAAGTCCCCTGGGCAGGGGTCAACACTGGATCCTCGACAAGCTCTCCGAAATCAGACCCCTATGACCAAAAGTTATGAACAAGCAATCGAGTCGTCGCCCACTGGCGAGCGGCCAGGTACCGGTAGCCGACCGGGCACCGGCAGTCGTCCTCCGACGAGATCGCGTGGCTACTCATCTACTTTATCCTTCGCCGGTCGCAAAGGCGACATGGGCTCGCGCATTCCCGGAACGCCTGGATTTGAGAGTTCCGTCTTGAGCAATTTTCGACGGCGGCCGCGACAGGAAAGTATTCTGCAGATGATGCAGGCTGAAGATGGCTCATCCGAACTCGACGACGACGACTTTCTCGGTGGGCTCAGTCCGCAGGATGAATCTACGCCGCTGAATCTTTCCCGAGGGAAATCTCTTCTGATCAAGCCGCATGAACAATCACCATCAGAGCCCTCGTCACCCTCGGCACCCTCATCCAGCGGATCGCGCAAACGACGCAAACGCACCGAAGAAGTCCAGGTGCCCGAGTCGCCCTCAGGAGTGGTGCAGGACAGCCCAACCGCCACCCCGGTCGTGCGCGATGAACAGCCGTCCCATGTTTCGGAGGACACACCACGACCTTCACATGCCCCGGAGAATTTCAGCCAGACCATGGCACTGCCGGCTAGCAGTCCGGTATGGAGCCCTCAAAGCTCCGCGGGGGTCGGGCGTTCGCCTCAGATCCCTGGCCGTCAGGTCCCCGGAAAGAACAAATCGAGCGAAACAGCTCATCTAACGACGGCAGCTCTGCAAAACAAGCTTCTGTCTCGACATCAGCGTCAGCGCAAACAATGCTCGGGTGGCGACGAAAGTGACAGTGAACCACATGATGCTGCATCGGGCGACGACGATGAGTTAAGCTACCTACCAACCAGGAAGCCCTCACGGCGGGGAGGGGCAAGCAAACCCAAGCCATTAGCCAACGCGCGCGATAAGTCCAAGCTCAACCAAGAAAAACAGAAGGCCAAAGCAAAATCGAGGCCTTCGCAGCCCCCAGAGCCAAGACAACCGGCCACATATTCGCGTTCCCGAAGAGGAGTCGATAAGGAAAACGAACAGCTCGCCTTGTCGTCATCATCGCCGTTGTCTTCGCCTCCAGAATCAGACGCGGACGATTCGGATGTTGCCGAGACGAGATCAACCCCGCGCTACACGAGCGCGGAGCTACGAGCTCAGGCCAAGAAGTTTGCGGAGGTCGACCGGTGGGAAATGGAATTTGAGGATGTTTCTGTGTCGGAAAACTAAGTGGATAAGTTTTGATGTGTAACGAGCTGTGAGATACCATAATCCCGGCAATACTTCTCGGGACCCCGCACTGCAACGCTGTAAACCCCTCCAACTCGAACCTCTTCTTTCTTTTCTTCAACTTCTTCCCTCTCCATTCATTCCACCATGACTACTGTCGACAACATCCTTGCCGCCAAGTACCCGGCCAAAGCTCATGCTCGCCGAGTCGCCGAGACGCTCAAGGCCCAGCACGGAGCCGGTGTCATCTACTTGGAGTCGCAAAAAGATCGGCTCATCGAAGACAATGACGAGACAATGCCATTCAGGTCAGGACTGAGCAATTTCTCTTTCTCAGACCGAGCCCGCTGACAAAATTGTAGGCAACGTCGGCCTTTCTTCTATCTCACCGGATGTCTGCTGCCCGATTCGTACGTGACATACGACATCAACGCGGACGAGCTCACCCTCTTCATCCCACCCATCGATCCTGGATCCGTCATTTGGTCGGGTCTCCCTCTTTCTCCCGAGGCAGCCGCAAAGCTCTACGATGTGGACCATGTCCGCTACACGACCGACTTGAATTCCACTCTCGCGGCAATCGCCTCAGCCCATGGTGGGAAGACCATAGCGTTTGTCATTGGCGAGCAGGTATCGGAAGGGACGATATTCCATGGTTTTGCGAACACGAATACATCCGTTCTCAAGGGTGTAATTGAAGATAGCCGCGTGGTCAAGGACGCGTACGAGATCGCGCTCCTGCGGAAAGCAAACGACATTTCTGCCAAGGCGCACATTACTGCCATTCAGGCTTCCAAGACCGCCACCAACGAGCGGGAGATTGAGGCGGCATTCATCGGCACTGCCATTGCCAATGGCTGCCGCGAGCAGTCCTATCACCCGGTCGTTGCCGGCGGCGAGAATGGTGCGACCCTCCACTACGTCAAAAATGACGAGGACCTAGTCAACCCGGGAACCCAGCAGCGCAAGAAAAATGTGCTGATCGATGCCGGGGGTGAGTACCAGACGTACTGCGCCGATATCACCCGTGTGATTCCTCTGGACGGAAAGTTTGCCCCCGAGACACGCCAGATCTACGAGATTGTCCTACAGATGCAAAAGGAATGCATCGCCATGTTGAAGGAAGGTGTACGATGGGACGACGTCCACGCACTGGCCCATCGCATTGCCATTCGAGGCCTGTTGAAGCTGGGCATCCTGCGCGGCTCCGAGGACGAATTGTTCGAGAACCGTGTCAGTGTGGCTTTCTTCCCGCATGGCCTTGGTCACTACCTGGGGATGGACACTCACGACACCGGTGGCCGCCCGAACTATGAGGACCAAGATACCATGTTCCGGTACCTGCGCGTACGGGGCCACCTGCCGGCAGGATCGGTGATCACTGTCGAGCCTGGGGTAAGCTTATTCTAGTATTTCCTACCAAGAGAAGGTCATTCAACTAATATCTGCATAGATCTACTTCTGTCACTTCATCATTGATCCCGTCTTGAAGTCTCCGGAACGGGCGAAGTATATTGACGCGGATGTCCTGAAACGATACTGGAGCGTAGGAGGAGTGCGCATCGAGGACAACATCCACATCACGAAGGATGGGTATGAAAACCTGACGACGGCCCCGAAAGCAATTGAGGAAGTGGAGAGCTTGGCTCTATAATCCCCCAACCCCCAACGGGATGGGCCAGTTACTATACATTCTCCAGGGGACATTGAATCATCCATTAAAATGAACCCATACATATATTCTTTTTTTAAAAAAAAATCATTGACCTTCGGTTTGTGATGGAAAGAAAATACATTTTGCGCCTATGACATCTGATAAGATGAATAACGGTTTGTACACTCAAACACCACTTCGAAGCCGCTTCCTTGCGCTACCCTTGGCGCTCGAATCCACTTCGGACTGGCTGCTCTTCTCTTTCCGGTCCAGAACAAGGGTTAGGACGTCAAAAGCGAATTCGGGCACCTCCAGGCAAAGCTTCTTGAAGTCTCCATCGACCTCGTGCCTCAAGACATGGCTCCGAGACGCCCAGTAGGAAGCCACAGGCTTCCGAATTGTAATATCGTCCGCTGGGGTGTGGGTATAGACGTAGCGTGCGTACGCCAGCTCTCCGCGAGGCGTGCCGTTGACACGGTGGATTTTGGTATGGGCCAAGCTCTTGAGGGCCGGCAATCCCAGCTTCTCTGCTAACGTGTAGATGCGCGCATGACGAAGTAATTGATCCCCACTGTCGTCTGCTGCCTCTGGCTCAAGTGACCCGGAGGGATTCTCGGTTTGGTTCACGGAGTAATCGCGCGTGTATTGAAACTGGAGGTAGCAGCCGAAGGCTTCGACATGCTCGTCGGGGAGGCTGATCCGCCGCTAGTGATCACCAAAGTATATGAGCATCAGGGATCAGGCGGTTCGATTGAGCGACTCACAGGACCAGATCCCTCGAATTTGTCGACAAACTCGGAGAGGAATGGCGACTCCAGTAAGAGGGTTTGGTGTGCGGTCAAGGTGGTCTCATGTTCGCCCTGGCCAACCAATATTTCCACAATGGGGGAAGCCAAAAAGCTGGAAGAAGACATCAGCCGGTTGAGCTGAAGGAATTGCGACGGCACTTGCGCCATGGTTGGGGGATGGGATAGGGTCAAGGTAGCTCCCTACTCGAGAAACTTGAAGCCAGAGTTCTTCTTGGTCGATGTCAGGGGTTCAGGCTCTGGCTGCGCATCAGGCAATGTACTGTCTTGGTTTGCTTGACTCTGATTCTCGTCTTGCGTGCCTCCCATCTCTACCTCGGTTGTTGATTGCACATTCTCATTCGGGGGCGCATTGGTCGACTCGGGGTTGTCGGAGCTAGGCACATGTACTTGAGGCGTGTTCATGATAGGAGAAAGAATGAACAAGAAAGTAAAGAAAATCAATGGCACAGAAGGTTGAATTGGGGGGATTTCGTGAGGAACCGTTAACTGCGCAAAAGTGGGCCAAGGGGCGAAAGCTCCAACGGAGAAGTCACGCCAACGCTCGGCCTTCTTCAGCTTATTTGACTCGTCATAGAGACACTTGGTATGGGCCCTCAGACATAGGGCTGAGATCGTCAGAAATGCATGGCTCGACCCAGAATCGTGTCAAAATTGGACCTCGGTCACCAACGTCATCTGTTTACTTTGCCACCCAAAGAGCCGATCCCAACCGATCGAACTATAAATCCACCGCGGGTCGCACCTGTGAATGCCAGGAACAATTATGAGCAGCTCCGAACAATCAGATTCTGATCTTCAGCTTGCGTCTACCCCATCCGACGACCCTCAGGTCTACGGGAGAAGACGCAGTATTCCAGTGAAACTCCAAGAAACCGGCCAAACTGGTCAGTATCTGTTGACCGCTGAGGATGCCGAGGTGCTCCAGGAAATCCTGCGACATAATCTGCACCTGGAAAGATCCGGTTTGCCGGAGAAGCGTCGCTTTCGATTTCGAGATCTGGAGTTTACGCGGCAGCTGAGTACCTTTGATCGCCAGAACCCGACGTTCAGCTCTTCGGAATTCCACGGCTTCTTCACTCTTTTCTGGCTGGGCGTCGCCCTGCTGCTGGTCAAGTTTGCTGCTAATAACTGGAGGTCCTATGGCACGATCTGGGGCAAAAATGAGATTCTCCGCCTCATGTTCCGGAAGGATGTCCTCGTTCTCGGGCTAACAGACCTCGTCCTGTGTTGGTCTACGGCATTCTGTCTCGCTTTGCAGCGAGTGGTGTTCCGAGGCTATCTAAACTGGAATGGCCTTGGCTGGTTGGTTCAGAATGTAGGGGAACATCGCCTCCTCGGCCGGTCTACTTGCTAATGAAGATGTATATATTTTGCAGGGTTGGCAAACCACATACTTGGGTGTTGCCATCTGGTGGACCTACCACCGTGATTGGCCCTGGACGCACACCGTGTTTATCGTTCTGCACTGTTTGACCATGTTGATGAAACAGCATAGTTATGCATCCTACAATGGATATTGTAAGTGATCAAATGGCTGGAGAAACCGGGGGTTGGAATTGACCAACACAGTGTCCGAGTTGTACAAAAAGCGAGAGTTGTTGAGGACTAGACTCCACCAGTTGAAGAATCAGAACGAAGAGGATCTTGCATTCAAGGGAAAGGCGTCCGCTGTATCCCCACCAGGCACACAGGGAATCACCGATCTGAGATTTAAGAACCGCCGTGATTCCGAGACCAAAGGTTTCCGGGGATCTCGAGACACAGACTACCTTCTTTGCCTCGTCAAAAAGGTCGAGGATGGTGCACCTCTGGAGGCAAGCCAAGTCAACTCTCTCCAAGGGCTGCTGGAGCGGGAAAGTGATCTCCTCTCCGAGGGGCTCAAAGGTCGATGTTCATCAACCGCCAATTTTTACCCCCACAACCTGACGTTGAGGAATTTCTGCGACTTTGTCACCCTTCCCACACTGGTTTATGAGCTTGAATACCCACGGACAGAGACGGTGGATTGGGTTTATGTTGCAGAGAAGACAGCGGCCACGTTTGGCATCATCGTGGTGATGATTGCCGTCTCTCAATCGTGGATCTACCCGGTGGTGATGTCGACGGTGCGTATGAAAGAGGAAGGCTTGACTGCACAGCAAAGACTACAGGAGTTTCCTTGGGTCCTCAGTGACTTGCTTTTCCCATTTATGATGGAGTACCTGTTGGCATTCTATGTGATCTGGGAATGTGTAGTAAGTCGCCTCGAGTGAGCTGAATCATGGGAGAGACTAACATCTGCAGCTTAATGCCCTCGCCGAGATCACCAGGTTTGCAGACCGTGGCTTCTATGCCGACTGGTGGAATTCGGTCTCGTGGGACCAGTTTGCGCGCGACTGGAACCGTCCGGTACACAACTTCCTGCTGCGACACGTCTACCACAGCTCCATCAGCACATTTCATCTCTCGCGGCTGTCGGCCAACCTGGCCACCTTCTTCCTATCTGCGTGTGTGCATGAGCTGATCATGCTGTGTATCTTCCGGCGGCTGCGGGGCTATTTGTTGGTTCTCCAAATGTCCCAACTGCCGCTGGTGGCTCTGAGCCGGACCCGTCTGATGCGCGGGCGGCGACTAGTGGGCAATGTGGTTTTCTGGCTAGGAATATTCACTGGACCGAGCCTGCTGTGCAGTCTGTACCTGATCATTTGACTTGGTGTTGTTGCCTAGCGGGTTGCTGCAAATGACCTCGGCAAATAGGGGGTTTTACGCTAATATTAATACCGCGAGTATATACATAAAAAAGAGAGTGATATTCGGACTTTGTAGATTGATAACACAGGTCGTCGGACGTGCCTGCCTCAATAGGCATAGCTGTCATCCCCCCACTCGACTGATATCATCTGCCCCAACGTGAGGTGTCGAGTGTTTTTTCTTTTCTTCTCCTCTTTCTCTCATTTCTCTGAACTTCAATTTCTACCACGTCTCGCTTCCCACCATGGCATCCAACGCACCAAGCGCTTGCTGCACCGTCGGAGTGAAACACGAGGGCGAGGCCAAGGGCCAGTTCCAGCAGATCGGCGATGGTATCCGGAATCACCTCGAACCACGGATCAGCGGTGATTGCTAACGCTTCTTCGCAGTGGAGGCCTATGTTTCCCATCCCGCGGACCGCTCCACTAAGCGTGCCATTCTCTTCCTGACCGATGTGATCGGTCACCGCTTCATCAACCCCCAACTGATTGCGGACCAACTGGCGGCCAATGGCTACTTCGTCGTCATGCCAGATCTTTTCCACGGCGATCCGGTGCCGCTGAACCGCCCAGCCGGGTTCGATCTGATGGCCTGGAAGAAAGGACCCCCGGGACACCTGCCTAACCGCGTTGAACCCGTGGTGCAGGCCGTGCTGAAAGAAATGAGAACCAACATGGGCTGCGAACGAGTGGGCGCCGCTGGATATTGCTTTGGGGTAGGCTTGATCCTCCGCCAGACTTCCCCCAGGCTATAGTATGCTCACACGCCATAATGCCCCCTTGACAGGCTAAATACGCTATCCGACTACTTCAGCCCGGTTTCTTCGATGCCGCCTACGTGGCTCATCCTAGTTTTGTCGAGGCCGAGGAACTAGAGGCAATCAAGGGTCCGCTGTCCATTGCGGCAGCCGGTGAGTCGCACAATCCGGAAATGAATATACACCTCTCACTAGCAACTAACACATACGGACTCATAGAGATCGATTCGATTTTTCCCGCTCCAAAACGCCACGAGTCTGAAGAAATCCTTGCCAAAATAGGTCAACCGTATCAGATCAATCTCTTCAGCGGCGTAGAGCATGGCTTCGCGGTCCGTGCAGACATTTCCAAGCCCACAAACCGATTCGCCAAAGAATCTGCATTCCTCCAGGCAGTGGCATGGTTCAATCAGTACCTCTAAGTAGGGTCGAGTGAATGTCCACCGGGTCAAAAACCTTCATGACCGCCCCCCATTCCACCAAACTCAATGGGTTTAAATTGCCGAGGTAGTATAGAATAGGAAAGTTGAATTACTCTTAAATGTCAAATACTCTTTCGCCAATCATCTCGAAAAATTTAGAGAAGAAAATGTAGTTACATGAAAATTGAGACTATATGCCTGGTTGCGATTCTCGATTCTACCAACCCCGACCATCTTTCGAAGCTTGGTAGCTTTGTAGATCTTAATGTAGTCATTTTGTTTATTCAATAACACTAATGTGTGCTAATTGTTACAGCCACGGTAAAACAAGGCTTGACCATTTGTTTTCTTTTTTCAGGGTACGAGGCACACTCGTTCGCTTGGATGGAATAAAGCAAAAGATGTACATGCATGGGGAAAAAACATACAGAAACAACAAACAGAAAGAGTCAAATAGCAAAGACACAATGGAGGTCAATGTCTGCCAAGCTTCGGGAGACCCCGAGTGGAAGACCGCAGCAAGGCGAAAGCCTTTACATTTTCTCGTAAGTAGCCATGAGAGAGCCTGGGCGAATTGTGAGAAACTGTCATGCATTCAAGATTCCAAGAACAAAACTTACCGATGAACGTGGTGATCAGACGAGAGCGCACTTGAGAGATATCCTCTGGCACCAGCCAGATGGTGGCTCCCATCTTTCTGGCAATACTGATACTCAGTTTGGCATTGGCATAGGACTCTTCATCGGTCCGGCCGGCGGTCACCAGGTCGTAGTCCACATAGCTGCTCTTCATCCCATTGAGTACATCCAGGAGGAAGAGGCCGGACCCGATCGACTGGTCTTTGAAACTGCGTATCGTGGAAGACTTGTCGCCGCTGCGAGACATGTCATTCGCCCATCGAATCATCTCTGCATCCGTCATTTCGCGTTTACCCAGGCGCTGTGCAAGCGCCGAGAGTGTGTTGGTGATATCCCTGCGCATCAATTGCCACACCAAGCCAAGGGTCAAAGTCCGCTGGCCATCGGTGATATCGGCACCCTGCACCCCAACAAGAGAGAAGCCATTGTGCTTTCCGAGCTCGATGGAATAGTTCGTATTCTCGACCGCCTTGAACCGCATCATCTCTCCACCAGATGCAGGAGGCTTATTGACATGCCTCCAGTTGACAGTTCCAGGGATGACCTTGTCATAAGCTTGAAGCAGGACAGACCCATCCCGCAGATCATCAAACAGCGAGTTGACCGCTGGCTGTACGTCGAGTGAGTTCAGCCAGAGGGTAAAAACTCGAGCCTCACGTTCGCCTTCGGCATCAAAGTCTTCAACTTCGAGCTTCTCCTCTTCGGTGATGGGGTCAAGTCCGGGATGCGTGTTGAACAAGTTGGCCACGAAAGCAAGGTTGAGCTTAGGGTTTCCAGCGACCAAAGAAGTTGGGGTCAGGAACTTGCGACAATCCAGTTTTTCTGCATTGGTGAGAACCTGCTCGGCGCGCTGAAGCAAGTCTTGAGTCTGGAGAGGGCCACGTGAGCAGACATCGGAAGCCAGTTGATTGAGGAGAACAGTATAGTTTTCACCATCCTTCACATCGGTGGAGAAATTCGTCACCCTAAAATTAGAGTCATCAGCAACATTTGGCTCCGTACTGACAAACTATCAAGAAGAGCAGGGAAAGCACAGTACCTTCGGTCCCATTTAGCGTTCTTGAGATGGTAGTTGAACCAACGAAGGAGAATTTGTTCCGGAGGCAAGCGCAAGAATTGCTCCAGGGTCTCATCCTCCTCCAGAAGGCGGTAAAGTTCAGGGTGAAGCTTGATATCGATCTTTCCAAGAAGACCCCGACGAATGATCTGCCAGATGAGGCCCAGAATCAGATGCTCGCGAACTTCGATGATATCCCCGCTTCCAATGTTCACGACCGAGCAGCCAATGCCCTTGGCAGAGTTGATGACGATGTTGTTATTCTCAGTCATGTGGAAAGCGTTCAGCTCCTTGATCTTCCTCCCGGCCTTGTTCAGGACCCGCTCATCAATAGTGTCGGGAACACTGTCATTGATTAACTTTGCCAGAACCAAGCCATCCTTGCACTTGTCAAACATCTCGAAAGTATCGGTGGGGAAGGGCAGGAGATGGCCAACGTCAGGATCGCCAGCTAGGATAGCATTGATGTGTCTCGTAAATTCGGTTCGTTCATCTTCGTTGATTGTATGCGTGACGTTTGAAGACGAGCCTTGGACATGGATTTTGCCTCCAAGACTGCCTTTCGAGACATGTCGGGATTGGCCGGCGCCAGCGCCAGCACCAGCACTTTGAATCACAGCCGCGGGACTGGGTGCACCACGAGCACCGGGTGCTGGTGCCGAACGAAGCTTTGAGACCAGCTGCCACGATTTTAGTTTCTCCTTTACATCCAACCCAGAGAATGCTGGGCACCTACATCAATGTAATCTTCAAGCTCCACGCGTCGGGAGCTATCGAGCTCGACATCCTTCAACGCTTGGCGGACCACGTCATACGGCTGGCGCTCCGATTGTTGGGTGGCCTTGATCACAGCAGCCTCGTCCAGGTAGCCACGGTCATCAACATCTAGCCGATTGAATGCATCCTGGAGAGAGAAGATATCGCCCTGGTCAAGCTGCGGGAACCGCCTGCGGAAGAGTTCGCGCGGTCAGCACCAGTTTTAGCACACAGAACATTGAAAACCAACGCACTTTTGAAGCCTGAGGGCATTCATCGTAAACACCGAAGGAAAATCGCGTCTGAAGTCCTGAGGAAGAGAAGAATTCGGGAGGCAATAGGCGGTTCAGGCAAGCCCAAGAATCGACAGAGAGGAGAAGCTATCAGGGGGCTCCCTAGAAGAGGACAATGTTGTAGAAAAGAAAAAGAAGTAAACAGACAACCTAACGTAAACCAAAAGAGGGAGAATTGGGCACCAGAGGTGTTCTGTTGTGGGCAGGGCGCTGGGAAGAGAGAGAGCGAGAGCGCCAGGTATACACAGAGGGGGAGTGGGGGGGTGGGATGAGCCACCGTGTATCAAGGCGTCACAATACGTGGCCCTTTACGTCTGCGGGCTACCACAAAGATACTTTTTCAGGTTATGAAACTAAAGCTGTCACAGAGGTACCTACCAGGTATCTGTAAGATATTTTTAGGGGACACTCGGTCCTCGAACAACATAATTACCGAGTCATTACTGCTGCCTCTGGCGATGACGTCGAGAGGTCTTGGGATCTCTACAGTATTTCGGTGCCTACGGAAACATTCCCGAATTCACCATGGCTGGATATCGGTGCGTCGAATCGCTTTTCCATCGTCGTGATTGCGCACCCCTTCCACCACTTCGCGTACAAAATTCGCACCACACTCTGGATTAATCGCGCCCATCCGCTTGTTCATCTCTTAACCCCGCCCAGGCCCGTGGCCAGAAAACCCGGTGACACACTCCACGTTTTCACACCGTCTTCAACACCCGAGCCCACTCCCTTATCATCATGTTCACACCTGTCTTGCTGGCTCGATACGCCGGAACAGAGGGGCTCTGCTTAGGCCAGCCCTTCGGCGGCGAGTGATTCATCTTCAGGGCAAGGTTGTCCCTCTCGGTCAGGGTGGAGGTGCCACTTGTGATAAAGAGGAGTCGGGGATCCGAAGATTTCAAGAGGAGGTGCGCAAATTTATGGGTCAGGATGTGGGTGCCGGTCGTGTTGACATTCCACGACTTGTTCCACATCTCGCGCATCGTCATCGTGCCCCGGAACAGTTGTTGATCGAACTGGCCTCCTGTTGAAAACATCAGCTGCTGGGACTCTGGTGTGATTTATTTCAGGGTGGTGTGGATACCTGCGTTGTTGATCAACACATCCACTCGACCATACTGGCTGGCCACATGCTCGAATGCGCTGTGAATGGATTCATCATCCTCAATGTCCACCTGCACGGTCGCGGCGACACTCGCGTTCTCGGGAAACTCCGCACGAACTGTTCTGGCAGCCGCGTCAACCTTCTCCAAGGGGCGACCCCCAAGGTATGTCGTGTACGGCCGAGAAGATCGAAACAGGGCTTTGACTGTTTCTAGTCCGAGCCCTGTGTTGGCGCCGGTGATGAAGACAATGGAATTTTTAGTCATGGTTCACAAAATGTAAGATGGGATGAATAGCAGAATTGAGCCATCTGAGCGCCTTTATATACCTGTGGTGTTCGACGATAAAAAGAAAAGAACTCCAGATAATCTCCATAGAAGCAAACCCGGGAATTTCCCCATACGGAAAGTTGACCGGGCGAAGCGGTGGGTCCACGATGTGACGATGATCGTCTGCTCATACAAGAGAGATGGAATCGAGGCAAAGGGGCCAGTCATCTTGGATGATTCAAGGACGTGGTGGAGAAGTTGGAAGAAAAGGTGGAGCCAGAAAGTTGGATTCTCCAGCTGATCACATCTACAGTAGAGCAGTTCAATATCATCGCCCCCAGCCATTCGTACCCGAGGCATTCACCCTATATGCCCAGTGTAAAACCATGCGAAGCCTGGACCCTTCTCGGGAAGCGGGAACCATCTTTGGGGTCATCGTTCGGATGGCATACGAGATGGGCTATCACCGAGACCCCGACTCGTGGGGAGGTTCACTGTGTTTGAGGATGAGATGCGTCGACGATTTTGGGCTATGCGCAAGCAAGTCGACTTGATGGTCTCGTTTCAACTGGGACTACCAAGCAACATCTGTTTGAAGCACTGCGATACCAAATCCCCCAGCAACTTGACCGACTCGGATTTTGATGTCGACACCCAAGTACTCACCGCGCCTCGTTCGGAAACTGAGGCGACGGGGGTCCTCTGGTTTATTGCCAAGGACCGGCAGATGAGTAGTTTCAGCAGGGTCTGTAGAGATGCCCTGTCCTTCCGTGGGAAACCAGAGGCTGAAATTCTGCAGCTGGACCACGAGATTCGACAAATGCACACTGCTATTCCCGCGGTGCTGCAAGCCCGGCCTCTGTCCGATTCGATTGCCGGTGCGCCTTTTCTAATACTGACAAGATCTATCTCAAAAGCCGCTGTGTGCTGCACCGTAAATATATGACGCGAGGTAGCGTCTTCAGCGCTGCGTCTTGCGTCAAAGCCGGGAAAAGACTGGTCAGCCAAGCCAGTTCACCGATGTATACAACGAGTTCGGGGCCAGTGGCCGGCTTCATCGGGAGGGCTGGATGTTGACCAACTTCACGATGAACGACTTCCTTCTGGGAGTGATGGTCCTCTGTCTAGCGGTCCACACCCGTAAAAGGGAGCATGCCGCTGTCGATCTCGATACGGAAAATGAGACCCTGCCGCTGTTGAAACAAGCGCAGGCGATTTGCGTGGAGAAGTCTCATGCCTGCCGAGACGTGCAGCATGTCTCGCGCGCAATCCTGATCATTTTGAATGAGCCAAGGGCGTCACCCGGGGATCACCCTCGGTTTCTCTCCCCACTGCAGATGCCACTCGCATTTGAGAGCAATGCAATATCATCTGGACTATTTGACCCGTTCATCCTGGGAGAACTCGAGGATCCAAATTATCCAAACTGGGCACAGTTTGAGTCGTTGTTGAGTCAATCCAATGGCTAACGACAAGTTTTGGGCGGTTGAGGAATGACATCATTCGCGAGTAGGTCTGATCCTTGAAGCTGTCTCTCTCTCTGTCTCTCTCTCTCTCTCTCTATTGTTTAGCGCTACAAGAAAAAAGCACCCGTGGAAATGGGTACCCCAGGGCGGTAGGTATTAATAATTCAGGTGGCAGACTTCACGTCAACAAAAATCCCTCCGTCATCATCCCCACTCCTGCACATCCTCCCCAAAGGCTTCCAGCCCATTTATCCACGTTGGTTCGCTTTGCTCTCTTGGCACGGGCGCGCCTGACGTCCATGGCAGGTGCTGACCAGAAATCTTTTCTGGGGTCGTTCTCCCCTTGGACGCCTTCTCGGGGTCCAACACCTCAATCCGACCGTCAGCGTGGGTCTGATGTCCTTCAACGGTCACAGGGGGAGGACCACACGGTGACCCATCGGCATCGATTGAGCTTGCGCCAGTACCCTCCAGACTGCCCTCCATTGAAAGTACGGTGGTTTTATGCCGTGGATTCCCCCAAACGAAAGCCGGCGTTGCTGGATCAGACAACCGCCGACCAGAAACCCCTACCTCCGCCGAAGAAATTCATTCCGTTCTCCCTCAAAGACTCGCAATCCATTGAAGCTGCTTTTCGGAAATTGTCGGACATCGAAGATGCCCACGAGCACAGCCGGGCCCAGGAGCCGAAGGAGGTAGCACCGCGAGCTTCGACTAAGGTACCGGTGAATGAAGACTATCTCTTTGACGTGGATGTGGAACAACGGGAACTGGGCCCTGCCTACTGGATTGGACCCATCTATGAAGTTCGTCGTGGAACGTGGTTTATCCAGGAAGGGTCTGCATTGAAGCCGTGCGAAGAAAATCTGGCCACCCAGCTCGAAGAGGGCTACCTGAAATTACGGCCCTGGTATACCGATATGATGAAGCCAGGGACTTCGGACTCGGTCTTGGACGCCAAAGAGCGCAATCGATCGCACAGTATGACAGAGTCGCAATTCAGAGGTCATGCGCAACCTTCAGAGCCAGCCGGAACTACCTTCTCATCTCAGGGCGTCCCTCGGACCGAGTCAAGTGGCCCCGCCGCAGAACCTCAACAGTATCGCCTATTCGGTGCCTACATGAATAGAATTGCTGCCTATCAAGATTCCTCAACAGCATGGCTCTTAAGTGATGATTTTATGTCGCGCGTCAGTACCACCGTTTATCAAAAGTTGGGCGGTATCCCAGGCACCAAAGTAGTCCGTGGCTTTAGAGAGCCTAGGCGACCGAGAGAGACATTTGATTCCAAAGGTCCGGATCGAAAGCCTGCCGAGACCACCCCGGCCACCAAGCTTGAGGCCCCTTCGGAAGCTGTTGCGCACAAGGCTAGCGAGCCTGTCTCCTCGGACCTGTCGACTCCTCCGAAGCCCGAAGATGACAGCATAGGGCGAAGGCCAAAGTCCACGCTAGAGCGGCAGATGTCCTCTCTTGCGGGGGAGCCGCAGAACCCAGCGGAAATCGAAGAGGAAGCCCGGATGCAAGAAGAACAAGAGATGGAAGAGTTGAGGGAAGCGGACAGCGAGGACAGAGAGCGCGAGGTTGATCATTTAATCCTGGTCACGCATGGGATCGGCCAGCGGCTTGGGCTACGCTTGGAGAGCATCAATTTCATCCATGATGTCAATGTGCTTCGTAAGACGCTTAAAAGTGTCTACAAAGCCTCACCGGACCTTCAAGCTTTGAATTCGACTTTTGCTGGCAGCGACAAAAATTGTCGAGTGCAGGTGCTTCCCGTGTGAGTGTCTCCGGTGTAGATGTCCTTGCGATATCGCTTTGCGTTTTATTATGCTTTCGAGTCCTCCTTGCTGATATACACCCAGGTGCTGGCGACATCTTCTTGATTTCCCATATCGGGGAGTCCGACAGAATCGCAAGGAACTTGACCTGGCTGATGCGGATACTCTGGAGGATGACGCTTATCCAAGTCTATCAGACATTACGCTTGAAAGTGTTCCGGCTGTTCGTAACCTCATCTCAGATTTGGCGATGGATGTGCTGCTCTACCAGAGTGGGTATTGCGAGCATATTTCCAATATCGTCAAGCATGAATGCAACCGAATCATTCAGCTTTATCGACAGCGGAACCCATCGTTCCAGGGCACAGTCAGTCTCTGTGGTCATTCCCTCGGAAGTGCGATTCTTTTCGATATATTATGCCACCAGCCCAGTGAAACTGCTGCCAGGCGAGACAAAGCAACGGAATCGGATGATATGTCAAGCCACCAAGGTGGACAGAATGCCTTGCAATTTGATTGCGAGGAGTTCTTCTGTCTGGGATCCCCAATTGCGCTTTTTCAAATGCTGAAGGGGAAGACCATTGCTGGCTATTCTCCTCTAAGCACGAGAACCCGCAGAAGTACTTTGGATGTTGACATCGACACCGGGGCCTTGGGGTCTCTGAACTCGAATCGGGACTCGCGCGCGAGTGCCGGACAAAGCTTGGGTGACCGTCCTGCCATAATATCTACTCCAAAATGTCGAGACATTTACAACATCTTTCATCCCTCAGATCCGGTGAGCTACCGTCTTGAACCACTCATTTCGCCCGCCATGGCGGCTCTCCGGCCACAACCTCTACCCTCAGTCAAAAAGAGCCTATGGACAACCTCGGGGCAAAGTCTTTCTATCCTGGGCAGTCGCATGGGTCAGAGTGTGGGGTCTTTGTGGACTAATTTCACATCTGGCGTTGCAAGCAGTTTGCTGAACCGCAGTCTGGGCTTGAACGCGGATGAAGCCTCATCGGCCGGCAAACTGGACCCGTCCCGTCACAAACGGACTCAATCTGGGTCACTCTCGGATCCCCCAGAAGAAGGCGACGATCAATTTCCAACCCTGATTGAATCCGATTTGGAGACTCTCTATGATGGGTTCCAGAAAAGTAGAAGCCATAAAAAAACCCATTCGCACTCGTCTGCGGATGCCGACGTCGACTTAGAGTCGGAAGACCAAGAACGAAAGTTGCGGCTTGAAGACGCCAAAGTGCGGGCCCTGAACTCCAATGGCCGCGTCGATTATAGCATTCAAGAGTAAGATCGAAGATATGTGTTTTACCAGGGGCGGGGAGACAAGGCTGACTGAACCACAGGGGGGCCTTCGACATCTCGTTGATTGCCAGCATTGCCAGCCACCTCACCTACTGGGGAGATGAGGACGTCAATCATTTCATGCTGTCCCAGATGCTGTCTCGAAAATCGCGACATCGAGGTACCAAGGGAGATGGGAAATGTTGATGTTCTTCCAAACTGGGACTAGCGGCGTTAGGTAACACTTTTCTTTTCTGCCGAATTTTCTCTTCTTTTCACGGCATCTTTTTCTCTCTCTCTCTCTCTCTCTCCCCCGCCAACTTCTTCAATCTTGTCACCATGACCGGTGAACTCCAGCAGGTGCACAAAGTTTGGGAGCGTACCCGCTCCAATAGCCCAATCTATGGATTTCTTCTTGATGAGGTTGATGTCTATGATGCTGAGAAAGGCCTTGTCCGGGCCCGACTTCAAGTTGGTCCTCGCCATCTCAACTCAAAGGGCACTTTGCACGGCGCCTTTTCTGCTTGTGTGACTGACTGGGCCGGAGGCCTGTCTATTGCTTCCTGTGGACTGGACTCCACGGGAGTCAGTACAGATATCCATGTCAATTACCTTTCGACTGCCTCCACCGGCGACTGGCTCGAGATTGAGGGCCGCGCGAACAAAGTAGGAAACTCCCTCGCCTTTACGACGGTGTCTATCTCCAAAAAGAGCAAGTCGGGGCTGGCCATCGTGGCCCAGGGATCACACACCAAGTACGTCCGGTCGCGATGAAGCAAGCGTAAGACGGCGTCTCTTTTTTCTTTTTTGTTTCTTCTTTGTCCTTGGGAAGTAGAGTAGATCTCCCCATGTCTCCATTTGCCCGCCATCTTCTTTGCATCTGGCATGAAGCGCATGTACTTTGAATGCCTGGATTCACTCGGATAGCGGAGAGAAACCCTCCATTCTACTTGCTTTAGATGTCTTGTCGGTTCCATGTACCCTCCAGGCAATTCTGAATGGATACATTTTACTCGCAATCTTATTTCCATGAATTGAAATTGTGAATTGTCGAAGTGTGGGGAGCGTGGTCGCGTGTCGATCGTAACATGCTAAGCATGCGGGCGTTGCCCCCTTATCGCACTGCCCCCCAGTTCCCCAACTGTCGCCCAATGTCCTGCGCTCTGATCATCCCGACGCCCACCTACACATTTAACATTCCCTATTCTCCTCGACTAGGCGCATTGACCGAAGCCTGGGGAATGGGCTTGTGACAATCTGATCCATCCTGGTTCAACCTTCGAATCAGTGGACTTGCCTGACGTGTCGCAATGGATCGCTCTGACGTCTCTCAAGTTGCTCCGTCTCAAGAGCCGGTAGCATCGAATTCGCGCGCGCCACCAAAGGACCTCCCTTCGATCGAAAATGACGTGTCGCATGCGGGAGTGCCGAAAGAACTAATTGATTCCACTTTGGACTTTCTCTCCACCGCCAGCAACGAGGCTCTTCTCGGTGTCTTTGCCCTCCTTGCAACCACCACCTACATTATCCTGGGTCGAATCGGACTGGTCCTAATTGGTGTGGCCCTGGGAATCATTTTACACGCGTCCTGGGAGGGGTCAAGCCGCGGAGAAGCAGGCGACAAGTCCCGGTCGAGTAATCCCAACAGGCGAAGAGAACTTGCGCTCGAAGTATCCAGCAGGCTACTGGACTGGTCGAAACGGACCCCTTCTACAGGGGTCGAAGCTGAAATCGACAGCGGCCCCCTCAGTGCGCCTGAGAATTTGACTGTGGCAGATCTTGACTATGCGACTTTTCAGCCAGCAACGGCCGCCGCCTTGCGGACACTCACAGATGCGGTGGTTCGAGATTACGTGAAGTAAGATAGATTCTCTCTGTCAGGATCGTTCCTGCTAATTGATTGTGAAGATACTGGTACGAACCGATTCTCCCCTGTGAGCCATCATTCCCCGGCTCCTGTCGCCGGATCTTGACCCATTTCGTTACGTCTGTGTCCTCGCATCTTTCGCGGCAACGAACGGAAGATACATTTCTCCAATTCCTCACCAATTCATCGTCTATTATAATTGTGTTCTTAAATGAACTATCTGCGGCATTTGCTACCACGGGCACCGAGCCTGTGGAGGCACAAAAAATCGTCGATCAGTTCCTCAGACAATCGCCAGATAGCAGTTTAGCCAACGTCTTATCCGAGGCACAGCAGCGCAAGAAGCTCAACATGATCGCGGACGATATCCTATCCAGCTTTCTCGATTCGAAGGCGTACGGGTGTTCTGCCGTCAGGGACTTTCTTCGCGAGATCTTTGCCGGGGTTGTATTGGAGTCAACAATCATCAGCCTTTCCCGGCCAGAATTTATCAATGGCTGGATTATCTATCTTTTACAAGAGGGCGAATCCGAAATCATGCATGCGATCGATGCTGGCGTTGAAGGTGCCCGGAATCAGGGCGTCAGTGCTCCGAAGACTGCGGATAGCCTGAGCAATCCAATTCAGGAGCCAACACCCAAAGCGGACGCTGCCTCTAAACCCAACGAAAATCAACCGGGTCATGTGGATAAGGCAACAGAAGAAGCGATTCAAGAAGCAAAACGCTTGAGTGCCATGATTGTGTCTCACGATGTGCAGCATCTAGATCCTGAGCAGCCATTTCCTAGTGACCAGCCCAATGAAACGGGCTCTTTAAATGTCAATCACTCTACCGAATCGCCCTCAACCCTGATCAACCAAAACGAGGATCCTGTCGGCCAAGACCGACGAGATGAGGCGGTGCCTGTGGAAAAGTCGCCTTCGCTTCCCATATCCCCGAACGACGAGTCGATGCCGACGCCCACGCCTCAGCAAGACACTGCTGTGCCGCCTGTGACCCTTCACGGGGCGCAGGTGCTAGTGGACGATGTAGCAGGGGGCGAGAAAGGAATCATCAAGTCGCGACCTACGTGGGATTATTTGCTGCAAGTTGAGCCGGTAGTCACGCACTCTACGGGGTGGATGGTGTTTCGAAAGTACTCCGATTTCCAATCTCTTCACGAAATGCTGGAGACTGTTTCACGATTGAACCGGATCCAGAGTTTTGCCGACAAGTATCCCATTCTGCCTCCCTGGAAAGGACAGACACGTCAGGACCTCGCTCGAGAGTTGGAACGATACTTAAGGGAAGCCATGAAACACGAGTCCCTGGCCGAGACTGATCGAATGCGACGTTTCTTGGAGAAAGATGGGGGCTCCGGTGAAGCGAGCTCTACGAAGCCGGGTTTTTCTTTTCCCAGTCAGAGTGCATTCGAGAACATGGGCAAAGGTGTGTTGGGCGCGCTCAGCAATGCGCCCAAGGGCATGGCGGGTGGTGGCAGGGCCGTCTTTGATGGGGTGACTGGGGTGTTCGGAGGTGCTGGAGCTAGCAAAAAGCAGGCTCCTGCTGCTGGTCGGCAATCTCGAGCCCCGTCGACAGCAGAAAATGTGATTCACCCTGCCCCCAACAGTGCAGATGAGCCGACTCGCACCGGCTCCTCAAAAGGTGCCCCCACTCCAGTGAACGCCCAATCTCACAAGGACCAAGTGGAGTGGGGAATTTGCCTGCGCAGGTGTCTCCTTTCCGTGAATCAACCCTGGGGGATCTGAAGAGCGAAACACCCAAGTCACCCTCGGCTGGTGATTCGGACAATAGATCGGACTTGATAGCCGGCGAGCAGGATGCATGGGCTTCTAGATCTACACTCGCCCCTTCCGATGACCGACATTCGCTTGAATCTAGTGGGCGCAATACGGGGTTGGACAACCCCGAATATTGTGACTCATCCTCGCCAAGTCGCCCCTCGGATGTCGACAAAAGCAGCGAGAGCATGCATGGATCCCGCCGGCAAGGGAGCCCTATCACGACCGACGAGACTCAAATCGCAGTGGAGCTGATATTTGCTGTGATCAACGAACTATATACCTTGTCATCTGCATGGAATATCCGCCGAACGCTACTAAATGCGGCCAAGTCGTATATCCTTCGCCCCGGGAGCCCAACCCTGGAGACTATCCGCACCTTGCTGCAGGATTCAATGATCGAGGGCCACACCTCCGACAACGCCCTTGGCGAGTACCTCACTAAGCTTCGCGAGAATGCTCTTCCAACTGAAACAGAGTTGAAAGCCTGGCCTCCTCCACCCAGTGAACAGGAGAAAGCGCATCTACGGGATACCGCGCGCAGGCTGTTTGTCCAGCGGGGGATCCCACAGGCGTTAACGAGTGTCATGGGGGCAGCTGCCAGTCGAGAAGCGTTGGAGAAGATTTTCGACAGTCTCCAAGTGAATACAGTTGCCCGAGGATTTGTATTTTCGGTTCTATTGCAGGGCCTGCGCGTGCTGACGCTGTGATGCCTTATTTTCCAAGAATTTAATAATATAAGAAGATGTGAAGTGGGTCGCGAAAAACTGGGGAGGATTCGACTTCGTTACCCGTACGTGACCTTATGACCTCTATAGCCGGTATAGTCGTAAATCTTTGTTTGAAAATAGAGAAAGAGAAAGAAAGAAAGAAAACAGAGAAAGTAGAGACTTATCAAAAAAATAGATTAAATCATGACTGAAAAAAGGATTGAAAATAGAGATAGAAACTAAATATAGTAGTAGTAGTAAAATAGCTATCTATATATTTAATAAAGAATTAAACCTCATAAATAGAATGGATTTACTTGATAAGCTTTTTAAATCTAATTTTTGTTCCCTACTATATCTTTCAAAGCCGTCTGAGCGAAGCGAAGGTCAGACAGAGGGTACATAATGGAGATGCATATATGTTTATCAACACGTGACCCGGCGCGTTCTGGCGCGACATAAACTGACTTGCTCTCATCAACCTCTACCCATTCAAGATTCTCTTATTCCCATACTCCCCCTTCCAAACGCCATGACTTCCAGAAAGCGCTCGTCGGGTAATGACCTCGACAGTAGTGCTCAGCCGAAGAAGGCCAAAGTCAGCGCATCTGAAAGCGTGACCGGCAAAATTGATGCCAACGGAGATCGATTCTGGGAGATTTCTAGAATGCGGCGTGTGACCATCTCTTCTTTTCGTGGAAAAACCTTGGTGGGCGTCCGAGAGTACTACGAGAAAGATGGGCAGGAACTACCGGGAAAGAAGGTGAGCCTTCCGAATCCTTTGTGACTCTAGCGACTGAGTGAACTGCGCTTACCTTGGACTTCTTACAGGGTATCTCAATGCCACTGGACCAGTTTTCTTCCCTGATCACGATACTCCCGGATATTGAACAGGCTCTCAAACAGAACGGCGTGTCTTTGCCACGACCTGTCTACTCTGACAATGTGGATCCATCTGATGAAGGCGACGAAGCAGATCAGGAAGACTCTGGCGAGGGGAAAAGCTCCCCCAAACAGAATATCGAGGCGACAAGTGAGGAGGAAGAGAGCGAAGCCTAAATGCCCTGGCGATCCGCAAGGTTCTAATGTTATGACTGGATACAGCATTTAATCTCACCCGTAATACAACTTGAGGGTTATGCAACCGTTTCTCTAGTTGATATCGCCGTGCTTCCAGTTACATGCTCGTCTCTTGAGTTGCTAAGTGGTTAGCAATGGAACCACCACGCCACGTGTGACGAGCATCTTGCTCTTGGAGAAGCTGAGTGGTGTCTCCTGCCAAACCCCATCCTCCGCCTCCAGGGGTCCTGATGATGATCCGCTCTCCCGGTTGCATACGGACCGAATTTTTTGCCCCCAAATTGATGCGCTTTTCCTCCCAGCTGCCGTCAGACTTTCGCACGCGGCGAACCCAAATATTCTGGCCACACTGGGCGTCTTCGCCTCCCTCCAACCCATACGGGTGGTAAACTCTTCGTTCGGAGAGAATAGAGACCTGCACGGGGATCCGGAACTCGATTTCTCGCACGACCCCATCCCCGCCACGGTGCTGTCCACGGCCCCCGGAGTTTGCTCGCAAAGTAAACTCTCGGAGTACCACAGGATATCGCCGCTCGAAGACCTCTGCGTCCGTGATTCGGGTGTTGGTCATATGTGTGTGAACTCCCGAGGTGCCTTCCCAGCTCGGTCCAGCTCCGCTCCCGCCGGCGATGGTCTCATAGTAACCAAATCCTTTTGTTTCCGTCTCTCCCAGCAAATTCCCGCCAAATCCAAAAGTCAGGTTGTTGGTATCTCCCTGTGAAGCCGCGCAGGCCTGGAAACATTTCAGGATGACATCGGTCACACGTTGGCTCTATAGCGTAGTCAGCCTGAAGCCACATTGGATGAGCAGGGTGGTTCCCCTTACCGTGAGAACATTTCCGCCCACCACAGCCGCGGTTTCAGACGGGGACAGAAGGCAGTTTGAGGGGATCCGAACGTCAATGGGTTTCAAGCAGCCTTGGTTCAGCGGAATGTCCGCCGATATGAGACACCGCAGACAGTAGATTATTGCAGAATACGTAACTGCCTCCGGGGCGTTGACATTTCCTGGCAATTATTAGCCAGGTTCCTATGTTTCCCAGATGTGTCGTTCTGATAGCAAGTCTTACCATATACTTCTGGCCCCGTTCCATCAAAATCAAAGATCGCCTTGCCCTCTTCCTCGTCGATCGAGATCTTCAGCTGGATTGGGCTGCCATCGTCCATATAGTCCACAGCTCTCAAGTCTCGGCCGGCAAACTTCTTGCTGACCTCTTTCAGCAAGTTGCGCACGCTCACGTCAGCATTATCCTGGATTTGGCGCATATAAAATAAAACAACCTCTTCGCCATACTCCTCGATCAAACTGCTAATCAAGCTGATTCCTTTTTTATTTGCCGCGATCTGGGCCTTGAGGTCATTCAAATTGTCCGCGAGACATCGAGTTCCGCTGCAATTGGGGTACTGGGCTGGTTCATTGTACAACAATTCGGTGATGCGCGTTTCATTGAACTTGCCCTCTGACACCAGTTTCTCGCTCTTGATCGCTGCGCCCTCTTCATACAGCTCTTTGGAATGGGGTGGCATGGACCCGGGGAGAATCCCTCCGATATCGGCTGCGAGCGAGTCAACAATTGAGGACTTTTGTGTTTCTTCCTGGGGTGGGTTCTCTCACCATGGTGTGCCCTTGAAGCGACATAAAAGATGATTTTGCCCTGGCTGAAAGCAGGCTGGAGGACTGTGATGTCGGGAAGGTGGGTCCCACCGAAATCTGGATGGTTTGATACTATCACATCGCCAGGCTTCAGTTTGCCTTGCCAGATCTGAGCCTGCGTCCGTACACAGGTGGACATGCTGCCCAGATGAACCGGTAAGTGTGGTGCATTCGCCACAAGCCCGCCCTCGGCGTCAAATAATGCGCACGAATAGTCGAGGCGTTCCTTGACGTTCGTGCTTACACTGGTTTTCTGCAATGCACGGCCCATTTGCTCTGCAATTGCCATGAACCGGTGTGAGAAGACGCTTAACAAGATGGGATCCACTGTGTCAGTACTGATCTTAGGGGGGCTAGCGTCGGATTCGCCGATGTTGATGACAACGTGAGACTTTGTCAAGAGTGCCGAAGCTGCCGGTGTTACCACGATGGTTTGGGTGTCGTCGGCAAGAATTGCTGGTCCTCTCACCCGGTCGTCGATCTTCAGATCGTCCAGTTTGTAAATGGGAGTCTCATGCCGACCACCTTCGAAGTATACCCGAGACTTGCGATATTCCCGACCCATCACATCGTTGGGCTTTGCCTCTCGGAGCTGCTGGTCCACGGTCTTTTCGTATGTCTCGAAACTCTTGCCGATCCCCCGAACCCGTACATCATCCACGATGATGTCTCGATCAGGGAGGGTAAACCCGAATTCTTGCTCATGTTGCCGCACGAAAGCTTCTCCAAACGCCCATTCATCATCATAGGAAGAATTTTCTTCCCGGCTGGGTTTCAATATCATCAAGGAAGATTCGGTGCCCCGGTATCGCATGTTGAGATACTCTTCAAAGATGATCGAGTTGTCATCAAACCCCTGGTCCTGTAACCTTCGTGTAGACCTCTTTTTCAACTCGTCCATTTTCAATGCGAGTTCTTGCTGAACCCCTTTATCATCAGTCCATGTCTTTGATTCGGGCTCCTGGCATTCATCCACTACATCCGCCAACGCCATGCCGTACGCAGACAGCACCGAAGAATACCGATGGATCAGGATCTGTCGGATCCCCAGACTCTCAGCGATTGCCACGGCATGTTGTCCTCCGGCTCCTCCAAAAGTAGCAAGTCTGTGTTTCGAAGTATCATGCCCCTTTGCCTCTGTCAAAGATCGAATCGGTCGGGTCATAGTCTCGTTAGCGACCTGAATAAAGCCAAAAGCGACCTCGTCCGGGGTCATTTCTCTAGTGGAATCCCCCTTGTCCATGTCGTTGTTGATTTCTTGGGTCAGTCTCTCGAATAACCTTCGGCTGGCTTGCTCATCCAACCCTTCGTTTTCATTTGCGCCAAAAATCTTTGGAAAGAAATCGGGGACCAGTCTACCAAGAAAAAGATTGGCATCGGTCACAGTTAAGGGCCCATCCTTGCGATAAGACGCAGGCCCGGGGTATGCACCAGCGGATTCTGGACCAACAACGAACAGTCCATTGCGGTAGAAAAGCCTGGATCCACCTCCTGCAGCGACAGTATTTATGTCCAGCTGGGGAGATTGGATTGTCACTCCTGCTGTGGTCGTCTCGAAGACGTGTTCATACCGGCCAGACCCGTACCGGCTGACATCTGTGCTTGTCCCTCCCATATCGAACCCGATCACGGGGATCCTCGACGCGGGATCGTATGAGGTCAGCGCATAGCCAACTACACCACCAGCGGGGCCGGACAGAATGGCCCGCAACCCCGAAAATTTGTCCACATCCACTAGTCCACCATCTGATTGCATGAATTCGCAGCGTGCGCCTCGGGTGCCTTGCTCTCGCTTGACACTCTCACTCCCGAGGCCACCTTCAAACCCATCTTGGAACCCTGCAATGTACTTCTTTATGGTTGGCGTCAAATATGCATCGGCACATGCTGATGTAGCGCGCGGAATGAGCTTGATCATTGGCATGAGCTCATGGCTCAGGCTCACATGATGGAAGCCAATTTGCCCCGCAAGCTTTCCTATTAATGCTTCGTGGTCTGGAAACGTATACCCGTGCATGAGGCACACGGCGATACTCCGGATTCCTTTGTCGTAGACTTGTTGCAGCTGTGCTCTAACGGTGCCCTCGGACGGACACTTTAATATGCGAACTGCCTCGGAAGAAAGGCCACGGACCACGTCCGCACTCGAAATGGTCTGTTCCCGGGGTACCGTAGCTGTGGTGTTACGATGCGGGTCCTCGGCATAATCCTCCAAGGTGACTCGTTCATCCACCTCGATGACTTCTTCATATAGCACGTCGGGGCGTTTGATAGCCAGATCAAATATTCGGGGTCGAGACTGGTTTCCAATCTGAAGGCAGTCCTTGAATCCCTTGGTCACCACCAGAGCGATCTTTTCCCCTTTGCGTTCCAACAGGGCGTTGGTAGCAACAGTGGTACCCATCCGAATGCTCTGGATCAACGAGGTGTCGATCGGCTCCCCACGGGGGATATCACGGCGTGTGACCTTTGACAGGATGCGTCGGATGCCTTCGAGCGGAGCATCTTTGTAATTCGTTGGGTCTTCTGAGAGTAGCTTGATAACAATATCATCCTCGAGGCGTCCTGTCCCCGGATTTCCAACACAATCGGTAAAGGTTCCGCCTCGCTACATAAACTTGTGTCAGATACTGGAATGCATGGATCGGAAGGGGTATTTTACATCGATCGCAATGTTGATTCCCATTGTTTCCGTGGGTGTATCGATTGAAGAGAGGACTCTTGGAATGATGAGTGGCTTGCTTAGAGCAGATAAGAAATCCTCCCCGCATCGCTATCAACGGCCTACGTCATTTCCACCGCGAGAAATGGACCGATTTAATCCATCGGATTCATTCTCCTAAAAGTTGAATAAATCGTATACCTCTCCTCCTCTCGACTATTTGTAGTTTTATTAAAATAGCCGTTAGAGTCGATAGTTCTCTATTTTTCCCCTTAAAAATAAAAGGGCCTTTATACTCTTCTATAAAGTATCTTTAAAATATCGAACCGTATTATAAGAACCACAATAGAATATTAGATTTGATCCGTAGGTCAAATGATACAACGTTTTTAATACCAGTAAAGCAAGAAAAATGTTTTTGTAGGACGTTTAGAATAAATACCCTTTTTGTAAAGAAAATGTACAGCTAAGGGTTTTACTAAATGTATGAAAATCGAGGTCCTCTATGAGTTCTTTCTACGATGTTAATCGCGAGTAAGATAACAACAGGACGTAGTAGGCGTAGTAGGTATAGTTAATATAGCAGTTGATATAGTAGTCCATACTAGCTAGAGAAAGTAAACTATTATCAAGGTATAACGTCTATTTTCATGATATTATTGATGATGGATACAGTAGACAGAACAGAGGATTCCTAACCGCCTAGAGTGGAGGAGATATGCAATTTATTCTGGAGTGCCCCTGTAGTGCACAGAATTGATGGAAGATGTGATGCATGTCGCCAGGCCTAAGAGCTCCATCCAGCACCGGAAGTCGAGCACACAATATTCTACGAATTCCCCACAAAAGACAATGCAACTAGACGAGATATCTACGACGGTATTTCGAGAGGACCTTGAAGCTTCAAAGCTTTTCGACCGGTCGGGAAGGGCGGGGAGTGGAAATGGAAAACCGCGTTCAAATTAAGCAAGCGAAGAAGACGGATGGCGGTCGGTATTCATCGTGACAAACGCAAGGACGAGAGACGGGCGAGGACTTTTAGAACGATCGCTCGACGTTCGATTCGGTGGTATCCGAGCTGCTGACCAGGATAAATATCCAACACCCCCCCAAAAACAATAACAAATGGCAATAAAGGTGACACATTCACTGAAGCCCCGTGTAGAAAGGCGGAAGAAAGCGATGGACGAAAGCTTCACTGGAAAGCAAAAGCAAAGAACAAGGGAAGAGACGGCTTAGTAGGCAGCGAGGCCGGTATCCTGCTCTATCCCTTCGGGAAATGTAACCTTTTGACTGTCTTCCCCCTCGTGGCGCTTTCGCAATCAACATCTGAATGGGAGGTAACAAAGGGATTCCGAGGACATGAGCCGAGACGGCATGGCACTGAGTCGACCTACTCAGCAGTATCAAGCTCATCATGAGCAGAAGGCACGGGGTCCAGGGGTACTGTTCTCATGTGAGCCGCGAATTAATTCATGGAATACCACCCAACTCACCTTTCCTGTCTTCGCCGTTAGGGCCATTTTCACGCTCCTCATCACGGCGCTCTCGGTCATCATCCCGTCTCTCTCGGTCATCCTTGGCGTCACGGTCCCGGTCATCCGGGCTGCGGGAACGGTCACGAGAGCGTTCGCGGTCGCGGCGATCGTAGTCACGGTCCCGACGGTCATAATCGCGATCACGACGGTCATAGTCACGATCATGGCGATCATAGTCTCGCTCGTACCGATCATCTCGGCGAGGGGAATACTCGCCACGACTGCGGCGAGGCGACGGGGAACGGCCACGACGAGGAGGCGTACGATCACGACGGCGGTCACGGCCAGAGTCAAATCGCCAAGATGCGGAGGGGGGAGTGCGTGCCCACTGATGTTGGGTTAGAGGCATCGAGCCAAAATAAGGAATCCAGAACAAAATCAGCTTACTTCGATCTTCAGTAGATCATCACGGCCAATGCGCTTGTTGTGCATTTCATGGTAGGCGTCATCGGCGTCACGGCGGCTTTCGTATTCAACAAAAGCAAACCTGGGCCAGACTGTCAGACGAGCGCATGAAATAGAGGAATCAACATCTAAACCTACAGTCGACTCGAGGGAGTGCGAGGGGCCGGGATATCGCAACGGACAAGACGTCCATAGCTGGTTCCAATGTCAGTCTTATTGTGGCCACACTCCTGGATAAGAGATACTGCGATCACTGATGACCAAGACCCAGCATTTACAAGAGAGCGAGAGAAAGGGCAACATCAATGAAGCTTTCCCCCAACGCCAAAACGGACTTGGGAATTCAAGGACTGGAGACGGCCAACGGTCCTTATCGGGATGCCGGCGGGAAAAATGGAGATCGAAATTCGGGGGGGTCCAACAACGCGAAGGTGTGGGCGGCACGTACCGTTCGAACTCGTAGGCAAGATCGCGGGCGCGGGTTCCATGGCCGAACCCGGTGACATAGAGGGTGGTTCCAGAGCGAGACATGGTGCCGGAGCACGAAAAGAGAGTAGAAAGAACTGGAAGATGGCAGTAAATATTTTTAGTAGATGTGAAACTGAGTGGAAGAAGAGCAGCTTTAAAAGCTTCTGAAGACTCGAAGGAGTGGAAGGGAGGAACAAAAAGAATTGAGGTGGTAGAGGTGCTACGGTCGGCGAGAGCCACCACTACCGCCAATGATGAAAGACAGCACTGCACCACGGGCTGTTCTTCCCCGGTCAATGTCGAGAACTGTAGTCTTAAGATAGTAGAAATCCTTCTAGGGGGGCTCGATATCAACTATGGGTGTCTAAATCTCCATGGTGCGTGCTCGGGTGGCCTTTCCAGGGATCATGAGAACAAGTGGCGCCGGGACATCGGGAGGTACCGCGTCAGTCGGTAGTCGGAATGATGTTTTCCATCTCCTAAAATCTCCAGCGTCCCTAACCATCTTACTTTACCCGCCTTCGCCGAGGCTTGACGTTGACATACCTCCCCTTTCTCGGTCGTTAGGGGATTCTTCCGACGAAATCAACCGGGTCTGACTGCAATGATGCGCCGTTAGACGCACCCGAACGACAGACAACCTTCATGGCCACTACTCTAGGAATACAGACTCCGGATTTTCACTGTCACGCCGGATCGTCGATCTACTCTATTTGAGCCTCGTCTGTTTAATTTAACAGCAATTATACCCGAGTGGACAACAAGAAGCGCGTTGGAGAAGTGTGATCATTCCCCGGGACGTCAAGTCGTTGGAGTACGCCTTCAACACCCCCCGATGCGCATTTTGTCACGATGAGCCTAGATCGTCAAGATGCTACTCAGAAGAACGAGGTGGAAAGTACGGCAAAGCCTGCATTGCCAAACCTGTCTCAATTGCCCTCGTCTCCGAGTTCGGCCACGGTTGGTTTTGCCCCCCCCCAGCCAGGCCCAATCTTTGCAAGTCTCATGGATAACCGATTGCTGTCAATAGGATGCTGTGGATGAGCAATCACCATCTTTGAGGCAGCAAACCACCAACAAGCTTGCCGAACCGGTAGTAGCAGCTTTCATGGCTGGTGGAGTAGCGGGTGCGGTGTCCAGAACGATAGTGTCACCACTCGAACGATTGAAGATCCTACTTCAAATTCAAAGTGTTGGCCGAGAGGAATACCGGCTGTCGATTTGGAAAGCTCTCGTCAAGATGGGACGAGAGGAGGGCTGGCGGGGCTTCATGCGAGGGAATGGCACGAATTGTATCCGCATCATCCCCTACTCGGCAGTACAATTTGGAAGCTATAATTTCTACAAAAGAGTGAGTATTCTCCCTCCTGGCCATGGAGCTCCCCGAGAATCCTTTTGAGGCCTTCCATGATACTGACCACCCCAAAATAGTTTGCAGAGTCTGCAGATGGCGATATGACGCCCATGCGCCGTCTCGTTTGTGGAGGTGCAGCAGGCATCACCTCAGTCACCATTACCTACCCGCTTGACATCGTTCGGACAAGGCTTTCCATTCAGTCAGCCTCGTTTGCTGAGCTCGCCAAGGAGCCAAGCGAAAAATTGCCTGGGATGTTCACCACGATGGTGTTGATATACAAGAATGAAGGTGGTATGGTGGCTCTCTATCGCGGAATTGCGCCAACCGTCGCTGGAGTTGCCCCCTACGTGAGTGTTTCTTCGTTCTCGGTTGCGGCCCCGCTGACCACACCAGGTTGGCCTGAATTTCATGACCTACGAATCAGTGCGCAAGCACTTGACCCCCGAGGGCGACAAAAACCCAAGCCCTTATCGAAAACTACTGGCTGGAGCCATCTCTGGGGCCGTGGCACAGACCTGCACATATCCCTTGTAAGCCCTCTTCGAACTTGTGCCTCGAATGACGCTGACCAAGCATAGTGATGTCCTGCGACGACGGTTTCAGATCAACACAATGTCCGGGATGGGATATCAATACACGTCGATTTGGGATGCTGTGAGAGTGATTGTGGCCGAGGAAGGCTTGCGCGGACTTTTCAAAGGGATAGGACCCAACCTGCTCAAAGTCGCCCCCAGTATGGCCAGCAGCTGGTTGAGCTTTGAACTGACGCGCGATTTCTTCGTCAGTCTGGGTGATAAGGAATAGTTCAATATACCTCAAGGTGTCGGCGTCTCATGTCTTGAACCCTGCAGCGATTTCATCCATGCTCTCTTGGTGACAAGAAAGCACCCTCTTGCAGTGCAGATGCTTCGTTGATGTGAGCAGAAAAGTCAGATTGCGGACGAAGGTGGGTGATCATTTGCCGAGATCTGGGTGGAAGACCGCGCACACTACTGTCGGCCATCTTAGAAGCAGATAGAGTTAGAGATATAGTGGTCGGAATGTAAAGTGATGTATAGCCCGTTCAATTGGTTGTTTCTTTTTTTCTTCATTGCCTCGCAGCCTGTTTCTCTTGTCGACATACATTCAACAACCTGTTAAATTCCAATTGCCATGATATTAAGAATGAAAAACATAAGAATCGCATTCATGATCGCAGCAGAGTGGATTGGCTGTTCCCCGGGCCGAGTCGGGATGGATTGGCTGAGTAAGGATTTACCACGTGATCACATACCCAAATATGGACTAGCGTAGGGCTCAACCCACACACCACCGTCCAACCGAGAGTCGAAGATCAAAAACCTCAACCGCTGCACTCTACATCCGGGTGCGACAGCAAGCTAACTCCCCAGGTGTTCAACTAAATACCAGCAGCCATGGGTATGTCCTACGTCCATTTTCTCTGCACAATCTCTTCCACCCCATTCTCCGGTTCTTAAACCATCAAATTTCTTTTTTGTTTCTCTTCTCAGGCTGATAATGTGGAAATCTCAGGTATCGACTTGGACCGTCACCATGTGCGAAGCACCCACCGCAAGGCTCCCAAGAGCGAGAACGTCTACTTGCAGGTCTTGGTGAAGCTGTACCGCTTCCTGGCTCGTATGATTCCCTCTCCCCTCCTCGAACCCGATTTTCGCAATAAATACACTGGCATGCTGTGATGGTTCTGGGACGAGACTGATTCGAGGTGTTTCACAGGCCGCACCGAGTCCAACTTCAACAAGACTGTTCTGCGCCGTCTCTTCATGTCGCGAATCAATCGCCCCCCGGTTTCTCTTTCGCGCATCGCCTCGAACGTCAGCGAGCCGCACAAGGGCAAGACGGTTGTTGTGATCGGTACTGTGACGGATGACAACCGGCTCTTGACCATCCCGAAGCTGTCGGTTGCTGCTCTTCGGTTCACCGCCACCGCCCGGGCTCGCATTGAGAAGGCCGGTGGTGAGACCCTGACTCTGGACCAGCTTGCTCTGCGCGCCCCGACTGGTGCCAACACCCTGCTCCTGCGTGGTCCCAAGAACGCTCGCGAGGCTGTGAAGCACTTCGGCTTCGGCCCCCACTCCCACAAGGTGCGTGATGGGATTCATTTCTCGCCGAGCCGGTCTGTGCGACACGACAATCGAGATAGATATGCTAACATCCCTCACAGAAGCCGTACGTCGGCAGCAAGGGCCGGAAGTTCGAGCGGGCCCGTGGCCGGAGACGGTCTCGTGGCTTCAAGGTCTAAACGACCTTGTGATGGATGTGGTTCGGATCTCAGTCCGACAGTGTGGATGTGTCATGGTCGATACGAAACCGCACTAAAGGACCCGGTGCCTGGATTTTCTTCGAGTGTGACCAAAGACCAGTTCTTGTACCTAAAGTGGCAGAATGTCTGTGGTTGGACTGGGATATCAAATATGATGAATGAAGGGGCAAAAGAGAAAAATGCATCAGGCTTGGTCCTAATCCTTGTTTTACGATGGCGAAAATGTTTCACAAAAGATTTTGATTTTCTACAAGATCTTGCGCTATGCTGTGATCACTGGCCCGTGGGCAGACTCGTATGGAGGTATTTCCGTCCCCCTTCCCCCTCGTAGTAATCTCCTGCCCGGTGGCCCTGACCCCGAATCAAGTATTTATAGATGGTGAGTCCCTCCAATCCCACCGGTCCACGGGAGTGGATCTTGTTGGTGCTGATACCGACTTCCGTCCCAAACCCATACCTCATGCCGTCAGCAAATCTTGTCGACGCATTCCAGAAGACACCCGCACTATCAATCCCGCTTGTGAACAAATCCGCGGCCTCTTTGGACTCGGTCAAAATAATGTCGGTGTGTTTCGATGAATGCGCATTGATGTGCGCGATTGCAGCATCCACAGCCGAGATGGGCGGGTTCGTGGAAGGAACGGTCTTGACTGCTAACACAAGGTCCAAAAACTCGGTATCGTAGTCAGACTCAGTAGCCGCCTGTACTTGCGCGGCTTTTTCGGCAGGCAAGGTCTTTGTCAAAGTCGTTCTCGAGGCCGTATCACAACGGAGGGACACGCCCTTGCTAACCAGAGCTTCAACCACGGCAGGAAAAACCGATTCAAGGACGTCCTCGTGTACAAGCAAGGACTCCAATGAATTGCATGCCGCAGGGTAGTCCGTTTTTGAATCCACAATCACTTTGACGGCAGTCTCAATGTTGGCATCCGAGTGAATATAGGCAGAACACAGACCATCGGCATGTCCGAGTACTGGTATTTTCGTGTTCTCTTTCACGAATCGAACAAGTTCATTGGAACCCCGAGGGATGACAAGGTCGATGAGCGCATCCTGGGCTAGGAGGGAGGACACCACATCACGGGTCTTGACAAGTTGAATCGAGGCGACTGGCACCTGAGAAGTAGCGATGGCTTCAGAAACGACGTTTGCAATGGCGACGAAAGACTCCATGGACTCTTTCCCTCCTAGAGGAAGTATACATTAGCACACCGATTATCAACCGAGGTAGTAAAGTCGATTTAGTAAATTACCTTTCAGGATAGCGGCATTGCCTGATTTAATAGCCAGGGCAGCAATGTTTGCAATGACCTCAGGGCGAGCCTCAAAGATGATCAGCAAGACACCAATGGGGCAGCTGACTCTTTCAAGGGACAGGCCATCATCAAGGAGAGTCCGCAGCGTAACTCTTCCAACTTTGATTTTCCCACTTGATGTCAGTTGTCTCTTTCACCCCCAGTGAAAGCTGACTGAAAACTTACTAGGATCAGGCAGATCTCGTACACTCAAGATACCCTCTAGCATATCTTCATATTTTCCAGGCCGAGACAAATCAAGTCTCTTGAGCACACTGTGGCTAAGATTACCGCTTTCAGCAGCACGAGTAGCCGATTCAACATCTTTGGCATTGGCAGCCAGAATTGTAGCCCGGTTCTTGTCAAGGGCATGATGAAGTGCCGTAAGTGCTTCATTCCGAGCATCATTTGACAATATTGCGAGGCGGCGGGAGGCGAGGGATGCGCTGCGAGCGACATCAACTGCGGCTGAGTCTGTCAGCGACATGGTGGTCACTAGAGGTCAATAGAGGGGAGTTAATGAGTGAATTGGTATGAAAGATGACAAGATAGAAAATTAAGAGGTGGGGGGAATTTGAACATGAGTCAGGCTCGGGGGGGCAGTAAATCGACTCTCCAGCTTTCTCCGCTCTGTAGAGCTATCGGGGCTTTCTCTCACTTGCCATGGTCGCATCCCCAATCTATGGGGAAAGCTCTATGCTTGGGACTTGATTTCATTACACTTTACATCGATCTTTTGCTCCTTCTTAGTTGAACTTCGCCCCTTGCTTCTCTCAGTCTCCAGCGAACACCTCCCAGAGTCTCCAAAACCGCTGGTATCAGCACTCATCGCCAGAATGACACTCATCTCAGACCTGGTCTCGGCGTCTGCGCACCTCCACAGCACCACGGACCTTTCTGATGAGGACCATGATCATCGAATTCGCGACTGTGTTGCATACTTTAGGCAGCTCTCATCCACCAAAGCTCTCAGCTCTGTCGCTGATGATGAAACTCTCCTGGATGTGAGTCCTACTTCCTATCTTGACTGAATGCATGCCAGCCAAGGTCCTAACGTATGCTTCCTCTACAGCATTTTGATCCATCAGCAGATTCAATCGCGTACCTATTCATTCTCCGGGTCCAGATCCAAACCTCACAAGAAAGGACAAGTGAGAAGTTGCCTACCAACTTACGTCCGATGGGGAAATTGTGGTCAAGAGCTGTACGCTTTTTGAAAAAATTCGACAACATCCACATCAGATATGCTGGTCAGGAATGGCGCCAGCTTATTGAGGTTGTGGCACAGTCAGCGCAAGCGGCATCCAAGGCAGGCTTACCTCTCTCACTGTGTCTCTCCGTTTCCTTGGTCCAGCACTAACTTCTAGAAGCCACTCCTGGCGGCTCGACTGATTAGGGACGCAATGCTTCACCTCGACCCCTCTTGTGCCGTATTTACGTCAACTCACCTTCTTCTGGTCCGGCTTTGTCTCCTCGCTAAGGCATATAGCTGCGCATTGCCTGTCCTGGATAAACACATCTGTCATTTTCCCATCGTGACTGGTCGTCATCCCTTGAAGTCCTCTCCGGCGCTCTGTGCCAGGCATGAGTCAAGCCTGTCATTCATCTCAGAGGCCTCAGGTCTATCGGCCAAACTTTCATACAGGGACCATCTCCGATATTTTCTGTATGGTGCTATGGTGTACATGGCACTTAAGCAATGGCGCAAGTCATCTCACTTTCTCGAGGTTGTCATCTCAATGCCTACTACTAGCGTCGTCAGCATGGTCATGGTGGAAGCATACAAGAAATGGGTTTTGGTGGGCTTGCTTGAAAAGGGCAAGGTGAGTGGTTATACTAGAGGGAACTGCCAATCCCACGGCGGCCGCGTTCGACATGTTGGCTAATACTTCGGTGGGTAAGCTATGTTCACCTCCGGGCATCACATCTCCCCACGTGGTGAAGATGTACCAGTCTCTTGCAAGGCCCTACATTACGCTTGCTCATACCTTTGAACGCGGTGACATGAGCAGACTGAGGGCCGAGGTAGATGCAGCGGGAGAGGTATGGTGCATGGTAAGTCATGGTCAAGATAGATGATTCTCTCGAGGCTGTGATGGATCGCTAATAGGCTGGCACAGGACAACAACCTTGGCCTGGTCTCTCAAGTGGTCAATGCCTTCTACAGACACACCGTCGTCCGACTTGGGAGAACTTTTGCTGCCCTAACTGTGGCCGACCTTGCTAAACAGGCGTTGCCCCCATCTACCAGCAAAGAAGTTGCTGAGTCCACTATTGCCTCTCTCATCATGTCCGGGGCTTTGAATGCTACTTTGCTGCACCCGCCGAACCATGTTGGTCCCACAATGCTGCGATTCACCGCCATGCCCTCGTTTCCGCGACTGTCAGATGAAGTGGACATGCAGGTCCAACTCAAGGGAGAACAACAGTCGCTAGAGACTCTGATGGGCCATCTGGTTGAAAGCAACCATCACCTCGGCTTGAGCGATGAATATGTTGAATACGTGCACAAGGGTCAAGGCTGGGTCAATTCGGGTGACGTCAACCTCACTGAGGAGGATGGATTTGATATGGATGAAGACATCATGGGGGATCCATGACATTGTGCTGAATTTGTGCCTGCGTCATAAAGCGTTGCTGTTCCACCCTTAGGCTCTTCCTGCTTTGGCCCCCAACCTCGGCTTAATCAAACCCCATTTTTTTGTGGCTCCCATTCTTCAAACAAAAAAAAAACAAGCACACGAGAGGAGTTGCGATAGTTTGGAGGCCCACTTGGGGAATTGGGGCCTCCCCGCTTCAACAGACCCAAATAAAGAGAAGCCATTCTTCTGCCCAGATTCCTTGCGATTCATTCTCCGAAGTCATTAGAACGTTTATCTCAAATGGCTATTCAGGTTTCTGCTGTTGAAGCTGCTGCGCGGGCAAACTCGAGGCTCTTTGAGCCCTTGGAGATTGCCAACCGGGAACATCAAGCTCGAACATCGTGTGATCCATGCTCCCATGACACGGAATCGAGGGGTGCCTTTGAATCCCCAGAGCACGCCCGAGAACCCTAATCGAGTCTGGTACCCGGGCGACTTGATGGCCACTTACTATAGCCAGCGGGCTACCAAGGGAGGGTTGATGATCACAGAGGGCGTGCCGGTTTCACTTGAGGTGAGCACTCGAACCAGGAAGGATTCAATTCGAGCTGACCCTTTGTGATTTCTTCAGGCCAATGGAATGCCAGGTGTTTGTGGGCTGTTCACTCCGGAACAAGCTGCCGGATGGAAGAAGGTGGTCGACGCCGTCCATGAAAAGGGTGGATACCTGTATTGCCAACTGTGGCATGCTGGTCGAGCCACCATCCCTCAAATGACCGGTCGTCCCGCAGTGTCGGCCTCAGCTACGGTCTGGGACTCGTCCACAGAATGTTATTCGCACGTCCCCGTGGGGTACAAAGAGCCGGTCCGCTATGCGGATCACCCACCGATTGAACTATCGATCCCGCATATCCAAAGTACTATTGGTGACTACTGCAACGTAGCTCGGACGGCACTGGATATTGGGTTTGATGGGGTTGAGGTCGTGGGACATAACGGCTATCTTCCAGAGCAGTTTCTGAGCTCGAGCATCAACAAGAGGACAGATGAGTATGGGGGCACGGTGGAGAAGCGGTGCACATTTGTGCTTGAACTGATGGACGAGCTGGCAAAAACGGTCGGGGAAGAGAATTTGGCGATTCGATTGACGCCTTTTGGTCTCTTCAACCAGGCCCGAGGAGAGCAAAGAGTGGAGACATGGTCCTATCTCTGTACGAGCCTCACAAAACAACATCCTCGTCTATCATACATCAGCTTCATCGAGCCGGTGAGTTCAATTCTGCGATCAGGGTCCGATCATGGAAGCGCTAACCGTCACGTGGTCAAACCCTTCCCAGACGCACGAGCAATACTTCAGCGAAGCGGAAAAGAAGAGCTACCTTCGTAGCTGGGGAATGGACGGGGTGACCCTCGAAGCCTTTCGTGCAATCTTCGGTCAAACTCCGTTCTTCTCTGCGGGCGGATGGGACGACAAGACCTCATGGGGCGTGCTTGAGTCGGGCCAGTACGACGCCTTGCTATATGCTCGACTCTTTGCAAGCAACCCCGATCTAGTTCATCGATTGAAACAGGGGTTGCCACTGGCTAAATTTGAGCAACAGCGATTTTTTGGACCCTTCGAGGACAATGTCCAAGGCTACATTGATTATCCTACGGCGAAAGAACAGAGTCTGGAAAAACAAGTTCAACGAGAGCGCCTGATCATTAGGTAGTGTATGTGTTATAGCGCAATGCCTTGTGAGTAGACATCTCCCTCCCAGGTGCTTCTAGCTTGTACAACCACCTAGATACCAAGTGTGGGAACCCTCCATCCAAGCAGGGGCGACATAACACTACGAGGGTCAGTCAAACATCAGGGTTGCAGAGGGAGGGAGAGGGATCAATTCTGAAGAAACACCTAGGTACGCTTGGTGACCTGAACATCCACCAGGTCGAGATCTGTAATATCATGTTCCCCCAGGCAAGTATCAGGATCCAACTTGTCCCCGTCAAACACGAGGGAAACATGATCGTCGGGAGAAATGTCCTGTTTGTCTCGGAACGCAGATATTAGTCGGGAAACCATTGTTTTCTGTCTTGCTTTGATTTTGAAGTCATTCAACCCAGGACTTCTCAGGATAAGCTTCATCGGTTCGTTTTGCTCCTCATCCTCAGTTTTGTGTGGTGCCGGAGATATCCCTCCAGTGCTGGGAGAAGGACTCTGTCGGCGGCCTGCGATAGGACTATCGGAGACTGCCTCCATGTGAATACGCAACTCTTGGGCGACATTTGTGTCATCATCCATGCCCGGCAATTCAGCAATCATGCCCTTGGTCTTAATCCCCAAACTTCGGCAGGTTGTCACATCGAATAGACGCCGCCCTTTCCAGGTCAAGTATATAGACGGCTGTGTTTCCGGCACAAAGCTTTGGCGCTTGCACCATGCCAAGCGGACATCTCTGAGACTTTGGGACATCTTCCGGTGGACAAGCAATGGCTTTGAATTCGCAATTTCTGACGTGATGAGAATCTGAACAACCGGGTCGTCGGCCGTGGGTCCCGATGGTTTTTCAGGCGGAGAAGCAAACGAGGAGCTGGGTTCCCATGGCACACTACCTGTGGTGGACTTGTAGGTGTCATTTATTGGCTTGAGCGTCTGGGGCATCACGGGGTGAGGGGTGGAGGGCAATGGAGAATCTCCTGGGTCGGTATCAACGGGATTATCGGCCAGATAATAGGGGCCCGATACACGTGTGACATTCGTCTCCAGCGGTTTATCATCTTGGTCAAGTCCAGTCTTCTCCAGTGGCCTGCCACGCTTGTCAAAATTTGCCGCTGATTTTCTAGGCGTGCCCGGACTTTCTGATTCGTGTTCCTCACCATGGAGTGCAGGAAGCGATTCTTGAGCGGAACCTTCATCCGAAAGACGAAGTCGTTTATGGCGTCTACCGTCGGCTTCAATGGAATCAGAACCAGGCTTCGGTTTGTGTGCATCTCGATTGGCAGCAACAATATCCGAATAGGTTTGTTCAGATCGTCGGTAGAATTCGGTTCCTGTAGCCTCAGTTCCCGTGATGGCCCAGGAGGGCTTTTTGAAAAACGAGGGCATCGTTAACATGAGGCCATGAGGGTGGGTAGTTTTATGATGAGCAGTTTTGAAGTGCAAGATGGAGCCTCACCGCCTTTGGGCCTAAGGCTCTTGGATCACACCCTCTCTGGTGCAACCTCGGCGTCTTGTGGCATCTGGCTCATTCTGGATATTAGGGCTTTGAGCTTTGGAATTTGCTAAACTTCGACCTGAATTTAAGAGAAGGGGGAAGATTTCAACCATGGAGAACAGTCCATCCTCCGAAGGCAAAGACCCCTCAGCCTTTCTGGGCGAAATCATCGGAGCGCCTGTGATTGTGAAGCTGAATTCGGGCGTGGTTTACAAAGGTACTATCTCTCAGTATTTCTGTTGTTTTACTCCCCCGTGTTGCCTCCATTCCTGATACCAGTACAGGCGAACTGCAGTCGGTCGATGGTTACATGAATATTGCCCTGGAGAAGACCGAGGAATTCGTGAACGGGAAGCAAAGACGGAATTATGGGGACGCTTTTGTGCGGGGAAATAATGGTGAGATCTTCTTCCTGGCCGGTTTGGTCTTGCGGTTTCTTGATTCTGACTCATATAGTGCTTTATATTTCCGCAAGTTGATCCAAAGTCCTGTTCCCTGCGTTTATCACCAGATCATCGACCATGAGAGGCCCGCTGGTGGTGAACAGGAGTACCTCGACGACAGGATGAAAAAAAAAAAATCGAGAATGTCTTCCGTTCTCTGGTGGACCTTGCAACCGAAGAGCAAATCCTAATATCTGCTTGCTTCATTTGCCCGCAATCCAGTTGGAGATCAACTTCCACGAATGAAGCTATGGCCGCATTGTATGTCATTGGATTTTATTTTGCCAGACACCTCTGTATTTGTCTCAGCCATCGGTATTTGAATCCGTGTCGCCGATCAGAACCGACTTACTTACCAGGGCTGGAATGATACGGCAATGGCATGCTCGGTTCACAACCCTCTCCCTGTTGGCCATCAGATAAATCCCAATCAACCCATTCTTCCCGTATTTTGCTTGGTTGGGACTGCAGGACCTCCGTGTAGCGTATTGGCAGGGCTGCCAGCCCCGCGGCGGACTGCGAATCACTGCACCCTAGAATTCGACATCATAGAGGCAGATATTTAACAAGTTAACTTGTGGTTCGGCTCTCTGTCTGACTGTCGCCCGTATCCTTATCTGCTGGGATCGTTTCCTGGGCAGTGGGCCCTTTCTCCTCAAACAATGCCACAAGCTCATCAACCTTGCCTTCTAGCACATCAAGGTGGTTTTCTAGAGCCGAAGCAGCCGTTTCACCCCTAACAAAATATGATGTCAAATAGGGAAAGCATGTCAGGTCATTTAGAGGTACATACTTGGCAATATCTGCGAGCGCCTATTGCATCAGAGGTTAGCTTTTGGTATATAGGCCATAGCTGCGACTGTGGCGAGATCGAAAAGGTGCATGTACTCCTCAAGGGAGCAGGGACTTACCTGGGAGATATCAAAGTCAGGCGGATCGGTTTCCGGCATGGTAGTGGTCTGTTACTAGTTTATTGGCTGCGATGGGCGAAAGCCTGGGGTTGTATGTAGATGGCCCTGCAGGCCAGCGTTCTCTTTGTTGTGGGATATATAGGTTAGCAGATGAGTGGAACTTGGGAAGGATATATCCATGGGTCCACATATAAAGAGCTCTAGCTAGTCACATGATTCGTGATGTGTACTATTAGCTGTGCCCTCTACTCACGCAATATCTTTTGGTGTCAGTGCTCCTTAGTAGATCCTAAATCCTACTGGATCCCTGATTTATTATATTCTTTATTCTTTTACTACAATATGCGGCCAAAAGTCTAGTTTCAACCTATAATTTAGATTTACTCTACTATATTGAAATTCGAATAACTCCCTGTTACGCGTACCTAATTGGTCACTGTGAGTTGGTCCTTAAAGGTGACACTTCTTTTGGAAACTGCGGGCCTCAAGCCTGTCCTCAACCGTCCTAATGCCACGTTAGGCCTTATATCTCGTAGTTATACAGGGTCCTTACCGTTACTTTTACTAATAATATAATTCTAGTAGTAATTAGTTAGTAGCCGTTACCTAAATCATATATAGATACCTAGCTTCTTACGTGATTTATTGCCTAGTGTTGTTTAGTGGGTGTTACGACCCCTACAGTTGCCCACTAAATAAGGGACTCAGCTTACCGATGGGCCACCGAGAGCCAACCAATCCAAGAGTCACGTGGGACGAGGTGTAAGAATAACTACTAATCAAGCAACACAACGAATACTATCTTAATCACTAGGTGATTAACCCTATATATAACCTTACCTTAGTAGAAGGGTATATTAATTAACTAGTAGAGCCTATTAAGAGCTATCTATTACTATATCTTTTATTACCGATACTAATATAGAGGAACTAGATATATAGAAAAGGTTTTTACTATATATATATCTAATTCTTTATAATTAATTATATATTATTACTTAGATATCACTTTTAGTCTTATTTATAGTTTACTTTTGTGATAACTATTCTATAAATAGAGGAGCTACTTTAGTACTATAAAGGGTCTACCAAGATGGTGAGGCATAAGGTTATTCCTAACTAACGGAAGGGGTGAATTAGGTAATATCATATAATCCTGAAGGAAGTCGGAACTCGTTACTTAATCCACTCTATAGTGGAATAATCACAATATATAATAGAGACCTAATCGTTTATATTGTCGATAATATATAGAGTTACGAAGATATTATATAATAAAGTAATACTCTCATATTAAGCTAATAAGATAAGATTCAGTCTTGATAGTAATAAAGATATACTTTTTCTCTTACTCCTTCCCCTTGTTTCTTTACCTGATCGGTAGGTCTTATACCCTGCTGTTACGAACCAAGCCACCTCACTCGCGCCAACAGGGGTACAAGAGGAAACCAGAGCCAACCAACCCCGCGGTGATGATGCAGGACAACAAGGGTATAAGTCACGTGACAATATACCACGATCCATCGCCAAGGAATGGTATATCGGATGGTATATCAATGGGACTACTACATGCCTGCATGCAGTATACCACAAACGAGGGCGTGGAATACTGGGCAAGGGATATATAAGGACAGTCTTTACCACATGTATTTAGTTCTTCGTGATCAATCCCATCATTGTTACTTGGAACCACCCTTTGGTACTTCACAGTTCGAACATAGCGACAACCCTCCAACGGTCTTGGGAGCTTACTTAGTGATCCTCGATCCCTAAGTGACTGACTTGACCGGCGCTCTAACTGGCACACCTTGCAAGCACCCTAGAGACCCGAGCCCATAGAAGGCCCCCGAGGCATTGGTACGGTTGCGGATACGCTTGAGGCCTGCAGTACTCCTAGAGAAGTATCACCTTTGCGGACGTTACTCACCGTGACCAGTTAGCAGTTCGTAACACATTGATCACCCTGTCATCGAACCGTGAAGTCCAAGCATCATGGCGTCGCACGGCAGTAACAACAAGGGCAAGGCGATCGAGCCTCTGCCACCGAAAACGCAAACACGACACACCGACTTGGATTCGGACGATGAAGATGAGAAACGAGTCAGGGCACTGGAAGAACAGATTCACACCCTGATCAGCCAGCTCAACACCTTTAGCAGCAAGCATGACCACGACATTGGAGACCTTCGAGACTCAGTCGAGCAAAGTGCAGCCCAAATCGCCGCCTCCGCACCAGCATCTTCCGTGGGAATCAAGTTACCCAAAGCAGAGAGCTTCGACGGTACTCGATCTAAGCTTCGAGGGTTCCTCACCCAGATGGATATGCACCTTGACATGAACAGAGGAAGGCTAGTCAACGACGCCGCAAAAGTCATCTTTGTGTCATCATACCTACGAGGACAAGCATGGGATTGGTTGGAACCGTACATTCGAGAATACTATGAAAAGGCTCCAGACGCCTGGTCTGCCATGGCCCAGGGCATCTTTTCGCGATACAGCAGCTTCCGACAATTGCTTGAACGAACCTTCGGCGATATCGACGCGAAAGCAACGGCTGAACGGAAACTTGCACGAACTCGACAAACCACCTCCGCAACAGCCTACGTTGCCGAGTTCATGGCACACGCCGCAATCCTAGGATGGGACGACTACGCTTTGATTCCACCATTCTATGGGGGGCTGAAATCACACATCAAGGACGAAATCGCTCGAATCGGACGACCTACCACCATGAATGAATTCGTCGACACTGTTGTACGAATCGATAACCGCTTCTACGACCGACAGCGAGAAGAAAGCGAACTTAAACAATGGCGCCGTAACCCAGGACGAGGAAACGGCGGACGATTCCAACAAAGACGGAACTTTGGGAGAAGGGACAACGACCCCTACGGACCCAAACCAATGGAACTCGATGCAGCAAGGCTGCCTACCGAAGAACAGAAACGACGCAAAAACAACAACCTGTGCTTCAACTGTGGTAAGCCAGGACACCGAATCAAGGACTGCCGAAGCAAGAGGCAGGAGAAACCCCAACAATTGAACGCGACCCAAGAACGAAGAGGTGCGTACGACACTACTGGCACCGAGAAACCAGAACAAGGGAAGCCTCAACGGCTCTACGCGACGCAGGAGCGCGACTGGGAAGGCCCCATGATTGTGGATGGGAGCAAGCCACCAGGACTGTATCGGGATGAGCGAATGCTCTCCGAAACAGACGACGAAGAATTCCCAGAGATCGACTATGAAATCATCGAAAACTCGCCGCAGATGTACGCGAAGGATCATGCCGCGGAACTGACACAAAACAACGAGGTCTATATGGACGACCTAGTCCTTAGGACGCCCGCGCAAGCTGGTAGCGCGGAGGAACACTTTGAGCGCTTCAAGCAAGGCTCAGAAGATATTGAGAGTCAAGGATGGACCCAGTACGGTCCCTGGAACACCATCGACTCCCAGGAATTGTCGGACGATTCCCAGGAGTGGGGCACAGGTATCCTGAGGACACCAATTGAAATCCCAGGAACGCCGGAGATCCCAGAAACTCCACCCACACTCCCAGAAACGGAAGAGACGATCCTGGAAACGCCTCAGGAAAACCCCAGGAACAGAGAAACCTCGAGTGACGAGACAAAAGGCCAACAGGATGAGTCGGCTCGGGAAGAGCTATCCCAGGACCAACCAACCTGTCCATGTGAGCATCCACGATGCGCGTGTCGAGGATACGCACGACACCCGAAACATGACATCAGGGCGGTTGTAGGATGCTACGACGACAATTGCATGCTCCACTACCCAGGGAAACTCAACCTTGGAGTTGAGCCGAGACCTTTGCGATGGGAAAAACGACCCCAGTGGAAGCCCGAATACACAGGAACATGGCACGGCAACAAGAAAATTGCACCCACACCACAACTCGCAGCAACACAGTGGGGGGCACATATGAAAGTCTTCGTCAACGTCGCATACAAGAATATGCGAGCGATGATCGACTCAGGAGCCAGCGGAAACTTCATGAGCCCACAGTGCTGTCAGGAATATACAATCCAGCGGCGACGAAAAGAGGAGCTCTTACCTCTTACTGGACTCAATGGAGAACCACTCAGCACGGGAATTACGCACGAAACAGGGGACCTGCCGATGGTTTTGGGAAATCATTTTGAAACAATCAACTTCAACATCACCAACCTCGGGCAGTACGACGTCGTGCTAGGAGTTCCGTGGTTACGAAGACATAACCCAGCTATCGATTGGCAGAAAGGACTCATTGTCTTCAACCGATGTGAATGCCGACAAACCAGTGAGACATGGACCGGGAACAGATACAGACCAGCACAGGGACCTAGTCAAGGGGTGACAGGTGGCCCTCGAGGCCCTCACGAAGGCAAACTTAAGAGGAGCACTCGGCCCAGAGGCGGGGCACAGTACAAGGCAACGGAAGCCAGTACCATCGTCAACACCGAGCAACGACCGGATATGACAGACGACGAGCTAAGGGAGTACGTGATGGTTGAACACGGCTCCACAGCCCTCTGTGCAACAGGGGAAGAAACACAGATTCCTGAGGAATACCAAGACTTCCAGGATGTGTTTACGCCACCAAAGGAGGGCACGCTACCAGAGCATGGCCCGTACGACCACGAGGTCAACCTCGAAGAAGGCAAGGAGCCTACATTCAGACCAATTTACCAGCTCTCACAGAAGGAATCGGAGACGCTGAAGGAATACATCGACACGAACCTGAGGAAAGGATACATTCGGAAATCCACCTCACCAGCAGGATATCCTATCCTATTCGTACCAAAGAAAGATGGAAGTCTTCGACTTTGTGTGGACTATCGACAATTAAATTCGATTACCATCAAAGATCGACATCCGTTACCACTGATTCACGAGATCCAAGACCGCATTCAAGGAGCCAAATACTTCACCAAGTACGACATCACTGAGGCTTACAATCGGCTCAGGATCAAGGAAGGCCATGAATGGAAGACAGCATTCAGGACCAAATTCGGACACTTCGAATATGTGGTTATGCC